CAAAAAGTAACATTCTAGACAATTTTTCTTTTATCTATAACACTTTTATATTTATCAAAGCGGTTATATTTCTCAACGAAGAAGTAATAACTTAATATCATAATTTAATTTTTAAACGTTTAACTGAATACGACTACTTTTATTGTTGATCAAAGCTTAACTTTAGGTTTGGATACATCTATTTATATTTACTTTTCTTCAACTTGATGGCTTTTTTATAGCTTTCTGTACACTTTTTGACTTGTTAGTTGTTTAACGGCTTTACTCGACATTTACTTTCCTTATTACTTCCTAACTTTGTAATAAAATAAATATTCTACTGTAATAAGAAAAGAAATAGTACTTCTTATTATGTAATAAATTAGGAAAGAATATCTTCTTCATATTCTCTTTAAATCAGCTAACTTTAGTCTCTTAAATAACTTTTGTCAGATTTTTTTTTCATTTTATATAACAACTTTTTCAACTGTATCTCGATCACAAAAAACTTTTTTCATCATATTTGTATATGTAATCCACTTTTCCAATATTATGAAATCTCTGAAAACAACTAGTATTAGTTTTTTGAATATCTTCTGAATATGCTCTTCTGTATAGAAAAAAAATCAACGTCATAGTGTAAACATTAAAATTTTATTTAGCCTCCAGTACTTTGTTAATAAATTTTGTTTGATTATATTAGTAATGTGTATACTTTCTTTTTGTATTCAAAGTTTTCTTCATTTTTAGTTCAACTTGAAAGATTTTGGTATGGAAAGCAAGATGTTCAACCTGCTGAGAATAACATTCTTAAAACTCATTCTTGGCGTGCTCATATGGTTTTATTACCAGATTATGAGATACAAGAGAGTGGGTACATTTCTGAATGGAAATTTAAAGTATCTTGGTATGGAAATGTGTTCATTTCAATTTGGCGAGATGCTGGACAGGGTAAACTTCGATTCATCGGCCAAGTTCATAGATTGATAAGATCCAAGCAAGTTGGTTCCATTGTTACAATTAGTGGTGCAACTGAGAGATCATTTAAAGTGCAAAAAGGCGATCTTATCGCTATAGGACATTGGGGTTTAACAAAGCACAGTATAATACCTACAACTTTTGGAAAATGTACTAAAAATGTTAAGCTCATTCACACTGGTCTAACTTTAGCCTTTTTGAACTCGAGGACTACTTTATCCTTTAATCCAGTACCAGGGGATAATGGTTGCAGATCTTACGAATTAGGCATTCAAGTTGTGAGACCAAAGAATGCACATTGGGGAGAGCCTGTGGCTCGATGGGGCATATCTGCCCACAACTGGGTTACAAATTACCACAGTCATAATTTCGAAAGCTGTCTTGTTCTCTGTATGGTAGAAAATACTTTCGACTGTAAAGGCATTGACAATAGACTCGGAGACTGTCAATTGAACAACATTACTCTGCAAGAGGCTAAAGATCTCGGTATGTGGTCTGGAAAGTGGAGGACGTATACATATCAAGAACTTATATATAAAGAAGGCCCTGTAGAGCCACCACCCCCTCCTGTGATAGAGGCATGTGATAACACAGAGAGCCTAGGACCAATTGCAAAACTTCATCCAGCTGATACAACTATTAGCAGACAACTCCAGATTTATATTCTTTCACCTTTTAAATGTGTAGGATTGATAACGAAGTGGGAATTTTACGCTAAAGTTCCTGGCTTCGTTTACCTCTCAGTATGGAGAAAGCGAAATAATGTCTGGAAGCTTGTCAAAAGTAACAAAGTAGAAGCAACCTCTACCGGAAAACAAATAATTGAAATTGCAGAAGACGATCAAATAAGAGCAAAAGAAGGAGACGTTATCGGCTTTTATTACGACAATGATCCAGATGCAACTGAAGGTGTAATAAGTTACGTTCAAAAGAGTGATGACAATATCAACTTATGCTGCGATCTAAAGCAGGAAGATTTGTATCCTCTCCATACAGGAACAATTTTTGCCGATACAATCGAGAACTATGACGGATCCGACAATCCGGATCCAGTTATAACTCGTGCAGCAGCTATAAAGGCTCATCTGTTCCCCACAGCGGAATATTCTGGATTTTTTCCTCTAGATGAATGCCATACCAATGATGACGGTGATGTTACCGATGTAACAATCAATAATAATTTGGGAAAACCACAAAATATAGAATTTGTTGAAGGCTCAGACGGCAATAAATTTGGGGCTAGCTATTTTGATGGAAAGGCCGAAAACTTTATTGAAATCGAAGAAAGTCAGAGTTTAGATACTAAACTTGGAATAACAATCATGATTGATATCTATCCTGAAACTAGGACGGGAATTATCGCTAAATATAGCGAAGGACCAAATGGAGGAATTGAATTGATGATCAGATCAGGCAAAATATTCTTCCGCTTAGTTGAAAGGGGTAAAGAATATGGATCGAATGAATTTCTCATAAGCAAATCAGTTATTACCCAAAAAACTTGGACCCATGTATCAGTAACTTACGAACCAGTTTCTAAAACGGGAACTATCTATATAAACGGAAAGAAAGACGCTACACATACTTTTCAAACAGCAAGAGAGTTGGCTACTGAAGGAAACATTCGACTTGGCTCTTATCCAGGAGACAATAGATATTTTGCTGGTAGAATGTCTTGCCTTAGAATTTGGAGCTCAGCACTAAACGAAGAGGCAATCGAAAAAGAAAAGCAGTGTCGCATTCGTAAGATAAATAGACATAATATGTTTTTTATTATAGCATTAACAGTTTTTTATTCTTTTACTTTTAGCCTATCCTCTCCTAGAGGAACATCCTTTAATTAAAGCAAAAATTGAAGATGCCGTTATTGTTAAAGACAATCTTACTTTACGTTGTGATTTTGTTCCGAAACCGGAGAAAGATAGTAGATATCAAATTGTATGGTACATGACAAATGACACAAAGATGGAGAAAATCCATTCTGAGTGGATTGATAATCTGGATCCATTGGTTGACAAAACAGCCACAGCCTTTTTAACAGCTGAAACTCACCTTAAATATCCTGAGCTTCTTTCTCAAGGGGTACAATGTAGAGTCTTTACTTGCTATAAAGACGAATGCGGCGGAGAAATTGAAAGCTGTGGAAAGAGGAGTAAAGTCCTTAAACCAGAGATTACCGTAATCATTAGAATTTATTAATAAATAAGGTCTATAAAAAGCTTTAATCATTCCAAATAGATGACAACCAAAGGTCCATTCACTTTAGAAGAAGGTGGAGATACACAAACAATAGAATTTAAATGCTCACTCCCTCCCTCCGTTGTTTGTGATTTGGCCGAAGAATGTTCAATTAAGGTAAATTAAAGAAATCTACTATAAATAAAATGTTTTTGAACAAATAAAAAACATTCATAAATATTATAGATTGAATTTGAAATGACCGAGATTAATAAAGAACAAGTATGTCCATTCTCTAATGCTATTTTGCCTCAAGTTGTCGTTGAAGAACCTCAATCGGAATTTTATACATCATGTGGAGTTATTGTAAATAATTTAAATTGGCATAAATCTTTAAGGTTCGTATCAATGAATTAATAAAAGATATGCTGTATATATAATATTTAAAATTCATTTCTATTGCAGTCTTAAAATTAGAGCGACGATTGATAATATAATTGATAAAGACGTAAAACGTGAAATTAAATTTAAACAAGTGTATATAACTAAAACTAAAGTTCACACGGGTATTGTGTTTGCTAGTAGCGAGGTGACTATTATTGACAGAGATAGGAGAAATCATCTTTGTCGATCTGTTAATGATCCTCATATGACTACTTTCGATGGAAACTTTTATAATAATCATTTGGAAGGAGAATTTGTACTTTATAGACACAAAATTTTACCATATGCCGTTCATACTTTCTACAGACCTTGTAGTTTCCGCCGAGGTGCTACATGTAATTGTGCTGTTGCTATTAAGGCTGTTGATGATGTAATAATCCTTGATAGATGTGGTCCCTTCGCTGCCAAAGGACATGGCAGTAGAAAACCTCTAATGATTGATGTATTTAGAAATGGTGAAATGACTTACGGGTTTAATATTGTCCAATTCGGCGGCGGAAAGAAGTATAAAATTTTCTTGCCTACCGGAACATCAGTTGTAGTTATGCTAAATCGTGGTTATCTAAATGTATGGGTCAGTCCTTCAACAGCTGATTATAGTCGATCAGAAGGTCTCTGTGGTCTCTACGATCATGATAAGAGTAATGATTTGTCTGATAAGGATGGAAATATACTTGGTATTGGTGCTTTTAATAAATATTGGAGGTATATGACTTAATTTAAAAGAGGTTTTATTATAATTATTAACATATCTAAAACTATCTTCCAGAGTTAAAGACGAAGATTCTCTATATAGAGGAGTATGTTCTGATCCAACAGTTAGCGATGAGGTTCATAGTCTTAGCAATGAAAAATATTGCTCTTGCGGTTCCTCATCTCCAACTAAATGTGAACTTGGTTTACATCTTCTACCTTGTTATTCTAAACCAAAAGTTGTGAAGGGCGTTTATGCTTGGACTAAATCAGTTGGTAGAATGATAAAGAATGCCAAGAAAATTTTACCAGATGTCCTTTCTTTGGCGAAATGTCAAGAATTCTGTTTACATGAGAAAGAATTTACTTGCTTATCAGTCAGTTATAGAGAACGTTCAACTGAAAAGGATTGTCATCTTAATGATATTGAGAAGGAAAATGCAGGTGATAAATGGTCTGACGAAGATAGGTCTTTCGATTATTATGGGTTTGAAAAATTAGGAGGTTAATAAGTGCTATTATTTTAATTGGATAAATTAATTAATATAGCTATTATTAACAGCTTTGGGTCAATCTAACATAAGAGGAGGAGTTGATGTCACAGAATCATATCTGCTTAAGTCTGTCGAGCCTGAGTGGTGCCCAAGTACAGAAAACGATACAGCTGGAGACAGAGAAAAGTTTGAACACGATCCAAATGCAGAGTACACCGAGCCTGACGACTTTCCAAATGGTCTAACAGAGGAAGATGTTACCATCAAATGTGAAGATTTAATATTAACAAGCTCCATATCAAAAGGATGCGAAAAAGTTACAATTGAGAAAGCGCAAGCCATAAAAAATTGCGTTGCGGATTACAAAGTGACAGGTGATTTCATCTGGGCATTTGCCGCAATAGATTCCCTTAGAGAGCAATGTAGAGATGAGCTAGACAGAGATCCATCTCTTTGGAAAAACGAATCAGGCATATTCGTACCTGATCCAGAAATTGGTAATCAACTTTGCTTCTCTGATTGCATGCAAAGGGGAAAGTGTATAAATGGTAAATTTTATTTTAATATATTACTCAAAAAGCGTCTAATCTTCTCCATCATTAAACACTTAAAACAGCTACTTGCAAATGCGACGATGGTTGGTTGGGCGTAGATTGCTCTATCGCAGAAAATGATGCTCCAGTTGTAGATACAATAGCAGATGGTGGTAGCTGCAATAATTTGGCTGGTTCATGTAATACAATTGAAATACTCGGTAATGGTTTTGTCGATACGACAAATCTTATTTGTCGAATGGAAAAAATAGAGGTTTGTATTAGAAACAAAATAATTATATATCATTCATCAGAAAGTTTATCTATATCTCATGCATTTTTTTCGTTTGTCAGATTTCTGCGACAACCATTAAGAGAACCAATGATATTACTACAGTTAAATCAGTCTACATTTCAGAATCGAGAATTGAATGCGTTATCACTACACAGCAGGTTAACTCTATAAGCTATGCCGTGACCATCAGTAATAATAATGGAAAGAATATCAGTAACGAAGTTATCTTCTTCGTTTATAATTCCGATTGTATGGAATGCGATTTGAAAAATAGAACATGCGTTGACAAAGTTGACACTTGCGTTATTAATAGCATCTGCTATAGAAAAGGAGATATTAATCCCCTTTCCAAAACAGAAATGTGTGATCCAGATAAAAATAGAAACGACTGGACAATCGACGATAGATTATCTATTGTACTTCTTCAAGCTTTTGACAAATGTCATCCTGGAGAGGATTTGTCACCCACTGCAGCAAATGCTGAACATTATAAGGTGGAGAGCTCAGATGAGAGTCCACCTGGTTCCTTCGGTGGTTCAGCTTTCTTCGATGGAAAGAGTGACCACTACGTAAAAGTTCCCAATAGTGGTGGACCTGTAGACGTCAAATTTTCTATTACACTATCTTTCTACGTAAAGCCAACAAAATTACAAAATAGTAACATATTCCAATTCATAGAGCCAGGAGGTATATAAACTATTACTTTATTGAACCAGGGATGAATAAATTTACATCTTTTATTATAGAAACCCGCCCAAGAGGAGTCCATATTTTCTTACAGAGATCTGGCAGGAATCTGAAAATTTTGACTCAGCTCTATGCAAGAGAATCTAATAACATACTCCGTAGACTTACACCTAAAGGCGTAACTACTGTTGAAGTGAACGAGTGGACTCATGTTACAGTTACTTTTGACTATAAAACTAGCGCCTTATCTATTTATAAGGATGGTGAAAAAGCTTCCACAGTACAGGTTAAATATTTATTCCTTATAACTTAAATATATAATAATACATTAAAACATATTCTCTATATATTTCCATTTCTCTTTAGATAAGAGAAAAGAAACTTTTATCAACATTCAACCCTGTTTATTTCGGATATGATAGATTCAGGAGTAGACGATTTGTCGGTTATTTGTCTTGTTTCCAAATACACAGGAGAAGCCTGGATGAGGCTGATGTCAAAAGATTAATGAAGTGTCCAGTTGGTAAGTGTATTTTTAAGAAATTGTAGAAACTTCTTTTTTAATAAAATAAAACATTTTGTTCTAGCTTTCCCTGTTTTAAAAGAGAGTCCAAAAGTTTCTGTTACTGCTGTAAATGTAACAAATGGCGACACAACTACTCTTGAAAGAGCTCTACAATGCAGGTTTGTCTCCATCTTTAAGATGGTTGAATACAATAATAAAAACTATTTGAACATAAACATTATTAAAAATTTTTTAAAGCTTTCCTGCCGTTGAAAATGCTCAAGCTGATGTTCAATTTAAACTTGAATGGCAAATTGGTGGTCATACTGTCAAATCAGCAGCTTTAACCCAATTGCAACAATCTACTGATGGTATTGAACACATTTTACTCTTTAGCGAAATGAAAAATCGCAAATTGACAAATGGAGTTGTTTGCACTGTTCAACCCTGTTATGATGATAATTGTAATTGCAAAGCTCAATCGGAAACTTTTAAACCAATTGTTAAGGTAGGATTTTTTCAATAATTCATATTAAATGCTAACGTTATTCTTTGCTTGTAGGTCACAACAGAGGGTCCTATTAGTCTCTACGAGGGTAAAGAAAGTGCATTTTTAAAGATTGAAGCTAACTTACCTCCAACATATCTATGTTCTGACGAAGATTGCGTTGTTAAAATCGAAGCTTTTGTTGTTTCTAGGGGTAGGGAATACCGTTGTCCTAAACCACCAAGGAATTACTATCCTCAAGCTGTCGTTGGTTGGGGAGATTCTGATATACGATTCGCCCATTGCGGTATTACCATTACGGAAGATTCGTTTGATAATTTACCATCTATACCTATCAGAGCAACAGCAGATAGAATAATAGATAGATTAGCTATCAGAAGTTTAAAAATTTATAGACGCCACTATGTAAAGAAATTGGTTGTTTGGGAAACTCTAATAAAAACAATTGAACTTAAAATTTACAATACCGACCATTTTGCCCAATGTAAGAGTTTTAATGATCCGCATATTACAACATTTGATGGAAGGTAAAGTACTGATTAACTTAAAAAATAATAAATATTTAACAATCTCATAACATTTGTAGAAAATATGACAACCATTACGAAGGTGAATTTATTCTATATAAACACAAAACTCTACCTTATGCCGTAAGTTTGTTAAATCTATTGAATGTTAATATTCTTTAAAATATTAAATCTTATTTTGAACTAAAAGGTTCACGCCTTCTATCGAAAATGCTCTACAAATCCTAAGTCATATGTAACTTGTAATTGCGCCGTTGCCGTTAGATCCGGTGATGACGTTATCGTCTTTGACCGTTGTGGCGCTAAACGTGACAAGAGTAATAAGAATATCGAAATTAAATTTTACAAAAATGGGCCATTGACAACTGGAACAAGGATAATAAGTCAGCATGGTGGAAAAAAATATCAAGTAATACTGCCAACTGGAACTGTTATAAATGTACTAACCAGCTTTAGCAAATTTGTAAACATTTTAATCGTTGCTTCCTCTGATGATTACGATAATACTCAAGGTCTCTGTGGTACTTATAATAATGAGAGAAGTGATGATTTTACAAAGAGAGATGGCTCTCTTCTTACTACTACTTCAAGGAAACCCAATGTTTTCTCAGTATCATGGAGGTAAGATAGCTAACGTTTTAAATTTACTGATCTAATATCATATCTTTCCCTCAATAGAGTAACAAAAGAAGAATCAATTTACTATGGTTTATGCGCTGATAAATTGACACCTGCAGATAAAATAATACCTAAAATATATTGTCATTGCCAAGAGGGTAGGAAGACAAAAGATCAGAGTTGCGGTTTCAGCTATGATACCAGTCTTTGTACACCACTAGGTAAACGTCTTCAATTGTCAATTATTTCCTTTTTAATTTAATAAATATTGTGCTTAGGCAAAGATATATCGGGAAGCTTGAAAGTCTTCAAATCAAAGTGTGTTATTGAAGCGGAAGATGAATTTGAATTTGATCCTGAGGAACCTAAAGATAACAAATGGGAAGATGGAGGTTTGACTGAAAAAGAGGCTAGAGACGCTTGTACTCAACGTCTAGAGAATTCTCAAGTCCATAAAATTTGCTTCCCGAAATTTTTATTTAAGAGCGAAAAAACTGATTTAATTACTGATTGCATTAATGACGTTCAGGCTGCAGGAGACGATCAATGGGCAGGAGCAATAGTAGAAGCTGCCAAAGAAATTTGTGAACAAAGAACTGAAACTGATACAGATAAATGGGATGGAAAAGATGATCCTCCACCAAATATTGTAGAGAATTTGTGCTTGAACGAATGCTCTGGAAATGGAGTTTGCAAAAATAGTATTTGTAAATGCGAAGCTGATTTCACAGGTGCTGATTGTTCTGAAGAGGTCGGTAAACCTCCAAAAATTACTTCCGAATATGTTCATTGCGATCTCTCCAAATCGGATTGCTCGAGTATTGTTATTGAAGGGGAAGAATTTGTTGATTCTGATACTTTAGCCTGTAAATTTATTGAAGTTACTGTTAGAAAGGGTTTAAAATGGATTCTAACGAGAAAAATTCAGACTAGTGCTGCTACTTTAATAGTTGAAGGAAAAGTTCAATGCGTGGTTCCCGATAAGAGTAAACATTATGTAGTTACAGTAACAAATGATGGTGAAAAATTTGCAACTAAACTCATAATCGTCATCATTTTCAACTCGATATGTACTGATTGTAATAAAGAGACTGGATGGTGCAGCCAGAAACCTTCCGGTGGTTGCCTGATCTTGAATAAATGTTATGGGCCAGGTGTACGAAATCCAAAAGATGACAGACTAGAATGTCAACCTACAACTAGCAGCTCATCCTGGACTGTCATAGGAAGTAAGTTTTTTTTTACTAAACATTTATAATATATTTTCACGGAATAATTGTAATTACTACTTTTCAGCCGAATTACCTATCGCAATTTATGCCTTGGATGACTGCTCTCTAGCCAAAGACTCGGCTAGAGGAAGATCCGACGGAGAGGTTATCGGAGATTATATGATTACTGATGGACCAGGAGGACGAGCAGATGGAGCCATTAGCTTCAGAGGATCAACTCGCAGCTATATTAAAATTGAAAAGAAAGAAGTTTTAAATACGAAATATTCAATTTCTGTATTCATGCACGTTTATTTCGATCTTCTAAATCAAAAAGCATCTCTCTTCTCCTTTGGGGAAGAAGGACGAGTATCTTTCTTCATACAAAATAGAAATCTTGTATTCTTAGCAAAAATGAAAGATGACACCCTCTTCGATAACAGCGTAGCCTATAGATTACCTAATAACTTGGCTGGTAAATGGATACATGTTGGAGCATCATATGATTATTCTAAAAGTACATTGGCTCTCTACGTAAACAGAAATAGAGTTAAATTCGAAGAAGTTTCTCTTCGCGAACCAGTTACAAATGAAGATATTTACATAAATCATGTGACTACTGGCAAATTTAGCGGACTTAAAGGAAAACTCTCCTGTCTAAAAGTTTATGATAGAGTATTGAAATCGGATGAACTTGAAAGTGCAAGCGAATGTCAAACTCGTAAGTGATTAAATTACAATGCATATCTTCTTGTCTAATTTAAATATATTAAATAGTTGCTCCATCGCTAAAATCACCACCAAAACTTATTGGTATACAACATACAACAATCGTCAGGAAGGTGATAAAGAAAAACTTTGCCGAGAAGAGAATAATTACAAGAGTTGTTGTCGAAGGAGGCGTAAATAAGACTACAACAGAAGAAACTTGGAACAATTATACAAAAACAATTGAAACAAACGAAACAACCCAAACTAAAGCGTTTGCTTACGCATGTCAAATCAATTTATTACAATCTGAAAAGATCATAAGTTACGCATTCTCGTGGTTATACAAAGGTATAGAAGTTGGTATGTCGAATTACTTAAACGTAAAGAAAGAATTTAACATCTATAATGGTGTCATACCTGATTCATTGATGAACTCTATTGCATCACCTGAATTGGTAAATATTTCTTCTAGTGTTTAAATCTTATATTTAATTTGTTGACTTTTATTCAGTTGTCTTGCCAAGTTGCAACATGCGAAGAAGGCGATTGTGAGAAAAAGTGCGTAAAGAAGAGTAATCCTTTTAAGAATTCACTTGAAGTACTTACAAAAGAGATAACGGTTGTTGAAGGAGGACATGTTGGCTTTATTGCAATTAGAAGTCCAGTTCCACCTTCAGTTATTTGCGCACCAAACGATACTTCCACTTGTAGTATAAGAATAACAGTTCGCATTAAGGAACACAACACTGACTATAAATGCTATGATAAAACGAAAATTCCCCAATTTGTTGTTGGATGGAAACAAGATGATGACACAACATCTTCAGAGGCTTTTTGCGGTATTGAACTACCTCATTCAAGATGGGATGATATTTTGAAAATACCAATTAAAGCCAAGTTAGATAGAATCAATGAAAAGGGAAAAACCGTTATAAGATATGCCGAAATTGTTCAAACTGTTTACATTCAAGGTGTTGCCATAAGAGAATCTGTCGTTATTGGAGAAGTAACAGTGAAAGTCGTTGATATGGATAGGCCATCTATGTGCATGAGTTATGGTGATCCTCACTTCAAAACATTTGACAATCAGTGAGTTTTTCAATTTTTATCTATTCCAGATAATTAATATAACTATTCTATCTTGAATTTTTCATTTAGGAAATACAACTTGTACCGTGAAGGTGAATTCGTCTTGTATCGACACAAAACTCAACCTATTCAAGTAAACGTCTTACTTAAAGCTTGCGCTTATTGGGGTGTAAGTACTGCAACATGCATTTGTGTCGTAGCCGTTAAAATCCAAGATGACGTTATACTTATTGATACATGCGGAGGTTTGAATGGTAATAAAGTTAAAAAGGAATCTTCAGAGATAAGCGCTTATTTAAATGGAAATCTTACCAAGAGCGTTAAAATCCAGCAGTTTTCTAATAATTATAGAATTCTTTTACCTACTGGTACCGTCTTGAGAACTGAAGTTTGGAAACATGATGGTTATATGTTCATGAACGCTTATATAGAATCTAGCCCCTACGATTGGGAAATGACAGAAGGTCTCTGCGGTTTCTACAATGGTAAACGTGTTGGTGAATTAATTGGTAGCGACGAAATCATCTACAAGAATAATTACCTACCTAATAAGTTCATTTCTACTTGGCTCGTTACCGAAACACTCTTCGGAGGATACTGTCCACCAGTTGTTGAAGAGTCAAACACAACTGATGTAAATAAAACTGAAGAGGAACACTTTTTCTGCGATTGTATTTCAGGTCAAGAAAAATGTGGATCAGGCTTACTTAAGAGAGAATGTCCTCTTAATAAAATTGAAAGTAAATGGCAGGATGTTACCCAGTTTGTAGTGGACGATGCTGAACAAACCGAATGTGAAAATCCTGATAACAAACCAGAGATTATTATAATAACAACTCCTGACCCTGTAGAAAAGACATGGCCTGTTAAAAATATCACCAAGGAGAAGGCAAGAGAAATTTGTCGACAGTCATTAACCATTATTGCGTGCGGAAAGGAAATTGATAAAGAGGCACTAGATAGAGATATCGAAAGTTGCATGGCAGATATTTTATTATCAGAATCACTGAAATTTATTGGAGCTACAGTAGAGGCAGCAAAGACACGTTGCGAAATTGATGAAGGTAATAAACCAGAGCCAGATCCTGATGTTACTGGCAAACTTTGCCCAAGTAACTGTAATGGGCGCGGTGATTGTAACGAGGGTATATGCGAATGCAAAGACAAGTACACTGGAGACGATTGTTCTATCGAAAAAGGTAAAAAACCCAGATGTTCGAGAGCAGTTTGTTCTGGATTCTTGTGTAAATTCTTCACTATCTGGGGATGGGGATTCCAGAGAACAACCTCCCTTTCATGTCATTTCCAAAAATGGACTATCACTAAAGGTTCTGTCACGGTTGTTGGAAACTCAATAAAAACTTCAGCTACATATATTAGCGGTAGCAGAATCCGTTGTACTCTACCAGCAGATGATGCAGACTACACTATTTCGGTTAGTAATGATGGAGGAGATTCTTGTGAGGATCCACCAATTACTCCCAAGTTAAAATGTCATCGCTGCTATTACAATAAGCAAGGAAAATTAGAATGTAAAATAAGAAGAAATACTTGTTATATTGGTCAAAAATGCTTCTCAGCTAGTCAACTAAATCCAGAAAATAACTTACAAATCTGCCGTCCAGGACAGGATCCTTATGGATGGACAACCATAAGTACTGTAAATTACAATGTTTGGTTTCCATTCGATTCGTGCCGTCGTATGCATGACGTTCAGAGGACATACGAAGTCGAAGGGGACGGAACATTCGTCAAATGGGGAAATTCTCAAGCTCTTTCATTTATGAATAAAAGAAGATTAATCAGACATGATAGCGATTTCAGCCCAGTGACTAGTTTCTCTATCACTACTTCTGTTCTAATCGAGAATAGAATCAGGAGACACACTAACCTAATTAGATATTCAAGAACTTCAGCAAGAACTCAAATCACTCTAACAGCAACAACAAGACATTCAATCATATTTAGAGTTATGAATAAATATGTGTCAACCAAAAACAATATTATCGAAATAGGCAAATGGGCACATATTCAAGCATCGTATGATTATGATACTGGTAAATTGACTGTAAAGGTCACGAAAGAAAACACTGAAACTTTCGAAAAGGATACATCTTTGAAACTTATCAACATCGATTCGAATAGAATTTTCTTGGGTGAAAAATTAAGAGGATCAATGGCTTGTGTTGGATTCAAATCATCCCTCGATATTGAAGATGAATTTAAAGACTGTAGAGAGTCCAGCTACTTCAAAATTGCAAATAAACGAGTTTCTGAAGCTTCCGTCATGTATAAAGAAAGTTTTGACGGAAATTTCGTTTTCAATTATAAATTTAAAGCTCTACAAGACGCAAATGTTGAATATAGATTCAAATGGTACAGTGGTGAAGATGTTTATGAACAAATGAACTTTACAGTGGCAAATGGTGGAGACTACCAAAATGGTACTCTTCTTATACCTTATGAAAAAGCATCTATTGTACAAAAAGGGGTAATTTATATCTTTTAGCAATTTTCAAATTGTTATTCACTAATGTTTCTCTTATTGCAGTTGCACTACGCGGTTACATCTTGTCTAACTAAGGATTGTACACCTGAAAATTCATGCCCAGGTTACAGTAATATGTTTGTACCAGGCATCCATGTAAGTTATCTTGATAGATTTGGTCATTTATGTAAGAGGTAATATTAAATTATGCGTAAAATTAAGGTTACAACGGACAAGGAAATAACAATAGTTGAAGGAGGTGCAGAGGTTTACATCAAAGTCATCTCTAATGCCCCACCCAACTTGATTTGCAGAGGACCTCCACCACCTAAAAGTAAAATATTGCACAGATGTTTTATCTAATTTTATCAAAATTTATATAAATATTTCCATTCAATAGAGGATTGTCGTTTGATTGAAGTTAAAACTCCGCACGAAACTATGATATTGAGACCAAACGGAGAGAAATGCAATGATAGACCAAGTTATATTCATATTGGTGATGATTTAGATACATATCTAGGTTTCGATGGAGAGAGATGGAATATTGGTAATTCTGTTTGCAGCGATGATGTTGCTAAAGGCATTAAGGCTGATCAACCTTATTTCAAAGGTTCTAATGATACTGGATTCTGGCCTCCTGGCTTCCATGTTAAATGCATAGGTATATTTTCAAAATTAAAATGACCTGTTTTCGTGATAAATAGATAACGCTAAATTACTCTTTCTTATAGAATCTTGTCAAAATATACAAATTGTTGGCACTGGAGAAACGGATGGTGCTTATGAAAAAACATTAGAAAATTGTGACAGTAGACCTGTTTACAAATCGAAGAATGATTTAGATCCTGAAAAAGAACATTTCCTATTCTCCTTTGATGGAAAGTGGGGAATTGCTAAAGAAAAATGTACAGCCGATTTCCTAGTAACAGGACCAGAAAGAGAATGGCCTGATGATAAAGCAGAAATAAGTTGGCCCGAAAATGTTGAACTGAAATGCCTCGGTTTGTAGTATTATGAATAATTTTTAATAGTTTGTCATCATACTATTCGTCTTTTAGCTTACAAATATAAGGAAGAGGGAGAACAACAAGAATATTCAAAGTGCTACGTTAAAATCGTGACTATTATTGAAACTGTCAATAGAGATTTTAAATGTAAAGATAAATCACTTATACCGCAAGCTGTTATTGGAGTTCCACCACCAATAGGAGAATTGAAACAATATTGCGGTGTTTTCATTACAGAATTCAACTGGAATTCAGTAAGTAAAACTCTTTTAAAGCTAAAAATAGAATGTTTTACCTCTCGACTCTTTACAGCCAATTAGTATACCAGTGAAGGCCAAGATTGACGGAAAATTTGAAAGGAAAACTAAAATAAGGAAATTGTTCATTAAGGAAACTCACATTGTGAATGAAGTTGTAGTTTACAAAAGAGTAGTTGAAGAGATAACGCTAAATATTAAGGATCCCTATTCTGATTGGAAAGGACATATTTGTAAATCAGTTAATGATCCTCATATGACAACATTTGATAAAACTCGTTATGAAATGCATTTGAAGGGCGAATTTGTCCTCTATAAACACAAGAACTTATCATATGCTATTCATGCCATATACACACCTTGCAATAGAAATAGACCTGGAGGTGTTTCATGTAATTGTGGAGTTGTAGTAAGAGCGGGTGATGATGTTGTTTCAATCGATAGATGTGGATTTGATAGTGGTGCTCCAACAGCTGCAGGTGCTCCTTTGAAAGTACAAGTTTATAAGAATGGCGATTTTGAAACTGACTTTAAAATTACAAAAGTACGAGGAGGAGCTTATGGCATTTATCTACCCACCGGAACTTATCTACTCGTTACCAGTAGCTTTAAAAATTTTGTCAATTTATTCGTGACGGCGTCTGAAGCTGATTTTGGTAATGTTGAAGGTCTATGTGGTGACTATGATCACAATAAACATAATGACATGGCCGTTATTGGTGATTTCAATCAATGGAGGTAACTTGTTAAACTCTCTAACATAAAAAGATATAATCATTATCAATTCAACTTCAGAGTACACCAAGAAACGTCATTAATTGGTGGTTTATGTACCACTTCTACAACTGAGATAAAGGTTGAATCAAAAACATACTGCGAATGTCAAACAGGACATATTGCTATTTGTGGGCCAGGGTTAGATAAATCAGTTTGCACATTTGCATCCGGAAAGAAATTTGGTTTGTATACATAGCTGGGATACAAATATTTGTTTATATTTATCATTAACCCTTTTCGTCTATTCACATAACAGACATTACCGCTCAACTACTCGCTAAAGCCAAAGATCCTATTGGATGTGCTGATGGTGGACGTCCTCAAATAGTCATTGAAGAGCCTGACTTTGTAAGCATTTTATAATTAATTCTTAATAGATATGTGTTAGTTTTTATTCTTAATAAATATCAAAAATAGAATGACAAACCACGTTGGCCAACTCCCAATGGTATTACCAAGAAACAAGCTGAGGAATTCTGCAGAAAGAGAATTTTGGAAAGTACTACTATCAAAGTTTGCGGAAAAGTGAGAAATTTTGAAAAGGAATCCAATGTCGAAAATTGTATGACTGATATCCAAGCCACTGATGACAGAGATTGGGTTCAAACTGCAATAGACTCGTCTAAAATTGATTGTGAAGTATTTACGAATACCGATACAACTGATTGGGAAGAAGATGACGAAGGTAATCCAAAACCTCCTCCAAATACAGTAGAAAAACTATGCCCTAGACAATGTAGCGGCAATGGAGAATGTGTTGAAGGTATTTGTATATGTAACGATGGATGGTTAGGCGACGATTGTAACTTTAATGGAAAAACTCCACCAATTGTTATTCCGCAAACCGTTCGCTGTGATTATAGCAAATACAACTGTGGTGAAATTACTATTACTGGTACTTTTGTGGAAACTGATCATCTTTTCTGTGAATTGACGCCTGTAGTATCATTCTCTGTTCGTATATTTAAATAGGCCAATTGAATTTAATTTAATAGAAGTTTCTTTACATTTTTCAGTGGAAAGACTTTAAAGTACTTGGAAATAACCGCGCCAAGGCTCTCAGCGTTAAAGCTAAAGTAATTTCAGTTAATCAAGTTACTTGTCTGATCCCAAGAAATGAAATTTATACTCTAAGACTTACTTATGATAGTAAAGTTTACTCTGAAAGCTTGACACTACTTATTTATAGTAGTATCTGTTATGGATGCACTCAAACTGGCTGCAAATTGAAGGAGGGATCGAGGATGAATTGTGTTATAAATGGCGTATGCTATCCTAAAGAGGCAATTAACCCCTTAAATAGAGAGTACTGGTGTGATCCATCATCTAATAAATTGAAATGGACTACAATTGGTCTGACAGTTGTTAAGGGAACAGCAACCACTGTTTTACATTTCGAATCAACCAAGATCAAGTCATCTACAACTAAAATAGAAACAACATCAGTGAAAGGAGGCACTACAACATCTATAAGTACTACTAAGACTTCAACCACAATTTCCAAGACAACGGCGAAAATCAGGCAAACGATTGAAGGAACCATAATTGATTTGACCTCTGGAAGTTCTTGCGTTGAAATTCAACCAAAGAATCCAGTTTCCTGTTTGACCGATCTTAAGAATTGCGCTAGCGGTATAACTCTGTCATTGAACATTGCTTTCATGAAACAGGTAGAAGAAGGTGCTGTCTTGTTCAGTACTGGAGGCGATGATGATAATGTGGGTATTGGTTGGACAATGTTCTACAAATTCGGTTCCTGGGTATTAAGAGCGGTTGTTGATGACAAAAAATGGGAAGTTGCTATTCCAGCATCTGTAAGTAAAGCCCACTGGCAAGAGTTCATGTTCTCTTGGCATAAAGAAGAAGGATTGTTGGTTTACGTTGGAGGTCTTAAAGTAGCTGAATCTAAGATGTTCGTTGCACGAAAAATAGCTGGTAAAGCAATTATGGCTTCTAGACTAGTTTTTGGCTGTTCAGCAACTTTAAAAACAACTACACTTCTTCAAGTTCAAATGACTCAAATAGTAATCAGAGAGAAATTCATCACTACATTGGTCTTGGATGGTGCTATAACAAGTTAGTCTTTTACTTTATTAAAATATATAAAAGCCACTTGCAATTATTTTAACCTTGTGCTTGTTTTATAGTCAAAAGAACAACTTGTCCACTTGGATGGGTCGCCATTGCTGGTTGGTGTTATACCACAACCTCTGAACAATTACCTTCAGATGGTTGCAAAAAATTGCATCCTGATGCTAAACTTGCTGAATGGAGAACTAAAGAACAATTTGAACAAATCCAATGGATGTTTGAAGAGGCCTTCTTCAAAACCAGAATATGTAAGTGGAAGGTCGGCTTGAAACATGTTGGAGGAAACGAACACAAATGGACACAAATTAATGAAAATCCTCAACAAGATTCTATTAGATGGTTACCTGGACAACCTAAACCAAAAGGTCCACCAATCAAGGATTGTATACAAATAAATAGAGAAAAGAATTATGGAATGGCAAACATAGTTTGCGATTCCAATCAACATTTAGCCTGTATGATTGAAGAACCATGCGCCTATAGTGAGTATCAAATTATACATCAATAGGACAATTAAAAACATGGGTTATCCAAAAAAATTAGCTTTTGAAAATCCAATGAAGACTAAGGAAGTTGATAATCTTTCTTCTGAAAAATCAATAATCATCTTGGGAAGCAATCAATTCAATTATGACGTCACTTTGAAAAAGGTATCTCAAAAATTTCATATTTTCTTATATTTCATAAATTTTAAGAATAAATTTTCTCCAAACAGATTAAAATCAATATGAACAAATTCAAAGGTCAATTAACAGTTGCCATTTTTAGACCCAAGAATATCTACAATTTATGTCAATATGAAACAAAAGATACTGTCACAATTAATGTTGCAGATGAAACATCCGGTTGGAAATCTGTAAGAATAATCTTCTAGCCTTTCTTTTTTTCCATTTTCTTTTAATTATTGGTTTTTTTATCGTCTAGTATACTTTGGATAATCCAATCGAAGGTACAACTGGAGAAGTTTTTGGTGTTATAGTTCCAAAAATGAATATGGTTTTAGCTCAAAGATCACCAATGCTTATGAAGACGTTAACTTGCACTCTTTCGTCTAATGTTGATGACCTCAGCAATAACAACTTTAATGTTGAAGGAGTTGATTTAACATCATCATTCGACTATAGTTTTGAAATAAATGGATGCTTCGGTAAGCTAAAATCTTCAAGCGAAAGATGTTTCTTTTAAACCGTTCTTTCATGTTTTCTTCCCATTAGAACCAACTGGTACAATTTCCCCTCCACCCAAATTTGATCTTACTGTGCCAGATAAACCCACTAGACCATCTACAATAGAAGTAGTGGATATCAATTTCAAGAAGATCACCACAACTGGCATAACAATAGTAACAAATACTACAATCACTATTTCTCAAACAACAAAAATTATAAAATCATCTCTGAAATGCTCTACTATACTTGGCCTAAATGGAGTTGATTCATTCGTAAAAGTAGATCCAAAAGGTTCTACCTCTTGTATATCTGACATTGACACTTGTGACGATAACGGTGTTTCCTTGGAGTTCAAGATACAAGTAGAGGAGGTAAAAGATAATATGGTTATATTCTCTACTGGAGGAGAAAATGAACAATATACAGGCATGACTATGTTCTATGCTTTCAATTATTACTATGTTCAAGTTAGAAGTAGTACAAGAACCTACAAATTACAAATCGAAGCCAAGAAAATTATAATTGGTCGAATGATTGCTTGTGCTGTTTCTTACAGCCCAAGATCAGGTGTTGCCTTCTACGTTGATGCTGCCCTAATAGGTCGTGCCTTCTCATTTGAAAAAACGACATCAGTAATCTTAAAACGTACAAGATCATCGATATTCTTTGGAAGATCAACAACAACTACAACAAGATGGGTCAATAGTAAAATGCAAATATGTGAAATGACTATATTCAAGGCCGTATTCGACTTGGTCATCATCTCAGGTAACAGAATTCCAAAATGTAGCGATTCCATTGCCGATATCGCCTTCCTTATTGACGGCTCTAACAAAAGAACTGCTGAGGAATTTGCAACTCAATTACACTTTGTTTCTGGTATCGCTAAAAGGTAGCTATTATTTTGATTATTAAAGATAAACCATTTAAAATGTTTCATTCAAACAATTAGATTACCAGTGTCTGACGATAAGGCCCATGTTTCTGTAAGCCATTACGGTTTCAATCCAAAAGAGCCTTTAATATCGTTTGATGAGTACTTTTCATCCGATGACTTGAAGGATGCTATTCTAGATTTAAAACAAGTTGGTGGAGTTGATGATTTGGCTAAAGGATTAAAGGTAGAATAGAGAAATACTTAATAACATTTTGATGTTCATTAAATGATTTTAATTTTCAAGGCTGTTGAGAAATATACTTTCAAACCATCCAATAAAGATCGACCTGGTGTTCCAAATGTTCTTTATATAGTTATAAATGGAAATTATACAGATGATGATTATACTGCTCTTATTGCTGCATTTGATCTAAGAGTTAGTCTTGACGTATCAATTTACGTTATAGGAATAAATGCTGACGAAGACCAAGTCAGAATATTATCGTCTGCTCCTCAATTACCGAACAAGCAATACTTTTTGGTCGAAAAAGAAAAAGATTTAGAATTAGTAATAAGACCTTTACTAGAAATGGCCTGTACTCCACCACCTCCAGTTGAACCAACCAAACCTCCACTAGCAACAGTTACACCTTTGATTGGTCAGTTATAATTTCAGTATATTATTATTTTAATTAATAACCCAATTTTCTATTCAGTATGCACCAAAGTACATATAGATTTGACTTTCATCATTGATGATTCTGGATCAATTCGTAAGAAGAATCCAAAGGATGGTTCACACGATAATTGGACGTTAATGCTAGAATTTGTCAAGAGTATGATTGATTATCTGGAAATATCTGAAAATGAAAATCATGTTGCTGTTGTTCAATTTTCAACTCATGCAAAGAAAATATTCGGTCTTGACAAATATTATTCAGCTGAATTAGCTAAAAAGTTAGAGTCAATTTAGAATATTCTCCGTATTTCTTAATTCATTTTTATAGGGCTGTATCAAACATACCTTATTCGGCTGGATGGACCAACATTGCTAAAGGTCTTAGAACAACACGTACATCCGTTTTCGGCAAAGGAGGAGACAGACCTGATGCTCTTAACGTCGTAGTAATCTTGACTGATGGTGAAGCAACTCATGAAAAAGGAAATACTATTCCAGAAGCGAAATTAATTAAGGATACTGGTGCTAAGGTAAATCATTGTAATCTCTTTCCTTTTGGAATGATAATTATTGGTTTCTTAATAGATCATTGCCATTGGTATTACCAATTCGGTGAAAGATAGTGAAATTAAGGGAATATCATCACCTCCTCAAGAGCTAGATAAAACTTACTTTAAGGCCCCTGATTTCACAGCCCTAAAAGATATGTTAGAAAGTATCTTGGTAGAGACGTGTGTTGAGGTAAACGTCATTTTAGTAGAAATATTGAATTATTAATGTTCTGTATAAAAAGGTAACACTACCACCATTCACTGGAACCACACCAATGATGACAACTGCTGGAGCTCCAACACCACCACCAACTATCAAACCACCACCACCAAATTGCAAGGAATCTTTTATCGATTTATTATTTATTGTCGATTCTTCGGCTTCTATTGAAAAGTCAGGAAAGGGCAATTGGAAAAAATTAATCGGATTTATTCAACAGACCGTCCGAAGCTTGCAAATCGGAACAAACAAAAATCAAATAGCCATTATAAATTTTTCGACTAAAACCACTTTAGTTAGATCATTCTCTGCAACTCAAACGAGTGAAGCAGTAGAAGCTGATATACTAAACATAAACTACGACAACCAAAATACTAATACTGCCGCAGGATTCCAAATGGCTCTTGATCAAGTATTTGGTCAACAGGGTGATAGAAATGATGCTGCTGATGTTGTTATCCTATTAACTGATGGAAAACCCAATAAAAATATAAATCAAGCTATTCCAACAGCTAAAAAGCTTCACCAAAGAGATATAAAGGTTGTGCCTATTGGAATCACTGATGGAATAAACGAAAATTACTTGAAAGAGTTTTCATCGTTTCCTCAGATAGAAGGAGAATCATACTTCAAATCTCCTGATTTCGATAAAGTATTGGATATTATTACTGATTTGCTTACTAAAATCTGTTTACCACCGAAACCACCTTTCCCTCCTGTCGTTTGCACAAAGTCTAAGATTGATTTAACCTTTATCGTAGACACTTCAGCATCAATAAAACGAGCTGATCCTGCAAATTGGGACAAACTTCTTCTTTTCCTAAAGAAAATCGTAAATGCCTATGATATTAGCGATGACTCAAACAAAATTGCCATCGTAAGTTATTCAACAAAAACAACTCTAGTACGTTCTTTGGGAGCTACCCAAACGAAAGATGCAGTTTTGACTGATATCGATAATATTCCCTATGATAACTTGAATACAAACACTGCAGCTGGGTTGAGACGAACTCGTCAAGATGTTTACAACAAACCAGGCGATCGCGCTGACGCAGCAAATGTTGTTATCCTCTTTACAGATGGCAAAGCTAACAGAGAATCCAGTAAAACTTTCAGCGAAGCTCTACAACTTCGTTCAGTACCCGCAAAGGTTATAGTTGTCGGTATTACTGATGGCGTAAGAGAAAGTGAATTGAAGGGAATTTCATCTCATCCTCAAGAAAAGGGTCAAAACTACTTTATGACTGCCGATTTCGATTCACTGACTAGAATTATTTCAACTCTTGTCACTGAGACTTGTGTCACAATAGCACCTCAGCCAACATTGGAAACTTTACCACCTCTTACTACGGTTAAACCAATTGAAAGTAAGTCAAACTCTAATTAATAGTCCCAAATTCTTATTTATTTATTTTGAAACAGTATGCAAGGACACTAGAATTGATCTTGCCTTTTTGATCGACTCCTCTGGTTCAATCAAAAAGAGTAATCCCGAAGATGAATCATATGACAACTGGTCTCTGCTTAAGAACTTTGTTAAGAAAATTGTTAATTCCTTGGTTGTTAGTGAAACAGCCAATCATGTTGGTGTGGTAACCTATTCGGATGATGCAGAAATAGTCTTCAACCTTGAAGAATATTTCTATAAACCCGATATTTTCTGGGCTATTGACAATATGCCATACCTTGGAGAAAATACTAACACTGCTGACGGTCTAAAGGCAATTAGAGAGGAAATCTTTGGGCAGAATGGTGACAGAGTTGACGCTAGAAATATTGTCGTTTTAATAACGGACGGTAGATCAAATAGAAAGGTAGACCAAACAAAATTAGAAGCACAGAAACTCATTGCCAGCGGAGCCGAGGTTTGTCTTTATTTATACAGAAGAATCTTTTACTAACAATAATTTTAATAATTTTCAGGTGATCGTTGTTGGAGTAACACAATTTGTAAAAGTAGAGGAACTTCAAATGATATCATCTCCACCTCATCGACTTGGTGTTAATTACTTTACAAGTTTGGACTTTAACAAACTTCAAAGTATTATTAAAGTCATTCTTGGCAAAGTTTGCGGAACAGTCGCCACTTTACCAACCATACCAGATATTCCAACTGATAAAGTAACTTTCCCACCCATAACCAAAGTAACACACGCCGATATGACGACGGAAAAGAATACATTTATACCACCAACATTACCATCACTTCCACCTGGTAAATAGCCAAAACAGCACTTTAATAAGCTTTAGAAAATCTGTAATATATTTTTCAGAGTGTATTGACGCAACAATCGATTTAATATTTATTGTTGACACATCCGGATCAATAAAGAAGTCTAATCCTGCAAATTGGGATATTATGCTAACATTTATCAAACAAATCGTTCAGGTCTTGGACATCGGAAAGGTTAGAGTGGCTATTGTTAGCTATTCTGCAGTACCTACTTTGGTAAGAGATTTATCAGCAACTCAGACAAGAGAAGCGGTTCTTCAGTAAGTTTATTAAAATTTTTGAAATATATGAATATAATATAAATTTTCTTTAATTAGGGATATAAGTCAAATTCCATACGATGGAAAAAGTACAAATACAGCTTCCGGTTTGGAATTAGCTAGAACAAATGTCATCGGAAAGGCTGGAGATCGACCAGATGCCCTTAATGTTGTAATGATACTTACTGATGGCAAATCAAACCGCAGAACTCGTGAGACAATTCCTCAAGCTCAAATGATCAGACTTCTTGGAGCCAAAATCGTTTCCGTTGGAATAAGCAAGGGAGTAAAAGAATCTGAAGTTAAGCAACTTTCGTCTTTCCCTCAAATTAAGAATGAAGATTATTTCTTGACTCCTGATTTTGAATCTTTATATAACATTCTATCACCTCTTGTTGCTAGAACATGTGTTACTCTCCCACCGCAACCAACGGCTGTAACTTTCCCTGAACCAACTTCACAGAAACCGCACGAATCTTGCCAAGACACTCATATTGACTTGATTATTTTGATCGATGAATCAGGCTCAATTAAAAAGAGCAATCCTGAAGATGGTTCTTATGATAACTGGCAGTTACTCATTAATTTTATTAAGAAAGTTGCTTCCTCCATCGTTATTGGTGAAAATGCTAACCATATATCAATTGCTTCATTCTCCGATAAAGGAAAAGTAGTCTTTAATTTAGAGGAATACTTTACTATTGGCGACGTACTCTGGTAAGAGAGTGAAATATGTTAGTTAATCTTAGCTATCAAATCTTTTGTTCTCCATCATTTTAGGGCAATTGATAATCTGGATTATGTTGGTAAGAATACAAACACCGCCGATGGCTTACGCAAGGTAAGAACACAAATTATTGGTAAGGGCGGAGATAGACCTGATGCAAGAAATATTGTGCTGGTAATAACTGATGGTAAGCCCAATCGTGAAGTTGATAAGACTGCTGACGAATCTCTAAAGCTTAAAGCAACTGGTGCTGAGGTTAGTTAAAATATTTAACTGAACTGAAAGAAGTACTCATTTATACTTTGAATCAATTTTAGGTCATCGCCCTAGGAGTAACAAATGATGTTGATGATACTGAGTTGAAATTATTATCATCATATCCTAACAAGGAAGGACTTAACTATTATAAGACATTAGATTTCCAGAAATTAAATGAAGCTCTGAATCAAATGATAAAGAAAGTCTGTGGTACTCAAGGACCACCTGCACCAACAGTCATTGTACCTACTGTACCACCCGCACCACCAGAGTGTCAATCCACAAAGATCGATTTGTGCTTCATAGTTGACACTTCTGCATCAATCCGAAAGAGCAATCCAGCTGATCAATCCTACGATAATTGGCAGATTATGGTTGATTTTATGAAATACGTAGTAAACGCTATTGAAATTGGTCCTGATGCAAATCGCGTTGGGGCAGTACGTTTCTCAGAGACGGCTCATCTTGAATTCGATTTGGCCTCACATACAAGCAAGGAAGATTTACTTCAGTAAGTTTTCCTTCTATTTCTTTTTTTAGAATTGTCATTATCATTTATCTTCACTTTCAGGGCAATTGATAAAATAAAATACGATGCATTGAATACAAATATAGCCGCTGGTTTAAGAGTTGCTAACTACGATGTATTTGGTCAACCAAGTAATAGAAAGAACGTAAGAGATGTTGCAATTCTCTTGACTGATGGAAAGGCTAATAGAGAAGCAAATCAAGTAACTCGTGAAGCAACCAACCTGAAGAAAGCCGGAGTAGAGGTATTTTTAATTATTTATTATCAAGCCCATTTCCTATCACTTTTTTTTTGCAGATAATTGCTGTTGGCATAACTCAAAATGTGAATGGTCCTCAGCTAAAAGCCATTTCCTCACCTCCTCAAATCTTAAATCAGAATTATTACATCACAAATAATTTCTACGATTTATACAAGATTATTGGAGACATATGGAAGGTTGCGTGCGCCACTAAAGGTTAGAACTTTGCTTATTTATCAGATAGTATATAACCTACTTTATGTTTGTAGAACCTGTTGAAGAAACCACTCAAGCACCAACAGTGAAACAGACCACAAAACCAGCTAATCCTTCTACCACGAAAAAGACTCCAAAACCAACCACTGCAGCTCCCAAACCAACTCTTCCATCATGTAATAGCGATTTGCCAGATAAACCAGCTAAACCAGGTATCACCTTTACACCAGAAAGTGGTTCAACAGAGTTGGAATATGTTTGTGAAATTTCAATCTACGATGAAACTAAAGTAGAAATGTATGTCGAATATAAAGTTGAAGGTGTGCCAGTATCTATATCCTCAAAGGTGACTGGTAGAAGTTACAGACTTAAGGCATCAGCAATTAGCCGAACAATAGCCATTTATAAACAAAAAGTTCAGTGTTGTGTCAAGGCACGTCATATTGACCAATGCGGTAATATGTATACTGTTGAAGTTTGTAGTGGAGAAATACAACATACATGCCAAGTTGTTGGCCAGAAAATCAGCGTAATGGAAGGACATGAAGCCCAAATACCAATTAAATGTAACGTTCCGCCTCGATATGTTTGCAATTTAGATAACAGCGATGTAGATTATGTATCAATTGAAACTGAAATGGAAGTACAAACGAACGAATTCTATTGCAATAAAAAGCCTATACCACAATATGTCTACGGTAAAGCTGGAAACAACAGATGCGGTCTTCGTGTCAATGAAAACAACTGGGCAGTAAATAAAAATATGAACATTCCTATAAAAGGCACTATTGACTACAGAAAAGATACTACTCAAACACGTAAAACAACAGTCTATCTTATAAAATGGTCAACTAGCGGTCAAGAAATATGCCGAATTGAAATTGGAATAATTGTAATAGAAGTTACCGAAATAAAACTAAAGCCTGGCATAAAATGCTACTCTCAAGGAGATCCCCATGTTCATACTTTTGATGGTCATAAGTATTCTCATCCATACGTTGGTGAATTCTTATTCTGGAGAAACAAAGATCAGAGTTCATTCCCCTATGAAATAAGCGTTCAACATTATCAATGTACAAGGAATGCAGCATGTATTTGTGCTATAGGAGTTAGAGTTGGAGATGCAGTTATTACTATAGCACGTTGTGGCAAGAAAGTTACAAGAAAGGGTTGGGGCTGGAATCGCAAAGTATCGCAACCACCCATGGATGTTAACACACGATTACACCCAGGATCAAAATTAATAGGCGTAGCGGTGTATGAAATAACGAAGGGATTTAAATACCAAATTAAACTTCCTCATGGTGGTCTTTTGTCAGTTGAAGCTAGATATTGGAAAGGTGGAAAAGCTGCTTATATGGATGTAAGCTATTATCCTTCACCTCTTGATTTTGCAAGCAGTGAAGGCTATTGCGGAAATTTCAACGGAAACCCCAACGATGATAAATGCGCAAGAGATTGCTTACTACAACAAAGGTATTACTTAGTTTAATATTGATTTATTCATTAGATCTGTAATATTCTAATTTGATTCATTCAGATTTACATCAGCAACATCACTTTTTGTTGGTGTTAAAAAATCCTCTTCCAACACGAATACAGCATCGTCAACTGAATGGTGCTCTTGTCCAAAATCTGGAAATTCTTATTGTAGCACAGAATCATACCTCGTCAGAGATTGTGCTGGTACTTTGAAGGCAACATCAGGAAAAGATATAACTTTGAATATTAATAACAAAGCACCTGAGCCTAGTGCCAGACGTCGTAGAAATGCGTTCCCACCAGGCAATCCTGCTGATCCAAGATTGAATGGCAATGCCAAATTAAAACCAGATTGGCCGACGGCAAGTGGTCGAACAGAAACAGAAGTGAGGCAATTATGCAATAGTAAGATTGCTCAGAGTGATCTAGCCGCAAAGTGTGTTGCCTTTATCAACCAGGAGTTTGTTGACAACAAAGTAGATGACTGTGTCTATGACGTAGGCTTAACAGATGACGTTAAATATGTCGATGTGACTTTAGCAGGCTTAAAGGATGCTTGTTCCACAGCTGCTGCGGCAAATGTTCCCGCAGCAAATGCTCCCAATCAGCCATTGCCAAATAATTTGCAAAATCTTAATGCACTCTTGTGCCCTAATGATTGTAGTGGCAATGGTAATTGCGATGCCGGCGTTTGTAACTGCAATAACGGCTTCACTGGTGATGACTGCTCCATTGACAAGACGGCTCCACCAGTAGTCTCAGGTGTCGATAATGACGGTATTTGTTCTACAAATGATTGTAAGACTTATACGATTTTCGGAGAAGATTTCATTGATAGTGGAATAGTATGTTATATACAACAAATAACTGTGGATGACAATGGAGAAATTAAAAAAGTTGGAAATGTAAAACTGAAGGATGCCACTTATGTCAGCGCAGCTGAAATTAGTTGCAACATTGACGGCGAAGATTTAACGGTCAAATATGAAGTTCAAGTAAGCAATGATGGAACAGCAACTACACTCAGCAAAGAGAAGGTCTATTTTATTCCTCACAATCAATGTTTTGTCTGCGGTTTAAGCTTTGCTGATACACCTTCATGTAATAGGACAACAGATGGTTGTCATATTCAAGGAACGTGTTATTCAGAAGGTGCGAGATCTCAGAATGATAAATGTAAAGTCTGCAAACCAACAGTAGATAATAGTGATTGGGTAAGCGAGTGTCCCGTAGAAACTACAGAACCATCAAAAACGACACGGCAACCCGTTTCACTGACTAAAGACGATGGACTATCTAATATGGAAATCGGTTTAGTAGTACTAGCGGTTGTGGTAGCAGTTATTGTTATTGGCTTAATTGCCTACTTAATTTACGATAATATGAAACGAAAACAACCAGTTCCAACACCTGAAGGATCTTTAATAAAAGAAGATAAATACAGAATAGGTCCAACGGCTACCCGCCAATCAAGAGCCTTCGAAAGCATGCAGAACAATCCAGCGCTAGATGTAAATGGTCACAATAGATATTAATGAACTCTTAAAGCATTTACCCTTCTTTATACATTTATAACGTTGAAACATCACTTCAAATAATATATATCTATATATTATTGATGTTAAATATATAATATATAATTTTTCTGCAATACATTCTTTTTCTATTTCTACTTACGTAACACATTTAGTTTGACGGAATTGATAAAGGAATTTATTTGTATTACTGTTAAAATTTTTATCGTACTTTGGTTACTTTCTAACTAAACAGTGAGCTTTGATCGGAAAAACAAAAATACTTTTATCTAGAATTCCAAGAATTGTAGGTTGTACTAAATCTGACAGAGCTTAATACTAAAATATATTAAGCTGTTGAATTCTTTACAAAAAACCTTTACTCTTCTTTAAGCTCTACATTCAAGTAAATCTTTTTAGTGTGATAACATATTTCTTTATTTTTTCCTTAGATATTAGTCATTGTTAAATCACTTTAATTCGATTTGAGCTGTCATAGTAGAGTTTTTTTATTGCATACAGGTTTTAGGTAGGCCAACTGTATATTAAATTCATCATCGCCTAAAAGTGAGCGGAACAGGGAATCAGGCCATCAGCAGAAGTTCATGTAAAAGCTCCGCATCGAATCTATATGTTCATTGAGATCTACTAATTAAAACAGTTCAACCCTCTATTAAGGAGATCAAATAATGCAAGATAATTCTTATAACGACTAAAAGAAAACTAAAACAACTGTTTACAAGAAAAAGAGATGGCTGTCAATTCTTTCAGATATCTTGCTGTCTGCTATTTAAGACAGCCATTGTTTAAAGTTACATTAAGAGGTAATGAAAACCCTAAAAACTGACCCTTTAATACTTTTCAAAATCTTTCTGTCTTGTAGCCACATTAGGAGGTTCAAGCTATCGAAATTTTTTAAAGGTAAAGTCAAGCACAGTTTCTTCCCTACGTCACTATTCTGATAGCCAAAATGGCTCAGGGTCCACCAAAGGTCCTGAAAAAAAAGGATCCTGGTGGTGTCCTAAATGCGGTGAACCTTGCACTCATGTCGATACATTTGTCAGTAAGTATTTGAACAATTTACCAATAAGGTTTTTTCATAATAAACAAATTATTATCGATAGATAAACAAATATAAATTTTTCAGCTGCCACGCGTTTCGTTAAGTGTGAAAAATGTAATCATTTTTTCATCGTTATACCTGAGAATGATGGATCTAAAAGGGGTTTAAAGACTGATGCTACTGTTCATCCTGGTAAAGCAAAGCAGAAACCTCCACCTGCGCCCAAAAAAATTTATAACTATCTTTCTGATCATGTCATTGGTCAAAAGTACGCGAAAAAAGTTTTGTCAGTTGCAGTTTATAACCATTACAAGCGAGTGCATAACAATCTTCCTCCAGCAACAAGCACTGACAGAAGTTCTGATATGTTTGTTTCGAGTGATGGAAGAAATATCAACAATACTACTTTAAATAATAGAGGTAATGAAAATTTCTTTCTGTTAAATTTATTTACATAGCCAATAAAAACGTTGCGTACTTTAAATTAGCTTGATATGCAAAAGCAATTAATCTATATTAGAGCAGACGTCATTTTTCTATTTAAAGAGCTGTTAACTCGTCGAATGATTTTACCTTCATCATAATCAAGTATTTTTCATTTCTTGCAGATCTTTTACATCTTTCTGGTATAAATCCAAATACGAATATAACTGGAAGTGCATTAGGTCCGACGGGACCTACAGAAAATAGACAGACCTCGTCTTCCGATATTCTAGAAGCCTCGTCATACGAACTCCGCCTTGAAAAATCAAATATTCTTATGTTGGGTCCCACTGGTTCAGGAAAAACTCTACTAGCTCAGACGTTAGCTCGTTGTTTAGATGTTCCTTTCGCTATTTGTGATTGTACGACATTGACTCAAGCGGGTTACGTTGGTGAAGACATAGAGTCCGTTATTGCTAAACTACTACAAGATGCAAATTATGATGTAGAAAGAGCTCAAAGAGGCATAGTATTTCTAGATGAGGTTTGTTTATAGTTTCATGTCATAATCATTATTAATACGGTTTCAACAATTAGGTTGACAAAATTGGCAGCGTTCCGGGAATTCATCAGCTCAGAGATGTAGGGGGAGAAGGAGTACAACAGGGTATGCTTAAAATGCTGGAAGGCACTACAGTAAATGTTCCAGAACGAAATAGCAGAAAATTACGCGGAGACAGCGTTTCTGTAGATACAACTAATATACTATTCGTTGCATCTGGAGCTTTTAACGGTTTAGATAAAATAGTATCTAGAAGGAAACACGAAAAGTACTTAGGCTTCGGAACTGTCACTGCTCAACAAGGAAGACGAGCTGCTGCCGCAGCTGACCAAAGATCCTACTCAGAAAATGACGATGTTATAGAGGAGATTGAAGAAAGAGATAATCTATTGAAGAGTGTTGAAGCAAGAGACCTTATCGAATTTGGCATGATACCCGAATTCGTTGGAAGATTACCTGTTATAGTGCCATTACATGGATTAAATGAAAAAATGCTGGTTCAGATTTTAACTGAGCCGAAAAACGCCATAATCCCTCAATTTCAAGCGCTCTTCCTTATGGATGACGCTAATCTAGAAGTTACTCCAGAAGCTTTGAGAGCAATTGCAAAACAGGCTATGGAGAGGAAAACAGGTGCAAGAGGACTTCGAGCAATTATAGTTAGTTTCCTTAAAGTTAATTGTCAACAAAATAGTTAAATGATTAATGCAAATCTATTTTTTTAGGAACGAATTCTGTTGGAACCAATGTTTGAAGTGCCTGGAAGTGATATCATTGAAGTTATAATTGATGAGAAAGCGGTAAAAGAAGACGCCGATGCCAAATATGTAAAAAGAGAGTCAGTTTTAAATGAAGAAAAAGAAGAATGCACTAATCGAGTTGGCCAATGAATGAAGCCAATTTATTTAATGTCTTTTGGAAGTATTTAACAAAACTGTTTTAAATACTTTATTGGATATATTATATAGAAAAACTGAAAAAAAAACACTTTTTCGTCTTAATGATTATTCATTCTATGAATCTTGGATATTAATTACATCTTATAGACAGTAAATTAAAAGGAAAATGATTTTACCTGTTTAAATCATTCGAACATTTAAAAAAAATGCAAAGAAATACATCTTTAATGGCAATTGTACAAAACATTTTCTCATATTGTATATTAATTATATAAATTAACCATCTTAGTAGTAGTGAAAGCCGGAATGAAAATAGATAGAATAAAATAAATATGAATAATAATTTACCTGTCAATCGAAAGATGTAGCTCAAGAGTCAATATTTCATTGCGAAATATTCTAATTTTAATGTTTTTTGGCATTTTATTCTATAAAACAATTGATAATCGAAGAAATCAAAGGTTAAAAGTGTTAAAATTTTCTTTAAATATTGATAAAATTTATTTCACTTTCAAGTTATCTATAATTTATTACTGAAGGATGTAAACAAGAAAATTTACGTTTAACTTATATCTCTCAGACTTCTGGATTAGATTATTCCTGATAATCTGTAACGAACACGAATATTTAATCTGTTAACCCCTCTGTACAAAAAAAAAAAAACAAGTATAATGACTTTTTAAGAAAATTTATGGAGAATTATGGCGGAAAATTCTGATAAATTGCTATCATTTATTAAAAAAATAGAATAGTTTAAAAAGTTTACTATTTTTCTATTATTATGAATGTTTAACATATAAATTAATAAATTGTTTAGCAAGTAAATAAACAGTTCTTGTAAACAATTAGTAGACTAAAATTAAGGAGAATAAATGATAAAAATATCCTACTGGAAAGTAAATATATCAATTTTCTATGGAAAATTTTTAATTATTGAAAATATTAATATTAAAAAGTCAGCAATATTATTTGACAATTGTCTATTTAATATTATGATTAATATAACTATATGAAGTATTTTTATCTCTAGATACATGTTATTGCATCACGTTTTTTTAACCTTCAATAGTCCCGCACTTATATATTTTTTGAAAATAAAAATAAAAAACATAAGAATAACTATTCTAAATACTAATCCATAAAATAAAAATGATTATTAAACTATACCCGGAATATGAATGTTCTCTGTATAAAAAATATCAAAAAGAGAAAAATTCTATGGAAATATAGAACGTATCACAATTCGTAAAAGTTTGTATGGAATATCATTAAAAAAAGAATTTTAGATACAATGTTTTAATATATTTGTATTATTATTACAAAATCTTGCTATTAGTGTAATATTTACACTATATTATTGTCTATTTTCTATTAAAAATTGTATTATATCTTCTCTTTCTAATTCCAATCTAGGCATTTTAAATGCCATATTATTTTCTTGTTTTAATATTTGACGTAAATTATTAAAAGTATTCTTTCTAGTACAAATAACATTTATCTTGTCCATTTCATCGTTTTGCCTTAATTTATCATAAACGTTGAACGATTTCCTTAATTCGATATCGAACATTAATTTTTCTTCTCTAGTTAGATTTCCTCCATCTATTAATTCTATAAATAGAATATAATGTGGAAGGGAACTATAATAATAGTTTTCGACGATTGTACTCTTTCGAATATTAGGTATCAGGATCGTATCTATTATTATTTTATTTAACCTAATTGCAGTCAATTCAACAATTTCCAGGATAGTATTCTCTGATAAAAATCTTCCTTTTACATTTAATACAGATTGTCTTCGGTTTAATAGCTTATATGTAAAGTAAGGTTTTTTACTAACAATTGTTATTAGATCACCAGTTCTGTATCTGTATAAACCGGAATTGTTTGTCACAACAACTTCGTAATTTTCTCCAATTGTAACATCTGACGGAAGAATAGGTATAAGCCTATTTATAACAGCGTCTTTTTCATGTATGAATTCAAAGAAGGCGTAGTTAGCGTTTAGAATGTAGACGCAACTATCCGGAGCTAACTCGGCGCCTATACCTATATGGCATTCATTACAGGAGTGTATTAGACTATATGTATCTATATTTTTCATATAGATCTTTTTCATGGCCTTATAATAGATAGAGAATGTCCCTGACGTAATCATCTTGACAGCTATTAAATTAGGCCAAATTCTTTTAGCTAACTCCTCCCTAGGACCATTAAAAATTGACTTGATTTCTAAAGCTCGTTTCCGATTGGGCGACAATTGACTATTCAATTCTTTTCTTATTTTATCGTCTATTAATAGATTTTCATTCAAAATTCCATTATTTATATCCGAACATACTAACTCCCAGTGTTCATCTAAATATTTCCAAAAGTAATAAACGGTTGAGGCGAATAGGGCATTAATTTCTCCTATATCCTTATCCCTTAGAGCAAATACGGCATGAACGTGTAAAGCAGATTTTTCATGGGCAATTAAAAAACCGCCGGGAGGTGTGACCCCAAATTTATATAGCCTGTCCGGTCTCAAGTGACATACAACTGCTCCTATAAATAAGACACGATGAGGAAATAATAGCGTAATAACGATGTTAAAAACATTTCTACCTGAGTTGATGTCTTTTATTGAGCCAATATTATTCAAACCATAATAAAGTCCTAATACTCTATGTAAGGTTTTACTTTTTCCATTCGTTCCTTTATAAACGTTATACATAATAATTGGGCCTATATTACTCATACCGTATCTTTTCATTTCAGATGTAACTGGTATAATTTTAGGTTTTCCAGTTGTTCCCGACGTTTTGGCAAAATAAATAACATCTTTTTTACTTAATACATTTTGTCTTTTGGCCGATATTTTATAAATATAATCTGAATAATCATTATATTCAGTTATCGGATGTAATTTATAGAAATCGTCGTAATCTTTTATACTATTAAATTTATACTTCTTTCCCCATTCTGTCATACGATTATCATTTAATATCTTTATTAATAGTTTCTTTTGTTCGCTTTCTAAATGTTTATTCTTCCAAAGATGAATAAAACGTTTAAAAAACCCAAATAATATCAATATATTAAAACTTATATATTGAATAAGTAAACTTTTAATTGTATGACTTTTAGCCGGTTTCTTTCTATAAATATCATAAATGATAGAAAGTAGAAAAATTAGAGTTAATCCAATAATATTATCTGGAAAAATAAAATTCGAATAAAACTTTTTTTTTATAAAAAAAAACGAAAACTATTTTTTCCTTTCTTTCTTTTCTAGTATATTTCTCAACTTGAAAAAAAAGATAAAAATAACTCATACCAAACACACGAATAAATAAAAAATATACAATTCTTGTTTTTTTGTTCTTTTTGTTTTGTTTGTTTGTTTGTTTGTCTTTTTTTTTTTACTTTATTCTTCATAGTAGTTTTCATTCTGTATTCTCAATTTCTATGTACTAATGCTCTACTTGGGTCAGCGCAATAGCTCAACCATTCTTTAACGTCGCATTGATGAACGCAACATTCGCAGGCGATTGAATCTCCTCTACCCCTTTTCGTATTGAGCATAGCAAGCGCAGTCCTCTTCTTTATGAATGATCCATCAGAACGTTTTCCATTAACATTACCTGGGCCACAAATTGTTCGGATTGTTTTATCAATCATACCGAAACAATCTTTTTGTTGACGCATTGAATGAATTTCATGTATTTTGCAGATATGTTCACTGGCTAATGTAATAATGGGTAATAGGAGAATGAGTACGATGTTTTTTGTAATCATTTCCTGTAAATAGAAGTAGTATTTTGTCTTTTTTTTTTCTTTGTTTGTTGATTTGTTTGTATTTTTAGCTTTTACTTGACTGAAGGGAGAAAAAACTTGTCAACTTACCTTGAGAAGAAGAATGTAACAATGGTGAGGATGGGGGACGGGGGAAAAATTAAATAAATAATAGAATTCCAATCTTTTATATAATGTAAATCAAGTTGCTTCTTTAGCGCCCCCTATTATTTCTATCTATCATTTGTCGTATTAATTATAAAAAAAAGACTAACATGTACAAACATATCCTGAAAGTTTTCCTATATCTCTTTCCGTAATGATTAAATCTCAAATCAAAGGAATCATGTTAAGTGTATTAGTTAACCTTTGATTGTCTATTATATTTTACTGTCTTTCTTAAAACTAACAAATTAGAAAGATTATAGAAATAAAAGATAAGGAAAGAATTTTTGGGTAAAATGATTAACTAAATTATATAACTTACTATAAATATTAACATATCTTTGAGATGTCAATAGGAAAATGGTTGAGATAATACCAATTAATCCATAAAATATCATAAAATTCATTCTTCTAGAATGTTCCTCTTTCAACTATTTCTAATTGAAGTACTATATAATTCTATTTCTGTGTCAGAATGAAATATAATAGGAAAAATACTTACCAGACTACTGTTTTCTATTTTAAACAATGAAAAAAAAAACCTTCGACTTTGCACTTTTTAGATGAGAAAGAAAACTTCTAACAAAAGGAAGGTTTGGCTTATTATTTTCTCTATATGATATTATATAGTCTAAAAATACCTTACAAATTAAATACATTGTATATTCTAAGGGTTTTTACCTTTTTCAAAACCCATCGTTTGTTAAAAATAAAAAAAGATAGATGGAGCCACTTGTTACTAGTTGCTTGTTATTTAAGAATAAGGCTAGTCGTAATGTAAGCTTTTAAGAAAATTTTATTTAGTTTATTACTGTCAATTTAAAAGGATAGAATGAATAATTTGCCAATAAATGATCGTCTAAATTCAATGTGCCCATGAAAGGAACAGACGTATAAGAAACTTAACGGTATAGAATATTATTCTATAAAAAATATGCTAAGAAATAAAGGGAATTTAGATAATAGGATAGGAAAATTCTATCAATTTAAATGCAAAACCATCTCCACCCCTCCTGAAAAAAACGAGAGAAAAAAGAAACGCCAACAATTTATGGACGTATAAGTGCATCCTTTGGGAATATTGAGAGGCATAGTATAAATTCTCAGAGAGAACAATTGATAATTTTCATCCTCTCTTGTATTGGTAGACAAAATGATCAAGCAAAGGATAGAAAAGAAATCCCCTTGCCGATAGACTCGGCTTTGTATATTACTACTTTATTTTTCATTTATTGGAATAAAAAGATTTTTATATTTATATATATAAATAGAATAGTGCGAGGAAAGGGGAATGAAAAATTGATATAGATAGATAGGTACATAGAGTAAGATCGACGAGAAATGAGAAAAAGAGGAATATAAGGGAAAGAGAGTGTATTACAAAGGAAATAAAAAACTTCTACATAAATTTTCATTGTCACCCTTCTTCACCTTATCAATCAAAACAGTCTCCTACCTTTTAACGTACAACTACTCTTATTTCAGATAGACAAGAAAAATATATATCTCCTTTGACTTGTTTCCATTCTTTAGCATCGATTTTTCTTTTCTTTTCATCATTGTATAAGATTTAATTTATTATTACTTTTTAATTAAAAATCTTTAATATGTTTTGATGGAGAATATGAAAACATCTGTAAGATAAGACTTGCATAATGAGACGCTTTTCTTTAGAGTTCTAAAGATTTTTTACCTTATAAAAGGGAGAAAATATGGAAAAGGTATATTGAGAAAATTGATTTTTCTTCAGATTGACAAATCTTATAAAAACCAAGCAAGATAAAAAAAATCTAGGCCACTCTGGGAATAAGTCCATTCAACTAGTTGTACAAACTACCAATAGATGGATGCACTAGTTATTTAGTCGATATCCAACATAGTTACACGTCAACCTCATCAGGGTGACTTTGATGTTGCATAGATCTTTTCTCTTTTTCTTTTCATACGACGAATTCGTTGGGTTTTTTTTCGTACGTTTTCTCAATGCTACAGTGTTCTATAGATGATATAGAAATGATATGAAACTGGCATGAGAGAGTATTCTTGATATTGTCATCAATATTTAAATTTTTTTTTATTTACAAGTATGTTATTAAGTACATTATAAACAAAATTTTTAAGACATTAAACGCATGTTAAACTTAGTGCTATAAATAATTTTTAAATGGAGAAACATATACATTAGAAGATACTATTTGTATAATAACTCAAATAAAATCCATCAGTGATAATCGAATATTCGGTTTGGATGTTCATCCCAATCTTTTATCTCATTTAAATAAATCAAAAAACGGAGAAATCATCCAGTTTTCTCTTACATTGTTTATTTAAAGGACGATATTACACTATTTAATAAACATATAACAAGTAAGCAGTTTGTATACATGACTGAAATTATGTCTAATCACTCGTGATTCTCATGAATCTTGTGGGAAAACACAGTTGTAGTTGGAAATATGGACGGTGAAACGTCGGAGAATGCCAAAGATTCATCTATGTCTACAGAAAGATCTACAAACGATATACCTGTAATGATTTTCTTTTCATAGCATCTCTATTCTATTACTTTGGCTTTGTTTTAAATAATATTATTTTTTTTATGTTCGTAGATAGCCAAGAGGAATTGGTACCTAAAGAAGATAACGTTCTTACTATGCGTATCGAGTATTGTCTTCATCTCTCTGTCTATATTTAAGATTCATTGGTTGATCTTTTATTTCTATACGATTATTACTCCTATACTACTAACTATAAGATTTGTCATGTATTGGACGTATAAATGGCAGTATTTCTTATTAGATATATGCTACTTTGGAAATTTGGCATGCCTCATTTATATTTGGTAAATAGAAATGTATATACTATATATATGCAGTATATACTATGGAATACTTATATATTTATATACACTTTGTAATATTTAAGATAGAATAATATCCTATTTTCATAGGTCATCCCCTCAGGAACTTAAATATTTTGCTGTAGTATTTGCCTTAAGCAATGGGCCGTTAGCTACAGGAGCCTTATTATTCCGGTATCGTATACTAAAAAGAATTTCCATTTTAAATTCAATTAATCAATTACAATACGTTAAAAATATTCGTTTTCAGAAATTCCCTGGTCTTTCACGACATTGATAAATTGACGTCGTGTTTTATTCACCTATTACCAGCTCTTTTAACATTTAAGTAACTATTATAGAACGATTCTAGCCATTTTATGCTATATACTATAGTTTAATAACTACTACTTTTATCCAGTATACGCTGGTACTCGGAGTCATCTTCAAAATATTGGTACAAAAATTTCATCAGTGAATTTGATCAGTCTCTTATTTTTTCAACGATATGGCTATTTTCAGTTCCTTTGGCCTGTTGTGTTATTCATTCAGTAAGAGATAAATATACGTATATATATATATATATTTGTGAAAATAGCATAGGCAATAGCTATAAATTATACTTTTTTATACTATTTAATATGCTAATTGAACATCCTTTACATCACAGATCGTCTATTTTCTGGTCGTTTATGTTATCCTTAAGCCAAGTAAAGAATATTTGAATAGCTTTCGCTATTTATCCAGAAAAAAATCGGGTCTTATTGGTTCTGTAATCTATATATGTGGTGATAAGTATGTGTTTAAAGTTCACAACGTTATCGTAATTTTAATGCATCAATCGTCTTTTTGTCTAATGAATTATTCATCACTTACAGAAAGAAGTATAAACTCTTGACCTTCAATATTTTTATGTATATCACCTACATTTTGTCCTTGCTATTAATGATATTATTCTGGAGATACTTTTGGGCGCATGCATCATTAATGATGTTAATCCTATTAGTAATAACATGGAATGGTTCCACATATTACTTGAATGTTTTCCCTACAGAAGAATCTTTCAATCCACCTGCAGTAGAATCTAAAAATTAAACAATTTCAATTAAACATCAAATGTTTATACTAATTTGTCAAAAATTTCTAAATGAAGTTCACTTATTATGAATAATTTATTCACGTTATTTCAGTTATCTTTATCTAATTTCCGGGTATTTATTTTTAACTATTAGAATGAAATGGAAGCTTAAACTTTCTTATGTATGTTACCTTACATTATTTTATAATAACAAAATATATATATATATATATATATATATATATATATATATATAATAACAATAAATCGAAGACAAATAATAATAATTAAAAGATAAGAGATAACAAAGTCCAAAATTGTTTAACCGTACCCAATGATTTCAATATATCTACTACTCTATAACTAAACATACCAGGTAGGTTAGAGTGTTTTTTTTTTATAACTTTATCAGCTTTATCATTCGTTATCTGACGAAGAAATGTGCGGGTCAATCGCACTATGCGTCTGACGCGATCGGCTGACAATAAGTTTTTTTTTATAGAAAAAATGTCAGAGGATCATTCGGTTGTAGGATTTGAAACAATTTACCTATGAATCTTATTAATAATATATTTGAACAGGGAACAGAGTTTGACAGCCTCAAAACTAAGTTTGAAAATTACGTAAGTTCTTTAATAATATATTAATTAATATTTATTAATATATAGGTTAAATCTATTAATTTCATTAATTTAATGCGTTGTAAATTTCATCGTTTAATCTTCTTTTTTTCTTTTTTTTTTATCTCTGATTATCAATTAAACACTAATATTCAATAGTTTTCATATTATTTCCTTAATATTTATTCAAAGAGATCTCTTTTTCAAATCGTTAACAGAGCGATGATTCTCCCCCGCTAAAACGCCCCTTTAGAGATGAAAAGAATATTAATAAGGAAGATAAAATATGTAAAGTTTGCGGAGATAAGGCCTTAGGTTGTAATTTTGACGTAATATCTTGCGAAAGTTGTAAAGCGTTTTTTAGAAGGAATGCTCTTAAACAAAAGGTATATAGATAAGGATCTTTTTGTTTAAAAAAAAAAAGATAAATTATGGATATTTCTTTCTTTGTTAATTAGATAATTTATCACTTAACAGCCAGCGAAATGTCTCTTTAAGGGTGATTGTAGCATCGATGTGAATACAAGAAGATTTTGTCCATTTTGTAGGTTAAAGAAGTGCTTTGACGTTGGCATGAAGAAAGACTTTATTTTAGGTTGGTTTCTTTTCAGTACTGATTTTAAATATGATGTATTCTGAAACTTCAAGGTGAGAATGAAAAGAGAAAGAGAATGGAAAAGGTCTTAATTAATCGTCAAAAAAAAATGAGCAAGATGAGTGTACCACTGACAACCGATTCAGCAATTAGCGACCCATCTAATTTACTTTCTTTTTCTAAATCTGCTAATTTGGCACCTATGGAGGATTCTGTAAGTATCATTATTTATCATATTTAATTGTTACATTAGTATACTATGGATTACAACTACCACCAAAGACTCCAGTTTATTTTTTTGTCAGTACACTCATTTGGTACCCGGATTTGATACGAATCAGTTTCGGCAATTAACCCAGCAAGAGAATTCTATGCTGGGGGACTTGAAGGAAGTTTTTGAACTATCATTCTGCGTCGATTTGGAACCTGTGATGCATATATCTAAAAATATGAATCCAAGTTTAAACCAATTGGTTAATCAATCTTCTATTACTGTTCTTCGAATAATTAAGTTTTCCAAGAAAATACCAGAGTTTGCAAGACTTTCTCAAGAGTGTCAAATAGGCCTTCTAAAAGGTTGCTGGGTTCATATTTTGCTATTACGAAGCATATCTCTTTACAACATGGAAAGAGACGCCTGGATGACGCCCAAAGGCGATCTACCAACAAATATTTTAAAGAATGCAACGGGATACGATAAACTTCATGAGCAAATGGTTTTATTTTGTCGATCAGTTAAGAATATTGTTGGTGATGACATTTCAATCATTATATTGCTCATGATAATTGTCACGTTCTCACCTGAAGGGATGCATGTACTCATGAGACAGCATATGAGTAATGTTCAAGATAAATATATTATTCTTCTTAAGCATCATCTAGAGGCTAGATACTCCTATTCGAGATCATCAGAGATGCTCAGCGACTTACTATTCAAAATAAAAGAGATGAAAGAGATGAATAAAACTCATGGTAATGTCTTTTCCGATTTAAATCCAGGTGAAATTGAGCCATTTATGCTAGAAATTTTGGATTTAAAATAGCATTGGAAGAAAATTGAACAATTTTTTTAAAAAATAAAAAAAGAAACAACCAAAAAAAATTTACAAAAGTATTAGATAATTCAAAAAAGAAGAAGAAGAAGAAGAAGAAAAAGGAAGGAAGGAAGAAATCAAAGAGAAGAAAAAAAAATGAGCATTTTAACGGACATTGCTGCGTTTAATTTCTTAATTTTTTCTTCGTATTTTTTTTATTAATTTAAAAAGAAATTTAAATGAATTGTTTATTTCCTCTTTTCTTTATTATTTTTTTTCTTACCTTAATAAAAAGATCATGAAAATAAGAAAATGATGTAAACTTGATAGATATTTTAACTTTCCAGAGCTTATATCCTTCTGAGGTACAGCCATTGTAGGTTTTACCGCTTCCTTTACACAATATCCTGTTGATCGGAATGGACAAACTAAACATCTATACCCGTATGAACATAATCGACTATCCTCCATTGTTGTATGCTCAGTACAATTGGTGTTTCCTACTGATGCTTTCCTATGAACGCATGTATTCAACGAAGAAACAAAAACAGAATCTATGTCTTCGCAATGGCATTCGCCAAACAGACATTTCATACCCAAACGGCAATCATAGTCCAATTTGCAAATGTCCTGAAATTCGGCCAGACGGCAATCTCCTTTTAGTGATTTAGAATAACCAAGTTTACAACGGCACCTGTGACTATCTTTTTCGCAAACGGCGTTTAAATCAGTGCAAAATCTTGAACATTTGGCGTCAACGGGCGTGTCCTCATTAGGGACACAATTTCTTTTGTCATCTGTCGACTTGGTACCATCCAAACACACGCATTTTTTAGTTAAATCAGAACAAAAGACACCACGCCCAACGCACATTCCATGATTTCTTCCGCAATCTTCTCCAATCTTTAATTCTGTAAGAGATAATGATAAATAAAAAACAAGAACAAAATGATAAATAATGATGCCATTGAAGCAAATTTTTAGCTGTTAGTTTTATTTAGAGAATACAAGGCGTATTTTATTTATTATACCACGGAAGCAGCGATCTCCGTCTAATATATAGCCTTCTTTACATACACAAATTCCACTGTTACATTCCTTCTCTCTTTTACATACGAAATTCTTGTCATTCGATTCCTTTTCGCATCCAACATTTGACCAGCAGAAATCGACCTGCTTTTTGGATATCGTTGACATTCTAACCAAAGCTAAGAGGGAACAGGCAATGAGTATATTGAAAAACATATCTATAACCAAATCTATGATGCATATTAACTACGACCGAACAATTTTGTCTGCCATTTACAACTCTGTAATTGGATAATTTCCTCCAATTTTCACTCGTTTTCACCTAATACTCTTAGCTTTCAATCAATTAGTTGGTTCTAATACCACAGGTGGAGCTAGTTGTTATCGGTTTTCGTAGTAGATGAAAAATGTTATATCCATTCAGACTTCTCCAACCCCCTAACTCCTTCTCTTTCCCTTTACCCTTCCCTCCCTGCAGCTACTCTCTCACTTTCACTCTCATTACTTCCCCCTCTTTCTCCCTCTATTACTCTTATGTACGTTTAACTTGATCATTCTGAAGTGTGTTTGCTAGATTTTTTTCCTTTTTACTATTAATTAGAGAACAGTGGTCCCTATTTCAGAAGAGCTTTTTCAATAATATTCATGATTTTTACTAACCTTACAAAAAATTAATAAGTTAAATTGTTACGTAAAGTAACTGTAAAGGATAGGAGCACAGAGTACTATTTAATAAATTATGTATACAGAATATATATATATATATATATATATATGTTCATATAGCTTAATTAGAAAGAGGTATACGAAAGGAGGAGGTGGTGAAAGGCAGTGGAAAAATGATGGAAAGAAAGGTGGAAAAAAAGAGGGAGAGTGGAATTTGAAATCATGAAAGCTTTTACTTCTGCCACCTCCTCTCCCTCCTCCTTCAAAAAAAGGGATTTAAGAAACATATAATTTATATAATGAGTACTAGAATAAAATTATTATTTGGAATTAACTCTTTTCCTAACTTATATTAAAGAACATGTTAATACCATTTCAACTTTCTCTCCTCATCTATCACTCTCCTTCTATGTCTAATCATCTCATAAATATTGATAATAATAAAAATAACTAATATTATAGTTATATTAAAATTATATTCACGACAAACAACAAATACATATTATGGCTTATATGGCAAAAAAATTGATTAAATCTTTCATCTTTCTATCGGATATTCATTTAAATTAATTTTGTAATGTTCTCAGCTTTTTGAAAAAAAGTAATAAATTATCAGAGTGTCTCTTATCGATTTATAAGAATTTTTTTAAGTTATAAAACACTAAACCTATTAATCTTGTTTTTTTTTTCCTCTCTTTTCAAATCTTATCTATTCAATTCCTGCTCTTTTTTCTACTTTTCTTTGTCTTTCCGTCATTCTCTGTCTCTGGCTGTCTGTCTGTCTGTCTGCTTCCTTAAGTATACAAATACTTTATGTTTTGTCGTCAGTGTACTTAGAAATGAATCAAATACAATGTATTACGTATACTCTCTATATATATACTTAAGATAAACTGGAGAAAATCGTTTATGAGAGGACATTAACGTACTTAAACGCTCAAGGAAATATAAGAAAAAATACAAATAATAAGACAAAAACATCTCCTGATATTTTGTATATTTGAAAGAAATATTTTTTTACAAGACTATTATTTTCATCATTACTAATTATTTGTAATAGAGATTCTCATATAAAGTAATCTGCTCTCACTCCCTCTCTGTCGCTCTGTCTCTCTCTCTCTCTCTTTTATTCCTTCTTAAATTAATTATTTTACGTTTAAATATCGTATTTAAATCATTGAACTAAACTGTTCAAAGGTTAAATAGTAGACTCCCTCCCTTTTAATTATTATTTGTCATACATAATGAAATACTTTAATTGTGGTTTTAACAGAAATGAGATGTTGATTGACAATAAAGACAGAGACAAAGAGTAAAGGCTAGCTTTATAAAGATTGAATTATTGATGTGGACTTCAACTAACATTTTAGTAGCTTATTATGTGGGGTTCTAGGAACAGAAAAGAGGAACAAAGGGCTCTTTCATATTATATTCAAGGGCAAAAGTAACTATAGTTTTACTAGATATCCTCTTAGCGGTAAGCGAAAAAGATGACTTTTTTCTATTAAGATGAGAGTTTTAGATATTTTTGCTGAATAAGGCAAAAACATTAAAAACAATGGTACAGATTGAAGGGGTAAAGGAGCAAGAGGGAAGGCAGGATAGAGTCCTCCTTCATCCTTTCTCTTCAGATGTAATTGGCCTACTAATACAGAAACCAATTCTTATCTGCAATCAATCCTTTAGTGATGGGGTTATAACCCTTTTTTCCTTGATAAACGACAGTAAAACTAAATGAAACTATTGTAGAGGAATAGGGGATATTTCAAACATGCCTGCATAATACTTTATCCATTATCTTTTCTTTATTTATATTTTTAAACCCTTATATTGTTATATATATTACAGCCTGTTTACAATCGCGCTTGTCCTCAAAACTCTTTCAGGTAAGAAATCCTTTATATAGGGTCATTTATCCGTAAGTTATTTAGGTGGGAAACGAGGAGAAAGTCGATTAGAAATTATACTCTTTCCACCAAAATTTTTTACAGAAGGATTGGCTTTCTTCCCTCTCTCCCTCTCTCTCTCTCTCCTTCTCTCTTTTTCTGTGTCTCTAGATTAATTTGAAGAGCGGAAATAACTTTCTACATGTATTACAAATACAAGCAAAACAAGCCTATATTATTTAATTATATTATTTTTTATTTAGTTGTTCAATCCTCTTTGCCCCCTTTATGTGTGAGCTTCTAATACCGTAATAAATTATCTGGCCTAGATATAAATCAGTTTGTATGTGTTTATGATAAAAATTATGTTTTATTAATGCCGATTTTCTGATTTAATGAAAATATAAAGGTTTGAGTAATATATAAATACTTTATATATATATATATTTATATATATATAAGTATAATGTTCTATTTATAGAAAGTATAATTTTGTAAATTGACTAATAGAAACTAATTAATTAAGGTGACCAAATGAGATATTGACATATATAATAAACTAGACAAGTTAAGGGTACGAAATTTATTATCATATTATCTTCATTTATTATTATTATTGTTATATATTTTGCACCTTAAAAAAAATAGAAACAAGTTATTTAAGACGGAAATAGCAAATTGAATAAATTTCAGACACTTCCGGTCAAATATTCGTGTATTGATTTTTTTGCTTTTTTCGTCTTATTTTGTTATTTTTTTGCTTTATCTCTTTTTTTTCTCCTTCTATTGGAAAATTATGTATGTAGTATTAGTTCTATCAATATGAATATTGGATAATCTATACTACTGAAAGATATTTCCATCATCTTCTCCTTTCAATGTCATAAGAGGTTGTTTTCGTCATCCTCTTTTAGATCTTTTAAGATGACGTAAAACGATAATAGGAAATGTCTATAAGAGTTTATTATTTTTTAATCATTAATTTTTAATGCTATTAATATTCATAAGCTATCTTTCATTGACAAAACGATCTAAAGAAAAACAATTATGCAAAGATCATTAAAAATGACATAAACTTATATTATTTATTATTTTATCATATTATATACGGGTAATTGCCAATTAATCGACATTATCATTCAGTTTTGGATTCATGAGCAAAGAATATAAAGTTTATTCATTGTGTAGGCTTAATTCGCCAAAGAAGACCGAAAGACAGAACTAAAAAATACATTGCTTTGTTTTTTTTATTTTTATCTATCCATCATCTCTTCTAGGCCTAAATTACCAATTACTATTCGTAGACAGTAAAGTAGGGCTTTGTTTGTTATAGATATAACATTTATTAGCTAGTCGATGTTGGTGATATTGCAATTTCATTTATAGGCTTTATGAATTCCACTTTTATCTACAAACACTCGCTCTAATCTGATAAAGAATGACGCTGGAAGTTGTTGAACTTGTAGAAATGAAGCAATTTCTTTTGACAGAGTTAAACGACGATTTATTTTGGAAATGATTTTGAGAGATGAGCAGGTGCTTTTACTTGTTTAATTATGCTTTTTTTTTACTAATTTGCTATCAGTGACAAAAGGACAGACAGCTGGTATCATATGTTTTTTAGCCTTTCGAATTGTTCGCCCGTATTCATAACCGTAGTTCATTTGTCTAGAGTTCACATACGTTATGAGAATATAATGGGGTTGTGAATAACGATTCAAACCCCCATGAAGGGCTTTTTGAAAACAAGATGGAATGTGCAACATGGGCGGTATTGAAATAAAAATTGAAATGCTCTCTTTTCCCTTGACTCTCTTCTCAGTATTTTTATAGTCTTTCGCCTAAGTTGACAAATAGCTATAGCTACACCGCCTAAAGCAATGATAAGAAAAATGAGAATCTTCTAATTAAAATATTTCTATGGCAACTGACTAGTTAGTTCTAAGTTGCCTGACAGCTTCCAGAAGGTGATTCTTTTTCTATCCAAGAAAAACCAAAGACTTGGTGTCTAAGTGCTTTTTCCCGCTTATCCCAACCACCATAATCCAACTTCTTAGTGAAATCCTCTTGATAAGTACTTGTTTGATTAGAACTAGCTAATGAGCCAACAAGAGCCATCTTATTTTCCATTTCCAAGGTTTTTAAAATTTCATTATTATTAGATATGAAAATTCTTTCGCTTGAGTAAACTCAGGTTTAATAATCTGTCCTGAGAAGGTTGATACTCGGTTAATTTTATCCTTTACAAAGAAAGCTAAAGTAATCTGAGATTGAGAAGGTATTCGATTATCATTCGGTTGGATACCTTTAATTCATTTTCCATTTTCTTCCTTTTTTTTATGCTAAATTGATGATAATTCCAACTTTTTTCCATCCAAAACCTTGTATAAATTTATCAACTGCCGATTTACTGCCACATCTTTCTAGTCATGTCATTTTCGTTAATTCCTTTGGGAAATAATCCGTCTTTTTTTTTTCATCATTAATCCGTTCATTGGAATAGAGCAATATTGCCAAATAAATTTTAAATTCATCTGTTAAGTAACGCCTGAACAATTTACGAAGCTTTATTATCCAATCCGAAGACAGTTTAGCTGAATAGCAAATGCCTTTTCTATTTGTTTTATCAGTCGTCTTTTATATCAAGATATCATTTTCCGTTCCATTAAATGCTGATTTTATCCTCTTGCTAATACCCTTATCATTGCTCTTCTTTTTATTAGATGGCCTATTAATGAAATTATTACCAGATTTCATAGATGTTCTACAGCTGACAGCGCAATCGGAAGCTACAATCATTTCCTGATAGTTTTCCCCTTACCCTTGACCTCTGTTCTTTTATCACCTCTACTCCCCTAGATCAATCTCATTCCTTTGTCTGTCAACAGAATCTTGACCAGAGCTACTATTATTCTCAACAATAAAATGAAATACTCTCATCTTTAAATTCAATATATATTTTCTATAAATATTTAATTATACTTAGACTCCATTCAGAGTTTTTTGACCTCAAATTTTACTTAAAAGAAACAATAAATTAAAAAGTAGTGACATCTTGAGGTCCGTTCTTAAGATTCTTAAAAGTCACTTCTTCAAACAAAAGAATTAGGTCGCCTCAAATCGTGATAGAATTGCTCTGATCGATTCGAGTATATTTAAAAAATTTACAATCTCTTTTAACGATTTCTCTTCTGTCTTTTCTTTCTCTCTCTCTCGTTCTCTCTCTCCCTTTTACTCTGTATGCCTATGCCTCTGTCAATCTATCTCATTTTATTCTTGTCCGCCTCTCCCCTATTTTCCTTTCCATCGAACTACAAATAAAAACCTTTTCTCTCCCTTTCTCACTTGTTTTTCTATTCGTTAATCTACCTATATATTTATGCTAAAGGGTATCTATTCACAGGCAAGTATATACAAATAAGAAAACAAATAGGTAAAGTACAAATTAATATACAAAAGAAAACAGTTGACAAAGAAAAGAACAAACCTAATTGAGAGAAAATAGAAAGGATTTATCATTAAGATTACTTCATGATATTTTCTTTTAGAAAAAATATTTTTGTTTTTTTAAAAATAAAAACAAAGAAAAACCAAAAAGAAATTTCCTTCTAATTATTTTTCTCTATCAACAAAAGGAAATTGTTAAAGAGATAGTAGGAAGATACTAATTCTTTTATATATTTCGAATATTTGTACGTGTACAGTATACACGAAATATATAATAATTAATAATATATTAATTCGTATAGCATCATCTATTTAACTTGTATTCAGAGAACAATTTTCTTGGTATGCATAACAATTAAGTCTATCTGAATTATATAAGAGAAAAAATTGCATGCTGTATCTAGACGAATAAAGTAAACTACAATATGGCAGACGTTTCGTGTAGGACTTATTTTTCCTTAATGCACACTCAAACCTTATATATATATATATACTGTATATATATATATATGTATATATTTTAAGAATTATACACAATATACTCAGATACTAATAGATTGATTCTATTAGCATAAGAATATGAATTTTAATACATTTGCAGAAGAGAAAGATATTTGTAATTAATTGAAATTCTTGATTTCTTTGAATTAAAACTACTTTACACTTACAGGCACACTGATTTAAAACAGTTGAATATATATACTGTATATACTTTGTATACATATATCCATACAGATTTTTTATATGTATATATGTATATAAAAAAACGTTTCATTCAATGACTAATTAAACGAGCATCCAAGTTTTTGGTGCATATTTTTTTATGTAACTAAGTTATACAGTATTGTCTATTTTAATTAGTATTCGCATTTTTTTTTGCCTTACCATATACCCTATGCTTTTAGTCTCCATTCGCTCCTCCATCTTCTTCTTCGTCCTTATTGAATAGTGCACTTGTCACCAACTTCACTAACTGATGACATCACCTTGTTCGGAAGATCGCTGACTTTCGATTGCAGATCATTAAGATTTGTTGGTAAGAACGAGTCATCTGAAATATTTCGTGGAACGTTAATATGCAAATCAATCTATTTGATCTATCGTTTTTAGCCCTTTGCTGAAAGGAAGGATATTAAAAGAAATATCTAAAACTAGAGGGAGTTACAAAGCCTTTCAAACGTTTAGTACACAAATATACTTATTTACAGTATATAGTTTAGAATGTATACTCTTATATTAGCTTACAGATTTGTCTCTGTCGAAGAATGCGCGATAAAACAGACAGAAAGACAAACGAAGGGCTTTTTGTTTATATCTAATAAAAGAAGGCTGCTGCCGTACATCAACAATCGCCTTAATTGAACTAACTACTGTATATGAATAGAGAGAGAGAGGCATTATCCTTCTCTCAAAAAAGAATACTATCAAGAGATCGTAATACTAAATATAACAAAAATGAATCGAGAAGAGATATTACTTCCTTCTTCATTTTCGGAATCATTTTCTGCAGCTAATTCTGCAGGCGATTTCTTCTTGCGACCTAGTCTACCAGCTACGTCTGGCTCCTCTTCTTTCACAATTTCCTTCTTTTTCAAACCATACTGCAAGGTTATCCTCTTTTATACAATATATATGCGAATATATTTATGTTATTGACCTTGTCACGAATTTGTTGTCTCATTTCTTCGCGTTCTTCTTCCATTTTACGATGTTTTTCCTTTCTCTTTTCTTCAGCCTCTCTACGGGCCTCTGCTACTTCGGGATCTTCTTCACCGTCTCCTTCCTTCTTCTCTTCGTCTCCATCTCCCATTGCACCTTTTACAGATTTTAATTGGTCACCGACCATTTGCTTAGCAATAAAGGCTGCCATATCTTCTATTCAATATGAGAATCTGCAATTAAAAGTGAAACTAATGATAAGATACACGATTTGCTCGTCAAGAGCGTAAATTACTTATGGCAAAACGGGTCAATAAGGTAGAGGCCTACAACGAAATTGATCGATACAGCTATTGCAGTTGGCAAGTTGTTTTTCGGTTATACCGTAAAACTGCAGTATTGCGGCTGACAACCGCCGATTGTATGGTGTCTTTCTCTCTACTACAGTTGGGAATTCAAAAGCCGTTGTCGTAATTAGCTTATGGAAGCATACATAATTCATTCTATATGATATCGTTAAAACTAGATGCTACGTTAAGTACTCCACCTAAATATTAATAATTATCCTAATGTATCATATACTCATCACAAACCTCAAAAAATATGATGCAAACAATTTTTTCCCTCTATTATAGAAGTTAAAGAGTGCTTCTCATAGCAGAATTAAAACGGCCAGAAACGCTGTGTTCATTCACAAAGCGTCCTTTTTGCTGTTCTAAGGCAGCAATGCCCCCTAGTCGTACCCGTTGCGTTGCCAGAGCAACGGACGGCGTTTAGTCTTCTATAGCAATACGTATAATTTATAGGCTCGATACAAAAGTGAGATAAGCTCGAGTTTTTTTTTCATTTTAAAAGACAATCAAGAGAAAAATCTCTCCGTATCCCATACTCTCTTCCCATACCGTCTCTCTGCTGTTGTTTTTATTATATAAACGTCAATTGGAATTCTCTTTATATCAGAGTAAATTAAATTAACAGAAATATTATATAATAATCTGTTTTTTAAAAAAATGCCTCTTGTATTCTATTGAATTGGAAGGAGCTATTATCTTTTTATTTGCCTTCTTTTAAACACTCTAGAAGGAATGACGCCGTCAAATCGATAAATGCAATCGATATTCGATGGACGTTGTGCGATCCTGCACTCTACTCGATTCCACTGCATATGAATAAATTTATATGTGTTTATAGATGAATATTTATTTATATACAAATATCCATACTGCTTTTAAGATGGATATACAATACCATATTCACATTCGAATGTATATTTATATATATATATGTCATAAAAAGTTTGATATAATGAATTTTTATACTGTTGAGTATGTTTATACGCTACATTTGAACAAAAAAGAAACACCCTTGTAGCTCTCCACTGAAAATAGGCGTCGAATTTCAACTTGGCGAAGTGTATAGTAATTGTATTCGTTTGTAGGGCTCTGTTATTGATTTCGTAAAAGATGCTGGTCTGTCGCAAGACTATTTCTGTGAATATTGTAAATAGTATACTGTACATATATTTTGACGTATTTATAATGCATACACGTGTACATTTATATAGGTGACCTTTGTGTTTTTTATGGAAATAATCATTGTATTGAGTAAACGAAACGCCTGGACGCTCGAAACTAGCAGATTTCGATCCTGGACGAAAATTCGATAGATATTATGCGAAAGGGAAGCGACAGATGTCGCCGGCATATTGGCAAAAGGCGACATCTGCTAAGAAATGGGAAAATAAAAACGATATAGAGAGAGAGAGGGGAAGAGGAGAGAGGGAAAGAAGGGAGAGAGAGAGAGAGAGAGTACTATTGTCAGTCACAAACTAAATGGGGATCGTACAAGATAAGCATTGGGTGTTATCATTCGCATTTGACCTCAATAATTGAGCCTTTTCGGCGCGTCGTTCATTTCCTGTAATATATACAGTGTTTAATATACAACGTAATATCTTTCTTTCAAATATTATGTTATAAATGCAAACGACATAAAAATGTGATATATATATATTTATATATAAATATAATATATATATTGTATATATATATATATATATATATATATATAACGAAATAATACTTGACTATTTTTCAGGTATTATATTTATATTTATTCGTATTTATTCATTCGTAGAGCTTTGGTTAATTACCGATATACGTCAGTCGTTTCAATTAAAAACGCGAACAGAATACACCTACAATAGACACCTTCAGCGTGAATGCGATCACACCTGAAAGCAATTAATTAGCATATGAAAAGGTCGGCTGCTAAATGGCGTTCGATATATATTGTTGCATTCTTTAGCAGAGCTCTATACAGCCTTACTATCCGTCCTATTAAAACGTCGTTGATCGAACGCTTTAAACTTCATCGAACGCGGCGACAAAGGATTGTTTAATTCGAATGCTTTACGCTTCGTCGCCTTGATGATTCGTAATTTTTCGCCATTTCAGTTTAGGTGTATTTAATTTCTCGCTATATATAGAGCCATACCAGTCCACCACCACCCATTGTACCGCCCCTAAGGCAATAAAAATAAGGTAGCCAAACTCACCAGGAGCCTCAATCGTTACCATATACATAGTTTTGTTTGTTATTTTTTATATAACTTTTAAGAAAGAATGGAGGATAAAAGAAATAAAAGGGTATTTTCATGCCTTTACGCAATACAATCCAGAAAAATACATCAATCAATTCCTTGTATTCCTTACAAGATTCAACGTCGTGGGAATTCGTGTCAAAAAGCGGTACGATCTCGCACCTGCACCCTACGTTGTCTCCGCGGGAGTTAATCGTCTCGGCTCGTTTGCCGCAAATTATTATATGTTTATAGCGAATGGAGGCGCGGAAATGGAACTTTTCATCCATCAACTCCTGCCTTTTTTTTTTCTTAAGAGCAGGAAGTTCGCCTTCGTCGATCACCCAGTTAATAGATTTCTTTATTGAAAAACTATAGTATAGATAATAAACTAATTTAGTCGAACAACTCTCGACTTTTCATGTTTTTCTTCAGTAGGAAGAGTCTTACAAAACTACTACACATCTGCTCTTATCAGTAATTATCTTATCGAGTTGTAGAAATGAAGGTGTCTGATATACGACTACTTTTCTTTTTTGAGAGCGTATGCAAATTTATTTGATACTTACCTTTACATCTGTTTTATTATTAATATAACTACCATGTATATAAAGTGTGTGTATACAACAAGAAAATTAATGAGTGGGGTAGCAGGCGTTGTCAAGGAGACAAGGATGAGCCGGGTCGTCGCCACTTTATATGTTATTGTATCGTTCAAATCCTTAGCTGACAAACTGTCGGATTTGTTTCGGACGAATAATGTTTGTTCAGCTTTGTTCCACCGACTTGGAGCTGAAAAAGTTGAAAAGCTAGTCAAGCTTCCTGCTAATAAATAAGAATCGGTCGATTTTCTTTACATTCTCTCTATAATAGAAGGCGATCGGCTTTCTTTTTATTCTCTTAAGCCGGGTGTATTTATAGTTATTATGCGTTTATATAAACTTTATATATATATCTTTATATATTAAACAAATCTACCGATTTTTTCGATTGTTCAAAAGTATTCCACAAGCGTCTAATAGTATACGCTGGGCGGACTCTGCGCAGGCGACACGGAATATACATGTGCAGAAATTGTGCATTCCTTTTAATTCATAACATTTCGCACTACACTTCATACATATGTATAGAACAGCACTGAACAATATATCTATACATCAGGCACAAAATAAAGGCTTATATAATATTCATTGTAATAACAGATCCGTCGACTGCTTATAAATTAACGACGTATAAGTTTTTATACAGATTTAATCGACCGTACGCATGCATACCTTTACATCTTTTATATATATATATATATAGTAGATGCATATTTATAATTATATATATATATATGTATGTATATATATATATATATATATATATATATATATACATATATATTAAGGTATATTCAGCATATCTATATATATCTATATATATAGATATATGTAGATATACTTATTTATATATTTATATAGCATATATTGTTTATATATACAGTACACATTAATGTAAAAAATAAATATATTGATAAAAATAAACAAACAGTAAGCGTTAATTGCAATCTAGAGAGTTCCAAGATTTGCTATAGTCGTTCTGCATAATAGACTCTTCTTCTTCGTCAGAATTCATTTCATCTTCTTGTTCCTCTTGCCTTTTCTTAGCTGTGGCCATTTCAGCTGCGTGCTTTTTTCTCCATTTTGTCCTTCGATTTTGAAACCAAACCTTTTAAGACGTAGAAAAAAAAATTGTATAAACAAACTAAAGATAAAATAGAATAGAATCAGAATAGAATTTGATATTAAGTATTCCAATATAAACTATAAAGGAAAACGGGGCAAACATGTATATGCGGTTAGTCAAGCGCGAAAGTTGATTAAATGAATGATATCAATCGGCCAAGCGTACGCTTTGATCGAATTATATAAGATCGTACTCAATACTTGAGTGTTCTATATGCTAATTTAAGGCGGCCGTCCGGTCAGAGGTCAAGAATATCTGAACGACAGCCTGTTTTGAAGTACACTAATGAAGCTGAACGGGTTAGTTACACTAAATTCATTCCGAGAATTGATAGGCGGCTTTACTTCCGCTCCCTTTATTTCTTTTTTCCTCGGAAGAAAAACGCAAATAGCGCAACAGTTCGAATGCTAATTTCATGACTGTAACAGTATAGAACGGAAATAATAGGAGGGGGAGATGGTGTTTGCGATAAAAATGGCGCCGTCGTTGCTCAATTTGTCAACGGCGCACTTTTTGATCGATCACCGACATTCCAATGCCTTATCCGGGTGCGCTCGGGTTTTTTCTCCTCGTTTTTTCATTTCTCTTAAACCGGAAGTATTTACAAACTTTTACAAATTCTTTAAGGAGATCTAAAAAGGAGTTATTAAATTATATAATAAGAAGGACACGTGCTTGATAGAAAAAAATGGGTAATCAAATCGCTATAAGCAAAACAGAACGGACACACGACAAAGGAAAAGTTTAATAAAGCAACGTGTTTATCATAAATCATTCGAAAGGTTGTAACCTTCGTGTGAAAAGGCTTCGACGCGTTCTATTAAAAGGGTTATTGAATTCTTATACGCATTGCATAAACTATTGAGAAATTTTAAACTTTTGAGATGTGGTCCGTCTGGCGAAAGGGCGAAGCTCATAAAAACCTGAGAAGGTTGAAATGATTTAGAAAAGAGAGCATCTGTATGCAATTGACATTCGAACGAAGCCGACGGCCAAACTAGTTTGTTTGCTTTTCTCTCAACCGGTAAACAGGGCAGAGAGGGAATAAGAAAATGGATATATACATCTACGCCATAAAAGAGAGGTATTTTCCACTTTCAGATGTGGAAAAAAAAACGGAATCGATCCAAAATGGAGCAAAAAGCTATAAAGGAAAAAGAAAAAGAGTACTAAAACATGAAATTATTTTTACCTTAACTTGAGATTCACTCATTCCTAAAGCGTAGGCAAGGCGGGCCCTTTCCGGTCCAGCCAAGTATTTCGTTTGTTCGAACGTCTTTTCTAAAGCGAATATTTGATGACCGCTAAAAGTAGGTCGCGTATGTTTCTTTTTTCCGTCCTTGTCAAGAAGTTGGGGCGGAGCTGTAAATTTTTAAGAAAAACGAATAAAAAGAAAATTTACAAAAAAGAAGAAAATATATTAAACTATCAAAATCCAATTGATAAAAGGTCAAATGGAGAGCGGCGGCTCTCTTTTTGAAGAGAATCCCTGAAGAGGAATCAATCGCTATTTTGACACGTTGTGACGTCACAAGTAAAAACACTTGAATCCCCGCTACCGTATAAGACACTTGACTACAAAGCGTTTTATGTAAATGAGATGCCTGCTAAACGACGCCTAATTAATGCGGTCATGGGGCGGCGCGTTAATTTACGCGCATTAAGAACTTTCTAGTTGGTTATTTAGCATTACGTTCCTTTTTTTCAACATCTTAGATATAAATGAAAAGATGTGCTTATGTTAATTTGTTCGATTGTATTGAATAGTTAATCCTATTATTCATTCCTTACAAATAATAAATATACATAAGTATAAATACTAGGTAAATTTTATATATTAAGACATTATAAGTAAATGATAATTTGGAATATTCCCATAATAAAGATACATAGCTAATTTGCTTATTTTGTATAGCTGTCAAAATTTTTAATGCATAATAAAGGCGAATAAACAAACACGTTGCTATTATCTAGGGAAATAAAAAATGCGATGAAGATGGAAGCGTGGAGAATTTGAACAATCAACAGCCGCCATTTGGCGTCCGCATGTTCACAATGGCGGATCTCTTCGCTCCCGTTCCGCTTCCCTTCCGCCGCGTTTATTTTCCCCGAGTTAATTAGGCGCGAAACGGATTACGCGGCGATGAAAGAATCGGATATCTTTTCGTGTGAACATTATATATATTAGGATAGAAGTGTTTGCGTTTAATATAAAAAATACCCATTGGATGGGTTCGCTCTCCCGGTTCCGCACCTGGTAAATGAGCGTTTTGACCTACTTTCATTTTTATTCCAGCATTATCGGCTTAATCTATTATACATTAATCTACATTTATTTTAGCCATTCATCCACAAGTTGAAATTCTATTCCTCAATAGGCGACGATCCAATGAAGATGTTATTTTTAATTGTCTGTATAATTTCTCTATTAAACAGCATGGGAATAAACCGTTTGTTTCTCAAAATAGCAAAAAAATTAAATACTAAATCCCCCTTTAAATCTTATATGCGGGCTTTCTTATCAGTCACATCGTGTTAAAATAGTCGAATTGCAATCAAATAATTACTGATAAGATCAGATAAACACTTGAAACTTAAAGTAAAAAAAAAAAAAGATAGAAAAGAAATTATACATACTCTCAACATACTCACTCTGAGTACGCCAGATTGCCGCTTGACTAGAAGATCCTGCGGAACTTTGTAAATTCGATATGGTTGCGGAATTCTGAGTTGGCCAATAGCAAGACAACGGACTCTTGGGAAGATCTTTTGAGAATCTAGTGGAAGTTGGTGGATAAATTGGGGGTCTTGGCTGTTGCAAGCTGGAATTTAGATGCGGTAATAGAGTTTGAGATGTTCTGCTCAAATTCAGAATGTCCTGAATTCCGTGCGGCGTTGATGCCAATGAAAAGGAAGGAGGTGACGTTTTGAGCGGATGAGAGCAGAGACTTGCGCACGAATTTGGCGTTTTCATTTCTGTCATATTGTGGAGGGCGGCCAAAGGAGGATTGTTGAGAACGAAGGCATCTCGTCGTTCAGTCATTCCTTGCAGAAGATTCGCTACGGAAGAATTAGGTGCAGGAGGAGCATAAGCCGAATGCATTGACGTTTGTACATTGGCAGCATTTTCCCCACAGTAGTCCAGCATGTTTTTATTTATAGCCGAAAAGTATTCATATCCCGTATAAATATGTGTAGATTATCTTTCTATAGCGCGTCTCGCACCGGTTAAATGATAGCGTTCGATTTGTTGATCGCGCTTCAAGCAGTCTGCCTCATAAATATGCATACAGCCCTCTCTGGTCGCTGATTGGCTAGAGAGGCGATTGCTTTATATCCAATCAGCGTGCGCTAGTCCTTTGTTGAAAGATGATTGAGTTGCGCTCGACTCTTTTCTTTCTCATTCTTAGTCATAATTGTGAATTTTTTTTGAAACATAGCGTATGTTTAAAAGACTACGGGTGGCCTCCTTTACCGATTATTTATTACGATTGCACGAAACGAAGCTATATATAAGGGTTTAATCTATATACGCATATAAATAAGAATGATATTAACGGGTTATATAAGGGCGCTAATTGAGCGTTTATTCGGGGTTAAGTGAGGTGTGTGTAGGCGTATACGCATGGAAAAAGTTTGAAAAAAGCATTCACCCTCGACCGCAAACAGATGAGAAACAAATGAATCTGGCAATAGTGCAGCAGCGCGGCCTTTCTTGCCCTCGGGCTCATCAATTTTACTGACGGACGCCCTCAGATTAAGTTGCGATGTTTTGCAGTTGCGCCCCAAAAGCCCATGCAGCTGCATGATAAAGACGAATATCTGGCTGTAAACATAATAATTGGCTATGAAACACAAGTAAAGGAGAAGATTTAATGATATCTCACCGGGCCAACGAGCACAGGTGCATCAAGAATGCGTTTGGAACGTTTGAGTATTACGCTTGCTAAACACATTAACCTCTCATTAATTACCCGACCATTGACAGTTTTATATTCGAACGTGTGCGAATTTAAAGGCGATGTCAATGACGCGAAATGCTCTTCGTCTTTCTCTTCACTCTGTCTCTTTCTGTTTGCTACGTCCCTCTCTCTCTTTTAAACTGCTCTAAAACTCTCTCTATTCTTTCTTTTTTTTTTAACTAGAAAGGGATATTTTACAGAAGGCCATAGCGTCTCTCCCTGAAGAGCAATGTCGACGTCTAGAATCCAATTGTACGGAAAGACGTGCGGCTAATTAATTTGCATAAGGCGACGTTCTATGCATAAAGAAGTGCGTAATTTAGCGCAATTAGGCTGATTGTTTCAGATAATCGTTGGAAAGAGGGTGGAATATTTCTGATATTTTTGAATTTATATTCAGATTAAACGACGCTCGAGCTTATCCTATCTACGATCTGAATTTGACGGTATTAACGCCGAATTGCGAAAGCAGGTGTCGCGTAATTGCGAATACTTGATATGTCGACCGTTTCTTAATTTATTACCGATTTATGACTTTATTGTTCACAAACATATAATCAAAAAAAAAATCTCAAAACGCCCCCTGTCTTCTAAACGCAAGTATCTGGTACATCATTACCATCAAAATAAATTAGTAAACTACCCGAACTCTCGCTGTCTCGCCTTTCCGAGGAGTTAAGTAAAGCAGTGGTCTCCTGCTGAGAACTGGACGAGTCAAACGAGTCAACGCTTGGCGCCGATTGGAGGAGGGGTGACTCTGGAGGGGATTTCTTGGCCGAGTGTTGCTTTTGTCGAGCTATTCGACCCCTTACGCCGCTGCTAGATTGTGCACTATCCTCCTGCGATTTACTCTTAGGAACAAAACGAGTTCGAGCCTTTTCCTTTTCCGTAGGCGTTTCGTCCAGCACTTTGTCGGCGCTCGTTAACTCCGTTGTTGGCATTGAACGCATTTGTAGTGGTCCTTTAACGGTAGCACTTCGCATTATACTACCTGTTGACACCAGAAAATATATAAATATATAAATATATAAATATACCATGTTCATGTGTGCTATATCTTATCTATTGATTCTTTTATAGACAGCTTTACCTGATATCCAATTCGTTCCTTTAATAGTACTTTTATTCCTCTTCACTTTGAAAGTCTTCCGACTCCTTGCATCCGCCCTTTGCAATCTGTGCATGACTGGATCGGTGTTTACCCTTTGCTCCCCATTCGACGCGTCGTCGACGCCTTCTCCATCGCCGTCTAGAGAATTAATATCAAAATATTGTGTACAAGAGAAGTGTTTTCGGGTTATAGAAAAAATTAGGTCAATCAAAACGATCACCCCACTTTAGGCATTGTGTACAAACCCACTCATTTTGACAAAATAGGTATCGAAGTTTCTTGGTTTCTTGTTCTTTTATACTATATTATTATTATTGTTATATATATATATTATGTTTATATATATATATATATATATATATATATATATATATATTTCCAATATTTATATATTTAAATATATATACATATATATATATATAAACATAGATAGATATAACTTTTCAGTGTGTAAAAGACTTCTATTTATAAACTTACATTCTGTATAAGAACTATATATACTAAAGTACATATATAGATAGATATACAGTATATATACTTTATATATATATATATATAAGAAAATACTATAGAAAAGAGAAAGTACTATATTTAATATATCAGCACATATTTATAATTATATACAAGTATATACAGTACAAAAGTTGTACATTTGTAGTCTAATTAACTATCAATAATCGTATATATTAGTATATAATATATACTCATTTATCTTTATATTTATGTGCAAATATAACTTTACTAGAATGGAAAAGTATAAAATGCAGCGAGCGGGAAGAGTTTAATGGTGATATAAAGTTAGTGAATTATGTATTAATAGTTTTTTTGTTCGCACGCATGCGCAATTTGTGTAACATAGATAAATGAAAAAAAAAACAAAGCATGCAGATAGATATAAAGAAAAAAGGAGAAGTTTGATGGAAAGATAAAAGAAAGAAAAAAGAGAAAAACGAAAGAAAATGCAATTTTTTTTTTGCTCGTTTTGATCTGTACAACCTGCATTGTCGCTCTCGTAGATTGCTTCTTGTTTCACAAAGTAGCATCTTTGGTGATGGATGCTAGCTTGACGGCACAATTGCTTCCTTTTCGATCCGACGATGCGTAGTACGTCCTCGACGCCGGCGTCATCTAGCGTTTTTTTGCAAATCGTTTTTTTTTCTCTCTTTCTCTCCGAACACATGCACAAGAGAAAACATCAAGACGCAAACCTCTTTTTATAACCATTACGCAATCATTTAGAAAAAAAATATAATTGAATTACGTAATGGTATAAAATATATTGCTATTTTGTTTTTCTTTTTTTTTTTTGTTAAGCTTTCGGTAACAATAAAGGCATCAAAGTCCACCAAAAAAGAAAAAATAGGAAAATTTACAAATTAAAAGGAGAAAAATAAAAAAAAAGTTTTACAAAACTCTTGTTGGTGTGTGTTTGTGCGCTCTAAAGATTTTAGAAAGATTTATGCAAACTTAAAAAAGAAAAGAGATTAAGATAAAAATATCTTCATCTTCAGTTTTAAAATATAAAGAAAATATAAAAAATATAACAAAAACAGTTAAAATGAAAAAAACAATAAAAATCTATATATAACAAAGTTAATATCTTTTTCTATTTTAAGGGCGTTTACTTAAAAAATGGCGGTAAAATTTTATTCACCTTGTTTCCTTTCCCCATTCCCTCCTTTATTTTTTTTTATGGACGGTTGTATACTTTCTATATAACTTATGTACAAGACTTTCATTAAGTGTGTATGTAGTGGTGTATATGTTTGCAACAAAAAAAAAAGAAAAAAATAAGAAAAAACAGAAAAAGAAAAAGTAAACGTTGTTTTTTTTTTAAAAAAAAAGAAAAAAAACGTCTCTTTTCTTTTTTCTTACAATTTTAGAAGAAAACTTTCGTTGTAAAAATTTTTGATATAACAAAAGAAATTCTTTATAAATTGACCGTTAAATGTTTAAATAGTTTTAAAAATATTATTAATTATTAATTAATTAATTAGAATATTACGTCACATGGAAAATACTCTAAATTACTTTTAAAATTAGTCTGATATTATGACTCTTGTTTTTTTTTGTATATATATAAAAAAAGTTTAATTAAAGAAAAACGAACCTTCGTCGGCATTGACCATAAAGAAATGTTCCAAAATAGCATGACCATCCGTCGCCTTTATTCTATTATTCGCCTTGGCTTTAATTGCTGGGTTTGATTTCATATTAACAAGACTTTCGACGCTTTTCGGGACGTTTCCGTTGTTTGAAGCATTGGAGGCGGTAGCGGTACCTGCTTTTAAGGGAAAATAAAAAAGGTGGTCGGTGTCTTTGTACCTGACGCTAATTGCTCGTTAATAACATTTGGGACAATGGGAAAAGCGTCAAAACGAAATATATATTCGCCCTTTGACATCGTTTAAACATTGTGTGATCTAATTAATTCCTAGTCAATACGTGTGACAATTAATCTATTTATCGCCGTGGTTGGCAACTCACTCCTAAACGAAACAACAAAAAACTGAAAAGAAACCTATAATTATGAACGTTCAACCAAAAAACGAACCTGATTTAACTTCTTCTCCGGCTTTGTCGATACTTTCTAAAAAGGTTCATTTTTGTTTTTTTTTCTCTTAATTTGTCTCAGTCGTATAAGTAATGAAAAGGGAAGGGGAAAAAAAGAAAGGAAAAAGGCAAAAAGGGTAAATCGTAAATCATACGCGAAATAATAAAAGGTCAAGAGGGTTAAACACTATAAGAGAAATTTTTCCCTTTCTTTCTTTCTTTTTTTCACCGTTAGTCTTTTTTTTTATGGGAAAAGCAAGGAAAAATTGAACTAACCTCCTCCAAAACTGGACTGGGGAGTTAGAAATCTCGGTGAAACGACTTGATTTGTAGAAGACGTTTCTGCAGGTGCCTGTTGTTCCAACAAGTCGAGCATACTGGCAGATTTGCTAACAGCGCTCTGATTGCTAACGATTGTTGTAGTTCTAGGACGGAAATCACCGGAAGAAGATAATTCCAATTTTATTTGTTTTAGTTGCATCGCTAAGTCTATTAGTATTGTTCCTTTGCTTTTCGGTACTACGGACCCTTCACCTTGTAATTTCTGGTGTACAGCTTGTTGAATGTAATATTCGTCCCCACTATCACAAATCATTTTCATCATCTGTCGATCATAGTGATTCAAAAGATAATAAGTACGATTTTATAACAATATTACATCATTGCTTACTAACCCTATACTGAATGAATGGTTGCATAAGGATTGTTAGTGCTGTTTTATAGGAGACAATAAAATCTATAAACCTCCAGACGGCCAATCCGCCGGTTTTAGTGCAAATTGCTGAAATGGTTTTGGCCATTTCAAACCAATGATTAGAAAGCTCCTTTTCGTAGCAAACTATCATTATCCTTAAACCGAGGAATATTATCTCTAAAGTTCCCTCTTTGATGGTCTCTTTTTCTTTCTTAGCCGGATAGGCCGTACCGGATGTTCTACTCATATCTCCAACACCAAAGTGCTGACTTCTATTGGCCCCGCTAACAGAAGACGATTGTTGTTTATGGGGTGGCACTAAGGCGTGTAGAAGGATGGTAAGTGCGAAGGAAATGTCAGAGTTCCTCATTTTTGGCGAATCTCTCCTCCCACATCCCATTCGTATGCATAATGGAAGAATAAGATTAACGAGCATGTTGGTCGTTTTTTCCGGTGAAAAAACAGTTATGTTGCCGCAAATTTGTGCAAGAGAGAACTGGTCCTGTAAAGAAAATTCCAAACTCGATAAGAAAAATAGGGACTTAAATTGGTTGCAAACTTACGCCTAAAGCTTGCATTTGCATAGCGGTTAACTTAATAGCCGCCGAACAGAAATAGGGCGGTGTAATTATCCTCGGGAAGGAATCCATTTTACTAGCATTTGAACTAATTTCGTTTGCAGGAATGGATGATGATTCGTCCGCCAATATAATGTTTATGCAAGCGCTTATCAAGTTCTTAAGATTACCAACAACGGCAACATATTTGAAATGAATTAGTGTATCGTATAGACCTTTTAGTAAATTCCCAGCAGCATCCCAATCCATGTTCCTCTGCAATTATGAGCAAACAATGAAAAAAAAGGGGAAAAATAAGAGAGAAAAAGAGCGAGTTAATAATTTAAAAGAAACGCTCTTTCCTATTAGATTTGCCAATTTCTATTTTATTTCACTTACCCTTAGAGCAGGTTTTTTATAAATCTTATAAAAAAGCCTATCCATTCTTCGTAAAATTAAATTTAAAGCTGGTCTATTCGATTCCAGTGACCAGTCAGTAATTGGTAGTATATCTGTGGTATATCTTTGCAATCCAGGACAAGACATTGTTGCTGAATTGTAAGGAGCAATCTTTAGAAGCGTATGCGCCACTTCCCCTAATCTCTATATCAATATATGAAAAAGGAAAGAATAAGCGTTGTTTAATTGTATTTTATTACAATGTAAGAATTTTGTTTGTTTATTTACATTATGTGTTTTCGGATCCAAAAGTTGGGGTATTCTGAATGACGGATCGGCTACTATTTTCCGAAGAATTTTCAACCTCTTATGACATTCTACATAAAAGTGAGTAACAATAACCAACAGGCAATTTCTGGGCTTCCTAAATGCTAAAATTGATGCCTCTATATCATCCTCTGAATGTACAGCGTAACGCCCGGTTCTACCCGGACCTTGCCGATTTGGAACAGAACCTCTTCCCTCCTCCATTAACCTATTGTGAGAGTGTAAACGAAATATATCCTCTAATACCGTAAATAAAGATTCTAAACATTAAAAATTTACTAAATGAAAATAACTTACACAGCAGTAAAGCGAATGTCTGATAATTCATCCGGATAAATGGATGGACGATGGTGATGGTTATGATTATGAGTTAATTTGACACTCGTATTAACCGTTTCCAAGTGTCTTTGTGGTGCACTAAAGTTCCTGATAAGAATTGACATATATCAATTAATTTCCTTATAGAATGATTAACGATTTTTTTTGGCTAAGATAAGCGTTTATACCTTGTAAACGGTTCGCAACTCATTACTAAAGCTTTTACACTAACTGCAAGGTTTGATATAGCTGTCACCTCTTCTTTGGCTGCTGTAACGCTGTCTAATTTATCCGTTTGCTTCGCTAAATGATTTAAATATTGGGGTAACAACGCCTCTAAAACGGTCTGAAATAAAAGATATAATAAAAATAAATATACTTAAATGTTGTACCTGTACATATCTTACGTAATAAACTTAATTTAAGTATACACTTACCAACATCTGCATGGATCTAGGAGAATCTGGGGCATAGGCAACCACAGTTACACACATATTAATAGAGTCGATCATCTGGAAGGCGTCGGGATCTTCTGTATAGCATAGATCGAGGGCGGAAAGGGGTAGGGAGCCGTTGACGAGGTCAAGTATTTCTAATACGTCGGGACAATCAGTTTCCAGAGAGAGTAAGAGTTCGAATAGGCACTTTGGATCAATCTTGCTTACGTGCACGTCTGCTGAACTCTTATCCATATCCAACAAGGGGGCTAAACTACCAAATGTCTGCAGCATGAATGGCTTACGATGCATCGTATAAAACGAACGACAAGCAAATTCTATGGCTTGACGAACTGCGCAATTGGGACGACTAGATGTGTAGACTTGTAGAATAGAGGGCATGATGAAGAAGAAACCATTAATAGAAAACACCTGCTTAAAGTGCCTAGAGGCGTTCAAATATGTTGCCAAGCAACAACGGAGCATCGCCGTATCTTCGCAATGTAGTAGAAGAGTTCCATTAATAACATTGAGAAAGAGAGGGAGATCACCGTCAGCAGTTACCGTTGTCGACATTGACATAAATAGAACTTGAATCAACTAAATGACATAATTTACACATTAGACATGGTTTAAGCTTACAAAATGAATGAAGGACTAACCCTTGCCCAAGCGTATTTATGCATCATATCTAAACCATATAGCTCTTTACCCAATTTACCTCTATGTAATGATAGATCACTCTCAAGAGCTTTCCTCGGGAAGGTTGGTAATTTCAGTAGCTCTTCTTGCAGGAATGAAACACTACTGACCAATTGTTGTTGGGAATGAGTTTGCAGGACGGCCATCGTAAAGAGAACCTTGCCCAATTCAGCTGCCTTTAAACTAGCAGCATGCATTTGCAAGGTATTGAAAGCGTCGTTCGGTTGCATATGAACTAAACTCAGTTGAGGATACATATTCCTTCGGAAGAAATAGAAATCTCTTACGTAAGCGTCACCATGATGAATTTGATCTGTAACAATATTATTTATGAATAGTATCGCCATTGAATACAATTTATTATTTTTATATACGAGTTTTAGCATCCATTAGAAAGTATTCGTTGTGCTGTTCCTGTGCGATACTGAAGAATTCGAGACTGTCAGAGAGAATTTGATGGAACTGGGTATCCTCGTCAATGGGATATTGAGAAGGAATAGATGACAAATCTGGTCCATGCACAATTAATTTTTTGGCACTTGGTACAATGGCAGTAATTAATAGAGTGGTCTATTGTAGAAGTGAAATAGGAGAGATAGATAGATAGATAGAGAGAGAGAGAGAGAGAGAGAGAAATAGGGAAAAAATAATTTAATTAGTTTTATTTTTTATATCTATTAGTTTCTTTATTATTCTTACTTCGCACTGCTCCTTTCGTAAAGTTTGTTTTAAATCTCTAAAACATACACCATGAACGCTCGGTACTAACTGCCATAGAAAGGATAATGCTCTTGCTATAGCCTCGTTACCACCCTCAGCAGGAGATCTAACATAGAACATAATGAATCCAACCTGCAAAATGATAAAATTCATTTATTGCTTTACCAATGGAATCTCATTAAAAACATCTTACCAAGTAATTGAAAACGTTATGAGCCGATTGGGCAGGTATCGATTGTAGGTGGAACAGCAGTTTTCTCAGCAAGAATATCAGCTCCTCCTGGTTTTTATTTCGATTTATTAATTTTTTTTAGGTTAATTAATTAAGAATGAAAGTGAATTAGATGAAATACAAAACTAACTTGTTTATCTCGATGCGTGATTTTTTCTAAAAATGTCCTGAGGAAGAGAGGAGTATCTTCTACGAGGCAATACCATACTACTTTCTCGGCAACTTGGGAAACAGAAATACCATCGCTTCCGACATCCAAGTCGTCGAGTAAATGGATTATTGGAAGAGCCGCCGCACAGACGAATGACGGAAAAAACGCCTGGCATAGTTGCATATGTTGAGAATGAGGATGTTCCACCCTGTCCTCTTCAGCTGAAAGACAAACTTAAGAAATAAGTATGGTATTTCTAGTTTCCTCTAGATAAGTAGACGTTCAGTATCCGGTAATGGATAATATAATTTATAAAAGTAATAGAAATAATGAATAGAAGATACCATTACAGAATCGTCTACTCATCTATTTAGATTGTGCTTGTTTTTTCTTTGAAAAATTTCTCTAGAACAATGCATATGAAGAGTATTATTTGTGAAAACTAGGAACTAATAGTATAGTTGGATACCTGGATAAGTGTTGTGGTTTGAAAAAAAAAAAACACAAACACCCACACACCCAAACGCTCATGACATGTCAACTTGTACAAAACATACACTTACATACAGGAAAGTATGTTTTTTTTATATATGTGAACAGAAAGATATCATATACTAAACTGATAATAAAACTATCAATAAAGTATATGAAAAAAACTCCCCCGATTAGTAAAGCATAACCAATCATAATCGAGTGTGAAATTTTCCTTTTTAAAATTAATTTAGAGAGAATTTTAAGACTTTGTATAATAAATAAAACATGAACAACATGCATGGAATATTTTGGTTCCTCCGGAAGTTATCTAAAAGATATAAGAAAGGTTTGTGAAGAAAAAAGAAAAGAAAAACAGCAATAAGAATCAGGCAAAAAAAAAATGAGAGAAAAAAACCAATAGCCTTTTTTGAGAGTTTTTTTAAAGGTTTTAATTTTTCTACCTTCGAAAATGGTAGGTCGACCCCATTGCAGGACGGAACCTTGCCGCCAACTGGGATTACGGCCAATGGGCGCAGTACTTGTTCGATTTACCATAGAAGATGTTGGAGCAACCGACATTCTCCTTGCCGCCGCAACCGTCAACTCTTCCGGAACTGGTGTCGCTGTTTTATAATTGTTTAATTTGTTTGGCAAAGAAAAAAGAAACAATCAAACTGCTAATTAAAAAAATGACTGGTTAAGAAGTTGATCATTCTATACTTATTTGTGTATAAACATATATATATATATATATATGTTTATACACAAGTTCAAGGTTATCTGTCAGCTTTCTTTTTCTGCCACAAAGTGAAAAAGTTAATCTTACAAAAAAAGTTAAAAATAACAAAAAGTTAAAAAATTTACGCAAAATGCACGAAAAAAGGAACAGTTTAAAAAATTCAAAAATTGGCAAAAAAATACCTATGGATTATTAATTTAAAAAAGCCATCAAAACAAACGGGTATCAGTATATATTCGTATATCTTATTTTTTTTGTCCTCATTAACAGTATTGTATACAATGAAAAAAATAGCTAAAAGAAAAAAAGAAGATGAAAATTATCTCCACATACAATACACAAAGGTATAAAACCGTATACCAAATACTGTTAGAATTCTTTTCGAATACCATATATACTGCCAAAAAACTCATGATATATATATATATTATATATATACTATAAGTATATATATACAGTATATAGATATATATATATTTACGGAAAAAAATCTCTATGCATACATATATGTATATAGACATACAAAGGAAAGCTTAAGATATGTATATATATTTTAGTATATACATATTATAAATATAGACGACTGTGATGAAAAAATATAAAAAAAAAAATAAAAAAGTCACTTAAAAAATTGTTTGTCAAAAATTCGATGGAAAAATTTAAACTCCAAAAGTTAAATAAAAAGTATATTAAAGATATTATATTATTTGTAGTTAGAGATCATTTATAAAAAGGCCTCTTTTTTTTAAACAAAAATTAGAAACATACCATCATCGTATTCGTTTGTGTCTCCGTGATGTAAAGCTGGTTCGTAGGCAGCCAAATAATTTACTGGAACGGATGTTACGTGAAAATTCTCTCTTGCTGATTTCCTCCTATCTTCTTCGGCTATTAGAGCTCTATTTAACATCTCTTGTTGTTGTTTTCTCCTAGTTGTGGTTGCAGTTACAAATGTTTTCTATAGAAGGTTATTATCGTTTGTCAATTGCTTTCGTATTATGTTTGTTTATTTTTAGTTACCGTTTCTTCTTCGTTTAGAGTGACCTCCTCAACTTTGGTCTTGAAATGAGGCAACCAAGGAGGATCAATAACGTTTAAACAAGGTAAACCAATTGTAGGCGAAGGTTGAACAAAGTCGATGGACGGAGGTGGAACTTTGAAAAACATATTGGAACCGTCCTCCATTCTTGGCCAAACTTGATGTCTAAACTTCCAAAGAACGTGAAATCTTAGGACAGCATTAATACGTTGATTAGTATCCTGATGTTGTAGTTCTTTAATCATTAATTCCTGAACGTGATCCCCAACTTTAATGGAAGACAAGATGAATAAACTCGCTACAAATAAAACAAAAACAAAAATAATCACAAAAAGCAATTTGTAATTAATTATTAAAGGATTAATTTATTCATTAATTAATATTTATATTTTCCTCAAATACTGTACTGACCAGATGCAGCAACAAGCTCTTGATCGCTTTCCAATAGCAATTCCCACGCTACTGGAAGCATGTCAATAAAATTTTCTTCACTTAATATTGGAGCTGATTTACAGATTATTGCAAGAGGAGCTTGAGTTAAATTTTGAACCTAAATAATTTAATTATATATATTTATATGTACAAATAAGGCTTTATTCCTATTTCTACTCACCTGAGCTCTTAAATATTTAACAATTTTTGCTTCGTCTTTTACGTTTGATACCTTCTTTTGTTTCTTTTCGAGAACACTTGCTATTTTTGCTCTCGCAAAATTCACATCTTAATTTGGGATGATTTTAAAAACAATAATAATTAATATTAATGCTAATTTAATTAATTTAATCAACCTGTTCGAATTTTATCCAACAATGGAGTACTTTCACGACGTTTTGGTGAAGAGGGTTGGAACATGGATTCCTAGTTGGGGGTAACAAAAAAAAAGGATAGCTTTACTAAGTTTATTCTTTCTCTTTTAAATTATTCATATCCAATTTTAGTTAAACGTGACAGATAAGAACTAAAGTCGTGTATTGAATGAAATTTTTGGATAGTTTCTTTCACCTTATTTCTACAGAGGTTAAATTAGGTCAACTAATAGCTAAGCGATTATTATCAACTGAATGAAGGCAGATTTAAGTTAGATTTTTTGTGTTATTATCATTTTTTACCTCATCCATTACTGCACATCGGTTTTTCTATAAAATTTTTACTTCAAACTTCACTAATGAATGGATTCTATGTAAAAGATTTAAATTTACCCTTCTCTTCATTTTATCCTTGAATTTCTCCCTCTTATTTTCGTGATTGTCATCGTTTTGCATCATACTTTCAGGTGTACTATCGTAAACTTTACGTGCTGCATTTAAAAGACGAACACAACTTCTCCTTTGTCTTTCGTAACAATTCGTATGACAAAATTGTTGATGTTCGCAGATAAAATTTGAATTATTAGCCAATCGTATTACGACTTTTATCCAAGGCATACACTTGGATAAGTCCAGTTCATCTTCGACAGTCGTTTCGTCCGCTTCAGTATTTGCCGAAGCTCCCTGCGTATTTTCGTCGTCAGCACTATGATCGTCGTCAGATTTCTCAGATTTCAAAGACTGAGTCGATACTTTCCTAGCACACCTAATACTTCCAACTCGCCTTAGGCCTATTTTAAGAATAAGAGAAAACAATTTTTCTTAATAAAAACATAATAAAAAAGTAAGAATCACATAATAAGAATATGATAAGAGAAGTAAATAATAATGATAATAATAATAAAAGAATTAAATCATCCATCCATGTATAAAAAAGGATTATCATATCCTTTTTATTAATGATGAAAAAAGTTAGCATGCCAATAAAATAGATGAATAATTATGTATTTGTATATATATATATATATATATATATATATATGAATTGAGTTAAAAAGGGAAAGGTAAGAAGATAAAATGTATATATGTATATTATGTATATATATACATATATACAAGGAAAAACACGATATATACAAAAGACACGGCTCATATTGACACACTCACACGCATACACACACACATTTATTTACTCAGTCACTCATTCACACGCATATATATACCGTATAAATTTATACATATACAGTATATATCTGTATATATTTACTTATATATACATTGATACATACACGCACACATGTACACATACACACAAAAAATCACAACAATACATTGATATATATTAGTATATAACGATATATATACTGTACATATTTACTGTATATACATACATATAAATAAATATACATATGTATATACACACGTTAATAGATCATCAGATTATAGTTCCGTTGAATTGGGTATATTTCTGATGATTTAATCACCAAAAAGAAAATAATAAAAAATACAAATACAACTGCAATTTTTACCAGGTGAACTACAGGCTGGATGTTCCGGTACACCCAGAGCATAATCGTCAGAATCTTCACGTTTCATTCCTTCTGGAAAGTTATACGCAGAAAGGGACATAATAAAAATTGAATAGGAAACTCTAAAACACTTTTACTTTTCCTTCAACTCTAATAATACTTAGAAAGAATGATAACTTACTTCCGGTTTCCCTTTTAACTTTAAAGCTTCTTTTTAAGCTAGAATTATGGCCAGAGCCTCTTCTCATCTTCAATAATTTACTTTTATTACTAGACTTTTTATTCTTTTCAGCTTCTGGCATTGCTAAGGATGTTGTACTACTATGTAAAGAATCTGACTTTTCTTCCGATCTTCCCCTAACAGCAAAACTAATTTTTCTGTCGCTCGGGCTGTTAACTAGTTATTTTAAAAAGGAAAAAGAAAGGAAATTGTATACCAGTTTATATATTATATATATATAAGAATTTGATAATCAAATATTGCATTTTAAAGTAAAAGTTGAAAGTACTTACCCATTAGGCCTAAATCTCCTTGGGAACTTCTAGAATTGCTACGATCCGAATGAGGTGGACTATTCAATCCGCTTGACCTCCTTACACTAGGTACTTTGACAGGTTTAACTTTGGGTAAATATTGAAAGGTTTCTCTAAGGAAAGTAGTTATTTCGAGAAGTAGCTGACAAGCCACCATCTTCAAAGCGTATGGGCAATCTGACCCAGAATGATTAACAGTTGCTTCATCTAGGAAGTCCTCTTCGTCATCTTCAACTCTCAATTCTTTCTTTACTTTTTCATCTTTTACTTGTTGCCCGAAAGCAAAATTATCGTTGGCCTCTTCATTAAGAATATACCACATCCTATTAGCGATAGCTTCACCCCAAAGATGAAACATTTTAGCAGCATTTCTTTGCAGTAAAAGTGTATATTTGTAGCCAGTTGGCTGATTCCGGTTATGGAAAGACCTTTATTTTTTTTTAAAGAAAAAAGAATTAGATAATTATAATGATTTCTAGCAGTTGTCGGTTTTTGTTTTCAAGCTATCTTATACAAATGTATCATATATTATATAGTACAGATACGTATTTTACGTATATATTGTAATGCTGGAATGTATTGCTGTCTTTATATACGATAATATAGCGTGTAGGAAGCAAATATTAAGAAAGATTTTTTTAATTAAACCTTCTTGCTAATTGAGGTAAATTCCTTTTCATCCAATTCGGCCATTCTCCTTTATTACATTTATTGATAAAGTAAGCGCATTCTAGAAAGAGCGTTGCCCTGGCAACTATTGGCGCCTCCTGTGAAATTTTCAACGTTTTATAAATTGTATATAATAAAGACTACTTGAGGCTACCAAATCGAGCAGAGCAGCCATTAGATGAGCATCGGGTACTGTTCCTGGTAAACAGCAGTCTAACATTAGATTAAAGCGGAGCATCCCCGATTTAACTGCATAACTGTTTACTAATCTCTTCTCTTTTAATAGAATCACTTCGGAAGTCATTGCATTATTAACTAATAAAGATTCTCTTTGGGAAGATTCTATTGATAAAAGACAGAATTAAACAAGCATATATAAGTTAGAGAAAAGTAGCTCACCATCGTCCATACTATCTCGTTTACTCATTCTGCGTTTGCTCCAGCTCCTTAAACCATCTTCTATCCGTTTTCGGGCACTTAAAAAGGTCAGAGTTGCTTGGCCAGCAGCTTTAAATGACATTTTTGACTTGGAGCGAAATGTATCGGAAGATGGAGATGATTTACTCTCCCTTCTACTTTCGTAGTCACTTTGGTCATCTTCATGATCGGATCTAGCTCCTGTTCCACTTTTCTTCCAAGCACCTTAAAATAGCATTAGCCAATTAGGCATGTCCTTTACTGTTATAAATTTAAACTGACTTAGCGCGAATTTGCTGAACTTTCTTTTGGGAGTAGTAGGACCTGAACTCGGCTCTTCTCCTTCTCCGGAGACAGAGACTCTAGGACTAAGCTTTCCGGTTCTCTGCTCATCGAGCGTTTCCGAGTCACTAGCTGCTCCTTGTGCATTCGTTAATGCCTGCTATATGAAAAGAATAACAAATGTCACAATAAAAGAAGAAAAATAGGAGAATCTCTTATTCAAGGCCTGAATAAAAACCTTTCGCGTTTTCTTCCTAAATAGAGATCTTCTGCTTCCGCTACCCGATTCATCCAAAGAACAGAAAGATAATGTTTTTTGTCCATCCTCCGCATTATCCGAATTCATCGACATAGTCCGCCTATAAGGGAGAATTGGAATATTTAGTCGAAATCTAATAAGATAGAATAAATGGAGCAATGAAGCAGTTTTTTTAATATATTCATTTTTTTATCAACTGTCTTAATACCCTCGTTTAGGATAACTTGCCATGCTCTATCCATGCATACAAGAAATTGGAACCACCATTTTTTTATAGCTATTAAGTTGTTCTTTTAAAGTTATATATTAAAAATTTTGACGGTAACTTTCCAATTTTGTTTTTGTATGATAAAAGTAAGGAAAAAGGAGATTAGTACTTTTTTTTCTTTAAAAAATTGTGGTACATAAACAATCTGAACTAAATCGTAATCAAATATAGAAATAAAAAATATGTATATATGTACGTAAATCATCAACATAACAACAAAAGTAAAAAACAAATCAATTTTTTTTTAAAAAAAAAAATGGACTTTGAATCAATAAAACATAAACAAAAAATAAAGTTGTCCTTCATTTGACCAACATCTTACCTGATGTACTTAAGTAACGGTTTAGATCTACGTTTAAAAACACCAGTTTTGCCGCTAGTTTCCGCCTCATTTCTGGAATACGCCAAATCAGCCCGCGCAAAATAATTTTTTTTTTCACTGTATATACATTTATCTAAACGTTCCATTAAACTATTTTGCAGCTAAGAACAATGTTTTTTTTTCTTTTTTTTTTTAATTATTGGAAAAAAGTGTTTATATATATACTTTATATATATATATAAGTATATATGTCTATATATAGGTATATATATATATATATATATATAGTATATATAAAGAAATTTGCAATACAACTAGGTATCAAAAATGCAAAAAAGTGTAAAAATAAAAAATAGAAAAAAATATATCTATATGCATGTCTACCTATCTATTTCTAAAATATAGAACTGTTAGATAGACATATATATATATATATATATATTTATATTGAGAGAGAGAGAGAGAGAGAGAGGGAGAGGGAGAGAGAGAAAGACTATATATAAAATAACAATGATGTGCTAAATATTCTCAAATTATTATATTTCTCTATAGATTGTTGTTTGCTAGCTTTCACTGTTTTTTCCTTTTAATATATATATATATATATATATATATATATATAAATTTATATATAGAGATTTATCTTCTCTTCCTATATTTTTTTGTCCCTCTCTTTTTTTCGTAATCATATGCTTTCTCTTTTTTCAAATCAAGAAAAAAATATAAAAAAGAAAAATTTTCTTTGATGTGCAAAAAAAAAAAATGAAATAAAATTATTCAAAGAAAAAGATTTCGACACGTAAAAAAAACGTGTGTACATGTTTTATATTTTAAAAAAATGTTATAGTTATTTTAATTTAGATAGTAGAAAAAAAAAATATATCTATTTCGAAAGATAGGATTTTTTTTTCTTATTAGCTGCCTTACATGATTGAATAAGTAAAATTCGCTGAAATTAACTTACTTAATAACTGTCGGAGGCATCTTTTCTTCACCTAATTTCCTCCTATCGACTGCGTCTACTAAGCCGCTTAACGCTACTTTTCTAAAAGTACTGCCGTGTGTCTCTTTTACGTGACAAACGAACTGACGAACGTCGCAATATAAATTCTTTACAAATAGGGAAAAGAAAAGTGTTATTTAAATAATTACTCAAGTAAAAATTTATACTTACTATATTGTCTTGAGAGTGAATTTCTTTCGACGAATCGACAAATTTTGAAATGAGTTTCTTTAATATAATAAGAACGATAAAACTATCGGCTTTCCTTTCCTTTCCCTGATCTTCGCCAAAGTTGCTTGAGTAACCAGTTTTATTGCTTTCAGAGGAGCTTGTTTTCCTGCTTTTCTTATCTTCGCCTTCTGAGCAAAAACCGAGAAGAGCGTGCAGAAAGTTCATGGTTGATTGCAGTTGTTGGTCTACTAGAGTTTTAGTAATAAACGTGCTGAAAGAGGACGGATTAATATTCCTCAGTCTATCTAGGCCATTCAGAGCGTGGCTACGTAACTTGTCTCCTATGTTACCGCGGATAGCCTCATTACCTTTAGAACAATTATGGCGATTGTGTGAATAATCAATTAACAAGCATTGTTTGTTTAATATACTTACAACCATAAGGACAGCCCAAGCATCGATATATTCTGCACATTGTTTCCATAGCCATGAAAAAACATCCATCCTTCTCTTTTTGATCAGCTTTTGAGTCAGTTTCTTTTACGGAATTTGGATTGTTATTATTGTTATTGTCGTTTCCTCTTTTTGATTTTTCATCATTCTTCTCCTCTTTCTCAATTATACCAAGGTCTAGAAGACAATCGACAATATTTAAAAGCGCCAAACAAACTCTTGCGCTACAATCTCTTGATGAAACGATATAGGCTGCTTTTAGTACAACGGCATAATCTAAATGGCCGTTTGAGTCTGTATAGTAGACGCAACCGGCAACTTCCTGCACCTCTTCCGTTGACAAATACGATATGTTTGAGTCAGTTAAACTTCTTTGCGCTCTTAACAAACGTTGTTCGGGATTAACTGATCTTGCAGAGATAAGACTCTCTCGTTTTACACTCTTCCAAGACGATTGATAACTTGGTGAGGGTTCTGGACTATCTTCAGTTATAGTGATGATTGGATTTTGTCCTGTTAAATCAGGTTTTAAGCTACCTGTTCTGCATGCTGAATCGTTTGCCGAATTATTAATTGTAACAGATGTCGCCTGACTTGGATCGACAACTATGGACGGCATACTCTTTCTTCTAACAAGCTGAGTGCTAGAAGAAGCAGAGGATAAACTATCGTTTTCCGTCAATTCTTCCTGTTCGCATAGCTTTGTTAGACTACCAGCCTGATAATCTGGTGTGCATCTGCCTGAAATGTTTTCGTCACCTTCGAATTGCTCGCAAGATTGTCGCCTTATTAACTTTTTCATTTTATCGTCCAATAATTGTTTAAAGTCTTGCATTCTACTTCGTTTGAACGACGATTCTTTTTTAGTAACGCCTTTTTCAATGGACGGATGAAGAATGAGACTGTCTCGTCTTGACGATATCACCGTTAGGTCGTCTATTATTGAACTCTTTGTGTCGGGATTTGGCAAAGACTTTGAACGCTCTCGAATTAACTCAAAGCTTGAAATTTCGTCAATGACTTCGAGAAGACGTCTATGCACATATTTCAAACACCAATAGACGCCTTCCTCCTGCCATTGGCTACAAAATAGACACCTTAAAACTGCGACATCCATATAGGAAGCACTTAGAACGTCGACACGGTCGGAAATTATCTTAGAACTGTCGATGTTCGATGACTTAGGAGATTGTGTAACCGATTCTACCTTCGTTAGAGTACATTTCCTTTTCTTTTCCGTTTGACTGCACTTGCATTCAGTTTCTCCATGTTTTCCATAAATTATTTCATTACATACTTCACAAATCACCTCGACTACTGCCGTTTGTGTATCAGCTGCCTTAACTGGTGGAGACTGAGCAGCTGATTCTTCTTGTTCTTCTTCTTTTTGATTATTATCTTTCATCTCCTCGACCTCAACTTTAACTTCCTCATCTCTTTCGATCTCAAAATCTTTCATATCTAAATCTCGTCGTTGTTTCGTTGAGAAAGGCTCTTTACGAACGAAATCCTTGTGAACTCTAGCTTGACTACGTCTTGGCTTAACAGGCATGGAAAAGCATGGAATATCCGGTTGCCTATGCTCCCAGAGAGGTATCCAAAGTCGTAAACCATTTTCAAGTTTTAAACTTTGAAAATCTTCTTCCCTAATAGAACTTAACAAAGGACCGAAAAAGTAGATAAATAATTGAATCGTCTCTAATGAATGTAAATAATTGCGCAGATTTTTTTCTTTTTCCTTTTGTTTTTCTGGGGATGAAGCTGTTTGTTCATCACCCAAATAAATATCTCCGGTTCCAGTTCCGGCTCCCCCAGTTGTTCCCTCCTCGCATTCAGATGCAGCATCTAACAAAATCCAATGCAGTGTATACAAAAGCTTAATTTCGTTCGGACCGAATTTGCAGCCTGGACTAGATTCTTTCCGCTTCCGGATTAGAACGGAACAACAGTGCATTACATGAGGCAGAGCTGCTTGTATTACTTTCCATCTGTCAACACTTTGCAACGCTTCACATAGACTAGGCGATAAACCGTGCAGGATGTTTTGAACTAATACCCTCTCAAATGACTAAAACATAAATAACAACGAAAAATGATGTAGTTTTTAATTAACCTTCAACTCACCACACATGATGCTTCGCACAATTTTCCCAATTTCAATCGAAAGAAGGGGCTATAAATGACAAACCCTATAATTCGCGCCAAATGAGCATAATTAATTACCTAGTTTGTCGCCATAAAAAGGTTTGTATGGGGATTGGAATCGTCTGATCGCCTTCAGCGTCGTCATTGTCAGCAAATTTTCGCTTCACCATGTCGAGTCAAGATCCCCTATCATATCAATACACGCATCTGTAACATCACTAGCTAGTTTGTCCTCACGCCATTTTGATTTCCCGCGATAATTTATTAGACTGGTTTCTTTTCAAAATCATAGTATGGTTCTTATCCTGCATGACCTTGACCTAAAAAGGAACCGTATTTCGACATAAACAACCATTCTTACCCTTCAGGATGGCATCTTTCGTCCTTCGAAATCACTCCCTCTTAAGAACTTTACGTAGAGTGAATAGATCAACTGTGGAAAATATTTTCCGGTCAAATCAACCAATGAATTTGTCGAATGCCGGAAACCTTAGAACATTGTCAACTGGCAAACATTTTAAACCGGCTTTTAAACTAGACACATACAGTATGTTTAAATTGTAGATAGCTATAACTACATAAAAGACTATACTCCGTATTTCAGGAAGAAATCTATCAAGCGAAATTCCAACTTCTAAAAAAAAAGAGCTGTCAATAGAAGAATTGATAGCGTTAATTGAGGCTCGAGATATTAAATTAATAGATGTAAGGGAACCCAAGGAAATAGAGGAAACTGGTTATATAAAAGGAGCATTAAATATACCCTGTTCGTATCAGATTTTTTTCTTAAATAGTTTCCTTCTTCTTACAAAGTAAAACTTTTCCAATATGTTCTTTAGTAACAAAGTTAAAGGAAGCCTTACAAATGACTCCAGAATCATTTTCGGAACACTACAAACGTTCTCAGCCCCAAAAACACGATTCAAATATCGTTTTCTACGGGCTTGGTAGCGTAAAAAGTACAGCCGCTCTAGAAATTGCACATAGATCTGGATTTAAAAAGTAGCTTATCTGAAAAACTGAAAATTATAATATTAAATTCTTTTCTTTTCAGAGCCAGACATTTTCCAGGAGGTTGGGAAGAATGGAGTACAGAAGTTAACGCAAAAAATTGACTTGAAGAAAGTATTTATCAAACTTGAAGAAAAAAATAACAACAAAATTTCGAATATATCTTTTTTTTTATAAAAAAAAAAGAATATATATCCTTGGTTCTTTTTGTTTAATTATTATATTTTTGTATCTGAATTATTCGGTCGTAAAGTAGCTTACCTTATTCCGTTTTATAACCAACCTTTAATTATTGTCTAATTCCTTTTTTGTCTTTTATTATTTTGTTTAAAAAAAAATTTTCATTAGACAAAAGCCAATTTCGATTCTACATGATACAAGTTATTAATGAATATCATTGTGATAAATATTGTTTTCGAGAAAGCCTATTAACATTTTTAAAATGTTAATTATGCTGATAATTAAATAAATTCATACGATTTGATTCAATTCATATTCGTAATTGTTGCATTAATATTGGAGTTTCTGCAATATTCTTAATTATTTCTCTTGTATCAGCAAAGGTTATAGTTTTCTAAAAACACGATGAGTTTACAAAGTCATTGTCTTATTCATTGAACAACTCCTACACGACGCTACAGTTTAATGACGTCTTATTTGAAAGGAAGTGTAATACATCTGCTGACAAAGCATCTTTTTCCTATATTGAATGAAGAAAGAAGGCTTGTTGATATGTTTTTGTAGGAATTATTGATCTAAATTTCATTTTGGCTGAACAATAGATGAAATATTTTTTTTCAAAATATTTCAGATATTCATGGCTAATTAAGTTCTATTAATTATTTACTATTAGCTCTTCGTTAGGTCAGGATATCAGTCATTGATTTTACAGATTGTTCCAAGCAAGACATTGCTGACTACCTCATTTACTCATACATTACCCTATTAGAGGAAATGTACCGTTATTTCCGGTATATTGATTATATAAATATATATAAAATTTATATACAGAATAAAGATAGTTTAAATATCCATTATGAAATAATAGTGAAACTGTAAAAGAGATTTATTGAAGCCTCCACAAACTGTTTCGATACGTTAAGGAACGATAGAGACATAATAATACATAGTTTATTATTTGTTTCAATCAACAATTACTTAAATCTTAACTCTTATTCATGAAATAACTAATAGATCTTATTCTTCCAATTTCCGGCAGCCTTTTATTCAATTCAGCTTTCCTATTTCAAATTTCTTGAATATTTCGGAAGCAGAAAATATAAGGCTATCGATGATTCCAGCAACGGTGAAAGTTCCGCCCACAATTGCGCATAATGTTGTTAAGAACGAATATATTGGCTTTCTTCTCTCATGATATCTGTAAAATAATTTAATATAATATTGATAAATATTTAGTATGCACATATACGTGTTTGTACGTCGTCAAGATGTCTATATGTACATGTGTATAACGCTTAAAAACATATACTAATGCATATGTATATTAGTATACAGTATATACTATATATATATAAACAGTATAAAAAACCTAATCTAAAAGAGTAATATATGTTAAACATATCCTGTTTAAAAATATAGAATAAATTAACACAAATTCATATATCAGACATTTATCTATGTATATGATATATCTATAAAGAATAGTGTAATATTGTTGACACTTTACATACTTGACAGTAATTGGACTCAGATCATATCGAAACCAAATTGCTGGAATGAAGCGATGACCGTGGCCATATTGAATGTAATCCTATAAGAAATAAGAGATGTGACATTAAAGTAGTTTTTTTTTCTAATTATGCATAACCTTACCCTGTAAGCAAATGTATATTGATAGGGATATATTGTGTAACCATGGAAATTCTCAAAAATTGTTGGTACAACTTTCATGAAATAATCATGTGAGGACGTAGCTGATGGAATTAATGGTTATTTCTTACATGATATAAACAACATTTGTATGCTCACGATTCGCTTCTCGTTTATCTCTATTTATTAAAGGGTTGAAGGAGCCAGGTAAATCAGCAGCCTATAATAAAACACACTTTCATATGTATTTTTTATTTATTTAAGCTTTAAATCCACCTCAGGAACTTGATCGCCAAGTGTGACGTGGTGTATTAAATGTGTCATGTCGGGGCTGTCTGGTTGTTCAGAAGATGCGTGGGTTGATAAATGGAAGTTACCCGGAACCTGAATAGATATATTTTCAAATCTGTGCAATATCGATTTTTGTACGCATTTCAGTAAACAAACCTTGTTAACTTGAAACTTGGCCTTAAATCTGCACCCTTCCCCATCGTTAAGAGGATCCTTAATGACAGAATCCACGTAACCAACCTCATGCCTTCCCATATCATCTTGAATATCTAATCCTATAACTAATTTAACAAAAATAAGTAGAAAAATTCAACTATCTTTTACATACAATCGCATTTCATTTTCGGAAGAGTGACATCAATAGAGATGGGAATTCTTTCAACCAACTTTGTAGGATCGTCAACAAACAGCTCGCTAACTCTGATATTTATAATTTGCATTAACATCAATAAATATATTTCATTTAAATAATCTAGAATATTTACGTTTCTGGGTAAAGGAATGAAGTAAGTTCAGACAAGAGAAGACATATTATAAAGAGTATGCTAGCAACAGATATATATGCTCCTGTTGTTGTTGGCTGGGTGAGATCTTTAGGGATTTTCCTATATACATCAAATCTGGAAAAATTAGTTACTCTTTAGTGATAAAACATTTAAAGATAGCCTTTTAAAAAGTTTGTATCTTAATTTGAGTTAAAAAATCTATATCTATTCATATTATCGCTCTTGATTTTATAGAAGTTCGTAAATGTATTTAATGCTTTCTATGTTTTTATTCAATTGAGTATAAGGTAATTAAGTTAGTTTGTATTTGTTTCCTCTACCTTCTTACGTCAAACTGCATAATCGGACTTTCCTTTCACTAACAAAACCGTAAACTTTTTATGACCCGGTCTACGTAACAGGAAACAAAATTTCTGCGCAGGCGTAGAGCACTATTTTGCAAGCGAGGGGGCCGATAGACGTCGCCACCGTAATGCATCAATGAAAACGTATCCGGCGCATTAGCATCAGCATCGTAATGAGTAAAGAGTGTTGTTTAATATTTCTGCCATCTTCTCAATGAAAATCAGCAACTGTTTTAGAGGACTTATCGAAATGTCAGTCTCCGTGATGACTACAAGAGATTTGGGTGAAAAACTGACGGAAACGCAAGATGACGGCGTTCTGATAATCGATACGCGTCCTCCCATGATTTTTAACGCCTCCCATATTAAACAGGCGCATAATGTTCACTGGCCACCCATTGTGAAACGACGCTCGGGTAATCATATGAATTTGGAAAACATCATACGCTGTCCACATACAAGGGCCAAGCTAGCTGCGGGACTCTTTCATACTATTGTCGCTTATGACGAACGTTCTATCAGTCTATCATCAGTTCCGAAAGACGCCAACCTGATTCTAGTCTTACAAAGCTTGGAAAAACAGGCAACGAAAGTGAAGAATCTACGCTTTCTAGAAGGTAAATTAAAGCCGAAACGTGTACATAACGTACTATAGAGCGACAGCTGTTGGGAAAGTTATACCTTTAGTAAATTTGTAGGCCTATTAAGCGTACATAGTCTGTTTCTATCTAAATATAACTAAGACTCTATTATTATATCTTTTTTATTTACAGGTGGCTTCGAGCAATTCCGTTACGAACACCTGCACTTGTGCACGTCTGCTTCCTCTTCCCTGCCAAGCGATGATGTTAATCTGGCATCTATTTCCGGACACGGCTATTTAAGCGTTCCAGCGTCTTTACCGAATAAACAACATCACCCAATACTTGATCAGGGAGATCCAGTACAATTACTACCATGGCTTTATCTTGGTTCAGCCTGGCACTCACGACAATTATCAATATTGTCAAGATTGGAAGTCACCGCCCTGTTAAATGTCAGTTCAAATGAGCCTACTCCTCCACCTCCTTTCGCTGTCAAAAGTAAAAGAATTCCAGTTGATGATACCTGTACAAGCGACATAAGTTGCTGGTTCGCGGACGCAGTCAAGTTCATTGGTCGGTATTTAGGCTAATTTATTATTCTTATTCATACGCAACAGTATTGATTTGTAACAAGAGCTTTCAGCTGAGGGAAGGGAACTTTTTATGATTAGCTATTCTATAAGGGACATGTCCCGATCAGTCTGTAGGCGTTAAAGGAAAAATTTACGCCCACGTACAATCGATAAGCCGCGTGGGCGTTTTTAGAGAAGCGTCACAACCCATAGGCCTATGAACTTGTTTATTATTCTTTTTATCTTCAAAACAGACCGTGTTCACTCAGAAGGAGGAAAAGTACTAGTTCACTGCTTAGCGGGTATTAGCAGATCAGCTACAATATGTTTAGCCTACTTGATGAAACAGAGAAAATACACTTTAGATCAGGCATTCGACTACTTGAAAGCTAGAAGAGAGATAATATCACCGAATCTGAATTTTATGCGACAACTACAAGAATACGAAACAGCTTTGAAAAGGGAACCGTCAACGCCCTTAGCGTCTCCACCTTCTTCCGCTCCAGTTGGCTCCCACAGCGCTCCGAATACGCCAAGGGCCAAAAGACGAGCACTATCCCTTCAATTAACACCCTGTACTCAGCAAGCGGCCTTCGTTTTCGACATTCCGTCGATATCATCATCGAACTCGCCGTCCGGTAGTTTCACGCATTCGCCAACCCTAGTCGAATCGCCCTCGTGACTACTTGCACAAACTTTTTCTCTAAAAAAAATGCAATACGCGTAGAATGCTTTTGTACGTCTTGTGTTTGCACAATTCGACAAACAATTTTTAGAAACAGTTGTAGTAAATAAAAGTTTCCCGTCTCTTTAAGTTTAAAATGACAAGCCAATTAAGAAGCCACCGATGAATGAACCAGTAAAAGCAACGTTCCGGCGAAGGATACTCATCAATTTTGCCATCACTGGCTGAACAGCTTCTCGTTTATCAACATCTTGACGAAGTTTTCTCATCGACTTTTCTATTTTTTTCCAATCAATATTTATATATCCTTGTTGATTAGCGAAATGGATAACTATCAAGCTACCTCCGACTAATGCTAATACTGCTCTGGATACTTTAGCCATGGCAAGTCCGCTGACACATCCAGAAGCACCTAGAATATTAAATTGTTTAGAATAAAATATTATTGTTAAACTAAAAATAAACCTCCAATTGCCATTTGCTTTGAGGGAGATGCTGTTGCTAGTTCTTTCCAAACTTTATTAACTACACTATTAACAGCCTGATTATCGGTTACATCAAGGATTTCGTAATCTTCATCATTCTGATCATTTCTAGGCTCAGGCATGTTCATTAGCTTCTAATTTCCGAACACTTTTGTGAAAAATAGTGGAAGACACTTTCGCTTAATCGGAATTGCCAAAAGTGATTAAATTTATGTATACCGATTTTCAACGACTACCTTCAAATTTGACATAAAGCGGAAGTTTATTAAATTTGTGCGCATGCGCAGTCTCTTTTCGGATCTAAAAAATCGACGGGGATAAATAAATACTCAATTTTCCCGACGGAAAATTTACCGCTAAAATTATTTCATCCGAATTTAGATCTTGAATACTGATCAACAATCGTGGATATCACTTGTTTCTATAATAATTACTTGCGTATACTAGGATTATAAGAAACTAAAGCAGTTGATCCCTGCCGATTACTGACGAATTAAAGGATCCTTACAAATTTCGGAAAAAAATCCATCCAATAAAAACCAAAATTTTGACGAAAATACTAGACATTCCATGTCGACATGTCGTCAGAAGACGCTGTTTCCCAAGATATAACCATTCCACCGGCTGAAAATTCAGAGAATGAGGAACAAAAGCAACAAACGAACACCGAAGAATTCACAATCGACGAGAAAGTGAAAATCATACAACTTGACAGGTAACCCTGATCGGTTTAGTAACGTAGCATTTAAGATGTATTGTATATTATTACAGTCGAGATTTTGGATTTATTAACTTTGATAACAACACTACACAAAAAGAAGCCCTAAAAAAGGTATATATGTTGCATAAAAAAGCATTTTCTTAAACAACCTACTTACGATATTTCCATAGGCTGTTAGTGGTTTAGAAAAAATTTTAGCCAGACAATGTAAAGCTGCGAATGATAGCACGGATACATGTATTATCCAACCGAAAATATACAGAATATTGGGTCATCTAAACCTTCTTCTCGATAACTATCACAAGGGTATAAATTCTCGAGTTTTTATACCTATCTAAACGTACTCATGTTCATATTCCTCTCTTTTTTAGCACTATCAGCCTATCAAAAATGCTTTCAGCTACATAAAACGTATTGGAAGGTAATACAATTTTTTTTTATTTATTCTTTTTATCCTCTATGATTAAACAAAGAAATTTGAGGCTAAATGACATTTTTCAAGATATATTTTCATAATAAGTATCCTGAATATCGCATACTTCACATTCTTTCATATATACATAAGTAATTATATGTATATTAATATAAAATATAAATACAAACAAAATAAACAAAACAACTCAATTCTATTATGAATTGTATGAGACACGTTGCTGTTTGTTTAAGCATATATATTAACATCAAAACGATTTACGCTAAAACTCTCTAATACTATATATAGACGATATTCAGCATAAATACATATTTTATATAAAACACGTATATAAATATTTATAAATTTTTATCCTTTCTCTTAATAGGATGCTCCACTGTTGTATGGCTTAGGAATCGTTTATTTTCACTTTAACGCTTATCAATGGTATGTATAAATACTTTTGAATATTTTTCAATGTTATTATTCTTTGCTTATTACGGGGTAAAAATGTTTTATTGCTAAAAACAAAGAAAATCGTGTTCAATTGTAATTAATTAACAGTATCTTCTAAAATATCATTTTTCCAATATTATTTTTATTTATAGTTGTAAAACTAATGATAAATTCTAAATAATCTTTCTATCTTTGTGTGTGTGAGTTTCTTTGTTTTTTTTCTTCTCTCTGTATTATTTACATTCTACGTTGATAGATAATATTTCGGCTATAGAAAAAATATTTAAGCCTACTACTTTCCCACGAAATTTTTAAGTCATTAAGAGTTAGAAATAGTTGTGGTTAAGCCTACGTTGTGAGAAAGCTACAGAATTCATTCAGCTCTCGTTACCAAGGTTATTATCGAGATATAATCGACGTGTGTACCGTAGTGGCGCTTCAGTTGTAGTGTGAAGACCCTATGAAAGAGGAAAGTTGTAGTAAGTTGTAAAATCGACTAGTAATAACGTATAAAAGTAGGATTTTACATAACCGATTAACAGTTTATAAAGCGAATAGAGAAATTAGACGCCATATGTGAGGTACGTAAATGTGCTCGCTTAGTGTAAGAATTGTTTGCATCTACATAAAGGAATAATTGGACGGTCGGACGCCTTAAAATACCATTCGAAAATTCGTTAACAGAATGCAAATCGGTACGCGGGTATGATTGTTAACGCTTCGAAGAAATTCGATCGATAAACAGGTTTTCTTTTGTTGTTATTGTTGTTTTCGGGGTGGGGGTGGGGAGGAGTGAGAGTGAGACTGATTCGTTTTGCTTGGCCATTGGTCAAATGGCTAAAAATACCATCAATTCAAATCTGGCCCCGTTTTCCTAACCCTCTTCATGACGTCATTTGAATCGATACGCAGGTGTGGAGAGATTCTCCTTCCTTTCCAGCTATTTGCCTATCCGGTAAATAGATTTTTTAAAGAATTCGCCGATTTTGACCTCATTTTTTCGGGGGAGGGCGGCGTCTAAACGCATGATTGCGCGCCTTCTATGCGCACCTGTCCCTCCGCCCGCACCACGTGCTTCTAGGAACACAAAGCTGCCCCGCTACACACAAAGACGCCAGACGCCAACGACGCTTCGTATTTAGTTGGGATTCTTACTTTCGTCCCATTTTTTATCTATGTAAATTTTTGAGATACCAAACATTTTTTGGTTTCAATACCTAAAAGCAACAGGCCCTAGATTTTTATTGGATAGTTTGCCGCCAAAGAGGAAGTAAAGCAAAAGTATGTATGGAAAGAATGTTGTTGTTTACGCGCTGTACTGCCGCCATTACTGTTGTTGGGGGAAGTTAGGATTTTATAGCCCCCGCCTATTTTTTACCGTTTTTTCTCGTTTTCAAGTGCTTATCAAGTGAAGTGTATTGTAAACTATTGGCCTGCTTGTATACAACACTTTCACTTTTAGCAATTGCCTAAATAGCTATACCGTTATTAAAGCAACCCTTTTGTATTTTGTTTTTTAAATTCGATTTTCAAAGGTTACTCTGATTTATGACCCCATTTTATTATGGTTGTTAGTGTGACAAGCTACGTCTAATACAGCCAATATTGTCTTTCAGGGCTACCAAAGCTTTCCAGCAAGTTTTATACATCGACCCATCTTTTTCAAGGGCAAACGAAGTTCATATCAGATTGGGATTAATTCTTAAATTGCAGTGTGATTTTGATACTGCTCTGAAGCATCTTCGATTAGCTCTAGCTGATACAGCTGAATGTTCATTGTCTAAGCACGAACTCAGATTTCATATAGCTCATACATACGAACTTCAAGGAAAGTGGAGAGCAGCTAGGGATTCATACGAGGCCGTCATTGCTGGTGGTAACGACGTTCCTCACAACGTCATCGCCAACGCATACCGGCAATTGGGTTGGATGTACCATTGTGTTGAGGCAATAGGTGATCGACAATCGAGAGACGAAACAGCTATAAAGTGTCTTCAAAACGCTATTAACTCGAACGGATCTTGTGGACAGAGTTGGTACCTACTAGGAAGGTGCTACTCCTCTGCCGGCAAGGTACATGATGCGTTCATGTCCTACAGGCAATCAATCGATAAATCGGAGGCGTCGGCCGATACATGGTGCTCAATCGGCGTTCTCTATCAACAACAATCCCAGCCAATGGATGCTTTGCAAGCATATATATGTGCAGTGCAACTAGATAAAACTCACACGGCTGCTTGGGTTGATTTGGGAATACTTTACGAAAGTTGCCATCAACCAAGAGATGCTTTAACCTGTTACCTAAATGCTACTCAACATGGAAATGCTTCAGTTAATCCTAATTTACAGGCACGGATAAAATTACTTGAAACACAATTGTCCAAAGTGCCTCTGCACACCTTACATAGAAATAATAAACCATTACCGGGAATTGAGGAGGCCTGGTCACTACCAATACCAGCTGAACTAACATCTAGACAGGGAGCAGCCACACCATCTCGTTCAGCAAATTCCTCTGCGGATTTTGATGGATCTCCAGCAGCAAAACGGTTGAAGAAAGTCGGTACCATGATGAATGTAAGTAGTATTAATTAGAAGAAAATCAATTGTCTAAATTATTAATACGAAATCAACAACAGGACCTAGCTCTTCCAGTACCACCTCCGTTAAATCCTCAACAATTGCAGATGCTCAATTGCTTACAGCAGCAAGATCCAGTAAATTATTATTCTCTTGGTTTTATTTTAATCTAAATAGCTCTTAACCTCTTTTAGAATACCATGACGCAAAACAATCGAATCGTTCTTCAAGACTTACAAGCTCAATACTTGGCCCACCAACAACATCAACAACAGCAGCAACAACAGCAGCAACAACAACAGCAACAACCACCGCCATCTCAACCTCCGCAACAGCCTCAACAACCTCAACAACCGTTTGAACTACCACCACCTCAAACAACCCTTCCAAATTCGCACGCAACCATTGGACCAAACTTTCCCAATAGTAATGCTAAAGAAGAACTACATAATTCAGTTAGTGATCAAGAAATTACAGATTTCCTCAGCAAACATGATATTACTACCTCCATGGCTGAGGACCTCTTAGCTCACTTTACAAAAGGATCTTCTGATGGTGACAATACCAGTTCACCGGGACCTCCTGAATTGTCTAAAGTAACTGATGATTGGGCTGATAGTCTGGAACGAGTAACGGATAGTCCGCCTCCTCTTTTAACTCCTATAACGCCTTCCATAGGTATTCATATGCGAGCACAGGCAGTAATTGATGCCTGTAAAAGTCTCGGTAGAACTGGTACCTTCTCAAATTCTCTACTGCCCGACGAAAGTCAACCTCCGTGTCCGCCCCCCAATCCTTTTCCTTCCTTACCTCCCGAAAAACTTCATCCTCCAACACCTAGTATATATTTAGATAATAAAAAGGATGCATTCTCTCAAGAGTTGCAACAATTTTGTCTGTCTCAACATGTATGTATTATTCGGGGATTAGCCGGTGCTCTAAAACTGGATCTAGGTTTATTTTCAACAAAGAGCTTAGTGGAAGCTAATGCTGATCATCCAGTGGAAGTCCGCACACAGAGACAATTCGCACCAGATGAAAATAGAGATGGTTCAGGAAACAGAATTTGGCGTTGTGAAAGTTCTAGATCTCATACAAGTATTGCCAAATATGCTCAATATCAAGCTTCATCGTTTCAAGAATCATTAAAGGAAGAGCAGGAAAGAAATAAAGGCGTTTTAAAGGAAGATGAACAACAGCTAAAGAAAAGGAAATACAAGCTCATTAAATTTGGCACTAATGTAGATTTGAGCGATGATAAAAAATGGGCTCCCCAATTACAAGAACTAACGAAATTACCATCTTTTGCTCGTGTTGTAGCGGGTAATAATATGTTGTCACATATCCATCATACGATACTTGGTATGAATTCTGTACAGTTATATATGAAAGTACCAGGTTCTAGAACTCCTGGACACCAGGAGAATAACAACTTTTGCTCCGTAAATGTAAATATTGGACCCGGAGACTGTGAATGGTTTGCAACACCTGAATGCTATTGGGGAGTTATTCACAGGTTGTGTGAAAAGCATAACATCAACTATCTAACTGGATCATGGTGGCCTATTTTAGAAGAGCTGGAAGAAGCTAAAGTTCCAGTTTATAGATTTGTGCAGAAACCGGGTGATCTCGTGTGGGTAGGTTCAGGTGCCGTCCATTGGGTTCAGGCGATTGGCTGGTGCAACAATATTGCCTGGAATGTGGGACCTATAACAGCTAAACAATATAGTCTGGCTGTTGAGCGCTATGAGTATAATAAACTGCAATCTTATAAAAGCATTGTGCCGATGATATATCTCTCATGGAACTTAGCAAGGAATATCAAAATGACAGATATTCGATTGTTTGAGCAAGTTAAATTTGTTCTATTACGGTCCTTGCGATTTACAGCTTTGATACTCGACTTCTTCGACGCAGTTGGCAAAACAGTCAATTATCAAGGAGTTGACAAAGGAGAACCAGCTCATTATTGCCATACATGCGAAGTTGAAGTCTTTAACATCCTCCTGGTGACAGAACACGAAAAGAAACAATGTCATGTTGTTTACTGCCTAGATTGCGCTAAACGTATCTCTCCTGATCTTTCAAATTTTGTTGCACTTCATCAATACCATATGAAAGAGCTTATCCAATGGTACGACGACTTTATTCTAGGAGCAGCGGTAAGTCACTGTTAATAGGATAATTCGAAAAAAAAAGAGTTCAAAAGGCATTCAAATATTTAATTTAATAATCAATTTTAGAACACTGCAGTAACAACTGCCTGAATGATAAATGTAATGGCAGGGACCAACGGCTTATCAATAGTGAAAAAAAACGGACAGTTTATCAATTTTTCCATGGATAACAAGAGTCGCTTTGTCAAGTCATATGTATATGTTGAAAATATAACGGTTCGTAGCGAATTATATTTGTTTTAGTAAATGATTGAACTTAGATTTATTAATTGTAGTACATTCCTGCCTTTTTTTCACAGTTTGTTGTCACGATTTATGTCTTGTGTTGTAATTATAAGCGTTTAAATACAATAATATTCCTCGTTTATTACAAAAACTATTTAAAAGTAGTAGTTTCTTCTTATATTCATATCAGTAAGAATTATTAAAAGGAATAAAATCCCAATCACTTGATCAATCCATATCTGAAAAGTTTTAGATTTTGCATTTAATAATCCAATTATTTCTGAATGGAATAAAGGGTAAATCTTTATAAATAAGGAATGTTTTGTAAAGGAGAATAACTACAAATTGCCAATATTTTTTCGAGACAATAATCCCAAAAAAACAACCATTTTTATTGGTTTCTGTTTAGTTTTTAATATTTCTTCTTTCTATTCCTTTGCTAACAACTATACGGTTATCTACAGAAAAAACAAAACCAGAATAAACTAGGTAGTCATGTATTTATTGCTTATGAAATACAATATAAATTTCACATAGTATCTTTTATTAGCCATTTATTCAAGATAAAACATTATGCTTCATTGTTATAAACACTTATTAAGCCTCTGTCTGATTAGTTGCATAGATAAATATTATGAGGAGCTACAAACTCAAATCTACCAGGTTCTCTTCTTCAACAGTTCTTTATTTATGATTCGTTTTAAGAGATCATCAACAGAATCTTCTTCGGTACTGGCTTCGCAAGAATCTTCGACTCTTTCCACTGATAAAAATTCATACTCAAACTTTAGAAAAAGCATATATGATTGATTTAATCAATTACCTGTCTTTGACAATTTAATTTGAAATTCGACTGCATTGTAGAATTCAGCATTTTTTACTGAAGCACAATTTTCTCCTTTGAATGACTCTATTTTAGTTTTCATACAATCGAAATAATCTTGACCATTTTTATGTCCGCTTGGACCGCTTGGTCCACTTGGTCCGCTTGGACCGCTTGGTCCACTTGGTCCACTTGGTCCACTTGGTTTACCGTGTCTTCTCTTACCAGTTGGTCCATGTTTTCCTTTACCAGTTGGTCCATGTTTTCCTTTACCAGTTGGTCCATGTTTTCCTTTACCAGTTGGTCCATGTTTTCCTTTACCAGTTGGTCCATGCTTTCCTTTACCAGTTGGTTTCAGCTCGCCGTCTATTGTTCTAAGAAGCTGCTTCAGTTGTTCTCTAAATGAATTTTTTTGTATTTATAATCTAAGAAAAAGGCACCCCACTTCTTACAATTTTTTTTCATTGTCAGAAGGTCCTGATGGTCCTGAAGGTCCTGATGGTCCCGAAGGTCCTGATGGTCCTGAAGGTCCTGATGGTCCCGAAGGTCCTGATGGTCCTGAAGGTCCTGATGGTCCAGAAGGTCCAGTTGGACCATGTGGTTTATCGGCATCTTTTATTGCTCTAAGAAGTGTTCTGAGTTTGTTTCTAAAATTAAAGGCTTTGTATAAATAGTGTAACATAAAGGAAACGTTATTCTTACAATTTAGTTCCATGATGTCCAGGTCCCGAAGGTCCCGAAGGTCCCGAAGGTCCCGAAGGTCCCGAAGGTCCCGAAGGTCCCGAAGGTCCTGACGGTCCAGAAGGTCCAGAGGGTCCAGAAGGTCCAGAAGGTCCAGTTGGACCATGTGGTTTATCGGCATCTTCTATTGCTCTAAGAAGTGTTCTGAGTTTGTTTCTAAAATTAAAGGCTTTGTATAAATAGTGTAACATAAAGGAAACGTTATTCTTACAATTTAGTTCCATGATGTCCAGGTCCAGATGGTCCTGATGGTCCAGAGGGTCCAGAAGGTCCAGAGGGTCCAGAAGGTCCAGAAGGTCCAGAAGGTCCAGAGGGTCCAGAAGGTCCAGAAGGTCCAGAAGGTCCAGTAGGTTTGTTAGGATCTCCTGCACCAGATCGAAGCTTTCGTAGAAGGTTCTCTAATCTATTTCTGAAATGTAAGCATGTGATAACATATATATTATTGCAGCTGGCGATAAATAGCTCACTCATATGAATTTTCTGCAATTGTCTTTCTAATGAGATTTCTCAAAGCCGGACTGAAATTATAATTTAAATTAAAGCTTATGAGTCTTTAAATACAATAAGCAAATCCTTACAGAGATCTCTTTTTGCGATCTAGTCCTTCAACATCATCTATTTCTGCTTCCTCATCATTTGAAGATTCACATTTTCTCGAGAAATCAAAAACTGGACAATCTTCAACAACAGCATGAATTAAACGACCAAACAAATTAGCAAACTTATCGGAAAGGAAAGCCGTCTCTTCCGGTAAACATCCTTTGAGCGAAACTTTGTTATCAATGATATTTTTACGGCAATCAATTGTTTGTCGACCATATTTTCTGCAAGGTATTAATAAGACAATAGATAAATTAGTCAGGAAAGAGAGATGCTAAAAAATTATCACTTAAGACGTTCCGAATCGCCTCGGAAGTGGTGGAGAGCAACAATAAAATAATGAGTTTGGATTGCACATTGAGTAACTGATTCGACTTCACATCCTTTACTTTCATCAGATCTTCGTTGTACACAAACGTTGCTAAGAGATTCTAAATCATTTGCTGCGTATACAATCTTCTTTATTAAGTATTCAGGACATTCGCAAAACTTTTTCTCTGCCAAACCGTCTTGCAAGCATTTCTGAGCTGTTGAGGCTTTTTGCTTACAGATATCATTATCTTCTTCAGCTAACATCTCATCTGTACATTGGAAAAGAGCATCGCAAGATTCTTCGCAATTTCTTCCGAAACGTTTTGGTGGGCATATACATTTATAACCGAAATGAGAGTGTTCAAGACCGCATTCTTTGGTATCGCAACAAGTTCCGCCGTTCTGGCATGGATTATGAACTTCGCAAGTTCCCGTAGAGGTAAACTCTCGAAGGGAAAATCTCGAAGCTGACGTTAGACTTATCAAGCAGAGAAGAGCCACAAACGACTTCATAATAGCGATTGCCTAGCACCAAGACGGGCCTTCAGTTTATATAGCATTGTTAAGGAGCTTAGCCACCCATTTATTCTGAGTCACCTGCTTTAACAGATTTGCTTACAGCTATGGGAAATATTACTAGATAACAATCAATATATTTTTAACGGACGTAGACATTTTTCTCCATAACCAGTTTCATTATCTTTCGAAAGACAAAAATCTTCCTTATCATTAAATTCAAATTATTGCAATATTAAGATATCTAAACTAAATATAACCTAAATTTTATTATTACTTATTAAATGTTGTCATAAAGCATCTAATCTGTAGTTTGCCCTTCAAATAATAACTTGCCCTTAAAGGATTTATTTCAAAGACTATGTTTTTTATTTTGAGTGGGAACGTCTACAGAATGTAAATGATTATTGCTTAGAATATATTGTCCTGTTTAAGTTCGGTAAATCTATTATTTCTAAAATTAAAACATAGAACTTACTGTCTAGGGGTTAGTGTTTCTGTATATATATATATATATATAGATGTCTAGTGCATGCAAATACTATCTATTTGCAAGATCTTATTACTAACCAGTCACGTTGTCTTGATTGAAAAATATACCTTGATATAATTTGAATATTGAATTAGAAATATAATAGATATATATATATATATATATATATATATATATGATTTATTAACTTAATTAATCGATCTAGATATGGTCCACATACAGCTTAAGGAGTATACTTGAATAGGAAAGAGAATAAAGGCAAGACTATGCTTTTGAAAACTAAACTTATTTGCAGACAACATTCTTCGTTCCTTCTTCCATTTTTATCGTAGTTTGAACAGTTAATTAAAAATTTTTTTATTCAAAATCTTTCAGACAACATCGAGTTATAAAAATAATAAAAAATTTTAACAAAAATAGGATAAATATAGAAAAAAAAAGTAGGTTTATGTGATAATTAGAAGGAAGCCGTTTAGTGCTTTTCTGTAAGTGATTTTTATTAGATTAGTCTATGACTTTTCTTTAGAAGTGGTAGTCAACAACAAGTCCAATTGGTGAATAGTCATTCCTTCTCTCTAACGGATTAAACCATATCTTTTATTTTTGTTATTGACTATCATATTTATTAGTTTAGGTCGAAGCCCAATGGGAGATTGTGTGAGCTCTTAAACTTGGCATGGGATGATCGGCTCTTAAATCTGGTATGTTTTTTAAGACTCGTCGTCTAAGATCTCTTAAATAATCGTTTTCGGCTTTGTCCTTGAAAGTAACACCTCGATCGACTGCAATAACTTTAGAAAGAACATTCTTCCCAGGCATTGGGCCACTTTGTTTGCTAAAGTCTCGCAACATTGGCTGACTTAATTTCATTGAAGTCTTGAGGCGCGAGGTGGCGCCCTGCAATCGGGGGGAAAGAGAACAAAGACGACTGTCAATCCGAGAGTTTCTTTCACCAGCCGCTTCCTGTAGTTTATAACCAAGATATCTTAATAGGGGCACATGATGATCGAGGGCAGGCCGAGAATAACGTCGGCGTATCTGAAGTGAAAGTATGCATTGAAGATGTTTAAGTGTGCCTGGATTCCTCCGCACTAAAAGTCTATCATAATGACCTCTTTCTAGAGTTAATAAAGTTAATGGTTGCATTGCAATAACAGTTGAATGATGAAAAGGCAAATCCAAAGCCATTTCTTCTCCACCAATTGATTGTCCAACGCCAACATAGCATACATTAACTCTACTACCACTAGCCTTTAAGAGTACAGCTTCCTGTTGCGGAAGCATCATGTGGCTATTATGACGATTTATTGTCTTTTGAACTCTTGTACATTTCCACAAAGAAGGAGACATTCTAGTTAATTTCACCAAAGCGTCTCTTTCCTCCCTGTCTTTACTGTCATTTAACATAAGGGGTTGGCATTTACGTATGAACTCTCCAAATTGCTTCTTATGAGCTTCTGGGTCCATTTGTACAACTGCTTCCCCATTTGTTATAAAGAAAATTTCATTTACAGCGTCTCCCTGCCTAACTATAACTTCATTGTATCCGATCTATATTATTCAAAATAGAGCAAATATTAAGGAAAAACAATTTTTCTAATTAATTTTATTAAACTTATAAAGAAAGAGAAGATTTCTCTTATTTTTTTACATCAGGCCTACAAATAACAAATATTACATTAAATATTTTAACAGGTATACAAAAAAATAAGAATTGCTTCTTATTTGTAGTAATAAAGCTAATATTATTTTTAAGGGCCTAATCTTCTTCTTGTTTTATCCAATTAGTCGTTATATAATCGGAATTTTGTGATATATTCATTACGACATTTGTGCTGTTCGATAGAACATCAGAGCTAGTGACATCTGTTGACACGTTCAATGAAATCTGTGGTATTAAATTTTCCTCCTCCCTTTTTATGTCTATTATTTCGGTAGTAAAACAATTTGGCAGTGGTGAACTATTCGCTGACACACTACGAGTAGAAATTACAGTGTTTAAATCAGTTTGAACTGAAACATTAGCAGTAGACTTTTCCCTCTTGTGGTCATTTTGTAAAACATTCTTTCTCGAACGTCTTCTTCTCAAAGCATAAGGTATTCTTGAACGCTTCTGATATAATTCCGAACACTTTAAATTCTTTAAATAAACCTTTCCATTGGAGAATTCTCTAAACGACTTTAGAATATCCTTTTCCGTAAAATCCTCGGGGAATATAATTTTCATTTTTTTTAACACGTGTATACACACTGTATAATTTGTAATTGTATTTTAATCGTATTATCGTACTTTTGAGTTAAAAAGTTTTCTTAAGGATATTTTATATGTAAACATATATATATACAGTATATATAATATATATATATATATATGTATGTATATATATATATATATATATATATATATATATATATATATATATATATATATACTAATATATATAGATAAAAAGGTAAATATGTATATATGTAGGATGTCTGTGTGTATGGGTATATATATAAATATGGATTTATATGGACATGTATGGATACACAAGTGTTATGTGGCTTATACGTATTATAGGCCTATTGTTTAAAACTACTCAATCAAGATTAAAGTATGTAGACGAGCTCAACTTGACAAAAATATGAATTAGCCTTGTACGAAACTCTTAAAATTGAATAAAAGTCGAAATGAATGTAAATAGGGAATTGTGTGTTTTTGTAGGTATTTTACTTATTTAATTAATAAAATACATACCTGTATTCTATTTACTGAAGCAGCAAGATGTTTTTTCCATTTTGTTGGCCAATTTCTAAATAGTTCATGATTTTCAACAAAAGATAATTTTTCTTGGTATTCTTGACTGATTATTTTCCCCACAGAGCGATTATATAAGTCTTTGTGTATGACTATAACTGAAGTTATTGTATCAGCTACAATAGACGCCGTTCTTACACAGTCATCATTTATTAAGGCTAATTCTCCAAAACTTTGTCCTTCCTCTACAAGTGCCAATTAAAAGAGCTTATATCGATTCTTAAAACTTAATAGTAAGGACTTACTGAATGTTGTTACCGTATTACCGATTTTCGATCTATCAATAACAATGTTACAAGTTGGTCCGGGATTAATAGCGGTTGAGAAATCGATTAAAGCTGAATCGTCTCCTAAATCTTTAATTACAACCGAAACGCTCCCTCTCAGTATAATGTAGAACCTTTTTTTTATTGTTGTAATAATAATAGAGATAATCCAATTTAAAACAAAAATCATACGATATTAAAGATAAAAAAGCCGTAAGTATAGACCCTTTTACGATAAATGAATTATTCAATTTATATATTCTCTCTTTTGTTAAATAGTAACTTTATAAGATAAAAAAGAGAGATAAATAAATAAAGAAGAAAACAATATGTACTTACGAATCTCCCTTCTCTTGTTGGCCAATAATTAGTCCATTTTTTGGATATTCTTTATAATGACAATGCTTCAGTAGGTCAATTAAACTATCCAATTTTAATTTTTCAAATAATTTCGAACGTTTTTGGAACCAGGCGCTGAATTTTTCCAATTCTTTTGGCAGTCTACCCTTCGGTGGTTGTGAGAGGACGTTAACAACTTGGTCGAAAGTTACCTGACTCATTCTTTCAGACTTACTGAATTATAAGCTCTGTACTTTATAAAGTAAACATAATAATATGTATAGTGACTATCAACCAATCGAACGTTTGCTGTATGAATGAGCTAAGCCGATCACAAAAGATCGAGAGAAAAATTAAACGATTCTTGTGTTATGTATATTCGATTCACGTAACTAGTTAATAATGGACATTAAAGTTTTTGTTCCCAATTTTCCACATATTCCAGGTAACGTCATACGGTGCTGTTTCGATCTCTTTATTTCAATGATCAAAAATACCGCAATACTCAGGCCGGCAATTTGAAAAAGAATCAATCCGAGCGTTAATAATCCTATAATTCGTTTGTAATATTTTATAGCTTGAGTGAGATTTGATGAACAGCCGCTGGCGAAGACTGTCCTGCTCGCTATCGTGATCTGTATAATAGACGATAAAGAGGAGGAAAAAGTTTAGATTTAGGGTTCAATGCTATACTGTATATATATTAATATATATATATATATATATATATATATATATATATATATATATATATATATATATATACTGTATACTGTATATATTCGATGAATAGGAGGAATGAATTATAATACTAAGAAAGGTTATTGGAAGGTGAAAAAGGACGTACAGATTTTTCGAGCACGTTCGCTCCGCAACGTCGATTTGATGACAACCGTTTACAACACGAAGCTGGAACGGCACATTTATCAATGGATGGGTTATCAACGTGACATTTATAATAGATATTATCATTCCAGTCTTTTGGTCCGTGTATACCGCAACACTTAAAAGTTGATTGTACCCAGTCAACTAAATCTTTCAGATCATCATCTTCTCTGTAGCGTTGTATTGTCTCTGATCCTATATAATCTTCGACCAATCGTCTAATAAAATTACCCCTTATTAAAAGGGATATGAATACCACGCATTGAAAAAACAACAGAAAAGTAACGATTATTGCGAATATTCTTAAAAGATTGACATTCAACCGTAATGATCCTATACATCCAATAAAAGATATACAGATAACTAGAAAACTGATTAGGATAAGTAAGAAAGATATATCAAATAATTCCGTCTTTATATCCCAGAAATCCGGTTTGTAAATTGACTTAAGCCTGTAAGCCCATATACCAATCGAAAGTGTCAAACAAGAGAACACCTAAAATATACAAACAGAATAATATTACATAATACCAATTTGCCTTTTCCAATAGGATAAAAAATATCGTTAACAAAGGACTCATTCCACTTACTAATATCAGGAAATTAATCGTATAAAAAAAGTACTTTAAACATCGATTAACTCCTGATTTCCTGTTTCTATCGCAATTCGATTTCTCATTATCCATTAGAAACTGCTAAACAATACTTGTATAAAGTTATTAATGTTCCATTAGGCCTATGATAAGGAGTGAATATGTTTATAATTTTTAAAAATTTAAAAGGGTAATTTAATAAGTAAAGAGAATAATAAAGCTTATATACAAGCAAGCATGCAACTGCAAATTGCTTAAAAATATACATATTGTATGTTATTTCTTATATTATAATCATATTCATATCTATTTAAGAATGTATGAAAAGAATATGTATGATTTATTTAAGTAATTATTAAAAACAAATGCAGTATATTGAAAAAATAATAAAGAAAAGGTTAAGTAGGGATGAGGATAAGTAATTCTTGTCTTTTATTTCATAGAAAATCACGTTGAGTTGCGTATTTTGACCATTCATCTGATGGTTTTATAGGAGGTCTAACCCAATATAAGGGAATACAGCCTCCAAAGTCATTTGCAGCATCATCAGAATCATCAGTATCCTCCTCTCCATTTTTCATTTTGTCTTTATCGCATAGATATCGATCCCACTTTTGTCTTATTTCAACCAGACGTTCAACAGATTTCTTTCCTTCTGCATGATACCAAAACTCGTCAGTTTCTCTTCCGAATAGCCATAATCTTAAATTCTTTTGATAGTTTCTATCACCCGCCTTTTCATTCAACATAACTTGTAGCATATTCTGTTCGTTATTATATTCTCCTAATTTTTCATTTATAATTTCTTGTAAACATTTCAGGTTGGAATCAAATGAAGAATCAAAAACCTGCAATCCTTTAAAATACTTATGGATAAGAAAACACAAGAGAAAGATAATTTATAGGTACATACTCTTTTCTATCTCTTTTCTCTCGCGTATTTTCTTTAATTCTTCTAGTTTTGCTAGTAATAATTGTGTCCTTTTCGAATCGGCTATTTTCTTTCGTACATCCCTTAATGTATCGTCAGCAGTTTTTCTTAAATCATCATCCTATTTATATCAATATTTGAAAGTAGATTTGCATAATTATATAATTTATTCATTAAATAATGCAACTGTTTTTACCCTCTTTCTCTCTAATTCTTTCTCGCTAAACGAAGATATCCATTTATCTATCTTTATTTCTTTACGTTTTTTATAAAGTTCTTCGTTAATTCTCTCTTGTTTTTTCTCCTCTTTTCTCTTCTTTATTCTAATCTGTGAAAGGAAGACAAGCAAACAAAAATTCTAGAGACCTGCCTCTCTCATTTGTTAGCAAAAACAACAAAAACAAGTGACAACTTACTCGTTTAGATTGACGTCCTCTTAACTGACTTTTAATATGATCTCTTAAAGTTTCTTTTGTTAAAATATTTTGTAAATATTCTAAACGTTTCTGAAAAAATTTTACTTTTAATTATACTTTCTATTTCCTCAAGTTATAAATAGAACCTACTTTGCATTCAGCTCCTTTTCTCGCTAAATCTTGATCAACTGTCTGAGAATGTTCTATTTTCATTTGATATCCTTTAAGCTCCTGTAAATTCTCCAGGGCATCAGTCAACATATTACGATATTCGGATATCTAGGATTTTAACAAATGATAAGGCTGCATTAATTGAAATAGAAACGAGGTTAATATTTATATATTTATATAAACAGTGTATACCGTCAATGTTTCATTTTCTGTTGGTATAGCCGGGGGCAATAATTCTAAGTTTCTAGTCCAATTACTGACCCATAATTCATCTTGTAAATGTATATCTTTGCTTATGCGCTGCTGTTTTAAATCTTCCCTTATCGCTTCTGCTTCTCTAAGCAGTTCGATTGATTTATTCTGAAAGTTGTTTCTTTGGTGCTGTGGAGGTCGGGGTTGATGAGGAATTGATGAATTGGGGAAGAAGTTTGATCGAAATCGATTTTCTACCATTGGTTGTGCCCATTGCATATTAGGGGGTCGGTTAAATTGATGAGGAGGAGGATGATTCGGATACATACTGAGCGATAAATGAGCGAAGCGTCTAATATAACTTATCAAGCACCAATAAATTGTTGATCAATCGCATAGTTATTCCTGAACTACCATTTTATAATGTAATTTAATTTAATAAGAAAATTTCTACCCGATTAAGCAATAGGTAACTAGAATAGAATAATTATCAGAGCTACATCGGCATTACTAGAATCCAGAAGTAGTTGCAATAACTATTCAAATGGATTTTGTGTTAATATTATTAACGTTCTTAAAAATTTATGCTATCCCTCACTCAGGTCAAAATATAGGTAATTATCCTGTAACAATCCTACAATCATTTCCCCTTAATCGTAAATGTTTGATATTAGTCTTGGAGAATTCCAATTCCCCAAACCGTCATGATAATTAGATTGCGCCTTCAAATGTATAAAATTTACCCATTAACTTTCATTGCTTGCTGATAGGGAGCATTCGACATTTTAAAGTATTTGATTGACAAGCTCTACGTTTTTCTAGTAAATAACTTAAGAGTGTATTGCAAATGGAAAATCTTAGATTTATCCTCTTAAAAAGAGACATTGCTGAGAAGTAATTGTTTACTTTATCCAATATAGAAATTTAATAGGTGAATTTTATATTTAAATCGATCTATATGAAAAGAGATTGTTATTATAAAATAAGATTGTTTTAGTAATAAAAAAAAACAACAAATGATACAAAAACAAAAACAAATAAGCTAGAAAGAGTAAATAAATTAAGGAATGCAAGTGGCGGAGTTGAGTGAGGGAGGATGGGGAAGGGAGTGTGAGAGGGGAATAAGAGGGCAAGGGGAAATCAGGCACGAAGACATTTAAAAAAGAAATTAAATTAGAACAATAGTTAAAAATTTTGTTTCGGAATACGTTGAAAATAATCAGCCGGTGGTCATAAGATTACAAACTTGAAAACAGAGTCGAAGAGAGAGAGAGAGAGGAAGAGAGAGAGGGAGAGTGAGGAGAAAGGTTGGAAAAAAGCAGCCAAAATACTTTTCACTGAGTCAATAACTTTAGTCTAACTCGACAGTTAAAAAGAATATCATATAAAAGGCACCATACGTAGTTCAGTGTTTTCTTTGATTTTTTGCAGAACACACTGAAAAAGCTAAAAACGAATTCAGTAGCAAAGAGTTAAAGAGAAATTTTCTTTTTTTTTGAATGTTTGTTTTTTAAAAAAAAAAGTAAAAGAAAACCTTAATAACTTCAAGTGTAGTAACTTTTATATAAAAGTTATATTGAAAAAGGATATACAAAGGAGTAGTCGGGTCTTCCTCCATTGACATACAAAGCGTAGCAATATCCGTCATAATTTTGCCCATTTATTGTATAATAATATGGCAAGAACTTATGCAGGCGAAAATTTCTCTTCTCGTAGAATTTTATGGCGCTGAAATTGGTGGTTAAAACATGCAGATAAATAACCTTGCAGTTGCTACGCTCTGGTGTAGTAACTTGACCAACAAGTGAATTTAAGAGTAATGATGCTGCAAAAGAAATCATATCGTAGAGTTAATTATCTCAAATTACCTCCACTCTATATCCAATACCTATCTTATATATCATTACCAAAGTAATAAGTTAATAAACTATCAAGGGTACAACGTAAAATAAGCCTGTAATTACTCGTATAAACTTCAAAGTATATTACCTATTCCGTGTCCTCTTAATTCCCGAATTACCCCTAAGCTTAATATGTAGGCAACATCAGTACGATTGTTAAATTGCCAAGAGAGAATCTTTGAATCCTGTAAAGAAGGAATATTTGCGATAGATATAGAAAAATTCTTTTATACCAGTAAAGAAGTTTAATAGGCCTACTTCTTTACTACATTTGTGCTTCGGCTTGACTTCTGATACAATAAAGCCAATGATACTTCCACAGTAAGTTGCTGCTAGAGAATGAAATCTAGGATCTCCAGTAATATCTTTATACCAACTATCGGGATATCTGAAAATCAATATGGTTAGTGATTATGTAAATTTATTCATAATAAGCGAAACCTAATTGGAAACCAATCTGCACATAGAACTTTTAGGACGGGAACATCTGAGGGAGTTAACAATCTAAATTGTATACATCTAGTCCAATCTGACGGCATCTCCATTATCGACTTTTTAACATTGCTAAATGAATGTCCATTGTTTTTGTCCATACATTAAGCTATATATTCCTGATTATTTCCAAAATATAGTAGTAACGACCAGAATTATCAGCTTTAGGAGCAATGATTTTCTCCAATTTTAATTTATTTACATATAGCCCATATTTGATTATATATTGCAACAAAATATACAAGCAATTAGCAGAGTACTGAAGAGAAATTTTAAAAAATCAGTTTCAGAAATGACATTGTTATACTTCCGGTCTAATGCAGAATACCGATATTACTAAGTTTCAGCTGCAATAATCGTTAACCCTTTGTTTACATCTCTACGATAGATTAAAAATGTTTTAATGCCATTTAAAAAAAAAATTCTCATCTTTTAATATTTATTTTATTAAAGGAGGCCTCTTTTTAAGGAGAATTTTAAACTCTCTTTAGATAGAAAGTAGCATATTCTTACTATAATTATGTCTTTCGATAAATTATCATTGATTTATCATAAAATTATGTTTTAACATGCTAAAAATATTTGAAATTCTTGATAAAAACACACAAATTTAGAAAAAACACGAAATTGCTGAAAATTTTATGGTAAATTTTATGGTAATTCTATCCGCTGCCAACTGGTTTTTAGCTATATCCCTAATGGAAACCTGGTATAAATATTGTTTGTCCTAAAAAGTGACAGTTTGTATAACGTCGCCTAATTTTTCGCTTAGCAAAAAGGAAGATAGTACTGTGTTGTTCTCCTTTCAAAGAAATTATTGTTTTAGATTCTGCTTCTATTTTACAGCGAATATTGCCTCTTTAAGGTAGACATCTGAATGTCTTTCATTGTTTTCTTTTTAATGACATCGCTATAAACGCTATGCAATATTTCTTTCTATTTACTTTTATTTCTTCTTTCACTCTTTGCGTCAATTCATATTTCAGTTTATTAACAGGTTCATTTGTTAATTTATAATTTTGTTTACGTTCATTAAAATTGATGTAAACCATGAAAAGAATTTATGACACTTCTGAAGAAATATCAGCTATTCTATTTAAAAGACTAAGAAGGTTAATAACAATTTTCACTCTATAATTTGAGAACAATAACAATTGTAACAATTCTATTTATTAGCCTTCATGCTGTTATAACCATGTATCATTATTCATTGCATTTTTAATGATCAGCAAAGTGTTATAAAGATATTAAAAACTGTTCACAGATCAACAATGTTTGGCTGGGGAGATAACTCAAAGGGACAATTAGGATTAGTAGTACCATCTCGCAATGTAAAGAAACCAACAGAAGTACCTTTCAGTAGAGATTTGGAAATATCACAAATTGCTTGTGGAGATAAATTTACTTTAATTTTAACGAAAGGAGGTGTAATTTACTCGCTTGGCGATAATTCATCTTATCAACTTGGGCAAGATCGAGTGTCAGCTTCACCTCAAGTCTTAGCCGCCCTCGAAACTCAAACTGTTACAAATATTCAGTGCGGATTGCGTCATAGTATTGCTCTTACTCGTGAAAATGAGTTATTCGCATGGGGATGTAATATTAAGAAACAATTAGCTCAAAACAGTATTAATAAAACCCATGTTCCAAAGTAAGTTTGTATAAAAAATGCCCTCCTAACATTTTTCCTACTTTCATTTTTATATCATCTATTTTTAGGCTTGTAAAATTTCCCTCTAATGCTAAAATAGTTCAAATTGCGTGCGGTGGATTCCATACTGCTATCGTTACTGATATTGGGGAAGTTTTTGTTTTTGGCGATAATAGCGAAGGACAGCTGGGAATAGGAAATCAACAAGTAACAGTTCCAACTATTTTGCCTACGTTGCCAGGTTTACCGGTTAAACAATTAGCTTGCGGCCAAGCCCATACTTTTGTATTAACGATATCTGGTGCTCTATTTGGTTTCGGACGAAATTCCTACGGACAATTGGGATTAGGTAATGAAACCAATCACCTGTATCCTACTCAATGTAAAAACTTAAGAGACCATAAAATTGTTTATGTTACTTGCGGGGGAGATCATACTGCTGCAGTTGCCACTGATGGAGGTCTTTTCACATGGGGTCTAAATGACTGCGGACAATTGGGGCACAGTTCAAAGGCAAATCAGAGTCTTCCCATCAAATGCGTTGAGTTAATGGGCGCGACTGTTATTCAAGTAGCATGCGGTGATAAGCATACAACCGTATATATTAAAAATACTAATAAAATACTTGCCTTTGGTAGAGGGACAGAAGGGCAGTTATGTTCCAATTTAGATTTTAGTAGACATCCTGTTGAGATCGAATTTGACAATCGATTCCATAAAATTTTCTCTGGAGGTTGCCAAAATTTCTTGCTTGCAAATGACCAACCACTTGAAGATATGAGAGCTGAGGAGAGCGTTTTGCTACTCTTAGACAATAATAGACTGGATCAGTTGAAAAGTTACAAAATAGATGACGACGTTCCTACTTCATTTTTAGAAGAAACAAAGAGAGCGTTTGGCTCTTTATCAACCTACAATTCTTCATTTTTGAAAGGAGGTGGGATGCACTTCAACTGCTCCTCCAAGAATAATGGACTTGACCTAGATGCTTGTTCCGATTTTTGGGCAGGTATCAACGACCTCCAGAATCAGAAACTTAAACAGATCATAGATTCATCAATATCCTGCAATCTTATTCCTGTGATAAAATCTTTAAACAATCCACCAGACGTTGAAACACTTAGAATATATTTAATTTTACCAACTTCCCATCTATTTTCAAAGACTAGCAAAACAACTTCTGTTCAAGTTGCGTACGGAACGGCTCTAACTAATTTAAAGCCAATTCCATATAAAATAGTTGATAAATGGTGGACAGCGTTAGCGACTAGACACTTTAATAAAATTATCGTAGCTTTTAAGAGTAGCGTTGTCTCCCTTCTACAGGCACGTAACAATGACGACGTCTTAGTTTGTTTAAAAACGCTTGCGAAAGCTTATAATATCAATTTATCAACTCATAAAGTGCCTTATGAAAAATTTTATATTTCGGAAGTAACTAACATGGTTGACATAAAGAGAGACTATATTAGTTGGATTAGAATGCCAATAAACGGAACCGAAAAAGTGTTCTCTTTATGCAATTACCCTTTTGTGTTTAATCCCGAAGCCAAGTGGACATTATTAAGGCTAGACACTCAAATTCAAATGATGAGGATCATGGAAGAAATTCAACGTCGAAATCTTTTTCAACCGCCAGGCTTTCGTTCCGATAATCCTTATTTTTTTTTAGAGGTTCGCAGAGATCATATAATTGAAGATACGTTAAACAGACTGGCCTCGTGCGCTCATGAGTGTAAAAAGCCTCTTAAGGTAAAATTTAGCGGGGAAGAAGCCATTGACGAAGGAGGAGTTCAAAAAGAATTTTTTCAATTAATCATTAGTGAACTTCTGGTCTCAACCTACGGTATGTTTTCGGTAAATGACCATTCAAGACTACTCTGGTTCTCCGATTTGACTTTCGAACAAAAACATATGTTTTCATTAATAGGCATGATTTGTGGGTTGGCAATTTACAATTCAAGAATCATTGATGTTCCTTTCCCATTAGCTTTATATAAAAAGCTTTTAGGGAAACCCGTCAACTTGGATGATTTCAAAGAGTTAGATCCTGCTATAGGAAACAGCTTAGAGCAATTATTAGACTATGAAGATGGGGACCTTGCTGAGGTTTTCTATCTCAATTGGGCCGTAAATAGAGAAGAATGGGGTGAAATGAAAACAATTCCTCTATGTCCAAACGGAGAAAATATACCAGTCACTCAAGAGAATAAAAAGGCCTACGTTGAGGCTTATACAAATTACATCTTTAACGATAGTGTAAAGGAGCAATATAATGCTTTCGCCGAGGGATTCAAAAGGGTCGCCGGAGGACGTGTTCTGGAATTGTTTGAAGCCGAAGAACTTCGTGCCGGCGTTTCCGGGAACGAAAATTACGATTGGGAAATCCTAGAAAATACAACACAGTATAAAGGTGTTTTTTGGGCAAATCATCCAACAATACAGCTATTTTGGAAAGTTTTTCGAAGTCTATCGGAGGAGGAAAAGAAAGCATTTCTTAAATTTCTCACTGGTTCGGATCGTATACCAATACACGGAATGGATAAATTAAAAATATCCATAAAGCCTAGCATAGGAGATGAAAGTCATTTACCAGTTGCTCATACTTGTTTTGACGAATTAGACTTGCCACTCTATCAAGATGAGAATACCATGAGAAAAAAATTAACAACAGCCATAGCCAGCAACGAAGGTTTTGGTCTTATGTGATATTGAACAAATAATAGATAAGAACTTTTTCTTGAATAATTTATACACACAAAGATAAATGAATAAATTATCAGCCTATCCAAAAACAAAAAAAAATAAACGATACAAAGAGAGAGAGAGGGAGGGAGGGAGGTATATATATATATATATATATATATATATATATATATATATGGAGAGAGAGAGGAGTAGCAAGGCAATAAAATAATTAATATAGGTACATTTTTCAAGTTAGAGGAAGAGTTAATTTTGTAAGTTTTTTGTATTATAAATGTCAATGAATGGAATTAAAAAATAAAATTAAATTTTTTCTTATAGGAAAAAAATATAAAATAAAAAAAAAAGCACTTTTAAGAATGATAGCAACTACGAACAATTCGTATACGGATATCAATAGGTATGTCAATCATGATAGATTATACAATGTGGTCGACAATTAGAAAGTATTAGGTATGATCTAAACTGGTTACCTTTGCTAAGCGTTTTCTTTCAAAAAAATTCTTACATAAAAGAACCCACTCTCCAACAAACAAAATAATTAAATGTTTTTTTAATGCGTTTAAATGTTCATTTTTTCCTTTTATAGCCTTTCTTTGGCAGGTATCCATACAACAGGCCCTGACTGTTCCTTGATAATTTCTTTTACCTTAGCATATACTTCGTCTCCAGTTTCGCCCGTAGCAAGAGCTATTTTACAAAAGGAAAAAAAGAAAATAAATAGAAAGATTAGTCTGTAATATAATTAGTAATTGATTTATGCAAATCTAAAGAAAGAGTGATAGGAATGGGATTGTAATTTATTTAATTTAATTTACCTGTAAAATATTCTCCAAATTCGTGTTCAAGTTTCAAAGCTCTTTCGAAAGCTTTGACAGCTTGATCTTCTGATATTCTCTTCGACCAATCTTGAATATTTTCGGGACTCTGAGGTCTTATAAAAATGGCTATCGGATAAAGTTGAGCAGCCTGCAATCGTTTAATGGCATTTCCGGACACGTCCAATATACAATGTTTCTGCCTTAGTGCTACTTCTCTAACAGCTTCGACGCTAGTCCCATACAAATTTTCGTTGTATTGCCCAGCTTCTATAAATGAATGATTTTGAATTTCTTTTTCCATTTTTTCTCTTGATTCGACAAAATGGTAGTCTCGACCGTCAACTTCGTAATCTCTCCTCTGTCGAGTTGTGTGCGGAACACAAGATCCAAATTTATCGGGAAATTCCGAGATAAGATCGTCGTTAATTCTATCCTTTAGAGGTCCAAGAATAATTACTGGACGAGTGTATTTTAGTTCCTGCTGAGTCACTGGCTCGTACGATAGAATAATTTCGTCCGATACTATATATTTATAGGGAGAAATAAAAAAAAGGAAAAGATAAATAAATGAAGATTAATAAATAATTTATACAGTAGGAATTTAATGCGGGAGATAATATTACTAACTCGATGCAACCAAGATGCTAATTATTCTAATATGGATTAAAAAATTGTTAGGTGCTTAGTTTGCTAAATAATAAGAATTTTGTTAGTTACCCGTTAAGGATGCTTTTTCAATATAAAGATAACCAATCGATAGAATATACTGTAGTGTAGTTGATAGATATTATCAAGCTTATATCTACTAGTAATTTACCCATCGATTGAGGAGCAAAGCTCGATTGAGCTAGTATGGATTTGGGATATCTGTATACTACACAAATAAGTTCTCACGGGGTTGATTCCTCTAACTTTTACAACGTCGAAGAAGCCAGAAAATAATATCATTAAATCGACTTACATTCGTCGCCTGATATGGCATCTTCAGAACCTGAATGCTCTTTACTCTTCATAAATGGAAATCTCCTCGAAAACGAAAAGTTCTTTTTTCGCTTATCAGCCGTTAACGTACCTTGATTATTTGGTGGTGGAGGGGAGGACGATGCGCTCTTGTTTGCTTGGAACTTGACGTTCTTCAATCTTGATCGCTCCTTCCTCTCCACTCTCCTCTTCGATGGTATGATACCAAGTGGATCGTGTTCCTCCGGCTCCGGTACGATTCTTCTCGCTTGCCACCATTCATCGTCTGATGCGTTCGTGACATGCAGGATATCGCCGTATTTAAATGCTAATCCTTTAGAGGGCAGACCGCTATCCCTTGTCGGATCATATTCGAATAGCGCTTTAACGTACAACGTCCTTTTGTGAGTTGTCTTCAAACTGCCCGTACTAGTATTAATCATCTGTTCGCGTATATCGTGTATCTTTGCCTCAAATCTATTATACTCTTCTGGCTTGTACTGCGCAAGTATAATGACTTCGTCGCCAGATGATTTTAATGCAGCCGCAGCTTCCTCGTGAGTGGCGTGGCGAAGATCCCTTCCATTTACCTATCAGGAAAAAGTGGTTTTTCATTAATCATCAAAAGATTTATTATTCATCGAATGACTTACTGATAAAAGTTGATCTCCTCTTCTTAACTCACCCGAGATATCTGCGCAACCGCCAGCCAGAATAAAGCTTATAAATATACCTTCACCATCTTCTCCACCAACTATATTGAAACCTAATTCGGTGTTTTGCTTCTTCAGGATAATTCGCCTCGGCTCTCTAAATAAACACAAAGGAGAAAATAAATGTTTTTTTTTATACGTTAATCATTGTTTGCAGGTGTCGCAAATAGTGTATGTTTGCTTCCGCAATAAGTAAGTATCCTTCTTCCGGTGGTGTTTAATATATTGTACAAATAAACAATAAACAAAAAATCGAATTACCTCGAGATATCCATAGCCTCTACGGCTTGAGGCTCTGGAAGAACTGGCTGATGCTGCAGAGGCATTTGGATAAGCTGTTGTTCCATCATCTCAGACGTATGGCCACTAACAAACGGTTTTACTACTATTAGTTTTACAACTTTGCTAGTTGCTTTCAAAACGCTGACGGCATCGTCGTGAGACACAGCTTCTAAAAGCATGTTATCCACGCTGACCAATCTATCCCCGACTTCCAGCCGACCGTCCTGATGGGCAGCTCCCCCTTCTATTATCTTAGTAATAAAAATTCCATCATCGCCGGTAATGTGTTGATTGCCGATACCTCCAGCTATTGAAAATCCCAAGCCCTTATTTGTCTTTGTCAAAATAATTTCGACAGGCTCAGCTGAATTGTTCGTTTTACAACGCCTTAGGACTAATCGAACGCTTTCACCAGCTGATTTTAATGCTTGAACAGCCTCTCCATGAGATACATTTAACGTATTTACTCCATTTACGGATACTATAACGTCGTTCACTAAAACATTTCCGTCAGCTGCGGCTGCCCCACCTGTCGGGATAAATTTATTTGTAATTAAGATGGAAAGTTGTTAGTCCGTGCCATACCAGGAATAATTTTAGTTATGTAAATACTGGGGTCGTCCCCAATATGCGGATTGTCACTGCCCCCAGCGATTGAAAATCCCAAACCAGATCCTCCCCTTTCCAATGCCACTTTTATCGTTTCCCACTCGCCTGACAAATTGGCAACGTCTTCGCCATTTAGTCGAGGTTGGGGCCGTTGTTGCTCTTCGACGGGTGGCAGGGGCGTTGTCGAGTACTGCTATAAAAAGGAAAAAAAGAAAATTCTGTAAATTGCAATAACAAAGCAAATTCTTCCTACGAGTCGGGACGATCAATATTCCCTTGAGCATCCTAGTTTTTTTTTCTACTACACAATACATCTCATTTAGATAGCAGGTAGTGTTTATAAAGCCACCTATTTTTAGAGAAAGTCGATTGATCAAAGAAGAAACGCGAAGAAAAGTTAACTAATAACTAAGTGCCTGCAAAGAAACGTTCTTCCGATCGTTTTATCGACTCGGTTGAAGGAGTCCGCAAACCGATAAAGACGCACGAAACTACATTTTCCAGATTGAATCGGGAACGCCCCTCTCTAAATTATAGTCCAACGGAGACTTAAGAAACGGATATACTATCAAATTACTTCCTCTTCCCGTAGATATATTATATCTCTATCACTGTATAACAACCAGGACTATAGACAGCCGTATGCGGCGTCAACTATCGGTGACAGTTGCATCATTGTCTAGGGATTCTCGCAGTCAATATAATCTAGCTACTTCTTTCCGTGCCGTTTCTCCCTTCTCTTTTTTAATTCCTTAAAAGTATCAGAGGCAGGATAAGAAAAAAAATCAAGTCAGCGTAGGAAAAGAATAATACAAAAAAGTAAGAGAAAGCCAAACAACTAAACTCCATAACAAATGAAAAGAAAGCAGCGACAGGGGCTTAGGATAATCCTATCAAGCGCCGTCTAAACGGCTTTCAACTGAGATAGGAAAGGAAAATTCTAGCATAGAAGATATATACCGTTTCCTTTTCGTAAGTAATCGTATCCACATATTTTCTGAAAGTCACGCTTCTACGTTGCTGTCTGCGCCTACACCACGTCCACATGACAATCATTTGAACAGATAACGATGATGGAAAAGATGCTCTTATCCATTATTTAATATTGCGTTCATTCTGATTTTTTTTTCCACTGACACAAAACAGACGGAGGAGGAGAAATCGTGATTTTGCTGTTACAACGGAAATGACGTAAACGAAAAGTCAAAGAACAATAATCCATCACGACCGTCCTGCACCATGCATGTGTCGTGTGGCGCTACAATACGTCAGTTACTTAGCAGGAACAACAATACTGCAGTGTCGGGACGTATTTAGGCTATTAAGTTGGCCGCTAGTTAGCGCTGGGAAAATCCGAGAATAAATGACGTAAAGCAAGCCGATGAAGCCACCCAGTACGCTCCCGCATCCAATATTCATGAAGGAAACCGACTCAAAAATTCCATCTCATAGAGATAGCCCGTCTAAAAACACTGCCGTTCACGGCGGACGTTTACTTTGCGCAAAAGGGAAAAAGATGAGAACACAAATAGTGGCAGAGAAACAAGAGTGGGGCGCTTCATATAGCCTACCTAGATTGCGCCATCTATCGCTAGTAGCGACTCGAAATGAAAAAAAAATAGAACCAACATAAACTAAATATCAACTAACCTGCTGATTTGGCGGCTCACGGAGTTTCATTGGTAGAGTTGATTGTTGCATTGCTTCCTTGTACTCCTGAGAAGGCTTTTGTTGCAAGGGCAATGTATGGGATCCATTGTCGACAACTTCGGGAGGAGGTGGTGGTAATTCCACGCTATTATTTTAAAGAAAAAGGTACTTTCAAAGAAAGATAAAAACGCACTTCTAAAAGCCTAAAAATACAAAAAAATTAGCAGGACGCCTGTAATTCAATAATTTCTTCTTATCCCTTGACGAGCATAAAAAAACGTGCCGAGCGGAGAATAGGTATAGAAATGAAGCTAATCATCGCCCAGACGTATGACCTAGTTGATTTTCCAACCATCCACAAAAACTCCCCAACTACTCGCTAAAAGGTTTTATTTAATTGCCACCGACGACGATCTAAATAAAATATGAGGGTAGACGGTCTAATTGATTACCGATCGGAAAAAAGAACGGACGTTCGAAGACGTAAGAACATGATTTAGTTAGTTGGAATAAGGAAGCAACAAATTTTTCAAGTTCAAGGAATGAAAAGTTAATACAAACCTATCGACCGATGGTTGCTTTCTGGTTTCAATTACCGTCGCTTGTTGTTGCCTCGCGACACTGGTCGTGATTGGTGGCTGATTCTCCCATCGTGACGCTATTTGCAGAGTCTCTAACGTCTTTTGCTGAGTTGTCTTCTTCTCATCCAGCAATGTTATTTCATAAAATTCTTGTATATCTGTAAAGTGGCTTTACTCTTAAAATTTTTAGTATGGTTTATTCTCGATGGGCGACTGGGCCAGCAATCGATAAAAGGCTTAGTAAAGCCGTTAACATCGTTACTTGACCAACCGTCACTCCTCTTATTAACAAACGCCCGCCCCGAATTTGCTATTGGCAATATAAGCACCGTTACATTCTCATTATCAGGACTAGTTTATATGGATTATATCAACAATCCTGCGTTAACCCCATTCTCCTAACCCTTCCCCTTTTTCTCTTCATCATTATATTCCTCTTCGTGCCATGATTCACGAGGGGGAATGTTTCTAAATAAAAGGCTATCGCACTTAGTCTTAATCGATCATATTTTTTCACTTTCTAACTTAAACAATTCGGATTTTATATATCTTTTAAAAATTGTTAAATGTTTTTTTTTCTGGCGTTCTTTCCTCTCCATTTAGATTAGAATAGAATTTGCATCTTTACACAGATAAGCAACTGACTATCTATGTTGGGCAAAACCATTTCTGCTTGTAAAATAATAAAGAAGAATAAATTCTAGATAGATAAATACTCGCTCTATCTCTTGTCTACGTTAAGCTTAGATTAAGGTTCTTGATAAGACGTAAATGAGAATACTCTTAACTTACCGAGTAGAGCTTGAAAAAGGCGACTTTTAAATATCCTTATCACCCTTTCGATCGCTGTTCTGAGCGGTCTGTCGTGAGGTTTGTTGAGCTTTCTGTGATACTCTTCAAGTAATTCCAAGGCTTTGTGTGCATCTGTAAATAATCGCCGAGTTTATATTTTGGAGAAATTATCGACAAATTTCCCACTAACCTTGTTTCTTTACTGGCATCCTCTTATCCGTTCTGACAGGTATGATAACACCTGGTGACTATCCAAAATCAAAAGATCTTTCAATGCACTACCATATAATCACAAAATTATTATATGAACTGCAATACTTTGCAATAATATTGCCTTTTCGATATCAATAAGTGTTAGATGAGCTCCGAAATTGCAAATTTCACGCAGTTTCACGCTGATTCGGCCACCGAGCGAAAATGGCCGCGATGGCGGATCGGTAAATATGCTGTCACGTGACACAAATGATTGATCGCAATGGTAGTAGAAAAATTTTACATTTTTATTTATCGGTTAGCTAAACAATCTTAGCTTATTTAAAAGCCTTTTTAACGAGAGAAATTTCCGAATAAAATTAACGCTCCCTAATTCCCGCCAATTTCCGAATAAAAAAAAATCGACATTTTCGTATAAAATACAAATAACGGTATAATTTTTTATTCTTATCAAAAACACTTCATGTTTACGTTGGAAAGATTTTTGCATTTAATCAACAAGAGTATTTTAAGACAAATTTTTCGCAGTTTAAAAATTCAAGGACTGATTTTATTTATCATTCGTTAAACCATTTTTTTCATACATATTAGAATGAACAATGAAATCAGTCGAAAATGCTCCTAGTCAATATCAAGTTTCATTCATTTTTTTCAGTATAGGTTAATATAAGTTCATCTCCATCATTAAGTTCTGCAAAATTGATCTCTTCTTTGTTACTCAATTGTAGAAGAGCACTGAACACGTAAGGTAAACTTGTGTAACCGTCCCGAACCTTATCGTCTCGGTCACATAAATATTGGTATAGGCCCGAAAAATTCTGAGTTTCCTGATCCGACTCTTTTTTATCAGGACCTTCTCCTTTTTCATCGAAGTCAGCCATTGGTAAAGGTGCAGGATATTTGAGGTAGCTTGTGATTTTTGCCTTCAGTTTTTCAATGTTAACGTCTCGCGCTTTCTTTTCGTATTGAAGTTCCAGTCGTGCAAGTTTAGTGGGTGGTGTAACCAGTTCTCCTGCTAATGATCTAACAGCTGCAAAAGATTGAACAGCAACAGTTTCATCAAATCCTTCACCTTCAAACATATTTGGCTCCGCATCTCCACCTGCGTCATCGTCATCATTTGCGTCATCCTAAACAAGAAGTTCAAGATATATGATAAAAACGGATACACAGAAATTTGCTTCATATTAAGACATACCAATCCAATGTTTTCTCCACCAAATAATGTTTCTTGGGCTTTTGTTTCCACATTAACGCTACTAAAACTTTCAGCAACGCTTGTTCGTCGTTTTTTCTACCAGTTCAATTGATCTAAATCTTAACTTGACAGATATTTAAAAATACCTACAATAAGCCTCCTATTGTTTTCGACCATGGCCCGAACGTCTAAAAGATCATATAATAACTGTAATTTGTTAACGATCACCGATTCTCTGCTATCGCTCTCTGATGTGTTTACACGTTTCTTAAGTTGAAATAGCTGTCAAAGCAAATGTTAAGCATCAAAACAATTCACCAATAAAAAAAGCTTAAAAAAATTAGTACGTCAGAATAGCGGCGGGTGTCAGGTAACAATTCACAATCATAAAAGAGAACCCTCCTTTTCTTTTTAACGTCGACAGATGGTTTCTCTAAAACAAAATTTTATTGATTTTTATGCGGGCAAAAGTTATCAGAAAGAAACTAATAGAACCTAAACAGAAAAAAACTTGTTTTCTCGCTTAAATTGGTCTCATCAAAAGCTAGTAAACTACCTGATTTGTGAAAAATTTCAGCACAAAATCAGATATTTACTGGCTCTTGGCTAAATCCAGTGAACGAGAACAAAGAGTTAAAGCAAAGGAAACATTGAAAAGTATGTTTCTTAATAAATCCGACGTAGGTAAGTACTTGATTTGTTCAATCAGACAAACCAAACACTAACCCACGTAGGCCTTATTTACGTCATGGTATAGAGTGATAGTATAGAGTAATCAACTTTGTTCGCGAAAATCAGTAAAAGAAAACAAGAACACTAGACTAAGTCACATCTAAATACCTACTTGACTCTTCTCCTTGAGCTTTTATAAATATTATAATGCATTTCAATTTTTAAGATATATTTATATACATAGATAAATAGAACATTGGCAATTTTTAAGTCTTAAGCTTACGTGATCGTGGTCTTCGCTTTTTTTTCCATAGTTGTAAAAACTCGGAAGGATCAGATAATGTACTTCTGAAATCAAAATGAATATTTAAATAGATTTTCATACAATTTTAATTATCTCACATAGTTGTATTGCTTTCAGTTGCAGAAGGGCGCGGTGATGAAATTGAGGCTTCACTTTCGCCCACAACACTTAGGTGATCATCATCACCGTCGTCAGCAGAAATGCTGTCTCGAACGTCTTCTGCCTAATATTTTCATTCCTAATGATAATGATTTTTCAATTTCAAGAAACTTACTGGAAGCTGAGTAGGAGGCATTGAATAATTAAAAGACATCCCCTGGTTGACATCCTCTACAGATTCATCGACTCTATTTCTTGCTTGCTCCGGTTCCGGATGGGAAACCTACAAATTCTGGCGTAAAGGATGAAGTTCATGTTATAATATTGCTTACATTCATTCCGGAAAGGAAAGAAAAGCAGCGGATATCGGGTAAAATAGCTTTGACATTTTTCGTAGTGTTTAGTAACTGCCTGCAGTTAACGGTAAAATCCTCCATTTTACTGGGGTTCTGGCACAATAACGAGTCTTTTTCCGCAAAAAGTGGCACTAAAGAATCTTGTTCATGGCGACCAAGCATATGAGACATTCCACGTTTAGTATCGGGCTCATATTCATATTTCCGACGTAGACGAAAACTAGTATCCTACAAAGAAATTTTAACTTTTAGTGTATAAACATTTCACGTTCCTTACTTTAACTCCAGAGTTATCTGCACTATCCGTGATGTTGTCAAGATTCTTTGCAATACTATCCTTCTTTCTTAATTTTCTAGTTTTCCTTTTATCTTTTTTTCTGTAAAAATACAAAAAGTATTTATTTCTCACAAATATGACCGCCTTCTATTATTACTTTGTAGTTTCTTCATCTTGATTTTCCTCAGTTCCCATGTCTTGTTCTATTTCATGGGCACCATCTAATCGAAGAAATTTTGAAAATTAAATGATCAACACAAATGTGTTAATTACTTACCAACACTTGTTCGTCTGTTTCTTTGCATATCTTGTATATATCGTCTGGTGTCGTGATGAACTGTATCCACACGATAGGCATAAATCTTTGTATTGGCGCCAAGAGCAGAGCTTGCTTTCTGAAATAGTAATTATTTATATATTGAAGCAGATTTTTCAATGAAAACGAACTTGGAATGTATCAGCTTGGTCATCTTTTTTCCAGACTTTTTTCATAGTCACGTCTGTAAGCATATTCAATTGGAAGCAGTTCCGTTTTGTCAGTTTCTAAAATAAACATACTAAATTAGATATAAATTCTTCAAGTAGAGTATTGAAGACGTACTTACATTGTCGGATACAAATTTAACGGTGTTATTAAATTGCCGCATGCATTCTTCGGTTAGAATGCTTGCTGGCCCACCCACGCTTTTACTAGCAGATGATATTGAAGTGGCCATCATTGGAGTTAAAGGTACATTTTTGCGTTTAATCGGATGTTCTTCCGCAATATCAGCAACAAAGGCTGTGACGAGACCTGATCGTCTTCTACGTAAAAGAAATATTTTTAATTACCTTCAGATGCTAAATTATAAGCATGGATAAGGTGGGTTTTATTATTAATAGGAGAAACTAACAAGCAGCCCCTAAATGAATACAAAAGAGAAATTTTGATACTTCAAGTAACATTGACAAATTTTCTAAGACATTAGTAAATCATTTACAAAGAATGTACTTACTTACATCATTCATTCTATTCGATGAAGGCAATAAAAAAAATAATTATTATCTTAGCGAAGTTCCGTATCTTTTGTTTAAATTTTAAATAAACTAAAAAATGAATTAAACAATTATAAAAACAAAATTGTGTGAATGGGCATATAAAAATATATTCCCTTATGTTATATAAAATAGATGATAAAGCTTTTCATATGTAAATAAACTTCTTATAGTTTAAATATATGCATGCTAAAATTCTATCTGTACTTTATCAATATCATAAAAGAAGTTTATTCGTATATGGTAAAGGTTTATACACATTCGTGTTATAAATTATACTATTGAAAAACTACATATGCATGGGAGGAGGTAGATATTAGAGGTTTTGTTATACGCTAAAATCTATCTACATATCATCAGCTACTACAAATTGTTACTCATTTCCTAATAAAGCAAATAGTGGAGTTGATGTATATAATTGTACTGTAAAAAAAATATATTTACTCGCTATAACCTCCTTACCGTATTGAATTCGATGAGTTGTTGTCTTTGGCCACAGGCATTTCGACCCTGTTCTCCTGAAAAGTGAAAATCGTTTCAGATTGTTTATACGAGAATTAGCAAGCTTCCAACGCAGATTAATAGTACGACGTAAGCTAACATACTATCAATTCAAATATTAGCTAATTGTGTTTTAGCTAAAAATCATAGTACCTTGTTCTTTAAAAAATCAATTAAATTACAGCCAAAAACGAGTAATTTAGCAATTTATACGATTATCAACACGCGTACTATAACGCGAAGTAATACAAAATGGCGGATAGAATGTAGGCAACTAAAACTTTTTTAATTCTTCGTTATCCGCTTTCATCTAATGTTTCACTAATTTCCTAGCTTGACTATGAGTAAAAATTTAGAATTTAGTTCTATCCTGAAGTCCTAAAATATCGTTATGAATCAGAAATTTTCAAAAGATTGAGTCAACTTACCCAGTGGCGGTTAACCGAAATGCAATGGCGCCCTATTTCAAACGCGGCGTTAGTTCGGTTTGTACCAAAGCGAACTATAACATTCAAACATCGAAACGGTTGCAAAAGATTTTATCAATAATATAGTAACTTAATTTTTTTCCTTGAATAATTTAATTATTAAAGTACTTTCCTAAAAATATTTCCAAAAATTTACAAGAAATACTTACGTTTAAGAAGAAAATCGTTAATTTTGTTGTCTAGAAGCTTCGTTCCAGCTAAAGCGTCCTATGTTGAGTTAGTTTTCTCTGGCTGAAAGGGTCATAAATTCTACGCGGGCTTTGTATTATTTGTCATTTTTAGTATTAATAATTTGTTGGTTACGTTTTGAAAAAAAATTAACATTAATTATAAAAGAATTTTTTTTTGTTTTATTATACCAAAAAGAATAAAGTAGGTGGCGTTGATTAATTCGTTGAAACTTAGAACACCCTACCTATGAAAAGAACCAATAAGAGTGGCTTTCTGCCCCCTGGCAAAAAGAAACAAACCGGCGAGAAACAAGATTTTTGCGATGAGGAGAAAATAAAGTCTTTGGAAGTCTTAAACAAATTCTATGAAGATAAGTTGCGGCAATTGCAAATAGTAGAATCGAATGCTAGAAAGGTATTAGATTTTTAAGTAGACATACGAAAACATTCATAAACCACTTCAAAGGATTCTTTGGGAGAATTGGAAAGGCTAACGAACAAATGGAAAAATGTTTGTTTGAAGGCAGTAGAGGAGCTAGAAGAATGGTATAAAGAACGTAATATTCCGGCGTCTCACGAGAATTTAGGACTTAGCGAAAAACTTTATGAGTTTATTAAAAACGAGTAGGATGCTTGTTTATTCAGAACTAATAATAAGCAATACTGCTACATAAATACGAAATATCACTGTTTACAAACTTGAACTTCGTTTAGACTAGTCTCTTTAAGACGACCATTCAAAATCCCAAGATATTTCATTCTTCTCTTTCGCTTCTTCGGTTGGGATCGGTGATGGGGGTGAGGTATCTTTTAAATTTAAAATTTCTATAAGATGAAACGTGGCATGAAAATTTTTGAAATATTACCAAAAAAAGGTAAATTAGGACTTTCCATATGTTCTAGTTCAGTTTGTGAGTCCATTCTACGATAGACACTCGGTTTCCAGCTGATTATGTCTTTCAAATAGGAAGTAATTCTCTCACTCTTGGGAATAACGTCCTCATAAGTGTCTGTTATATGGAAAATTCTTAATAAAAACCCCTTGTGTAATTGAGTATTATAACTTTTTTACCATCTTCCATCTGAAGAGCATTTTCAACTTCTTCATCATTTTTTCTTGCTAGTGACTTTTGTGTTTCTACCACTTTCTGTGGTGAACTCTCTAACATTGTATAATTCTTGTCCTTCTTCATTATTTTCGAAACTGATCTAAACTTTGAAGTCTGGAAGTAAATTAAGGTTAAGAGAATGATATTTTCCTATAACTGAGAATTTTTTTTACCTGTAATGGTTTAGCTAAAACATTCAAACTTCCGAACGACAATTTCGGAATGCTAAAATTTTTCGTATCTGAAAACAAGTAAACAGTGAAGAAAGTGAAAACACATGACGCTTTCAAATATACCGGAAGATTTCTTGGTCTGCGAAACATTTTTCTTTGTACAAATGTTCTCATCTTCAACATGAACCTGCTTATTGTAGCTTTCTGTTGATGCAATTTTGGCAGACATATTTTAAGCTTGCAATATTTTTTAAAAGAAAACTCGACTCTATTTATCTAGTTTTCAAACTGTGAGAATAACAACCAATCAAAATATTTCTTTAATATTTTAGTATGGCTCAGTGATCCTTACGTCAAAATTTTCAATTATTTTCAGTATTTACTCCTGACCAGTTTAAATATCTAACGAATCAGCATTCAGAATTTTGTAAATGAAATGAATTTGGATCAGGCTTCGTGATTGGTCACACTTATTTTTGAAGTTTTCACGAGCGTTTTTAGTAGTTGTTTTAATATTTCTTCTAGAAACAGTCTTTAAAACTTATTAAGACCATGAGTAAATTCAAGGATGACAGTAATCAGAATATTAACGTCTTCGTCAGATGCAGGTACGTACGTAAAATTTTTTTTATATCTCTGTAATATGTATTTTTATTGAGCAGACCACTCAGTGAGTCTGAGAAGAAAAATGGCCAATATAGTATCGTTCAAAGTAATCCAGAGAAACGTGAGATTGTTGTCAAAGAGAAATCTGGCTATATGTCCACTACAAAAACCTTTAGCTTTGACCGCGTTTTCTCGCCAAAGGCTAAGCAGATTGAAGTGTATAAAGCGGTTGTTCAACCACTTTTGGACGAAATTCTTTTAGGTTACAATTGCACTGTTTTTGCTTATGGACAAACTGGAACAGGAAAGACATTTACAATGGAAGGTGACCGATCGAACGACCCATCTCTGAGCTGGGAAAATGACCCTTTGGCTGGTATTATTCCAAGATCAATGTCTCAACTGTTCTCAAGATTACACAGTCAAAGCTTTGAATTTACCGTTAGAGTATCGTATTTAGAAATTTATAACGAAGAGTTAATAGATCTCTTAGGTGGTCAAACAGCTGTTCCACCACGTCTTAAAATATATGAAAGTTCTGATAAAAAGGTAAAAATATTATTTTGTTAAATATTAAGTAATTTATTATTTTAACTATTTAGGGATCGTGTAAAATTCAAGGATTGGAGGAAGCTCATGTGAGAGATAAGCATGACGTTTATCGAATTCTTGAACTCGGTTCAGCTAAACGGCAAACAGCAGCTACTAATTTAAATGCCCACTCAAGGTAACAAATATTGCAGATTTTGTCATTGCTAGTAGCTCATTCGTTATTTCCACATTTCAGTCGTTCACATACACTTTTCATGGTAACTGTTCATATGAAGGAGTCAACTATAGAAGGTCAAGAACTTGTTAAAGTGGGAAAGTTGAATTTGGTTGATTTAGCTGGATCTGAATGTGTCGGTAGATCTGGTGCTGTTGCGAATAGAGCTAGAGAAGCGGGTAAGTTTAAAGAGTTGATAAATAAGTTAATATTTAATGTTTATGGGAATTTCAGGAAATATCAATCAATCTCTACTAACTCTTGGTCGCGTAATAACGTCATTGGTAGAACATGCTCCTCATGTTCCTTATAGAGAAAGTAAACTTACAAGACTTCTCAGAGATTCATTGGGAGGTAGGACAAAAACTTCTATTATAGCAACACTTACCCCAGCTTCCGGAAATCTAGAGGTGAGTGCCCTCAGAAGAGTCGCGGTCGTTTCAAGTAATTTTGTTGTTTTGCAGGAAACATTAAATACGTTAGACTATGCTCATCGTGCTAAAAATGTTATGAATAAACCTGAAATAAACCAAAAAGTTCAACAAAAAGTGTGCCTTCGAGCATACGGAGATGAGATTGAGCGTCTTCGGAAAGATTTGCAAGCAGCTAGAGACAAAAATGGTGTATTTATTGAAGAAGAAAATTATCAGTATGTTATGCTTGTTTCTTGTATTTTTCTTATAAATTACAATGTGGATAAAAAATAGGGCTATGATTGCTGACGGGCATCATAAAAGTGAGCATATAAGAGAATTAGAAGAAAAGCTACAATTTATAATTGATGAGAAAATTAAGGTAATTTATAGAAAAATTTTATATCATATCTTGCTTATATATCATTTTTTATATAATTAATAGTTTGAGGAACTATTTTTGGAAAAAGAAGAACGTTTAGAGGAAGAGAAAGAACATCACGCCGAAACGAAAGATCGTCTAGATAAGATGGAAGATGTAGCGTTTCAGGCTAAAGTCTCTATCGCTAGAACTAGAGCTGATAGATGTGCAAAGAATCATTTAGTGGAAAAGCAAGTCGATACGGAAACAAAATTAACCGAAGAGGCCAAAAAAGTTATGAATACTGCTGATGAATCCGTATCAGATGTACAAAAGCTTCAAGATAAGGTAATTATTATGTTAATTTTAGTATATAAACGAAAAGGTCGTTCTTATACATAATTTCTCAATCTGATAGGTTGATAGAACAAAGAAAACGGAATCTACGAATGCTGATAATGCAGATATGTTTATGTAAGTTTGATTAAAGAATAATACTGAACGTAATTTTAAAAGATTAATGGAAATATTTTTAGGCAAAAAATATCTACAACTTGTACAGAGATGCAAGAACGCTTCAACGGTCTCTATAATAATCACGATTCGGAGATTAAACAGTGTTTTGAACTTACTGGTGAGTATAGAGGAATTTCTATATATTTTTTATAGTTAAGCATTAATCAATCTTTGTTAAAAGCTTCTCTTAGCGAATCCAATAAAAGAAATTTTGAAGATTTGAGTGCAAATCTTAAAGATTTTATAAGTCGATCAGCCGAAAATCATTCTTCTCACATGGGTAAACTAGAGGAAATAAAGAAAACTTGCACGGATTCTTCTAACAAGCAAATGATAGAAATAGAAACCGCTTTAAAAGAGGAAATGGAAAAAGCAACCACTCAATGGAATCAAGTTATGGAAAATTTTGAAGATTTATCAGAAAGATTAGATGTACAAATAAACAAGTTTAGCAAATTATCTGAAAAACTATTAAAACAGGTTAAATTTTCTTTATTTATTTATCTCTTTCTTTTCTACAAGTTTTGTCTAATTAAAATTAGAACGATGAGATAAAGACTACTCAAAAAGACCAAAAATGGCAATTTGATGACCTTTTAATGGATACAAAATTTAAATTGGAAGAGACTGTAAAGAATTTTGTATCGACTGTCGATAAACACGGAAAAACAGCTAAGGATATTCATGAGCAACGAAAGCAAGTTGATGAGGTTTGTTTCTGAATTTGTTTTAAGACTAATTGTTAATTAACTCATTTTTATCCATTTTGTAGGAAGTTTCTCAGTTGAATAATCAAGTAGAAGAAGATTACAATAATATTAAGAAGATGTTGAATGATTTACAAGCTAAAGTGGATGCGAAACATAATCAATTTAAGAAAGCTTCAGATAATATCGATAGTAAGACTAAGATTTTGAACGATTACACCGCTGAGGCATGTGAGCGCTTTGAAGAAACGAAAAATAGTTTTACAACAATGGGAGAAGAAAATGTTGAGAACGTTGTTGATCTAAAATCTCTTCGAGGAGAGCACAGCGAAAAGATCGATAGAATACGCAATAATCACTTTGAAGAGAATGCGGAATATCTTGAAAGAGTATTTATTCTAATTACAACAATTTTGTTTATATGGTATTTATATCGTTTTTGTTGTTTAGATTACAGCAGGAATAAGTAATATTGGAATTAACATTACGAAAGAAAGAAAGAACTTACGAAGAATTACCGATAATCGAAATAAGGTCTGTAATTCGAATAGTCTTATTTAGAGTGTTTCGATTTTTGTATAAAAAACGTCCTTATCAAATTTCAGTTCCAAGAGGAACAGTTGGAAAAGGAAAAATCACTACAAGCTATGTTTTTGGATAATATTGATAAAACAATTACAAACGGATTGGAAGATGAGACGACACGCAATGATGAGGCTAATAAGCATATAGACGATATTAAACTAAATGTTTCTAAACATTATACGACAACGAAAGATAAATTAAAGAATTTTGATGAATCACTTCAAGATTGTAAAAAACATTGCGATGGTATGTCAAAAGAAACAAACGACTTTTGCAATGACCAATCAAATATTGCCGATAGGTAATAGATCATTTTGTAGTTATTATTTAGTCCTCTCTAGATTTTATCCTGATCAATTTTCTCTTTCGTTTTATAGATTTGTTTCTGAACTACAGAGGACAGTACCTACTGGGGAAACGCCAGTTCGTAAACAATATACATATCCAAGAGTTTTCTCACAAACAGACAGTCATGGAACTATTATTGAAGAATTTAGAAGTGTTTATGATAAAATGACACTTCCTAAAGAATTACCAAAAGCCGATAAATCAGATATTTTAGAGCCTGTTTTAAAGGTACGACTTTATAATCAATGTTTTTGTACCTCTTTGACATTATTCTAATATGACTAAACAAAAACACACAGGATGACATTGAAGAGCCAGAGATTATATCAAAATTTGAATTGGAAGATCCTGAAGAAACTGAAGTCAGCTCAACTAAATCTGAAGAAAGTGAAGCGAGTAGAACATCCAGTCTTGCGGTTAGTTGTAATAATATTTGCATTTCATTAATTTATTATTTTATTATATTTATATATATATATATTTATTTATTTATTCTTACTATTATAGAGTATGGAAAGCACTAAGGAAAACTTGGCTCCGGATGATAATGAAGTTTTCGTTAAGCCAACGAGCATTAAGCGAACAGCATCTATCAAATCAAAATCTAGAGTAAAAACACCCAGTCTGGAGCGAAAGAAGGCACCCCTAAGATCGAACTCAAAGAAAACCTAAAATGTCAATTTTCTCAAAAATCTGTGTGCTTCAGAAGATGATGAATTAGATATTCTCCTTCATTTCCCCCTAATTATTTTCAAACCCATTTAAATTATACTCTATAAATATTCGCACATATATATATTTACTTTGTACAGTATATATATATATATATATATATATATTTATATATTGCAAGAGCGTTTATTAACATTTTCTACTCTTTTTAACAAAAACGATATATTATATACATAGGGCTCTATACAGCTAAAAGCAACCCTAACGTTTTTAATATTTTAATTTTTTAAATATAGAAAAAAAAAGTCAATTTTGTCTTTCTCTTTGTTTTTCTATCTTAGTTATATTAACCGTTTTATTAGATTAAATTGTTAAAACGCTAACCGCCCACAAAAAACTAGTCCAGTTTTATTCTTAATGCTACTTTTAGCATCTTTAAATAGGATATGATGTTTATATTATGTCACTTAAATATTTGAAATATTCAAATTTTCTTCTATTTGAATTGATCATTAACAAAATAAATAATGTCTTTAAAGATGCTTATTGGACTTGCTTTAATTTCCATCAGTTTCCTGGATGGTTTTAACTGTAAATGTGCAATGGACGACAAGCGTAGAATTGTACAAATTAGCGAAACGTGTCAAACGAAAGCTGATTGTCGTGATTGTTTTTCGAATAGCAACGAACTTATTCCAAAGGATTGTTATCCTTTATACAAAAGTGCAAAGGATATGTGTAGTATTGGATCGGGTGAAAACGTTTGTGATAGGTTGATTCGTGAGGCGTACAGAACGTGTGAGTGGACGCATGACTCTTGTTCAGAGTGTTTTTCAAGAATCAGTAAGTAGCTTATCTTCTCTTATTGCTGTTTTAACTGACACAAACAAATTTTCCTCAAAGTTGATAGAAATCAATGTCCTAACGAACTGGAAAGAGCGAAATCGTCTTGTTTAGAAAATGTGGAAAAATCGAATTTTGAAGATGAAAATCCTAAACCAATTGATTTAAAAGTGGAAAAAAACGAAACGACAGATTGTACAAAGTTAGTCAACGACTGTATAAAACTAGAAAAGTTGCATTGCAGAAACTGCGTAGATAATCATATGAAGAATAATCAGTGCGCATCAAACTTCAGGAATGCACAATGTCCCAATTCATCAAAGTCGATTGTGTATAATATACTTACACTCATGATTTGTTTTTTATTAAAGAATAGTCTATAAATATTATGCATAATCTACGCAAAACAGAAAAATATGATATGTAACTTTTCATTAATTTATATCTTCGAAAGCAATATATAAACAGAATATATTTTTTATTAAAAGTTTAACAAACCCAACTCTCTGATAGCCTTATATTGATCAGGAATTTCCATCAAAGCGTTAAGGGCGAATGCCGCGTCTGAGTATTCTCCTTGACTTCGTAGTTTGTTATAATTAACAAACTGAAAGTTATCGAATTTTCTTTGTGGTAGTCTGTCGTCGTAGTTTTCCATTTCTTCCCATGGACCATCTCCAACTCCTATTAAAATTATCGATAACGGCCAGTTCGAAGCATCGATTATAGCTTTTCTTGTAGGTGCTTCAGAAGTCATTTGCCCATCGGCAATAATTACCAAGATATGATACTGGAAAAAGGAATAGAAGTAGGAGAGGAGACAAGGACATAGAAAAAGAGGGGAGAAAGAGATAAAGAGAGAGAGGCAAACAAACAGAAAGAGGGGAGGGAAGATTGAGTAATGTATATTTGTATATTAAGTTTATTTAAAGTTATATCCAATAACTTACACTCTTAGTTTGTTGTATGATATCTATAGCTTTGTAAATTAAAGGTGCAAAGCTTGTCGGTCCACTCATTTTAACTCTTTTCGCTAGTTGCGTATAGGCTGATAGTGCATCATGGAATCCTCTACAATATCCTTCTTCGCGGAATGGGAAAACGCTTACATCTCTGCTTGTTACATCGCCAAAACCAAAGCAAGGTATAATATTGTCGTCATCGAATTTTTCTATCGCACTTCCAAGAATTCGAATGACTTGTTGATATGGATTCAATCCACCAATGCTTACATCATGTAAACACCGACCTTCAAATGTTTTTCTACCTTGCCATTCATTACTCTTAGTAAAGTCAACTCCTATAAATATTATCTAAATTATTTTATAATTCACTTTCGAGTTGCTTCATTTCGATAAAAGTTGAAAGAATCTTACCGAATATTATGTTTGAAGACTCTAATCCTGCAGCTCTTATAGCTTCGCTAACATCTTCTATAGAGTGAAATCTATCAGCAATTAATTGAAATTTTTTAGTTCCATACAGTTGAAAGAAAGAGTTTGATTTCACTTTTGTTAACTTTCGATTTTTGAACCATCGAACCAATAACCAAATTATAACTACTACAATTACTAAAGGTAAAATATAAGAAGTATGAATCTCTCTTTCAGTCATCTTCGCAAAATAAACATATTAATGCTTAAATACACGTGTATTTAATCAAATCTTTACGTAATCTTTCAATATTTTGCAATTCTATAATACATGTAGAATTAATACATGTTGTTGGATATAATTAAATTAATTAATTAATTCGGTTCTATTTAATTGAATGAATTTTTTTTCGGATGTTTTAGTATATTGGAATGAAATTATGTGCGGACCTTTGGTAAGTTAAACGCGACTATTTTGTGAATTTCCCGCGTTTTTCTTAATACACTTCTTCAATACTACGAAAATCTATTAAAAAAAGGGAGAAAATCATATTTTCTTAATTCTTTTAAAAGAAAATATCAAAGTAAATTTATTAATATTTACAAAATAATTCATTTATTTTAAGGTTTTGCATTGTTGCGCCTATGGAAATCTTTTACCTAAATATCGCCCTTTTGTATATTTTTGCAGATGTATGCATTTTTGAAAGGCGGCGTACCACCTCCAAAGAAGCCAGAGAAACAAACACCTCAAAGAAAAAATATACCATGGGTTGAAAAATAGTAAGTTTAATAAAAATTAATAATATTGATTTTAAATGGTTAAACATTCTCAGTCGACCAAGATCTGTTAACGATATCGCCTACCAAGATGAAGTTGTTGCAGTATTGAAGAGTATCGTTAAGAACTATGATGTAAGATATAGCAATGATATTAATCGAGAAATTGCTGATCAAACGCCTAACAATTCATTCCATAGATGCCCAACTTGCTATTTTACGGCCCTCCAGGTACAGGAAAAACCTCAAGTATCTTGGCGATGGCTAGACAGCTTTACGGGTTTGCATAGGAGAATTCTTTCCCCTCTTGAAAGGAGAAACTAATTGTATTTTTCTGTATTTATAGAGCTCACTATACTTCTCGAATATTAGAACTAAACGCATCCGACGAAAGAGGTATCAATGTAGTGAGAGAAAAGGTGAAATTATTCGCCAGACAAACAGCAAGTTCCTACCTTCCAGAGTAATAATATTTACATTAGATCGTTATCTATTTATAGTACAATGAAAGTGAATTATATACTAATGATTAATATTTTATTTTAACAGTGGAAACAGATGTCCACCATTTAAAATAGTTATTCTTGATGAAGCTGATTCAATGACAAACGCAGCTCAAGCAGCTTTAAGAAGAACTATTGAAAGTGAAGCGAAAACCACCAGATTTTGTTTAATATGCAATTACGTTAGTCGAATAATAGAACCTTTGGCTTCGAGATGCGCCAAATTTCGCTTTAAATCTCTCTCAAACGATGCTATGACAGACAGGCTTAAATCTATTTGTAAAGATGAAAATATTAAATGCTCAGACGAGGTAAATAAAACTAAAAAAACAAGACTATTATAGAACATTCTAACACAATTATAATTATAATATTCAATTAATTCATTCATCGAATTAGGCTTTAGAAACCTTACGTAAAGTATCCGAAGGTGATATGAGAAAATCTGTTACGTTTTTGCAAAGTTGTGCTAGAGTATGCGGAGAAGAGACTATAGAAAAGAATACCGTACTGGAAGTTGCAGGAGTTAGTATACAAATAGAGATAAAGAATATATTCATTGAAAAATACTTATCATATTTACTGTTTATTCTGTTTTTTTTTTTTTAAAAAAACAATTTAAAGGTTATTCCCGACGAAGTTATAAAGAATTTTATTGATAAATGCTCGAAGAATTCGCACTTTTCGCTACAAACTGCTGTAGAAGTTTGTATATTAATAATAAATAGTGACTTTTTAACGATTTATTATTATTTTTATTAATATTATCAATAGAAATTAGAAATGAATGGTTATTCAGCTTCACAATTAATTTATCAACTGCTGGATGTAATTTTGAATAACGACAATATTGATATGAAGAATAAGGCAAAAATATGCGAAAAGATAGCGGTAAGTGACACAACTCTGACTATTAGCACATTTTATATTAATTAAATAATATAAATGATATAATTAATTGAATTAGGAAGTGGATTATCGATTAATAGACGGCGCTGATGAATATCTTCAATTAATGGATTTGGGAAGTGTTTTATTGGAAAATTTACCCAACTACTAACCACTCTATTCAATACTGTTCAATTAACACATTGACTAATAGAAGAGAAAAAAAATATCATTTTTTTACATCTGTTATATACAACTTTTGATACACAACGTGTTATTGCGTATATTTTATCCATTTCCACCGTTTCTTTTATAACTAACTTAAAAAGCTGATATATGAAGCAAACAATTGAGATTTATGCAGCAAACTAATGATAAATTATATTTTTATATTTGTTATAAAGATGTGTTTGTCATGTAAATATCGTATAAAATGATTATCTCGTAAGCTTAATACAGTATACAATATATATGCTATATTAGGGTAACTAGCTAACTAATAGCATGATTTTCGCTAATAGTTTTATCTATTGTCATAAAACAGTCGAAAATTCGTGTATATATATGATATTATTCAACCTTGTAATGATCTATCTTGAGCAAAAGCTTCAGCGTTTGATAAGAATGACAAATAGTCATTCATAAACTCACCGGAATCTTATCAGTGTTATATTGGGTCAATGCCCGTTGTATCACATATATACTAATACATATATATAAAGAGGTTTACTTGGACTATAAAATATAAAAGAAGAACTTGTTTTGAAGTATTAGTGAAAGTTATATTTTCAGTGTTTTCATTTCAAATTTAATAGAAATTGTTCAGTTTGAACAATACGCAACGAGAAGCAAGGAAAAAAATATCAAAATATTCATCATATCTGAATATTTAAATATCACATTGAAAATCACTAAACAGACTGCTTTTCTTTGAGAATAGACTCACACATAGCATGAGTAATTTATATATGCTGTCTGTTTTGGTCCTCGTAAGGAGAGGAACAAGTAAATACCTTTTTTCTGGTCAACAAATGAACTAAATTGGAAATATAGAAACAAACACTAAAAAAATCAAAACATACACATATGAGTAGAAATATTTTGTCGTGAAAAATAATAAACCAAATGATTAATGCAGTGCATTAACTGGTGAATATCGGAGAGGATTAGACTGGATTGTCTGAACATGATTTTCCTTCAAGAAAAAAAAAACAAGAAATAAGGACAAACATTAAAATATTTCGAGAAGACGAAGACAGAAAATAAAAAGAGAAAGAAAGAAAGAATGAGAACGAAGAGAGCTAATAAGTTGAAAACAGCTAACAAAGAAAAAAAAACAAAAACAAAGAATATAGAATCTTTATAATATTTGTCTTCTACTTGATTTATACGAACAATTAGCTGTCGTGTACTTGCTTATTTTTGTTTAAAACGCTCTTAAACACCTCAATTAGGTTGGTCAGTCCGAAAAGATAGCCCTGATCTAGTCCAACATGCAGCACCTCATCTTCAACATATGCGCCGTTGGTAGTATGCGCAAAGTCTATCATTCTAACATCGACATTAGATTTAACAGTTCCCTGTTTTCCTTCGTAAATTATTAACAGAGATGAAGAATAAAATCGCCAACAGTTTAGTTGTTCAACTACAGTCTTTAGAGTATTTAATCTTGAAATTATTTCTGGAATGACATCAATTCGAATACCATTTCCGTTATCAAGAAATTCCAAAACAGTTTCTTTAAAACCCTGGCTTGAAAGCGTTCTTCCATGATACTTATTATGACATAAGTATTTGTCATCATCCTCTCGGAATACCTGATTTTTTTGAAGAAATAAAGAATAATGTCAAATCTAAATACAGAACAAACAAAGCGCAAAAAATTGTTTACCTGCATACCACAAAGGCGGACTCCTAATGAAGAAGATGTTGACATGGCACACTTGGCTTTCTGTAGTTGCTTCTTTTCAAACGTAGCATCATCTCCATGTTGTCTAGTACCCATTTTAAGATCTAAAACGCAAGGACGGCTATAAACGGATGTCACATCTTCCAATAAAATATAATTCCTGGGAGCAGAACCATGGCGGCTGTGAAGCTTTTTCAGACTTTCTTTACAAAAATTAACACTAAAAGGATTTAAACTCTCTAAGCGAGTTTCTGTTAATTGCTGATTAATAATTTGTCTGATTTGTTCTTCAGAAACATCTGTGCAATAGTTTGAGTTCGATGTTGAATCAGCTCTTTGTAGAGAAGACTTTTTATTCCTTGAGAGTAACAATGCACTATGGTTAGAATTTATAGGCTTTATAGGTTGGCCGAAAACTTTCACATCATTTTCTATCATTTGAAGACGAACTTCAATTAAACCTGAAATTAATAGATACATATTTGTAACATATTTAAAAATGATCTGCTCAAAAGGCTTGAGAAAGATTTCGTAGAGCGATTTTAAATTACGTACCCCTAAATTCCGGTACAAATGACTGTAATTCTTTGGGTAACGATAAATAAAAATAATATTCCCTTTTAATAAACGCCTTGCAAAGTGTAGATGAACTATATTTAAAAATACACGCATGGCCTCCAACCTGTATTCATTTTACAAAAAAGAAACCCTGTTATATAAGCTATTTTCTATTCAATTATACTGTTTATATACTAATCATAAAATGAGAAAGGATTGAATAAAAAAATTTACCTGATGAGTGAAAGGTTCCAATGTAACTACTTCACCGTGTTTAATAAATTCTACTTTTTCTTCCTCAACTTCAGGCATATCATATTATTTCTATTTATTCTGAGGTGAAGAAAACAAAGTTTAAGTTACTAGTAATAACATACAATAGGATTTTTTTGTACATAAACTTTTTTCTCTATAAGATGTTCTCTCCATTCAACCTAGATTTTGGAATGTATATATATATATATATATAAAACCTGTATAATATACAATATATACTAATATAAATTTATATATATATACATATATATATTTTAAATGGATTATTTATATAACGATTTTTCAAAAAAATACATACTGTATATACTGTATATATTTATATACAGTATATATGCAAATATATGTTATTTTCACATTTGATACACCATATAATATCTTTATTATACTACCTAGTAATATAGAAATTTACTCTGCGCTGTCCTAGTGCAGAATGAACAAGGCGCTAGGTCTTATCAGTATTGACCCTATGCTATATTTATCGTAAAACGTCATTTTAGCAACCAGAATGACTAGTCTGATCAGCTATGTAAACAGAAACCTGATATACTGGACTCAACTATTCAAGGGTATACAAGGGAAAAAGAATATATGTATTAGTATATATATATTTATTCATATGGGCGTAATCTTTTTCACAAGAGAGCATTTTGTAGAAAAGAAATCTTTAGCAAGCGTTTTATAGGATAGGCTGTTCCACGTATGAATCATTCTATAATAAACGTTGTATAGGATTAGTGAATTCAATGAAAAATACTTTTTCGACAAACAATTTATGCAACAACTTTCAGACTGGCCTTTTGTTATTATATTAAAATGTGCAAGTTTTAATATATTATTAACAAATACTCTAGCTGAATCAATAATACCTAATAAGTTATTGTGGATATTTTGACATTTCGAAATCTTTTTACGTCTTTAACTTTTTGCTATATTTCTTTAGGTAACATACTTAGACTCTTGTCTAAAATTTTTGTGTAATTTTATGATACCATTAGTTGCCTGAATTTGGAAGCGCCTTCAAAGTTTCTCTGGTTTTTTATTATACATACTCTACGTCTCTGACTTATAGGAAGGTGTTGAGCACATTGATGATCGATTCAATATTCCATCTATAATGCAGATCTAAGTGCAGTGCAAAAAACTTTGAATTATTTGCTGATGAAGAACATTATACTTCTAACTCCTTTTGATTGTTTTATCTTCGATTCAAAGTGTTCGATTATTTATCAGTCTAAGTTCATCTTATAAAATCAAATCTTCCAGCTGTTTGGTTCTACTGAGACAAAAGGCCTATTCTTTGTTGCTTATTCATAGTTTATAGGGCAGTTTCATTTGGCAATTCGTCAATAACATTAATAATAGGCATGTTTTCTTTTTTTAATCTTATATAACTTCTGCGGACCTTGTCTTATTTCTGAGCATTTGTTTTTGTATTTTAGCAACAACATTTCCCTAATGTTGTCTGCAAGATGAGAATGTTTCTTTGCAGTTATATCTCCGTGCTTTTCATCAATTTCCCCTCTCGTTGCAAATCTTTATTTAATTAACATATGTACTTTGCAAGGAAATGTTGAAAACAAGATAGCGTTATTTACTATCTCAATAGTTATGGATTTCCTGAAAATTGGCCTATCCTACATAAATTTTTATATTAAACAGTCCACACACGTGAAATACTGTACCAATATACATATAGTGTATATATGCATATACAAATATATATATATATATATATATACTGTATATATGTATATACAATAAAGAGTTTATTAAACTTAATTCAACATATGTCGAAACAACCGATTAACCAAAAAACTAATATAAAAAGAAACTACAAATTTTCAACAAAAATAATCAAAATTAACAACCTTTTATGATTATTATCATAAATACAGGGTGATATCATTTTTTTTAAAAAATGATTAAAATGTCAGACTATAAAAAGAAATTATTTCTTATTTTAGAGCATTAAATTGATTTATAACTATATCCATTTGTATGTACAGAGAAGGGAGAGGAAAGAAAGAATGTATATTAGATATGAAGAGCTTAATCACAAGTATTATTATCGGACTTTAAAATCATTAATGCGTCCTTTTTCTGTTTAAAATAATGTTCAAAACGAATAAGTGCGTAATCGAGATATGAAAAATTGATTGTTGCAACATGCGCTTGAACGATCGACCATAGACCCCAGAAAAAATGTGATGCTAATGTAAACGCAGCAACTTCTTTGTATAAATTATCAAGTTCTCGGTCAAAATTAATGTTTTCGTCTTCCATTTCCGCTAAATAATGTCTAAAAAAGTGATATTGTTGTTTCTTTGTCGGATATTTGCTGATATCAGCTAGGTAATATGGATGTTCTGCATGTGAATAATCGTAGCACCACTCAACGAAATGATTTGCTATGTCATACGCTCTATAGTTATATGAAGAATATTCAAAATCAATTGCTTTCAGTTTCCAATCATCTGGTTCATCCGAATTTTCGATAAAGAGTATATTTCCCTCCTGCATGTCATTATGACAAAAAACAACTGGACTATGTACTTGTAGCAGTATGCTTTTTAATTCCGTTTCTTCCTTGGCTAAGCCCAAAGATAATAATCTTTCTAGTTTGGCAGTGTTCTCAATCTGTTCGCTGTCGAATGACACATTATTTAAGACTTCATCTAGATATCTTGTAATTGTTTCAAACAGCCACTTTGGTTTTTTCACTAGTGGCATGTTTAATTTATGAAAAGAGGCCATAATCTTTGCACACTCGGATGATATACTAGGAATTGCAAGTTCTTCAGTATAAAGATGCCTAGAGTTGACGTATTGCTCAACTCTTCCACCAGTAAAAACACCATATAATTTTGGTCCAAGGCCTTTTTCGGCTAATGATGTAAATACAACGGAATCGATCACAACAGTTTCTGGATCCTCGTGTATAATTTGTCCGTAAATACGGACAAGAACCTTAGGCGGAACATTAGAATTATCGGAATGGGGCAATATATGATTTGGTAGTGCACACATATACAAATGATTGCTCAACCCTCCGGTTATCATACTGAAAACAAAATCATCCATCGTAACTTTCAACCACGCTCCACCTAAAAAATCCTTGCAGATACTCAAACATTTTTCTTTCATCTCGATGTCCTCCATCGTTATGATTTTTATGATATATTACTTCGCAAACTGTGAGTTAATGCGAAATGATCAAAGGTAGCTGATAAAATTTTGATAAAACTAGCTCTTTGCTAGTTTAAGTGTGGAAATGGCTGACTAGGTTGGTGAGTTGGAAATGTCCGGCATGACTCATATATGTGTACAGGCGGATCTTACGTGGGTACAAACAAGTCAATCATAATTTTACAAATATTCAAGCAACATACATTCTCGGCACAATTTACAGTATTAAAAGTGTCTTTTAGAGAAAAGTTAGTTACAAATCACGTAAATAATCTTACCTTAACTTGTTCTTTCGCTTTTAGCGCCCTCTACTACAAAACATGGCGGCATTGGCTACAATCACGTGATATTACTAAATTAGTTCTACCTCGTTATTAGTAAAATGTCATCAACAGGCCAAACAATAACAATCTGGCTTGATGTTCGAAGACATTATTTGGGTCTGGAGAATGTGAATCAGATAGATGTGGAAGACGACCTAAGATGTGTTGAGTTACCCTACGGATGTTCTACAGTGGAAGCGCAAGAATTAATTAGAGATGCATGCAATCTGCCAAGCACTGTTATTCTACAATTGCGCAATCATAGAAATTCTCTAATTGCAATCAATGGAAGATTGACAATCACATCAAAATATCAACCATATATCTTGGAAGCTGTTCGTCCTTATCAGAATGTTAAGGCAAAGCGTCGAGCCAACAAGGATCAAAAGCGTATAGACATCTTTAAAAAAATTTTGAACAGGTAAAATACGCTGAAATTTTTTTTTTTAATATTTATAAAAAAATGGGTCTTTTTGTTTATGCAACCTAACAGCTATAAGATACGACTTCAGACGGTGGAAGACAAGCTTCCAAGTTGTCAGGAGAGAAGAAATCAAAAATTGTTGATGGAATTACTAGAAATAGACAAACAATTAAATTTTCTTCAAAAACGATTTCAAGATGCCGATCGAACAACGTGGTCGGGCATGTTTAAAAAGACACCATTATGGTAAACTTTACATAAAACTAAAATGTTTTCTCTTAAAAGTAAATGCTTTAACGACAAAACAATATTAGTCTTTTACTTCTTTACTCCTTTCAATTCCAAATCAAACACAAGAGTAGAATTCGATGGAATACCGGGAAGACTTTTTCCTCCATAGGCCATTTTTGGAGGAATGGTAAGAGTTCTCTTACCACCAACTTTCATTCCTTTAACTCCAATTTCCCAGCCCTTGATGACTTCATTAGATCCTAGACGAAAGGCAAATGGTTTTCCTGACGTGCAACTATCAAATTCCTTGCCGTTTGAGCCTAATTTACCGGTATAATACAGCAATACTTTCTTTCCTTCTTTCGCTTCAGATCCTTTTCCCTCTAACTCATCAACTGCGACAATATTACCTTTAAGAACTCTCTTAACTTTCTTTGTCTCAGTTTTTTGCTTCTTTTTTTGAGTTGGGGATTGCTCTTCAAGTGTTCTGTCCTGAAGCTTACGTTTCTTGTTGTCCTTACCGTTGGTTTTTTCGACTGTAAATTAGAAGTTTCTACTTATTCGCTCTCATAGGATTCACTTATGAAAGTTCTTTATTTAAATTTTCCAAATACATACCTCCATTCTTTTTCTTCTTCTCTGATTGAACTAGTTGAGGAGCTTCAACCTCCTCTTCAGCCTCCTCCTCATCACCATCCTCATCATCGTCGTCCTCTTCCTCATCATCTTCGTCCTCATCGTCGTCGTCGTCGTCGTCTTCATTGTCGTCGTCATCTACTTCTTCATCGTCATCCTCATCTATTTCATCATCGACATCGACCTCTTCGTCATCAAGACTATCGTCTACGTCGCTGTCATCATCACTATCGTTTTCTGCATTATCTACCATACATTCTTCTTCTGCATAAGATTCATCATCACTATCGTCATCCTCCATTAAACCAAAATCTCCGTTGTTGACTAAAGCATTTACATCTGCATCTGCATCATAATCTTCATCGTCGTCACTGTTATCAGGGTCAATAAGAAAGCCGCTCAAATGAATTTCATCTGAAGACCATTTATTTTTAATATACTTTTTTATTTTGACTTTAAATAAAATATTTTATACTTGGACCATCGGCGAAGAAGTCTATTTTATCGCCGGCTCTAAAAGCTAGATTTAGCCGTTGACATTGATTTGAATTATCCAAAGCGCACAGAAGTATGTCGTCGCTACCTTCTTGTTTGAAATATAGAGAAGATTTTTGTGTATTTGTACCTCCTTCCTCTGTAACTTTCAAACAAGCCATAGTTAGCTGGAAACTTTTTTGGCAAGTTTGCGACACACTTGATTCTGCCGGCACTTTCACTCCTGAGAAAAAAAATTGATATTAAGATGAAATATTCATTTTAAGTTAGATTTCATACCCCAGAAAGTTGATGTATAATCTGACAATTTCATTTTTAATTATTGAGAGCAATTAAAGAATTTGTTTTAATTATAAAGAGTAAAATTAGTGAGCCGTAGATATTACAAGACTATCACGTGGTGGTCTAATCCAGCCTCGTTTGAAGACCGGAAATATCAATTATTCCTTCCGGATCCGATTTTTAAATGTGAAGGACGAATGTCTGAAATTAAAGATTATATATTTCTCGAGAAATTAGGCAGCGGAACATATGCCACTGTCTATAAAGCACACAAAAAAGTAGACAAAGTTTTTAAATAATATAAACCATAAACGTTTATTTTGATTAAGAATTATAAATATATAAAATGTCCCTCCTGCCTGTTTCCATCCCATTATCGCTCTTTGTTTTTTCAGGGACGCCCAAAATCAGTAGTTGCAATAAAATGTGTTGAGCGAAAGGGACTTAATTCAAAATCAGTAGAAAACTTAGCCAGGGAAATAGAACTATTGAAGCAATTGAAACACGAACATATCGTTAAAATGATAAATTTTGATGTAAGAATTAGTTTCCTTAACATTCAATTTTGAAATTGAGACTTTTCTGCTATTCAGTGGGATGAAAAATTAATTTATATTGTTATGGAATATTGTAGCGGTGGAGATCTCTCTCATTTTATTACTGCAAAGAGGACTCTATCGGAGTACTTAGCAAGAAGATTCCTTCAGCAAATAGGTGAGATGGATAATAATTTAAATAACGTTCAAAGTTTTTAAGGATAGCTCATTTGCTGATGTAAATATTTTAGCTTCTGCCCTAAAGTATATGCGCTCCAAGAAAGTTTGTCATATGGATTTAAAGCCCCATAATATCCTTCTTGAATCTCCAAATAGCGTCGTATTAAAATTAGCTGATTTTGGATTTGCTCATTATTTAAATCAGGAAAGTCAAACAACAAAGCATTTAATTGGAAGCCCATTGTACATGGCTCCTGAAATTGTTGTTCATAGAAACTATAATGAAAAAGCCGATTTATGGTCAGTTGGCGTTATTCTCTACGAATGTTTGTTTGGAAGGGCACCGTTTGCCTCAAGAACATTAGAAGAAATAAGAGATAAACTTTACGATAGTAGTCCTGTTCTTATTCCGGGTGGGACTTCGGAAAATTGCAAACATTTGCTATCGCGACTGCTTCAGAGAGACCCTGAAAAAAGAATTTCGTTCGAAGACTTTATTAAACACCCATTTGTAGATCTAGAACATAAACCCTCTGAGAGTTCTGTCAAGAAAGCAACTGATATTGTTCAAAGTGCTATTGAATTCGATTCATTGGGAAACTATAAGGAGGCATTAAAATTATATTCAAGCTCCCTTCAATATTTTGTATCTGCCATTCACTGTTAGTATTGCTTTTTAAAAAATTCTATCATCCGTAAGCAGCTTAACTTTATTTTTCGTTCTTTCAATATAGATGAACAAGATGAGGAGAAGAAAAATTGCATACGTAGAAAAGTGAATAATTATATGAAAAGAGCTGAAGAATTAAAAAAAATACTTTATCCAAACGATGTTCCATCTGAATGTCCCGATTCAAAGATTCTTCCAACACTGTGTAAGTGATATTAATAATGTTTCAATTATGAAATATATCATAAAGATTAATTCAAATTTTGAATCTACATGATTATAGTTAGCAGTATTAGCGAGAATGAAGTTGATCTTAGACGAGCTCTTAACACCTTGTACTCTGCTCAAAAATTGGTAAATCTATTGTAATATAGATCTAACCACACTTTACAAGTTGAAGTTTTTATAAGAGTTGTTTTTTATAGGCAGCCAACAAAGAATTCGAATCAGCTTACAAGGCTTATGAAATTTCCATTGAAAAACTTATACCTCTTGCCAAAGCAGACGATAATGTGAATAGAAAAAAACTCTTGCAGAAGCAGCTTTCCATATCTTTAGATGAAGCTGAAAAAATAAAAGAATATCTACAAACAAACCTGAAAGAAACTAAGGAAGATATGAAAAAGGAAGAAGAATGTAAAAGTAAACTCTGTATAGTAATGTAAGCAAAGTAAAAACATAAGTGATTTGATAGTTCAACTTTCGAATTATTATATAAATTTATTAATTTTTCGGTGGTTTTGATCAAGAATTTTTATTTTTTTGTTATGCGAAAGATATTTTTTATCAAGTTTGAATTTATTTTGAATAATCTACATAATCTAAGCAAAATTTTAACAATAAATTCAACTAATTTGAAAAAGCAACAGCTAGAGTTCTTGAATTCGTCAATTCAAGGATTGTTATAGTGTTTTTCCCATATTTTAAGTATGACATGGGAACTAACATTTTTGAATGAGGCCAATTAATATTCATATAACTACCAATAGTAAAACCATTTATGTATACTTGACCTTCTCCTAACCCTTCCAGTTTTAACCACGAATAAGCTAGTTTTGACGACTTCTTAATAAAAAATGAACCACATAAGAAGGCCGGCCGATATATACTATTCTCTGTTGTTGAATTAAGAGAGATAGTATTAATGTCTTGAAGGTGTATATATCTCCACCATTTTGGGGTCTTTCCTTGAATTTTAATGACTAGATTTTCTTTTTTAAGTGTTGCGGCTGTCTTAACGACAAGCATTAATGTATGTTGTTTGGAACTAGTTAACATATAACGAGGAATGAGAATCTTTCTACCAATCTCAAAAGTCGAATTAAGACTAATAACATCTGCCAATTTGTGATTATTGATAATAATCTGTACTCTTCCAGGATTGAAACTACCCTTTAGGCTAATATAAGTAGCTGCGCCAACAAATGTTGTGTAAGTGACATAGATCTCACCATAAGAAGGTATTAAAGGCTTTTCATGATTTTCCAAGTAGAAAAACTTTTTATTCTTTTCTTTCAACTGTTGAATGTTAATTTGCCGATCCAATTTCACTATACCAAAAGAAGATATATCAGGTCTACTATTCATGGTGTAATCAATATCGTTTGTCAATGACATTTCCTTAAAAAGATCTCTCATTACAAAATACGTAAGTGACTCTTCTCCGAGGCTGTTAACTGGCAGAGAATAATGAAAAGTTGTCGCAATTACTGTCTTATTGCTACACGTCTTTTTCGAATTATCACAAGATACTCTAAAATTACGTGATCCACCAATAAAAGGAGCGATATTAATAGAAGCACCATTAGCTAAGGCATACTTTAACACCTTTCTAATATTAACTACATTTATTTGCTTTGGCTTAGTTCCGTAAAAAGTTGTTTCGATAATTTGCAGATTTGATAAAAAGAGAGCTGAATGTTTATTGGTTTCTTTCCAATTAGTGATTAATTTTTCAACTGAGAATTGACGAGAATGTTCCGGGACGAATAAAGTTAGGTAAGCACCGATTACTTGTTTGGAGGAAAAGATCATTTCGTGTAGGCCATTGAGTCTTAGTTGAGAAATTATATTCTTAAGATAATCTACATTGTTGTTGTCTCTTTCGATCATAATCGCTATCAGAGGACCACCTTTCAAATATTGATATCTCCATAAAATTTTCGCAACTTGTGAGAGAAAACTATTAATTGCTTTTAGATATTTCTTATCTTCTATAGATCGAATTTTTATACCGTCTTTAATCATCCATGAAGGTAATCCCCCATAGACTATATGAGGTCCAACATAAGGACCGCAGTCAACAATTAACTTTAAACCTACACTTTTAACGGTTTGAAGAAAGCGTGAAATTTTTTCCTTGTCAATAATTAACTGTATCAATGAAAATGGATGAAGAAGAGAAAGAAAAGATTATCATATCAAATAAATATACCTGACTTAATTCCAATTCATTCCAGATTATTGTTGTAACAACAGTATTTAAACCAGCTAACTTAAGCTTTTTAAGGCGATCCTTCCATTCGGATTCAATTACTTTTGTAAAATCAAATTGACCGGCTAAAATACGAAAATACTTTCCATTTAATTCAAATTTTTTATCATTAGCTTTTAAAGAAGATTTGGAAAAGAATCCTTGTTCTGCTATATAAAGTTTAGCTGTTGTGGATTTTCTATGAACAGTACTGAGTGTAGTTTGATTATAAAATAACATTCCAGGATGATGATTTATCATAGGATTATGTTCGTGACGAGAATGAAAGAATAATTTAGGCGAATATTCTCCGTCCTTAATGAAATTTCTTTGTTTTATGTTAAGTATAATATTTACAACGAGAAATAAAAAGGTATAAAAGCCAATTGTTATCATAAGAGTGTCCAAATTAATTCTACATAGCTTTTGTTTCAATTTCCTCTTCCATCTACTTTCTTCTCTCTTCATTTTTAAAATCTTTGGTACCTGTTTACGTTATAGAAGTTCATGTATCAAACCAATCTGACTGTTATTGTATAGAAGACAATTAATAACGTACCGTAAAATGTTCTGCCGCCTTTAACACCTTCATAGCTATTTGTTGAATAATATCTTTCACTAGTTGAGTTTCCCGTTCAGACACTACTCGTAGTGCCCTCCCTGGTCTATGGATTTGAAACGATTCCATTTAATCGAATAGGGGGTTTTCTTATACTTTAAATGACGAAGACGACTAAATTTACTTAATGCTTACAGTTCACTTGTATTGATCTGTTCAACAATAGCAGGCCTAAGCATAAATATAGAATAAACCCAAAGGAAGTGAACACTAGGCATAAAACACGATTCAGAAGGAGTTAAATGAATTAGGAAGAGAAAATAGAAAAGAGATAATCTATAACTTAAAAAATAATAGTCCAAAAACTCTCTCAAAAAAAGGGAAAAATGGAGATAGGTAACTTTTTATTCACAAAGATGTGCTTGATAGATTAGTAATAATTTTATGGGCGTATCTAAGAAATTTGCCTTTCAAGAAAGTATTCTTCTTTTCTTCCATTTCTCCCCCTCCCTTCTCTCCCACTCTGCCTAAGCTTTTAAAATGTATTATTGTTAAATAGGCCTATTTCTTCACTACGGGTAATTTTTCTATTTATTTCTCTGTTGCGGAAAAAAATTCACTAACCATTGAATAACCAAATAATAGTAATAGCTGAACCGAAATTTTATAGTTGTTGTACAGTGACAGAACAGTATGAAGTTAGTAGTATACTATTACAATTTGACTATTAGATTAACAAAAAGCGTCTTGTTAGGAGAAAGAGAAAGAAGGATTTGTGGAGCTCCTTACACTTTTAATATTAACTTTAGAATCGTTTGACATATCTGACCATATTGACGATAAACTGCTACTATTCTTAATTATTAGCAAATCATAACACGAACGTCTAATAATAGCTTCAATTCTCGAATTATTTGTGTTAATGTATTTTTGATTGCAGTATTTCTCTTTCAACGTAAGTCCTATTTCATTCTTATGGTGTTGAAGAGTGAAAAGCCTAAAGCCATTTGTAGATTTTTCAATGGCCTTGTTTAATTCAACAACAGTTTCATTCCAGCCCAAAGGATTGGTAAAAAAATCTATCTGAGTTGATTTATCTTTTGTAGGTCTATTAGCTCGAAGTCTATATTTAATCTTTCTCGCTTTCCTGTTAAACTTATCCATCGTATTTAGCATATTACGCATATTCCGTTTTTTTAAATTTCACTTATCATCCCCCTACTATTGATTAATATCTATCTTTTAAAGAAATATTCCATCTTTACCTATTTATTTATTTCTTAAGCGTTTTTGAATACATTGAAATTATTTTCAAATAAATTCTAATGATTTGAAATTTTAGTTATAGCTGTTTTCGAAAAGAAGACGAAAATAAAACGAGATTGACAATTGAAAAATTCTTTATTAAATTCTAATTGCAATGCTGTCGTGAGATCAAAACTCATCGAAATATATATTTTAGTCACGTAAAAGATATATCACCATATATATATATATATACAGTGTATATTCATATATGTTTTATTGTTGTTTTTTATATGTTTTACATATGTAAGTCGTAACGTTCGTGCTTAATAAACCACCCATAGATGGCGCTTTATATCTTTTAAATATGGTGATGATGGCACATTCGATTGTTTTTTTTTTGTTTTCTACGTTTCGACTTCTCTCCTCTATAGGAGACTGTTTAAAAAATAGAATAAAGAAGCTTTTGAAAAAAATACCCAACTAAAATGTTTATCTTCAGTTGAGGGAATCTCCGTTCGTCGTTAATTAAATTGAGGAGGCCTCCAGCAAGCACAGATTTTATCAATTTAATATCTTGAATCTTTTACCCGTGACGCAACTTTTAAAATATATGTACAGGGAAAATAATAAGCTCTTCTTTAAGGTAATATAAAAAATACATATACAAAAAAGTTCAATCATCACAGCCTTAAGAAGCCAATCTTTTCAGTTCAATATACTTTGTACGGCAGCGTCCAGTTCTAACGATCCATTCGTTGACTGAACGCTATCGTCAACTATACTTTCAAGTGGCATAGACGCACTTTCTTCCACCTTGGGCCGTTTAGGCTCAGGCGGTTCTATATTACGGTCTTCAAGTTGAAGCATTAAATCCTCTTCCGGAAAAGGAGGTAAAATGTCTTCATCGGGAGCAACAAAGTTTTCCACTTCTTCCATAGGAGTTTCCACATACTCTTCAGTGTCTAATTCCTCTTTAATTGGCACAAAAAAATTTCTCAATTCATTATATGATAATTCATCGTTATCATCTGCCAATCGTGGCGTTGGGAAAAACGTTGGTGAACTTCTATTTACTCTCAGTTTATCTTCCTCCAGTTGGGTTTTTTCGTTATTTATAAACATTCTACCTATTAGAACCATTTCAGCACTTGGTACACGCCGCTAAAGAAATAAAAAATTATAAAGTTTATTTAATAAAATATTATCAACTCTTTTCTTTGTTATCTTACTACTATTCTTATTTTAGCTTTCACTTACCATGCTTTCCTCCAGCATCAGCATATGAAATTTTGCTTGAAGTTGTTCCTTTTTCGCCAATAGTTTTTGACTTAGGCCTTCGAAGCATTCGTCGTCTATTTTCGTTGTTTATAAAGAAAAATAGTTTATTAATAATGACAATGACAATAATAAACTTTTTCGATAACTCTTACCGTAGGCTAAAACTTCTTTTTGAGGCATTCGATGCTGAAATACATGGTAACGAACTAAACGGCGGCAAACGTCCTTTATATCTTTAAATGGTTCTTTTATTTCAGGATTTAATGCAAATTTATGATCGTTGAGTAATTGATTATGGGCCATTTGAACGGGCGTCGTTGCCTGAACAGTAGTTTTTTTGACAGGCTGAGTAGGCGTTGCGAAAGTCTTAGGCATTGTTGCCGATGCTGTTACAATTGGTAGTTTCATTACGGGTGTTGCTCCTAAATCAGCTGGTAGTGTAACGTTCGCATTTTGAAAGTTTGTTGCATTATTGATATGACCCTGAGCTTCATTGATAAAATGTCTATAAACTTTCATTTGTTTATCCTCAGGTAATCGTTTAATTCGCTCCTCTAATGACGGAGGTAAAATAAGTTTGTTATTCACGAGTTTAATATGATTTGCCTCAATACCCTGGGTAGCAGTCCCCTTTTGAATAGTTATGGTTAGTGGTTCAGTCTTTACAGGTTGACTTGTACAAACGTTATTAGCCGGTACGATATTAACAGGTCTTGTTGATTGTTGAATTCGTATATTTTTTTGCAAAATGGGTGATTTCTGAGGGAAAGGTGACGCCTGAGAGATGGTAACATTCGGAGGAACTTGGGCAATTGGCCTCGAAGGTTGTGCAGGTCTCGGATCATTTATTTTATTCCTAATTGCTTCATGAGCATCTCGTAGGGCTGCTAACTTATTTTCATCCTGAGGCCCTAACGGTTGCTTAGAAGAAAGAGAGTTTATTTCATTTTTTAAATGATTAACAATTCTTTCCAACTGAGGTTTGCTAAAAGTTGATGAACCAGAAAGTGTGGCTGCTTGCGGTTGGGATGAGGGCGACTCGGACGGTTGATTATTACCGGTATTTTGAAATGAATTCGGAATTATCTGTTGCTGGTCTGTCCTCAAATTGTTACTAGGAACAACTTTAACAATATTCGGATCTGTCGATGTTGACGAGATCGTATTGATGGTTTGGCTTGTCTGCGGAATGAAATTTCTTGATGATGCTAATGTAGCAGAGGATAAGCAGCGAACAGTTACTGATGAAGTTGGTGGAGCTGAAGTTACAACGATTAATTTTTGTTTAAGTCCTAGATGATCCTGCAATTGAGATCGAATAGGTACAGGTACACCATTATTAGCTACAATCTGCAAAGGTTGCCTGGGAGGAGCCAAATTAGGCTGTACTGGATTGACCGATTGTAAGTTATATCCTTGAAAATTAAGATTTCCAACGTTAATTAAATTTATGTTAGTGTTTTGTGGTTCGACAACTATCGGCTGAGTATTCGTGGGGCAGTTTGAGACAGGTTGTTGGGCTAATATTATTTGCTGCGGACTTTGAGATGACGTTGAGTTAGGAGTTAGTAAAACCTGTGTAAGTTGTTGCGGCTGTAATATGATGTTAGGCTGTATCGCTCGCACTATTATATTCCCTCCTGAACCTGGCTGAACAGTCTGTTGCGGTCTTACACTCAGTGTTTTGTTAGGCAGTAACGATGCTATGTTGATTTGTTGCAGAGGAATGTTAGGGAGATTAGCTCCATTGATAATAATCTGTTGTCCCTGAATAACGTTGTTTGGTGTACTCTGTCCAACTTTCGGTAAAACGACTTGATTCGGGGTAGCACCCAATTGGATAGCCGAAGCATTTGATATAACATTGGAGTTAATTTGAATGGTGGCTGTGGCCGATGGTTTTTTTATAGGAGCTGGAGTGGGATTTAGTTGCCGGGGTGGTTCTTCTGGTGTAACCGGAACAGGTTCTAAGTTCGGAAAGTTGTCGAAATCGATCGATGATGAGAAAGAGCTCACGAATGCAGGATCGTTTGATAAAGATTCCACAGCATCGATTAATTGTCCTATATCGTCGTCATCAGTAGCTGCAGGAATGAGTTCATCCAACTCGCTCGGGAGGCTGTGGATTATAGTTAATGTATTTAATTGATTGATATTCCATTAAAAAAAAAACACTTATTAGGAACAATTATAATCAAAATCTTTCTTTTTTTTTATTATAAATGAATTGAACGAAATTGAAACCGTACACGTCTAAGCCATTATCCATGTCATCAGGACATCACGCTCTGTTCTGTCTGGGGTTTGGTTCGATCTGTCAAAATGTTAGATATTATTAAGATGAATAAAATATACTATTATTGCTTCTACTAAATCGCTTATATCGTGTTTTAGGGTGAAATCACTAGTCTTTTACTTTCACTTACGGATCTAACTGACAAAAAAACAGACGACTGTTTTCTAATAGTACAACTTCCGGCATTAGCCGGTCGATAAACGCTTAAACGCGTTGGGATATTGTCGGGCGGCATTTTAATGGCGTACTGAGCAGAGTAGTGTATGCGGGTTTCGTGGGTTTGTCACTGAAATATTATTATTTGCAAATGATATACTCACCTTTTGTTACGCGTAAAACGGAGGTCACGCTCGTACTACTTTCAAAACGCTTTCGCAGCCACCGGTTACTGGTGCTAATAATTGACATTTTACTCTTTGTAGTTTTAAGGCTTTATTGTGAAAGAAACATGTAAAAACATTCGTTTTATCTTCACTTGCAATATCTGACTGGCAAATTTAAGAGAATAGCCCCCACATGGTTTCAAGTTGACGTCGATGAAGAAGGCGGAGAAAGCGTTAATTATTTGCATATTATAATGATGTCTAAAGATAGAACGAAACAAACAAGTCGCTCCTCCCTCTTATTGCGAAAAGGCCTTATAATTTCAAGCTAGGAAGCTCCCTTTCATGAATTGGAGAAGTTTAAACCCTTTCCGAAAATTTCAACTCCCTTTAACACTAATTTCTTTGGTCTCCTCATAAAATAGTTCGCCTCCTACACTTTCCTTAAAAATCGGCCTTAAAGACTTCAGTTTGTCCATTCTTGTTAGAACATAGGTCTTATTTGAAAAATGCATTGATATGTGTGTCTAACTTTTAAGTTTATCGATGGGGTTAAGTGTATTTAAGGTTAAGAGGAAAGGCGGTCAAGTGGTAAAGCGGTCTCATAAATATTCACGAAGTCTGGTTTCGAGGATTGTTCTATTTATCGGGTGTATCCAGGATTCCACGTTACCAAGCGTTTCGTCTGCTACAAAGTAAAAAGAAAATAGCATGATTGTTTTTATTTTGTAATCGAGGAATTATTCATATTTATTTTAAGTAATGGAAGTTCGTAACTACTCCTGTCTTATCGAGCTTTTAGGTGAGAGTAATGTGGCCCTTCCATCTAGTTCAAGTGGGATTTTAATTGATAGCCGACTAGGAATTTTATTAACTCATGGCACCGTCCTATTTGAACACCTTTTACATAACAACGATAATCATCGGCAGCTGTTGAAAAATCAAAGTGTAAACCTAGAAAAATTTAATTTACGAGCTAAAGTTTCCTTTGAAAAATTCGATAAAGATAATCAAAAGAAAAGGAGCACTTCTCATATACAATTATTTAATTGTAATCAAGGAAGTAGTGTCACTCCAAGAGATAACCATTCAGCGCAAGTTCTACAGATATTTGTTTGTCCAGAATTTGTCAACGGATTGAACGATGTAGCACCGAAACATTCCGATTGGTCTTTCAACTATATTGATGACACAAGCGAAAAAGACCAATTAATCATTGATCTACTACCTACGTTTGTGTTGCTAAGAATCGATAATTGGCGTAACGAAGTTGAAAATGATTTGAAAATATCACCTATTAAACTAGTTAGAGAAGGTTTAGAAGTATATTCAGTTGCTACTCCGTTTGCTAATCTTAGTCCAGGAGTATTCTTAAACTCTATTAGTCGGGGAATCATATGTAAAGCTACTGGAAAGCACAAGAGTGTCTTACTGACCGACGCTAGATGTGTACCAGGAACCGAAGGTGGACCATTATTCGACAAGCAAGGGTAGGACATTCTAAATATTACATATGTTTACAGTTTAACCTACTAATCTCCTTTCAGACGCTTGATAGGCTTAATTGCTTCGTCACTCTGCTGGAAAGGTGGAGAGTTTACCGGTTTGGCCATTGCTTGCTCAATTCAGAGTCTTCTTCGTTCACTTCCGTTATATAGAGCCATAACGAATATTATAAGGGAAGAGGACGTTGAATTCAGCCATGATCAACAAACATTCTTAGTAGAGAAGCTATCGAAGAGTGTTGTATACGTTAAATGTGGGGCTCTGAGTGGATCTGGAGTTGTGATCGAGCCTCAGATGGGTTTGATCGCCACTTGCAGACATGTGGTTGCCCAGTCGGCCTATAATCCTAGTTAGTAAAAGATATAATACAATTTGTATCTTGGAATATTTAACGAGTTAAAACGATTTCATTAAAAATAGCCAAAGTTAAATTAAGCGACGACTGTGATTGGTTTGAAACTGATGTGATATTTTCGACAAATTCTTCGAGTCCATACGATTTTGCACTGCTCAAAGTAAAACATTTTGTTGATTTGCCACTTTTGCCAAGCGTTCAAGTTGAAAATAATCCATTTGAAGGTAAAGTAATGTTCTAAAAACTCGTTCAAGATTTATAAGGTCTCAATTAAAAACATTCTATTTTATTAATAAATAAAGGAGAAGAACTATTTATGATTGGACACGCTTTGTTAGAGGATAAAGCAAAATATTCACCTATTGTTAGTACTGGCTGTCTGGCGAAGTTAGTCTGTCAAGATTCCCTTCCGGTAATGATTCAAAGTACAACAGTTATACTACCAGGTGCGAGTGGGGGAGCACTTTTCGGTAAAAATGGGCATTTAGTAGGACTAATAGTCTCAAATTCAAAGTAAATACATTCAATAAATACTTGATAATTTATATTCTGTAAAAAATCTAAACTTGATATTCAGAGATACGGAAAATAATGTCAACTATCCCCAAGTAAACTTGAGCATTCCTTTTGTAACTCTTTGGCCATATATTGAAGCATATAAAGAAACTAAAGGTAGGAGAACTATCTTTTCAAATATATTTCTAAATATATATATATATTTTTTTTCAATGTATAGATATGCAGCATTTAGAACTCTTGAACACTGCAAATAATCTCTTAAAGGAACTTTGGTCTCTTCAATCAAAAGGTTAGTTTTCAATTTATTAATGTCATCGTTCTTCTCATACTTTCATTTTTATTTTAAAGCAAGTAAAGTATTAAAGAGCAAATTGTGAACAAAAACATATAGAATGAGGTGCTCAATCCTTCTCACTGTGATGATGATGAAGAGTTATATACATTTTAAAAATCAAATGTCAAATATATATATATCTTACACCCTAATGAATGATAATAGTAATAATAATATTTTTCCTTTCTGCTTGTTATATTTAAACGAAAATGTTGAATATTTGTTTGGAAGTAAAAGTTTTGGGTTTTATCTTTTTTTTTAAAGAAAAAAAGTGTAACCTTTTAAACAGTTTTCTAACATAAGCAATTGAAACTATTTATAATTCCACTATTACATTTGACTCTTTTTCTTTAACTATCTGTCTGTGACTTTCTCTCTCTCCCCATCTCCATCAATCGACAGTTCTAACTTTTAGATTTCTATCAATCCTTTGTTATTTGATTCATAATGATTATATATTTCCTTTATTCATGTAATTTTTTTGTTTTGTTTCTCTTTCAAAAACTATTCATGCAGATGTTCATAATTCGATCATAAAAAAAATAGAAAATTAGCCGGAAAAATGAAAACAATTAACCTTATTCCAATAAATTAATAATTTTAATTAAAGTTAAGTTTTAGAACGTAAAATAAAATTAGCCAAAGTAGAGTTGATTTTAAAATATCTCCTGAATTTGGTTGATAAAGATTACAACTTGAACCCGGTTGGCATTTCATCATAGCTTCAACTTCCGATTGATTGTCAATGCAGCCATCAATTTTATTTTTCATAATTGCTTTCAAAGCTTTTATGCTTTCATCATTTGAGCAGACTGTGTTACTTCTGTGTTGAAAACATTATACTTGATAATTGATATTAGAAAACTGGTATTAATCTTACTTTGCGTTGAATATCATTATTTTCAATTTGATGTTTAATTTTTGTAGTTCTCTTATTTCTACTCTTCCAAACACTCTAAATATTTGAAATGGCTTAATATTAAATATGCCATATATAGATATATAGAAAATTATTTTTCAATTACAAACCCTCCCGAATTGAATACTGTATCTTTTCTACCGTTCAATATAACATGGGCTCTCTCACCAATAGCAAGACTAGCCAATCTACGCGAAATTTGGTCCCAATAAGAGCCTTGAGCAGAGTGATAATAGGGTGTACATGATGTACAATTTCGACCAAATTGTGCAGGTTTATCCGGATTCGAGCACCAAGTTAAATCATCCAACGCATAACCTAATAAAAGATCGTTTATAGCTGTAAATCGACCATATTTAGAGCGAACATCCTGCTTAAACCTCCCTCCAAATCCACTCCAAAGTAACAACTTAAGAGGATAATTGAAAGGTAATAAACGAAAAGCAAGTTTGACGAAATACTTACGTCATTCTCTTTTGTTATCGGATTAGCGAAATTAATTACCAGTTGATAATTATGATTGTTACTATTGCAATTACCACGACCAAGACCTTGTTTAAAGAGGTTCAAAAATTGATTGCACTGAACTTTCGATTTCCTTATCCTAATTAGACAGATAAAATGAGTAAAGAAGTTTTAATTGAAACCATAATAACAAAGGTAAGAAGCAAAAGAATAAATTGGAAATGGGAAAACTTGATACAAACTTTAGACATCTATTCACAATGATTCGGTCAATGTTTTGCGTAGTAGTCGATGAACTTAATTCGTTAGCGTTACATGTTTTATAGGAAAAGTAGACAAGGAAAAATAGGTAGAAATTCTTTATAAACATTCCTTCTAGCCTAAACAATTAGACTGTGTTCACTGAAAGATAGTAATATCAAAACTGAGTCTAAAGAAAAGATTAGATTACGTTAATTTTTCTTTTCATTATAGTTCTTCATATTGCTTTTTAATTCGAATAAAAAACTGCAATATAATGATAAGAAGCTCATAGAAAAATAAACAATGTATTAACTATATCAGATAAATAATATCAAGTATTGAAATAATGTCTGATGTACGATGATAATATCAATTAACAGTGTCAGTATGTTACGGATTATCAGAACTATAGAAAATTAGTAAACAATTGAATACCAAACAATTTAATTATTAGTTAATTAAAGCTTTATTTATAGTTTAAAGTAGTCAGCATATTTCCTTTGAAACTTTGAAATAGTATTTCCTATTAAGTTTAAAGAATATAATATTTCCCGCTTCATCAACTTCCGGTAGCATGTGTTGTCAAGGCCGTTTAAAATAAAATTTTTTTTTTCTAGCGATAATATCAGAGATAAAAAAAAGTTATGCTAAAAGTAAGCTCCTTGTTAAATATAGCGACCAAACTAAAAAATGTCTGCTCAATCGTTAATATGGTAAGAAATAATAGTTTGCATATGATACATTATCCTGAACAAATTAGGATTAATTTACAAGAATCATCTGCAGGCAGGATACAGACAGTATAGCCAAAATCGAGAAGCTGTAGTTTTTCCAGGCATACAAAGCCATTATACCGAAGAAATGGTATTTAGCGATATACAAAATGAGGAAAAGATGGATACATTCCGTATTATGAATTTAAAAGGCAAAGTTATAAATAAAACAATGGAGCCTGATGTACGATTTTTGGATAAAGCTAATAAAATAATCATAAAATATTGATTTAATTATTTTATCTAATAACACAGCTTTCCAATGAAACATTAGTAAAGATGTATAAACACTGCATTATTCATAAACATATGGATAAAATTATGCATGAACTGCAAAGGCAAGGACGAATATCATTTTATATGACAAGTCGGGGAGAGGAAGTTTTACAAACCGGTTCAGCAGCTGGTTTCCATCCTGAAGATTTGCTATTTGGTCAATATAGAGAGGCTGGAGTTATATTTTGGAGGGGCTTTTCTGTTTATGATATGATTTCACAATGTTATAGTAATAATTCTGATCTATTGAAAGGAAGGAATATGCCCGTTCACTATGGAAGTAAAGAACACCATTTTGTACCCATGTCGTCTTGTTTGGGAACGCAAATTCCTCACGGTTTGATTGCTTTTTCTCAATTGAAACACAATACAAAAAAAAAATCCCGTCAAAAAAACCAAAACAAAAACGCGCGCAAAAATCAGACAATGGACACGAAATAACAATCCCTATTATTTATTAAAATAATATAGACTTATGAAATTATTCAATCATTTTGAACATTCTATTACAGCTGTTGGAGTTGCCTATGCAAACAAAATTAAAAATAAGAACCTCTGCTCTGGTGTATATTTTGGCGAAGGTGCCTCGTCGGAAGGTGATGCTCATGCCGCTTTCAATTTCGCTGCCGTTTTGAAATGCCCCGTTATTTTTATATGGTAGGCATATTGTCTATCATGTGCTCATTGAAACTTAATTACAGCTAATGATTATAATTTAAACTAAAAAAATTCTCTTTTCTAATATTTAACTGTTTATTTTTCAAATCTTATTCCACTTTCTCCGTCTTTAATTCTACCTACCATATCTACAGCCGAAACAATGGTTACGCAATATCTACACCTACCAAAGATCAATACTCGGGTGACGGACTAGGTAGGCCTATATTGATTGACGATATTTTTTTCACTAACAACAATTTTAAATCGAACCAGCTGCTAGAGCTAAATCTTATGGAATATCAACGATTAGAGTTGATGGAAACGACATATTAGCTATGTACGCCGCAACAAAACAAGCAAGAGAGTTAGCGGTTAAGAAAAACAAGCCCTACTTTATAGAGGCTTTGGCCTATAGACTAGGAGACCATAGTACATCGGACGATAGTACTGTATATAAAAATGCCGAAGAGCAAGAGTATTGGCTAGTACAAGGGGATCCAATTCCTAGATTTCGTAAATATTTACAAGATAAAGGCCTATGGGATGATAAAACGGAAGAATCATTCAATAAAGAGGCTAAAAAGGAGGTCCTAACAGCTTTTAAGAAAGCCGATAAACAATTAAAACCAAATCCCAATTTTATGTTTACCGACGTTTACAAAGAAATGCCAGAAAGATTGCAAAATCAGCATCAAGATTGGAGAAAACATATTTTAGAAAATGCCGATAAATATCCATTGGCCAACCATGATCAATTTTAACATAAAAAATGAATAAATTAGAAACAACAACATGAAATAAGAACACTAATTAAACTAATGACAATGACAACAAAATAACACTAGATAAACAAATAGAACAAGGGGTATATGTATATCTATGCAAATATATAGATTAACTTGAATTTAATACATAATTTTCATATAAAAAATATATACAGTATTCAAGTTATTGCTAATTATTAGTATATTATTATAATTTATTCATATAATATACACTTTAAATGTGTATAAGTAAGATAAGAATTGTTGGAATTTATTTAGTTTGTTCAAGTTTTTAGTTTAAAAAAACGAAATGTAGGACATGGAAAAATTTTTTATTTATTTTTTATTTTTTGTTTTTGAACGTGGACGGGGCGGACGGAGGGGTGGAATGGGGGGGGGGGAGGGAGAGGCGGTACTGTATAGTGGATAAAATTTTTGGGCGGGTGGCCGAAATCAATTAGAGAATAGAAGGCAATAAAGACAACGGAATAATTTCAATGTCAGCGTTGGCTGACGCTAAACTCTGAATTGTTTAGTGACGGTTAATTTATTTAATCTAACCGATTTCTATTGTTCGTTGGCCGTATGCCAGCGTTAGATGAACTGTTTGCCCGTAAACGCTCAAACGCTTTTTTTTCACCTTTATAAAAGTACTCGAACGGACGCATTCCAAGTCATTCAACGATTGGACACTGTTAAGGATGTTTAGCCCCATCTCATATCCCTACAACTCTGTTTCTTCTTATTATTATGGAGATATGTATAATATACAACCGACGGAACTTGTTCAAGAGGAGCCCTTGGATCTGAGTATTAAGAAAAGTAATTCAGCTGTAGAATTACACGAAGAAGAGGAGATAATCGATGTTGTTGGAGAAGGAAATGATATTACCGAAGAGGAGGAGGACGAAAGAAGCGACCAGTCGTTCTCGGTGTCGCCAAGATCTTTAGAGCTCAGTCATTCACCTCCAGACATTGGACGAAGTAACAATTCGATAACTTATTCTCCTCCAACAATCGGTAACGTTAATAACAACAACTACCATGGAAAAGAACTACATAACGGTCACCACCACCAACATCAACACTCTTCAACTTTATCTCGAAGGAGACAGTTACCGAGTTATTCCAACGTTATTGCTGAAATACTCATGTCGTCTCGTGACCCGCTTCCACTGTCTGCCATCTACAAGATTTTCGTAGAAAAACAGCCAAAGTTTCTCAACGTCCTTGAACCTCATGGTCTAAAGGCTAATGTTAGAAGGGAATTATGCGTCAATGCAGGATTTATCAAAGTCGGTAAAGCAGCAAACGCCAAAGGAGCTTTATGGACTGTTCATCCTGTGGCCAGACAATTATTTAATCGTGGAGTTTTTTCCAAGACCCTTGTAAATAGGACTCTAAATAGTCCTTATCTTTAAATATGTACAAAAAAAGAACACTCTCAAAAAAATGAAATCGTCGTTACCCCATTGTTTTGTCATCTTTATTATTATACAATTTGTTTTTGTTTTATTGAATATTCTTCCAATTTTTAACTTGTTTTCGATTTCTCGAAACAGTTCATGAAATTTCGAAGTTTAAATAAGCCTTCATCTACAGTTAAATCTCCTTTCATCCAGGTAACTATGGGAGAACTTTGTTCCAAAACGAACTCTCTAAACTTCTCCCATGTGACCTTGACCGTTAAATTAACAGTCAGGTGATTCTGTTTTTCCTTCGAATTTTCAACTAGTATAACTCCGTTCCTAATTTGTACATAAATATATTCTTTATAATCAGGAAAATAGAACTCAGCGATGTCAGTTAAATGTCCACATTCTTCAATATTAAATTTAAATCTAAATAAGTTGAACAAAGTTGCCGGTTTCATCGAGTTAACGGCGCTTATTTGCCTTTGTTTTGGTATATGCGTATCTATAAGCCCGGCTTGTTCTAGAGCTGTTGTTAGATAATAATTTCGAGAATTGGCGCTTGTTTGACGAGCTGCGAAGGCTTTAAGAGCCTCTAGCCTAATTGATTTAGCCTCTGTATCAGTGGGATGAACGTTAAGAACGTGAGTAGACAATTCTAAAGCCCACCGTAGATCGTTGACTAACGCCTTTCTAGCTGCTAAATTTGCGTAATATGCACCCCCGGCTAATTGAATGATCCTCTCGCTCCTTTCATCTCTGGTAAGTGGATCAAGATTTGAAATATCTCCGTCAAACCAGCCTATATAATGAGCATAGACCGCTTTAGATGACCAAAACACGCTACCATAATATTCTGTAAGCCAATCAGTTTTGAGTGATGCCGTTAATTTGACACGACGAGCTATATCATCAGGGTGCATGTCTTTATTCATCCAACGAACTGTTTGATCGTGTACTAATTGAATGGCGTCTCGATACTTTGTTAATAGATTGTAAATTTCTTCCTCGCCAACAATTGGTTTCGTATGGCTAGGTATCAAGTATTTTGGTCTAAGAGCTCTTATCTTATCTAACGATTTAGCCCATTTCATTACATCTCTACTAGGAGTTCCTCTTATGGCATAAAGATTGGGAAATGATCTATAAAAGTCGTCTGCGCAGAAAAATGCTTTCCATTCTTCTACCCATACACCAATCTGATCAGGAGTCTCGCCAGGTATGTGTACCAACTTAACTCTTAAACCAGCTATGATTTCGTCACTTTCATCTCGTTTTAATAGTCTATTTGGAGGAATGTAGCCAAATGTAGCATCTATACGAACTTCCGGACCAATGCCTGAATTGATATGATACGGTTTAGGTAATAAAATTCCAAATTGTCTTATCGCTCTTCGAAATATTGTGTCCGAAGTAACTAAATAACGTTCCATCTGATCAATTAACATTTCGTGAGCCCAAATTTCAACGTTTTTCGAAGAATTACGTAAAAATGCTTCAGCTCCCATCACGTGATCTGCGTGATTATGGGTGTAGATAATAGCTTTGATTTCTCCAACATCTACAGTCTTGGAAAATGCTTCTAGAATTTTTTCAGCTGAATCAATGCTCTCAGTCGTGTCAATTATGATACTCCCCCGAGGAGCTTTGATGAGAATAGAATTGGCCAACGCAAACCCTATAGCCATATAGATATTGTCTGTTACCTAGGGATAATTTGTTATATTTAGCTATTTATTCATTCACAAACAATAACAACACAAAGAAATTACCTTGTATATTATTGGTTCTGAAAATTCTAAAGAGTGTTCCTTAAGTTTGTCGTGAGCATCAACGTCTCCCAAAAGCTTATTTACATGATTTGGCGAAGGGGATAGTAAAAAGTATAAACATAAAACGGCTACAATGCAAAATGAAGCTGCTCCAATTTTATCCCAGTGGCTAAGAGGAGGAGTTCCTTGCTGTAATTGAACAAAATATATACCTTATAAATAATATAAATACGTATAGTTTTTCAATTGTGTTTTTGTATACAAACCGTAAAAAAAAAAGCCCTTTTCTTTCGTTCTGTGCTTAGTTCTACCATACTGAGCTTTTCTTTAGATCCTACAGCAATTATTGATCCTTTTCTCCTTGGATTTTATAAGAAAAAAACTAGCTGTAATGAATAGAAATCAAGTCATCTACTCAGACAGATTAAACTGCCACAGTATTTGAACTGATATTTCTAATGAACAACTTATCTTACATATTGGACTATAGGCTTAATTCTCATAAAAATCAGTTTAAAGACAACCTGATTAAAGCGAAATCCATAGAAAAAGATTAATATCTAATGGTGGATGTAAACTATTAGTAATGATAGTGCTCTACTTAATTTATCATATCAAAAAAAATTAGATATAGACATTACCGAAAAAAAGGACAAGTTCGTATATATCATCAATATCTATCCATCTATTTTATCGTTAACATAGAATTTGTAGAACGATGTTTCGATATGAGAAATTAGTATTCATCAGTCTCTCTTTACGTTCAATGTTCTAAAATATTATTTTTTTTTTAAATGAGAAAAAAAATGATCTATATTCTTGTTTCGATGTCCTTATATGTTCCATTCTTCTTTTACTATATATAACGATACCTTTATGTAACTTTTGTCTAACAAAACTTTCTTAGGTAGAAAATATTTTTAGGTATATTTTGCCTTTTATTTAGCATAGAAGAACTTTTTTAATTCAGTCAAATTGCTCTACCGAATGAACAACATTATCAGGATCCCGGACTATTTTTATTCAAATGTTTTCCGTCTTGTATATATATTAATATATATATATATATATATATATATATATACTGTATATATATCCTTTATATAAATATATATAAATTATATATAAATAAAATATACATACATATAGATATATAGTTTGTAATATTTTGAAATTAATAATTTGCAATTACAAAAAGAAAGTTGTGAGGCGATAATAGAGTAGTTTAAAAATTCAATAAACAAATTAAGGGTGAGCACTTAGAAATATCCATTGCAAGGTCGTTGTCTAGTGTTTATCCTAAGTATTAAATATATTTAAATTTTTATTAATATTAAGTATTGACTAAATATTGGGGTGTAATTGATTAAAGTTATGGGTTAGAAGTAGTCTCTTTTTGGCGCGAAAGAATAAAAGGGTGATAAAAAGTACTATTTTACAGGTTAAAAGGAATTCACTTATTTATAACAAAATTTATTCTTTTTGCGTATCAATAAGATAACAATAGAATTTTATCAGTTCGTCTAAAATTGCGCTTTATAAAGTATACCATAAAGCATTGATAATACTGAAAAGATTAGGCTTCCCTTTCGTGTTAACATTGGTAAGATCACAAATTAAATGTTTATGAACCAGACCCTTAAAGTTCCATCGTCGCTAGCAGTAACCATTTTACCAGATTTTATTTTTAAATCCTTTAAACCTGCTCTGTGGCCATGAAGCACTCTTGTACAAGTTAGCGTTGCAAGGCTGTATTCCTTAACGCAACCGTCGGATGACGCTGTGTAAAAGAAGCTTCTTGTTCCTGTCCCTTTTAAATAGTCTATTGCGGTTATTTGAGAGGAATGGGCCTTTATCAAAGCTTCTAGCCTACCATTGCATATATTAAAGGCTGCTACCTTTCCTTTAACATCACCGCACAGAGCCAAATAATTTATGACTTTAAGACTAGTTAAGGAATCAACTAGTTTATGTTCAAAAACTTTTATGACTTGACCAGAATGAATATTGGTCAATTTTAAAGTTTTATCAGTACTTGCTGTGACTATGAGTTTTGTCTTGTCAAAGAACAATGCGTTTATATGACTCTGGTGGAGGGGTAATACCTTAATACATTCGAAATCGCTAGCTCTTTCCCATATTCTTACTGTACCATCGTGCGAACCGGATATTAATAGTTTACCATTTGAAGACATTGTCGAAACAACGCCAGTATGGCCTGTTAAAATTTTGAGTAATGTTAAATTTATCCCGTGCCATATCATTATTGAAGCATCCCAAGAACCCGTAAATATTTCCTCCCCATCTGTGACGATACAGCGAACTCCTCCTTTATGACCGTACAGTTTGTAGAAAGGTTTCATCTGTCGACTATCCCACATACGAATTGATCTATCAGCACTGCCAGTTAGAATCCGTTTTTTGTCGATCTCAACGCAATTGACAGAATCCATATGGCCTTGAAGTTTGTAAGCTTTATCAACATTTGGCAATTTTCCGATTACTTCTTCTAATTTTAAGACTTGGGTTACGGATCCTGAGTCTATGTTTCGAAACAAAGGATTAGTATTAGAGAGTAAGGGTAAAAGAATGTTAGTATAAACTGTAAAATGTATAAAAGCGTACTTTGAGCAAGATTTTTAGATTGCATCAAATGTAAGTGTATGTCTAATGCTGAATCGTCTTCCGATTCTTTCTCCTTCTTATGCCAAGTTCTTAAAGGTTTGCATTGAACATCTTTAAGATCTTCTCTCTCCTCCCACGACAAATCTTCATTCTCACCTCCGCTTCTGAATTTAGACGACGCTCTCGACATCCTACTTTGAGGTTTAGACAGACCTCCAATACTTACGGTATCTATTAGAAATTAACAATCGTATATTATAGATTAAGTGTCATTGTTTGAAAACTTGAAAAAAAACGCTATTTATTACCACTTCTTGCAGTTTTTCTTCTTGATTTTGGCTTTTCAATAATACGAACTTTGGCACCGGAAAGTTGATAAACGTTACCCCATAATTTTGAGAAGCTGTCCTCTCTAACTTCTTTCCACAATCCTTTATTTTGCTCAGATAACAACTTCCATCTTCGGCAGACAAGTGAACAATTTCTTAAATCATCCGTATCTAAATATTTAAATATATTAAGTAAAATATCATCCGGCAACCAATCAATATCAATTTTTTCGCGAAATCTTTCCATTAAACATCTCATAAACAGTATCAACTCATTTTTACAACAGACTTTCAATAAATCAACTAGAAGTGATAACAATTCAGATTGTGACCAAGTATTCATCCATAATCGTATCTAAGCATGAAAAACACACATGAAAAACAGATTAGTAACTTGTAGAATGAATGAACGTGGAGAGGGTTGGGAAAAAATTCAATAAATATAATTTATTATAAATAATTCTCTTATAGATTTTTTTACAATCTCTTTGTTATGAAAACGAAGTAATAACCTGTTCTACTTGTTCTTTGAAGTGTTTGTGTAATTTCTTTTCATCAGCCTTTATTAAACGTTCTTTTGAATTGTTTGACCAAAATTTTGAGGGTTTGTACAACGATTGAGCTGCAATAAGCTTCGGTTGAAAATCAAGTGTATTTTCTGTAAGACTTTTAACAAATAGTTTCTCAGCTTTCCAAGATCCTCTCTTTGATCTTTCCGGTAAGAAATCCTTAGAAGGCGATGGAAATGATTCAAAACTTTTCCTATTTTTATATGTCCATTGTAATGTTTTTGATTTTTTAATAAAATCAACCTAACAATTAAAAAAGGAAAAAATGTTGAAAATTTTCATTATGGTGTGAATTGAAAAGTTAACTTTATACTTACTTTATCTATATTTTTACTTTCAGTATCCGATGTTTTTTCTTCTTTACCAAAATATTGTAAAGTGTCTTTTAATATACTTTTTGAAAAATCTTGACAAAATTTATTGAATATTGCTGTTTTATCAGTAGTTTCTTTCTTTTCTTTTTTATGATATGTTAACTTTGGTATAGTTTCGATTTGATGTAAAAGAGGTTCAATAGAGGTAGTTAATGACTGCAATTGTTCAATTTGACATCTGGTTGTCAACTCCGAAAGAACAATTTCTTTTTGCCAATTTGGCCAGATTGAGAACCATTCAAGTATTTTCTTTCGAACTTGTTCATGAGTTAATTGTAGAGGCGGAAGGTACTTTAGAATCGTCGTCATGGTCACTGCAGACAGAATAATAGCCTCGGAAGAACTACTTTTTTACAGTGTCCATAATATACATTGGTGGACAATTCAAATTTAAGCCTATTCAACTTTGTAAATATGCATTATTTATATCGGTATTCAAATCTTTGTTGGGTTAAATAAAATTTAACAAATAGAATACTTGAAACCTAAGTGTATTTGTTAAGTGATTAAAATCTTAAAATGTTGATATTTCAAAATACTTAATTAATTTTTTGTTGATTATTTATAATATTTTTCAAATTGAATTATATGGCCAACTGTGTGTAATAGTTTAATATGCAAAAATTTCAAAATATTTTATTAGACGAGTAAAAGAGATCGCCAATTTTTTCATAATTTGAAATTTTGAGCAAGAAGTCCACTCTTTGAAAGCGATAATATATGTTTTTCCATTTCACGACCTCGAAATGTTCAAATCGAAAATGATTCTAAATTTTATGGTCAGTTTCGCTGTCCACGGAAGAGGTCAGTGTTCAAAACTACGAGCCATTTAAAGCACGTTCGCTTCGCAACAATCATGAGTGTATTGAAAGCATCAAATGATGATTATCCGACGTTTCAACTCAACACACCCCGATTTGATCAGGTGCAACTCGCTATTGCTTGTTAAGATTAAAAGCCAAAAGAAATTGATGCTAATTGATATATATAGTTTTGCTTATAATTGTTTCTTTTACAGTCTACATTCAAAGGAAGATTGAGACATTTTTTGGATGTAACCGATCCGAGAACACTTTTTACAAGTCAAGTTAGTATTAAGATATTCTGACTTTGAAACCTAATTAAGATGCTGTTTTTATCTCATTTAGGCTGAATTAGAAAGAAGCCAAGAACTATTAAAAAGTTTTGAACGAGGTACTCTTGATAGTACAATTACCAATAAACAACTATGGGAAGCTCAGAAGATAAAGCAAGCAATAATCCACCCAGATACTGGGGAGAAGATACCAATGCCATTTCGAATGTCAGGCTTTGTACCATTTGGCGCGCCAATTGTAACTGGCCTATTACTTCCGAATCAAGGAATTGCCCAGATTGTATTTTGGCAATGGTTAAATCAGAGTCACAATGCGGCAGTTAATTACTGCAATCGCAATGCATCTAAAAAGACGCCAACATCGAGATTCTTATTAGGTTATGCAGGGGCTGTCACTAGTGCAGTTACGATAGCGTTATCTTTAAGCGTGCTTGTCAAACGAGCTAATGGTTTGAGCCCTGCTGTAAAACTTATAGTTCAGAAATTTGTTCCCTTTCCTGCCGTCGCTACGGCTAGTGTTAGTAATGTTGTTCTAATGAGAAATTCTGAACTAAGCGAGGGAATTAACGTTGTGGATAAGAACGGAAGAGTGATTGGTGTATCAAAAGTAGCGGCTAAGAAGGCTCTGACAGAGACAGCTTTGACCCGAGCTTTCCTACCCGCTCCCATACTTGTCATTCCACCTATTATCATGACGGCTCTGGAGAAGACAAAGTGGCTTAAACGAAATCCCAGAATGCATCTCCCGTGCAATGCCCTGGCTGCAACACTTTCATTTGCTTTTGCCTTGCCAATTGCAATCGCCCTTTTTCCGCAAATGTCTTCGGTAAGTCCTTACAGTGTTTAACTCAGGTCACTAGCAACTTACATTTACCTCCTTTGCCAGATAAAACGGGAAGATTTGGAGGCCGATTTGCAGGAAGAATGCAAAGATGTGTGCCTGTATTATAACAAAGGATTGTGAAAGAACCCGAAAAACAATCTTTTAATAACCTTTCGAATGCGTTTTGCTGTCATAAGCGATTACAATATTATCTAAACGATTACAACTAAGAGGTACGCTAAGGCAGTGTTAGATGATAAAACAAATAACGTTGTAATAAAGTTTACAGAACTTAAAACACCAAGATGACATACTTGGTGTATATACATATAAATATTTACGATCAATAGAACTGCATAATAAAGGTTACAACTTAAAAATAACTACAGGATGGACGCACTAATCGTTTTATACAATAATTATTTACAATCCTGTACAGAACACTCACGCACTAAAGTAAACAGACGATGCTAAATAGAATAACAATAATAATAATAGTAGTTGTTGTTAACAAAGTCATCTTCAAGTCATCAATGCTAAAATATTTGAATCGATGATAATTTCTTGCTGCTGGTTTACTATACCTTCAACGACAATTTGTTGCCCACTATTTCCAGTCAGCATTACTTGTTGCTTTGTTCCAGGCTTTGCTGAAGACTTTATAACAAGAGGTTGGCTTCCAGATTGTCGTTGTTGTTGTTGCTGCTGTTGTTGCTGTTGCTTAACTTGTCTCATCATGGCCTGGGTTTGAGGTGTTTTTAAAAGACTTTGCATTGGTGGACTAGAAGTGGCTGGCGCAGGAGCCGGTTCCGGTTCACCCTTCTGTGTCATCACATCTGATGGTCTCATGATTTGGTCACTCATATCTAAAAGGGCTGGTACAACCGATGATTCAACTAAAATTCGGACATATTCCGAGCTATTTGGATCGAATCCTTGTTCTTCAGCCTGTCCATCTCCCATTATAGATGGCAAGAGGTTTTGAGGAACAAATAAATATTCCTGTCCAGGAGGGGCAGGAGGAACTTCACCTTCTCCCGTTGAACCTGTTTCAGCTTGCTCAACGGCTGCGTTTTCGCGTGCATCATCTTTCGTATTTTCAAAGAGATTATCGGGTAGTTGGTGCTCAGCATTGGGAGCAGTATCGGCTGGAGCTTCTTGTTGCTCTTGTGTTTCCATTTCTTCTTGATCGACAACTTCTTCACCTTCCATGGGGGCTGGTACATCGGCACGAGGTGTGCCGGCTCCCTCCATTTTCGGTGTGGAATTTGCTCCTGGATATCCAGTCATATTTGATGGTGTGTTAATTACGTAGCTGATAGACTCAGTTTGAGACTTTTTATAGCTTATGTTGTACTTCTTGTTTGGTTTCAAGCTAACAATTTGGCCGTTAGGTAATTTCAAAGAAACATTTTCTCCTTCCTTAACTTGTTGAATGATGGTCTGTCCACTTTCTTCTTCTGTTAATTCTCTAACTTTAGTTCCATCCTCTAAATAAGTATATTTAGCTTCTGTTCTAGGTGAGAATCCCCCACTCTTTGGTGGTCGTCCACGTGGACGACCTCTAGGAATATAGCCTCTATTTGCTGTTGCACGACCTCTTGGTGTGTCAGGTTCAGTCCAGTCTGGGTCGTCGGGATCCCTACCGCGACCTCTTCCAATTCCTCGACCGCGACCTCTTACTCCAGCAGACACTGCACCTCGACCCCTTATGCTATTGGTATTAGCAGAACCAGGAGTTGTTGGTTTGGTAACAACCGCACCAGCTTGAGCTTTTTCTTTTTCGTCTTCAGAATAAGGTACAACGAGTACTCTTTGTCCACCGCCAGGTTGTGGAATAACTCGAACAACTTTGAAGGTACCCTGGGGCGTATGCAGTATTTTGCCTTCCTTCATATCTGTCGATGTAACTCCCGTAGCCTGAATCTTATTTTGAGTGGCAGCATTAGCTGCTTTTGAAGCTTTATCTTCGTCTTCTTCTTCTTCCTCAGCCTCCTCTTCATTTTCGGCCTCATGAACCTCCTCTTTATCAGGAGTATATTCATCTTCTGATTCTTCAGCGGCCTGAAGGTGTTCAACGTTAGATTGGAAATTTAAACTTAATTTGCACATTACTTCATCTTCTTCTTCATCATCAAAGTAGACAAAATCACCACGTCCATAATCGCCCATCTGTTTACGTTTAGAAACAGTAACAGGAGGTTTTACACCTGATCCATCCCGACCTAAATTTGCATAATGGCTTTTTGGCGGCCTTCCCCTCTTAGCTACAAGCAATGAAGAGATCAGTATTTTCATAATAGTATGGCTCTATTAATACAAACCACCGGTTTTGGAGCGTACTGGATTTTTACTAGCGCCATAGTACACATATCCGTCCGCTCGCCTCTTTCCGTCTTTGTCAAGACGAGACCCAAGACGAACCTATTTTAAGACAAAGTATAATACATTAATCTCAAATTACAAATATTTTATGCAGAAGTTTGACTTACCGCGACATCTTTTGTGGCATAATGATCCTCCAAGTGAGTGATAAGACCTTCTCTGCTACGTGTTTCGGCACAAAATGGGCATTTATAGGAACGCAAATTTTTCTAAAAAAAAATTTAAAATACATTAGCATTTAAAAAAAAAGCATATAAAATCAATAACTGTTTTTTTAACGCTTACTTTATTTTTTCGTTTGTTACTCTTTTTTGTCAACTTTCCTTTTTCCCTATAACATCAAATATAGATAGTTAGAATTGAGATAAATCACAAGAAATATACAACTTACTTGAGAATGTGATAACGACTGTGAGCTGTTAACTGCGAGTCTCTTTGAAATTTTTTGGAGCACTTCGGGCACTGGAGAGGCTTCTGGTTGGAAATATAATTTTTACGTTTATCAATTAAGGAACTAAATGTTTAACAAACCTCTTTGTGCTCATTAATGGATGGAAATTTGCTAGTTAGTTGCTTATGCATCGACTGAACATATTTCAAGGATTCGTCCTCAACTGGTTTAGCTTCGGCTGGAGCTTCTTCCGGAGCAGCTTCAGGTAAATCAGAACCTGAGCATCGCTTGTTATAAATGCCGTTTTACAAAAAAAGAGGAAAATCGCATACCTTCAAGAAACTTATCCAATTCGGCTGTTTCCATAGGAATATCCTGAGCTGTTCCTGCTGTTTCTGCGATCTGTCCTAGCATACTCATTACTTCAGCTGTTTGTTCCTCCTGAGAGGCCATGGTTTCTCCACCGCTAACAGGTATTAAGCCAATATTTCCGTTTTCCAAGACTACTCTTTTATATGAACCGTCAACCAATGTATGTCCGTTGACTATATTTGAAAATTCCATACTATTTCGAGCTGAAATTTTTTATGAACAATTATATAAAAATTTTAAGCGGGAATTTCTGCCACCTAGTGACAATGGTAATCATTAAATAGTATTTCTCTTTAAATGTACACTTCTGTAAACTATAATTATTGGTAAAACGTTTCATAGGTTATAAACAATTGGGCGAGCACCAAGATTAAATGAAAATTAATTTTTGGGATATTTTTTTTGAGGACGCCGGTTCTAAAAATGACGCGGGCCAAGATACCTTACAAAAAGAAACCTGCCAGGGGGGTTGAAATTTCAAGTCTGCCATAATTAATTTAGAAAAATTTAAAATCAATTTAACCTATGATTTAATCAAGAAAAACTTTAACTAACCATGAAAATGCCGAAAAACGATAGCATTTAGCAATGCCGGCCATCTTAAAATGTAGTCCGTGAAAAAGAACGCGACTGTATTAATACGCCAAGTAAATTAGAGCCAACGCAAATGTTAAATTTCCGCTAACAACATCAATTTTTTAAATATATAATTTATTTTTCCATTGAAAACAAACCTTTATCTATAAAATGCCGAATAATTAAAAAATTCCAAGTTTCAAACCTTTCGGAGAGATTTAGCAATAATCGACTAGTATGCAAATCAGATGACGTCACTACGCTTTTTGGCGCTCTCTGAAGGCGAAATGGGATCAGCTGTCGTCCACTGAATCTTGCACATTCTTTCTATCAACATTGAACCGTTCAACATTATATACTAAGGTTAGTATAAATCACTTTCTCTTTTAACATTTTAGATCGGCTCAGAGGGTGGTCAGGGTTATATTAAGGTTCTTTCAGTAAAATGTTAATTTTATAGTAATTTCTTTGTTTACTGTTTGGAACAAAGTTACACTCAATGAACACCACTTCGAAAATATAAATTGTTAGGAAGGAGTTAAAAAGTTTAACAACTATTTAAGTTAAATTTATATTTTCTTAATAAATATTAAGAAATTGAGCAATAGAGATGGCGACAGTATCTCGTTCTTTTGCTTTATTTTTTTTGTTCTATTCGTTCGATGATAAAAACATTTTCATATGTTAAATCATTCTCAGGTTCATATAAAGGTGGTCACTATAAGCCCAAAAGTAAAAATGATTCGCAAAGTATGCTATGTTCAGCGTTAGTTATGAAAATATGGATAAAGCCATCTTTCAACAAAGTGACACACAACTACGCCATATAGTTGTAAGTTGTTATCTCTAATATTCTTTTATATGATTTTCTTTTCTTTTGCTAATATAATGAAAAAATATATCGCATTGTAAACAAAGGCCGAATCCGAAACAGTGAAATGCGTCGTTGTTGGTGATAGCGGCGTTGGAAAAACGCGACTGGTATGTTCTCAGGCTCGAGGAACTAAATATTCACTTGAACAGTTAATTCAAACACATATACCCACCGTTTGGGCTTTGGATCATTATCAGAATAACATTCATGTAATATTATTAGACAACAATACATTAATTATAATAACTAGTTAATAATTTGCATTTTACAAACAGGTATTAAGAAGATCTATCCGCAAAGTAGACGGAATAACAGTATCTCTAAGATTATGGGACACATTTGGATATCATGATAAGGATAAACACTTCGCTTATGGAAGAGCCGATGTAATTCTAGTGTGCTTTTCGGTTGTTCGACGACGTTCCTACAATAATATATTAAGTCATTGGTATCCAGAAATTCAAAGAACATGTCCTGGTGTACCAATAATATTATGCGGATGTAAAATTGACCTTCGTCACTTATATTTGGAGGATTATTTCATGCAAATGGACAAAGGTCCTTTTTTTAAGTGCGTAATTTTTTTTAATTTTAACATAAAAAACCAATAAACATTAGTATACTTGTAATTAATTCTTTCTTTATTATAATCTACGTACAGAGCAATTACAGACGATGATATTCTCTATGCAAAAGACGGTAGAAAACTGTGTGAAGATATAAAAGCTGAAGGTTACTACGAAACAAGCGTTTTAAGACAATTTGGAATAGCAGAAGTATTCGACAATGTAATAAGAGCGGCACTAATCTATAAACGAAACAAGAGATTTTGGAATGTTTTGAATGTATTTAGAACACTTAATAAGCCGTTTATTCAAAAACCTTATTGTCCGCCTCAACCAAAACTGCCTAAATTTAGCAGAAAATCAAACGATCCATCCATAGATTTAGAGTCACTGTTAAAAGTCACAACAGATTCTACAGATGTTGTTATTCGATGCCAATCAGTTGATATTTCGCTGCATAAGTTGATCTTAATCGGCAGTTCAGAATTTTTTGAAAATTTATTTTTACTTGATTTGAATGCTTCTAACAACTTGGATAATCCTCTATTTCCTTTCGTTGAAGTACAAAAGAAACATGAATCCGATTCATTGCAAGATGCCAAATATATCTTACATGCACATCCCGCTTTCACAGCTGCTACGTTGACTTGTTCGGTGGAATTTTTATATACTGGACGCATGCAGAACACGAATTCGAATCATCTACAAATTGCGGAAGTAGGTCAGCTGATTAAATGCCAGGAAATGGTTTTCTATGTTAGACATATTTTGGATAATGAGAGTTATCTAAATGATGAATTGACAAAACTGTTTCTTGAAAAACAGAGGAAAAGGATACAATTACTTTATATCAATCATCAATTACTCTCAGGTGCTGTATTTGTTTTTCTAACATTATTTTAATGTCATATGTTACGGAAAATAAATAAATTATAGATATCCTCTTTCAATTGGATGATGGTGTTGTCGCAGCGCATAAACTCTTGCTAACGATTCGTTGTGAAGTTATGGCTGGTATGTTCTCTTGTAATTTCATTGAAAGGTCGGCTAAAACGGTAAATTATTAATTTTATTTACGACTAAATGCCAGAATTTGCACATTTTGACCAAAATTTTTCTTATCTTTGTATTAGATTCCCCTTCCTGGAGTTAGTAGAAGCACATTTGTTGCTCTGCAGGAGTACTTATATACTGGATCCAATCCCTGTATGAAAGATGTTGAGCTTTTGGAATTCTTGGAAGTCGCAAACAGATTTTGTCTGCCTGTTCTCTTGTCGATGATCGAATGTCAAATCGTCGAAGAGATGGAGATCATTCTCAATAGATATGTGAAAAAAGATGTCAACGAAAAAGTATTAAATCTTTTCGAATTTGCTCAGATGCATAATGCAGATCAATTGGTCTCCTGGTGTTCTCGCTATATTCAGGTCAATTATTCTGATATTTTGGCCAAAAATGGTAAAAGATTGTTTGCATTACAACCAGAAATAATAGCCGAGTTAGAAAAACGACAATGGCCTCCAGCATGGTATCAAGAAGAAATACAATTTTATGAAAGACGAAAGAAGGATGGTATCATGATTTCTGAACCACCAACCAGCTGGGAAGAGGATAAAAATCCTGGTTGTTTGGGTTTTTGCACAAAAAGAAGATAATTTTAAAAATAATTGTATTCATGTGACTGACTGATTTCTCTTACGAGGAAAAAATGGACCGATTTATCTTAAATAGTATTTCAAACAGCATATGTTAAATCGTATACAGTATATATCCTAATCAATGGAATATATACATATCTGCTTAAATGATTAATTGTATTAATTTTACTAGATTGTAAACGCTAGTTTGATAATTTTTTATCATTGTATTCTATTAAGTCATATTTTGGTGCTTAAAAATCATTGCTTTATTATTGATAATTAAAGTGACTTTGCTGTCTCTGAAAATGGGCCATTTCTATTCCAATAATCAACGGCTCTAACTTTATATTTGCCGGTATTTTTGCCAGAGGCATCTTCGTAGAAATTGAAGATGGTGTCTTCGACGTTTATCCGTGAAAACTTTCCGCTTGGAGTCTTTTTCATTACCTCATAAGTTTTAATGCACCTATTAGTTGTAATAGCATCTAGAATGTAATTAACAAAGAATATTTAATGAAATACCAGCCTTGTCTTAATTAATTTATCACTCCAAGTTATAAGTATATTAGTAGATGTAATTTTTTCAAATCGAATATTCACTACTGGGCCTGGAGCCGAAGACGTTCTCTTACAGACGTGATATAAAGAGATGCTTGGCAAGGCAAGATCAAAGGCGATTGACGTTAGATATTTAACGGATACTTTTCTGGGTGATGCTTGTCTGTATAAGCGAGAGGCATCTTTCATAAGTAACAGCTGTTTGTGGTTTGGTGTTTTAGGAGATCCAAGTTTTCTCCATATTTTATAGGGATTTGTATTCCAGTTGTCAATTGTATATTGGACTTTCATCAAGTCTACATCGCCTGAGCCGAAGAGTTTTGATAATTCACTTATTTGAACTTTGACCTTTGTATGACCACTAGTAGAATTAGCACTATCGTTTGAATTGTACAATAAAATACTTAATTCATTGCTGTCAAGGGACGAGGCAATAATTCCAATTGTTGATTCGAGGGATTCAACTTTGGAATATAATTCTTTATTTCCCAAGTAGGCTAGAAGAGCGAATGAATTAAACACCGGTTTTGGTATGAATTGAACGTGATGGGGATTCGTATTATTTATCTGAAATCTTGCCAAGATGGTTCTCTGAGTAAAGAAGAAAGGATTGTAACTGAGAAAAGCATTATCATTACTCAGTAATTTCATAGGAAATTTTCTCCTATTTCCGAATTTATTTATATAATTGTAGATAATTTTAATGACTAAAGCAGCGTATCTTGCGTCCCCTCTCCACTCCCTATCCTTATTCCATCCAACTAGAGGATCAGCTTCGCTTAAAAAATATTTCTCTATTAGTGATTATCTAGCTAAAAGAGAGTTATTAACATTAATATAACATACTCATTGCCGACAGCTACAGAAGCCAATGATGGATAAGTCTTAGATAAAAAATTAAAAGTGTTTTTCGTTTTACTTATTAAGACTTTGGTGTTATTCGGGTCGTTACCCTTATTATGGAAAGTAATCAAATCGCAAATCTGGGGCTGATTGCCGTCAAAAAAATCGGTACCGTTTACATAGTGTGTTAATATAGCGTTGGCGAAAGGTCTCCTTGGTAATGGCTTGATATCACCTCCAATAACAGCTAACTTTAAGTCAGAGTGGGCAAGATTTAAACCCTTTCTACAAGCGTCTATGTAATTAAGGAATCCTGTTTAAATAAGAAGATTGAAGAGAGGAGTCATTGAGTAAAATACAAAATACGCCTTCCTAACCCTAATCTTTTAAGGGGCGAAACGCTGCATAGTTATACTAACCTTTCGTTGTAAAATTCAAATGATCAAAATCGTGATTGTCCGGTTCATTCCAAGTTTCGAATATCCATTCTTTAACATAAGTAATACCAAATTTATCTATTATATAGAAAATAGAAGAATAGAAATAAGAGAGATATCTAGAGAGTTGTTTAAATGATAATTTACGTATGTATCTTGACGCTATTTGTCGGATTAAATCAGCCCAGAAATAGACTTGTGTTTTATTCTCAAAGTTTGTATAGAATCCACTTGGATTACCCATAAGTTCAAACCCTGGTTGCAATCCCGAATCCTTTAATATTATCATTAGACTATCTAATTTGGTAAAATTATATATAGGCTTGTGATTTTTCCATCCCGCTATGCGAACAGTCTCCAATAGCCAGTGTATGCGTATCTGCTTTATGGCGGAGAAGGGCAAGGAGGCAATATATTTAATGTTGAGTCGATTGTCTTGAGAGAGAAGCCACTCATCAGCTCTATTATGAGGATCTGGTGGGCTGTGAACCAATGGAAAAAATGGCGCCTAATTAGAATGATACGCTCTTTTTCAGAAAAAAAATTTTCCTACCATTGTCCAGTGCTCTCCCAAAAATGGGGCAAATCATTAACAATTCTTGATACATTAACAGTCACCTTCTCAACTCGCTGGTTAAAACGAACAATATTATTTTGGCAACAATGTGAAAGGGCAACGAAAATTAATAAGATGAAGGAGGCGGCAAGCGCCATATCGTATCTTCAGATAGCAGCAGCAGACATAGAAACTAGATATACATTGCAAAGTCTAAAAGAAGCTAGTCAATTTTTTGTACCATGAAAATTTGATTATTTATATTTGTATTTTTAGTATAAAAAAATCACTACTAATGTGGTATAAGCGTCGCAAAAGACGTCAAATAATATAAAATACGTCATCATTAAGCCTATAGAAATAGGACAAGAGGGAAATTATTAATATATATATAAATGTATATATATATATATTTCTGGCAATAGTAGCGGCATGCTAAAAGGTGTAAAACCATGTACTGTCTTCCTCTCTTAACATCCTTTCCACACCATTCCCCTAGCGTGTCTTTTTTGTATATATACAAAGGAGACGCCCCTCAGTTTTGCAATCGATAAACTTTTGCCACTTACGTCGAAAAATTTATTATAGAAAAGCTAAATTGTTTGTTTAGCAATTATTATAGAATATAAATGAATAATATAAAGGTATTATCAGCGTTTAATGAGATTGAAATAACAGGTTGACGTACGTTTTGTTTTATTTTTGTTTGTTTATTACGATAAATTCTAAACACAAAATTGTAAAGCTATATTGTTTATATACACGTTATTCGTTCATATCTTATAAAAACTTCCTTATTTAATGTCATTGTTAACTGGTAAAGATATACGCAAATTTTTTAATAGGACCGTTACACCTATCATTAACAGGACCAATGTAAACGATATTAGCCAACTAGAATTACCAGATTTTATTAATGTACCGCAAAATTTTCCATGAACGTATTTTCTCCATAAATTCCAGATTGGTTTACATTTACCAAAATGATTTATGACGGCGTCAACTTGTACTTTATATAATTGATCGGCGACGTTCATAATCGACTTTTCAACATGTTTTGTAGCGTTCATAATGATTTTGTCCATAGCTGTTTAATGAATTTTAATGAATAGAAATTTTTATCAAGTTTCATTATAACCTTTAAGAAATTGAGAAGAAAACTTTGTTAAAATATATTCAATTTGACCAATTTCCTTTTTCAATTGAATAATTAGGAACCGTAAACGATTTGATTTGGTGAGGATGTGAGAATTTTTCTTCAATATCTTATCAATGTATTGGGCACTTTCGCTTAACTTTTTCATCATTTTGCTCCTCTCTTCCTCTTCAAAAGATGAATGAGATATTGCCGCTTGAGTAAGATCAGAGATTTTTTGCGTTTCGTAAACTCTTCTTTTCCACAAAGTAATCTCCATCATAAGATTATCGTTTAATTTCTTAATTTCATCACCTAATATGAGTTCATCGGATAGCAGTCGACCGAGTAATGAAACTGGGAAACAACGGAAAATTTACTAAATTACTGTATTTATTTATGTTGTATACCATTTTCTTGAATGGATTTTGTAAGTAATAGACGATCTGGCAGGGAGTTTAATGCTTCAATTTCCGACAGTTTAAAATCAGATTTGTACAATTGATCAGTTTGTATTCGTATTGCTCTTGTTAATGGTTTGTCTTTAGAGCATTCGGACAAGAAGTCGGCAGCGGAAGTCTTTTCTTCATAATGATTGGTTAGTAAAGCATGAAATTGTCCTATAGCAGTGTCAAGTTCTTTAAGTTTTGTTTTTAAGAGAATAGCTTGAAAATTTTAATTAAAAGTCTTTTATCTTAAAAAACCTGACACTGGCCCAAATCCATTAAAACTTTACATAATCCCGTTGTTTCAATTCCGAATGATAATAAGTTAATTACTGAAATAGCTGCCAATAAAAATGTAACAGTACAAGAAACTAGAAATGATAATGTAATGAGTGTCCTTATTGCCGCCCTTTTCAAATATAGAAGGAAAGTGATAGCTAGTAAGATGATAATGAAAAGGACAACGGCTGAGAGTACATGAGAAAAACAAGCAGTATTATGTAATCCCTTGAGACAGAATCTTAATCCGGGATCATTGAGTTTTTCAGGAACAAGACGTATCAATTTACTAGCAATCATTCTCAAGAGATTATCTAGGGGTTCCTTAAACATCTAGAAAGAAAAAGGGATAGGAAAGTGTTAAAATGCAATAGAAATTTTACACTTCTACTTCATTTCTAATGTTCGTACCTTATTCTTATATTCTTCCCATTGCCCTGAAGAAATTATAGAGGGAATCTCTGTTGAATTTATAAACAAACCAACAGAGTTGGAGAAATCTATAATAGAATTTTCATATTCAATCATAGCTTTATCGGTAGCATTGGTAATTGATTGAAGCCTATTATGGCCCCTTTCCAAAATGGCTTCAACAAGAGTAGGAGAATTCATTGTTAGACTGCACATACCCTTTGGTTGACTCTGATCACAATTTATATTATTTCTTAATACATTGTTCACATATCGAAAATTGGTGTCAGTTTTTTCAGCATATATCATCATTTTCTTTGAAGTTTTGGTAACCATTTCCGTTAATCGCCAGACATCATTTCTTAGTTGTTTAAAGTTGCTAAATAAATGATTTATCGATGTTATTTCCCCCATAAAATCTATAAATATATCATGTCAAAAAGATTAGGTAGAGTAGAAGGGAAATTGTATTTTTTACTATGTACTTTTGAACACATACCTCCTAGGGAAGCTTCTATCGATAAAGTAACAATTAGCCCTATACTTTCAATACGTTTATTAGCTGCTCTTGTTGCAAATTTTCTATACGTTTCTAATGTTTTAGACGTATATCTTAATCTAGCATTGATAAAGTTTGTCATTGAATCAAGTGCAAATGGTATATTATTTATCATTTCTAGACTATTCCTTCTAATACTTTCATTTTCAATCATTAATTCAATATTTAAACCAGAAACAATTAACAAAATGATACCTAAACAAATCCAGATAAAAATCATAAAATTTTCAGTATCATCTTTATTCGTCAAATGATATTTTAATAAGTAAAATCTATATAAGAATAGCGAAAAATTATAATTAGACCATGCTATTAAATTATTCAATGTAATCAACCTTGAACACAAAACTATTAATGATATAATAAGAACGATTGAAAATAGTGATATAAATATTATCCCTGCTAAATTTAAATGAGCTATTGATAGCCAATCTTTATTCTTTATTATTCTATTCCAATCCCACTGATCAGGATTTGTAGATAATAAACTTGACAATTTAACAGCTATTGACTTCATAAATAATTTCCCTTTTAAACTCCAAAATTCAGGTGAAATATTTAAAGATATTCTATTGTCTTGTTGAATCTTTGAAGGTTCACTCCAACTTATTGATCCATTTTTATATTGTTCATTTCCCAATTCATCACGTGATAAAGTTAAATCAGGATATTGTAAAAAGACTGCCTTTATTTTAAAATTCATCATATAGACAATAGCTAATGATATAGGAAATAGCATAATAGAATATTATAGGCTAATCTTGTTTCTAAACGATAACACATATGTAATTTTTAATTATATTAATTACGTAATAGAAATATTATGACGTCATTCAATCCATATATAGTTAAAAAATTCAATTATCTTTAATTTTGACAACATTCTCTCTTCATTTCTTAATAACAAAGAAGATTTCCTCTTCGTCTCTCCGTCCCTATTTTATCTTTTGTCTTTACCCTCCCCTATCTTGTCATAAACATAAAGTCCGCAAGATGGAAGCAAAGGGCGTGTACTGTATGATATACGAAATAAAAAATACACTTATGAAGTACTTTCAAGCTTTTAATACATTCAATTGAATAATGATAAAGGCATTTAACGGGAGCAAATACGTAAGCGATAATATATATATATATATTCTAAACACGCCTTTCTTCTCTTTTCAAAAAAATGAGAGTTTTAAAGAAAAAAAGAACGTTTTGTTTTCTTCTTCAACAGTAAAAACTCTAACAGCTGCTCTATGAACAATTACATCTTTTTAACATTCTTTCTATTTTACCAATATATATATATGTAATAGATAAAAAACCAAATTATGCAATAAAGATAGGATAATGAACTTATTTCTTTATTATACCTTACTAAAATCTTAAGACGTAGTAGGTTGTTTTTATTGGTTATTGGCCCAGTTTTATACGTTATATACAAGCATGTCTAATTTGATTATTCTTATTTAATGATGCTTTATATACATTTCTCCTTTAATGAATTTAATTAAATTCCTTTTTATGAGAGATTCATTAGCCTAGCTATCAGACAATTCTTTATAAGCATTGAAAGGAAAATTACTCTGAACAGAGCGTTGAATTCCTCTAGGAAGAGTTCTTCTACTAATTTTTCATTCCCTTTCTTCTTATGTAAACTTTATTCAGTGGTAACTTGAATATTTGGTTGTCTTTTTGAAAAGTATGAAACGTAATATCTAGCTAACGTTTACCATCTCCTGAAAGAGTAAAAAAAATTAAGAAATCTGGACGTGTCGTTTTCACTAAGGACAATGAAGAACGTAAGAGAGAAACTCTAAACTTTAAAATACGAAGTCTGTAAAAAAGCAAAAAATGCGAACCGGAAGATATTAAAGCATTCAATTGTCAGAGAAAAGAAAGAGGAGAAATTATTGAATCTGCAGGGAGGAGAATTCTGAAAGAGGGATATAGGAAGTGTTTATTCATATAAGAAAATTGAAGTATTCAGGAAAGAAATATTTGTAAGATGGAAATCAGTATACAAAGAGTAGAATATAATTATGTCGTATATTGGATGTTCAACTATAAACGTCTACGTAATAAATTCAAGTGTGACGTCAATGCTTTAGAATTTACGTTGTCAGTTTTGTTATAAATATAAAATACGTGGGAAAAGGTATTAAATCAATTGAATTTGATGAAGGTGGAGGATCTAAACAAAAATGAAATTAACAATCCTATCAAAGTCAATTCTATTAAAAAACTAGAGTTCATTTGCAAGGAAAAAAACGCCCAAATGTTAATATCTATTTATACAACAATGTTATCTATCTACTTTCGTTGCATAAACATTACACAATATATAGACAAATAATATGTAGATTAGGATTATAATTCAATAAAAGATGACCTACTTTATCTTGCAGAAAGATGATACATATGGAAGAATCCTTAGCCTATTATTTCTAATATTCTTGTTTATGTAATTGTTAAATATCTCTGAGTAATATTACATAAATAAGTCAATTAGATAACTTATAGTAAACAACTGTTCTTTTTTTATTTATAGAATACACCCACCACTCGAAAGAGTAAATTGCATTATGTTAATGAGTTGTAATTCACAAAATATAGAAACGTCATCTATTTTGTTTGGCATGTCAGTAAGGATTTAAGATTAAATTGATAACCTACTTTTCTTCACTTTTTAGCAATAAAATGTATAAATGAAATTGCTATAATATAAAACAAGAAAAAAAAAGTAAAACAAGATAACCAGGACACAATTTAGCCTATAAAGAGCTTATTTATAGTTTACAAAGTTGTAATTGAATAATCTGTTAAGGGATTTTGAATGTTAGAGAGAGAGAAAAAAGGAAGAAATAGGGAACAGAGATAACAGATAGTGCAATAAGGATTATAAAACCGTAAAATATAAATTAATGGCCGCACCTATTCAAATATATAAAAAAACAATATGCTGTTCAATTTGCGGTTTCCAGAAGAAGAAAATTTCGAAAGGTCAGGAATTTTGTGAAAATTGTCAGCCGGATCGTTGCGAACAATTGATGTTGATTAAAGATTATTCATTATGGCTACAGGAGAATTTAATGAATGAAATGAATGAAAATCGTAAGAAATTGAGACGGAACAGAGAGAGGTTATTTACAGACGATGAAATTGACTTTATTCTTGAATATATAGATAAAGAAGAAAAATCAACGTTTGAGTTTATTCTTGAGAATGAAAAGGCTCGCTTTAAAAGAGATTTTAACAGGCAAATAAAAGAATTACAATGTAAAGTTGAGAGCTTCTTCCTAGAGAAACGAGCAACTTTAAAAATATTCCAAGACGATGAACAAACAGAGAATGCAAATTATAAAAAAGACATTTCATTATTAAATAATTCCAAATGGATTATAGAGAAAAAACTAAGTATAATCTTACGTCATATTACATATCAACCTCGTCAGTATGCTCTGGGTAATTTGAGTATTACTGGAAAATCTGTTCAATTTGTAGGGTTACAACAAAAGGATATGAAGAATTGCAAAGCTGTAAGGGGTCTTTGCGTATTTAATGAAAAAATATTTATGATAAAATGGTCAAACTTTAATCCAACTGTTTCTATTGTTAGCGTTTACGATCTGAAAGGAAATTTTATACAAAATTTAAGCAAAACTTCTAATGAATTTACTGCAATAGACGTTACAAACGATGGTAAATTTTATATTGCAGATATGACAAACAATTGTGTACTAGAATCAGTTGACTGCACTGATTTTAAACCACTTTTTAACATTGACCACCCTCAAGGCATCTCAATTGGTTCAGATGGTATATTTATAGCTTGCGACGATCCACAAACTTCCAGAAAGCATTTAATTAACATGTACAAATTCAGTTTCGACGGTCAACTATTGTATCATTTTGAAGATAGCTATAAGTCGCTATTCAAGGTATGTGTGTCTGGTAACAATATCATCTCAACTCATGATATTGACAATGAGATAACAATATTAGATACAGTAACTGGTAGAAAGATAAATTTATTACTGGACAAAGGCTATACTCCTATAGGAGTTTGTTCACTTCCCAACGAATCATTCGCAATTGCCAACTATAACAAGAAAAGTCTTTCAATTTATGATAAATCTACTTCAGAAGTATGTCAAATATCTCTAAATGAAAAACCTGTTCACTTGGCTTTCTACGAAAATGTTAACCACTATTTTTTAATATGTCATCTTTTGGAATAACTTTCAATTCTATCTTACTCTCTTCCTCCTCCTCCTCCTCCTCATCAACCTCTTTTTCATTTATCTTTATCTTCTTCATCTTTATGCGTTAACACTAAGAACAAATTCATTAAACAAGTAAACTTTTTATTCGTTCAAAGAAGTCAAAAAGAACATATAGCTATTGTGTTTAAATATATCGATATTCTGAAAGGTGAATTCTATTTGAACATAGATTTTACTTGAATCATTATTTACATAGGCCTAATTGTTAATAGAAGCATACGTATGAATATTTCGAATATTTTTATGTTCTACTTTCTTCTTTCATGTTCATTTTTTTCATTTTATTGAAACTGTGATGGAAAGTTCTTTTGTGTAAAACATAATCATCTTGTACAAAAAACATTGTGATGTTATCTTATCAATTATTAATATTATATTTATGTTTTTAATGGAATTTTACAGATTTTCTCTCTATCGTAAATTTGGTATATTTGTTCTAAACTTATAAATTAGTTTAGTGTATACGATATGTTAGATTTTTTTTATTTTCTTTCTCAAAGAATACTTCAGAATAAAAAATTAAATCTGGATTCCAGTTCACCTATTAAAAAGTCTATATGTTAATTGCGTTGGAGCAAAACCCAGCTATTCGCTAACTCTCTTTAAGTTTAAACCTTTCGTTATATACTTTTCTAAATTTACTTTATGGTTATTTGTCGCAAAAATTCAAATTTTCAATAAAACCAGCGCACTTAAGAAAAGTTAGTGCAAGGTTATAAAGCCTATTGAATAGTTCATTCGGTAGTTAACAATAAAAACTGTTTCTAACGGGTTCTTTAATTTTGCTGAAAAACTTTTAAAAACATATCAATTTTGTGTGAGTTGATGAATGAATTCTAATTTCAACCATTTTGTAGTAATATCCCACTTTGATTGGTAAAATTGATTTAATATTTTAAGGATTTTCGATTGAATTGTATTCAAGCAAGTATGAAACTACTGGGGAAATTGATTTTGTCATTGAAGTTAGAGTTTGTTCGCCAAAAACAGCATTAAAAACATTCTTTTAGTATTATTTGCATGTTGCTTTATTGAATTTTATCAAATTTGTCTAAAAAATTTCAACCAAAAGAGAGTTCTCTTAACTATCGAGTGTAATATGCAAATGAGATACATATTCGAAATATCTATATGCGTGTTATTTATTAATTCTTGCGAATTTTAATTCTTTAGTCAGTAGAGTAAGTCACTGGCCTGTTACCCCCAAAGCAGGGGATAACAGATATGATGACAAATAGGTGATGATTCTTGACATGAATTACACCTGACGATCGTTGGGACCGTGTTGAGTTCTTTCGATCAATGTCTGATAACTTCTCTAAAACTATCCTGATAAATGCATTATAAAAAATTATATATAAAAACGGTTTGAAATAATCAAACCTTTTATTTGTTTGAACTCACCAAATTAAACAACAAAACGTCAGTCTAAATTTTATTATAAATCCCTGGTCGTGACAAAAACATTATACTGTCTCTAAAGAGTGCTCATCAGCAGTAGAGGATTTCTCATCGGTCAAGTGACTAATTTGAACCGGCTTACGAATTGATTTCCCCTTTAGATAGATAAATGTATTCTCTCTTTTCCAAGCATAGTATATAGTCATATGATATCGGCAAGTAATCTACAGAAGCAATTACTCTCGTCGAAACATTCTTTTAAACTTACGAAGACTTACCGTAAACCAAATAAAAAAAACAACTAGAAGACAAACTGAGAGAAGGATTAATGCGATATGTAATCCTTTTTTGTTCTCTTTACCAAAATGTAAAGCACCAACAAAACAAAACCAAACGCTAGCAATTGTGAATGGTAGAAGAACAGAGAAACAGATCAAATCAAAAAGAATGTCCACTCTATCACCAGGCTCACTTGGTCTTCTAAACCACTAACAATTTAAAGAATACGTTAGTAACTAAAAATAACTATTCCATAAAACCTATATATGTATTAATACATATATATATATATATACTTCAATGCAAGATCGTGCTCCTTTATTTAATTCAAATTCTGTCTGACAAACTTCACAACGAGCCATATTAGCTGAATTTATCCACATCTCTAGGCAATTTCTATGAACAATTGCCATAGAACCTGAACATTTACAGGGTGATATAAGATCATTTATGTTATTGGGTTCATGGCAAATTCGGCAAGTTTCAATACTCCTTTCAGATGACAATCTATTAGATAAAACACGAAAATATCAGTACCTTTATATGATAGATTATAATTAGATTTACGAGTGAATATCTTCTAATATATTAGGATTCGATATCGTCCTTAATTCTTCATAAACTGGATCACTTAAAGATTCTACAGAAGCTAAAGGTGCACATAAAAAGTTTGATTTTTGAGCATAAGCATACGCCATTTTGTTCAATTATTACTATATTTTTGTTCTCTTTAAACAAAAATTTTGTATTAAAAACACTCTTTAAAGAATATTAAAATAGAATGTAAATTTTGTATATTCCAATATGTAACCAAATGCACAACGACATCGAATAATAACAAACATAAACGACGTAACGCGTTAACTCCTATCGTAACGGAATACGGCTAACTTTAATTTTTTTAGTCTGTGACAAGTAATAAGTAATTTTATTCTATTCAATGAATAAAATTAGTTTCTATCTTCCGTTTGTTGGGGAAAAGAAAGTTTGTCCATTAAATCGTCGACTCTGTCTTGCAACACTGAGAGGATTTCTGTTGTTATGAAAAGATGCGTATCATCGAGATTTTGCAAAACGAATCTACAGCCTAAAGCTTCGGTTTCATCCAAATTTAATAGAAAAACTTTCATAGCCGGATCGCTGAAGGAGCAAAGTTGGTTTATTATCGCTCAGTATAAGACGAAAACGTTCTTACCATTCAACAAGCACGCCTTTGTTGACATTCACCATTGTTTGTGGATTTATTCAGGAATCTATTTTTGGAATACAGGGAAATAGACCTTCCTCTTTTACCAATGCTGATAATTTAATGAAAACATTGAGCACTCTAAAGTCTCTAGCGCTACCAGCTTTCATAAGATACTAAGACTCGCACCGAATTATGTACTTTTTTGAGTACTTTGAAAATTTCAGATAAGACAATAAAAAAGGTCAAGCTACTTTTAAAATGTATTATTTATGATCAGTTGAATATAAGACTAATCTTTCAAGCCATTATATTATCATAAGCCATTTTGATGCAACAACCCATTAGAGAAATGGCTCCAATGTAACCAAAACTTCCCCAATATCTTCCCTCAGGCTCTATAAAAGAAATTAACAAATTTAATCAAATTACATTTTGAATACTTTATAACAGAGAAACAAAGAAAAGATTTGCTTACTTCCAGTAGAATAGCCTCTAGCATATGCAATTTTTCCCAAAATATAAATGCCACCAGCTCCTGCGGCAAAGCGCTAAGAAAAATATGAAAATTAAGTTAATTAATAAAAGTATTATGAAGTTTATTTGCTTACTGGATATTCAATACCAGCGATTAGTAGCAAAGTCAAGAATGATGGATTATTTTCCAACCTGATGAAAGGGCAAAAATAAAGTGAAAAGCTAAAATTTGCAATAGCTGAAAGTATTCTTTTTTAAGACATTACGTATTCTGATGAGCTCTCTGAATACAATTGAATATGTTATCACCGCCATTTTCGCAGCTATACATAATTGGGTACTGAAAATAAAGTGTTCATAGTTGATATTAGTTTTTCCTAATATAAATAATATTTCACTTAAAAGTGAAAAATTTACTGACTTTAACGCCATATTGCTTTCTTGCTTTGCCAACTTTTATTCCAAGCCAAGTATTGACCAATTGGGACCCAACAGCAGTTAGAATAACGTAACCATAATCTTTAGGTAGTCTGTCCATGTTGATACACCTTTATAGAAGGTTATAAAAATTATATTATATATTTCTTTATCATACTTTGAATGCAAATGAAGAGTGAAAGTACAATTTATGACATAGAAACATAAATATCATTGAAACTTTCGAAAAACAATAAAAGTACCTTGTTAATCAGGAATTTCTATCGTTGCCGGTAAACAAGAACGCTAAATGACCTTGTTGAGAAGACCTACAGAATGTTTTACATATCCACTTGACTTGGCGCCATAATTCAAAACAAATTACTTTATTGTTTTCTCGTCTATTGTTTTTTTCTTTGCACACTTTAATCATAATTTCACTCATTTTAATGAAAAGGAGGGAAAAAGCTCAACTTTTAACTCTTAAACATACTTATATTCTTATTTTGCCTTGCAGAATTCGTTTTGCTTACTATGCAAAAATGAAAATATTCTCATATTTTCTTCATAAAATATGCCTCTCTTTCCCATTAAATCTCATTTCTTAATGCATAAATCTTTCAAATATATGTATAAATTATAATGTTTGCACTCAGGTTGGCAAAAAATCCCTTATTAAGCATTTAGAAAATAGTTAACCTTTTGATGAACCAGGTGTATGCGCCATAGAAAATGCTCTGATGATTCATATCCACAAGATCAAGCTTTTGAACAGGGCTTGATAAATCTTTGAATCTCTGCAACATGTGTCGATGAATAACAAGTTTCTATCACGACACTAGGGGTATATAATGAGTGTAGAAAGTTCGTCAGTATCAATCTTCGGTTTGAAGAGAGAAAGAGAACAAGATGAAAAAGTAAGAAAACTTTTAAAAGTTATTTTTATGTTGTTTAATTCCAAATTTTTTTTTTCAGTTTTATTGCAATCTGTATTTTAGCTCTAGTGGCTGTAGCAACATCTTTCCCATGCAAATCTTTTGATAAAAAAAGGCATGAGGCTTGTAAGACTGTTTTTTCAAATGGAACTGAATCTGAAGGAAGCGAATGCTCTGATGGAAAAGTTTGCACAGCTCCACCAAATGTTCAAGTTTACTTCTGCTCCGGAACTGATAATAAGAGACAAAGATGCAAAGTTGTTATTGATGAAAAAGAGGAAGAATTATCTGAATGCCCAGAGGGAAGCGAATGTCTTCTTGAAGAGAGAGAAAAAGTTGAATGGAGATGTAAATGCGCTGAAAATGACACAGAATGCGAAAAGAAAAGCAGACCATGGGCTAGACCAGTCGATAAAGGAATCTGCAAACTTATCGTCAATGGAACAAGCAAAGTTGAAAAAGAATGCGAAAATGGTTTAGTTTGCAAAAAACCCGCAGAGGTAAAAGTTTCTGTTTGCAAGAAAGTTGAGGAAGAAGCAGAAGAAGAAGAAGAAGAAGAAGAAGAAGAAACTGAAGGAGATGAAGATGAAGCAGATGCAGAGACTTTTGGCTCTTGGGAAAGAAGGAGAGGTGGAGACAGAAGAGTACGCAAAGATAGAAAGAGAGGCGGAGACAAAGAAGAAGGTGAAGACAAAGAAGAAGGAGAAGACAAAAAGAGAGGCGGAGACAGAAAAGAAAGGGGGGGTAGAAAGAGAGTTGGAGGTAGGAAAGGAAGAGGAGGTAAAAGGGGAGGTGGAAATCAAGACCGTAAAAAGGCCTTCAAAATCTGCGATATGTCGATTGATGGACAAAAAGTTGAACGTGACTTTGCTGACTGTGAAGATAATGAAGAATGTGTAGAAGCTACTAGACCAGCTGAAAAAATAGTCGAAAAATGGCATTGTTCCTGTCCAGAGGGAGATGAAGAATGTGAGAAAAAGCATAAAAACATCAACAAACCACAAAGACTTGAGCATGGTGTCAGATCAAAAAGACCTGGACATGGTGGTAGATCAAAAAGACCTGGACGTGGTGGTAGATCCGAGGGTGACAAGCCAGAGAGACCAGAAGGTGACAAGCCAGAGAGACCAGAAGGTGACAAACCAGAGAGACCAGAAGGTGACAAGCCAGAGGGAGATGCCTCTGAACCCGCAAGAAATGGAAATAACCAAAACAGATCTGGCCAAAACAAGCCAAAAAGAAATGAGGGAGATAAACCAGAGAAATCTGATGAAGATAAGCCAAAGAAACGCGAAGGAGGGAAACAAGAGAGACCAGAACATGGTGACAGAAAACGAGGAGGAAGAAGACAATAATTAATTAAAATATTTGCTGGATCAAATATTCTCTGTCTTTCTGATTTGATCTGCTTGTTACAAGCAATCAATCCTACTTTGATAAACAACGTAAACAATTAGTTAGAAGCACAAATACATTGATTAATCATATCGCAACTGTTTTCTCTTTCGTTTATTTCGACAGTTTATTCAAATGAAGGACACTTCAGTAGTTTTTAGCTTAAACTTTACTCAATCATTTACAGCACCTTTGTTATTTGGAAAAGAAGATTGTTGAACATCTTCAGAATCGTCTACTTTCTGATATTTTTTGCGTAGTCTTTCCTTTATCAAGATACCTTTTATCAGCAATTTCCATCTTTCTAGTACTCGCTTTTCCTTTTTCTACAAAAAATTTATTTAAATATAATTAGTAAACTAAGTGTTTTATTACTTGAGCTTCTTTCTCTGCCATTATCTCCTGTTCTTCATCCCAAGCTGCAAGTAATATGTCTTTGCTCTCCTCCGGAACAACATAACCATCAACACTGTTGCGAATAAATAATATTAATAATATAATACTCTGCTTCCTTAGTTCAAAACTTTACACTGGATGGTTGAAGCCTCCGTGAAAGTCCCAACTAGTTACTGCAGGGACACAGTCAATATTCAACTTTCTACCTACCTTGTTTAGTCCTGGTACTATAAGAATTCAAAGTTAAAGAGAAGATTAATGGTATTTGACTACTAACGTCTCAAATGTACACCTCCTTTCGGTAACATAGATTCTTTATACAATTCAACATTACCATATTGGTTACGAGGAACTCTGCCATTTTCAACCGGATCTGGTGTATATACCTCCGTTTGCCATTCCCCAAACAATTCAGCTTTTGGCTCTTCTACATAGACATGTTTCTTTAAGAATTATAATTTGTGTAATTCTTTCAAATATAAAATATTTAGACCTTACTTTATTTTTTCTAGCTTTCACAGTTTTGTATGGAATTTCGAAAGGTTTTACCTGCCTTCCCTCTCGAGTCCAAGTTTCTCTTGTATGAAGCTATTTGAAAAGAGGAGAATGGTGAAATTTGAAAAAAATTTGTCAATATTTTACCGTATGAACACACTCTCTTACGTATACTTCTTCGTTTCTTATAAAGCCAATAGGTGCAGCTTCTGGAGGGTAAATAGCCTGAAATTTCAACAGATGTCGCTTCAGTGCGTACAAGGCATGATTTTTATATTCGTTGATAGTTTTCGGTAAAGGTTCTTCTCTTTTCTTGTCTAAAAAACATAAGTCAATACGCATGTAATTAAATCTCCATGACCTTTGACCTACCAAGGATAAGTTTATTTTCATCTTCATCCCTTTTAGACTTTGATTCAAATATTTCCTGAGTTTGTTTCCACCAGTTATGATCGGCCCGAAGTTTTCGATTGTTAACGTTAAATTTCGCTGAATATTTCTCCGTTAGATCCTTCATTGTATTATCTGAGCATTGAGTCACTAGATTAATTTCATTCCTTTATTTTGATTTTATATTACTAACCTGGATTAAAGCCGATGACATAAACCAGAGTATTAGAGCAACGATCTTCCATGCTTGATGTACAATTAACATCCATATTAACAAAATCTACACAAATCCATTTTTTTTCCTTTTTCAAATATACTTCACACCAAATATCTACGTCTATTTTTTCTTCTAACCCATCACTACTTGATTCAGAAAGAATTTTGATAGGTTTAAACTCTTCCTTAGCACATGTTCCCTTTTTTGATTTCTTTGATTGACTTTTTCCAACAACTTCAAAATCGGAATCGTCAGAATTGGAAAAAGTGGAAATTTTTACCGCAGATTTATTGCTTTGTTTCTTATTTCGTATTCTAGTAGAAGATCGTTTTTTCAACTTTTTCGACGCACTGAAATATTTACTTTCACTATTATTGTCCGTTTCCTCAATGTCGACTTTTTCGTCTATTTCTGTCTCCTCTTCCTCAACAGGCACATCTTCATCATCTTCGGATGAATCTTCTATTACTAATTTCTTAACTTTCTTTTTAGGTATTGCGGCGGGATTTTTTACGTGTTTTCGTTTGGTGCTATTCTTTGCTACTAGATGACACTTAGGAATCTGAAGGTAATAGTTTTCTTATACTTTTTTCATAGTAATAATAATCGATGACTCATACTTTTTCTCTAAAATGAAGAGGATAGAAAGACATGACAAGACGAACTTCTAGACCAAAACCTTGTAATATTCCGATACAACTCTAGAAAATTAGAAAGTATTAAAAGTGTATTATTTAAGAAATTTGATTAAAAGCTTACTAAGATATATTCTGTTCGAGAAAATGCCACTCCTCTTGTAATAGTACACTCAAGACGTTCAGCCTGTTTATTATAATTAATTAAACTGATAAGAAATATTAAGCTTTGTATGAAATAGTTATTACAATATTTCCTTTCACATTTTCATCTTTTATATTCATCTTTACTATTTCAGTTATAGAATTAACTAACTTCCTTAGAGTTTCAATACCCCAGTTTTTCATTGCCGTTTTCAAGAATATAAACGAAGGCTTAACTGAGAGAGAAACAGCTCTGAATATGTCTCCTTTTAGTACATCATTAACATATCTACCATGAGCAAGTAATAGTAGTAGATGGACCTTTAATACAGACAAACATATATATATACTGTATATAATATTATTTCATTATTATACAGTATATGCTCTACAAACTTTATGCATCCATGAAAATGTGTCTCTTTTATATTTAGCCATCCAATATTTGAACCATTCCATCATCCTCTCCTTCTTGCTGTAACAACAACACTACTTTTAAGGGATATTTTTAAATGTCTATGAAAAAAACCTTTTCCTTTTTAATTGTCCTGGAATATGGTCTAATTTGATGTTGACCTCCTCTGATGGTTTAACGTAATCGTCCTCATTTTCGGCATTTTCCACTTCTTCCCAATCACTACCTTCTGATTCCATTCCATCTTTCTTATTCTGCTTTGAGTGAACTTTTCCTTCCATTGCTTGAAGTACATCAGTAACGGATGAACAGTTCATTAGTTCAGGGCAAGACTTGATCAGTGCAGGTTTTTTAGGTGTAGAATCATCACTGTCTGTAAAATCTTCTTGTTCTACATCGTCTACTTTTGTTTCCAATGTTGCTTCTTTAACCATTGACTTTTCGGAAAGTGGTACCTTTTCACCATCTTTCAACGATTTTCCACCGGATGATGAGGCTATTTCAGAGTTTTTCTTTGCGTTAATCGAAGTTTTATCATCGTCATCTTCTGGAGACTTGCGATTTTTTGTCTCTGTTGCTGTGATACTGGGTGAACGCTTTTTGGCTTTGGAAGCCGGTGCTTTTCTGGTAGCGAGCGATAAAAGGAGAATTTACGCAATCTTCCCCTAACCAATGAAATTATACAAACCTTTTCGACATGACGTAAGAAAAGTCAATGTATGTATCCCTTCACCAATAGAAAATTGCCTTGTTTGCCAAAACTCTACTTAAGCAGTCATACGAAAGTTGAAGAATGAAAGAGAAAGGGAGTCTAATTTGAAGAAGTTAATAACGATAACTAACCAATCAGAATTTAGTATTCACTTTGGAGCTAATAGGTGGCGCTTCATAAAAGTGTTTTATTCAAGTTTGAATTTTTGGAAGAGACTTACAACTATTTCATAAATTGTTTGCATAACGAATAAATAAATAATACATTAATAGTTAAAGGTAAGATTATTGGTGAGATAATCAAATATTTTACCTTTCATTTATAGGTCAATGTATTTAAAGCAAAAAGTATAAAATTTACGGAATGATGAAAGGTTTATTTCATTCTTTTTTTCCTATTTGCCTATTAGAAAATATCGATTTTCCGATAAAGAACTCACGAATAAAACTGTAAAGAAAAAGAAAGTCTTAAGAATTGTTTTATTCTCTGGATAAATCAAATAATAGATAAACAATACGAAAAATTCTATCATTCGATAATTTGATCCGTAAGATCATTATTTAGAATATTTCATAAGATTCCTAAAATGGCAAGAATTTTTCTTCTCAACTATGATCATATCCTAGATTCTTTCAAAGAAAATCTACTTTCCCATTGAATGCAGTTAATAACAAGAAACTTATTGCACGTAGCCAGTTAATAATGTTTGACCAATAGATGGCACCACAGCCATATGAATCTACATTTCGTCTTCTCTCTGTTTTTTGCTGTCGCTTCTATTCGTTGCAGTTATAGAACGGTTACACGTTCATCTATAAGCACTTGACTGTCGCAGACATCTTCAAGTCCCTTAGTTCTAAGACCCGTAGGTAAAGATGCAACATTCGAAGCAGCAATTAGACTAGCTACAATGCTAAAATGCCTATTTTTCTTTTCTTTCCTTTTCTTGCATATCTTTTTCAAGCAGTTGCGTCCCGCAAAGAGTAACTTGGCGGCAGCGAAGGGTATCGGAGTGGCGAATAGTATCCAAATAGGCATGGTTGATAGAAGATCAGAGTCTGGTGAACCAACTGTAAAACGAACAATAGCCAACGCTAACATTGAATTTTTCGTTGTACATTCAGCCCTTATTGCCTTCCTTCCTTTAGCATCAATTGTCCTACAATTTAAATACGAACATCCAATACCAAAGCAATAATTTAGTATGACGAACAAACTAGAGGCAAATAACGAGTTGAATGTTAACAGAGAGAGCATGTATATGTTTATATACATTCCTAAAGTTATAAACAGTATAGAGAACAGCAGTAAAAATGGTTTAATAAACCAAGTTAACAATCCTTCAGCAAAACCAGGTCCTATTCGCCGAAGGTATATACCAACAAAAAAAGAGGCAATATATCCCAATAACCATATCTGTTAGATATATAATACATAAATAATGAGCAAGTCGTCGGTAAGAATTTATTGTTGTAGAGAAAAAAACAAAAATCTACATGTCTACCTCTGTATAAAGTAGGCTGGAAGAGTCGATTGGGAATATTTGCCAGGCTATAAATAACCAAAAAGGACCAGAGGCTGCAAGAATGAAGAAAAACAAAAGAATAATGTATAATATTAACATGTAGACATTTATTAAGAGTGAGAAAGAAAAGAAAGAAAGAAATATCAGGTGTAAACATTGCGTGAATATTAACTATTCTCGGTTGTTCCCTTGAAAAAAGAAAACGACAGGAAAAGTGTATGGAAGCTGATTAATTGAAATCGGTATACGTGCCCAATTTGTCCCCTACTATATATTATTCCCAATGGTCTCATCAATATAAACATGACTAACGCGTTTCTAGGTCCTCTTCTTTTTGATGAAGACTAACCTAATTTAAAATTATTGATAGGGGGGGAAAAAATCCTACAATCTGAGCACGTAGGCCTAAATATTAGATTTTTTTTCCTTTTTATTGTAATCTTCTAAAAGTGGTAATGATCAATTTTAAAAGAATTAAGTTTCTTCTCATTTTACTGTTTTGCAACTATGGATTGAGGTTAAAGGTCATTAAAGTTAAAAAGAAAAAGCTTTGCGTGTTTGTAAAGATCTTCTCGAACTTGTTCTCTTTTTTTTTGTTTTTACAGCAAGGAGATTAAGAGATTGATGACTCTTTTTCTGTGTGCGTTTTACATGTAGCAAAGTAATAGGCCTAAGTAATAGAGAAATGTTCGAGAAAGGTAAAAATTGAAAAAGAAAAGGAAAAGAGTCTAAAAAAAAAGAAAACTAAACTGACCCAGAGCGAAACAAGCGCTCAGAAGATTAATAGCTGAGCTTAATGCCTTCTCGCCGTCTAACATCGACGTAATGATGAAGCCGAGTCCGCCGCCGGCAAGGCAGGAAACATAAAAAGCTCCCAAACCCTCATCTTTGCTCAATAAGCAGGCAAAAGATAGGGAAAGAGCCACCTGTATAGAAAAAATTCCAAAGATGCAATCTATCTTCCTTCAAATGGATATGATAAATTAAATTAAATAATAAGAAACTTATTATTCCTTACTAGAGGAGAACTAAATTGACAAATAGCCACTGAAAGTAGAGTTTGCCATTTTTGCTGCCGAATTGCCTCCAATTTAGTGACTAGGCCAAGAGAAAGACTATTGAGCATAGAAACAGATGCAATTACGCAATCGAATATGTAGTCGGGTAATTTCCGTTTCCTAACAATGACTAAACGATATTGAACAGTTGTGGTATAATTTCCATGTAAGAATTTCACTGCGAAGATTGTAGGAGTAGAGTTTTTTTATGGGTGGTTATACGAATAGAACGAATAGTGGACATTTATCTGGATAACTCTATATAAAAGTCCTATTAAAGATATAGATTAATGCTGTCTCTTCTAAGCTCCTTTCAATAGAATCGAAAATTAAAGGAACATTCTTCCGATGAGTTAAGGATACTTGAGTGGATACTAAAAAATCGATTTACAAGAGGATAAAGCATCAGAATAGGACAATCTAACGCCTTTAAGCTAGCCACTTTTTACGAGATGAATTGAGTGGCATAAACAAAAATATCAAATTGAAAATGGAAAAAAGATACCCTATCTTCTCAACACCACAGATGTCGCTACAATCGACAATATAATCTTCAAAATTCAGAACAAGATAATAAGTAATATATTTTGCCATCTTGTTGTATCAGTATATATGATTAAGCTATAAATAATCCTTCTATTCTGTTCGAATCGTATAATCACCCGAAAAAGTAGCTCGGCCAACGCAAACCGGTTGTATAAGGAAAAAAGACGATGTTCGATTAGTCAGTTCTAATAAAACCCAGGCACTAGAATTAAAAGTATTCTGAACAGAAGATTCAGGCAACGCTACTCTATGATCTTCTGATCGTACTTTTATATCCATTATATCCGAATAATTCCATGCAAATGTCACTATACTGGATTGATCAAGGCGGAAATGAGAATTTTGAGTAGGTACAAATAGTAAGTTGGCGTTTGAGAAGTTGACGAGAGAGAGTAGGAGGAAGGGCAACATGCTTTTTAATCCGTCAACGACCAACGTCAAAGTGGGTGTGCAAGGCGCTGCGTAGCGAAAAGGAAAATTTCTCAGCTAATCTGTCAGCTAATCAAATATTGACTCGCTACTTTGTATACAACTACTTTTGTAAGTATTCCTCTTTTACATAAAGGAAGAAAACTTTTATAAATTACTCACTTTAAAGTTTTTGCAAATAAATAAAAAAAAACAACAACAACAACAACAACAAAAGCGCTGTTTATAAAAGAAACAGAATGAAACAGAAATATCCTAATTTATCTATAAATTGCTTTTTTTATATAAAGGTTATGTAATTTATTAATTTAACTATAGCTTGTTAATGTATTATTAATTATTTAGCAATACTTCAACTATACAAAACTCCTTACTACTTAAACATGTTTCTTATTTTTATTTTTATGCTTTTAATACCTTTTTTGCCACTCCTCTCTACTCCTCCTTTCCACTTCGTTCCGTATTCCCTTTTCTCTAGTAGAATATTTAAGAATTGAAACAATGGCTATGTTGCATTGCATATTTAAGTGTGTATTTTAATAGTAGTTTTTTCTTAATATAACAAACAAGCATAAAGAAATATAAAACAACAAACCAATTTTTGTTTGTGCAAACTTTCCTTCCCTTTTTTTCTCTCCCTTTAAAAGGAAATAAAAGATGGAGAGAGAGAGACAGACAGACAGACAGACAGAGCAGAGTAAGTGTTGCTATCGAATAAATACCAACAAAACAGGAAAACATATTCTAGACAGTCCCTGCCCCCGTTCTCTCTCTCTCTCTCTCTCTCTCTCTCTTGTCTTCCTTATACACATACTTATACGATATTTATAAATATAATTGAACATATTCCTTTAATTTGTCTACAGTACGCCAACCCCTACAAAGCAGCTTTTCTTATTCTGATCATTCTTTTTTCCCCTTCATTTCTCTCTCGCTCTCTCAAAGATTAGAGAAATGTATCACAATTAATTTTACAAAGCAATCCTCTTCTTATCACTTATCCCATTTCAAATTCTACTATTATGCATAACTTTAAACTAGGTCAATATAATGGTTTTTAATTGTTTTTAATTGCGTTATAATATCTAGCTTAAGAGGTAAATACCGCAAAGTAGTTGCGAGGTATTAACACTCATAAAAAATATTTTTTAAGATTTATTATAAGTAAACAATCGTTGAATATTTTATATAAATAATTCTATATAGAAGAAGATTAGAATAGATTTGAACTATTTCTCGGTCACTTGAAAACCCCAAAAATGAAAAGAAATCCTTTGCTAAAAAAAAATCGGTGTTATAAATCTTAAAATTGATTTTTTTTGTTACGACCACAAAGGGATTGAGATAAGAGAAGGAGAGAGAGAAAGAGAGAGAGAGAGAGAGGATATAATATACAAATTAGTTTACTATATGAAAAGATTAAAGTTTAATTCATTTTATTTTATTAGTTTACGACATCAGCCTAATCATTTTATTTTCTCTTTCTATCTCTTTTTTTAGCCCATCCTTTCTCTCTCTTTTTTTTTTACACTCTCCATCGCTATTCACGCTGCCCATTGGTCAGTACAATAGACCAATTAGAGGTATATATTTGAAATCATGCATATTAATGAAGTTCTAAAGAACGGTAATTTTCATCTTTAATTAACTGAATAATTTTTATTAAGCCCATTCTAATAACAGAATTATAAAAAAACTATACGCCTGAGTAGTTTGACAATATAGCAATAAATAGCTATAAATATATCTATATATAAATATATATAATAGAAAGAAGTAGATCATTGATCCCAAGAAGAAGATTTCCTCAACAAGATAATTTTATAATAATAAGAGAATGGTTTTGGCACAAATCTGCAGTTTTCTTTTTTAATGAGAGAAGTAAAGAAAGGAAAAGGAAAGAAGAGTTTTGACATATCTTCTTCCTTTTTTTCCCATTAGTTGCATACGAAATAATTCCAGTTTTCCTTGTAGATATATATTACCAAGGACGCCAAACCCTTTCATTCTCAATATTCTCTTTATTCTCTTCGTTTCCGTATGAAAGTTTCCTTTTTGTATTTCGAATATCCGATAGAGGTGGCCGATAGTTTGCGTTATAAACTTGTCCATAAGGCTGACAATTCACGTACATATGCCTTCTCACTATTATTTAAAGAAAAAAAATTAATTATTAATATTACTCCTTATAGGCCTAATAAAGACAAAATTAGTAATTAAAAAGTTACTATTTACAGTGATTTTATATTAAATTATTGAAATTCAAATAAATTAATTACTGTCGTTGAATGGAAAGCAATAACTTAGTGGAAATCTAATCAATTCACTTATCAAGATCGATAATCTTATTGAGAGTTTACAACCAATGCAACATATTGGTTCTGATCTTAAGCTATGATAAGTAGGTGAAGAATAAGTAAATGAATGTTACCTTCCATATCTTTTGATATTCTCTTTACGTAGCCAGTTAAATGTTGAACAGCTAATTCTAATATTTCAGCTTTTTCCATTGTTTCTTGGTCTTCGGGTCTTTGGCCTGCGGCAGTTAAAACTAATTTCCTTATCTGCTCTAAACAATTATTGATCCTCTCGCGCCTTCTCTTCTCTACGGCGGTTTTTACTAGCTTCCTTCTCGTTTGCCTGTCCATCCTTGAATGATCAACTCGTGTTCAGCACCCGCCTTATAAACCCTCCTCGGCTCTGTTTGATCAACAGACCGCGTCATCTGCCTATAATTAGCAGAATGGTCACTAAGTAAGAGGTTAGAATGTAGAAAGTTTCCTGTTGGCCGCTGGTTATGTCATGGTTACGTCACAGCAGTGTAGCGCCTCCCGCCCACGTTTTCAAGTCAATTACCAGGTGCCTGGAAAATCTTTGAAGTATTAAACTTTCGAAAAAGAGCTAAAATCCGACTTTCAGGTATTAAGGATATACAATCTTTAAAGTACCAACTTTCTAACCAAGCACGGGTGATGTTCACTTAGTTCAAGTAGTCTTACTAATTGGTTATATAAAGTATTATCCGGTTTTGCTAAAATTTTACTCATGTTAAAGAAAAGCCTCCAATCTATCATACCAATAAAGTACAGGGAAGGAAGGGGTGGAAGGCGATAGCGAAGGAGGAAAAGAGGGGGAGAGGAGAAGACCTAATTTTGTTTCGAAGTGTTTGTTCGTGTGCGAAAATTTCTCTCTCAATTCCCTTTCGAATTAATTAAGGTCCTATTGATTAAGTACAAAAACGGAAGATTCCGAAAAAAGACCGTCCTTAAATGCTTATATATAATTTAATCAAGATCGCCCTAGGCGTCGAACGCCCACGAGAAACATCTAAGGCGGTAAGGCGTCAAACGCCCCTAGCGCCGTTCAATCAGGGACCGATTGTTTACCGGAAACGATCAGAAGACGCCAGCAGTTTGACAACACTCCCAATTGACGCCCGTCGTCTTCTCTGCACGTTCTATCAAAGCACTCCCCATACACTGGTGTTAAAGTTGCCACACCGAATTTGTTTTATTAATATGTTACCATAAGAGACTTTCTAAAAGGTGCATAATCAACTTTTAATACCCATAAAAAAAAGGTGTATAAATTTGTCGACTTAATAGATTCGAACATCATATTACGTAATATTAGAGGGAGAAAATCCCTAAAAAATTAGGGTCTTAATGCTTCTAGGATAACAAAATGATTATTGTATCGAGTTTTACTTAGCTTTTACTAAAATTCTATTCATTTTCGGCTTAAGACACAAGAAAGAAAAAATCATTCTTTGATGTTAACTTGTTAATAATTTACTATTGTTGTTTAATTACTATGCAAGAATAAGGCGGTAAATTAACCCCCTACAAATAAAGTTTCCTAAACAACTTAAATCGTTTTTAATTTACCTCGAGGAATAGAGAATTACCTTGAAAGAAGTTGCGATAAATATCAATAATCTAATTGATAATTACTTAAATTTTAATGACCCCTATAAACTATTTGATACAATATCCTGTATAAACTAAAAAGAAAGCCCTTATTACGCAATCGGGAAAGAAAGATTAACTCTTTATATCATCTATAATACGTACTTTGCGTGCTTACTTTCTTTTCTTGTCTCTGTCTCTCTCTTCTCTTTCTCTCTTTCTTTCTCCCTTCCACTCTATCTCTATATCTAAAGTCTACTCTAAAACTTAAAGATAAGATTAAAGTGGACGAAATCCTCTTAATATCTTTATATATTACCATTGTTCTCTCAAGCGTTACCAATAGTAAAACCTAGAAACGGCAAAACTCCCTAACATAGTTATAAACATACATAAAGAGGAGAGAATTTAGTGCGAATGGGCTCATTGATGACGTAAGAACTTAGGAAGTTGGAAATTATAAGGAAAATTTGAGGGCGGTCGTCATTGGAAAATTACAAAGTTGTCAATTTGTGGAAAAACAAGAACCTTAAAAGAATTCTTTAAATACTATTATTATAATATAAGTTGTATAACACACTTATCGTATAAAAAGACCTAAGGGAAAGAAATTTGTATTTTATTTTGTAGGTGTATTCTTAAATCTTGAATAAATTGAAGCTTTTATTCAAAGATAAAGACTTTTCAATGCTATTCTTATTTTTTACTTTCTTCGTAAAATAGCAAGACAGAAAATCTTGGTTGTTCTTATATTTAATACGCTTAGGACAATTACACCTAGATCCCAAATGTAAAGTCGTAACGAACAATAAGATCTTAAATGCTGAAAGAACATTGGCAAAAGTGACAGAGAGAGAGAGAGAGAGAGAGAGAGAGAGAGAGAGAAATTGCACCTAAAACGTTCTTATCCCTCTTATGTTTGCACACGTATTAATGATTGATAATCTTTTAACTAATTAAAATATAGTAGGCTATGAATCAAAGAACTCTTTTAAGTACTCAGAAGGGGTAGAAAGAAAAAGGGAGAAAGATAGAGGGAGAGTAGTAGTAGTAGTAAGGGAATTTATATTCGACTACCTTACATATAGATTTATAAGGGACCTTGTAAAAGTAATGTGGTAATTTATCATGAAAAAAAAAACGATACTATTCGGTTGCGAAGATGAATTTTTCTCTTCTTTTTCCCTGCCTCTGTTAATATACGTACATTGATAGTTTTTGTGTTGTATAATATATGTCAATGAAAAAGGAAAACAAGTGCAACAATTGGAGGATTGCGACAAATTTAGCTGATTGACTAAAAGACAAATTTTTCTATCATTTCCGCCACTTGCAAACACCAATTGAAGTAGAGTTTAATCGATCATTCTATTACTTATGGTTCACTACTTTATGATCTCGATATTGGATGATAAAATATCTTTCGCATATCAAAGACCGAAAGACCGAGTTAAGACGTTGTTTTATTTATTTGAATGTATTATATAGGATAATATAAAGGGTAATTATGTCTGATATGGTAATAAGATGTAATTAGGTCTAAAAAGAGCCCTTAATAATTAACTGATGCTGTTCGTGGAAATTTGTTTCAAAACACCCAAATGACTTTCAGTACCATTAAAAAATTTACTTATCGAATACAACTAGTATTTTCGGTTAATTACTTCATAATAAACTAATGTAGATAGGTTTGTCTTTAAGGGTTGAAGAAGAGATTTTCCTGTCTTAATGTAGATTTATTCAAGTCTTGCATCAAATATCAACTTTTTAAAAAGCCACATCTAATTTAAATCGTTTCCTATAGAACTTGGAGATGTCTCTACCGTATGAACTATTTAATAAAACGGCCTAAATGGTAGTGATGTCATTCTTTTTCATTCAAATAGTTTATGTAAAAATAAAGAAATTCAAGTTTAGTTGAAAAGAATTAAGTAAAAATATGCGCGTACTCATAGAAAACCTAAAAGAGTTTTGCAGGAGAGTAAGATGTCAAAAATGCGGTAAATGGACTTGGACAGGTTTATATTGATTTTCTAAACTGAACCTAGGTATATTGTTTACATATTATATATTTCTGTCTAATTGTTTGAAGGTTGCGGTCAGCATGTACAGCAAGTAATGAATGGTATTTCGCCGTCTGACATATGTCATTGTAAGAAGAATGAATCGACTAGTAAGCCGTTTCAACAACCTTACTACTACTGCAGATATTAAGAAAACGTGGTCAATTAGTTTTGGTTCTGTTTTCAATCTATAATTAATAATCAATCTCGGTATCATCATAATAATAAAATGAAAGGAATTCTTAATATTTTCATCACAATTATTATTGTATTTCTAATCTGCTTACAGAAATGTGAAGAAAATTATTCGTTTTCTTCGGTACGCAAGCGAGCGTGCCCGTTTGTCAACTTGATGTTTAGTTGTTGGGCTCTGTCGACGATGGCTTTTCTCTTCCTTGAAGAGACTGCGTGGCCAATTTCTCCGGCGTAGACGCGGTTTTGCATCAACAACAATTCCAAATCTTTCACGTTGTTGACAAGGAATTTCTTGAAGCCGTTGGGCATAACGTGACGTGATTTTGCGCTCGAGCCATAACCAACATTGGGCATCAAGAATTGACCCTTAAATCGGCGACGAACTCTGTTGTCGATACCTTTCGGCTTTCTCCAGCTCTTCTTTATTTTATCATATCTATCCGATTGGTGGCGAATAAACTTCTTTGTTCGCTTCTTAGACTCTTGGCGCTTTCTAAGTGGTCGTATCGCCATTGTTCTGAAGATATTAATTAAATTATTAAAACGATTTTAAAGAAAAAATTTTCATATGAGTGTTTATATAACAATATGGCGACTTTTAGCCTGGAACGATAATAGCGAAACTTGGTGATATAGATTATTTCAATGATTAAATTTTCATTATTTTACACCATTAGGAATCTTTGTTATCTTATTTAAAGAACACAGGTAAATTTATTCTACTATAATGACTAAAATATACAAATTTCTTTAATAACTTACACAAAAAGTTGCACACGCTTCTTATAGGCAAAAAAGGAAGGATCCTACCAGTTTTCGTAGAGCCTCTGCCATTACGACGCTTACCCCATCTACAGTTTATTTCAGCACTAATTCCCCTAACGGCTCTAGTTGTGTCGAAATAATTCAAAGTCAGCTACATTAAGTACAATCAATTAAGAATTTATTTGGTTAAAATCATACAAAAAAGGCCTCTTAAACGAATAAAGACTTTTAAAGATCAATCAAAACTTGGTAAATCTATTTTAGCTGATTCTGAAAGTTCTTTAATAGCATTTAAACAATTTTTCATCTGCTCGCACCTTTCTATCACTTTGTCATACTGCTGTGAAGTTGATTTTAAGGCTTGTTTATATAGCTTTTTATAAAATTCAATAATTTCTATAGTTGGTACGTTTTTTCCCTTAACCGATGAATTAATTTGAACGATCGCTAACAAAGTCGCCAGTAGTCGGCTTCGCAATATAGCTTCCAGCTTCAATACTTCATTCTCATCTATATTTATTGCTTGTTGAATATTGGAAGAATTTAATATCTGACTATCGTTGAGTTGTTGACTTATTATTTGCAGTGGTTCAATAGCGTATAAACACAGGGATAGTCCTGTTTTCAAAGTATTGAACTTGGTTGAATATTCCGTTTGGTCTAAAAATTAAATTATTCAACATAATTATAATCAGAGAAAGAAAGAAAGAGAAAAATAATTAATTAACTACTTTTTAATGTATATTCACAAAAAGCTATTCTCTCAAGAATTATTCGTATGCATTCCGTTGAGCTTTCAAGTTCTTTAAAGATTCTTAATGCCGAATTATAATGATAATTTAAATTACTCTTTAATTTCTTTTGCCTTGAAGCATTACGAGACTGCAAAAGTTATTAAAAAAATTATTTTTTTATTTTATACTGCCCTAATTAAAAATGAAATTGAAAATACCTGATTACGTAATGTGTTATGATATAGAGAAGCAAGACGATGATGGATAGTAGCTTCTCTATATTGGCAAGTTGGAAATTTAGCTGAATTTGGTTCTACTTTACAGTTTTCTAGAGCTAAAAGTAGATAGTTTGTGACTTTTTCTTCGATCTAAATGACATCCCAAGTGAATAGAGTATTTAGATATAAGTATACTTTATTCGATTCCCTCCTTACCTGCTCTTCGGCCATTACACTCACTGGAGGATGGTCCTGCATCAGTGTTCCTAATGAGAAATAAGTAGAACTTAAATTCCAGCGTATATTATCCATAAACTGAATATTTTCAAAGTCTTTTGCATTCTCCAAAAGTTGAAGTGACTTTTGGAAATGATCAGCAGCCTATGTATTAGAGTATTTTTATAATAATTATACATAATTGCTGGAATAAATCATACACATACCATTCTGAAATATTTCCCCTCTGCAGTACTAAATTCACCCCTTTCAGAATGAAAACGATTATGAGCTTCAGCGCATAATCTAAGAATAGTTCCAATATTATTGTGCAATATACTTTTATTTAGAAAGTCTTCGGCTGCCAGCCAAGTGGGAATAGATTATAATTAGTAAATATTTTACAGTAATATACTTCTTTAATTAGTATATTTTATAAATTATATACCTTGAAAAGATTTTAGCCCTCTTTCGAAGCAGTCAATAGCTTGATTAGCGAATTTTCTAAATCTATTTTCCTGATCAACATCTTCGTAAGATTTTCTTGAATTATACATGAATAGCATGCCTAATTCATTCCAAACGTTTCCTGCTCTTTTCATTAAGTCGTGATCGCTAAAAGATTGTCTTTTTTGAACGAGTAATTTAAGAGCTGTTTGGTAGCATTCAGCTGCGTGCACTAACATATCTTCATTATCCAATCTTTTAAATGTTTCATTGATCCAATCGTACTCTTTGAGTGAAACGTTTTCAATTAATTACTAGGTAATGAACTTATGAATAAGACATTAAGTTACCGAATTCCTTTTCTGCCAATGATTCTGAACATGAATCTGTAATAATATTTCCAGCTATTTCATCAATGTCGGTGGCATGAATTGTTGTCTTAAGTAGACGGTCGATATTTTCTCCATCCCTAACTAATCTCTCCACTGTCACAAGAGTATCACCAAGAATGCCCAAACAAATTGCTTTACTCGATTGGGTTCTAGGAATATTTTTCTCCGGCAGCGACAGCAAATTACACGATTCTAGGAAAGATAATATTTGATAGTATTTAATAAAGAAAATTTACTTTAGGCAAGAATATTATAAATGCAATTACCGAAACAAAAGACAGCTTTCTTAACAAAAACCAAAGTATCACCATAATTTTTCTCTTCCATTGTAAAATAAGCTAAATCAGTGTAACATTCACCACTTTTGGCTAAAAGTAAATTCCTTAATTCTCGATGCCAGTTAAACTGAGAAGAGTCTGCAAATTTTCACAAGTAAAAATATACCACAATTATATATAATAATATATAGAAAAGTAAAAAAAATTATGAAAGGAAAAAAACTATTACGTTTAACAAGCGACTCGCTATTAGTGTTTTTTACACTGAGTGGCTTATAGTGTAAGGGTATGGCCTGTGACGGATTACAGTGAGCTTGTTCTTCGACAGTATGCTTTTCAGTTCTTCTGATTTTTTCCAAGCTAGATCTAATTGACTTTAATGCCAGGACAATGTGCTCAAGGCCTTTAGCGCATTTCTCTTTAAGATCACTCGGTAGACGCTTGTATTGTTCTCCCTATCAAGTAAAATTATGTAAATATTATGTTATTCTTTGAGGTAAAATTACCTGACGGACTGAACTCTCAGCCCATTGTGAAATACGATAGTCAGGTGAAAGGAGTTGTTTGACATTTATAGAATTAAAATTATCGCCACTTTCTGGAATAGTATCTTTATCATCTTCATCATCTTCAAAAATCTGTGAGTCACTATCATCACTTTCCCCCTCTTCGTCATCCCTAGTGTATAAGTCCGCCAGTAGATAGTGTGCTGAGGTTATTATTCTCTTATGTTCCTCTTCGTCAATAAGTTTAATACAGTTATTTAATAAAGTTCGAACAGTTTTTGCTTTCTTTTTGCCTTCAGTTTGCATCATTTTTTGAGCCACTCTATAAAGTAACAATCCAACTGGACCGGTAAAAGGATTAGCACTATCAGAAAATTCTTGGCTTGTTGGTTCATCGTTATATAAAGAAGTTAAATCATACAATTTCACATAGTCATCCGTTTCGCCTGTTTAATAGGAAAAATTTTATTTAATAATCATCGATTGGTTAAACATACAATTGAAACTCAACCTTTAAATAACCAATAAGTATGTCCCTCCTTTGTAGCATTTGTTTTCAGGAACATTAATATATTTTGAGCAATATTTTTTATCACTTGGGGCCTAAATCTAGAGTTTTCTAAATTAGGTATTTCTTCAGTTTTATATAAAGTATATTCTTGAACCATCCCGTTCAAATGATAGCACATGGCAAGTTCTGGAACATTGCACATGAGATTATCGAGCCAATAGTCTATACCGGTCAGAACATTGATAGGCTTCTCGGTGTCTCTGAGCCTGAGGCTGACACAAGGATGGTTTAGGTCTCCAAAAATAGGTAAGTCTGTTCCAATTAGCATTGTTAAATCTTCAAACGACCAAACACAAGTTCTTTGATATTCTTTCTCAGGTTTATGTCCCTTGATTATTTGCAAAAAGAGGATAAAAACTACAAGCCCTAAAAAAGAAGAAAACTTGTATGAAAATATCTTACCGGGGGAAATATGTCAAGAAGAGAGTATAAATTGTTTGGTGCTTGTAAATCAGTACATTCTGGGGTCTCTTCCGGTTTTTCATCACGTGCCTCAGGAAGGCTTTGGAAATGAGTATTTATTTTACCATTAGGTATACTTCTAATAAACTGTTTTTATTCAATAGCCTACCTATAATATAAAAATTTAGAAAACATGTTACGGTCTTGTAAATAGTCTCTACTCTTATTTTTCTTTGTTGAAAATTCCATCTGACTTTGAATAGTTTCTAAATAAAATTTTCTTAGCCATTCCCAATCATCCTAAAAAGTGTAGAGTTGTTCTTTAAAAGTAAAATCTAATGGTGCCTCTTATATCTGTTTAACAACCTGCTGTTTTCTAAGTAAATGCCTATGAATATCAAATTCATCTATTAGAACGGTTCTACCAATTTTATGAACAATCATGGACACAGGAGCTTTACTATAAGGCATTTTTAGCAATTGTTTAATATTCTGTAAGTAAAATTTAATAAATGAAGTAATATTGGGATATTTGTAAAAGTAATAGCATTAAGATTACATACTTCAGAATCAGTTATTATGTCAATTTCTCCAACACATTCTGGAAATGTGTGAGCCATTTGGAAGCTTGTAAATAAGTGATTGGTCTTCAGGGAGACATCCCGCACGAAACTTTCATATTTCGAAGATGCTCTAAGCCAATTTTTTGGAGCCTTATTTAGGTTGGTGTTGAATTGTAACCTCTGTTCAGATGTAGGGAAAAGAAATTCATGTTGCTTATCACTAATGCTATTTCAATACTAACATTAAATTCGCTTAGAGGGGTGACAGATTCATATTTGACAATTGCCGACGATTTTACGTCATAGAGTTTACATAATTGGTTCTCAGCAGAAATTTGTTCATTGTTCTCTATTTTGATTTTATCAGAGGACCTGAACGCATCCGGTAGCTATAAAATTAGAAGCTATTGTATTTGAATGTCCTATTCTTCAAAAAGACTTACTGAGATATTCTTAACACTACTGTTTTCCATTTCAAGCTCTTTGGACAATTTTCAGATATTTTAATGAGCTATTGATACTATATTATATAAATGATTTATTACGCTCTCTTTCGCGATTTGCTGCCAAAAATAAAAATTCTGCAAAAAGAAACATCTGGAAAGACACTTAATTTGCAATAGTTAAAAAATTGTTGGAACACCACACCGTGTTAAAGGTGCCATGGCGCGATCAAAACAATATGGCGTCCGATGTCACGTTGCTGGCAATGAATTTTATTCGAATTTTCGTTATTTATACATTTGCAACTTTTATTGTTTTTTGTCGTAAGTAATCCATTTAATTTACTTTGGGTATGTCATACTTATGGCTTTATTATTTTACGATGATAGACACAGGAGGTGATTTACACCTAGAATCTGTTTCAACTGGTGATACCAGTGCTGGAACTGTAAATTATTATTTTGAATTGACTGATCCTCCAGAAATAGGATATATGTATAAGATTAGACAAGCAAGGGACTTTGGAGCCTCATTAGTAAGTGTATTTTTAAAATATTTTTGTTTGTATGCATCGAACGATTTTTCATTCATAGAATGAAACTTTATTAAATGTTGAGCTAATACCTTCAAACCCTATCCACGGCTGTTCCAAGTTGGAAAATGTGCGCTATGTAAAAAAAAATATAGCTTTAGTGGAAAGAGGGTAAGTTTATTTGTTTGATATTTTTAAAAATTTCAACTGACTGATATTAATATTTTAGAGGTTGCTCGTTTCTCTCAAAAACTATTAACGCTGAGATGGCTGGAGCTGTTGCAGTAATTATTATGGATAATGACCATTCGAACTACGATCGTTTTATTGATATGATTCAAGATGAGACTAACCGCAGAACTATGCTTCCGGCATACTTTCTATTAGGAAAAGATGGGTACAGTAATTTAATTTTATTAGTCTTTTGGGAATACAGATTGTTCTTCCTTTTCATTTCAGGATTATTATTAGAAGAACGTTAGAACAAAAGCATTTACACGGTGCTTTGATCAACATTCCGTTAAATCTTTCATTAGTGCCTTTGCATAAACGGAGGCTTCCACCATGGACTATATGGTGATAATAGCAAAAAAAAAGAGGTTTTGGTGATAAACTTTAGAGATTTGCTCAGAATACCGTTTTTTTTTTAAAAGCCGACTTCATCTTTTATCAGTAGGAAAATAAATTTGTAAACTGCAATAGTAAAAGAATGTTCTTTTTAAAAGCACAAAAAATCACCTATATCGGTAAAAAATAAAAGTTGGAGAATTTTTGCAAACGATTATGAATTTGTACTTTAGATGCAAACATAAACGAAAATGTGTAAAGTCTGGCATTGTAATTCAAATTAATAAATCCTACATTTGAAATTTCGAAAAGCATATTCAATAGCACTTGAATGAATCTTTTTATGTATTTAGCTAGATGAATTAGAAGATTGATTCCTATCTGTCCAGGCTTCATGATGTCCTTTGACAGTACGATGAGGGTTTTCTCGAAGTGATTCTGCTCCATTCGATTCTAGATGCCCAACATCTAACTGCATATTATCTGCTGTACACTTATCAACATTACCATCCCTGTCTAGCACAGGCTCTAAATCATTTTCCTTATAAACTTCCTGTTTGCTCTCGTATCCCTTTTCTATAGATTTTTCCTCATCATCGGAACAAATAACTTTGATACTACCACGAGCCTTCTTCTTCCGCCTTCTTTTCCTCTTTTTCAGCGAGTATTCATAACGAAATTTCTCTTCGCTTTCGTCCGAATCCCACCTCACCGTTCCTGGTAACATACCCCGCAATTCCTCCGTAGAAGAGAAAGATAGGAGCGAATCATCATCATCCGAGAAATGGGTTATATGCGTATTAATAGAGCTCAATAAAAGCTCTTCAATATATAAACTGGCAGCAGATGCCTCTTCTTCTAGTGTTGCACGTTCTTGTTCAGATAAATCACTATTCGACAACCTGTAACCGATAATAAAAATTTTTGAAGATAAAAAACTTGCAGGTTCATATGTAGTGAATATTACTTTTCGAGTAAAAATTTTGATTTCTCGGTAACACTCTGACTAGTCTTTTCCTGGGCTATGCTAGGATCAGATGCTACTTCCACGTCAAGTGGTAGAGAAAACTTCGTCATACTCATTTCTGGCGTCTGGGAGACGTTATTTGACTGAGGTGGCGGATTCGAGAAGGTTCCTCGATTAAATGTAGATTGTGGAGGTACGTTTACCTGCGGCTCAGACATCCTATCCATACGACGAGGTAGCCTCTCTAATTGTTGCCTAGTAAAAATCGATTTAAATGTTTTTGACATTTTATAGAGTAAAATTACCTAGTTGTCTGCAATTGCATTTCAAGTTGCTGTAATCGAGACGACACACTATGCGCCGGAGTCCCTCTTCCACGTACCGTTGACAGTTGAGATAAGAGTTCTGATCAGATAAAAATGTTTCGTAATCCATGGATTAAGTACGAGCAAAAGTACGTGCATTTAGTTAGTCAAAACAGGTTGATGTAAACAAGAATTGAAATATCTTCTAAATATTTCATTTTGTCATACTGTTCATATAAAAAGAACAAACTAACCTGCAATAGGATCAAAATTTGAAGCGTCTCTGGCGGCTGCTGTTAGTGTCGAGAAATTGGCTTGGAAGGGTCCAGTATTGGAAGTACTACGACGACCACGACCTATACCCCTTGTAGAATGGGGAATTCGTCGCATGTGACGGATTCCACTTAAAGGCTCTTCCTACAGCGATTTTAATAGCAAAATGAATAATGCACGAAAATAACAATTTAAAATTCGAAAGAAAACTTACAAATTCCTTTGGTGCTCGATGCTCTACTGCTAAATGAGAGGTAAAATCATCAGTTACATGGTTAGGATCTCCTCCAGGCTGTGACGCGCATATAGGACAAACCTGTGAATAGATTAGTATAAAGTATGATTGCCTCTGTAGCTATTAGTAACGGTTGTTGTAAGTATAAAGACTAAGTACAAACCACTTCATTTCCAGCTTCAGCATGCTCATTTGATACGTGATCGTGTAAATTGATGTCGGTAAATCCAAATCTACCACAATACGGGCATGTAAAAGATACTGCTTGATCATGCGGCATAATTTCTCCACCGAAATATAATTCTAAATGTTGGAATTGCAGCTGACTGTTTTATTATAAATTCAATGATTATACTAACCTAAATCAGCTTTAGTCAAAATGCATTGCATCGGATGATCGGGTGTATGACGAGGCGAAGCGGCAGAATTTTCAAAACAGCTCGCGCAAAGGTCAAAATCATAACATTTAAGACATTTATAACGTTTTCCCTTAAAGTTACTTTTCAGGCACGCGTCGCAACTAACACCTAAAAACGTTTTAAAAGGAGATTAAATCGAAGATATTGCTATGGAATTCCAGTGAATACCTTCGTGTCTCGAAGTCATTCTTGGCAAGTGCACTTAAAGCGGCCTCAAATAATTCGATAAATAATGAACTTTAACGTAAACAATTCAACCGAGAGAATGGTAACTTAATTTATTTTAAGAAACGTTGAAAAATTGAAAAATATACTAATAGTTCTTCCTGATGGTGAAATGGTCGTCAGCTCGGTTCGACTGCATTCATGTTCCGTTTCCGGTTTTTTAATAATTCTAATAAATCTAGAAAAAAACAACACCAACCATGTTTATAAATTTTATTGTATTATTGGTAAAATTTTGGAAGAATTTTTTTCACTTTACGCAAGAAAAGTTTAAACAAGAAAAACCTGAGCAGATCGGTAAGAGATTAGAACCTTGACCGAAAATGGCGGCATCAATTTCTCGAGTAGTAGTCTATGGTGGAAAAGGAGCTTTAGGAAGAGAAATAGTCGGTTATTTTAAGCAAAAAAGTTGGGTAAGTTTAATTTTATTAACTATCCTTACTTTGTCATAAAGTGTAATTATAGTCTAGTGGAAGGAATAGTTAATTTTGTTTTCAGCCTATTTATGCGTATAGGCCTATACAATTCCATGTTTGTTTTGTCACCGTCACCCTAAAGCTTTTATGCTAGTGACGGAAATTAGAGGGAAATATCGTAAAATTTTTAAGTTAGGGGATCGATTTTATGGGCTTTAAACAATAAGTTGTCGAATTACACAAACTTTGAACTTTGTAGTGGGTCGGTAGCATTGACATTTTCGGTAACGATGAAGCAAATGCTAATTTCCTAATCAATCCGGAATTATCTTGGACTGAGCAAAACGAATCGATAAATAATCAGGTTTGTGACTTATTTCAGTCTACACTTCCCAATTGAACTCAAAAATTATCAATTAGGTATCTTCGGCGATAGGAGATGAAAAATTGGACGCAATTGTATGCGTCGCGGGAGGTTGGGCTGGCGGAAATGCAGCCTCTAAAGGTACTATAATACTTATTTTGAATATCCATTTAAAGCTTATGGGTTTTTTTTTTAGATTTGGTTAAAAATAGCGATTTGATGTGGAAGCAAAGCGTTTGGACGTCGATTATTGCAGCTGGCCTGGCTTCAAAGTAGGTTTTAGAATAAAAACCTCTAACGTTTTCTCATTTTCTAAATAAACATGATTATTGTTCTTTTTATTTGTACTTTAGTTATCTTAAAGTTGGTGGTATGTTGACATTAACGGGAGCAAAGGCTGCACTAGAATCTACACCAGGCATGATTGGATATGGCATGGCAAAAGCTGCTGTGCACCAACTCGTTGCCAGTTTATCGGATGGCAAAGGAGGGCTTCCCGAAAATAGCTGTGTAGCTGCTATATTACCGTGGGTATTACAACTTTGTCCTTTGTCTGTTAAAAACGTCTTTCAATTCTTATAGTATTACCCTTGATACTCCTATGAATCGTAAATTTATGCCCAAGGCTGATACTTCTACTTGGACACCACTCGATTTCGTTGCAAAGTACGGAAAAGAATCATTTACACAATCAATAATCTGTAACAATACTTTAACTTCGATTTTCAGGCTGCTCTACAGCTGGTCTACTAATGTCGACAGACCGATTAGTGGCAGTTTAATGCAACTTGAAACGAAAGATGGAAAAACCGAATTGAAAACGGCTAAGATGTAGAAGTGCTTATTATGTTCACGAACAAAATTAGATAGGCTGAAATTTACATAGTCCAGAAAATATATTTTGTCAGTGTTATAGATAGACACGGACCAAAGAAAAAAAATTACTTATCACAAATTATAAGAGGAAAATATATAGGCCTAATTAAGCGCAAAGATTCGTGAGTAATCAACAGTAAGATGAGTCATTCTGTCCCGAAATTCCGTCTTCAGTAAGAGAACGGTATATATTCAATTTTTTATTACCGCGCGTAAAAGATATATATATATATATATTATATACATATATATATATATATATATATATATATATATATATATATATATATATATTCAATAGAAGAAATAATTATGGATGTAACCCATTAAAGCTCGAGAAAAATAATAAATTTTTGTTCTTGTTTCAATCGATAGGAACAGAACGTTTCTTTTTTGATGTCCACTTTACTGAAGTTTTTTCTTTGTTTTTTGTTTTACACAAGGAAAATTAGGAAAAAAATGACATCGTGCATGTGTGCGAATGTGTTTTTCTTCATTCGTCTTCGGCTCCTGGCTTCAATTCTCTTAGCTCCTTAATTTGCTTAATTAAATAGGCCTTTTCGTCGTTGAATTGTTCGTCATCTGCACGGTCGGTATGAAATTTGCTCAAGAAATCGACGAGTTTCTCCTGATTGCGGAGGAGAATGTCAAGAATAGGTTTAGGTTTCGACGGATTGGCTACGAAAACTTTAAAGACGTGAAAGGCCTCAAACTGGATGTTGCGCGATTTTTCGCGTAGAAGGCACATCATTAATTTCAGATTAGCTGCGCTTGATATATAGCGCGTCATCACGCTGAAGTTGTGCCGATCCAACAGTAATTCGCCCAATAGTTTCAAAGCTTGTCGTTTTGTTACATAATTCTCAGAGTTGAGTAGTTTCTGGTAATGCTCTTCGAACACTTTCTCGTAGTTATTTTCCAAGAATTCGGCTATTAACATCTTATAACTTGACCGTGTAAGAAGCTCTTTGAACGTTGAAAAAGCGTCAGAGGCTATGTCAAAAGTAGACATCTCCACATAACTAAATAATTTATAAAATTCTTCGGAAGAAAGTATAATTCTCGCTAAGGCTTCATGCCTTGCACATTCTCTAAGCATTTGACCGCAACTTAGGGCTATTTCTTGATTCTCATAGCCTTTAAGTAGCATAAAGAGAACTTGAGGATTACTGCAAATATGTTCAACTGTAGGAGACCTGGCACCTATCTGACGTCGTAAACACTTGTTAAAGATCTGCGCAACATCCTTTTTAGCTTCAAAGTCAACCGAGTGCAGATTCTCCACCATCATTCTCAACATTCCCCCTGGTCCACCAGTAGCTTCTAATTCGTGACATAACTGCGCCACTATTTCCGCTTGAGGTTCTTGTTCCCCTGATCCACAAATATAGTTCTTTATCATTTGAAGTGTTCTGGAAACTTCATCCTGAGCCTTCGATAATTTCTTCTCAGAGTCAGCTGCCTTCCTTAATGCCTGAAGGTTTTCAGCCAAATGACGAACTAGTTCGGGGTTACTTTTCGATTTTCCGAAAAGTGGCATGACTTCTAGTACTATTCTTTTTAGCTGTCAAGATAAGAATGCGATTGAAAAGAGGCGTGGCGAACGATCGACAACCTGCTCTCGAAAACGCCAACTTTTATCATATTGTGCGCTAATTTCGATTGACCTTATCTTAAAATTGAAGAATTCACTCACCTACTAATTAAAACAGGAATCGATTATCAGATGATGAGTAAGCCTGAAAATAGACGCTGGTCAACAACTGTTTTCAACGTCTTTTCAGAAAACTTTCTGCCCTACTTCTGCCATGGCGCATTTGTTTACCTTTTCCTACTGTAGACGGCGCTAAATTATTGAGCTGGATCAGAGTTCCTGCAACGTGGACCTTGGTACCAGATCAAATTGCTGCGCATTTCCGGTTACGTCAAACTGTATTGAATTGAACCGACTGAAAACTAGCGTCTTTCACCCGCATTCCGCACTAGACGTTAACCAATCATGGCCGTGGCAAAACAGCGTATGAAAGTTGCTAATGAAAAACACAGCAAAAATGTAACATCACGAGGAAATGTTCCTAAAACACTGGTGAGTTGTACACGCGTCGTTTTCCGACATGTTTGTTCAGTTTTGAAAAAATCTTAACTTATTAAAATTGGTTCAGTCGTTTAATTTTTAAATATAAAGGTCTGGCAGTTTATTTAATTGCGTAAATACTCGTGGTCATAAACTAGATTTTCGATTCGAATCAAACAGCTGGCAGAATTTTTTGATTAAGATAAACAGAAGATAGTTTAAAAATACTTTACTATTAAAGTAACTTAAAATAATTAGACAGTCATCAATTCTTCTATTTTAGAATACTAATTAAAGTATAATACCAAAGATAAGAGTTATTATATCATTATTATATCATTAGCCCTTTGAAACTAGTTCTATTTTTCTTGATACGTGTCGCGAATGTTGGATTACATTTTTTTACTGTTATCTTTTTTACAGAAACAAAACGAGGAAAAATATCCAGTTGGTCCATGGTTAATTGCTCTATTTATATTTGTCGTGTGTGGGTCGGGTTAGTATATTATTAAAATTTCAACCAAATATCAAATTTATTAACTTTTTGCTTTTTATTTTAGCAATCTTCCAGATTATTCAGTCAATCAGGATGACGTAAAAGAGATTGGATCACGGTGGGTTACAGATTCGCGGATGGAGAAACTTAAATCCGCTACCGTTACTTGTTTTGAATGTGTAAAATGTGATAGAACGAATAAAATTAAATCGAATATTATCTATTTCTGTTCAAAATAAACTTAATTGTGGCAAAATATAACTAAAAACGTTCTAAAATTCCGATTAGAACCTTTTATAAATGGTAGGTGGATACAAAAGCAAAAAATAACTAAGTGTCAACGAGTTGATTTAAATTTTTTTAAATCGTGTCACAAGCGAAACGTGGAACTTACGCCTATCTTAAATAGTGGAGTCGTACACGTTTAAAATGATTGTTATTTTCGTATATAATAATATAAAATACGAAAATTAATAGTCAGGCACAAGGTCCGTTGAAATAAATATTAACGAAATTTTGTGACCTAACTACACTTGACTAGGTACCGCTCTAACGGCCAAGTGCCTAGAAGCGGGACTACAACGAAAGATAAAATATACTATAGTTTTGTGATCTTTAACATCATAATTTTAGTGAAACAATACTCATGAAATTTTGATCATTGCGATGTATCAACCGTATCCGTCTCAGCGTCCTAAGAAAGGAAAATTACAGAAAAAAAGAGATGAAGAGAACCAATCGAAAATTACTGACTACTATGTAGTTAGGAGATCTGCTAGAAAAACCCGCAAGAAACTGGAGGAAGATCGTCTAAATGAGATAGAAAAGGCAGTAATACTAAATCAAGAGATTGGTTTGAACGTTATTGAAACAGAATTTAAGGGCCGTGGGGTAGCAGCCGCGAAGACTTTCGAAAAAGGAGACTTTGTTGTGGAGTATGCCGGTGATCTCATAGACTTAAGCAGTGCTAAAGATAGAGAAAAACAGTATTCGTGTAATACTATGGTTGGGTGTTACATGTATTACTTTGAATATCAATCAAAGAGATTTTGCGTGGATGCTACTATAGAAACCGGTAGATTTGGTAGACTAGTAAATCATTCTCGAAAGAAGCCTAACTGCAAGACAAAAGTAATAGGAATAAATGGTACCCCTAGACTTATTTTAATAGCATCCAGAAATATAAGGATTGGTGAAGAAATTCTTTACGACTACGGCGATAGATCGAAAGCAAGTATAGAAGCTTATCCGTGGCTTTCACAATGAAAGAATTGAGCTCAGCCTCCTATACCTTAAAGCTATATAAAAATTTTTTACCAGAACCCAGGGATGATAAATCTTTACTGCATTTAGCTCTTTCCTTCAAACACAAACCATTCATCATATCTTTTTCTATCTATATCCCTCTCTTTGCCTTTCTATTTTTTTACCCATGTATCATAATTATGACCTGTAGTGATTTTTATTATCATTTATACATTTATGTATAATATAAACATTATAAAAGTTAAGTTTTTTGTAAGACCTATTTATTTGTTACTTTTTTTCTCTTTGGAGCGAGGATAAGATCATTCTCAATCTTATTTTCATTTTATAATAAAAAAGAAGGACAAAAATGTTTTTTTTTAGCTGTAAACAAAACAATGAATTTAGAGAAAAGTATTCTTTCTATCCTTTTTATAGTTCTAATCAACCGGAAGTTAAAGTATTTTGGTATGTCTGCTCCTCTACTCAAACTACCTCACCTATTCTGATTAATCTAAGATTTTTTTTTTATTGGATTTTCTATCTTTAGTTTTTCTGATGTGAGACGTCCTTTTTAATACATTCGTTGCTGATGATTCAATCCTATCATCTTGATTGTTAGAAAAGACTAGGTTGTTTTCAGTCACCTTTTGATTCTCATCTTCATTAAGATTCCAGAATAGTCTGTTATTATCGAAATTTGCTTGCGAATTAATCATTGATCTATTTCGAGTGTTTCTGGAACGATTGGCACTTTTATAATATTTTGTCTTTTCACAATGCTGAGCGGAATTTGCTTTATTTACTTTTACCGTGAAATCATAGTTTATTGGATCTGACAGATGTTCATTCGTATTATATGTACAATCTTTAGGAAAACTAGAAACAGTATTTTGACTATAATCAGAACTTGAAAGAGTTTCGCGTATAGATGAAACTTTTGTGGCAGTTTTATCAATTTTTCGGAAATTAATTGAGGACGGAACGAAAACTACCACCAAATTTCTTTCTTTCCAACTGTTAATGTTATCGGAGATGTCCTTTGGATAGTTGTCTAATTTGTATTCAGTTGTTCCTAGAGTTGATATTACTGACAAGTATTTTTCAATGGTAATAGATAAGGTTTCAGCCCTTTCGGCCTCGTTACTAATTATATTTGGTAAGTAGAATCCTATAGATTCTTTAGCATTGCTTGCAGCTTTCTCCAAATCGGTAAATGATCGGTTAGAATCTGAATTCTTTTTAAGGAGGAGTAACAGTTTCTTTGGTGAAAATGTCGACAATTCTGCCCCATGAGTATTCAGTTTTTGTCTAAAGTTCTTAACACAAGTATTGTAGTGACCCAATAAAAGCTTGACTTTTTTTTCCCTATCGTATTCGGTTAAAACGAGATTTTTAAATTGTTTTGTATTTGATGTAGTGGACGAAGAATTCGAAAGCCAATTATATAGTGTACTTATTGGTCCAACTCTGTCGTAAAGACCTTCATACACGCCGTAATGTTCATTTGCCAAAGTGTCAGCTTCTTTGCAAATCGATGTTATTAAATTTAACCAATAATGCATCATAAATTGATGCGGTCTATCTAAAACCGTCGATCTTGCCAATTTTAGCCATTTATATAACTTTCTTGAGTATTCCAATTCAATTTTTGCTCTCTCGTCTATCAAGTTCATTACGTTCTTTGTTAATCCGACACCATTTTCAACCAGATTTCTAACAGCCGACACGGACACATATTCAATTTCACCGGAAGTCAAGTTATCCATTCTATTAGGGGCAGTTTTTAAAATAATCGTGACGTATTAATGAAATACTAATTTATTTTAAGGGATGATATATCTATTTAAACTATATACTGTATGAATTACGGAGGAAGATATTATTCCTTGATGAAATTAACTAATAATTAGCCTACTCGACACGAGTTAATAATCTCCATTAAGAAGTAATTTTTTTGCAACAAGATAGTTAGATAGATAGATAGAGAGCGAGAAAGAGAGAGAGAGAGAGGGTAAGAGAAATGCGAATCGGAAAAAGCTTAACTAGGATAATGACCTTAGTGATCAACTTCTTTAAAAGTAATTAAATAACACATTGTTATATTGTCCTCTACACATAAACTTTAAACAAAGCTATGTTATTTAGTTTATAATAAGGGAGAATAAGTGTTCATCCAGGTTATTTTACTGTCAAATGTCATCTGCTCTACAATGAAAACGATGTTAGTAAAATGACTGATTTTTCTCATTATACATTTGTTTGTCCAATACAATTTGTTTAGCTATAAAGGTGGGTATATATTTCATATCGTACTAAATATCTATATTGTATCTATTATATAGTATTTATCTAGTTAATTCAAATTTAGAATTTATTCACTCAACTCTATTCTCTTTGAGAAAAAACAAAAAACCAAAGCAAACCAACAAACATAAAAGTTATTAATTTTAAAAATTAAGACCCTGCAATAAACGAACCATGAATGATCGAAAAGGAATAGCTTTGGATGGAGGTAGTATATAGGCCTATATGGATTAAAATATAATTAAATAGATTAATGAAATTTAAATAGGTTACGGTTGGCTTATTGTTCTCGCCTCTTTTGTTAATCAAGCTCTTACTGTTGGAATCACGTATACTTTTGGAGTTATTTTAGTGAAATTGTTAGATACTTTTAAATCTGAGGAAAGTACAACAGCTTGGATAGGCTCAATTCAATCTTGCTTGCTATATTTAGTGGGTCAGTGTAGTTGAAAAATACACCACTCTTTTTCAATTTGTCTTATTATAAAAGGAATTATTGGAGGTCCATTAATTAGGAGATTTGGATGGAGAGTTGTTGCTATTTCGGGTTCCATTTTATCGGCGATTGGATTTGCTTCAAGTGGGCTAGTGAATAATTTATACTTATTATACTTGACTTATGGGATAATAACAGGTATTCGTAATTATAGTCTTTAATAAGGAATTGTGATTAAAAGGGTTAAAACTTTCAAATTATTAGGTATTGGTAATGGTCTCGTCTATTTGACGTCTATGGTTTGTATTCAACATTACTTTGATAAAAGAAGAGCATTAGCGACCGGAATAGTCGTTTCTGGTAGCGGTGTTGGAATGCTATTATTTTCTGTGGCAACACCAGCCCTACTTAAGAAAATCGAATGGCGGGCTACGTTTTTTGTCCAGGCTGCGATTATGCTTTCTGGCAGTTTTTTCTCCGCTTTATATAAGCCAATCAAAATGCAAGTATTATCCGAGAGAACGCCTTTAATGGAATCTTCTTGCGAAGAAACTGAAAAGAAATCAAAGCATTCCTCTTTCACCATTGACTTATCCCTATTTCAAGAACCAATCTTTATAATATTTTGTATTTCGCTACTCTCTTTCGGATTCTCTTATCACGTTCCCTTTACCTATACTCCTGATAGGGCAATTCATATATCTGGCGGTGAAATTACTTTATCGGATGCGTCAATTTTCGTTTCTATAATGGGAATATCAAGCGTTATTGGACGTTTAATTATGGGATCGTTTTCAGATACAATACCTAATATTAGATTTTATATTTTTGGATCAGTATTGATTTTAGGAGGTATTTTGAACATGTCAATATCAATCTTTACCACATACATCCGGATAGTTTTCTATTCTATTCTATTTGGAGTCTTTTCCGGTTAGTAGATGCGATTAACGAAATTCAGACATTTCAACCTTGAAACAGATTTATTAATTATAAAATTTTCAATGCTATTTATAGGTTTCTTTGCCGCTTTATTCCCAGTTGTTCTTGTAGATCTATTAGGCGTAAATGAAATTGAGAAATCAATGGGACAAGCACTAGCAGTGACTTCTTTCGGCTTTCTTGTAGCATCTCCCTTATCTGGTAAATTTAATAATTTTTTTTTGGCAGATTTTGTCATTTTAACTCTTTTCAACTTTAGGTTCAATTATTCAGCTTACAAACAGTTTCGACACACCATTCTGGGTTGTAGGAGGATGCGAATTTTTAGGAGGATTGATCTTCCTTTCAATAAGAATTATCATTTGGTCTAGAAATAGGAAAAAGGTGGATAATTATCAAGAAGTGAAATGAATAGTATGCTGTATATATAGGACTCGATGTAGATTTTCTGATATTATATAAATCGGTTGAAATAGAATACAAACTATTAATTTACAAATTGTAGACTTGTAATTAGTCATTTTAGCTAAATACTTAGAAATAGAGGATTCTAGAATTATGCTAAAGTTACTTTGTACTTAACATTCCTTTCCAACTTCCTTCCTAGCCTTTTTTTATTGTTTACGAAAGAACAATACAGATTTTCTACGTGGTTTTAACTTAATATTTATTGAACTATGGTCCTGAACAAAGGAATTTGGAATGTTAAAGTATAAACGTATTCAATGAGTTTATTTCGTTATTAATTGGCAGATTAAATTACTCTTATTTGTATATTTTAATTCGGTAGTTTGGCATTTGGATTTCGATTGTGAATCTGAAATGATATGAAAGACTGTGAACGTTATTCGAAGAGTAGTCGTTCTTGGAGTAATTTTACAGTTGAGGAAAAGAAAAATATGGAAAAATGGTCGGATGAGGAAATGGACGACGCTATAGATGGAATTCTTCAAGTAGTTCCCTCTGAAGACGCCACACCTCAGGAAAATACAAAAGAAGAAGAGGTTAGGTTAGGTTAGGTTTTTGAATATGGCGCCATAAAAAATAAACTGGTAGTATAGATACTGAGTCGAGTAGTGTTTTACCGCATTCCTCCTGGTGATAACGTAAATATAGTTGAAATTTAGGATAAAATATAAATAGTTTGTGATGGATGATGAAAATTTCGATTTTGATACATCAAAATCTAGAGTAAGTTGGCGGAGAGTGAGTTAAGACTTATCTATTAACCTGTTCTTTCACAATTGTAGACTAAAACTTTAATTTCATTTATGAATGATCTCGCTTGCACAATTTTCAAAAAATTCTAATATGTTTTGTCACTTAACTAGCAAGCCCGTAAAGGTAGAAGGGCAAAGGCAAATGTATTAGATGGCCCTGCGGAAGAGCCAGACGCACCAGCAGATGATGTTCCACTTTCAACAGATATGCATGAAGTAACGGAAGAGAGAGTATCCAGTGGGAAAAAAGAAAAAGTATGCTAAGCAAAAATATTACATATACACTTATAAATAAACTTTCCTACTAATAGAAAGGTCGCCGAAGAATGAGCGGATGGGGTGATACAACAAACAAGGGGTATGTAAAAACTAGTTAATGCATTTGCATTATTATTATTATTATTATTAATTTTGTATTTGTTGGTGTTTGATACTAAAAAAAGAAAAAATATGATTATTAGATGAGAATGATTTTGTCTTAAAAAACCATTTTTATGCATGTCTCCCACAGATTTGACGATGAGTAAGTAAAAATTTCCATTTTATTTTTTTCCCCTTTGGAATCACATTCAAAGAAATACAAAAATTCTAATAATCTTTTCCTTTATTAATCGTTATTCAAACAAACAAAAACTAATTTTAAAAAAAAAGTTAAATTGTTGTTTTTTTAAAAAAAAACAAAAAGAAATAAACAACATCAAAAGTTCCTTCTATCATGTTACTTACTATTTGTTTTTTTTTCAAGACCTCATTTTATACTTTTTCATACTAAAAACCTTATGAAATAAAGAAAAAACAGAATAGATACTATAATTCAAAATATTAAGGTTGATGTAAAAAGATTCAATATATCAATCAATCAATCAATCAATTTTACTTAGATAGTTAGTTCATCAATCAATCAATCAATCAATCAATCAATCAATCAATTAATTTTTGAATAAAGTCATTTTATACTGATTAGTTAAATACTTAAATAATATATAATTATTTATATATATAAATATATATATATATATATATTTAATATATATGTATATGTATATAATAAAGTGACGGTTCGGACTGGGAATGGTATTTATACATATTATTTTTGCATGCAATCAAAACTTTTTATGAGAGAGGAATCCTTATTTTTTTTTATCATTAACTATTTTAAATAGAAGAGGTAGCATCTATATATAAACATATATATATATATAATATTTATATATAGATTTTAAACACCTTTAAATATATTTAAATAAAAGAAAATAAGAAACAAGACAACAAATAGCATGATGAAAATATATTGTCTGTTAAATACATTGATTTATTATGTTTTTTGTTGTTAACTATATATATATATATGTATAGATATATATATATACAAGAACAATAATAGTATGTAATATAGAAATAGATTTCTTGGCACTGATAGTGTTTTATTATTATTCATTTGCCCTCTCCTATCTTTTTTATCCCTAATTTTTCCCTCTATTATCTTTCTGTGTTTCTCTTCTTCGGCTTCTATATGTATATATATATATACATTTTTTTTATTTGATATTTAACAACAATAATAATGGAATTATTATAATTAGTACAAAATCTAAGTAAACTATTTGCTTAAAGTAGTGACGAAGCATTCTAAACATAGAAATTATTAGATAAAAAGAGAAATATAATACCTATACTTAATAATTATACTTAATTTTTGTACTATTTATAAGAATTACTTAGAAAGAGATTACTTTAACTTCCTTTTACTAATTGAATCAATTATTTGATTTTAGTGAAAGATTTAAGAAAACTCATACACCACCGCCCGAAAATGATGAGTCGGATAACGGTATATATTTTAATATATCGTCTAATTATTCTTTTGTTAACGTTTTATTCTCTATCTATCATTCTATTTATCCCTCTGTCTGTCACAGATATTCCTGTCATACCGGATTTAGAAGATTCTAACATAGGTGATGACTCTGGTGGACCGCAGATAGCGATGGCTCCAAAGTAAGTATTTTTGAATATCAACTCTTCAGTTATTCGTTTAAAGTATCCTCTCTTTCTCTTTGATAATTTAATTATGATTTTCGCAATATTTGCAGCGTTGCAGTTAATAGAGTAGCCACATATAGGGAATTGGATAATGATTTACTTAAACACGCAGCTTTTCTAACTTTGGTACGTATGTCAAGCAGTTAAAAATAGAATAAAAAAAGTAAATATTTCATTATATAGGATAATGAAATTGATTTGAAATTACTTGCAAAATGTCTCTCCTCCGAATCTGAAATAACTGAGGTATTTTATATATATATATATATATATATATATATAGGACTAAACGTTTTATTACAAAAAAAACCCTATAGGACCAAAAACTTTGGGAGTGGGATAGATTATTTACAGAAGTAACATCTGAAATGCTTTCTGAATGGGAAGAAAATGAAGAAGTAGCTGCTTCTTAATAAAACAATACAAAATCCTTAAATCCTCTTTTGTTTTATAAATGTAATATGTTTATTTTAAAGAGAAAAATAAAAATAATATACATTCTATCATTCTTAAAACTCTTTTTTTTTTAAAGAAAAAAAAATCTCAAGGTTATTTATCATATCTGGATTTCTTCTTTCTTGTCAGCTCTTTGCAAAGCATTTTATCATCATCTTCTTCTTTCAAATCTCTTTTAACTGACTTTTAGAATATAATAAAATACATCATTTAATTCAATTCATACGGGAAAATTATATATATATATATATATATATATATATAACTACAACAAAATGAATTTTGAAAGGTTAACGATCATATAAATCTAGTGAAAAAAAAACATTCAAGACAAAGATATTTCAATACGTACAAGTTGTATATTATTTTTATATACTGCATATAGAGATTATATTTATATATATATATATATATATATATACACAGTATATATATATATTTAATAGGGTAATAATATCTTTTTTCGTTTCAAAATAAAAAATTCTTTATTAAATATTTTTGAAATACAGTATATACGAAAGTAAAAGGCAAAAAAAGAAAAAGCTGTATATAAGCGAACAGGTGGATTGTTTTGTTTTTCTCGATAGTTTGTCAGTAGAAGATAGGGAAAATAAGCCAAACACACCTGCTAATAAATTATCACTTAACAAAGAGTCTTGTTGCAAAAGATGTGCTTTAGGAGTCTATCGGTATAAAAAAGCCATCTCCTATGAAGAAAAACAGTCCTTTATGAAAGTTCAAACAGGATTGTCTTTGTGTCAGTGTTCGTAAACTGATAAGCGTGTGTCATATCGGCATAAAGTTTTCAATAACTTTCCAAATTAGCCCTTTAAATATTTCGTATATTATATTTTCTTAGTTCGATCCTTTCCGGACTGTGCGGCAGCTTTACAAAGAATAATAATAGAGACGTCTACGAAGTAAAGGGACATATCTAACAAATTTGTTTTCTGTTATTCGGCAATAACTAGTTTTCTAGGAAAACTGTCGTCTGAATCACAATCTTCCTCTTCATTCCGTTTAATAATATCCGGCTTAGTTACAATAGGCTTTTTTGGAACCTTCTTCCCAGCACCGTCTTTCTTACCTTTTGCAGCTTTTTTCGGTTTATCACTTTTTTTCTCTTTGTCCTCAGTCTTCTTCGCCTGCTTTGGTTGTTTAGGTTGTTTAGGCTGTTTAGGTTGTTTAGGTTGTTTAGGTTGTTTAGGTTCCTTAGGCGGCTTTGGCTGTTTTGGTTGTTTAGGCTGCTTAGGTTGCCTTGGCTGTTTAGGTTTAGGTTCTTTAGGCTGTTTGGGCTTTTTCCCCTTGGGTTTCTTATCACTTAAAACGTTGGTTAAAGTAGCAGACGAAGAATCTAATAGTTCTTCAACTGGAGTTGAATTGTTAGCTGGTAGAGTATCAATTTCAGTTGGAACAGGTGTATTGCAAGCCGTTGACGTATCGGTTCCATCTGTCAATACTTGACCAACAAGGTCTTCGTGCTCCGTACAAAATACCTTGCTTGAGTCCGTTTCTGGATCTGGTACCAATACTATATTACCATCAATATGATCTGAACAAAATGAGTTTGGGCACTCTTGACACATTCCTTTTTCAGTCACAGGTTTTCCGCAAATATCGCAAAAGTGCCAACCGCAAATCCACTTCCCTTTAGGTACTGAGTGTAATTCAACACATTCCTTATGATAGCACTTGGGACAATTATTCTGATCACACAAGACCAAATCTCCCCCATCGCCACAATGATAACAGCTATCCTCATGCTTCCTTAGATGCATAAGTGAAGAAAGTGATCTCTTTTTTCTTCTCTTTTTCTTCTCTCTCTTCTCTTTTACAGGTGGTACTGGTCGTTTAGGTGGAGCTCCTATAAATCCACTACAATTGGGAGAATCACAAGAGCACTTTTTTAAGCTATTTCCAAGGGCATCCAGATTGTAATTAAATGTTAACTCTTCTCCAGCTTTGATGTTCCTATTTGCGAAAAGACCCACCCGATCATCGTCTAAAACATTCCATTTCTGAGTATCACAGTTAGGTTGGCAACTGTGGTTAATATAACGAGCTAAATTGCCTCTTGGACCAGCGTCTATAAATCTGTTTTATTACAATGTTACGTATTAGTATACGGCTATTTATAAATATATAAATATGTAGAGCGAGTTTAATTTACACTCTGTTTTTATCTTTTACCTGTGCTTGTCCAGTGTAAGTATGTAGAAGTGAGAAACATCAAGTTCATCATACTTTTTGAGTCGGTGTTTGCATTCTTCCTCATCAATTACATCTCCTATATATTCAATTACGAAATCGCCAACTTTTATATCGTATTTTGCCTTTAGTCCCCAACCTTTCATGGACGTCCTAATAGGTACTGCTTCAACCCATTCTCGTTTTTGAAAACGCCTATTTTGACAGCGTTCTCCCGCTGGACAAATATCAACATTACATTCTGCCAAGGCCAAACGATTCCAACATTGGCTTTGTGGTCCACAGGCGTCAGTGATAGAACAGTGACATGGTGTTGGCTCAAATTTCGGTTTTCTAGGTGCTGTTTTCCCAACGTATATGTTAGATTCAATTAATCTATAAGTAGACTTTTCGTTTCTCATCTCACTTTCCATTTTTTCCTTAAACTCCACCCATTTGGTAAAAGCTTTTCCAGCATCTTCGATAGCTTTAAATAACATACGTTTAGAAAATCATGCTTTTTAGATTGAATATGTAAACTCTTACCTCGTTGGAAAGCAACTGCTAATGATTTATTTCCACTAACTGATGTTTTTGATTTAGTATCACCCTCTTGGAAAAGAAAAACTCGAGCCTTATGCGACCAAAAGAAATCGTATGATCCGAAAAATCGAACAGCAAATTCGCCAGCATCGTGACCCAATTGTAAGATCTTTTCTGGTATATTTCGTGGGTGACAGATCTCTCCCGGCCACCAGCGATATTGTCCAACTTTAACCCAGACAATATCGCCATAGTGAGGTACTTTACCAACGATACAATCTGAACACAGCCAAGGTTCATTTTCTTTCACTTCAGTGGCTATACATTCTTTATGGAATGCTAGGGGGCAACCATCACAACAGACCAATGTACCTCCGGCTAATTCTAATGGGAAAAACATGAAACAAAATTATTAGTAACATTTAAGCTCCAAATTTTCTCTATATAAAACAAAATACCTTTCTGGCAATTTAAGCAACTACTATAATGAATTCTCGCATGATGGCTGTTTGACTTTTTGGGAATGAAATGTTTACTGCATATCATATTCAGGCCAGCTAGATGACGGCATCCTGCAGCCACACAAAAGTCTGATATATGATAAGCAGTGGGGCACTTTATACACTTGTAAAATTGGCCTTTAGAAGCCTTACTGCGCCTATTTATCCAACAAGTCTGGCAGGTGTGTAGGGGACACTGGAATTTCTTATTATCAACGTTCGCTGTTGGTAACTCCTTCATACAAGCTTCATGGTAGAATCTATTGCAATTAGGCGTTGAACATTTAATCGTTGTGGAATCCCTCTTTGAACAGGAGAAGCAAGTATGAACATTTTCAGTGCAATCAGTGCAATAGAAGTCTTGTGCTGTATCCGTTATTTTTCTACCCTGAATGCATTTAACATGATACGAAGATGTGCATTTCTTGCATGTAATCATTGTCGAATCACCCTTTTCTTTGTCACATTCCATACATATAGGTTTTTTTCTATAAAAAGGTGTGGTCATTAGTTTTAAAACCTCCAGAGTTTCTTCAACGTTAAGTGGAGTAGCAGAAAAATCTACAGTAGGTTTCGTCAACTTAACGTGTTGCCTGGCTGGAGGAAGTGACTCTTCATTAGGTACACTTGAGTCGCTTCCATATAGCTCACTAACGTCATATTTCTTTTTAATCGTGCGCCGCCGTTTCCTCTCGTATCCATTGCCTTCGGCTTGATCAATACTTGGACGTTTCTCTTTAACTTGATCGACTCTTTCCACTTCACTCAGAGGAGGTGATTCGTCTTTTACTTTAGTTGAATTGTTCAACCATTCTTTTATTTGAACTAAATCATGGCCCATAGGTATAAATTTATTTTTGTCATCTATCTCCATTCCATTCCATTCTTCTTGTAATTTATCAATAATTCCTTTATCGTCTAAGAGAGGAAAGGATGCTTCAAATTCCTCTTTCTTGGTTTTACAAAATACTAGATATTGCTGCTGTTTCATGTTGGTCTCAGGATCAACTTTAAGCTTTTTGGCCGCATTATTCAATTTCCTATTATCAGCCGATGCTCTTTTTCTTTTCCTAGTATTGTTTTTCTTAGGTTGCTCGACTGGAGGATATTGATAAACAAAAGCCTTGATACGCTCGTCAATTGGATACGTGCGAGCCATTTCAGCTTCGGATATGGCAAAATCCCAAGCATTTCTTAAATTTTTACTTTTAACTTCAAATCCCTATTACAGAAGAAAAGAAAAAAACATGAGTAAAATAGCTGTTAAGTAGATCTTTAAGAGTGAATACTAGATTCAAATATGATATCTACTTTCAATTTATTTATTTTTTAAGAGGAAATAAGAAATATAATAAAATTTTAACCTTAACAACTCCTCCTGATCTCCGTTTAGAGTTGTTCTTTGAGGCCAGTGTCTTTTTAAATTCTTCTATGTTAGGACCTGTGAACGGTTGCATAGATGATTCAAGTAGCCAGCCTCGCTCCCTTTCGTTGCCGAAATACTGGACATGGTATTCATAGGTTTTGTGCGAGTTTGTCTTTCTTCGGACGTATTTGTTAATGTATGGATCATACGATACCATTCCAGGCCACCATGGATGGCCCGTAACTCTTCCCCAAATCAATTGCCCTACACTCCAGTTAGCATCTCTTTCTTCATCTTGCAAATTCTCGGGTTTATACTCTTCACTTGGGGTTGGTTCAAAGTTCTCTGACTTGATCATATCAGTTCCATTGTCATTTTTTTGAGCACTATGTTCTTCCGCATCTTCGGTGATCTCAAGTTCACCATGAGCTTCGGCGTCGAGATCAGCTACTGTTTCCTGCTCGAAGTCATCAGCTTCAACAGCCATTTCAGTTTCTTTAACATCCTCTGTTTCTTCCATGTCAACTTTCTTTTTATCTTTCTTTTTCTTTTTTTTCTTTGATTTCTTTTTTTTAAAAGATTGTCCATTTGATTCTGTCGACGTATTGAACTGGTCGGAATCAGATTTGGACGGACTGGATTGTCTACGGCAAATTCGGAGCTTTATTGGTGCATTTACCTTTGGTTCGGAGACATTCTCGCAAACATTATAGTCTTTTGGTATATCGTCTTTTTCCAGATTATTATTCGGTCCATCAGTTAAACTATCTGAAAGATTTGAATTTGATGGTTCACAAAATTCATCACCTTTTATGGTGCTATCGGGTTCGGTGTGTTGCTGCTCATCCATATCGATAAATCGGTCTGTAAAATGTTATACGCTTATAAACGTTGAATTATTTTAACAGATAAAGCATTTGCTAAATATCATTAGATTTTATAAGAGTCTTGTCCAAAAAACAATGTGCTTCAAGCCGACTTTATGATCTTTGCGACATTTTTCTAGCAAAACTAAAGGCAAATAATCGGAAAATATCGACGATTTTCATCAAGAAAAATCGCTGAGTTATATTGAAAGCGCTAAGGCGGTTTATCAACCAAATTAACCTATAAGTATGCAAAGTTACAAAAGGTGAAATGCATAGGATACTGCAAAATCGCTTTTTTTGACAAATCCTTACCAAAATCAATACGTATTTAGAAAAATAAATGAGAAAAACCTCCGATCGCGCACTATATACGATAAGTGGGAAAGTCGTTGATTGGATGATGGGAACGAGGCGCGTGTTTCCGGAAGTTTTCAATGAACTTTATCTATCAATTAAGCCTGTATTGGAAGAAAGCTTACCGTTATAGGACATTTTCGAGCCTCTTGTTCAGTTTGATGTATGAATTTTCAGGTTAAAAAAAGATTAAAAAAGATTTTCTTTCCAATAACGCCATCTATAATGGAAAAAAGTCACTTTCAGTATTTCTATCAGAACTCTCAAATATTCTTATCAGCTTCTTGGTAAAAATTTTTAAGCAATAGTTAATATTTAAAGTTGCTACCTTTTCTTTAAAAACCTATAGCTCGTAGGATTCCTACGTTGAAAAATCCTACAAACCACGATCCATAGATCTCTAGTGATATGGATCAAAATATGTTCTGATACCTTTTACTGTCCATAGAATTCGGAATGTCTTCTTTAAAATCAGCTGCGAATTTGCATATATCAGCTAACGCGTCGGCATGCGCAGGAGATTTATGTAATTTTATTATTGAGAAGTCCAACGAAGCTATTAAAAAAAACGGTTTCTTTCGTGTTGGTTTGTCAGGTATTTGTATCTTGTATTGTCGCTCGTTTAAATTGATATCAGATGTTCAAATGTTGCAACAGGTGGAAGTTTAGTAAAATTTTTATCAGAAGAGCTGCCAAAGAAAAATATCGAATGGTCCAAGTGGAAGATTTTCTTTTGCGATGAAAGACATGTACCCGAAGACCACCCAGAGTGTACTTTCACTCTATATGATAAAAGCCTCTTTAGTAAAGTTGGCATTCCAAAAGAAAACGTATTTAAAAACGATTCTAATTTAACAGGTTAAATCCAATATAAAATTCGTAATTTCTATTTAATCTATATATGTACATGTATATATTCACTACATAGTTGAACAAGCCGCTGAACGATATGAAAAATTAATTAAAGAAGAATTTGAGACCGATAGCCCTAGATTCGATATGCTGTTGTTAGGAATGGGACCAGACGGTCATACCTGCTCACTATTTCCAAATCATCAACTATTGAATGTAAAAGATAAGATAGTAGCTTTTATTAAAGATTCTCCGAAGCCCCCACCGGAAAGAATAACTCTTACTATGCCTATTTTATTGAATTGTGATAACGCAGTTTTCTGTTCATGTGGAGATGGAAAGAAAGAAATGGTCAAGGTAATATACTGATATATATATATATATACATGCATATATAGATATATATTTATTCCCAACTTTTTCTATAACTTATAGGAAGTTCTGGAAAATCAAAATATGGATTTCCCTGCAGCTCGAGTTCAGCCGGTGAAGGGTTCTCTGCACTGGTTTATGGATAAAGGTGCTGCGGGATTGCTATCGAATATTTAATTAAATTTTAAGCTAATAAATATTTCCTCTTATGAATTAATATAAAATTGACTAAATATAACCTAAAAGTAATTAATGAACGTAATAAAAATTGCGCCCATATAGAGATTATTAATCAGGCCTACTACTACAGTTTAATTGAATGATTATCTATAATTTGCAATACTCTTTCTATTAAAGGTTTTCTGGCGAAAGTAATGCGTTCCATATTTTAAATGGATTTGAGTTCGTTAGGAAGTGAATTAATTACGCCTACTTAAAGAAGGTGCTCATAATTAGTATGATCTTTATCTTTTAAGCAGTACACTTACTTTTACAATACAAGAGTCTATTTTTATCATACACGCTCTAAATAGCAATTGTAATAAGGATAGATCATGTCTATACTTTTTTAGAAATACAGTATATTTATCATTCTCTATTTTTAAAAATCAACTTGATTGCTATAATTGTTTAAAATTTCATTAAAATTATGAATAATGAAAGAGTGTTTCTGGAGCAGACTATAGGAGATAATTATTTTGAAAATCGTAATAATCAACAAGTTTTACCACCTTTTGATATTCTTGCTAGTTTATCTCATAGATCTTCATCTCCAAAATCAATAATTACTTTACCAACAAAAGAAAAGAAGAAAGATATCAAATTTATAAAATGCGTAGAAAAGTTAAAGAAAAATCAATTTTATCTAAGAAATTTTCATAGAAAAGACTTTTATTCTAAGCATTTAATCAACTGTACATCTATTCTAGAAGCTAGTATAAGGAAATTGGTGGGCGTATATGTAAGAAAGGAGGACGTAGATAAATTGGAAGACGTCGTATGCCTACTGACTTGTATTGTTACTAAAATCAATACAATACGTTATATTATTCAAAAATCTATATAGATCTACTTTCTCTCTGTATGTACCACCATTAATTTGGTATTTTTCTTCTTCTCCTATTATTCAGTATAAAATGTAACAAGTGAAAACAAAACAAGTTATTTGTTTGTTTTGATCATGTAAAATTGGATCTAACCAATTGAAACCGAAAACAAAATGAACAAACATTTAAGTTTTTGTGTTTATATTTTTTCTCTCTTCCCCAATAAAAAAACATAAAATAAAGAAAAAATATAGAAAAACAAACTAAACAAGAAAAACTGCAAAAAAAAAAAAATACTGAAAAATGGTTAACTTCTTTCATTTTGTTGCTTTGAACTCATTTTGTTTAATTTCGTATTTTTTTTAAAAAAAAAAACAAACGCAAATTCACACTTTATTAATATTGAATTTCGTTGTTTTTTTTCTTTTTTTGAATGATCAAGCAAGAAAAAAAAAAACAAGATTAAAAACTTAAAACAGATCAATATGAGACTGAACATCAGTGATATATAGAAATCTTGGCAGGAGTGCTTTTTTTAAAGTATTTTATCAATATAACTATATATATATAAATACTAATATATATTCTTAGTATGTATATATAAAGTTATATCTACCAACATTTTTATGGGAATGTTTTGGTCTTGTTTCTAAAGTGAAAATTTCTAACATTTGTTTCATTTTACTTAAACTGTTTCTTCTTCTCGTTTTTTTTGCTTAAATCTAAATATTTTAAACGATGCTTAATAGAGAAAGGAAAAATGTGAAATTTTATTTATTTTATATTTGTGGGTTTTTTTTTTTTAAGATATTTTTCGTGAACAAATTGAGTGGACATTTTTTTGTCTTTTCCTTTTTCTATTTTTTTATATAGAATATCTAGTATCCTGTTTATAGGCTACTTTTCCATATTAAATGGAAAAGAAAAGAAAATTGTCTACAATAACTTCCTATTTTTGTTCTTGTTCTCTCTAACTTTGTGAATAGAGCTGCAGGTCTAATTTGACTACTAATTCTCCTGAAACTGCCTCGAGGAGTTTTAGTTTTTGTTGTACAGCACCTGGTGTTCTGGTTGAGGCGAAATGGTCGTCAGGAAGCAGGTCACTAGCTCTCACTTCTGTTCTCCCTAATAGAGCATTTGGGGCAAAAGGATCGCAATCGTATAGAGAAAAGCACAGTTTATCATTTTTTAAATCTCGAACTTCGACCTGCATGCTTTTATTCCATTTAGGATTAGTGCTGTTATGTACAACTTTGGTTCGTTGTTCGTGAGATCCCATGGACATTTCGCAGTAAGGGTCGCAGCGGCCATTTGGTCCTGGACATAAATCAATTGCTTCAATAATTCTTATCAGTACTCTTCCGAGTGCTGGGGCTCTTCGTATTGAATGAGTTCTTTCTTTTTTCCTTTTTTCAGTATATTTATAATGATCTGATGCTTCTTTGATATTTGAAACCCATTTATCTCTTTCAACGTTGGATATAGCTATTTCATTGAAGAGTATATGTATTAATTATAATTATCTATGTATGCTATAGTAAAAAAATCATTTCATATTTACCTTTCAAGGAAAAGGCATAATCTGAATTACTGACGCTAAATGTGTTAAGTTCTTCTCCAGCACTAACGTGAACTTCGTTTAGCATTAAAGGATTTTTATACATTTTAAATGAGTTGTTCTCTGTTAAATCTTTAGTATCGAATGAGAAAATTGATGTAACGCCAGTTCCCAGACTTTTATGTGGCGTTGTTAATAGGAAAAAGTCATTAAATAAAAATCCAACTAATTCCTTGCCGCTTTTAGTCTTAAATAATGAACCAGAATAGCAAAATTTTCTTGGTCCAAGGCAATTTGTGGCCGAATTAAATGAAAACTTAACATTTAATAGATCTACTTTTTCCTCAATCCATTCTAGTTTATCGGAATTGTCTTGCTCCTTAACAGCTTGATTAACACTTGTACATAATTCGTTGGCTGCTATCAAAGCTTCAGTTAATTGATTATATTCGCCATGTTTTGGTTCTGTCGCGCTAATTAAACGTTTAATAAGTAATGGATATCTAGTTACTCTCTGCATCGGTTTAAGTAGGAAACTTTCAATGCTCATGTTCTGTTGTTTCATCTCCAATTCGTGAAGCAGTTGAGCAAATTTTGAGTTCGAATTTGTTAACTTTTGCAGATGTGCCCTTGACCGCAATTGACAGGAACAGTAACGAACGTAAGGTTGCATGTGCTGGAACTATTTTTTTTTGTTTTATAAAATGTAACATTAATAATAATTTAAATGAATACTTATTTTAAGTAGCTTACTTTTTCGCATAATACATCAGCTATAAATAAGACAGAATTTCTATCCTTGCTCATTGTCTCCCTTACTCTGAAAGCTTGTACAAGCTTTGTACTACAAACAATCAACTGTGGCCAATTAACAAACAGAAGTTTTTCGTCTTCCTCCGTCATTACTGCTCTTAGGGGTTCAATAAATGTTTCAACAACACCGTTTAGATCTTGTAAATGAGTCTCTTCACTAGATAGCATTTCCTTAATAATCTTTTGTCGAGATATTTCGTCCTGTTGACCATCTGAAAAAATGATTTATCCTTCACTAGTAAAGTTAATATTATCATCATTACTATTATACTAATTAGTTGCTCATCCTTTGATTTATATCTCTTATAAGAGTATTTGTTTTTTTTTAAATGCAAACATATTTAGTTTGCAAATTATAGTAATTAGTCTTGTACAAAAAGGACAAAACAAAAGTAAGAATATTTAAGATTCTTTCTTAACAATAATAGTAATAACAATAATAATATCTAATAATTGAAAACATCGTGTGTTTTACAACAAAGTCTTGTTATAATAGTATTACTATATCAATTTATTTTTTTATAGTAATGAAAACAGGCAATCTGTCTCTACATCGTTGTATATAATCACTTCTTGTCTTGCCAAAGACTTGTATTTTCAATTCTTTTTATTGTTTAAAATTGTTTGTTTGCTTGTTTCATTGTGTATTAATTCACTTCTTTGATCATCGTATATTTTTATTTTCTTTTAACATGACGGCTAATATTAATTGAATCTATGTATGATATTTTCGTTTTCTTCTTTGAAAGCAATAAGATTTAAGAAACACAAATATTAGTTTAATCTATTTTTATGTATTTAACAATGTAATGTTAGTCGAGGTTTCTCTTTTATTTAATACCAAAATCTAGTTAACTAATACAGAGGCCCTGTTGAAAATCAGAATTCTTGTCCCATTGATGAAATGATAATGAACGAAAAATAAAGTATTATAAGCAACGTCGATGCAGTGGACACTTTCTTTTCAAACAAAATAAATTACGTAACAAGCGGGCATTAGTATAAGATATATTTATGAATATCTGGATATAAATAGACTTCTTGTTTACAGCATATATATTGATATATATATATATATATATATATATATATATATATATATAAAATATATATATATATAGATATATATATACAACTTTTAGAAAACAATATCCAACCAACTGAAGCACCGTAAATATCCTAAAAACGTTCGTACAGTGACTAGGTAGGGGTGGGTCTCAAGAGTGCAACAAGTTTGCACTTTGGGTAGGGGAGGCGAAAGTCACGTGATAGCCGCCCCTACCCCCTTTTTTCCAGATTCTTCTTCAGCATTAGCGGCCACCACGTGACGAATCCTGATCGCAAGACGACGACGATCAATAAAAATTAACAATAACAAAACTTAACAAAATCAAAAAAAACCATTACATCTAGTATACCAGAGAGAAATGACAGACTGGAATTTAATTCAATTCCCAACAATATCTCCTATAGTGTATATATATATATATTAAATATAAAATAATAAATAATATATTAAATATATATACTATAAAAAAGCATCAATTCTCTTACATAGTTGATATTATTTTGTTTGATTGGTTATACATAACTTAATCCTTTATATAACTATTTCTATAGATAGAGTATGTATAATGTATACAGTATACTTCAAAATGAGTAGATGCTTTAAATATAATCCAATAGAATATTTATGGTTGTCATTCTCTGTAACTCGGGTAACTGGGAAAGATAAAATACAGTTTTTTTATAAATCCTCGAAAAAGGAGAGAAGGTGAACAAAGAAACTTGCCAATCTAATTTTGTGGTTAACAAAAAACATAAGAATTCTGAAATGTACAGAAACCGCTAAGGAGTTCTTGTTACATCGTGTGGAGATTAGATCCTTTTCTAACTCTTATTACATTTTTTACAAGATTTTTATTATGTTAAAATTATAGGTACTCTTCCTCATAAAAACCACTTCATTAATATTTTTTTAGACGTAGGATAGAAGGAATGTTGTGAATCAATAAATTTGAATCTGTTATTTCTCTCTGATACAACTAAGAATACTTACAAGCTTCTGAAGAGTTTTGTTCTTTAACATAATTAGACGGGAATAAACCAATTTTCCCATTTGATTCGCCTTTCCACCAATCAGAGTCTAACTTTTCAATTATTCGAATGACGGAATTCTCAGATAACTCTAACTCATCTCCTTGCCGAGGTACGTAATCGTATAGTACTACGGCGGTGGTTGGTGCTAATGGGGGATTTTCAACCGGAATTGGATGCGGTGCGGGGGTAGGTTCTCGCGAACTCAATGAGGAAGGTGATCTCACGCCCGCAACGTTGTTAGACTGTATGTTGACATACGTTGCCGGAAACCATCCGATTTTTCGATTTTTGGAATCAGTTCCCAATATTTCACCTATATTTGCGTGAAATTATATAAATATAATTTTATGTAAACAAAGAGTTTCACGTAGCGTACCTTCCCACCAACCAGAAGGGGATTGCTTTCGAACTTGAATTAATTGTCCAATTTCGAAGGATAACTGCTCAACTCCTTGGGCTTTAAAAGGTGCAATAGCACAGACTATTTGCTTTTTATTATTTAGTCCATCGGCTGACAATTTGCTAACTTCTGGATCCTGAGTTAAATGATTTTCGGCATTTTCATACAATGTCGGCTCTTCTTCAATAGGCTGTACATAGTTGTACGGAAAGACGCCTGACTTGCTTGGATCGGATTCTTTATAGCCGCTCCACCATTCTCCATTTTCTTTGGTTACAATAATAATCTTGAAGAAAATGATAAAATTAAAATAGTACTCAATTGTCATACTGTATAAGCTTAAAGTAAATACCTCTCCCTCCGAAAATGCTAAATCACCATCAACCTCACTAGAATAACTGTACGTAGCTTGGCATCGCGATTTTGTCTCTTGTTCAGTTATGGTTGTCGCTGACTTATCAATAGAAATACTTTTCACATTGTTATCAAAGCTTAGTTTTCTCGTAAAATTATCAGAAAAAGCTGATCCAAACTCAGAGAAAGATTCTCGTGGTTCTTCTATCAATTCAACAAAATCTTTTGGAAAGATTCCGATTTGTCCTCGAGAATTTGTTCCTTTGATCCATGCAGGTTCGACTCCTTGCTGCATATTGTCATCGGCCGTTACAATTTCATCGGCTTGAAGAGTCAATTCGTCGGACTCTCTAGCTTCAAATGTATGGATAACTCTATACGATCGAGGAGTGGATGAGTTTCTTGGAGCTGTAAAGAATTACAGTTAAATCGTTTTTTTTTCAAGGAGAAATTTAGAATGAAAACTAATTTGTCTTCTAAGTAAAGAGTTTTTAAAGTTAAAAATAAAAACGAGCTTTCCCCTCTAATTATTATTAGCTCTAACTCTTTCGTTTTGTCCATTTCCTGTTTCAATAATTGCTATCGAAACCCATCAATTGTCCATTAAGCCAACATAAGCAGGCACACCAAACAAAAGACAAGACTACAAACATATACGAATTATGTACAGTAAATATAAGATTATTTCTTATTTAAAGTACAAGTTCTAAGATATAGCTAATGTTCTTTCTGTGGCATGTAAATTTGAACTGTTGTTAGTCTTTTCCAGAGATACCTTTAAATTGATCAAAATTTTTTAAATATAGCATAGATTCAAATTAAAGAGAAATATAATTGATTATCCTATATGACATTGACCACTTATTTTGTTATTTGTTTCTTTCTTTCCTAAAGTTTAAAACTTAGAATATCAAAGATAAGTAGATTTATTGAACACACAAAACATAGGTTTGCATCATAAGCGACTATTGCAATATGCAGATGTATCAATACGTAAGGTGAAGTTATATCTTTCGGAAAAGCGTGACCAGATGGTAAGGATAGCAGACTCTTAACAAATAGTAAAAAATTGCTAGCATATTAATTCAAGTTAAAGAATTAGTTAACTATAGAAGGCTCAACTACTCGCCAAACGGTACCAGAATTTGAAACTTTTTTTCAAATACACCTGCTTAATATGAGTGGTTTTAGATATATAATGAATAAATAAAAGGAGTGCCAACATGTAAAATGCATTAATATGCTGATTCAACACGTATAACGCATACCTTCATTTGAATCACGAGTACCAAAAGCCTCAAAAACATTAATCTTTTGATCAGTAGTAGCTGCAAAATTATTATAATTATACTAGAATCCCTCAAACTGAATTTGTTTTAATTATAATTAAAAGCCAATGATATTAAATTGCGCACCTTTGTTTGAATCAAAAGCATTGCTACTAAAATTTTCCTTTGCTGAATTTTCTGCAAACACTGCAGCAATAACAAACATTTTTTTTATAGAACTATATAGTCTCAAAAAAAATTAATAAGATATCAATAAGCACCTTCTTTAGAATCATAATCTGGAAATGGTACAAAAGCATCTGCAATTTTATTGGAAGTTTCTGAAATTTTTAAATGAAAATTTTTTCTATTAATTTTTTTTTATAAATGTTTTAATAGAAAGCTTTAATATCGAGTTTTCTTAAATATTCTCTTCTTTTTCAGTGAGTTTTATTATTTAAAGGGTTATTCCGTACCTTTTTTTGAATCAAAATCAGCAAAAGGCTCAAAGGTATTGTTAGTCTTATCAAATGTAGCTGTAAGAATTTTATAAAATCACAAAAAAATTAATTTAGAATTTTACTAAAATCATTGTCTTAGTTAATTTATAATTATTCACACCTTCACTTGAATCAAAAGCACCAAAATCTCCAAAAGCATCCGAAGGTTTTGAAAATACGTCTGTAAATTTTTTTTATATTTAGAAATCTTCAAAGCTAACTTATTGATTATCTGTTTTTATATATACACCGAAAGATAGTATAAATAAACATATTGTGCACACCACAAAAGAGGTAAAGACATTACACATTGAACATACAAAACCACTTATATAATTACCAATTATTTTTTTCAACAATCAAACGATTTTTTTTAATACCGTATATAGTTAATATACAGTATATGTCTATCTAATTTTTACAACGCTTACCTTCTTTTGTATGTAGATTATTTAGAGCTTCAAAGCCACTTGGTTTCTTTTCGACTTTTACTGTTGATATATACAGAAACGTAAATATGGAAAGATATAATTTTGTTTAATTCTTTTTTAAGATAGAGCTATGAAATGAAATGCATACCTTCATTTGGGGCAAAATAACCAAAGGCGTTGAAATCATTAGACTTCTTGCCAGATGCTAAAAGAATTAACGAGCAATGTAACGTATAAGTTTGGATCAATAGTAGTTTTAGTTTTTCTTTTTTTACTTTTAAAAATAAGAATATTTACCTTTAGACCAAGAAGAATCTCCATTTGACCAATTATTTTTTAACTCTAGAGAATAAATTTCATGTGTTATTTAAGTGCTATTTTTTTTAATTATAATATTAGGGGGCTATTATCTAAACGACTAAATACATACTATTTTTGTCAAGTTGGTTTTTCCATTCTAACTCTTTAATTTCAACTTCATCTTTCATTTGATTAACAGTTTTCCTATAGCCATCACACTCCGCTTGCTTAGCTCTCAGATCATTTTCTTTCCCTTCTACTTCTTGTTTCTGTTCAAGGGTCTCCTTCTGGACTGACTGGTATTGCTGTCGAAGTGAATCTACGATCCTTGATTTATCATCTATGCTCTTTTGAAGGTTAATTATGCCTTCTTGCAAGGAACCTTTTTGTACGGTCACATGACTTTGTAAGGAATATCGCTGCGCTTGTAAGTTTTGTAGCCGCTCCTTAAGCACAAAAGTTTCATTCTGCAGGGTGTCAATTTCTCTGACCGTATTATCCCTATATTGCCTCATCTCGTCAATATTGCTCGTAACAATTTGAATAGAATTGTTGGCTGCCTCTGTCTTTACTCTAGTTTCCATCTTCCTAGCTTCAATACTCTCTAATTCCAGATTGACATTAGCAATATGAGCCTGGAGTTGTTCTAGTGCGGCTTTTTGTTGTAATTTCTCTGTAAGAAGTTGCTCCGTTCTCTGTCTTTGCCATTCCATTTGTCTTTGTCTTTCCAACTCCTTTCTAGCCGCTTCACGTTGTTCGATAGCCTATTTAAAAGTAGATGAAATAGATCTCAGAATAAACTCGATTATAAGTCATTAAATTTATACCTTCCGCCTAGCCTCTTCTCTTTCAAGCTCTAGTTGTCGCTGCATTTGTTGATGCCTTTCAATCTCTTCCATTTTCTTCCTCTCCGCTTCCAATCTTGCACGTTCGATTCTTTCACGCTCTGCCCTTTCTGCAGCTTCACGCTTTTCATTCTCCATTTGCATTTGTTCACGAAGAGCTGCTCGCCTTTTCTCTAATTCTTCAGCTCCGCGTTCAAAGTTTTGTCGTCGTTTATCTTCAAAAGATCGAGCAAAGAGAGAATTATCTCCTTTACCGGGTGAGCCTGGTAAAGACGTTAAGTGTCCATCAGACATAAGTATATTTAAAGATAACAAATCTTCGGCAAAAAGAATATATTAAGCTAAATATGATTCCCAAAAAAATAAAGTTTCATTTAAAAAATAAAACTAAATAAGCAAATCAATAGTCGGAAGGGGGAAAGTGAGGATTGGGGATAGTCAAACACAGAGAATATGTATTCAATTTGTAATTTAGAGAATACATTGTCATCGATATACTTTAAAAATTAATTTTAAAATAAATTGAATTTAAAAACTATGTGAAAATTTAGAAATCTCATTTGTGCTATCATTCAACGAAATGAAAATAAATTATTAATAAATGAAAAGATAAAATAAGCAAAATGTGAAAGAAAAAAAAGCCTGTTGATGTTACATAGCATTGTGAAAATCATATTTTGTTAAGATAAGTTTCTTTTTTTGTTGTTAAAAAGTTCTACTTAGTGGTAAAAAAAACTACCATTTGGAAAAGCATCAGAAAGCGATCGATATTCGTCAACATGTCCAGAGAAAGCATCAGTACCTGCATGCAAAAATTATCCCAATAGATGGCAATCACTCTTATTAATTCTTTTGCTACAGTCAGAACTTAGCATATTCTAATAATTGCAATTAGCCCATTTTTTATAATCACATAAATTTTTCATCAAAACATGCAAATCAAGTTCTAGAGATAAAAACAAAAAATAATATACCTGCTGGAGCAGATTGGTCGCTGCCGCTAAGTTGCTGCATCTTTTGCCTGAAAATTTTTTAAAGATATCTTTTAGATAAATTCAATTCAGTACACAATTAGAAAAATTAAAAGGTTCAAGCAAATAAGCAAAAAAAGAAATGAACCTATAGGATGGAGGAATTAATTCCGGGGGTAATAGGGAAGGTAAAGCTCCACCGCTCTTTGATATATCCACCAAATGCATAGCAACACAAAATTCCTCTGACGTTAATTTTCCGTCTTTATCAACGTCTGCCAAGTTCCAAATGTTTGCTAAAATACTTGGAGCTAATCCAGTTTGACTAAGTATCATTCTCGCTTCCTGCCCATTCAAGTAACCTCTTTTTTGTCTATCATGACCATTGAACTGCTGCTTAAATTTTAGTTTTTGACTAATTGGCCATTCCGATGGAGATATCAGAGTAGCTGGAGGGGGTCCAGAAGGGGGTCCAGAAGGAGGTGTAATCGTTGGGCTACTTGTTAGTATTCCACCTTGAACTATGAATGGGCTAGGTATTGCAGGTTGTATCGAAGGAGCAAATACGTTATGTAAATTGGGACTTGACCTTCCCAAAGTTTGGAAACCCATAGGAGTGAACCTTCCAGCTTGTGGTGAGAAGTGTCCGGTTGTATCCTTTTGGAATGAGGGTGAGGGATCAAAAGTCAGCGAAACAGGTAGTTTAGGAGGCAGTTCGGTGCCATTCAATTTCTTTTTTATCAAGTACATTGCAATGGAAAACTCTTTCTTGTCCATTTTGCCATCTTTATTTATATCCGCCAAGGACCAAATATGACCTAGAACCGAAGGCGGAAGCGTTGACCTGAGGAAGAATTCTCTAGCTTGTGATCCATTTAGAAACCCATTTACCGGATTAAGATTAGTAAATTGTTCGTCGTGCTTTGCCCTTTCCTCGGGTGTTATTCGCCACGTTTCACCTATATTCAAAAGACTTTTATAGTGACTAGAGGTGTTTGTGACTTCAAATTAAGCATATCAAGCTATATATATATATATCTGTTTACGATTTGCACTTTGTCCTAGTTAACAAAAAAAATTTAACCTAATATAACTAAAAAAAAAATACAATGAACTTCGACCGATATTTTCGAATTGTATTTAAAATACAAAGGTTATATAATATATGAAATATTGAATAAAAAGTTATTTCTAATGGAGGAAATTGAAAAAAAATTGAGTATTAAACTTATATTTATATAAATAATCCTGATGCAAAAAGAAATAAAAGATAATATTCAATGTCTTTAAAGGAATTTATCTTATATGTTGATTTATATTTAAGATATCAATTAATTTAAATACTATATAATTAAACATATGATAAAGGATCGTATTAAGGAATATTGTTTTTCAGAAAAGTTAAAACTAAAAATATTTTATCATTTACTCAAAAGAATTAAACTACTTTAATAAAAGATCGAATCTTGACAAAAAGAACCGCCTCCAAATTTTTTTTCACAGAAATATAATACTAACCGTTAGCTTAGTATTAGTTCCAATAGGAGTGACAAAAAAATTTTTGTATTTCAAATCTAATATTTATTAATATGTACTTTTATTTTTGTCTTTATTACAAATGAACTACTTAAATTCTGTTTCTTTTTAAATATTCTTTAAAATAATGATAAATTGGTTACTATTATATTAGTTAATACGGTTTTAGAGGATAACATATATAAAAATGGAAAGTGACGACTACTATACCTGACATTTCTACTCTTTTAATTTCTTAAAGAAGTAAATCTCATTATTTTGACATGCTTGAAATCTGAAAAAGGTTAAAGAGCAAATATAGAGAAATTGAAGTTAATTAGATTGCTCATAATATTATCAAAAACAACAAATATTCGGCATGGGCGGTAAACGGGAGATGAAAAATGTTCTTAGATAAAAATCTCTCTTTGAACGTAATTTCTTACTTTCGGGTTTATATATGAACAAATCCAGAAATTTACCTTTGAATAACACGTAATGGAAAATAATTGATAAGTACCCAATATTAACAGTTCTTTTATTCCTAATCATACAAAACAGCAGACATATTGGTTAGTCTGGTTAGCAGTTCATTACGCGACGATAGATTAAAGCTTAGGGGAGAAAATTTCCAAAGGAAATTGCTCTCTTGTTAAAGCGCCCCCTGTCATATACTTATTTACTTAAATACATTTGGTTGTATTAATATAGAAGAAAAGCACACAGTTTTCAATCATTGGCTAAAATTTTTATATAATATAGATGGCGCTATCGTACAACTGAATATATACATTCTTATAATGTTGTAACTCCTTAGAATAGAATCTTTATATTTCATACTTAGAAATTCGTCGAATCCTTAACTTTAAATAAATTTTTATATACTATATACATGCCCGCTGATGAAAAGTATAAACCGGGAGATGGTTGGAGGAGTATGAAAACTACATCCCTTTTCCGGGCAGCTAACTTTGAATTATATGCAAAAACGGTAAAAATTTAAAAAACCAAATTTATAAACGTTTATCAAAGTCACATTGTTTGATATTTTTAATTCAGAATCCTGTAACAATGGTTCTAGGCGTAACAGCATTTGTTGGATGTGTAGGATATATAGCATATATGAGATTTAAATACGATAAAAGTAATTCATACGCTGCACTCCAAGAAGATGGCTCTTTTATACAGAGGGAACGAAAATCACGTTGGGATTGAAATATAAAAACAAAGATTAAAAAAGAAGATTGTAAATATAAATAACTTTAAAGATGGAAAAAAATGAATCATAAGTGAAATTTTTAGACTTATTACAGATTTCTCTATGTGATATTAAATTTAATTAAATTTCCAGTTGATTTCATATATTAAAGAGAAGCTTTCAAAGGATCGCATTATAAAAATATTTTCTAATAGTGAAAGTACTATAAATAATCTAGAATATTTTGCATAGGTGATGATAAAATATCATATTGTTAATCTGAATGATTCAAAACCTAAACGTACATCATAACTTATCAATTCTATAAATAGAATATAAATATATATATATATATATGATAAGTAATGAAAAGGAAGCGAAAAGTAGGATTTTTCACAATCTCAATCAACTTTTCCATATATAAGATTTAAAAGAGAAGAGGCTTCTTTTTACCAATAGATGGCAATATGAGTAATATACAAACTGAAAATAACTTACTTTAACTTCAGCAGATTCAGTAGATTTGAAAAGGAAAGTTTTTAACACTTACTCAAACAGAAATACTCTTGAAGTTTTCTTATCTTTTAAAAATTCTTACTCCTTATCAATGCTCTATCATATTTAATATTCATATTGATGTGTTCGATAAGCGTTCATCAGGTAATAATAGTATTAATTTAGATAGTTTTAATATCAATTAACTAATAGATATAAATAATTTTTAATTATTTGATTATACCAAAGAGTTTTTAAGAATAGTAAAAGATGTCAGAAATTTGAAAAGATTCAAGTATTATTCATTTTAAAGTATAGGATAACATTTTTTTATTAAGTATTTTTTATTAGTTAGAAGAATCGATTTATAAAAAAAAACGATAATATATCAAATGTTTAACAATAAAAATAAACATTTGTATTGCAATTCAGGTATTAAAATTTTAAGAAATACAGATATTTGACAATGTTAACTAAAGAGATTTAATCAATTCATATAATATTATGGTAGAAGATGATACGTTGAATTAAAACATATTTTAAGTGTCATCATCGCATTTGACTAAACTGTCATCTTTCAAGATATGTCTTTTTTTGTAGATATTTTTGTGCGGCTCTTTAAATCCGTCCGAATAAAAAGTATGGTGTTCAATCGGGGGGCATTTGCCTATTGTGCTACTACTTTTGCTGCAACTTTAATGAATTCAGTCTTTATGTTTTATTATGTAAAAGTTTTTACAAAGTTATACAATGTTTCAAATTTATGGTTTCAAGTATCTCAAATCATATTCTTAATTTGGAATGCAATTAATGATCCGTTGTTTGGTTATATACAAGATAAAAGTAAATCCAAAATGTTCAAATATAGAAGATTATCAATCTTATACGGAGCTCCATTTTTTGCTTTATCATTTATAATTCCATGGTTTCCCTGGAGTAATTCCTCAGGGTTAATAACAGGATTACATCTCCTATTTTCTCTATGCTTTTATGATGCATTATTTACATTTGTTCTACTGGCACAATGTGCACTATTTAGCGAAATGACAAAAAATCTGGCAGATAAGTTAACTTATATTAGATATGCTCAAATAGCGAGCTTATTTGGATCATCTGCAGTATTCTTTTGCGATTCAATATCTCAAGGCTTGAAAATATATGAAAGATTTCAATTAATTACTATTCTCATTGGAATAATAGCTTTTATATGCCTTAGATATACAGGATTGAATGCTAACAGTAGATATGATTTATCCCAATTATTGGAGAAAGATAGCGAAGAGGAGGAAGAATCTCTTTCTATGATGCAAGCAACAAAACAAATTCTAACTAGACCAATGATAACATTTGTCATTATGAACTTTTTTCATGTTTATAGAATGAACTTTGTCTCAAATTTTGCAGTAATAATTTGCGATCAACTTATTAGTAAGGAGATCTTAAGCAACTTCAATAGAGCATTCTTCTATGGACTATTAAATTTCTTACCTCAAGTCAGTACACACCCTTTTTTCTTTCCACTTCAACTTTTATAGAAAAACCTTTTATATATAAAGATAATATTTAATCTTTTAATCCTAGCTAATAAGTGCATTGAATTTTCTAGCTATTGCTGATTATTGGTACACCTCTAATTTCTTCTTTGGGTTATTATAGAATAATTAGGGCAAGTTTTGTAGTGTCTCTTTGTAGTGCTACTTGCCTTTTTATATTAGGAAGAACTAATGTTCCTGCCCTTATGATATTCTTTTTACTCGAAAGGTAAAATAAATACTTAAACAATGAGTATATTTACAACAAGTTGTTTTATTTTTATACAGTTGTATGATAAATGGGATGTTTAGCGTTTTCAATTTACCTCTTACTGACGTCATTGAATCTGATCAACGAAACTATAAAAGAAGGTAAGTACTCTTTTCTTATTGGATATCTTATAAGCTTAAGATAACATTTTTTATTATTATACTTTTTAAAACAGTCGCCCTTTGTCCTCAATGGTTTATGGTACAAATGCATTACTAACGAAACCAGCTCAATCATTGGCTCCCATGATTACTGTTGCAATCTTTAATGTCTATGGTTATTCATCGAAAAATAGTGCAAAATCGTCTAACGAACTAAGTGATTCTATGTTCTTCGTAACGTGTTCAACATCTGCAATAATATGTGTTTTTCAACTTCTGATTTGGCGATTATATAATATTAGAAACTCTCATAAAAATGTGGATGACATTCTTGTTGAATGTCAAAATAATACTTAAAAAATAAAAAGCATGCCAAAGAATAAAAGTATAAATAGAAATTAAAGAGATATTTTTGTCTCGGTTTTTTTTAATAGTATTGAACTCTCTTTAAGAAAAACCTATTTACGATTCTCCCTCTGTTCCCTACCGAATTACGTAAATTATTTATACACTATCACAAAGAATATTTTTGTTCCTTATATTTAGAAGTAGACTTGAAGGCTTTAAAAAATATTTGTTCAATAAACATAGGCTGAGTAATATAACCGATATATTCGGAACCTACTACACTTTTCTTTTCTTAAATGTTAAACTATTCAGAAGTGATATTCAATAATACTTCTGTTTAAGCTAGGCTTACTGAAACATAGAATTCATTTCGGGCGGAACTTTCTTCGAGTGTGCTAGGATCCGCAATGATTTTACTTAGCTTACTATCTCTTCTAGTTTTTACATCTGTAGAATGCCGACCGGATGGAGCACCATTATCTGCTTGTACAAGCATGACTCCATTCCATACTGGGAGTCCTCAACAAAGTTCACCACGATACCGAATATCCCTAAATAGCTTGACTTACCGATCTGGAGTAAGAATAAGTGGTAAATATATATAATATCATAAATGTATTTTATACGTCAATTGCATTAAAAGCAATTATTTTTCTAATAAAGTAAGTTTCCAATAAAGAAACTAGAAAATAGAAACACAAAAAAGATATAAAGAATAGATATATAGATATATCTGTTATATGAGGTTTGATGCATTCAAAGACAACTTTCCTAATGTAAAAATTTCTATACTATATAGTCGTCTCTATACTCTTTTTATTATCAATATAATTTATTAAAATCTATTTAAAGCTGATAAATTTAAACTTTGAAGAAAGTGAAAACGCCCACACCCTATTTATATATAACGTATTTTTTTTGTTATATAGGTTCAATACTGGCCGATGGAGGTGAGACTTTTCGGGGTTTTCTAATTCAAGCAAGAAGAGTTGGTACAGCTGAAAGGGTTGGTGGTTTTATTGTTCAAAATGGAAATGATGCAAGAATTTTAAGTTGTGATGGATCAAATTCTCTAACATCTATGACTCATACTAATAGGAATGACAAGACAAGAATAAATTTTGAGTGGGTGGCATCTCAAAATTATGGGGATATTGAATTTGTGTAAGAGTCAATAGACTTATTATCTTCTTAAAGACTTCACCCTTTTTTTAAACATATTTTTTCTCTCACTTAAACAGAATGACTATTGTAAGGAACTATAACACTTATTGGACTTTTATAAAATCAGAGAGATTGAGATATCTAGCCAATCAACCATGTAATCCTAACCCATGTAGTAATGGTCAATGCTCAGTTAACGGAAATACTTTTAGGTGTACGTGTTTCACCGGTTGGACTGGGGATAGATGCGATCAACGTAAATTTTCTTAATTATCTATCATATTCCTTTTAATTCTCTTCTAGATAAATTTTTAATCTCTCTGCTGTCTTGTTTTCTTTTTTTTTTTCAATTTTCAATTCTAATAAGAAACTAATGCGTGTGCTTCAAGACCTTGTTGGAATGGGTTTTGTGAGCCAGCTGGTTCTAATTTTCATTGTGCTTGCTACTTTGGATACGGAGGAACATTATGTGAAACACGTTTGTTGTTATTTTTCTCTCTTTTAAGTTTTCTCTTGTTGGAAAAGAGTATCAGTTTTAGACAAGTTAATTATTAAATCGATAAATTTCATTTAATCATTTCTATCTCTATCTTCAATGTTTGACTAAACTTCACATACTACTTTGAAGTTCTTACTTTATTTTTTTTGTATGCATAGGAATCAATAGGTGCTCCCCTAATCCATGTGTCCAGGGACAATGCTTCGAATCGAATAATGATTACACTTGCCAGTGCTTTTCGGGTTATACAGGAAGAAATTGTGATCAAAGTTTGTAGTTTTAACTAAATGAATACTTTTATTAGTTTTACTTTTGTTTTTAGGAGATTTTTGTAGTCCTAATCCATGCGCTAGGGGTTCATGCAGTCGTTTGAGCAATGGTTTTCGTTGCAATTGTCCCTCTGGATACACTGGTAATAGATGTGAAACCAGAGATTTTTGCAGTCCTAATCCATGTGTTAGGGGTTCGTGCAGTCGTATGAGCAATGGTTTTCGTTGCAATTGTCCCTCTGGATACACCGGTAATAGATGTGAAACCAGAGATTTTTGCAGTCCAAATCCTTGTAGGAATAATGGCGAATGTTCCAATGGTGCCAATACGTTTGTTTGCAGATGCCCAGCTACACATTCAGGAACAACTTGCGAATCTCGTTTGTAACAAGTTTTTTTTTTATTCGTATACCATTCTAAAATATTCCTTATTCTTTTTTCGAATACTACAGCAGTTGAAAATCTTTGTCAAGTATATAATCCTTGTCTACCCAATGGGAGATGCGAAGAGGTAGATAGAGTCGCAAGGACGATAAAATGTGTATGTAATACGGGTTTCGGAGGAGACCTTTGCAATCAAAGAATACGTAAGATCATTTATTTTCTTCTAGTTTACTTTTGTATATTTGTATTTTATCCAAAGCATATTATTGTTTTAGAAAGTGCATGCTCTAGACAAAACCCATGCGATCGTGTTGGAGGAGTTTGTCAAGATGTCGATCAGACAACTGTCGTTTGTAGATGTAATGCGGGATATAAAGGAAACACGTGCAATCAAAGAATAGAACTTCCTTGCAGTGAATGGGGACAAAATTGCGGAAATGGTAGATGCGAAAACATTGGAACAACTAATTTGAGATGTGTTTGTAATCAGAATTGGTTCCATCGTTATGGACAAGTAACATGTAATACAAGTAATGCCTGTGAAGCTTTTCCTTCAGGCCAACCTTGTGTCAATGGACAATGTTTTGCCAATGGACCTACTGCTTTTTGCGTTTGTAATTCTGGCTGGACTGGAGATAGATGTCAAACAAGACGCTAGTTTTAGGAAGCAGCAATATTAAATTTTCACAACTTAATAATGCGCTCTTAGCAACATACAGTTTAGTTTTATTAGATTATCCGAGTAGAGTTTTAGTTTCTCTTCAAGACAATATAATTGGAAAACTTGCTTCTAAAATTTTTTTATTGAATGTAATAAACAGATAAATATGAATATTCAATGATTCTTTAAAAGTTAAATATAAAATATTAGGCTAAATTTCCAAATATAAAGCATATATATAATATACAACTTATATGCTTTGATGAAATTTTTTTCCCTGTTGAAACTAAAGAATAGGTTCTAAAATTTCAGTGTTTTTGATACTTGTTTATAAATTTGGACAGAAAAATACAATACTATACTAATACCTAAACAATTTACTTTTAAACTTCGATTATATGTATTTTCATTTTGATATTCTAAACGCTCTTTTATCGCCGTAGCCAGCGTATCTAAGGAAATTCTTAGAAAACAACATGGCGGCTGATGTGCAACAATCAACAGCAAACGTTTGTTTAAAGTTTCTTTAAAGAATTTTAAAGACTATTTAATTAATCAAAATGAAAATATATTTTAATAAGTTTAATGTCAACTTCTTTATTTGAAAAGAAATTTTCTCTAGCGAAAGAAAATCTAAATATTTTCCAAATTATAATAAGTTTTTTTATTTCGTAGCTTCGTCTAATTGGTTTGGACCATAAAAAGCACGAAGGCCGCCTTCTACGAAGACCAAGAGCTCCAAAGTCCAAGGAAATAACTGAAAATAATTTAAAAGCCCTCGATCCACTACCTGATATACAATCGAATAGACAACTTTACCATATAGGAGAGGAATCTCCAGTTGCGTCGCATTTAGGAGGTTAACTGTCTAAATATATCTAAGAATTTCTAATTATGTTAATAATATGGTGATTTTGTACTTTTGGTAAAACAAACAGAAACAAACACTAGTATTGTTATATCACCTCCTCCACCATCGACCGACTTGTATCCATGTAATGCTGTACAAGTGCATTCATCTTCTGCAAATGCTTCGTCTTCAAAACCAAAGAGTAGGCAAAAAGCCCTAAATAGATTTTATCTCGATTCTTCTCATAGAGAACGAACTAATTTAGGTATAAACAGAATTTATTCTAGGTTATACTACAATATGAAATAAATAAAAATATTAATGTTTTCAGGCACATACGTTGAGGGAAAAGGGGAAGCATCGCTAGTTAAACCATGGAAACCAAAAGGTCCAGATGGTTTATATACAGTATTAAAACCGAGAAGGAAACCTCCGCCATTTCAAACAATTCCAATGGAAGATGAAGAGAGGTTTACAATAGAAATATTATTGTTTTTATATGTTATTAAATATATTTATTTGTAGATATTTTAGACCGCCAGATTTTACTCTGGAAGATTTTATGCGCAGCTTGTCAGATAGATGCAAATATCCTATTGAAAAAGTTGAAAATATCGTTTATTCAAAGCAAAATTACAAACGAATGATTCAAATTGTTCAAAAGATCTTACAACTAAATAAAAATCAAGAAATGATTAATAATTTTACAATGACTGGAGGTTTGCCTCTCTCTATATAATTGCTTACAGAGTACATATATATATATTTGTTACTTAATAGAGGAAAGTGGACTACCAGTTAGGGAGAGACGAAAGCCTAATAAACAATTTTTATTAGAAATTGCTCAAATGGTTAAAGATGAAATGGTTGCGAATGGCCTTATGGAAAGTGATGCTAAAACAACGATAAGAACCGTTAAGAAATTCGAGTTTGTGTTTAGAGTTTGCATTTATCTTAACTTTCCTAAGTTTTGTTTCCTACACTCTTTCTAGTCCCAAAGTACCAGGCGGAATGACTGCACACAGCGAGATTATAGTCTATGAAGATGATACAAAGATTCGTAGAGTTAAAGACATTGAAAGTAGAAGGTATGGCAAAAAATTTTCATTCTATAGACATAAGTTAGTCATTATCTATTTATATAAAAATCGTTATTTAGAGCAACAGAAGTGCCGACAAAAGAAGGTATTTTTAAAACGAATGTTTCAAGAACATTTATGGGGAGCGGTCGTTGTTCATCACCATTCGGTAATTGTTATTGTTTTTGTATTGTATTTCAATCATATTTTAATTTATTATTAATTAACTAGAAATGACTGGAGGTGATGCAGCTATAACACCTGAAGAATTGGCTGTTCTAGACGCACTGTTTTGCGGTGGCAGAGCTTTGAGTCTAAAAGCGTGTTTTATATCCTCCTTACCAGACATTGAACCTCTCTATTCAACCTTGACATACTTAAATTTAAGTTTTAATACCTTCATAGTAAGTTGTTTTTTGGACTTTAGAAGGTTTTCTATTTATTATATCATTTTTTTTCTTTAACAATAGGAAATTCCTAAAGAAATATTTGATTTAAGCCTGTTAACCACTTTAAAATTAAGAGATAACCCAATTAGGAGTATACATCATGAGATAGGACGTCTAAACAACTTAAGAGTATTTGTTGCATCTTTCTGTCTAATATCTTCATTACCAGTTTCGTAAGTAATGAATTTTCACTAGTAAAATACTTTATAAATATTGATATTTCTCTCAACAGCTTATTCATATTAGAAAGTCTTCAACATCTAGATGTTTCTTATAATAAACTGTCTTTCATTCCGAATGAAATTAAATATCTCGTGTAAGTAACTGCACCTCTATTTATTAAAAAGAAGACTAAAGAATGTATGCAACATTTTTATTTCTCTATAGAAATCTTAGAGAATTAAACGTTGAAGGCAATCAATTGCCGGCTATGCCTAGCGGAGCTTTAAACCTAACGAAGTTAATTAAATTAAATGTTCGTAATAATCTAATGCATCCGCTCTTCTGGAAGGAACATTCTAAAAATACACCCCAAAGATTGCTAGAATTAGCGGCAACGGCAATTGATAGATGGTCGTTATACTCAAGATATAATTTGACAGAGGAAATTATTGATATTTTGGAGAGGTTTGTTCTATGAATACTAATTGGTAGTTTAACTATATTTTTATTATACAATTACAGTCGACAACCTTGCGAATGTTGTAGTCAAGCTATGTATGGACCTGGTTTTCGAATTATAATACCAGTTATTAAGCTATTTGGTGTTAAAAATTTGCCATTCCTATTTAGAAGTTGCTCACCCATATGCCGAGATATGTTTAGGTATATAAATTAATTAGGTATAGTCAATAAATGTAAAAGTAACTGTTTAAATTTACAATAGATCTGATCCGACGTCTTTCGTCAACGTAATCTATAAATTAGCCAGTGAGGGAGAAGAAGAAGAAGAAGAAGAATAAACTCCAGTATTTAATATTATCGTTTATAAAATAGACAGTGCCAAGTCGATCTTAAAGTGTCAAGTGCAAAAATTTTTAGTGTTTATATTGTATATATAAACGGTGCTATTATACTTTATTATTTATATGCTAAATTTAATTTGAATTGTCTCTAATCCATTTGAATATAACTTTGCCAAATAAAAAAAAAGTGTATGGGAGGATTTAATATCTTTTTAAGTTCTTTTAAAATACTCTTCTTCTTCTTCTTCTTCTTCTTTTTCTTGTTTATTATTATTCTATTTTATAGGTTTTATAAATCTTTTAAGAGAAAAAAAAACAATAAGTTCTACTGTATTCTTTCTTATTTATTTCATATAGATATCTTATTTGATACGTAACGTACTTATGTAAAAATATTAGAGATAATTAATAATCTTTTACTGTCAAGGGTATGAATTTATACTTTTAACATTGAAATAAAAAATTAATGGGTCAATATGTGAAAAAAAAATTAAGAAACGTGACAGATTAGTTTCTTTTCTTTGGATAAGGATAAAACACATAACATTTCTTTATTAATCTATCGTATGATTGTTCAAAGTAGCTTATTTACTTCGTTAAGCCTAATTGAATAAGAATGTTAAGAATAATGGAATTAAATATAATTTACTTTTTTACCATAACAAAAGAGAAGAAGAGAATAATTAATAAACAGAATTTGATGAATTCAAATTTTATTTTATTTCCAGGTTATATTTATAACAATTAATATTTTGTATATTCCTAGTAGAGGACGAATATGTCTACAAAATACTTGTAATATTGAGCAACGATACTGAACACTGTCAATCATCGTAAAGAGAAAAAATTCTATAAAAACACACCATCATACAATATGGAATTAACGCACGTGACATTTGTTAATATTTCAAGTAATGGTTGCAAGCATTATTAACTTTATTCAGCAACAAATTAGCAAATAATAATTGGGAGTCTGAAGGCTATGCACAAACATACACATTTTTTTGAACAATGGCATTATAAGTAACTTTTTATGACAAGTACTTGACAGTAAATACAGAAGCTAGCTAATTTGTCAATGATTTTTAAATGGTATTTAGCCGGCTGTGTTTTATAACTATTGGAATATAAATTACACCCGTCAACTTTAAATCATCGAAATATCAACCTCCTATCAATCAATAATAATTGAAAATAACTCAATCAATCATCAGGAATAAACTATATACTTTTTTGATTCCAGAAAGTAAACAAACATAAAATAAAAGTGTTAGACTTTTATCTTAGAAAAAAAATATTCAGATCCAACTTCGATGTATAAAATAATTATTGATTGATTGATTGATTCATTCAGTTGATTTCGTCTTGCCTGCCAAAATTCCATTCAGTGTTGATAGATAATGAAAAATAAAAAAAAATGAGATTTTCGTGAATTATTTTGAATTTTTTTTTTCCCAGAAAGCTTTTTTTAAAATAAACTTTAAATTTTGTAGGTTTTTTTTTATTTCCTTAAGCACCGATTCGTACTACACACTGGTAGGGACTGTTCCTGCATAAATTACTTTTTACAGAAGAAATGAATAGAAAGAAAAACCCTTCTTTCAAATTTTATCACAGACTTTGTGCTACCTCCTAGTAACGACAAATACTGTTCCCTAGAGCTAAATGATTGAAGTACTATTGTTGATAATACTTTCCTCAATAGAATTCTCTGGAATGAATCCCAAAGCGGCCATAGTTGCAAAGCCAACAAATAGACAAATCATATTGATAATCGAAACACTCTTTTCTAGTTCTTCGTTTAGAATTTCAAAGAAGGTTACATAGATGAATGTACCTGTAGCTATACCTTGTAAAACTCCATTTATAATATTAACAGTATTTGATAATGTTCCCAATTCTGTTATTAAAGTACCAATGACAACTCCAAGAGGACCAACCAAACAACAAAATATAACGGCGACTATCAGTTTTGTTCTTTTAGTTTTGACATTAGCCAAATGCATTCCTAAGGAGAAGGCAATTACAATTTCGTGACACATGACAGCCAAAAACAAACTCCATACACCAAATACTGTGCTTTTTAAACCAATTGATAGTCCTTCAAAAATTCTATGAAGGGAGAGGGCAACCATTAGCAAAACAGATCTCATTTCATGAGGTTCATCAAGCTGTATATTAATATTAGTTTCACTTCCATTTTCAGGCTGTAATGAACCATTTAAGAGAGCAAATTGAGCTTTATCAACTGATTTTGATTCAACATTAGAGTTCATTATTTTATCATTTGTCTGCTTATCCGTATCGCATTTCTCAATTTTATGAAAAGATTTCTTATAATGAAGCATAATTGCTATCTTCTCGGTATACAAAACCAAAAAGAATCCCAAAGCAATAATAGTTTCGGCAACAGGATAAGTAATATGTCTGGGCCTTAGAAGAGCTTCATCCAAGATAAGGTTTACTTCAGGTAACATATGGAGAATAAAGGTTCCAAAGAAAACACCACCAGAAAAACAACTAAGACAGCTTAATACTGCTTTACCAGTAGTTCCTTTTCTAATGAAGATATTTTTCAATTTAAAAGGTAGAAACGTAAAAGCAATTGTAATCATAAAACCAGCAATGGCCGCTATAGTCTTAGCCACCCAACGTATCATGATTATCTGTATCTTCCGTCTGAAAAGAGAAATGAAAAGTTTCCCTTTGTTAGTCTGCCTAACAAAAAAGTTTCTATCAGTTCGTAAATCAGTTTTAACCAATACACTAACTGCTTCGATTTTTGTTAGTAAATTTTTATACTAAATATAAAAAGGGCCTTATGTCCAAAGTAGATTCCAAAGTATGGTTCTAAATAAAATTTTACCTCTCTGTGTCTAATTTCCGTTGTTTAGAAAAGTCGATTTCTTAAAAAAGAAAGCTTGAAAGCTTCAGTACAAATAAACAGAGATTAGATAACTAACGAGGCGTAGCTTCTGATAAGAGCGCATGAGACACAAAAATGTAAAGGGAGGGGGGGAGAAGACGGATAGAGAGATAGATAGGTGTATACTGTGCACGCATTTATATATATATATTACATAATAAAATAGAAAGAGAGAGAGACATATATATTATGTAAAACTCTAATAATAGCTCTTAAAATGTACTTATATCCCTTAATAACCTATTGGATAATTTATTCATTGCATTTGATACTTAAGACTTTATAGCAAAGAGAAAAATTCTAGAAAATACGTGAAAATAACGTTTTAGGTTAGGATCTTCATATATTTAGTTATCAGATAAACAAGAGTGAGTAACAATTTTCGAAAATAATTAAATATTATAGAAATCTAACTAGATAAAGAGATGAAATGTGAAGGAAGAAAGGTATGAAAAATTAGGACAAGTGTTATTTTTTTGTTATTTTGCAGTTAAAGAACTTAAGTTTCTTAATAGAAAGGAGAAAAAGCACTGATATTTTGTATTATTAAATAAAAGTCTTTTAACACTTAGCTCTAAGGAACAAATAGAAATAGAAAGGATACGCCACTGTTTAGAAACATACTTAATAATTGAAAGAAGTGCTTTTTTTATCATTTAAGAAGAAGTTTTACTATTTTTATAGTATAAAAATAATTCTGAAATATATTAATGTTTTACTCATACAAGGTTAGAGCCATGCCGTAAAGTTCATGACGAATCCGAAAGGTGACCTACAGACTATTAATTTCGTGAATAGCAAGACGGCGAAGAATATTAACAAATTAAAAAAAGAAATGAGTATCTGCCACCATGTTTATAAAATTGACGATTGGATGGTTGTAAAACACTTACATCTTTAACCAGATGAGCTAAAAAAACATAAAACTAGCCTCCATTAATCGGAGCGCCCAGTGAAATAGCAAAATATACCTTTTATCAGTTTTCGCCAGAGCTTAAATCAAAACTGGGTTTATAATTTAAGTATTTTCAAAAATATCTTTAATTTTTAAAATAGCTGATAATCAAATTATATAAGTGTGTTTTAATTGGAAGGAACACAATTATCTTTTGCTTTCTCATGATTACGCGATAAATTGTAAACTGGTTCATTTTGAGATAATAATTGGAGCTTGCACTCAAATTTTATTATGTCTTTCTATCGGAAGTCTATTTGGCTTCTTAAGGGACTCAGAGAATATACCAGGTAAATCTAATATTTGATGAGGAATCATGCGCATTTTCAATTTTTCTTTAGAACGGGATATGAAAAAGCAAGTAAGAAATTTACCTCTTCTGATCTAGAAGTTGACTGTACTGGCAAGGTATATCTTGTAACTGGAGCAAATAGTGGAATTGGCAAAGTTTCAGCCTTTAATTTTGCCAAAAGAGGTAAAACATTTAATTCATTTCAACATTTACGAATTATATTAAAAACAGGAGGCACCGTATATCTTGTCTGTAGAAATAAGGAAAGAGGAGAAGAGGCGCAAAGAGATATTATAGAAGTTACCAATAATAACGTACTTAATCTCATATCTATTGATTATAGTCTTCCTTTTTTTCGATTTTTTTACGTTCAACTTAATTACAGAATGTTCATTTAAGAATTCTGGACATTTCTAATATTAAGGAGGTGATTAAGTTTGCTAAAGAATTCTGTGAAAACAACGAAAGACTGGACGTATTAGTTAGTATTTCATCTGTCCTATTTCGTAAATGAGTAATATGTATTTCTTCTTTCATTTAGGTGAATAACGCTGGATGCATGTTACAAAATTTCCCAAAAACAGAAGAAGGCCTTGACACAAATTTTGCGACAAATACTTTAGGGCCGTTTGTTTTGACTCATGCATTATTACCCTGCCTGAAACATAGTGATCATGGTCGTGTAATTATGGTATCCTCCGGAGGGATGCTTGTGCAAAAATTGGACGCAAAAAACCCGCAATTAGACGGCTTATCGAAATATGATGGAACAATGGTTTACGCTCAAAATAAAAGACAACAAATTGTGATGACTGTACATTTTGCCCAACAATATCCTGAAATATTCTTTTCTTCAATGCACCCTGGTTGGGCAGACACACCTGGTAGGTGTCTCTTTCTTATTTTTTTATTGTTACATATATTTTTTATTAATCGGCAGCTGTTCGAAGCGCTATGCCAGACTTTCACAGACGTATGAAAGACAATCTACGAACAGATGAACAAGGTGCAGATACTGTCGTATGGCTAGGAATTGCTGATGCAGCCTTGAAGCAAGGAAACGGATTATTCTTTCAAGATAGAGTGCCTGTTTCAACTCATCTACCATTTGCTAGTACAAGAAATAGTGATGAAGAAGAGCAAATGTTTATGGATTACTTAAATAATCTTTCAGCAACTTTAGGCTTTACAGTCGGTTTACATAAATTATAATGTATTTTATACCTTGTCTGAAATATTGTTCCAAACAAGATTGGCTGTAATTTTGCTAGATTTTAATACAAAAGCATGTTCTATTCCAGACTTATCTATATATATATGGGCTGTAGGATAAACTTTTTGCATTTCTTCTGCATATTCAATTGGACACCATTTGTCTAGTGCGACATAGAAGAAAAAGAGCTTTTCCAGATGTTCTTCTATTAACTTGTGGTCAGGTTCAAAAATTGAACTGAGCTCTTCGTAAGCCAAATTTAGTGAATTCCTAACGCAATAAGGCGTTAAAAACTTTGCTGTTGCTGGAATAGCCTGAGGTTCTACTCCACCAGAAAGCCTTTGTAAAGACATAAATTAAACTCTTGATATATTATAAACAGTAAAAAACAACAAACCAAAAATTTAAAGCCACCATCCTCTTTCTCATCGATTCCGAGAAACAGTACAAAGGAAATAGGATTACAGGAGCCAATAATCTACCATAGTTAAGTAGAGGCCAAAATCTTTTTCCATTAGGAGAAGTTTTCATTCTCTCTATTGTTGGAGCCAGTAACGCAATTTTGACAACTCTTTCCTTAGGCAATACTCTAGCCATTTCTAGGCACATTTTTCTAATTGTATACATAACTTGTAATTGGAGATATATTGTATTTAAAATACTTACGCCCCAATGGAATGTCCCATTAGAATAAGCTTTGATTCTGGCTTCAAGTATTTTTTGATAAAGTCTAATTTATGTTGAACTTGGCCTTTTAGGTCAAGATAATTCTTGGTAGGTGAATCTATAAAAAAGTTCCCTAAATCATTTTATTGAATTAAATGAATTTAAATAATATTTACCATCAACTTCAACATGCTCTGGAACGGAAACATGGCCAGCCAAATTTATACAACATATTGGTAATTTAAAATTACTTAGAAAATACAGCTGTTGAATAAATGCTGTATAATAATAAGGAACTCCTGGGTTGCCTATAGAAAATTTAACATTAAAAATTGCTAATAAAATTACAAATTGTAAATATATGACTTTACCAGTTATCAATAGGCCTACTAATGAAGAGTCTTTAACTTGTCCCGCTGAGAGAATGCAAGTTGGCTCACCATTTACCAAAATCCAACTTTCCTCCATGCCTGCTGAAACTCTGTAGAAAAGAAAATTCCAAAAATAAAAGTATGAAAATTTCCTATCAATTCAATTGAATTTAGAGCAAAGGTCAGCGCTTAGGCCTTAATCAGTGATAATTTATTTTTTTAATAAAGAACAGATATGAGTTAACATTCAATAAATGGTACATGTTCGATTATCCAGTGGTAAAAAGTTGTTGCCATGGCCTTACTATCTTCTAAAACAAATGCGTGTTGAAACCCCTTTTTACATTGTATAATAACACCATCGGGATGCTTCTTTTTCATGCAATCATATAAACTCTGAGGGCACCAATGGTCATTAAGTCCATAATACATCATCAATTTTTCCAAATGTTTTTCAATGCTGTCATGATCAGCTTCTTGAATTGTCCTCAGCTCATTTGCTCCCAAATAAAATATTTTTCGAACACATGAAGGATCAACTAGCTGTAGAGTAGCTTGTATGGCAAATTCTGATACGTTAAAGCCTTGCAAACAAAAATAGATAGAAGCTAGACGTCTCTTTATAAATTCAGGTAGATAATACAATAAATATGCGGGGAGGGGAATACACCAACTTAAATAATTAACAATAGGCAAGCACGTACTGCCCATAGGAGACTTTGCTAGATGCTCCATTGTTGGAAAGAGAAGGCAACATTTTAATATCTTTTCGTTCGATAAACAATTTAGTAAACGCACTGCTATCAGTGCACCTATTGAATGCCCTATAAGAATTAGACGTGCATCGTTGGGAACGTGTTCCTGAATGAATAGTAGTTTATGCTTAGTTTGGCCGTCGACATCATAGAAATCTTCATAAATGCCTGAATTGTTATATAGACAAAAGAAGAGATTTTAAATTTCTGGTGTTTTGAAAATAATCTTTGTTTCAATATTTTAAATAGAAACAAATGTCTTCTGCTTACTGCCTTTATTCACTTGTTCCAATCTTGGAATTGAAACATGACCAGCATGGCCTACAACCCAAATAGATATTCTCTCTTTAAATAATTCAAAGATAGTTAACACAAATTCTTCATAATATCGAGGAATGCCGGGGTTGCCTGTTAAGGTGTTGAATGATGTAATTAGACCCAAGTAATTATTGATCAATGTTTTTATTTATACAAATGACACTACAACTTACCGGGTATAATTACAATAACAAATCGTTTGTGAGTGTTAATTTGACCAATTTTTAAAACATTAGTGGGTAAGCCAGAAACGCTCAACCAATGCTCAGTTAACTTACTACACATCTGAAAAAACTAGTAGAAAAGCGAAATCTTAAGAACTAGTCGATAAAAGGGCTAGTGACAGCGATAAGCAAAGTAGTGTTACTTTTAATCAGTAAAAATGAGTAATTACCTCAGAAATATTAAGATAAGATGAATGACACCGTTGACTTGGTTAAATGCTAATATCAGATGTATTAAATAGTGAAAACATTGATTAAATAAAAAAATCGATTTCTGGTAAGAACCAGTCTCCAACCGGTCATTTGTGTTAAACAAAGCTGATGGCGCCAATTATATTAAATTTATTTAATCCACAAACAGTATGTGTTTAAAGAGAAATAGAAATTAACTTGATATCAATTAATTTCCTTTATTAATATTATATAAAGAATATTAAAAAATCCTCACATTACAGTTAAAAGAGTTAGCTACAAGATTCTGAAGTGCAATTTTGTTTCTGCCATAATAAAAGGAAAAATGGACAATTTTTCTTAATTATTCTTTTCAACTATTCAGAAAAATGTCTGGGATTTTCTTTTCTTTTTTTATAATTCTCCATCACGTTCCAGATATCCTTTATTCTCGGCGTGACTAATAAGTTGTCTTAGAAATTCTTTATTGTCTAGAATGAATCCACGATGCTCTCTGACAAATTGAACAGCCCCAATAGGACCCAATTTATTTAATTCCATTATATACGCAGTAACCATACATCCACTTCTATTTACTCCCATTTGACAGTGAACATATATTTTCCCATTTGACGCTCTGCAATCTTCTATAAAGTCAAATGCATCTGGATAATGCTGCATCATATCGTAGTTGTAACAGTCTTCGGCGCAAAATTCCATATATTTAACATTCATTTCACGTTTAGCATAGAAAGCCTCGTCTGTGTCTACTTCCCCAGCAGCACAATTCAATATATGACTTATGCCTAAATTCGTTAGTAGCTTAGTATCTGAAGCAACTTCGGCACCACCCATATAAAGGAAAGGTAAAATCTGGGAAAAATTGCTACCTTTTGTGTAATTGCTCTCATATCCTCTTGCATGTGTCTTACTAGCTATTTTCTGAATGACATTCTTTATGCAAGAGTCGTTTTTAATATCTATTAATATTAGTTTAAAAGAAAGTTAAATAACGAATAAAGTTATAACTGTGAAATAAATAAAAAAAACTAACAAAAACTCACCGCTCATTTTGAAGTGTGGTTTTTTTCTCTTTTTTTGAAGTTTACCAATTTAAAATATTGACACCACTTTTTCCCACGTTTAAGTATATATTTTAAGTTATAATATTGAAGAAAACGATTGAAAAGTAGTTGTTGAACAATATGATATTCAATATAGTTGAGCAATACGGTAATTTATCACTCTATCATAGAAGTTTGTAACGGGATTACCAATTACTTCATCTGCTGTTTACGCCCTAGCATGTTTACAAAAAAAAACTGGACACTGCAAATGTTATATTCGTATTTAAAAGAATATTTTATTTATATTGTTCAGTGTATCAAAATATCGTATGCGAATATCATTGAATTAATAATGTTTAAGGTCTGAGAGTCATTGATTTTTAAGAATTCGAATTTTTAAAAAATGTGACGTCACTTCTATTTATTTCCGGTCGGGAGATGGAAAAGCTCTACGGAGTACCATTTTTGTTTTTGCAATGCCCTAATCTTAAACTCAAAAAACCAACATGGCTGAGGAGACCGTCACCTATGACAGTTTTTGGGTTTGTCCTTTTTTCGTACTTTTTAGTAACTGGAGGTAAGTTTAGCCGAAATACGGCTGATCGATAATATGGTATTTAGAATGTTTTTTCAACAGGCATCATTTATGACATCATAGTTGAGCCACCTAGCATCGGTTCTACAACTGACGAAAAAGGAAATAGTAAACCAGTAAGCCAATTAACATTATGTTTTGAATATGTATCTAACGAAGATGCTTGAAATTTTTCAGGTTGCATTCATGCCATATAGGGTGAATGGTCAATACATAATGGAAGGATTAGCTTCTAGTTTCCTCTTCAGTTTGGGTGGGCTAGGATTTATTATTTTAGATCAAACAAACAAACCACTCATGCCAAAGCTGAATAGAATATTACTTCTATCAGTTGCATTCGTATCTATTCTTATTTCATTCTTTACTGCCAGAGTCTTCATGAGAATGAAATTACCGTAAGTACTAACAACGCCTTAATTTTGTTATACTGACTCATTTTTCTTTGCTTTTTTCTATTTCCAGAGGTTATATGCAATCTTAAAGTTAATTAAAAAGTTGTTTCACAATCGTGATCAATCAACATTAAATGTGTTTATTGTATTGTTAACGTTTTGCTCCATCATTGTGTTTTTTGTTTTAAAACTTTACCATTGTTCACCTTTCTTTCTATCTTGATATTGAATTTTGAATAAAAGTAACATTCAACCTTTAGGCTTCATATATTTTAACTACGACTGTATATTATTGATGAGAGAACATGCGTCGTTAAGTTAAGCCGTGAGAGGTCTCTAGTTAAACACATGATACTTTGCCAGTAAACAAAGAATTTAGAATTGAACAAGCAGCCTTCAAAACATTTGGTACAGCATGGAACCGATTAACGAAAATAAGACTATGAAAGATGTTATAAAGCAGGAATTCATCGACTATCTCAAAAATACTTCTATCAAAGGAGTCTCTAGGATTTTTAAATCAGAAACAAAACTGCTGAAAATAATTTGGATATTTGCAGTCCTTTCCTTTATATGCGTTGGTTTGGCATACGCTGTTGCCCTAACTGTGGAATATTTTAAGGTGAAAAATATAATTTTAATAAATATTCCTACAGACTAATCAACTATGTTCATCAGTATCCTACAGTAACATTAATGAAGGAGATAGATTCAAAAGATGTAATCTTTCCATCCGTAACAATTTGTAATTTACAACCATACTCGGAAAATAAATTAAATCATATACGAAACGTAGTAAAGCAACCTATTCCAAATATGGGTCAATTTTTTCAGTAAGATAATAATTAATATACTTTTCTTTTCCTACCTGGAGAATTCACTAAAACATTTACTTTCAAATTCTAGGATACTTTATCAGGTACTTGCAAATACACCAGCCCAACTTAAGAGCATGCTAGAATCTCTGTTATCTGCGAAAGGGTACTATATGTATCTTGGACAAAAATTAGCAACATCTATTGGTTATGATGCTTCAGATATTATTTTGGAATGTAATTATGTTTATATAAATGGCAGTAAAAAGAAATTAGCTCCCTGCAGCAAATATGGCAAAATCAGGTTAAGTAACCAACCAAACTATTTTAACTGCTTTACAGTTCAATTGAGTAAATCAAGTCCTCTTTCTAAATCCGTTGTTGGTTTAAATATGGTTTTACATATACCAAATTACGATACAGCTTCCTATCCTTATACTCCTTATGTTAGTACAACACTGGGGAAATCAGGAAGAATTCAGGTATAAAGTATTTCAACAACTAAAACAGAATAATATTTTATTCTATACTATTGAAAGATACATGAAGATGAGTCCTATAGTAATGTAGAAGCGTATGGTTTATCATTTTTGACTGGAGAGGAGACTTCAATACGAGTAGGCACTCTTATTAGGACTAGGTTGGAGCCACCCTACGGAAAATGCAATTCCAAGTATCCAGCAAAGTATAACGTCAGCGACTATAATAAATATCCAGTAAAGAAGACATTTCCAGCGTGTGTTGGTGCCTGCCTACAACATGAGATATTTAACAAATGTAATTGTACTGATCCAAATTTTCCAGTTCCTAAAATATCGCTAATTGATCAAAAATATTGTCAAACTTTACCGAACGATATTAGTCAAGTAGGCAAGTTTATTAATGAGGTGAAATACAAATAGTTTATGAAAAGGAAAATACTAATTTTTAATGAAAGTCTTCTATATTTCAGTCAATTTGCAGAAATACCGTGTACTTTAAAACTGTTAACGATTGCGTAAGTAGCATTTGCGATCAAACATGCAGTTTTCAATCGTATAATCTTCAAGTTTCAACTTCAAAATGGCCAAATGATAAATTGGACGCTTATGAGAAATATTTGCACAAGACAAATTTTAAATCTTTCTATCAACTTTACGAAAATGCCATCAATATTAAAAGAAAAAACGCAACAGAAGCGAACTCTCTTATTCAATTTGACAATTTGTTAGGAAATAATATAGCAAGATTAAAAATAAGGTCTGAAAGAGATAGTGGAGTGATGCATGTCGAAGATGTTCCAAAATTTATATTTACAGACATTTTCTCACAAATTGGTGGTGTGTTGAATTTATGGGCTGGGATAACTGCTCTATGCGTTACTGAAATTTTAGAGTTACTCTTTAATCTTATTACTGTGTGTAAACAAAGATAAAAATATTGAAATAATACATTTCTTTTTACATGTTACTTTTTTATATATAATTACAGTGACGTCACAAAGGCAGGACAGGTCATGAATTGTTACGGTTATTGCCTTTCAGACAATATAACGGGCTGTAAATTGCTTTCTTTTTTCTCTCAAACAATTGATTTAAAGAGAAGAGAAATATCTATAATGCATTATTATCGCTATATTTTGAATACTTGCATATTAAACTATAAATAAAAGTTGATTTAAATTAAATTAATACTTAGTAAATATTTCACTAGTTCTTTCAATTAATACAAAGTTAAGAAAGCTTTATTAAGTAGATAAGAATCAAGACATTTTACGTAAGGCTGAACAGATACGTAAATGAATAGAAAAGAATGAATATTAGCACATAAGCGAACACTATAAATTTATACAAAGTTTATATAGACAAAATATTGTACATAACGATATAATTCTATATACTCTGATAGTCTTCTATAGTTTGTTTAATTGACTCCATAAAAGCATATTTTACTCATTATCTCAATGTTCTCACTTCTACAACCCTTATTCGATTTTCATTTGATCCTATAAGTAACCTGTATTATAGACAAAAAAAATTTACAAAATTGTTTAGTTGCTGTATTTTTGCAGTAGAGATATTTAAAGTATAATATTTTACCTGTAGAAGAGTTCAAAGAATTCTACAAAGAGAGCAAAGGTAACGCCTGTCCAAAGATTAAGGATACCTCCAAATTTAGAGAAAAAATCAAGAAACTTCGCCTTTGCTTTATCACTGATAACTTTACTACCCTTATGAGATATCCAATTAAATTTAACCTAGTAAATGTCCGTATTAGATAGACTTATATTAATTTCCTAACTATCTCTACCTTGATAAGATTATTCTCCAGCAAATCCGACACAACACTATTAATATTAGTTGCATTTTCATAAATTTTAAAATATTTTCCCAATGGATGAGGTTTTATGAATTGTTGATATAGATTTAATACACTAGATTTAATGGGCCAATCAGATTTGCTTAAAAGATTTGTGTATGATTTCGATCTACATCTAGGAATACATGTATACAAAGATCCCAATTCTTCGTATACCTTTTGTCTAAAAAATGAACTCGTTATATTTATCCCTTACTATTAATAATATACTATATATTTTCACTTACATGCATCGAGAATTTTGTAAAATATCACGTAAATTTTGTATATTGAAAACTTCATCCATCTTATGACAGAAGGAAACATTTGCCGATGGTTTGTAAATCTTTTAAAGAATATTGGGATTATTTATCATAAGATTAGGAATATTTTACTTGTCATACCAAACTATGAACGTCTTGACATTTACATTTCGATATGATGGAATCGTGTATTTTTTTTATTTCGCATGTACTAACTGAATATGCTATTTCACTACCTGCAAAATCTCTATAATCTTTAAGTCTCTCTTCGTCTGTACAATCTCCATATGGTTTTCCTTGGCGTTTCCGTTCTTCAACAGTACTATAAACCGATGTGAAAGTGTTGGTACTCAACGTAAGACCATTTAAACTCATTGACGGTGCGCCATATTTATCATGTATCTATAAAAAATTAATGTTAACAATGATTATTAATTAACGTGATATAGAATTTAAAGGTTACAGCAAACACTGCTCCTCTTGACTGAATAATATCGGATTTAAAATGGTCGGCTATATGTAATAATACTGTCATGGCATCTACACCTTTATTACTATTTTCAGCTTTCAGGTTGATGCTAAGAAAACATTTAAATAAATACGAATATCTCCTTACTAAAGTATAAATATCTATTTACTTATAACAATTTAAATATGGTGGCTGTTGAGTAAGAACAATATCTCCAAAATCTTCACATTTCCTCTTGATTGTCAACTCTCCATCTAGTTCAATATAATTACAATCAATTATAAAATCATTTTTTTCAAATCCAACCTTTAGAAAAAAAACAGAACGTATTTAATGATGATTGATGATATAGGTAATTTATCTTATTTACCCTTTTTGCGTTTTCAATGCCTAGAAATGAAAAATATCCACCAATATCTCTTAGAGAAGTTTTTAATTCTTCTCTATCAGAAGTATTTAACTCATGCATTTTTGATACGTAATAATCAACCTTTGAAAAGTATTCTTCAGGTTTTATATAGCCATATTTTTCTATCTAATAATTAAGTCATGCAAAAAAGAAGTATGCTAAATATTAAGTTGTTACAAAAGGAATAACAAAATTACCCTATCATAGTCGAATGGTTGAATGTTACATAACGTTATTGATGGAAATACAGTACTACCCTGACGTTGTTCATTTATAACGGTTATTGTTTCGTATTTGAGATAATCAAGTAACGAATATATAACCTATGAAATTATAATTATTGTATAAAATATTGGTAAATTCATTGACGTAATCAATTAATATTTAATTAAATGTAAGCTATTTTTTGACATACTTGGAAAAAAGCAGTTGCAAAAAATCCAATAATTGACATTGCCCATAGTATTCTTAAAAATGTATTTCTAACTTGAAATACCTTTGGAACACCCTAAAATAGAAATAATTCTATATTAACAAATAGCAAAACTGGTATAAATGACATTTTATACCTTAATTGAAGTCGTTTTCAAAAATTTTGTAAGCTCTTCTTTTAGATGTACCATATTTACTCTTCTTTTTCTACTACTTCTTCTTCTTCTTCTTCTTCTTCTTTATATTTGTCTCCTACTTTCTCTATTCTTTACATATCTTTTCTCAATATCTTACTAATAACTCTAACAAACTTTAGAGAGAGAAAAAAAGAGAAAATGCTAAATTAGTATTCAATACTAAATCAAGGATAAGTAAATTTCTTAATCAATAAAAAAAATATGATCAAATATAATTGTATTTTTGAGTAAATAGTTAAACTTTATATAATATATTAAAGACATGTATTTAAGTATGTTTTGATAGATTAATACGTACATCTAGCATAGGCCAACCTTTTGGATCAGTCGTTCCGGAGTGCATTAAAGAATATTGTTCTATCACTGTCAGTATAAGTTATTGATAGTTCAATGAATTTTTAAACAATAGCGGCAGAGTCACCTAGTTAGTAGGGTTTGGTGTGTATAAGTTTTATATTGAATTAGTGTATATCTATATTTTTCAATTGTGTTTACGCCATCTACTGGATAGCTACCTATTCAGTTTAAATGTCGCAAAAATCGGATTCGAAAAGTTATTAATAGCTAAAGATAAAATAGAAATTGTAAAAGTGACTTAAATAAATTGGATGAATAATCAGAGTTGTCTGCTAATTATAACAAATGAAACAGCAAATATTAGTTGACAATTTCAATAGAGAACTCTTTTCCTTCTTTCTGTCAATATACAGCGTCATTTTATAATAAAAGTATATACTCACTAGATGAGATAAAAGATAACGCATAAGATAAAGAGTAATTTTATTAATAGAAAGAGTGAATAGGGAATAACACAAGATATATAACGGATGACGGTTTAAAACTTTCAAAAAAAGTAGACACATGATCCACTTTAAATTCAATCTTATTCCCAAGTCAGCCTTCATCCCTACTAGCATATCAGTGTGAAAGGTTGATATTTAAGATAACCTTTGAACTTTTTCCTTTCTAAAAGTTCCTGTAATTATTTCACAATAAAGAAATAAGGTATTATCCTATTTGTTTTCTATCGATTATTTAATCAATAAAATAAAGCATTGTAACAAATAAAATTATAAAAAAAGCATGAGATGTAGATAAAAAAGACAGTAATAACAGAACACATATTTATGGAAGGTAAGAAGAAAACCTAATTGTTTTTTATAGAATTTCATGTATACGAGAGTAAATTAATATCGTAGCATCCGTCCACCTGTAGAATACCAATAAGACATCTAAGAAACATACAATTACGCATTGGTATTTGATTACTTACGTCATATCTTCTTATACTAGTTGAATTGTTTGAACAACTTTTAGCTAATTGAGACGTTGCCATAAGATTTTGCATTTCCTTTGATAATTCTTCAACATTTGGTCCATTCTTTTTTTAAATAAGATGAAAAGTTTAATTTATTAAATAATTACATAATTAAAAGTAAAAAACTTACATCAAAAGTCTTAATCTTATTATCAGTAATATCATTTAACCATCCGGGCAATTTAACTTCCTTTGGTATCTATATTTCGATCATGCAAACATATTAATTAAATGATAGATTAATAAATTTTTCTAATTAAACTTTATCTATTAATATTTTGTAACTTACGAATAAAGATGCTTTATAAAACTTTAATTCTTCTATACGAAACTCTTTCCAAACTGGCGATGGTTGTCGTATTATTATTCTTACTGCTATTACATTTATTAAATCAAATAGAACCTATTTGAAATAAATAATGAATATTTATAAGGAATTAGTAAAAACAATCATCAAGATAATTATGTATATTTTTTAAATTACGTGCTGTTTTCCTATTACAAAGTATTCTTCGGCTGCTGTATCTGAATGAGGATCTGGCATTAATTGATAGTTGTTTAGACAGGTTTTCCATTTGGAATCGGTCGATGTACCCTCTTTCTCTGTAGTTCTTGTTCTAACTTTAATAGTTAAATTTGCTGTATAAAAATTCTTAAAGTGTATCTCTCCTATCTGTTTAAAAATAAATAGAAAAAAGGAAGAAAGTATTGAATAATGCGTCCTTTTTGATAAATATTTTTTGGTTTTGCTTTTTTACCTCCACATAAAAAACATTTGGAAAAGTTACATCAATCACGTGACACCCTGTTAAAAATTCAACTTTATGATCACCAATTTTTATTGGTACAGGAGGCTTAATGGTACAAGAAATAGGATTTGTTTGACTCATATATCCATTGGCGCTCTCCATGTTTTTGTCGTCTGCTAAATCTCTAAGTGAACTATACTGCCATCTACTTATATAGTATGTCAATAAAGAGATGAGACTTTAATTAATAAAAATGTATTATATAGATAGAAAGTTTACATATACGTATAAAGCGTATAACTATACAAAACTTAGTTAATAAAATAATATACATTTATAAGACAATTTACAATGCAAAACGAGAAACAACATAAAGTACAGAAAAAGAAATTATTTTTTAAATAAATATAGATATAATTTATAGTTTGCAATTAAATACTGTATAAGAAAGAAGACCCCATACTCAGTCTAATATACAATTTTATCAGTTCATTAAATATCTTTTACATATTCCTGATAGAAATTTCTGATACGTCGAAAGCTTGTGATCCTTTACTGACCCAGGTCAAACAATAGTGTTCTAATAATTGGTCCAAAAGTCCTTTTTCATCGAAACGCTCAAGTTTCTCCAATCTAAATAGTAATTGTATGCTTTTAATATTACTAACAACACAAAAACCTATTATATTACAAGGAAGAAAAAACTAGAAAATGCATCAAACCTCTGCGTGTCCACTTGCGGTAGGTTTCTATAAACATCAATCATCTTCATACACTCTACATGATTCCATCCGTTTTGCTCAAATCTAAAGGCAATAGTTAAAAAGTTATAACAATAATTGTTTATATAGTTTATTGTTTGTTCTATTGCATACCTATCAACTTGAGTTTGTAAATTTTGACATGCTCGAACTCCCTGTAATTCGGTTCCTCTTTGTCTCAAATTTGTAATCATAAGTTCTCCAAATCTATCATTCATATTTACTTGTTCATAATTGATAAATGCTGGCTTATCAAATTCTTTAGCTATCCACTTTAACAAATTTTCAGAACAATCAACATCCATATAAACTAGTACACATTCAGATATAAACAAAGTAGGCAAGTTCTTGTCTATAAAGCAAGCTTTCAACTTTTGTTCTAACTGTTTAATTTCCCTCAAATCGACTGCTATTAAATGATAATCGAACGCGTGTATTTCTGTCTTACTTAGTTGAATATCATCATCTGCCAAAAGGATAAAAATTTAATAACTTTTTCTAATACTTTTCTTAGTATTTTAAGTTTTTAAAATTGTTTATAAACAATCACATAGTGAATATATATATACTTTGTATACAATAAGTATTTTTCTTTCATATACATAAAAGTACAGATTTTGATAAATAATTCAATCGAGGGAAATAGTAATTATGAGCTTTGAAGATATAATAAATGTCAACTGTCTTTTCGATGTTTTGAACATTTACTATCTTTTACAAACCTTCTGATTGCAATTTACCCAATAAGTCACACTGTTCTTTGATTGCACGACATTTCTTCATTGTAACATTTGGAAAATCAACTTCTATATATGATCTAGGTGATAGATTCTCATCTTTAAGATTCCAATAAGTTGTATCATAGCCAGCTCCTAGGCTAACAATTTGACAATTTCTATTTACACTCTGTTTACGAAATGTTGTTGTTTAAGTGTAAAAATTATGAGATTGATATTTTACTCACTTTAATAAATTCTTTCAATAAATACCGGATAGAATGAACTCTTGCATAGTAACCAATACTGATTTCGGGAGATTTTCGCTCAGTTTGTTTATAAAAGTACAATATATACGGATCATTCCAATAACCTCTCTGTATTGCAAAGCTTTTTGAGCAAGATGCGTCATCATTCGTGAATTGAACAGCTTCGTCGTTAAACGACATTGATAAATTTTTTCATAAAATTACTCTGGAACAGTTTTATATAATATGAAAGAGTAACCGGAAGTAGTGAAGCACACTTTCGTATACGACCTTGATAAATAACACAGATTCTCTGCTTAATTATCAAAATTTTTTATTTATTTTCATTATTCGAATAAAACTGTTATTAGTCAGTTTTCTCTGTTTTGTACGAAAACCTCATCAAAGAACATGACCGTTGTGCGGTTACGGTTGACTTTTGTAAAATACAACAATTAACTTATCTCTTTATCACAAACAAAGTTATTGAGGTTTCTGAAATTTAGAATTCCAAATGTAAGTTACTTTTTTGTTTTCACTATGTTAAATATTTTACAGTTGCTTGGATCATTAAATAATTTCTTTGTTTAATGGGCGATAATAAACTATAAATAATTACGCAATATATGTTTACTACGTTTATCGAATTCCAGGGCCTAGACGCTTTAGATAGTAAAGCAGAACAAAGATATTATTATCAAGCTAATGGCTATATGATTTATTTTCGAAGAAGTGCGCGTAAATGTCTGTATTATCCAAGTGAAAATTATATAATCTATACCCTTTTTTTATAGGCCTATAAAATAAAATGGTTGACGCAATAAGAAATTTTTCTACTTGGGAAAATCATTCGAATTTTGATGCTAGCAAAAAAAGTTGGTATGCAAATTGGGGAAAATCAAATGGAGTATCTACTGGTGGAATGGGAAAAGTTTTACACGGTCAGCCACCATCTCGTCGCAGTTTTGAAGATAAAAATCGCTCAAGGCCAAACTACAATAACGAGGTGCGTTCTAAGACTTTCAAATTAATTGATAAGCGGTTTAAAATTATGTAATCGTTTCTTTTTAGGCCCAGGATATTGAGCCCGCTTTTAAAGTAAAGCCATCCTATATACCAAAACAAATTATGCATCGACCATTTACTGGGAAGTGTTGCTCATGCTTGCCTGTCAGTCGAGTTAGTATTTCTAATCTAAATTCTTTTTCTATATTTCCTTAATATTTTATTGCTGTGGATTAACTATAAGTAACTCAAAAAAAAATCATGGCTGTTTTGTTTTTGTTATTTTTGAAAAGAAGAGATATGATTGTTAAACAATCAGAAATAAGCGAACTTGTTGTATTCAAAACATCTCTAATCGTAAATGGTTATTTACTAGGATTTATCATGTTACATTTATATTCTTTGTAAAGTATCTGTGATTTCAGCCTGTATATCAAATTAAGTAGGCCAAATCAAAAAAACTTAAGGTGGTGTGATACGGTTTTGTACGAGATATAGGCTGGTATCCTACTGACTTCCGAGTACTTTGGATGTACTTGGAGTTTTAAAAAGTTCTTAAAATTTATCAGAGATTGTTGTTTACCAGTATCAGGTTGTTAATCGATGAACCTTGGATAAAGTATATAAATATATACTTTTAAAATTAATATATCCTATTTCCGACCTTTTAACTCAAATCGGATGATTACTGTGAGATAGTCGATTGCGCGGCTCGATAAAATTTTAGCGATAACCGGTCATTGTTAAAGAAAAAAAAACTAGGAGAACGCCAGTCTATATTCGTCGCGCAGAGTTGCAGACGATTTAACGATTTTTTCTACGTGGTACGAGTAGAGCATCTGGTCTGATAAATGACTGTTCTTTATGCTGTTTAGTCGATGTTTCGTAAAAATCATAAGAAAAAAGGCTTTAACCTAGTAAATAAAGGATAAAATGGACTGGCAGGACGTAAATTTTACTACTATAGTACCAATAGTCGTAATAGCTGGCAGTGTACTCGTTATATTTGATGTTTTACACGATGTCTTGCATGCAGCTTGGAGACCATTTGGAGATAAATTGGCCGGTATTATTTTCAATACGCCTAAGGTGCTTTTTCTTAAATCTTCAAATGAAAATTTGGCCATCATTTTTATTCAATTTTTATTATTTATTCATTAATAATTTTAATGATGTAATATTATTATTTTATTTTAGTCTGCTTTCCTTACCGAAGAGATGGAAAAGAAGCAGTTATTTAATTTAATCGATGTTTCTACAACACAAAACAAAAGCATGTTGACTCGGAAATTTTCTTATTTGGCTTTTGCACTACAAAAGAAAATGCCCTTTACCTATCCAGATGTATCACACGAAGTGCTGTCAAGTTCTCGGTAACTAAACTCTTATTAGTTATATAATTGATTATTCCATTATTCTTTTTTCAATATTACTTCATGACATACTTTCTTGAATACATACAATGCTTATATATTTAATATATATCAATATATATCAATATATATATATATATATATATATTTATTCAACAGCGTCCTTGATGCCATCAAAGAATCAGCTTTAAGAGATTGTCCAGATAATGATAACGACTTAGAAGATTCACAATTAGAAGAACAAATCAGAAAGCATACAAGAAGAGCAAGAAAAATTATAGATGGAATGCAAGCGCGGATTTCAAATGCAATGCTAAGGTATTAAGAGCTATTACTTAGCTACATGATATAATCATTTTTTTTTTAAGTATTAAAAAAAATTATATTTTATTTTATCTACATCACGTAGGCTCGCCGGATGGTTTCTTCATCATTTTTTTAACAAATTGGTATCATCGGTCACAGTTCACCAAGGTCAAGTTGATATGCTTCTTGAGGCAGCAAAGGTTGGTTCATTATCAATGCTTTATATGATTAAAGAAAGAAATATCTTGTCTTTTCGATAGCAAGGAAAACCTATCATTCTACTTCCAACACACAAGAGTCACGTGGACTACTTATTAGGTAAAGAGAACTAATATAAATTTTTGTATTAATGGAAACCTTAATGAACATTCCGAAAAATCCTTGAAAACAGTTTCATGGCTACTATTCAAGTACGGTATTAAAGCACCGCACGTAGCAGCTGGCGATAATTTATCAATACCCTTTTTTGGTTGGCTCTTGAACGGTCTTGGCGGTTTCTATATACGGCGGAAACTTGACCCAAAAAACGGAGTGAAAGATATAGTTTATCGATCAGTCTTACACGTTGTAAGTTGAGGATTATTTTAAGGATTTCATTATGATTTTAATAGCATAAAAAAGTTTAACTCTATTGCTGTTTCTAAAATTTTAGTACATACAAGAACTTTTGAGACGAAATGAAAATTTTGAAATCTTCTTCGAAGGAGGAAGATCCCGAAGTGGAAAGATTTGTTACCCAAAAGCGGGATTATTATCTGTCATTTTGGATTCTTTCCATGAAGGTTGAAACTTATTCGAATTATTCATTTCATGGTGAATTAATATTGCTTTCAATATAATATCCAACAGGCGTATTTGCTGATGCTTTGATCGTTCCGGTATCGATAAATTATGACAAGATTTTGGATGGTAACTTCAATAGAGAGCAAATGGTAATTGTTTTGGTTTGAAATTGTGAATTGGGCTGTAATGAAATTTTTTTTGTAGGGTAAAAGAAAAATAAGCGAGTCCTTCTTTATAGCTGTGAAATCGATAATCTCTGTGTTTTGCATGCGATATGGAAATATTCGTCTAGACATAAGTCAACCGTTTTCGCTCAAGGTAATGATAAAGATACTTATGTATGAACAATAAGTAAACTGTTTTTCTGAATGACAGGAGTTCGACGCTAATGCGCCTCGTAATTTAAGACGACGAGACGACAGTAGCGTTAGTTTAAACAGTTCCTACAATAGATGCTCATCTCCCGCCGAATCGCCTGTCAGCGACTCTTCCTCGCCTGTATTTGAACGATCTCTTTCCTTTAAGAATCGGCATCGACAGAGCTCTGCTTCTCTTTATGGAACCGATATGGTAGTTCAAGAGCAGCAGGATCGTAACGAGGTACTAGCCCTTGCCGAGCACGTCACTTACTGTTAGTATGAATTTCCTTTTCTTATTTCCTTATTAACTAAAAACAACTTGTCTTTGAAATAAAAAATAGCTACCGTGGTTAGTCAATCCGCAATGAGTACACAATTAGTGGCGTTTCTTCTTCTAGTCAAGTTTAGAAATGGAGTGTACTTTTCTGAACTTTGTCGAGTGTTTGAAAAGTTAAAGCTTGAAGTGAACAAAAGAGGAAGAGATGTAGGTTTTTCGGGGGAAACTAAAGACGTTGTATTATTTGCTTGTCGCCTATTGGGAGAAGAGCTTATGCAAGTGTCTAACAGTATCAACAAGTAAGTTAATGAATTAAATATTAAAAAATTTAAAAAACAAACTTTTTCCATAATAGTAACGATATTAAAAATGTTGGAGATGCTGACTTTTTCATTAAACCAATTACAACTCTGCCAACTGTTTTTGAGTTGACCTATTACTCCAATCCCATTACATACATTTTTGCCCTGGAAAGTATTTTAGCTACAGTCATCTGGTCAAAAATACCTGCTGAGAAAAAGAATTCCGATGACGAATTGAATTTTGAATTGTCTGAAGATTCAATTATCGAAGAGGCGACTGATTTATGCAATTTGCTCAAATACGACTTCATTTTATGCCCCGTAAGATTCTCAATAGTTGTGTTTATTTATTTTTAAATAGCATTTGCACATTTGATATAACTCGTTTAGTTTATAAATTTATATTTGTTTTTTTTTCTTTAGGCTATATTATTAAATTATTTTAATTTTTCAACTTTTAGGCATGTAAAGATGTTAGAGAGATGGTCGAATCAGCAGTGCAATCGTTTATCGAAAAGGGATTATTGCATACAATTGAAGAAGCGAAAAGTCAAAATCAAGATAAATTGTGGATGAATCGAGTAGCTAATGATTTGGGATTTGAAAGTTCAGGATCAGATGGCGACGATGTCGATTTCAAATGCAGGAAATACAAGGTATGTTTTAATAACAGATTTTATGCTAATTTTGCCTTATAAATATTCAAGACTTAAATAATTGAAAGAGGTTTTCTATACTGTTTATTTTTTCTTATTTTCACTCTAGCTCATACTCGGTCGTGATAAGGTTAGTGACCGACTTAAGTTTTTGAAGAAAGTACTCGAAAGTTACTTTGAGTGTTATACGAATGTTTCAAAAAATCTGGTTAAATTGCGAGAAGGTGATAAGCCAGGTAAGATAGTTTGTTAATTTATTTTAATTATACTGCTATAAGCAGTAAATAACAACGGATGTTTGAGTACATTACCATTAACCTTTTCAGAATTGGATTTTTTGAAAGAAGTACACGAATCGTTGAAAGATAGCGCAGTAAATGGTAAGCTGCGCTTTCCAGAGTGCGCTGCTCTTGACATTGTGAAAACATCTTTAAGAAGTTTTCATAACCGAAAGGTGATTGATTTGTATCTAGACGAAACGGTGCGTAAATGTGGCCTATCGAGAACTTATAGAAGAAAGGATCGTTTGGACAAGTTTGTCAAAAAATTGGAATCATATTCAAACCCATAAGAACAAAAGTGAAGATAAAAAAAGAGAGAAGAAACAAAAATTTTCACTTCATGAATTGTGCGTTAACGTTATAGTTGTTTTTTTTGTTCTATTTATATCGTTTTCCTTTTTGTTATATGTGTATATACATATAAAGGGAAATTTTTAAACTATATTTCCCCTACTAAAAGTCAGATTGAACTATTTGACAGATTTGTTTGATTTTTCCTTTCCATTTTTTCTTTTAATAATGACTAGAAAATAGTTAAAAGGAAAATATTTGAAAAAAAGGTAATTGACAAAAAAGGAAAATTCATAAAAAAACAAAATAAACTAGAAGAAAAACCGATTATGACCAAGTTGCGAATGCAGCGCGCGAAAAAACAGTAGCGGTTATCCAGTATCGTATCAGAAGCGGAATGGAAAGATCCCTTTTGAGAAGATGTCCTAATTGCGGTATTAGCGTTAAAGACGATAAAAATGACGGTAAAAATGAAGAAGAAAAGGAGCTTAGTGGCTTACCAAAGGATTTTTATGATTTTGCATCCAAATCAACTTTACACGGTCTGCGAAACGTTTCCGATGGTTCTCGTAACCAATTACGAAGGTATCATAACTTCTATTAATCCCTCTTGACAAATATAAAAGAGAACATCTTTGCTTAAAATTTGTGGCCAATCTCTTATAAACAGGGTTATATGGTTTGCCATAGTCGTTGCTGGTTTAACACTTCTACTTTATTCGTTAATCAGTCAAATAGTACTATATTTTCGTTACGAAGTCACGACTTCTATTAATGTTAAGGAAATGAGCGAAATGCTTTTACCGGCTGTGACCGTTTGTAATTATAACCAATTTCGTCGATCCATCGCTTTAAAGGTACTAAGACGTTACGTTAATTATTCTGATATTGTCACCAGCTTCCCCCTTTTATTTCCCTAGTTCATTTAGAGAAAAGAAACTATACGAATTCAATATCGTATTCGCTTTCTATCCATTTTGATAATATTTCCTTTTCTAAAAGGGAATTATTATCGCGCACTTTTTGTAAATATTGATTATTTCTGACTAATCAGTTTGTCCACTGCACGATTCCCATGGTTGTTTGCATTACATCAATCCTACTTACTTATTACCATAGAAATGAGGAATATTGTATTTTTTTTCTCTCCCTCTAGGATGAAGAGTTAGCGAAAGACTTAAAAATTCTTTTTCCAGTTTTCTTACAGTCTTTTAAACCGTATAGCAGACGCAATAAACGGCGTTTAAACAATAAAAAGGTAGCTTATACAGTAAATAATTGTATGTTACCCCTCTCTTTTTAAGTCTCTTCTCCAAATTCTATTGGTTATTGTTGTCTTTTTTTTATAAGTATTAATGATGAGATTCTATTTAACACTATCAGCAGGTTTTACAAGCTCTTCAAGAGCTGACTCACCAAGCTGAACAAATGATACTTTCCTGCTCTTTTAATAACATATTAATTGAAGATTGCCACAGTATGTTCGTACCTATGATAACGGATGCTGGAATTTGTTATACGGCTTCATATAATACTTCTTTTAAAGCCAGAGAACTTAGTACTGACAATAACCTAGTTATACGTTTAAACGTGGAAAATGAAGAATATTATTATGGGGAAAGTTCAACGGCTGGTTTCCGTATATTGATTCACAATCGAATGGATGAAGAGCCTTTACTTATAGTACGACGAGCTTTTTCAGTAGCTCCTGGTACTACAACATTTGCCTCGGTTCACTTGAATAAAGTAAGAAAATCAAAATATACCGTAAATACAATCTCCCCCTTTCCTTGCCTTATCTTCAACAAGAGATCTCTAATGTTTTCTTTACTTTTCACAATATCCAATCGTCTAGAATATCAGAATGGCTCCACCTTATGGCAAATGCAGACCTGAAAATTCGTTATCTCTCCGATTAGCTTATTATAAAAATTATTCCCTCGAACTATGCAAGCACGAAGCCCGGGCTAACTTTACGGTAGAAACCTGCAGGTGCCGTTGGTACAACGATCCTGGTACTTTTATAATATGTCAAAGTCTAGATGAACTTTTATGCGCCAGACAAGCTAGAGGTAAGGGAAAAACAGCGGAGAGGAGCATATCTTTTACTTTTTTTAGATTAACATAAAAGAGAATGAATATATCCTTTCCACACATGGGTGTAGTGTAAATAGATAAAATATATTTGCATAAAAAAAACAGAAAAATTCTCATCACTACCAAACGTCTGTAAATTGGCTTGTATCTCTGAATATTACGACGTAAAAACATCTATAGCCCTATTCCCTGGCCAGCATATAATTAATGATTTACAGGTTAAATATAACGTCAGTGAGGATTATATAAGGTATGGTTAATTGTTATTTTTTATATAATCTTTAATATGGCTACTATTATTATTTTATACAGTAAAAACTTTGCCGAAGTTCGAATTCAATACGATGATTTAGCTATGACTGTTATTGAACAGAAGGCTGTCTATGGTTTTACAACTTTATTTGCAGATCTTGGCGGTCAAATGGGTATATGTTTAGGAGCTAGTTTATTAAGTATAGTGGAAATTATCGACTTTATAGTAACCGCTTTCTTACGGAGAATAAACAACTGATTCTAAAAAGAAAGTTTATAAAAGCTACGTTTTTAAAAAACGAACACATTATGTATGTTGTAGAAAAAATATGAGATTCTTAAACGGCCATTTCGAGAGCGATTTTTGGATACGGCTTGTAACCTTCGAGCTCAAAATCGTCCAATTTGAAATCCTCTATGTTTGCCACTTTCCCCTTAACACGTATCTTGGGAAAAGGACGAGGTTCCCTTTTTAACTGTAAAGAATTTCGAAAAATGAAGAATACTTTATATTCTGCCCCTATATAATCTTAATTAATTAATTTTTTCTTTCTATTAATTAATAAATAAGATATCTATTAAATAGCCTACCTGCTCTTGTAATCCTTCCACATGATTGGTATAGACGTGACAATCTCCGATTGTATGCACGAATTCACCAGGCTTATAAAATTTAAGCTATTTAGTTTCTTAATGAGTACTCAGATATAAAAAAGTATTACTTTTAATTCGCAAATGTGTGCTATCATAATAGTGAGAAGAGAGTAGCTTGCAATGTTGAAAGGAACGCCCAGGCCCTAAAAACAGACATACGAGGAAGAAAGCGATAAAAATTAAAAAAAAGTTGATGATAAAAGGTGTAGACTAAAGTTACTTACCATGTCGGCTGATCTTTGATAGAGTTGACATGATAGTTCTTCGTTAGAGACGTAGAATTGAACGAAAGCGTGACAAGGCGGCAGAGCCATTTTCGATAAATCTAATCAAGCAAAAGGTATAGATGAGTCTCGTAGATATAAATTGACATTTCATACCTGACGGATTCCACGCTGACATAATTATTCTTCTGTCATATGGCTTCTTCCTGATCTTATCAATAACATCTTGCAATTGATCGACACCCTGACCGCTATAATCAGCATCAGGCCCGTTATATTTGGCACCAAAATGGCGCCATTGAAATCCGTAAACTGGACCTAAATCTCCTTCTCGCCTATCCGTAAAGCCGAGATTATCGAGAAACTCTCGACTACCGTTGGCGTCCCAAATGTGCACGTTCTTCTCGGCCAATTTTTTACTATCTGTACACCCTCTAATGATCCAGAATAGTTCCTCAGCAACACCTCTAAAAAACACTCTTTTTGTTGTTAAAAGCGGAAAGGTTTCATCTCGAAGATTGTATCTAAACTGACGTCCGAAGCAGCTGTAAGTTCCAACTCCAGTTCTATCGTCCCTCAGATTACCATCTTTGATAATAGAAGCAATTTCGTTCAAATATCGACTTTCTTCATGGCTGAAATTAAATCAAATACCCATTTCAAAGTAAAATAAGTGTTTTAAGCTTAGAATTTACCAACTTTTTATGAGAATCACCGTTCATTATGACAAATCTAACTTTATGTCACACTACTAACTGCATTTCCTGTTGAGTTCTATCATAGTATTCGCGCCAATTTTGACCTATAAAGACGTCTCATAAAGGAAACATCGCTCGTTTTAACCTAAAATTTTTTAGACTAACAATTTGAGTGCATTCAACATTGACAAATAGGCTTACATCACAATCGTTTTCCATATATATATACTTTATATATATATGTATTTGACGTACACAAAAGAAGGATAAAACAAACCCAATATTTTCCAGCGATTGGCGTTATTATTCGTTTCATATCTCTTTCGCGGGAAATTACAGTAGGATTGTTTATTTACATACAATAAATTATAATAAGAGCTTTTCTGTGCAACTAATTTCCGTATTAGTTTGTCAACAATATACATAGATATGTATATAGCCTTTCTATTCGATAATTCTTGACCGAGAATAAACTAAATACATAAAATACATATATACGCAATAGTTTGCGCACGAAAATGTAAGAAAGGAAATGTAAAAGGAAGTTGGACATTCCCGTTAAAGGACGTATTTATACTTTATTTATAAGAGTGTTAGTTTTTCCTTTTTTTTCCTTTGCTTTTTGAATATTTACTAAAAGTATGACGTAATAGTAACAGAAAGAGAGGCAGAGCATCACCGATTGAGGAACAACACTAATTATATTTCTATATTTCTTTATGTTTTTTACTAGATTAATAGCTAGACTGTTTGACTACGAAATCAATGACGTTTACCTGAATTAATTGCCTTTCTCTTTACAAACAAATCGACGATGTAATTACTTCTATACGTATATAGAGTATATATATATATATATATATACATATCTTTGCATATAGGCTTTTATTTTATAAGTTTGTATTAATTTACACGTATGTATAATCTCTCACTTTCTCTGTCAGGCCATTGTGTGCACCTTGTAAGTCTACTTTTCTTCCTCACATAACAGGCCTTGGCCTTAGAAACTCTTATAGGAATTCAGAATTATTTCTTTAGGCATTAGCTTATGTTAAACTAGCTCTTCTATTTTAAAATGATAATAGCATCGCCTTGTTTCATTGTTCTAGTAATAAGAACGATAATTTTATTGAGAAATGAAAAGAAAAACTGGAATAATTTCAATGAGAGTAAGAAACAAAAATGACATACATATATGAGGATGATGATTTAGGTAACGCCCATTTAATCATTAATATATACTTTTTTATGTATATCTTTATATAAATCAGTATATATATATTATGAATAATTGTAAGCTAAATATTAATTAGAAAAAGATGTTGTAATGAAATTATTAAATTAAATATTCATTAGATAAGTTTAATAATTAATAAGAAGTTTCTTTGTATCTATTAATACTTCATATATAATTTCATTTCCTTGTTGAGAGTAATGAACTAGAAAATTAGATAATAAAATAAGAAAATAACAAAAAGTTTGCATGAACTGCAAAAGAATGTCTAATTAAGATATTGTCAACTTAATGAAAATTATTAGAGAAGAATGTTATTATTATTTTGATATTATGAATATAATAGTACGTCTTTTTTGTATATTATAGTATAAATTTTATTTGAAGATGTGTACAAAGAAAGCTAGATCAACTATACAAAGATACTTGAAATTGCACAATTTATTGGACAATCTGCCACAAAGAATTGGCTGAAAATATACAAATACATTGCTGTTAGAATAACGTAGTTTCTCTATATTAATTAATTAACAATGAAAAAAAAATCTTTCATATACTGATAATAAAAAATGTAACACCCCTTCCAATGAGTGTATAAATGTGTTTATGTACAGTATATATATATGTATCTGTGTCAGAGGTTGTGCCTTTAGAATACAAAAGCAAACATTTTTCATATAGTAAAACAGGTTAGTACTGAAGAGAGAGTTAGCTATGTGACGTTACGAATATAAGTTGTTGATTACAGTAACAAAAAGCCATGTAAAAAAGCAAAAATGAGATAAAAGTATACGTGAGAATTAGTTTGTATTGAATTTTGCCGAAATCGGTCTCTTGATATTTAGTATGTTTAGTAAGGCTACGGTTGAACTAATATTTTTTCAAGGTCACTATTTACTTTATTCTTATGTATAGCCTAACAATCAAGTTTTGAAACTGTACTTCAAGAGCATTTCGAGAATGATAGTCTCCACTTGCAATAGATAATTTTATCATACTAAAGTAGAAGGAATATATACTTTCCTTAATACTTAATATAGATTGTACGACAGTTAAATTAGGTCACTCCCTCATACTCTACATATCTAGAAATAAGACAAAATTTGTGTTTTTCTTTTTAAACCTCTTAAGAAAAGATCCTTAAGCTCTACAAATTTCTTTTTTATTGCCGAGTGTTGTTCTAAACATGACCTTCTTTAAAAATGCCATTCGACACGTTATATTAAACTTATAAGACAAAATAGACCTAAAATAGAAAGAAAAGAATGTGAAGACAGAACTATACATTATATAGGTCTAGTAGATCTAGATAACTAAACAGCAAAAGAACAAAGAATGAATGACATAGATAAATAATAAAAATTCAAAAAAATACAGTAATTATTAATAACAACAATAGACTAAACTGTACATTCATAATCTTTATACAGTATAATATACAGTATGTAATATAATATATAAAGTATGTATGCTAAGAGGAAAAATATCAACGCACTCTTTCTATTTAAACGAATTGTCAAATGCGCTTGTCTATTTCAGACTATGCCTTTAATTCAATAACATCCATTTTGGGCGTTTCACACTAACTATTGCAGATCACCTGCAAACAAACCGATTTATCATCAGTACAATTTTTCATCAAGGCATCAATTTGAAGTACTTTATCGGATGTTAATTTAGCTATAACTCTTTTGTAATCGATAGTTGTATTCTCAATGTTATACTTGAAATCATTTACTCCATCAATCTTAAAATTATTCACTACTATCTTTAATTTATTTCCAGCAGTGTTTGTACGAACGACTACGTTACCAGCTTCCATACAACTTTTGTCGAATTTCAGACGAATATGTATATAACCGCATTTGCAATCAGTGTTAACATCGCTCAAAGTTAAGAGATCGTTAATTACTAATTGATTAAAGACGTATTGTTTGCAGGAAGCCATTGTGGTTGGTAAAGAGGTGGTTGATGCTTTCTTATCTTGTTGGCAGTGTTTCTTCTTTCCCTTCTTGACAACAGATTTTCCAGTACTCTCCTCAAGGTTTAATTGCTCCAGCAGACAGGTATTCGAGTTAGCTTCTGTTGTATTCTTGTCGATGTATTGAACTTGTACCTGAACTTGAAATTTTACCTTTGAATTCGGTGAATGCATGATGCAAACTAAAAGGATAATAATATATTCCCATTAATCTTCCACTATTACAGTAAAATAATCAAAAGAGATTACAAGTTCATCTTTTAATCCTTTATTACCTTAACAATCCCCTTTTCTATTAATCAGGTGCGCATAGGCTATTTGTAAGAACTTCTAGTAGGAAAATAGCGAAACAACAGCAGCTGCAAAATACACGGGCGCCTCTAGAAACGGGACTAAAGAATGGAAAAAAATGAGGAAAGTGTAAGAGGTGTATACGCATATACTTGTTTAGAGGCAAAGAGGGAGTCCGAGATAAATAGATTATTAGAGAGTACGAATGAGAGAGAGAGAGAGAGAGAGAGAGAATAAGCAAGGGGTTGGAAAAAGCAAGAAAGAAAGAATGTACGTACGCCTATACAGTACGTAAGGTTGTGAAGGGGAAAGTGTGCGTGTGTGATAGATAGATGGATAGATAGAAGGATAAATAGATATATAGATGTGTTAGAACTAGAATTTGGATTGTTTACGCCTCTTCTCACTCATTTTAAATGAATCAGTAAGGAGCAGAAATGGCTCTTTTTCTACCAAATAAATTTGTATTATAATCTCACGCTACAAACACAAAGAAAAATTGTCTTATTTATCGGTTCCACCACCTGATTTCTTCTTAAGGAAGGAGATTTCCGGTAGACGCTTTAGGTTTGATAGTATACTTTTGGCTTTATATTTTTTCTTTTGTTTATTCGTTTTCGCCTCATCTGCGGCAGCTGCCATTTTCATAACTTGCTCATCTACTCTTTCTATTTTGTCAACTATGGTTGTTAGGAATCGTTTAAGGGTTGCTGTTTCGGTTTCTAATCGTCTGACGGCGATTAACATCTGGTTCTGTTCGGTTTCCGATTCGGCACTACGTAATTGTTTCTTAGGAACACTCAGTAGCCACCTGTTGACCTGTTTGTCAAACTTGAGCTGCTTGCCTCTCCTCAATTTACCAAAAATGTAGGGTAAGCATGGTAAAGAGGCTTCCAATTTGAGAGCCATTCTTATACTGCCAACTCGCCAAGTGGTTCCTTCTTTACCCTTGACAGCTGCATATGAATCGTTCATCATTGCTATTAAGAGATTTAGTAGGATAATTGTAGATAAAGTAATATATAGCACATAAACGACTTTGACATATACATCATGGTCTCCATCTTCAAAAATACTACTCATACCAATCATCATATTGAAAGCGTTGAAGATCGTTTCTGCTGGATTAATATCGCCTGATCCCCCACCCCTTTGAAATAGAGCGTGAAGAGCGAAAGAAAAACCAACAAGAACAAATGAATAAAGTAGCAAAAAGCGTACGCAATCCCTAATTATGATGTGACGAAGCATGATAGAAAAAGCGTGGACATTTTCAAAGCCTTTTGTAAAGTTGATTGTAAATAGCCAGCCAGTAACAAGAGCAACAGCCAAAAAGTAACAAGCAGTTTCTCCTTTTCCACCCCAGCAGAGGAATAAGAATAGACAGTCGGTGGCGATGAATAACACACAAGAAAACTGTGCAATATTCCCAACACACCAACTAACAAATGATTGTCCTGGCTCTCTAAGCTTTCTCTTCCGTCGGCATCTTCGTAGCATTTGGACGAACAGATAATATGCTAGAAAGGTCAATATGAGACCTGGCCATATCAGCAACAAAATATAGGGAAAGAAAGCTATCTTCTCTAATTTTGCCTTTTGAACCATGCCAAAGCAAAATCCAGAAAGCACAGACATATAAACTATATGCAAGAACATAAGCACAACGTATAACCATTGATATTCACTCCAATAGTTCTGAACCAACTGTTTCATTGGTTGAATATCCAATAGAGAATTGGCCTTCGAGACACATTCCAGTTTTACTATAAGATTTAATGCTGATGTTGAAGATGGTTTTGATGTTTCTTCCTCTAAAAGAGGGATTTTACTCTCCTCTTCTGTTTTACGTTTCATCGTCTCAACCGATCTAGATACTCTAGTATATCCTGTTAGATTTGTGACGTCATACTTTAATAAAGAAGCATCACCATCGTCAAAGCAAAATACATCGGGTATTTTAAAGATTCTCTCCATTATTCTTTTGGCACCTGTGCTGGCTGCAAGGCCTATTACAGTAAATCCCAACTTATTGGCGTCCATATCCAATAAGTAAAGGCATGCTTGGCGCTTAAAAGCAAAGTACGATTCAGTATCTTGTTCTGGAATAGCGCAGGATTGCCTGTTAGACCACCACCTGACTGCATTATCTATAACAGTGTCAAAAGTCTCTAGGCAATTACTTAATTTAGTTTCGTCCTCTTCAACAGACGCCTCAATTTCTAGTAAGACTAGCCTATGTAATACCGATTCTCCTTGTTTGTCTTTCAGAGTTAAACTTGCTCCGGCCTGTATTAACAGGGCTACGTGACCAAGATTACCAGTTTTAGCGACAATATGCAGAAGACTTTCACCAGCTGCATTCTGTTTATCAAGCTCTAAAGTTTTACCAGATTCAGCAAAAACGGCTAGCATTGTTTCCAACAATTGTGGCCTTCGATGACGAGCTGCCATGTGAAAAGGTGTATCTCCATCCGCATTTTCAGCAGTAGGCGTTAAAGGATTCTGTTATATGAAATTTATTGAAAAAGTTGATTTTGTGTTTGTTTATTGATCGTATTAAAGCACTTACCAACTCTTCTAGGATTTCCACGCGGCCTTCACGAACGGCTGTATGAAGGGCTGTATCACCTTTATTGTTTTGCGAATCAGCTAATGCAGAACTATACGTTTTAACCGTTACAGCAACCATATAGTCAATGAGTTCTTCGGAAACCAAGGGTGATTTAACGGCAACGTGTAGGGCACTCTCCCCCAGTTTGTTCTTTTTAGACATTTTACACTTTCTCATTAGAATTTTTACGCTTTCTTCATTACCTAATTTTGCGGCAACGTGTAAAGGAGTTTCCCCATTAAAATTCTGTTTATTTGCAAGAGATTCATCGATTTCCAGAACATTTTGAATGAAAGCCGCTTGATCAGCTCTGGCTGCCGAATGGAGAAGACAATTTCCGTTTTCATCTAGAACGTGCAGTGAAGCTCCGTTTTCCATCAGGCATTTGATCTTTTCAATTTTTCCACACATAGCAGCAATATGTAGGGGAGTTTTAACGCCATCTCTTAAAACTAGCTTTCCAGATTGATCTCTATAGAAATGAATAAGCAATTTTAAAAGATTATCATCTACTGGTTTCATTGCATGATGCCAAGGTGTGATTCCCTCTTTATTTTCAATATCTATGAGCGCCTTGTTTCTCAGTAGAACAGCTGTAGTTCGAGTTCTGTTTGCCTCTACTGCAACCATTAGAGCCGTCTCTCCCAAATCATTAACCGCATCAACATCGGCTCCATGCTCTAATAAAGCTTCGACGACATTCGAATAACCCCTGGCTGCTGCATAATGAATTGCAGTCTCTTTACCTCTTATACGTGTATTAACGGATGCACCGTGTTTCAACAGGTCCCGAACTGTAGGCTCATCCCCTAAGGCTGATGCTAAAACCAAACAGGTTACCAATCCAACTTTTCTTTCCTTATTGACATCGGCTTCAGCAGTATCGAGCAGTAGTCGTATAACACTTTTGTAGCCATGTCGTATAGCCCAATGAAGGGGAGTAGAGCCTTTGTCGTTAGATAGGTTAATATCAGCTCCACATTTAATGAGATGTCTAACAGTTTCCACTCTATTGAATCTGGTTGCCCACAATAATGGAGTATCGTTTTTATGATTAGTGGTATTTACACTAACTCCTCCAAGTCTATGTAGTAGTTCAACAATCTCTGTCTTTCCCAATGCAGCTGCCATGTGCATAGCAGACATTTCCCTAGGCCTAATACCTTCGAATTGTATAGTAGTTGCCTCTTCTCCATAGTTACGCCTTTTTTCCAAATCTTCCACCTTCTCCAAAAGAGTCTGTAGTGTTTGTATATCACCTAACAATAAATTGAAAGAAACACTATTTACACAATTTTCAATACTAATTATTGAAATTAATTATTAAGTATTTCTGAGAAATGAAAAGTAAACTAATAGGAAGTTGAACTATACCCTTTTCCGTTAGAATATGAATGACTCCCTTAGTGCTTCTAATACCAGATACTTGTATTTCGAATGTTTCAAAAATTTGATCAATTTCACAAATACTAAATAAATATAAAAGGATATTTGTAGCCCCTTTTTCGGCGGCGAAATGTATTAGGCTACGTCCAACGTTATCCCTTAAATCGCTATCCGTCAAACTGATACCAGTTGCCTTTAATTTATTGACTACGTCTTTCAGCTTGTTCTCGTCCCTAGACGCAACGGCGTTGAAGAGGTTGTCCCGCCACTTAACTTTCCTCTTTAGGACTTCCTCGCTCGATCCATTCTCACGGAAATTTTTTTTTGGCGGCGAAGATACAGGATCAGATGATATAATTTCAAATACGTCCAACTCTTTTGTCGACTGTTTTCAAGTGTTTAATATTCAAGATAAGGTCAATGCAATTAAAAACGATTTTCCTTTTAAAAATAAAAAAAGAGAATTTTACAGGCCAATTTTCAAAGAACATATTTTTAGAATATTACGAATAAAATAGACAAAACATTCTTTTTCATGGTCGTGCTCTTTACTTTTTTCCCCTCTGCACCTATTCATGATAACTATTGGGCTTAGTGTAATAACCTCTATCTTACCTTTCACTATATATCCCTCTCCCCCTCTCCCTCGCTCCGTCTTTCTTCCACTTCATTATTTCATATTTATCTCTCTTTTAAATACTTTATCTGTTTTATTGGAGAAATTAAATAGTCGATTTGTCCTTTTTGGCTATATATCCTTCTCTTTTTGTATATATATTTACGAAATGTTAAATATTATTGTAAAAATCGTGACGACTTACATTCGTCTGCTGCAGCACTGCTACGTAGTCTTCGTCCAAATTTGGATTATCGGCCAATTGTTGATTCAAACTTCCCGCAAGAAGCATTGTAAAAATGTCTACTTTTATCTCTTGCTAATCCGTTTCTAGAAGAAATTCAAAAATAATAGACATTTTAAGTTTTAATGAATTTTTTTAAAGTAAGGCATACCTTGTGAAGAAATTAGAGAAGAAATAGAAAAAAGTTGAAACTCTACCGCCCCTTGTTTGTTTAGTACTTCTAGCAGATGAGGTACCATAAGCATAACTTTTATTGAGTACTAATCAGCGACAGTTGAACACCGAACCACACAATTTAGTTGTTTGATCTTCATTCAAACCTCGTGTTCAAAGCTTAAACCGAGGTACAAGATATGAGTGCAGACGTCACTCCCACACACGTCTTTGGAGATATATTTAGAAAAGAAATTGAGGCCCCTCGCCAATGTCCTTTCGTACAGCTTATCTAACATTCTATTCATATTCTTTTCGTAGGCAAGCGCGACAATTCGGTTAATGTTCAGATATATAGGTTTTTATTTTTTTCAATAAATGCACTATATTATTATTAATAATGTTATTATTAATGGAATATTATATATATTTATAATCTTTTTCTCCCCAAAATATCTTACTCATTCAATCACAATAGATTAAATAGACAGTGAACAAATTTCTCTCTTTATATTTTTTTTACCACAGAGGTCAAGTGTAAATTTTTCTCCTTCTTTCACTATAGGTTCTTCAACCTTTCTGTCCCCCTCTCTCTCTCTCTCTCTCTCTCTCTCTCTCTCTCTCTCTCTCTCTCTATTTCTATGTCTTTCTTTTATCTCCATTTGTATTTATACTCTTTTTATTAAATACTAAATCGGCTAAAGAATTATCCTAACTTCAATATAAACTTGTAATTATTCCTTATCTCTTAATGTATTTAGGCGTAATCCGAATCGAGTTGAATTGTAAACGACCAATCTTTTCGTTCAGTTGTCAATGATTTCCTTTCTCTATTATTTGTTCCTAGATTCTCTTTTCCTTTTCGCTTTAAATCTTCTCTGTTGGTCTTATTGGTCTGTCGTTTTAGAGATGAGTAAACTTGATCCGATGGCGAAGCTAGAAGACCATCCTGATAGTGGGTCATTAGTCTCAATTGTTCTGTAGCCAACTTTATCGTATCGAACTTTAACAGTTGCATTCTAAATAAGGAAGGAGAAACAAAAAAGATGATTGCAGAATATTAAAATCTAACAGTATAGAACATGCTTTAGATACAATATAATGGAAATGGTAATTAATTTAATTTAATTTAATTTAATTATTTGTTTCCTCAAAATAGAGATAACTAATGGACATACTCTTCCACAGATCCGCTTTTATCTTCGTCCTTTCTGTAAGATAAAATATAGAAAAAAATCATAATTGATCTCTAGGTCTTACAAATTTATTAAATTTTTGATTACTTTGTTCCTCCTCGACATAAGAGGCAATAAGCAAACACTAATAAAATCAGTAGGCATACGCACAACGGTATCACAACGATAAGAACAAAATCAGTATAAAGTGATTTCTCAGACAAGTTGTCGATCATTGTATGAATCTTATTAAAAAGTCGAGTATTCGAGATAAACCATTTCTCTTTAGCTTGATCAACTTCTATGCTGTAAAACTATAGCTATAAAACAGGATAGAGGGAGTTGAAGGGCAAAATAGAACATGATACGGAAAGAACGGGGGGAAAGGGGGCAGGAGAGTGAGTGGGCGAGTATATATATATATGTGTGTGTGTACGTCTATAAGTGAAGCATATACACTCACAGGTCTTAGAGCTATGTTATTTAAAGAATGGAGGATAAAGAGAGACAGACAGACATACATGCAGATAGAGACAGAGGCATATAGGAAGAGAGAGTGTGTGTATGTGTAGGTGTATATGTGTGTACGTGGGCATGAAAGAGAAAGCCGGAGAGAAAGAGAGAGAGAGAGTGCATATGAATTTGAGGTAATGGAAGTGTTAGAAAATAGATCAAGAAAATTATGTAGCATAATAATATATACATATAGCATAATGAAAGAAGCAAAGTTTACATTAGTATATAACTATATGACGTGTATATTTCTTATTAAATAAATTTCTCTTCTTCTCTAAGGTTAGGTATGTCAAATAAAAACAGTCTCTTCCTACACTGCTTTAGCTATTCTGCACTTTTGTAGTTGATAGTGTTAGGCCTAAAAGATTGATACCGTTGATGCTGCCATCTCTCTTTCGGGAGTTTAGAGGAGAACAGAAAAGGTAAAAGAAAGAAAAAAAAATTAGAATAGAAAGCTCAATAAAAAGGATAATGCTCAAATAGCCGCGAAATTTGTTAGAAGATATTATATTGTATATTAATATAAATGGTTTTGCGTACATAACTGATGTAGCTGTACAAGCTGTATATGATTTTTTTGTATTTACAAAACTCCTGTATATACACGGTTCGTTAGAGCTTATGAATTGTTTACGACGTCGCTTTTAGATCGTGCTTTCTATTTTTCACGCACTGACATCTAACATGATAACCCTATATAAATTCACAATAGAGTCGTTGTTCCAACAGCACCTCCAACGTTTAACTCTTCCCCACATTAATTGTCCTGCTCTGTTTATTCTTCTTCACTATTAAAATACTGCTGCTTCTTCATTTCCTTATTATCATCACAGGACTGTTATTGTGAAAGTTGTATTAACCTTTATCTTTCGACTTCTATTATGTCTTTAAATATATTTCTTATTATTATTTACCGTTCTATATATATATATATATATTTAATAGTTATTTATCACATTGATTTCTATTGTACTACTATATTTTCTTCATAGTTTTTCTCAAAACGGACTGATTGATTAATTGACAGCTGTCTATCTCCAAGTTTCAACACAACTTAGTTTTGTTGTCTGAAGAGTGACTATAGTGAAGTTGTTGCAGTCTTACGATTAGTTTCCTGCCTTGGAACTTTTGACCAGCCTGCTCTAGTTTTAATGCAAAATATTTCCGTAAAAGTCTTCCTGAACTGAGTCGACATGGTGCAATAGAGAACAAAATTAATAGAATTATTTAATAAAGCTGTAATATCTAAGAGATCACCAAGCGGTTGGTAAATTCGGGCAAAGAAAGTTGAATCGAAAGCGGAACAAAGCGTTAGAATACCCTGAGGCAATTCTGTAAGAAGGAATAGGACGACAACGGCAAAGAGCATTGCAGTTGTTCTATTGTGCTCTCTAGCCCTATCCGACTCGGCTCTTCTACCTTGTTGTTTCAATTGAGCTCTTCTATTGGCCGCTTTTTTCATTTCAATTATGAGTAGGACGGTGAGAACAGTAAGCAAACAACAAGGTACTAACTTAATGAGAATAGCTTGAATCCAAAAATTTAAATTTTTTACTTCGTTAATACCGTCTCCAAATCCGTAATAGATTTCGTTGTTTTCGTCAACGTAGCGTTTAACAAACGTCTGTAAACAATTAGGTATGCAAATTGCGCTCGTTAGAATATAAATAGCGCCTGTTGTATATTTCGCTCTTCTAAGTGAACATAATATTACTCCGCTGGTTGGAAATCTTATGTAAAGGTAACGAAATATAGCCAAATTTATAGTTAACCAAATTGCTATAGTATGGCAAACTACGCTAAAGTTTATTTGGAAGAGCATATAAAATTGCCATGACATTGAATAAGAGGACGGAAACGGCAGATTCGATGGTTTGAGTATATAAAAGTGTAGAGAACTTGGTAAATAAGTAACCATCGTTAGAAGATCAGCTACTGCTAGCCACGTCAATATTATATTCGATGATGTTATCATACTCTTTCTTGTCAAGACTATTATATTTGCCAAATTGGAGAATGTACCAAACAACGAAACTACAGCACTCAAATAACCATGAACATCCGCGTAATTTCGGCTAAATTCTTCTAGACCGACCGGAATTTTGACGATATTACTAGAATTATTCATTTCGAGGAGACGCCGCAGAATGCTTCCTCTTCTACTCTCTTCTGTAATTTGTACCGTCGCGCCCCTAACGCCCATTGGGTAGATGTAAGCCTATCGTAACTCTGATTGGCTCGTCTCTTCTATAGGCCATTAGTTTTTAAAAATTGACACGATTTCTCTTTTACTCTCAGTTCCGTAATCGCCTTTTGTGCCTCAGCTAGGAAAGAAACAAAAAAAGAAAGCAACTGCAAAATCTTTTAACTTTTTCTTTATAAAGTATGCACTTCATATTAACAGTAGGACGGTAATCGCAGAAGACTGCAAAATGCTATATCAAGTGACGGCTTTAACGCATCCAAGATATTTTTCTTATTCCTCCCAAACTGCATAGTATTTCTTTCTACTCCTCTTTCACCCTCTTATTTCTATCCTAACATCTTAAACTTGACAACAAAATAAAGTAATCTCATCGATTCACCAGTGGAATTGCGCTTTTCTATTTTCGACAGGTTGAATAGAAAATAGAAAAGGAAAGAGGGACGAACCGTCAAAACGATTAGCGATATAGGCGGACATAAATTTTGTCTACAAACATACGGCGAAAGCCATTGACGTCGAATAATTGAGCGTTGTTTACACTCTCTCTACAACGTTCGTCAGTTTGCATCAGATTGCACTTCTAGCAGAAGTTTTCTATATACCAACTTATTGATGTAAATTTGCAGATATAAACTGTAAATGTGCACAGATAGATAGACAGATAGACAGATAGATAGATAGATAGATAGATAGATAGATATGCATATATACGGTATATGCATATAATGGGAATATATAGCATATTAAAAAGAGAAAAGTATCACAGTTGTTTTTAGGAATAAATTAGTAATATCAATTAGAAACATACTTCAATTTCCTAAACTAAAACTTTTAATGACGTAATATGCATCTTTTAAAAATATTAACGTATATCCTTCTCTTATATATTAAAACAACCAACAAATCTAACTCTATCAGATATTTTCAAACAACAGCGGGATATATATTAGTATATATATATTAGTATATATGTATTAAAGTCATATCTGACTACCGTTTCATCCGATTTGTTTGTCAACCTTTCTAAATCGGCGTATTTTTTTCTGCACCTTTATAAATTGCAGTTATACTCAATAATCACCAGACTTATATTACTGTAAACATCTTATAGTTTACTCAAGCTTTGCAATATTCATACTGAGGCATCTAATCTCAACTTTCAGCTCTAGGAAAACTGAATATTCGATAAAAACAATACGTATTAGGCGTCTATATGTTTGTATGTGAGTTTTTCTTCTTTATATCTTAATGATCGAACAGTAATATAATAATCTTCTTTCTTCTTCCATTCCATTAGTACCATCTACTCGCTTTTTTTATACCTTAGCATAAGGAACAAGTTGTTAATCGACTTAGCAATTCATAGCATCGTAGAAGATGTCTTGATTCTTTGCCTGTATTCGTTTAATATTAGACAAAGCTGAACTAACAAGACAGCTTTACTAGATGCTTAGATATGCTAGCCGAGTAGTAGAGTGATAAAGATTGGCGATGGCGAACCTTCTGAAAACCGGACATTGGTACGATTTGTGACAAAATTATAGGCAATTTTATATTTATAAACCATGTAATTCATAAATTTATAAATAACAAGTAAAAATTGACGTGTACGACTTAATTGAAACGGCCTATACAATGTTTAAGTGTACATCCGGTAGAATACCCTGTTCACTTTTATGGGTTTCGAATAAGTCTATCAATTTTTTAACATAGAAACTGTGCAATTCGTCAACTTCCTCCTGCGTGGGATTCTGATTCATTTTTACCTCTATCGGTTCACCAAGAATTGTCGTTATTGACGTTCGGTAAGGTAAAAGACCAAACGTGTAATTGAAAATCCCTCGACCATGAAATATAGGAACACCAAATCCTAGTATCTTGGTTAATCTATGTTGGAATGCGTGTAAGAAGGATCCTTTCTCGCTCTTCACTTGGACGAAAGTTCTATTCTCTCCAAAGGAGAATGACGGCACTAGATTGGCCCTATGGATTAATATTAAAGAAAAGAAGATAAAAAATAGAAAATATTATATATATGTTTATATATATATATAAAGAAGAGATGGAGAGATGACAGACTAAATTTGTGTCCTTTAATATATACTGAACTATATGCATAGTGTAAACAACTAATGGAATATCCACCAGACGTCGTACATGCTCTATATACAAAACGTGCTTACCCGTGTTTTATTGCCATTCTAATGAATCCCCTACGATTTTTAAGAATTAAATTGAAATTGTCTGGATTACATTCTAAGGATTCTCTTGCTCCACCAGGAACCAAAATTAATACGTTTCCACACCCTTCCTTAGTCAAATGCCATTCCATACTCTTTCCGCTACATGAACAAGATCCAGTCGTCATAAAGTATTCGCGAAAAAACGGGAAATTGAATTGACCCCTCAGAACCAGGAGAACTGGTTTCATTCCAGGGAACAATTCACAGAAATTTGTGGCATCAGTAGCAAAATTAAGGAAAGCTCCAATTGCCATGACACCGTGAGGATGATAACCAACAATATAATTCTTTGACGGGTCTAGCTCGCTAGTTTTCACAAGCTTAATTGGAAAGTAATCTCTATAATATTTCCAGCAAATCATCTTCCGAAAGAAAGAGACCCTTCTTCCGCCTTTTTCAGGCGTCTTATAGTCGTATACATACCAAGCCGCATATAATAATATAATCCAATAATATTTTGTAAATAGGAGTACGTAGAGGCTTATTACAATGCAACCTACGCCAAGAAAGAGAAAACTTATAATAAATTGTAGTATACCAAAGGATTCTAGACGCCTCTGTAGAGGGACGTCCAAAGGTGCCCATTCTAAGCCTAAGGCTCTCATAATTTCGCCGTATTCTATCTAACTATTTCCTCTTAATTTATATACTCACTCAAGGAGTTGATAAAACAACTCATTAATACGTAATAGCGAAAAAAAACTGCTTAACCTTTGCACTCTACGTTAATCTAAGGACTAATGAAAAGGTCAAAAAAACATGTCGCTCTTTGAAGTTTCTTAAAGATTTTTATCTATAAAAATAAACTAATAGAGAGGAGAGAAAGAAAGATCTCATATTTATTAATTAACGCCTTAAAAATCCATATATCGTAAACAATTTTCCTAATGAAACAAATATCACTCTAATTATATAAATGTAGTTTACAATGACAAGAAAATTTATTACAAATATCTAGATACAATGAAGATAAAAAGAAATAGATACGAAAAGAGAGAGAAGAGAGTCATTTCTTTGAATTAATAACACTGCTTATGCAAAAAATAAACAAATAGTAGAGAAAAGGTAAAAAGGAAAAAGTAGATGCATAATTATTATAGCTACTTTACATTAAACGTTGCTGGCGACACAAAAAAAAAGCACAGTTTCTCTCAATCTGACCTGAGCTTGTTGACTGTAGAAAAACATGAATACCTATATTACTTCTATCTTTCTAATTCTTCAATATTTTCTCTTGCTTACTAATGGGAAAAAATTTAAAGTTGGAATTATAATGGTTGATAACACTCTATTAAATTATCCGTTCGAAAATGATAAAGTCCAACCGGCAATTGATATGGCTATGGAATTTGTGAAGGATGAATACAACATTGAATTTGAGAAGTGAGAATATAATAGATTGATATATAATATATATTTAAAAATTAACTCTCCATAGGTTTACTAGAACTTATAATTTTGATTGTAATGACGTTAATTCTACTGGTATTGTTGCAAAACTCTATTTTGAAAATCAAGTAGAATATTTAATTGGTCCAGCTTGCAGGTAAGTTTATTTACACTAATTTTTCATTAATGAATAGCATTATATTATATCAAAGTAGTTTAATTATAGTTACTTATAGTCCACTTTTCGTGTATATTTCCCGTAAGTTATTTGAAATTTTCTTTTTATGAGAGTAAAGAGAAAATCTCTTACTATTAATGTTTGTTTCGTTTAGTCTGTCTGTCTGTCATTGTCTGATTTTTCTTATTCCTTTTTCTGTTCTTGTTTAGTTTATTGCACAATAATCTATATTTAGTAAGCAATGGGATAGCAAGGTACTGAAGGTTGGAACTAGTTTTTTTTTTAGAATAACGATACTTCTTTCTTCTTTAGTATTTCAATGTATACAGTTTACATACAGTATATATATATAAATACAGTATATGTATGTATACTGTATATATATATATATATATATAGAATGTGAAAAACAAAAAAGAAGGATAAAGGAATTCTCTCTTTTACTCTTTGGCAAAGAGCCAAAAGAAATTCGACGTTTCATGACTATATTCTTATACTTTGTCGAATATCTTTTGTTAGTAAAGCAAAAAGAGAGTTAAATAAGGTAGAAATAGATATAATAAAACAATAAATGTCTATGAGATAGCGAAAATAGATGTAAGAGAATATCGTGAATAGCATCAAGAACTGATTTGAATAGTGTTGAAACGTCTATTGCAGTACGGACATAATGGCGTGCGGAAAAATAGCGACCTACCTAAAAATGCCGCTAATATCCGGAGTCGGTGATTTGGTGACGCCTAAGAACGCCTATCCAACTTTTACGCGCCTCTCTTACAGCTTGGTGAAACAATCGGATTTCGTCTTTAAAATTTTCGAACGATTTTCCTGGCGGCACATTGCAGTTCTTTACGACATTAGTGATTACCTCTTCTCCTTTCAAGGAGAAGCATTAGTCAATTTATTGAGGCAAAATAGCAACTATCCAACACCTTATGATGAAAAATTTAATCCAACTAAAAATCCAGACTATGGATCAATTTTGAACCAGATAAAAGCCAAAGCTCGTGGTAGGCATAGATAATTACAAAACCTTACTCCCACCCTGTATTTCCGAAATTTTTACATTTCGTAGAGTAAACGTTCATTTTGCCTTTCCTAATGCATTTTCCCTCCTTTTTCATTCCATTAAACAGTGGTTCTATTGTTCGCTAGTGAGGATGAGATTGTTAAAATTATGCTACTGGCTACTAAAAAGGGGATGATGAATGGTGAATACGTTTTCATCACAATTCAACTATATTTTAAACCCAATACGCTCGAATTTTCTCCCAATAAGGAGAAACGTCTGTCATATAAAGATTACAAATCCTTACTAATTATCAATTTGAGGCATCCGTCCGGTGAAAAATGGGATAATTTTACAGCCGAAGTTAAACGTCGTGCAAAGAAAGGAGCATTTGCCGAAGACGAGGAGGTTAGCGTCTTCGTTGGCAGATTTTACGAGAGTGTCCTATATTTGGCTATAGCTTTAAATAAAAGCCTCCAGGACGGTCCAATTACAGATCGTACCAAAGTTGCCCAAAGGTTATGGAATAATACTTTTGACGGTTTATTGGGAGAAATCTACATTGATAATATAGGTAATAGAATTGCCGATTATACAATGTACTCTCTGGGTGATAACGGAAAGTTTAAAGTTTGTATAGTTTCCTTTTAAGACTAATAATATCCACTTAAATAATCGTTGATATAAAAGTTGTTTCTTAATAATTCTTCCTTTGAATAGGAAGTTGCTAATTACTTAGGAACAAGAAAGATTTACGAGGAAGTACATGGTCAATCAATAGATTGGATATTGGGAAAGGCTCCTCCTGACGTTCCCTTTTGTGGTTTTAAGGGTGACAATCCCGATTGTAACAAAGGTAAACAAAGAATAAAGCTCAGGGTGAATAGATAGTGTAAACTAGAATATATAAATAGAAAAAAAATAGCAAGAGCATCTTACCCTCTCCATATCCATAGTTTTACGCTTTGATGAACTTGGTTCTTTCAGCCAAAGACACTCGAATAGTGATTATTCTAACTGCTTTAGGAATCGTCCTTTTTGTTTGTATAACAATTTCTATTGTGGTTATCAGATACTTTAAATCGGAATCTGATATAGCAAAAATGGCTTGGAAAATAAAATTCAATGAAATTCTATTCAATCCTCCCGGTAAGGGTCAAGGACCGTCCCTAATGGCTTTAGGATCAGGCATAGCATCAGATCAGGTAGGCCTAGCTCAACCAATAATATTAAGTGATACGTACGAATAATCCTCATTATAGCTTAATCACATAAACGTTTAATGGATAAAAAAATTTACAGAAAAGCAATGGATCACAAATTCAAGGACAAATATTCACTAATACAGGAATTTATCTCGGTCAAACGGTTGCGATAAGGAAGAGTTTCCAATCAAAATTTGAGACATCACGAAAGAATTTACTATTATTAAAGAGGGTAACTATAGTAGTTAATGTATAAAATATATCTTTTATTCCATTTTCACAGAGTATAGTAATACGATAGCAATGACTTAAAAAAATCTATATAACACTCTTTACATTCGCACTAGTTAAGTAAGGGGTTATAATTTTATTGTAGTAGAAAGGTAAAGAGACCAAAGAAAAACCATTACAAACAAGTCATTTATGCATAGCTAACACGGTTTAAATTAATGTTGCATTAAAAAATGAAAAAGAACATGTATAGCTTTTAACAGCAAAAAAAAAGAGTCATATCGTTTTTCATTGAGCATTGATGTTTGTTTCTATGATATACATCATGTTCCAACTTATACAATGAATATACTGTATATATCAAATATGTTTTATTAGTCTTTTTAATAGTTGAAAGTATAAAAATTATCAAAGAATGAGCTAAACTTTATTCTCTCTCTCTCTCTCTCTCTCTCTCTCTCTCTTCTGGTGAAAAGTTGAAAGATGTAAACCATCCCAACTTAACGAGATTCATTGGTGCTTGTATCGATCCGGGAAATGTTTGCCTTCTGACGGAATATTGTCAGAAAGGAAGTTTACTAGTACGTGTAAAAGTACTTTTGTCCTTATTGAACAAATACTAATATCGATGACATAAAAACTACATAGGATTTACTAGGGAATGAAGCAATAAAACTCGATTGGATTTTCAAATATTCATTAATGATGGATATAATTAAAGTTAGTAATATGTTTTTGACAATATAACGTACTTTTAATTGCTTTGAACTGTTGTTATCCACCCTAAAATGAATGGAGAGACTCTGTCGTTTATTATTTAATGTTGATTAAATTACCCCAAGTATTTACTTAAGCTATCTGACGCAATGTCACGTTTCCGTACCCTTAGGTTGACTGTACTAAACATTGAAGATATCATTAATTAATCAATTTTTTTTTAATTCAGGGAATGATTTATTTACATTCTAGCCCTATAAAGTTTCACGGACGTCTAAAGTCGTCTAATTGCGTTGTTGATTGTCGATTTATATTGAAGATAACTGATTTTGCTTTGACACCTGAATTTATTTCCGAAACGTCTGGAACTTCAACATCCGGTCGGTTAAAAGAGTATTAAAGTCTATTAGATATCATAATTATAAAAAGCATAATAAATTTCAACGTTTTTGTGTCTTTTCCATAGAGTTATGGACTGCACCGGAACTTTTAGAAAATAATGAAAGAAAACCGACTCAGGAAAGTGATGTATACAGCTTTGCGATAATCATGTATGAGATAGTAACGCGTATGATGCCTTTTGAGTCATATTCTTTGACTATTGACAATATTATTGAAAAAGTTGGCCTTCGTTCGTATCCACCTTTTCGACCGTCTCTAGATGAATTTGATTGCTCTATTGGTGTTAAGAATGTTATTAAACACTGTTGGAATGATAATCCCAATTTAAGACCGTCTTTTGGAGATGTCAAAAAGAATTTATCCAAGCTGAAAGAAGTTCCGAAACATGTTAACATATTAGATAATTTACTTAAAAGGATGGAGCAATACGCAAATGATCTTGAAGAATTAGTTGAAGAAAGAACGAAGGCGTTTCTGGAGGAAAAAAAGAAATCGGAAGATTTACTTTATAGAGTACTACCTAAATCAGTAGCGGATCAATTAAAAGGCGGAAATTCAGTTCGACCCGAAACGTTCGATTCCGTGACCATCTTTTTTTCAGACGTAGTAGAATTTACTAAACTATGCTCGGATAGCAGTCCTTTGGAAGTTGTTAACTTTTTAAATGATTTATACGTTTGTTTTGATGCAATCATAGCTACGTATGACGTATACAAGGTAAGGAAATGTACAATAGCTCGTTTACATAATATAAATAGGCCTAGATGTCTATTCGCGGCAGTTAATGTTTTTTTTAATTTCCGGAAAAGGTTGAGACGATAGGTGATGCTTACATGCTAGTTTCTGGCTTACCAATTCGAAATGGTGACAAACACGCGGAAGTAATGGGGAGATTATCTATTCATTTAATAAACGTTTTGGATGGTTTCGTAATCCGACATAGGCCTTCCTTAAAGATTAAAATTAGAATAGGACTGCATTCTGGACCTTGCGTAGCTGGAGTAGTTGGTAAGATAAGCATAAAAAATGAACTATTTATAGATAACAACAAAAAAAAGTACTTAAAATATTTTCTTTCTTTTTCTATTGAAAAATGATGTATAGGACTAACTATGCCGAGATATTGTCTATTCGGAGATACTGTAAACACAGCGTCAAGGATGGAAAGTAATGGAGAACGTAGGAAACTTTTAATTTTATCCCTAATGGATTTTAATTGATAGATAAATATGACTTTTTTTTCTTTTATTCTCCTCCACTTCCTCCTTACCCTCCTCATCACCCTGTTTCATCTTTTTGTCTTCATTTTTACAGCTCAAAAGATTCACGTTAGCGAGAAAACAAGAAACTTTTTAAAAGATTCCAAAGAGTTTCTACTGAAAGAAAGGGGTACAGTAGAACTAAAAGGAAAAGGAAAAATGACGACTTATTGGTTATGGAGTAAATTATGAGATGCTTTTTTGATAAAATAACTAATAAACAATACCGGAAATATCAAGAATGATTATTTTAAATTGTTTTATAAGAATCCTTTGATTCTAAACAAACTCATAACAACAAACGACTGACTTAAGCAAAGGTATATTCCTCGTCAGTCTTTGGTATTATTCTTTACATTAGTACACATTCTCTATATCATTTTTGTTTCTATTCACGAAGAATGAATAGATGCCACCCCATAGGCCTTTATAATAATAATAATAACTCCCATCTTATGAGTGTATACATTGTTGTTTCTTCTGGGGTTTTTTTATCCATACTTAAGAGTTTTCACTTAATTTATTAGTTTTCTTTATTATCTAATTTGTTCATATACTCTTTCTTTTCTGTTTTGTTGGCTTTTAATTAGTTCTAACGATTAGAGTAAACCAGTCTATGGACACGAAATTCTCTAAAGTAAATTGGGTATGTTGAAATATGGGACAATTATAGAAATGATATTTTAGTATATATTGTTAGTATTGGAACAATTGACAAACAACAGTAGATTTTGTTTTTAAATAAATCATATTTAAATACTTTGTCATAATATCAAAAAAATATACATTGTTATTAATAAAAGATACATTTATGATGGAAGCATATGATGTAAGCAGTCAAAGACGGAGAGAGAGAGAGAGAGATGTTAATGACAAACTACTGTTTTGTTAGTTTTTCATTCTTTCCCTTTCACTTTCATATTTAAAGAAAATATTATTACAATTAAACAACATCGGTTATTTGTAAAAGTAAGTGCCGTTGTTCTTGACAAAATATGCCTTTTATCGCTTTTTTCATTACGTTCGTTGTTTCTTCCTCCTATCGTTTCTTCTTGGAAAATTATATCAATATTTTCCTCTATTTTCCTTCATTTTGTACAGTTTTTTTGCGGTAGAATAAACAGAATTTTTAAAGAGCTTTTAAATATACATATATATGTTTACAGTATATACAGAAGAGTTCAATCATGAGTTGTGTCGCCACATATCGGTCATAAACGTCACTAAAGTACATTGCCAATGAATTTCTAGATATCTCGCTTTTATATTTTTCCTTTCTTTGATATAATAAAACTTTCTGTGTTAATCAATAAATGAAATAGACGGACATTTTGAAAAGGCAAATCAATAAGTTTTTATGCGATAACAACAATGAATTTAACAGTAGAGATTCAAAGGAATAAAAACGTCTGATAATCCATTCCTTTATGTTTTTCAAGTATACCTATTTACGTAACGTTTAACTAATCCTTTATAACTAAGTGGCCACCATTTCAACCAATAGTAATTGCATTGAAAATGTGTTTTTAGTAGAAGAAGGCAGGAAAGATATAGAAAAAAGAAAGGGAGAGAGAGAGAGAGAGGACGAGAAAATGATAAAACCCATATTCTTTTACTGCAGTCTTCCAAGTCTTTTGATTTTGATATTCGTATTGAATGTGAATGCAGTGACTCTTTCAAGATGTGATTTCTACAAACTCATCATTTCAAGAACTTTTAGAGAATTCGAAAGCCATGCTTCCGATTGTAAGTATTAAATATGTAAATAGAAATAGATAGGAATATCTTTTTATCTTTAATAACAAAAAAGGAAAATAAGAAATTTCTTAATTAACTTAAAAGGGACTTGCTTAGTTCAACATGCCTCTAGCTACAATACTGAATCTGTAAAGGAAAAGGGAGATGAAACTTACTATGGCTTGTTTCAAATTCCCAGATCGCAGTGTCAAACATGGTTTTCTAGGCCAAATAAGACGGAGCTTGAAAATAAAAAATGCACAACTAAATGTCATTGTTAGTATTCAAACGAAATAAGAAATAATTGCTTTTTCTTTAATGTTGTCAAATATTTTCATAACAGATTTAACAGATAGTAGCATTGTAGACGATTTTGATTGCGCAATGACTTTATTTAAAGAATCTGGTTTCGATTTTTGGTGAGTAAAGTAGTTATTTTCTATGTTGCCACCAAGTTCTCTCTCTCTCTCTCTCTCTCTCTATCTCTCTGTCTTCTCTCTTTTTCTTTCTTGCTCTTATTCTCTCTCTCTCTTAAACACATACATACACACGCTCTGCCTTTTAATGAAACTTCCTTTTTCGTATAATGTATGTAATATACATAACCTTTCTGTTATTTATATCTTACAGGCCTATTCATAAAAGTAAATGCGAAGGCAAAAACTTGAATTCGTACACCTCAAATTGCTGGTGAAAGATTAAACGGAGTAAATTTGAAGAATAAATGATTTTTAATAATATCTGTATTTACATTTAAACATGATATCTGTTTGTCACTCAGAAGGTAATAAACGTCTTTTTCTTATTAATTAATCTTACTATGATTCAGGGAAAAAGGTAGTGGGAGAGAGTAGGATTGGATATAAGTACATTTATAAACCACAAGAAACTATCAAAAGGTAAAGAGAGGAAAGAATCCAAATTCTTTCGAAGAGAAAGAATAAAAAAAATGAAAGATAGAGAGAAAAAGCCTCTGGAGAAGGATAAGAAAAATAACAAATAATTAGTTTTCATTTGACTATAACAAACCAGTTTAGTCGTGATTATTTAAACTTAACGAGATGCAGAGGGAATTAATGCTACGTAGATAGAAAATTAGGGCCGTTTAATATATTTACAATCGTTAGATGGCGCAACTTTCAATTCAAAATCGAATAATCTATATTTATATACTCACTTACATTGCATCGTAATATAGTCGGCAAACATTTCCCATTACCCTCCTTCTGGTTTGTCTTTGTTGTCTCTCGACCAATATTTATTAAAGCAATTCTGTGAAATACGGTCGTTTATTCTGTAGTATGTAAGCAATGATTATAACAAAACTAGACATATTGTCGGAGATGGTGCAAATAGTCCAAACAGATAACGTATAAGAAAAAATAAAAGAATAACCGAAAACAAGTAACTCTATTTCATAGAAGAAAATGTTACGGGGGTGGAGGCATAATTAAATAGAATTACTCCTGCTAACATTGTACTTCATATAAACATCAAATTAGGATACTGTCACGTATTCCAACTCTTTTTTTATTATTATTACTTTCAACCATTCACAGTTTACTCTTCCCTTTCGGAATAGATAATAAAGATTTTTATTAAAAAAAAGATATACTTTCACCAACTTTTTTCTTGATGGATAAATCGAATTGGAATAGAAACTTTCTCTATTTCTTTTTTCCTTCTTGTTCCTCGTCCCACCCCTCCCCTGTCTCTCTCTCTCTCTCTCTCTGTCTCTCGCTTTCATATCAGAATAATTGAGTTATTAAGGTTTCGTCAAGAAGTAAAAAAGCAAAAAAAAGAAAAATAAAATACGAACTTAAAACTTTTCCATTTTTTTTCTATTAACAGTTAAAAGATTTCTATATCTGATTGCAAAATTAGTTAAGGTTTTCTTTTTAAAAAAAAAGCAAAGAGCCGAAATACTACGCCCTCTTTTGGTGTTTGCACACAATTATTTAACGAATGTCAGGACAGGTAATATGTTTACTTGATAATTGTTTCGGGAAGAAATTCGTCTCTATCTCTCTCTCTCTCTCTCTCTCTCTCTCTCTTTGATTTCTCTAGTTTCTCATTATTCTAGCTCTGTCGAAAAACCCTCTTGAACCCGATCCTATCCTATCAGAGAGAGCCTGAAAAAGGACTCCTTTAAACGATCGAGTTAAAAGATTCTATTTCGTCCTTCTTTACACTTTTCCCTTAACTCGTTATTAAATAAACTGGTATTTCAACAAATAATTGCTCCATATACTAATATACAATATATATAAATTATTAGATATATATATATATATCTACTGTTTATATCTATTATATAATAGGTACATTGTTTTAAAAAACAAAACAATATTGAAGGGCGAATTCTCGTCTTTTTTTCATTTCCCCAGCGTTATCTAACCTAAATAAAAATTGGGAAAGAGGAGACCATATTTCCTGTTAATTATACAAAAAATACGTAATGGAAATATGAGTTTCATTGTCTCTTTTTCTATTCTATTCCTTTTACTACTAGTCTTGCTACTCCTCTCCTTCCTCTCCTCCTTTCCCTCATCCTTCATTTCACTTGTTCTTCTGGAAAACTCTAGATAAAAAGAAAGAAGCAAATGTAGCGTGTGGACAAATAAAAAAAAATAGAAAACCGATAGAATATTATACAAGTAACAGATGTATGCTACGAGAAACGGGTTTATTCGATATCCAAAATATGTGTTAATACATATTCATAAACTAATATTAAATTTCAATACCGTGCATGACATTGAGCACTTGTAAAGCGTGAGACAGCTGCTAAAATGTCTGAATACTTTAATACATTTATAGAGTGCGTAAATAAGTTTTGTACAACTGTGACAGGATTAAACTTTTTTGAGGTAAAAAGAAGGAAATCAGCAAAAGAAACAGAATATGACCATGTTTAATTATTCTCTTTTTATGATTCTAATCTCTTTGATTGGGGTCAGTTATGCTTCCATTTTATCGGAAGATGATATCGTTAAACTAATCGGTAGACCGGGAAAACCTTTAGATGTTTCTTACGGAGAACATTCTGTTGTTCCTGGAGAGACGCTTGAAATATCAAAGACGCAGAATGAGCCAAATATCGAAATTGGTATCTACAAATATATATTATTTTCTTTTTGTTGCCAAATCATTGAAACTAAATATAAAATCTCTCTATTGACCATTGTGATATATTTTTTTTATGAAATTGAATAGGTGAGGACGATGACTGCTATCGTACTCTTGTCATGTTTGACCCTGACGCTCCATCGGCTACACTCCCAATTATGGCGCAATTTAGACATTGGCTAGTTGTGAATATTAAAGGATCAGATATGAATAGTGGAGATACTAAAGTTACATATATGGGCCCGTCTCCGCCAAAAGGAACCGGACCTCATAGATATATCTTCGCAGTGTACAAGCAAAACGATTGCAAGAGAACTGACTTTTCGAACATAAATAAAGCAAGACCTAAAACTTCTGTAGCTAAATTGATAGCTGATTATAATTTAAACTCATCACCAGAATCAGCAAACGTATTCTTTGCCGAAAAAAAATAATTACATAAGATGAAATACAGCAAAGTTTGACAAATGACAAATTATCTATTGTTTATCTTTTCATATCCAAAATATTATTATAGAAAGATGTATAAGTATAAATAAATAAATTGTATAAATGATATATATATTGTTTATGCATATATATATATATTCACAATATTAAAAGAGTTCAGAATTATTATTATTTTTTGGTCTATATCAACACAATTATCCAAGTTCGAGATTTATTTTTGATTTTTTCAATATTTTTTGTTTTTCTTTAAACGGTCATTGAGAAACGTATTGTGATATGCGAATGGTAAGTAGGAACAACAATGCTACGAAAAAAATATCTGGCACTAAAAACATTCACTTTTCGAAAAAATAAATGAAAAAAAAGCATTTATAAAAAAAAAGAAGATAAAAAAAAAGAAAAATAACCACTTTTCCCGTTTAAAAAAATTATATATATACACATATATATGTATATATATATATATATATATTATATAATATATATACATACATACAGTAAGTATTGTCTTTTTTTTTAAATTTATTTAAGTAATAAACTACTTGGATGTTAAATTTTGTTTTTTTAACATTTTTTGTTTTTTTTTATAACTATTTGCTGTTTTATCTAATTTTAAATTAATTTTTAAGAGAGTTTATTTTTTGGTATGATTGATTCTTCTTCTTCTTCCTTCTTTTCTTTTCTTTTTTTTTTTTTACAAGTATAAAAAACAAGATTGTCTTATTTTTTCCCATTAGCAGACAGATGCCAACCTTGCAAATCTATACTCTTATTAGCTTTAATATGTTTAAATTTACAATCAGCACCAAATTTACACCCAGTAGTTCTCCAAAAGTAGCATTCATTACCATTCACAGGACCTTTTTCAATATGTTCTTGATATCTTTTAGATTGAATGATTATTTAATTATAAATTAAAATTTTAATTAACAGTTAAAATAAGATAAGTAATTATTTATTTATTTATCTGAAACACTACCTGTGACTATCAACGTTATTTGGCCATTTTAATAATAATCTCATTGGTCCACATTGTACCCCCTTTGAAAATAAAGGAGAATATATGTATTTGTTAATTAATTACCTTATTAATATATAATTTATATATATACCTGATAACTACTCATCGCTTTTGCCGCTTGTTCGGGAGTTTGATAATTTACAAACATATAAAATTTTTCAGTTGTTCTATAATGACTTATAACGGTTCCGCATCTAAAATATCAAAGTAAAATATAGATAATTAGTGTCCTTTGATAAATACGTTTTCCGTAGTTTCCACTATTAAAGATAAATTAAAAGGAAGAAAGCAAGGATATGAAAGAAACTCACTTTCCGAACATTTCTAATAATTCATCAGTATCTACCTCCTGTGCAACATTACCGATCCACAGATTTGTTGCTCTTAGTGGATTTGTTGGACTGTTTAATAGGAGAGTAAAATTACATAAGTATTTAAGAAAAAAAAGAAACTTATAAAAGAAATAAAAGAAAACAAGGATTATTTTACACTTACTCTTTTAATAATTGATCTTTATTTGTTGTGGTATATGGAACGTTTGAAGGTTGAACTTCACCGTTTGTAACAGGCTTTTTCAAGCCTTCACAAGGCGGCTTCACGTTATTTTTGTTTGTGTCATTAACTGGTTTTGAGTTTTTTTGTAGTTTATCACTATTAGTACAGGCTATCACTTCAGCCATTGTTTTCCTCTTTGGGGCATTTATATTATCATTGACCATTTCGTTTAAGTCATCTAGGACATTAAAATTAGGAGTAGTATTTCTATATATAGAATAGTCTGTACCAAATAATGTTTTACTACTCCAAAGATTATGTATATTATATGAATTATTCTCGGTGCCGTTATTTGTATTTTTTGGTGAATTTTGATCCTCAGGATCGAAGAAATTATTGGCCCAGCCATTTTGACTTGAACCATTTGTATTCCAAATATTATCGGTTAAAATACTCGGGGATTCAACAGAGTTCCGACCAGACTCTTCTGTTGTATCTTTAAAATATCTTGAAGTTTCGTTAGATTGAATTGTTGTTTTCTTAGGTTCTTGAACTTTTGAGGAAAAAATGAATTTTCATGCAAATAATGAAAAATATAACAAACTTTTTTCTTGTATTAAATGAGCAGCAGCATTAACGTCGTTTGTTTTATTCAAAGCTCTCTCTGATATATCTTTATCATAACCCATTTCCTAAATTGATTGATTATTTCTCTTTATATACATGACTACTATGAAAAATTCTTCCGTTTTCGATTTACCTGTAATTGAACTAATTGTACATCGTATAATTCAGCATCTCCTTCCATTGAATTAGGATCTAATTCCAAATGTTTTCTATAGCAGGATACCGCCTCTTCGTATCTCTATTTCATTAAATTTACAAAACAATCAGTAGACGTTTACTAGAAAATTATTATTTTACTTTTAAGCCGGTTAGCGCTCTAGCTTTACGATAGTAACCCTTCTCCCATCGTTCGTTTAATGTCAAGGCTTTTTCGGCATCCGCATAAGCTCTATTGTTTCCAATAAGAAATAAAAACAATTAAAAAAAGGAGTAAAAGAAAAAAATCTTACTCTTCATATAATCCCAAACGTTCATAACAAAAAGATCGATGTCCATATAATCTAAAAATAACAAATTACAATAACAAATAAGTTTTTTTTTTAAAAAAAAATATGAAAAATATTTATTTATATTTTTCACGTTTAATATTAATTCTATATGAATTTATAGATAAAATAATATTACAAAGCTGATTGAAAAATTATCCTTTACCTGCAATCTCTATCGTATAAGTTAATAGCTTCTTTAAATAAATTAATAGCTTCTTCAAAATTCTGTTCTTTTTCTGCTAGTAAGTATCCTTTACCTAAAATATTCAGAAAAAAACAATTAGGTTTTTTAAGAAGATACAAGAAAGAATATAAATAAAATAGAGAAAAAGAATCAATATATACTAGCTAATATTTGAGCTCTCTCTTCTCTAGTTTTTTCATTATCTCCATCATTTGTCTGTGAGTGTAAAAAAAACAATAAATTAGTACAGCAAGAAAACAAGTGCAAATATAGCAAATATGTATACATCTAATATATATATATATATATATATATATATGTTATCTACATTATTATTATATTAAACAATAATATAAACTTAATATTATAATCTTTTCTTACGTTACTAGATTTCACTGAGTGATTGGAATTTGTTTTGTTTATACTTGTAGAAGATGATTTTGAATTATTTAACGAATGTTTTGCTTGCTCTTTCTGAACTTTCTTTTTTCGTTTACTTGATTGCATAACAAAAGCAGAATTATCAATCAGTTTATCACAGTCGCTTGAGCTGTAAATTGATTAAATTATATATAAATAATTCATAAAATTCACCTAAATAGTTATATACCTATCATTTTTATCGTCATCATTTTCCTCGTTAGTTATATCATCCTTAATGAGACCTTCTTCACTGTCACTATCATTTTTATACTGATCGTTAATTTTGATATTTTCCTTAGAATTATGTTTCTCTTTTTTCTTTTCCCTCTGCTTCTTTTTTCTTTCTTTTTTCTTGAGAGCTTTTTGTTTTTCGCGACCTGTTATAACCGGCCAGATAGTAATAAAGTCATTTGTCGATATTGAAAGAGCTATACCTTCTTGCGTAATTAGTTCCATCATAGCTTTGTCAGCTTCCATTTCCTTTTCTAGTTCTTTTTCTACAGACGACGTAATAAGATACTCAGATAGAAAATGATTCATTCAATTCCATTAAAGTTATTTTTATTTCCCTTTCACAATTCGAAATATTACATAATTAATAATTGTTTTTACTATACATTGTTTCAAGTAGGATATAAAACAAGTTTATAATTTCAATTTTAAAATAGTTACGTTCATCCCCGGAAACTAATAGTAGTTGTCATTATCGAGCCTATGAGAGGTAATTACCTACCTACGAAAATCTTTTACATTTCAATAGATTGATTACATACCTGGAATTGAGAATGCCAAACTTTTGTAGTTAACATCTTCACAACGATCGCATCTGCAGCCTTTTTTGCTCTCCCAATTTTTTAGAGCTGAGAAATAAGATACCTTATTTTTAATTTCAGATTTAAATTGTAAATAAATATTACATTCACAAGCCTTTTTTAATGTTTTTGTGTTATCGTCCTTCAAATTATTACTACTTGCTTTATGTAATGTATCTTGGGCGGTTTGAAGAGCATTATATATCTGTAAATTCATGCAACAAACCTAAAACATGGTTCTTTCGAAAATCGATGAATAGCTACTCACAAACTCTGATTCAGATGAATTATTGTGAAACACAGGATACCAGCAACGTCGTAAATAGTTATATTTTTTTTCAACAGTATTTTTGTTGTATTCTGTGAACGTAACAATGAAGATGAGCGAACAATTTACAAATTGAGCGATAATTAAATAAGTTCCGTGAAAGAATTGCTAGTTAATACCTTCGGGTACACTTAACAATTCACGAGAATATTTAATATTATCATTTAAAGTTTTCCGGTTCATAACTAGTTTCCGATTACAATTTAGTACACGATAAATACTATAAAACTTGTTTTGAGAAGAAAATCAGCTTGGCTTTTCAGAAACCGTGAAACCACGTGTGATAAAACGGGATTTTAGAATGAGTGGTTCGTGTCGAATTTTCCCGCGAAAATTTCAAAATACCAAGCGAAGCGTCTATTCCCTTCAGAATTCAATTGTTTATTTTAAAGAGTCTTTCAGAAAACGTTTTTTTTTTTATTTGAGAAACATACATACATCAAACGAATATGGGAAAAAGTCGAATGTAGAATACGTTGCTTACGTTGAACTGGTACAACAAGTGACGAAAACGAAACAACTTTCTCAAAAACAAATTGACGAAATGATAAAAACATATAAAAGCAGTAACTATAAAAGAATTCATTTTTTCCATCCTCCATTGCCTTAATGCTTTTTTCACAAACTTGCAATCTACCGATCATTTTTTAACGCAGACTCATCATATCCTACAAGAGAAAAATTTCAACAAAAACACCTATTAAGTTTGCTTTAAGTTTCAGGAGACAAACTGTGTTTACTGTAAAAAAAAATTTCAAATGACTAAAAATGTCAAGTATCGAGTCAATAAAATGTTGTTAGTGTTCAGATTCGGACGAAGTTGGAGTTTGAGGAGCGGGGGGTTTGGGCAAGTTATTCGAATCTGCTGCGTTTTGCTGTTGTTGAACTGCCGCTGCTTGAGCTTGAGCTTGAGCTTGAGCTTGAGCTGCTATATGGGCGGTTGCGGCAGCGTGCATCGCCGAAAATACGGGGCTCGGAGCCATTGAGGCTGCCTAATTGAATGAAAAAATTTTTTCAAATTTTTAGGGAAAAAAAAACACGATCAAAACTTACAACGGTCGAATGAAGATCGGTGGTGGTCGAATGCACACTCGTGTGCGGCTGGAATCCGCCGCTAAATGCCACAGCGGCTCCATTCATTGTTGATGGTTCATGACCTCCTTAAAAATTATAAAAAAAATTCAATTAATAAACATCTATAAATCTCCAACTCAATAAATCAAGCCTAATTTACATATTATTGACTATATAAAACTACTATGTGCGACTCATGTTCTTTTATTGAAATACTTACGTTTAATCGCGGCAGCGGCAGCGGCATTTAAACCATGAGAAGGATTAGGGACATAGTATTCCTTTACAGGGAAAAATTAAAAACTTAAACGCTAGAAAAAGGATTAACATAGTTTTCAAGGGTATTACCTTGTTGACGCAATTACGCAGTGAATCAGGGATTCTCCCTACCACGGCCCTTCGGACTTCACCTGCAGCCATTTCTCTTAATTCTGTAATACTCTGATCTGAATAAAAAGCCGAGTGTGGTGTACATAAGACATTTGGACAGTCTTTGAGCGGTGATGAACTTAAGTTAAGTGGCTCCTGTTCGTGAACATCTAATGCCGCTGCTCTGATTCGGCCATCTTTCAAGGCAGCAGCAAGAGACTGCTCATCTACAAGTCCACCCCGAGCAGTATTGACAAGAAATGCCCCAGGACGCATCTAAAAATATTTTTAAAAACAATTTTTATTTTGCGTTTAAAATGATTGCAATAATTTAAAGGATTTCTTTTTTTAGTAACATAGACGTTCGTAAAACAAGCGGCGGTGCCTTTTAATCCCCCCAGCCCGTAGCGCAAAAAGTATACTACTTATCGACCAGCACTTGCGCCTTTCTTCCACAAAAGGCACTTTCTGCCTCGCGGTCGACTTTGAACGTAATCTAAGCCGCATTCACTTGGTCTAGTTCGCTTTGGCTGAAAAGCGTCAAAACACTTAGTCGCTTTTGTCAGGCCTGGCGCTCATAATTTTAATCCATTATTAGTTTCTGCCATCTTTTTTTAGTACGGGCTTGTCCCAAAAATGTTCTATTACTCTGAATTGCTATTTCTAATTACTAGTGATTCACCGTAGAGGTTATATTCCTAGTGACATAATATACTGTACAAAATGCATTTATATAAATAAATGCTAAAATATATATAAATTTATAAATACATTTATATATATACAATACAAAAGACTAATAAATACTGTATACATTTCTTTATATATTTAGTTCTACGTAAATTAAATAAGTAAACTAGATTTTTATAAATAGAAAACTTTAGGAAATTGCTTACTAACCTGTTTAATTGTGTAATCATTAATCAAATGGTTATTATGCTCATTCAAAGAACAATGTAGTGTCACGCAATCGGATTGAAATAGTAAATCCTGGAGTGTGTAGACACGTGTAACGCCTAAGCTCTTCTCACATCCATCAGGCAAATATGGGTCATAGAAGATCACGTTAAAACCAAATGCTTTGGCGCGAAGAGCAACCGCTTGACCGACTCGTCCAAAACCCACAATGCCCAGCGTGTCACCACGGATTCTCGCGCTACCTTGAGCGGCGTCTCTTAGCGCTTCCGGTCCCGCTATTTTTTTACCTTCCCTCACTAAATTGGCTAGCCAGTATGTTCTTCGATACAAATTCAAAATTAGACAGAGTGTACTGTCAGCCACTTCTTCTACTCCATAGCCTGGGACATTGCAGACAGCTATGCCCATTTCCCCGGCCGCTTTAACATCCACATTATCGACTCCGGTACCCAGGCGGACGATTATGCGTAAAGTCTTAAATTTCTTCAAATCCTCTCTGGACAACTGAATATGATGGTACAGCATAGCACCGACTGCCTCATTTAATACCTTCTCATGAATTTCATTCGTGCTTTGAGCGTCACAAAAAGCCACCGTAGCAACGTCCTTGAGAATAGGCATTTCCACGCTGCAATCTCTTCCATCCAGCAAAGCAATCAATGGCCTTGGATGGAGAGGTCCATTAGCAATCTGAGGGCGAGGGCCCGACATGATTTTAACAGTATTCAAAGCAGTTCGATCTGTTAAGAAAACACAGATACATATATTTATATCAGATAATTAAATAGTCAAGCGGTAGAAAATTAACAAAAAAACAACCCACCACTATAATCAATACGAGCTATAAAAAGCTTCTAGTCTGAGAGTGTATATATGAGTGTATGTGTGTAAGTGTATGTGTTTGCGTGTTTCTGACGATAGACTCAATTCACGAATAACACATTAGGAATAACGAAGAAATGTGAGAAATAAATATATCCACTAGGAGTAATCTATTTCGCATAAAAAGAAATACCACTACATTTCCGTTTAATACCTGAAGCCAAATAGGCGTCTATCATGCGTCACTAACACAATACAAGACGTTATAAAAATACACAACGCAGACATCACAATGAAATTTCAATGGTGACCCACGTTCGTTTCCATCCGAAAAGGAAGAGCTTCTTTCTTACAGAAAAAATCCTACTTGTCACTCGACGAAAATGAAAAGCGCTATGCGGCTGACCTCGTTATAAAGCCTGTACTTAAAACTCTTTTGCTCTAAACGGTCAACTTGGTTGGCCCAGTTAGTTCTCTTTTGCCGACGCTAATTCGAACTATGCTGCGTCAGATCACATTCCATTTTTCCACTACGAACACTTGGCATTCTATTGCCACCGCCTATTGCATAAATTAACAATCCTTCGTTTATCATAAGAAATATTTCGGCTGATGACACTTATAAGTTGCATAATCGTTTTTAATTCAGCACCTTTTATTCTGCAGCTTTAGTAACCATTACTATGATTGTTATTTAATTAAACACAGAACATAACAAATCAATGTCCATTTTTACTAAGCAAATCGTGTTCTATCATTAGTCATCTTAATGTGTTTTAATAGGACTACTTTTAATTTCTATTGTTATCATAAGAAACATGTCCCTCTTTCGTTCTAAAGTCAGAAACATCTCAGTGAGCAAGAGTGAACCAAACAACAATGAAGACGCCAAGTAAAAACGAACTAAGCCGCTTAAGGCGCAGAACGAGCTAGATGCTAATTTATGTTCATTGCACATAGTCCTTTTATACTAATAAAGTACGTGGGAGCATGATGTATTTGGCCATGGCAGCTAGTCGCTTGGCCTACAGAGTACAGGGAAAGTTTGCCGTTTCGTTCCAATTTATCGTTTTACTATTCATTGTTGCTGATAAATTGATAGATAATCACTTTCAACTTTTGATCATCCATTAACGTCTTAAAAAAGTGTTTATAATTATCTACACGCATCACGCTTTCACACACGAATACAGGTCTAACAGCTACATATTTAAAAACTAATTGAACTTTATTATCAAGGGAAGGAAATTTCGTACCTTCAATCAATAAGACGCAAAAATCAAATGCTTACCAAACGTTTCTCAAACCAAGGCCAAGAAAACAAAGGCAAATGTCCGTTTGTGAGGACTGTGTCAGATCTATCGTAAATTCGATGATGTTAGTCAAACGGTATTAGACTTTCAAATGTTCTTCGTTAATTTGATAGCCTTTCCGTGTAATCTTCTCACGAAAAGCAAGGAAAAAATGTCAAGAATCTCCGATCATGCGGCGAATGTGCAAGGAAATCGTCTTCCCGCGCTTTCTCATATTTTCTCGCACAACCCGGTAATTATATGTTTTATGTTCGTACGAAATTTATCGTATTTGATATTACTAGATTAACAAAATAGTTTATCATTCTATAAAATATTTAAAATACGAATAAAATTTTGGACAATAATAAAGTAAATAAAAATGGCCGATCTGAAAACTCTGGAACATGCAACACTTAAAGTAATTTTCTAATATCTTTTGCAATGAATCTATCTTGATTTGACGTATTATCTTCAAATAGGTACCGTACGAAATATTGAATAAAAAATTTCGTGTAACTCAGAAAGTTATTGATCGGGAGGCCACAAATGTTAAATCTTATTTGAGTGAACTTGATCAGTTGTTAAAAACAACCCCTTCTTCAGATAATTTAAATTCAATTATTGAAAAATTAGTAACTTTTAAGAAAAAGGTCGAAGAAAGCATTACAGATGAAACTGAGGCAGCCCAAGTTTGTAAAGATAGGTTAAGTCATTTACAAGAATATGCCGAATTAAATAGTTTGAGTGCGGAAAAGTGGAGGAAACAACGACTTGATAGGATGCTTGTTGAATATTTCCTACGAGCTGGCTATTATGACTCTGCTATAGAACTCGGGAAGAGTAGTGATATCGAAGTAAATGAATTTAATTGAATATAGTAATACGACCTGTAGGCTTTCAGATGTCTTTAAACTTTCAACATTTAATTTTATGTCTATAGCATTTAACAAATATGGAACTTTTCATCACATCACGCAAAGTTGAAGAGTCTCTTAGTGCTAAGAATACAGCGTTATGCGTTGCCTGGTGTCAAGATAATAAATCCAAGTTGAAGCGGATGAAGGTAATATTTATTTTAATAACATATTATATCGATAAAAAGACTAGAAATAAGTACTCGTTTCCTATTCAGAGCAATTTGGAATTTAAGATCCGACAACAAGAATACATTGAATTAGTGAAAGAAAAGAAAATTCTAGAAGCTGTTAAACACGCAAGAAATTTCCTGAGCTCTACAGACCCTGACAAATTAACTGATATAAAGCAGTGCATGGCTTTGCTTGCTTACTCGCCCGATACAGAATTGGAACCTTATAGAGTAATTACTGACAGTTGTAATAACTTTATATAATATTTTTTGATCTATCATACAGAGTTTATTTTCGGAAGATAGATGGAAGGATTTAACAAAGCAATTTAGAGCAGAAAACTTTAAGCTCTATCAATTAAACATGAATAGCGTCTTTTCGGTAACTATGCAGTGCGGCTTATCTGCCCTGAAAACGCGGCATTGCTATGTCGATAATGAGAAGAATGACTCCTGTCCCGTATGTAAATCACCAATGAGCGCATTGGCTGAGAAACTACCCTTCGCTCATTGCAGGTAATGTTGATATTATTGAAAAATGTTTTGTATCTACTAACAGTCTATTTTTACTCATAGCCATTCGAGATTAATCTGTAGATTGTCCGGTGAACCTTTAAACGAACACAATCCCCCAATGGTTCTACCAAACGGTCACGTATATGGATACAATGTAAGTCATGCGATTTTTGTGATAAACACAAATAGTTATTTTCAATGAGTAATAAGTGCGTATTTCGTACAGGCATTATCTGTTATGGCTGCTGAACACGGTGGCAAAGTTGAGTGCATAAAAACAAAGGAACGGTATAAACTTGAAGATGCCGAAAAAGTCTACGTAATGTAAGCGACCTAATATTAGCAAGAGAAAGAAATGAAAAGAAGATTATTAAGAGAGGTAGAGAAAGGCTGTCTGCGAACTGAAAAAAAACCAAAAGTTATTATTTTTCTTGCTTTTTCTATATTGTTTTTAATTTTACTGCCAAACAATTTAGTATATTTAAAAAGTTATCAATAAACAATCTTCTAAATCTTTATCAGATAAAGAGATAAATACAGAGTTGAAGGAAAGCGAATGAAAGCGTTACAATCAATTAAATATTGTGCCTTGTTTTGCTACAAAGCGTAAACTGACTTTCTATTTCCTTTTAACTTCCTATCAACAGGAAAACACTTCTTCTGTTTGCAATAGGCTCAATAAATAAAAAAAAACAGTAAAAAACATAAGTGGCTTAGATTATTTAGAAACCTTTAGCAATAATTACTTAAAAGGTAAAACATATAAAATATGCAAGATGATATTCGATGGCTGTTACGATTATATCGAATTTTTCTTGTAATAAATCTTGAAGGGCAATGCTTCTTAATGGAAAACAATTGCTCTAATATATGTATTACATTGTTCGAAATATATTTAGCACTAAAACGCGCTATTTTATCTTTTATTAACAGAAAAGAGACACAGTAGCGAGAAGACAATGACATTACCAATTGATAAAAAGAGAGAATTATTTGCATGGTTTTGATAGCCTAAGTACGTAAATTAAGATGGCTTTCGTCTAAAGAATTTTCCATATTGATTTTTTTCCCTCGCTAATATCGACATAAACATCTCTGCTAAAAATACAGAAGGTATGTTAAAAGGACAGGATATGATTAAACCAAGTAAGAAAACATTTCAAGCCAAAAATAATGAACAAAAAAGCTTACGTTTTTAACCTAACCTATACGTTTGAACTGATTTTGCCTGAAAAGTCTAAAAGCATAATTAGCACCAAATGTGAAATAGTAAAAATAATCCACAATTATACAATTTTCTCTTCATCTTCATTCTGTTGAGAAAGCGCCTCTAGCCAAGACGGTAGCTCCTTTGAAATTTTTTTCAAAAGCCTCACTAAATTTGCGTTGTGCTTTTTATAATAGGAATTCAAGAACTGTCTTGCTCTTTGGCTCATTTCTTCGTATTTTCTTCCTTTGCTTTTGCCTAGGCATTTCTTTTTATTATTCTCCCTTACACAATAAAATTGTTTAACTGGATCGTAAACCAACAATTCTGCGAAATCTAAAGTTTCAAGATCGAGAAATTCCTGCACTATTTGTAGAGTCTTAACTGGATTTCTTTTTAATTCATTGCCATCTGCTAAAAGTAATTGACTGGAAGGATAAAAAAGAAGCCATTTTTCTATGTGTTGCGAATAATGACCTGGGTTTAAACAATGTTTCTTTAAATCTCGCAAAGATTTCATAGACGTTTCGTCCGCCTCAAGAACTTCGTCGAAAGTATATGTTTCGGCAGTTCGATCTTTGTGGGCTCTTTGATGTTGATACCAGCTATAAGCCCTCTCTCCCGGTTCTAGAGCTAAAACTATTAATTTTGCAGATGGAACTAATGCATAAGCTCTCCTTGGAGCCAGTTCACTATGAAAGTAGGTTGAGCTCTTATCGATTTGAAGGGTATCTGAATTATTTTGAGGCGGCCAATAGCTCCTATAGAAATCCAAACCGTTGAAATAATCTTTTCCTGATAAGAATTGAGTTTCTTCAAAATGGTTTGGAGATTTTTTAGAAACCTTTATTGATTTATGAAGATCTAGAAAGGTTAATAGAGCTGTTGTACCAGTTTTCTGAGGCCCTAATATAATTACATCAGGCAATTGGCCGCAAGATTTTTTAGATGACCATATTTTGAAATGGCGCTGATCTTTGCAGGGGTCAAACCAAATGGGATCTATTTCTTCAGGGAATAAGTTGAAATAATAATTAGCCATATTAATGGGACTGGTCTGTATAAATTTCAAATTTGTCCAGCATTTAAGCCAGTCGAACACTGCCGTAAAAGTATATAATGCCAAGCGATCTCTACCATAGTTTGACATATGAGTCATAAATATACTAACAGGATTATCCACAAATGTTCTGAAAAGTTCACCCCCTGCTATGGATGACAACAATCGGCGGAAGCCCCCAGGGTATTCAAATAGTTTAACAGTATGAGTATAGAGTCCGCAAGTTTGACGAGGCAAAACTGTTGAAAAGATAAGATACAAGTAATTCTAAAATTTCAAAATATGTTTACGTAAATATTACATATCTTTCATTCTTATCTTTATTGACATAGATATGCTATTTTTAGTAAAAAGTAGTATAATTTTTTATGGACACGCTATTTCTTAGACTATTAAAGAAATTACCTCTTATTCCAGAATGAATAAAACCTCTACGAAATTTAGAAGGTCTTAGATGAGGATACTCTTCGGTTGAGGTTACTTGTATATTCCATATTTTTTTCCAGCTTTCATATAGTTCTTTATGAACAGGATAAACACCAGAATGATGTGGTGGAACAGAATAGAACGTATCAAATTTAATATTGTGTTTTCTGGCCCAAGCTTTATTAAGTAGCATATAATTTTCTAGTTCACTTAAATTTAACTTATGAGGTTGAGTATGTTTGTACATATGAGGAAACCATTGAAACTGATCTGAAAGGAAAATCAATATCTTTTCTATCAATATTTACTGCAAAATAAAGTATTGGTATAACCTTTAACTTTTATTAATAATTGATCTCCTTTAATCTCTTCACTATCTCCTTGTTCCATATACCAATAGGCAGAAAAACCCAAATTGAATTTAAAATTATTCAAATAATCTCTATTCCAGACAGTTTGAACTTTTATCATAGCTTCAACGTCTTCTTCGGTGAGCCGAGAACCTTGTTTTCCTACAAATATATCATCAACATCGATAAGAACATATCTTTTTAGAGTTGTGCATAGTGATCTGTCAGCTGATAAGTAGCATAAAGCATCCATTAGTAAGAGTCTATGCACCCAAAATGAAGAAAAAGAATTTCCGATATAAAACTTTTTTATAATTCTGTCTTCAAAAGCGGCTACTGTCCAAGTTTTTATATTTTCTCCTTTTCCTGTTGTAGCCGTTGCAACAGTTTGAAATGATGTATTTGTAAAAGCAGTCCAAGAGTTTCCAGGCACTTTTTTAATTTTTGCTCCGTGTTTTGAGATTCTGAGAAGGGGATTTTTAACTAACGTATAGTCATAAACAGGAGTCACAATTTGAGTTTGCAAACCATAAATATTGTTTTTAAAACTTTCGTTGCCTGGGGTAAAGAAAATTATACCTACGCTAAAATCTTGGCAGTAGGTTTCTAATAGTTTCCTATTCCAGCTATCCATTAGATAATATCTTTTTATCTTTTGGAAAATAATAGCTGAATATTTGGCTCTTCCCCTGTGTGCCAGTGTTGGTATATTTTTATCAGCAGCAAGCATCTTTACGCGAATTTTCCATGATTCTAAAGTATTGAGAATACTAATGGCTTCGTGAGAAAGCGATGATTCCGCTAGAAGTAAAACTTTGTTATCTGCATTCATACTATGATTTTCCATCCATCCTCTAAAATCATCTTTGAGATAAGTTTTTTCACTTGGGCATCCATCACCTGGTGATGGTGGCCTATGATGTAATATTTTTTCAACCCGAAGCGACTGAGTATTCACTTTACATACATGAATATACCAGTATCCAATTAAGATAGAAAACACTGCTAATAGTCCGATCAAGAGTCTAAAATTTTTGAATAATTTCTTTCGTATTATAAACAATACTTTCTGACATAGCTTTCTCAGTTCCATATTTTTTATCAAATAGATACAACGATGTTTCTTTATTCATTAATTCTGTCTAATAATTCCAAAACAAGCATTAAATCGAAAAAATCATGAAATTAATGTTTCAATCGACCTTCACCTAGACTGGTTCCCAGCCGTATTTGCTATGAGATTTTAAACCCGCAGCAAAACCTTATGTCTTCACATAATTCACATCCTCAAAACAATACATGAATAACGAGAATAAAATAAACAATTCATGACGTGTTAAGCTTCGATTAGCATAAATAAGTAATGATTATGCTTCCGGAACACAAGAATTAAATTGTTCAGACATTAAGCCTTTTAAGTACCTTCTCTAAATTTAAAAGATATTACTTACTGATTGAAGTATTATGCTTAAAGATACACTTTTAAGATTTATATTTAGCTTAAATTGCTATCCAACAAGATTTATTTATAAAAGAAATTATATATTTATGTATATATACTTTATACATATATATTAATATCCTAACTCATTAATAGGACAAGTATTCTCAAGTTCTATATTAAGAGCGTATACTTTAGTTTATATTTCATATAAATATATACTATAATCGTTTCTATTACTGATTAAGTTATCATTCAAGGTTATCACTTCAAAAACATAACAACACGTAAGTTATAAAGTTGTCAATCTTTAAGTTATTAAAAAATTTTTTAGATATATGAAAGGAGATGGCGCTATAGTCTAAATGAACCGAAGATATGATTGAACAACGTGCTTAGCAACGACGTTCAAGTGACGGGAAAACTTTCTCTGACTTCGAATTTCATTGCTGTTCCTTGAGTCATGCGCTATTGTGATAAATTGTAATTGACATTTACCAAAGTATCATCATTAAAGTTCGTGTGATAAACCTGGCATTTTCTTGTCGTTGAGGTCAGTTGAATAGTAATACCTTGTCACAAGAAATTATATAAGACCTTTAAAAGTGAAATATACATTGTTTAGAGAATTTTTTAACACTTTATCAAGATTATTTGATTATATATTACATTAATTTATATTATGTATAGCTTTCAACTATTTTAATAAATGCTGCAATTGCATTATTGAACTTTAACTAAATTACATTGTTCTAATCATAATCCTAATCGCTTTTGGAAGCAGTATCTCTAATCTAATCTTCGACAGGGCTTAATAAAATATGCCTAGAGGACGAAAATCAGCACCAGATACAGCAAAGGACGGAAATTGGGTAAGTAAATATCCATTCTAAATTTTTACAAATCAAAAACAGTTAAGGTCAAAAATCTCTTAATTGAATATAGTTTAGCTCTTTTATTCCCACTCCTTTCTCTACATAGTTTATGAGTATAATTATATAGTTATATAAAGAGTTTACTCGGTGTATATTTGCTTGCCAATAGACGAACAAAAGTCTAAGATTTTTAACTACCGAACTTTAAACATTATCGCGTGATAATATTCCGAAATAAGACAGCCTTGTTGCGCGATAAGCAAAGAAAATATTGTTTGATCGATCCATTGATTTCGGATAATATAACTTTACATAGGCGTAATTTGTATAAAATGAATATGTAATTGCAAACAGTATTGAAAATGACATTATAACAGACATATTACCTTGTTTTTTTTAATGTTCACCGCTATTAAGTTTATTAGTTTTAGTGGTTATAATATCAAAGTCTTTTGTTGGTTGTTATTTCTATTAAGAATATAAAGGAAAGTGGTAAATTTATTTTATTTAACGAATGAACGCGAAGTGAGTAAAATTATTTCGATCGATTACAAACCAACAAACACGATAAGAAAAAGCTCTGCATAACCTCATTGATACTTCATTCAACGTTAATCGATAAAATTGAGCTGGTAGAGTTTAACAAATTGGTTAGTAATTAGTATGTTTTTTCCTTCGTTTTTCATTAGTTTCGACATAAAGGATTGCCTGCTGCAGTCTCGGCACCTCCTCAAAGAAAATGTGATACAACCACAGAAGAAATGCTTTCACAGCCTTTTAACGAAAGTTCGAAATTGGTAAAATTTCCTGCTTTGTTCACAAAGGTAAGATTTTTTTTATATTTAATCAATAAATATAAAAATATTCTTACTTCTCTTTTGTAAATTTAGGAGAATAGTTTCTCTCTTCACGATAATAGGAATACCATACAGTCCTTTGGCGAATACTTTGGCGACGGTCGTAAAACTCGTACTTTAGGACGCTATCTGACAAAAGAACCAGAAAATCGTTTGCATTCAACATCTAATGAATTTCTACAGCATTTGCCTAGTCGGAACAATTCCGATTCAAGTACTACTTATAGTAGACATTTTTATGAACATAAAGCCCCACAAGGGGAATTTAGGCGATTCCCAAAGAATTACCAAGAACCAAACCCAAATCAGAGACTCTCTACTAACACCTTAAGAAGTAGTGAAATTCCACCTTTGCCCGATACACAAACTCTAGCAGATACATTGGAGCCATATATTCGGTAAGAATGACCTCAAATTCCCCTTTTCTTACAATAACTATATCGATAAATAAATTTCAAAATGGCAGGCATAATTCATGGAAATATTCCTATCATGGGGAAAATACCCTATATCCGAGAGGACCAAAATACGACAATCAACAACCATTACCTGTTTGGTTAGTACAGGGAACACCTAAAGCATGTACTTCTTCACAGATTTCATTCTGAAAATAATCTATACAGTTTACTTTATCCCTTTTTTTTTTTCACAATTAATTAAATTAACCACAAACAGTATTAGTAAATACTTTCATTTTATAAGAATACATTTCGGAAAAAGGTCAATTGAAATCTTTCTCTCCGAAGTAGAGAAAGTTGTTTTATTATTATTAATAATATTTAGGAAAGTTTTTGAATATGATTAATGGGTTCCTAATTACTTTTTAACTGTTTATCTTACAATTTATAGTGTAAAATTCACCTATGTGAGCCAAATTTTGAAGAATCGAGTTTGTTAGTGAATCCATTTTTTTATATCAAAAGATATGCCTGTTAATCGTTTATCCTTTGGTTTACGATGACACTTAAAGTTCTCCGTTCATAACTTTGATGAGTGTTCCCATTCCTTTCAAACTAGTACTTAGTAATATGTTCCAGTTGAAGTGCTGGAATTTTATACATCTTTTTGATGTTGGCCTATTCGATTTTGTTTGATTTTGAGTTCTTTTTCATCGAAACCGCTTATAGGCAGGATGCAAGAATCCGTATATAATATGCTGTAAAAGCTCCCCTTTTTTCCAAACAAGATATCCTTATATAGTCTTTTTCATACACGCTATAAATAAAAGCTTATTAAAGATTAAAAGATAAGAGACGTACGTGTAGGGGAAATTGAAAATTTAAATTTAGGGGAACCAGACCGGAAATAAATGACTCAATTTATTGGAGCAAAACTGGTTAATCTTTTGTTCATTATCAGAAGCAAGGGTGCATTGCTAACATTGCGTAAGATATCTTTAAAGCTGTATATTTCCGATAATTTCGACGCAAATATGTCATTTTTCGCCGTGTTTGATTCAAGCGAATGCAAGAGGTTATTAAGAGGCCGACAAATACTTATAGTGGGAGATAGCGGTAAGTTAACAATACAAAACTGCAAGAGTGACCTCTTTTGAAAATGCATTTTTTTTTTAGTGAAGAGAACTATGTATAAAGATATAGTTTGCCTATATCAAAGTAATGACTTTCTAAGTTTACAAAGAATACAGACAAAGGTAAAAATATAATATTAATAACAGAATTAAAATAGTAGATATTTCTTTAAATTTTTTATAGATGGAGTTGAGTCACATGGGAGACGAGGCCATACGTTGTCAAAAACCTCCTAAAGGCATGCCGAAAAGGGAACAAATGGATTTGCTTGTTGAAACACGTGTTTTCGACGATGAAGAAAACGAGGCTAAAATATATTATCTTTGTATTGGAGCGAGTTTTGGGAAGGAGACACAAGATAAAATTAATGATTTGGAGGAATGCATTGATAGACCTTTCGATATTATCTTAGTTCATAGCGCTATATGGGATTTACATATGTTAGCTATTATTCTCTATTCTTGAGAACATCATTAATATTGGTTTTTTTTCGTTATAGATACGATCTGGAAAATTATAAGGATTGCGTTGAACAATTATTGAATCGTTTGGAAGCAATGATGGATAGTTCAGGAAGGCTTTTTTGGATGACGTCACCTCCCGTTTTGCTAGAAAAACTAGATGATATGTATAATTCTGCAAATAGAAAAAGTTTAGCCGTCAAGATGTGTAATGATTTAATTGCTTCAGAAATAATAAGTAGCAAGTGAGTTCTTTGTAAATTTTATTACTTAAATAATTTACAGAAAAAAAATCTAATGCAATTTAAAAAATATCTGATTTTTACACTTCAGACAACACGGCATTATTGATCTCTCCTACTGGTTAGAATATCTTTTGTTCATGCAAATAGAGGATCATATACATTGGAATCGGCGAGCACATCGATTAATAACCAATGTCATACTTACCAGTATATGTCGTCATTATAGGGAACAACTACCGAATCGTTTAGTCTTTGAGGATGATACCAACTTACTGCCTCAAACTCATTATAAGCTACCATTTAAAGGTTTTAGAGAATACTATCATAAGAATTCCTTTGCTGATCTGTGGAGGTTAACGAATGTACCAGTTTGTCCAAAATTTCCTCCTATGAAATTTATTAGCGAAAACAAACAAGAATATCTAGAGAGGTCTGACACGTGGGTTAGTCAATTTGGTATTGATTCTGTTGCTAAACGAACTATTGAATGGAGAAAAAATGAACTGAAAAGTCTTGGAATTGAAGAGGAACACTGTAGAAGATCTAAATTTGACGAAGAAGGGAGAGAAATGGAAATGAAAGTCATCTTTTATGGCAACATTCATTGTCCATCAATTGAAAATAAATATAGGCCAACAGAATTCAAAGGATTAGAACAACCTAACACTATGGAGAAGCATAGATCAATTCCTGCTCCTCGGTTAATGTCAAATCCATATATTGATATGCTTATTCCACCTTTGAATAAATTGCTTACCGATTCGAAGAAAGATTTTTCAAAAACAATGACAAAACCAACAGAATGCTCTTCGAATTTCACGTCATCGATTACTAAAAAATCAAAATCGGATGCAATCGAACCATTGGAGAGAATTAATCTTCTAAATAATCTTGTGACCATACTAATGGATCACACAGAAAACATAAGAACTATTAAAGCAAGGGAAAGCCAATAGTAAATTAACTTGTTTCTATATTTTTTATACTTAAACATTATTGGATTGGAAATCAATTATTTAACTATTCGGTGGTAGCTATTTCAATATTTTCGTCAATTTTTTCAATGTCATTATCTTTGATAGTTTCATTTTCGTCTCTATCCGTGTTATTCTCGTCAATTTTTTCAGTTTCTTTTTCAGGGGCGTCTCGTATGATTTCATCATAATGATGAATAGATAAAGTGTTTAACCAGTCTATCATACTAAAATGTGTTAAGGAAATATTCCTATTGATAAATTGGACTTTACTCTAGCTGTGTGTTCTAATAAATATTAAAAAAAAGGATACGGTCTTTCTTTAGCTTCGCATTCTATAATTGTTGGATATATATAATTCTTTTTAAAATTAGCAATATCCTCCTGAAATATTTAAGGAATATTACTGTGCTCCAATATAGATTGATTTTACCTGAAAATCTGCCCAATCGAGCGAGTCATGTGACTTTGCAAAGCGCTTATTATACATGTCGTAATGAAGCTATTAAATAGAATATAATAAGTTGTGAATAATATAGTTAAAATCTTTACCGTTTCTAGCCATAGACCTAATCCTGGTGCCTTTGGTACGTCCACTTTACCAGCTTGCCAGCATTTGTCAATTAAATCGACAGTTGTATAACCCTTAACAATAGCTATTGTCAAACCTAAAAATGTTTCTAATTAGTATGCTTTTAATATAAATGGAAGTAAATACCAATCATTTTTCGAATGTGATGCATCATGAAACTTTGACCCTTCACTCTTAATTCTGCGAATTCCATTTCCTCTCTAACAAATGGTTCCTCCATCTAGAAACATTACATACCAATACATAAAATTCTTAAAAATCAGAGAATTGAATACATACTTTAAATGAGAGTATATTTCTTTTAGCGCTAGGATCTCTAAATTTCCTATACAGTAGACAAACTCTGAATAAATCAATCAAATCTCTAGAGATGTTGACTTACTTTCCACTTGTGAAATTATGAAAATTGTGAACTCCTACAAACTTTGACAAGCATTCGTCAACTTTCTCACGTGATGCTGTATCAATTCGATATTGAGAAGGTTTCAGGTCATCATCTTTTGGACTAAAGGCATGAGTTGGTATCAAGTATGTGTAAGTCCTAGAATCGCAATTATTTTTGCAATTAAAACCCTTAGTTACTCTTCTCATTGCTATAAACATAAGAAATTCCATTAAATTGATTAAGACAACGATTGAATAGTAGTTAAATTTACCTAAAACACGTATTTCTGGTGGTAAGCTGCTGTTTAGTTTCTCAACAGGATTATCAACATCAGAGAACATTTATATAAATAGAAACAATTGTCAGTAAATTGTCAATTAAATGATTGGAAGACTTATCTTTGCGTTTACGACATTTGCGGCCGCAGAGACTCCCTTATCGGTTCTTGCCGCTCTTTGAAATCTCATCCCATTGTTTTCGACATGGTCCTGTCTAACAACTCCAGATTTGACCATAGCTTCAAATAATACTCCTTCAATGGTCTTATATCCTTTATTGCTAAATGCAATAAAACTAGTTTTAAACTCATTTGAACAAGGATGTTTATAAGTAAACATATACATTTGCAAACCGTAGTAATCTTTTCCACAATAAGCAAGTAAAAGTGCAAAATTCTTTTTCTTGAACGGAAGATTCAAGTCAGATTTCAAGATCTTTTTTGGTGGTTCTCCATTATCTGGAGTCTCTTCCTGTTCCACTGGCCTTTTACCCTCAGCTCCTTCTTCTAGTTGCGACATTGTAATATTCTCTGGATACAAAATCCTAAAACCACGGGTAATAATTCGCCTAGAGTATCTTATTGAAGTGTATGATTGTCTTAGAAGCAGACAATTTAGAGAGGAAAGCATTCAATTTTTCAAAACCTCTTTTTTTCGCTCACGAGTATCTAATGATAGTTACGGAAAAAAGTTTGATTTATTAGAAATGTCTAAAAAGACAACCATTTAATAAAATTAAAAGTTTCCCCCTAGATTTTAAGTGAAAAATTTATTTTTTATAATTTTTAAAACTCATTTTATCTTTAAAAAAGAAAAATAGTAAAAAAGACATGCCTTTGACGAATGTAATTCTAAGAGTTATAAAGCTTTACGGTGTCCTATATTGGTTTGCTGTAAATTTAAATTATTAGGTACGTTATAATTTCTAGACCATTTCTAGATCTCTTAGAAGGGGGAAAAGAGATAATTTTCTGGCAAGTTTTAATAAAATAATGGTTGACATTCTTTATTGATGCATAGTTTATGTCGATATTTTTTTATTTTTCAAAAAGTAGGAAAGCAAAATGTTTCGATTTATATGTAATTAAAGTGGAAAATTGGAGATATATCTAATAAACTATTCATATGCAGATTGTGTATTTCAACTGTTGGGATAGCTTTTCATTTTTAAACAAGTCAAGAAGAGTAGAAGCTATCAAATATTTACGAGTGTAAGGTATCTAATTCATTAGTCTACCAATGAATAATATATTCATTGCTACAATATTCTTAGGAGAAGATCTATGTGCAAACAATTTAATAATTTACTCGTATGGTTTTCATTTAAGATTTGTTACTAAATAGTAAAAGGAGTTGTTATTAGTGTTTTTTACAAACTACATGGGCTAATAATTTCTTTTTAACAGATTAATTATTCACTAAATGAATTTTTATTGATATTTTTCGTCACAAATCGAATTTCTGTGCTGCTTTTGCAGAGAAATTGGCGGCTTTTTTATTCAACCCCGTTTACCGCCATTTTGACCATGTGACCGGAAACAAAACATTAGTTTACACTAGTAACGACGAAATTTGGAACAAAAATTTAATAAACACTCGAAATAGTTTTAAAGTAACTTTTAAACTATTGGGATAACATTAAATCCGTATAATATCAGCAATGACCCAGCCAGAACCGGATATCAGGTCATCAAAAAGTGCTCAGAGTGGTCGAAGTATCAAGATTAAAATTCCAACACCTGCTCCACTAAGAGGAGATGAATCACCTGTGTCATACAAGTCTTTTAAATCAGCCGGTGTGTCTCCTATAAGAGGAGCAAGCGCGGCTTCTATCAAACGATCGGAAAGCGTAACAGTAAAAGTAGGCATCGATGGAGTCCTTGATGAAGACCCTCCAATATCCATAAGATCAGCCCCGAGAACTTTCGGAGTAAGTGCTGCCATCCGTAAAACACCTCAACGAAGTAAACCTCCTTCTAGGTAAATAATGTAAAATACACTTATATCCATAGTCGTTGTTTTTAATAATATTTTCTTTTAAAATTGCCTTAAAGGAGCCCAATGTCCAGATACGCTTTAAAGATAGAAAGAGCATGGATATCTTATAGAAACCGTCAAATGTTCAAATTACTTAAGCATTCTGTTTGTGTTGCGGTAAGGAGATACGCATAGTCATATTTTAAAGGAGAGAACATCTTAAATAATTTTCATATTTTCTATAGGAAAATTCATTGTCTCGTGAAATTCTAAGAAAGGTTTGCCCAAAGGAGGCTGCGTTCTTTAATGATAAAAGTGTTTCTCTTAAAGTTCGCCTCCGGTTTGGTGGCTTAGAATTTCCACCAAAAATATTCTTTAAGGTATATCTTTCCAATAAACTAAACGTGAAGTATGTATCCGGCAAGAGGGCTATAAAAGCTGGATCGGAAGCCGCCAGGGATGCATGTGACTTGATGGGCAGAAGAAATTTTTATGATTTAATCATAAAAGATTTATTGCATGAAAGGTCTCACGGAGTTAGTGATGAGGTAGATGTTACAACTCTTAAAGATTATATGCAGGTATGCATTTCATTTACTTACTAAAAATAGCAGAAAATTAATATATACTTTTCTTATATTTCAACTAGTACACTAGTTTACTTGATGAAATGCCAGCGAGCATGGGCGGCAAAGAGAACTGCTGGAGGCAGTTAACTTTAGAAAGTAAGTGGAAAATTCATTTTTCAATTCTAATTAATAAAAAAGGATATAGCATGTTGAATATATTCATTGATTACTATAATTTTTTTTTAAATAGACCTATCAAGGCAAACCTTATTTTATGATGTAGTCGATTTCCTATATAATAATCGACTAACTCAGAAACTTATTGATAACCTTCCTATTCTTCTCTCATTACCTAATAATGAAGATGTTCAAAAGTTACATGTTGAAGTATTATCGCAGTATAGACCACCTATTAATAAGTTTAGACCTGTCAATATGACTGCAGTCACATCAACATCTAGAAGGTCAAGACAGGCTCTTGAAAGGGCGTCTAAAATGCGAGAGTTATATACAGCAGGTGAGGAGACGCTCATAAACGACGATAATGAGGAGGAAGAATGGGAAAAGGAGGCTAAAGAACTTTTTGAATGGACAAAAGAATTAAGCTTTCATGACGATTTAATTGAAACTCCTAGGCCAATTAATACATCCCATTATAATGTACGAACAATGCAGGAGCATTCGTACACATTTTAATTGATTTAGGAAAAGAATTATTTTATAAAAATAACAAAAAAAATATATTTTATAAAATAAGATTTCTCTATTTATTCTTGAATTCCCAAACAATAATAAGTTCAACCGAAAGAGAAACAAGACAGTTAAAAAGAGGACGGAGTAGAAATAGCATAGTTGTAGTTTCAGAAAAAAAGATTATCACAAGAAATCAAGAAATAGTTAATCGGAATCTTCGTAAAGTTCTTCAGTATTTTCTAAATGTAATTCATAATCAGTTATATGGTTCAAGTTTTTCCTTGGAGTAGGAGTCGGTAGTAAGTCATCCGTTTGAGAAGTCCACTCAGCCGTCGTGTCATTCGTAACAGACGTCATAACAGAACTCTGAGTTCTAGCTGATCTCGGAGGAGGTTGTGGAGGGCGCTTTAAAGTACTACCATGACCGAAACCTTCGTCATGATCAGTGTCGTCCGGCACACCTAGGTTAACTTTCAAATCTTGCAATTCAGCTCTCATTCTTTCGACACTCAATTCATTTTTGCGCTTTTGAATGTGACTTTCAAAGACCTGATTAAGCATTCTATTCGTGTAAATACCACGATCTAATATATCAGTTGTAACTTCATGCACAAAATCCAAATATTTTAGCTCATCCTGTGTCAGATTGGATTCCCTGTGGACAGCGGCATTTCTGTTTACAGTTTTTTGTCTAACTTGGGCGTTTTTAGCCTGCTCCTTAAGCCATTTATAATTATCTGCGTCCACTGATATATCCAATGGAGGTATGGAAGAATCTCTCTGCCTATTTAAGTCTCTACTGACCAATGTTTCATCCATTGAGCTTGCTGGTCTACTGGCAGATCTCTGAGTATATTTTGGTCCTGCAGTTCCAGAACGGTAGCATCTCATTCCAACTAATCTGAAACATTTTTGAAATGTTCTTAAAGAAGATTCAAATAAAATATCATTTGATAAAAATTATTACCTTGATTCAACGTTCGGTTTGGTTTTCAGAGTTCTTGGCGTAAAAGCAGCCGGCTCTGTAAATTTATGACTTTGAATATTCAAAACATCTCTGTCTGAACCATGAACATGAGTAGTAGAAAATGATGACGTTTTCGTTCGTGTTCTAGGTTCGGATACTTGTTGCTGTCTGACGCTCGTATCCTCTCTAATACCCATTGCAACTTCCCTTCTTATTCTATCACGTACTACAGGGCAATCCACCAGCGATTTAGGAGTTTTATTATCAATTGCAGATTTAACTTTAGCAATTTTATCATAGTGAGCTCGAAAGTGGGCGTCTACCAGAGACTGAGTAGAAAATTTTGATGACGTTGGAGCGTAAGCGCTGCTTTTTAGGCCTAAGTGACCTCGCAGTGTTTCTGTAAAGAGTAAAAATCATTCGTAACAGGAAAAAAAACAAGGTAAAAATGACTTACCCGGCTTGGTGTGTTTTTCACGCTCTTCCTTGTCGACTATCATGTTGAAATGATAAGTAATTTCATAAAAAAATAGGTGAATTTGGGGTCATAACGCTCGCCATCTTGTTTCCAAGCACGCAAAGTTGTTTAGTCTGGTTCTTATTCGTTGTCGATAGGGCAAGTTCCGTCCAGTTGACTTTTTGAACAGTGATAAAAGATAGCAGTTATCGAACGATAGACAATCTTTCTCAATAAAACTTATAGATACAACTCTAAATTACTATATCGTAATATATATTGATGTGTTTTTGTCGGAAACTTCTTGTAAAATAACGGACGAAAGAGACTACATGGAAAAGCATAGGCCAAAATTTCCACATACATTATTAATGCTGTTGAAGTTTAAAAATAGTTCAATATGTTCAAAACATTGTATTCAGACCTGAATTCTGTACATGGATTACGCATAGGCTTTCTTCTTTTTCTTGAAATATCCTTGTTGACCTTAACCTTCTCGCGCGCTAAATATGAATATACAAAGAAAAATGAATCAAAAGCAAAACTGTCAAGCAAATATCTTCTCTTTCTTTGTTCAATTTCATAAGAATTACTAGATTTAGGGAATATTTTAATTGTTAGGTTCTTTAAATAAGCTAAATATAGAATAAAAAAAATGTGGACCTTTGTCTCAATTCTAAACAAGTTTAAGCATGTAAGTTATTGATTCGAGCGATAATAAATTTTGTAAAAATATTAGTAAATATAGAGATATGGAAGCAAGTAAGAATATTATATCTCATCTTTAGATAGTGCTAAATTAATGTATCATTAATGAGCTCATTTTATGCATTTAGATCGCGTTGATGATTATCTAAAATTGGAAAAAATTGGAGAAGGTTCGTAGTAATGCAATTGTATTGTTAAATTTTGTGTTAGAAAGCTGAATAAGCATAAATATGAAAAATGAATGAATGAACGAGAGAGAGAGAGAGAGAGAGAGAGAGAGAGGGCGGGGGGGAGAGATAAAGATTATATATATACATATACGACTACTCTTTTAGTAGTTTTTCATGAGGATTATAACCGAAAACATATTCTTTAGGTACATATGGAGTCGTTTATAAAGCAAAAAATGTTAAAACAAATACGCTTGTGGCTTTGAAAAAGCTTAGGATTGAAAGTGATGGCGAAGGTATACCTGGAACTGCTATAAGAGAAATATCATTACTTAAAGAGATGCAACATGAAAATATCGTAAGGTAAGCTTTCTTTTGATTGTTTACTCTATTAAATGTTTACCAATTTGTTCGCTTTATCACTGTCTTTACTAATTGTTTTAGTTTAATTGACGTTTTGATGGAAGAAAGTAGGTTGTATTTGGTATTTGAATATCTTAAAATGGATCTTAGAAGATATATGGAAAAGTTTGAAGGTAATTCAGGAATGTCAATGTCTTTAATTCAGGTATTTTCAATTAAATTACTTAACCTTATTATTAATAATTAAGTATATATGTTTATGTTCTTCTGATAGAGCTATTTTCGTCAAATTCTTACTGGTCTTAGTTATTGTCACGAAAGAAGGATTCTACATAGGGATTTGAAACCTCAAAATCTTCTTATAAACGAAACTGGAATTATTAAACTAGCTGATTTTGGCTTGGCAAGAGCGTTTGGAATACCAGTTCGAGTTTATACTCATGAAGTTGTTACACTATGGTATAGGGCTCCTGAAATTCTATTAGGTTCTCTCAGATATTCAATTGGTCTTGATGTATGGTCGGCTGGTTGTATATTTGCCGAAATGTGTAATAAAAAGCCATTATTTCAAGGCGACTCCGAAATTGATCAATTATTAAGAATCTTTAGAACTTTAAGTACACCTTCGAATAAAATTTGGCCCGGTGTTGAAGAATTACCAGAATATAAATCGCTATTTCCAAAATGGCGGGAAAACGTATTAAATGAAAAATGCCCTAATTTGGATGAGAATGGCTTAGATTTGCTCAAAGTTGTTTTTTTTTCTTGTTAATATAGTCATTACTTAAATATACATAAGAAATATTTTTTTTTCATCAAATAGAAAATGCTGACTTACGATCCCGCTCAGAGAATAACTTGTAGAACAGCATTAAAACATATATTCTTTCAAACTTCATATACGGATTACGAAGAGAAACGAAATTCAAATCAAGAGATTCAATTAGAAGAAATTTAATGAATTATATTCTATATATGTATATTTATAATTTATCTGTTCCATTTTTATTTTAGTTTTGATTCAATTGTCTTCTTTATTAATTTTTTGGGGAGAATAATTCTTTGTGTTCAAATAAAAATGAAAAAATAAAAATATTATTGAAAGCATTGATATTATCTAAAATATTTTAATTGATTAAATCAGGTTTTTTTTTAATGTTTTATTATTAAAATAATAATTCATTGATGGGTGAAAAAGTAAAGTTTTTTTTATCTGCTTAAATGCTAATAGTCTCTTCATATATATATATTACCCACGAAATATTGAATTAATGAAATATGATTGAATGTTTATACTTTAATCTATTATTTACATTTTTGGCCAATTGTCTTGTTCGTATGGTTTAGGATCGTCGAATCTTTCCGAAATTGGCTTTGAGAATGATGTATTTTTCCTGAAGCATGAATCAAAATTCTTATCTTGAGATTTACCCTAAAGAATTAAATGATTAGATTAAATGTTTTATATGTTTTGTCTTCTATATTGAAAATCTTTACGTGTATTTTATCCCTATGTTCTGTCCAAAAAGTGGCAGGCTGTTCTTTCAGGTGATGAGCGGCGGTTGGCGTAGGGAATTTAGATTCAAAAGGTTCCATATGAAAATCAGATTTGGTTATTGACATCCTTAATTCTTTTTTCTCTGCTTCGCTGAGTTCTGTCTCTTTAGCTTCTTCTTCTTTAACTTGTCTTAATGCTTCTTGAAACATCATCATCTCTTCCAATTGACCTTTTCTTCCCTTAAATTTATCGCAAGGTAGACTATCAGGTGGCCTGAAAGCATCTCGAATTGTCGTCATATTAGCTGTACTACCATCAAATTCAGTTGTTAGAATTCCTTTATGACCATTTTTTAGGATTTGAGCAAGACTTTTATCGCTTTCACTTAATTTTTGAGGATCAATGTGCGATACATTGCGCTAAAAAAAAGGAATATATTAGGAGGGATGTGAGTAAAACATTTAACTTTAGAGAACAAGGTACCTCTTCAACCCAATTTTCTAAAAGACATTTCGAATTTGAGTTGTTTACTCTAATTTCATTTCGGCCTTGATTTATTGTCGCCATCGTATTCCTACAATTAATTTCTTTTCTCTTACAAAGATCTCAAAAACCTCCTTTTGCTTGTAAAGTTGCCAATGGAAACTCTAGACAGGCTCCTAAAAATAGCCTTTAGACTGGTTCTAAAAAATATTAATATTTTCTTTGACATAAAAGTAGGTCTTGCGTTTGACCTTAATAAGAGTTCAAAATTCAAGTTGATCTACTTGAAAACGTACTATTTTTTTTATAGAATAGGCCCTTGTTACTATAACTATATACAGTTTAAAAGAAAGTATGATAATTTTTGTATAATTATTCAATTCCTTATATTCTTTATGATAAATTATTTATCTATTGCAATGGTGATAAGAGAACATTCTTTAATTTTTTATACATACAATAATATAACTATATCATTTTAATAGAGGGTAGAATAGAATAGTCTGCAATTTACATGAATATCGTAAAATGGTTGAAAAAGTTGGAAATATTGTTTTATTTACCAAATTAAAATAACAAAGAAGTGGAAAGGTAGTTTTTTTTATTGTGTAGCAATAGGACCACGTTTAGATTCTATATTATCTTTGAAAGTTGTTTTTGTCCAAGTTGTTGTCATATATTAAATGTTGAACAGGTAGTTAAAATACTTTACTAGTTGATTAATTATTTAGGTTTGATACGTCTTCACGAAATGGTCCTATACTTTACCTATCGATGTAAGTTTTTAATATCCTTATACCGCGTATTTTATTTAATTCTGTGTTTCAATTTTCAAATGTTTCTTTAAATTCGCTATTCTTAAAACAGATCAAAACTATTACATATTAGTTGGTTTGACTGCTGTGATACTGTTAATTGGTGCAAATTATAATATGGCAGTAAATAAATCAAATACTGTATGTAATATTCAAACTATATATGCTGACATTGTCGCTTTAAATATTATATATTAATTTATTTACAAATAAAGGATTCAAATGTTTACGTTTACGAAAGTAGTAGTTTTATCGAATATTCAAGCAATTGGTCTGTTTCATCGTTCAGTAAGGTTAGTATTAAATGATAAAATTAATAATATAAGTATCTTAATGATTACAGTAATTCTTATCTTTATTAATAGTTTGATGAACTACTAAGGTCAAGATGGGAAGAAAGAATGAAAGTAAATTGTTTCAAATATTCGTGGAAGAAGATAAAAACAAAGGTTTTGGGTGGAAAATATCATTTTGTCATTCAAGTTAGACTATTTAGCTTATTATATTTGAAAATATTACATCAATGAATGTTTTATTATAGCTGAATCCCGATAGAGCAAATAAAAGAAAGGCGACTGTAACGGGTGTTTCTATGCCCTTCGATACATCGAAATTTCATTTTGGTAAAGTTCTTTCCAGTTGCGAAGTAATGTTTGAAATGTATTCGATAGAGAATGATAAACATTTCTTACAAACTAAATATCCTTATGCAATAAATGAGCTAAACGAGTTAAGCGTATCGCAATCGCCAGTAAATAATTAACTAATAACTCATTAATTATTTTATTTAATAAACGGTTTTGAATAGAGTCCAGCAGATAAACACTACCTCATTATCAATGTTAATCCTTTCGATTTTGGACACTTTTTAATAGTACCTAATCTGCATATGAACTTTCCACAAAGGTTATCAATTACCGGAGCAAGAATGGGAATTGAAACAATATTAATGACGAATAGCCCGTAAGTATAATTAAGTATGAACAATATTAATATTTAAGATATTTATAGTATATTTTGTTTGTATTTGCAGGGCATTCAGAGTTGGATTCAACAGTTTAGGTGCGGTTGCTTCAGTGAACCATCAACATTTACATGGATGGTATTTAAATCATCCATTATATATTGAAACAGCTGTAAATACTTTCATAGATTGTTGTTTACTTATTTTGTGTATATATTTAAAAAGTGAAAAGAAACCTAAGGTAGACTTTAGATAAATATTGTTTGTATGTTTATCAACAGAGAGGTAGGAAGATAAGTAAAAACATCTTTGAAATTGTTGACGCGCCTATACCGGCTATAGCCCTTCAGAAGAAAGATTTAGATGTGATGAAACTTGCAATGTTGGTGTTGATATTCTTCTTTTTAGATATATAGCTAAGAATATATCTATTTATTTATTTATTGTAGCTTAGTTCATTCCATAACTGAATACCTTTACACAAATGAAATTGCTCACAATTTACTCATGACAAGAGGAACTAATTTTGAATCTGATGAGGATGATAGGCGAATAATTCGAATAATAATTTGGCCTAGGAAAAGTACATTTCATAGCACAACAACTGCAATGCCTAAATTCTATGCAGCTCTCCTAGAATTTGCAGGACAAATACCAGTTTATAGTAATATTAATAATTTAATATAACATACAAATTAATTGATTATTTTTAACACAATAGATACAGAAAGTTTTGAAGATATAACAGAAGAGGAGATTATCTCTGGCCTTCAAGAGTATTCTTTGACTGGAGAAAAATGGAATACAGTTATAGAGGATATAGTAAAATTTGACACATTCTGAAAAAATATTTAACAGAGAGAGGCATTCTATCACGTTTTCAGCTAAAAAACCTAATCAATTTTGCTAAAATACAATAATTAACTATCTAAATACAAAACAGCACTTGGATTTTGTAATCTATCACTCTTTGACGTAGATGTTGTATATATCGATAGAAAAATTAAAGGCAGTTCAATCAATAAGATATTAAATCTAAATTTAAGCTTTAACTACTATAATAGGAAGCATTGATATATAGAATTAATACTAATTGGCGATAATTAAAGATCTTAATAAATTATTATGTTTCTCAATGTCGCAAAATGATGCGTATATGAGAAAAGATCGAAAAAATAAGAAATATCTTGTTAAAGCAATATAATGTATATATATAGTATATTTATATATATCATCACTTAATATAATATAAAAAACAACACTTATTTGCTTTTCGTTTTTGTTATTATACGACTCTCTACAATTTTACTGTTCGATATAACTCTATACAGTATAAAATTTATATATAATATAATGAATATCCAGAATATGTACGATATATTGTAATTTTATGCTACGAACAATGAAATTTCAAATCAATATCTAAAATGAATGCGGGTTCACAACATGAATTAAATTTTCGTTTAATTTAAAGAAAAAGAGATGTTTTTATTCGCTTTTTCCATCTCTGTCTTTTCTCTCTCTATTCATATACTTTTTTATATTATTTGGAATACTTTAGTGTATCGGATAATGTTGAAAAAGAAAATATAATATCTCTTTATGTTACAGTTTGCATTGCTTTACAAATTATTAATGAAGAATAGTTTATATATTGAAATGTATTCAAGTTAGTTGTGATACTATATGTATTATAATTAATTTTTCAAGAGAGAGAGAGAGAGAGAGAGAGGAAAAGAGATAGAGGGAGGTGAGTGACAGAGAAAGCATAGTTTTTAATTAGATCTGAGGCCGTTGTGTGTCGTCGTTGCAGCTGTGAAACATGTTCTATTTTTATTTTATATGCAGGTATTTAACTGGAACGAGCTCTTCCCACAAAGTTTCCGTTTTTCCATTCTGTAAGGACTACTCCGAGTAAAACAGCAATTACAATAGAAAGATAATTCAATACAAAAGGATACTCGCTTTAACCTGAATAGTAGTCAGAGGACAAAACTACAACAAAGGCAGAAAAAAGAGAAGAATAATAATAATCTTTCTAGTATAACAGTAATGAAAATAATAATGTTCTGATAAATAAAAAGAACAGTACTTTTATATAATTTCAACGAAGTAATTAATTAATTGATGATTTGGGTTCGTTATTAATAAACAAAAAGAAACGATTTTTTAACAGTTGAAGCGAAAAAACAAGAAATAAAGAAATTGATTAAAATGAAAAGGTAAAAGAAGACAATTGAAAATTGGAACAATGATGAAAAAAAATTAAAAAAAGAGAAAAGGAGAAATTGAAAAGATAAGAAGAAAAATTTTTTTCTTTTTTATATTAAAAAGGAGCTTCCTTTATTGGATAATGTATTAAATAATTAAATAAGCAATATTTCATAGTGCAAATGGTAATTAAAATAACCTAGAAATTGCAATTGATATATATTATCTGTTATTCAACAAAAAATCTGTCATTTTTTCATGTAGCTTGACAAGATGAAAATGAAAGTTGAAAAAGGATTATTTCCGTTAATAATCTTTATTCCTCTCGTACTCTCTACAAATTTAAAACTAGGTGAGTAAAGACGAAAGGATTTATACATTGATAGTTTCTCTATCATATATCAAGAGAGGAAAAGAGGGTGTAATTTTCTTCTCTCTTTCTTCCTTGTAAGTAGGTATATCTTGTATAGATAATATTCTATTCTTCTATATACAAGCATATTAAAAGACAAGAATGGTTAACACCTTTTGAAATATCTTTAGCGGATTAAGTTATTTTAATTAAAAATAGATTCAAATCCTTTGATTAGAAGGTTTTTTCCTGTAATCACTCAACGTTATAGATATAATATCAAAGGCTTCCTTGTCCTATAGCTTTTCCTGTCGTAGTTTGATCCTTAGCCAATCTGGCCTGCGTAATTATAATAATTTGAATAATGTACACTTATCCATTTGCTTGCGTTGACTATAGTGTAAACAGTAGTACATACTCATTCATATACACACAAATATACAGTATATACTGTATATTTTATAAACGTTTACACCACACGAATGAACATATTGATTTGAATAAAGAAAAAGATAACTAAATTTTATATATGGTAAATGTAAAAGTATACAAAGTATGTGCATTTAAACATTCATTGAGCTATAGTAATTATATAAAAGTTATAAGCAATTTATCCGTTTTCATATATGAGTAATATTTAATCAATTTTTCTATATTAATTTTTATTCGTTAAGTAACTTCAAAGGAGTTAAATACATAATTAAGTATTACTTACTACAGATATTAGTGGAGATACCGAAGAAAGGGAATTGTTAATAAGAAATATACTAAAAAATGTATCCGAATATACAAATACTAGCTGTTTGGATGTTTCTTATAGAACTTTTGAAGATGCATTCCAGTTTTTGGAGACGGGATGTAGTTCGTTAAGAGATGGATCAGCAATATTCTTATCACATGCATATTCTTGCGCAAACCATGAAATATTCCTAAGCTTTGCAAAGTATTTGAATATTCCATTTATATCTTTACCCTCAAAATGTGATGAGATAGCCTGGACAAAGATTACTTTCGGTTTAATAGATTATCTAAACAGCTCTGAGATTATTGTTATATACGATAAGAGTGCCGGTAACTATACATTTACATTAACAAAAATTATAGAGAGTTTACAATAAGACTTTAATAATCTCTTTCAAATTGATAGAGTCTCATTGGAAATTACAAGTATTCCTCTCTCAGGCTGCTCGAGAAAAGGTCTCTTTATCATTATTGAGTATCAACGAAAAACTATCAAACATTGACGATATTCTAAGCAGTAGCTATATGGAACCGCAAATGGCAATTCCCTATATTCTTCTATGTAATTTTAATTCAACGAAAATTCTGTTACAAAAGGTAATCGAGATATTATACAAATAATATATAAAGTTACGGCTATTCCATAAAGTGTAAACTCGAATATTATTGATTTTTCATCAGATACGAATACCATAAATAACAAATTAATTTACTCAAACTAATACTTATATATTATATATAAAGAAATAGGAAAGCTTGTTGATTACATCTCGATTAGAAGAAATATTACCTGATACTTAGGTTATAAATATATTTATTTAAGATAAATTTTCCTTGAAATTAGGTTCATCAAAAAAAAATGAGCAGATTGGAATATAAGTGGATTATTCACGGTGATGATATTACAATAGAATCCATAACTCCCCTGCTAAGAGATGAAATTAATGTTGCTGTATTAACTGTAAATACAGGATTGTCAGATTTTTCACTAATTAAAGTAAATATTAAGTAGTTTATATTTGATAAGAAGGATTTTCTAAGAAGAAATTTTCACATTTAAGGCCTACATCAACGCAACAATAGCTACATCTAATGAACTTTGCAGTATTTTACCGACAGTTTCAAAAATTGACTCAGACGAATGTGTATCACCTTTGACACTTGATACAAGACGCTTGATAAATGCAACACTACACAAGGTATGCATTTAGCATAGGATGCAACTATTTACCAATAGATATCTAATTTAAAGTTAATCATTAGAATATGGAAATCTTCAAGAACGATCTCTCTTTAAAATGGGTTATTCATAGTTCAGTTTCTCATTTGAACGGAAAGCCTAGTATGATTGAAACTGGTAATTATTCAAACGGTCAGTTGAATCTCTACAGAGATCATTTATATCCGAACGATCATTCTGGATTAAATGGGAGACGTTTTTTAGTTACCAGTCTGCCAGTAAGGATATATAAATGATATTTTTCGGTAAATGTTATACTCAGTCTTTTATTCTCTTTTTAGTATTCCTTTTTCCAAAAAAAAACTGTTATTGGTAATTTAACAATCTGGGAAGGCTTAACGTTTGACATTTTGAATCAATTGGCGCAAGATCTAAATTTTACCTACGATGTCATTGAGCCAGCTGATGGAAATTGGGGTATCGACATTGGAAATGGATCTTGGAATGGTATGATGGGTCAAGTTATAAGAGGAGAAGTAGATTTTGCCTCGGCGTCATTCTCAATTACAGCTGCTCGTCAATTTGTAGGCGATTTTGCAGCTCCATATTTTCGAGATCAGTCAGTTATAATTATGAAATTACCTGAGGGAAATGATAAACTCCGATTATATTTAAAGCCATTCAGGCCAGAAGTATGGTAAGAATACATTGTCTTTTTCATATTAAAAGAAATCAACTATTTTCTCATTTTATTAGGCTTAGTTTAGTTTCGGCAGTCCTGATAACCGGAGTTTTCTTTTGGCTAATATCAGCTTACAATCCTTACTATAAAGAACGCCATTCGAAGATAAAAAAAAAAGAATCCTTTTTCTACGGTCCCACTGCTCTGTTGTATGTTTATGGATATATTCTTCAACAAGGTAGCGACCATATGCCAAAATCTTCATCAGGAAGATTTCTAATAGGATGCTTTTGGTTTTTCAGGTAGTAAATAGCTACTATTTTATTTAATTAATTTTAATAATAGACGTCATTTGAATATTGCAGCTTGGTTATTGCCGCAACATATACAGGAAATTTAATTGCTTTTCTAGCCATCAGTACTGTTGATTTGCCATTTAATAGTCTTGAAGAGCTTGTTCAACAAGACGCTATGTCATACGGACCAGCTAGGGCTGTGGCTCTTGTAATGTTGTTTAGGGTAAATGTAACAGAGGAGTTAAATTAAATGTTTAATAATCCAAATCTTACGAATTTCAGGATTCAAAGCTATATCCATACACAGAGGTTGCAAAAACAATGACTGAAGTTAAAAATTACGAGATAGCAATGAAACAGGTTAGAACTGGAAAATTTGCCTTTATTGCTGAAAAATCCTACTATGCGGCTGTATCCGCTGATGATTGTGATTTGGTAATGGCTAGACAGGAATTTTATCCCACAGATTATGGGTGGTTTTTTCCTAAAGGGACGCCTTATATAAAAAAGTTTAATGATAGGTAATCAAAAAACATTCTCTCGATAGTATATTATTTATTACATCAGTATCTTGAAATAGTCTCTTATTAGATATGAATAGATCTTAATTTTTGGTTTTAAATATTTATGCTCTAGGATAACAAAAATGAGAGAAGGTGGTCTGTTAAACAAGTGGATGAAGAATAGAATACCTAAAAATTTACAATGTAAGGGGCTAGGACCAGTAACGAAGGCTAAAGTGGCAACTCTGGAAGATTTTCAAGGAGTCTTCTACGTATTTTTAGGAGGAGTTGTTTTAGCATCATTGGTTCTTTCAATAGAAATATTAATAACTTTAAAGCAAAGAAGGTTTTTCAGCAAAAATTTTTTGAAAAGAAAAGAAAGAATATCTAACACGACAAACGGAATTGAGCAGTGTAATAAGTGAACATCTATATACGAAAATGATGCACTATCTATAAATGCTATCATAGAAGCTATAATCGTGTATAGTTTTGTAAAAATGAAATTTTTATTTGAAAATAGACAAATTCACAGCCATTGCCTAAAGTTTGATTACTATTACCTATCTGACTAAAGATAGAAGCGGAGGAACTACTAAGTGATAGATTAATTAAGCAGCCTAAACAAGATAAGGAGATCAGGATTAAAGACTCTGAGAAATGAATGGTAAAGATATTCAGAAAGGTATAGACCACAATCTTAGTATTTACAACTATTTATGTACAGTAATATTTATCACCAGTAATAATTTCTATGTTATTTGTATAAAACGCTCCATACGCATCTGAATACTTGTCTATATATACTGTATACATCATAAATAATGCTACAATCACTATGCTATGTTTTTAATTTTGAAAACTGTAAATTTATTAAAGAAACGCTTTAATGCGTTAACAAATATATACTTGAATCGATATATGTGTATATTACTTCTATTCATCATGATCTTCAGCTGTGTTTCCTGGGCAATTTTCCAGCATGTCATCGTCGTCTTTATGATGTAAAAGGAAAACAAAAAAATTATGAAAATTTAATGACTATGGATAGGCTTTTATAGTATATAAAACATTTTTTATAGCTTACCATTAAAAGATGTTCCACACCATATACAATATATGTACTTACTGCGTAAGTAGTCAGTAAGGTCTGCTAACTGTTCCTCTGGCTTTTAAATGAAATTATAAAGATGTTTTAATTTTGTTTAAATGATATAAATCTATATTTTCTGGGAGGGGGGGGGAATTTGTTCTTTTTCTTACCTCTGGTAGATCTTCTTCCTCTTCAGCTTCATCGTTATCTTCTGCTTCGTTTCCTTGATCTTCAGAGAGCTTTGGCCAGAAGAATGATTTATGCGGTTGAGTAATTTGCTATTTAGAGAAAAAGAAGCAGTTACATTAGAATAAAATTTTTGTATAAATCAATTACAAAAAATTAGAAATATACCATATTAGAATCCAATTGCTCGCAAACCTTTTGACTTTTCCTAACATAGCCCATAGTTTTTTTGTCTCTTAAAAGCTTTGACTGATGAGAACGAAAGTTTTCCCGTGAACGCTCTTCTAACTTAATTCTTTTTTCATCAATAATTGATCTTAATTGGTTGGTTTTATCAGTTTTACGCTTAATTTCAGTATCATGACCTAATCCAGTTCTATTACTTTTTAATGATATGGGAACAGGTTCAAGGCGACCTTTACCTAAAATATTTATTGAGTTAATAAACAAGAAATGAATTAGAAAGAGATGGTTTTAATAATATAGGATAATTATCTACCGTCTTTTCCAATGCTCATGCCTGGTTTATATCCCATTTTGGATAATAGTGAAAAACCTTTATTATTCGAGCTTAATGTTTTATTTAAAGCTTTCTCTCTTTCTTCTTTTTCCATAACATGTCTTGGTTTAGTTCTATGGGTAGTTAAAGCAGAAATTTTAGCATAATAATTAAAGATCTCCAAAAGATCCTAGTTATAATATTTGATTACCTATTTTTGATATCAACTTCTTTCTTCTTAGCATCTTGTTTGTAGAGTCTAGCAACGCTTTTGGGTACTAACCCAGGACGAATATCATCTTTTTCTGCACTGAAACAGAATTGAGTATTCTAATTAAACACAATTTCGCTATTTTACACGGTGTACGAAATTAATAAGCCTATCGAAAAGAGCACAATCTTAAAAAAATAATACTGTACATTTTTAAAAAAGCGTCGGACATATAATCATCTTCCTCGTCATTATCTACACTCATTATAGATATAACTGATGAAGATGGGACCACTGTTTTGATTAAAATATTTCCTTCATTCTTGTCAATAATTATAGAACTACAAAAGTTTAAAATAGGCCCTTATTATCACTCAAAGAATAGAATACTTTTCGCTTAGGAATACTCGGACTGATTTTTCGTTAGCGCCTTTAGCCTAAATAAACTTCAAATAGACAATATATTACAGCTATAGAATTAAGGAGATTATGACAAATTATTTCAAAATTATGATTTTTTTCAATATTCGTCAAAAAGTTTCACTTCCGGAATAATGGTTGAATATATTCTACGCATTACTATACAGTATTTATTTTATTGATACTGTTATAACAGAAACATTTCATTTAATAAAAACATTTTCTATACTTTTAAATTAGTTTTGTTTAATTAAAAACTATATTTAAACATTTATAATTAATAGAAAAAAGTACTTGAAATTGAATATTGAATGTTCTGTACAAAAGATAAAATTATTCAGGTTTATTTAAAGACTATCTTTTAATAAAAGAAGAAATAAGATTCTGACGCAAGTTCGGTGTATTTCAACGAATCAACTGTTTACATAAAAAAAGCCTTAAAGTCCTTTATCTCTTTTTAAAAGAGACATATAGAGAAGAGTTTTAAAATAGTACACTTGTTCAACGATGGAAGTATTGTTTAATATATTAAGTCGAAAAAATAGGTTAAATTATATAAAACAAGAGAAAAAAATAACAATTTTATATAAAACGTAAAAATTAGAGATGAATTGATAGCAGACACACACAATTAGACAATGTATTGGCTTGAATGGATTTCCTTAGATAAGCTTTAAATTATAATATTTGACGTATGAGTTTTGAATGACTAGTATAGGCACGCTTTGTTAATATTTCCCTTATAGATTACGACATTCTGTTGCTATATTTTGCCACATAATCAATTCGTTAAGGTATAAAAACGTAAAGTACTAGAGATTTATCGGCCAATTATTTATACAAGTTCACCCAGTGTTCGTGTCTGCAGGTCCTATTCATCAAATATACATTTAAAGAAAAAAAAGAAAGGAAAAAGCTCTTCATTGGTCAACTTTCTTAGTGTTTTCTCATTTTTATCAATCGTTCTCGTAAACGAGGTGATATAGGTTTTGAAGAAATATACAGTATATACGGGAAGAATAGATCATGAGAATTTTTGAATATCTTAGATATTTGATAAGGCAAGGTAAAAATCCATTCTCGGGAATTGCGCTTTCTTTGAGGAGAATATTTAAATTGTTTTGTTTCTGATGGGAGAGAGGATACGATAGTGAAAAAGAGAAGAAAATTATGAAGATAGAAAATGACATATCATTAAAGGCAGTAGTAGATGATAAAAATAGAAAGGAACAACATACCCTTATTTGTAGCTCTTTAATATAAATCAATTATTTGAAATTCGTTTATCTACTTTTTATTCTGTTATCATTGATTCTACGTATACTGATAGTGTACAGTGTGTATCTTGCTTGTTTTCTTAAACTAAAAAACGTTAATAAAACTTTTTCTACAATGAATATACATGTGAAACAAAATGAAAAGAAACGAAAAAGGTCCATTATCCTTTGTTACTTTCTTCATGACCTTACATGACCTTTAATACAATTTTTTTTTAAATTATTCACGAAAGAAATTGAAAAATGACTTGTTTTCTCATACATAATTAGAACATATATTTTTCCTTTAGTTAGTGTAGAAAACGCCCTCGATATCAAAGGAAAAATATGTAAAAAATTCATTAAAATTGACATAGAATTTTATTTCTCTTAACCTAGCAAATACTTTATACACATATATATTATAATATATACTAGACTTTAGTGCCATCTAGTAATCCAATAGTTCTGCTTTTTTGAAAAGACTATAAAGAAGAAAAAAGTGAAATGAAGAAATCTAAAGTCAAGTTTTAGTGGACATTTAGAAAACCTTTACCATAAATAATTAGTAGTATAAATCAAAAAACAAAAGAAAAGAAAGAAAGAGGAAATAAGAAAATATAGAGATAAATAAAAAAATGGAAATCTTAATCATTTAAAGTTTTTTAGAGTCTAAAAGTACTCTTCAATGCTCGCTAATTATTTCAGAAGATCGATGAAATATGAATTAATTTAAAACAGTTGCTTTTGTGTTTATTGTTGATTACGAAATAAAAGTTTGTCATGCGTATGAAAAACAATTAAATCTCTAAAGAGCTTTGAAGTTGAGATCGCGTTTATATATTTCAACATTAGAAGTACCTGAGGCCATTTAATTATTGTATAAATGGTTAGGTAATTAATCCTATACACATTATTTAAAAGGAGGGAGATTAGAGAAGCAGAAATTGCGTAGAAATTAATCCGACAATAGCAGTTGGCACTCAAACTCCAAACATGCCTCAAGTACGTGGCAATACAACTTGGCTAACGAATCCTCGAGTGATCCAACAACCTAAAATGAAACCTGTGAGAATCGATCAGAGCTCTCAAAAGATTGAGAATGGTCGAATGGACGATAATTTAAGAGAAGAATTGAGTAATCTTCACATGGCACAACACAGGTCATTTGCTGATCGAAATTGGATGATAAAAGAAGTTCGAGGAGACGTTGAAGAAATGCATAGGATTAAACGGGAATCTCGAAATTGTAAGAGTGCAATAAGGTCTCTAACTGCAGGAACGACTAGAGGAAACTCTCAATCACCGAATAATAGTTCTAAATTAAACTCTTGGGTTCACATAGATGATGATGAAGATGACTACGTCGAAATGAATAAAGAAGTTTATAGGCCAAAAACAAGTAAACGAGTAAAAAGAGTTAGTCCAACAAGGAGAGCAAGAACAGCTTTGGAATTGAAAAGGGACGAGGCAAAAATGAAGGAGCAATTAGCTTCTGAACAGAGAACGCAAACTGCGTTAGGTTTCGAAAGAGATTTAGAGAAGCAATCTTTTCAAGAGTTATGTTTTAATGGTAAAGGGCGGAAGCTATGCGATGACGAAGCAGATATGAGAAGAATGGCTATTAGAAATGCAAGAAAACGAATGCTTTTAGCTGATGAGGATAGGCTGAAAGGAAAAATTCGTCAATTTTATCAAGATTTAGAAAAACTACAGCTCAATCCTCAATCAAGAACAAATTCAACATCGCATTCTTTTCTATTGCCCAAAAGACAATACAAATCTTGCTTTAGAATCTTTTGACCAATTATTTCCAAAAAATAAAGGAAAAGGTAAATTAAGTATCTTAAAAAAAGGTGGATTAAAGCAGTACATGCAATAGGATTAAACGGTTACTTAGGATTAATAATAATATTTCCTTTTTAAATTTAAACTAAATAAAGATAATGCTTAAGACGTAATATCTTTTAAAGAAGTTTCTATAAGCGTTTCTTGTTTTATCTTCTTATTTATATTCTTCTAAAATGAGAATGCAAAAAAAAAACAAAACAAACAAAAAGGCTAAAACGTAAAATAAAAGACTGAAATGTTTATCATTGTTAAATATTACCGAAAGTATTATAATTCTCTATATTAAACGATGAATTGAATATAGATTATTAATAAATTTTCAACGTTTTTCATGCAAAATTCGTAATAATATTCTTTCGTATAATACAAATACTTATATTATATAATATATCGACATTTATACAATATTGTATATACAAAAATAAATGTATCATATTCTAATACATATTTGTATTAATAGTTTAGTGGAATATTCTATTCAGTTTGTTGTTTTGTATGGGTAAACTGGTAGTCTATGCCATGCAACATTAATTTTGAAAAATTCTATAGCAAAATGAAAGTAAAAATAGAATGCTAAGCGAAGAGATCAAAATGTATCAATTTTGAAATAATGTATAAATTTATTAAGAGCAAGAGAAGAGAGGATTATTTCAAGTGTTTGATTGATATATTTACAGGAGCGCAGTTGCGTGTAATATATCTAACAGATTCTGATGGTGATGAAGAAGATAATTTTATTTATAATTTCAAAAATGGACTAAAATCGCTACTCAAAGATAATACTACCGTTTTCGACAAGCGATTAGATTTAACAAATTATGTCTTTAGAAAGGAAATTGATAAGCCAAATGTAAAAGCAATATTTGAAAATTTACTATTAAAATGTTTTGATGATAATTACACAAGGAATAAAGAGTTTAGAGAGATTTTAAATACAAGGGAGCTAAAAGACTCTTATATTATTTTAACTTTTCAACATTTAGAGGAAATACTATCACCAAATTCAAATACTTTGGATTTATTTAAAAAGTATATAAATGAAATATTAAAGATGTTACCAAAATGTTATATTATCTGTACAAGTACTATGAAATTGGAGTGTTCAGATAAGGTATAGGCTATTTTCTTTCTCTTTTACGTATTCAATTTAAAGATTTCTACGTAAAAATTCTAGAGATTGAATAGTGTTTGTCTTAAGAAATTTATACGAAAAGAAGAAGAACGACGCCTTGAAAAATTGAGCAAAGATATTCCCAAATTGAAGAAATATAGCGAAAGTCGTATTCTATTATATAATTATTTACCAGTTTACTTCTCAATGGAGGGTAGAATTAATATATTAAACAAACAAGTATTATAACTAAATACTGTTTATAAATATCTAGGAAATATTTGGCAATGTTTTAATAATGTAATTTATAAAAGTCTTCAACAATTTATTAAATATACACAAGACGCATCAATACTTAAAGTTCTATCAAACAAAGCTATTCGGAATAATCATCAAACTTGTAAAGTTCATTTTGTTTTATATAAAACATAATAGATATATAACAACATTGAATTATCCAAAACAGTGAAGACAATTGAGAAAGCATTTGAAACTATTGATGAACATTTAATATCATATTCACTGATAATTTCATACATTCCTGGAAGTTTTTCGAATGAGTCTGTAAAAGAAATTCTAGGTTATTATATTAAAATATTGAATTATGTATTTCTTAACAAGGTTTTTCATTCATATTTTTTTCTCATTTTAGATAAAAGAATAAATGAAAAATATAAAGTAATGAATATTTTAACAAAGAATGAACAATGTCAAAGATACTATTTTCCAAGATCGAGAATAGATTTTATAAATAATTGCATAGTTTATAATTTTCCTTACGAAAAGAGATTAAGTATATAAAAGAGAGAATATCTTTAAACGTATATTCTTCTATATCTACCTATTTATATTTAGTTATTCAACTTAAATATGTTAAATTGTTTGGAAAAGTTCAAAATATTATGAATTCCAAAGAAAGAGATAAAATATGTTTACCATTTGGAATGGATTATGAAAAATTAAAGGTTTTCCTTACATTTCTTAATCTTTAATTATACGTTACATAATTTTTTAATTTATTTCCATTTTCCTTTTAGATATATCTAATCAAAGCTGTTAACTGTAATAATGAATATCAACCATATATCGACGCTTCTATTCGGACAAGCTGTATTATTTTACTATCTTTACAAAGTATTATATGTTCATTGAGCAATGAATATCTTAATAATGCATTTATTTATATATGAAATCTAGAAGATTCGTTAGAATTGTACGAAAATATGCTAAAGGCCAGCAGACAGATGGGCACAATTAGAGAGCAAGCCAGTCTTTTAAACGTGATTGCAACAATATATTCTACTTATTATGTAACTAGAATTTTCTATAAATAGAATTAAAGTATATAATACTAATTTATTAAATAGCTCGACTACGATAAAAGCAGAGAATATGCGTCTGAAAGTTTAACTACGTTGGAAAAGTGTAATGAAGATACTAAACTTGAAAGGGCTACTACTCTAAATAATCTACACAGCACTTATCTAACCATTGAAAAGAAACAATTGGAGTTATCAGAATACACGAAAATAGCGAGATAATATATGTCAATAACATTGATGTTTTATGTCAACAATCAAAAATAAAAGTATACAGCTATTTTAAATAAATCCTTTGAAATTATTCTTTCATGTTTTTAATAGTAAAAGCAAATAGATAATATAGGAAACAACATTGTTACAGAAAAGTCCATAAAAACTGGTAGTTAAAAAACAAAATAGACAATAACGAAACTAGAAAATATCAACAATTTGTTGAATATAAAATTGACAAATTATAATCTTGAGATATTGTATTTATTCCGACAAAAGGAAATTAGTACACGTAATAAAGAAATATGAATTTTATTGAAAGAAGAGAAGAGCCAACAAAAGCTCTTGCTAAGTTTCTTAAAGCGAAAGATATAAGATTGGTATATATAACCGGGCCAATGGGTATAGGTAAAAAGACGTATGGTACAAGACTAAGAGATCGGCTGAAAAAATTGATAAATCCTTGTTTAACGTCTGAAGGAGATTTCAGACATTATTGCTTCAAACAGCCATCAGAAGCGCCAGACTTAGAAGTCATATTTAAGAGCCTTTTGATTTCCTGTTGCAATACACATAATATGCAACACTTGAGTTTAGAAGAGATATTAAAAGATAACGATCTGAAGAATCAAAATATAGTCTTATCGATATATCATCTGGAAAAATTATTGGGAGAATCTTTAAAGTTTCTCGAATTAATAAAAACTGGTACAAACATGATTTTAGATGCTTTGCCTAAATGTTACATAATATTTACAAGTGACATACAATGCAACATCTTTGACGAGGTAAATAATATGATTTAGTATATAGTATACATATATATTATATTAATATATATTCTATATATATATTGATATATACAGAAACAAAAAAGCATCTGTTTAAAGAGATTCATGAAACATGAATCAGTAGAATTCCTGAAAAATTATGTTAAAAATCATGAAGAATTAGCACAATATGGAGACAGGATGGCAAAAATATGCGATTATCTACCAATTACACTTTCGTTGGCGGGAGCCGTTTGGTCAGCTATCGATAGTCAATTCTACAAAGATGTTCAAGAGTTTATTAATTATTTAGAAGATCCTGAAATATATTTAAAGATATTATCAACAAAAGATTTCGTGCTGGACGATAGAATTCGTAAGATATTATTAATTGAAAATAACATACATTACTAAAAAAATAAGACTATATCATTGCAGAATTAAAGATTAAAAGGAGTTTAGAGAATTTAAATGAGGAGAGTCTTGCCGATTTAATAGCAATAACATACATTCCTGGAACTTTTAATGATGAAGCCATAAGCGCAATCTTAGGTGATTTATTTTTATTTATTTATTCAATATCTACTTTTCGTTCCAACGTTTTCTTCGTATAGGAAAAAGAGTGCAAGAAATAAAAATCCTTAAAGAAAAACATCTTGTAGTAACCGAAAGTAATGAAAGATATGATGTCCTAAAATCAGTTCGAGATTATATAAACACTGTTATAGGCAACGATTATCCAAGCGAAAATAAATTAGGTTATTATTAGTTAATTCTAAAGTATTTGTTTAATAATATTATTAATTTTTAATAGTTTTGCATTTCCGTTATGTAAGATTCTTTGGTGATATTTTGGAACAATTTCAAAGTAAAGCGGACTCAAAAGACTGTGGTAAAGCGTTATTACCAATAGATCAGGAATATACAAATTTGCAGGTATAGTTTTAATATATTCATAAAAAAAACTGTTGACAAGGAAACTAAATGAAATTTCATAGAAATTCTTACAAGAAGCTATTCACGCCAACAATTCTTATCAACCATATATAAACGCTGCCATAAATGCTGAAAGTCTAATTGTCAGTTTCTTGCAAAGTAAATAAATTTGAATTATTAATTGAATATTATATTAAAATAGGTCATTATTCAATTTATATAAAAATAGAGGACTCGTTAGAATTTTATGAGAATCTATTAAAAGCTAGCGAACAACTTGGAAGTCTTAAGGAACAGGGACAGATATTTAGCGCTTTGTCGAACATATACTCATCATCTTTTGTAAGCTAATTAATTGATTTATTTGTTAATTTATTGATTATTAATAAACTCTTCATAATTCCTGTTTTTTTTCGTTTAGTACGATTATAAGAGAGGTAAACAATACGCCATAATTGGTTTAGAAAGACTTGAAAAATCCGCTGAATCAACTCAACTGGAATTGGGAATGATAAAGAATCGGTTAGGCTTTGCAAAATTTAAGCAGGGAGAAGTTAAAGACGGTATAAAATATTTAGAGATGGCTGATAAAATCTTTGATTCGGAAGGAAGAAAACAATTTCATAGTTTTAAAATAATGATGAAACACTCCAGCGTTCTTGCTAATCGAGGAATCACAGCCATTCTTGCTGGTAAGTCTCAGACTATCTATTTTATCATAAATTATAACTTGAAAATCAAAAGGGGATTACGAAAAAGCTTACGAATTGCACCGAAGAGTTCTACATATGAGAAAGCCAATTCTGGGTAAAAATCATGGAGATGTTGCTCTCCAATACAATAGTTTTGGTTTAATTGCAAGAGAGAGGAATAAATATCAGGAAGCTTTGCGTAATTTTTCAATAAGTTTGAGAATAAAAAGAAAATTATATCCAAAGGGAAATACTGCTGTTTTAATTGGATATTATAATATTATAGACATTTTTGTCAAATTGGATAAGTTTGACGAAGTTGAAAAATTATTTAAACAGGCGGTAGAATGTTTTAAAATGCTTGGAGAGGGTGGCAACAAAACGTTGATTGGTGCAATCTATACAGCTTATGCTTCGTCTTTTGTTAAAAGGCAACAATATTCAAAAGCTTGCGAAATGTTTCAAATATCATATGAAATAAGAGAGAAATACTCCAAGAGTCCAGCTTTCCAATTTCACACTCTTGTTGGTTACGTTAATGCGTTACGACTTTCGAGAAATTACGAATTAGCCATGGAAATTGGTAGAAAAGGTAAGAGCGCTATCAATGAGTTGATGAAACAAAGGCCAGAGCATACCCTAATACCAACCTTGTATAAGGAAATATTTCTTGTCTATAAAGGCGTGGAAAATATTAAAAAATGTAAAAAGTATCTCAGAATCTATGTAAAACACGTCGATGGATTAATGCACACAGATATCAGACATAAAGAACAGGCAAGTAAACACTCTTCTCTGATTGAGTTGATTGATTGTTTAAAGGATCTGGACGACGATTTAAAATCATTATTTTACGAAATGAACGATATTATTGATTGCTCGATATGTAGCTTTAATTTGAAAGAGCACATTCGTTCCCTAAATATTCTGTGATGCTACTTTTCTAATCTTATTAATCAATGTTTCTTTTTTCCAGTTTTTCTTCACTACTAACTTTCTTTTCACAATATGTGACACACTTTCCTTGATGAAAAGGTAGCTCAATTAATCAATATTTCTTTCATGTTGTTTTGTAACTTGTTCAAACAAAGACATAAGAAATTTTGAACGAATGAAGGCAGAGAGGTGCAGTATCGAATGTATATCGATAAACAGAATATATATGTAGAATCTTAAACAAATATACACTAATGGAAGGAAAAAATGCTCCTTTTCTAAGATATTAATGTAGATTATAAAATGATACGAATGATAAAAAATATCTGTTCTCGTTACCAATAGAATACTATAAAGTGTAAAGTATTTTTGGACCAAATGAACAAATTACTAAGTAGTTAACATTGATTATTCATAATGTACATTTCGATTTGACTGTTGTTTTCATCCTGTTACGTATATCATTTCTTGAATAATTTATCAAGATTTCCAATTTACGTAGAGAAAGTAAACAACCGTATTGATCATGCTGGAAATTTTCTTTCACTACCTTAAATAACATTCGTATGTCAGAGCAATATCATCTTCAATTCTCCGATTGCTTGAAGAACTTTCAACAAGATTGCTTCAAATTGAAGATAATAATATCATGCAACTTGTCATATTGTTAATTGCGTATGTAGCGTACGTTGACTCAAAAGGTATTAAACTACCCTGGCACGATGGAGGAAAAGCTTGTACCTCTTTAATAGCTTTGTCAACGGAACAGTCATTTACCAATACTTTAATCTATCCTGAAGGAAGAGATGAGTGTTGGAGAATTAGGCCAAAGGAACCGTCGGCGAAGCTTTTTATAGAAGTTGTCGAAAGTCGTTTAATGCCTTACGACGTATTCTCGCATTGTAGCGAAAAAGCCGCTATTTACGGAAGTGATAAAGTAGTTGGTGACACGCTGCTAAAAAAATGGTGTGGATTTGGCAAACAATATAACCTAAGTACATTCAACGAAGCTTATGTCCTTTTATACGGAGGATACGGAACTCAATTTAAGAGAAAATTAAAGGTAAATTATTATCAGGATGATCGTTATGATGTAAAAGAGTCGAAGAAGAATTCAACTGAAGATAGTACCTTTTCGGATGTGAAAGAAATAGCTATTGTTGGTGGGGCATCTGTTGGAGGTGCATTATTTATATTCACTATACTCGTTGTCTATTATTCAATGAAGAAAGGTCTCTGCATTTGCTACCAAAAACCAGATAATCCGAAGAAGGCAAAGAAATATTTATCATTTGATAAATGATAATTGCGCATCAAATATTTTAATATGAACCATCAAAATAAATAGAAACCAATTAACGGTCATTAACTCTTGCTATATATCTATTCTGTGATGTAATAATAATAATCAATCTGCAGGATAAATGAAATGTTAACATGAATTTGAATAATTAATGAATATTAAACTTACTAATTTGTGATTTAATAAATCAATTTTTTCAATTATTATTAAAAATTATCACAAATATACTTAAGATAAAATCCGTACTCGATACTGTTATTGTTGTCCATGATAGATCTTCCCTCTTCTTCTGTCTATTTCCTGGTCAAGAATCAATGAGAAGGATAACCTTTTTTTTCCATTTTTTGATGTATAGTATATATACTGTATATATATTAGTATATATATATATATATACTTATCCTCTCTTTAAAAGGTTAGAGTTATTATGAACAATTGACCAATCGGGAAGCCCTTATGATCCTCTTTATATTTTGTATGTTAAGACGGTTAATTGATAAAAACTTAATGCCAATATTTATATCTATGAAACCGAATATGCGCATGTCTCTTCAAAGAATAGGATTTAAAGAGATAAAAACTGAGAAGAGAGAGACACGCACGCACAAACACACACAGAGAGGAATAAAGCGATTGGGTGAGTGTGTTCAAGTTTCTTATATACTAATATATATATATATATATATATATATATGTACATATATATAAATATACACACTATATTATATATACAATATATGCAGTATATATATATATATGTTAAGAGGGAATTAAAGTGAATATGCTAATTTGAATATTATTGATCATTTATCAACAGAAAATGAATTTTTGCATAGTTCAACTCATAGAGCCATTGAGATAATACAATGGAGGTTTTGAGAAGTCTTCTCCAAATTTTGAGTATGTACATCAAATATTTAATAAAACACTGTTACTATATTTAAAATTCAGGTTTTCTCATTATATGTAATTCAACAAAAATTACTTGGAGAAGAGGAACAGAAGAATGTATAAACCTATTGTCAGATAACGAAAAAGGAATTATCAAATTGAAAATTGCTGATCCAGATGCTATAAACATTTGTTGGAGGATTGTGCCAAAAGTTCTATCGTCCAAAATATTTATCTCATTAACTGGAGGACACATTCAAAGAATTTTGCCTTATACCACTTGCTTTGAGACATTATCCATATATGGAAGTAAGAAGAGAGCCGGAGATACTTTATTAAAAACTTGGTGTGGTTATGAGAAAAATTTTACTTTAGAATCTATCAATGAAATCTATATTTATTTTTACGGAGGTTTCCAGTTCGATAAAAATAGACTCTTATATATTACATATTATTCAACTACTGAACAGGTGGAAGATAAATCAAAAGAGCAATCGAAACAAACCGTAAAAGTAGATGGTAATTCAATTTTTGTTGTATTTCTTTCAATTATTGGCTTTGGTATATTTCTTTTCTTATTTTTTCTGGCAATTGTCTATTTTAAAAGTAATAAGGAAGAAAAATATAAAATATATAAGAAATAGACCTAATTATTTAAAAATATCTGACTTTGTATTTTTTTCAAATAAAGATATAAGTGTAATTGTAAATTATCACATTTCTGTTTCTGTTTGCGTGAAACATGTAAAAGATAAAAGAAGACAAAAAGAACATATGAGAAAGTTAATGTTTGTAAACTATTATAACTATCTTGTACTAATCTCTTCTTTATATTATAAACTTTTGTCTACGACAAGTGTTGATAATGAATTATCAATGTTACGTATTTACTCTTCAAATGGTACGAAAATACAAACTAAATTGAAAAATATTGATGGTGAATTATCTTATCTAACTGATAATAATTTAAATACTTGCTTAACGGCAACTGATTTAAATAATGCTTGGTTTAGTATATTACTAAGCAAACTTTCACTAGTTAAATTAATTCGTATTGGTTTTCAAAGTTTAGGTAATAAAAAATTAGAGATTTAGTCTCCTTTCTATTTCTATTTGTTAATAATTTAATTAAAAGAATATTCATTAAGGTCATTATTTAAAAAGACATACTCTAAGAGTTGGTATTAGTAATAGTTTACCAAATTCGTATAAAGGAATAATTGATGGTTTTCACGAATGCTTTCGTACGAAATATTTCACTCTAAATACAATTGATAAAGAAATAGAAAATCACTGTAAAACAAACTGGACAATTGGTCATCAAGTTGTTATTATATCATCTGACAAATTATTCAGATTATGCGAAATTTCAATTATAGGAAATGTATTAAATGAACAAGTAAAAATTCATAATCATTCTTCACTGTTTGCTAAAAGTATTCTATTTATAATATAGTTTTTTTTTTTAAAAAAATAATATTTCTATTTTTTTCTTTCTCCTCATAAGATTTTAATGGAAGCTATTCAATTTCTTTTATAAATATTCGTAATTCGACTACAAAATATAGAAGGCAACAAGATAATTTAACAACAAATAAATCGACCAATTATTATAAAGAATATAAGCCGGCAGCAAATGAAAATAATCTGTATAAAGATAAGTCAAAATCTATGAAAAAACATAGATCTGAACAGAGAGAAAAATATCTTAAAAAACAATTTAAAGAAGATTTCATTCAATTTCCAACAGCAAAAATATTTAAGACAAAGAAAAAGTATATTATGAAAAATAAACTTCAAGATATATTTGCTTTTAACAATCAATCTAACATCTCTATGACAACGATAATGTATATTAAACCCACAACAATTGTTAAAACGACAAATACAACTGCTACTTTGACTATAAATGACACTACAACGATTAAACCATTATCCTATGTATTGGAAAATGTTGTAAATAGGTATAATTGGTCCTTACTTTCCAATTTTTATAGAATAAACTTACAAGAGTATAATAAATTTAAAAAGAAAAAAAGAACGCCAAAGAGACATAGAATGAATTTAGCTTTACATAAAAGAGGCAGTCAAATAAATACCATAAAAGATTATAGACTTAGCGTTGACGGATTCAAGAATACCTGTTCACTTATACAAACTATAGTACCCTATATCGAACCCTGGTGGTCAATAGATTTACTAATAGATTATAATATTGATAGAGTATCTGTTATCTTCAATAAAGAGTACATGGGTGAAAAATCAGCTTATAATATTAAAATAGGATCATTAAATATTCTGCCAAGATCCCTAAACAAACTAAAATTTCTAACAGTTTGCCTTGAAAATAAGTTTCGTCTAATAGAGTCAAATGTTATTTTTATATGTAGAAGAAACTTTAATGCAAGATTCTTAGGATTAACAATAAATTCGTTAATTTTAAGTATTTGCGAAGTGGAAATTTATAAAACAATAAGAAATAATAATAATAATAATCTGGAAACAATTCAGAGAAATAATGAAAGTATGTTAGAGTATATTAATACATTATACGAACGATCTAGAAAATATATGCAACTTTTTCAATTTTCAAACAATACTATAGCAAACTATGTTCATCAATCTTTTATTGAACCAAACAGGATTAGACAAAATAAGGAATTAAATGAAAAAGGTATTGAATAAATTGATATTTCAAAACATTTATAATCCGTCATTTATAGATGCTGATAAACTAAGTAATACTATAACTAATAATTCTATTGAATTTGGGAAAAGTACTCCTAAGACTAATCGAAAAACTTTAATTGTTTTAAATGCTACAACTCCATTTCCGAAATTATCCTCTCCTTCCAATTTAAATATTCAAAGGTTATTACTAAACGACGATGGTAATGATGTATTTACTCTTGAATTAAAGAAAAATAGAAATAAAAGATATATAAACAATAACTATCGTAAACAAATTGTCTATGATAAGACATTTGAAAGAAACTCGAAATCGTTCATAGTAGATGTATTCGATAATGTTCAAAGTGCTTATTCAATTAATAGAGATAATGACGATATGGGTAAGTTTTATAATGATTTACTTTAGTCTAGTAGTGTTAATAGTCTGATTCTACTCTATTTAGGACCAGAAAAGGCTCTAGATGGAAATTTGATGACTTGTTTGAAAACAAAAACTGTTAATGATCCAAAACAATTAAGTGTTTATTATCCTTGGTGGTCAGTGGATACGGAGAATATTGATACAGCTCTTTCTTGGGCGAGAATTATGTCAGATTCCTTTGATTATGAGCATCTCGTAATTGGAATGTCTAAGAGGTTACCGGGAAATGATTGGCCTAACACTGGTAGTTTAGATTTCAAGTAAGAGAGGGGAGAGATGTTTATCTTCCCTGTAGGAGAGCTATTCTCGACCTATTTCATGATTGTTAAAAAATGTTTTATAACAGACCGTGCTATGACTATGTCAGTCGAAATAAGACAAAACAAGTTGATCTTACTTGCGAACAGGTGTCAAAAGGACAATATTTACTTCTTTACGCTCCATATAGGCCTTTCTTAAAAATTTGTGAAATTTTAGCCTACACAAACTCAGCATCTCTGCAAGGTAACAAAACATAATTCTGTCTACATAAAACAGTAAAAAAGAACCGCTGTAAATTAAAGATATAGCTAAAAGGGAGTCTAAACAGCCTAGAAAAAGTTTACAAAAGCTGTTAGAGGGTATTGTCATATCGAAAGAAAAGAGTGAAGATAATGAATCATCAAATTTAATTACTGAAGAAGCTCTATTACGAAATAATAATAATTTTATCAAATCAATGAATGAGGGTGACGAAAACATCAATAGAATTTTTATGACGAAATCACTATTAAATAATCGAGGCGATGACGTTCATGGTGCTATTTTAGCAATTGATGGTTATATTTTATACAATTATATAGGCAAAAAAAAGACATTTATAAACATTTCAATTTAGGCCTTTTATCAACTTGCTCCTTGACTATAAATACAAATCCAATGTGGGCGGTAGAATTGGGAAGAATTATTACAATTGAAAGAGTGTTAATTGTTAATAATGATAACAGTTTAAAAAATATAAATGTTAATCTCACTCAGAGAATACCTATCCGTAATATTCAATTTTCTAAAAGATGTTTTGTGAAGAATGTTACATCTAAACAACAGGTATAGCTAACGTTACTTAATAGAGTCTATTTATTTGTGCTATACGTATCCGATATAAAAAAATATGTATGCAAACATATATACAGTATAGATACATATACATATATATAATGCATGTGTATATATTGTACATTGACATTTCCATGGATAAATTTATAATGAATAAATCAATTTTTGTAGATCTCGTTTGTTAATGAAACTTGCCAAAGAGAGAATGGCGAATATCCTTCGGGTAAATTTCTCGTTATCACCTCGAACAATCAAGTGCTTAAGATATGTGAAGTTACCGTCTATGAATATAATAAGCCTTCTTCCGGTTCAAAATATAACTTTGACAGAGTAGTTATTAAATTATTAATTACTATTTTATTATTTAGATTTAAATAAAACTAATAATCAGCTAAATGAATGGAAAAATAAATGGGAGTATGAAAATTTAGCAACCAATACAGTTACATATCAATCGTCAACTCATGGAGGTTTAAAAGCTTTAAATCTGTATAGTTTGTAAATATATATATCAATTATTATGTCATTGAGTTTGCCTCTTTCTTTTTATCATTATTTAGTTATGGTCCTAAAAATGCTATAGATGGTTTGGAGAGAACTTGCGCAAAAACAAGCGAATTGGCAACAGTTTATAAAATATGGTGGGCAGCGGATATGAGAAGAGTACAGGAAATAGATCGTGTTGTCATTGTAGGAGAAGGTATTAAATAACAGCTCCCAAATGCGTTTATTCCAATTCTTTTATTGAATTACACAAATAAAATAAACAATTTTCTAAAAGATGTAGGCAGCTTTAAAGAATTAACTGTAGGCGTCTCTAAAAGATTACCGAAAGATAATCAATGGAAGAAGATAAGAATGGACCGCTGTTTTCATTTTCGAAATGTTAGCGGTAGTAAATTTATAATCAACAATTGCGAAAGACCAATTTCTGGAAGATATTTTATTATAACATCTGAAAAAACACCCTTAAAGATATGCGAATTAGCTGTTTACAGCAGATTGACAAACTTTACTGGTTTGAATCTTTTTAAATGATGTTATTTTTTAGCAAACATCAAAAGTAATAAATTACAATACATATATTCTTATAGCAATTAGCAAGATAAAGCGAATAAATACGAATAAACAAGATTACAGAATAAAGAAAATAAATCTTCGTGATGCCTACACAGAGCAAACTAGATCCAATAGTTATAACTCTTGGCGATACTCTGCAAATATGGCCATTGATTTGAAATTTTATACTTGTTCTATAACCGATTTAGACACGAATGACAAAACTAAACCTTGGTGGTCTGTACAATTATTAAACAGAACAAAGATTGTTAGAATAGATGTATTTGGCAATAAAAGAATCGGTAAAGGGTTTAACAGTTTAAAATCAGGTGTAGACAATCAGAAACCGGGTATAAATTACCCTAATAAATCATCTATAACAATCTGTTGGAGTGTTCATGCTAAAGGGTAAACAAGGAATACATTTATTTAATTTCTACAACTGTAAGAAGCTTAAATCTTCATTTATTCCCTAGATTTAGAGCAATAAAGAAGAACTGTTATCAAGAAATAACTGGTAATTGGTTAATAATTGTCGAAATGAAAGCAAATATATTAATTCTTTGCGAAATAAAAGCCTACACTAGGATATAAAACTTTTAATATTGTAACATATGTTTACCATTCCTTTTATTGTGGTTTTACCTTATTTGCCGCTTATTAAGTTATTTAAATAATACAATTTCCTATTTATCCATATACTGTTTTGATATATAGTTAATTGAAGACACCTTTCTAAGTTCTCTTTCTCTTTTTCTTTTATTTTATAGTTCCGGTTGGAATTTGACCTATATTAATACCAAATGAGCATCCTTTATGCTCTACACTACGTACTATACCGTAGAGTCTATAGTTTATCTAAATAATATAATCTACCAGCTACCACCGAAGCGTATAAGGGCACGTTCGGCAGATGTAACGATGTAGGGGGGGGAGTCTAGCTTATTTTTCTTCCACTTTTCGTTCTTTGTTCGGAGTAATAGAAAAACAACGCAATCAAATGAATATTCATAAAGCTTTGAAATTAACAAGTAGTTTTTGTTTTCAAAAACCATTACGTAATAATCCAAGCAATTCATATTTTAAATAAATTGAATAAAGATAAGAAAAAAATTCCAGTTTAGTTGCAACTTAATAGATAAAAATGAAATATTCAAATATTTCAAATACTATCTTATTACTATTTATAATGTTTATTCAATCTTTTACAAACGAAATTACGGGATCAATCTGCTATGAAGATAGCCATTGCGGATCAAATTTTCTTTGTGATAGAAATGGCACGAAGAGCGACGAAATGTGCGATTTGGGAATATGTCTATGCCCTTTAGGTTATTATGAGAATGACTTTCAATGTCAGCCATGTGAGCAGTTCTAGAACGTTATTATTCCCATCTCCTAAAGATTACATTTCAAAATTTTTAGATAAAACTCTTAATCAATTTTGCGGAGAGGGGAGAAGATGCAATCCAAAACATAACCTTCATTGTCGAAACTTTACCTGCCTATGCAAAGATGATAGATATAAGGAGGATGGTAAAAGGTGCATCCTTAAGAATCCAATTCAGTTAGGGGGAAATTGTACATCAACATATGCTACGTGCAGTAATGGAGGTGCAGAATGCGAATCGGATATATGTAAATGTAAAAGACATTACGTTCAACCCAAAAATGAGACCATTTGTCGCCATGGTTAATTATTCAATTTTTTAATTTTTGGTTCTTCAAATTGATAAATGATCTTATAAAGAATAATAATTTAAAGCTAGAATAGACGAATATTGTAGAAGAACGATGCAATGCGAAGGTCCTCTAATATGTAATGAAAATAATACATGTTCGTGCAAGCCAGGAGAAACTTATTCAACAGAGATATTCCCTTTAGGCGTTACTAAATCCTTTTGTAAGAAGAGTAAGTTCTCCCAAAAAATAGCTCCCATAGTACAATTATGTAAGATTTCAATCACTCTGCTTTCATTTATACTGTATATATGTAATGAATGCGGAAATTTTATATAGATATCTACATTTCTTACAGAGACCATTTACGAAACTATAGCAAAAGGAGAAAACTCTTTCTGTGGTTCTGTAGATTATAGAAGAACAGATGGAATACTTATCGTAAAAATATCCTGTCCAAAGAATTTTATATGTACAGGTTGTCTTAACTTGAAAGGTAAAAGGGAATTTATCTGCAAAAGAAGAACAAAAAGCATTGTATCGAATAGAGTTGGGGGCATATTTATTGATTATAAATTATTTATAGTCATCTTAATTTACAATCAATATATAAAATGAATATAAAAGATTTTGTAGTGTTGTTGATAGAGAATTGTTGTAGTATAGAATATAAAGAATAATAAGATAAACTACCTATGTTTTTTATTATAAACTCGATAAAAATCTCTTGTATAAAGGTTGTATGCGTTAAATGACCAAAAGGGAATCGTTTCCAAATAGTATTTTCAGGCTATTGTCAAAAATAGCTCTGTTTAGAAAAGGTAAATTTGTTTTCGATAGACGAATATAGATTAAACACTGATAATTTATGTATAAGCATGAACGGTTGAAAGTCAAAATTCCCCATAATTCCTTCTTTATCGTTATACTATTGAAAAAGAGAGATAAGTATCTTCAAGAGAATAAAATTCTTTTTATTAAAGATATTTCAAATGAAAACAGTTACGATAATGACAAAACATGACCTAATAAATTTTTTTTCACCGGAAGTGATAAGTGTTTTCTTTTTAATATTAAATTATTTCTTTTTTTATGTATTGAATAGATATTTTTTCTTTGTTTTTAAAATGAATAAACATTAAAACATAACAAAGAAAGGAAATGTGACTATAGAAGAGAGAGAGAGAGAGAGAGAGAGAGAGAGGAGAGATAAATTTTGTAATTTTATTTGTTTTCAAGCTAAAAACTTTGAAAATAAAAGAATGTTTTCAAAGGCTAAAGATTTGTGACAAAGAAATAAAGATAAAACTTCCTATTTTTCTTCAATTTTCATACTCTCGAAGGCGTTTCTTAATCGTTTCCTCAATTCATTAGGTAGATTATTAAAACATCCTTTACAGACTGGTTTCATATCAAATTCATAAAATTTACTCCTGTTGTATAAAGAAATTAAATCTTATTGACTTCTTTGTTAATTTAAATATGCAAACTTACTTAAGACCCATGGCTTTTTCGCATATTGAACAAGTAAAGTGTTCAACGCAGTAGTTTTTATTTAAAGCAGTAAAAACTGTAAAAAGTTGAAGAGAGAGATAATTAAAACATTTTTAAAATAGTTCTACTTCATACCTTCATTTGCGTTAATTACTTGATTACAATGAAAGCAAATGTTGCCAAATAATTGATGAAAATGTAATTCACAATAAGCTAGACCTTTTTTCTCAAAATACGGATGACCAAGAAAAGGTTTTTCGCATTTGGCGCATGCAAAATGCTATAAAACATAAAAAAAACAAAAAAAGTTGATTTATGCCTAAAGAGAATGATATTGATAAAAAGAATAATATAAATAATTTCACCTCTATATGCCAAGTTTTACCTAATGCAAAAACGACTCTTTCTTCTATCGGTCGCCTTTAAATAACAAAGAGAGTGAATGGAAAAAGCATTCTTAGGTTATAAAAGGAAATAATAAGGATTGAATAAATCTCCTACCGGCAAGCGCCACAAATAGAAACGCCCATTTTATCAAAGCAACGTAAACAAAATAATTCACCGTCCTTTTCACGAGCATTAGAGCTTAATTCTTCACTATAAACAGTCTAGAATAATATTTGTTCAGTATATTTAATTATACTATGTACCTGCAATTAAAGCAACTAAAATGATAACAATGGTAGGATTCCCCTTTATATTTAATATGTCCTTCGTCAATAACCGAACTAGTTTAATAAATAAAATATATTAATTATTCAATTAGAGTCAATTATCTATTAGCTAACTTGCATCTACTGCAGATATATCTTCCTAACATTTCATCTTTTTCCTTAGCTTGGCATTTGGCGCACAAAGCCCTTAGATTATTAAAAATTAAATATTATTTCTTATCAAACTTATCTTAATAAGATATTAATTTTATATATTTTTGACTTACTTTCCATTAAACCACTTAAAAGAGTCGGTTAAATCTGCTGTACATTTTTCACACTTAAAGCAAGCTGGATGCCATGTTTTGCCGATTGCTCTAACCATACGTCCAGTTATAAAACTCTCTGTAATAAATCGTAACAAAGAAACATATATACTTTATATATATATATATATATGTTATTATTATTATAAACAACTATTACTTACTGCAACTATCGCATGTTGGTGCGAATAAAAAATTGAAATCATCTACACAATACTTTCTTCCTTCAAATTCATAGAATTCATTACTTTGCAATTGTTGGAAACAATGGGCACAGCTGTTTTTTTTGATATTTTGGTTGTTTTTTAAGAAGAGGAATAAAAAAAATATACAATTAGTAACAATGATTTTTGATTTCTCCGAAAGAGTAAGATACATATAGAAGGATAGAAAATGTAGGATTTATAAATAGATAGATAGATAGATAGATAGATTGAGAAAAATATAAGCCAGGTGCAAAATAAAATAAGGGATAAGGCTAAGAGATAAGGTAAAAATACTGGAGTAGTTAAGTGTGTTTAATTATGTTAATTATTAATTGGAATAATTAATAAAAGAGAAATAAATGATTAAGGTACAAAAATTAAGGATAGGAATCGAACTCCGTAAGTGTTAATTGGAATATTTATAGTGTTTTAATAATTATATAACGGAGAACTCACACAAAACATCTAGTATGCCAAACTCGGCCATTGTAATTAGCCAGTGCATCATCCTTTGTGGTTGGTTCTTGACAATGATTGCAATAGATGTCCGAATCGAGAAAAGAAGCTGGGGCATTCTGATGCGCGCTAAATATTCATAGGCACATGCATATATATACAGTATATATCTTTATGTATATACACATATATATATATAAATTAATTTTAATAGACTTCAAGATAAATGATTACGTAATTCTCATTAATTCAATAACATTATATATATATATATAAAAGAATAAAGCGGAGAAGAGAAGAAAATAAGGTTTTTTTCTGTTTTTAGTATAAAAATAAAAGAAAAGGAAAAAAAAACCACAGTAACTTTCTAAGATGATGAACTTACACAAAACATTCCTGGTGCCAAAGATATCCTTCCGCTTTTACAATCTCTTCCGCTTCGGTGAATGGATCTTTACATTTTACGCAGAATCTATCCATCAGATTTTCTCTGTTTTTCATATAAAAGCGTGTGATGAATTAAGCTTTTCTATAATTAGTATAATTCGTAGCATACGCTATTAATTAATGATAAGAATATAGAATGTTCTATATTAAAGCTAACTTAGGTAAATTGTGAATAAATAAGCTTAAAATGATAAAAGATTAAGGAGAGTAGAGAATGAGAGTTTTCCAAGATAGAAACGGAAGCAGAGAGTATAATGTAATACATAGGAATTCAATGATGTATTGCTCAATTATTAGTTTACCTCTTTCGCCGCCTATATAAATCACTAGTATTATCCTGGTCCAAATTTTGCAAGGCAAACCGATGGCGGGCGGGTTGCTGCAAACTACGCAGACCGCGATTTGGGCCTCTATCCTGCATATAGTATTTAGTACACGCCTTTTCGTATAAACTAGACAAAAATTTTCCACCACTGTATCCTGTGTCACGGTCGGTTTTTACACAATCGCTCTTTTTTATTATCTAAATTGCTTATTCTGTATGTATCGATAGCTGGCCTGCAGCATATCAATTAAATTGGCTAGAAAAAGCCATTTTTTGTACTTTGCTCCATTATATCACATGTCTTAAAAATCATTGTTCAGTTTGTTGGCTGACTTTAAACATAAAGGAGAAAATGATCAGCCTTTATTTTTTAAACATTCTTCAATGGCCTATCTATTAAGCTTACGAATTTGATCATCTACTACATCGTAAGGCCAACTCGTAGTAAACTCTTGGGTTTTTTTATCAATTGAACACTCGAATATCGTTGATCGATGAATGAATTAACAGAATATATATTTTACTTACCTAATTTGATAAATCCACCGTTTGTAAGGGATTTAACAGCGTGATTCGGGTGGAAAATACTTTCTAATTAGGATTTACTCGGACGTCCATACAGTGAAAGCTGTGCAATGACTAGAAGCGCCATCTATTTTATTATATAATCCCCACTGTTTGTATAACAAGATACAGTGAAAAAAGGGTTATACAATTTTACAAAATGTAAATAAAGTAAGTTTATAGAAGATTACAAAGATCTTTTTACTGCTTCATATAGAATAAATATTGTATAATAATTACATTTTTACTCTCGCTTGGGGCGCTTATAGCACATTTTTATTAAGGCTATCTTTGGCTCATTCAGCGAATTGCATCTTTATAAATATAAAAACCGCCAAAAATTCTTCTTTAAATAGTTTAATTAATAATTATTCATTATATACTTATAGTTTAAATAGACTAGAAACAAATCCATAAATAAATAATCTTTTTATTGATAGAAAAAGGCCATCTTTTAAAAACATAACATAACCGAGAAAGTAAATCAATCTCTTATTTTTTATATTTTCTTAAGGTTTTTATCATACTTTTACGTTTTTTTATAAGAAATTGCCAATAAACTTTATCTTATTATAGGAGAAGGAATACCTTACATATTAATTTATTATAAAAATGTCCTATTAATATCGTTAAGATAAACTATATGAGCAGTTAAATTTTGATACTGATTGTATCCTATTTTCGTTCGCTACAATAAATTCGTATATAGGCGTTTAAAAAGTTAACAATATGACTTTTTCAAGTACTTCTTTAGCCTAACATAGATAATTTACTGATTACTACTCTTAACCTGGATTATTACTATCTTGTAAATTACTTTTTAAGCTATAACTACTGGATTAATCCTTATCTATATTTTCCTATGTATCATATTATCTTAAGAAATAAAACGAATATTCGTTAACGAATTACCTTTTTAATTAACATATATCACAATATTTTGAAATATTTATAAACTAAAAAGAATAACTAATTTTCTATTTAGGTCGGTATAGCCAAAGAAAAAGAAACAAGAATTTAGCAAGTCCCATAGGCGATTGTTTACTTTTAAACGCCCACATAAATCATGCTTACAGAGCTTTTAATTGGTCTTCTGTTTTGTATCAAATGTTAAAAAAATAGAATTTACCTAGATTGTTTTATAAATTAACCTTCCATTTATTTTATTTACATGTACTACTAGAATACTTTTATAAATTTCCTGGTAAGCCTAATCAATAATATCTATCTTAAGCACCACCCCTTTACCTCCCTTATTTTTTCTCTGTCATTAGAAAGATAGCAAAGCGCCTTTTCAAAGGCAATAAATAATAATGAATATTGTAATAGATAAATTAATTGGTATAATTCAATATATGGATGGGAAAATTCTGTTTGATTCAATAGTTCACAGTCTCTAATAATTCATTCATGTTCGTTTCTTCTTCTTTTAGATATTCTTCGTCAAATTCTCTTTCACAAAAACCTCCACATGAACATTCGTAATTGCCTGTGTCAATACTTAGATAACTGGCATATTCGTCACCATAATAGACAAGAAATTCTTGTCCTGGTAAAACATCTTTTATAGTTCTATAGTAAACTCTTCCATTACAGTATGAAAATTCAACATTTTGCTCTATACAATCTCTTGCACAATTAATATATCGTAACCAATTAGATTGAGCTATATTCTGACCATCTACATAGTATACAACATATCCCTTTGATGTTATCTGTAAAATATAAATGAATAAATTATATATTATGATATAAATTTATAGCTATTTTATATCGATAGGAATTGTATATAAGTATATAGTAACCATCCATGCATAATCATAATCGTGATCTTCCTTATCTATATCAACGTAGTAGCCCTCGTATTCGGCAAGCCAAGTATTACGAGGCATAAAAGTTTTAGAGAATGCTCCATATCCAGCATTAGGTATTGTTGAATTTTTTATCTCAATTAATCTAGGATTGGCAGTAAGATGTGCTCTATTCGTTATATTCCATGGAACCTATTATTATTAAATTATCATTTCATAGTTTTAAAATTAATTATAAATATCCTAATAGATTACAAATTGTGAATAAGCAAATAAATCCGAATCGACTAGATTAGGACAATCTAACTCTTCGTGAGAAGCGTCGAAACCTTGTAGGCGAATTTCTTTACGAAATTGAGGAACTTTTTTTTATAAAAAAAATAGAATAAAGTTAAAATAATAATTATTTATTATTAATAAGGAAAATTTCATAAATAGTCAAACTGCAATTGGTTAAAACTTACTTGGTTCTATTGGAGAGTGAAATGGAACTGTAAAAAAATAACAAAAAAACAATATTTATTGTATGGAATTGTTTCATCAGATACTCTCTTTCTCTCTTTTTCTAATACCGATTATTGAATATCATTTGAGAGAAAACACGATAAAACTTTTGAAAGATAAGACGATACACTAATGAAAAATATATATACTGTGTATACAGATAGGACTTTAGAAAATTGTCCCTGGGCGTTTCCCTAAGCCAAAAAAATAGCCTAGAAGACCTAACAAAGTAGATAAGTCACACAAATTTCGTGGCGATCATCTATCTATGTATTTCTGATTTTTAACTCTCAACTCACCTTTTTTCGGCTCTGCTAAGACTAGAAATATAGCTTGAACATAAATTAGTTTCATCTTGAGGTTACATTGAGTTCAAACTCAATAATCCTCTGCGATAAAAACCTATTATTCTACTGGTGAATGTGGAGGCCTACATCGATTTTTTTTGCATACATTATAAAAACTGTCATATCAATATTTCTACCCTCAGAGTTCTTGAATACTACGACTTAAACAAATTCTATATTCTCAATTCTCAGCCTATTTTACAATACGTCCCACGCATTTTAATCGAAATATTAATCAATTCATGGGGTTCTTTATTCTATTAAAAAAAAAAGAAGCAGTATCAATTATATTATTTCATTCTTAATAGTTTTCAAAATCAAGAATGCTTCCATATCGTACGAATTGATTATTATGATATTGACCGGTAAAAACTGATTTTAATTCGTAATTTGTTGGTGTATTATCGACAAGCCATTGTCTTATATTTCCGTATTCTTCAGCTACCCAGTTTTGATTATCATTCAAAATATCCCATAGATAGTCAAAATTTTCGGGTCTTTCTGATAATATTCTTTTAATCTATTTTTTTTTAAATTATGCAATAATTAATATTCCTAAATGGAAAATATGAAATAGTTCTTACTTCGTTGGCTTTTGATTCTTGAAATGTTTGTTCACATAGTTTCACTAAGGTGAGTGAGATTTGACCTTGTGGACTGTTTAGAATAGTTAAAGAAATTACAACCAAATTAGAAATAACTTTTAAACAAAATATTTACTAATCTCCAATCCAAAAGTCATTCAATCTCGGGATAAGAGTTGCTCTTCCCCTTTCATTGTCAAGTAGATTAAACATTCTTGCAACTCTTCCGGCATCATCATAATAAGTAGTTGAATTCAATAGTAATCGATCTAAGTATCTGTTTTTTATTTCGAATAAATTTCCTTATCTTTTGTGCATTCAGGAAAGAAAAATTCAATTTTACGTACTCGTTAACAAGGCTCACTGAAGAGACGCAAGCTAATGAACGGAATAAGGCGTCGCCTTCGGGAAGAGAATTTGTTTCTTCAAGTAGTTCCTCGATGAAAAAAAAGTTTTCACGTGTATTATCACCATATGATAACGACGTACAATAAGCGTTAAGTCTTTGGTCTGCGGGTATTCTAATTTGAATAAAAGTACGATTTATGAGAATAGTTTTTCTTAGAATGTTATCTTAGATAGCTTACGGATTATTATCCTTATCTCCCCTGTATTGATTGACTAGCTCTAAAGCTCTGTCAATACATTGTTGATTTCCAAATCCACAGGCTAGTCCACTAACAACCTCTCTCGTTAATTTAGTCAATTCTGCTTCGCCAACAACAGGTTCAAAGTTAACTTTGCCATACATATTATCTACTAAGTATCTTGTATAGTCCCTAAGGGCTGTATCGTTTGAAATATCAACGATGTTACTATAAAATTCCTGAAAAGATTGTGAAAAAATATTCCAAGGTCCAGCTGTTTCTTCATTTCTTAAGAATTTTGTAAATCTTAAAGCTTCTACTTCTTTTATTTCTGATTTATCAAATCGAAGAAGATTATCGTCCATAATTATTAATCTTTGATTGTCATCCACTTTAGAGATATCATTTTCTAATGTTCTTAGCAAATCATCTTCTCCGGCTTTGTCGTATAGAGTTCTATAATAACCACTACCTCTTGAATTAATACCATACCAATTGCCAAGGTTATTTGGAGTGAAATCATCATTTCTTTGTCTAAGGGTAAATTGGACGTTATTATTTCCTGGAGCTTCGCCCTCAGTGACAACTGTAACGGGTACTGGCCACAAGTAGTTATCATCTCCGGAAAAGTCCGGATAACGATTTTGAGTTAAATCAAGGTTATTTGATTTACGTTCAACTTGGATTCTTGAAATACCTCGCTGATTAACCCAAGGATTAAAATTTTCAGTCACATTAAAGTTTGAGACGCCAGATTCTTCCAATTCATCTTGAATACAATCCCATAAATCTTGAGTAACAACACTCTTAAAGGCAAACTTCTTTAAATATCTCTACAAAAAATATTGATAAAAAATGATAAAAGATAAATAAATTCGATTTTCTTACTCTGATGGATCTTTGGAAGATTGGTTTACCAATCCATTGTTGGAACATTCGTAATAGAGCTCCTCCTTTAGAATAGGTGAATCTTGAGAAGGCAGATGGTGCTTGAGAAGGAAGTTGAACATCAGGTCTGTAGACAGGTAGTGCACTTTCTAATTCGTCCATTCCTTTTATGGAGTTGACAGCCCGTATATGTTGCATCATACCCTGATGGGATATAAATTTTTTCCCTTAAAAAAAGAAATGCTGTGGCAAGTTGTAGTTACGTGATTCCAATTTAACACATCTCCCAAGGGTTCCCATTGGAAGAACGCTGCGAATCCCTCATTCAACCAAGTATCACTCCACCATTCGCAAGTTATCAAGTTACCAAACCAGAAATGGGCGACTTCGTGAGCAATAAGAGAGGCTGCTCTCATTTTAAAAGATACAGGTTCATTTTCTGGATCGAAAAGAAGAGCGTTTTCGTCGTAGAGAATGAGTCCCCAATTTTCCATAGCGCCACCCTTATTTGGTAATCCAACATGATCTTATCGTAAAACGGAAGATTATAAAAAAAAGAAAACACAACACTTTATGTTGCATTTAATCTATTTTACCTGTTTTGGAAGTTTGGTGTTCATAATCAGTCCAATCTTCGAACCAGTCTTGAATTTTGCCAGCAACAGATACAGTAAAGTTCACTTTGTGAATATAACTTCTTTGAACCCATACTCTGATCTGGAAATATTTTTTGTATTTATAATCAATTTTTATCCCAATGAAAAGAATTATTCAACATACTCTTCTTCCTTTATCAGAATTGAATTCAACATGTTCAAAGTCGCTTATTACAAATGCAACCAGATAACAAGACATATAAGGTGTTCGCTCAAAGATATCTCTTTTCCATCCATCTTCTAAATCAATCGTTTGAACTAAATCGCCATTTGATAAACTCGTTCGACTCTCTCTTCGTTCAAGTTCAATGTTGAAATTAGCTTTGAATTCAGGTTCATCAAAGCACGGAAAGGCTGTTCTTGTAGCGTCTCTTTGAAACTGTGTAGCTACCAAATGTCTTCTTTCTCCATTTTCCGTATAGTAATCAACATATATACCAGATCCTCCCATAACCTGAATTATATTTATATTGTTAAGTTTATTAAACAAATAAGATATATATCTGATCTTGGAAATGTACCGGCATATCTCCTTTAAATATTAATAGCATTCTATATTTGGCGTTTTGTACCAAATCGCCATTTAGTAAAATTTCGAAGACCTCTTCAGTATCTTTAACAATCAATTCCTGTAATCTGGGAACATTTGCTGGAATACTATCAGGAGCCAAAGTCAAAAAAAAATTTTCTGGAGTTAAACCCCTTTGATTGACAACGATTTTATTAGTTGTTTGAACAACATCAAAGTCGATTAGAACGGATCCACTAAAAGTGAAATCAGTTTGAGAAGAATAAATATCAGGTCTCAATCTAACTGTATAGTTATAAGGTCTTAGATTTTTTGGTAGTCTTATGGCATCTCTGGCCAAAGTTATTTCAACAAGACAGCATACTAAAACAAAAGGATAGATGAGACTTTTAGATAGCTAATACTCAATAAATTGTCTGTATATACCTGCTATTAATGCAGTTATCGAGAATAGTCGATCGGCAATCATCGGCTAACTGTTTTTAAAATTATTTAAATAACTACAGAAGTAAAAAATATAAACACAGGAGCCGATATATATACACAGTCATATCCTGTAAAACTGTCCATATGTCATCTCTATAACTGTGTGGGAAATGACAGAGGCTCTGTTTTACAGAATTGAGGAAGATTTTTAAAACTTATTATGACAAAATAGAAAGTACATACTTTACGAATGAAAAATATACACTTCCCAATGTATAGCTTTAACTTAACATTTAAGCTAGGTATTCGTTTTATTAAGTATTTTATTTAACCAAAGACATGAAAAGAAACAATTGAAGATTGGTGTTTTTTTTGCAAAGTCATTCTTCTTAAACACAAGGTGAAATGTTCAATTTCCAATTTTTATTTTTATATATTTTATCTTCTGAAAAGCAAAACCAATTCTAAATGTTTCGTATGAGGAAAGAGGTCAACGGCAGTTACACTCTCTAATTTGAATGGTTCACCAATAAATTTGTTTGTTCGTAACCTCATAAAGTTGATAAAATCGTCACAGGCAAGTTCATAATTGCAACTAACATACACAACAGTCTTAATATTTTCCGTTCTCCTTATTGCTTTGATAACGTTATTGTGCAAACCAGCTCTTGGAGGATCGACGACCGCGATAAGGTCATTTTGAACAAGGTTATCATCTTTTAAAAGGTCAAGTAAAACATGTTCAGCATATCCGCAATGTACGTCAACATTTGTAATATTGTTAAGTTCTAGATTAGTTTTTGCATTTTTTACTGATTCTTCAACAAGTTCAATTCCTATTACTTTTTTTACTTTTCGCGCCAAACTTATACCAATTGTTGCGCTACCGCAACAGACATCGAGGACAACACTTTCTGAATTGCAGTTGGATTGCTCATAGATTTTATTATACAAAACTTCAGCCGCTTTTGTGTTTACCTATCGTGGAAAAATGCAAGTATATTAGTTATGTAACAGTTAATGATATATATGTGATAGATATTTCCTACCTGGAAGAATGCTCCAGGACTTATAACAAATTTTGACGATAAAAGTTCTTCATGAAGTACCTCACTCCCAAATACATGATGACAGTTTCCCTCCATACTATTTGCCATGGTCTCTGCAGAGGTAACTTGCAAATACGCGCAAACTATGTTAGCGGCGGCTGCATGTTCGTCAAGGAATGCTCTGATCTTTTCTTTTTCTTTTTCAAAAATTTCATCACTAAGATTTTGTGGATGCATTGTCAAAACAGCCATCTGCTCATTAGATTGAACTATACGAATAGTTAGTAATTTCCAATTTCCTTTATTACTTAATTGGTTAAATGCATCTAAAGTTGAAACATTTTTTAAATAATTTTCCATAGTTTCAACTGCTTTTATTGTTAATTCATGTATATTCTTGCATAGAGTAGGCGGTCCAACGGTAACGTTACCGTGCTTGTATCGACCATGACGAAAACCAATTGATTTATCGGGACCAATTGTAAACTCATTTTTGTTTCTATAACCTACAGAAAAAGATAAATTTGTTTAGTTATATGAAAATAATAATATCAGATATCTTACCTTCAGTAATTGGAGATGGTTCAATTGGTTTTAAAACATTTCCTATGTCAAATCTACAATCCGACTTGGAAGATAATTTCTTTAGAAATTTACCCACAGCTTCCTGTTTTGTTTCTAATTGCTCCTTGTAAGATGTGCTATAAAAAGGAGTTACAGCTTTAGCAACCCTTTCCTCTGGAGTTAAGTTATCTTCTTCCTCATTATTATCGTCACCTTCTCTTTCTTTATGAGAATCTAACCAAGGATCAGTCTTAGGATTTGCCTCAGTAGCTTTAAGAGTTTTTCCTTTCCAAGTTACAGCATTTATTTTCTCTATAGCTTTCTGCCTTTCTTCTTCGTTTGATAAATTTATATATACAATACCATCCTTGTGGGGTTTTATTTTCTTAGTAGCTATACCCATTTTCTTTAAACGCTTCTTAAGTTCATTAAATCCGAAGTATTTTGGTAAATTCTTTACTTTTATCTTATAAATTTCCGATGTATAGTTTGAACGGGAGTTAATTAATTTAACTTCCTCGGCAGGTTCTACGACTTTCACTGGCTCTTCTGTCTGATCCATAGTTTCTATTAAAAAATATCATAGTATCATAATATCGCTCAGTTAGGATGCATGTAAATATGTCTCTTTTAACTCCTCGTTATTATTGCACAACGATTTAAGTCATCATTCACCTAGTGTTTTGCATTGTTAGCATTATGGATCATTCTGTATCGTATAGGCCTAAATGTTAATTATAAAATTGTCCTTTTTTACAAACCTTCACGTGCCGTTAGTTAGTACACATGCACATGAAAAATCTTAAACAGGTTACTTTTTTTGTTAAAAAAAACAACGCCACCTATAGGCAATATAAACTTTCTTAAATCGTATAAAAGTAATAAAAGCTACGAAGAATAAGTTAATAAAGAAAATTAATGAAAGTAAAATATTAATATATTAATCATTAACTTAATTTATTAATAAAATTGAAAAAAAAATGGTGAAAAATGAAAATTTGAATTAATTAGTTAAAAATACTAAATTAGAATTAAAACATAAATTATCTTTCTATTTTAAAACGGAGAAAGTATGAAAGAAAGAACAGTATATTTCTTTTTTTTTTGTTTTATCTCTTCCCTTCTTTGTTTATTAATCAAACATTTTGTATTTGGCTTCTTCAATTTCTTTCTCTTAAAGTTTACTTGTCGATTTTATTCCAATTTTAGAATGAAGAAAATACACCTGTCTAACTAATAATAAACCAATTCTTTGTTTTTTTCTGCTGACTATGTAAAAATAGGATAACATAGGAAAATAATCGAAATTTTCCATTATAAAATAAATATATAACACTTTTATATTAAAAAATAGAAAAACATCAAAGACGAGAAAGAAACACCATCAATAAAAAAATCCTTTAGATTTTTGAAAATTTTGTTTTTATAAAAAAAAAAATAAAACAAATTAAAATAGATAAGAATAGAAAGATAGCTTTGTAAGTAAAACAGTATGATTCATATTTTCACTATTAGGCATTTCATTTATAAATATGTACAAAGAGATTTATGCCGTTTCTAACTTTAACAAGATTTAAGTGAACTTCAAACATATATTTTTATGCCCTTACCTAAGCATAGAAGCCTGTTTTATTTATTTAAACGTAATCGTGCTGTTTCTGTGAAACAGGTTTACAAAGTATACGTTGCTTAGCTATCATAATTTTAAAACCCTATAAAAGAGAAGTTGGTATGTTCAGTTTTCAAGCGAGTTCAGGGGTTCGAACGAAAACTTGTGCTTCCCACGTTTGTTTCAGGACATCTAAAGAAAGAAAGAAAAATGAATAAAATGATTGCTTTAGCTATTATTGGAATGGCTCTTGTGGCATCGTCTTTTGCCGCTTTAGAATATAAGAGTGGTGATATTTGTGCTTTGAATAGCCAGTGCCCAACAGGTTTTATTTGTAATAGAAAGAGAGATCACTATAATTGTGAATTAGGAAAATGTGCGTGTCCTGATCATTACTATCAGGATTCTGATACTTGTAAGAAAAGTAAGTCTTTCAATTATACATTCGTTCCATTTTATATTTATCCCTTTTTAAATCTCAGAGTCAACTGAAGGACAGTCTTGTACTGTTAGTTCCACTTGCGACACTGATTTGATGTGTATCAGCAGTAAATGTACCAAGCTGGTTGAAAAAAAATTAGGAGCAACTTGTGATCTATCCAAAGATATATGCCTATATTCTTCTTGTATCAGTAGCAAATGCGACTGTATAACTGGTTACTTCAAGGATGGGGAAAAATGTAGATTAAGTAAGGAGAAATAGAGCTAGAAAAACTTTAAAACAACTTTTATATCTTTTTTTATTTATTTAGAGAAACACAAAGAAAGTTGTAAGAGTGATAATACGGAAAACTGTGAAGCTAATCTCCAATGCAAAAGCAGCGTTTGTGAATGTCCAGATGATTACGTTTGGAGAAAGGTCAAGAATGAAGATGGAGAAGATAAGGATATGTGTGAACACAAAGACGGTAATAATTTGAAAAAATATTTATAAAAGTTGATTATTTTTTACATAAAAATTTGTCTATGTTAGTTGAGAGAGTTATGACTTCTGCGAAAGAAGGTCAAAGTTGTGGAACAAAATCGTACGGTGGCTCAAGAAGCAATCAAATTTTCCTTAGCTATTGTGTAGAAGATTTAAAATGCAACAGATGTTACGGAGTTGATGGAGATTACAATGTTTGCAGAGGAACAGCCGCATCAATTCTCGGAAGTATTTTCCTATTAGTGTCTTCTGTAGTTATAGGAAAATTATTTTAAGGTATAAAATCTAATATAAACTTCAGAAGAAGAAAATATTTATGGAACTGTTGATAAAACATCAACAGTTCATTCTTCCCTGTAATGACTAAATCAATTGATTTTAAGTTTTGTACATATACATATATGTTTATGTTTATGTTTATGTACTTCTTAATGTATCTAACAAATTAATAATTACATCTATAATAAAATTCAATCATAAATAAAACAAAAAATGAGCTAAATACATGCCAAATGTTCATGTTAAATAATCGTATCTATGACGAAACTTATGATGTATGTATTGAAATATATGTGCAGAAGTTGTTTGAGATTTTCAACATGAATGTTCTGTCTTGTATTCATCCAATAAAAAAGCTTTTGTCATTCATAAATAATTTGCTTACTTTTAAAAAATTAAACTTGGAATAATTTAATAATAATTAACAATAGAGTATTTTTAAATAGTGAAAATATAGGTTTAAGCACTCTAAGTTAGAGTCAATATAAAAAGGAATAAATATGTTATTGGATACGTGAGGTAACCATGGAGAAGAAGTCGTAATGACTGAATTGTTTGAAGTATTTGTACAATGATAGTAAATTAATAAAAATTTTTGATGACAAGGAAGAATTAAAACAAATTTATGGCTCTATGATAAATAGTTGCAATTCTCCAAATCCCTTTCTTTCTAATATATTAAGTTTTTTTTGTAGGTCAATGGGGACAGGTAAAAAAAAGTGTAAACTGTTTCTAACTTTCCCAAAGGAGATATCAACCTCTGATAAATATTAGACAATATAAAATAACCATAATCATTCACAATGAATGACTTTCTTTTTACGACATTTACTTTCCTTTTACAAGTTCTAATTGGGCTATACGCGAAAACTTAATTGGTAATTTTATACAAAGCGAGGGAGTGGCTTTAATAAATTTACTAAATAATTATTATACCTTTTGTATTCGTAGAAATTATACCTTCAACAATGAACTTTAAATCTAGGCCTAATGAAAATTTCTCCTTTATGCTAATTAATCAGCTTATTTAGCAAATTAGTAACATATATAAAGGGAAAATTTATGACATTCGAAAATATTTCCAAGTATAGTTCATTTTAAAAAGATATGAACAGAATCATTTTTAAAGGATTCTTTACATGTATCATATCCAGTCACATTGTGCAATCCGAGTATGACAAAAAATTAGGAGACGTTTGCACTAAAGATTGGCACTGCCCTGCTAGTGCCTTTTGTGATAAATCTTATTCAGGTGGCAATTTGGCTTGTGAAATTGGAAGATGCAAATGTAAAAAGGATTTCTATCCTCAAAATTCCGAATGTAGAGCAAGTAAGAAGATAATTTTAAATCAATCTCTATTAATAAATTCTATGTATGCTTTCTATTTAGCAAAACCTTTTGGTTCCACCTGTACTTACTCCAATGAGTGTAGTGCAAACATTCAATACGGAAGATGTTTAAATAGAAGATGCTCCTGTATCAATAACAAATTTTATGTAGAAAGGAATGGCGTTTGCGAAATTAGAAATCCTAAAAACTATGGACAAGAATGTCTTATTTCTTCGGATTTGTGTTTGGGAAATAACGTTTGGTGTAAGCTTGGAAAGTGTGCTTGTAGGACAGGCTATTCTCGTATTGAAAATGTTTGTAGATTAAGTAAGCACACATCTAATCCTGTAATCTCCGATTAAGTAAACGTGTAAAAAAGTTGTGTAATATATACAAATTTAACAGAAAAATATCAGGAATCATGTTCAACTAATGACATTCGTTGTGAATCGAATCTTCAGTGCAAGGCTAGTGTGTGCATCTGTCGTAATGGCTATCAATGGTCTAAATATAAAAATGCTCATGGTAAAGATTTTCAAGGCTGTATATTGTCTACCAGTAAGCACGTTCAGCATAAAATATTATATTAACCAGTTTTATAAGTATTCTGATCTTTCAGCGGAATTTGTGTTAAATGAAGTTCAGAATAATGAAGCCTGTGGTGAATATACTTTTAATAGAAATGGGAAATATATAACATTTCTGTCGTATTGCGCAAGAGATCTTAGCTGTGTACAGTGTTACTCAGCAGGTTTAAACTCAAATTATAAAGTCTGTAGGGGAAGCTCTAGCTACTTTTACCCCAATTGTTTTAATCTAATTGTTTTCTTATTAATTTTTTTTCTCCTATGTTAATTTCTCATTTTCTTAAAAATAAAATGATAATAATACACTTGAATTAGCAAAATCAACTACAAAACGAAAGGATAAGTAGCCATAATTTATTGGTCATGCACCAAGTTATCTTTATTCTTCTATTTTCCTTTTACGTTGAAAAATTTTATCTAAGTTGGATATAGTATTTTTATCAAGTTTATGCAAATAGACATTATCATGTTCCTTATAAACGCCAGTAAAAGCATTGCGATTGTTATTATGGAAGAAAGTTTTGCAAGAAGAATTGAAAAGTTTCTCGAATGAGGATGACAACTTTTGAAAACAATTTCTATAAATGCCTTCTGGTTTTTGGTATTCTGTTTTGCTATGTTAATGCAGATGCAGATTGCTATAATGACAATCACTGTGGTACAAACTATTGCTGTGACAAGACTAGTAGAAACAACGAATTGAAATGCGATTACGGATCATGTAAATGTAAACCTGGTTATTTTAGAATAAATGATACATATTGCAAAGAATGTGAGTTCTTTAATCATATACTTTCTGCTATATATCTTGGTTTTTTTTTTAAATAGCTATAGGGCATGGAAAAGACTGTGATAATAATAATCAGTGCAATCTTGAAAAATACCTCACTTGTATAAATTCAAAATGTCAATGTCCAGATAAGTATAAATTAGAGGGAGACAGATGTGTTTTAGAAATGCCAGTAAAGTTAGGACAATCTTGTACAGATAGTAAGGCACAATGCGAAGGAAATACAGAATGTAACAATGGTAAATGTGAATGCTGGTCTTGGTTGATTGAAAAGGAAGGAAAATGTGTCAAAGGTAAACAGAAATATTTAATTAGCTCTCATATTTGTTTTAATTAGCTAAGTTTCTCAGGTGAGTTAGACGACAACTGCGACAGGGATTCACAATGTGAAGGAGGTTTAAGATGCAAAATTTCAAAATGTGGATGTGATGACCAAGAAACCCCTTTCCGTAAATTTGAAGCGCATTATAATCAACACACTTACATATGTTTAGATAAAGACGAATCTGGTAATAATTTTTAATTATTTTTTTTTTGATAACTTAAACGTTAACGTACACTTCTTACAGCTGAATCGGACGATAGAACAGCTAAAGGAGAAAACTATAATTGTGGTACTTTTAAAGCAGAACCTAGCCCGAATCATTACGTGTACTTTGCAACTAAATGTCCAGGTGATTTAAAGTGCACTGACTGCCGAGACGCTATATCCTCATCATATGTCTGCAGAGGTGGAGCTAAGTCTCTAATGAGTAGCGTCGTTTTAATAATCACAGTTATATTTATGATTTTAATATAAACAAAATAAAAATGCCAATGATTAACAAAAAATCTCTGCAAGGAACTAAATAAATAAATCAATAAAGAACGAAATAATAAATTTTCATGATAAGAGAAAACGCCTTTATACATTAATATTTTATAACATTGAACATGTTACGTAATTACAAACAGATTAATCATTTCAATTCATTCAAAGTATTTTATTAACAAGATTATAATTATGATAATTAATTTGAGCTAAGAAGGAAGTAAATTTTATAGACTTGAACAATTTCCGAGATATATCGCTATCAGAAAAGAGAAATTCCCTTTTATCTTCCTCTTTTTTTTTCACAGTATTTTATATTTGAGAAGTGATTTCATGCTTTAAAATCTTTACTGTAAAACAATTAAACAATCAATCATTCAATATCTATTTGAACAAAACTTAAGCTCTTCTTTTAATCTCTTATGACTATCAGTTGCTCACATAATATATTCTCAAAAGATACTCTTTGATTCATCTTTCCTTCTTTCAATCAAAACAATCAATATAAAATAATTTTAACCAATAATAGTAGTGCCATCTATAATTCGATTTAAAGTCTTTTCTTTTTTAATTTTTCTTTCTTTTTACCTAAAGTGGAATTGTGAACAAAATAACTCGAAAATATAAACAATTTAACCAAAGTAATAATATAAAAGAAAGCTTGATATGATGACAAATCTGATAAAAAAATGACACAAAACCGAATCAAAAGTTTAATTTGATGGCAAATAATGGTAAATATATACAGTATTTTACGTTGTTCTTAATCTTGTTTTATCTTCATATTATATCTTATATAAGCTCTTTATTGTCATATATAGATTTTGTTGAAATATTAATATTTTCTTAGGTTTAAGTTAACTTTTAACTAGTTTTCAATTAAAAGTTACAATATAAAAACTATATTAAATTTTATAGTTTAACTTGAATTAATTATCAAAGTTCTTAAAGAAAATAAATGCAATAGATAAGAATGCTATGGAATATTATTGTATTTTTATATTTTAAGAAATTTTTAAAGGGCTCAAGTAAGGAATGTGGAACCACTTTACGCATCTCATTTGGTTCTAAATCTGTAAGAAGAAAGAATATAATGGGACTGTTGAAACACTTATCTTTTATTTTTCTTTACACTGTCATATTAATAGAGTTTGCCGCTAGTAAACTATGCGAAGAAAATAATGATTGTTCTTTTGGATATTGTAACAAAGTGAGTAGAGGGTCAATAAAATACACATGCAATTTGGGCATTTGCCAGTGTCCCAAGAAGCAATTTCAAGAAAATGGAAAATGTCTGCCGCGTAAATATGAATTATTTTAATTAATATAGAATATAGTTATATTGTTTTATATATACGTATATATATATATTTATATAGAAAAATCTGAAAATGAAGAATGTAATAAATCTAAAGAATGTTTAGGAGATTTGAAGTGTTTGTCCAAAAAATGTACATGCTTGGGATTTAAATTATCTCCAACTTCTCAATGTCAAGAAAGGAATAAGAAAACTTTAGGTCAATTATGTGAACGTGATGGGATGCCTTGCAGAAATAGAAATTCGTTATGCTCCAATGGGACGTGTATTTGCCAAAAGGGAAATATACTGGAAAATGGTCATTGCAGACATGGTTAGTATCTTTCTTAAATAAAATAAACCGCAATGCAATCAGTTTTTTCTTTCGTTTCATTTTTTTTATTCATAAAAGCTCTGTATATGGAACGGTGTCAGTCTCCAGATATTACCTGCACATCACCATTAATGTGTATAGGTGGGCTGTGTAAGTGTAAGAAGGGAAATTATTACAACTATACTGTGCCAAGTGGCAAATTAGTTATGAGATGCGATAAGAGCAACAGTAAGATTATATTTTTAAAGTCTTTTTTGTCAATATTAGTATATTAATTAAAAAATAAACTTTAGTTGCCCTATTTGAAAAGGAGGTTGAACCTTATGAAAGATGCTACTGGACTCTAGAAAAGAAACTTCCTGGACAAAAGTTAATGATGTTAAATCAATGTCCCGAAGGATTCACGTGTAAAAAGTGTCCAAAACAGAAAGAGATTTGTTTGAATGTAACATCTATCATCTTGTCAGATGGAATCAATCAACTCTCGTATAATTTTTTATCAACTTTCCTGATTATAGTAATAACTGTATTATCTTTATAAACAAAATACTCTTATTAATGAAAAATCTTGAATGCTTATGTTATGTAAGACTAAACCTGTAGAAATCTTTTACATCTGTACATCTGCTATTATTTACATCAAGTATACTTTTGAAAAATGTGGTGTCTCTACTTGCATATAGTTCTTGGATAGGATAACTTCGTTTGTTATCTTTTAGCATTATATAAATAAAATGACAAGGTAAACCATTGGTCAATATTTCAATGTTTTTACGTTACCTTAATGTTTGGAGTAGAAAGCAGATAAACATAAGATAGTAATCTACAAAAAGTATCTATGTATCAATTTATAACTAAGCTATCTTTTCTCTATGCTACTCACTTCTATAAGAATGAACCCTATGATACAATATGGAAAAAAAAACAAATTATCTTAAACTTAGTTATCTATTCATTTCCCTTTTAATCTCGCCTAAAAGAGAGAGAGAGAGAGAGAAAAAAAACTTCAATCGTCGTCGCATTCGTCTAATTAACAACCATACTGACCTGAATAGTATAATAGAGAATAAAAAATATTGCCACTTATTATTGTAGGAGAATCCTTTATTATCCTTCCAAATGAAAAAGAGAGAATTTTATACGACTAAGGATAAAAACCTTTTTTCGCATTTTCCATTTACTGACGTTAAGTACTCAACAAAATTACAAGTTCCATCCGTATTACTTTTGGTAAAAAAAAATCGTTACAAACGGCATCATTTGCAGTACATTTACTGTCCAATCGCTCTAGATTCCTAAGGATAAACTTTTCATTAACTGTTTTTGTATTTATTCTTGTCGCATTGACATTTAGAATCGATATATTTTAAATTAGAGGGCAGAAAAAAAAAGTACAACGTTCTCTTATCAATTATTCTATGTTTCGTAACTCATTTTTTTGTAGCTGCAACTAAATAGTCTTACTATTTTATTCTCTGTAAAAAAAAAATGCCACGAAAGTTGGTATGATTTATTTGAGGCTACTGTGTAAGCGTTTTAAAAGATTAATCCTTGTATGTTATTTATAATTGTGTATACTTTGAAAAAGATGGATTACTAGGAAAGTAACATTTTAGAGAAGGTAAATCTATTGTAAGAACTGAAAAATTCTGCGTATTGTAAAAATTATAAAAAGTACCTCTAGTGAGTGGATTAAGGGAAATTTATGTCGAAAGTAGAGCAGTTTCATTTAAGTTATTCTATTATGTGACAAACAACAGACGCTTTTGTAGGCCTACCATCAACACAATGAATAAACATAACATTAAATAACGACGTAGTGTAAAGCAATGATAGTAGAAAAAGACTTAGTATCACACAAGCCATTTTAGAACAAGAGCAATTGTTATAAATCTCTTAAATGCGTGTAGATGTGTTCTTTTAATAGAGAATTACAACTGTCTATCCAAAGTATTTGCCAACGGGAAATTTGTATAGATGTAAAAGACTTCTGCTCGTATAAAAATGAGTGAGATAGACCTAAAGACATGAAATATTCATTGTATTTTTAAAGCTGAAGGGACCTAATAAATAGAATATTTACGAGAGTCAAAGAATTAGTACGCTTAATAAGATCTTAGTACAATATCACAAGTACGAAGTATATTGACAAAACTCTGGTATATTCCTTATTAGTCATACCATCTCGTTTATATAATTACAAGAGATAAAAATAAACTATTGTGAAAATATATACAAATATTATTAATTAAGAGTATTTAGGGCCTGAGCTTGTTAATTAATTAATAATCTATATATATATATATATATTTATACTAGTATTTTTAATAACCAACTGCTAAAAACAACACATTTGTTTGAATAATATAGGAATAACTAACTTTTCGCTAATATTTATTGAAGAATGTAAACATTTCTTTAGTTTAATATATTAATAATAATAATAAACAATTATAAATAATTACAATAAGTGGAAATAGCGAATTGTAGTTACTTTCTCCAGAATTTTCGTGTTGTATACAATGATAATGATAATCGAGATTAACGTCATTGCATTGAGCGCATGTAGAATGTTTAGGACATTTATTTATTAGTACGCTATCCTCAATATTCGACAATCCACAAGATTCATTTATACGAGCATAACTCCAATAAATGGTAGCTTTGTTGTTATTTAAAAAGTTCTTAATTGGAAATTTAATTATAATCATATAATTATACTTACGAAGTTTTGTTCTACAATAAACAATAGTCTTTCCTTCTGGTGAATTTAATTTCATATAGAGCTTGTTGTCTACACAATTGCATTTTCCTTGAATACATTTAAAGGGTTGAACGCAATGAATCGAATCTGTACACTCTTCTTGATGATTTACTGGTATTTTTTTAAAATATTATATAATTGTTATCAAATACATTTCTAATTTATAACTTACATAATCTACATTTATTATCTTTTCTTATATAATTCAATCGACATTTGCATTTATTATCAATGCATGTTGTTTCATCGTCAATACAACTTGAATTCATTTCTTGGCAATTTTCTCCATACTTTTTAGGATTTAGGAGAACGCAACTCGTTCCATTCCAAGAGTATTTATCGATTCTGCATAAACACTTTGAACGTGTAATTGCATTGGAAGAACAATATAAGTTTAATTCAGTTAAACAATTGTCATCAGTAACACAAGGGTCATTAAATGTTTTCTCTGTAAGATGTTTTTGTTTAACGTTCATATTGACATCATAAAAATAATCTTAATTATCTACTTACGAGGGAAACATTTCGAATCTGTATCATATTTCTTAAAATATCCTTTTGGACATTCGCATTTACCATAATCACATTTCACCCTCTCATCACTTGAGTTTTTATTGCAGTATCCAGTCTGACAATCGCTATTTTTTGTACATACTTGGCCACCGTACAGTGCTTCAGAATGAAATATTTGTATATAGAGCATTAGAGATACATATTTAAACTTTTTAATTTTCATTTTAAGCTCTTGATTCTCTCAATCTTTTTGGTTGAATGGAAATGTCACAATGTAAATAGACATAATATGATAATTAACCTAATGAAAACGATTTATAAAGTACGCATGCGTACCAAGTAAAACAGACGTTTTTGAATAGTGTTCATACGTTTCCTTTTTCATAAATGAGTTTCACTTGAATGAATAATAAATTATGATAACTTGTAATAAATTGTAGAGTGGAAGAAAAGAAAAGAAAAGGTGTATGTCAGTTAAACATACTAATATATGTAATTTTATTTACATTATATATATATATACATATATATATATATATTTATTATACTACATATATACAGTATATATCATATTTATTGAATATACTAAACTGATCTACAGAGACATTTGTTTAACTAACTAATTGTTTAATTTTTTAGTTAACTACTGTATATATCTTAATAGGCCGAAAATATTGTACTGTTACTAGTTTATTTGACAATTCTGATCATATTGCAACAAATATAAAAAAAACGAATGAGGATTTTTCGTTTAACAATAACAATTTTGTTTGTATATTATATAAAGCTTGAATCTATTAACGGTTATCTGTTTGAATGTACAGACAATGAAGCTTGTTCATCTGGAGTTTGTTATAAACATTCTACTAATATTTTAGGTAAATGTAATTATGCTACCTGTTGCCGTTTGGGTTTCCTCATTGATTTTGATACAGAAAGTGCTAAATGTACCCGCTGTAAGTTTAAGTAAAAAAGCCCTTATATTGTGTCTATATGAACCATATACTAATATTTAGTAAGAACCATAAATCAAGTTTGTGGAATTGGTATTCATTGTGATCAAAGAAAAAATTTAGGTTGTGTATACGAAAATAGTGACAGAGGTAAATGTAATTGTCCGGAAAATTATAAATGGAATGGTGAAAAATGCTCTCATAGAAATCCAAAGAAATTTGGTGAAAATTGTAAAGATAGTGATGCTAGATGTATTGATTATGGTAATATATGTAAGAATGGGAAATGTCAATGCGAATCCGGTTTAAAAGCAGATGGGAATATTTGTAGACATTGTATGTAGATTTATGATTATCTTACTATATTCAATTTTAGTATAGAGATTTTTTATATCTTTAAGTACGAAATGGAGAGAAATGCGGAAAAGATGGATTTTGTATGGATTTTCTTTCTTGTATAAAAGGTAGATGCCAATGTAGTGGAAATAAGAAATACTTTTCAATACGATCTCCAACAGAAGGAAAGAAATATTATTGCGAAAAGAATATTCGTTAGTATTCTTGTGTATAAAAAAATATATTACAGACAATCTAATTAAGGATTATATGTTAATCTCTATCAGCAAAGATTAATTTGGAAAAAGTGGGATCAAAGAAAGTTTGTGGAGTTTTCAAAAATTCAACAACGATAAACGTAAAAGAATGTGAAAAAGATTTAATTTGTTCTCAATGTATCTCGTTGAAAGGTAAAAAAGAGTGGATATGTATAGAATCTGCCGACTCCAGTCATTTGGTTAGTGGTTCTGGATCAAACTCGAATAATTATTGCAGTATCTATTCTACATATTTGATTGTAGGAATAGCCCTTATCTCTGTCTTTTTTCATACTATTCATAGTAAGAAATGCTATTAGCAAGATCATCTGAAAATATATTTACAGTATTGATAAATTAATAAAGTTATATTTGGAATTGTGAAGATTCTTTGCTAATAGTGAATTTTTTCATGAATATTCAAAATAAACAAATATGTAAATGTACTTTGAAGGGTAATTAAAAGGGATTACGAGAGTTTATTAACTAATTACTATTTTTGTGTTAGTATCGTCTACTCTTCACTTCTACAAAACAAAAAATGTTAGATAGGAAAATTATGTAAAAAGCTAGTCTTTTAATATTCTTCGTTCGATATCCAAAACTTAGCTTAAGCTTTCCTACAAACAAAACTATGTTTCAATCTTGGATTTAAACATCGAACGCACTGTAAATCTTTAGGACAAGCTGTAAGAAATAGACGGATACCATTTCCGTACACATTGAATCTATGAGAGTGGCCGCAGGAATAATTTTCACCTCTGGCAGTTACTTTATAAACTATTTCTGTATGTTTAAAAGAATGAAAATCATTAATTATTAAATTTTATCTATTTGAATTTACATAATTAGTAATTAATTGTCTTACCGAGTCTTGCACATCTTGTGATTTTACTACCGTCTGGTAATTCATTTTCAAAAAAAATTTCTCCTTTTGGGCATTGACATGTTTCATTGATACATTTAACAGACGATTCACAATCGACTGTATTCGAACATCCAGCTTCATTATTTCGAACTTTATAGAAGATATTCAATTTAGATAACTTTAAATATAGGAACTTTTTTTTAACTTACGACGTCTACAGACCCCATCTTTTCTGGTATATCCAGAGCTACATTTACATAGACTATCCAGACAATTTGTGTTCTCTTCTACGCATTGAGCATATGGAGAATTACAATTTTCTTCGTATTTTTTGGGGTTTTTAAGCACACATTTGTTATGTTCAAATTTATAAAAGTCATTTTCACATTCGCATCTAAATGACATACATTTTAAATTACTCATGCACGTATCGAGTCCAAAGCATTGTTCACCTTTACCTCTTTCTGTTAAATGAAAAATAATAGAATATACAAATATTACTATAAATTATTTAATATACTTGGTTTACAGTTTTCACTTTCCAAATACTGATCATCAGGACATCCGCAATATCCGTTTTCACAGTATATATCTTCAATATTTGATTTTTTTATGCATAAACCGGAAGTACAATCTTCATTTGTAAAACAGAGTGAATTTGAATTTGCTAAACACACACATGTATAAAAAATTAGATAGCTTGGAAAGGAAACTATGACATATATATTCATAGTTTACTTTTTGAAACGTTGTATTTAGAATAAGTTACGAGAATGAGGGAACACATTCAACATTCAACAGGATATTGACTAAACAAAAGATAAGAAAGTGTACTTATCGCGTTTTGTATTTAGTATTTAAACATAAAAGGCATACCATTCATGTATAAACGTACTTTTATCTTCTTGCTCTTTGATGAATAACAATGAGTAAAAGTCACAAAGAAATAATAAAATAGTATAACATGTACATTTTATCAAATTTTTATTTGCCAAAATCTTGTCCTAATTGAAACTTTAATGCAGAATTAATAAGAAAACTAAAGATACTATAAGTAGAGTTTTCATACAAAAGATACGATTAGAAATTGATGGTTTGTTTGAAAAATTTTTAGATTTTGAGCAAAAATTTCCGATTAAATTATCAGCCGTAAGACACGCAGAGCATAAGTAACCCTTCGGACAATGTGTTACCATTAGAGATCCCTTTGACATTTCGCTTTTTTCGTATCTATAACCGCATTCCAGGTCCTTTTTGGTTACTTTTTCTCTTATAGTAACTAAGTTTTTTAAGTATTATTCATTAGTTAATTAATATTTATATCTATTGTTTTACTTACAATCCTTTCTTTCACAAGTTTTTAATTTTTCTCCATTAGGCAAATCATATTCAATATATTGATGGTCTGCTAAACATTGACACTTCCCATCTCTACATTCGAGTGGAGTATAACAAGGTTCTTCACTCGAACATTCGTCGTTATGTCCCACTATATGTTTGCAAGGGTTATTATTATTAATATTTCGTTTCTAAATTAATTATATTTACGTGGTTTGCATACTCCATCCTTTCTACTATACATTGGCGAACAAACACATTTGTCGGATATGCACGAATTATTTTCCTCTTCACAAAATCCAAAATTGTCTTTACAATTTTCTCCATATTTTTTTGGATTTTTCAAAATGCACTTGCCTCTATTTAATTCATAAAATTCATTTGGGCAATCGCATTGTTGAAGAACGCATTGGAGACCATTTGATTTTAAACATTGGGTATCATGGGTACACGATTCACCTGCTTGTTTCTCTGTTTTTTTTTTCAGAATGAAAGAGCTTAATGCTATTTAAATAAAAGTATAAGGAAAAAAAAACATACTGGGTTGACATCTAAAATTGTCATCAAAGTATTGTTCGCCGGAACAATCGCATCTTCCATAATAGCAGGTCTCTTCTCCAAAAACAGATTTCCTATTACAAAAGCCGGGTGTACAATGTATATCGTCGGAACAGAGATCGAAGCTTTTACTCAACAGAAACAACTGAAAGCCGATAGAAAAAATGAAAGAGAGTTTAAGCTGCATGTTTAACACTATTTTATTTCCAAATGATAAAAATATATAAATAGGCTTACGGTCACAGCTATCGATAATGTATTAGTCAGTATCGGTGATTAAAAACTTCAAAATTCCCCTTAAACTTTCTTTATTAAATAGTGAGGAGGCTATTCCCATTTGTTAAATAACAATTGCAATATTTTGTTACCTCTTCTAATATCTATATATATATATATATAGGAAATTGGACAAAAAGGTAGTTCAATTTTATATTTTCTATTATCAGATAACATAGTTAAATGATCTGTTTGCGGAAACTTCATTATAGTTAGAGATATTAAGATAAATATTTACAGTACTTGAATTTGAATAAAGACCGGAGAAGACAAAGAACACTGTTTCGATAATGTAAAATATTGTATGTTGAAATTTTTTAAAATCTGACTGCTAATGAACAAACAGCTGATAAAAATATATAAACAACACTAAAAACTAGAATATTTGCTTCACTTGATGAACTTTCTTTGGAAACGCATATATTCCTTCTTGAAGAGCTTATGGCTACACAATTTAAACAGTCAGAGTCTTTTGGGCAATTCTGTTTGAATAGATAAGTGTCACTTCCTTCCTGTGATGTAAAAACATGGCCGCAACCGTGTCCTTCTTCAACGTCGAGGTTTTTTACAATCACTGTTGCATGAATATCATTTGAAATTGAGATATATTGTTAATCTATTATAAGAATTAATCTTACTATTTTTATCACTGCACATAACATGTTGGGTGCCATCTGGTAAGGTTTCGTTGTAATATTTCCTATTATTCGTACAAATACATCTTCCTTGAGAACACTCAAAAAATACCCCACATTCATATGATTCTTTGCATTCCTCATTGTAGTTGACTAATCATCAAAATATTAATTATAAATTAACAAGCAGAAAGGATTTACTTACGAGCTCTGCATTCATTTCTTATTCTAGGTACTCGATATAAACATCGGCATTTTCCCTGCTCACAAAATTGATTTTTTTCATAGCACATATCAGTAGGTGAATTACAACTTTCTCCGTATTTTTTAGGACTTATCAAGACACACTTTCTATTTTCATATTTATACTTATTGTTCTGACATCTGCACTTTCCATGAAAGCACCGTAAACCTTGTTGGATCGAACAATGCATTTGATGAGAACACAGCTCATCGTAGCTTTTTTCTGTTTTAAACAAATAAAAACTTTTTCAAATAGATACTTACTTATTTAAATACTCAAACTTACGTTTTTCACAAGTATTTCCTGAAAGATAGGTTCCATTTGGGCAATTGCAAGTGCCGATTGCGCATAGTTTTGCCCTATTATTTAGAGCAGATTTATCACAATAGCCTGTTTCGCAATCACTATTCTCAAAGCAGATAAATGAACTAGCCATTTTTAATTTTATCGTAAAAATTAAAACACATATTTGAATGAAAAATACGATTGAAGCTTTCATTATTGTGTCTAAGTGAATAAATGAGAATTTTTTTAGACTGGTATGGAAGTCTAGCTTTTCTCATATTTAGTATCATATTGTTTAACTACGATATCAGCCAATCGATAAGTCATAAAGTTAGAGCTTGATGAAGGCTTATGAATAGCAAAATATATCCTGTTTTACTATATGTCATCTTTTAACAAATTTGCAAATTTTGCAGTATTTTTCCTAATCGTGTATTGCGTACAAAACAATTTTAATAGAAAGTCTCATTGGAAAAAAGTAACGAAATGTATTTATCATAGCTTAAAAATACATACACGTTTATACTAATATTAAATATTACCTTATTAAAACAATCAATTGTTCAACTGTAAAATATCTAATGTGACACTTCTCATATACTTTTTTTAACTAAAGCAAGTTAATATTAAAAGAAATATTGTACTTTACAAATTAGGTAGCTTTCTTTCTACAAACACTTTTCACAGAATCGTCGGCATCCGTACATGAGGCACAAGTCATATGATCCGGACAAGAGATGACCCATATTTTGATCTTCTTCTCCATACTGCCAGCCCATGCTGTACCACAAGAATGATTTTCTCCTTTTGCTGTACTCTTAATTATTTCAGCTAAAATTTGACCATGCATTATTATATATACATATAATAATTTCATTTTCATTTCATGTGATAACTTACCGTCTTTAGAGCAGACATTCCACGTTTCACCATTGGGTTTAGTTACTTTAAAGAGTTTTTTATCTTGTCGACATTCACATTTTTTATTAATGCATGAAAAAGGTGGCGGACATTTTTCTTTGGTTGAACATGCTTCTTTATATTGACCTATTAAATAAGTAAACTTTCTAATAGTAATGTAGTTATTTTACATCTTGAATTACTTACGACGTCTGCATATATTACCATCTCTTACTAAAGGTGGAATGCACGTGCATGTGTCATATTTACAATATGAACTCTCTACGATACAGAGTCCCTCTACTTTATTGTTAAATCTACATTTTTCTCCAAGTTTCACAGGTTTTTTTGGTACGCATTTCCTATTTTCTACTTTATAAAGATCATGTCGACATTTGCAAATGTTCTGTATGCAATTAAGATTATCCTCCTCAGAACATTCATTGAAGCCATGACAAGCATCTCCGTGTTGACGCTCTTTAAAATTTAAATATAATCTATTTCATTAAACTTATATATACAGTATATATATATATATATATATAAGATTGTATATATTGTTAATATTATTAATTGATAGACTTACTTGGGAAACACTTGTTATATCTCATATATTGTCCCTTTGGACAACCACACTTGCCGTATTGGCACACTATCTCTGATTTTAACAATTTAACGTCACAATACCCAGTTGAACAATGCTCATCCTTGTAGCAAAACAGATAGCTTTCAACAAATCCAGCTAGAAGAATTAAACTTGTAAAAGTATTATAAACTTTCATCTTCAACTATAGAATTAATAATGTGGTTCTTTGTTCATTTCCACACTGATCTATAGGTCTAAATATTATTGACGTTGATAAGCTTATATGATATATAAATGTATATAGTCTCTCTTTAAGTAAACTTATATTTAATCTAAAGTGTAGATAAGATTTCAGGTATATCCTTAAATTTGTAATAGGGGAGATAATAGTAAATTAACAAAAATGTCTGCTATTAAGAGAGAACTTTCATAAAAGTATTATTTTATAGATAAGAAAGTACCTCCAGAGTAGAAAAGTAGAAAAAATGCACATTTAAACTGGTCTAGAAGCGAGAACTTTTCAAGTTTTGAATGATAAAAGGCGAGAAATGATTAAGTATTATTCAAAGTGGAGAAAAAATATTATTAAACAATGAAGTATTAGTCAAATGACTATTTATTCAGTTAATAACAACTTAATTCTCAGTTTAGTGTAATTTAATGACACATAACATAGACTAAATGTTTAATGAGATAAGATATCGTATAAATGAATTAATGAATACAAGTTAGTTTGTTGAACTAATACAGTAGAAAAAAATATAGTATAACAATGTTAAATGGGATTTTTATTTCATTTTTATTGATTACAGTATATCAAATAAACAGAGTTTCTTCCAGAACGATATGCTTAAGAAATGAGCATTGCTCTTCTGGTATTTGCAACTTTAAATCGAAATTCAATTTAGGCATTTGTAATATTGGATTTTGCGATTGTAAAGAAGGATATTATCCCATTATTGGCCATTTGACAACCGATTGTAAGAGATGTAAGTATTTAGTGATATAATATTGATATAACCATTGATAGCCACCGTCATCAATTTAAATTTAGTAAGACTTTATAACGAATCTTGTGAAAATGACGAACTTTGTTCGGATAGTAAAAGACTAGCTTGCCAAGCCACGAAACCAAGGAAATGCCTGTGTAATAGGAAAGATAAATGGAATGGTCAAGAATGCGTACCGAGAAATCCAAGAAAACTAGGAGAAAAATGCTCCGATCTTCGAGATGTTTGTATTGCTAAAAAATCTTATTGTAAAAATGGAATTTGTTCTTGTCAAAATTACTTTAGACATGAGGGAGATAGCTGTCGACCAGGTTAGTTATATATATAACTCTTTATTTTGTACATTGTACGAAAAAAATTGTGGCCACACTAAAAATTTGTGTGTAATTGGTTTTTGCCTGATTGCATTAAAATTTCATGACAATTTTACATTGCTATTATTAATGATGAATGTATGAAAATTGCAAAAAATGGACTTATATATATATATATATATAGGGGAAGAAAGAAAAAGCGTGTTATTAGGAGGGAGATTGTAGGTACTGCCCTTAATTAGCAGATTTTGGCTAAATGAACACTGCTTCTGCCTAGCATCAATCAAAGGATTAGAAATATCCTACAGTATCAAGAACTATTAAAAAAGCCAAAACTTAATTCAAGACAAATAGAGATAAGAAAGAAGTTCTGCTACACGTATCATGCCCTTGAATCACGGCATAGATTCATTTTTACCAATGAAAAAAAGTCCAATCTAGACAGGCCTGATTACTAGACTTCCTTTTAGCAAAGCCTTTCTTAGAAAAGAGAATTTTTTTCCAAGTGGGACTTATTGGGAGTTGTTAGGGCCGGGTTTACTATATTCATCATTACTAAAAGTGATATACTGTATAATTGTTAACAGGTTTAAAAATTTTCAGTGTGGTTACTTTAGATATACAATGTAATAAACAGTTAATTTTTAGTTAGGATGGGAGATACCTGTTTCACAAATAAATCTTGCCAGTATCCATCTTTGTGTGTTAACAATAAATGTAAATGTCCAAATGGAACGGAAGTGTTTAAAGATAAGATAATTGGTGAAGACTGGACAGAATTTTGTAAAAGGAGGAAAGGTATAATAAACTTTCTCTTCTTATTCTTTTAATTAAACCTTTCCAGTTTAAAATATTTTACTTTTAGTTAGAATTACCTATCAGAATAGGCAATTGAATGAAACTTGTGGTTATTTATTGGCTGAAAATGAAATAACTATAGAAAGATGTCAAAAAAATTCGATTTGTGATTATTGTTATGGAGCTCGAAACGAAGAAAAATCAATTTGCATACGACCTTGGAATTCTAACCATTCAAAGACAACAATTCTACCGGCCCATCAGAATTCTAGGGCTCCACTGCTTAATAGCTATTTTACAATAACTATTCTCAGTTTCGTGTTCTTTTTATAATGAGATGGAATTTCAAGAACTTAGTTCACCATCTTTATTACCTTCTGTTGATACAATATAAGCTAAGAGTTTGAAAATTCATCTATTTGCTAAAAGCTTTTATGATCATTTCTTTGGTGGAAGAAAAAATTGTCTCTCCTTCATATTCTAAGTCTTCTGCTTGTCGACAGTTAAATTTCAGAGTTTCTAGTTATTCAAATAGAAATAAACTTTATAAAATGTTTAAATTGTGCTTAAATAAATAAAAGAATAATTATTCATATCATTTATTCAGTTATTTTCAAATGCTATCATTTTAGGTTTGTTTAGAGAGAATTACTTGAAACGTCTATAGACTGGTAATGTGTAAAGTAATCGACAAAAAATTCCGGACACCGAAAAAGTTTTTTCGGCCGTATATTACAAATTTATCTTTTTAGTTCTTAACTATTAAATATTGCGTTTATATATCGATTTATATATTCATTTGTTACTCTATGGTAACCTGCATCATTTTATTTGAAGATGTACTCCGTGTCCCATTTTGAGTGATTTTCGAGTCCAGATTATCCCTTATTTTTTAAGGCATTACTTTTTCTTCTTTTAGAATCCTGGGATGTGGAACCAACTCTTTTATACTGCAAATTTTGTCTTTTCATCTCCCTCTGAATTGTATCAACGCTTACATTTACATCTAATTCCTTTAAAATTTTTCCTGCTGTCACCTTTTCTTTGTGTCTTTTAAGTTTCTTGACAATCTTTTTCATCTTGCTTATGTCTTTTTCTTTAAGACATTTTGGACGACCCCTATTCTCTTTTTCTGGTGGCTCATACCTGATCATAGCCGAAACTGTAGATGGTGCCATTCCCAAAGCTCTAGCTGTTGCCCTTAGTTCGCCCAGTTCATTAAATTTCTTGATCACAAGAGGCCTAACATCTTTGCTCCATGCCATAATTAAATAAATACAATAGAAATGATATAATGTAATTAAAATAGAAAATAATTGAGAAGCCAAACTTTGAAAAGTAAATTTATCTAAAAAAAACTGTTAAACGTCTATTTGAACGCAAAACCGGATGTACGTTAATTAAGTCTCGCAGCCAAATAAAGAAAAAAAAATTATGTAAATTAGTAAAAAGTTTGTCCTAGTAATATTCATAAATACGATAGTTTGTACCAATTTTTTTCAATATTACATAAATTTAAATCTTTTTGGATATAAATGTAGACAAAAAAAAACTAATTTTGAGGGTTTTTTAAAAATTGGCTTATCAATTGTTTGCTGATTATATTTCTTTATAAAGAAGAAGTTTCTCGTATGAGAACATAGACGATGAGCGTAATGTCTAATGAAACATTGGCCAGAAAAGTTGAAATAAGTTTATAGAGCTACTGCTAAACATTGATAACGTTTAAGGATATTATTCCTTTACAAAAAATTCCAATTTCCTCTTCTTTCTTAATAATTCTTTGCAATGAAAGAATTGAAAACTGTCTTTTAACGTATTATGCAATATTCAATTCACAAAGTTCACGAATGCCTAAGCTGGAACAGATTTTATCAAGTCATTTCTCTTTCAATTTATGCGGTTTTATTAATTAATTTTCACAAAAATAAGTGTAATAAGGCAAAAACAAAATGGAGGAAAATGTAAGATAAAAAGCGTCTTACTAATAGTTTTTCTATGTATTAAAATGAATGTTAAATTAAATGCCGAAAAATTTTAGCCCTCCTCCGCAATGATAAATAGTTCGAACAATAAAATTTTCTTTTTGTCATTTTTCTTTTCTTCATTCAAGTAAATGACGTACATTTGGCATAAAAGGGGAAAGAATAGAGCTTTTATTGTCTGGAAGGTATTTTATTATGGTAAAAAAAGTTTTTAAAGGATATTTTTAGATAAAAGTTGTTTAGAAATTAGAAGATATATAATAAAAACTAGTTTTAGAATAATCCACTCGTGTAGGCCATTTTGCTGTGTATAAAAAAGAGAATTTTTTCCACTGCTCTATTTAATACTGTCCAACTGCATCTGAAATGTATTCTTTCCAGCTCTTTTTGAAACAAAGGTTAATAGTCTTATGTATATATGTATATAATATAACTATGTCTCTTCATTTAACAGGAAGATGTATTTCTTCATAAAAGTAAAACGAACTAGCCATATTTGATGAAATACTTCATTTTGGAAATGTTTTATTTATCTTCAAAGTCTTATCCGTTGCATCATTTTCTTCTGTATCAATGTATACAAGAACTTTAAATTAGCGATCTTCAGGTAAGAGATATTAAATTATTATACATCTCAAGAAATTTTAGCTTCTTCGACAATATTTGATTACAAACTTTCAAAGTACAAATAGAATTTATTAGCATATCACATAATTTTTAGTCTGACATTTCATGCATCCTTAACAAACACAATAACATTTCATTTCAAACAGACAAACAATAAACAAATGAACGTTTCAATTTCACTTCATACACTTACTTTACATCATTGAAAATTTCGCGTACACATTTACAGACATTCGCTATTCATTCACAAACCTTTCTTAATGTTTCTTTCACCTTCTCTAATAGCACTAAATACAAGGTTTTTTACAACATCAAAGTATGAATAAATTTTACAAGTACTATTTACAATTATTCTAAATTATACATTACTTTTTCGCAAGCACTCTCATCTCTATACCCTAGATATATTCACTTTATTCTCTATATACAACAATACAAGACTTACTTTTTCATTCGATCAAACTTGCACATAGTGTACAGATATATCAGATTTTTTTTACAAACAAACATGCAAATCATTCAACACAGCAAACACCAACATCTTCAAATAACATTACGTCGTACATCACCAACAATTCACTTGAATATTCTTATGAACACACTATGTTAATTACATTTTTTCAACTTGATGGAATATAAATACGGAATTTTCTCTGGGATAAGATAAATTTCTATTAAAATTAATGAAATATGAATGGATAGATAACAATTCAGTTTTTGTAATGAATCATTACACTGCTGGTCTACTGGTTTAATGATTTTTCAAATATAAAATAACAAGAATAGGGACTTGATATAGTAAGTTTAATTACTTTTGATATATTGTGATATTCTATACAACACTTTTATTTAATTTTATTAACATACGACCTTTTTTTTAGAAATCAAATATGAGGAAAAATTCTCAATTTCTACATTAATTCTTTATTGATTTATGATAATCAATAATAGATGATCAATTGAAGATCGTTGAATATTCATATTATTCTACGTAGCGCATGAAATATGCCCTTGGAAAGGAAATGAAAACTATTTTATAGATATAGATATATATATTCTTCCGAAGTGGAGATCTTTTTTTAAAACATAGACAATAAATGAAATTGTAAAGATGTAAATAAACGTTTAGAAAGGATGTCAATTTTAAAGGGCATTTGTTAAAAACTAAATAACTTTTATACCATTTATTCAATTCTGTAACTAAACCAACGTATACTACGCCAATTTATTCTATCTATTTACTTTTATTTCCTTCTCCCGAAAATAAAAATCATTCTTTAGTTAGTCCTCTATGTCGCTTATTCGTATACAATTCCAGAAAGCTATGCATAACGAATTATCTACCAAAGATTTAAAGTTAATCTTTAATCCTGAGAAAAAAGAATTGATAAAAGCTACTAAACCAGATATGATCAATGCATCAATATAATAAAATGTTTGCATTCTAGAAAAAATCAAGCGACGTCTTTGATCGGTTAAATTTATGACATTAAACCGTTTAAAAAGTCAATTGCACCCATTCATGTAATTTTAATTTATCTTAATAAAACAAAGTGAACATGATTCAATCTCATATTATTCTTTCGTTATCTTAAAGATTCATTTTGTTGAAATGGTTGCAAACGAAGAAGAAGAGCGCGAAGTAGAAAATTCTATTTTTATCTTAGATCCCGGAAAATATCTATTGAATCGGAGCAATCATTATCATTGATTAAGAGATTGACCATTAATAGACTGAATGGTAAAATGATATCTACATCTTTATAATTCTCTATTATGATAACAGTACGTTATTGAAAATTATGAAAATTCATCTTGCTGTGTAATTTTCCGTCTATTTTTAAATAAAATATTAAACTGTAAAATGCTCATAATCGTTAAAATTGTGGAAATTTTAGTTGTAAATATTTATGTAATTAATCAATAGAGAAGAGAGTCAATCAGTCAATAAAAAATATTTTCAAGTATTCTACTTTACACAAAGTAAAAAATCTTGATAAAGTAATGAAGTATACCTTGAATATCATCATCTGTTCAGGTAAATAAGTTCTGCACTTGTTGAGATTTGTTTGTCCCATTTAATTTCAATTATATACTTTAATTAGTTTTCTTGGTGAATATATCAACTATTTATGGAATTCAAAATCTTGCAAGAAATCAACCTGCTTTTCAATCAAGTACTTTCTCCTCTCATAATGTTGCCCTAAAAGGAAATGATGATATCTATGCATCATCATCAAAAACTCAAGGTATATGTAATGAGAGGTCATGGTGGTCTGTTTATCTCGGAGGATATTGTCAAATCGACAAGGTTTGTTTACTAAGAACAGATTCTACGGGTAAGTATAAGATAACAACTATATAAAAAAGCCTCACTCTTTCAATATGTATATTCGTAAAGCTGAAATGGATAATTTTGAAATTTGGGGCGTTGAATTTCCTAATGATTCCACAGGCAAATCATTTTGTGCCAAAGTTTTAACAGCTATACCTGTATCTATTAATCAGCAAAATCCTGCTTATCATTGTGTAAATGTTGACTGCAAAGGATCTTTTCTCTATCTTAAAACAAAATATACAGAAGTAGTGTTTGGAGTAGGAGATATAAAAGTTGAAGGAAGACGCCTTAATATTACAAGTAGTTATGTATTACATGTTATAATCCTTGAAACTTTCATATTTCATTCATATATGTAGCTGATTTGGAATTTCTTGATATAAGTCAAGCGTCAATTTTTACTGGACGTTCACAAAGTCAAATAAATCTCCAAGATTTGACAGACAATAGCTTTTCGACATCTCTGACTACCTTTCTCAGGAGTCCAAGGAATGATAGACCATTTATTCGTATCGATTTTCAGACTTTAATTACAGTAAGAGGAGTTATTGTTGATATTACAGCAAATGAAGGTGAATTTTTATATAGTTTAAAGTTCTTATCTCTTTAAAATAACCATTGATCTACCCCTTTTAAATAGAATGGGAACATCTACACAAATTTTTTGTAGCAGTAAACCTGGTACCTCAAACATACCTTAATCATATCTTAAAGACCTGTGTTGTAAATTTTAAAGCTCAAAATCATTCATTTACTACTCAGTCTTTCCGCTGTTCTTGTGATATATCTGGAAGATATGTTCTACTCGGAATAAGTCAAGTAGGATCGTCCAGTTTACGTATAATTAACTTAGCTAATCTATATATCTATGGAAAATTTGAAAGAGAAGAAGCTGATATGGGTAAGTATTCATTTTAATCATTCTAAATATTCGTTTTCTTCCGATTTTCATCTGAAATAAATTGAAGATTGAAAATGTTTTTGTATTAGAAACAACTATTCCAATGGCACTAAATATTTTATCAATAAAGAAACAACAAACCGAATATAAGCCAATCCTGAACGATAAAGTTTATTATTCTGACGGTATATCAGAAAGTATAGCTATGGAAGATACAGAAGAACTAATAGTAACAATGATAAAGTCAAAAGTGGATACAATTTGCATTACAGGTAATTAAATGAATGAATTAAAATCGAATTTTACTAATAGTATTTTATAAATGATTTGCTTTTAGTATTTAACAATGCTTCTGGCGGTGGAAATTATGGAATTAAGTGTACTTTCAAAGATGGAGAAAAAATTAGGGCTCTTAAATATTTAACATCATATTTCTTATTTGAACAAACTACTTGCCTACGTTTGAGTATGTTGACAGTAGATACGATAATTCTGACGGCAAACTATGCATTTAGAATAAGTGAACTTGATATATTTCTTCATACAATTAGAGGTAATGAATTATTAAGATAATTTCTTCATTTATTGTTTTTCTTTTATGAATTTAAAAACAGTAAATCTTGTTAAGTTATTGCCTGATTGCAATAAAAACACTCCAAGGGTATTATCACTGTCTGATAAAAATTTGAAAGGAAAACATGGTTTAGCTATAGAAGGAGCTGAAATTGATAAGGATTCTATATTTATAGTTTCCATGCAAAGTGAAAGCAAAAGCAAGTTCTGTACTTATGTTGATCAATTCTTTGTAGTTGTTAAGAGTATTCATCATTACTCTTGCAACAATCCAGCATTTGGTATAAAGATCATTATTTGGAATCCTAAGACAGTTATTGGACTGCTAGCAATAATATAGCCTCAAGAAGAATGTTGCACATATTACATAAGATATTTTAGAAGTAGCTGGATAGCAAGTATTAATATGATACGCTGAACGAGATAATTAACGTTGTATCTCTATATATATACATATATAATTGAAAATCAGAATAAATACTCTATAGTAGATATTAAAGAGTTTTAGATTATATTACTAATTTTTAGAAATAGTATGTCAATCTTGTATTGCATTATTATCAATTTCTTTTCTGGTATTTAGAAAATTTAGGCTAAGAATGATCAAAAAAAGCTTAAGAGCAAACGTTTTATTTACCAAAGGTTGGTTGGCCGAATTTGTAATACTGTAATGTAACTTAAGTCTTATTTTGACAGAGATTGTTGAATTTTAGAATGACTTGTATAAGTTATTTATAGGTGTATTTATATCTATTCTATATATCGTCGTTTTATGGCGTTAGATATTTTAACAGGCTATCACATTAATAAAAAAGATTTTATTACATTGTAATAATAATTATCAACTCATTATTTTCTGTATTTCTATATTATCGAGCAAAAGATAACATAAATACTATATATATATATTTAATTAACCGAACCATAAGTTGCTATATTAAGCGATTCACATAATGAGCTGTTCTCATGATCTAAACAGTAATTTGTAATAGACATGTAATCATGAGCAAGAACTTCGTGCCTGTGGAGAAAATTTTCAATGATCACTCTAATTTGGTAACAATCGTTGATTGTCCAATCGTTGATCATGTAACATCCAATCCACCTTGAATTCATTGGATAATAGGGAATCTTTATAAGAAGGAGTAAACAATTACGTTTATTAACTATTTGAGTTATTTCTAATAAAAATAAATCATTCTGTTCTACCTGACTATTTGGTTTTTCGGGGTCCGTAGGTTTGTCATTTTCCAGATGTTCCCGTTTTTCCAAGTCGTTTAAAGATTTTAAGATTTTTCGAATTTCCAAATTTTTAAGATTGATTTGGAGTGACAAAGTTAAAAGTAGCGCAAAAGTAGAGATGATAAGCAAGCCTTTCATATTTTTCTTTTTGAGTTGCTCTTAGCCAAAGAGTGCAAGGAATGGACAAGATACTTTTCTTTGTAATATATTGGATTGTTATTTAAATATAAAATCATATTGCTTTAAGAAAAACTGGTTCTTTCTAGTTTGGTATATTGAACTTTAAATGTAACTCTTTAAATAATAAACTATTATTTTTACATCTTGTTTTTGAGAAAAGGCTTTTTGCTGTGTTGATGAAATCAAATTTAATGATAATTATGAGCTATTCCCTATTCATTCAAAGGGCCTTTCAACTCGTAAAATGTTGGGCCTCTTTTATTGTGTCTCTTGATCATTTGCTATGAAACATCTAGAATAAAAAAATAATAGTAAATCTATTATTGATTTTATAGTCTACTTTACGTAAAGCTAATCTTTTATTTTTGGAAGGGTGGAGCAGTCAAACCTATCAAAAGTGTTCAACTTTAAGTGGGTGGTATTATTTTAAGCATACAGAATAGCTATGCCTACAGAAGAATGAAATATTTTTATATAGAGATTTTTCTCTCTTACTATTGTTATTAATAGCAAAAGTTATAAAGACCAACACAATAACCCTCCTTTATTATATTAGTTATTCATAGAGTAAGAATAAGAGGTAATTGTTTAATATTTATTGATATGAAAAAGTCAGCCTCCTGACTAATAGGTAAATTAATTTAACTATTTAAATAATGTATTCTACTTTCTTTTTCCTCCTATAAACTAATAATTAAACAGATATATGCATAGTATTAAATCGTTGAAATCTTCTTCTAGAAAGTATAACTGTATGTTTTTGTAACACTCTTCTTACAAAACATCCATAATGATAAATATCATTTTTTTCACGATCTGTTGTTAAACACAAAATGTTTGAACATGATAAAAAGTAGCGTTTTCTTTCACTTCTAATCATCTGTTATTATGTAAATAAAACAAATAGGATATATAAGAAATGAATAAGATAATGTGAGAAAAATATCAAGTACATAAATATCTTTATATGTAATACTTTGACTATAGCTATATGAATGAGAATGGAGAAAGTGTAAGGCAATTAGAATCTCCTTTACGCATCTGAAATAACTTAAGCTTAAGAAGAAGAGCTTATCCATTGCAAAGGATTCTATGTTTAATCTTGAGCATCCGCAAATTAAATAATAATCCTCTTTATATTGTAAGAATTCTAAAGCTGTAAACAATACGTATTTCATATTTATAAAATTATCTCTAATAAGTTAAAATAGATAAATAATCGTACTCTTTAAGATGATCTTTCTCTTGTTTCTCCGCTGGACAGCATTACTTCAAAATTCGTTCAAGTTAATTTACTAACGTGTAATAAGTTGATTATACCTTCTTTGTATTTTTAGCTTCTTCTTCCGATGAATTAAATTATATACTTCCCAGAAATTATAGATTAAAGGATTTAAGGTTGCATTAAGAGGAACAATAAAGGAAACTATCCAAACATATATTTCAATATTTAAGTTTAATTTTCCAATAACTGATGATATACCTGTAATTAGCTTTTGTTTTTTAAACTAAATGATAATAAATTTCATAAATCTTTAACATTTAAAGAGATTTCAATAACCTAATATTGATATTGGAAACCAGCAAAAAAAGTTTGTCAATACTATTACAGTAGAATTTAACATTAACTTTTGATGATCATGTTTTAGTAGTTTTTTTATGAATTTTCTTGATTGAAAGACAAATTTAATTAAACTAAAATAAAAACAACCAATTACAACTGTCAGGGCACACGTCAATATTCCAAAAATAGAAAAGGAATATATCCAACCATCAGCTTTTTCGCTAGTTATATGAATTGAGAAACAAATTGCTGATCTTGAATAATAATTCTATCATTTTGTTAAATCATAGAGTTAATAATTGAAAATAAGAAAAAGATTCTTTCTCTTACGGGATAAATGAAAAGTGGGAGAACTGAGAGTATTATTGAGAGAACTATAATTATGGCTAAAAGAAGTAATATACAAAATTGTGATAAATAATCTTTGAAAGGATTGGTTATAGCCTGATATCGTTCAATTGTTATTGTAAGCAGACAAAGGGAAGAAAGCATCACTGAAAAACTACAAAATGCACCTGAAAATTTGCATAAATGTCCATTTCTCCATATCTCGTCGTATTCAATATATACTCCTTTATAAAATATATCTACACCAGCAAGAATAAGGACGTAAATGACAGTACAAAGATCAGCAAATGATAAAGTAATATATAAATAATTGCTAGGTTTTTCGAATAATTTTATTCTCACTACTAAAGATACTATATTTCCGGTTAGACCGAATACACACATTGTCCAAACGATTAATCTTATCACATTTGTTTGAAATAGATCCCTGCAAGAGTTAAAAATAGATGTTTTTGGATAGCAAATTGTCAAGTAGTTAAGATGTTTCCAAGCTAAACAACATATCTTGAAATAAATACTAAAAACTTTCTCCAAAAGTGACAATGTTTTAATGAATTTTAAATTCACCATAATAGGAAATTTTGTATTATTTAAATGTAATTCTCTTAAATTTAATAAGTATTTGAATGAATTCGTATCAATTTTCTTGAATTTACAATCAGTCATCTTTAAAATAAGAAGATTCTTTAGATATTTAAAACAATGCCGTTCAATTCTATATAAAGATGATGACGATACATCTAGAAATCTTAAACTTTTTAGATATTGAATTTCAATTGAAGATAGATATTTTATAGGTGTACTCTTTAAAATTAAATATTGAAGTTTTTTCATATTCCATAAAGAGACAGCATCCAAATAAAACTTGTCCGATTCAGTTAAATTTAGAAACATAGCATTTGGGAACATATAGGAAAAATTCAATAGATTTATGTGACAGTTGATTAAATCTATATAGACAATTTTAAAAAATGGAACTGAATCATTAGTAACAAATATATTTCTATATTTGACATAAAGTTTCTTAAATTCGGTATTTCTTCTTTGATTAATCAAAAGTAATGAATAACGTTGAACAGGTGAACTGTTATCATAGCATGAAGCGTTATAATGTGGAACGCATGTACATGTTTCTATACAATAGGGTTTTTTAACGCAAAATAGCTCATCGCTACCTTTAATACAATCTACAATGCCATTGCATACTTCAGACATATTAACGAAGAAATGCTCATTTCGACACTTAAAATACCCGGATGGAATAAAGTTATCTGAAAAGTAGTTTTTAATCAACGAAACATCTTTATCACTCTTTATTATGAATTAAAACCGCATTTAATTTCATCATCATTATTCGGGCAGTGTCCTATACCATCGCAAACTTGATGTATGGATAAACAAATTAATTTTCCTTCTTCTTTACATTTATATTCTCCTTCCCTACAATCATTCATATTACTGCTGTCGCATGTCTCCAAAGTTCTAAATGGATAATGAACTTGAGTTTTCAAATTTCCAAACGAATCGTATTCAACTAAACATGATTTCTCCTCAAGTTTAGGAATATATGTGGAGATAAATTTACAATAAAGTAATTCACTAACACCGAAGATTTTGCTACAAATCGCAGGAATTTCGTCCGAATTATCTTTGCAGTCGTGCTTCATATCACAAAAAAGTGATATTCTTTTACATACACCGTCACATAAAAACTGCTGGTCCTTACGACATTCTATTGAAAAGACATATGAAAGAGAATTCTATTAAGATACAATTAAATGTATTAAAAAAAGATAGGCTACCATCAGTACAATTTTCATCGGAGGCATCAATGCAGTTTTTTTCATTATTACACTTATAGTTTGAATCAATACACTGTCCATTTTTACATTTTACTTTGCCATGACAGTCATCAAACACTAATTATGAGTTTATACATCATATCTATAATCTACATGTTTGATATAATCTTACTACAATTCTCTTCATCTTCACCATTCGGACAGTCTTTTTCAAAATCACAAACTTGTTTGTAATTTATTCTATCTTTTATGTTACATATAAATGATGATGTTACAGAGCAATTTTGCTCATCTTCCCCATCAAAACAATCATGTACTCCATCACAAACATAGAGAGAATTGATGCAGAATTGATGTGTTTTACAGAAAAATCCTATTGAACAGCTACTAAAGTTCATAATAGACATTTCAATATTTTTATCTTTTATTAAGCTAATAGAATTATCTGAAAAGTTCATTATAAAGTTTACAAACTTTGGCAAACTATCTAAATTTTATACCGTGTGACGTTTGACAAACGAAATAAGAAAAATATTCATATAAACAGCTAATAGGATAAAAAAGTCGATCGTAATGTTTCGTATTGCTAAGTGAAACAAAAAAGCAATCGACATTAGATTGAAAAGGAAATTTGAATTCAATTTGATCTTCATTCGGAGAACAATATGTTAATGAAACTCTGTCTGGTAGTAAATTATTAAGTTCGTACGCCGATCCTCCAGAAGTAATTTTTATAGAGGAATTTCTTATGTTCTTTTTTTCCTTTATCACTATAGGAAAGAGCAAGTATTACTTTTTGATGATATTTTCAAAATTAAAGTGCCAACTGCTTGGAAATATGTATCTTAAGACACGTGAACGGAAATTAGTTAGTTTGAAGTATAAGAGATTTAAATATCCATCGATCGTGGAAAGCAAAAGAGTTTTGTCATTGGCAGAAGTTAAATCGGCTATGAGCATTCTATTTTGAATACACTTTTCATTTATTTCATTCACTGATACAGGTACATTTTCATGAAAGAAATAGAAGCAAGAATCGTCATAGAGGATTCCATTTTCTTCAGGGCACACTAAATATAAAAAAGACACATATGAATTTTAACATTCAAAGGAAGAAACGACCCAAACTCTTTCTAGGTTTATTTGAACATTTAACTTTAAGGGAAAAGCGTAGATAGGAAGCTTCAACATTTCTGTTAAATATCCGTTAAATGTTATATAAGATAAAGAGAATGCAAATATTTTTATTGACCTTCTAGCTCTGTAGCTACCAAATATTTCTTTTTTCACTATAATCTTTTCATAGAACAATTAATAATGAAAAGAGTATAGAAATAGATTGTTTTAAGGAGATATACTATACCCTGTTACGATTTAACGATGTCTTACAATCATTTAAACTTGAAGAAGAGCTATTGCATGACAAATCAAATAAAGGAAGACTCAAGATTCCATCTTCGTTTTTTAGAAAAGTAATATCTCTTTCTCCAGATTTAAAACCGAAGTGTTGACATATTAAGATTACTTCCCTTTGATAAACTCCTGTTGGAGATACAAGATACCATGAATTTTGATAGAAGACTTGAACAATTCCAATTTTTTCTTTAGAATGTAATCCATTATTTAATGTGTGAGTTACTTCTTGCGATGGATATAAACGATATTCGAAATCTGATTATATATAGCAGAAGACTTTATAATATAGTAAAAGAAAATGTAATTAGCTATTTATAACCCTTGCTATTATTTGATGGTTTGCAAAAAGGTGCGTAGACAAGGTAGTTTGTTTCCAGAGAAACAATTCTACAACCATTCATGTAAGAGTTATCCCAAAGGCAATCCGTTAAAATAGGTCTCTTTCTATGCGAATATTCATTTTTCCTTAGACGTCGACATTTCTACAAAACATTACAGACTATGAAATGATAGAATATGAAATATTTCCATAAAAGAAACCAGTCTAAACCTGTTTCTTCGACCAAATATCAATTACTATTACAGGTAAACGATTATCAAAATCCATATTGTAGTATCTACATATAGAAGCCGCAGACAGCTGAGAGTTTTCAACGGTATTAAACGCATATAACAAAGCTCCATATGTATTTGATTTGAGTATTAGAGAGCGATTACCAAATAATTTGCTAGCTTGCGAATGACTCTTTCCTATAAAGTTTACGGGCATTGGGAGAACTTTAACATCTTGTTAATAAAGATAATTCTTCTTTTTAGTATCATTTTAAAAAGTGATTGTTTTAAAAGAACCTTGTATATCGGAATAAGAACAGTTAAAATTACTAGAAATTTCACTGTTATTAATTTCTATTGCGTTGAAAACCTCCAAATTTGTATCATTTAAAACTACCAACTTCCTACTCATCTTTTGATCTTTTTTATTTGTCTTATAAAATTTTACAAGTTGGCATATTTTCAATTTTAGGGATAAGTTGATATAGATAAAATGAGAATGTCTTCTATATCTAAGCATAGGTAAAAATTCCTTATTTCCATTATCAATTGATTTTGCAAAGAAATCTATTAAAGAGGATAAAAAACATAATAAGAGTTAATAAGTTTATTAAATTCAACATACAAGGCTTATTTGTTTTAAAACATTTCAATAAAACAGCATAAGCGTCTGTAATACATCTTGACGGAACATTTTCGCTATATAGAAATATATATATATGTATATACTATATATTGTAAGTTAATTTAGTTAAAAAAAAACAGTATTTTTACAGATTCTTTCTTCTATTTATTTGAATCAAAGCTTCGTCTGTATTGAAGTAATTTGAAAAAACTCTGGATTATTAATATTTACAAAGTATATTAAAACAAATAGACATAATGAATACCTTCTTTAGCTTTATATGTATCTGTAAAATAATGTAAATTATCAAAATCCATTGATTTACATAGTTGATATCCAACTTTATTATCAAAATCAATTGTATAATGAATTGAATAGGTTTTATTATATTTTCTTAAAGATAATCTTAATTTTCCATAAATCGATGTATTATCTTCTTCAATAGATTCCATAAAATAATGTAATTCTTTTATATTTGAAAAATGAATTGATCTTAATATTTTATCATCAATTTTATATGTTAAAATCATAAAAAAGCAATTTAAAACTATCAGATAAAACATATTGGAAACAAAAAAGAGATGACTCTATCTTTTCACGACTTCATATTTTCCCATTTCTGTTTGCTAAAGTAATTTTTTATTAGCTATAAAAAAACAAATATCCATTTCTTTAATTCATTTTATAAAGACTATTTTAATTTGCTATTGTAGAAGTTATTCATTATTTTTACACCTTAAAGTATTATTCAGCCGTATTTGGATTCATATAACTCAATTCATTCATTCATCAGTTATTTGTTTTTTTTTTCTCATACTAAAGCCTTTTATATAAAAAGAAAAAAAAACAAACAAACATTGTATCCCTTAACGCGATAATAAAATTCTCTTACGATCATAATGAAAATTTGATGCTATTTAATAATTATTTAATAAAATATATTATAACATAAAAGCTTTTTAACAAATCAATCAATTCCTTTTTTTTAAGTAATTGAAAATAGGCTTAGATTAATTTGTATGTAATATCAAGCAGATAATGCGAAAAAGGTTTAATGATTTCAATATCGAATTTACAGTATTTTCAGAAAACCTTCAACTCAATTTATCCATATCAATTCATGATTAATGCATTCAGTTCAGCCAACATTATATTTAGGAGGGAGGTGGATATTGAAAATGAATGGATAGCGAAAATCTTCATCATTAAAGATGAAATTCTTTTATTTAATGAATCTATTCAGTAAGTGCATATAGTTTTTTATGCTACTTATACAGTATATATACAGTATATATAATTTCAAATTTTCTTGACTTGTATTTTAAAATAGAATAAGCTAGATGCTACAACCAGCATATTGTTTGTCATCACTTTTCAATAAACCTTCTTTCCAAAGGAAAATATTAAATTATTATTAGTTTGGCATAAAATATGTAAGCAAGTTAAACTTTTCACTAGTAGATTATATAATTTTTTTAATTGGCCATTAGTTTTAGCTTATTAAAACTGTGTTTGTGTCTTTTAGTACTCTTTAACGAAGGAAACGTTTAAAGTGGTGAAAACTTTTAATTAAATAGTAGTACAAATCGTCTCGTTAGCTATAATTATAATATAAATATAATGGTGTTTTCTGATTTTAGTCATTATCAACTTTAGAGAAGTATAAATTTCAATCAGTTGTAAATTCAAAAATGAATTTAACAAATGGCACTGGTGTTGGAGGTTTTCCTGGCTATCCCTTTAAGGAGCCAACTTTGTTGGATAAGATAACGCCAAAGTTATATCCCTACATATCATTTCCAATGATAATTGTATTTGGTATACCTTTCAACTTGATATCTATAATAACAATTTTCAAAAGTCATTTGATACATACTACGCTATTTCGTTATTTAGCATTTGTATCTGTGGGAGATTTGATGGTTAATATTTCAGGAGTAATGAAAGGTATACGAGTATTTATGATTGAAGACTTAACGGAAAGTGAATACTTATGGTTTAATTGTAGAATGAATTATTATGTTTCGTTGGCTGGCAATCAGATATCATCTCTTTGTTTAATGGCCGTTACATTTGACAGATATATATGCGTTAGTAGACCAACAAAAGCTAAAATATGGTCAACGACAGGTAGATGCAACAAAGTTGTTCTATGCATTTTTATATATGCTCTTACTGTCTACATATCGCCAGTTATAATTTATAATAGATCAATGAGAATATCAAAAAGCCATTTGGTTTGCTTATCAACTAACAAAGTAGCATATGACATTTTTAACAAATATATTTCCAATACATTCATTATTTTATATTCATTGGTTCCTTCAGCTTTCCTCTCTGTTATAAATTTTCTTACAATTTATAGTCTAAAGGCGCATATTAAAGAATCGTCAAAGATTAACAGTAAAGATGGAAAATTGAAAGATTCAACCAAAAGAATGACGATTCTTACGCTGCTTGTATCGATAACATTCATAGTTACAACTACGCCATGGAGTGCTATTTTTTTAAAAATCGTTAGTATGGATGCAAGTCGTGGAGTTCCCCAGCCAATTCTGTTCTTATTAGAACTTACAGGAACATTAAGTACTTTAAATAATATTGTTAATTTTATATTTTACTGCCTTTCCGGAAAAGCCTTCAAAACTGAATTTTTAAAGTTATTCGGCTGTCTTAAGAAGAGTAATAATAATACCTCAAGAAGTATTTCTGAAAGTAGAAATTAAATAATTATTATTAGATTTGCAAAAAAAACACACACACACTCACATACTTCTTCATATCTTAATCAAAATGATTCACTATTGAAGAGAAATAAGAAACTTTTCAAGATGAATGGAGAAATGGAATGTAAAAAGTGAAATAATTCATCCTTTAAGTATTCATTTCCATGTTCTTGATTATCTATGCAATATCATTTAGAAATACGTTTTGAGTGTTAATCTTTATGAACAGGAAATAATTTCTCTAACACCATTCAAATGAAGATAACATTGTTTATCGAAGCCTTTTTTAATATATAAAAGCTTTTAAAACACCTTCGTATTGATATTAATTAATTTTTTCATGACTTTTCATGATTAATTGTCGGAGAGTTTAAAGATATTCATCTTCTCCTCTTCTTTTGATTGATTATCAATTGTAAAACCTCAATATTAATAATGAATATATGTACTTGAAAATATTAAGAATTTTGCAGTTACGTTCATTAATTTTGATTTTGGTGCTTTTGAATTGACTATTGCCTAAGCAACAAGGAAATAAAGAATTCTGAATGAATCATTTCTAAATGAGACACTTAATTGATTAGAAATGTAGATGGCACTATGAAATAATAATTGGAGCTTTCTCGAAAACAGTACTCTACTATACATTCATTTCTGCCTACGAGAATAATTTATATAAAATCTATAAAAGAGTCCTTAAAGTATAAATTCTACGAAAAGCAAAATTATTAAATTTTACCTTTCCTTCTTTAGTTTCATCTTCCAAATTATGTTATTAACAGTTCAAGAGGTTTCTCTTATTATTGGGAGTGTAAAAATTATAAGCCCTATACACTAACTGGGATATGTAATTGCCTGATGTTTTTCTAACATCAACCTCCCGTCTAAATCAAATATTTTCGCTTAAATAACAGGAATACCTGATCTGAATAAGCTTTAAGAGAAAGTGTTGTCGCTTTGTTTCCTGTATCAAAAAAATACTTTTCAGGTGTTCACTGAAAAGTCTGTTCAGTAATTAATCAATGTATATATTCGATAATCTATAAAGGTTTTCGAATATGAGATATACAGTATGAGCAACAGAATCAACCCTGCTTCATATTACTTTAAGGTTACGTTATACTTTCCTGCTAAAAGAAGGATATCTATAATTTGGACTTGTTTTTATTAAGTAGAGCAAGAGAATGAAACAAAAGCTCATTTTTCCTACAGAAAGAGATAGATATAGCGATCATTTAATTAAGTCTATTTAAAGAAAATTATCTTTTCACAGCTTTTTATCTTTTCCCACTTTTAGTAATGCTTTCAAGTTGTTTTAAAAATCAAAATACATTCAAATTGAATAAATACTTTTGTATATTAAGAGATTATTAGCCGTATTTATTTATTCGAGATATTTAATTTTAGTCATTTGTTGATAAACTAGATTATAATGCACCTTCCTCATCAAAGATGAGATTATCTTCTTCTAGTAATGCATTAAATCTATTAAATGAAAAATTATTCAGTTGGTGTTTCATTATTAGTGGTTTCTTTGGGGGTTTTACTTCTTCTCTAGACCCTTCTATTATTTCACTTGTTGGAACTAGAGCATTTAATCTTGATCCACCTTGACCTTCAATAACAGCTCCAACAGATCTGTTATATCTTAACTTTTCAAACTTTCTATGAGATTGAATCTCCCAATCCAACTTTGGACTGATACCAGTCATATTTTCTACAGAATTTTTTAATTTAATCAAAGCTAACTCTATTTCTAAATAGTTATTTTTTGATTTTGTGCTAGAACTATCACCAAGAGTATCGGTAACGTTATACTCCGAATCGATTGGATCTCGTATATCTATGTTCATTATTCGTTTATGAATTTTTCTGAATGTAGCATGCAGTTTCTCGTGAACAGTATAAATGGGACGAGCATCCTCCGGTTGACATCTATCGTCGTGAAGACTGAACCAGAAGAGCGAATTGGCGGTCGTATACATTTCCTTAGCAGTTTGAACATCTTCCTTATTCTTTAATCTCCTCCATGGGAGTGCACCAGCACTCATTTCAATAAGCATATAAAACCAACTGATTAAATCATCTTGATAGGAGAGGAACTCTTCTTTATGCGCTCTTAAGGACGCGTATCTGACAGTACCCCTAAATCCAGCTCCCTTTTTTTTATCTGGATTTACGTAATCGGCATGAGGTGGATAAGAAGATATAATTTTACTATCACGAATAGATGTTGAAAGCTTTCCAAAAGTGTAGGCCAAACCGAAATCAACTAAGAAAATATCTCTAGAATTATCAGCGCTAACAGCAAAATTCGACGGTTTAATATCTCTATGTACGAAGCCAATAGCGTGCAAATTTTTAATAGCCTGAAAAGTCTCTAAAGCCAAGTGACTTATTGTATATAAACCAAATTTTTGGTCTTGTTCACTCCTTCTCAAGTCAGATAAATTTCTTCCTAATAGAGTCATTATAATATAATAATAAGCAACAAATTTATTATGTTCAATTGGAATTCCGCCATTTTTCCAATCATTAAATGAATTACTTTTTAATTCTTTACTAAAATCTTCCAAGTAACAGAAATGTTTAAAATCAACTTTTAATGCCAATTCTATATCGCCGTTATTATATTCTCTCTGTTTTCTAGCTATTCTATGCATTATATCATATTCTCGTTTTAGATGTGGTTTCTGTTTCTCGTTCCTCTTAATACCTTCAACTTTCATTGCGTATGTATTTAATCCTTTTCTAACTTCGTAAACTTGACCAAAACCTCCCCCACCCAACTTTCTAATAACTTCCCAACCATTATCAACAACGTCGTTCTCTTCAAGAATATCTTCTTCGTCGTCTTCGCCGACTAATCTTCTTTGATATTTCTTTTTTTTATTATTAATACTACGATTTTGAATATCGACGATAATTTCCTATTAAATTTGATAAAATACAAGTAAACAGCTAGGAATTAAATTTTCATCTAATTGATCTACTAGTCAGTTTACCTTAGCCTGATCTTTAATAGGATTGGTCATCTCTTGTCTAAAGCTTAATTTATTATATAGTTTTATTTTAAAATGCTCTTGAACTATTGTAATATTTTTAAATTTAAATAATCATTAATTAACTTATGAATATTCAAAACTATTCATATGATATTTCAAACAAACAAAATAAAATATGTTTGGTAAGAGGAAAACTATAGTCTATTGGCAGAAAATGAGAGAAGAAAATCAAATGTTATGAATATATTCTGTATATGAAAATACTGATAATTAACTTTTTTCTATAAAGACCTCCTCTTCTTTCTATTAGAAAAAACTCGTCCAATTGATCAAATTTATTGACGGTTCAGTGATGAATATTACATATAATTATTATCGTTTTAATCTTTTAAAACACTTGATATCAATACCAATACGTTACATTTAAGGTTACGATTCAAAACAGAAGTAAAAAAAACTAAAGTCTAAAATAAAACAAAAACTCAATCAGATTATTAAACCTCTTTTTTTGCTATTCTCTCCTTCTTCCTTCAACATTTCCCTACTCTTTTCTTATATATTGACAGTCGCTAATTATGTTTTCTTACCTATATAGTTAGCTATATAAATTTTTAATCGTTTTTAATTAAAACTTGCATTATTGTTTCAACGATAGTATGTGTATTTTTCTTTCTAGAGAAGATAAACTGTTGGCTTTTCTTAGAAGATATATTAAAAGTTGATTTTAGACAGATACATAAGAATATTAGCATTACAAGTCAATATATTATAGAATAAAAGCCTTTCAGTACATTTTTTCTTTATTTTTATTATTAAATGCTATATTAATTATTTAAAATATTCATGAAAGAAAAAGTAAATATAATGTTTTTAACCAATAAAAAGTATTGAAATGATAAATTATGTTAATTATTAAAATGTGTACAGAGTGCAGTTGGTAAAAATATTGAAATATAACGAAACACAGAATCGATAATTATATTAACCGTTTTTCAGCTAAAGAAGGTAAACAGAAACGTTTTATTCAGTATATAACAAATAGTGACGAAAACAATTTTATTGATCATAGCTTATACTATGAGAAAAAATTGATGATCTTTGAAATAAGCTGTGTTAATACTCTTTAAAAGTTACTGTTTTTAAATTATTTTCAAATAAATGGTCAATGGATGGAAATAGTTGAAGCGAGGTTATTACAAAAGTTCTATTTTTAGTAGAATAGGTTTCCTAAAAATCTCTGAGTGTCATTGGGACAACTACCATACTGCACCAGAAATTGATTTCTGTCTTCTAACATACAGAAATGAACGATTCTGTTGCGATGAACAACATTTCCGCTGTTGCTTAGCAATGTTACAAACTTTATCTGATATATATATATATATATAAAGGGGAGGGAGTCTGCACATTCGACGCTTATTATTCAGTTGTTGGTTGACAGCGACCTATTACAAAGATTATTAACTTCTAAAGGAAAAAAGATATTGGCATTTACTTTGAACCATGACAAAGAAAATAATAGATATATTTTATTCTATTTCTTTTATCATCTGCATTGTTTATGCCTATGAGAAACATGCTGGTGATTCTTGCACGAGTAATTCTAATTGCCCACCGAATTCATATTGCCATAAGACAAATTCAGATAATGTTCAATGCGAAATAGGTTTTTGTCTTTGCAATAAAGGATACCGGGAAAAAAATGATTTATGTGTAACAGGTAAAGATACTTTTGTTTTTGTTAATAGAAATGTTCTTATTTTTTTCAATTTACAGCAAAAAAACTAGGTGAAAGTTGCAACTCCTACAGTGAATGTGACTCTGACATAGGGAATTTCCAATGCTTAGACAGGGTTTGTAAATGTAGATCGCGGTATATCCAGCAAGGTTCTAAATGCGTTGTAGAAAATCCGAAAAAATATGGGCAGAGTTGCTCAACAGCAACAGATATTTGTGTGGGCGATAATGAGAATTGCATTAGTTCAGAGTGCAAATGTATAAGTGGATATTCAAGATTAAATGGAATTTGCAGGCGCAGTATGTATTCCTTTTAAAAAGTATCTAATATCATCGTCAATGATAAATTGTAAATATTTTAGAAAAGTATCAAGAGAGCTGTGATCCTCAGAGTTCATGTTATTATAATCTTAACTGTATTAATGGAAAATGCCAATGTCAATCTGGATACCTTTGGAAGAAAACAAAAAATGATGACGGTGAAGACAGAGAGGGCTGCCTTAAAGAGAACAGTAAATATAAAATAATTGATTATATATATATATCTAATAAATTACTCTCTTATATCACAGCGGAGATTGTACAATATGCCGCTGAAGTAAATGAAGCTTGCGGCAAAAAGACATTTCAGAGAAATTCTATTGATGTTATATTTTTATCATACTGTCCAGGAGATTTGAAGTGCACATCCTGCAGAACGCCTAATGGCAATAGAAATTACATTTGCAAAGGATCTGATGCCAATAATATTTCATTGAATATATTCCTAGTATCGATCTCTTTCCTGCTGATTAAATGTTTCAATTAAAAGTATATAATCTATTTAAAGACACCGTTTGCTACGAAATATTTATTATAACATTATCATTTTACTTATTAGCTATAAGAGTTTAAAAAGTGTTTTTGTTATCTATTTTCAATATTATACTCGAAAAAAAATAATTAATCCTTTTCTTCTGTAAAAACCAAAACCTGGATCATCCAGTTTGCGAAAATTATATGTTATGGTTTAAAATAAAGTTATAATGCTGGTTGATTTTCTTTTGTAAACGAATAAATTCAAATCTGTAAAATATCCATTAAACGTAAATTGTCTAGATAGCAACAATCGTTTTTCAATAATATTTATAGATGTATAGATTACATACAGTATTTCATATAATGAGGTTCTGTAAAATAGCAATTGTAATGAAAAACAATCGAAATTATTATCATTAATGTAACTCTTCCTTAAGAATTAAATATAGCACATATGACTCATATTCATCGGTAATGAAATTTTTCTGGAAACTAACGAGAATTATCATATTAATGTATTATAATCATTAGTCTTTTGTAACATTAGTAGACTAAAAATTTTATAGAAGGTCACTTCAGTAATATTATATTTTAATTATTTTTTACAAAGCAGAAGTAGATACCCCAAATCCATTGTTCCCAGCCCCATTTCAACAATACCGATCCTATATAAGCTAAAAAAAAAAGATGAAGAAGAAAAGAGCAATAAATATGATTCAGTATTCATTTTTGTTGACTAAGAAGAAAAAATATAGAGAGGAATTTCTTTGTTTATTTAGCTTATTCAATAGAATTTTTAATACTCTCCTACTATTTTTGTATTGGAAATTTCAATAAATATAAAATATTAGAATAAATTATTATTACTCTTTTAAGAGTTTTTGAATAATTCAGCAAAATATTGTGAATAATCAAAATATAACGCTTTATGTAATAATTTCTTGATAATTATTAAATATTCAATATTTTATTAAGTTTCTTGTAATAGTTAATTATAAATCAAAGAATCTTTAATCTTTTCTTTGATTTATCAACAATCAAAACTAACTCTAATTTTTCCTATTCAATTAAATAGAAAAGAAAAAAGAAAGAGAGTAAATTAAAAATATTACCCCACCTTTTACATTGAAGAATGTCCCTCCTAAGGTGTTTACTAGATAAATGAAATTAAAATAGTTTATATCCTAAGGCCTATAAAATTGCTGATTAGTGAATAACTATTAAGTTAGATAAGCGTTGGGTAAAAGTTTGACAAACAAATATAGTGATTTAAGTATAATATAAAAGGACAATATGAAAATCTGTAGAAATTTAGAGACGTCACGATTTGAAAAAACATATCTTAACAAGTTTAAAATGAGACAATACGGTAAATAAGGAAATTAAAGTTGAAAAATAAATATACTACGTGCAATTGTCTTGGCAAACAGAGGAATATTTTTCACTTGTTAAATATTTAAAATTTACTTGATGGAAGCTATAAAAGACTGCCGAATTTTTTTAATAATCGCACAAAGATTTCTGTTGTTGAATCATGAGACTTCAAGTAATTGATAAACTTTCTTTTTTCAATATCTGTATTTAAAGCTTTAAATTTTCTTTTAATGTTTTTTTTTTTAGTTGGCAATCACGCTCTTCTTCGCTGCCGCTGTACCATTTGTATTTTGCGGTTCAGCCAAAGTTGGTGAAGACTGTAGCTCTAAAAGTGACTGTATAGATAATGCGAATTGTATTAAAGCAAATGATGCTTGCTCGAAAGGCACATGCCAATGTGCCACCGGATATGCTACGAACGCTAAAGATTGTGCTAAAGGTAAAGATAAATTTTGTAACTAAAGCGATTTTGAAGCCTTGATTTTCTATTACGTTTTACTCATTAGTTGTGGGATTTGACGAGGCTTGTGCCGCTGATAAACCATGCGATCCTATGAAATATTTAAAAACCTGTGGAGCGAGCAAAAAATGCGAATGTGGTGATGGTTACAAAGCGGACAATAAAGTTTGTAAATCACTCAAAACCAAGAAGTTTGGTGAAGCGTGCGATGCTTCCAATCTGTGTATTTCACCATACGTATGCACAGCTTCTAAATGCGCTTGTTCGAATTCAAAATACACAAATGACAAGTGCAAAGGAGGTAAAGACTATTACTAACTACAATATCTTAGTATTTAATATTCTAATTATTTATGGCATTTTTCACATACAGTTATGCATAAAGCAGCATGTGAAGCTGGCGTTGCAGGAAAAGAATGTCATTTAGCGTACAAATTAAAATGTACAAGTAAAGTATGTGAATGTGAAACTAATTACGTATGGGGTCCATACGTAGACGCCGCTGGCGTATCAACAGATATGTGTGTCCACAAAGACGGTAAAAAATTATAATACGCTTTCCTCATAGTTCTAATAGTTTAATTATACCTTAGCAACCAAGAACGTTAAAGCTGGAGAAACATGTGTAGTTTCGAACGATGACAAAGGAAAATTGTGTGTGGCTGATCATAGTTGTCAAACATGTAAAGGAGATAGTGATGCAAAATGCCGCAAAAATCCAGAAACTACCACTGAATCTCATGGTTCAGCATCATCAATTGCAATCAATGGCCTCCTCGTCTTTGGTGTTGCTCTGTTGAAAAAATTATTATAAAATGAAACACTAGTTAATCTTTCCTTCATTTAAAAATTATATTTTTATATCTGAAGGAGAAGCTTTTACGTTTGACAATGATAGGCAATGATCAAAATCGTTTGTGATGCTTGAGTTGAGCGAATATATCATTGATGGCGTATGGTTTTCCTTTTTTTTAAAAATTATAATAATAGGTTTTCGCAAATTTTTAATAATAAATGAAATAAATAAACAAATAAACAAACAAACAAACAAACAAACTTTCCAGTTTTGTATTAGATAAAGAATAGAAAGAATAAGATGTAGCTTTTCCTCTTATCGCTATCGAAAATTTTATTATGTCTTATTACAGAAGATAATCTTTTTCTGTCTTTAAGTAAAAACTTGAATATTCAAACATTTTTTTCTTATTTTTACTTTATCTTACTTTAACAAATCATATATGTAAATAACGCGGTTGTATAAATATTCTCGAATCAATATTTATCGACGAACGGAGAGCTATAGAAACTACAACTAAAAAAATAATGCTTAAATCTTCAACCTACAATTTAAATGGAAAAGAGCAAAAACATATCAAACTATTCCTATCCCATTATTTATCGAAAATATAAAATTTTAATTAACAAGAATAGGTACGAAAGTCTTGTATTTAATTTTTAAATTTTACTTAAAAATATCAAGTAGGAATGAAATAATCAACTTCTTCTTTCTTTAAAATTTTCTATATTACTATTACTTTCGTAAATGAATTATTCATTTCAGTTTTCAACTCTTTGCAAAAGATAAATTATTATTGTTGCTATCCATGCCCCCTATGGAGTATTCTTTAAGGGGAGATGGGCTTGTTTTATTGCTAATAGATAGAATTCCATCAATAATGAGTAATTATTGATTATATATACAGAATATACAAAATGTTTAGTCAGCATAAGATATCTATGTTACGTTTAATATATGGAAAAGGAATAAGTTGACAATTTGAATTAGACAACTGCCAAAATTGGTTTAGAATACTTCAGACAGGATAAGCCTTTATATTATAAGTGATATCTCAAGTTTTTACAGTATAACTATTAAGTAGGCCAGTTACTAAGAGCAACTCAATGAAATCTTAATGAGGTGAAACAATGTAAACGCCATCTGTGGGACAACAGAAAAATCACTATTAAATATAATTGCTGAATTATAAGTAAGCAATTCTATATAGAAGAATCTGAATAGTATTAAAATAGAATATATGAAGAAATAGTATATGTTATTGAAGGCGCAATTATGATCATGTCAAAATATTTTGAGATACAATTGTCACATCAAACGATTTAGAATGACAAGACTTCCTGGACGCGCTTTCGTGAGAAGTCAAATGTTTTGATTGAGCATGTTATAAGTCTAGATAACAAGTTAGGAACTGATCAATTTAATTCATTTGCCACTAAATGTCCATTGTAAAAAGCAAAAGGTGACTAATTACATCTAAAAAAAATTTGATTATTTTGAAGCTTTTATCAGTTTTTCTAATTGAAACATAAAATAATAAAACAATCGAAAAGATCTTTTATTTCTTAGATTTTATCATATACTTCTCGCTTTTTATATATAATAGGTTCGTTTAGATGTTAAAGAAACACTTTAATGACTCATTACACTAATAGCCCTATTTCCTCTATGTATACGCTACATTTATTTTAATTAAGTGAATAGAGCACGAATTTAATCGGATGGATATATGTGTCTTATATCACTAAAGAATTTATAAAGCCACAAATTCCACAACTCTTACAAAAGTAATAAATTAAAAAGGGAGCTTTCATTCATTTTTTCCCTCCATTTCACACCTTAACTCTCTTCTGTCATCTCCTTTGTTCTCTCTATTAAATAAAAAAAGATAATAAGGCAGATGATGGGATGCATACTGATCTCTTTGGTCTTAAAGCATACAATTTCACTATAGAATGAGAGGAAACCTTGCGAAACGTCTAATTTAATTTTATCACAAGCTATCAGAAGTCTTCCTGCTGGCTGCTGGGACGTATATACAACATTCACATAGTGTCAATTAGATAAGAATTACGGTAGCGTCTAAAATCTTCATCTTTAGAATATAAAAAGCATTTTATAGATATAAAATTAACAAATAGCTTTTAATCCTATAATATTAAAACCAAAAGAAAAACTGAGGACATAGCACTTTTGCCGAATTCTAAGAAGGATAATGAGGATGGAAAATGATAAATACTTAATTATTTTCAATCTACATTAAGAAGAAGATGATTCGTCATCTAAAAAGAGCTGAAAGAAAAAGAAGAAAAGAGAAGAAGAAACGCTTAGCTTTCTATTTCTAAATATATCGTATATCTATAGGCATATTTAAATGTTCTAACTCTATATTTTCATATACGTTTATAAGTATTATAATCTCCTTCACTTTTATAACAATATTTATTATTCATAGGCCTTCTATGTTTTATTGTTTATTAATTAGTATAATAACAAGGTTTATAAGATTTAATACTACTTTTTATTTAATTTGAGTTTTTTTCTCTTTTTTTTTCATATTTGGTTTTCAATACATTCCTTTTTTGGAAACTGCGTATAACTGGTTTATGTTTGAAATTTGAAAATGAACAGACAATAATCTCATTACCTTAGGAAAAAGTAGAGAAATAGTACAAAAAAAGAGAAAGGAAAAGAAAGAACGAGAGAGAGCGAGAGAGAGAGAGAAGGAGGCAGCGCGAAACAGTCTATAGTGGAAATTTCATTAGGCCTTTATCTAAGTGATTGCTGAACATGGGAAATGAAATCACTCGAGTAACATTATAAATATAGATAGCGCCCCACTTTTTTCTCTGTATATAGGTTCCTCAGTTTTATTAGCGCCACCTATAGAAAAATAAATTCATTTATGTTCTATAATTAAATTCAACCATTTTCATCATTCTAAAGGGTTTTTATAGTTAAATATCTTCAATTTATGAGAAGAATACTGTAGATTTTAATGATAAAAGATTAGTCCTGCAAGAATATAAACACAAAACTAATCGTAATAATTTAATAATTAAACATAATTCAAAAGGATAATAGATCATTTTATTTACTCAATTAGTATTCATTAAATGACTTTATAAATAATTTATTATTTTGATCTTCTTTTTGATAAAAAGATAAGAAAATTATCATTTTTTCCTTCCCGCTTCAAATCTTGTTTATAACTTACCTAAACAAAGCGGAAGAGTATGCAGCGATGCTAAATTCAATACATCTGATGACTGACAAATAAACAGAAAAACGTTTAAATAGAGTATTATATATAATCCATAAGACAAACAATTTACTTTAAATACCGCAAAGGTGATGACAAGAGTTAAGTGAACAGGTAAGTAAGTGAAGACAAACACTTTTCCGACCGATAAATTGTATACAACTGTTGTATAAGGATATGGTATAAACTTGGTATTTTATGAATAAATAAGACACTGATTTAATGGTAGTTTCATATTTTATAGCTAAATGGTTCTTAATATCTTTACTCCTTTGAGATACTCACAAGCATTAAATTGCTATAAATGTTTTAATTACGAACTATAACCCACTCCATTTATATCCATATATTCCCGAGCCTCTCCATTTTGTCACCGCTCTGTCACGTTATTTATTCGACATAAACCAGAACTGTAAAGGTTTTGTCAAGAACTTTTTCCCTCCTCATTCTACAATGAATTGCTTTTTTATTCAGCCGTTAAATCTTTCCTTATCGTCAATTGTGAGAGTTAATTTATCCGAAATAACTAAGGATATATCTCTAGCGGGTCTTTATTGAAACAGGTCAGTGGTGGGCGGAGCCTATGTCTATCAAAAGAGCAGTTGGCCAATCAGCGCTCGAGAATCGCCGAGCTTTTCCAATATTCATAAGCATTGCACGGAGAACGTTTGCAAAGTGACAAGAGTCAATCGGCCATTACTTTTCCATTGATACTTGGAAGATGGACGCTTCCGTGGAAGGTAGAGAAAATTGCAATAGCGATAGCGATGATGAAACTATCATATCAGTCTGCTCCGAACCAAGTGATAATAAAGAGTCAAAGATGCATTTATCGTTTGGAATAAATACCATATTAGCCAAGGATGAGGCAAAAAACCGATTAGAAAGTTATGGAGAATCCGAAACACCTGCTCTTCACTCATTTCATTTCGCTCATCATCCTCTCAAGCTTTTTCCTCACAGGCCTTTTCCGCTAGCTGTAGGCTCTCCTGGTGTTTTTCCTTGGATGCAGGATAGACGAGAAAGGATAACACGTAAGTTTATCGCTTTATTAAAAGACATATATTCTAAGTTTAACAACAATTGAAAGATAAGAAAAGGAAGAAAAAACAAGATCATTAGTAGCTAATAAAGTTATAATAGACTAATTCTAAAAAATACTTAAATCTAAATTAAACTTTACATTTCTTTAATACGTAACTAACTGTATTTATTATTTAAAAATAAAATAATAAATATACATTGCCATCCGCCGCCAACTATGGATATAATGCAATTAGAAACGTATAAATAATGCGACGGAGAGTGAGCGGGTATCAACTTTCGGCGAAAATAGAGAGCACTTGACAGCTGATAGAACGTAATTTAATTGTTCGTCGCCAACTGCAGAGGCTAATGCTTTCTGTCAGTGTTGTTTTAACTCAAGAGATCGCTAATTGAGTGTAATTTCACTTAATCGCTGGGCCGGGTCCGTTTGACCTAATTTATTTGCAGTTACTCGCCGAATGGGCCATCCTTATCAAAATAGAACTCCTCCAAAAAGGAAGAAGCCTAGGACGTCTTTTTCAAGATCTCAAATAGTCGAATTAGAGAAGAGATTTATGAGACAAAAATATTTGGCATCGGCAGAAAGGTCATCGCTGGCTAAAACTTTAAAAATGACTGATGCTCAAGTAAAAACTTGGTTCCAGAATAGGCGGACAAAGTGGAGGTGAGTTTTAAACAGTTTATCGTTATTGTAAAGTATCTCATAAACTGACTGCAAAAAGAACAATAGCGTATCCTAAATAAAGAAAAATAGTTATCATTGAGAGATATATGTAGATGTATATAACTGTAACGAATATAACTCAGTTCATCATCTTAACAATGATCCCACGGGATGACCTAAATCACTTTGTACCGTATCTAAAACGCTCTCTAGCGAGTGATAATCGGCCAATGCGCCCTTTGCCAGTTCATTTATTTGATCAGGATATAATCATTCATTGAGAGGCTGCGCGATATTCGCACGCACGCCATACGGATCCCTTTGGGAAAGTTACGCCATTTTAATACTCTTTGATCAACTGGTTATACGTATAGCTTCATTTTTCTAGTAGCGTCTGGGCAGATGTTAGAAACTATCTCCTTTCGTTATCTCTTCCTTAAAAACTACTTCCATTCCCTCCTTAAGTAGTAATTAATGATAAGACTATTTATAAATAATTAAAAAACAGGAGACAAACAGCTGAAGAAAGGGAGCAGGAGAGGCAAGCGGCAAACCGTTTGATGATTTCTCTACAAACCGAATCGAGTGGGGCGCTGTATTCTCAACCTGACCCAATTTGTATGAATAATTCTTCGTTACACGCTCTTCAGAATTTACAACCTTGGGACGAAAAACGTGTATCTGACTAAAACTGTATAAAGTATATGTTAATGTATATAATCCATAAAGATATATATATATATATATATATATAAACCGTAATCTTGTCAGTTATGGAGTATGTATGCATTTTACATGCTGTATCATGTACTGTACATACAGTACTGTATATTATTTAACATACAATCTGTTTAAAAGTTATTTATGTACAGTAATTAAATGAAAAAAAATCTCTACAAGAGACTATTTATACAAGAAATAAGCCTTAAAATTCTTTATATATATGTATATATATATATTTTTTTTATATGTATAATAATTTTTTTGCTTTTACAATATAATTTTATTTTTGCTCGTTCGATACCAATTACATTACGACTGCCTCAAATTCATTGAACGATACTCCGTAGCCTAACTACATCCGACGTCCGATTCGCTGAAGGCTATAATTCGTAACCTTCTCTTCAACGTCCGTTAATCCTGTAATATCAGCGTGTCAGCCTTTCCTAACTTAGTTTGCGTCAAAGTCGAGAAAAGATTTTCGAAATTACATATATAAAGCGGCACTCTGTCTTCAGGCTTTGTTTTAGCGCAAGTCTTGGGCAGACGCACATAAATAAAAGATGTATTTAGTAATTAGACAAGTATAGGTGAAGTCTATTAGCCGGCGGATGGCATTAATAATGGTGCCGCTATGAATACTAAGCGGATGATCGTTCCCCAAGAGCTATCAAGAAACTGCGCAGGTGGATTAGAACAATCAAGAGTCTGTCAAACTGAACCGATAAAATTAAAGTTTATACGATGTAAAACAGAACTTTTCAACACTTTCCTGTATAGGTTTGCCAGTTGATAATAAATTAGAAAAAAGAAGTGTATCTATAAAACTCGACCCTATCATGTAAAAAAAAGACCAAGCATGAAGAGATGTAATACTTCTTTTCTGAAAAGGGAAAAATTGTTCTTTTTTTTTCGTCAGTTCTCATCGGCTCTCTCTCTCTCTCTTTCTCTTCAAATTTCGATAAAGAATTATTATATACACAATCAAAAACAAATCAACCGTTTACTACAAATAAAATCGTTCGATCCGTCATCATTAGCTCTTCTCACAATGATGACACCGCATCAAAGCGATTTTCGCCGTTCTCTGACATTTCATGATTTATTACTCTGTTTTCTCTTCCTCGATTATATTCGTTTTGATGTAAAGAATCGTTTGAATTTCCCAAAGGAATATTACATATGTTTATATAAACGTTTAAACGTCTTTTAATGTAAAAACATTAATTCTATACATTATTTAATTACTATCAGAATAAAGGAGATAACACTGAATAAAGAAGATATCCTCACTATTTATATACTATAATAATACACAGATTGAAAAAAATTATCGTCTTCATAGATATCAGCATCTCTTTAATGAATAAATAAACGAAATAAAAAGTAATGATACGAAGTCACGAATGCCATTTTTGTAGCTAGTCGCAAACGGCCCTCTTGACGATTGAAATGCTTGGCAAACTATTTGCTTTTCGTCTGTGTGGCTTTTGAGTAAATGACGAGTTTGTCACTGAGGAGCACTTTGCTCTTCTTTAATCGCACTCATCGCGCCAAATAAGAATTGACATTTGACCCCGATACTCTTTCTTCTTAAACGAAGAAGAAACGTATATAAATTTATTTAATCATCTAATAATTAATTATTTATTACGTGTGTAAGCTTACGCAATGCAAGTGTTAAGGAAAAGAACCCTCTAAAAGTGTAAAGGATATAAGGATATGGAATTCTTCATCGAATTAATTATACAATAACGCTTTTTCTCTTTTTCTAGCTATAATATATGTATATATATATATTAGGCGTTACTTTTTCTTTATGCATCTTTTAGTTTGAGCGTCGAAAATGTAGGGTTTAGGGCATGTCTTTTCCGCGCATGTTTTCGAATCACAATGGAAGAACTTCTTCTCCTAATTTCCATAATTAATGATTATAGTTAATTGAATCTTTCGCTTAGATGTAAATATTGTAATCTTACGTCATAAGGGTGGGGAACTGCACAAGGAAACTTTGAACAATTATTTCGAAGTTTTGTAGACAATGATACAGATGAACTTGAAATCACTCCAACTATAGGTCTAAGACTTTTTAGTGGTTGTTTTTTAAGAAGAGCTTTACTGATTCTAAATTCTGAAAATTCGTCAAACATGCATGTTCAATTAATAAATAATTTCGTTGTTGAGATAAACAAGCATACTTTCACAATGTAGACCCTCATGATTCTCTGAACAAATACAGATATAGCCACGGCGATTTTTGGATCTTTGGCAAACTCCATTATTCCAACACACATTTGGTTTGTCACATATGCTCTGCGACACTTTCAAAGGGAACAGATAAATGACTATTATAATCTATAAAACTTGCGAATTACTGCTAACTTACTTTCGCAACGTTCACCGTAAGTTCCTCTTGGACAAAAACATTTCCAGCCGGCTTTTCCGGCGTAATTCACGCATTTACCATTATTCAGACAAGGGTTACTCCAGCAGGGTTGAATTTCAACGCATACCGGAAATGGAAGGCAAATTTGATTTTTGCATGGAACAGGAACGGCCTTGCACATGTAACCCGGAGGACAAATTCTGTTCTCGCACACGTTCAAACATTTACAAATTGGACAGCTTTCTCTGTCCCGAGCTAGACCAAATTCACAGTGCAGATTACATGCAATTTTTTTGCAGTATGAAGGAGATATTGGTGGTTTAAGTTTAGAAAAGTCTGGCGGATAGAGGCCATTTCCAGAAAATTGGGGAAAGCGCCAATTAGAGCCGCCACCTAATACACTGGCTAATAAAAGATAAAGTAAGTTACCACCTTTTCCTATATTTAAATTCATAGATGTTGAATCCAAGGGGGGATTGTTGCCGTCGTATGCAGGGACATTGGGAGAACTGGCTAATTGGCAATTCTTTCCAACAAATGGATGGTTGCAAATGCATGTCCACCCGTATTCCCTGTTTACACACCTTCCAGTATTCATGCAGGGGTTAGAGGCGCAGAAATCGATTCGACGTGTACATGGCCCATTCCTGGAATTCTCATAGCCCGGATGACAAGCACATTTCCAATGGTGATCAATATTCTCACAAACTCCGTGATTACATGAAATATTTTTGGGGCAATTATCAACAATATCTAATTGGAAAACAGCCAATTAATACTAACTCTATTAATTCTAATTGTAAGCAACATGCCAAGGAAATAATAAATTACCTTTGCAGAGGGGACCTTTAAATCCAGTCTCGCAAACGCACTATTATAAGTCAATATATTTAGAAACCAATTAGATATTTTTATCTCTTCAAAGGCTAATTAACTACAAACTTTAAATCCTCCGATTATATTTAGACATCTCCCATAAGAACAAGGATTACTACTGCAATAATCAATGCTCCTCTCGCAATGTTGCCCAAAGAATCCTTCACGACATTGGCAAATGTAACTATTTGGTAATGGCTTACAACCGCCATTTTTACACGGTGCACTTAAACAGTAATTAATCTCCACATTACAAGATGGTCCTTTCCATCCCGAGTCGCATTCGCATACATGTCTATTTAGGTAATTGTGACATATACCATGTTTACCACAAGGCCTATCCGCGCAGTGATCTTTCCAGTCTTGACAAGATTCATGAGTAAATTCAGGCGGACAGAAGCATCTGTAGCCGGTTATGTCACTTTTACACGTTCCATTGTGAAGACAAGGATGACTTTGACAAAAATCAATGTGCTCTATAATCAATTTTGCAAAATTAAAGTTAATTATGTTTCCTTTTATAATTATTCATACGTAAGCAAAGGGGGCCAAAGAAAGGTTCGTTACAGTGACACACATAGCCTTTTTCATCGGCCGTACATCTTCTTGTATGTCCAGAACATGGATTACTATGACAAGGATCAGTTTTAACTGCAAATAGGATATCAATTGTTAAATAATCCCTTTTCTTCCTTATAATAAAGAGTCTGATTACTTTCGCAGCGATGTCCCGAATAGGGATAATGGCATTTGCAGCTAAACGACGCTGGCCCGTCAATGCAACTGGCTCCTCTTTTGCATGCTGGCTGGTTAAACTTTTCAGCAAAGGCGTCGCAAAAATTTATCATAGCTAAAATGTAATTTAAAAGATAAAACAGCATATTACGTAAGATTAAGTTACTACTTTCGCATCTGTTGCCCTTGTACTTTGTCGAACAATGACATTTGTACGTGTTAATCTTCTCTTCACAAACTCCACCATTTTGACAGGGGTGCGCACGGCAATAATGAATCTCTGACAGAAAAATGGGAATAAACAAGATTACCCGCTTAACCAATGCTTTGTACCTTTACACTGTGGTGCTTTTCTACTCCATCTACCGTTTCTTAAACAAATTCTCTTTAAGGAACCTCTGTACCATTTATATCCAATGTCACATCTATATAAATATTACATGTTGAATTTTATACATGACCTACCAAATGAAAACCTAATTAAGTTATGTCATACTTGTAAACTATATGAGAATTGAATTTAAACTCCTTAGGTTCTTGTGCGATTTTAGAATGAGAATACACTTGAGGAGGCTCGCAACTAATTGCTGTTAAAAATTTACTGCATTTAACAATGATATTAATGACTCAAAGTACAGCTTTTCTTACATCCACAAATTGGATCTTTTCCAGACCAAGTTCCGTCTTCTTGACATGTTCGAACCATGTCTCCGCTCCTATGTTCATACCCAGATAAGCAAGTGTATCTTATACTATTACCATATTGAAAGTCAGAGCCTATTCGTTGGACATTTGTTGATGAATGAGGTTCTTTGCAAGAGATTCTTTCGCAAGCAACGTGAACTCCTGAAGGGGTCCACGCACCGTTATCTCCACAAGTAAGTTCGGGTGAACCAGTTAAGCGGTGACCAATTAAGCATTTATAATTTACTTGTTGGCCCTTTCTGAAAAAATTTCCATCTGGTTCAATATTACCATTATCAATTACTGATGGTCTTGCGCAAGCTGGTTGAATATAAGCTTTTAAGGCAACTGAAAAGTAGGTGGCTAAAAGTTTCGTTGAATAAGTCTTTCCTCCAATAGGAGACATCTTTGTAGAAACAAGCCTAACTTCGGATAACTGACAACATAATCGACTGCGTTGATCAGTTGTCGATATTATCGGTTTAGTCCTTCTAGCGGAAGGTTCATAGAAAACCCCTAAGACATCCCCGGGGTTAACCATAATTTGTTTAGCAGGACTGACAGGAACAATCTACAGAAACAAAAGAGATTTATATAAATATATACATCATCAAAAGTCGAGTGGGACTAACCCTTGTATGATTTATTTCAGTTCTATGAATATCGATAACATTAGTACCAATGCAAGTCCAACTACTTCCTCCCGCTGAAGAGGGTCGCCAAACACTAAGAGAAAGTTTGCCCGTTTCAACGGCATAAAACTCCCATTTTTCTACAGTCCCCGCACATGGAAACTCTTTAGACGTAAATATTTGTGGATATCTATCAATACTGTTCATATATTTATACAATTGTCCTTTCATGAACTTATGACCATTTTCAAAGTTTCTAAAATCATGTAAATGAATGCCGTCTCCACACGCTTTGTTGTTGTTTATTTTTTAAAAAAATGAAAGAATAGACGTTATTTCAATTTCTTTTCTTTATGACAAAAATTCAATACTAATATCTTACCTAATTTCATTGAATCTGAATAAGAATACATTAAAATAAGAAGGAAATTTACACATGACAGCTTACAATAAATTTCCATATTCTCTAATCTCTACGCTCTTTCTTCTTGTCGTTTTCTCCCTCTCTATCTCTCTCTCACTCCAAGCCGTCTACTCTCATATGAAAGTAATGCATTTTGAGCAAAATTTCAAAAGCTTTTTACCAAAAACGAAAAAAAAATACAAACTGGAAAGATTCTAAACGAGATACGTATAGTTTTAACAGTTAAAAAAGAAATTGGATAAAAAGAGACAGATGTAACATGATAAGAATTTACTATTGTTAATACTTTCCTAGATACACGTGTTGTTTGTACAATAACTGGGGTGTTTCTTTTTTTTGAATTTCTGAAAAACTATCTTCATATTCAAGGAATAGGCCTACAAACAGTTTTGAAATAAAAAAGAGTCTACCATTCAATGAAAACGAGTTGTTGTTATATAATTTTTGCTGTATACAAATAAAAATTTCAACAGAGGTTGACAACGTACACTTAGTCAAGAGATAAACTGATTATCAATTCTCAATTTATACCAACAATCAGTTACAGTTGATCTTTTACTCGGGGCACATTTACATTTAACTTATCAGCTGCTAAAGTCACTCAACTTCAATTATTAATTATTAAGTATTTTTAAAAGGATACTAAAGGTTTGTTTTTATAGAAAAATGACGTTTTATTATTTAAATGAAGTGATATTTGAGCAATGAGAAGAGATAATTAAGGGAAAAGATGAGAATTAAGTCATTAAAAAACTGTTAATCATCAATTTACATTGAATTAATATAATAAGTGTTTTAAGAGGAATTGTTTCATATATAACTTTTTGTCCTCATCATTGGAAAATATAGTTATTTATATAATTTATATATAATTTTAACAAATGTCGCATAGATAACTTTATAATGCCTTAATTAGATAATCTCATTTCAATCGAATTAACGTGTATTAAAACGATAATTAAACGTAATTAGTTTCCATTGATGAAAAATGTACATTTTACTCTATTTTCTTTAGTAGTTGGTTATATATCTTTATGGAAATATTGGGTATATTTAAGGAAATTTCTTTGAAGTGTTTCAATTCTATTCGTTTGTATTCGATATTCTACGATATACTGTTTTTCCGATTTCTGTGATCGATTAATCGAATTGTGTATCACCATCTTTCTGCCAAGAAATTTAAGCAATCATGTCTGAAAAAGATAGTTTCGAGCAGTTTGAGCCATCCTTAAAAAATATCATTGACCAAACGTCTTTAAAATGGATTTTTGTAGGAGGAAAAGGTGGAGTTGGTAAAACGACCTGCAGGTATTCTATTATCGCTCAATTTTCAACACGTCATCTTAATTTTTCCGTTATAGCTGTAGCTTAGCAGTTCAACTAGCTAAAGTCAGGGAATCTGTTCTGATTTTATCAACTGATCCGGCTCATAATATTTCTGATGCCTTCGACCAAAAATTCTCAAAGGCACCCGTTAAGGTTAAGGGTTTTGAAAATTTATTCGCTATGGTAACTAAGTTAAATGTTTTGCAATTTCTTTAACTGTATCCTCTGATCGACCGTTTTTTGTTTTAGGAAATTGATCCCAATTTAGGATATACCGAACTACCAGATGAATTTTTCGGAGCTGACTCTAGTTAGTATATAATAGAATAATGATGTTTTTCTCCGCTGTCTTGATAAATTATTATTGGAAAATATTAAATAATATTTTATCAATTATTAATCTTTTTAAAGATTCGTGGAATCTTGGAAAAAGTGCAATAAAAGAATTATGTCAAGCTTTTCCGGGTATAGACGAAGCAATGAGCTTCGCCGAAGTAATGAAGTATGCAATTAGTTTTAATTGACTTTTGTTGTTAATTTTTCTTATTTTCCTCTTTGACAGGCTAGTGAAAAATATGAATTTTTCGGTTGTCGTATTTGATACAGCTCCAACAGGTCATACACTTAGATTGCTAAGTTTTCCATCAATTGTAGAAAGCAGTTTAACCAAGATTCTTCGCCTAAAAAATCAAGTTGCTCCCTTTATAAATCAGGTACAACAAAAAGATATAGATTATTTTTTACTATTATATAAACAGTATATACCTGCATATTCAACTGAAATTCTCTTCTCTTTAGATAACAGGGCTTCTTGGTATGCAAGAATTCAGCGCAGATAATCTTGCGAAAACGTTAGAAGATTTACTTCCAATTATACAACAAGTTAATAAACAATTAAAAAATCCGGTTTGTGTTCAATATACGTACTGTTATTTTTAAATGTTAATTTTCATTATTTTTTTTTACAAACAGGATGAAACTACCTTTGTCTGTGTATGTATTGCGGAATTTTTATCTTTATACGAAACGGAGAGATTAGTTCAACAATTGACACAATATAATGTAGACGTTCATAACATTATCGTGAATCATTTGATATTCTTGAACAACACTGACAAGCCATGTAAACTATGCGCTTGCAGATATCAAATGCAGGAAAAGTATTTATCACAGGTTAATATTTTATGGTTATGAATACTTAAACATTTTTAATTTTAAATATATTCTTCATTAGATGGAAGATTTATATGAGGATTTTCATCTAGTTAAAATCCCTATACTTGAGCACGAAGTTCGCGGTGTACCCAGCATTTCGAAATTTTCCAAGTTCCTGATTGAACCATACAACCCCGAAGTCGACAAGCCATTTTTGAACTGATTGAGATTATTTCCTTGTGTTTTAATTACTTTTCATTAAAAAAACAACTTAAATGTTTTTGTTAATTTCAAATTGAAATTCAATAAAATTCCCGCCTCTTGAATATTGCGGAACCGGAAATACACCTGTTCTATACTACAATAAACATTACTCACGCCAGAGGGCTGTGACTATCCAAAAGGGCGTGATGGTAAGAAATACTAATTCCATATAATTTGTTAATTACAGCAATTTAATAATACTATTTATAAAAGGCTGCACCAAAACCCGTTCAACTTTCTTCTGAGGATATTCAGAAACTAAAACAGGCTTTCATGTTACACGATTACAACAAATCTAGTAGCATTTCTAGCAGGGATATTGGTTCCGTAATCCGATCGGTTGGACTAAAACCAGCTGAAGGGGAAGTGGATGAAATACGAGCAGAAGTAGACGCTGCAGGTGGAAAATGTGATTTACAGATGCTCGTAAAACTTATCAGTAGAATCGTGACGCAACCAGATAACTACAGTGGAAGGGATTTAAGTCTCGTCTTCGGTCAATTTGATACTTCTAAGAGTAATCTCATTCCTTTGGATCAATTTCGTCATTTAATGACATCAGTAGGTGAAAAATTTTTAGACGAAGAAGTTGATGAGCTTTTAAAATGTACTGGCTGTCTTCAAAACGGAATGGTGAACTATGACAGTAAGAACTTTCATAATGGTTCTTTTTCTTTCTTATCTAATATAACTGTCTCTTTTTATTTACAACAGAATTTATCAAAGTAGTTATGGGAAAAGCCTGAGAAAAAATTTTGCAAAGTTCAATTTTTGGTCATAAAAAGTAGAAAACTATATTTATGTTATTTGTTTAAGATTGGAAAAGAAATTTTTTGATAATTGTGTAATAGTGAAATTTGTCTTTTTATAGTTGCCATAAAATCGTTAATTGCACGATTTTCAACAAATTAAGACCTAAAAGAATGAATTTTTACTCTTTTTGATTAATTAAGTAATTAAAAATGTTTAATTAAGGTTTTTACATGTATGCTTCCAAAGAAATATCCTGTTCAAAATAACATTGGTTTTGTAATTATTTATTTGAAATCCATCTAACAGCCAAAAGTTACATTAAAATTAGCTAGGAAGATCCCTGATTTACGAATTCTTTAACTCTTTTTTTGATATTTGGGATTAACTCTAAATGAGAATCTGCGCATTTCACCATACATCCTTCAACATCATATTTGTACCGACTTCCTGATGATGACGAATTTTTACTTATTTCATCTCTGGCTTTATCCTGACAATCCATGGCACATCTTTGTAATCTGTTCTATTAACGTAAAAAATTGAAATTTTTTCCAAAGAGTTTCTCTTATGGATGTTAAAATGAACAAACTTGAAGTTGTGCTAATTCTGATTCCATAAAGTGTTGAGCTTGTTGAACAGAAACTGTACACCTCTCAATACAACGCTGCGTATCTTCCATACTTAAGCTTTCATTACGGCAGCAATTTGCACTATCCTCGTACATTTTTACCTAAAAAAGACATACTTTAGATGATCTGATGAAATAAAGAGTAAGGAATTGGAAACGTGAGCGATAAGGGGATATTTATCCTTTTAATGTTAATCTTACAATTCATTTACATATTAGGACTATCCCCAAATTCTCATTGATTCTACATCATTAATTACCTGCATTTTCCTAAAATAATCCCTATCTAAGTCTCTAATCATGCTGGTTACAGCATTTTTGACACGCTCTTGAGCCGCTTCCATTTTCACCAAAGGTCACCGTCGCAGTCTCGTAAAGTATAAACCGTATCAAGATATAATTAATTTCAAAGAATAAGAAAATTTCAAAATTATTTAGTCTTTGAGATAAATTTTTTTTGATATAAAGGAGTAAATTACAATATATTTTGTTCACAATTTAGTGCGAACCTATTACTGTCATAGTAACAATGTATACGGTCATATAAGTCTAAAAAAGAACGAATAAAGTCATGTCTACTCTAGCTAGACTAGTAAGCGAAACAGATGATATTGGAACAAATGTGTATGAACTAACAGCGTAAGTTTTCACAAGATTTAACAGTGGATTCTAACAAAATTAATTGACAATAATTTCTAAATTGACAAACAGAAAAGCCGAAGAAAATAGGCGAAGAGATTATGGTTCCTCTGTCAAGGTACAGTCTTGGTTTAAAGGCCACAAAACTCGTTCATATATCAAGTAAATAGATTAAACTTATCTTTATAAAAAAAGAGCAAAGTAGTAATTGAAAATTTTGCATCGTTAGACACTTAAATAGTTGTGCAGCAAAAATTCAAAAGCACTGGAGAGGATACCTTGGTAGAAAATACTTCCGGCAGAAATTATCAGTAAGAAATAAATAGACTAATATAGTTATTAGTTTTGAACATAAATAATATGTATAAACATTCACATACTGTATACATTACTAAATAGGATATGGTTCTTGCATTGAAAGTTACAAGATTCAATGAAATGGCAGTAAAGGTAAGTTACTATAAAAGAGATAGAGTAATTGCTTGAATGATGGAGACAAGACGATAGAAAGAGTCTTAAATTATTTATAAACTTTACTTTATCTAAAAATAGTGCTCTTACTTTAATATAGATACAAAAAGTATGGCGAGGATACTATTCCAGGAAATACGTATTCAATTACTATGCTAGACAACGATATTTAGAGGCACTTTTGCACAAGAATGAGACAATCCGGTAATTAAAATTAATTATTTATATTTAAGAATAGTCTTATTAAATAATTATTCCATTTTTAGAAATGAATTAAAAGAATGGGAAGAAATGGAAAATCGTCGTCAGCAAATAGAAGAAGATGAAATTATGAAAAGTAGAATTAAAAATTGGGCGCAAGGTCATCACCATCTTCGGGGAACTACTGTTATTCCTGGCATTTATAATTCTCCTTACAAACCGTTGGTGTTTTTAGAATTCTTATACATAATTTGTTGATAATTTCTATGCATTGCTGTTAATTTATAGCATTCCAGAGTTGGAAACTCAATTAATTTTAGCCAAGCCGAGGGTTGCCGATAGTGGAATGAAGAACAGAAGAAATAAATATGTTAAATATGGCTCGGGCGATGCTTTTGAACTAAATCAATTAGAGAGTTTGCCTCCAATTCACGAAAAACCTCAAGGTCCATTTAGAGATCCACACGAAGTATGGCGTCAACGATTAAAACCCTTGAAACCTTCTCTTCGTGTTCAAACTTCTTATACATCTGTCGAAGAGGCTAGAGAGCTTATGAGAAAGGAAGAATGGGCAGCACGTTTATTCGATAAAAAGTAAATAGTTCATATCATATTACGAAGCTTTTTTAAACATTCCTTTTTTATTTTCCAGGTTAGTTCCATTTACTCATCCACCGGAAAAGCAGTACCAACCACTTCTTCACGGTTCTTCTCAATATGGTCAAATACCTTACGGTACTGCTTACTTCCGCGAGGAAAAGCCAGAAAGATTCATAATGGCACACGTAAGTTTCACTACATCAGATGACTTTGATATTCTGTAAAAAAGATTGCTACAGATGCATGTTTTTTCTCCTTACAGAATCCGAAACATTTTAACACGGTAGTACCACCTATCGAGGTTTTTGAAAAGGTCAACGATGTTTATTGACTGTCTTAATCAGTATAAGAATTAACAAAAATTAATTTCATATATACATAAATCGTTATTTAATAAAAAAAAATAACAAGAGAAAATCCACCATTATATTTAATTTTTAGTATTATTTTGATTGAATATACATTCATAATTTCCAATTGATACTATTTGCTTCGTTGAGAACAATCTTAAAATTTCACTGTGTATACAATTATTCAAGGAGGTATCATAATCCAAATCCATTATAACTTAAGTAAAGAAGAAACTTTTTGAAGGATGGTGCGTGACTGCCGTTCCTTTGCTCTTTCTTTCCTTGATTTTATTTTCTTTTGGAGATTCAAAGGAAAAAGACTCAAAAGCTCAGAACAAAAATACATAAAGCTATTCGGTTAAAACAACAAAAGAGAGAAAAAAAGTATAGCTTGGAAGGTTATTTAGGACGATTTTTTCAATGCTTTCACTACACTGTCTTTTCCAGGCATTCCCGGTGAGTTATCATGGTGATAATATCCGGAATAGGTTATTAGCCAACACATACACGCTACACAGGTTCCAGTCAACTTTTGAGGCATATTATGAAAGTAAAGGACTGTTATGAACAGCATCACCTCCCAAAGTATAGCTAAACTTGCCATTAATACAAAACAAACTCTAATTGTTGGCGTTATGCGATCATATAGCAATTTAAAAGAATTTCGGTCACTTTCAGGTATTCTGCAAGTTCCCTCACGAACCTCCTTTTCTATTTGATCAGGTATTCTTTCCCAACCTCTTAAGACTTTGGCTTCTTCGTGTAAAATCAATATTGCATAAGTTAGAAGGAAGCAATGCCCTGAAATATCGAAACCAACCCATGTCCCACCGTTTCTAACACATTCTCTTTTCCATGTAATACTTGGATTGTTAGAACAGAAACCAGTTATCCTCTCTATAAAGTTAAAAGCCGTCGTGGAGACATACCACAGACCTGTGGCTACTAACAGCCGTAATAAATTTGATGTGATTCTTCTGCGATTAGCTAATGTGTAAACGTAGCTTGTAGATATTATGAACATTCCAGCAATTGAAAATGTCCAAAACCATCCTAATTTTGCAAAATATTGATTGAAAAAGTTCTTTTTATTAGAGAAGTAACTCCTAGGAATAGGAACAATATCAGTTACGAGAGATAAGACAGTGACTCCACATAGATAGAGTCCTATTTTCGTCGTCGTATTATAAAAGAGAACTTTCCGACAAGCGTAGAGAATAAGCATCACTAAAAAGTTTCCTATATGGGTTGGTTTGGCCACAGGTAATTTATCCTTCTTCCCATTGATCTTAACACTCTTCGGTCGGAACTTTAGACCTTCTTTGGCAGTCTGATTCATATCTTTAATGCTGTTCTAGTTTTCGATACAGGATGCTCGAAACGTTTACTGAACGGTTACCGATTTATTACCGGTTGGCTCATGGTAAACCTAATATGAGTGAATAGTACGGGAACTATTTATATCTTGACTTGATATTTTGGTTCACACCTTTAAAACGTTAAAAAGTATTTAATTACTTTACTTAACCCATAATATCCATAACCTTATTGTAAATATTAATTAGTGCTTGTTTTTCACAAAATATTGTAGGTTTGGGTTATTGTGAAAAAATATAATATTTCTTTTTAATATAAAATAAAAGTGGTTTAAATATTATCTGTTAAAAGAGAAATTGCAATTAACAGTCTCTTTTGTATAAATCATTACTGGTCAAATTGCAAATTGAGGATAAGTAACTATTTCTTAAGAAGTGTCTTTAAAGAAATCTCGTAAAATTAATAATTTTTAAATAAAGAATGAAATTACTCTTGCATAGAAAATTAAAATTGATTTTACTTGAATAGAAACTTGAATTGTCTGTTATAAGTCGCTTTCGCTCACTGACAAGTGGTGTTTAGGGCTGCCAACTTCCGCCCCAAGAATTTCCTGATACATTTTTTTTTCCTCTTATTTTAATCTCCGTCGACTATAACATGGACAAACAAGGTAGAAGAGTGGTAGTTTGCGATAACGGAACAGGTGTAAGTATGAATTTGTTTATTTTCTTGCAACCTAAGACAACCCTGTCAATGCGGAAGTTGTACACTGAAAACCGGCGTAGCCTTTTGTAAACAGACTACTTATTTTATTAATATCTCTTATTTCAGTTCGTAAAATGTGGATTTGCTGGAGCAAATTTACCGCAATTTATATTTCCATCACTAATTGGACGGCCGATTCTGAGATCGACATCGAAAGTTGGCAATGTTGAATTAAAGGTATGATTATCACACATGAGCCACATCCCCCTTTCAAAAAGTAGTCTATTGCTACCATCCAAATGAGCTATCATGTAATATTCTTATACATTTTAAAACAGGAACTAAGGGAACATAACTTAAAACATATAAAAAAGTCGAAAAAACAATATAGATGAAAAAAGTTACCATTAAAAATTACCATAAAATCAATAAAAAATGATTAAATATTCTAGTTTAACCAACAAAATAAAGATGGTAATATCAATTAAACAATTACATGTAAACAAGAGGCTAGGCTGAACCCTGCTATGAGCTCATACTTGAATGTAAAAAAAAAGTAGGAACTGTTTCACCTGAGCAGTTTAGTTCCCTTAGACCAGCCCATATTTTTATTTGAAAAAGTTTTGTGCAAATGAAAATTAATGGATTCATAATTCTGTTGATATTTTGACTATCATTCGCATGGATTGCTTATATGAATTAATGACCTTTTGAAAATACGAATGTAAATCAACTGGTCTAATACTTGTGTTTTTTTTTGGCTATACATGACAATTAGTTGCATATTGTTTAAATTAAACATATTTTATTTTGGCCAAACATTATTTACAAAATAATTTCCAATTATCATTTGAAAGCCTATATATACATATGTACAGTATATATACATAACTTTGTTTATATTAGTAGGATACATATTCCTTTAAATCAGCATATAATTCTTGTTTTTGTTTGTTCTTAAACGAGTTATTAATGATCAAACTTTTAGTTATTGGTATATTATCATTTATAAATATTTATATTTATTATCGCTATCTTAACTTAGGATATAATGATTGGGGATGAAGTAGTAGCCGATGAAGTACGTTCCATGCTAGAAGTTTATTATCCAATGGAAAATGGAATAGTTAAATCCTGGGATGATATGGGTTATCTTTATGATTATACTTTTGGAGAAAAGAAGCTTAATATTGATACTAGAAATAGCAAAATTCTTTTGACTGAACCTCCTATGAATCCTTTAAAGAATAGAGAAAAGATGGTTGAGGTAAATAAATTGTTAACAGCTATTTGTAAGAAGTGAAAATGATTTTACTGTATTCTTCTTTTATATCAATTTTTAGCTTATGTTTGAAAAGTACCAATTCGAAGGCCTTTATATTGCTATTCAAGCCGTATTAACACTTTACGCTCAAGGCTTACAAACAGGAGTAGTTATTGATAGCGGGGATGGTGTTACTCATATTTGCCCAGTTTGTGAAAGCATTGTCTACCAACATGCTATTAGAAGATTAGATATTGCCGGCAGGGATATAACAAGATATTTGATCAAGGTACTCTCATTTTAGAAAAATTTATATATATATATATTTATATATGTTTTATTTTAATCTAGTTATTGCTCTTACGTGGATATAATTTCAATCACACGGCTGATTTTGAGACTGTTCGAATAATGAAAGAGAAACTATGTTACGTTGGCTACGATATTGAACAAGAAAAAAAATTAGCTCTGGAGACAACAGTTTTGGTTGAAAATTACGAAGTACAATTATTAATTATATATATTTTAATAGTTTATTAGTTAATTAATCTAATAGTTTTTTATTAACTTTTTTTAAACAGCTTCCAGACGGTAGAGTTATTAAAGTAGGAGGTGAACGTTTTGAAGCGCCAGAAGCTCTTTTTCAACCACATTTAATTGATGTAGATGGTGTGGGAGTTGCTGAATTATTGTTCAATACTATTCAGGCGGTAGATATTGACTATAGGGCTGAATTGTATAAACACATTGTTCTGTCTGGAGGATCTACTTTGTATCCTGGCTTGCCAAGTCGTTTAGAAAGGGAAATTAAGCAAATATACTTAGAACGCGTTCTTAAGGGGAATACGGAGGCTTTGGCTGTAAATAATATTTTCAATTTATTCGTTATTATACATTTAATGAACCTAAATACTAATTTTATTTCGTTCAATTATAGAAATTCAAGATAAGGATCGAGGATCCACCCAGGAGGAAGCATATGGTCTACGAAGGCGGAGCTGTTCTAGCAGACATTATGAAAGATCGTGATGAATTTTGGATGTGGAGAAAAGATTATAACGAACAAGGTGCCGCTAATGTGCTTAAGAACAAAATGGGTGGGATTCGTTAACTTAACGATCAAATCAGTCTTCTCTTCAGGTCGTTATTTCGCTAGAATTGATGCTTTTTTGACAACATTGACCTATTCTTTAAAAATTTGCGATTAAAATTATGCAAATATTATAATACTTACAACTGATTAAAAAAAAAAAATAACAAAAGCAGAAGACTTGTTTAACATACAAAAATACACACTGCAACCTTTTTTTTTTTTCCAATTACAGATTTTTATTTAAAAGAAAATAAAGCATTCACCTAAATTTTTTAGGTTACTATTTCTTTTCTACTCTATCACACTATTCTTTTAAGTTAAACTATTTAAGATTAAACTCACAAAAAAGAGAACAAAAATAATAATAATAAATAGAATATGTATAGATTATAATTTGGTCACTTTTTCGGTATAGTTTTAGTTGTTGTATAGAAAAATAAGACTTAAAAAGCAATATAATAATGGTAATCGTTTTACTTTTCATATCTTAAAAAGTATTTTATTATAGCTGCTCCTTGTTTCCCTCTTTTCCTTGAATTCTTCTCTTAAAACTGATTACTTTCAAGTCTGGTTGAATTATTTAATTGTTTAGCATTTTTTTCGCTCATTTCACTTTTCACTGATGATCTATTATTTTGTATTTTTAAATTTTGAACTCCACTCTTCGACTCTGTCGTAGCTATTTGTAGATTTTTAGTGTAAAAGCTCTCTGTTGGAGAATTTCTCTCCTCTTCAACGGTTGGCATATACATATAGTTTGAGTGACTTTCCGTAGTTGTTGGACTGGATTGACTAATACTGTCTAAAACTGATGATTCGGAATCAAATATGCGCTTCATCGTTGTCGAATTTAATGACTTATGAGATTCTGCAAAATAATTGATAATGATTAGCGTATAGAGATATTAAGGGAATAATCATCTTACTGTTGGAACCGAATACGTTCAAATGCTGAAAAACTTTTCTCTGTTTCCAGCAGTATATCATATAAGTAGTAATATAATTAATTCTCCTTTATTAAAAAGAATCGGCTTACTTGAGAAGCTTTTGAATGAGATTTTTTAGGGCTAAAAACGGATCTAATGAAATGAGGTATCCAATCTTGCATTCTCATAAGACGTATAAAAGCGTCCCTAATGGTACTATCTAAAACGCAATGGAAAATGAATATCCCAAGCCCTTGAAAACTATTAAGTAATGAGAAAGTATAAGCTGCCCAAAGATACTCTTCAGAGAAATAGAAAAATCCAATAACCCAATTAATTCCAAATACGAACATAAGAGATGCCATTGCTTTCAGTAATGAGCTAATACACAAAAAAATAAGAAGTCATAAAATATATAAGGAAAATACGATAAAGTAATTTTGAATATTAATAAGAAAACTATATATACAAATATTGTTGTCTCGTTTTTTTCTCCATTAACCTTCCCCTAGCATTTCCTTTGGATAAATAGTACATTTTCTTTAGAACGATGCACATGATCACGGAATTAACCTTTACAGTAATAACAGATAATATCTTCACATATCATTAGGGCGTTTTGTTTATATACAAACCAAAACAATCACCATAACTGGTAGTAGAAATACCAGAAAAAATATTTCATTTTCAATCCAACAGCTTAAAGAAAGAATTAATGTTAAACAGTTTATAGAAAGTTTATTCATATTTGTTCTATTTATTACTATTTTTCCGTTATAAACGCATCTTTCTTCGCTAGGCCAGTAATAGTAACTACTATCATAGGGATACCTAGAAGTTATTGATATATACCGTATATATATATATATATATATTATTAAGCATAGGCTTTATTTTATGTATATTTCAAAAAATTTAAGAAATACTACCGTATCCAGTAAGTAATAATAAATATCTTGGTATAGTCCTATCAAATACTTTGGTTACTAGGTAAAACATGCATATACCTAGTAGAACCATCCATGTAAAACAACAAAGTAGAAAGTATAGAAGAGTACCACCAATAAACGAACAAAGTGACTTAAAAAAATGGATTAATATATTTATAGTATTTTTTATATGTATATATTTTTTTACTATAAAATCTAATAAGTTAAAGAAAATACTTTGTTTGATGTTTTAGAGATTCCTGTAAGGAAAATTATTTGAGCAATTGCCAAACATAAACTGATATTAAATAATATTCTATTTCTTGTTGAACCCAGTGTTCTTTCACTCAGTTTTCGTCTGATATAAAAGATATAGTATACAGTATATATGATATAAATAATACTACAAAATAATAATGTAATTATTAATATACCTGAAAGTTACGAAGCATATACAAGATATAATTAAGCATATTATAGATATTATGCAACCAACTTCGGTTATGATATTTAAATTAAATTTATCTTTAGCAGATAACTAAAATTTTTAATAATTAAATTAGTCAATTAAATGGAATGGAGAAAATATACAACCTTTGATTCATTATCAAAAATGTCTACTAGAACGGCAAAATGAGTAAGATGATTACATCTGCACGTTGAATAGGATATATTACTCTGCTCTTGAACTAATTCGCATCCATTCTGTGACCAAGAATCTCCGGGACCACTTGATAAAAAGTAAAAGATAAAAGAAAAGCAATTAAAAGAATACTTTAATAAACAAACTCTAATGAAAAATTCCAGAATGAGCATTGATAAATTCCATCAATTGTTTTCTATAGATAAAAAATTCATACTTAATAAATTATATTAATTATTACGTAATCTCTAACATTTTTATTTTCCAACGTATAATAAATAAATCCTTCAAATGGTCCTGAAACCCTTTTATTAGCCTTCAAAAGTGACGCAGATATTATTTTACTATTTAATATTCTTTCTACATTGTCTGATTGAATAGGTTGCAATAATTTTTCAATATCATTATATTCGGTGAATATCAGCGTTAAATTCTCTTTAGACGAAGTTATAGCTTTGTTTAAAAAAGGTAAACAATATGATAAATTAGTGATTGAATTAAAATATAGCATAAACATACTATCCAAAGTGTCTTTTGGTATAGTAATAGATTTCTGATTAGCGTCACTAGCTTCTTTAGTATTATTATTAAGTATTGGAGGTGGTATATATTTAAAATCTTTCAATACTTTTTCGTCTGCTCTAATTAATTTAGCTTCTAATGCTAAAAAATAAAAAGAAGAAGAGGAAGAGGAAGCAAGGGATAAAGGAAGAAGGAAACTATATATAATGGCTTATTTTTTACTTTATATTTTATTAATTTTATTTTACCAAAGTTGTCTTTTTGAATTAGAGATAAATCTCCATCAGTTTCATTTACTAATGAAACTACTGTGTTTTCGACGCTTGTTAGTATTTTACTAACAATAGTCATTTTTTTCTTAACTGAAAATTGCTCCCAATCGGCTTCTTTACTTTCGTCTAATAAATTATTTGCTGTATCTAAAACAGCCTTTGGGATAGATAAGTAAAAAGTTGGAAAAGAATAAATCATATCATTAATTATTGTTCACTTACAAATGATGTTATATTATTGTCCGAAACATCACCTAACTGTTGCGAAAGATGCTCCAAGATAATTGAATATGTACGAATATTTCCGGAATATTCCATAGTATTTTTGGTTTCATTGGCAATTTTTATACCAACTTCCGAACTCGAAACGTTATTAATTTCCATCTTTGAGAATTTATATAATGATATAAAAGAGAGAAGGTAATATTGTAATAATGGTTAATATACTTGATCAAGTAAATCTTTAACAGGTGGCGAAGTACATTCTGTTGTATTTGATCTTTTCCATCCACGTGAAAAGTCGCATATCCGTTTAGCCTCTAAAAAATGTTTTATTCGTTTATATTGCTATTAAAGTACTATAAGTAAGCTATTGAATAAAGAAACCATGTTTTTTATCTGGACAAAAGGCTGTAACAACTTTCATTCTATCAAAGTTTGAGACATTTGTAGGCTTCCAACAAATCTCTCCATGACAATCTTCTGGGCAGAGGGAGTGAATTACCTTGATCGTTGTTTCTACAAACATAGTTGTTTTCGCTCTTACTGTTGTAAAATCATCTTTCGTGGATAGTTCGTCAAACTTAGTTTCAATAGCCGTTACAGTATTAATATCATTTATATTTTTTATTGTAGAAGGTAAATATATCGTCTTAGTATACGACTTATTCATACTATTCGTATTGGTCGTATTCTCGAATATTTGTTTAGTAAAGTTTGTCAATTCTAAATAGTTCTTTGTGGTAGATAATCTTTCATTTCCTCTTAATGTTAAACTCTGTTTTTTCGTTGTATTTTTATTTGGTTTTTTAGTCTTTCGTCGTTTGTCTATTACATGTTCTATAAAATTAAATTGATAATATTAGAACTAGTATATCATATAAATAAATGCAAATTTTACCTATTCCTCTTATACATTTAAAAAAGATTATTACTGGATTGTTTAAACATTCTGTATTATTCTTAATTTGTGGTAAATTACGTTTAAATTGACAATTTCTTTTGTAGTTGCATCTAAAGAAAAATGGGGAAAAAAAGTAGAGTGAAGGTGATTATAGAGGCAAAAATATCGAAAACTTTACAAACCTAAAACAGTTTTTTCTCAAGAGTAGAGATGGATCATTGTCTTGAAATTTACTAGAAGGCCAAGAAAGAACGTCAGCATTGATATCTGTACAATTATTAATGATTGTATTATATTCGGCTGAAACAATATTCATGATATGTTTTTTAGGACAATTCAGTTGAATATCTTCATCTAAGGTATAAACTTTATAAATCGATTCAACTGATCTTAAACATCTATATTGAAAATGTAATTTTGTTTCAAATTCCTTTCCAAAATATCTCGGTTTGCAACATTTCATATAAATTGAATAGTAGGTAACGTTACACTTGTTCATATATTCACATTCGAATAGCAGTGTTGTTTTCAATTTTTCCATACAAGTATAACAAGCTTGCGAATAACTATCTGTTAGAGATTGAATCCAAGGTTTTATACTTGATGTTGAATTAAACCATAAATTCAAGTTTTCTTTGTATATTTCTATAGTATAATGCGCTTTGCATTGTATTGTTATTGTAGAGCTGTATGGTACAGTTGACCTGGTTTATAGATTAAATAAATTAATTATATTAATAAAAATATTAGAAAACATACATATGAAAAGGGGAATTCTCTTCAGGCAAACAATAATAAAGTATTTTTAAGGGTCTTTTAAAACATTTGTTATCTGCAATGTAATAATTTTCGGCCCTTGTAAATATACAAAATCTTCTATCATTACACCTAATTTGCATAAAAGAGAATATATTATAATAATTAATAACTAAAGATGAAGAAATTTATATATTTAAATATATATATATATATATATATATATATATATATATATATATGTATGTTTCTTTTACATTTTACCCATATTTTTATGACGTTTTGGACACAGATACTTTCGAAACCAAGTACGAGTTCCTTTCCTTGGCATTATGCAATCAATTGCTTCTGTAACGTAGAGAGCCTTATCAATCTTTAATTTAAAGTAATAAGGGCATTGTATAAAATATTTCTTTCTTGATACAACGACGGTTCGTTTACGAGTTGGATAACATTGATACTTCAATTGAATTATTAAATAAGTAAACTCTGAATAACTTTCACTTTTGTAACATTTCAAAAAGTTCTGGTGAAATTTTATTATACATTTATTCATATATCGGCACCTTTATAAAATAGAAAGTCTTATTTAAATATATTTAAATATTATACGAAACAAACCTATTTCTTATTAACATTTCGTAATAGCTCCAACAACTATTGCATTTTATTCTTGTCCTTGTAATAATTTGACTGTGGTTTGGATATGTTTGATTTGTAGCAAAACCATATAAAACCATCGATCTACCCATGAGTATATGAGAATTATAAGGACAAATGATAGCCCTTTTTTCATTAAGATTTACATCTAAACTAAATTTTTTAACATTTTCTTGGAATTATCTTTCATTTATGATATAAAAGCGTTTTACCTGTAAAAAGTGCTTCGAGATGACCAACTGTCATATGCGTATATCTCATAAATATTAAAGATTGAAAGGAAGATCAGCAGTTTCATATCTTAATTTATTAAAAGAATAACAATAAATGTTACATATTAAGCGTATAATTAATTTAAATGCAAGATATTTTTTGCAAATTAGCATATCTAACGATTATAAACTAAATATTTAATTAAAAATAAATTAAACCTTTTCTACTACAGTTTTTATCCAGCTGCAAAGTCTGCTGTTAATGAATGAGAGAACTATGAGCAAGTTGTTTATTACTCAGTGCAATATACTCAAAATTAATTATATTAAAAAGTATTGTAAAACATGTGAGTATTTCGAAACAGCATACGCAGGTTATACAATATACTGTATATACCTCTTTATATTATCTACTTTATAAAGTACATATATATTTATACAGTAACTCTTCGTTAATGTGTAGAACATAGTTTATTTTGTTTTTTAAAAAAAATATATGTATGAAGGATTTGAGCTCTCTCTCTCTCTCTCTCACTTTATTTCTCTTTCTCTTTCTCTCTCATTTATTTTTTCTTCCTCCTCTTCCATTCTCTTTATTTCTTTTTTATTTAGTATAAAAAAGTAATAATAAAGTTTTTATCTCTTCTTTTTTTTCAATACTTAAATCAATTAATCAAGGTATTTTTCTCTGCCGCTTTTATGGTTTACTTTGATGAGATAAGACAGAATATTATCATAATATCTCTTTTTTAATCTATATTTCTCTCATTTTTTATATATATGTATATATATAAGTAGACGATTTTGAAGATAAGAAGGTGAAGATTATATACAGTATATATATATGTATACAGTATAAACTTATACTGTATTTATTGAATTTATTTCTTTTTAAGTATTTCTTTTATTTTTTAATTTGATTTAGCCGGTTTTTTTTTTATAAAAACAAGTTTATTATGAATTCAATCATAATTTTAAGTATTTTACTCTTAAATACAATACTTTGCTATGATTTACCAACCGAAAATGGGGAAGATTTTCGTAAAATTAATAACGATAAATTGGAAAAGGAACCATTCACTTTTGATGATATGTTTGGTGGAAAATACAGTCCTAAATCATACTCAATCGCATGGATAGACGAAAAACGTTACATTCGGATGGACGAGAATAGTACAGTTAGAATTTATGACGCCGACTCGAATGGAAATAGCATTCTATTTACTGGATCACTATTTGTTTGTATTACATTTCGCTCAAGGCCTATTTTTTGACATACTTTAGCCTATGTACGAGATTATAAAGATATAGAAAAAATTCCAGTCAAGTGTATAAAAAGTACTATAAATAAGTAATAAGAACGATTAAGTTTGAATATGAATTATATAAAAATTAAATCTTATTAATTATATAGTAAATGTATTCATAATACTTCTTTATACTATTAGCAAAATATACAGGCAATATGTATTTATTCATTTTATTTATACAGAATGAAATTAGGGCAAGCTTTTATATGTTTTCAACCGACTTACAATTTGTTCTATTCGGTTATGAGAGACGACAAGTAATTTATGATTATTTCCAGTTATTACACACATAATTAATAAATTTATTATATTGTTTACTTATTTTAGTTGTGGAGACATAGTTTCTTGGCTAAATATACTATTTACGATAGAACTAATCAAGTATTTATACCATTTCCCAATGGTCAACTTCAAAATGCAACATTACAAATGGCCGTCTGGTCCAGATCTGGACAAAAAATAGTAATTTTGTCATTAAAAGATGTCTTTCTAAAAAGATTCTATACTATTGCATGTTGTTTAGAGTTTTGTCCATGACAACGACCTCTATGTGCAAAATTCACCTTCGGAAGATCCTATAAGATTAACTACTGATGGAAAAAAAGAGAAAATTTTCAATGGTATAGCAGATTGGTTATACGAAGGTTGTATATTGAATTATTACTTATTATTTTTAACTCTATCATGAAAATTTCTCTTCTTCTCTTCAATAGAGGAAATACTTTCAACTTATTCGGCTCATTACTGGTCTCCATCGTCTGATAGACTAGTCTATGCTAGATTTAATGATGAAGATGTTCCGTTGTTCGATTTTACCTTTTATGGTCCTAAAGAGACTATGTATCCGGAAACTGTACAAATTGCCTATCCCAAAGCTGGAAATTTGAATGAAAGTCAAAATACCAAAGTCGAATTACGTGCTGTTCGTTTAAATAATCCCACCAATCATGTCACATTAAAGCCGCCAAGCGAACTTGTGGGTAAAGATCATTATTATACGAGAATCACTTGGTTCGACAATGATCTATTATACGTTGTTTGGGCAAATAGAGTTCAGAATAAAACTTTTGGTACTTTTTGCGACTCGAACACCGGAGATTGCCAAACGGTATTAATAAAGAGGGAAATTTTTTATAGAATAGGCCTACTAAATTATATTTTACTTCATCTATTAGGTTGATAGATTAGTCGTCGCTGATGGATGGATAGACGTAAATAAATAAAATAGAAAATCAAATGATATTTTCTTATTCTTTTAATATATATATATATATATATTTCCTTTCTAGCCTGGTCAGACAATACTATTTACAGGAGAAGAGAAAACTTTCTTTACGATAAGGGCTAACAATGGATATCGCCAGATTTTATTTATAAATCCAGATATAAATCAATTCCAATATTTAACTGATGACGAATGCGATATTACTTCCCTTGTTTCCTATGATTCTACTCACAGAAAGCTGTAATACCCTATTTATTTATATATACACTAATATTCATTTATTTAAAGCTGTATATTGCATTCGATATAATAATTTCATCTTTTATCCATTCAGATATTATATAACTACCAATTTTGACCCGAAAAAGAGATTTTTATTTGTGTAAGCCTATAAAATAATATTATTTAACTGTCTTTTACTTTAGTTTTTCCATATTCTTCTTAGATATGATTTAACAAGATTTGAGAAGAAATGTTTAACTTGCGATATAAATTGTGGTTATGCGTCAGCATCGTTTAGTGGAGATTCTTCCTATTACTTGCAAGTTTGCTTAGGTCCAAGTGTACCAGAATACAAACTAAGAAAAACAAATGATGAAGATTGTTAGTATTAGAAAAATCTATTAGTTTCTTACTCTTCTTTTTCATTCTATCCTTAGAATATATTTCACTTGTATATTCTATATATAAAACATTCTACTTCCACCTAATAATTATTCTAAAATAGTTACGAGGATTCTTGAAGATAATACGGAATTTAAGGAGAAACTTGAAAAGAAAATTGTTCCTAAAAAAGAATACTTAAAAGTTCCAATTGGTGGTGGTTATGGTTAGTATAGGCCTATTACATAAAGGGATGGATTGAGATGTATACTAATATATATTCCTCTCTTTTATATCTGTAGATGCATGGGCTGAAATAATGAAACCACCTAATATGACTGATGGCACCAAATATCCGGTTATTGTCACAACGTAAGCCCATAAAAGTTTTATGATTGTTTACATTTTAAATAATGTACCATTTAATAAACATATTATCCAGTTACGGTGGACCTGGTAGTCAACGTGTAACCGAAAGATTTTCAATAGGCTGGGAACATTATTGGACTACATCTCAAAACGTTGTTCATATTGCTTTAGACGGAAGAGGAACTAATAATAACGGGACCCATTTTATGCATTTACTATACAGAAAAGTGGGAACTTTAGAAGTAGAAGATCAAATTACAGGGGCAAAGTAAGTAATTGGACACGATTTAACTGTAAATCATCAATGGATTTTTTTTTTAAAAAAACAAAAAATTATTTCCTATAATAAAAAGGCTAATACCATTATTATAATTCTTTAATTAATTTAATAAGAATAGCTCTATATGTAAATATTGTATATTATATTTATATATATATATTGTGAATATACCCACGCAAAAAATGAAGCATTGCCTTTTCATATACTATATATTCTATTTTCTTTCTCTATTTTGTTTTTTTATATCGAATAAAGCTCTAATTCGTTTACCTCATTAATTTTACAGGTATTTCCGTGATACGTACGAATTTATTGATGGAGATAAAATGGCCATTTGGGGTTGGGTAAGTAAACGTTTTAAATAAATAAATTTCTTTATAAATTCCTTATATTTTTGAAAATTATATAGTCTTACGGTGGCTTTCTAACATCTCATACGATGGCTAACAGCAATTCTGCTTTTCAATGCGGTATTATTGGTGCTGCTCTCTTCGACAGGAGATATTACGGTAAGGATTAAATAAATATAATCTGCTTTTTAATTAACTTTTAATTATTTATTTTATTATTAGATACTGCTCATACGGAACGTTTTATGGGAATGGCAGGGCCGGAGGATAATCAAGACGGCTACGAAGTAAACTTATCTTCTATTTCTTTATATAAATAGTATTAAAACTTTTTATTATTCTTTTCACAAACAGAGAACAAATGTTATGCGAAAAATAGATCTAATGAAAGATAAAAAGTTCCTTATCATACACGGCACTGCTGACGGTAATGCACAACAATAAATCTTATATAAAAGAACAAACTAACAAAGAAATATCATAACATTTAATCTTGATTGGTCATTGAAAACAGTTTTTCAATGATTTATACAAGAAAACCTGTTGCCATTTGTTATGTTTGCCTATAATTAATCTTGTAATTAGTCAGTTTAAATATTCTTTTTCTACAGATAACGTTCATTTTCAAAGTTCGGCTCACATGTTTAAAGCTCTTAATGAGAAGGAAATTCAATATCAAACAGCAATATATACTGATCTAAACCACTACTTTTTGAGAAGATCAAGGCATATATTGAGACTTATGACTAATTTCTTTGTTAAAGATTGCTTTGAAAAAGTACCAAACTAATTAAGACAAATTTGGTATTCGTTCTTCATTAAAAGTCTTTTTTCTTTTAATTTTATGACTATTTTCACGAAGAATCAAGAAAATACAAATAAATATAAAAAGACAGGCGTTTAGTTAAGTAACCTATTGATTTCTTTATTAATTGGTTAAGAAGGAAAAGAACAAAAAGAACCATTAAGACGTGTTAATAATCTTACTGTAATTCTGAAGCAATATATAGAGCGTTATAGGCCCTATACAATACTATGTGCAGTACATAGAGATGTATACGTATCATAAAACATTCCCTTCTTATTGGTTAATTCAATATAAAAGAAAACAGTTAAAATTTGCCATCCCTTTTTGCCTTTTTATTTCCATCTTTATGGAACATTAAGCACTTTACTAATACAGTACCGTTTCAAATGATATAAAAGAACGATTTAATAGGCCTATAATCTGCTTTAATTGTAAAGCATATTAATAATAGATAACTATAAATATATCAGATACATCAAACTTTTTTTTTCCATTTGTTCAACCTTAAATATTCAACGTGGTATGCTTAATATTCTTGAAGATGCAGATGGCGCTGTTTTCTAACTCCAGTTTTGATTAGAGATCCTCGCACACACGTTCGAGTAGTGTAATGCCAAGCACATAAGAGAGAAAACTATCGTCGTTTTTTATTTTACTAAAAGTAAAATATCGACTTAATCGATTAGAATAGTTTAAACCTATTCTAGGTCGATTTATTCTCTTTAGAAACCAGTTAATAGAATATACAATTCCATGAAGAGAACATCTTGAAGAGAAAAAGAAATGATAATTTCTCGGCAGCATTCAACATTGATGGAAGAGAGTTTGGTGATAAATTTGTAGATCATTGGCAAAAAAAAAAACTGTATCCTAAAGATGAATGAGAATTGTTTGTTTATCCTTTTACTTCTAACATGGACCTTGATTGATTCAACATTATATTCAAATAAATGGGCCGCAAAAATTGAAGGTGGAGAGCAAAAAGCCCGAGAAATAGCTCAAAAACATGGATTTAGATATTTATCAAAGGTATTTATTACTATTTTTTAAATTAAATATATAGATGCAGTATATATATTAGTATATATATCTATATATCTTAATAACTTCCAATTATTCTCCATCAAGTGTTTCGCTTATCAAGTAGATTATGAGGAATTTTTTTCTAGAAATTTTTGCAGTAGGATATTACAGATTTCTTCGAAAAATAATTAATAATCTCTAGTCGTCTACAAATGTTAACTATTTATATATATATTATTCCCAAAAACCTTTTAAATAGATAGAAAACTGAGTACCTATTAACAGAGATTTGTAACAATCTCTCTTATCTATCATCTAACTATATTAAACTGAGCATTTAGGTGCTAGTTGGATAGTTTAGTTACATAATTACCCATAACTAATCAGCGAGAACATCATTAACTCAGACAGGAGAACGTTGATTTGTTTATTTTTACTCCAATTAGCCGACTAGAGGAGAACTTAGAATAAAATAACTATTACCCAAAGGTTACAAAATCTGAGATAATTTAGTGAAACAATTTCGAATATTTTACGATTTTTTTTGCCAGTTTTTCGTTAATTTAAATAAAATACTCTAATAATAATTAAGCAATGTAAACTACGTAGAAAATGCTTGTAAGAAGTTTAAAGAAATAAATAAAGAATTTTCTATCCCTGTTTTTTCTTACCCCTACCCCTTTTAACTCTTCTAACCCCCCCAACCCTTTCCCCTCTCTCCCTCCTCCCAACCGCAAATGATACAAGTTATACATCGCGTTTATCAGACGCATAAGATTGATTAATGACCGCGATAAACCCCTTACAGATTTTCGACAATTATTACCACTTGGAACATGAAAAAATCCAAAAACGTTCTATTAAAAGTAGTCAACATGCTCATAGCTCCATTACCAAAGAAGAAGAGGTAGGCCTATTTATTATTTCATGTTGCATGATAGTCTATATAAAAATAAATTACAACCAACTGTTATGAGACAAGTTTCCTATATAGTTTATCAAATATTTCTTGTATATAAGAGCCATGTTTTTCTTTTGCAAATATCTTTTGCAATGAGAGAGAGTGAGAGGAAAAATTGGTGAGGAAATGAGCGAGTGAGAGCAGAGCGGGAAATGGTAAATCCTAAGAAGGATATTTATCTGACCCCGAATGAACTTCCTCCCTGCAACTGATAATTGTATTTGTTCAGAGTAATGTTGTGACTTTAGTATTTGAACCGAAACGAGCAGTTGGTGTTGAGAAATCGAAAAAGACGTAAAAGAGATAAATAAACAGAAATAATAGAGAAATCTTTCCCAAAATTACTTGGAACAGGTGCTAGCCGTATTTTTGATATTAACTAATCCGAATGTCAGAGACGGTTGGTAGGCACACAATTTATAGTATATTCTCTAGTCTATTTACGTAGTTTTAGAGAAATATTTATCAATTTTATACTTTCTTTCGTGTTTCTTTCATTTTTACCAAATTTTCTCCTTTTTATTCCAACTTCTCCTCTCTTATTAAATGACTGGCGGAAAAGAATTGACCCAGACTTAACCAATTTGAACGTCAACCATTTCTTTTATCACTAACTTTGACCTTTCACCCATATGATTTCCCTAAAGTATATAGTCTTTACCGACGACATTAACTGTAGGGAAATTGTAGATTGATGATTGGAAAATAAGTCAGAGTTAAAAGTAAAAAATTTGGCATGACATTTGCGTTTCCTTCCTTTATTTTACAAACATTTTATGGCTTAGTTAATCTGAAAAAAAGGAACTTTTTGTTTTTTAATCTTTTCGCCATCTTTTTTTGAGTTACACTTTTATCTTTAGGAAAAGAAAAATCGCTTAGTTGTTAATGCAATATCAGCCAGATAAGGTAATTTGTAATAAGCCCTCTATGATTTAAGATACATAGAAAATTTGACGTTGTCTACTTAAGGGATTATATCGCCTATCTTTTACGCCTCCTTTCCCATTTAATAGATGAAAGAGCTTGAAGGTAAGAGAAAAAAGGATAGCTGAGAAAGTATTAAAATGTACCCAGTGCTAACATTGAGAAGGCACGTGGAAAGGAGGGGAGGGGGTGGATTGTAGAGAGTAGATGAAACGATAGGTCTTGAAAAGAGAATAAGAGGGGAGGGGGATGCTAAAGATATAGAAAGAAACCAAATATACTAACTGCTCGTCGAAGTTCTTCTTTTTCTGTATATACAACGGGCTTGTTTGCTTTAGTACGGTAAAATGTTTGTTATGTTGTGTTTACTAACGGTTGACTTTGGCCATCTTACTAGTTTATACTAGGTGATTTTTATCGGCTACTCTGATAATTCTCTTCCACTGTAATACAGGTGAAATGGATCAAACAGCAGGAGATAAAGAATCGCGTAAAACGAAATGTGAAATTGAACGATCGGAAGTGGAATAGGATGTGGTATTTGGTAAGTGAATTTTCTGTAACTTTCTCTTTTTTTCGCATCAAGCGGGTTTTCTTTGACGGTTTAAAACGAATAAGCGACTTCTTTTCATTCTATATACTAGCACTGGAAAATGGGTACTTGACCTAGTCGTCGTTTCCTGTTTGTGATTCTCATCTTCTCTTTCTTTCCCATTCTCCCTTATTCTTTTTATTTCTCACTCTCATACACTTTCGTCTAAAGTTTATCACTCTCTTTAATCGAGCGTTAACTTAATGAAGGGAAAAAACACAAAAGCCAAGCGAGTTTATGAGCCCTGATTAAACGATTAGTAGCCATTTTCCTCCTTCTTACTCCTAAAGTGTTATTAAGGATATGAAAATCGTAAAAAGTATAGAATAAAATGTAAAAATGCATACATTCGTACATATATATGACATTCATTTATAAAATATTTATATAAAAAAGAGCAGCGTGTTTCTACAACTGAAACCAATAGAGAGATAGAATTCCAATGTAAATACAACTAATGATTGCGTATATTCCAGAATATGTAAATACCAATTGTATACATTGCCCAATTCCTAACAAATACTTACCCTTTAATTAAATGATTAAGTACACCTTGGGAAAGATTACCTAAGAGAGAAAAGAATAGTTTATTTTCATTTTCTACTTCCAAATTCTCCTTTTATTATATATTAAGAGAGTGAAAATAGAGAATGCAAGAAAAAGAGAACCAGAGATGAGTGAGTGAGTGAGTGAGTAAAAGAGAGATAGAGAAGAGAGAGAGAGGGGGGGAAAGAGTTAATAAAAATTGACATTCCTTTCGATACGCGGATGAAATTGCAATAGATTTCTTACAGGAATAAGGAAATCGCTTCTTTACGCCATCAACGTTTCGTAAATAAAATTCGTAAAAACGTTTACGTTCGCCCCTTATAAGGAACGTAAAAAAAGACGTATCGATTTCCCAAAGAGAGGAGAGAGGAGAAAAGTTATATCTTCCTGCATACTTTTACATATACTGTACATATATATATATATATCTGTACTTGTATATAAAAACGACTATAAATATATATTATTTATGATGTTTAACTTCCTTGAACTCCATAATTCTCAGAACAGAGATATGTCTCTGCCATCCATATTTCAAATAAAATCTTTTACTTTTTGGCCTTGATACTATGTTATTCCCATAATCCTTTAGTCAGTTGGGGTTAATCGATATATTGAAATGGATAGTCGATATTTGTACCCTTTTACAGTATTTCTCCACCCCCTTTTCTTCATCTATATCTATTTCTATTTTGTCCTTTCTTTCCTTTTTACTCTCTTCTCTCACTGATCTAATAGGGTTAGTTGTTTTATGCATATAGATTATACATTCCTTCGCATAGATAATATTTGATCAGTGAAAGTATCCTTTGTTTAATATATATATATATATATATATATATATATATATATATATATAATGCCGGTTGAATAAATAGGAGTTAGTCCTCTTCCCAAAGTGTTTATGACTGGCGTATTAAAGGATTGTAAATTTATAGTTTCAAATAGCGCAGTTTAGGCTTATAGTAATATATTTAGCTTTTATTGATGAATGATTTACCAACGGTTTTCTGAATAAGGCAGGGAATAGTTGGCTGCTGTGGACAAGAGACAAGAAAAGCTAGAGGGGTTAGAAAAATGGCGTAAGACAATGACTTCTTAAGGAAATAGGTGGATATCTAATCGATCAGTTATGCTTTGTTCCATCCCCCTTCCCCCAACGAGCAGCGGAATTTCAAGCAGCCAAATACGTAATGAATGCATGTGTCATACGCAATTTCTTTACTCCTATTTCCCCTTTAACGTAACCAGAATAATTAGGCAATTAAGCACCAGATAAAGAAATGAGATGGCTGGATGAGAATGAATGAAAGTAGAAAGTGGGTGGAATAATTCTGAACGTAACCTAGTTCATTCTTATATGTAATTTCATTGATAGTAGAGGCGTCAAATACCGAAATTAATCAATACTTTAGGCAAAAAGATGAATAATAAATAACCCTTTATCGTTCCGTTTCTTTCTATCTCAATAGTATTGTAGTGTTTACCCAATTCGACGCCAAAGGGAATGTCAAAGTAACGAGGTGGTGAAACATAAAATTTAATTTACTTTGCTCCCTTACTAATTTGCCAGTTTGTATATTCATTGGCATAATTTGGATCCGTTTCAATTATCTTTTCACCAATTGTCACATTGACTGTCTTTCTCTCTCTCTCTCTCTCTCTCTCTTTCTCTTTAAAAAGGTCATGAGAAGACGTGAATTACTTAGCTATCCCCCTTTTACAGACTCTAGGTTTCAATACGCACATACTTGTTAATTGTATATATAGTATAATTATTTCTTGATCTATATATAGCTTGTTGATATGTTTGTTTATTTGCTTGCAAGTTTGCTTGTTTATCCGTAAGATTAATTAAGGCTATTGTATTTCAAAGAAACGGTATACAAAAGATGTCGATAATTATTGAAAAAATATATTGAGTGCTGAAGATAATAGGAAGAGGAAGTCGTGAGAGATCTTTTACATGTCCCCTTAAGGTGAGAAGTGTACTAGAGAACAACACATTTTCCTACTAGGGAAAAAAAACCAAATTTCCTTATTCTGTATTCTATCTTTAGACGCAATCTTACAGATAAAGAAACTGGGAGGAATCAGATCATCCCTCGTATTCGTTCGTTATTCCCCTATTACCGTTCCTTTTTTCATTATCTTCAACACTTTTTTAAAACATTAGAATGAGAATGAACGAAAGTGAAAGAGAAAGATGAGTTTTTCATTGGAAAGAGACGATAGTATCAAATTATCTTTAATATTTAAATAGAATTGGTAGCAGTTTTTTTCTTGAATCATTTCCCTACTGACTTTTTTTTCCAAAATTTCCTCAACCTATAAATGAGATGAGGCGGCGAGAATAGATAAGGTTTTATTAGAAGAAGGGGGACACCCTCTGTCCAATCATACACTCGATTACCAATAGTATAAACGAATCAGAAGAGGAGCAGAATCCGATTATCTTAAAGAGATTTCTCGAACTAGGCGTAAAAGGGTTAAATTATGGCTGATCATATGCCGCTTGATTGCGTTTATTTTATTCTAGTTGATATGTTCTTTCACCAAGAAATAGGGTGACTCTTTCCCACTAAACTGATAAGATTATAGATATAAAAGAAAGATATGTAATCTTATCTTACGGCTCGATTGACTATTTTGGGATTTTTTCTGTATTCTCTTTAACCAATATGAAATTTTTATCCCCCTCTCTCTCTTTCTCTCTCTCTCTCTCTCTTCTCTTCTCTTCTCTTCTCTTCTCTCTTTCTCTCCCTCCTTCTTTTTTACTTTTTCTTTGATTGAAAAGAGCAAACACTTATAAAAATAAACTTTATGTAATTTTCCCGTCTGTTGTAAAAAAATCTCTCTATTTTCCTCCTTTCCCTCATCTAAAGATGAAACTTTACAGATGAAAGAAATAAAAAAAGTAGATGATATGTTGAACTTTATACTATGGAATGCTATTATTGTTCATTTATCAACTTTTAACTTACCCATTATGAATAATTTATGTTAATAGTCATAAAAAAAAGTATAATCTTCTTTTGAATAGAAGAAAGGTACTTTTATAGTATACAACACTGATCTAGATGTTTATTATTACAAAAAAAAACCTTCTCTCGCCACAGATGCGGCATTTGTTCCGCATACGCGCTCAATCGAATAATTACGCGCCCTGGAAGAGAAAAAGAAGGGGCGTTGCTAATCTGCCAGAGAGAGAGTCTAAATTCTTATCCCTTCAAAGTAAACCGTCTAGTTAATTGCGTTTTCTAATCGATACTGATAGGCTCTATAAACAAGTGAAACAATAACTTAGTACCATTTCGTCAACAGAATCGAGGTGGAGGACTAGATATGAACGTTCAAGACGCTTGGTCAATGGGATTTACTGGTAAAGGCGTAGTTGTTACAATATTAGACGACGGAATTGAACGAAATCATCCCGATTTGAAAGCAAATTATGTAAGTAAAAACAATAAGCCTTTTCTTTGCAGTCGGATTCTTTTCACATAAGGTCGGTTAAAGAAATAATTCTAATAATCAAGACCAAAATACTCGTACAATATACAATAGCATATATACAGTATATATATAATAAATTATACAGTCCATAAAATTTTGATTTGTAATGGATTTTTCTCTGACGTAGGCCTATAAAAAAAACAAAGTTATGAACAGCATAATAAAACGTTAGTAGGAGATTAGGGGATTAGCGCTGTAAGCTTAAAACGTGATCTGTTTGTTATAAACAAAAGAGAATTACTTTAGGGAAAGTTAAAAGTGCGTTTTTTCCTATTTTTTACAAAATAGATCAATTTATCTGTATTGATGGATATTTTTTAAAGCGTTTAAAAAAGAAACGCCATTCTATTTTTTGAAAAGCTTAAGATTTTAAAAATAGAGGTTATTTATGAACAAAAAAAGAATTGTGTGAATGCTTATGGCATCTTGTTCAATAATTTATCGAAAACCCATAACTTTTAATAACAAAGTGTAAAGTTTGTTGAAATAGACTCTTTACTCTAAACTCTGTATATTCTCTGTATTTCACTATTCTACATCGAATAGTCTAATTATTCAATTATATATATTTTTTATTATCATTTATTATTATTATAATAAGTTTGTTGTAAAAATAAAGAAAGAGATTGTACGGTTAAACTAATATCAGATATAGGATTATTTAATTAGGGTAATTAATCTATTACAAGAAATATAAATATAGAATCAAGCCCATTCGATTACGTATTTTTTTATAAACAAAATAACAAAATATAACGAAAATAGATATGAATTAAACAATAGTTAAAGCCTAAAAGATGAATGACAGCTATTGTCTACTAAAACGATAACTTGTCTGAAAGATCACTTACAGCTTTTCTAATCGATTATCAATATTTTCCCCTTTGTATTATTTATCCATATGTATAATAAGAGTTGCATTAAATACTAATAAAGAGGAAAAAGCGAAAAGCTTTCCCTGTTTTCCTTCTTTTTATTATTATCTCCGTTTTTATACGTCATTTTATGTAGGACAAGGTCTTTCATATTTGTTACCTCTTTCCTTCTCGCCATTTCTTCTTCCTTCTCTCCCTTTTTACTCTATATTTCTCTTTTGCCTGTAGAGGAAAAAGCAATTACAATCTTTTCTTGAGTTAATCGTCAACGAAGCTGAAGAAACAGAAACGGTTAGACAGTTTATCAGCACGTAGAACACGTGCGATTTTGCTTTCTGTCGGAAATTGGTACTGCTGTCTGGCTGGAATAGAGATTTCACTAATCGACGGAGTGATTTCTCTTTGTTCACAACCATAAGCGAAAATTATACGCTTGTAATATATACAAATATATATACTAATATATATATATATATATGTATACATATACTGTATAATAGATTTATTAACAAGTATACTGACATATAAACGCATAGTGCGGTATTTATCTATACGACTGTAAGAAAATATACAGTATATCCGTATCTAGTATATCTTGTACTTTGTATGCAAAAAAACATTTATAGACACGTTTCTTTTCACGATTTGTATTTTCTTTTTACGTTTATAGGATCCGAGAGCCAGCTTTGATGTAAACAATCATGACTCGGATCCATTACCGAGATACGATGATTCGAATGAGAATCGTCATGGTACTAGATGCGCTGGGGAAGTTGCTGCTATCGCAAATAATAGTATGTGTTCAGTTGGTGTTGCGTTTGATGCTTCCATTGGTGGTGTAAGGATGCTGGACGGTGACGTTACCGATGCTGTTGAAGCGCAAAGTTTATCATTGAATCCGCAACATATCGATATCTATAGTGCCAGTTGGGGACCGGATGATGACGGAAAAACGGTTGATGGCCCTGCACAATTAGCCTGGAAGGCTTTTGTTGATGGTGTCGAAAGAGGTCGAAGGGGCCTTGGATCTATATTTGTATGGGCTTCAGGCAACGGAGGACGAGAAAAAGACTCATGCAATTGTGATGGGTATACGAATTCAATATACACCTTGAGCGTTTCTTCGGCAACGGAGCATGGGAAAATACCGTGGTACAGTGAACCTTGTTCCTCAACTTTAGCAAGCACTTACAGTTCAGGTTCTGAAAATGATCGTCAAATAGTTACATCCGATCTAAGAAAGGGTTGTACGGAGGGCCACACTGGAACTTCCGCCTCAGCTCCGCTAGCTGCTGGAATAGTAGCATTAGCCCTGCAGGCAAATCCTCGGTTGACCTGGAGAGATATGCAACATATTGTTGTTCTAACCGCAAATCCGAACCACCTAGCCGCTACAGATTGGAAAATTAATGGTGTCGGAAAACGTGTATCGCATTCCTATGGTTACGGTATAATGGACGCAACCGCAATGATAAAATTAGCTAGAAATTGGACAAGCGTTCCTCCCCAAAAGAGTTGTGCAACTCCTTACAATAACGGATCGAAATCGTTTTCGTCTGGGACCAGTATTAAGTCGACCGTCTATACAGATGGTTGTGGTAGGGTAAATTACCTAGAACATGTTCAAGCGGTTGTTGTTCTGTTTGCCTCTAATCGAGGTGAAATTGCAATTAAATTGAAAAGCCCCAGTGGCACAGAAAGTGATCTACTTGTCAAGAGACCACGTGACAGTTCGGGGAGAGGTTTCGATAAATGGGCTTTCATGACAACTCACTGCTGGGGAGAACACTCTCACGGAGCATGGACATTAGAAGTGATATCCGGTTCCACTACTGGTTCTTTGGATTCTTGGACTCTAGTAACATGGGGAACAAAGACTCCACCTTACGGTAAAAGGAAACATGAATATTCGGGTTTGTATAAGATTTTTCAAGATGATTATAGGCGGCATGTGCCAAATTTAAATAATGAAGTTTCGAGAACCCAATCTCTTGTTGCTCGATGGTTTTTTACGGTATTTCTAGTCACGATTGTCTTTTATTCTTAAATACAAATTAAATCCTCATCCGGAATTTTGAATATTGTACAGTATATCAACAAGAACAACTTGTAAAGTTGTCAGAATATCAACTGTAATAAATATATTAAATATTACAAGATATAGATTAATGAAACATGGATGTAATAAGTATAATTAAAAAATAAATTGTTAAAGTAGGAGTTGAGTAAGGGAGGGGAAAAAGGTAAAAGGGAATCAGAACAAGCACATTCTTCGTTTTTTTTGTCTTTTTTTTTGTCTTTTTTATCAATCCGTGCATGTTCTCATGTCAACTCTACTGGTTTTGAGATATATTTTTTCTTCCCCCTTGAAAATAAGGAATAATCCTTGCTATAAAAAGAAAAATAAACAATAGGATAAAAGCGTTTCAATTTTCTATGATCTCGACGCTTTATATTCAATACCTCAAAACAAAAATGAGTTATCTTTTTTTTTTAAAAAAAAAAAGATATACCTATTTAGAATTATCTTTTTCTTTAATTGTCCTACTGAAAAAAAAATAGAAAGAAAGATGCAAATAAAGATTAAAAAGTATCGTTTTGTAACATTCTCATCTTTCTTGATAGGTGATGAACATTTATTAATTTTTCTTTTTTTTTATTGTTTTCTTGTTGTTTTCATCTCGTTTAAATAATGCCACAAAAAAGAGAATACCATTTATGTTTAACCTTTGACCCGGATGCTTACGGTCTCCTTCCATCGGTTAAATAACTGGCGAGTGAGTATTTATAAATGATTTAGATCTTGCTCCACCACCGTCGTATTTTTTTTATGTTTCTGTGTGTTTGCCTTCCTTTTAGAATCTGTTTGTTTGTTGCTTTAGTACCGAAGATTAAAGAAACAATTATTTTCCTTCTTAACAAGTAAAAAGGTAGAAGATAATGAATAATTAATTAAACTATACGGAAGAGGGAAACTCATGTTTTCATTGATAAGAAGGAAAAACAAAATAAGAAAGAAAGCGGGATAGGAAAAGATAGAATTAGTGATAGTAAAGAGAAAAGAGAATGTATATCGCAGAAAGATTTATATCTTACTTAGTTTATTAATTAAATTCTCGATAGCAAGAGATAAGAAATTTGTACTAAACCAGCAAACCTTTCTTTTAAATATTTCTCTACTTTACATTATCAACTCTAATGATAAAGAATTTCTAGTGCTGTTTATTTCTTTACTTGGTTTCTCTCTTTTCTCTCTACACACTTACCAACTCTCTTTTCTTCTTTCTATCCTCCCTCTCCCTTTCTTAAGAAACAAAATATTTAAAAGGGCTAAAAAAGAGTAATTTAATTAAATTGAACGTGTATAAAATTATTAAAAAAATAGAAAGAAAGAAAGAAACAAGCCCTGAAGGATTTTTGTTACCGTAAATTTTTTTTATTAATTATTTATAAAGAAAATTAAAAAATATTTCAATATATTTTGATTTTCTTTCATTTCTCTCTAAAGGATTTTTTTCCCCGAGTTGCACAATTAATTAAAAAGGAAAAAAGGAAAAAAAAATACTAGAGTAATTTTGGACAAAATTCAAAATTCCAGTACATTTTTTCATTTTTTTTTTCTTTATCTATCTTCTCTCTCTCTCTCTCTGCTACGTAATAAATTAGTTCTATTTATTTTATTTAGATAATTCTTTATTTTTCTACTTAGCATGCGATAATTTAAAGTTGTGGATGAAAGAGTAATTAGGCTTAATTAGAATTTGTCTGACACAATTTCCAACTAATTATCAATCCTATTTATTCTTAAGTAGAAATACACTTTGGATAATAAAAATAGTACTTTTCTGCAGCCTATTAACTTTTTTATTATAAAAAGAGACGTTAATTGTATAATCGAAACATCGATCTCCAGTTTACTGCCAGGTTTTAATCTTAATTCTGCCAATTTAATGATTTTTCTCACCGGTTCTCCACAATTAAATACCAACTAAGAAGGGAAAAAAGATGAAAAAACTACCCAATTAAAAATAAACTTACCTTAATTATCTTCATTAAAAATTAACTGATTTACTGCAGTTCTTTCATAATAATTATTAGATTATAGGATAATAACTATTTACTATACTTTATAGGCTTAGCTTTAAGACTTGCTTATGAAAAGGCACGTAATAAAATAGATAGCTATTATGAAAGAGAATTTCCCATAAGCTTACCTAATAAATATTTATAATAACTTTCCAACTGTTTAGTTGTAGATACATTTTTTTCTTGGATAAGTGCCAAATCTCTTCAAGATGTATAAATAATTATAGGTTAACTAAGGCGAAAGAAAGGGGAAAAATGAAAAATCATTAAGTTTCTCTCAACCACAACGCTTTCTTTTTTTTCTCTTTTTTTTTCATTTTTTTAATTGATTAAATACAAATTTCTGCACGTTTATTGAATAAATTTACATTTTTCTCTTTATTTTTGTTTTCCAGTCATTAAATGCCCTGAGGGAGAATACTATTTACAAGGCTATTGCTACTCTCAGTGTCCTGTAAATTTCTTCGAAAGAAATACAACAACTACTTCTTCTATGCTAACTAATTTAACTGGTCATTGTTCCCCTTGCCACGAAACGTGCCTACGTTGTACCGGAAGTACGGAATTTGACTGTACTGAATGTAAAAATGGTTGGATTTTACGTAATAATAGTTTCTGTGTTCGGCAAGTTGCCTCCTCAGATCAGAAAAATTCTGATGACCTTCCACGCGAAGGACAAAGTACGAAATTGATGACTTTGGCCCTCTCTCTAGGAGGCTTTTCTATGCTCTCTTTAGCTATTTTCTTAATTATTGTCATGATACAAAGAAACGAAAAATATCGAGAAAAGTACGCAGATTACGATTCAGATTTGGGTAATCCACTTCTGGGTAATGGCGTACTGGAAAATAACGATTTATCCTACTACGAAGACACTATAAAATCTGCATCACCTGAAGGGACTTCTCTGTGATATATGTGTATTTATGTATCCTTATATATATATATATATATATATGTCTATAGGCTTATATTTTTATAATTTAAAAAACGTATATCGAAATAGAAACAGGTATAAATATCAAACACAAAAAGATTACAAAATGTGTATAGGACGAAAAAAGACAAGGAACTGAAAAGAAAAAGAAAAGAGAGTGAAAAGGCATAAAAAGAAAAAATATACTCTTGATGATGATAGTAATAACAATGACATCCACAATCGTGAAGTTTTGCAGAAGAAAAATAATTGAAAGGAGAGAGTAACTCCTTAAAGTAATTAAATATTTAAATAATCCAGTACGTAAACCTATTTGTCACAAGAAAATTAGTTTTACAAACTATACTTAAGATCGGGAAGATTATCCTCAAGTTTAAATCTTCTTTAGCGTTCCTTTATTTTCAAATATGTTTTGTTTTTTTACTTCATTGTCTTGTCATCATCAACTATTCTCTATCGTCTTTTCAGCTTTCTTATTAATTTTCAAAGCTCCTATCTTGTTATATTTTTTATTATTTTTGTTTTCGCAGTTCTTGCATTTATCTTAGCTTCTTAAGCTTAAAAAGTTTGATTAAAAGGGAAGCTGGAATGTTATATAGTTTCTATGGTAATTAGAATCACACAACTATATTGATAAAAGGAAGGAGGGCGAAAAAGGGATAAATGAAGGGATTTATATGAATATATACTATATAAATATGTAATCTAAAATTTGTATTTGTCTCTCCCGCATTTGCTTTTTTTATCATAAATATTATAAAAATATAAATAATCAATTAAAAACACATAACCGGTTAGAAAAATTCCTTTATAGTTACGTAATCATACAATCTCTCGACCCCTTCCGTCTTTTCTAAGGTTTCGTAAATACTCGTATGGACTTACTGATAAAACGCCCTACAGACGTTTCATATTAGCCTTTATTCACTCTGATAATAAATAAAAGTATCGGGTCTACAAATCCTTGTTTCTTCCTAATAAAAAACGTTCATATATCCTTAAATTACAGTCATAAATCTAGTTGTTTCTATACCCTAAGTAAAAAGATAGGGTAAAAAAAACAATCTTGTTTTTATGCATCTAATGCTATTACTATGCCTCAAACATCTGATTAAATATTCAAACGGAAACAAAACTTATATTATTACTTTTGGTTTTCATTTATTGCAAAACTTATCACAGTAATTATTGCAAAATCTTTGATAAATATTTAACTATAATGCCGTAGACGTTGTATATATACTATATAGCCTATATAATATACCTGCCTATATAATTTGGTAAAGGACAGGTAAATATACAAAGGTAATGCAACGAATATTACCATTACAGTATACTTGTATATACTTGTATAATAAATAAATAAAAGGAATCATATTATAAATGAAATCAATGTTTGGTTTCATTTATAATATATTATTTAATAAGAACTACAAGATTTCATTTATCTTTAATTTTCTTTTATTTGCTTTTGTTTGGCGCTAAGGAAAAGTCTTAAGATTTATGGAGTATTTATTTCTATTCTTTTTCTTTTTCACACCCTTTTTTATTGCTTTCGCCCCCCAAAATGTGCCTGCCTTCAATGCCATTTTATTATAAATATCTATTTACTATTTAATGTTGTTGCACTGATACTAGCAGTAAAATATCTTAGAAACTATCAGTTGAAACTATTCAATGAAACGATATTTGTCCCTGATGAGAAAAATATACGCTAAATCTTCTATTCAGTAAATGTGCTAGAGCGTATCCCAATTAATAATATTTTCAGTAAAGCCTGTACACACGTGAGAAATATTATATGATTTGCTCAAAGACAAAGTTGAACAGAAGAGGAGTGACAACTAACAATAAAATTACAATTTTATTAGTAATAAATTTATTAGAAAAAGTCGTTTCTTGGATTTTTTTTAATATTCTGCAAACAGAATTTTTGTGAAATGAATCACAACATCAATTTTTCACAGAGTTATTCTTAGTTTACGACTATCTATCCTTTAACTGCTAACCTTGGTATCTTTAAAAACTTTAACAAAACTATTGACAATGGAATTGAAATATATTGTACACTAACGATACGTGTATATAAATAATCATTATACATTTCTTATTCTAAATGCTCAACAAACAACAGATTTCCCAGTATAGAATGTGAATAGGAGGAGTGTTCATTTTTAACGTTTCTCTTCTTCATTTCTTAAAATTTCATTTCCGCCCGAATTATATAAAATATGTAATATTTATACTTAAGTTGTATACAACACCGAGCAGTAGAAGTATTTTTATTACTACAGGCTTATTACATTATCGTACATTTACAACTATAACTTAAATATGAAATAATTTTTAATATCAAAAAATATAAATGACAAAAAAGATATATACTGTATATAGATCAAACTAGATCTGATTTTCAGCTATGTTTAATGTTTTCTCAAGTTTTGATATTGTTAAGTAAATACTTCCAACCATTGATACAGGATTTTCTATTATTCTATAGTACTTATGACCCATACTAATGGCCAGATGCCATATTAATCTTGGATCTACATTCGCAGGACGAACGGTTCCATCAGCTTTCGTACCAACAATTTCAATAATTGCGCAACCGACTGGTGCAAAAAACATGTTACTTAATATTGCATTATGAATACCAATAATGATTTTTGCTTTTCTGAAAGAGCTCTTTACTTGATTTACCGAATACTGTTCTTCTAAGTCTTTAAATCGATGACCGTATCTACGCTCTAAGAACTTGCTAACCTGATTGGCGTTTCTTAATAGTTGTGTGTCGGAGGGAAGTAACAGAACAACGTCGTTAGCGTCTTTAACTGACGTAGAAATACCGAGAATTTCTCTGGCTTTCTTGAATATTTCTGGATGTGTGGGTGGAACAATACATGTATTTACTAGTCTTTCAGAACGTATAGCTCCGCCTTTAAATGAAATAAGCCTTTGAGTTGTGATACCAAATTCTCCTAAAATGCTTCCAATTAAAGGATCACATGATCCATGTACCAAAAATTTAATCTCTTTAAATTTTATCCAGCCTCTAGCTTGTATTAGTTTCGGCAATATTCCCTGGAAAAAATTGTTAATTGAGCATCCTCCATCAGTTATTATCGGTAAGACTAAATCGTAATTGTGAACTATTGGACTAGATGGTGACAATGTCCAGTCTGCTAGATTGCTGGTGGAGGTACATTGAAGGTTACTAAAAAAGTATCCCGGTTGTAACACCGCAACTATTCCCAATAGATCAGACCTTGGCTGAATACCTATTACTCTCAAATTTTCTTTATCAGCACTAAAAATATTCTCATCGTTTCTATCAACAAATATTGGCTTTGTCATATTATAGGGTGCATAGTAGACTACAGTTTTGGGATTTTCATCAACGAATATATCTAATTCGCTTCTAGTTGACTTTATTTCATCATGTACAATTTTATTAGGTTGAATTCCAGTAATGCTTTCTTTTTCTTCAAGTGACAAATGATTATCATCGATAAATTGTATAAATAAACATAAAGACGAAACTATTGCCAGGCAAACTATCAAAAGTCTAAAAATACAATATCTCTTTCCAAACATCCGTTTCTGTTTTTATTATGAATTCATAACAATTCTAACTGCCAATTATATAGTCTTTTGTAAAGGTTATTGAAGGAAATTTTTAGTTAAAGAACGTACCATTTACAACTTATTCCTTTAAAAAGAGCTGCATAATTTTCGGCTATTAATATATGTTGACTAGCAGCTCCACCCTGTATTCAAAACTTGCAGCATAACAATAACAGTTAACAATTCGGAAGCGCTTTCTTCATGAAATTTACTAGTTTTTTATTCATTGGAATGTTTCTTGATTGATGTCGAAAAATTACGAAGAAGTTGTAAATTATATTGTTATAAAATGAATATTAATAATAATTTAGCTATAGAATATTATATATTCTAGTATAAAACTACTTGTCATGCAATTATCAGCAGATTATTTTTCCTTTGTATAATTTTCAACTATTCAAACATTAAGCCTTCCCAAATATAAATATTGATAATAAAAAAAAGAAATAAACATATTTCAATGTTAGCTAAGTAGCTCTCACTTAACATTTCTTTCTTTATCTTCTTCTTTTTAATAATTTCCGGTTTTCAAAGAAACTTGTTATAATAACACCAAATATACAATTCTATAATATTACCAATTAATGTTTATGGAGTATTTTTTTTACTTATTTATAGCTTTCTATAAAATTTTAGAAATTCTATTCTTGTTCTCATTCCTGTTCAATATTCAATGTAAGAACATTATGCAAAAGATGAAAAAGTTAAATGTATTTATATCTCTACTATGTGTTTTTATTCAAATCTTTCTTCGATATTTGAAGAATTTTTATCAATTAACTAAAAACTAAACGGTGGCATTTTACATATTTTAACAGGAAAAGGAAGTCTTCAAACTATTTCATTTTTATCATTTGTAGTCCATTTATAGATTAAAAAATAAGCTGTCAGTCCATTTCTTTCTATCTTATTATAGCCTTTTCAGCACTGTAGCCATGATAATACATTTTATCTGATAAAAATGTTATTATAAAGTATTAGGTAAGTGGTGAAAAGAATCATATGTCATATCGTTATTCATTTCATGGACATTTTTTTTAAATTTATTATAGTCAAGATCCTTGAAAATATTGATGTTAACTTGTTAACAATTTTGTTACACTTAGTGTCCTACTTAGTTATAATTGAACTATTTATTAATTAGTTTTTCTTATTTCCTCATCATTTATTAAAATAATTGTTACGCAATAATTAATTCTAATATAATATCGCGATTAAATTAGTCTATTTTTCGTCGCAGATGATATAAATAGTGTAAGGGAAAATATAATAAGCTAAACTTATCCAATTAAAAAAACTTACTGTTCAATAATATATTTTATTGTTAAAAGTTGAGTATTTATTTGTAATAGAATGTTTTTATTATTCGCGCTCGGTTGTTCTGTTTAGGAACATTTTCGGTAGACTTATTCCAAAGATACTTGACAAAAATGAACTGACACTTTTTAATCAAGTATATACCCTGTCTTTAGTGCCTTCTCTCTTGTTAACCTTTATCCTCTATTTCGTTAGGAATCTAAAGCTTATCGAAAAAGTAAATCAGTAGGGAAGCAGCAAAAATACCTATTAACGTCAAATCGAGTAATTAATATATTCATTAAGAGAGTACAAACTTATCAAGACTATCAGCAAGATTATTGATACTGTCAGGAATAAACAAGAGATTCTCAATAACATTGATAATAAAAGTTCAGTTTATTTTAAAAGAGATGATAAAAAAGTCAAGTAATTGTGAATAAACAAAACAGAAACAAACTTTAAAACGTAATTTACTGATGACTAAACAATTTTTTTTTAAACAATCAAGTAATATACTGAATAAAAAGAAAAAAGTTTACTTATCATATTCGTCTGCTATACTAACTTTGATGTAAACAAATAAATGGAATGATGCCCAGTCGCTGGTCACTCGAAAATGTATTCCAATAATAAATTTAACATCCGCCATTTTTAAATTTATGCTATTGCTTGCGTTCCTTTTTTTATTGTTATACTACTCTTACAAAATGGCGGATGCCGAACAAAACGAATTGCAAAAATTAAGATCCATTCTTCAGTATTTCCTCAAAGGAGTTGACTTATCAAATAATCAATTTATTGGAAATGAATTACCTGAATTATTTAGTAAGCTGTCAACTTTATCATGGATTACACTGAAGAACACAAACATTACTGATTTTCCGGAAGTGCTTACAAAATTGACGAATCTTCAACAGATATCTTTATTAAATAGTCGAATAGAAAGCATTCCGCTTGAAATTAGTAATATTGAGCAATTAAAGAATCTATTACTGAGGAACAATAAATTAAAATCGATCCCCCCGTCCGTTTTTAATTGTAGTAATTTGGAAACTGTTGACTTAAGCAGTAACCTCTTCAGGGATTCTCCTATCAATTTAGAGGAAGCTAAGAAATGTTTGGTACTAAATTTGTCAAACAATTCTCTTACAGAGATTCCTTCAAGTGTGTTTGTTGAATTGACAGATTTACATTACTTAAATTTGGCTAATAATAAACTGGAAACTGTACCACCGCAGCTGAGAAGATTGATCAATTTACGAGTATTAATTCTTAACGACAATGCCCTAAAGCATGCTCAACTTAGGCAAGTGACGTCGCTTGTTAATCTAAAAACTCTTCATTTAAGAAACACGCAAAGAGACATGAAGAATTTCCCATCTGGGTTGGACAGCCTAAAAAATTTAACAGACATTGATCTATCTATGAATGAATTGACTAGTGTTCCAGAATCACTATACCAAGTAGAAGCTTTAAAAAAATTAAACTTAAGCGATAACAATATCAGTGAATTATCATCTTTAATTGACAATTGGGAATATTTGGAAGTTTTAAACTTATCTAGAAATCGACTGTCTCAAATTCCTAATGCTCTTTGTAAACTATTGAGACTAAGGCATCTATATTTAAACGAGAATGATTTGACTTTTGAGACCCTACCTCCCGGTATCGGTAAACTTGGCGAATTGGAAATTTTTTCCGCTGCTGGGAATCACTTAACAACCATACCAGAATCTCTATGCAGGTGTGGAAAACTGAAGAAAATAATACTTAATTCGAACAATTTAGTTACTTTTCCCGATTCTTATCATTATCTCACTGAACTAGAAGAGCTGGATGTTAAAAATAATCCTGAATTGCAATTGCCTCCTAAACCTTTAGAATTGATTAAATCGCAAAGAATCAATGACGTTTATAATGTTGATTTTTCCCTGAGTACGCATCTGGAAAAAGTTGGTAAAACTGTTCCGTTGGAATCCCAAAAGAAAAAAAAGAAAACTGATACAGTCGCAAGAAAACTGCGCTTAGGTCAAAGGAAGAGAATTGACTCGAGAAGTGATGATGGAAAGAGTGATGTTGTTCTTAGTGGAATGAGAAAGCTTGCTGGTAAAAGATTACCGAAAGATGATGAAGAAGAAAGTCAAGTAAAACCAAAAAAATGGGATGAATTAATTGTGAAACCTAAACTAAATTTCGATGAACTTTTCCACGATGATGATGAAATAGGTCAATTCCCCGGACTAACTATGTGGGAAATAGACAACTTTCTACCCCGATTAATGGAAAAACCGACAAATGTTTTTTACAACGAAGATTGTTATATTATTCTTGACACACATATTGATGAACACAAAAATTTAAATTGGAGAATTTGGCATTGGATTGGAAGCAAATCGACTTTAGATAAAAAAGCAGCTTCTGCTATTCATTCTGTAAATTTAAGAGATTATCTAGATGCAAAATGCATGTGTCGGAGGCAGGAGGAAGCCGATGAAGACGAAGAATTTCTCTCCCTATTCGATGATTGTCATGTAGAATATGTAGATGGTGCTAGAGCAGAAAGTGGTTTTTACGTCCACGACGAAGGAGATGTTCCAACAAGAATGATTTGTGTTCGACATAAACACCCACCGTATTCAGTTGCCCCTCTTGCGTCGTCTTTAAACTCTTACTTGTGCTATGTCATAACAACGAAAGCAGTTATTTGGGTATGGAATGGTAGCGATTCTAAATTGAATCTTAAATCAAGAGCACGACTTATTGCTGAGAAAATTAACAAAGTTGAATATAAATCGGAGGCCGATATTCGAAATATTCAGCAAGACACCGAAACAGAAGAATTCTGGGATTTAATTGGAGGTGAAGGTCCAGCTTCTTATGACAATGAAGAAGTGGATAAAACTTTTCATCCAATTTTATATAGAGTTAATATTCGTAAAGGTTCCAAATTTATACTCTCTCAAATCGAATTGAGAACGAAATCATTAACTAAGGATCTTTTGACAAGTGATGGCGTATATATTCTTGATACTCTTCACGATGTTTTTATTTGGTTCGGAAAGAAAACTAATAAGATGATTCGAAATATATCTAGTATGATTGTTAAACTATTATTATGGAATATGGTAGATAGGAATAGAAATGCCGACTTTCTTATATATACAGAGAACATGGAAAGTGTTTTGTTTAAACTTCAATTTAGGGGATGGGACGACGTTATTCATGTAGACTTTACAAGGACTTCTGAATCTGTTGCGAGAAGAGGATTAGATCTCAAAGAGATTGTAGAAAAGGATAAGATGAAAGCTGATTTAAATGCACTGCTTAGTCCTATTCAGGAGAGATTGGATGATTATGATGCTGAACAAATTATATCTGATTACGGAGCTACAACTTATATTAAACAAGCACTTGTCTTAGAAAGTAGTGGTCGGAAGAAAATTGCTTTGCCAAAGGAGGAATATGGACACTTTTACAGTGCAAATACCTATGTATTTTTTATAGAAGAGCAGGAAGATGATGATATAGACGATGAAGACGATGAATCTGAACCTACATCTTTTGTCACAATGTACTGCTGGCAAGGAAGAGACGCTCCAGCAGTTGAACTGTCAACGTTCAAATTAGAATTGGATCTAAAATTGAGTAGTATGAATATTGATATGGTTATACAAAGTCAACAACAAGAGGATCCATCTTTTCTTATGGCTTTTCAAAATAAGTTTGTCATTCATAGAGGTAGGAGACCGCTAAAGAACACTGGCGAAGCCCGTTTGTATGAACTAAGATCAACTGCAAGTATCATTTGTTCTCGAATGATTGAGCTACCGAAATTAGACGCAACCTTATTAAATTCTCAACTATCTTTTGTTTTGGTCGTTCCTTTTGAATCTGGGGGTGGTGTAGTGTACGCATGGATTGGTTCAAAGTGCTCCAACAGTGATTCCCACAATTGTATTGAAATTGGAAACAAAATGCTTACACCACCTGACTACGCTTTTCAGGTTGTTAACGAGGGGTCTGAGCCCGACCTCTTTTTCTGGGAAGGTATCAATGGCAAAAAACCGTACGATTCATCTGCTAATTTCTTATTAGTAGCCAGATTATTTAGATGTTCTAACGATAAAGGTAAAAAATAAGATTTAGGAAGAGTTATTTTCTTTTTAAATTTATGTTTCCTCTTTAAAAACAGGATACTTTACTGTCTCGGAGAAAACGAGAGATTTTTGTCAAGATGATCTGGCAGAAGATGACGTTATGATTTTAGATTCCGGTAGAGTTATTTTTCTGTGGATTGGACCTAAAGCTTCTCAAATTGAAGTAAAATTCGCTGGTCGAGCAGCTTTAATGTATAGGGAACACTTAAAGATTGTTGAAAAAGAGAACCCTAGGAAAATAAGTGCAGCATTAAAAGGAAGAGAACCAAGAGAATTTACAAGGTGCTTTCACGCGTGGTCAACACATAAAATGCACGCAGTTGAATCAATTACTCGCTGAAAATTTAGTTATCATGTTTTTTCTTTTTTTATCTTAGTTTTTTTTTTAAAAATGCTTTATATCTTCTCCTTCCACCGCCCTGATTTGATGAACCTTTTTTTGTGTATATGTTTTCTTTTTTTTGTTTATACAGAATTTTTTTCTTCAGTGTTCTTTTTGGTGCCTGAATTTAAAAATAAATACTTAAACTATTTAAATTATTTATTACATGAAAAAGAGATATAAATCATAAATTAATTTTCTGTAATCATAAAAACGATAAAAGTAAGGAAGTTAATATGCTTTTTTTTTGAATTTTTACAGTTAGTGATAGTTCAAAATTATTTAGCCGTCTGTGGTAATTGAGGTAAACCGAACTCGTCTACAGGTACACCATCCTTATTTGTTTGTGCCCCTGGTTCCGTTGATGGGACACCTGGAGCATCGCTTGCAGCTTGATCCAAATATCCTGTATCCTCATCCAGAGCAATTTCGTCACCTAATGCATCAAGTTCTGCAGCCAGTTCATCATCATCCACCTCTGGCATACCGTAACTTCTTCCCATAACTTCTTGAACATCATTTGCTTGATCCATGAGATCTTCCATTTGGTCTTGCAGATCATCAATTTTATCAATATTAATATTCTTATATTCTTTTTTGAATTGTTTTACTCCAACCGCCATGGCATCTACAGTTGCTTTGGTATCTTTCAGACTCTGAATTCCATAGCTGGTTTGCTCAAGATTGAAACCCTGATTGCGCAATTGTTCTAGCTGTTGTTCATATCTTTTCTTTTCTTTAAGGACTCTGATTGCTTTTTGCTTAACGCTATTCTACAAAAAATTAGAAAAATAGAACATGTAATATTGTTTGGATGAGCATATTATTCTTAACGCTTAAAACTTGATTTTTTATAATATGATAGTTGTGTACAAATTGCAAATCTATTTATAATGTGCATAAAAATTAACCATTTATGACTTTGTCATAAACGCCAACTTCAAAATGATGGTAGAAAATGAGTCATGAGAATGTGCCAAACTGCTATTCTATTGTACTAAAAAAACGAAAATAAAAAATAAACAATATTACTTTCGCTGGTCCGTCTCTCATTTTGGCCATTTGATCTTTAAACTTTTTTAAATCCATCTCTAATTTACCAATCTTCTTTTCAATTGACTCCACCCGACTGTCAATCTAAAAGTACAAATTTCCCTTGTTCAAAAATATCTTGTTCTTATATTTGAAAAACCATTTTTAATAATACTTACATTAGACACACACTCGTTTAGATCTGGTGGGGGTTGTTTTGGAGCTGAGGATCCGAAAATTCTTCTCATTTTTGTTTTTCGTGTTGTTTGACTGTCCCAAGATCTATTTAAAATGTGAGCTTTTAGCCGTTTCTTATGACTATGAATAAGTGTAGAAAACCAACATATGACGTCATCAAATAGTGTGCAGCACTTATTTTATTCAAGTATAAATTTAAGGTTTCAAGATACACCTAAAGATTTTAGTTATTTACTCGAGTATAATTAATTTTTTTCTTCAAATAGTGATTTTGGTACAAACTGAAATAAGATATATCATTTAAAATTACTTTATTAGAGCTTCCGTTGTGAAACTTATGAATATTAATAACACACCAATTGCACTTTTATACTACACTATCTATTGTTCTCTTTACTCTTCGTTTAAGAAACTGATTATTAAATAACTAAATTCCAACTCTTAGTTGTAAATGCATAAAGTGGTGGCAAAAGTTTTACAAGAAATTTTATATTTCAATGACAATTGTTAAAATAACCACAAATACGGAAAAAATGAATGCGTAACTTCAATCTGACTTGGAATATCAATAGATAAAATTTATTAATATAACGTTACTTTGGAAAAGTAGCAAATTTTCTTAAAATTTATATGGAAAACTATGATGAAAAGAGAATTTTTTTAAACTTAGAGATTCATGAATATTCAAAACCCATATGACGTACCAATATTAGCGTGCATTTACTGCGGGCTGTCGTCACTAGTAAGATGGCGATCGCGCGAAATAATTGAAATACTTTTATTTATAGTTAATCGAATTTTTACTGAAATGTCGTTGTCTTTAGATATTTTAAAAGAAAATTTTAGCCACATAATTGAAAATGCATCTCCCGATGTAATTGATCGTTTTGTTGTATGGCTTGATATGAAAATTTCAGAATTTAAAGTTAACGGTAAAATGAACTTAGGTAAATTCTTTTAATTGTTATTCAATATATAAAAAAAATTTGTTGTTAACAGTAAATTTATTTAATTAATGTATTCTAATATGTCTTTGTTATGAAATGTTATAACAATTCTCATAATTCAAACTTTTATAAGTTTCAATACATCGCATACTTCGAATTCCAGACGCCAATGGCAACATAACGAACGAGAATGAATCAAAATGGCTAAAAAGTTTAACTGAATTTTGCTCTAGAGACTCTGACAATAGTAGCCCCACAACACCTGCATCTTTTACTAGACAGAGTCGTTTTCGTAAAGTTCTTCACGCTTTCAAATGTTCTAAATGTAGTCGACGATTTCTAAAGAAGGAGCAATTACTTAAACACAGAGCGGCATGTAGTTTTAGAATAAAAAGCAGCCTCAGATCTTCACCCAAAGCCGAACCTTCACCGCCACCATATCCTCAACCTTCGCATAACGATTCTACATCTACAGTTGTTATAAATTCTCCCAAAAAAGTATCTGAATCTTCAAAGCTAGCTTTGGCTGTAAAAAGTTTAACAGGTGAAAATTCCGATCTAATTACGAAGTGGAAAAGTTTAAATAATTTGGAAGAGGATGATGAGATAGAAGCTGGAGTTTCAAAGAACGAATACCTTTCAAAGAGTGAATATCTAGCTACAAGCCTTTTAGACAGTCAACATGAAAGGGGTTATAGTAATTCATATTATACTCTTTTAAGAACAAAACTCTTAAAAGGTAAGTCAAATAAATGATAAAAAAGCTCTTTTTTTCATTCAAATTTTAATTGAACAGGTGAAGTTTCGACAGCTGCTAGCATGTATTCAAGTATGATGTCACCAAAGACGTCAACGCCTATACCTGAGCCAACGTTTCCGTCTAGAAAACGTGATCAAGGAGGTCAAATAAAAGTAAATAGTGACAAAGGCGATGCGAAATGCTATGTATGTTCTCGTTGTAGTTGCTCAAGTATGAATCCAGAATATGTTTTTACACATATCTGTGATCAAGATGACGCGGAATTAAATTAAAAGAAACATTGTTATTCATTTTACTTTATTATTAAAAAAAATTTGTTTTAGCTGTTTATTTTTTTTTTTAAAAAAATAAATAATAAGTATATTTATACTTCTAAACCCGAAATCATTCCTAAAAAGCGGAGGCGCCAAAGACATGTTGAATGACGTTAACATGTCTCTTTAAAGGATCAATTATTAAATAGGCGAAATCTTGCATATGGTTCTTAGTTGACGGAAAGTAGATAGCTCCATCCTTCTCCTAATAAGAAAAACATTACAGCATTGTTAATTTCTATTTTATCACTTACAAAAGCTGTAACTTTAAACGCTATAGATTGAACTTTAAGCTTATTGCTGTTTGAATCCTTGACAACGCTGTAACAGAAAATGAGATTTGCTCTAATTCAAGTATTCGGAGTGCAAGTATTTCATCTATTCAGTTGTACCTTACAAGATCTTTATACAATCCTTTTGTAATGTCCAAATATGGCTGGAGTTCATCCTCGTATTGGCAAACTTGACCTCCGATACAAAGATGTCGAAATAAACGGAAAAGTAGTTCACTTTTCTCTGATTCGTCGAATATGTCATAATAATCAGACTCTTCGCTCAACATCATCTAAAATATAAATATTGTTCAAACGTTTCCAGTATGTCTTAAACAAAACCTTTCTTAGTTCATCTGAGGCAATGAACTCGTCAATATATTCATCCAAACATTTACATAATGCTCCACTTTCTTTGGCAACTCCTTTATATAGTTTATCGAAAAAATCCATTGAAATCACTGTGACTGGTATTGTTTCGACCTTAACACTTTTAGCTTCTATTCCTATATGTTATCATTTAAACAATTTTGCATGAATAAGATGAAGAATGTTCAAATCTTACCAATTGGAGACCATTTTCCTGAAGATGAGAGTGATTTTAGGCTACTTGTTACTTCTGGGTCCTTAAAGAAATCCTATAATATTAAGAACAAGAAAAAGCAATCAAAAATAAGTACAACTTATAAATAGAACATCTTTGGCTTTAATTTTTGCATATATATGTTTAAGAAATGCTTCACCAAAACAAATTCATCTTTTTCGTATTCTTTAAACTGCTTGTCGAAGAGGAAACCTTGAATTAGAATTCTATCTTTCATTGACCTGTAAAAGTGACACTTTTTATGTAAAATTTTGTGAATTATTATTTACTATATTAACCATTTCAATAATCTTTCTTGATTCTCCTTATTTTCAAAGAAAGAGAACTTTTTATTTGGCAGAGACCTGAAAGCAAATTTCGCACGTTCGGAAGCCATTCGTAAACACAGGAATCTCTATGGAATAGTATTCAATGATAAAAACAATATCGCAATTTTTTAAAGCGGAACGGGTGACCAGACTACTTTAAGACTAAAAGTAATATGGGTAATTGACATACAAATCGCTAAAGAAAATGTTGAACATTAGTAACAGTTTTGAAAAGCCCTTGATTAAATCAAATATTTCTAATAAAACATGGAAATAAACGAACGGTCTTGAATAAAAAGTAGATGCTATGGAAAAGTTTTTCTTTACTTCAATAAATAAACTCTAAAGAAATATTTAGAAAAAATTAAACTTTATTATAACTTTAAATAGCACATTTTAGGTGAAAAAAGAATTTAAGCAATTGATTATATATAGTAGAAACAATCAACACGTTAAAATGAGAATGTAAGTCGACGATAGTATCAATGTTAAAAAAAATTAAAACTATATTTAAGAGTAAGGATCAAAAACTGAAAGATCTATGTAAGACCCTTTAATGTTCAAGTGTAAGATGGAGGTTAAATCTATCTACTAGCTTATAATATTCGAAAAGAAATCTTTTTAACTCTTAAAGCATTAACTCAGTCATACTTGGATCATTTACTGTTTAGGCCAGCGTAGCTTCTACTCTAAGGAGACTTGATATTTTCTTTCATCCAAAAGGAAACTTTAAGTACATAATTATTTATCTGAAGAAAATTTTCCCGTAATCTTCAAGCTTCCTTTAAAAAGTATAATGAAAACTTGTACTCCTCTTATACAGTATAGATGTAACTGAAATCAACTATTTATTGGTTGGGAACCAGACTTTCTCGCCTGTCGGATAAAGCAGACGACATAGCTCGTTTTAGGATTTCAAATTTTACTGCAATAATATTATCATTAGAATGGAATCAGCTAATTGCTCCAGAGAGAACAAATCTCTTTTAAAGTTAGTACTTATTGTATCAGTATTGAAAAGAATTTAGGTTTTTATATGTCAATACACAATTCATTAGCGCCGAAGAATTATCGACATATAGAATTGCTGCTGAAAAAAGTCTTCTACAACGAGGTGGAGTGAAAGATTATTGTCCAGTAAAAGGGAACCTAGAACAAGAAAGTAAAATAAACGAATTTAGAAGAAAATATATCGAACTAATCAAACAAGAACGTGTTGATAAAAAGTAACTAATTTGCTATCTCTTGAACTAGTCTGGAATTGTTCATATTCGATATCTGTACTGACATTTCTTTCAAAGGGATTCTTTAGGTAGAGCAGAATGGCTTGATGATAAAAAACTGGCTAAACAAACAAAAGATGTGGTAAGACGCTTAACATATATATTAAGGCTGAACTCAAGTTCAAATTTCTTTTACAGGGAAAATATCTGAAATATTTCGGACATAATAAAGATAAAGAAATCTATTTTTTGCCTGAAGAAATACTCTTTTTAGTCGATATTGGAGCTTATGAGCTGTACTATAAAGATATGTTGCTATCGTTAGAAGAATGTTTTGGTATTTTACTCTCAACTGAAAAATTATCTTTGCAAAAGTACCAAGTTTATGCCTACTTAATAAGATTTGGATTTATTGTTAGACGATACCAATCCTCGTATGTGTATTATTCTCAAATCATTAAATCAGATAAAATATAAATAATCCCTTCAGCGATCAAGTACAAGCCAAACGGCAATCTAATAGTTCAAAGAGAGACGCAAATAATGACGAAAGTGAGACCATTAAGAAAAAACAAAGGGTCGATGAAATGGAAAACAATGATATGTGTTCGGAATCCGTTGCATCCACTTCAATGAATGTTAAATATTGTAATTGGGATTATTCAAAAATAGACTTTCCAGATTTTAGTAAACAATCGGTTATTTCTTTACCTGAAGTAGACTCAAAATATCTACCTGGTAGAATAAATATGCAAAAGAGAGAATATTGTTTTCCCAATGGATTAAATTCTGCCAAATATATAACGGATGTTCCTGGATGCAAAATAATAAAGAACACTGCATCAAATTGGAAAGAATTTAAGGAAGTTAATAATTGCGACATTTTAGAAAAATTACAAGCATCTGGTTGTGGATGTCTATGGAGAGGAGAGGTTCAGCCTCTGTTAAATCCAGCCGAGACAAATACGCAAGGTTTTATTTTTCATTTATCCTTACTAATTCTTAACGTTCTTTTCATACAATTTCAGCATCGATCTTAAAATCAATAAAAGCTAATGGTCCCTCTAGAAGTCTGGATGAGAATTTCACAGAGAATGAGTTGATCTTAGATTATGATGTTTATTCACCAGATGGTAATTTTAGGAAAAGTGCTCCCGGAAGACCTGATTTACGTCTAATTGTAGTGAAGCAGAACGACCAAGTACCTCATATAAATAATATTGAACTTTTAAATCGAAAATTTAAGGCTAATGTGCCTGTGTATTTCGCAATCGTGTCATCTGGTGATATTTCTTTTGTTAGTCTAATTACCCAAAGTTTACCAGATTTATGTTAAAAATAAAATAAATTTGCGAAAAAAATACTGTACAATATCTATTGACCTAATAACTATCGAAATAAAGCAATATCAACATCAACAGTACTTGTTTCATGTCTTGATCCAAAGAGTGAAGAAAAAAGCTCATCTTTAGCAACATCAGTCCATTGATTATTCGGAACTGGAGCCGTAAAGTTAACAAGCTTTGGATGAACAACAAATTTAATTTTTCTGTCTTTGTTCTCTCGGCGGTCATATTTTTTAGACTTTTTTGATCTCATCTTTTGTAGTTGCAGCCAGTGCCTTGTTAGAGCTACAGGGTCGTTCACATTTTCTGTTTTACGTTCAATTAATTCTCTTAGTAATTGATGATAAAAATCGTCATCATCGAATATTTCTTCTTGATGTTCATCTTGATTAGGACATAACAAAATTTTATAATTAGAACGCTTCATCTGTGTTCTTCTTCGTAATCTTGCCATATCTGAGAGAACGTAACGAATTTGAGCAGTAACTGATGTTTCCATAGCAGCCATACTTCTAGCACTTTTACCACCTATTAATTTTGTTCTGTCGTGCCATTTCTCTAATTGCTTATTTCGATAAAGTGAAAATGTTTTGTGACGCTTTTCTAAAAAGCTATTAACATTGCCTATTTTAGCTTTTTGCCTTTTTACTGGAGTTTCATCCTCTGATTCGCTTGATGTAATTTCTTCATCTGAGTCTTCAGTTTTTTTATTCTCTTCATTTCCTGTTTCAATGTGCCTTGTCTCAGGATAATTAAATAGTAGTCGACTTTGCATTTCAATTAACTTATCCAAAAGTTGTTTAACACTCTTTCGAGCTGAAAAGATTAAAAAATATTACTCCTCTGAGACCTTCTGAGATGATATTTGTCAATTAGAATAGAGCTGTACCTTTCTTAGTACTCTCATCAAGTTTAGGGCTGATATCCTCCAGTAATCGTTTCCATTCGTCGGGACTTGGAAGTTGGTTTGCGGCAAGCAAAATCTTCTGCAATTTAATTCTTAAACCAAGAATTTGATCGTATAGGGAAATTTGATTTAGCACAGCCTTTCCTTTCTCGGAATCAACAGATTGCGTTGGAAAAGTTTGGATATCGGTTTCTTCTGGTTTCTTGAGAGATTTCGCAGACACTTTCCTATTTTTAAAATTAATCAACTGTGTATAAAGCTTACAAAATTACAAATTTAAGTAACTACTTATTATCTAGTGTTTCATTCATTTGGTTTAGCATATCAAAGTCTCCTGCCTCTTCATCGTCCATATCTTCATCATCTTCTTCTTCATCATCTTCTTCTTCATTATCTTCGTCTTTATTATCTTCGTCTTCGTCTTCATCGTCTTCGTCTTCATCGTCTTCTTCCAATCCTTCACCACTGTCGTCTCCTTCATCCATCTCATCCTCATTATCATCATCCTCGTCTTCATCCTCACTTTCATCAGCCCTAAGTCCAACCCCCTCTTCAAAATCAGAGAGAAACTTTTGACGACTGATTTTTTTCCCAGAATATTTAGGATCACTCTCTTGTAATAAATAGTCTTTTTTCTGTCTAATAGATCCTCTCTCTTGTGAGATTGATCCAAAATCTTCTTTCTCAATTAGTTTAGCAGTTGTGTCTACAGAAAAAAACGTGCTTAGTGAGCGATAATATATTAAAAATACTTGTTATCACGACTGTCTGAAAAAAACCAAAAGCAAAGTAAAAACTAAGAATATAACCATCCTCGGAGTCATCTGCTGATTTTGACGGTCCAACAGGAGCTAGAAGATGTGCATATTTGTCAGCAAGAGACATTTCGAATTATTGTAGACGGTGATGGACACCGCGAACGTAGCTCATAAGCGCTTGGAACAGCTTAGGCGCTTGCAATTCTCGCAGCGCATTGTATTACGTTGTTAGCTTTCAATCTGGATATTGAAAAGCGACATTTTCTCTACTTAATGCCAGAAGATTTCCTAGCATAACAATCTCGATTTCTGCTTTCTTTTGTATAAATTGTTAAATATGAACAATAAGTTCAATGCGTAAGTCTAGTCTACATTCTGTGTTATTATTTTATGTGAATTATTGTAATATCGCTACATGAGCAGGCTCAAGTCGGAGGAGAACGAAAATGGAACTGAAGAAAAATTTAAAGAGTTCTCTCCTGAACCTATCCTACCAAGGAAGAAACCCCCACCGGTAAAGGATGGAGACCATTTATTAGAGTATCATTATACACTATGGTTTTCACGAAAGTAAATCTTCCATGTAGTTATATTTTACCGCCATTTATATCACTTTTGGCCCTCACAGGTCACCGGGAAAGCAGTCATCATCCTCAGTATCATATAATTCTCAGCTTAAGTGCATCATGACTTTTGCGAGCGTAATCAATTCTTTTTTTTTCCACTCATTTGATAGATCTAATCTTAGTCCATTCGTAACAGATCGAGCAATTCTGGCTCATTTACAGCCATGTAGCTCGGCCGCATGAATTATCTGGCCATTGCGATTACCATCTGTTTAAAGATGGTATAAAGCCAATGTGGGAAGATGAAGCCAACGTTAAAGGGGGTAAATGGATGATCCGCTTAAAAAAAGGTCTTATTAGTCGCTGTTGGGAAAATTTAATATTAGCAGTTCTAGGAGAGCAATTTATAGTCGGAAATGAAATTTGTGGAGCTGTAGCATCAATGAGATATCAAGTTAGTCACCTATTTTTTACAAATTTTGTAATAATAATTTAAGAAGTTTATTAATTTAAATACTCTTTTTACTTTCCTTTAGGAAGACATTTTATCTTTATGGAATAGAACTGCTTCCAACAATGAAGTTACAAGTAAAATAAGGGAAACTCTCAAACGTGTTCTGAATATACCCCAAAATACAATCATGGAGTATAAAGCTCATACGGATTCCATCAAGTTTGTATTTTTGAAGATTTATACAATGTTTCTCTTTTAAGCTTTTAAAGCTTTTAATCGGATTTTTTTTTATACCGCCTTTTTTTTCACTTCAGGGATAATTCCAGCTATCGAAACACCGACGTTTTTGTGAAATAGTTTGTGAATTTTTAAGATAATTAGTGTATTTTATTCTGCAAATACACAAATGTTAAGGGATGCAGTTAATTTTATTGAGAATATATATTCTCTCTTTGTACAACCGCTTCTTCTTATCATTCCCACCTTTCTCTAGTGAGAAGGAAACTACGTGATATCGAATAATTTGGAGAATAATAGCATCTTTCCAAAAGTAGGTCAATCTTTCCATTTCAAAAGTTTATCCCCTGTATTTTATTAAATTAAGAAATTTTAGTGTGATGTCAAGTTTCGGAGGAAATCAGATAAACAAAAGATCTACATTAAGGCTTTTTTTTCCGCGTTTGATGTGTAGTCTAGTTAGTGCTAATAGGAATAAGGAGCAGATTAACTTAAAAAGAAATAAGGACATACAAAAAAACAAATTTCTGCGATAAAACACTATAGAAATCGTCATAATTGGTGCATGCTTCAAAGGGAGAAACGCTGGCTTTTTATATCAATTTTAAGGTAAGTGGCGCATCTAGGTCGCTTCATCAAATCCCTGTCAGCTACATATGGTTTAGAAGAGTTCGTTCCACATAAGAGACCTTAGGAACGAATATGAATATGTTAGAGATAGGTTTAGCATTGGTATTAATTTCTCTTCTTCCTTCAATAAACATCTGATTTAGTTTCAAATCTTTTTTTGAATGATAAGAAATCGAAACAAAGAGCATACTATATTTTATGCCCTACGTTATATTGATAGTCTAACGTTCTGCAATTATATATAATTAAAAAAACATTTATTATTCACAAAATAAAACTTTGGTATGGATTAATTAATACTGGAGAATTCTTTTAGTTTCGGTTAAGCAATTTATAAAGAGAATGATCAAGCGCAGTGATGCTTCATCCAGTCAACAACTCTCTCTAATCCTGTTCCATCTTTTGCACTTGTTTGTAAAATTTCGATTCTTTGAGGACAGTGGTGAACAATGCCATCTAAATGTATATAGTCATTTAATTGAGAATGGCTTAACTTTTGTGGCGAATCTCTGAATAACAAAATAAGGAAATTAAACAATTGATTTTCTCTTTGTCATTCTCATCGACCTTGAACTAAACGGTAATAGAAACTTACATTTTATTTAAAATTAATAAAATTGGAACTGTTTGAAGTTGAGGGTGAGCGAGTATATCAATCAAAAGGCAGAAGGCACAGCTGAGTTTCGCCTTGTCTGATGTATCAATGACAAACTAAAGTAACGAATAAATATCGATTAATTATTTACAAATCACTTTTGAAAAAACGCTTCTTTACCATAAGACTATCACACACATTAAAATAATTTTTCCATATTGGAGCCATACAACCTCCAAGTTCTCTAACTTCAACTTCTTGTCTTTTATTTACTAATACCCTCATTAAATTGGTTCCAACCTAATTAGGAATATATTTATCATACAATAATTAACAGGTATATACCTGTAAACTACTTATTTAAATATTTATTATTACCGTACTAATCGTTAATGGAGGTTCTTCCAAACTACTAAACGAATTGCTTACGAGAGTTGCATCTTTCAAAGAATAATTCAAAAAGAGAGTTAAAATGATATTTGATTTATTTTCTTTTTGAAATATTAATAGTACTTACAATTCAGCCTTCTTAGTAATAAAGTTTTACCAGAACCACTCGCACCGACTAGTAACACCATTCTTTTTTTTTTAAATAATATATCTTTTCACTTTTTAGTTTCCTAAGAAAATTTTTCATCAAGAAACATTTCGCTTCGATAGTACTCCGCTTAGCAGACGATATAAATAAATACTTTGAGTCGAGTTACTATCACGTGATTATGTAGACGATCTCAAAAATGTGTCCACTAAGGGATGTCCATGTTTTTCATACAATAATCGTTTGGAAAGCAATAGTAGGGCAATTCGTTTATTATTCGGTATATCATCTTGGTAAAGTTATGGATTTTGATGAAAATTTTAGTAAGCCAAAATATACCGATCCAGGATTTGTTGGAATAAAATTTTGTCAGGAATGGTGAGAAATTTACTTGAAAAAAACTCATTTTATTATTTAAAATCCACTTTTTAACTAATACCTTATTTTCGCTAGCGCTAATATGTTGTATCCAAAAGAGGATAAAGTCACCCAAACACTCCTATATGCTGTAAGTTATATTTTAGGTAACATTTTAAGCAAAATATATTAATTTAATTTTTTAAATTCAGTGCCGAAATTGTGAATATCAGGAACCGGCTGACAATCCATGTATATATGTTAATAAAATTGAACACGAAGTCGAGTATGTTCTTGAACAGGCTATCTGTTATTTAGATTACTAATTATTGTTTCAATTTAGCGAATTAACTCAAATTATTGCCGATGTTATCTATGATCCAACTTTACCCCGAACTGAAGATCATCCCTGCCCACAATGTGGTCACAAAGAAGCTGTCTTTTTCCAATCTCAAACTAGAAGAGCTGAGGTGACTAAGACATCTTATATCTTCATTATACCTATATACAACTTTGATTCTACTTTCAGGAAGGAATGAAACTTTATTATGTATGCACTCAACCAAGCTGTTCTCATAGATGGACTGAATAGTCCGGATGTCCTTTAAACGCATTTTTATTGTACATTATGTTAAAGATCTTTAATCATATCTTTTATTAAGACTTTAATATATTAAAAAACGATAGAAAAATTGATTCTTAAATAGAACTATAACTATTCATCTTTTGTTTATTAATAATAAGGAAAAAAGATGAATGGAATATATTCATTATAGTAAATCATATTTTTGTTTTGTATCAAAAAATTACTCTAAATTTAAAAATGTTTCATTAAAAAGATACTTCTTGTTCAAAAAACAATTGAATAACAGGAGTAATACATTTTAATATAGAAAAAAGTGCATATTAGTTTATACTGTATATAACGTTGTCTAAGAAAACAAACAAAAAAATAACGCCTTTGTAAAGTTCAAAAGAGTTGATTTGCTTCAGATTAAATTGTGGCACAAAAATATTATACAGTTTGTTTAGGATCAATCATTCAACAACTGACAAACACTTAATTATTCTTACTATGTGATTTTGTAATACGTTTCTTCCAGATTGGCTAAGGATGGAAGAACGACCATCCAACAGTTTGTTAAGTCTATCAATAGTGTGTAGCTTGTTCATTTCTTTGATTAGATCTGAGTGATTGCACATAACTCTAAGTGCGACCAAAGCCGAAGTTTGCAACTCATAATGATGACAGTTGGTAGCAGCATCTACAAGACGAGACGTGGCTTTACTGGAAATGACAACTCCAACAGGGCATTTACGATGTAGGGCTAAGTTTCCCAATGCTCTGGCTGCATGAACGCGTGTTCTAGGTACATCATCAGTCAGTCGATTGACCAAAGAAGGAATAGAATTTGTAAGATGTTTAACCAATTGATCATTATGAAATATCATATTCCCAATAGCGTAAGAAGCGCTCTAAGATAGTTGAAATTTCTTTATAATTCAAATATTTGTTGTAATAGAGAATGTATAAATACCTTTCGAACTGAAGCATCACCATCTTCTACTAAATTTAAAATTGATTTTCTAACGGTGTTCCTAAAGTAGAAGAAAAAGTTAAAACGTAATACATACATTGCGTAACTTTAATAGCTTACTGCTCATTTAGTGTAGAATAAAATGTATCCGAATGTTTCATTATATTTCCAATTAGATTACATGCTCGAGATCTCAATAGAGCATCATTATCTTGCAGTATACTACTAAATACATTAAGGTCATTGTTCTTCTTATTAGCGAGAATCTTAAAGACCATTTCGGTAGCGGACGGAGTAGTTCTAACTAAATGACCGAGGAATGCAATAACATCAGCTGCTAATTTTGTATTACGATCTTTGCTGGCTAGTAATGTTTTCAACCAAATATCAAATTCATTTTGAATCTGTTGAGCACATTCAAGGAGTTGTTCAACGAAAAAAGTGTCCATAAGTATAAGCCTCGTTAATAAAGCAATAGGCCTAAGCGAACACTCGGAAAGCAATTTGGTATTAGACAAGATTCTTTTGGTAGATAATAAATGGACGGAAGAAAATAAAATTTGCGGTAAAAGATCAGATTTCAGGACGGCACTGAAGAAAAAAAGGATAATAAATTTAAATAAAGAGATAAACAATTAGATCATACGAAGTGAGACTGGTCGATAGTTGATCATCCAATTCGACTACAAATGGTAGCATAATTAGAGAGGAAATTTCTTGGAAAAAATCCATCTTAATATCAGAAATCTCTTCTTCAGAAATTTCTCTTCTGTCTTGAGTTAATTTCTTTGCATATGCATCCATAAATGAACAATTAATAAATCCAGTTAAACAACGCAATAAGTCATTTTCTGGTTGACAAAAGTAAGATACGACAATGTTCTGCAATAATCCTTGCTTACAGATAGCAAGTATCTTACGAATAACTGTAACTGATACCAGAGACCAGTCTGGTTCAGCTGGTGGTTTTAATTCTTGACTATTTTCTAAACTTTGCATTAATTGTAACATTTCATTTCCTCCAATCATATTTGCGAGTCTTTGCCATAGTGCAGGCCACAAATCTTCAGTAGACAGAACGCATAGCCAATTAGATTCGACGTCAATTGTCAAAGAACATGTAACGCCACTTTCGGGTGGTATTAACAGGATAATGAGAAAATTTATTATCCCATCCAAAACGCCTACATGAGTTGGCCAAACTTCACAAACTTGAGTTAGGTCAGTTAAAACTGATTGGATGGAATGAAATGCCAAATTGGCATCGATTGGGATGTTAGCTCCTCTCTGTATCATTCCCGAGACTAAGCAAGCAGTTACAGCCTAATAATTAATAAAATCAAATTAATTTTGTCAACTATTTCATCAATTTTGTTGATAATATTTACAGTATGGCTTGCAATAGCTGATTCAGTTAGTACTGTCCAAAGGAAAGGAGCTTCTTCTTCATAACTGAGAGCAAAATGAATAAATTTAGTAAGCTAGTTATTAAATTACAAAAATTAAGACTTACTAAGCGGGACAATGAGTACAAGGTTCCAATATTAAATATAATAGTAATAATGTAGTTTCCAGAGATGCATTCAACCTTATATCGGGGAATGGTACTTTTCCTTTGAGAATGTCAAAAAGACCAGTAATAAGTTCATCATGATCCAATAAAACTTTGCATAATTTCGAATTTGAACTACAGCAGCTTAATATTGTCTATTATTCAAGGAATTAAGAAAGGTTAATGCATTATATTTTACAATGGTGTAGCCATACCATTAAAATTGCAGGAGAGCAATTCTGATTACAGACGCTGCCGGTAAACTGCATAACTAATTGACCCATTGTTCCTTGGTTAATTAACAGAATGTTCGATAATACTTCTTTAGTCTAAATGAATAAGACATTTAATTATTTTAAAGATTGTATAAACTTCTTATTACATCAGCTTTAACATCTGTTGAAAGTTGGCAATCGGGGGAAACATAGACGAAAATTGTTAAAGTCATTGGAAAGAACGCTTGAATTTCATCTATACGCTGTTGAGCTTTTTCCTCCTCTTTTGCTAATTCTAATTATAATTTAATTAGTAAGCTATTTCGAATATTTTAATTAATTGATATGATTACCAGGAATTTGTAAGAGACGATCCAGCACACTTTTATGAGTGATATCTCTCATACACTTAATTAGACCTTCAAACGCTGGTTTACAATGTGGAGCAGCATCACGATAAAATTTCATCATAGTTTTTCCATCAACAGTCTTATCCACCATTTCGCACATACAAGTTGTTAGCTAATGTTAATATAATCAGTTAGAACATTGCATAATTACATTTAAAAAAAAAACAAATATCTACGCTAAGTATTCTCTCTGTAACTTGTAGGTCTACATCAAATTCTCTAATGAGAAGAGACGGTAAAATTTTAAGGACGGTAGAAGCAAATCCACTAATAAAAACAAACAGAAATTGGAAATAAAACAATTATAATTGTATGTATGATTTTAAAGTAATCGTTTTACCTTGAATGTAAATAAAGGGGAGATTCTTTAATAATATTCGATGAACAATAACTACCCAAACAATCCAATAGATCGCAAGTTATCTGGCGGCACCAGGCTTGCTAAAAAAAATATATTACTTGAGTTATAAGATATTTTGCTAAAAATAAATAGTAACCTCTTGCATCTTTCTACTACAAACAACGGCATCTAATGTGCTTAAAATGTAGCTTGGGCAATCGATAGCTTTGCAAAAGGTATCTAATTCTTTCGGAGGTCTATTTTTTGTGGATAATCGTTAAATTGTAAATATATTATAAATTCGCATTCATACGAATGAAGAGATTTTACCTATCCGCAGATAGAAAGTTAATAATTATCCTTAAAACGATTTTTAATTTTCCAGCACCTTCTAAGGAAGCAGCCATTGTTTTTTTACAATTATTTTTTAATCTTGTTACAAGACGATTAGTAAATGTTGAATCCTTTATCAATTTTCTTACAACTACTATCGTTTTCTCGGATGGTGCTGTACTTTCAGCGTAACTTTGCCATTCTTCATCACTATCGGCCTCCTGTTTGAATGTTATATATTTATTAAACAATAGGACATAGAAAATTGTTTAATACAAACTTCTTCCTCAGCTAATTTAACAGCGTCCATCTTCCTCTGTCTATTTATTGTTGTTCTACCTTCAATTTCTATATCAGGATACTCTTGAGCGTAATCAGCGCTAATTCGATTTTTTCTTGGGGTAAGACTAACCTGAAAAAAACGATAACGTTTCCTTTGAACATAAATAACGGAAAGCGATAATCACAAGATAAAATAGACACAACAAGGTATTTGGTAAAAATAAATATGAAAGATCTTATATGCAGCAATCAATCAAAACAAGAATAAGGCTTGTTGAGGTAAAGACGTAAAATGTGTGGAGTAATTAGATTTCCTTACCTTTTGCTAAGTTTTTAAAGAAAAATAATACGCAAGTTAGATATATAGGATTTTCAGTTTTATAGATAGCTTAATACAATCTGATGATAATACATACTTGGCTTGTCCCAGTATCTGTCCATTGTCTTGTATGAGGACGTTCCGGATGAAGAGGTAAATTTGCCGGCTTTTGTTGTGTCCAAGCTTCTTGTTTTGAAGCAACAGTTTTTCCCTCTCCCTCTTCTCTTGGAACTTCATAGGTCAAAGGATGATGTTGATGCATACTTGGCTGTTAGTAAACTCGTAAGTTTCTTGTTTATTTATAAAAACTATTTTCTTACTGTTTTCTTAGTTGGTTTATGCTCAACTGTTGATGGCCTGCTGTCTCCCCTTTCATCAATTTTTCTCGTTCTTTTTTCTTGCTCTGTGTTTTCCTTTTTCTGTTCTAATTTACCTTGCTGATTAGCCTTTTGTCTAGCTCTTGATAAGATATTTTGCTTTGTTGGAAGAGACGATTTTTCTTGAACTTGTCTATCTCTTTCTATGATAAGAGAAGCACTTGGCAATTGGGTAAAGGGAGATGGAAGAGTTTTATCCTCTTCAGAAACTGTTATGGTGAATTCTCAGAGTTAAGAAGTTATAATCAACAGTTATAATCAACTTTAAAGCTTACTAATTATGCCTTTAGAAACAAAAGGATGCTCCAGTAAATGAGGCCAAGAAAGTCTCTGCTTAGGATTTTTTGTTAATAAACCTTGTAGCATGTCTTTAAAAGCAGAGCTCATTGTTTTTGGCCACTTGATAGGATCCTTTAATATCAATTGTACTAGCTGAAATATGCTATCCGTATAGTAGGGTGGCTGACCAGTGAATAGTTCATAAAGAATACAACCAAGTGCCCTTTAAAGAGTACATAGTTAATAAATAACATTCTTATTTTCAACTAATGATGAATTACGAACCATAAATCAGCTGTGTGATCGTATGGCTTCTCCTCCACAAGTTCTGGTGACATGTACAATGGTGTTCCCTGGACAAAATAAAGAGATATCAATATACAATCTATTTCGATAATCCGCTTTATCCTTCGTCAAGTAATACCTACCTTTATAGATGTTAGAACTAGCGAGTTCAAACTCATAGCCCTGGCAAAGCCAAAATCACAAAGTTTAACGATACCATCCTTGGCTATGAGAACATTTTGTGGCTTCAGATCTCGATGTAATATTCGATGGGAATGTAAGTAGTATAGTGCAGATACAAGGTGACAAGCAATAGACTGAACCTATTGTAATTAATGATAATTGTTTCGTTAAAAAAACAAAGCAAAATCTATTGGTATTATAATATACATTATATATTTTATACTTACAACATCCTCTGGTAGAGTCCTATCATCTTCTAATATTTGAAATAATTCACCTTCAGCATATTCTGTAACAGCAACAACTTCTTTATTTGTCTCAAAACTGTCAATCATTTGTATTGTATTTGGATGATGCAGATTTCTCATAATTTCAATTTCCTGCCGTAAATTTCTCAACTCTTTTTCGCTTCTTCCAACTTTTGTAATAAATTTTAGAGCGACAATCTATAGATTTTTGATTAGTATTAATGTAAGAGCAAAATCTTATGTGAGATTTTATAACAGTAATCATTATATTTCTAACCTCTCCTGTTAATTTCTTGCATCCCTTATAAACTTTTCCAAAAGACCCTTCTCCAATTAATTCAAGTTTATGGTAATTATCCATTTCGTTCGTTTAAATACTTAAGGTCCCCTATTATCGCTATTTTAGTTTGTATATGTTTCAACTTAGAGAAATTTAGCTTAGGGAATATTCCTTGTGATATTCTAACAATAAAATTTTAATATATAGCAAGCTTCGGATCTTTCATTTGACCATTCCAGGAAATGTGATCAACTGAAATATATTCAATAAATAAAATTTCAACTATGCTTGAACAAGAATTTACGTTGATACTAAAAACGGCGTGGCAGTTATCAAAATTTAAGAAAAATATTCAATTTTATAAAAAAGCTTCTCTTAAACTCTTAAATCATTCTTTCACGTCACAAATATTTAATTATCTAGATATTTTAGCATTTTGTATTGTGTGATTATAAATTAATATCAATTAATTCATAAAACTTTTTTGAAAGTATTCTGTTTGATTTTAGCACCGAAAGATTCCATTTGCGAGAATTTGATGGCAATCTTAAATAGAACATATACTATTTGAAAGGACAATTGTAAAGTAGTATGCGTATCGAAAACTATCCGTTCTGGTATTGTGTCGTTAACAACGGACTCTAGATAACCAAGGCAAAATGGCGGACGATGGGGACAAATCCGAATCTGGCCAGATCAAAGAGAAGGCAAATCCAAAACCAGAGCTAAAAAATACAGAAAAAAATAAGGAGGATGCCTTTAATGAATTTTACACAGAGGCAATTATTTTATTGTTAAAATTTTCGGCAAAGCATGTTATATATATTCCAAAAGAGCGATAATGGAACTATATTTTGAATTATTTCCAATACAAACATATTATTACTAAACATATTTTTACGCAGGTAAAAGATATTGAAGAAAGAGACTCAGTTTTAACCCCAAAGCAACAAATAGACCGTCTAAATAGACCTGGCTCCACGTATTTTAATTTAAACCCTTTTGATGTAAGTCATATATACATACATATAAATTTATACTGTATATATACATCTTAATAGCTGTTAAATTAATCATGCATCTGTTAGGTACTCCAAATTGATCCGGAAACTCCTCTCGCGGAAGCAAAAAAGAAATATAGAAGAGTGAGTCCCAAAAATACTTTGAAATATTGTAATTTAATAAATATGCAATATTATAAACTATAGTTATCCATATTGGTTCATCCTGATAAAAACTTAGACGATAGGGAACGTTCCCAATTGGCATTTGATGGTAAATATTTACAATATGATAACATAAATCTTGGAAATATAGTATATTCATAAATTATAAACCAATTTTTTTAGCCTTAACAAAAGCTTACAAAACTCTAGAAAATGAAGAAGGATATAAAAGATGTCAAGAGATAGTTGAAGAAGCTAAAACGTTAACAAATGAAATGGTATATTAATAAAATATTCTCTTAAGGATAACTCATTCAATTTTATTATTAAAACTGCAGATGGTAAAAAAGAAGAAGGAGCAGAAAAAGGCTGGAAAAAGCCAAATTTTACCTGAGGATGATCCTGATAAAGTAAGGATTAATTAATATTCTGTACGAATGAGCAATTATCACTGAAACTATTTTGTGCAGTATAAACACGCCGTTTACGTCCAAACATGTAAGTTATTCGCTGATTTAGAAAGATTAAGACAGAATGAGGAAATGAAAAAGCAAAATGAAAAAAAGAGAAAAGCTGAAGAAGAAGAGCTGGAGGAGGAGAGGAAAAAAGTTGAATCTGAATGGAATAAAAATTACGAAGAAAGTAGACAAGATCGTGTTAAATCTTGGCATAATTTTACTAAAGGTACTAAGAAGAAGAAGAGAGAAGGCTACACTCCAGGCACTTTTCGTCCACCAAAAACAAAAATGGAAAGAAAAGAATAAAAGAAACGTACAATTTTTTTATTACGTAGTCAAGATGTTGTCCCACATTGTACATAGTAGTAATGTCTTTTTATAGTAAATATATATTTGTTTATGGAATCAATCAAAAAAAAAAAAAAGATAAAATCACTAAAAAATTCACTCTTTTCCTTTATTTTAAGATAGACCAGTTTAGATATAAATTTACTAACAATAAAAATCTAACAGTTTTATAACATTCTCTTTCCAGATATCAGCCAATTCTATAGAAATTGAGATAGAAAACAGGTGACTTGAATGTTTTATCAAGTTTGATGACTGATAGAATGCGTAATTATAAATTATATAATTTCTAATTTATGTTTATTTAATTACATTTTTAACTATACGTTTTATAAACATACTTAGCGGGTTTAAAATTGTTCATTGTTCTCTTATGTTTCATTCTAATCGCTTTTACTAGTAACATCTTCTAATCGCTCAGCTTCCCTGCGCTTAAAACAATTAAAGAAATCGAATAGTACATCATCACTCCAATACTTAAAGTATTAAATCTAGGCCTGTACAGAATCCACAATGTTCACCAAATTTACACTACTATTATTGCACAGTGATTTGTTTTCTTGTCAACTATTATCTTACTTTAAGGCTGAAATAGAAACAACAAATAAACAATACTATATATTTCTTTTTTTATAATTTTTTTTAAAAAATTAATTGCATCTTCTATTTCTAGTGTATTCTTTTTAACCTTATAGGACTGTTGGTTGAGCGCGGAACGAGAGCCAGAATCTGAATATTAGCGATGGCTGTTGACGATTAATTTAGGTCATTGTAAAAAGCTCTTTAAATTACATGATCCGTTAACCCTTTCAAATATTTCATGTTCAACCAATTGAACATTTGGAAGAAATTTTCGAGGACTCTAGCTTTTTTTGGGAAAAGGAGAATATTAAACTTGAAAGTGTAATACATACGGCTAACTTTCCAGGGAAAAAATTAAATCGTTTTGATATGAAAAGTGCATATAATAATAAGGTAAATAATCATAGTAAATAAGGTCTAATTTGTCCAAATGACACATTCATACGTTCATTTCATCTAACTAATCAACTGTTTCGGTATTCATAATGGAATATGATTTTGAAAACAATACGACATCTTATATTTAGTCGCAATATTTGTACAATGCCGTACGTCTTGACACAATTACAGGTCTATGACCTCTACTTATTTCTTCTGAAGCTGCTTATACAGGCTTACTCCACAGAACCGTAATCGACGGAATGATAAGCAAAGTAGGCTAGGCTTGCGGTAAGGGATCTGTATTGTTAATCCAACCTAATCTGATTTTCTTAGCATTTCTAATTTTAACAAAATCCCTTTTTACGACGTCATTTTGAACTGAACCCAGTTACATAAATGAGGTCAATATTTGAAAGTACTTGTGGCGAAATAGTTAAAAGGCTGTGGTTGTCTCCATGCAGATATTTTACTTAAAGTGAAAGTTGTATTATATTTGAAGTTTATAGGACAAGATACAATTGGATAATTATTTCATTCAGCTTTGAGCTTTAGAATAGGAAAGTGAGAGAAGGCATGTCGAATCTTAATAGTAAAAAAATTATGATTTAATAGCCTATAATAAAAAAATTTGTCTTCCCGTAGTAATTACTGTGAATTCTTTTAAACTGGTTTCTTTCTATGTCAAAAGAATTGATATAAATCAACCTGCATTAATTCATCAATCTAGAAAGAGTGCATTAACCAAAATTGTACGTGCTACATCTGGAATATGTTAAGGATCAATGATCATTAACCTGATAGTTAAAATAATTTCAAATGGAATTGAGTTTATTGAATCAAGTGAATTTTATCAAATATATAAATAATAACAAACTTGATAGCTCTTGTCTAACTCATTCATACAATTTTTAATTACTTTGCTTTTTATACGTTTTATCGAAAGCGAAATTACATGAATAATGTACATTTGCTTATGATATAAGATTAATCCACTGAATACAAGCCAACATAAATTTTAAAAATATCTATTTCTAAAATATCACTCCGACATCCGCCTGTTCTTATTTCGAAACTTTTCGTACTTTCTCAGATAAAATGGTCTGCAAAAATTCATAAGTATACACACGAATACGTATTCAACATCAATTTTTTGTATAAAAATTTACAATCACAGGAAAAAAGAACATGAAATCATCTCATTTCGAAAAAACAGCGAAAACAATTGCAGCTACCGCAATTACCACACCACCTATAGTTAGGGAGGCTACATACCTTCTCCTTCTCTTTATATTATGATTCTCTTGATTCTTCTTCATTTCATCAATTTTTCTCTTCGTGTCTATCCATCTCTGCTGCCTTTTTGCTCTTATACTATTTGTCAAATTACCATCCACTTCCTGATCATTTTCAATGTTCACAGGTGTTTTAACAACTTCTTCTTCTTCATCAAGAGCTTGACATTTTTCAGCCGCACTTAAAGCAGTAAATGAAAACGCCAGTTGTTCATAGGCTTGGATCAATCCGGGCCTATACCGCCTCATGTTGTGTAAAACCTGTAGGACATTCAAGGGAGGATCTTCAGTTTTCCTATTTTCCAAAATTTCCAAACACACATCAATTAGACAAAGTGTTCCAGTTCTTCCAACTCCTGCACTACAGTGAACTATTGGAGGAGTTTCTGGTTGGGTGATCGCTTTGCAACGTCTCAATTTCCCCAGGAAACGTAAAAAATGTTCGGGACTCTCTGGAACACCAAAATCCGGCCAAGCAACATAGTTGAAATGCCTAACTATTCTTTCTTCCCCACTTCTGAGATCTTTTACACGCAATTTTCGTATAATAAATGTCCTATAACAAATTTCCTCTTCGAAAAATACCTACAAAAGAATAGCATGCTCTTATTATAAACGATCTTGAGACAGGATGATTATAGTATTAACAATATCTTTCAATTTCTTTATGAAGAAATATTTAGGGATTTTCAATAAAAGAACGAATGGGTTGAATAGACAAATTAACTATTACTATACTAAAGCGTAGTTAATAGATTGTCAGGACAAAAAGATACCAGCCTGAATATCAACGTCGTCAAATATCTTTGGCTGCGATCTCTTTTTAGGCCAATATTCTTCACATTTTTGAGTGTTTCTTTCTCTGCATTTGTTTAACATTATAATGGCCAATGACTTCTGCTCCCAAACCATTAACCAGAAATGAGAACATGTAGCAGGAGTTGGTCCTTGAGTTAAAATATATTTTCGGTAGAATCCTTTATCCTCCCCTCCTTGTTCTAACAAACTAGCATTTATATAATCTAGGCCATCTCTTTCTAGTTTAATACGGGTGTGATTGTCTGCAGGTGAATATACGAAATTTGTTAAAAAACGGAAAGGTGAAAATTATTTACATCGCTCCTAAAGTTAGTTACATTTCTATGAAGCAGTGATAATTTGTATTAGATTAATGTTTTACTTATTAATAGTATTATATATCTTTAGTTCTTTGTGGGCAAACTGTAAAGATTCTTTAAGTATTTTCAAACAACAATTTATATAGTTCAATAATCAATTACTTAGATCTTAAAATAAATAAATCAAAAAATATATTAGCATAGAGATAAAAAACCATAATGTGGCCCTGCCCAACTAGGAAAACACGTTTGATATTTTTTTTTATATTCCTCATTTATCAGCCAAATGCAAGATTACAATTACATTAAGAAGATCATTAATTTATTTATCCTGAAACAAAGCAACTAAATAGGCATATAGAGTTTTTCTATAGCTAGGTGATCTTTTCAAGAATTTAATTCATAAAGAAGTAGATTTGAGTAATACTCAACCGAGTAAAACAAACCATTTTATCGTACAAGATTTGGAAAGTAAACAAATCGTATTACGCTATATTTTTTCAAGCCCTTACTCGATATGGCACACTCTATTGGATCTCCTAAGATTCAGTCTAAATCGTCATTACAAACAGTCACAAAATACAAAGAATAGACAGGGATCGATAAATTATTAAGTTAATGAAATATATTTATTAATTATTGGCCAATACTACGTATATTTAGACAGCTTGTGTGTAGCATATTTCGGTATGATATTATAACGTAATAGGTGTCTATTTGTTTTAGTCATTCAGTCGTGGCACAAAATTTTTTACTTTTTGGTAAATCGTTTGAAGAGTATTAAGTAAGATAACTTACAAGGGGAAATGTCTGCATATCTATTCCTGTGACGGAAGTAGGGGAGTTTTGAATCCGAAATACTTAAATCTTGGTTTCTTTTTGCCGATTCTAGTCTCATGCTCTAAAGAAGGTATAACTTATTAGGAATAAGGTACATTAGAGGAAAATACGCAACCGTAAACAAGTGAGCCCATGCTGGTTTAGAATTATATTCTTGAAGAGTTTTATACACTTCCTCCATGTCTGGGACACAAATTCTTTAAAACAGCTCTCTACCGGAAACCAAACAGGAAGTGGACAACCGGAATTTATTGGAATCGCTTAAGAATCAATCTCGAATTCGACGAATCGTAAAACATAATTTTCTGAAGGTCAAGGATGTAACTAAGCGGAAATTTTATTTCAAATTAAAATTAGTCCAAATTACTGGTATTTAATTAACATTGAATATTATTTTAATATCAATTACAGCATAATCTTTCAGGTATACAAATACCGCCAAATTAATTCATCATTATACTGCTGATTAGGTCAAGACTTGATTGTTCTAATTTGTAATGGCGTAAATATATCAATTTTATTAAGTATGAGTTAAAGTTTTCTTATTTTGAACACGTCATCATATTTTTTAGATATTTTCTTCCGTAGAATTTTGATAAAGAATGTCACTAGAACCAAATTTTTTATCAAAATCCGATTGCATCTACACACCCTGTTTTTGCGAAGAAAATGTTTGGAATATTTGCGATTACCTGCGAAGGAAATTCTCAGCTCTATTCCACAAATGTGTTGTAGTATTTATTTCGAACGAAAATAATTCAGTACCAATTTGGAAACAGAAAGCTAATCATTCAGGACTAGTTATTTGGGATTATCACGTCCTCGTAGTAATTCTTTTTGGTAATGAGTACTATGTCTATGATTTGGATTCCCTTTTAGACTTTCCGTCTACCTTAAAGGAATATTTTGAAAAGGCCATTGGATCGGAAAAGAGTATTAAAGCTGATTATAGAAGAAAGTTTAGAGTAATCAGTGCTAAATGTTATTTAGAACATTTTGCATCTGACAGAACTCATATGCTGAAAGAAGACGGAACCTACTTCTCTCCTCCTCCCAAATATCCCTGCATTTCCACTCCTCACAGTAAAAACAATTTAGACATTTATAGGAGTATGAAAAATGATAGCGACTGTGATCATTTCGGATCTGTTTATTGTTTTTCCGATTTCCTTACTCATTTTTTACCAGACGTTCAACTCGCTAATTTACCCGATTTATGTGTAAAGGATAATTAAACAGAAGTATAATTAATAAGTATTTGTTAACAGTAAATAAGACAAATTACTCTATTTAATTAATACATCCTATTTATGGTTCGTATTAGAATGAAGTAATTAATTATTAAATATAAAAAAGAGCTTGTCAAGCCTAATTTGTAATACTAAAGACATTGAGTAGATGCTCTCTGGTATGTTGAACTTGAGTATTTATAGTGTATAACCTTCCTAGTCTCATTAGTTTAATCCTTGATTGGGTCAAGTACCTAATGACACACTAAAAGAAGTATTTTTTAATGATTTAATAGAAAAAAATTAATAAAAATATGCTTTTTTCTTCGTTTATCATCATTTTACTTTCCATTGGTGGAAAAACAGTCGGAGGTATGTCAGTTCAAGTAACATTTATTATGCTCTATTTTAATGATTTCATACGTAATATTTTAGCTTTCACTGATGTTACTTATACTATCAGAAATGATAGTAACAGTCAAATATCAAAACCTAAATCTTCAACTGTAGCTCAAACATCAGATTTTAAAATGAAAACTAGTTCGAGCCCAACTATTACATCAAAGCCTCCTTTGGAAACAACTGTTCATCCGTCTGTATCCTCTAAAGATCCAACACCGTCCAGCACCCATGTTATAATATTAACTAGCCAATCGAAAATATCTACAGGCTCACAGATTATTTCGAATAAATCTGATTCTAGTAGTCCTGTTGTTTCAACTGTATTTACAACAGTTCCTTCGAGATTTACTACGACAGAGAAATTGATAGACGGTGGTAAACTGACAACCAATAACACTATAAGACCAGAATTGAATATGACAACAAATTCAACTTCTAGTGAAACCAATAGCCCTTTGGAATCCTCGAGTACTGATCAATATAATAAATCAAGTAACAACATCGAAATGACAAATAACCCAAAGGATGTCAGAAATGCAACAAAACAAGAAACAACAAGTACAATTAAACATTTTACAAGTTCAACAAACTCTGTGGAAACCAGCTCAAATTCTTCATCAACGATAATAACGACGTTGGAAAGTAGCACAAAGAAGTCGATAACCTTGTCTAAGGTCGAGACTGTTACTGACCTACTACCGAGTGAAGAACCTGTTAAACAGACAAATCTTCAAAAGCAAACAACCGATAGAATAACTTCCGCAACGATAGAAAAAAATACCACTTCAATATCTGCAGAAACAACAACAGAAAGACAACATCTAAGAATAGATAAACAAACTTTTTGTAAGGATTTGGATTGTGGAGACGGTGGAAAATGCGTACTTAAGTCTAATAAAGCAGTTTGCAAGTGTGATTGGGGCAGAAAAGGCATTTTATGCGAAGTAAATTTAAGACCTTTGATAACATGCGTTATCGTTTTGGCAAGTATTTTTGCACTTGTCCTTATATTACTTCTTATTAAAGTAATAAGGCAAAGAAGATTTGCTAAATGGCGAATATCTAGATTTAGATCTGCCAAAAGAGATGTTTATACAACTATGCCTGGTTCGCATAGGTTGGTTAACGCTCCAAGTAGATCTAGTAAGAGGAGATCAGACGCTGGGTATCTCAATCTAGATGAATATTGATGATTTTTAAGTAGTTTTTAAAATGAGATTTATGCAGAACATTTTTATATGAATACTATATTGGAACATATAGTATATTATTTTGACTATATCAGTATTCTTTTAAAAGAAATTTCTCTATATAAAACGTAGATGATTTGAAAAACAAAGCTCTTTATTTCTTTAATAAACATTAATTATTTTATCAAAACTATTAGTTAACCATATTTCAAATATCCATTTTTATTTCATTCTGAATTTTATACGAATTTATTAATACGCATAAAATAGCGCATGGATAAATTATGAAAAGTGCACAAAGAGACATTAATACAGTATATGATTTACAAATCAATCTATAATAGGGTTTATTGAAGAAAGATAAAATGTTTTGGCTTTCTTTCTATGGCTGATTTAGTCTCTTCAAATTCTCTTCTTTTTCCTATCTTCTATCATAATGAAAAACTTAAAGTTCTGTCCAGCACAAAAGATGCCTTTTGCGGTATATTTTTTATCCTTTTAATACCCTATCATTTACAGATTGAATTCATTTCGATATATTTTTTACTGGTTCTTCTTCTCTTCTTTATGTAATGTTGGTTCCAAAATTTTGTAGCCGTTATCTACCGACGACTCTCGAACGCATTTTCTTGGAAACCAACCTCTAATGCGATCTGTTAAACAACAATAATAAGTGATCTAGAAAGGTTCTATACCCAAATAAAAAATATTGACTGAGTAATGTACTGAATTTTTCTAATACGACTTTTGGCACAACTCAACATACAAAACTAGAAAGATTACCGTTTTTGTATCATATTTTACCAACATTTATTTTAGTTAAGACTTATTTAGAGATATCTAAAAAAATTACTAAATTATTGTTAGCTTAGAAGAATTATTAGGGGGAAATAAAAAAAAAATGCCGCGCCTAACTGTTGAAGAAAGACGAGCCGCTGTTGAAATGATACAAAATGGTGACCAAATAAAAGATGTGGCCGAGTTCTTTAAAGTATCTTCATTAACTATATCAAAGTTAAAAAAAAGATTTGCCGAAACTGGCTCGGTATTGGATAGACAAAGATCTGGACGTCCACGAAAATTGGATGTAACTGACGAGTGCAAAATAACTAAAGTATCTAAAGCCAATCCGTTTTTTACAGCTAGACAAGTAAAAAATCATACTGAGACATCGGTTCCTGTATCAATATCTACGGTTAAAAGAATACTGAAGAAACACGGTCTATCAAATAGAGCAAATACTATAAACGAAATAAGAAGACAAAAGTTAGCAGAAGAGAGGAGTCTATTAGCGGCAAAGAGTAAAAAGAAAAAAATGGAAATAATTGAAAAATTAAGTTTAAATAAAAATTAAAACTTTGTAATTAAATAATAAAAAAAAACGAATAAAAATCTTTAATTAAACCGAATATACTTTTTACAGTTTTTTCCCTTTAACATTAAAAATATTGTACTCTAACTATTCTATTAAATATCTAAAGCCTATGGCTTAGTAGTGAAAGCATAATATCATATAAGTAGAGTAAAAAAGTTTAGAAATCAACGAACTTTTTGTATTAATAGAAGTATACTTACTATCAGTTTTGTCTTTCAGCACCTTATCTCCGTAGAGCCAACGTCTAAAAAGAGAAAAACAAATTAAAAAGTCAATTGAGAGGATAAAATTAAATAGAAAAAAGTATTATATTATATCGGTTGTAGATTAAATATAACCTACTTCCTCCATCTGGTTACGGAAACTTTATCACCATTAAGTAATGGGATTCTGGGCTCGTCTACGCACGGTGGACAACAAGCGACGCAAATTCCCTTTGATATAGGAAACCACGATCCATTATACTTTTCAGTTGCAACGTACGTTATCGCTCTCTCCCTCTTTTCAGCTTTCTGCTGCAGTTGTTCTACTGTAAGAGTATACTGATTGCAACCCTCTTTCACCTTATGGAAATTAACAAAAGATAAAATCATAGAATTCTTGATTATAGATAAATATTTAACGAACAGTCCATCTATATCCGTCAGATTTATAAAAAGAACTAAAAACTTGTCTCAAGTTTTCTCTCCAGCCTAAGTCGTATGGATAAATCCATTCTTCATCAGTATCTCTTCTTCTCCAATGCGCTTTATCATTAATCCACGATTCAATGGAGGTTTCGTTTTTAATTATACTTCTAATTTGTATAATGCAAAGGCCGCCAACAGCAATAATGACACCGACTGCTAAACCAACCGCTAGCATACTGAAGATAAACATTGTTACACTTAATGTTACTATAGGGTCATACTCTGATCCATAGCGTATGAAGTAATTCTGTAAAAAATTAGTCATTTATTTAATCAATACAAAATAACTAAAAAAAACAAACCTTAGTAACTGCTCTATACATAGAGGGAATTAATATACATAAACCATGTAAGCATCCAGCTGGAGCAAATGCAAGAAAATACGTAAAATTGGCATGATTGAAATGACCGACGCAATTATTGATCCTGTTCATTTTTTTAAATAAAAATATGTAAACAAAACACTTTAAGTAAAATACAAGTTTAAAATAAAATATTAACCATGGACAATGATGATCCATTTTCATAACGCACCTGTACAAGTAATAATTCATTTTTAAAGCAAATTTTTAAACTAAAAATGTTTTATTATTATAATAATATTTATTATTTTATTATAATATATTTATTTTAATGTAATAAATAATTCATATTTTTTGCTCTATAATCCATTTGACAATGGCGTTATTCATCTATACTAATCTTCACCAAATTATTGATTTTTATAACAGTACAGTGCTAAGTGTAAATACATTTTATTTGCTTTTAATAGTTCTTTACTTTAAATTTTTGCTCCGGTACAATTTTTTAAAATATTCTTTTGTACTTACTTGCCACACTTTCTACAATGATGCGATCTTGGAGCTTTAAAGCCTTTACAGACAATGCACTGTTGTAACTTATCTTCATCTCTTTTAGACTTCTTTATAAGGTAAAATAGAATAATTATTTATTCCAAAGTATTTGTTTCACTTGTTCAGTTTAGATACTTACCGGTGCCCAATTTCGAGGTACATGACCTGGACCTAAAAAGGCTGCGTTGAAGAAGTTATAAAGAGTAGCAGTAACCCAAAAACAAAAGACAATCAAATGAACGCCCCCCCACAAAGTAGTTGGTGGCCACCACTGCAAATCGCAAATTATAGAGCACGATGAAACAATACCTATCACAGTCAGTGCTATACATGGTCCCCAATGAAGGAGACGATAAAAACATCCTATGCCACTGTCTGCCGAATTGACGATAAAATTTGAAGAGGAAGACATCTTGAACGAAAACCGTTTTAATTTGACTACGAATTCTATATATATAGTTCACTTCTAATTTGCAGTTGAAAACAATATAAGTTTGTTAAATCATCTTTGATCAATAAGAAGTTAATATTAGTGTGTCAAAAGAAAAAAAATTGTCACAAACGGAACCGGAATAAAATATTATTTGTTATTTTAGTATGGATAGGTGGTATGCGTCGTTTAAATTAGCTTATATTTTGGCGCCTATCTATAGCATCTTGAAAATTGACTTCCGTTTCCGTCGATTTGTATGTTTGAAAAAAAAACCGCGATTGAATGTGAGTAAAACTGAATATTCGTGTTAAGCTCCCGATTTTCTAGTACTTTAGGCAATCATATAAATTTTTAGGTCAATTTTATCTATACGAAAAGCACTGATTTCCATTTTATAAGATATTTCACAAGAAAAATTAGAAAATCTAAATTTCGCGTGATTCTTATTTCATTTATTTTTTTAAATAGTAAATTCTTACAATTCCTTCAAATATCAATGGTTTATTTATTCTCATGTGTATTATATTACTGTCTAGTTTGAATATGTTTCGATATATTCTCCTGGATTTATTGAAAATCCAATGTTTCTTTTTTTTCTTCTTCAATGTTCGAAACATTCAAAAATTAAAATATAGTTAAAGAGAAATTACCTACAGACTAAATTATTTACTAGACCTATTCTCTTTTCACAGAAAGATAAACATCATGCCGAGAGCCACGAAAAAGGCAGAAGAAGTTGATAGGGTTGTTTGTCAAAATCTTGAATTGGCAAAGTCGATAAGAGATTTTCTGAGAAATCATTGTAATAAAACAATTACGTTGGAAGATGCGCTAAGCAGCATTATGAAGATATATAAAACAGAAAAAAAAAAAGTATGTTATTTTTGAGTTGAAATTAACTGATAACCTGTAAATAACTTGGCTTCTTCCAATTTAGAATTCAAGCACTCCTAAATTTAATGAAGCATTGCAGTATTTGATGTACAATGCCTTCGAATTTGGAGATATGGAAAGTGATTTTATAAATAAACACTGGGATCTATTTGGGGCAATTTTAGCAGAGATAACTGTTCTTGAAAAATCAGATGTAATCAATCCAGTTGTTCGTAATGTAATAAGGCATTATTTTTCGGTACGTAGAATTTCCGTTCATTCATGTTAATTGATATTTCATACTGTAAATATTAATATAATTGCAGTGCCAAGTTCCAGAAAAAGAACTTCGGTGGCATACAACTCATATATGTGCAAGTTTTTTACTTCATCTACCGAATGGTGTTGACCTAAGCGGAAAATTTTACGATAAAATTGTGGAGAAATTGAAGATTGATGCTAATGACAAATGCCCAGCTGTTAGATTGTGGGCAGTGAAAGGATTAACTGTTTTCCAATGCTCTGGTGAAGACATAGATGTAATTAGATTTCTTATAGACAAGGCTAAATTTGACGGTAATTTGGCGGTGAGATTAGCTGCCCAAGAATCATTTTGTATAACATCAAGAACGGCCAGTGAATTGACAAATTTTATCTTGTCAAAGAATGCTGCTAGTAGAAAATTAGCATTCTCGAGATTGGGATCAAGCGTGCACATTAGAGCTTTGGTGAGAGAATATAGACAGAAAGCCCTTTTTTATGCCTTTCAAGAAAGTGAACCTGATGTCAAAAAACATGCAAAGGAGCATTTAATTGAAATTTGGAAGCAAATGTGTTGCAGCATTGAACAATTGGTTAAATATCTAATTTGTGAGACGTCTGATAAACGCGATTTCAACGTCCTTAATTCTGTTTTAAAGACTTATAATGCTGAAACCTTAATTGAAGCTTGTTTCGAAAATCTACCATCTCCAGATACTAGAGGAGGAATTGATGGAGAGATACAGCGAAATTACCCTCCTTTACTGAATGATAAGTTATGCATTGACTTGGATAACATAACTTTCGTTAAAGGTACTATTCAAGTTCAGCTATATTCCGTTTTTATACATTTACAGTTTGTCTCTTTTTAGCCGTATGGTGGTCTGAAACGCTGAAAGTTCTTAAAGCCAAACAGGAAGAAGGCGAAATGGACCTTGTTGAAAAAATAACACCCTCAGCCTTAGATTTTACAAATATGATTGAATCATTTTATTATAAGTATAAGGATGATTTGGATTCTGGAAGAAGTATTAATGAGGACAACTTGCCTTTAGATTACATAAAAGCCTCGTGTACTATAGGTTATTTACTACAAATAAGCGAATATGTCGATAACAACGATCCTGTTGGAAGAGAAAAAGTATATAAATCTTTCAAGGAACTGCTTCTTTTAGATTCTACGTGTTACGATTGGTGTGGTGGATTCGTAAAGGCAAAACGTAGATTTGCTCTTAATGACGAAGAATTTACAAAAGATATTTTCTATATTATATCTGAAGTTCTTCAGCCTTTCAGTGAAAATGTTACTACGAGTCATAACGACGAAACTGAACCAACTCAAGCAGCAGATAGCACTATTAGAACTGATCATTTTGTTAGAGCTAAAGTTCTGGCTTGCTTAAAAGAATTCTCAAATTTAATGAAGGTATGTTTTAAATTCTTTTTTATATTTCAAGTTTTACTTCATAAGATCAAAAACAGGAATCAACATATGATTTAAGCCAGAGCAACACTTATCAAGATTTTATAAAGCGAAACGTTGCTGCTTGGGTATCTGTTGATACCGAATTACCATATGTTCGGTTACTTGCATTGGAAATCATACATATTCATGCAAATTGCTTTAAAAGAACCGAAAAGGATTTGGAAACAGCAATATTAGCTTTTGTTTATAATATTATCGAAAGAAAAAGTGTATATCATACGGAGGCAGACCTTGTAAATCTCTTCAGATTAACGACATCATTCTTAACTCACACAAGTAGAACCGCTATCAATGATACTATATTTAAAGTAGAAGCAAATTGTGAAGCTACGGTTCTATTACTGAAGCATTGCGGTTATGAGGACAAAAATCTTAAAAATTTCGACCCACTTGAATTTATTTTGGACGAGTATTGCTCATGTTTCTATAGTCTACAGTTTGAGGGGCAGTGCGAAATTATTAATTTTTTATGTATCCTACTAATTTATAGGAGAAACGTTGAAAATCTTCTCCCTAGAATATTTGATATTGTTGTTTACGACCATAAAAGAAAGATCACAGCCCATTCACTAGTGCGCGAAACAGTTGAACTAGTTTTTGAAAGTGAAATAATTAAATCGAATATCTTTGTGGAATTTGTTGATTGTTTTACAAGAATTGTAAAAGTGATGGTGAACGAAGACGAAGATTACTTAGCCATTCTCATTGATATATTTTGTAAGATATGTAAACATGGCATAGATAAAATTATCCAAGACGCTGAGACATCAGCACAGAGCTTAGATATATTGCAACAAGTTAGATTGAAACTCTCTACAGTTTTGAAGGCTATTGGAACACAAAAAGATATTGAACGGATTGTGACAAAAATTGAAAAATCTCCCGTTTTTGCCGAAAATGAAGAATTATTCAAAGCAGAAGAAAAGGATGAAGTTGACACAACTATGAAAGAATTGACCAAGACAATTGAAGAAGACGAATATGAGGAGGATGAGGACGACGATGATGTTACAATTATTGCAGAAACAGCAGCTGCAGTAAGTTAAGCGATTGGAAATTATGTCATCATTAATTTAGAAAAAAAACTAATTAATTTTCAGGTCTCTCAACTGAAAGTGGAAGTTAAGGAAGAAATAGAGGCAATTAATAATGACAGTCATGAAAGTTCATCCGATGATATCGTACCTCTCTCTCCTACTACACAGGCCCCCACCTTAAAAAAGCGTGGCGTAGTCAGTAACAAAGTGACTGATGACTCGAAAGAATTTGTAAAGTCAAGAACCACCAGGAGTAAAAGTGGTAAGAAAAGAGGACACGACACGGATATAGCAAAGTATGTAATGTTTTTTTCATATCCCAGTTACTTTATTAGAAGCATAATTATCTTACTTATAAAAAACTAGTTCATCTTTTCTATTCGCCTTTAGCTCCTTAAATACTCTATTTACATATTTTTTCATCTTAGTTTTAGCAAATTAAGCGGACAATTGGTAACGCTCCTAGTATCATCTAACTTTTTGGCTTCTTTAACCGCATGCTCAACAATAGTTATGTTCATGATTTAATATCCTTTTTTTTTCAGATCAAGAGACAACGTTGTTGTGGAAAAAAGACAAACAAGGTCATCAGCTCGAGAAAATGAAAGAAATCTTCGATCTAGGTTAATTAAATTTGTACTTTTCTAAAGACAAAAGACAATAATTTCATATAACAATTTTTTAAATTAACAGAGGCAAAAAAAGAAGTCAAGACATGCCAAAGTAAATGCTTATTCTCATTGAAAGAAAATTTTGTATATACGATTTGATACATAGTCTATTACATATCAAGATTAAACTTTCATAATCGCATTATTTAGATATCAATATTTATCGCTTATTTTTTGTATATATCTTTCGGCAGACATGTAAAATATTTTCCAAAAAGAGAAAGAAAATATTTAGATTTTCGTCCACTTTGAGCTCTATTAAATTCTTGAACATACACATATGTAAAATATACTTTTTCTAAATAAATTCACATCTATAAATGATTTGTACACGTCTGTTTATATAAACAGACGAATTCAAAGCGATTGAATAATCGGTGTAATTATCCTAAATGTTTTGTTTTTCCAGGGGATTAGGCGTATTCATAAAGTCAGGTCTTCATATTTATTAGATATATTTTGTATAAATTGAAATTTTGCTGAACATTTCTTGCTAGCTATATTCATTTCCAAGAAACAAAGAGAACAGATCTAAAGTCAATAAAATTTTTAAATAATATACTGTATAAAGACTTAAAATTAGATAAATTGATCATAGCTTGTAATATTTATCCGATTGTTAATTTTTTATCAATGACGGACTGAAAGCACTACATAATATACGCTTTGTTTCATCATTTGTAGACATACAAAAGAATTAGCATGTAATAGTTTTTTTAATACCTAGTTTAAAAATTAAAGATAGCGGTTGTTTGTTATTTTGTTGCATAGTGTAATTCGCTGTTCATCTCAGTCGTTTATTGCTGCTCAACACATATCAACTATCATTGAAGATCAGTTAGATCAGGGTGCGGTAGGGCTCTACTTATATCCAATAAATCAGTAGGCTCGTCTATACCTACGGTATGCTGCGAAGTGTCAACAACAAATAATATATTTGAATAGTTTTGTTGAAATTGCGGTTCTTCTCTAGTTTGATTTAAAGGTAGGATGGGCTCTTGACTTGTCTGATATTCATTTTCTGGTTTCTTTTTTGAAAGAGAGCCGTGCTTTCCCCTTCTATCTGGCATTGGTGCGTTATGTAGTTTCAATTGATCAAGGAGGGTTCGAATTTGTCCTTCAGTTAACCTAAATACCCCTTGAAAGCATCTTTTACAAACGGAATTTAATTCACCGGATATTTCAACGCTATAATAGAAAGTAACCTCTCTACACAGTTTTTTGTCTTTACTCCGTCGTCTCGCTGGAGGTGCGTAAGTAATTAACTTTGATAAATAAAGTCGTTGATTGTTATATGAGGAAAGTTGGGAAAAAATGGAATAAACTTCGTCCAATTGGTCATTTGAAAATTTCTCTAAGCATTTCTGCTTACATTTGGACCGGATGAGTGCGGCTTTAGTCTCTCTTTCTTTTTTCTTTGCCATTCTCTGCTCTTTTCTCTTCCTATCTCTCTTCGATTCGTTATTCATTTCTGCAACGTCTTCATAGTCGATAAGTGGAACAAATGGGACTTTCGCTTTATCTTTATCCGTCTCCGTCTTTGATGTATTTGGAGTTTGAGAACGGTTTGCTATAGAATTTTTAGACCTGGCAATTAATTTTTTAACAACAGGTGAATTCTTTAAATGTCTATATTTTCGAAGGACATCTTGACCATTTGTATTTTCATCATCTACCTTTTTATTTGTTGGTGGCAGATGAATTTCTTTCTTTCTCGTCCTTGTATCTTTCGTGCCTGATTCTTTAAGAAATCTATTTGAGGTATGACCATGTTTCCCCCGACCGTCTGGCTTCGGTCCATTCATTGAAACAATTTGTATACATAAAACTCTTACAAATCCATTCGATATTCGATACGTCGACATAAAACAGTATTTGCAAACTTTTGTTAATTTTCCTTTAAGAAGTATATGATAATTAAATGTTCTTAATCTTCTTGGATGTGTCTTTTCTTTTGTCGATTTCGTTCGCTTTGTAGGCAGAGATATTGATATAAGTTTACTTAAGAATAATTTTTTTGCATAATATGTTCCAAGTTTATCAAACTCTTCAAATGATAAGTTCAAATCTTCTTGATCAATATTTAACAAACAAGCTCGATGACATTTTTCTTTAAGTGTCGCTAATTTTCCTTCCTTTTCTCTTCGTCGACGTTGTTGTTCTAGTTTTCTAGCCTCTTTGCCCTTCGGCGTTTTTGTTTTTTGAGCAACTTCAGCAGTGGGCTCTCTCTCTTGACTTTCAAGACTATTCGTTGCATAATACATCATATTTGATTGATCTTCGTAAGTAGAATTATCGGTCATTAATATTTCCATTGATTGGTTCGGATAGATTGTTAACGTTGAATTCGGAGCTGCTTGTTCGACATATATTGTCTGTTTCATTAAGAATTATACTGGTATGGTTATTTTGAAATATTAAAAATAAATAATATCATACTGGTGAATAATCTTGTGTAATCCATTGAGAATTATCTGTTGAATCAGTAGAAACACTACTGAACGTATTCATTTGATACTTTAAATATCCTTGATCGTCGTTTGCCATTATTGTCTGGAAAAAAGTTATAAACTACAATGCAGATCGAGAATTTAAATTCAATATATTCACCTTATAACATTGATTCCATATAAGTTTTCAAAAAGAATTATTTTTACAACTCCTTTAGCCCTTTTTGTTAAATGATCTCTCAGAATTACCGTAAAGAAAAGGTAAAATTTAAGGAAAAGAAATCATAAATGCAATACAACTTTGATCTTTCAGTATACAAAAGTATTTCTGTGATTAAGGCCTAAATACAATATTAATAAATGAAGAAATCATCAGAAATATATGCCGAATTACTCAAAGTGCACAACAGCGTAAACGAAAGTAGTTCGACTGTTTAAAACTGGTTTTCTTAATTTTTCTCCCATAAAATATTACTTTTTCTGTTTAATATTCAAACTAGATAAATTTAACAAAAATTATTAGTAGCTTAGTTTTTTTCCTTTATATTCTTCAAAATTATTAAATAAACTTGGATGTATGAATACATTTATTTAATGGACACCGCGTTAAAATGGGACAAATTTCGACTTTCAAAACAGTAGGCGGGAGCTCTTCTGAAATCAAGAAATGAATTTTCATAACAATTAATTAAGAATTTTAAGTAAATTGTATAAAGAGAAATTTTCCTCAAGATAAACTTTTTCTTTTTTAAGAAAAAAGAAATCCAATTTTAGAGTACTTTGAAATTTATCTAATTGACAAGAAACTCATAATACTTGTTATATTTTTTAAGAGTAGGATTTTCAATTACTATTTAAACGTATTTTGACAATTATGAAACAGTCAAATTCCTAAATAACAAAAAATGGAAAATCCGTTAAGGCAAATCAAATTTGTAAAGATCAGGTGTCACCAACTTGAGAGCGAGATGCGTAACCATTGCAGTAAATCCCCAAACTTTATCTTTTCCAGGACAATTATAAACAGGAAGAGCTATACTTCTTTCTTTCCATATTGTATATCTGGCGTGTCTACTTAATTCGCTTAAGGTTACTGTAAACACCTTAGCAACTTCTCCAGTATTTACAGATAAACTATCTAAATTCAGAGGATTTTTTAAAACACCCAAAACAGGATGAATGGCCATTCCATGTCGAGCAGGTAATCTAAACATTGTACCCCAGACATCAACATCACTTTCATTAATTCCTACTTCTTCTTTAGCCTCCCTAAGGGCAGTTTTAATTGGATCTTTGTTGTCCGAGTCATCAACCTTTCCCCCAGGAAAACTAACTTGTCCTTTATGGGTAGGTAAATGATGAGTACGAACGGTGAAGAGGAGAGATAATTCATCATTCACGATACATAATGGAACTAAAACTGCTGAATTTTTATAAGATTTGCTTAAATTTGGTTTTGAAAGAAGTAATTCCTGACATCTTTTCTTATTAGTCTCATTAATAAGTGAATAATATGAGGTTTTCGATAAAAATCTTCTCAGCTGCATTTATTTATTCTCTGACAGGTCAATTCGAAATAAAATTCACTCTACTTCTCTCCACAGGGTCATTCGTTTATGAAAACTGGTTTGAAATATTTCGGCTGAGTCATGTCAAAAGCTGGTCTGCTACAATGTATGACCATGAAGAATTGGATGATATGTTTGTCGAAAAGCTCAAAAAAGAGGATAGAGACATCTGTAAAAGTCATATGTAAGAATTAAAAGTAATTTAAATGTCGGTTTTTATCAAATTTAATGTTTACAGTACAGAAACAAGTTATGCTGGGGATATTTTAAAGTTTGGTACAGCTATATCAATTGCATCAGGAGCTGAGCCGCTACCAATCAATGAACAATGTATAGAAAGTGAAAATAATTCTTTAGCTGAGTACGACGATATCAAAGACGATGAAGTTAAAAGCAAGAGTTCTTCTGATTTAATCTATACTGGTTATTCAGCAAAATCTGGTTTTAAAACAGAATCAAAACATACTATTGATGATGCAAAGAAATTTTCGGGGATTTTTTTCAATAAAAAACCTGGAAAAGACGAGGTTTTTATTTTTTAAGTTTCTTAAATTTTAACTGACAGCATGTTTATACCAGGGAGTTATTGTACATGTGATTAGCATTGACTTTCCGAATGAGACACGAAAGTCTTGTATTGAAGAAGAATTGACTGAATCATTTGAGGCAACGAAGCGAACGAAGAAATCGTTGTTTATCCTCTGCAATTTGAAACAAGAAGTAAATTTTAGAAATTAAAGTAATTTTATTATCTTATACATATACTTTTTTTAAAAAGGATTACTTCAAAGCAATATCACTATTTAAAGACTGTCGGTATATTATTATGTTCTTCTCAACTCATGGCGCAAAGGATTATATAAAATTCGTTGATGGTCAAGTGGTACAATTAGAGAGGTTTATAAAAGACATAGAAAGTACACTTGAAAACGCAGATATACTAAATTATTTCTTCTGCTGTCAACATATTGCCGGGAAAAGTTTTAGCTACAAAAAATCGTACAGTGAAACAATGAAGCGTGACGAAAAGTATCCGTTTTGTGTATTTGTATCAAATGTTGGCAGTAAGGTATACCGCCACAGAATATCCAAAGTGAATGTTTATGTGGTGAAAGGATTTTTACAGCTGGCTGAAGATTTGCCAGCATGGTCGGAAGTTAAGAAGAGCGATATAGAAGCTTTGAAAACGGAGTTAAAAATGCTGTCGGGTCCTTACATACAGATATCAAATAAAAAGAAAATATTACTTAATACAGGATCATCCTATAGAATGTAAGAATTTAACAAAACTTGTAAAATTACTACTTTTATTCATGTAAATTCTGTTTGCAGAATCTCTGATAAAGATGTCTTTATCAAGTACGATAAGTTTACCCTGACATTGAAGAATAAGAGCGATTCTGTCGTCAAGGTTAGAAAGAAACTGTTAAACAAAAACAAAAAGAGGAAAGTTTTTAACGGAGATTCTATAAGTATCGATCAGAAGATAATCACTGTACATTTTCTGTTTGAGGAGAGCATTATCCGTTCGATGAAATCTGGAGACCTCGACCCGACACCACTCTTAAATTTAAATGAAAGATTTCGATATTTTTTTCGCAACTTGTTCAAAAAGTTGATTAATTGAAATAACGATTTGAAATTATGAAATATATTTTAAATTATAAACAAAAAACTTGTATGAAATATTGTCGTGCTATCAATCTTTTATAAGCATGGAAACTGAAAAAATAAGACATTGTAAAGATTCTTTACTTCGTATTGTTTCAAAAAATTTTGGGTGGTAAAAAGTAGTTAGGACTAGACTACTTTCAGAAAAGCGACGTAAAAGTAGATACCACTAAATTTCGCTTGGCAAGGAATCAGTTTTCAGAAATATACTTTATTTGCGTATTTAGATACAATGTTCTCATTGGATTTTCTCAAAGCTGAAACTGAACGTAAAAAGAAACAATTAGAGGCCACAAATGTTATGGTAGCTTGATTTTTATAAAAATTTCGTCATTTAATGTATATTTTAATCAATTGAGCGATAATTGAATAATTTTAAATTTCTTTTTAAAATACTTTCTTGTTCTTGAGATAAATAAAACCTTATTCTGATTATAGAAAGATGGTAAGAAATTTTTTAAAAGAGGAGATTTAGCAGCTAAACAAGAAGAAGAATATTGGAAACGTCAAAAGAGATTTAAACCAGCGATTGAAGAGGAAAGAAGAGATGTAAATAGCATATCTTAAATTCTAAAAGAATATTTAAACAAAATTTATGTTTTTTGATCAGTCAAGTCCAGCCCCAGACAGTGATAAAGATGAGCCAAAGCCGAAGAAAGAAGTAAAAATTTCTAGAAAAGAGATTATAAAACGCTTAAGAGAAAGACAAGAACCCATTAGACTCTTTGGAGAGAGTGATGAGGAAGCATTACAAAGACTGAAGAGATTAGAGATTGAAATGCCTGATATCAACAAAGGTAACAATATACACAGTCTTACATCGCATTAAAATCTCTATATATGTATCGTTACAGGTTACAAGAATGATTTTATGGCTGCTATGAATACAGTTGATAAAGAGTATAATGAAGCAATTCTTCAATGTTTCAATAAAGAGGAGGCTGATAAAAGAGCTATAAAAATGGCGGATGTTGATGTTAGAAAAGAAGCCGACGATTGGGATTCTATTCAAGTAGGGATTTAAATATTTAATTAAGAAGGAAACTAAAATTGAATTTTTAGGCCGATTCAGTGAAATTTGGAAGAAATAATTCTAAATTTGACAGTAACCTTATTCTACGATATTTAAAGTTAGTTTTGTGGAAATGGGGAAGTCAGTTGAATTCAAGAAGACCTGAAGAAAAGTTGCAAGGTAGCGGAAAAATAGCTAGCGCAACTCATCGACAAACTGTTGAATATATAAAGCCTCTTTTCAAAAAGTTACAATCAAACGTAAGTTACATTATTTTACATTAGTTTTCTTTATTAATTAAATATTTTTGTTACAAAACTTAAGGGGTTGGACGAAGATTTACTTGGCTGTCTCGTCGATATTGTTAAACATCTTTTAAAGCGAAATTATATTAAGGTATGTATATATAATTAGAAGTTAATACTGAAAAAAAAGGAACGTCTTCCTTCTATTTTCTTCTAGGCTAATGATGCATACGTAGAAATGGCAATAGGTAATGCCCCTTGGCCAATTGGTGTTACTATGGTTGGTATTCACGCAAGAACGGGTAGAGAAAAAATTTCCGCTAAGAACATAGCTCACGTTTTGAACGACGAAACTCAGCGTAAATATATTCAAGCTTTAAAAAGGCTTATGACTCAAGCGCAAAATTTCTATCCAACTGATCCAGCGAGAAGCGTCAATTACGAAAGGCGCGAAGATGATTAATTTACATTTTTGTTAGACATCACTTATCTATTATTTTGGATATTTTTAACTCTCAGACATATAATAAAGGGAAGAAAGTCCCACATGAAAAGATTACGCCGTCATAGAAAAAAACCTATTTGTATATTTTTAAACACGTCTTATAGTTTGTTAGATAATCATTTTATGAGAGCGGAAAATCGACCAATAAATCTCAAATTATCATTAATTTATTAAATATATATAGGTATTTAAATAAATTTAATTGTTGAACTAATATTTTTAAGCAATTCTTGCCAATTATCTACTTGTTGAATTGGATTTCCATTCAAGTTAACGACTGAGAGATTTGAGCATAATTTCAAATTCTGCAACTCATCAATATCCTTAATATCTGTTTGAAAAAATTGAACGATAATATTTATCATAAAACTCCTTATATGATTATTTACTATTGTTCGATATATCGAGCTGAGACAATTTCAGAACATGCTCAATTCCAGTAACATTGGTCAACTGATTTCCACTTAGATTAATTTTTTCAGCATTTTGCCAAAAATGTGAATTATCGATAGAAGTTAACTTATTATTCGATAAATCGATATTCTTAGCAAGAAGAAATGAAGAAATAGGATTACATTTTGTACTAGTTAACTCTTTATTAGATAAGTTAACATCAGTAATGTCATAATTCTTCATATAAAATTCTAATATTATTTTACTACCTAGAAACAAAAAAGAAATAAACTTATGTTATTGTTGAACATATAAGGAAATAAAGATATTTACGTAAATCCTGATAGTAACGTTTTCTTGATGGATCCAATCTTAACAACTTTTCTAAATATTCATTCACCAATTCCGAGTAGTTATTAAATTGATCAATTTTCATAAGTAAAAATATTAACGTTATTAACACCCCTATTGTGAAAAGATAAGCATGCGTATTTTAGTTCTAATATTTAAATTATTATTGTTAATACTATACATTTATTATCTTCTTCCATATCGTGTAGTTGTTGAATATTTTCAAGTTGACTTTTTAAGATATCAACACTTAATTCAATTCTTTTAAAATGTAGAATAAATAGGTTAGTTAGTATATATATATTATAAACTCTTTAAATGTTATCAATTATACCTTCCCGTTGTAAACTCGCTAAAGATAAAGCCATCGTTTCTTGTTTTTTCAACATCAATTGTAGAAAATTGTAATTGATCATCAACGTATAGCGATAAATTCCCCATACAAATATCATTTACTTGGCATTTCTATATATATTTAATAAATAAGAATAGGTTTAGTATTTGTTTAAATAACGATGGAAAAATTTGGATATATTCTTTTTAATATAATATGTAAAAGTATTACATGAATAATGAAAATGTCATCTTGACTAATATTTATCCAGTTCGTATTGATTAGTTCGTCATTATTTTTAAGTGATAATTTATTTTTCTGTTATAGAAAGAAAATAATTCATTAATAATTAGAATATTATTGAATAATGAAGTTTATTAACACCTACATTAACTGGTTTCGAAAATATAACAATTATTACTAGATTATCGCCTTGTTTGTATGATTGAAGAAAATTCAATTTTAAAGTTGGTGAATCTATAATTAATTATGAAAAAAAATAATAACATAGTCGATATATATATGAGCATCAGTTTTAATTAGAAATACAACATACCTGGTGTTAACAGCCAACGATAATAAAACCATGCACTTTGGTCGTTTGGATCAGTAAAAAAAGCATTTTGAACTAAATCTAATTCTATAATGTATAGACTATGGTTGAAATCTTAAAGAATTTCTATTTAAGGCATATATATTACCTGACATTAGGATATCAGATTGAATTCCTCTACTTTGACTGGGATCAGGATATTTTTCAGGCAGTAAACGACTTCGGTACTGCCATGATGAATAATTTGAAAAATTCGATGCAATTTTGTTACTGGTAAATTCTATTTCGTCATCAGCAGATACGCAACCATTTTTTACAACAAACCTTCTATAATCCCAACAATGAACTAGTAACGAAATAAAAGAATTATTCTATTCTCGATTGAAAGTATCACTATATTTACAATTTCTTTCATCATATTCTAAGTATAGACTACAAAGATCAAGCTCCTTTTTCCAATCTGGATTAGGCATATATTTCATAACAAAGCATAAATGATGCCATGAACCATACGATTTTGGATTGACTTGAAGGCAACTTTTAGCAAAACGCAGCTCATTTTCGCATAGCTTTTGTAATTCGATCTTATCCCTTGATTTATAGAAAAAGGAATCATTATTAAGGTTGAAAAGGGTGATATTTAAATAAGAATTGAAATATCTTACTCGATTTTTTCAATAGCTTTCCTTCTATAGTTCCATAGAGTTAGAAAATCAGGAATAGAAGATAATATACCACCGGTTAATTCCAGAATTTCTTCATCAAATTCGTTGTTTTTTTTCTAATTAAATTAATTAATTAATTCTTACATATTAAGGAATATTATAATAATATTGCTTAAAAATTACTTGCAGTATGTAGTACTTTTATTGATAATAATTGGATGCTGATAAATTTTAATCATTATATTTATTTAACACTCACTTTCTCAAAGATTTTCGCTTTAATAGAGTCTAATTTCTTCAGCTTCTTTTCTCTTTCTATTCTTTTAGCTTCTTGTTGTTCAGCAGTTGTGCGAACTTTTAGAACACCATGCTGTTTTAAGAAAATTCATCATTTTATTTTTGTTTAATATTGAGCGAAGATTGGTGAAGTATATAAAGTCAATGTAAAGTTCCGAAATACATTAAAAACATGTATTATCAAATATCTAATAAGATGGTAGTATCACTTAGTTACGCGATAGGGATAATGTTTTAATTGTAGACACTATAACAAAAGAAAATATACCATTTTGCTGTAGGTAATCTTTGTGTAAAAAAAGAACTTCAGATGTCGCTTTTACCGTTTAAACAGATGAATGTTTTACTTAATAACTTTTTCCAGCCGAGCGCGGATTAATCTATTTAAAAGCAAATAAATTGAACAGCTTTCATTTTCTAAACACATAAACTAATTTGTTAAACTTTCGTAATTTCGTATTCTTTCTGTGTTAATTTAATTATGACTATTTTTGGAAATTACTCGATGGAGTTTTCAAGATAGAACGAATTCCCTAACTTTTCTCAATATGAGTAATTAAATAAAACTATAGTATCATTATCATTTAAACTATCCTAGCAATCTTCGATGTTTCAGTAAAACAGACTTCCGTTTTTAAACTATTATAAAATAACTATATTTATTATTTACCGACTGAGCGATATTATAATAATTACAAACGCGTTATACTGAAGCCATGCGACCTCAGAAAGGGCTAATGAGTTTTACTATAATATATAGGAGATATCACTTTCTCCGAGCTTCAAAAATGTTTCCAATTCTTGGTAGAGAAGGTCCAGATGTTGAAAAAACAATGTCAAATAGCGCAAAAGTTTGTATTAATACAGAATTATCGTTCAAAACATTATTAGAAGTATATCAATTTTTTTAATAAGTTGCTAGTAAAACTGAATTGGGTCAAAGCTGGTGCAACTGGAACATTTACGCTTATGCCACCATTGCAAAGATCTGTTGATAAACTTTGCAGAATAATAGAAAATGAAATGAATGCTGTAGGAGGTTTGAAAGTTACTATGCCATCTTTAGCTACCGCAGGCATATGGAAGAAATCTGGTATAATAATTATAATTCTTACGATAAGATATCTTTAGTAAAATTATTATTCACTAATAAATTAGGTAGATATAATGATATGGGCAGTGAATTATTGAAGCTAAAAGATCGCAATGAAGCTAATCTCTGTCTCTCTCCCGTATGTTAGTAATTTCTCATGATTTTTCATATTAAATAACTTCTGTTCATAATAGACTCATGAAGAAACAGTCACATCATTAGTTCAATCATTATCACCAATATCTTACAAAAATTTACCAATTAAACTTTATCAAGTAAGTATTGTGACATAGATAATAAACAATAACAATATATATTATTATAATTTAATAAATTAAATAGATTGGTCCAAAATTTCGGGATGAAATGAGACCGAAAAATGCTTTATTAAGATGTAGAGAATTTCTAATGAAAGGTGAGTGAATCTTTAATAATAATTCTATTAATTAATTGTTATAATGATATTCTCATCTTCAACTAGATTTATACTCATTTGATGATAATTTGGAAAATTCTTTAAAAACCTACAAAGATCTAAATAAAGCATATGAAAATATATTCAATAGGCTTAATTTAGACTTTTTTAAAGGTAACATTTAATTTACTAAATTATTAAAATACTATACTATAGTAAGTAATAATAAATATTCTGTAAATAATGCTATAGTTCAAGCTGATACTGGTACAATGGGTGGATCGAGCTCTCACGAATATCATATTGAATCACCGATTGGTGAAGATACGCTAATTCTTTGTAAAAAGTAAAAATTATTAATATAAAATATTGTTAAGAAATTCTCTTAATCAATTAATTTTTATTCCATATTTAAAAGTTGTGGAGAAGCGTTTAACAAGGAATTAACTGTCGATGATGAATATATAAAGAATTGTAGAAAATGCGGTGAAAATGTTAAAATAATAAAAAGTATAGAGGTAAGAGAAAAGAGAAAAAGAAAGTAGAATATACTTGTATTTAGAATATTTGTATACTATTTCATTTCAATCTATCTTCAATAAGAGAGGTTTTAAAAATCTTTTTCATTTAGATCGGCCATACTTTCCTTCTAGGAACAAAATATTCAGAAACTTTCAAAGCTAATCTTATAACTAAGGAATCTAAAAAAAGGTACTATCAGCAATAATGCTACCGTTTTAATAATTCATTTGCGTTTCCAATAGTTTAATTGTAATGGGTTGCTATGGTATTGGGGTAACTCGTTTAGTATCGGCTTGTATTGAAGTTTTATCAAGTAAAAATCAACTACGATTACCAGAATTGATTACTCCTCATCAAATATGTATTATTCCCCAAAGAGTTTGTCAAATTCTTTATTTTTATCATCTTGCTCACTATACGTTTATTTTTACTATTATTTAGGAAGGTTATAAGTCTGATATTACTTTGAAACAATCTGAAGATATTGCAATTAACCTTAGCCAATTAGATAATCTCAAAGATTATGAGGTTGTGCTGGACGATAGGCTGTCATTATCAATTGGACAACGAATAAAAGAAGCATCAAATTTCGGCTATACATTTGGAATTGTTGTTGGAAAAAGTGTAAGTTAATCATTCTACAGTCAAATTAATAGTAATTAATTAATCACGATGATACATTGTTGCTATTTTCATTATAAGGCTTTAGAAGAGAATCCAAAATACGAAGTTATTGATTTTAAAAATAATGAAAAGAAATTAATGATAAATGAGGAAATAACAAATTTGGCTAAACATATTAAAACTGTATAAAAAAAGCAAAAAGATGAAACAACAAAGTATAATTAATTGGAAAAATACGCTTCCACGTATCAATATACAACGATTTGTATGGAACATTTTTGATTTATGAAATGTCCAATTTTCTTAATTTGACATTATTTAATAAAGCATTTTTTTAAAAAAAAAAATAGATACGCATTCAAGTAACATAGAATAAAAAACGGAATAGTAAAAACGAATGATATACTGTATAAATACATATAAATGACATAAAAAAAAGAAATTGAGCAAATTAATATGCATCCTTTCTCATCCGTTGTCTTAGTGTAATGCACATTCCTGCTATTACTATTAGAATTATAATAGCTACAGCAGATAGGCCAAATGTTGCAGCCCTGTATTCGACTAGAGCTCTTAAAGTTGGTTGAGGAGTTGTTGTAACTATAATAAATAATAGTTGTATATATTATAAAATGTATATATTAGTATTAATAAGATGAAATATTCGGAAAATGCGCTTTAAAAACATACTTGGATATCTAGCTTGCAGCGTTGGAAAATAATCTCGCCAGAAGGAATAGTGCTTCTGCCTGAAGTTTATTCCCATCCATGAATGTTCCTCGATCATTAGATATGATAAATTATTAGCAGCGAATGGATACCATGTTGTATTTCTTGAAATATGGACGATAGGTTGAGAATAAATCGAAAAATTTGCCCACATTTCTATCATAAAATTAGATATATTTTTATCCAACCAGGTCCAGTCAGTTTGTTCGGTAAAAATATTAGTTAAATTGCCCAGACTTTCATTAAGATATGGATATCCCATCAGATACTCAACGTCTCTACCAACTGGTACTCCCATCCATTCGGGTTTTGAATCAAATTCAGTCTTGTATTTGAATATATACATATAAACTGGAATATTAGGATATCTTTTAGCATGATCTTTTAGTACTGTATCCATACAGTAGCCGTTGGTAAAATCCGACCACATGTCAATCAAATTTTGACGAACAGCAGTTACATTATTGGGATTCGGCCAATATGTATATTCGAATTCAAGTGCTCTTACAAGTTCTTCAAGATTTCTAGTATTCCTCCGCCTACCAAAATCGTAGAGGATATCGCGAAATGAAAACATATCCAAGCCTTGTCTTATATCAACTTTTGGAAAATTTTTCAATATATTCTCGACATGAAAGGCTCCCTCGTCAAAGTTCATGCCCATTATTATTGGTATTTCTAAAACTTTCCCCTCTTCTCTTAATTTTTCGGGAAAATCCGGTAAAATTCCATCAGGTCCATCAACAGTAGGTCCAAATGGTCCCCACAATCTACCGTATTTTTTTCCAATGTAAGATGTTGCATTTACAATTTCGTCGTAATGTTTATTACGAAGACACTCGACTAAACGATGAATGGGAAGCGAAAAATCAGGATCGCAACCTACTAATTTACCAAGCTCTCTCGTATATTCCCTAGGAGAATTCATCCAATATCGCCTATGCATGCAAAAGACAAGACTTTTATTAGCTTAAAAGAAATTATCATAGTGGAATATACCTCATAACACTCCATTCACAAGCGTCACTTCCAGACATCATAATGGCTTTATGAAATTTTGGTGTTTTGTCTCGTAAGAGAGAATGAGGAGAGAGCATCAAAAGTGAGACAATAGCAGCACCAGAACCAGAACCAACAAGGTTAATATTGCTTTCATCACCGTTAAAGTGCTTAATATGTTTCCTGACAAATTCGATCAACTTAAGAACATCCCACATGCCATAATTTCCTTCAGAATTCTCATCGTCAGTTGTCAGGAAACCTAGAGCACCTAGCCGGTAATTAAACGTTACAACTAAGACTCCTTTCTTTGCCAACATGTGCGCAGGATGTTGCATAGAATCGCCTCTAATAAAGTCCTCTCCATGAACAAATATTAATATTGGGAATTTTTGTTTTCTGCTAATAGAGGTCCAATCGCTAAACTAATTATAGCATATAATTATTAATTATTAACTATTGTATATTTACACTTACATTTGGTTGGAATATATTCATATACAGACAATCTTCAGATGTATTCCTTGGGAGATAATATTTTACATCAAGTTCTGGTATTGGTTGAGGACAAGCTGGACGGTAGAATGAAGCATCCCAATCGCCATCTATTCCCCATTGGAAGAGAACATCTTCCGGCTTCCTAAATCTTAAATTTTCATTCTCTTTTACCGGTGGTCTTGCATAGGGTACACCCAAAAAGAGATTTACGTATCTGCTAACCCACCACCGATCCCTTTCGTGCACCCACATGGACCTGCCAACAACTGCTCCAACGTTTTCTATTCTTACTCTGATTGGATCGTAAGGAAGCCAGGGCCGCCATGGACAACTCGGGTCATCGCATCTTTCAGGTAAAAGTTCCCAGTGCGCGGTCATACCTTTTTTTAAAATTCTTTTGTCATCCCAATCGGGATACCATTGGGGATCGGCTTGCGATTGAACCATAGGAGTAATAATAGCAATGACCAAAAGCCATAGCATGGTTATATATGCTATACAAATTTACCTGAAAACTTTGTTATCGTCTACCTGCGATTTGACGGACTGACTAAATACCGGTAAGAGTTGAATTGTAAAAGAGCTTGTATTCAATGGCAATATTTATATACATTTTAAAGAAAGATAAAGAGTATTTTTGCTTTGAAATCCAAATAAAAAAATTAACAATTTATAAAATCTTACATATTTTATATAATAGATTACAAAGAACTGTACATTTGAAGATTTCCTTTTGTTGCAGTCGTCATATTTTAGCATCTTTTCTTTTATTCGACTAATAATAGATCGTGAGAAAAAAAAGAGATAAACAGAATAATGAATAGCATTCATTATATGTATTAATAATAAAATAATCCTTTTACCTTGTGTATCGACGGTAAAGGATCTGTAAAAGTTATATCATCATCCGCAACATCAGTCAGATCGCCTTTAAGTTTGTCTCTGAACAATTTCAATGCCTTGTAATATGGCAGCTGAAAAATAAAACAGTTTTTATTATAAGCAGTTGTCATTAGGGAAACTGGAAAAGGAGATACGTGTTTAAGTAAAATGATATTTTCATTACTTTGTCAATAGCTCTCGGTAATTGAGCAAAACGTGCGCTTGAAGATGGCATGACAAAAATATCCTGTTTAAGTATTCATTAAACTATATTAACTCAAATATACGACTATTTATAGTGAAGAAGGATAAATCTTCTTACAGTTTCTGGACAGTCTGGAAAGTGTTTTGGTTGTTTGCCTAAGTGAATTTTCTTATTTCCGCTAAAAATTTCGTAAATTCCTGTTTCAACATTCATATTAGTAGACGAATATGGTTGTTTGTAATATACCTTTTCCGTTAAATACTGCAATTTTAGGCTTATATTTCAAGACCTTTTCCTTTAATTTTTTCGCCCCTTCTTGAACTTCACTCCTAAAATAAAATAAAACGATAAAGCCGATATATTTTCTCCTAAATGTTTAGCAACCAATTAGGATATTTCACATACTTTTTTAAATCGGCAAAACTTTTTGTTGTTCTATCAACAATATTTGTAAAACCTATCCCAAAATCAATGAGTTTAAAGTCATCATAGGCTGTCATTTGAGTGGGAGTCAAACCGGAAAGGAACAAACACTTCCCTAATAAACATGGTATATTAGAGGAATATTGTTAACATTATAAAAAAAAGTGGGTTATAAATACAGAAGTGATTTCCAGGCCCTGCGTAATGATGTCCAACATGAGCAGCTTTGAGACCAGGATTTATTCCAATCTACGAAACAGCAAAGGCGCGTTAAACATTTATACTATTTATTGTATTGATCAATTCTTACGATTAATATGTCTAAGCCATAAGCCAAATGATCGGGTAATAACTTTCTCATTATCTCTTCCTCGGATATACCATCAAATCTTCCGGTTTTCTTTTGTCCACTCTTTCTCATTTTAGATGACTTTTTCGCAATAGGATGACAATCTTCAATTACTGCTAATGGTTTCTTAGACTCTTTCTTTTCTTGTTCTTCCAGCCAATTAGTAAACTTCTTCTTCCTAGTTACGTATCTTGTTTGATCTTTTAATTTATCTGTTTGTAACTCATTATTGATATTGTCTTTCTCATTATTGATCATAGAGTATGTGGAGAGTTTCTTTTTTTGCTTTCTTTCGTAGGCTACCTGAAGGTTTCTTTGTAAAAGTTCATTAAAATTTTTAGAGGATATGGATGTGCTCATAGGCTTAACTGTGTCTATAAAATACCTAGACTTGTCTAAATCTGAATCAACAGTTTTATTAGTTGTTTTTTCGTTTGAACAGCTACTATATACATTTTTACTGTCAGCTATATTGGGAAATTCATGTTTTATTGTTTCAGTCTTTAAATGATCCATAGGAGAGTTTGGTCCTTTTTTTTATAATAGTTATTTTTGTGGAGAGCAGTACACCAGAGAATCTTTCTGTTGATGAAAATATCAAATTATAATGTTATTAAAACAAAATGAGCTAAAAGAAATGTTTATTACTCTTTTTTTTTATTCTCTGTATAAACTCAATTATTTAAATTTCAAATGTAACGTAAATTTTACAATTATATAGTAGTATTTTTTTACATAATTCATATTTATATGCAAATATAGATTTATAGTATGTTTACAAAATTTTCAACGTAAATAAATAAACAAGTCATATTATCGCTCAATAATATTGGGCTTTTTAATAGCTTTAACAATAATTTTTCACAATTACGCCGAATAATTTCATAATTTTATAAATAATAATGTAGAAATTGCATAGAATAAGCAATTTAAGCAATACAAACTTTGGTAAATGCGAAATTAAACTTTACTCATACAGATGGTATCAAAGAAAGAAGTGGAGGGGGGAGCTGTGGGGAGGGAGGGACCGCGTAAAGTGTGGACGAAAGATGTATAAAAGAATAGTGGCTGAGGAAAAAGAGATCCTTAAGCGCGTAATTAATTAACTTTTTAAGCTGTACGGATAATGTTTTATTTCTGATATCATTGATAAAAACTATTGAAACCTGTTAACAAGTATATATCTATATTTATAACTTGCAACTACGTCAATTAACGATTATATTACTTTTTATGCCCTCTTTCATGGTTTTTATCCATTAAAATCAAAACTCGATTGCACTTATATTCTGTAAAACGTGCACACATACATACTGCAAATGTACTGTACACTACTATATAAGCATACAGTTGTCATACATACTTAGTTCATTATGCTGTATAAAGCATCATTTTTGCTTTATTACAAAGAGTAGGCCTCTTTTCTCAAAAAAGGTATAAATATATATACATATACACAGTTGTACTAGACATAAAAATGTTCCGGTGCTTGCACTATAATTGTATGAGCTAATAATATAACTTTCCATGATAACAAGAAAGCACTTCACAATTCAAATCATTTCTTTTTCATATTGCGCTTTTGAGCTCTTTGTCTTAAACAATAATGCTTGCTGTAGAAAAGTATTATATATCTTTGGTGAAATTGACTTATTTTTGTGTCTAAAATATGAAAAGAAATAATTTACAGTATTCTCTCTTTCTGCTAAAGCACTTTTCATATACAAATTATAAAAGAGACATAGGAACAATAGTAGTTTTATATTTCAAACAGAAATTTTGGTTTATAAAACGTAGAAGTTAATGATTTAATATTTAAAATTTGTCCTAATAAATTGAACAATTTTAGATTGGAAGAATGTTAAGATGAACATTTTTTCTTGTTTATTAATTACATTATTCATCGACTAGAATATTCATTTCTCCGTATTGCTTCATGCACCAATGGGCTTTATCCATAACGACTTTTAGACGGCGATCTAAGGCTAAAAGATGAGGCTGTGTTAAAACTGGAGCCAAAGGCTCTAATTCCATTACGGTTTTTAAAACTTCGCTTAAAACACCATCCGTCAACATCTGCAATCGCTCATATGTAGATCTCCTTAGAAGGCAGCATTGAGTAAACGGTGCTAAAATTGACAATTCATCTTCAAAAGGATTTCCGAAGCTCTTGCCATTGTCTAGTATAATGAGCATACTGTTGTTAATATTCTTAAAAGTTTCGTATCTGTTTCATAGCATAACGATAGAAAAAAGAGGAAATGACTGATTTCATTGAAAATTACTATACCTATGCCTATCAGCATTGCCGACGAGAAAATCTAAAATGCACGTATCCATTATATCTAACAGTCGAGGTGGCTTGTCATAAGGAGATGTGTTTTTGACAAATGTTCTACAATAGGAATCATCAGTTTCCCATCTCATTCGTCTTCCTTCTTTATAAGATCGTCTCCATGGATGTTTCCATTTTTCCAATGTAAGCTTTTTAGGTAGCCATAATATGACAACTCCTTCTAATTTATCTCCCTGGGCACAGACTCCGTCATCTGGTCCTTTGCAGTAAAGGCATTTACCATAGAAGCATAAATTGCCTGTTGATAAGATACATGTACGTTAGAAATGATATAAATTAGATTATTGATTTTTTAAAAATGCATTTACACAGCACTTTCAAAAGGCTATTTATTCAACAGTAAACTTATTTACTTACCTTCTCTAGTAAAAAATGTGTTTATTAATCTAGGAGTAGCGACGCTTTTAATTTCATTTCTTAAGTCTATTGTTCTACCAACTACAATTGGCACCCTGGAAAAATTTAAAAGCCTGTTGAGATGAAATGCGGCTACTTCTGCATTATGCCTGTCTCTGCCAGCATAAGGCTCTCCAGTTACCAGAAAGTCTCTTGGATACCACCTTGGCTTAAAAACGGCAAGTTGACCTCCTTCTAGAAGAAGGGTTATTTTCAATTGCGTTCCGCCGTAGCCAAAATCAGCTTTAACAATTGGAGCACTACTCAGATATCTCAGAACGCTAGATATTAACGGAGAACTTTCTGGGTATAACTTTCTAGCAGACACCCATTTCTCAGCTACATGCCAAATATTTTCTTGTATAGGCGAACGCCAGTCAATACTGTATTTTTCTAGTAATGAAGAGATTCTCTTCTGTCTGTCATTACCCGGCGTCTCAAAACGTGGTCTGTGCTCTTTAATAAAATTCACATCTTCATAATATTCAGATGCTTCTGTAATTTTCTTTGGAGAGTTTTCTACTTCATCAGTCCATTCAGTTTGATCATTACCAGAGAGTATTCTAAATGAAATATATCCAATTGAAAACAATGTACATATTACAAAAATTAAATGTTTATGACGCCGTCTCATGGCGCGAAAATAAAGTATCCGTTAAAATAGTATTTGCGTAAGAGCCAACTCTGATGGAACAGATGATGATATGAAAAGTTTCATTGATTAATATTTAACAAAGCACTTTTAGCGATATTTATCTCTCTGATTGAGCGCCTGCCGTACAGAAATGTACATTTAAGCTATTCAGGAAAATGTTAATACAACACTCTTAACACCATCTAGTGTGCTTAAACTTTATTTGGTCTCCTCCTACAGTAATTATTACATAATGTATCTCTAAAGTAAATGTTATTGTCTAATTAAACAATCATGATAGAGAATCTTATGAAGCTTTTGTAAAAGAAATCTTTACAAATTATCCTAAAAGAAAAAGCTTGGAAGAGTTGTATTTGACTCTTGAGAATGTTGGAAAAAACAGCCAATAGAAAAGGAACATTTTCTATTTCAAATAAACAATTTAATTAAAATGTCCTCCTTTCTTTTCTTTAGCTTCGGTATAACTTTTTTCCCAGTTTAAACCGTCAAAATGAACAATATTCTCCTTCTTAATAGTTCCTGAATCTATACAATGAGGCATAATTGCAACACTTGTTTGATGAGAACGAGAATAATAGAATGAATGAATTCCACATTCCTTGCAAAAAAGATGACTGGCAGTACCAGTGTTGAATTTATAAGTTGAGAGCTTATCTTCACCGCTCAATATTTGGAAATTTTCTTTCGGAACCATAAAATGCCATCCTTGTTTCTTGACACAAATCGTACAACTAGTAAATAACAATCAAATTCAATAAATCTATCTTTTCACTTATAGACTGGATTTTTACTTGCAATGGAAAACGTCTACAATTTCCGGAGCTAAAACTTCGAAAGTAACGGCTTTACAGTGGCAACTACCACGATGTTTTACGATTTCTTTATCCATTTCCCCGCGTAAGAACTGTTTAAATATATATCTTTAGCGTTGTAATAAATATTAATGCATTAATATTTAATAGCTTTGATCAAACTTAGTTTCTACAAATAATCCCACTTGGAACATCAATCCAATTCAGTTTGGTGCCGAGAGATATCTTTTTCATAAAACAATACTAAATTATTCAAATCTTATATTTATATCTTTTATTGCAATCTATTTCTGTTTTCCTCTCTAGAACTTAGGCTTTTTTAAGACAGATTGTCCCAAAACGTATGAATTGAGCAGACGAAATATTCGCCATCTTTAAAAAAATTGAAATTTAATGACTCACATCCAAGAAACTGCATTCACTTCAAATGGTAAATTTAAAGCGAAAAGCATAAATATATAATCTGCAGGATTAACAACTATAAAGTAACAACACATTTATCTACTTTGGATATAAGGTATCTCAAGAACAATTTAATGAGTATCTTAATTATTTACTAAACTTTTAAGGAGATACTACTATACTCTCATCAACTTAATACTGCTTTTAGGAAAAGTATAGATTTGCTCAAATATAAATGGATAAAGAAAAGAGATTAAAGAGAGCAGAATAATTAATTTTCAACTAAATTTCAAGCAAAAATGCTTCCATTATTTAAAACTAAAAGAAAATAAAATACACATATATAACATTTAAAGACAGCTGTTTTATTTACATAATTTTCCTAAGAACACTGATTTATTGTTTCGAAAATTCCTTGTTCTTTTGTTTGTCTTCTTTAACTAATAAAACAAAAAATCTCTTTCTATGAAATTAATATAATGGAGCACAAAATATTTTTTCTTCTAATATTCTCAATGAATAAATCAGTAACAGAAAATATCATTTTCCTTAATTATCATTTTTATTTCTGACTTCTGCCAATTCGTCATCATCCAATATTTCATAACCATTATCTGTTGTTTCTACTTGTTGTTCATCTTCTTCACTCTCATCTTGTTTATCATCTTCATTATCTTTTTTTGTTTCTTCGGCAGTTGTTTGCTCGTCTGATTTTTCAGTTTTTTTATTTTCTTCATCTTTCGACTTCTTATTTTTACTGTCTTCCAGTTTTTTCTTACTTGATTCAGCCAGACTATGCGAATAAAACGGTTTAAAAGATTCAAAGAAACCACAATCCTCAGTCAGATTAGGCAGTATCCACAGATGATGTTCTCCCATCGTAGTAAGCCATACGAGAGCAAATATTATTGTACGTACTGTAAAAAATTAAATCTCAATTATGCAAAATATATCGAAATAATTAACAAATATCTAAAAGAATACTTACAAATACATAAAACTATAAAGATGCCTATGCACACAGCAGCTGCCAACGATAAATAGTATACACCCTGTCTAACTGTTAGTGGCCAAAGTGGGTAAAGGCATACACCTATTGCCCCTAAAACCATCAATGTACCAATGACATAAGCTTTTAGAGGTACAGGATCATATGTCCAGGCATAATACTAAAAATTAATACAATATACAATTTAATTAATATTCTTCAAACAAGAAATAACTAATTGTAATAGCATAAAGTCCATATTGTGACCTTATGGATATTGCGACTGACATAAACAAGTAAATTTATTTACATGATAATATTTTGACAGAAGGCTACGAGCTATAATACAAAGGTGAGTTTAATAAAAAAAAACCTACATTTTCTCCATCTTTAAATTCTTGAATTTCATCCAAAGCAAAGTGTATCATTTTCTTTTTCTTTTTCTTTCCGTCTTTTTTACTTTTTGAATCCTTTTTTTCTTTTTCAGTTTCGCTTTCCTCTTTGTCTTTTTTTTTACTTTTTTTTTTTGCTATTTTATTGTCCAATTCATCTTCTTTCTTCTTTGAGCGTTTCTTTTTTTCTAAACGCTGGAAAGTTTCCTTTATTAGCAACCTGAGATAGAAAAAATAAATTTTATAATCAAGGGCTCTTCTGAAAATATGTCTTACATTATGAAGAAAATCAATAACATATTAAATAAATATGTGTCTAACATTAAATCAACTTTTTGAACTAACTTAAGTTTTGAACTCTTCAAAGAAGAGAAATAAAGAATAGTACAGAACTTCTGTTGTTTACTTTAGCAAGTGGCCTTGTTTTTTTATATCTTAAACAAAATTGTAATACTAACGTTTGACAATAATTCACGCACGACGCCCTATCAGTAAATAATATTGGTTTCTTTGACGCCCATTTTGAATCCATTAGATAGTCAACCGCATCTTTAGCTAAAATTAAACAAAAATATTATATATATATATATATGTATATACTAATATATATATATATTCTCCGTGTGGTCAGTAATAATAAACAACCAACCAGTAAAATAGGTAACCACCATGCCAGGAACATCGGCTATCTTTCCTTCTTTGACGGGGACATTGAATCGAAGGAACTTGGCCACTTCGGTCTCTTGCTTCGTCCGTTTGTGTTCATCCTTTAGGTGAATTGATTAGATCATGTAAAGGAGAATTAGCTATAGTCCTATATATTCGTAATTCACCATATGTGACGTGTATTAATAATATTTTAAATTTTGGGAAAAATCCCGGATATTAAAGATACTAATTAACAGAATATCAATACTAAGACTGACTCAATCATAAGAGATAGTCGAAATGCGTGTGTGATAATAATTAATAAATTAAATAATAGAAAAAACCTCAGATCCTTTCTTTTGTCGCTTTCTCTCCGCCATTTTTGAAAACTGGTCTCATTCTAGCTAATGCAGACGAAATAAATAGTGGGATAGTTACAGTCTAACATTTGATTTTCCTTTTCTATAGCTTTTAAGCACTAGATTGATAAATAATTGTGGAATATTAAGCGCAAAGAGCCGGTCTTCGAGATTCGGGAGACTGGCTGATGTCTGATTCTTTCCCGTATTATTAAATTTGTATCTGAGAGAGCGATAATAGAGGAATGCGGATTATCAAACCCGGTTGGGTTCATCACAACAATGAACCGATTTTCTCAATCGATATTCATCCTGATGGAAGTAGATTTGCTACCTCGGGTTCAAGTAGTGGATTTGGAAGTGGTAAAATATGCGTTTGGAATATGGAACCTATTAGGAGTGAAAATGTTGAGAAGAAAGACAATGTCTCTAAGCTATTGTGTTGTATGGAACAACATTTGGGATGCGTAAATTGTGTTCGATGGTCAAATGACGGCGTCTATCTTGCCTCAGGAGCCGATGATAAAGTAATTCGATGATAATTTTGTTTATATTTCAAATGATCTATAATTAGTATGTAGTTGTAGAATATTAGAACTAACTAGAATTATTCCATTTTGGAATATCCTTTGATTAGAAATTATACATGTTGGCCTTATCTAATTGTTGGGAAAAAATGATTGTAGAGTACTCAAAGTAACAACTTTCTAAAACTTTTATAACAGTTTATCATAATATGGAAATTACAAGATCAAACAACTAATTATGTTGAGAATTGGCGTTGTATATCAACTCTCAGAGGACACGACGGCGATGTTCTACATGTTGCTTGGTCACCAAAAGACAAATATTTGGCATCAAGCAGTGTGGATAATGCTGTAATTGTTTGGAACGCCAATAAATTCCCGGAAAAAGTGGCAACATTAAAAAAACATAAAGGTTTAGTAAAAGGTGTTTGTTGGGATCCTCAAGGAAAGTAAGTAATATGATTCAATTTAAGAAACAATTAAAGCCTCATTTAAATAACGTTTGTGCTAATTCAATTTTCATAAACCAGCTATATTGCATCTCAATCCGACGATAAAACATTAAGAATTTTTTCTGTGGCAAACTGGACTGAAGTATTTACTCTAAAAAAACCTTTTGATGAAACTTCGCCAACAACGCATGTTCTTCGTTTGGATTGGTCACCTGACGGAGCTTATGTAGTGTCTGCACATTCAATGAATAATGGCGGGCCAACAGCTCAGATTATTGATCGAAACGGATGGACAACCAACTTAGATTTCGTTGGCCATAGAAAAGCTGTTACGGCTGTACGGTTCAAAAGGTTTTTATTGTTTCATTTCTTTATTTTAATATTCCAAAAGATTCTATTCCATTTTCTATTTAAAAAAAGCTTAACTTTTAACAAATATTTCTTAATAAATACAGGGATAAATTTAAAGGAGACCATTGCGTTCTAGCTTTAGCTTCAAGAGACCGAAGCGTTTCAGTTTGGAGAACAGATTACACGAGGCCAGTATGCGTTATGCATGACTTGTTCAATGCCAGTGTTCTAGATGTCTCATGGGGATATGGTAATAACAAGGAGTTAGCTTGTTGCTCTTCAGATGGGAGCGTCGCTTTCTTTACATTTACAACTGATGAAATTGGAAAACCAATTGTAAAGAAAATCTTGAGCGTCGAAAAACCAATAAAGAAAATTGAACCAGAAAAAATAGAAAAAGTCAGAGCATTATCTACTTCGTCTCAGAGTTGTTCACCAAAAAAACAAATTGAAAGGCATACGGCTGAAGGTCGGCGACGTATAACTCCAGTATTACTAGGACGCCCAGGAGATACTCTTACTTATGATAAACCTATGTTTTCGTCAACAACGGAATCTTCTCAAATTATCGTTGAGAGAAGGAATTCTGAAGGTCCTAGAGGACAATCATCTAAACGTCGGTGCTCTTGTGGGGACGATGAACATTTAAGGAAGAGGCCAAGATTAGATTCTGAAGTTACTCACAAAGTCGTCGTATGTTCTGACAAGTCAAGCTTTTTGCAACCAGCGTCATTAGAAAAGTTTGATTTTGGTGATTGGAAAATAATAGAAAGTTCCGTTAGCATAGATGGATTATTCTTTTTAACGAAATTTAGGAGCGAAGTTAAAGGATTAGATTCGTTACTTACTTCCGCATCAAAGCTCATCTCACTTAAACAGATAAGAGATAACATTGTTTGTTGCTTCTTTTTGAGTGGCCAATGTTGCATATGGGATTTATTAGAAGAAAGTAACATTGGACTTGCCTATTCATTCAGTCTGCCTGTACATGCTGTTGAATTTTATGAAAAGAAGCAAACTCTAGCTGTAATTGATATTGGTGGAAATCTCTATTTGATGAGCGTAGAAAGTTAGTATTCTCTTTTCTTACTTGGATTTTCTAATAATTAAGTTGTACTTTTCAAAAATTTTAGATCGGGGAAATGAAATAGATTTACATTTCAATAGAAAGATTGAATCTGCTCATATATTTGTTGAAAAGAAGAAACGATGTCAGAATATTGAATTATTAGACGAAGGTTCTATCAGATTAACGTTCAGTGATCGTTCGATATATATCCACGATTCAATTTCGAATCTATGGCGTCCTGAGGTTGAAAATGACATTTTATCAGTTAGCAATAAATACTCAACGTTCTACGATGGACGACCTTCTCATATGGCTGCTGTCTCCGATTTGAGAAGGAAGTTACAATATTGCTTATACAAAAAGGAATCTGAATCATATATATTTTATTTCAATTGTCTCATTACCGAGCTGGTTGTAGAAAAGAAGGAAAGTGTTTTAAAACAGTATGTTAATAAGAATTTGATGCCTTTCGCTTACGCCAACTATCCGAAAGAATTAAGAATGGTAGAGAACTTGAATGTCGATAAAAGAATGTTACTGCAATGTGTCTTGAGAATTTTAGAAGAATTCGGTACAATGAGAGATTTATATGAATATATAAAAAGAATCTATGATGGAATGAATTACGACATAGATATGGAAGAGGATGTTAGTGAGGTGGAAAAGAATGTTAAGAAAGTAATTCAATTCTTAAAAAATGGTAACACCAGCATTGAAGAACTTCGAGCTCAAATGGTTGGCAAAATTCAAGAAGCATCTATGGAAACTGAGGAAAGCTGTGATGTGTTTGAAAGTTACACAAGTCAACCTGCCGATAAAGCTGAGAAAACAAGCGGTGAGATGAGCGTTAGTGATATGGAAACTAGCTTAGATAAACAAACCGAAACTGTTTCGAAGAATGAGACTAATTTAGTTAAAGAAACAGATAAATCTGCCGAACAGGAAAAGACTGTCATTGAAAAGAGCATCGATATTGAGAAAATGGGAGAGGACTCAAGTTCAGAGGAAGCAAAGACATCGCACACTACTAATACCAATACTACCACTACTACTACTACCACTGCTAGTACTGACGAAGAAGATCAAACTGTTCAAGTTGTTCTTGATGAGCTCATTAAGAATATTGAAGAGAGAAAAACTGGAGATGATCACACATATCATAAATCTGCTTTAGAAAATCCTATCGTAGAACAAATTATATTGGATGACGAATCCGAGTCAAAAAGTGACTCTTCTCAAGATATTTTAAAGAAGATTATAGTTACAGTTGAAGAGGAAGATGAAACTTCACCAAGAATCGAAGACGACATTGTATGCGATGAAGAAATGGGCGAAATTATTCAAACTGAAGAAGTTGAAAATACAAAAGAGATGTCAGTTTTATGCCCAGAAATTGAAAGCGAATCGTTAGACATGAATGATAAAGATACAGTAAATGAACCGTCGATATCTGTGATAAAAAATTAGTATAGACTACAGCAGCTCTTTTATCTTTTTTTTTTATTATATCAATAAGTTTCATAAGGAGACCATTTTTCCACGTTTTCTTTTTTTCGATTAATTTATTATATTACCTATATGATTTTTTTTCTAATTTATACAATACATAGTTTTACTGTTAGCATACAAATCATAACGTGATGTTAGAGAGTATCAATGTTGTCAAGAATATTACGTGTCTTACATTATTACTAAACATTTCTACATAAACCATTTATTACATAACTAATATGATGATTTAATATATTCATTAATATTTTTAAAATTCAGTATATTCTGTATATATTTAAAAAAAAATAACAAAAGAAATAATAAAACCTTTTAAGGAATTGTTTAACTTCTATTCAATGAACATATGGGAATTTATTCCGATAATAAGGGGAAGAGTGATAAGAAACAACGTAAAAAGTATGAAATATTAAAGGAATACGGTATTGCCTTAAAGAAAACAATAGGAAAAGGAAGTTACGCAATAGTTAAATTAGCCTTTTCCAGTGAATTAAATTTCGATGTTGCAGTTCGAATAGTATCACTTGAGAGAGCTGGTCGTAAAGTACGCGAGAAGTTCTTACCAAGAGAATTAGACATAGTTAAAATTCTGAATCATCCCAATATCGTATTCTATTATCAAATAATCAAAACCAATTTGAATGTTTATGTAATCATGGAATACGCTGGTGATATAAATTTACGAGATGAATTGGAAAAACATAAATTCTTTGAAGAATGGAAAGCGGGAGACTTTTTTATTCAAATTACAGGTTTTTTCTTTTATCTGCATCGTTTTCATTCTTAGCATGCTTTATAAAACAGATATAATTCCATATTGCAGATGGAGTTTTCTATCTCCATGAATTGGGTGTAGCACATCGCGATTTAAAAACAGAAAATATCCTATTGGATGAAAGAGGGAGGATAAAAATAACTGACTTTGGATTTTCCAGGTTTAGCGAAAGGTTACTCGACGGTACATACGAATTAAGTAAAACTTTCTGCGGTAGCTATTCTTTTGCTGCTTATGAAATTCTTTGCGGTACACCCTACTTTCCACTACCAGCTGATATTTGGAGTTTAGGTGTTATTTTGTATAATATGGTCGAAGGTCATTTACCATTCGAAGAGACAAATTTACATCATTTAATTAAAGCAATTGAAAAAAAAGGCGCAGTCTTTGCTGTTGATAAAGGCTCTAAAGACTATATTAGCGTAGTTAAAGGTATGTTAGCTATCAAATATGAAAATAGGTACACAATAGAAGAAGTTTTGCAATCAAATTTTATTAAAAAACACAAACAAAGAATTGCTATTGAAAGTACAGATACGCAAAATGTTGATGAGCAATCTTATATATCTTAATAGTCTGAAGAACTTTTATTACAGCTGGTGTCTAAGGATAATTAACTAATTATTACTCTTACTGTCTATTTTTCTTACTTAATAAATTCATTGAATAAACAATATAGAGTAATTTCTCTGAGATTGTCTCGTTTTCGTTAGCCAATCAACATTGAAATAAATATTTTAAAGGCCTACGTTCTTAGTTGTACAACATTCGATTAGTTTTTTTTTTTGTAGAGATATAATGTCATTGGTCAATAGAATGAGAAATATTGTCTTGATTGGAGACTCCCTTACCCAACAAGCCTGGAACGAGAACGCTGGTGGAGGCTGGGGAGCAAAGATAGCTGATTATTGTCTAAGGAATTTTGATGTTTTAAATAGGGGACTAAGTGGATATAATACAAGGTGGGTGGAGACCGCCATTTTAGAAGAAAAAGATTCATTTATTACGAAATCTATGCTGAACAATGCAGTCTTGGTGACATTGTTTTTCGGAGCAAATGACGCAAGTACGGAGGTACAGCATGTACCACTAGAAGAATTTAAAGAGAATTTAGTCAAGTATGGAGAGTATATAAAGAATCATGCACCGTCAGCAACTCTTGTTCTCCTGACTCCTCCTCCAGTCATAACCAAACTTTGGCCCAATAGAAATAATGAAAATGCATTAAAATATTCAAAAGCAGTTATAGAGGCATCTAATGTCCTAGAATGTCCTTGCCTGGATGTTTACTCAAGCATGATAAAATTGGACAACTGGCAAGAATGCTTATATGATGGTATTCATTTAGCGCCAAAAGGTGGCGATATCATATTTAACTTAATTAAACCAATCCTAAAAGAGTTGTTGAAAAAATATCCAAACAAGATTCTCCCAGATTGGAAAGATTTTGCCAATTTACCACTAACAGAGTAGAGTTATCTGTTCGTTTATTGAACAATATGAATCAATAAACATAATTAGGTGAATCGATATTAGCAGGAAAGAGAAGTGAAAAATAAAGGGTAAAAAAAACTGGAATACAACTGCAATACATTAGTTTTTTTACTCCGTTTATTTAATACAAAGGTTTATTCTGTATTGAATTATTAATTTTTCTTTTGTATTAATTGTTGACATTTGTATATAGAAAATGTATAAATCTTAACTATAGATTGGAGCTACTAACGTTTCTTTTCTTCTTGTGCGTACAAAACAGGCACAGAGAAAATTACAGATACTAATAACGTTAAATAACAAAATAAAGATAAATATAATAGTGAAGGCTTCATCCATTGACAAGAGTCATTACCTCACTTCCATTGACTTTATTTTAAATTTCATTCCAAATCTGATCTAGGATTAAGTTTTACGTAGAGTCCATTCATTGCTTTACTTACAATTGAGAATTTATACACTGACGGCTTTTCCGGATCAGTTTCTAATCTGAACCTGAAAAGTTAAGAGATAGTGGATGATTAAGAGAAAATATATTAATTATTATATTTACTTTCTTAAAACTTTCGATATTACTATTTTCAATTCATTCATTGCGAAATTCTGACCTATACAGTTTCTTGGTCCAGCGGAGAAAGCAACAAAGCTGAATGGATCTTTTTTCTTGGTATTTTCTAGTAAAAACCTATCAGGATCAAATTCTAAAGGATTTTCCCAAACTGTAGTATTATTGTGTATTTCATAGATATGTATAGACACAGGAGAATTGTGAGGGACTTCCACCCCAGTTATATCTAAAGAGCCATCGATACGCCGTTGTATGACAGGTACTGGAGGTACCCTACGCAAAGATTCCTTAATGCACCTTGTAAGATATTCCATTTTAGTTAGGTCTGACCAAACAATATCATCGTCGTCTTTGTCGGTAAATATCTTATCAATCTCTGCTCTGCATTTTTCTTGAATTTCCGGATACTGAGCCAATTGATATAGAGTCCACGATAAAGCGCTGGATGTTGTATCATGACCCGCGAATAAAAATGTATCAACTTCAGCTCTAATTTCCTTATCGGTTAGGCCAGTGCCACTGTCATCTCTAGCCAACAGGAGAATGTCCAATAAGTCTTTATATTTTCTCGTTGATGGAGTATTAGTTTTCAAAGCTTGTCTTCTTACTCTTACAATATCGTCAGTGATACCATGAACATAATTGCATAATGAGCGAAATTTAAACCCAGATGGTGATAGGTTAAATATAAAATCACTATAAAGAAACGGATTGCTGAAAATAAAAACCACTAGATATTTTTGTCTGATAATTGAAATGAAAGGAAACTTTAATATATACAGTGCTCTATTCATCCATAGATCTTGTAATTTAATGACAGCTTCTAAATAGGGATGTTTCTCGCTACATGGAAAACATAATCAATTTAAATTACTAATTTGCCTTTATCACAAACCCGAGCTCTTGTACAGGTGTTTCGTATGACATAGTAGTTCTTAGCATAATATCTAAGCTTAACATGCTTAGGGCTGAAAATATTTCAAAGCTCTCATGCGAATTTTTTGACATTTTGCTCTGGTTTAATAAAAACACAGAATGAATCATTTAATAGGTAATTTTTACCGTATGGCTTACTAATAGTTTATCGACAGCCTCATTTTTAACTTTAAGATAGCTCTTTAATATATCATAATGAAATGCTGGAGTGAGCAATTTTCTATTTCTCTTCCAAATATCACCTCCTGAATTTAATAGACCATTACCCAACCAGGGTTCGCCCATTCGATAAACTCCATTGCAAAGCATAGATTTAGGATTAGCCGTATTAAATAAAACCTTTGCCGTTTCGGGATGGGATAAAATTAATTCTGGACAAAATACTGACATCCACTCTTGTCTCCATTTCGGGTATTTGTGTACTTTTTCCCTATACCTTTTCAATACTCTCTCGTCTAGCTCATCAGGCCACTTTGAATAGAGAGAGAAATGAAAATTTAAAATTATAGAACGTTCTCAAATATGGTAATATTCTTTTATACCTCTCGTAATTGTCCAAAAAGCCAATGACCTCTATTTCCAGGTATTTGTTTAAGCGTTTTTCTTAGGCGTTTGGTGTAACAGTAAATTTCGAAAAAGTCATACATCACGATGACAAACGGTGAAGCAGCGCAGGCAAAAGCCGCTAATATTGAGTAATGAATTAAAGATAGTTTCATCGTAACTTGTCAGCTAGTCATAGCATTTCAGGACTTAATATAACAGTCCTCTAGCAGACATGTTTATATTGCATAAAAGAGGTCACCACCGTCATTTTTACTCATTGATAAGAATTTATAACGTATTATATAGTTAATATATAACGATTTCGTCGTAGCAAATGTATTTCGAAAAGTACTAATTCATAAATAAGTAATTAGGAATATAAATGATAAAAAAAAATGACTTTATAGTTTTTAAAAGTACATTCAATAAATCCATTAATTTTTTATTTGGTTCTTGTTAGTTTACAAAAGTATACGGGGCCGAAATTAGCAGACGGATAAGGTAATACTAATTGTCCGTATTTACAAGTTTTATGAAACCAGAAATACTTTCCAAATTTAGTGACTAATCGACTTAAATCATGAATCATGAACTCCAGGTCAGTTTCAAGAAATTGTTGTAAAGTGGCTTGAATAACGCCATCATTTTGAGCTTGAGATAATGTGGTAGTAGTGTATACTAATGATCCGCCAACTTTTAGCATCTTTAGGGAAAGACTGAAAAGAAAATGAATAGAAAAATAAAATAGTCTAATTGGTTAATTAATTAATTAATTAATTAAAACAATATTATACAGTAGTGTTTCAAAAATGTTGTTGAATTATTCATACGATATAGCTATTTGTACAAACAATAAAGATTCGAATTTCGAGTACATTTGTAAAATTTCAAGTTAAGTTCAGTAAACTGTCAGAACTAAAGACTAGGAAAAGATACCACCTGTCTATTTAATGTGTAATAATTAAAATGGTAAAGATAGATATAGGCAGATAGATTGATAGATATAGACAGCTAAAAACCAAAAAAAAGCATATATATGTTGAAACTTACCATAGCATTTCGGATTGTATTTCAGTTAACTCCAGTCTTTCGGACTGCTTTACGCCCGTAAACATATTCATATTAGGACTTGTTACAGAAAGTCTATCACTATTACAAGGTACGTCAAGAAGTATCTGTTTTTATAGAAATCACAAGTTCTTTTTCTCAATAATCGTCTTATATGATTAAAAGTTTGTACATACTTTATCAAAGTGTATATTATTTCGATATCTATCATAAAATCTGAATAAATCTACATGATGAGTTGAAATTTTATCTTTATAATTTGATAAAAAGAATTGAAACGATGAACGCAAATTTCTCATGTTTAAGTACGATCTATCAACACTATGTATCTGCTCTATAGTCAATAGAAAATATAATTATCTAATTAATATATATTAATTAAAATAAACCTGGCATTAGTGATTGTAACATAATCATTGATTTACCACCGCTACCGCAACAGAAATCTCCAACAACTTCTTCGGGCTGTAGGTCCAATGCGAATACTGGTAATAAGGCTCCACCATCGATTAAAATATAATCTAAAAGTATTTTAGATATTTAATAATTATGTTTTCATTTATTAGTAAAATTGTTTTATACCTAAATATCCGTTAGAGCTCTTTGTCGGTGGTTCGAACATTGTTGGTACTCCTTTTTCGAATGAAAATGCGTTAATAAACTTTGGCAGTTCTTCATTTGAAAAGATTATTTGAACTTCTGACTGATCTCCTTGAAATGTATTCTTTGCCATTTCTTCTTCTTCTAGAGATTCTCTTTCGGATAATACTCTTGTTGTTGGCATAAATTGTTGTAGATTAAGAGAATCATCCTGACCAAATCTTTTTACTTCATCCTCTTCGGCTATTGGCTCAAATGTATCTTGAACTTGTTTGTCTTCATTTAAACTCAATGTAGGGCTACCAATTTTTCCGTAATAACTGTTTTTCTCTTCTCTTGCAAGTTGCGTAAAGTCGACTGACCCTAATTCCCATAATTTGTCTATAGTTGCTGACGGGTTACCAAAATTATTAACGAGAGCACACTGCTTTGGTTGAGACAATAGCCCAACTCTTAATGTTGGCCACAATTCATTAAAGTCTTTTGAATAGTATACATCAAAGTGTCTTAAAGCTTTTTCAATTACAGTTTGCTGAGGATTCGTCCTGGCCTATAAAGAAATTCCTATTTTATCACTCAGAGATTTTACAATTTATGCCACTCACGTAATTTGTTTTAAATCTATAACGTTTAAAGAAGAGAGATATTTTTTTAGTTGACTGTCTAGTTTGATTATAAAATAAAGATGTATTCATATTAACAAATGATCAAAGGCACGTGTTTGATAACGCAACATTCGACGAAAAACTGGTAAACTTTTCGCGCGCTTTCAAAATAAAAGAAACATTTGTGTTTTATTATCAAATATATATAAAGTAATAGTCTGTAAATTCAAAATCTAATTTACCTGTATAAATTGACCAAAGAAATACAGAGTTTTGTTGATAGTAAGAGTGTTTGCTCTAAAACTAAAATAATCAATAATGTGTGCAAGCCAACGCTTTTTTCCTTGACCTTGATATTACTTGACTCACGTGGGTTTATGCGTTGATATCCTCTTTTCTTCAATTTCTCATATCAGAGAAGGAGACACTAGGAATTTCTTAAGGATTTCAATCAAGTATTACCCCAAGGTAAGTTTATTGTTAATAGAGTAGGCTTTTATTTTCGCTTAATTGAGTAAATTAAGTAAAAATTATTATTAGCCAGCAGTGTTCAGCCAAACCTGCATCATTGCAGTGTATCTACTGTAATGTAAATCGTAGGAGACTAAAAATAGATCTTTAGGTCTATATTGCCAGCAACAGTATATAACGTTTTGGCAATTATCTGTCGTTCAGACGGAAACAGACAGGAGATCAGGTAATTCCGAAAAATGAACATTTTTTAAAAAGATATTTAGTGATTAGGTGGTTAAAAAACGTGTTTTTAAATGAATTCTTATTTGATATTAGAGTTTTTTTTATACACCTTAAATTTGATTTTAAATCACAATTTTTATCAAATTAAATGATAATTTCTACAGATAACAAGAAGTAAAAATGATAAAGAAAGTATTAAGTGTTCTTTGGGGAGCCATCGAAGTTTTTGTCTACGGTGGTATAACTTTCGGATGGGCCTCATTGGTTTTTGTATTAAAGAAGGAAGGATTCTACGCAAATGTCTGCGACAGTTACAATTCAACAAATGTAAATTCAACAGTAGTAGAATGTGCAGAACAAAATTCAAAAATGATTTTAATAATGACTATATTTTTGGCGGTTGGTGGAATAAGTACATTCTTTACAGGTTACTTTTACGATAAGTTTGGTCTAGCATATTCAAGATTATTAGGAGGAGCTCTTTACGTAACTTCCTTACTTTGCTTGGCTTTAATTACTGCAAAACAACAATGGATGCTATTTCCAGCAACAATTTTATTGAATAGCGCTGGTTTTTTGACATTAACAACAAACATGCCTTTAAGTAACCTAATACCAAGGGCGAGATCAACTATAATCACCTTATATAACGGTTTCTTCGCAGGAGCCATTATGATTTTCGAATTAGTTAAAATGGCATACGAGGTATATAGTTTCTTACATAGAATAATCTCTAATACTTTCTATCTATCTAATATATTTAAATGTAGAAAAAAAACTACTATTCCTGATCATTTAGATTTTCTACTTAATGTCTTTTTAGTTTAGAGAACAAATGAATTATTTATAGAGAATATCTCATAACAAATTATTTGATTATATATTAATGTCGTACTTCGATTACAAACCATTAATCATAGTAAAATAGCACATATGGCTAGATAGTAGATATATACCTTTTTGTTAGTTTTTCGTCTTTAATCTAAAAGAGGAGTAGATAGAGAATAAAAAAGAGACAATATACAATATTATACTAATTTAAAAATATCAATTGATCTAGAATCTTTTCTGGTTTTTAAGTTACATAAAAAAAACACTACACTTAATTTGAAGAGTCTATTAAACATTGGAATACGAAATAAAGGTACAAAGGATGAAAAAACTTGTATAAAAAAGAAATTTTATATAAATTCTAATAGAGAGATATTTTTTCTATAAAAGAAACTATATTTAGGGTGGAATAAGTCTTCAAATTTCTCTATCTATTTTGGCACTCGGTCAATTAATATGTCTTGGATTTACTATATTCATTCTTCCGAGAAAAAATGTACCGTGGCCGTTACCTAAAAATTATGAAATTGCAACGCTTTTAAATAAATTCTGTAGAAAGGAAAAGTATGTTGTTAAAGAAGAGAAAGAAGAAAAAACATTTATTGATGATGAACAAAATAAAATTGAAACAGTTAATAACCCACCAAAAATGACCTTCGTTCAGTGCCTTTTGACACCTCAATTTCTATTACATCTTGCGTTCATGTGCGTTATACAATTACGTTTGAGTTTTTACTTGGCAACGTTAAATCCATGGTTGTCGGAATTGACAGGAAATGATCCAAAGTTGATCAGCTTGTATACTAATATATTCTCCTATATACAATTAGCTAGTATTGCCTATTCACCATTTGGAGGATTGATAGTTGACAAATTTAAAGCTGATTTAAGAGTTTTGGGAATCTTATTACTGGTGGCAAATATTTTTGGATTAATAATAGCAATACCAGGAATGGTACGGTCTCTTCCTCTTCAAATTTTAGGATTTATATGCTTAATGGGATTTAGAGGATGGGCATACGCTTTCAATCCTACAGTTGTTGCTCTAATGTAAGTACCTCTATACAAAATTAGTTGTACCTTTATATACGCTAAACCTTTTATGTTATATTTAGATATCCAGGCGAACATTTTGGAAAATTATTTGGAGTTATTTTAATGGTTATATCTGTGTTTGGATTAATGCAATTTCCTTTGTTTAAACTGCTTCATGGACCATTTAATGGAAATATGCAATATGTAATAAAACATGTTTCTAAAGATATATTTTTACCCTTATTATCATTCTAAAAATGGATTTATTTCTAATATAATTAATATATTCCCATGCAGGTTCAGTTAATATTCATAGGACTTCATTTATTGACGATGGCTTCACCAATTTATATGATTGTCAAAGAGCATATAAAGAGAAGTAAATAATCTTTATTATCAAATATTTCTAATATTTTCATTTATACATTTATGTTTATCTAAATAGAAAACGAAACCAACAAACCAGTAACATTAAATTTACAAGAAAATGGAGATAATGAAAAACAAACCCCTCCTCTATAGATAAATAGAGAAACGTAATATACTGTATTTAATATACAAGTATAAATAGTAATAGTAGTTATTTTATGAATATCATTATTTTAACTCTGCCATAAATTTTTCTATTTTGTGCTTGTTTGTATTTTTTATAATTGGATTGATTAGTTTTATTGTTACTATGTGGAAAATGGTTGCTTTTTTAAGCGTAAAGAACTGAGTTCAATTGTATAGTTACTAACTTTAACACATACTAATATATATATATATATACTGTATATTGTAAATTAGTTTTCTTTCTATTTCCTTGTGATGCGTTAATATTTATCATGAATTTATTCAATCAACTTTTTTAGTTTGTACATTATCTTCTCCATCTTATTAGTTTATTCTATTGCTTTTGCGATTTAACAATTTCAAATAACTTTTAAACTTTTTATTTTGATTTGTTTTTCCTATAAAAGAAATCAATACAATGTAAACAAAATTGTCTGTCTTTCTTTTCCTTTGGATAATCTATTTACACGCTTTTCTCTTTAATTCTTATACAAAAAATTCATTAGGGACTTAGCTTCAATTTAAATAGTTCACTCTCTTTTTTTCAAGTTATATGTATTTCTTTATGACGTTGCGTCTTACGATTAATATATTGTTTTGTCAATGGGATATGTGTTAATAATGATATCTTGGTTATATTTTATCACCTTATTTGATTCTTATCAGACTTATACTAATATTTTAAAGATTAAGAGCTGGGATGATGTGATAACAAAGTACTGGAGGGAAAACAGATATGATAAAACTACATATACAATAAATAATACTGTAAGGATAGCTAAAGATGCTCCATCAGCCCCAATTTTAAATGAGGAATTAAAAGATGCCATTTACAAAGATAAGACTCTATATACAAGTTCGGAAGACGAATATTTAAGTAAACGAGGTTACTCTTGCGCATCATCCCTAATGTCAATTGCAAATACATCAAAATCATTTCTCAAACATTCGAGTATAGCTCATATTGCTATAACAGGTAGAGAGGTTAGTTTAATATTAATACTTATAATTTTTATTACCATTTGAAAGTTTAATGATTATATTCGTTTCGTTATGTCGTTGGCTATGAAAATAATCTAAAAGCATCAATCAATTGAATTACCTTGTCATTGGTGTACGTCAGATGAATATATCGAATCAAAGAATACTTTACCAAGACAAGGAAAAGGAATGAATTGGTATAGAGCAAAAAGGAATAAAGCTAGAGATGATAAGCATAAATTCTATTATAAAATTGAAAAATTACAATTATCCATGAATAAATACGAACAATTGGCTGATAGAAATTTAGTTATACGTCAACTAAATAGAGAAGGTGACGCTGACACTGGCGTCTATTTTTGTGAAAAAAGTCATATTTTTGATCAGATGAAAAAAATTAATAGAGAAAGTTCTTTAAAAGCGATAAAAGATCAAATTTGACAAAATGAATATATAAAACAAATAAATGAATTTGTCTATTAATTTTGCATGAATTCTAGAAAAAAGATAATATTAATTATATTGAAATAGACGCTCCACGTGGGTCTGAGAGTATTTTTTACTTATTGGAGTACTTAAACAACAAACTATACAATATAACAAGCTCTAGAAATACTTCACATATTTATAAGCCACCGACATTTGATGAATTTAATAAACCTATAGAAGATCCAATGAAACAACGTAAAGATATTCAAATATCGAATAAATTAATACTTATTTATCTTGATATTGAATACAATGTCTATCAATTGCCTCCCAACGAAGATCAAAGATATTTTATGGAGAGAGTTTGCTTAGCAAATGATAAACAATGCTTATGGAAATACAAACTTAAACCATCAATCTCTCTATTTGACGTAGGCTTGGGTAAAAATCTAAATGTTTTATTATATAATAGTTAAATACAAATTGAATTTCTTACTGATAAAATGACAGATAATATACAAATACAAGCTAATAATGAATTTCCATTAAGTAATAGAATAGAACTATGTGAACCGTGCGATCAGAAGGATGCTTTTGAAACGTATTTGAGTTTTTGTTGGCTTAGATTTGTAAATAGAAATGGAGATTTTATCGAAGAATTAAGTATTGATATGATACAACAAATATATGATAGAGTAGAAAAATGGAAACCTACAGATATTCTTGATAAAAGGAAACATTATCTTTTAAAAGTTTTAGCATTCTTTCCACAAGGAATTTCTTGTTATAATACAATTTTTGAGGGATACGAATGGTATCTTTTACCGAGAACTGAGGATTCCGATAACACTCATTTCGATGTTAAAATGGCAATAAAAGAATTTTCTAAAAAGCATGGAACAAATGTAAAATTAGCCCAATCAGATTTATTACCTCAATTCGAATTACTAAGAAAATCTTGCTACGTTAATTGTTCTATTGAAGAAAGAAAACGACTAAAAATATTAGAAGGATCAACAGAGTTATTTTTTACATTTATAGATACATCTGAACTCTTTGTACCGACAAGATCTATTGTTCAAGTGAAAAGAATAACATATACAGCAACAGAGGACGAAATGTTTAAAATGTTTTGTCCAAATCCCTCAAATTACGGTACAGTTAAATGGAAGAAAGGTTCAGAATATATAAGCAAGGAAAATCTAGAAAAACATATGAAAATATCATATAGCTATGCTTTACTCTTTAGTCGTCTAAAGCCGTCCGATGACGGTTTATACTTTTGTGAAAATTGCGATAGGAATTATAAAAATTGTATCTTAGCAGGATCATTACGTCTTAAAGTATGTTCTTTCTTTGAAATATTTGAATTATACCTAATTTTTCAATTACTAAATTATATTGTAGATTCATAAAAAACCGCCTACAATATTTAGTATTCGTTTTTATAGAAGTGCTTTATTAATTTCCTACATAATAGATGTAACTATTTTATGCGGGGGTTGTCTAATTATATGGTTTAGGCATAAACGTCAGAACATCAGTAGAAATAGATATAAAAATTTATTGGAGAAAAGTCTACCTAGACAGATAAAAAAAGTGATTAAAAAACAAGCTATGGATACCTTAGGTACAAAATTTAGGAAATCATTAAAAACTGAAAGAAGACAGAAAAGGGAAGAAGAACTTTATTCTTTGCACGAGAATACGAATGCTTCTAATTTTAATAGTAATAACGTTATAATAAACAAAGATAGTATTATCTTTAATCGTAATTCATGTGTTAATCCTGATGATTTCTTAAGATCTCCTTGCAGTATTGACGGTTATATTTAAAACTTAAAGCAATTTCTCTTTCCCTTTTTTTAATTATTTAATTGCAGGAAAAAGTTACAAAAGTTTACAATGCAGAGAATTACAAGTGATGATAGCCACAGAAGATGTTATTCTTATTGATGTTAGGACAAAAATAGAAGTTACAAGAACAGGATTAATTCCTAAAGCTTTTATTTTACCTGGTAGGATATTTTTTAATTGAATATTTCACATATTTCATTACGTTCTATATGACTAAAATATAGATAATGAAATTCTTCAAGCAATGTTATTGGATAAACAAACATTCTCTGATATTTATCAAGTGAAGAAACCGTATTTATATCAAAAAATTGTAGTCTATGGAAAGATTAATGATTCAAGAGCATTTAACTCATATAAGAATCTAGAATATTTAGGATTTGAGTAAATTGCGTCCCGAACCATTTTCTTAAATTATTAATTATTTCTTAATCTATTCTTTAGCACTTTTCTGTATCCTGGAGGTTGGGAAGAATGGAAATTACTTGTTGGAAAACAAGCGGCAAAGAAATTGACATATCTTAATTTATACGCCTTACAAAATAGAGAATCAGTTATTCTTCACATAGATAACAATAGAAAAAACTTTGAAAACTCATCTGATAGCTCTGCTGATGAGGAAATTGAAGAGGAAATCAATCAATTTTCAGAAAGTGAAAACTTATTAAAGTTTAATTAGAATTTTTGAAATTTTCAAAACTTTATATTTTTATATATAAATTCTCAGATAATTTGATATTTTTGTTGACTATTCTTAAATATTATTCTGATTTCTTTTTTAGCACTTTGATATTCATTCAAGTGATATTTATACGAAAATATACTCTATTAAAATTTATCAAAATACTCATTTATCGCTATTATCGCCCACCCATGTGTTAGATCGAATTGACTTTATTCATATTCTTCTCAAATTTACGGTGTTCTTCTCATTTAAGCAAGCAAATTAAAGTTTATAATAATGAGTGATAAGATGGATATTAATGTAATACCGGATAAAAAGCTCACAACTAAGTATGTGTCATCTTTGAGCAAAATCTATTGGAAGGATGAAGAAAGTTTCAAAAAAACTATCGCTGCTCTGAATTCTTATGGTGTCTGTCCTCGTTGTTGTCTTAGGTTTTTGGCTATAGACAATCAATCAATCTATAGGTCGAGTTTTCAGTGGATGGCTGATTTTTTAAAGGAAAGAGAAGAAACAATGTGTTCCAATATATGTTGTGCTTGTTTAGGCGTTCTACAAGAGAAATATTGCAGAGAAGAGTTTCGCAAAGAAATCATTAAAACACTTATGGAGGCTAAGTATGAATATGATTCATTTTTTGTTGCTATAACTCTTCCTGTATCGACGATGATGCGAGAGCATTCAATCTGGTTGAAATTAGCAGAACAAGATAAAACTGCCTTTAATGATTATAGACGAAGAGATTTAGCTTCTCTAAAAGATTGCTGGAAATGGGTAAATGGTGACGATCTCGGAGAATCTCTGGGAAGGAAGAGTGAATACTCAACAGAATCAGCCTGTTTTGAAATATCATTGAATTTTTCACATAAAACTCAATTCAGAGAATGTTATCCCCTGGATGATTACTTTGAAGAATTTCGTAAAAGAAAGAGTGATGACATAGTTTACACTAGGAGTTCAGTACAAAGAGCTTTAGTAAAATTGTCAGACGACAGATTTCGAAAACTCTACTCGTCTCCTCCAACGATTCCTAAAGATGAATGTACAGTAGAAATTCAATTTAAGCAAGATTCTATTTTTGTAGCAGGAAGATACAACAAATACAGCAGAAAACTATCGCAAACTCCTTGGGTGCTAGATTCGGGCGAACGCCGGACTAACAGCTCTGTTCAAGAAATGCTTTGCGATTCTATTAAATCTCACTTTAAGGCAGATAGTTTTGTGTTTACCTCCTCTGGAAGAGAAGATGTAGATGTTAAAATGTTAGGCGAAGGTAGACCTTTCATCGTGGAACTTATAAATCCACATGTAACCACCATCTCAAAAAGTGAGCTTAAAGATATTACCAAGAAAATTAACACTCAAAAAGATATTGGTGTAAGAGACTTACAACTTGCTCTAAGAAGTGACACTATGAAGTTAAAAGAGGGTGAAGAACAGAAGAAGAAATCTTATTCAGCATTTTGCTGGAGCAAAGAACCTATTACGCAAGAAGAATTGGATAGCAAGTTAAGTAACATTAAAGATCTCAAAGTCAATCAAAGGACACCTATCCGAGTTTTACATAGGAGAACTAACTCTTACAGAACTAAGATGATTTATAGTCTAGAAGCCAAGTCAATTAACGAGAAGCATTTTATCCTATATTTGACGACGCAAGCAGGAACATATATTAAAGAATTTGTTCATTCCGATTTTGGTAGAACAACACCTAGTCTAGGAAGTATTTTAGGTGTAGAATGCGATATTCTTGAACTAAATGTAACTGCAGTAGATTTGGATTGGCCAGAGCGCCTGGGAGATGAAGAAAAGTGAACTCTTTTAAATAATTTCTTTACTGTTTATTGTTATCAAGATGTAAATTTTTTTCACCAATAATAAATAAATGTTTGTTAATTTTTCAATACAGATTAATAAATAACAAAAAAACTTGATTAAATCAATTTAAGTGTGAAATTAATACAATTTTAAAATAGAAAATACTACTTTGGAAACGTTCCTTATATGAATTTTTTCTATCCAATAAGCTCTCGAGTTTCACAAATCCTTTTGCCATACTGGGTCTAGTGATAACCTGGGAATGTTATAAAATTAGCATATTATCGGTCATTTAAATTTCTGTTTAGAATAGAAATATGCAGTCAATTGGGCAAAAGTCGATTAAACCGTTTAGTAATGATTACAAGCTGAAAGTTGGAGAAGTATATAACTTTAAGTAATTGATGTATTATTGGAGATTTATTATGGTTTAAAATTTTTTTTAGCCGTTCATCGTCAGGTCAATACGAGAATTAAACCAGCAGATCGTGTGTTCTTTATGTGCCGGATACTTTATAGATGCAACAACAATAACAGAATGTCTGCATACCTGTATGTAGAAATAATATTGAATGTTTTTACTAATGATTAATGTTCTACAACTTATATTTCAAACAGTTTGCAAAAGTTGTATTGTGAAGTATCTTCAAACAATGAAAGCATGTCCTGTATGTTATACAAAAATTCACGAAACAAACCCACTACTCAACCTCAAAAAAGATCAAGTAATGCAAGATATTGTTTATAAATTGATTGATGGATTATATGAACGTAAGAATGTTCAAATGTTCTTTTCTATGTTAATAATGACTAACTTTTGCGCTGACTGTAGGTGAACAAGATAGAGTTGCTAAGTTTTTTGCATCCCGTGGTATGACGCAAGGAGATGAGCAAGGTAGAAATTTATTTATATATAATATATATATCTTTAAGCAAAAGCGCTTTTTGCACTAACACATTCCTGTATTTTCTCTAGAGAGGCAACGAAGTCACGCAATTGCTGCTGCATATGAAAATCCAAATGCTCATGCATTCGAAAACGGAACTGTTATTTGTTTCACGTTAGAATGTGTAACGTGCGTATTTCTTTTTTATTAATACCTAACTAAGCGTTACTTAAATAATCGGTTTAAACAAATGCAGACAAGAATCTATTCAGGGATATCAACCAAGAGACTTAGAGAAAAAATATGGAAGAGTTTCTGCCCGAGCTACAATGATGAATTTCCAATCAATGATTAGAAAAAAATTAGATGTCCCTGAAACTTTAAAGGTAAAGGCTTTAGAGTCAAAAAAAGATTTATAGTCATACTCAGTATTGTTGAACAGATCGATTTATATTGTGACGGCCATTTACTAAGCGACTCAATGACTTTAAGGAAGGCAACACTCATATATTGGCATCCTAAAGTAAATATAAATTAGAGTATCACTGTCTAATGAAATTTACAATATTTATAACATTTTCAGCCGTCTCCAGTGGCTATGCAGTTCTCAGTGTCGCCAAAGTCCAGTTAGCTAAGAAGATTTGAAGGAAATTCATAAAGTTATTTGTTTTTCTACACATTTTGTAAATTTACTGTATACAGTATCGCTAAATTTATAACATGGTTCTTCTACATATATATATATATATATATTATATGTATATTTAAGTATGTTGCATTTAATATCTGATGAATCAGTAAAGTGTAAAAAGATGTTTTTAACGACTGAAATGTTTGAAAAAATTAATTACTGTGTTGTATATAAAGTAAACATAATTTCTAATAAATTAAGAGCACTTCCATAATACAATAGCAACGTTCCCGCCAAAAAACATGTAAAGTATGTTCTTAACTTCGTGCGTTACTTCGTATCCAAAGCCTTCACCAACAACAACGTGCCAAGAAGGTCCGAATTTTTTGTCCATGGTATCTTTAATCATCTTCGCCGCTGTTTCGTTATTACTTGAGAACTTTTCGCAGGCTGTTACACACAGTTCCATGGCCTCTACACGTATTTCCTCTGGCATATCTGAATGCCTAATTAAGGGGTAGGTATGAACAATCTTCTTTCCTTCATCCTTTTTTTGGTCACCCTCGGTCTCAGCCATTTCGATAGTGTTTGTATTGTTTATTTTTGACTTGGCGTTGCCATGAAAAGTTTATTTCCGGTCGGACCGCAGAATAATATTTCTTTGTTTGAAAAAAAGTTTTTTTCTGGCTGTGTAAAAATTAAAAGAACTACTATTTATTAATAAAAAATTATTTTCCTTAGATCAGATTTTTTACCTGTATTTTATTAAATTAAGTTGAGTCAAAAGAATTGAACTAACCGTCGTTGACAGGATATCGATAGAGACCGGAAATGCCTCTCATTGGCGACTTGTTTTGACTTGCTAATGCCGCTTTATATGTTATTATAGCTCAATCCAACAGATTTTAGCTTTGCTAATTTTACCTGAAATGATGTCGGGAATTGAAGAAGTAATTCAATTGGTTATTATTCTGAAATGTTAAGGAATAACACTTTTTCAAATTTATTTAGAATGCCGATCCATCTTTGCCGGGATATGCGCGCTCGAACTCCTCCTTGAACAGTAGTGGAATACCACAGTTGCCTCCCGATTCTCCTGGTAGTTCGGTTTCTTCTCGTTTGCAAAACGAATATGATCAATTATTGAAACTAGCAACTATATTACCTGAAGAAAAGGAACTTGCTATTGAAGAGGATCTCCGAAGTTTATCAACAATAGAACCCGCAATGTAAATCACTATATATTTTATATTCTTAATTGAATATTGCAACCTAAAAATATTAGTACCTGTATATTACTTGCTTACTTAATTAGTTAACTGGAGATTGACACTATATTGTTTCAATTGATTGAACTTATCTAAGTTTCCTTTTTATTTATAGGTATGATCCTGAAGAGGAGCGTAATAATACTCTAACGCCTCGCTCCGATCGACAAGAACAAGGAATAAACGTTCAAGTTATTAAGGAAAATGGAAATCACAGTCTCGATGTTCAAGTAGTCCGAGAATTTAATGACGTTGAAAAAGCAGATTCAATTGCCAATTCTCTGGGATCAGATCCCCTGTTAACAAGAAAATTTTCCCTCCCAGCAGTTGGAGATTCAAAATCTGAATCTGATACATCTTCTATCCGCAGTGCATTAGCTGCTGCTTCTTATAAACCGTCCATCGATGCTGATATGTCGAGAATAGAAACACTATTGGATTCTTGGTTATACGATGTTAAAAAAAATGTTCTCGACGAATGTAGCCAATTAAAATTACGAATGCTCGAAAGAGAGAGAGACGAAATATTAAAAGAAAAGAAAAAGTATATATAGAAATCTACTTTACCTTATAAAACATTCTTTATTCTTTTTCTATAAATTTTTAGAACAACTGAAGAATTATTGGAATATCAAAAACAAATAGATAGCTTAAAAGAAGTCCTTAACTCCTATGAACAGACATGCCATAAGAAAGACACAATTATCAATAATCTATCAAAATCTCTTCAAGTAAAGATTCATATATATCAATTTATTATTTATTTATCTGTTCAACTTTTTATTTTTAAAGAAATCGAAAGACAAAATGGAAACTTTAAAAACTTTTTGTGAATGGCGACTAAATCACGCAGATTCTGCAAGAGAAAAGTTTTGTACTAAGATGGCTGCTAAGCAGCATGATATTTCTGTGAAAAAGACTGTTTTCTTTGCTTGGAAAAGTATTGTACAAACTAGTTGGAAAGTTCGCGCCGAAAAGGCTTGTCAAGCGAAAGCTGAGGAAATATGTAGGAAATTATCCGATGACTATGAAACCAAAATATCTAAGGTTTTTATTGAAAACTACGAAATGTGTAGCTTTTTTCTAATTTTTAAATAACTTTGCAGTTAAATGGTGAATTGGAGGATGCTCGAACTGTTATTGCTAAGCTACACGGTGAAAGAGAACGATACGAAGATTCCATGAAAAAGGCTTTCATGAGAGGCGTTTCCGCTCTCAATACAGAAGCAATGGCTATATTTAATGGTGACGAAGAAGAAAAGCCCCAACGGTCGTTGGATGTAGCGGAAACTGATGAACCAGAAAGAATAAATGTTCCCATACCTACTCATAGCCAAACCGACCCTCTGAAAGCTAGAGCAGCGTTAGTAGCAAAAAAATCCACAAAACCTCGTTCTTTTGGTCCAAAATCTGAATTAAAGAATGCTTGTGCTCAAGGAGCGGTACATACTCTTCGACCTCCAGTAAGTTCAATAGTAGTTGAACGCCATCAACCAGTCGTAAAAGAGACGGTTGGACAAGCAACGGCTATGTGTTATCCAGCTAAGAAGACGAATAATATGAAAACAAATCAAAAGAAGGGTCAATCAACGATTGTCAGGCACGTTCTTCATCAAGCTCATTAAAAGGAAAAGAGTGCCTAAATTCTTCAAAGACTTTGTGATATGTTATTTTTTTTCCCTCCGCGAAAGATAGTTTTTAACGAAAACTGTTTGATAGTTTTTATTTTATTCTTTAATACACAACTATATTTCTCTTGTAACCTTGAAATTTGGGACTATTCGATATATTCATATTCTTGTATATATTCCATAAACACTAATAATACAGTACAGGTACCCTATTTTTAGCCACTTGTTTTTTTTTTTTTCCAAAAATGAATTTTTCTTTTTTTTGGCCTAAACAAGATGTTTTAAAGAGAAGTTAAAATAAGGACAACTCATCTATCTTTAAGTGAGATTTATAAAATCTTTGTTTATCACAATAGAAATAAGAAAATTATTGATTTATGCAAACATTGACTAAATTGGTTAATTAAGTAAAAGTAGTAAGTGATAAATATTCAAGAATAATTTTCACAAATTATCTAATACTGTTACAAAATGACTTTCATTTTTACCATTCGCAACTTCATTATTCTTATTTTAAAAAATATAGAAAAATCGATTTTAACACCTCATTGATGAAAAGATATATTTTTCTTATCAAGTTTGTATTAAATACAGCTTTTATAATTCTCAAGTAAGGATAGATAATTTGTCTTCATTTTAATTTCTGGTAAAAACATCTTGCTTAGGCCAAAGTTGAAAAAAAATTTAATTTTCAAAAAAAAAAATGGTGGCCAAAAATAGGGTATCGGTACTGTATATTAGTGTAATACTAAAACAAATAATATATATCTTCCTCATTTAATTTTTTTGAATAACTAATATTGTAAAGCCGTTGTTGATTGGTTACTAATAATTGATCAGGCGTGTTTCGTGCTTGGTTGTGGTATATTCTACCCTATTTTCCTCTTGGATTGTATGCCTCATCAGTCAGCCTCTTATTAAGTACTCTTTTTCTTATAATCTTAATCTTACTATAAGAAGTTTGTGTTATACTCGACATTTATCTTCTTGGCTAAGTATAACAAACTGAATGGATTACATAAAAACACCTCGTTTAGCATCTCAAAGCAGGAGGAAACTAATGGAATCTGATGAACTTGCTCAAAACATGTCACACTTGAACAATGGTTTTGAAATGAGAGAATCAGCTTTAGAGCCAATTCAACACAGATCGAAGAAAAAGAAAAAAAAATCTAAAAAAAGACCGTCTTTCTCGGATACCTATACTATGGACGATGTTTATAATAGGCGTCCATCGGTTGCCAGTAACGGCGATTCAACAGTGACACCTAGCGACGACGTCTACTCTAAGAATTTAGAAAGAAGCCGTATGGATAAGCAGAGGTTAGAGGAAGAGGACGATACATCTAGCAGGAAGGAAGAAGAGAAACATTCACAATTCGAGGTAAGAATCGGTTGCTAAGCGTTGAATAATCTAAAATAAACTATTCGCGAGTTTATGTTCAGTTGCCTAGTTCAATAAAAGATATTGATTGATGCTTGTCGTCACTTTTCATAGAACTATTCCTTTTTCCGTTTTTAGCCAGTGTCTAATAACTCCAGCATAAGAAATTGAAATAAAGCTTTATAATCTTTAATAGTATCAATAAATCGTGAGAAAATGGAAAAAACATGCGAAAAACTACATAAATTAAACATGTATTTATATTTATATTAACTGCGTCATATTCATCCAGTCTCTTATTGTTTTCCCTAACTTTAGTCAGTTCGAAAATATAGATTTCTTTAAGGCCTATTAATAACAGATATAATCTTTATCAACTATTTATATTATAAAGGAGAGAAATTGATAATATATATATATATATATATATATATTTGATGCAGAGAGATGTCTCAAGATTCGTCCGACAGTATATTAAGCACAAGGAATGTGATGTATATATAAAACATAAAAAATTCGAGTAAGTAGTGTATTTATTGATTTGATACATTAATTATAACCTTTTGAAACGTAATTAATAACAGAAATGTTTGTCAATGTAATCGACCAAAAGCTTGGCATGATAAAAAGGGTCTTCGGGAGGAAGAAGCAGGTGAAAAATGGAATACCGATATTCATAGTAGAGAAATTAAAGCAACTTGCTACGGAACTGTACAATTTAGGGGTTTTGGTCAAGAAGCGACGGCGCCCGCTCCCTATGTAAGAGTAGCTAATAATTGTGATATGGATATTATGTGGAAACTATTGCATGAACATTGGGGATTAAAAGCTCCAAAATTACTCATTTCTGTTACTGGAGGTGCCAAGAGATTTTTTATGAAACCTAGATTAAAAAATAATTTTAAGAGGGGCCTTGTAAATGCTGCTACTTCAACGGGAGCATGGATAATTACGGGTGGAACGGGAGCGGGAGTAATGAAGTTTGTTGGTGAAGCTGTTCGAGAATATACTATGTCCTCTGCTAATTTGGAAAATAGTATTGTTGCTTTGGGTATTGCCACATGGGGTATTGTCGATAATAAGGAAGCTCTTGAATCTCGGTCTCTTAATAAAGGTGCTGACGATGGATGCTTTCCGGCAGAATATAATATTGAAGGATTAGATTATGATAAAAAGGGAGTGTCACCAATTGATCATAATCATACACATTTCATTCTTGTTGACGATGGTAAAGTTAAATCATTCGGTGCCGAGATATCTTTACGTTGTGATCTTGAAAGACACATAAGCTTGAAAATAGAAACTGGAATAGCTAGACAGCAAAGTGTAAATGTACCAGTTGTATTACTTGTTCTAGAAGGAGGTGTAAATACTTTAGAAACTGCAGCAGTTGCAATCGCCAACAAAACTCCAGTTGTGGTTATTCAGGGTTCAGGACGAGCAGCAGATTTTATAGCATATGCCTATCGTATTACTAAAGTCCCAGGTAAGGAAGATGAAAGTAATTTTCCATCAACTTTCAACGAAGAGCTTCGAAAACGAGCAAGCGAAATGTTTGATTGGGGAAGGGAAATATGCCAACAAGATATAGATGATAAAATAGAACAATGTATTGTAAATATAAAAGCAATAATTGACCAGAGAACGTTAGTGACCGTTTTCCAATTGGACGATGCTGAATCAACCAAAGAAATTGATCAAGCCATACTGTATGCTCTACTGAAGGCTAATAAATCTCATCCCCAATCTCAGTTAAACTTGGCTCTTGCATGGAATAGATGTGATGTTGCAAGAGCTGAAATTTTCACTATGGAAAATTCTAAGAGATGGCAAAACTTAGGCCTAAATGATGCAATGTTTACAGCCTTAATGCAAGATAGATCTGATTTTGTTCAACTCTTTCTTGATAATGGTGTAGATTTGAGAAAATTTCTTACTATTTTCCGTCTAAGAGAGTTATATGATAATATCTTACACAGTAAACCGGGTGCGGCAAGTGCTGATCTTTTAAGAAATCTTTTACAAACAGCTCAACAAAAATGGGGAATTGGATGCTGCTCACCAAAAGAGTTACGAGATGATTTACCTGAATTGTTACAACATGTTGGTGAAGTGTTTGCAATTCTTCTTAAAGAGTCTAAAAACCTGTACAATACGGATAGATACATTGTTCCTAAAGAAAGCAAGATGAACGCTAGTCAAACTTTTGTGGTTACCGATAAGAGCGGTGTTGTAGAAAACGCTGAAAGAGAATTGTTCTTGTGGGCGGTAGCGTTAAATCGGCGCACACTAGCTCTCCTATTTTGGAGAATAGGTAGGGATCATATTGGAGCTGCTTTAACAGCGGCATCTATTTTAAAGAGTCTTTCCGAAGAAGCAAATAAAGAAGAGGAATTGGATTTGTCAACTGATCTTATGAACCATGCTGCTGAATGGGAAGCGAGAGCAGTTGGTACTTTAAACGAATGTTACAATAGAAACAAGCGCTATGCTCATTTAGTACTAGTCAGAGAACTAACGGACTGGGGTAATTCAACGGTCCTTTCTTTGGCTGATTCAGCCGAATTAATGGATCTTATGGGTCATTCGTGCTGTCAGACAAAGCTCAATAGAATTTGGAAGGGAAAAATGGCATTATATACTTCCGAATGGAAAATATGGTTGACCCTTGTTTTTCAATTTCTGATTCCTTTTTTGATTAAATTTACCAACGAAAATTCAACTTCAAACAAAGTATCACCGGAAACGGAAGAAGACGACGAACAACCGTCGAATAAAAACTTTACTACAAAGTTATATTCAGTTAATTTACTCGGGAGCGGTCACCAAAATATCAGCCTACTCAATGCAATTAAGTACTTTAATACAGCTCCTGTAACCAAATTTTGGTTCCATACAGTAAATATTAATTAAATAGGTGAAATGTTCTTTTTAACAAACCTTAATCTATTTTTCAAATAGCTTTCTTATATAATATTTTTGGGATTCTTCTCATTTTTTATACTGACCGACCTTCAACCTTGGACGTCTGCAAAAAGACCAAGTTCATACGAATTTCTTATTTGGGGTTGGGCAGCGACATTGTTCTTAGAAGAATTCCGACAAGTGAGTATTATCATAACAAATAGATATTTATTATAAGTAAACTAAAATGGTTTTTATTTTTAAAAATCATTTATTTCTACCTTTATTTTATCTTTTCATTTATTTTATCTCTTCGTTAACTAGTCCCAACTAATGAGAGGGGTAAGATTATATAATTTTCTTTTGTGCAATCTTTTTTTTCCCATGTTTTAATTGATCAATCCTGTTATTAATATAATCACCAAAAACAAAAAAAAAGAACAAAAAAAAAGAACATAATTTGCATATTTCGTATTAAAAAAAAAAGACAACATAATTTTCTGATTTAGTTATAAAAATTCTTTTTTTATTATTTGTTTTTTTAAAAAAAAAGTTGATTTATTTCTCTTTATACTTTATTCACTTGCAAAATTTTATTTCCTAAAATCTTAGATGGGGAACAGAGATGCGTCGTCGGCATTACACAGACTTCGATCCTATATCACAAATGTTTGGAATCAATTTGACCAAGTTGCCTATATTTTACTGATAATTTCAGTCATTTTGAGAAGTGCTGTACCGTCCGATAAATTTATGTGGGCCAGAATATTCTATTGTTTGACACTGGCAACATTTTTCTTAAGATTTATGCATGTTTTCTTTGTCAACAAAAATATTGGTCCTAAAGTTATAATGATCCGAAGAATGCTTACCGATTTATTATTCTTTGTTGCCATATTGATAGTTTTCATATTAGCTTATGGAGTGGCGAGTCACGCCCTCCGCTTTCCTAATGCACCGGTTAGTTGGCGTCTATTAAAAGACGTTGTCTATCTTCCGTATTGGCAAATGTACGGTGAACTATTTCTCGAAAACGTCGAAGGAAATGTTGACAATTGTAATTCTACTGCTGGAAGTAGCGATTCTTGTCCCAGGAAATCTTGGCTGGCAATTGTTCTATTCGCTATTTATATGATTATAACCAATGTTCTCTTGCTAAATCTCCTTATTGCCATGTTCTCGTATACTTTTGAAAAAGTACAAGAAAACTCTGAAAAAGTATGGAGATACTATAGATACAATCTTATTTATGAGTACTTTGATAGACCAACCCTTGCACCTCCCTTAATAATTTTATCCCACATTTGGCGTGTGATTAAATATTGTAATCGGAAGGTTAGACAACGGAAGAAAACCGATCATGATTTCCGGAGAATTTTATCAATTGAAGATAATAATAAAATGTCTGCGTTTGAAAGAGCTTGTATGGAGAATTACTTACTATTGTCAAATAAACTAAATCGTGAACAAATTCATGCTAAAGTCACAACAGCTGGAGAGAAAATTGAAAAGGTTATTGAAGAACTTGAACAAATTAAAGAGTCTGTTCAAACGAAAAGTACTTTCGATACTCCTGAAGTTAATATTTCAGAATCAGTTTCGAGAGCACCTGCTCCAAATTCTTTAGAAGTATCTGGATCATCAAGGTATCAATATCATCAATATGTACTAATAATTAATCTTAAGACGTTTCTTTCTTACGATTTTCAGATACAATCCGAAAGAAGATATCCGTATTTTAAATAGTAAAATATCAGATTTAAAACAGAATATGGATGATCAAGAGAAGAAATTTGATAAGATAATGAATATGTTAGGAAAACTTTCACGACAATAGAAACTATTTAACAAAGAATCTATCAGATAACCATAAACTATATTACTTTTATAAGAAAGTAATTAAAGATAACGTACATTTTTACAATAATTAGACATATTTTAGTTGATACAATAAAAAAACTGAATGCTTTTAGAAAATATTAAATTTCTTTCTACAATTTCTAATCCTGCAGTTGTTATTTAGCGAAAGTGTTCTGTAATTTATCGTGTTCTGTTAGGTTAAGCTTTCTATTCTCTCGTGTTTTCCTGCTGCAACTATCTTCATATATCTGAAAATGTTCAAGATATGGGCATAACAATTCAACACAGCCACGAAAGATTAACTCTTGTTTATGTTGCGATTTTAGTTGAGAACATTTTTCCACAAAACTCCTCAGAATATCTTCCTTTTTTTTATTAAAATCGGGGGATCTAAAGTCCAAATACTTCAAGTGTGCATACAAATTTTCCAAAGACTTGCAGATAGAGCGAAATCTTTTTGTACTAAAAGAACCCTCTCTTAGACTTAACTTTTCAATATCAAATGATGATTTAAACAATATCTTCAAAGAATCAACATTGTCATCATCTAAATTGCAATCTGAAAGATCAATTTCCCTCAAAGCTATTCCGCTTTCTTTCAAACTTTTTGCAAAAACCTTCATAATTCTGCTCAAGTTGTTATTTCCCTCAAGATTCAGAGACTCCAAATTTGAGATTGTCGAAAAGCGCTCACATAATGCATTTAGCTTTCCGGTTGAGAGATCACAGAAAGATAAACTGAGTTTTTTGAGGTTATGATTCAATCCAAGTAAAATTTTCTTAAAGCCAGACGACATATTTTTATTATTACTCAGGTCTAAAACCTCCAAATTCACACACTGCTTTACACAATCAGCCAATTGTATAGCCTGTGTCATTCGTAAGTCACATGATGACAAATCAATGTTGATAACTAATTGAAATGAGATATGCGTATGTAAATTTTCATAGCTCACAGTTGATGTATCTTTATTCCTAATAAAGATAATTTCTCGTAGATTTACAAATTTCTTCTTTGAAACATTCTGCATAGAATTTTCAATTTCCAGATATTGTAGAGTTTTATTAGATTCTTTTAGTAGATCTATAGGACTTTCCAATTCGTTTCCTTTCAATTTTAACGATTCTAAAGTATTACAGTTTGTTAAACTTAGCTGTAAGTGAATTTCTTCAATCTTTTGTATACGGCAATAAGATAAATTCAAATTTTTTAAAGTTTTGTTGAAAGATTTTATCGATTGTAATATTAAACGTACTGTATCCTTCATTGAAGGATTACCACTAACATCTAATGATTCCAGGTTTTGGCAGGTATTTAACAGTACCACCAAAGTTGCTATTTGTCCCTCACTTAAACTGCAATTTGATACATTCAGATTTTGTAGTGTTGAGGAAGATTCTTTTAGGGCATTAAATATATCATTCAATCCATCCAACATATCAGTATTATAGTTGAGCTTTACTGATCTTAAATTGCAACATCTCTTTAAGCCCTTAGCTAACGATTCGGCTGAACTTTTTGATAAGAAGCAGTTTGACAAGGCCAGATTCTGTAGAGAATTACTAGATAATTCTATCATCTCTTGCCAATTTAAGATCTCTTTTGTAGTATATACGCAACAACTGAAGTCTATAGTTGTAAGATTACTACATTTTCCCAATACTGTTTCAAGTGGTTGTTGTTGTTGGCTTTTTATTGAATTAAGTGAAATATCAATAATCTTTAGAGTTCGAACGATGTAGTCTAATCCTCTGATAAGATAATTTATATTCAAGCTATTCAAGCTGCCTCTAAGTAAAAGTACTTCAATAGTCGGAGACTGTGAAAGGTAACTCTCAAGGCTTTTAATTTGATTCAAACTTAACTTGCAAAATGAAAGATTTAAATACACTAGTGTTTTACTTAATATTAATAGTAGTTCCTCTAATGAGTCTTGCATATTTGGGTTTTCTGTAAGATTAATAGTTTTCAGGTTTGTACATATATCCAGAAATTCCTTCAGAGATGCAGCCTGATCTCTAGACAAGTTACAGGATGAAAAGTTCAAATGTTCAACACTTTTTCCTGAATTCCTCATGGCCAAAGCGATTGATTTAAAACCTTGCTTCATCTTTGTGTTAAGGCTAAGATTTAAAGAGTTAAGGTTTGAACACTTTTTTATACAATTCGCAAGACATTCGGCTTGATCTTCTCTCAAATTACAAGAAGAAAAGTTTATATCTTTAAGGGTATTACATGACTTTTCAAATGATTTAATAATTTCATTAAGACCAACACCCATTTTGGAGTTTCCACTAAAATTAACAGATTCAAGACACAAGAATTCTTTCAATTCTCCCGATAACTCTTGAGCTTGCTCTATTGTGAGATTGCAGAACGAGATATTTAAAAATTTCAATTTACTACTGGAATTTTTCAAACCAAGATTCAGGGGATTGTTCCATATTTTATTGCCTTCTAAAGAAAATGCTTCGAGCGTAAATTTTTCTAGGTGGACTCCTATATCTTTTAAATTAGCTCTGGTCAAATTACAATATGACAAGTTAATTCTTTTGATATTTAATTGAGAGTTTACTAATATTAAACTCTTCATTAGCGTAGCTATATTGTTGCCCATATGCGGATTGTCTTTCAAGTTAATGTCTATGAGTTTTGTGGATGAATTTAGCTTTTCCATCTTTTCTTCTGTTAAGGAACAAGATGAAAAGTTCAAACTTCTGAGGATATTATCTGTTTTCGTAATAGCTAAGAAGAATAAAGCAAATCCTCTATCTATATATTTATTTCCACTAAGGTCAATCGAGTCCAATTTCAAAGCATGATTTAGATACTCAGCAATGTGTATAGCTTCATTCACACCCAAGTCACAATAAGATAGATCAATGCTGCGGATAGATCCTGAAGATTTCTCTCTAGTCTTGTCTATAGCTCCAAATACATCACTACAAAATTTATTGCCTCGTAGTATTAATGTTTCAAGGAATACAGTTTTTTGCAGAAGTTGTCCCAAAGCACTTGAACTAGTAGGAGTAAAATTACATAATGCAAAGTTAAGATATTTCAATGATTGAGATGAATTCCCCAGAGACAAAATTATCTGATCCACTTCACTGTTCATATTTCTATTATAGCTTAGATCAACCCGTTCCAAGAATTTACAATCTTTAAAGCAAGTTGAAAGAAAACATGCTTGATTCTTGCTGAGACAACAAGAAGAAAAATTGACATCCTTTAGAGTTGACTTTAATTTCGCTAGTGAAGTTGTTAACTTTTCAAATGCTTGTCCCATGTTTTTATTTTTCTTTAAATTGATAACCTCAAGCCTAGAGCAATTTGCCAAAGCCATCGAAAGTAATTCCGTTTGAGATTCACTGAGACTGCTGTCACATAAGTTCAGTATTCTAAGAGAATGTGATAAGTTAAGAAGTGAATGGAGCATAGGATTTTGCTCACTAAACATTAGTTTGTTATCCGATAGGTCTAGAGATTCGATTTGATAACATTTCTGTAACCATTTTTCAAACTGCTCGCCACTTTCTCTTAAATTACAATAAGGAAAATGCACGTGTCTTAACCTATATTGTAATTTGATTAGAGCTTCAACAATGAATCTAAATCCCTTTTGTGTAAAATTGTTCCAGCCTAAATGTATTGACTTTAAATTTTGGCATTCTTCCAATAGAGATGCAAGTTCTAGTTGCTGATTTATAGATAACTTGCAGCGTGAAAAATCTAGGAATTTTAGTTTCTCTTTTGAAAACTTCAGCGCAACCATTATGTTCTCAAATTTAGGATTAGTATTTCCGTCCAGACGTAGGCTCTCAATGTTAGAACATTCTCTTAAAAGTTCGACCAAAAATTCTCCATCTTTTTCATTCATAGCACAGAAAGATAAATACAGGTGAGATAGAAAATCCGAAGAATTTCTCAGCTTTAAAAATATTCCTTTAAATTTACTTGAAATTCTGACATTATGACTTAAATCGAGTTTTCTCATGAATGCGCATTTATCTAACAAGTCTTCTAAGTGATATATGTGTTCTGCAGTCAAGCAACAGTTAGACAACCCAATTTCTTTAAGAGTTCCAGAAGAGTTCTCTAGTCCAGTAAATATATCGAAAAGTCCTTCGCCCAAGTCTCCATTATGACCAATATTTAAAACTTCAATCAGAGGGAATTTTCTCAAAGATTTTCCAAGTACACGGGCCTCTTCTTCTGACAGGTTGAAATGGGAAAAATCCAAATGTTTAATATGTTTCGACCAGTCCTGACTACAAGATGAGTAACGTACTGTATTATTTAAGTACAACAGCTGTTGCATAATATCCTTAGATTTGTTACCTAACATATTAAAACTTAGATTAAGCGATTCCAAATTGCGACAATCGGATAAAAGTTTAGAAATTTCCCCGTTATGAACATTTGTCAAATTGCAGTGAGATAGATTTAAATGTCTTAAGTTTCTAGCAGATGGTTTCAGAGCTGAGCTAAACCGGATATAACTTCCAAATAGACAATTGTAACTAAGATTTATGTTTTCTAAATTTTTAAACTTAGACAAACTTGCTATTACACATGGTTCTATTTCACAGTGAGAAAGATTTAAATGCTTTATTGAATCGGGATTTAAGTTTTCCAATGCTTTATCTACTATTTTCGGATTTTTTGAGATATTTAAAGACTCTAAGTAAGTGCATATTTTTAGGGGCCAACTAATCAGCTCCGAGAATTCCTGAAATATTCTGCAGTTAGAGATATCTAAATGCTTAAGAGAACGATAGGAACATTGCACAAGTTTAGGAAACAGCTCAGAAATCTCAGAATATGATTTTTCTGAAAGATTCAAACATTCTATTCCAGAATTCATATCAGGTTCAATCTGTTTTTGAAGGTGTAAAATTGAAACAATATTAGAGAGGTGAAAATTCTTAAATCTTAGCTTCTTATCTTCAACAGCATGAATTAAAAGTGAGAGAATTCTACTTTCCTGAGATGTAATCGTTTGCCAACTTAATGGAAAGTAGTCCATTATACTTATATCATCATCAATAGCATTTAAAAGAAAAAGTTGATGATTACATTGATCTATAAATAGATCGATTGAATTGTAGCTTGTACTTTCGTTCTCAAGTTCATTTTGAGGTAAATGAGGCGAGACAAAGGAGCAAACGTTTTTGATGAAATCCTCGTTTAATTCCTCAATCAATGAATTCCTAATACAGCAAACTTGCAAGTTAAATTGACCACTTTTAATAAAATGGAAAAATGCAATTTCCTGCTCACGTCCAAATAGTTTGTTTTCCAAAACTAGATATTCTATACTTTTATACTTTTCAATGAATTTGAAAAAAGAATCAAATTTGAAAAATGATCTACACCTATCTCTTACACTTTTTATATAACTTGATCCATCGGTTAATTTAATACAGATAATCCGAGGATTTTCTTCTTGGTAGACATGAACTTCCTCAATACATTTCCACCTCTTTTGAACGGAATGTCTACTGTTGAAGTCTATCTTAAATAATCTATCGGACCACTTGATTGTTTTTAAATTGGTTGAACTTTTTAGTGAGAAAATGGTACTGAGAAATGAATCACCATCGTAGACACATTGGAGTGGGCATTGAACAGTATAATTTATATTTTCTAATGTCGGACAATTTTCTTTTAATTTATGCAAAAGCGTCATATCAGTATTCAAGAAATTAACTTTCGTTATTGTATCGCCAATATTCTCAAGTAATATCGAACTAAACATATCATGATCATTTCCAAAACCCTTTGGGTTCTGAGCTATTGGAAAGGATAATTCCTTAGTTTCACTCATTATTTCATGAATCCTTTCATTGAATTCAAATATGCATTGGAATTTACTTGGTACCTTAAAGATATCCGTATACATGTGTCTATCATAATCCTTAATCAATTCCAATATATAGTATTTTATCTTTGAGCTAGTAAAATCCCTAAGAAACTTTTCAGCGAAAGCTTTTTGGTTGCGTGAATTTCTGCAGTTCCTAATATGTCTAATAGCATGCTTGGCAGCGAAAAACGTTTGAAATGATGGATGATGAAATCGAATTATATATGTTCCATTTGACTGACTAGGAATCATTTCTAATACTTCCTTAAGAAAATCTGCATTATCGTTGATAAACGTATTAAAAGTAACTATCTCCTTATCCAAGCATTCGAAGCATCTCTCATAAAGTAGACTCAATGCAGAATCTACATCTTCATCACGGGAATTATTATATTTGTATACGTTAGTTATTAAATTATTGTAAATGAAAAACGAGTTTTTTTCAAAACTCTTTCCATTTTTTTCCCAAATGTGAAACATTAATATGGCTAAAAGAGGAACTTTGCACAAATTCCTTATCTTCCTTTTCTGCTCACTTAACTGTTTAATGAAAGATGGCGTACAAACTGGAATTCTAAAATATTTACCAATTAATTTTCTTAGTTGTTCGTCGTCAATTCCAGCCAATTCAAAGACTTCATTAAAAATATTTTTATGTCTTATTTCAACTGCTTTCCATTTGCGCAACCAAACTGCAGTTTGTACTGGACACTCTGAACATTCAATAATATCTTTAATAGAACTATGAAGCTTACTATACTCGTTGGCTTCGTCAATGAAAAGTAGTAATTCTGGATTCCTATAATTAAATAACTCTATTAAAAGCTCTTTTGACATGTATGTAATATTTCTAAAGTTTTGATCCAAAATTGCATCATAAATATCATGATTACTTTTAACATCTTTTAAATTAACAGTAACAATAAGTCGATTTTCAAAACCATTCAATCTATCATTCATCCATTGATGAACAAGATATTGTTTCTGAATGCTTTTTCCCATTCCTGAGTCTCCTTGAATAAGTACTCTATTATTATTATTATTAACGAATACTTTGTGAAAATTTGTATAACTTATATCAGTAGATATTAAGTTTTCTCCGGATATGTTACAAGTTTCAACCTTATATATCTCAATTGGAATGACAATGTCAGATATATTGCGTTGTGGAATATTTGTATACGAGAGCGGCGAGAAGGATACAGCATCCTTCTTTCTTTCTTTTTTCGTATCTTCAACTAATTTTCTCCATGAATTTTCTACATAACACCGTTCCACTGATTGGAGATCCGTTTTTTTTAACTGAATGAGAATTTTAAAAAAAGATTCAAGGTTGCTATTTGATAATTTGTCTTCCAATCTACGAAATATAAGATCAGGTCTGTGTTCCTTATCTATCAGATCATCAAAGTCCGGCACTGAGAATATTTCATATTGTCTCATATATACCAGAAAAATATGATGATAACTTCCAATAATACGTGTAATAGAATCTTTATTAACAGTTAAAACGAGTGTTTTCTTAGGGATCTTTTCTGCATTATAGGCCCGATTTAAATAAGAAAAGCGTACATAAAATATGTTAAGAGTTGACTGCCTTGTCAGTTTACGTAAAGGAATCGCGCTATATCTTTAGCTTTAGACGAGTGGCGCTATCGTTTTGTTGTAAGCTAATAGCTCAAAAAATATTTATATATAAAGTTTTCCTTTCTAGTATCAATGTACTTACAACGCACTATTTATGTAAGCCTAGAACCCATATGAAGATTAATATATTTGAAAGCGTCTATCCTTTAAAAAGTTTGCAATAGAGTATTTTATTCATACAAAAACTTCAATTCTATTTAGAGAGTATCGTTTAAAATTGAAAATTCAGTAAAAGTTTTTCATTCCGAAAAGTCATTTTTATAAATTTCGTCTTGAAAACGAAAGTTAAAACTTTCTTTAAAATATTTCTTATTGGGGTTGAAACTAAAGATATTTTATTTAAAGCTCAAATTCATAAACGATAGATAGCCTATCTTAGGATGTGAAAACGCATGTGTATTCAAAAAGAAAGAGTATAAAGAGGCACAAAAATTTATTAGAACGCAACTTGAATCAGTATGAAGTCATACTACATCTTATTAATTCTTCTTGGCCTGACGTCAGCTAAACCTACTGCAAGAATAGTTGGAGGTAAAGATGTTGACCGTCCTGGTAAGTATCCGTGGCAGGGTTCTTTACAGAGTTTCAACAACTATCATATATGTGGAGCTGTGGTTATATCCTCAAAATACGTTCTGAGTTCTGCTCTCTGTACCGTCAATCAAACTCCCGCAACTAGAAAAATAATTCTAGGTATGCATGATGAAGATACACGACTCCTTGGAAATCCAACAGATTATCTTATTGAGAAAATAACAAACCATCCAAACTATTCTCCCGGACCACCTTATTATTGGGGAAATGATATTTCAGTTTTAACAATTCAAGGAATGATAGACTTAAATGATCCATATGTTAAAGCCATTACCATGGCTGACGAAAACTCTCCTGATTTTACATCTAACGAGAACTGTATTATGACCGGTTGGGGCAGTTTATATGGTTTTGGTCCTTATCCAAACATTCTTCAAGAAGCAAATTTTCATGTTCTAACTCGAGAGGAGTGCGAAATTTCAAGACCCGGTCAAATTTTCGATAACCACCTTTGCATTGGAAATAAAGCAACTGGCGGAAATTCTTTCTGTACAGCAGACAATGGAGGTCCTCTGGCCTGTCCTATTTCGGCCGGCGATTGGATACTTGCTGGAATTGCTTCAATAGCTAATGCAAATTGCACCACTCAACAGGCTTCATTGTGTGCTAGAGTGGGAAATCCTGGTATAAGATCATTTATTCGAAATATAACAAGTTTATAAAGTTAAATAGTTTTCGTTATTTTATTGAATATGACAGAAAATAAACTTGATCGTAAAAACTTTTTACGCAGTCAAAGTGTTGCATCGGTGTTCAAACAATCTCATTGAACTCTGTACTTGTCAGCTTTTACACTTTAATGATATGCTAATATATGCTAGTTTCTAACCAATCAGGGCCTATCTATAAGTGACAAAACAATTAAGTTAGGCCAATCATTGTTGCAAATTGAATTACATTAATTAAGGACAAATATATTGTTTATATATCACAGCAACTCAATATTACGGACTCGAACTGTCTTCCAAAAATGAAGGCAGAAGACTACATACAGATTCACTCTTAAGGCAGAGCATCTGTCGACACAACCTCTGTAACTAAGCGCACTTTGTGAATAAACAAAATGTTCAATTTTATCTCCTGACTTTAAAGTAATCTAAACATCTAAAATCTATTTCAACAGACTCTGATTGTTTTGCCAATCAGGCGCAAAATACGTAATAAACTATTCTTAGATTAAAGGATCATTTTGCCGGATATTGTCCTCAAAATAATAGAATCGCTCTTTTTCAATTGTTTATTATGTAATGTAGAAGTTTTATATACAAAGTGAAAACATTTTTATTATCTTTGTATTTAAATAACAGAATTATATTAAAAAAAAAACTAAAATATTGGAAAGTTTAATAAGCTCTTTGTTCTAATAATAATCCATTTTTTAAAGAATTCATTAAACATATATAAAGTATATAAATTTATATATATATATAGTAAAACTATATGAAAATATAAATATCTAAAATCTTTATCAAGTTGTCAGGATAATAATAAAGAGAGATAAAGCAAATAAATGTAATAAAAGGAAATGAATGCGAAGTTTATATAAAATATTAAATTATTTTTTAATGTAATTATTACAAAATTAATTGAAAAGTGAGTAAATATCTTAAAACGTTGAAGGGGGAAAATAAACAAAGTAAGATAGAGAGAGAAAGGGAGGGAGGGACAAGAGAGAAATAGATCTAGGTATCTTTTTTTTATTCGTTTCTTTATGTGAACTAAGAGAATATAATGAATTGGATGAGGGGATTTTAACATGAATAATTAGCAGTTAAAGATTCAAAGACTTTTTTCAAGCATCATTAAATTCAACAAGGTCAACTAAAGACTTTTTTGGTTGGGTCATGCTAGCTGGAAAGAAAGAGCAGATTTCATCGAATAATCTGAGCCTCAGATCGCCATCATCCTCTTCTTCGAATTCATTGTCAAAAAGTGTTGTAGCCAAATTTTTCAATTGTTTATGATCAGAATCTGCCAAACAGTTTTGTAAATATCTCACTGCCATAATAGGCTTCGTCCTTGTCAATTCAATATATCTCTGCTTCCTTAAGAGATGCCTACATTTCTTTAAGATCTCCTCAGGATTCGGTTTAAATAGTTTTAATGACCAAAAATCATCAAGTCTAGTTGTTGGAGATTTATCTCTTCCCGGATTACCTCCAAATAAGAAATGCTCTTGTCTCTGTTCACTGAAAACCAATTGGTGAGCGTACCTCGGTAAAGGAGCTATCCCAAGAGGTTCTGTAGAATTTCTACTATTTTTATAAACGCATGTCCACTTTGAAGTGTTCAAATTATAAATCCAAAACGAATTTGATGTGCTCTCCTTTTTATCCTTAGCAAGACCTCTTAACACGTGTAATTCATTCGTCAAACCGTTAAAGGTCGCACGTTGGGTATATCCATTCGAAAGTGGAATATGATGTGAGCACTCAATCACTGTTGTTACATCTGTATTTATATCATACGAGATTAGTCCTGATAAGTCTTCTTTATTGTTTCTATGTCCACCGACAATGTAGAGACAGTTATTAGTAGGATGAAATACCATAGAGTGGCATATTCTAGAGCGTAATTCTGAACAATCTGGCTTTATTCTAAACCAAGTGGAATTAGGTATAGAATATGAGTACAATCCGGAATAGAGACTGTCATTTGACAAACGATCTTCATCTTTCTCGCATAGAATTTTCCCACCAAAAACGTATATGACATGATTTTTAGAATCCGTACACATTTGATGATCGAATATCAGACGAGGACCTCCGACTGCATAGGTATCTTCGTGCGTTAATGTCCATTTCATCGTATTCAAATCGAACATGAACATTTCGCATCTCACATTTTCCTTTGTTCTAGTTGCACTATCTAAATATCGGCCAAGCATAAATATTTGTCTTCTACTATGATCCAATGACATTTTATGACATGAACGAGGACTTGGGCCGTCGTCTAATTTAGTACTCTCCGACAGACACGACCATACAGAATTTCGTAAATCGAACATCCAAAAATCATCCAAATCCTGAACACCATTCCAACCGCCATGTAGAAATAATACGTTACTTTCCGGATCCACAATCATTTGATGGCCACCTCTCATTCCAGGCGATGGAGAAGTTTCAATTGGAGTCCACTTAGGCTGATAATCTTGTTGAGAAACGTAAGAGGAAAACAAACCTTGCTCACACGCATCCTCTAATATTCTTTCACATTTTTCAATATCACCTATAAAAATAAAAAAGAATTTATTTTTGTAATTCTGCTGTTCCTCTTCTGTTATCAAATAACAGAATCTTAGCCTATACCTCGAGCGACTAGATAGTGATATAGCTCTGTCAGTAAGGGATGCTCTAATTGAATCTTTGTCCTTTTCCTTAGAGCTTCATAGGCTTCGTATTGTCTATTTTGTCGTAAGTGTTTTAAGCAAACTCTCATAGCTTCCTTTTCACGGTATTCATTATACAAGTTTAAACTCTTTTTTACTTCTTCCTCATTATTTATTCCTGTTAATCTCACATGCCAAATACTGAAGTTGAACGAAGAACCATGAGATTTCATTGGAACGATTTTTATGAAAATACACGGAAAATAAGCTCCTTGTAGCGTATGTTTTATAATAAACTCTTCAGGATGTTCGTTATTGCGTAGTCCACTGTAATAATAGTATAAAAAATAAACAGTAAATAAATCAACATTTGTATTTGTTTCTATATTTAGTAGTAAGAAGAATAATCACCCTTCATAGAGCAATGTCATAACATCTTCTTTCAAACCGCCATATATTTGAAACTTTTTCAGATTACAGACATGCTGCTTTTCGTATTTACCAAAATACACTCTTGTTACAATTGCTGGCTTTTCTAATTTTAGAGTAATAAACTGTAAGGATAACAAACACTTTATAAATACTCTAAATAATAATTAAAACAATTTGTTAACATTGAATTCACTTAAGAATCTTTATATTGATTATACTATGCTTAATGAATGGATGTTAATAAGACTTTTCAATAAATCGACTTTTATAGAAGACAGAAACGGTTTAGTTTTAGTAAACAATTTAACACAATCACTATGAATAAGCTTACTTGTGGCAGATTGCTGCAATCTGAAGACCATCTTGATCCTTGCTCTGATGGATTGTCTATGAGGATGTTTCTGTAGATTATACAAAAAGAATATATACATTATCTAGATCGCATTTTCATTGAAAATTAGCTAAGCTTTTGCCTTTATTCACAAAAATTCGAATAAAGATCCTTGACTATTTGATTAATTTGTCTTAAAATATCCATAAAATATTCTTACTGTGGCTCATATCCAGACGAAAAGCTGGAATATTTAAAAATTTCATAATTGAGTAAATTTTGTGTTGCAGCCATGTTCGGTTGAACTAAATCATGGACAATTTGCACAATAACATTCTAGACATACCCTGGTGAAGTTCGTACAGTTATCTATTAATATGTATGACTACTTCACCCTACGTAACTCAAACTTGAGTAAAGCAAGGGATATTTAGCTTGTAATCGTATACAAAGCGATTGACAGTTTTGATTAAAGTAAATCGATAAAAAAATCATATTTTTAAACGCCCCATTAATAAGTTACTTCAAATAATTTTAATAGACAACGACAATCCCTTAGAAATAGATGCTACTTTAACGGGATTATATAATGCTCTTTATAAAAAATAAAACTGTTATCACTATTTGATAAATAGCTTTACTATGCGATATATTGTTTCAAATAATAATTGCCACAGGGAGTGGAAACTGGTATTAAACGAAGTGTTTTACCAACTCTCAAAAATCAACACTTTAGTGATGCTAAAGTATATCAACTTTAAATTTTCTTATAATCTCTATAGACCAAACATTAGTTGTAAGTATTTCTATGTGTAATTGTTTCTAAATAGTATTCTGTCATATTTCTATGTTTGGAAGCATCACATACTTTTGGACAAGTAAAACCTTGACCTCCATCGGGTACTCAAAGATTGTTAGGCATATTTATATTTCAAGTATATCATCTTTCAATAAGTATTAAACTATACCATATTTAATTCATATAGAACTTTCAAATCTTATAAATTTAATAGAGTAAGATGTGATGAACCTATTTTATTTACAGTATGAACAAACGATTGTTTGTTTTCTGATTATAAAAAATTACTTTAGTTATGAAAATATTTAAAATCAAAGTTTAACTATCCACAGATAGGATATAAATAACTTTTAACATACTTTTTCTTCAGAAAATCTAACGGAATGAAATGCTGATATGGTCAGAGCCTCGTGTTATCTATAATTTAAATAAATATGCGTTCTAAAGAGCTTTGTTGTGAAAAATTTTTCTAAATAATCCTACAATTAGCTTGAAATTGGTAATTTAGCTTTTATTTTAAGTATGGCTGATGCACAAAACACAAATTCAGAATTCCACTTTAATTGGATATTTATTAAAAGATTTCTGAAAATATTGTACATGATGTTTCCAAGATTTCGAAGTATTCCTACACTTGTATTCTTTAATCTTGTTTTTGTTCTAATTGTGGAACAGTTGCTAATATTTAATGTTGGCATAATTGCTAGTGGATATTATAAAATTCTAACGGAAAAGGATAAACAAGGCTTTATAATTCATTCTATTAAATCCTTCATTTTGGTTTCTGCTATAGCATTTATTAAAAGCATAGACACATATCTATGCTCTTTTCTTTACTCAATATGGAGGAGATTAGTTACTTTGAAATTAACTTCACTTTACTTCCGAAATGTTACTTATTACCAGTTGACAATTATGCCTGATTCTCCAGATAATCCTGATCAGAGAATAAGCCAAGATACAGATAAAATGTGTTTGGAATTTTCAAAAATTTTTGCTCAAATTATCGTCTGCCCCTTTACAATTGTTTACTATATATGGCAAACATGGAGCCGTACAGGTTATTATGGACCTTTAATCGTCATTGGTTTATTTATGCTATCAACGCTGTTGAATAAGTTTCTCATGTCTCCAGTCGTAAATTATGTTTATCAAAATGAGAAATTAGAAGGGCATTATAGATTTTCACTAATGCAAACAAGAGTTAGGGCAGAATCAATTGCATTCTACAGATCAGGGCTAAACGAGAGAGATAAAAATAGTAAAAAATTGGAAAACCTTATAGAAGTCCAAAGGAATCTGTTTTTTAGGAGAATTTTCTTAAATATATCAATCAATGGTTCCGATTATATTGGAAGTATAATATCATATCTGATCTTAGGTGTGCCGATATTTGCCGGATTCTATGATAATACTCCCCAGAGTGACCTTGCAGCACAGATTTCATCATCAAGTTTTGTCATAATGTATCTAATTAATCAATTTACAAAATTGATAGACCTAGCAGAAGGCGCTTCTAATGTTGTGGGAACAGCACATCGTGTTGGAGAATTTTATGAATATTTATCGAAAATGGATACGAAACCTAGTCAAATGAGTACTAATCAACATGAAAATAGCGTAGTCGAGTTTCATGAAGCTACTCTTGCCATTCCCGACTCTAATCGAATTTTAATTAAAGTAATTCTATAGTTTTTATCTCCTTTTTTACAATTTAACGTGTAATTTATACTTCAACTGTTGATTAATAAACAATCAACAACAATCGTTTCCTAAAACTTAAAGAATTACTTTAAAAGAATTTATCAATGAAATTTCCAATTAATTCTAATATTCTAATTACTGGTGACAGTGGTAAGGGTAAGACGTCATTATTAAGATGCGTAGCCGGATTATGGAATCTTAGGTACGGTTTTTTAAGATGTAAATATGACTGTGGACACAGAGGAATGCTCTTCCTACCTCAAAAACCTTTCTTTACTGAAGGATCATTAAGAGATCAGATTATTTATCCTATTGCTAGGAAATTAAGCCAAATTGACAAAGATATTTTATATTATTTGGAAAAGTTAGATTTAAATAATTTACTGGAAAAATGTAACGGATTAGATAGTAATATGCAACAAAGCGACTGGTACGACATTCTATCTCCAGGAGAAGGCCAAAGACTGAGCTTTGTTAGGTTGTTTTTTCATAAACCTCCAATAGCTCTCTTAGACGAAGCTACCTCACAAATCGGGGAAGAAGCTGAACGGGTAATCTATAAACTATGTAGAGAAAAAGAAATAAATTTCATCAGCGTAGGACATAGAAAATCATTATACGAATTTCACGATATTAGATTTCACATCGAAAAGAATGGAGAAATTATCAGAAAAGAACTTTTTGATGTCTAAATGATAAAATCTTTCTAACATATAATCTTGTTGAAGGAAAACTTTATTAAGCTTATTAGCTTTAAGTGATTAACATTGTCTGACTTACAAAGAGAAAATATAATACACATATTTTTGAATTGCCTTTTTACTAACTTTATCTTGTATTTTATTTATGGTTGTCTTATCTATCTTATCTACAAGTCACATAGCTATGAAGGAAAGAGTCGAATGAAAAAAAATTCAAAATTTATTCAAGATTTTACTTTAATACATAAACATATAATAGCATAATAAACGTCTTCACACAGTTACAATATTCTTCAAAGCTCGATTGATCTAAAATTGAAAATTACAATAAAATTAGTCAGAGAAAAGTTTTGTTATAAATACTATTACCTCGTCAAATTTATGTATCTGTCTGATGAAAAAGTTTCCATAACGCCTATCTACTTTAGTATCTGCTATGTGAATCATTCCTTCATGAATATAAAAATCGATCTCGGATGCAGTTTGAAATTCTCCTTCAAGACTGTTAGTTCCTTTGACCCAAACCAAATTCTTCATTTTGTGCTTAAAGCACATGAGTTGCATTTTCAATTCATGATCTTCAATTTTCATGAAATTCGCAAGCTTGGACAATGGTAGAGTTGTATATAATTTTAAGTAGCTGCGAATGGTTGGTAACATTTGTTGTTGACGAATTTCATCAATAAATACACTTAATTGCTGTTGATAGGGTTCCTTATGATAGTTCAGATTCATGTCCTCATAATTGACAGGAATGACCGGTGACAAGAATTTCGGACACGCAAAAGCAAAACAGGACTCGTATTCAGATTGATCTCTGTAATGAAAAATCAGAATTATTAAGCTTGCTTTTATGTATTTTTATGACAAAATATTATACCCATTTTGCATCTTCAACATTTTTTCTCCATACTTTTCTTTTAATTGCGAATGAACACTTTCGTCAATTCTCATAGGATGAAGAGTTAAACAGACAGCGAGTAAAGTCGACATTTGTTCAGATTGTTTAGTTATCTATAAAATGAAAGGAACAACATTGAAAATATTCTCATAAAATTTTCGAATAAGCTTACATTATCATACAACATTTGCCGATTTTGAAAGATTTGCTTCGTTCTTTGTATGTAAAGCAGAATATTTGATAGAGTCCTAATAGCATCTTGATATCGTCTCATCATCATATATGCGAAAGCCATATAATAGAAAGTAGTAATTTGACAGGAAGGAACCTTGATAAAAGTTCCTTGTGGTTTGCTATTGAAGTCTATATTTTCCAAAACTTTCAAAGCTTGGTAATAATCACCTAGCAAAGAGTGCAATCTTAACAATCCAATTAACGAAAAATATCCTAACATCTTGTATAGAGTATGTCTACCAAATTCTCCAGCGACGACGTCTAAATCAGCACATATCTCTGGTTTAGACATTACTTCCAATTGTTGATTAATATTGGATTTATCAACAAGAGAATGCAATACGTTAAGAACACTGTGTACGTTCCAAACTTTTTGATTCTGAAGTAGTTTCTCAGTTTCATCTGCTGTCTTACTCTTGGCTTTACATCTATATTGACTAAAAGATTGAAATTGATAAATAAATTCATCAATAATATCCCAAAGCCATTGGTTTGGCAACTCTAATGACACAGGTTCGTCAGCCCCTAACATCAGGTTAAATAAGTCACAGTAATTGTAGTACGATTCAATTCTCTGTTCAAGAGTAGGTCCAGGCTGCAACAATATGTTTAGAGTTAGTTATGATGTACAATTAGTCTTTAGTTTAATAATTAATTAGTTATGTTAAACTTACCGTAACCTTAGCATAAATATGTCTAAAGTATAACTCCTTGTACAAAATGTCAAAGATTTCTGTAATGAATTATTTGTATCAATATTAAGTATACAGTTAAAGGTAGGTAAATAAGTACCGTTGTCAACGATATTAGATAAATCTCTGACATCAGGCCAAGGTGTTGATTGGTAAAAACGTTCAGTAAATTCACTAAAGCCATCGATGTAAGCTGATTGAATTTTCAAAACATCTTGTTCCTTGATTACTTTTTGGAAATATAACAAGAAGTTCTGAACAGGAGCGGGAACAGAATGCACCGGACGATACTCTGGTTCGGGTCGTCCCATTTCATTAACTTCATAGTCAAGATTAGGATAGGTTGGATAAGTGTAGGCATCATACTGAAGGAAATAAAAAATATTATTTTTTGTCTATACAAATGGCAGACTGTAAGGAAATAGAATTAATATTAATTCTGGCTCTACTGTTACTATATAGAGTATATAGCCAATAACTCTTGTGATATTAAAATCGTACGCTATTATCTTTAATATCGAACTAATTTTAAGCCATATTTTAGTGAAAAAATAATAAGTTATAATGTCTGATCACGCCGTCCGGTACGTACATGGTGCAAACCACTTTCCACGAATTCTTCTTCTCTCCAACCAGTTGCCATTTTTAATATGGTATCAGTGATCGAGGCAAGGTTAATAAATCGATTATAATATAGTTTTTATGAAAAATGTGGAGGAAAAACTCCGAAACGTGTTTCACTTAGAGGAAGTGACGTCAGTGCAAGGCAAAATATTCAGATTTGTTTTTTTCAAAATGGCGTCAAAAATAATAGGTCAAGGTGCTCGTCAAGTAAAACCGATTTTATCATCGGATTTAAACGAAGCTCGCCGAAGAGTATTGAACCTGTACAAAGCTTGGCATCGACAAGTACCGGAAATTTTACACAAGTATGATGTTCCTCTAACACAAGAGCAATGTCGAAGAAAATTACGAGAAAGATTTGAAGAGCAGAAGAACGTTAGGGACATTAGAGTAATCGACATACTAGTTACCAAAGGCCAATTGGAGTTAGTGGAAACGGTAAATATGTGGAAAACAAGATCGCATGTTATGAGGTTTTGGAAAGAGACTGAGATTAAAAAGCCTAAGGACTTTCTGTCCAAGTTTTATGTTGGTCATACGGAATAACAATTGTATTAAAATAAAATGTCATGGTTTAGATAGTTCTAAATCCTTTTCAAGTTTCAAATAATATTCCGAAACTTGATTTAATTGATTGCTAACATCGTCATCAACATTCTGACTCTGTCTGCACATATCTTTCATAAACATTGACCAATCTTCAATTCTCCGACTTCTCTCGGAGCTTAGATCTTTTACTTCAATATTATCCAGAGCCGCTCGACAGCAGTCATTTAATTCATTTACTAGTTAAAAATTCAAATATTAGCATAATTTTTAAAAAACAGTTGTTTTTTTTCATACATTTTGAATGTAAATCCGGTAATTCTAATTGCATTGTTTCAGGCAAGGTTATTCCCAAAGTCTTTGTACTTTGTTGAACTTGATCAAGCGATTTCTGTAAATCTAATGCATTTTGCTCTACTCTCTGCAAAAGTTGAATTTATTTTTAAGTATTAATTACAAGAAAAAGGCTAAGAAAGTTTTATAAACACCTCGTTAAAAGATTGATAGAAATAAGCAACTTCACCCTGAATAACAGGCTTATGGTCGAGTATTCGAGAAAATACTTGTCTAATATCTTAAAAGTTTTAGATTATTTTATAGCTATATTTTCATTAAATTAAACATTTTTACCTTCGAACGTTCCTGTATTTTCGCTCATATTTTATTAATATCCTCAATTAAATTATGTGAAGACATTGATGATCTCACAAATTATTTTTTGGAATTTCTTATTGATGTTCAGAGGATTTTACTCAAAATTTAATGAAAAATTCAAGCGTTGCACAGAAATATTGCGATTACAGGGTTGCGAATAATCCAGAGGGAGCCTCTGAAACTTGTTTTCAATTTAATGTAAACACCTAATACGTTTGTTTTTAAATTCAAGATTCCACTATTTATTATTTAGTTATTAGCAATGGATAGTAGAAATTTTTCGAGGAAAATAAAAAGTATATATATTCAATACGGAACTGCACAGTCGTGCTTGGAAAATTAGCAGACGACCACACAACAATGGCGAAAGATGACACGTCGGTAGAATCATTTAAGATAATACTTCTTTGTGCAGCATGGTATTGTTTTAGTTCTGGAAATAATGTTGTTGGAAAGATTGTCTTGAGTGATTTTCCGTATCCAATGACTGTGTCAATGGTTCAACTTTTATCTATATCTCTTTATGTTCTTCCAATTATGAGGTTGTGGAACGTTCCTGCTCGACAACCTCTTTCTACTCTCTATTGGTTTAAGATGATATTGCCACTTGCCTTTGGAAAATTTTTCTCCTCCGTCAGTTCGCATATAAGCATATGGAAAGTGCCTGTTTCCTACGCCCATACTGTAAAAGCTACTATGCCATTATTTGTTGTTATATTGAGCAGGGTCCTTTTGGGAGAAAGACAAACGCGGAGTGTATACATAGCGTTAATTCCAATTGTTGGAGGTGTCGTAATAGCAACATTAACAGAGCTTTCATTTAATGTTATTGGTCTAATTAGCGCCCTATCTGCTACCATTGGATTCGCTCTTCAAAATATATTCTCTAAACAAGTAAGTTAATCATTCAATTGATTGGCATCTAAATAATACGTAAATTAGTCCATTATTACTAAATTAGGAAAGATTTCCTAAAAGATTCAATTTTATTACTTTCGTCTATAAATTATTTATATTTTGCGTAATGTAATTATTTTTTAACATAAAAGATGTATCTGATATAAAGGAAACAAAAACCCTGCAACCAATAGAAATATCAAATAGAACTATATAATACCTAAATTTATTCTAAGCACGGTGAAAAAAAGAGAGATAGATAGATAGATAGATAGAGTGAGTGAGTGAGAAAAGTTAGCTTTTAATCTTAAGGCATCTTTATTTACATATTTTATTTTTCCATAAGTAAGCAAAAAGCAAGAAAGACCATATGTTTCTTATTTTCCTTTCGACGTACTGAAATTCTTTTTACTTTAAAATATTTTAAAGAAATATTAATAAAAATTTTTGTAAAAATGTCTTGACAAGTAATGTTTATGAATCTCCATAGAAATTACAAGTTAAATAGTCCTTAAGAATTAAATCTATAAAATTTCATTTATTGATCTTTTTTCTCTATATAAGTATGATAGAATTATATATTTGTATATTTGAAAACGTTCATATAGTATATATATATACAGCATATTTACACTAAATACTAATATATTTATATATCTTTTATATTTCAGTGCTTGAAAGAAACTAAAATGCATCATTTTCAATTACTATTTCTTTTGGCTAGGCTTTGCGCCGTTCTATTTGCTCCTCTTTGGCTTTGGTATGATGGTGTTACGATATTTCAAGATACGAGTTTATGGCAATCATACCATACACCAAGGATTATAGCTTTATTACTTATTGATGGTTTTTGTAATTTTGCACAGAATCTCATTGCATTTACGATAATTGCCATGGTAACACCATTGTCATATGCTGTAGCAAATGCTGCAAAAAGAATAGTCATTGTCACTGTCTCTTTATTAACATTAAAAAATCCGGTTACTCCATTTAATATGATTGGAATGTTAACTGCCATATTAGGAGTGTTGTTATATAACAAAGCTAAGTACGATCAGAATCAAGAAAAGAAGAGAAAGGCGATTTTACCGTTGGTGAAATCAGCTAAAAATCTAAATGGTATGTCGAATGGAGACTATAACTTGAGAAAATCACACAGCAACGTTTTGCTTAATATACCAGATGAGGAAATGCAGCAACGAACAACAATTTTGACTCCTTCTTCACCATTCTATCAAAATAATAATAATTATAATTATAACAACAACAACAATAATAATAATAATAATAATAATAATAATAACAGCATATATAGGATGACAACTGAATCTTCAAAAACATTTTATATATAGTTCAAAGAGAGAAAGACTTCATTCTCTTGTAAATGTCTGCAGATGAATAATTGTCAACGAATCTTTCCAATGTTTTGTTAACTGTGTTCAAAAGCTTTAAACTTTTTTTTTGTGGGTTTTTTTTTTTTTGGGCGACAGGTTCCTGACTTTTTTAATTTAAAAGTCATGCAGATCAAAAAAAAAACGATATATATGACGATGCTACTTTATTAACTTCAAATTTTTGGCTATACATACATTTAAAATATATATTTACTATATTAATATGTATGTTTTGACTGAATATTTTCATTGGCATATTCTCACCTGTTAGCAGGAGTGGAGGGATAAACTTCTTTTTTAGAATTAGAAGAAATATCTATGAGGTAAAAGGTATTTGAATTCCATCGTCTCAAGAGTTGTACTTCCTGAAGAGATTAAACTTAAATAATTAATAAATTTTAGTCTGTTTTTTGGTCTCTTATAAATTGTCTGCTAACTAATATTGAAGAATTGGGAAGACTGCAAAAGAATGCTTTGGTATATAGTTTATTTTTATTTTTGGAATTTTGAGGAGAGCACGAACATCTGGCTGTTGAATATGAAGACCATCGACTAAGATATTAAATATATTCATAGGCAAATCTTCAACTTTTATTAACGTTAATTGTTATTAGTAATATACTTTGAATTTTGTAAAAAAAAAATTGAAAACTAATAAAACTGTTGATTCTTATACCGTTTTTTTTACTCTAATAATAGAGATAACTGCTTAAAAAAGTATTTTATTATTTGCAAATTCGCTTAAGTTTAAGCCATGAAACTGATTTAAAAAAATCGATAAAGTTCAATTATTAATTTGCTATTTATTATAATTGTAAAATACTGTTTGAATATCTTAATGAAAGGTTATATTTTCCTTTGATGGTACATATAAATATATATTGCATATCTTGTTGTATCAATTGTATATATCAATATTTATATATATATATATACTTTTTCTTTTGAACATTAAATATGTTGTAAAAAGTATTAATTGAGTTTTAACAATAAAACTAATCAAGAGTGAACATGCTTATATATTATCACTGAAACTAAGGCTCCAGCTAAGGCTGTTCCAGCTAACCACAACCATGAACGTCCCTTTAAAGATAGATAAACAATATTAATTAAAATATAAATAAAACTGAATGATTTAGTTATTTACCAAATTATTGCCTTCTTCTTTTTCTGGAACAGTTTCTTTACCTCCAAACATTCTCTGATATATTTCTTTCTGGGATTTATTTTGTTTTTCAATTCTGGTTGTAAGTTTTTGTAATTCAGCCTGAATCGCCTTCTCGTTAGGATCAATTTGTATAGCTTTTTTCATCAATTTAGCTGCTAAGTCAAGATCACCGGCTCCTAAGAAAACATCTGTATTAGACAATATCTCTATGGATAAATTATAATCATGAAGTTACCTTTATTCATAACTGCTTTAGCTTTTCTGAACAAAGCCTTAACATTATTAGGTTGTATAGTAAGAGCCGCTGTGCAGGATTGCTCTGCAGCTTCGAAAGCTTTAATTTTTAATTGTGCAGCTGCCAGATTAGAATAACATTTTATTTTGACATCTATTAAAGCCTGAAGATCTGTGTTGGTATCAGTCGGTGATTCGCCCAACGAGTTTAAAACAGTTAACGCTTTTGAATAGATTAAAATACATTCGGTAAAATGACCTCTGGTATACATGAGATTTCCTCTTTCTCTCTTTTTATCCCCAATAATATACCTTTCCTTGGCTGACATTTTACCATAATCTGGTTTGCCATTGGAAGACAATAGCTTAATGACAAATTTTAAATCAACATTTGTAGGCATTTTTGATTCTTTCCCTAATCCTGTTTCGCATAGTTTAGGATGGGATAATACTTCAGCTTCTTCTCCTATCTGCATAAGTGTTACAGCGAGTTCAATAGCTTGAATTACATCACCATCTCCTACTACAAATTCTAAATTGGGATAAGATTCTATAAGTTTATCAGTTTCTTTAAGAAAAATTTGTAAATTAATGAAAATGCATTCTCCACGAGTTGGCTTCTCTCCTGAACCCTTTTTAATAGTCTAAAAATAAAAAAATATAGGAACACAAATAAAAATGAAAAATTATTTTACCTTTTTTAAAAGGGCTCCAGTACCTAACACATCAACCCATTGTTCTTCCTTTTCTTCTTCCTTCTTTTCAGCAATATCTTCATTACTCTCTCCTTTCGATTCTGTTTCAGTTTGTAAGTTTTCAATATCTTCCTTAATTTCTTGCTCTTCTGCACTAATTGTTGGCTCGGGTTTCTCCATTGTGATTGGACTTTCTGTGTCGTAAATTTCTTCTTTCGGTTCAATATTTTCTTCGCTCTCTTCCTTTATACTCGTACTTTCTGCAACAATATCACTTTCTTCTTTAGTGTCCAATTGCACATCAGATTTCATTGTAATTTCCTCAGTCTTTTCGTCACTGCTAGGAATACAATTTTCAATATGGTTTTCATTAATTTGTTCGTATTCTTTCATATTGGTAAAACTACTATTTTCAGGAATTTCGGATTTACTATTATCTTCAACTAAGCTATTCGATTCGTCAGCTTTTGAGTCGTCCAAATTATCTTGAGGATTTTCACAGGAATCCTCAGTAGTCCTTCCGTTTTCAAGTGTTTCGGTTTCAGTGTTTGTATTATCAGTAATTTCTTGCAACGCCTCTTCTGAATTTGATTCCAATTGATTATTGTCGTCAATTATAGCTTCCGATACATTATTTTCTGAATGCAAATCTATCTCCGATTGGGGCAAAGGTTCCCTTTCATTTAAACTTTCCTCAACAACTGATGAATTTTCATTTAAGTCTTTATGAGTAATGACCTCAGTTTTAAGGTTTTCGGGCTGTATGTCGTGATCTCTATTTTTGTTACTTTCCTCTAGAAAATCACTGCCATTTGTTGTGAGCGGTGTTTCGATATTCGCCTCGTTGTTCATCACTGCTAAAGGTCAAACAGAGGTCTATAAGTGAAGCGACATTGATAAAAATCTTGTGGTTAAATATATATTTTAGTAAATTTTTGTTTTTAAATAGTTTATTTAACATGATTACAAAACAATATACGAGTCAAAGAGTAAACTTAGGTTTTCGGTAAATACATTATTTTGAGGAATAATATCAAAACTTCAACTGATATGTCGAATGAAATTAAGATGCGAAAATTCAAAATTAAGTCAAATAATACTTGATATCAGTCAATTGTTCTTAAGGAACGAAGATCAAACCTTAAAGATAAGAGTAATTTGTTGTAATTACTTAATTTAATTCTTCCTAAATCCAAAAATTTAAAGAGGGTTTGAGATATTCAGCAAACACACCGGTATATGTTTCGACAAGGAAACACTATATACTCCAAATGCACATTTATATATATGTATAGTCCGCCAGTATTCAAAATTTTCTATTCAGATTGGAGAAATACATTTTAACAAGTCTATCAATTTATAAATATGTTTTGAATTTCTAACACTTTATCATAAGAAATTTCATAGTTCAAGAATGAACTTATATTTTTCAAGATTTATCTCATTGCTTAAAAATCTTTTCATAAGTTAGATAGGAATACTGAACCCGTTAAAGAAATATCCCAAACAAGGTGAAGGTCATTCGTAAATGTTTTAACACGTGAAATAGTCTTGAACTGTTTCAATTAAGTGTAAATGGATCTTTTTCATATTTCTCGGTAAATATAATTTAGATTAATATATATATTAGCTATTTCTTTTTCATACGCTTATTCAGATATGGAGGAGAGGAAAAATTGGAAGACGAAGGTGATCAGGATGAGTCCCTCAAAAAAATATTAAGAAGAGCAAAAAGAAAGCGCAAGCAAGAGGAAGAAAGTAAAAAGCCAGAAAAAGAGACTAAAAAGAAACTGAAAGTATCTGAAGGTAAAGTGGGTTTTGTCTAATATAAAGCAAAAATTTTTAACATTTATTCCACTATAGAACCATCTGAGGAAAAAGAAAGCGTACCTGATGAAAAAAGTAATGATTCTGAGGAGATAGCTACAGATTCTAAAACATCCGAAGAAGTAACAGGAACTAATAATTTTCAAGTTATTGGTGACGATAATTTACAAAAGAAGAAAACTGTTCTTCAACGAAAATTACCAAAATGGTTGAGAGATCCGGAAAATATAGAAGTTAACATAAATCAGAATACTACATCTATCGATGGATTAGAATTTCTTAGTTCTGATCTAATTACCCAGCTAAAAGAAAATTCTATAACTCACTTATTTCCTGTTCAAAGTAAAATTATACCCATGATTATGCAATCTACTTCCACTGTTGTACCGCCAAGGGATATTTGTTGCGCAGGTAAAATATCTAAGAGCCCTTAAAATATTAAGTTTTACATCTGTTCCGATTTGTAAACAGCTCCTACTGGAAGTGGAAAAACTCTATCCTACGTTTTACCTTTAGTGAACAATTTAAAAGACAGAGTTGTTCGTAAAATACGAGTACTGGTAGTTTTACCTGTTCGGGAATTAGCTAAGCAAGTCTTTAATGTTTTTCAAACGTATTCTAAAAAGTATGGTCTAAATACGGCTTTGCTAGCTTCGTATTCAAGCTTTCAACAAGAGCAAAAGAATTTAACAAGAGAAAATCTATTAGGAGAGTTTGAAAGCTTAGCTGATATTGTTGTTGCTACACCTGGTCGACTTGTTGATCATGTTTATGGGACAAAGGGTTTTGATTTGAGACATTTAAGGTATATAGTTTTGGACGAGGCCGATAGAATAATGGAAGAAGAAAAGCATGATTGGATAAACGTTGTCGAAAAGTCTATTTATTCAACAAATAGAAAGCGTTTAGTAAATTTAAACGTAGCCAAGTATCTAGACTCTCCAGAACCGGTTTGTATATAGAATATTGGCTACATCTTTATTTTTAATTCAACTACGTACTCTTTCCGTACTTACAGCTGCAGAAACTATTATTTTCAGCGACTCTCTCAACAAACCCTGAAAAGCTAGAGTATTTAAAACTATATAATCCTATTCTCGTGTCTGCTAGCACAACATGTGAAATTCCACCGGCTTTAAACGAGTCATATGTATTATGCTCAATAGAACAAAAGCCACTAGTTATTCTCTCATTGATTCTTCATTACAAATACAAAAGAGTTTTGTGTTTCACCAATACGATAGATGGAGCTAATAGATTATATTGGTTACTAAAATTAATTGGAGATATAAAAGTACACCTCGTATCATCTAGTTTAACGACGAGTAAACGCCAAAGGCTTTTAAATTCGTTTAGTAAAGGAAAAGTTGATATGTAAGTGTATAACTATATATGAAAATATTTCTTTTTGTGTATTTATTTTTCATATTTCAGTTTAATATGCTCAAATGCTTTAGCTAGAGGAATTGATGTGGAAAATGTTAATTGCGTGATATCATATGATTGTCCAACCTATTTGGAGACTTATGTACACAGAGTCGGTAGAACTGCCAGAGCAGGAAAAGCTGGTACAGCAATTACAATAGTTGATGAAGAAGAGCATAGAAGTTTCAAAAAAATTATAAAATCGGTCAGCCGTCAAAGTGATAATCTTAATCGCATTAATATCGACGAAGATAAGCTGACCGATTTACTTCCAAAATTGACTAAAGCTTTACAAAGCCTACCAGCAGTCCTTAAGGTTTGTAAATATTTAAATTATAAAAAGAAAAAAGTATTTCTCTATTAAAATATGTTTTTGTATTGTTTTTCCACAGGCCGATAGAAAGAATCATAAAAATAAATAATATGTTTACAATTATCCATGCAAATATATATGAATAAATAACGTATTTAGGTTAATTGCTTAAAGTATTCGAAACTTTACATATAAAACGCGAATTTTGTTTTTGAATAATAAAAAAATTATTATTAAAATTTTATTACAAAAAAAAGTTAACCTATTGTGTTCTAGATAAAATAATTATTATTCAATCAGATAGAGAAGCCTATTGAGGCACTTTACATTAGTCAAGAACACGTTTAGCCAGAGATCTTGCATAAGAATATTTTTGGAGTGTAAATGCATATATTTGACCCTAACATTCAAGATTCTCTTTTATGATTTATAACTTGTACAATTATCATATATTGTGCCACGTAAACTACTGTAAGAGAATATAGGTCAGAATCGAACTTTCTGCGTATTCGTAGCATGTAAGCAGTCGATTGCCCTTTGTTCTTTAGCATTTAGAATTAGAATTATCTAAAAGATGTATGTTTGTATGCATGTATAGTACAATACATATATAGACATACTTTACATGAGACATGTATAAAAAGAAATAGGAAAGCTTAAATTTACGCTATAAATATACATTGATAAATAATAACTATAAATAATAGACTAGTTTCACTATAATACTCTAAACTTAGTGTATGTTACATAATATGGAACAGTACGTGCAATAGAACAATTGCTAATTATTTATCTACACATATATATTTATATCTAATATGTATATATTAAGTCTTAGCAATAAGATACCTAGATTGTCTACGTGAGATATTTGAATATATGATGAAATATGAAATATGACTAAATCATACTAAATTTAGTATTTGATATGAATAAATATAAAATAGATAATATTCTAACATATTGATCGTTGAATAATGTAATCAAAGTTGATACTAGCCGATAACCTTGACCCTCTAATAAATTTAGGATTACATCGAATACAGAGATACCGACACCCTTTAATCTTGAAGCTCGTAAAAATAATATAAGCATATAAATGTATGTGTAAAATTCTGTACTAAAGACATATACTGTATGTAAATTTATATATATAAATTTATAATATTCTTATTTAATCAGTATACTAAATTAATATTAAATAGAAATAATGATAGGTTAATCCTGATATTTGTCTTTATCACAAAATTATTTTATCTTTCAGTTTACGAAAAAACTATAGACTAGTCATAGCAGAAGCAATATGAACCGAAAAATTTGCGTAGTTGGTGCTGGGGCTGTAGGCTTAAGCACGGCATTGAAAATTCAAACCGAATGCCCAAATGCTAAAGTTACTGTATTAGCAAAAGAATTTTACGACAAAACGACAAGTTTTGCAGCTGCAGGAATATACTTACCCGGGGAAGATGAGTTTATAAACGACCCTGCAATTTTTAAGTAACTTTTATATATTTTTAATTAAATTATAGTATTATATAATCATTCAAATTAGAAAATGGCTACAAGATTCATGGGATCATTATAGTAAGTTATGCAATTCGAAAGATGCTGGTAAAGCTGGAGCTCAAAAGATATCCGGATATTTTTTGTTTAAGGAAGGAGTAAGGAAATTATGAAAAAACTATATAAAAATATACTAAAATAAAATCGTTTCTTTCCCATTTAATATATATAGTACAAGTACAAAAGGCCGATTTTTGCTGATATTGTCTATCAGTTTAGAGAATTGAGCAATGAAGAATTGAAAACGTTGAACAAAACACGCTCATTAGAGTAAAAAAAAATTTTTTATTGTTGTTTACAACAATAATATTTATTTATTATTAGCTAATTAACATACAAAAAATTTCACCACGTTATTTCTAGAATAAGTTATGGTTACTTTATTACAACTGTTGTTCTGGATCCATCTATATATCTGAAATATTTAGAAGCCTCCTTACGTAAGAATGGTACTGAACTAATAAAAGCTCAAGTGAATTCCCTAGAAGAAGTAATCAAAAATTACCTATTGACTATTTAATGTTTTAATGAATATCTTATATATTTTATAAAAATCAAGCTATCGAATGACTTTGATATTATTGTCAATTGCTCAGGACTGGGTAGTCAGAAGTTAGCTAATGACTCTGATCTATATCCAGTAAAAGGACAAGTACTTAAGGTTATATTTATTTATTATGAAGTTAGTCATGAATAAGCAATTTTAAACATGTGTGATAAAACAGGTTGAAGCTCCTTGGATGAAACATTTCACGTACGTGTATTCATACGACGCTACGTGCTACGTAATACCTGGGTACGTTGTTATAGTTAATCCGCTTTAAGTGCGTTTTAATCTCTTTTACTTTTAGAGTTAAAGCTGTAACTGTCGGTGGCACAAGAGAAAAAGGGAATTATGATAAGAGACCGGATAGTAAAAAGACGGAGGAGATATGGGAAAGGGCATTAGGATATTTTCCCGAACTTTACGTAATAACACTGATAACACATAAGATAACCTATTTTTTGTTCCACTCACTACACAATACATCTAAATATATAAATATATATAGAGCATACAAATAACAATATATTTATGTTTTTGTTTACAACTGAACGTGCAGGAGGCTAAGAGAAACTACGTGATTGGAGGGCTGAGACCTACTAAACTGGACATGCTCGTTAAACCTGAAATATTGAATTGTGGCAATGGAAAATCTATACCCGTTATCCATAATTACGGTCATGGTAAACACGGAATTGCATTATCGTGGGGAACCGCTACCGAGTCGGCAAAGCTGGCAAAATCACTTATTTCTAATTCAAACCTATGAGTAAAAAATTTTAATCTAATAATTCCTAAAACCAAGCTGGTACTACTAAAGCTTATCACCTACTTTGATCCATATTAATAGAATGTATTTATTCCATTCATTACCTAAGGTCAATCTTAGGCTAAAATTGTTTATGATAAATAACTCTTGATTTAATTAACTAATTATAACACAGGAACCAGTTTAAAACCAATGACATTAGTATTGCGTCATTCGGACATATGGTCTAGTAAAAAATAAAAAAAGATAATAACAAAAACAACATCTTATGTGAAAGTTCGTTACTTTGTTGAAACTACGTACTTTTATAAAACTATTCAAACTTTCAAAATATTAGTATACGGAAGATATTTTATATAAATACATTATTTATACAAACATTCTGTTGAATAAAACTTAAGCAAAGAATTTATTTCCTCAGATTACACATTTTTACATAAAAAAAAGTTCGTTGACTCTACTATCACATACTTATATGGAATCTATATTATTAAACTTTTAACATCCGTTCTAGATAACAATCAGAACACGCTTTATATGACGCCGTACATCAAAACAACTGAACAGAGATGGTCCTACGAGGGGTCTCGTTTTAAGTTGTTAAACTTTTATATAATATTTGTATATTTTGAATTTTTTGATAATAATATTCTATATAATATGATTTATAATATGTTGATTTGAAAAGATTTTAATAGTATTACATTTGTAATCAAATTAACACGCACGGGAAAAATCAAGAGTTCACTACGCCTCTGCGACCGCAGCGCCACCGAGCGGTCAACACAGCGTGCCATATTTACTAACGACGTAATTCATTTCATTTTTCTCATTCTGTCTTAAAGCATGGCACAAAGCAATTCCTTTTCTCCACGAAGATCAATACCAATAAGGCGTGTTGTTCTAAGTGACGCTTCACAGCTGCCCAATGATTATTCAACGACTCCAGGAGGAACTCTTTTCTCTACCACTCCCGGAGGTTGGTGTTTTCCACGTATTAAGGATTTTTTTTTTTGCACAAAGAGCACTGCAGTGACCTACTAACCATAATATGCGGATTGTAAAATTTGTATAGGTCGTTGTCCTATGTTTATGTATTACGTAAAGTAGGACAAAGGCTTTTTTTACATAAGTAAACAAGTTTTGCCAACTGTCACGTGCCTGGAAGTTCTATCTTATAATGTAGGATAAAAAAAGTGCATTGGGCAAAAAAAATATGTCGACCTTTATGAGTACTCAGTTTTTTATTATTGTTTTTTTCTCACTTTACAGGAACAAGAATAGTGTATGACCGTTCATTTTTGCTCAAATGCAGAGAGTCCCCTCTCGCCCAAAGCCCTCCAGCTAACCTTCCGGATATTCCGGGTGTGACTACTCCCAGAGAGGAAGAAAACAAGGAAAATGGAAGGAAGGATAGACAACCTAGCGAGAGCACTGGTAAGATAGTTAATTTGCCATTTGTATACATATGTTCATTGACAAAGAAACCTCTTTGTCCCACTTTAGAAACCGTTGATGAACCCCAATTCGCAATGGACGTATAAAGCTTCCTTGAATGTTTGAATTTAGCTAGAAAAGAAATTCTTTTAAAGCTGTTACATTATTTTTTCATATGGAACCGTCTGTTAAAGAACGGTTAAATTTTTTCTTAAGTTCTTTAAAATGGCATCTTGTCAAAAATCAAGGCGAAAACATTTTTTTTTCGTTTGACAGTTTTTTTCGGTCAAGCTGCTGAGACAGCTAAAATGTATGTTTGTTTACTGAATAAACAGTTGAACTAGTTAAAGCGTTGAATTCTAAAAAACATTTATCCCAAATAGACTTTATATTAGAAAAAAACTGTTTTAGATGTTTTTTCTGTCTCGTTGGATAAACTGAGCAAACGTTTGATAGAAAACAAGAGAACACGACTGTTAATTTTCTATATTTCAATATATTCGCAGCTTTTAGAAGAGTAATCTTTTACAGGGGTCACTCTCTCCCGGTTCAAGTTTTCTTTTCATTCCTGGTTTGATTATATTGGGCTCTTTTAAGACGTTTGAAGGCTGAGTTGGTTTTGGGAGAGAGCTATTAGCCGTTGGTTGCGGGTTGCTGCTAAAATAGTCCATTTTTAACGCTTCTGCAGCTGTGCATCTCCTTAAAGGATCGAATTTAAACATGCTTTCCAATAAATCAAGTAGATCTTGGCCTGCAGCTGTAAATATCTGTTTGAGGGGAGTACCCTCTTGGTACTTAAATTCTATATAATCAGGTAGTTGGGTCATCTCAGGCCAATCGTCTTCCTTAGGAGTTCCTAAAGCTTCAAATATTTTAGAGAGTTGATTCAAATCAGAATCACCAGCCACAAAAGGCACCCTGAGTAAAAGTTCTGCGAGAATACATGCCGTTGCCCATATATCTACGCCGGTTCCGTATTGTCTGGCACCATATAAAAGTTCTGGAGATCTGTACCATCTAGTTACAACTTGATGAGTATAAATGCGGTCTGGTGAACCAAAGACTTTAGCTAAACCAAAATCACCAATTTTTAAAACACCATCGTTGTTTATTAATAAATTGTTTGGTTTCATATCTCGATGTAAAATCCAATTAGCGTGCAAATATTCCAAACCCCTTAATGTTTGCATTAAATAGTTTTTTATATGTGACGGTAGGAAAATTACACTTTGATCTTTTATTATCACTTCCAAATCAAAGTGCATATAGTCAAATACAAGACTAACATTAGATCTTCTGCCGAAAACGTCTAACAAACCTATAACATTAGGGTGAGAGATTTCTTGTAAAATTTTTATTTCTCTCAAAGCGGTTCTGTTGATTCCATCTTCGGCTTCGACGCGAGTTCCTATCTTTATTTTCTTCACAGCTACAATACGGTCGTTGAACTCTTTATCCCTTGCTTTATATACAGTAGCAAATTGACCTTCGCCTAAAAATTCGATTTTTTCGTACCGTTTCGAACGTTCAGCGGCCATTTTGAGAGTTCGTCTGCTACACATTGTGCTTTCACTTGAACTTCCGGTTAAAAAACAACTTTGGTGCTATTTTTTAGATATTATTGAAAATGCAGGGGATTTTTCTGCAAAACTCTGAATCAACTTTTGATAGAAGAGGATTTTATACGAAAGCATTTACAATGGCTGACGATGACGTTCTATTGAAGGTTTGTCAACAAGAAATCGTAAAATTGGATTTGAAAATAAAGGCTTTTGTCCAGGTAAAGGAAATATTATTTTATTAATTCGGTGTTCACTAAATATCATGATAGATCATATTTTCTAAAGTTGTTTTTTATTACATAACCTCCTAATTTCGCGGACTACCTTAATAGGATGTGAGACAGAGTGTAAACAGTTTGAAAGATCTGCAAACGATCAATGTTGATATTAGAAATCTAATACATCAATATAAACAACAACTATTAGTAAGTATAGTTTTGATAGTGATTTTACAAATTTTACAAACTTATTTAAAAAGTTAACAATTTCTATTTAGACTCTTGAGAAATTGGCCTACGAACAAGATGCTGAAGATGATAAAACTGCTCTACTAAAAGAAGTAGAAAATCATAAAAAACAATTGTATAATAACCAAATTAGTTTACGTCAAGCCAATCTGTCATGCAAAAGTAAATTGGAGATAGCGGAAAAAGAACATCTGTTAGAGAATAATGAAAGTACTAGAAAACGTAACATTGAGGCGGAAACTTCCGAAACAATAACTCAAAATTTAATGAAAACATGTAAAATGTTATCTGATCAAGTAGAATTGAGTAAAGATACATTAACAACTTTGGCAAGTAGTTCAAAGCAGATTCAAGATACAAATGAAGAGTTAAGATTTATGACTGGTTTAATTCACAACAGCAAAAATCTTTTAACAAAGTACGGCAGAAGAGAATGTACTGATAAATTACTTATATGTCTCGCTTTAATATTCTTCTTTGCTACTGTATTATATATTGTGATGAAACGTCTATTTTAAAAGAAAAAATAATATAGGTTTATCAGATTAATTAGGAACTTTGTGCTCTTTACATTCGAGCAGTACTAATAGAATCAACATAAAAGATACCAAGTGATAAAATAGAACGACTCATCTAACATCTTCAATAAAACCAGAGAGTTATAATAATAGTTATATAAGCTTCCAAAGCAGGGTTAAAATTAGAGTCTACTCAACAAAAATATTGACTTGTCTCTTTTCTAGGTTATTCATCTTTTTCTGTTGGTTTTACTTATATAAAATCGACCATAATCAATTAAAAGCACGTAAGATATTTCCTAATGCAGACTTTATTGGATCATATACAAATATTTTGTTTGAATAGCGAGCAGTAACGGAGGGGGGAGGGGGAAAGCTTTATATAATATATGAAAAACAATAAATATTGCCAACTGGCTCGGAACTTAAAGGTAATTCCTATTCCATTCATGATATAGTGTATATGTTTGTGTGTGATTGTAATTGAGCGTATGTGACTAGATTGAGAGTTCAAGCGGTTATCACGTTTTAGCATACCTTACTTTGAAAACTGAAAGTTCAATGTGATAGACAACTTAGCTGGATGACGTAATACCTTTTTTAATATTAACGTACTCTGTGTTTACAGGGGCGTCTAAAGAGTCGCCTTAATTGTAAACTGAGAGTTGAACTTGTTTCATTATCCATACCTCATACTTCTCAGTTTTTTCTTTTTTCTCTTTGAAGACTTTTTGATACTCATGAAAGAGCTAATTGATTGCGATGAGTTTTTCTCTCATGTATATATTGTATACATACAAACGATTTATATAAAGGTATTAATAGTTTTTCGTTTATTCTTTTACTCTATAACATAATTAAAAAAAAGGATAATTATTAGATTCTACATCACGTAATCTAGAGTGTTAATTGAATGCCCTAGATTAATTTTGCACATTTTTCATCTCTCTACTTCTTCTTCTTCTTTCCTCCTTTTTTACCCTTTTTACCCTTCTTCCCCTTTTTAGGTCTAAATGGTCCGAGACACTTTCGAACCATAACTCCTCTAAACCATGATTGTATTTTTATTGCAGAGTTAAGTTCCAATTGATCTTGTTCTTCCTTCCTCTTCAGTTTCTCTTTACGTACGCGGTCTTCGACGACAACTTGCTCGTATTCTTTATACTAATTAGAAAAAGGATTAGCAGCAAATTAATAAGAAGTGCTTTTTTTAATAAAATTAAGCCAAGAATGAAAGCTAATAATAAACTTACAAGCTTAGTCAACTCATTTAAATGTTCTAAATCTCTTGCTTTTGTTGTTTGTAACACTTCTAGATCATGATCCATTTTTGCGATATCTGTGTCATATTTCTCTTGCCAGTCTTCCAATTTCTTTTCTAACTCTTCAACGTGTTTATGGAGAAAGTTGCATATCTCTGTATGAGACCGACCCTCTTCGTCCATTCTGGTCCTTAGCATAACCTTCTCGTCCTCTAGCTCTTTTTCGCTCAGATTGCATCTATAATTGTTTGCAATAAAAACTCTTTTAAATCTCATTTAATTGAATAATTGAATTAATTAACCTTTTTTGCGTTTGAGCCACTTGAACATCAGCGCATTTTTGAATATATTTTCCTTCCATACTAGTCTTAGCTTTCATTTCTTGGAGTTGATCTTTCAAATGAGCAATCATCTGATTCCTATCGTTGATTTCTATTTCTCTTTCTTTCTTCACATCTTGAATCCTTCTGTTTAAGGCTCTTATCCTTTTTCTAGATTCTTCTTCCCTTAAAATGATATCCGTAAGTCTGGCTTTCTTCTTCTTTTCATTTTCAACTGCGTCAATAAGTACGCGAAACGAGTGTGGTCCGCATAATTCAACTAGAGTCTCCTGTAATACTTTTTCTAAGAAACTTCTGTCCTCCTGGACCTTTTGAATGTTGTCGGGCGCTAAAGGATTCTGTCTAAGACCTTGTCCAAAGAGGAACATCTGATCTTTCAGTTGCTTTCCGGTTTTTGTAATTTTATTATGAGCTTCCTCTCTCGCATCTCTAACGCTTTTCTCTGTTCCCTTATAAGTTTCCTTCTCTTTTGCAATATCATTAAACTGTTTCTCAACTTTTTGCTGATCAGAAACAATTTCTTTCATGTTTTCATTGACGAATTCTTCATCGTTACCATCTTCGTTAACGATGGGCGGTAATATCTTACCCAAAATGGCTAATTGATCTATAGTATCTTCCAAGACTGCACTAATGTGAAGACAATCCAGTGGTCTAAGAGAACTGATTGAAAGAAAATACTCAATAAATGAACAAATACAGTTTAACGGACAATTGATAATCTTATATTATTCTAACGTATTGGCGTATTTCTTTTGGTAAGTCTTTGTAGAGCTATAATGATCTGTACCATCATGTTCATAGGATAATCCTAATTGATTCATGTCTTTCTGTTCTAAGATACTAAATATATTGAATTTATTACAAGGATCCTTGTTAAATTTCACTCTATTTTGCCATAATAGCTTAGAGTTATTCATTTCAATCGGAGAATTTGCCTCGTCTTTACATAAGCTCCTATTCGATAATCTTTCAACTCTATCATTTAATAACTTATTACCAGTTTTTGGTAATAAATTTATTAAACTTTCCGTGAAGATTTTACATGATTTTCTCTTACTGTTCAAGACATTCATTTTGAAAAATATACACTATTGTTTAACGTAAATTTTTAATATTAATCTACGTTTAATTGACATGATTTATCATAATTCTATTATTATCATGTATTTTTTATTAAATACTACCTGAATTCTTCACGATTTTCTTCCATATTTTATAAAATATCTTTGTTTTCTTTTGTTGCTCAGTAAATCATTAGAGTGACATCTATCGGAATGATAAAAAAACTTATTTGTTATTGGTTGCTCAGCAACAAGCATTAATGTTCGTCGCCAAATTAAAAATATGCAATTGATCTCACTGCCTGTCTTTTAGCTGCTAAAATAAAATCACTAAAAAAAGGATATCTATTTAAATTACTTGGAAAGAGTCATTTAAATGAAGAAATTTTAAAAATATTTATCAAATTATAGCCGAAATCGGCCATTCTTATTATTATTAAAACTAAAGAATAGATAAAGGGATTATTTACTGCTTAATAAAAGGCTGAAATATGGCTGCTGGAGTGTCTGGATTGTCTTTCAATTTGCCTAAAACAGCTACATTTGGTAAAATGTCTACAGATGTATCACAGGATTTACATTTAAAAATGTCAAAGAAAATTGCCCAATTGACAAAAGTAAGATGTTTCTTGAATTATTTAGGCTATAGATTATAAATATTTATACATATTTCTATTAAAAACACACAGGTTATTTATGCATTAAATACGAAAAATGACGAACACGAAGCAATTATTACTGCTTTGAAAGAACAACACGAAGATGAAATTCAGAAATTCCTCGCAGAGACCAAATCGAAAGTTGAATCTTATAGGAATAGAATTGAAGAGGATACCAATCAGAAAAAGTTAATTGAGGCTTTAGAACAGAAGATCCGCGAGCATGAACTCGAGAAGGTGAACGCTAAAGAGGCATTTGAAAAATATAGAGAAAGTATGGAAGGAAGAGCTATTGAAATGAAAACTGTTCATTCAGAAAAGATGTTAACTTTATCAACTGACGTTCTAACTGTTAAAAAAGAGTTTGAATCAAATTTAAATAAATTAATGGAGGCTAAACGTGCATTAGAAGAAGAAAAACAGAAGGAGATTGAAGAGATAAAACGACATTACGACGAGAAAACTGAAGAGCTCAGAACCGGTTTATCGTTGGTTGATAATGATAAAGAAAAATATGAAAAAGAACTTTTAGAATTGAAAGATGTATGTAAAAAGTTAGAACTTGAAAATTCTGAAAGAAATCAACAGTATTTAAAAGAAATTAGTAATATGAAAAAAGACTATGAGAAGGAAATTGCAGATTTGAAATCTGCAAATAGTACATTTACAGAAGATAAGATAAAAAGCTTACAAGAAGACTATGATAAACTATTAAAAGTGCACGAAAATATGAATACTGATAATTTGGATAGAATAAAGGAATTACTTGAAAAGTTAAATATGGCAGAAGAAGAAGCTAGAAGCCATAAGGAATCTTTAAAGAAATTACAGAATTCCTTAACAGATAAAGCTAATAGTTCGGCTTCTTTAACTGAACAATTGTCTTCCATTCAAAAAGAACTATCAGCAACTATATCAATTAATAAACAATTAGAAGGTGAAATAAAAGCGATTAACGATCGCTGTGATAAACAATCATCCGAATTAAAAGATAAATCTGGTAGATATACTCACATTTCTCTCCCTTAATTAATCATTATGCTCATCATTTTCTTTTGTTTCTTTTTTTTTTTTAAAAAAAGCGCAAATCGGTAAATTAGAAGGTGGGAAAGTGCAAGTTGAATCTCAATTGAAAGAGAAAATTGGAGAACTAAGCAAATTAAAGGTTAATCCATAAATTACTAATTTTTAGGGTTTATGAATAAATAAATAAATGTTTTATAGGATAAGCTCAAGTGGTTAGAAGATGAACGCAAATCTATTGAGAAGAAAGGTCAATCTCAAATGACTGAACAGTCGAGGCAACTTAAATCGCTTGAAAAGGTTACAAAACTCTTTGATAGTCATTTGTCTTTTGTATACGATCTTTTGTTCTTTTTTTATAGAGCTTAGAAAATTTATCAACTGAAAAGAGAACTCTACAAGAGAAATATGATAGAGATATGGCCGCTCTAAAACAAAAGATTGACGAAAAAGAGAATACAATCACAAAGAAATGGAAAACTAAGATAGATGAAAATGAAGCTAAGCATATTACAGAATTAGAAGAGCATAGACGTTTAGCTGAAGAAAGTTATGCTAAATTGAAAAATGACCTTGAAAATCGTTTGAAAAGTGAGAAAGGATCCTTGAGTGATCATAACAGTCAATTAGAGAAAGACATGGAAAAGCTAAAAGAAGACTTTCAGAAGAAATTACAAAATTCCCAGAGAGAGGTAGGATTCTATTAGTTTCATTTGTTTGTATTTTACCGTTAGAACTCACGTAAACCTATCCTGCAGATTTTAAGATTGGAAAATGTTCTTAAAGAACGCGAAGAGAACCTAGGAGGAGCTGCCACAAATTTAGAAAGCTTACATAAAAAATGTTCATCTCTAGAGGAAGAACTTGAAGAAAGTCGAGAACAATTACGCAATCTAACAACTCAATATTCGTGTACTAAAACTGAGTTAGAAAATTTAAAGAGAACGCACGAAAGATCAATAAAAGAGTTTGAGGAAAAGTCTAAAAACGATCTTAATAAATTGTCTACCGATTTAGATGAGAAATGGATGATCAGATTGAGGAGCGAAAAAGAAAAACTCCGAATAGAAATGCAAAAGAATTCCGAAGAAGATAAGAAAGCAGCATTGGAAGAATTAAAGAGATTAAAAGATAATGAAAGTGCCAAAAATCAATTAAATTTTGATAAACGTTTAAGTGAAATGAATGAGGAAATTTTAAGATTAAAATCTAGTTTATCCTCAACTTCAGAGGAAACGGAAAGAGAAATTTATAGGATAAAAGCGGAAGCCGAAGAAGAGACGCATAAGCTCAGAAAGGAAATGTTAGAGTTGGCCGAAGAATATCAAGGAAAAATTGAAAAAATGATAAAACTTCACGCAGATGAGATGAAATTATTAGAAGAAAAAAGTTTAGCTCATTTGAACGATATAAAAATTGAATTAAATAAAAAGCATCAAGAAGATATGGAAGCCCAATTAGTTGCCCATAAGAGTACTGTTGATATCCTTAAAGAGAACTTTGAAAAAGTTAAAGAAAAGTGTCTTGAAGAACTTCGGGAAAAAAATCTTGATAGAATAAGTAAATAGAAGTTTTAATAATTTTCATTTTTCACAGTATATTCAATAAATGTTCCCTTTCAGCCAAACTAAGATCTGAGTTGGAGGCAGTTCACTCACAAGACATGGATGAGAAAGAGAGAAAACATGAACAACAATTGATGGCTGCAAGATTAGAGTTAGACAGAGCTTTAGAGATTTCCCGCCAAAAAGAAGCCGAATTCTCAATAAAAATAGGCGAATTAGAGTCTGACGGAAATTCAAAAGTTCAATTAATTAGGGAACTAGAAAGAGAGGTTGATAGGCTTCAAAGAGGTATAAATGATATGGCAACGGAATTGGAGCAAAAAGGTCAAGAAATTCTTCGAATTAGAAGTGAAATGATGCAAAGTTCTAAGTAAGTTTAAAATAAACAATAGAATAATCTTCTTAACGATTCTTTCATTAATTTAGAGCAAGGGAAGATCAATTGAATAAAAGATTTGAGCAAGTATTACAAGATCTGAGGAAAGAACAGAAAAATGAAATCGATACTATGTTAGAAGATTTTAACAAAGCTCAGAATATATTAACAGAAAAAATAGAATCTTTAACAATCCTTTTAGAAGAGGCTGAAGAAAGATACGAAAATAGAGAATCAAAGGATGAAGACATTCAAGAAATTGCAAGGTTAAAGCAAGCTGTAACTGATAGAGAAGAAGCAATGAAGAAACTTATCGTAAGGCCGATAAACAATCGATTAATCATATTACTATAACTGTATTTTTATCATTTTATTTCTTTGTTTTTAGGACGATAGAAAATACTATCAACTAGAATTAGCAAATCGTGAAAAGAACTTTAATAAAGTGTTCAGTAACGCTCCAAATGTTGGAGTATTAAATCCTCTTGTGAAGGTGAATATAAGCAAATAGAAATATGAACTTTTTCTTTTTATCCTAACTTTCCAAGTAAAAACCTTCTTTTTTTTTTTTAATAAACAGAAGAACAATAGTGGAAAAGGAGATGGTTCAAGAAGAGGTCCAAAATTAGATCCTATACCACATTCAACAATGCTTCATTCTGACAATTTATCTCGTAAAGTTCCACTTCCTCCCCCGTTAAACAGGCCATAAACGAAAGAGTGCTATCTAATAATTGTTTGTTTTTCAAGTTCGATTATAATATAATAAATAAAAATGTTTTATTATAACTTTTGTATGAAATTCAGTAGATAAAGTATAGTTTATTAACAATAGAGAATTGTAATGGCTGTTCTCCTTTCTACCTTTATTGTCCAACTCTTCTGTTGCTCTAACTTTACTCTTTGAAATTTAATTGAATAGAAGCCTTTTATATTACTACCAGAGACCCATAGGCCTCTGATGGAATTTGATTCTCTTTAAAATTAAAAAAAATCATTGTTTATTCGAGAAGCTATTCAGCAGTTATAGCATTATTTAACAAACTAAGGACGAGTTATGTCCGACAAACTTGTCAAGTTACGTCGCCACTATGGAGTACTACATGGAATTGGTTGTGTTTGCGGTTTAATGTTTGGTGCTGGTGTGTACATTGCTCCAACTGGTTGGTAGTTTGCGATATGCTATGAAATGGATATGCTATGAAATGTTTTATTTATTTTAAGGTGTTTTAAGGCAGGTTCGTTCAGGCCCTCTGTCGATTGTAATATGGGGATGTGCAGGATTATTTTCATTTGTGGCGTCACTTATCTATGCGGAATTGGGTACAACATATCCCGTTTCTGGAGAAAAATATGCTTATTTATTAAAAATGTACGGAAGGAAAATAGCTTTCCTGTACCTTTGGACCTATCTCTTTTTGTTCAGATCCTGTGTTAATGCTGTTAAATGCATAGCTTTTGCTAAATATATTCTTGAACCAATATTCGGTTGTGATAATATGCCACCTTACGCCGATTTTATATTAGCTTTGTTATTTGGTTGTAAGTAATTTACATCTTCATGAATCCTTTTTATAAGCTAACATCTGAAAAATACAAAGGGGTTCCAGTTATTGCCAACTGTTTTTACGTAAAATGGGCTGCCAGGGGACAAACGATTATGACATTTATGGGAATTGCAGCAATGTTATCAATAATAGTAACAGCTATTTATAAAGTTGCTTCAACAGGTTGTACAAAGTTTTAAATTATCTAACTTTACTGCTATTATACTCTATAATAATAATGTAGGGGATTTCGGAGATTTATCAACAGGATTTTCAACTGGCAATTATGACATTGAAAGTTTATGCTTTGGATTTTATTCAGCTCTTTGGGCATTATGGGGATTGTAAGTCAAATTAGAATAGTCTTGAATATTCATAAATTATATATGCGTCTATCTTTTAAAAACTAACTTTAAAATCAATAGTCCCTTAAACTTTATGATTGACGAATTGAAGAAACCTGAAAGGTGAGTATGGCAATAAACGTGTTGATTGTTTTATATATCATTTATATACTTCTTTTAGAAATCTACCAATAATAGCAACCTGTTCAATGATCATTACTATCGTACTATATAGTCTGGTAAACTTTGCGTATGTTGTTGTCTTAGGAGCAGAGACGGTCGCAAATAATGTTGCAGTTGCATCAGTTAGGAACATTATCTATAATAGTAATAAATATATTGAATAAAGTGCATATTTAAAGCTTTTCGCAAAGAAAATATGGGGACCAGGGTGGATTTTAATAAATTTATGCATTTCATCAAATATTGCTAGTTCATTTAATTCTGGTATTGTTATTGGTTCAAGACTTACACATGCATCAGCGAAAAGAAAAGATTTAGCTGACGCTCTAGGATTAGTGAGTATTAAGTACTTAACACCTATTACGGCAATTATATTTCAGGTAATTATTAATCTCTTTAAAATATATCATTTCATAGTTTTAATTCATTTTTATCTTCTTCATTCGAAAAGGGAATTTTAACAACTTTAATGATGCTACTTAAAGATATATTTGTTATTATTAATTTATCTGTATTTACCAATCAAATGTTCGAAATATTGGTGATTATAGGATTAATTATAAATAGATTTAAGAAACCAGATATTCCAAGACCTTTTAAGGTAAAAAAAACCTACTTTTTAGGCGATTTTAACCATGTAAAATAATATTACAATACACAATATACAGGTTCCAATAATTCTTATTATATGTTTTGCAATAACAATGATTGGTCAAGCACTTTTAAGCGGTTGGAAGAAACCATTACAAACTGTTCTTGGTTTCGTAATAACAGTTTCAACAGGATTTACATATTATATATTATTTATATATATAGAAAAGAAACCTAAATTTTATATTGATATGAGAAGTATAAAGCGAATAGTTTATTCATTGATCAATTGAATTTAACTTCATTAAAATCATTACAGGAAAAATTACAATTTTATTACAAAAAACTTTCTACGCTTCAGAAGAAGACTTAGTACCTTAAACAAAACTTTTATCTAATCAATAAGAAAATCATGAATGATTAACTCAATTAATAGAAAATTATGTCGATTATCATTGTAAATGATTTATTGAATACATAAATTTGACAAACATAGTATATATATACAGTGCTCAAACAAAGATTCCGTACAACCGACTTTTTAAGGGCTATCTTGAAGGGTAATCAATGGGATTTTTTAGAAAAAATTTGACTACTGTATAGAAAATTTTGTCTAGTTTTATTAGTAATTTTCAGATGTTTTCTACCTCTTCTAGTTTACCAATTATTTACATATTTTGGTGAATATGTATAATTCAGTACGAATTTTTTTTGGAAAAGTTAAGCCAATTTTCCGTATATCCCTTATATTTTGTATATTTTGTAATTTTTAATTAAATGTACATTTACAAAATTTCAATATTTTAGCTTCAAGCCATTTTTTTGGATACAGTCCAGTCCTCTCTTCAGCAATGAGTTGTGAAGGGTGATTAAGTCCTTTTTCCATCTCTTGTTCTGTATTTCAACTTTTTCTTGGATACACTTTCACAAAATTTCCTTTTGCTAAACTGTGGCCCATCATACACCATATTCTTCAGCATATGCCATACATTCTCTATGGGAGAGAGATCTGGGAGTAAGCTGGCATGGTAAGACTGTGCACTTTCCAGTCTTAAAATATTTTAGCACGATTTTGGCCTTGTGTCGACATCCAAACTGAATCTACATTAATCAGAGATGATTAGATAGTCCAAATTTACCTTATTTTCAAACCACCCTCTACAAATTTCCACTCGCTGAAGTCGATTCTTCTTCTTGAGAGGGGGATGTTAAGGGATTTTTTTAAAATTTCCCTCCCATTTCTTTAAGGGCTTTTTGAATCTTCGTTTTTGAAACAGTAAAGTTGCATTTAGATGCCAGCTTTGTGCTTGTAACCCTGTGTTTCTTTTTCTTCAGTTTGTTTACTTCTCTCTTCATGAGGGTTCTATCTCTAATTGACAGAGATTTTGGTCTCCCAACACCTCCACTCTTTGTATAATTTGTTTTAATAATGTATTGTATGGAAGATTTTGGAATATTAAAAATCTCCGAAATCTGTCCATAGGATAAGCCTTCTCGAGGCTTCTTTTAATATAAAGTCTTGATTTCTTGACCATAGGCCATTTTTAAAATGTTCTTTTCACATTAGCCTATTAATATTATACCTTCCTATCATATTCATTGAGTACTTGTTATAAACTACTCATGGATCATATTTTATAGAGGATATACGGAAAATTGGCTTGACTTTTCCAAAAAAAATTTGTATGAATTATACATATTCACCAAAAGTTTGTTTGTGCTTATATATCTATTCTTAATCCTAACATTAAACTTTCCATAGAATGCGACGGTATAAATACGCATTCTGCTATTGTAAAAGATGTTGTTGACTGCTCTGTAAAATGTCTTGGAATGGAAAATTGTACGGCATTATACATAACTAATGAATCGAAATTCTATTTGAAATTGGACTGCGATAGCACTGTTTTATCTTCAACTGCTTTTGCAGTGATTTACGAAAGAATTGCTGAAACTAGACTTTCTTAAGTTCTTTGAAAAAATATAAAATGTATGAATGGTCTAATGACATTAGTATGTATGACAGCGCAGGAGGAATGGAAGTGTGTTTGATAACGACAAGCTGACATTCTATTATTAGTATATGATGAAAGAAATTGTCTTAATTGTATTATTTAAATAACAGATAGACAAAGTCTATGCATAGTACTTGAATATCTTTAATACGCCGTCGTCTTGTCCGACGTAGAGATTTCCGTTGATAGGATCCACCGCAAGAGATCGGGGATAAAGGAGACCTGATGATCTTGTTATCAGATGGCACTTGAATTCGGCATTAGGCGTAAGAACGACTATTCTATGATTCCAATTATCAGCTAATAAAATATTACCTCTTTGATCTACTGCTACTGAAGCGGGAAACCATAATTCTTGATCCTTTGATCCTCTAGAGCCAAATTCGGCAACTATCTCACCATTATTATTCATTATATAAAACTTATCTGTTTTATGATCGGATATAAGTATTCTCCCAGATTCATCGCAAGCTAAGTACCATGGTCGTTCAAAAGCTTCGTGGCGAAGTACATTCAATCTCTCGCCTTCTTTAGTATAAACGAAAATGCAATTCTCCTGAGTGTCGCTGATAAAAACATGTTCAGCCGAAACAGCAACTCCGCAGGGGGAACTTAATTTCGAATTAGCAAAGATACGGCATCCGTAGTCGACCGTGGACAATATACATATTCTGTGGGCTTCGCTTTCCGTAACGATCACGTGCCCATTATCAACAAGAGCCAATTGATGCCCTTTATACGCCGAAGTCTTAATAACTTTCTTTAGTACGGCTTCTTTATCAAAGACTCTTATATCCTTTGAATCATCAGAAATAAGAAGAATTTCATCATTTGTTGCTACTATACTAGTAATCCAACCGCACTTTAATTCAGCAGTTCTCATCAATTGAGCGTAAGGATATGGTTGCTGTTTCAAATCACCTATTGGTTTCTCCAAAGGTGGGTTTAAGGGTTCAAGAACAAGTAAGTTTTTTTTAGGTTCTTGTAAAGGAGCCTGAAGGAAATTTTTTGCAGTTTCCGATAAACGATCGGATAGAATAACCAATTCATATGGATTTGCGAATTCAAGCAATCTCTTTGAAAAGAGGACTGCGTGTTCTAAATGATTTTGCATATCAGATATTCTCTCTCGATAGTCCTTCATTTTCTTGAATTCATCAGTTCTTGCAGCCGATAGACGTTCAAGAGCATCTTTCTTCCTCTTATGAACAAGCTGAATGGCCAGATTAGCATCGTTCTCTATACTTTTCTCAGCTTCGGAACAGAAGAAATCAAAATCAGTTTCGTAAAACTTGGCCCTTTCAATGGAATTCTTAACTAAATCCAGTTTACCAACTAGCTCTTTGTGAGATTCTTCACATTTAGTTCTTTCGTCGTCCTCTCTCTTCTCAAGTTCAACGCATTCATGCTCGTGATGCTGGGTTAATCGGCAATCAATACACGCCGGAAGTTGGCAATACGAACAAAAGAATTTGTAATCTTCATTCGGATGAACGTCACAAGGCGCCCTCGAGGCTCTACAAACCGTTTTGGCGTCTTCCTCCTTCACTTCTTCCAATAGAACTAATTTATGAAATTTTGTTAATCCTGTAACTGTATGAGCTTGAGTGCACTTTTTACAAAGATTCTCCAAACAATTCAAACATTTAACAACAGCTGACGGATGCTGTGAGTCGTTAGAGCAAGCAACGTTATTTGTTATCATCAACTTCTGAATGGTAGAATAGAATAGAACGTCCTCGAAATTGGACACTCCTTTGGCGGGAATAGCAACGTTCTTTTCGCAAGTGGGACATTTTAGCCGAACTTGTTGAGAATTTTCCAAATAATTACGTAAACATTTTTCGCAGAAAATGTGTAGACATGATAAAACTTTTGGTTTTCTAAAAGTCGATTTACAAAGGCCACATTCCTCAATTTTCAACAAATCCATGAGGTTTTTTTAAATAAAATACTATATTAATAATAAAAAAATGGCGTCGTTGGGAACGGTGAGGGAATCTTATACCGTTTCGGGGGGATTCGGCACGTTCTTTATAGGATGTTTTATTTTACGTTGGACCTACTGTTAATACTATACATAAACAAAAGATCGTGCAGTCTACCCTTTTAGCTTTTACCCTTATCCTTTCAAACTCTAAGTAAAAGCGATAGAGTGTATATTAATTTTAAAGATCAATTTAATTTGATTGACAATAAATGATACCTTTTGTACTTGCTATTTACATAAGAATAATAACGACATCTTGAGTAATTTACTTAATTAATCTTCACAAATTGGTAATTTATTCAAACTAGGATAAAGATATGGAAAAATGTCAAAGAGATAAATAATATATGAGGAAAAGGTGGAGAATAATAGGAACTTGAGTTGAACTAATGATTGAATGTTTACAGAGCATGTTGAAATGTATAAGAGATGATTTAATTGGATAAGAATCTGCTCAATTTCCGGTCTGGGCGTGGTTGACGTCGGATGACGCTCATTCATTTAATTCCATCATTAATCCTCGAATTTATAAGAAAGATGAGATAACTCTCACACTCATGTTCACATTACACTCACAGAAAGGGTTTAGATAGACTCTTGTATTTATATTTATATAGTAATATGTTTATTTATATAGTATAAAACAATATAATAAGTTTATGGAGTCATAAAAAAAAATTACCAAATATTTACATAGTTCATCAATCAATATCATTCAAAGGTTAATCTATTCAAGGAATGAGACAAGATAAAAAAAAATATTCCCTAATTAAGCTAAATATTCCATCAATAAAACATCTTAAGAAGAATATTCTCTCCATTCGTTGTACTTCTCTACAGCATCTATCAAATTCTTTAATTTAACTTGATATTCTATATAGATTAATTCCAGAAGGTAGTTCACAATTGATATTTAAACCAGGTGGTATTTTCTTGAACTAAACTATAAGCGAATCTTATAGCTTTTGGAAAAGGAAGTACGAGAGGGATTCTGTTTATCTGTAATTTAATACGTAATTTTTATTAATAGTATTTTTTTATAACGTAAAAATATCAATAAATCTTGTATTGCTACCATATGAATTGTATATTCGAAACTTAACGTCACAGTTAGTGAAAAACATCCACTCTTTGTTGATAAAGTTCACGTAAAGTTCATAAACCAAAAGAGCAAAAGAAGAGTTTAAAAATGGATTTGACGTACAGTATAGTAGAAGATACATGTAAAAATTGTTTTACTTCCCGGTAGTTAAGTAATAAGTCACAGATACGAATCAATAACATTAGTTAACATTTTTACAATGTACACAGAAGTATTTATCTCATCTCCTTGAATATTCAGATAACTTTTCTTTTATTTTCTTTTGTACTGATGTAATTTTCTATTTCTATTTTTGCTATAGAGCCACTCGACATCTACTTTTAATAGGTTTATTGCACATAGGACACAGATTTAATCGTTTAGCGCATTGAAAGCAAGTTGTAAAATGAAAACAAGGGGTGAATATTGTATTTCTATCCCTATCAAAGCATATTGCACATTTTCTTTCCTCTTCCAATCTCTCTTTTCTTTCTTTTAGCTGTTCAATATCCTTTGATATTGAATCGCTATTATTATCTAAATTTAGTAAATAAAAACAAGTATATAAATATATATTTTACTACTTTCTATTTTAAGGAATAACAACCTGATTGTTCTTTTATTTCGTCTTTCGCCGTAGGTTTTTCGGTTAGGTCTTCATCAGATTTTTTAGGTTTCTTTTTTTTTCGTTTTCTTTTTGCCTTACTTGTTGTAGGACTTGATTGTCCATTTTCCTTACTTAAACCATCAAGTATTGAAGATTCCGTCATCAGAGTCTCCTCTTGCATTGTATCGAGGAAATTATTTATTAAACTATTCGCGTCAGTAAATATTGTTCCTAAAATGACAATGAATTCGTAATATATCAAACTTGCATTAAAAGATATATGGTAATACCTTTTTTCCATATGAAAGTTTCAATCATTTCTCTAGTATATCCCATTTTAAGGACATTCTGTACTATATCCGACCCCATATACATTCTTACGTCAGACTCGATGCTAGTCTTAATTTGTCCACTTTGTAAAACTCCTTGTTTAACACATCCATCAGTAGTGTCTTTTGGCGGTTGACGAGTTTCTTTTGGCTCTATAGCATATGAACACGAAGAGTCGTGAAGTGAATGCAAATTATCAATGTCAAGTTCAAGTGAAAATGAACTTCCACAAGAATGGCATTCTATCTCGTTAGTCAAACCTAATTGAATAAGGAATGATTTTCATAATTACAAAACTTTGCTTGTTTTTCATTAATACTTTACCATTAAAAAAGAATCCGTTAGTACTTAATTTAACTATATTAACTTTTGTTGATATTTGATGAAAACTTCTTACTCTGTCGTTTCTGGACTCATACTTCTTTTTGTCAATTTTTCTTCTTTCCATATTATTTCCTTTCTATTAAGATAAAACAAATTCTTACACAAATAACTAAGGATGTATTCACTTTATTAACTGAGTATTTATTTATGAAATATTGTATAAGTGAATTAGTTCCTATCCAGCAGCAACTCATCCATGAAAATATAGGACCTATATAATCTACAAATACATTAACTCGTGCACAAGGAAGATAAATATCGATATTAGTCTCATAATACGATATTTCGAAACCAAGAGATTTTGAAGCAATAGTTTATAAATCAGCTATATTGTTGACTTCCACACTTTTTAATTTTAGATCTTCGAGCTTCATGACTGAAAGAACGAATTTTACAATATGAAATAGGATAATATAGTTTTTCAATTACGCATGCTATAGGTCCTATATGGAATATTAGGGATGACATTAAGTATTACTACAGCTCAACATTTTATAGCTAAATGATCGCTAATAAAAAAATGACGCTCTTTTCTTAATACAAAAATTTCACCTAACCTTAACACTGTCTTTTAAACTACCAATAATGAATCCACAATTTGGATAATGTCTTTTATGCTCGAGCATTGGTTCATCACCTTCTCTCCAACTTCTTAGTACACCATGACAGAAAGCACACTGTACTCTATCACCAACACCAGTATAAAAGAGTCCTGCTTCGGCTAGTTTCACCTTGTCAACGAATGTTAATACCCAGTTTGTATATGTCTCTAATCTAGCTTGAAAGTGGGTCATATCCAACACCCCTGTCTCCTGTTCAAGTCTTTTATCTGATTTTGTCACTGTAAAATTGTTATATTTTTTTGCTTTTGGATGTTCAGTTGGAGGTGGAGAAGTGGAACAATTGACCCACCTAGAAACTGCATTTTCAAAGGCTAGCACGATAGGACAATCTGGTGATTCAGCCTTGTGTCGATCTTTTGGGTTATAAGCAGCTAACCAGTTTGATAAAATAAGTCCACAAGCTTGACACTTAACGGTATCGTTACTACCAGTATATTTAAATCCTGCATTGCTCAGTTCTATCGGTTTTGCTTGATTATGAATAGGCCATGCAGCAAAAGTTCTTAAATTATCAAGCATTCCAATCTTCATCTATGTATTGGTTATTTTATTTCAGAAGTTTTCAAACGGTTTTTGTTTTATTTATATGAAAGCCAACGTGGTTAACCATGATGGTTTTTTCTGATAAATATCTTTTAGGAAATTCTTATTATCGCTCAATATATATATAAGAGATATATATTTTAAAATTAAATATTAGTATAAATACAAGTATAAAATTATTAAATATTTATAATTAAAGTATTATATTTTTAAAAAGTAAATACGACATTTTTTAAATATTTTTATTGATCGATAATAGAGTAGATGTCTAAAGACGTAATAACATTTTATTTTAACAATAACGTTATCCACAACCAGTTTCTTAGTCTAATTCACCATATGATATTGATTTTAAATAACCATTAAACAGCGGTTTGGTTATTATTATCATTATGTAAGAGCATAGTAACTTTGAATGACCATGGTTTAAAAGATAATGAGATAAAAAAGTATATTTAATATCTGATTTAGTAAACCCACTTACGAAACGAAACATATCAACCCATGAATAAAACTGTAACAAACAAAAAAAAAGATGAGTAAAGTATCCAGTTGTCGTCCATTAATCAAAAGCCACAGAACAGGATGTAAAGTGAAGTGGCCATGAGAAAATGAGTGAGATAATGATTCTCTCTTTATACATCTAGTATATATAAATATATACTGTATATTGGTGGAATAGTAAAAAATGAATAGAAGAAGTATAAGAGGAGGGATATGTATCTTTATAGTTGAAAATGTGTATGTTTATATGTGAAATTTAAGCGATAATTCACATTTGTTATAAGTATATGGAAATAATAATAATAATAAATTAAGTAATTGCGTAAACGTTTACACCTTCTACTTGAACTTAATACTTTATTAAAGAAAACGTTCGATAAGCCTCAGTGAAAGAATAACGTAGACGAAAAGATTAAAGACGGGGCCCTATCCAATTAATCGATCACCATATCAACACTAAACAAGGCTTATTTATTTCACCCTCATAGTTAAATACTTAACTTATTGGGATATTGGTTGGCAAAGATCTGTGCCTTATCCTTTCCGCTTTCCAGCATTTTTTTTATTACTCTTCCGTGAGTAAAAGCGTGACTAGCTCTTACTCATACTACCGCCAATCAGCGTTCACCGAAGTATTCGCCTCTGCAACACAGCAACGCGAACATTGATTGGAAATGCAAGAGTTGGAACATTTTCCCTCCTTCGAACAAAGACGAAGTGTAGCTAGAAATGAAAGAGAAAGGTCACCGGCCCATTCGGCCCATGGTAGCCTTATACGATCTAGCTTGGTTAAAAGTCAAGAAAAAAGAATGGCAAAGAAGGTGAGGTTTTATAGAAATGGTGATAAGTACTTTCATGGAATGGTTTGGGCTATCTCCGTTGAACGTTTTCGAACTTGGGAAAGTTTATTAGCTGATTTAACTAGATCTCCATTAGGAGATAAGAATGTTCTACCCAACGGTGTAAGGTACATTTTTTCTTTGGATGGTGAGCGAAAGATTCTAGACCTGGGTCAGTTAAGGGAAGGCGAAAGTTACGTTTGTTCGTCTACGGCCATTTTCAAGAATGTTGAATACGTTTCTAGCAGTATACCGAGAAAGACAAATGCAACTCCTATCAAGACCAGAGTGAACAATGGTTATGATCCGGACGAAGAGTTTAGAGTAAATATTAAACCAAAATTAATTACGGTGATAAGAAACGGATCGAAACCGAGAAGGGCTGTTAGAGTTTTATTGAATAAGAAGACTGCTCACAGTTTGGACCAAGTGCTTGGTGATGTTAACGAGGCTATAAGGCTCGACTCGGGAGCTGTGAGGAAGATGTATACTCTGCAGGGAAAGCAGGTAATGATACAAAATTTTTACCCTTCTATCTTTTCCACACTAAACGCACAAGTATAACCCCACCCAAAACCGCCCTTTCTTCCCTTTGTTCCTGTACAAATGCTCTATCAATCATCGTTTCAACCCTTCGTAATTAAACGCATATATACATGCGTGCGTGTTTATTCGCTTTTTCTCGCCACTATATATCCGAATTGCACATGCGCCCCACGCATCCATAAACGCATTTGCTATTCCTTTCTTTTCTTCCATTCAGGTCACGTGCCTTCAAGATTTATTTTGTGAAGATAGCGTATTTATAGCATATGGTCTTGAAAAGTATTGTCTAGACGACTTCGACTTGGATGACAAAGGTATGGAAATAAATAGACGTTTGATCAAAAAGTTTGTACGGTCACAGCGGGTTAAGTGACAAAAAAATATCCGTGTATGCATACATTAACGTAAAGACAATATTTCGACAAACAAGTTGGCAGATGGCAAACAAAGCCGGTTACCCTGGAAACGCGACGGCGTCACTTTTTCGAGTCTGGTAGCAGACAAGTACGTCTTACGCAATATCAGCAATGAGTCATAGAAAAGGGCAACTCGTAGGGTTAAGGGATAGATAGAGGGAGAGAAGCAGGGGGGCGTGGTGCAAGCAAGCAACTTTTCCGACTGCATCTGTTTAATGCCATGAGTCATATAATATGATCGGTCACGGGGTCGATTACATTATAAAACTCCTGAACTGACCGAAAATATATTTAAGCCTATGTAAGTGATGACTGATTACCCCATTTATAACAGAAGTGAAGTTCGTTAGCGCCTATAAGACGGTTAGGCAAAGGGAAAGAGTTACGTTGAAGTCGCCTAAGCCTTCCAGAAGACAAATAAGAAGCGTTGCTGATGTTATTCAAACAACAACAGTGCCAAATAGAAGACCAATAAATGGTACTAATGGTGTAAACGGTACTAATGGAACACATGGTCCGAATGGAACGAATGGAACGAATGGCCACAACCGTACAAATGGTTTTAACCATAACAACAAGGTGGATGAAATCCCACCACAAGACTTGTTGTTTAGATATAAGATCGGTAAACGGATTGGTCAAGGAAATTACGCAATCGTTAAAGAATGCACCGATAAGAAGACAACAAAGCTTTGCGCGTTGAAAATTATTTCAAAGAAGGCTTGTAGAGGTCAAGAGAGTATGCTTGAGAATGAAGTGAACATTTTAAGAAGAATTCAGCATTCGAACGTAGTTCAATTGATAGACGAGTTTACAACAGACAAAGCGCTATATTTAATCTCTGAATTAATTACTGGCGGAGATCTATTCGACGCTATATCATCTGCTAAAAAGTATACAGAAAGAGACGCTAGCGGCATGCTGTTCAACTTATGCAGCGCATTACACTATTTGCATTCGCATTCGATCGTCCATAGGGACGTGAAACCTGAGAATCTTTTTGTGAACGATTTGCAGGACGGCACTAAGATAATAAAACTTGGCGATTTTGGGTTAGCAACAGAGGTCAAGGACAAACTCTATGCCGTATGTGGTACTCCAACTTACGTTGCTCCAGAAATTCTAGATGAAACTGGTTACGGAACAAAAGTAGATATCTGGTCAGCCGGTGTTATTACTTATATACTACTTTGTGGATTTCCACCATTTTCTAGGTAAATAGAACAAATGCGTGAACAAAAATGTTATACAATCCAACATTTCTTATTTTATAACCCTTAATAATTTCCTGTTTTTTTCCCTTTGCTCATTTTCCCTTTTTTTCTCGCAATAGCACAACAAATAGCAACGAGGAGCTATTCGAGAAGATCATGAAAGGAGAATTTCAATTTCAGTCGCCATATTGGGACGGAATATCTAATTCTGCAAAAGTAAATTAATTCAATGAATTTTTCTCTATTAAATTACATTTTATGCTATCCAATCAAATTAGGAAATTAATTAACGCTAATAATCACTTATACAACTATATTCTTACTTTTATCACTCAGGAATTGATTACCTCAATGATTGATTTAAATGAAAGTAAGCGTTATACAGCAATGAACGTACTCAATCATGCTTGGGTTTTGGTAAGTAATACTAAAATACTCTAATAATAGTATCTTTATATCTATGTTTCTTAATAGGAGGATACCGCATTTAATAATGATTTAAACATCAAATCGAAATTAAATGAGACTATTGCAAATTATAAGATGAAACCAAAGAATGGAGCTGATTCTATTGCTGTAAGAATTATTACCTAGTTTTTATTCATTTTCTAAATTGATTTAATGTGCACAAAACATGATTAGTTTAATATATTTTCCTTATTTTCTTTTCGTATGTTTATAGACTGTGGCTCTAGATAAGAAATCTTGCTTTTTTGAAAGTCCTAAACATTTGAAGCTTACACATTACGAAAATGGCGTTCAAGACGAAATGTTTTAAAACAAATTAAGTTAAACCGAGTTAATCTTATTGATTAGAGTTAATCTTATTACATATATGTTTATTAATTATATATTCAGTATTTATACATATATAATTTTTTTTTATATTCTTTTCTATATAATCCTTCGCTTTGGCCTGATTCGAATGGTGCCATGCATGCCGTGTTAAGTAGATAAAATGCTTTTAATCAGTTGTATTATGAATGTATGTATATACTATATATCAGTTTATATCTATGCATAAATTTACATAATTTTAAATACTATATTATTTTAATTAACTATGCAAAAAAGTTCAAACATATTACAAAAAAAAAACAGCTTCTACTCTCTTAGCTTCTTTTTCAAATAAAATGATAAATGAACAATGTATTAGTTTTCTTTTATATATGTATGTATTTAAACAGTTAATTAGCTAATTATAAATGCAAATTTATTCAAATTTAACAAATATTTAAATCGATATATAATATAGAAGAAAGGGTGTAAGTCTAAAGCATTAGAAATATGTGAAGGATTAGACAGGCTTTGATTATTCTATTGATCAATTACCACAATTAAACTTTACCAGTCGTAAATATTATATCAAGGCGAAAAGAAAGACGAAACTTTTGGAATAAAGAAACCAAAAGTTTATTGTTTGCGTTAATCTTTTCGTTGACAACATGTCTATTTTATAAATATGTATTTCTATCGAAAGTTCTTTCCCACTCGATAAGTTTTCACAATTTTATATAAGACATATTAAATTACCTAACACATACTTGTCTAATTTAATAGGCAAGCATAAACCAGAATGAAAGTTTAACAAAAAGAACAAGAAGAATGTTTAAAATGAAATTAATAAGAATAAAAAAGAAGACTTTACAAAAAGTTATCTTTTTATGTTAAATACTTTTATAACACAGTTCAAGAGTTATTTATCTATTAAAATTTAAAGAAACGTATAATAAATTATAACAGAAAGAAATACAATTTCGCTCATTATTTCAACCTTTACTAAATTTTTTCTTTTTTTAAGAAAGTTATAATTGAACTAGACAAAAATAAAATGACTAACCAAATTAAGAACAGAGATAAAATCAATACTTTGCTTTTTTTTCAATGGTAATGTTAGTTACAGTTTGTTTTTGTTTTTTTTTTGTCAAATGATACTATTTAAAATCCTTGAGAGAAAGAGAGAAACAGAAACTAAAAGCCACCATTTTTTATCACATTTGCAGTATCTCCTTTAACAAATGAAAAACACAAGTTTTGATCTCTTTTGTCACCCCAACCTCCATTTGGTTTAGGCATTCTAGACGGAGATTTTGGATAGCTAAACACAGAAAAAGTATTCGGGAATAAATTTTTTTCATTTGTCGCCAAGAGTTGTTTAATACTAGCAACCCTACTCTGAGGATTACAATTTTTTCCTTTGTGATGTTGGCCACATTCACCGATGTGAAATACTCTAGGTCCTTTCAAGATCATTGCTTTCAGTTTACCAGTCATACAATTCATGCCAATATGTTGTAAAGACCAATCCCAATTATAATCATCATATTCACAGAATGGCTGTAATTGATATATAAAGAGATTACATATAAAAAAGATTATAGAATTTATAATACACCACATATTTTGCGCAACTATGACTATGGACTTAAGTAACTAAGTAAAATTTAATGATTTAGCTTTATTAGCAAATTTAAAGCCTTCTCCTCTCTTATTTATTCGTATGATGAATAAATTTATGGTACAAAGCAGATTTACCGTATAGATAATAGTTTGAATTCAAAATATACATTTTAATCAATTAATAATTCTATTTTTATCAAAATGTGTTTTTTATGTATTTATAATGTTATGAATGCATGCAGCTAAAAAAAATTCTATCAGCTGCAATACTTTATCCTAGAGAATGTCTATATTTAGTAAAATTTCAATTATTTTTGTCTGTTATATCTTAGAAATTATAAATAAATACTCTATAACCTTCAAATATCCTTTTAAACAGAATTTATATAAATCTTATACTGTACAAGTACAAAAGATAATTACCTTTTTAATACATAAATATAAGAGACAATTACGTAATAATCCAGCAAATATTTACTTACTTTTGCACAATTTTTTATACTTTTCCATACGTCTCTATTGAAAGCCATCCCCATATTGTGTTTTGATGAAACCCAACTTGTTATATCCACCTAAATTATTAAAAAAAAACAATAGAATAGATTAATCAAAAATATTAAAAAACGTATGGAAAGAACCAAAAGAAACAAAATAAACACAAAAACAAAAAGCAGTTTAGTTAAAGAGAAAAGAAGGAAAATAGAATAAAAAGATGATTTTTAAAAAAACGTAAATAAATTAGAATGTTGTTGTCTACTTTGTGTTGAAATTAAACTATCTAATTAAAAAAAATGTCCAACAGTAAACCGTCTAATTGATTTGGAAAAAGCTTATAGTTGGAATTAAACAAATCGTTTCAACCTTATTATCGAGATAAATAAAGAAAAGGAGAAATAAATAATTAAAAAAAAAACATATAAGTAGGCTCTTGGTTTGAATACGTAAACAAAGAGGAAATCTTTATGATACGTTAGTTGTATATAAAAGTGTCTGTTTTTCATGTCTTTACCATATGCTCTCTGTTAGAGCCTTGAAAAAGTATGTATCTAAGGATTTTGCCAAAATAATTTCCAGTCTTTGATTCTTCCTGAATGATTGAACAATGTTATTCAAGAGAACTAGTTTTATTTGTTTTGATTTCAAATATTCACAAGTACAGCTGGAATTATCTATTAAAATATATAACTAAGCAGGATAATTTAAACAAGAGCACTCAAATTTCAGCTTGAACTAAAAGTGTTCAAGAGGTCTTTTTATCGTATTTGATATTATTCGTGTAGTTTTTTTTTCTGATTGATTGAAAGTATACTATAAACGGCTTACACTCAAATGAAATTAATTAGCTGAATATGATATAAAATACTATTTAAAATGAAATAAAAGAACATGATATAGTCGAAAAAATGAATAATTAAACTAATAATCATAGAAAGAAAGGAGAAAAATTAATTAACTTTCTGTATATATATATATATACTGTATATAGAAGACTATAAAATATAAGAGATAAAAATGTAGATCAATTTGAAATAATATAACGTAATATTAGTAATTAGTACTACAAATAATAATTCTATATAAATTACCTTTGAGGAATGTTCAAACGAGGGCTTTTTATCATAATTACCCAATGTAAATATTTGGCAGTCTTTGCAACTGCTATGGACGGAAGTTAATTAAATAATAAAATTTAATGTATATCACCATAAAAATGCTTTGTTTGTTCTACTTACGAACTCCTGAATCTATACATTTTTAACAAAGTATATAAGAAATCTTTAGCTACAAAATGATCCTCTTCCAAGAAAAGTATTGGGCCTCGATGATATTTTGTTGTTGTAAGTTGATCGAACACATAATTTGCTTTCCAGAACCAATGATGTTTTATTTGAGCGTATTTTGCTTCTCTATAATGGCCGTAATGATCGGGAAACTCAGCATTATTACATTTTGATTTTATCGCTCTACATTTATAAAAGTAAATAAAAGAAAGGATCGATAAGTTTAAATAATTAATTTCATTTTTTGCTATGAATTTGAGATAATTTACTCTGATCGCGGAATATTTCTAGGACAATCTTTTGAATGCTCTCCTGGAAATTCTTTAGGGTACAACTGCATTGCGAAAGGATAATAAATTTGCAGGACCTAGAAAATATTAAAATTGTTTAGACGATGAAAAATGACATTATAATAATTATTTACAGGACAGAAGTCGATTGAGGCTATTGTATCATGGATATGTCTGGCAAAATAGTCATGACTAAATACCAATAAACTTTGACTGATTCCAGTGGCTTGTCGTAGAGACTCTATTAGATATTTTAGATAATCTGATCTATCGTGAACCTATCAAAACAATATCGATCATAAGAAAAAGATATTTTTAGACATGATTAGATACAATACCTGAACAATTATCACCACTGTGTCTTCTCCTCCTTTAAGGTCAAATTTATTCAAATTTCTAACATACTCTTTTCTATTATTTTCTTCAAATGCTTTTCTTAACAATTTTATATCGGATGATTCACTAAGATTTGCAAAAACATTGTCGGTCACGACTGATCTCACACTGCTACTGGTAGGTATTCGTTGATTAGTGACTGTCTGTGAAGGCTCGGAGGATGTCATTTTTGGAGATGTAGTCACTAATGTTGGGCTATTAAACTCAACAGCATCTTTCAACGAGCCATTTTCAGATACACGTAGTAAAAATATTAAATTAACAGCAAGAAAGGTGGCAAAAATGAAAATAACAAGGCCTTTAACGGAGCGACGAGGGAGAATTCGCATGTTTAAGCTTTTCTCTCATCTTTCATGATTTTAATGCTATCGAAAAACACAAAATGATAGATTAATAGTGAAAATGACATTAGTAAACAGAAGAGAGAACTCTTACAAACCTCGTATATTTCCTATGCTTACAGTTGACGTCTTAAGATGTAAGCGAATTCAATTCAAGTTGGTGTTATATTTATTGATATCCAATACTAAAAAGTAACAAATGGTTCCTTCATTAAGTATAGACCACTTTTTTTTGCTTCGCGTTCAAGAACTCGAATAGAGCATTCACTTGACAATGTTAAATAATTTACGATGAAATCTCACACGCACTTCCGGTTAGCGCATTTTTTTGAATATTACACGTTGCTTTCGTTCTATTTTAACTTAAGCTTATCAATAAATATTAATGTAGCAACAACAAAAAATTTATTGAAAAATTATATTACTCTCAAAGCTATTTGCTTAATAATTGAATTAAATCGTTAAAATGTTCGTTTATATCTTTTTCATATTGATTAATCCAATCTGCATCATCTTCAGTTATAAATTTATAACTTGGTAGTTCTTTTAATATTTTCTTTACCTCATTCTTCAATAATTCAATATTTTTCAAAAGTAATGATTTATCCAAAGGAGGGTAGGCTGAATTTACGAGATCATCGATAATAGGACTAACTTTTATACATTGTTCGTATAATTCATCCATATCAAGTGTTATATTCTCACTTTTCTGAACTGCCACTATAGAATTCTGAACAATTGAAGAAATTAATTCAATTACTTTTTGAAATGCCTGGACAATGTTTCTTTCGCTTTCGCACCACGTTTCAGGTTCTGGCATATCTTCTAGATCTGAAAAAAATTCATCAGCACTTTCATTATCCTGAGCTGTAGCTAATTCTCCGGATGCATCTTCAATCATTCCGAGTTCGTCTTTAAGCCTTTCTACAATTGCCTCTCTATTATTCTTTGGTAATTTTGCAAATGCATCGCATCTTGACCACACAATACCTGTTAATGTTCTAAACTCATTATTGTTTATTTCATTCAATTCTAATTTTTCCATTCCTCGAACAAATTCTAGTAGGCTTTCACAAACGTAAATTATGTTTCTTTTGAGTATCGAACAAATCAGGTTACCATCGTTTTTACCGAGATTATAAAATGCCGATAGTAGAGCCACTAGTCCCTGCTCTGTTTGATTAAAAATAACCCGAGTATCCTTTCTTATTGGATACGGTGGTTTAGAATAGAGAACGCTCAATTTTGTTACAGAGGCCGAAATAATGTTGTTAGACACTTGTATCCTTTGTGACAATCTTTCCAAAGAACTTTCAGTTGATCGCTCATTATCAGTCTTCAATTGATCGATGATGGACGTTATATTCTGTTTAAAGGCTTCAAATATTTTATCTTCATCAACTTCAGCCATTTCGCCGAGTTATCTTTCTAAATTATGGAAGAAATGAAAAGATATTTCAACAACGTTGTGCAAGTTTAATAGATTCCCTATTGTCGCTCATGAAATAGATGGCTCTGTTCTACAAAGGTGAAGGTTTGTCAAGGTCGTTCGAGAACATTAACGGGCCTGTATAGTGACACTGCGAAATACCGCTAAAATGACCGGATTAAGCAAGCAAACTAAAGAGAATATCATGAAAGTTGTCCATGTTGGACAAACAGTCTTTCATTACGGGTTTATACCATGTATACTTTATTTAGGTAAGGATTTGTAATAAAGAGAATGCACGTGGTTTTTAGCTTACTCTTAATCAAACACTTAATTTCAATTAGGATTTAAGAAAGGAGCTGAACCAGGTGGTCCACCTCTCTCCTTATCGAGGTATATTAATTTATATTTAATAACTTACAAATCATAATAATTGGGACATATACATTTTTTTTTTCAGTTTGCTATTCCAGTAGAGGGGATGCTTATCGATTTGTTTGTTACTAATGGAAAATTCCTAAATTTATCTCTAAAAGAAGAAGCAAAAAATTAGAACAGTTCCATTGTATATAAAATACAATTTCATTTGAAAAACCTTATCCATCAGTTTATCATATTTCTCTACAAAAACATATTGTTAAATAGTCATATAGCAATCAAGTCAATGAATAAACATTCTCTTTTCAATTGAAAGTATTCAAGTTTAAAAGAAAACATTTTTGAATTGATTAACGTCTAGTCCTAATGTACTAATATAATTAATAATTTACAAACTACTATATTTTAAAAAAGCCCATATAAAACGAATTTTAAAAAACTACAAACTATTCCGCCAAAGAGTTAACCAAAGAGAATTTACATTTGACCTGAAAGGGTTCAACCCATGAACTTAATATGCAAATGAAGTTTTAAACGAAATAAAACATAAAAAACTTCATAAGTACTAATTAATAGTTTTTAAAATTAAACAGTTCTTGCTCAAGCACAACCGTGCAACTATTTCGCCTTTTACTAAATAGTTCCGTAGGCTTGAGACATCAATGAACATTCCTTAATTTTTCTGCAGCCCTTTCCATAAGGGTCCCATTATAATAACAAAAACTGCACTGCACGTGAAGTCTAGCAATTTCATGCTTAAAAGCATCTGCATCTGACAGACTATAAACATAAATTGGAAATTAATTACCCCAACAAAAGCATGTTATTATATTTAATAACTTTTTTGACAGGCAAATAAATACAATTATCAAAAGTTCTCTTTGTTTTTACTTTTTCAAGAATACGTTCTCGATATTTTGTTAAGAATTCTTTTGAATAAACGTTCAATGTTTAATCTATTAATTATAAATCACAGTCAGGAGTTTATCTAAAAACTATAAGACGAAGTCATAATTACTTTTAAGTCAATCTGATCCAATATGATTTTAATATATATATAGGATAAATAATTAAAAAAACAAGACAATAACTTAATTGAATAGTATTCAAAGCGAAGAAGCCATATGAGGTTTCCGTATAAAGATGATATTTTTTAATACTGAAATAAATAATTAGAACAACAACTGGTAGACTTTTCTGTGTTATTTATAGAAAAAAGTTTATACATAATTAGAGATATAAACTTATTTTTATATAAAAAATTTATAAATTAATTATGATAATATATTCATAACTTTTTTAGATAGTTTTAAATATTCCTAGAATAAATAAATAAAAAACACTTAAAGGCATATGGCAACCAAAGAGAATACGTCATTTATATATATATATATATATATTTATATAAAAGTAAAATAGAAAAGTAAAATAAATCAATAACAAATTGATTGATCAATGTATTGAAATCGCTGTCTGTTTCGTAGCTATATCACCAAATTGAAAGAAAATGATTATATTCTTCGTCTTTCTGCTGTTTTTCGGTAACTTTATTCGTTTAAATTAATATCTTAACATATAAACTAAATATTTAATTAACAATAACTTAAATAATAGTAAGAGGTCACGCGAAAATCGAATACTCTTGTGGAACTGGATATATTCAGCTGGCCTCCATATCAGAAAAAGGAAAGATTGCATCGCCCTTCTACCCTTCAGGATATCCCAATATGGTCAATTGTGTTTGGCTTTTAGAGGCTCCATCGAAACGTCAAATAGAACTGGTTGTTGAGGATTTACAGGGAGACACGACGACAGACAACTGTAGAGATTATTTAGAGATTAGAAGGGGCAATAGATCGGCTGCTCTGCATTATAGAGGTTGTAAGTTAACGGAACCTCTAACTATAAGGTCAGAAAATCGATGGCTATGGGTAAAATTTCAATCGGATGGGACTTCAGCTACAGGAAGAGGATTTATCGCTCGATATTCAAGTTTCTCCTCATCTAAAACTGACGAAACCTCTCCGGTTATACGTTGTACATCAACAAAATATAAATGCAGCAATCAAGAATGTATAGTAAATTCATACTTGTGCGATGGCGTCAACGATTGCGGTTGTACTGGAGACTGCGATGAGGATAGCTGCGAAAAGGGAAAATTGTCCACTACTGTACTTTTGGGAGTTGGTATTGGCGTTGGTAGCGTCGTATTCGTTGGTATTTTTATCGGAGTTGGCTTACTCGACCTCTTTTTGAAGTATAGAGCTGATAAGATAAATAAGATGTTGGAAGAGAAAGCAAAGAAAAGATCCAGGAGAAGAGCAACTAAGAAAGGAAGTGGTCTATTCGCAGCTAGTATAGCAGCAGGTCGAAGTTCGAATGGTTCTATGGCCAGTTTAAAAAGTTTAGGAGAATCTCAAAGAAGTGATAGACTTCGAAAGCTCAGCTTAGCCAACGAAAGTATTGGATTAGCTAAGGAGAAAACTTTATTTAATACCCTTTCTACGCCAGTTAAAGCTTGAATTAACAATACTCTATCTGTGAAAATTGTCAAAGATATTACCTCTCTCAATACTCATTAAAAATTTTGTAGATACAGTATATATAAACTTTATATATGTAATAATATACAGTGTTCTGCGAACTCAGATATTATTAAAAGATAATATTTATGTCTAAAAAAAAATTTTTTTGCTTTACATCTTAGATAATGTTAAAAACAATTAAATTTTGACAATTGCGTGATGGCATGGGCAAGTCTAAAGATGCCTAAAATAGGTCTACGTATGAATTATACGATAACAGTTCTATATAGTATATGATACTATTGAGTGCTGAACGATATTCGATCAGCGCATGCGCAACCGAATCATATATAAACAGGTTAGCGCTCTCTCTGTCGTCAGCTGCTTGTTGCAGACGAAGCCGGTTATATTAATCCGACAGAAAAATAGCGTGTTTTGAATCGAAATGGCGTTGAATATCAAGAAAGTGTTAATTAGCGATGAGATTGATGAAAAGTGTGTGAAAATTTTACGCGACAATTCAATTGAAGCAGTTAAAAATACAAAATTAAGCAAAGAAGAGCTGCTAGTGGAAATTCCCGTAAGTACTCCACTTGGCTAACGGAACTTTCCTAACCCTGACGGTGACCTAATTTATAATTTTTCTCTTCTAGAAATACGACGGACTAATCGTCCGATCAGCCACCAAGGTTACTGCTGAGGTCATCAATGCCGGAAAGAATTTAAAAATAATTGGAAGGGCCGGCACCGGCACCGATAATATTGATGACAAGGCTGCGACGAAGAGAGGCGTTGTAGTTATGAACACTCCTGCCGGTAACACGTTGAGTGCTGCAGAACATACTTGTTGCATGATCGTGTGCCAGGCCAGGAATATCGCCGAAGCCAGAGCCACCATGCGCGAAGGTAAATGGGACAGAAAGAAGTTTATGGGAAACGAGCTTTTCGGTAAGACACTCGCTATCATTGGTCTAGGAAGAATCGGTAGAGAGGTGGCAACTAGAATGCAATCCTTTGGTATGACTACAATTGGCTATGATCCCATCATACCTGGATCAGTCTCAGCTGAATTTAATGTCGAATGGCTTGAACTAAAAGATATTTGGCCTAGAGCAGATTATATTACAGTTCATACCCCCCTAATTCCACAAACAAAAAATCTCTTGAACGACGAAGTGTTTGCAGCTTGTAAGAAGGGAGTTAAAATCATCAACTGTGCCAGAGGTGGTATTATTGATGAAGCTGCTCTTATTAGAGCCCTGGACAGTGGACAGTGCTCTGGAGCAGGTCTTGATGTTTTTGTTCAAGAGCCTCCGCCCGCCGATGATCCCCTTCGAAGTCATCCTTTGGTTACTTGCACTCCCCATTTAGGTGCTTCTACCGTTGAAGCACAAAATAGAGTTGCCGAAGAAATTGCTCAACAATTTGTTGATGCAAGAGACGGAAAACAATTATTTGGCGCAATTAATGCCCAAGCCTTAACGAACGCTCTAAAACCAGAAGCTCAGCCGTGGGTTCAATTGGGCAAAGATATCGGCCGCTTGGCTGCAGCTTTATTTAAAATTGACTCATCAACAACAGTCAAATTGATTACTATGGGTCCCGACTTTTCCCAGGCTAAATCTTACCTTCCGGCTGCCTGTCTGATGGGTCTGTTGAAAGATGATTCATTAAATTTGGTTTCAGCTCCAGCTGAAGCTAAATTGAAGAATATATCAGTTAGTGCAGAACATCACGAGACCCCTTGTGGTCCTGTAATCGATTTGGAAGTGAAAAATGGTGAAACTTCCGTTCACTTTGGAGGTGTATGCAGCCTCACTCATGGAATTCTTGTACAACTGGACGGTTATTTTGCACAACCGGTAGTACTTGAAGGTACTTTGGCTTTTATTGATTCAAAATACTTTCCCAAAGTTCTGGCAACAGGTAATTAAAATTTAAATTCATTGGCAATTTTCATCACAATTTTCTATATATTTCATTACAGCTACAAAAAGTGATAAACCCATAATGACCTCATTTTCAACAACTAGGCCTAATTCATCATCGAATTATTGGTGTGTCCTTCAAGTTGAGGACGGCTGTACAAGTTCTAAACTAGGATTAGAGGATGCTGAAGTTGTCATATTGAAATTTAATGATCCTCAATGTTAAATATCTAGTGTCATATTTCTTTCAATCACAGGGTAGTTACCTAAACACCTGATTTTAATAAATATTTGACAATTTTTAGTTCTCGTCAATAAGAGCTTTTGACTTTTTTCTTCCATTGACTAGGTTTATCGCTTAATTATTCATTCAACCTTTGATCTACTAATGTTATAATTCAAAATTTTTCAAAACTTTATATAGAATCTTTGAAACGAACTTTCTACTTTGTTCTTTTTTTTTTTATTCAGTTTCACAATTAGTTATCTATTCTCCAACCTTTGATCTACAAATATTACAATTCAATTATTCTAAAACTTTTTAAGTAGAGATAATAGCTTGAGAGAATTTCCTATATCCTCCTGGACAGTCTAAACATAGTCTACATAATCAAGATCTATTATCAACTAATATCAATAAGATTTCCCTTAGTGAATAAGCTATTTTGTAAAGGTTTTTTGGTAATAGAGTAGGGGGAGGGGATGGAATTTATCATTAAAAACTAGAATAACTAATTATTTTATACTTAAAATGAAATGAGGATGTGTGTTTTATTCTCCTCAAAATATAATGTGAAATTCAAGTGAAAATGTATTCATCTTTACCAGTTTAAATTCAATCAAGGCCAAATAGAATAAAGACGCTACCTGCTAATTAATATTTAAACTAAATAAGGAATGAATATTTATTCGTTCGTACATCTTTAACATAACAATAAACAAAATCGAAAAGAATGAGATTATTTGGATAATACTTTCTTTTCAAGATCTTTCTAGTTTTGCAACTAAAAAATTTCATCATTTTTTCAAGATTTTTCCAACTTTTGTATAAGTTGATTGGAAGCTGGTAAATCTCCATCCAAATTTGGTATTGATAGATCCGCACCTGATTTTAACAAAATTTTCAAAATTTCTTCATTCTCGTTGAGTAGAGCATAGTGTAATGGAACTTCTCCTTCTTTATCTTTAATATTAATATTTGCACCATGTTCAATTAGTATTTGAGCAATATCTCCTCTTTCTCTATCACATGCCCAATGCAACAGACTTAGACCGGATTCATCTGGCTTATCTAGCATTCCTGAGTTGTTTTTCAACCAGACCCTTAATTCGCTTGTTAGGCCGTCTTTACACCATTCAAATTGAGGTTCACTTTTAGACATATTATCGTCATCTTTACTTTTCGCCATAACACTTACTGATTTTGGAAGTTGTGTTCCTTTATTTCCTCCAGTTTCGGGAAGGTTAAGGGAATTGTCGGCAACTTCTTTCAATAATGAAACATAACTGCTCATAGCGTCCTGTCTGCTCATGCCTTCCAAAGCTTTCCATGCTTGCCATTTTTTTTTAGCTTCAAATTCGTAGAATGCCGGCTTAGGTGTATGGCAATTTCCAAACGTTGCTTGCTTATACCTAAGTACAAAATTTGTAAGTCATATGAAATGGTAACAGACTGAATTTTAGGTCTCTTGGTCAAAACAAAAAATAATTCATATTTAGAAGCAATTAACAAACCTTGCGTACAAAGATAATAATTGATCAGTATTTAATTGATCAGCCATGACTTTCACATAGGTAGTTGCACGATTAAACTCTTTTAAGAGCATATTATCTCCCGTAGAATTCATTACGAGAAGGAATCTAGCAGATCAAGTTCAAGGCCGTTTGTCGGTGCAAATTATATATGACAAGATGGCAGCACTGTTAATAAGACTTTTTATTTTAAAATATTTAGATTGTAAATAGAAATCAACGTAAAACATAGTTAATTGACTAATGGAGTTTCTAAATTTTCCACTCGTACATGAACAGTTTTATGATAAACGAAATGTTCTAACGATCCTTTACCCAACTCTCTTCCAAAACCTGAACTCTTGACGCCGCCAAATGGTAAATTTGGTGGATAATCATTATATGTATTAACATACACAACACCACTTTCGAGTTTACTAGCCATCGTTGCAATTCTTCGAACATCGCTGTAAAAACAAAAGAAAGAACGAAATCAAGTAAGGTATTACAATAAATCAGAGATTCAATTCCATCTCTAAACAACGTGCCTAGTAAAGAAGCCTCCGGCCAGACCGAACGAAGTTGCATTCGCTCTAGCTATAACTTCTTCTTCTTCATTGAATTTGAGTAGCGTTAAAACAGGACCGAATATTTCTTCCCTTACAGCAGTTGCATTATCCTATTACGTAATAGAAAATACAAGTTGTAAAACACCAAACTAAGAAAGAATTGACATTACCGAAAGATTTGTAATAATACAAGGAGATATATAATTTCCACCTGAAAGTTCACCAGGAAGTTCTAACTTTAATCCTCCACATTCTATCGATCCGTTCTAACAATATGTCCATTGTTAACTATAAGTTTAACTTTAAGGAAACGGAAATTACTTACTTCTTTTCTAGCAGAGTCAATGTATTGTAGTATCTTGTTTGACTGGTTTTTATCGATAATTGCACCAACTTTTGTATCTTTGACAAGAGGATCACCGACTTTTAAATTTTCTGTTGCTTTTACTAATTCCTCAAGGAATTTATCATATATTGATTCTTGTACGAAAACCCTTGTTCCATTAGAACAAACTTGCCCTTGATTTAGGAAATTTGCCATCATAACACCCTTTAAAGCATTCTCGAAATTTGCATCATTGAAAATAATTAGAGGAGATTTACCGCCCAACTCAAGTGTTACTGGCTTTGGTCCTTCACTACAAGCTTTCATTACATTACGACCACCGATGACACTTCCGGTCATAGTTACTTTACGAACGAGCTCGTGTTTGATCAAAGACTCACCAACGGTACTACCCCCTTGTACAACATTAAATGTACCTTTAGGTATTCCACATTCGTATAATATATCAGCAAATAGTAGCGCTGATAAAGGTGTTAACGGGGATGGTTTAAAAACCATTGTATTGCCACAAGTTAAAGCCGGAGCTGCCTTGAAAACAGCCATCTGAAATGGATAATTCCACGCTCCAATACCGCAACAAACTCCCAATGGTTCTTTTTTAACGTAGCCATAACCGTCTTTAGTTTGTGAAAATTGTCCAGCATCTTTAACAAAAAAAAGGCAATAATATAATGCATAATAGTGGAAAATGCAAAATATTTAAAATATAAAGACAAATTAATCAGTTAAATAATTAAAATATTATTAATCAATAACCATCATAAGTTGTAGCTAAGGCCGCGTAGTATTCTAATGTAGCTGCACATCCTTGTAAATCTTCTACAGCTTCATAAAGCGTTTTTCCCACATCTTGGACCTCTACAAGAGCAATTTCGTCTGCTCTTTGCTGGAAGTATTTTGAGTAAAAAACGGTGTTCAAAGGTCAAAAAACATATACTTTAATCAGTTGTGCTGCATTATACAAAATTCGACCCCTATCTGCAGGCGCAAATTCTGCCCAACTTTTAAACGCTTCCGACGCCGAATGGACAGCAGCATCTACGTCTTCTATACTACTCTCTTGCAGTGTTTCAATTCGTTTGCCTTTATTTAAAAACAACTATTTAAACTATCTCGAGTCGCCTATCCCATTTTAAAAAAGAGTTCACCTGTTGCTGGATTTAAAACGTCTATTTCACTTTTGCAGTTTTTGCTGTTCACTCGTTTACCATGTAAATGGTGAAGAGCTGATGCATACCTTTTTGAGATATTTAAACTTAATTTGCGAAACCCAAAAAGCATTTTGAATGTCAGATTTTCTTTATAAAATTCAACTTTAACCTATTCAAGTGTTAGATTTTCCCCACGGAAAATTTCTGCAATAATTATACACACGTTTCGAGCGCCACCTACATTGGATTGCGCATGCGCATTAAATCGCCGCCGCCGATTTCTTTTGTTTGACTTCAGTTTCTCACTAAAATGACCACTCAACCGCACAGTAGAAAAAAGATCTGCTATTACTATGATGGTATGTAAATTAAGTTTTGAAATTAAAAAAAACTAGTAAATTTGCTTCTTTGACGAAGCAACTATAAGTGCGCTGAGTGATAATAGGGAATTATACACCTATAATATTTAGTACAGAATTCAATTTTATAACATGTAATTTTGTACCATAATGTGTATTAAACTTTATATAAAAGATGAACTGAGGAGTAAAACTAAGAAATTAAAACGAGATCTTTAAAGTATAAGTAAAAAGTAGCGGGAAAAAACGCTATAACTGCGACGACCAACGAATTCTATGCAGCACACAAAAAACTATAACTGCGAATATCATTGATTTTTGGAATTTCCAAATAGGTGATATCGGAAACTATTACTACGGACAGGGACATCCGATGAAGCCCCATCGTATAAGAATGGCCCATAATTTATTGCTTAATTACGGTCTTTACAGAAAAATGGAAATTTATGTAAGTTAAAATTGTATTTTAGTTTGTATATAGAAACTTCTTTTGTTTAAACGTTATTGTTTTTTCTTTTTTAAAGAGACCTCTAAAAGCCAGCGCAGAAGAGATGACAAAATTTCATAGTGACGAATATGTCAAATTCTTAAAAGGAATCCGACCCGATAACATGTCAGATTTCAATAAGCAGATGCAAAAATGTAAAGTTTTATTAATTTCGGTCATTTAATGTATAATTAATTTCATTCGTTTATATTTATATACAGTCAATGTAGGTGAAGATTGCCCAGTTTTCGATGGAATGTTTGAATTTTGTCAATTATCTTGTGGAGGCTCAATTGCCGGAGCTGTTAAATTGAATAGAAATCAAACTGATATAGCCATAAATTGGGGAGGTGGACTTCATCACGCTAAGAAATCGGAGGCTTCTGGATTCTGTTATGTTAATGACATTGTCCTTGCTATTCTTGAGCTTTTAAAGTATGTTTGTAAATTTAGCGACTATTTCATAATCAACACCATTATTATAGGTATCATCCCAGAGTTTTGTACATTGATATTGATATTCACCACGGTGATGGTGTTGAAGAAGCTTTTTATACAACTGATAGAGTTATGACGGTCTCATTTCACAAATACGGTGAATATTTTCCTGGTACAGGAGACCTTAGAGATATCGGAGCAGGGAAGGGAAAATATTACGCCGTTAATTTCCCTCTAAGAGATGGTATTGATGATGAAAATTATGAACAGATATTTTGTCCCGTAAGTTTTCAACTTATACTGTCTATATAAATATATATATATATATAGATTCTATTGATCTAAATCTGTAGAAATTATCCCTAAATAATCCAATATAGGTTATGCAAAAAGTAATGGAAATGTATCAACCAACTGCGATTGTTTTACAATGTGGCTCTGATTCTCTTACTGGCGATCGTTTGGGCTGCTTTAATTTAACTCTGAAAGGTTAGTTTAATAAATGGATTATCTATTTGCAATGAATGCATTATTTAATATTTTAATTTTAAATCAATTAGGTCACGGTAAATGCGTGGAATATATGAAGAAATTTAATCTGCCTCTTTTGTTACTTGGTGGAGGTGGCTATACTATTCGTAACGTTGCAAGATGTTGGACTTACGAGACGTCAATTGCTTTAGACGTCGATGTTGCTAATGGTAAGATACATTTGATTTATTATTATTTAATTAAGTAAATGTTTATATATTTATGTTTTTCTAGAACTGCCTTATAATGATTACTTTGAATATTACGGACCTGACTTTAAATTACATATCAGTCCCAGCAATATGACTAATCAAAACACGCCAGACTACTTGGATAAAATAAAAGCGAGATTATTCGAAAATCTTAGAATGTTGCCACATGCCCCCGGAGTTCAAATGCAAGGTTAGCCTAAATGAATATCTAGTTTAATTAGTTTTGAAATACTTATTTTTGCTTTTATATAGATATACCCGAAGATTCAATAAATATGGACGATAATGAAGACGACAAACAAGATCCAGATAAAAGAGTATCAAGTATGACTATTCTTTATAAACAGATAACTATTAATTGAGAGGACAACTACTTATGTCTATTTTGTTAGTTCGTGCCAGTGATAAACGAGTTATACGTGATGAAGAGCTTGACGACTCAGAAGACGAAAGCGAAGGACGAAAAGATCGCGAAAATTACAAAAATAAGCGTCTAAAGCTTGAAGAGGGCCAAAAGCCAAATAATGAAACAAACGGTGAAACGAAGATGGAAACCAAAGTTGAGACTGTTGAACCTCCACAAGAGAAGATCGAAAAGGCAACGGAAGATGTTGAAATGAAGGAAGCTACCCCCGAAAACAACTAGTGTTTCGGATTTAATATGTACTTTATTTTGGATTATGTGTAGTAAACAACGTAGTCTATCTTACTCCTGTACAGTAGTATTTTGTACAGAAGTATATTTTTCTTAAAATTAAACGTCTGACAAAGGCCAGAAACTTTTAACGATAGCTATTACTATTTATCATTATTCACATAAAGATTTTTTTCTAGACAAGTAAATGTATTATGGCAAAAAAAAAAATCGATGACGGCATTAGAGACAGTGACTATACATAGCAGATCATTCGGTCCATTCTCTCTTATAATAAATTGTTATTTTCTTTTTTTTTTCAGATCTTGTAAAATATTCACTAAAAAAGTCTTTTTGTAAGAAAAAATATTGATAAAATCTAAAACGTTTTAAAATACAACAAAAGAGCACTCGAACAACATCAGAGTATTAAGAAATTGACTTCTTATTGCTAACTACTTTTTTTATCCATTTTTTAAAACCATAGAGTTATAAACATAACACATAGATTGTATATATAGATAATTAAATATGAGATTACGAAATACATAACTAAATAAATTCTCTTTTTTTATAGAAAATACTCTCCCCTATTCTATTCAGACTTTATGTCTGGAACATCATTATGTATAGCTTTCTTTTCTGTACCGCCATTTGTGTTGGTTCCGTTTCCTGGGTTGTTGTTTGTATTGCCAGCACTTCCTCCGCTGCTGCCACCGCCATTTCCAGCTCCAGTGGGCCAAGGACTGTTCATCGGGGAAACACCAGCTGACGTGGGTATTTCTGAATTTTCCGGTTCGAATTGGTTATTCTCTAAGCGTGTTATAAGCCTTTCGTCCTCGTCTCCGAATTCTCCGCCCATCAACGTAGGTTCTCCAACAACCATCACATCACCGGGTGTGAAGCCCTGAGGTCCTTAAATTAGAGAAAAGAAGAAAGAGAAAAGTTTGATGAGAATGTTTGATAAAATAGTTTAAAGAATAAAACACAACATCATGTACAGTATACTGAAAATTGTTTGACCCTTTAAACTCTTTCCCGCCCCCTGCTATTCCTTAAGATTTTATTAACAAACTAAACCTTTGAAGTTGTTGGGTGGGGTAAAGGCGTTTTAATTCCACTTCAGAAAACTTACCAGGAGAACGTTTTTGTTTAGGCGTGCTTTCTCTTGAACCAGCGCTCCCTCCTGGAGTACCAGCAGCTCCTGCTGATGACTTTCTTTTTCTACGTTTGTTCGGTTGTCTCGACGATTCTTCAAAGTGAATAATAAAATAACAATTAAATAATTTATCAAATAAACATAACCGAAAAATAAACACCAAGATTTTCGCAAAAAATCAGAGAGAGTATATAAAAAACTGATGAAGTTATGTAAGATCTTTGTCAATATACTGCATATATATAAATATATATATAAATATATATATATATATATATCCTTTCACTTTGTTAATAAATGTTATTTATCAACTAATTAACCATTAAATGTTATCTTTGCAAAAAAAGAAAATTGTAGTAGTGGTAGTATTATTATTATTTATAGAAGGAAGAAAGAGAAAAGAAGATAAGGAAGAGAAGGTAGTTAAAAATTTTAAGTTTCTCTTTTTTTAATAACAATTTTATCTTTGTTGTTTTTTCAATACTTTACGAAAACGACAGATATGAAAAATGGAATTGTTCAAGGGGAAGAGAGAAAGAGAGAGAGAGAGAGAAGAAAAAGGTATGATACGGGTGTAAAGAAAGAGAGAAAGAAAGAGAGAGAGAGAGAGAAGAAAGATAGAAAAAGAAAGAAAAAGTAATAAGAGAACGCAATCTAAACCATTTACTTTTCGCTTTGTCCGATATCTCGTTTGCGTAGGTAGAAGACGCTAAATGACGTCAAAGTTGTAAAAAAAAGTGGTTTTTTGTTTGTTTTTTTTGGGGATACTATAAATTATTAAATCGATATTTTTTCCTATTTTTTATACTAAAAAAAGTTGCTTTCTGTCTATTTTCTTAAGAATTATATACTGAATATACGAAATGTATCAAATGAAAACAGAACTATATGTTTAAAAAAGAGTAGTGACGTTGTTAATACTATTTATTTCTTGGTAAAGAAAACATTGTTTTTTTTCCAAACTGTATTTTATATATCCACTTATATTCTATTTATTTTATTCTCTTTTTAAATCTTATTTATTAAATGTTGCAAGTATAATTCTTAAAAGCGTTGTAAGTAACGCAGAAAGATATTTAGAAACAGTTGACAAAAATGGAATAGTTAGAATATTTCTTGTGTTAAAACTATAAAAAAATAAAAGAATAGTATTACCTCTTTCTCTCTCTCTCTCTCTGCCTGTCTGTCTGTCTCTCTATCTCAATTTCTCACTGTGTTTTATATTTTCTAGAATGAGTATTTTATGCTTTGTTTTGAATTTTTAAACTTTAGAGAATATCAGCTAAAGTCTATATCCCTGTTTATAAAAGTATTAACTATTGTATAGCAAAACCTAAAACTTAACTATTATAAATACTTTTTCCCTAAGCTTAATCAATGTGTGAATAAACTTGAAAGAAATGTTAAAATTATAGCCTTTTGATCTGTTAGAATAAAAAAACTAAGGCAGTTCCTGTTTTCATCTGATACCACCTTGTGCTATATACGATGTATTTATAAAATCTTACCAGGTGGCGCAACCATTCGTTGCCATTTCTGAAAAAGAGTAGTTTTCAGGCAGTCTCTAGGGTTCAAACCGTAAGCCTTATGACGCGACATTAACTCCTGCATCGGCTCTAGTATGACGCACAGCTATGATGAAAATTATAGATAAGTCATAAAGAAAATCAATTCTTAGAGAATATAAGAACTGTTACCCTTAAAAAATTCAATGTGTAATTGGTAAGACCTTGCCGAGTAATGTTTTTCGTCAACTGCTCCATCATACCAGCATCTTGTTGTTGCATGGCTATTACATTACGCGGTATAAATTCTTTGAAATTCCTCATACTAAAATTCCACGATCGAATTCTCATCATGTCGTCACAAGTAAACTCCAGCAAGAGTCTACCTTCTGTAACAACCTTGGTGAAAAGTGGTTGACCGTGATGGGTGACCTGAAACGCTTGATCGCAATCCAATGTTATAGTTGTGTTATGAAAAGATTCCTTGTATTTCTTAACAACAAAATACAAATCAGTAACGCCTCCTTCGAAGATTGACCGAAAATAACGCGGTATCAATGTCCGTCCAATTGCTAGGTGAGAAAATTAATTACACGTATAGTATTTATCTTTGGATAAATACACCATAATCTTAAGTAGATATAATTAATTTGTATTTCAACATATACGTTGTCTTATATATATTGTTTTCAGTATATTGTATATGTTTACATACAATTGTGTATATATAAGGACTAATGCTTACTATATCTTTTGAGACCATCCTCTAAGCAGAATTGTAAAGTTAGTATCGCGTCATCTTCGAAAAATTCAGTTGCGAAAGCATCCCACCATAAATTTTCACTTTGATCCAATCCCATACTCTAAACAAAATAAAAATAGAACATTCAAATATAAACAATACACGTAAAATCACACAAGATAAAGAAAATTTATTTATATGCGTCTAAAGACATTTGTTTACAAACCTCGCATCTTTGTGCTAATCGCTTATTTAAGTCGAAAATTCTGTAATCCGGTTGACCCATGTATGGACGTCTGTTTTGATAAAATGGTATAGTAAATGGGGAGGCTTCGTATGCGGAATGAAAGGGATGATAAGGTTGTAATGGCATATTCATCGTTGGAAACAAATAGAACTCCACAAAACTCGACAAACTAATAGTAATAAGAGTATTGGCCACTAGGCGGAGTTGTTATCGTTATCTCACGCCTTTCTAATAATTTTCCAATATCCGAACATTACGCGTTAAAACAGTCGGTAAACTTTCACAAGCGCAAACAAAAACATACGGGTAGCATATGCCGATAAAAGCTGAAAAAGAATAGAATAGAGGAAAAAACGTAATCCAGTGTTGACTAATCTAGTTTCCGTTATTGAATTATTCAAAGTCAAATCTCGATGAGACGTCAAAAAAGGGGTGGAAAAACCTGGGCACTCATACGCTTCATAAAACAAAGCTAAGAGCTACTAATAAAATAATGTTCCCATGACTACGTAGTCGGGGCCAAAACGAGTGTCCTTGGTTTGTTCTTAATGATTAGCGAGAGTTTTAGCTAAATTATCGATCGTGCTAAAGAGGAGAGGTAAGTAGAAACCTTTCCAGAACGTGCAATAGAAATACAAAGAAAACTTAATAGATAATTCAACAGATTTCTCTCCTCATTTAATCTAAGCGAAGAGAAAAAGCGTCCAAATAAAAGAGATAGATAGACAGATAGATTTAGACAAAAAGTTATTTAAAAAACAAAAATAGAAATACCACAATATTGCCCGACAGAATGAGAGAAGGAAACTGCGCAAACTTCGCAGCGGCGTCCAAATAAAACGCCACCTGATAAGGCATAATAAAGGCGAAGCTTATCAGTTAATAAGAAGAAACGTTTAAGTCTCTTTAGCCCCTTCAGTACATAGTTCATTCTGACATTTTCTTATCCAAGTACGCATTGGGACTTAATTAGATATTCAAATCAGCTATAAATCTCGATAGGAAAAAATCTGGACGTTAAGGTTGCTTATGGTATAAGACAGATCACGTAAATAGAGATAACAATCTTTCTCTGTTTCTCTGTCTCTATACAAATAACAGTGCCTCACCTAGGAAAATGATGCCATCTGTTGAGCAAGGTAGAAAGTTTTTAACGAGGACTCGCGTTAAATTATTAACGCTTGTCGCCATATGCTGGTATATTGACGTACAATTAAGCATCTAATTATTTTACTTGACATAAACCTACTATTTCAACGGCTTCCTTTGAATATACAATGAGGCTACTCCTTTTATCGATTGGACAGACAAGGAAAATTGCGTATACGAAAAATAAGTCGCAAGTTTATACTTACGGAGGTGGCATATGATGTCCCGGTGGGCCGCTCATCATTGGTCCCATTGGAACCATAGGCATTGCATGTGGTGGAGGAATTCCACCTGCCATCGGCATACTTCCCGAAATAGGAGGACCGCCATTAGGTAAAGAATTCATTGGCATAGGCACACCAGTGGGTGGCATAGGTCCAGGTGTCAAACTGTGAGGGGGCAGTGATGGATCAGATCCTGGCATTGTCCGGTCCATGGGAGGTACCGGACTGTGCATGGGCCCAGGCGCCATCCTATGTCCAGGAGCAGCTGGACTAGGGGTAGAACCCGCAATATCCAGACTGGCGTCTTGGGGAGACGACTTTCTGGTACGCCTTCTTTGACTCGGAATCTGTAACAGCAACGTATTTAACGAGGCGAATAAAATCGCAGCGACAAATAGAAGTTGACAAGGCAAACCGAAAAAGGGTCTGACATGTTTGTTCAAGAGATATATTTTTCGAAAAGCGGTAGTTGATGTGCATTGTGATCAGAGAGAGAAATAATGAATTGATGGGAGGGAGGTTTAAACAATAACAACGGAATAAAAGGGCTGGATGAAAAAATTATAATGAGCGATAAATGAGCGTTTTAAAAACAATTAAGATACAACAAAGCCGCTTTACCTCCAAACTACGCACCCTGTCTACGCTAAATTTCCTAGTAAACGTTTCCAAGTACAACAAACCTTGGCGTCTTGTGGTCACTGAAGAGAATTCAGTGCTTATCAGCGAAAAAAAATTAAAATATTCAGTTCTGCCGACACATCGATTGTATACACCGCAAGGAACTATGGGATTGTTATGTTTTCAACGCTCTTCCCTGAATGTACCATAGATGGCGCACTATGTTACTACGGCTATAGTATGGCGGTAAGCAATTAAATGCTGCGTCGCTTATAATTAAAATGATAAGCGAAAGAACAAGATGAAAGGGGACGAAATAGTTGTTAACTACATATGTATCAAAGCCATGCCCAGAAACGCGGAAGTCGCTTGTCATAGACTGCTCGCGGAAATTTGTGCTTTTATGTAAAAACAAAAAAAAACAAAAAAAAAGAAGATAAGAGCAAAACGTAAGATTTTTCTCTAATATGAATAAATTTCAATTAATATTGCTGACGGATATAAGCTAACGAGCGTTTGATAGGTAAATTAACGGCTTTAAAACGTCTCAGTCGATTGCATTGAACGTGATTACGATGGCACGTCTGACGATATTAATTGCCTATTAAGTTCGAAAAATGGCGGGACTTTTGTCTTGGAATTCAACAGAGCGAAAGGCAAGCTATTCTCTTATAATTCCGCCTAATGGTCATTGCATTGCATATGAAAAGTTTTAGTCCCAAAACGATAATATTTATTCCTTCCTCCTTCCTCAATCAAATATTATAAAACATAAAAAAATACCTTATAGGTATAGACATATTCTTGTTGACGAATTATTCAGACCTCACACGATCCTATCAATAAAAAGAATGTTCTTTTATTTGAAATTATAGCGCGAAAACGGAATGATTCAAAAATCATGGTAAAGGTTATCGAGTGCAAGCCGAGTATTGGTCGGTCGATTGGATAAGAATCCATGAATATTCATCGCTTATATATATACAAATGTTGTATTTACACTGGCGCGTGCTGAGGATGAGATAGTGATTTGCGTTTTACACTTTCTTATATATGTTTATTCAAAAATAACTTCTTGTTTTGTTTACATTCTTAAAGGAAAAAGAAATTCAGTGGTAAGTAGTTTGTCACCAAGTGTTTGTATAGGCCTAAATATCGACTACACCCACGTGTGTAAACATGACTTTGGCCTCTGATAGATCCTCTACAGCTGTCCCTACTGTTCATATAGACTTCTATTTTTACAGCTTTTTAGCTATCATTTTCATTTTTTTGTTTTGTCGTTCATTAACCTATTTTTTTTCTACAATTAAAAAATAATACGTACATTTTCGCCCTATAATTTGAATCATACTTCTCTTGCTCACTTATCCCACTCACTCGCTTACTCTCTTTTCGTTGTCTTATACTCATATACTGTATATAGTATAGGTATATTATCTTCTTGGTCTTTATATTTATAATTTCTATCAAATTTGCCCTCGAATTTAACTTCTTCATCGTAATCTTAACAACGTATAATTCGTCGTCGTCTTTCCTTTCGTTTATATTTTTATGGTTAGTTTGTTTACATAGTTTTAGATAGCGTTCGTTATGTATACAAGAGAAAGTCGGTTGATTATCTAAAAGTGTGCAGAGCTTCAACTTTTTTCTTCTTTAACCTTAATATTAGCTTAAAATATTAGTTCTTTAATAATATTAAAGCTATCTCTTTGCCTATTTTTATTCAAAATACTATAAGCAGAGAGTTCATATAAAATGTTAGGCCTAAAGCTTGACTTTTTTTTCTAATAAAAGTTTTTAAAAGCCTCTTTATTTTCGTTTCAGGATTTGACCGACTTCTAGGAAAGCTAGGCCTTTTTAAAGCACCGGACAACCCCTCTTCAGAGAGCGAAAGAGAGATAGCCGCCATTTACAATATCGATATCAGGATTTTCTTTTTGTTTTATAGATTTGATAAGATTGAAAAACAGATCAAAACAAAAATAATTTAAAGTTAATAAAATAAAAAAAGAGGATATGCTCTCCATGGAGTTCTCAGTATTCGATGCCGAAGCAAGATACGGCTACGAAGACTTTTCAAGTAAGTTTTAAATTATAGTGATTTGTGTGATTTCTATTTTTTTGGCGCTGTGACGGAGTTATTTCGGTCGCATTTTTTTGTCATTGTATTTTATTTTTCTTCGGAGCGGCGCGTTCATCCTTATCCTATTCTCTCGACAAGTTGCATCGCCTAAGGGCACCACTGTCAGTGAATTATAGCGGATGAGGGATTGGGAGAGGGGAGAGGGGAAGGGAAAAAAGTTTTATTTAAATAAAATTAGAATACGGATAGGAGATGAAACGCTTAAACGATAAGGGAAGATCGTAGGGGGTTTTCCGAAAGTAGGTTATTTATGACTCTTCATGCGATCAGTCAGCGACTGTTCTCTTTTTTACCACTTTATCGCTAATAAATTTGATATTGGGAGAAGAGGGGGAGGAGGGGGTGGAGTTTTGAAAATGTAAATGTACATCAACACTACTATCAATAGAGAGCAACGATGTGTGAGGTCAGTTGTTTTTTATTTCCGACTAATCATGCCCTTCGAACGATAAAACGAGCTTTAGGAATGCGCTTCAACTCAAACTTATATAGACAGACGGGCATACACTCAATCTTTCTTTCTTTTGTCTTCTTGTAGACTCATTCTTTCCACTATCGTTAATTTTTTATGTTGTTTATTTGTTTATCCTATGTTATTTAGTTATCGTATGTCTCCTGCGTATCGTTTAGATGAGGTCATCTTTCGACTTGATAAAATTGCAAGAGTTAATACTGCGCTTTCTTGTGTTCGATTTTTTTTGTATGTGTATGTTTATTTATCTGTGAATTTAGAAAAAGATCTTACATCTTAAGCCTATTTGCAAATAGTTCTCAGAGAATATAGTAATGGCGGACAATAACAAAAAAAAAATTGATGAGTAGGAAAAGAAGAAAATACTATCTCACATATGAGAAAGAAATGAAATAAGAAAAAAAAAACAAGTAACTTGCACCGGAAGACCTTTTATGAATCACTGTCGATCGTTAGTATCGGAATTCGATCGTTAAACGAGAGATCAATGCAGCTTTAAATAGAACCAGAAAAAAGTCCACTGCCTCTCTCCGCTACGCGCCGATAAACTTTTCCGTCATAATTTATTCACATAACCGCTTTATACAATAGCTGCTTTTATGATGCATTTTTCGCTGTAGTATATTTACAATGCCGTTTCTATACGTTTCCTGTATCAGCGTTTTAAACGGCAGTTGTTCTGACTGTTCTAGGTCATTAAACAATTTAAGATAAATCCACGTTTGCGTTACGGTAAATGGGATATATGCATCCTGACCGACTGTCCAAGTAGCAACATGTGTGCAGTATATATCATGTCACTAACATGTCATCATATTTCATAATTAAACATCCATAGCGCGAATTGTTGACTATTTTATTGAACGATAGATGGCGGCCTCCCTTAGTACGGTATCTCTTCCGTTTTCAAGCCGTCCGCTGCCCATCCCGGCTTGGAAGACGGTCGCCTCTAAAAAATAGTCACGTGATAACAAGAGTGTAATGGCCAGGTAGAGGTTTGTTGAGTACTTTTTTTGATATATTTTCAACTTTTATCGTAACTTTACTTGTACATTGGATCATTAACATATCTTCAATGTGTTTTCGAATCATTTCAAGTCCTATTGATACGCGATCATCTCATAATAACGTCTTTCGTAAGCGATTTTCGGAAGCTAACTTGTGCGTTAGTAAACCAACTGGCGATATCTATTTGGAAAGTAGGTCGGCGATTTCACCTTGAGTATAGGCTTATCTTATCTACCCTATTATTGATCTCTTTGATTAGGAATAGCTTTTTGAAACGATGACTATAAGTCACTTCTTAGCTGAAGCGTTTTGTTTGGCCGTTGACGCTGAGCGATATTCAGCGGATAACCGAGGTTATGTTTACTGTGACGTCACCATGACGCAATTTGGAAGCGGGAAAAGATTTTCGATTTTTATCTGCTGAGCTGTCAAATTCGGAGGCAATTCATTTCAAGAGACTAGATAGACTGTTTGCGAATAGATATCTGTTGTAAAAGATAATTTTGCAATATCTAAAGAATCAGGAATTAAAATAAATCAATTCTTGTACTTTCCTTTTTCTCTTTTTTATTCTATCTCTTTTAACCGATGAAAGCAAAAGCAAGCCATAGTGTAAGAGAAGAAATGAGATTTATGCTATTCGGCGATCAGACCAACTTAAAGATGATGACATTTAGCTCAATTTACCCTAAACTGTCTGACGAATACTGTAGGCGGCTTATTTGCTTTCTATGGCATCGTTAGTTTGCCCGGCTCCTTCTTCGATAGCCGTTCGATGTCTGTATTACGCATCGATGGCCTGTAGGCTGTAATAAAACTAGAGTAATATAACGTATACATTTATTGTTTACATTTGGTAATTTATATCCGAACATCGAATCTGCGTAAACGTCGATCTCGATAAAATGCGAATAATAGATAAAATAACATTTTATAATATATATATATTTTTTACAATCCTTTTTAGTAGATACCGTTACGTGAAAGATTTACAAAAACGAGAGTAACAGATATTAAGTAATGCGCGAGCTTATTACGATTAATGTACTCCGAATATGTATATGTGACGTCACGCCAATGAGAGACGATTGGCGCGCGCGTATATAAAAATTGTATACGCATACGTTCTCGGTGACTTTTTTTCTGGAGAAAGATGTCGGCACAAGTGAAGTTCTATCAGAACCTTCCGCCCTTATCTTTAGAAGATGTTACACAATTCGTCAACAATCCTGATGTCGGTTTCGGCGTCGACTTTGATGAGAACGGTAAGATAAGTCTAGCCCAACTATTTTAATCGTCAAACTTTTTTTTACTGCGCATCAACGTATTTTTCTACCTTACCTTACTTCCCTTTGTCAATTATATCGTAATCAAATCCTTTAAATATTATTGTGGCTGTGTTAATTACTAAGTTTATAGGTTGTAAAATTAAAAAAAAAAGCGAGAGAAGGAATGGAATAGACGAAACGCAAAGAAACTCTTCTTTGAGTAAATAAAAAAATAGAACGTTTTCTTAATTGTTCATTTAATACCTTTTTTCCTTTCGTATAATTTTTTAATTTTATTATTTTTCTATTTACTTTATACTCTATTTAAATTTTTAAAATGCATTTTGTCTTTATACATATATATATATATAGATATATATATATTCAGTTTATATATTATTATTTTCTGTGTTCTTTGTAGAAGCGTACCGAATATAAGTATTCTATTCTAGGGAGTGACTGAATTCGCATTTTATAATCGAAGATAAATTTAGAAATATTAGTTTTTTTTTCTTTTTCATCGACACCGACGAAATAATTATCTACCTGTTATTTTTTTGTACCGTTTGAAAGCATTCGAAAAAAAGAACGACGAGCGTTAAATGTTCCATAATGGAACGTGCACTTCCGTATATCCCGTTGTTTACGAGCATTTTGATTATGTTTACGGCATGTAATATATTTTTTAGTAAACGTCTCTTTATACTATAATTCGACGTCAATTTAGTGAATTTTAAAAAAGAAACTATTTGTTCTCCTTTTTTATTATAGTGTTATGAGGAATGAATGAGACAATAAGAACTTTTTCCCGATAAAAAAGTTCTATATTGTTGTGTTTGCTTAAATCTTTTAGGGCGGCCCTCGATAGACAAGGCCAAAATCCGTTGGCCGTTTTAATAAAATGGGTTATTAAAACACAATAAAATGTTTAAGAATCCCGCCCTTAATTGTAAGATATTAAGGAGGGGAATTGTTTCGTAGTTTACTTTTTTTTCTATTTGACAATTTACTTTCTTCCGTCTTTAAGTTTCATGTATAAAGACAGAAGTTGCATTAATTAATCAACGATTGTAGCGCAAATGAAACGCTCTCGGTCGACTATAGTCGGGAAAAATGTCAGGTTTTGATGTCAGAAATGCCTGCCTCTTTTGAACGCCTACCTCTTGATTGGCGTTTCCTTTGTTCATTCGTCATTGATGTACGGGTGCCACCGCAAAAATGACATCTGAACGACGCCTCGAGGCATTTTACGGCGCTTTTGATCGCTATTCTTTTAATGTGTAAGCGCGCCTTCGCTACTGACGTCATTTTTTGGTTTTTTTCTACCTTATTCTTTCCCTTCTCTTTCCCTTTTTTTTTAATTAACGTCGTCGATGCGTAGATGTGATTTGTCAGCGAAAATAAGCGTGTCTTATTGAATAATTGTCGTAAGATGATGTCTAAATTAGCTTTTTTCTCTGCCGCACGCCGAGTTGACTTGTTGAGCAAATGAGAGGGTGTCCTATAAGATTGCTATGTCAAATCCCTTGTGATTTGATGTGTGAAAAGCATATTTATGAATATTAAAATGCAATACTTTCGTTTATATTTAAACGCTTGTACAAACAATTGAAAGAGCTTTTTTTAAGTAACATAGATTGTAGTTATTATAAAGCTGTATCCCAAAGAAGAAAATTTGAGCCGAGCTTTTTTTTATATTAACGAATCATTAAAGAATTATGAATGTTTGATCAGCGCTGATATTGTTTTAATGAGTATACCATATACGGGCGTTATATAAGGAAAGAGAATGCGAAAAGGGAGAGACGCCTGACACGCCCTTGTAAAAGTACCTTTTTATTTTTCTTCTCTATCATTTGGCGCCGAGCAGATTGTCTTTGTTCTTATAATCGCGATTGGCCTCAAGCTTCTACGTATGAAAAAAGGTGGATGCCTTAATTAAAGATAGTTTGTGATAATTACGGTTAGGCCTAAGTCTAGGGTGTGGGTGACGGTTTTTGGTAACGCCCATTTCGCTTCTATTGTTCGATTTCATACAAAGACGTATTCTTTTTATTGTTCGTCATCACGTTATTTCCGATTCATGTTAAACATTAATATTTCTTATAAGAATAAATAATAAAAAAGAGGAAATAATGTATAGACGACTGCTTGTATCATTTCATTATAACTATTCAACGTTCATGCGGGCTTTCATCCGAAATGGTCCATGGGTGTGGCCGCTGATTGCAGTCAATGAATAGGCGAAAAGTCCTTTGATCTGCAACAGCGTGATGTAGTGTTTTTGACACGTTATGCCATCACACCCTTGATTTTATGATGCTTTTATTTATCGTTTTATGCTCAAGTACGCTAAAACGTGTCGATGTAGTTTTTATTCTCTTTTCTCTCCACCTCTGACAATACGGAAATGAGCGTTTTCCTATCTTATCCAGGTTGCGCTTATGACCAAAGATATCAGCCGCCCTACGTTCCTCAGGCGTCAAACGATCTTGGTGGGAGAAACCTATGGCACGACATGGATTCGGTTTCGATTAAAGTTCGTTTATATTTACGCTATTGTTTTCTATTGTGTATGTTATCTGTTAAATTTTTATCTACGTAGATGGAAATGCCAGAGACAGGACCCCAATACGATTACACAGCACATAATGGTCATATAATGCAATTACAAAATTCAAATAATTACCCTATGGCTCCTCAACAAACCATGAACATAGACACAATGATGCCAGATTATTCCAGTTCATCTCCTCCGGCAAACACATCCCCAACGTCTACAACAACTACTTCCGGCTCAAAGAAAAAAACGAAAGAAGATAAAATATGCGGTGTCTGCGGGGATCGAGCACTTGGCTATAACTTTGACGCGATATCGTGCGAGAGTTGTAAAGCGTTTTTCAGAAGAAATGCTCCCAAGGGGCTGGTAGGTTTTTTCCTTTCTTAACCTTCTCCTTCATCCCTCCTATATCCTACGACGATAAGCGATCTAATATGTTTTGTAGAAGTTATCAGTTTTTAGATATTTTTCCTTTTGTAGGTTTTTTTTATTGGTAGCAAATGAAACTTTTTTTTTCGTACGAAGGAAATGATGTTGTTGTAAGAGAGAGAAAAATTTATATTTTATCCTTTAAAAACAGGAATACTTTAAATGCCCATATGACGAAAAATGTAAGATGGATATTAGTAACAGAAGATTTTGTAAAAGATGCCGCTTAAAGAAATGCTTTGATATTGGTATGAGAAAAGAATACATTCTGACGGAAGAAGAAAAGGCAGCTAAAAGAAGAAAAATAGAAGAGAACAGGTTTGTTGAACTTTGTCACAGCCTACCAAAATATAACAGTTTATTAAATATCTATTTAATTATTTACTTATCGATGTTATATTTTTCTATTTTGATAGAATGATGCGGGATATAGAGCGACAGGGAATGACTAGAGGACAAGTACCGGATTTTGTTTATAGCGGACATTCCACACCCGCTAGCCATACAAGTCAAGTCCCAACTCCACCTATGAGTATGACCCACTCCCCAAACGGCCCAATGATTGCACCTCCGCCTACCCAACATCAACCTCAACAAATTATGGGCGGAATGTCTTCACCCATGTATAATTCAACTAGTCCGGATAGCAGTGCAATGTCACCAACTTTTCGGGCTCTATCTCCAGAGGAACACGAACTTATAGCAGAACTTGAAAGCGCTTATAACGCTAGTGTTTATGTCAAGCGTCAAGAGGCCGAACCATCAAGAGAATCAGTTCAGGATATGTCGGATCTGGTTAATATAGCTGAAATCTCGATTAGAAGGGTGATAGAAATGGTAAAAAAGATTTACGCGTTTAAAAAACTCTCGCAGGTTGACCAAATCGCCTTATTAAAAGGCGGATGCATCGAATTATTAATCCTCCGAGGTGCTCAAAGTTTTGACGCTGATAAACAACGTTTTCTAGAAGGTCAAGACTCGGAGGAAGCATCAGCTATGAATCTGGATCAATTAAGGCGAGCCGAGGGTTCTGACCTATTTAATGAACACATGATGTTTGTTAAGGATCTTAGTGTCGACTTGAAAGCCGATAGGACGACTTTAAGCATTCTGCTTGTCATCAATCTTTTCTCACCGGATAGACCAGGACTAAAAGATAAAATCGAAGTATCACTCCAACAAGAGAGGTATTCAACTCTCTTACGCAATTACCTAACAGAACATTACGGCCAGGCGAATGCGCGTTTTATGTTTCCCAAACTGTTACTCAAACTTACCGACATAAGAAATTTGAACGAAGAGCATTCGCAGATTTTGTTGAGAGTAAAGCCAGATGGTATTCAACCATTGATGCAAGAGGTTCTTAATCTAAAGTCTAATTAAGAATATAATTTCTTTGTTTTTTTCCAAGAGGAAAGTTAAAGCAAGCAGAACTGCACTTTTGTGTGTAAATATAGAATAATATATATATATATATATATATATATATATATATATATATATATTTGTATGAGTATAAATAAGTACATATAAAGACCTATATAAATATATCATTTCATATACATATATATATATATATATATCTGTATATATCTGTATATATTTATATAGTAACCTGAATATATATATATATATATATATATATTTAATGCATAGATGTATATTGTGTATGTTTTTTCATCGTCTGCAGACGTTACGCCATTTTTTCACAAAGATTGCCATTATTTCTTCTTAGCGATTCAAATAATCGCTACGTTTTCATTGTAATTTTTTATTCATTAATCATCATTAATTTTGCTATTCTTTTTTGTTCTTCGCTCGTTTTAATTTTTTTAATACTTGTAAAAAGAAAATCAAAGAAAGGTGAAAAGAAGGAGAAAAAAACAATGCTTCATAAATATTCTTTTCACCTTTTTTGGACACCTTTTAAAAGAAAAATAAGTCGAAAAAATTTATTGATAATATCTCTTTATTAAAAAAATAAGAAAGAAGAAAAAAGACAGAAAATAAAAATAAAAGAATAATTTTAATTCCTTTCTGTTTTTTTGAAAGAGAATTTTTAGATAAAAATTATTTTTTTTTTGCTATTGGTGTTTTCTTTCCTTTTCATTTAATTCTCTTATTTTTTATTTTTTTAAAAATTCTATCATCTCTTTTTTCGGCTTTTTCCTTTTACAACAAAAAATCGACCTTTTGTTTTTTTTTTTGTTCTTGTCCATAGAAACATTTTTATTAATTGCCATGTTTTGTTTTTCATATGAATTCTTTATCTATTTCCTGCTATGTCGCAAAACACTTCTTCCAAATAATTCTGAATTAGTTGACTAAAAGAAATGGAAACTTTTGTTTGTTTCGTCATACCGTTTTGTTTGCTTTTAACAATATGATGTTAATAATTTTTCATTTATTGAATGATGCGAATGTTTGCGAGAGGAGGATTCTGAGGTGAATGTTGACAAATGTAAATCAAGATAAGAAGTGGTAAAAACGAAAGAAATATGCGAAAGATGAAAAGAGAAAGTGAGATAAAAATGTACATAATCAGATAGGAAGAGAGATAGAAGCTTAGTGAAGGTGTGTGTGTATGTGTGTCAGAGAGACGGAGAGACAGTGGGGAAAAAATCAGGAATAAATAGAATAAGAGATATAACGGTAGAATGGAAGAAAGAAAGGAAATTGAAATCTTTTATATATATATAAACTAAATGTGAACGAAAAAAATTGGAAAAATTGTTGTGTAGCTGTAGAAAAGAAAAATTTGTATAAATGTTAAAGCAGGAAAAGCAAAAAATAACGTTGTTGTTTGTCAGAATGGAAATCGTTTCGTTAACAAAAAAAAGGGATAACAAATAGTGAATGCAAATGAGGTGCTGATGTTTATGCACTATTGTGATTGATAGTTGGTAAAAAAAAATATTTCAAATGAATGAAAAAATTCTTTTCTTTGTTTTTTTTTTCATTAAAAAAATCGTCCTTGCCACGATCTCGTTGCATCAAAATCTGAAAAAAAAACGTCGTCGATTCTGTGAAAGGAAAAAAAAATAAAAATGAGTATTTATATGCTAGAATGAACAAAAAAAATGATGCGTTGGGTGAATATTCAAGAAGGGAAATTTGTTTTATATTTTCTACAGAAAATCTTTTTTACATAAATATATATAAATATATAAGAAAGGGGAAAAAACGATAAGCAAATAATACTGTAATACATATAGTTGATTCTCTAATCTTTTTTATTATTCTAGCATATTAATGCTTATTTTATATATTAAAACTATAAAAAAAAGAGACAATATTTACGCATTTGTGAGCCTTTGCGTTTTATTTTCGTTTTTTTTTCACTTTTGTGCCATTCTATTATTGATAAATAAATTACTAAATAAAAATCTCGTCATGTTGATCAAATAAAATATCTTTGTATCATTGAAACACTTAAATTAATATTAGAAATATTTATATTTTTCGCGGGAAATGGAAAAATATTCGCAAATTATTAATAACTGGTCGTGAATCTTAAAAGAAAATTTTTTACACAAGGTTTGAAAGCAGGACATTCGGAACAATTAACTTGAACCGGCATGGCGTTTGTAAAACGTTTCTTATATTTGATCGTTCCTCTCTCGGTTGGACTGTATTTTGTTAGGTAAGTTGTTCTAGAAGAATTTGAATAGTATTATCCATTGTAACTATTTTTAAAGACAAATTAGAAAAGAAAAACGTATATGTTTATTTAATTAAAAAGTTACACTTTTTACACTTCATATAGGTACATCGTACACATCCAAATATATTTATATATAGTCTACATATATATACTATATATATTATGCTATATATGCCAATACATACCGCACAGTACAACTACATATAGCAACATATACTTACAGAAGGGATGTAAACTATTTATATATAGATAGATAGATATATAGTCAAACTGTACGTCATACACATACGTATGCATTTTAAAATATATATAAAAAAATACTGTATGATGTACGTATATTATGTTTTAGAGAGTATTTTCAAGGATGTAAGTACACCGGTAATGAAAGACTCGATGATAAAGTTGTACTTATAACCGGTGCAAATACCGGTATTGGTAAGGAAACGGCTAAGAATATGGCTTTACGAGGTATGCTATAAACTCACTCGCTCTCATTCTCTTATTCTCTTTATTTTTCTTATTAAAAATAATTACTATATACAACGAATATTTTTCTATTTAAAAAAAAATCTAGGTGCTCGTGTTTACATGGCATGCCGAAATCTTAATAAAGCCAATGCTGCTAGAGACGATCTACTCAATATTACTGGATTGCCGGCAGATAAAATTAAAGTTATGCAAATGGATCTATCATCGTTTAGATCGATTAGAAATTTCGTTACGGAATTTCATAAAGTGGAGGAGAAATTACATATATTAATTAATAATGCTGGAATTATGTTTACACCTTTCCTTAAGACTGAAGACGGATTCGAAATGCAGGTTGGAGTGAATCATCTAGGCCATTTTCTACTTACAAACTTGCTGATTGATAAATTGAAAACTTCCGCACCATCACGTGTCGTTACAGTATCTTCCCTTGCGCATATGTCTGGAACTGTTGAATTTGATAACTTTAGAGGAGAGAAGGGCTATTCTCGTATAAACTCGTATGGAAATAGTAAATTAATGAATATTCTCTTTGCAAAAGAATTGGGTAGAAGATTAGAGGGAACCGGCGTAACGTCATATAGTTTACATCCTGGTGGCATTGTAACTGATCTGCAAAGAGAAGTTTTAAATCCGTTCTTCGTTAAAGTTGTTCATGTGCTAGGCTACGTGTTTTGGAAAACTATTGAAAGAGGTTAGTAATTTCTTTCTTCTTGTTATTTTGTTTATCATACATGCCCTTCAACCATTTTCTCCTTCATCTTGTTTTCTTTCTTCCTCTCATCCAACATAAATTACCTAATAACTTCTGTTTTTATCATAGGTGCTCAAACTACAATTTATTGCGCTGTGAATGATAATGCGGGCAAGGAAACGGGCTTATATTACAGGTTTTATAGTTTATACACAAGGTGTTTATTATACTAATTAACCATCTTTTACATAATTTAGCGATTGCGCAGTTAAAACTCCATTTGGAGTAGATTCAGAAACTGCTAAAAAATTATGGGAAGTTAGTCTCTCCTTAACTGGTTTAAAACAGTAAAAAGGAGAAGATGTGAAGATAGTAAAAGTGATGTGGACATATATAGAGGAAAGAAGGATAGATAAATATATATACTTAAACTGTCATGATACACTAATATATTTAACAAAATACACACTTTTGTATAAATTCTATCTTAATTAACGACAAAATCAATAAAATGAAATTGATAAAATTAGAAATATTCCTTTATAATCTTTCTCTTTTCTTTTCTTTTCTTTTCCTTCTTCTCTCCTTTCTTTTCCATATATTTTTCCTTTTTGATTAAATCTTAAAGATAAAATATGACATGATAAACGAAAAACGTTTTACCTACTTATTATAAATCATAAATGAGAAAGAAAACTTTTTTAACTTGGGAATTGTTACAGACATACAGTCTATATATATATGTATATATATATATATCTGTATAATCATTTATTTTCATTAATTACTGATATCTCTTTCTCTCTTTCTTTCTTTTTCTCTTTTCACAAAAAAAGGAAGAAAGAATTTTCTAGTTTTTGTTCTTCACAAAAAAGGGGCGTCTCTTTTGCAAGTATATTTCAAGTGAATTTACAGTAATATATACTATATACACGTGTATATATAGATACATAGATAGATATTAAGAAAAGTGTATATGAAAGAAAAAACAAGAACATTACTTTACTGTGAATTGTAACAATCTTGTAATTTCGTTGTATTAACAAATAAGAATGTTAAGAGATTTTATTACGATTAATCAACTTTTTAATAATTAATTAATTAGAGTTAATCATATAGAAATGTTTTCTTCCTTCTTCTGTTTGTTTTTTTGCCTTACCTGGATTTGTAGTGTAAACACAGCTTAGATACTGTTTATATATATAAATATATATATATATATATATATATATATATTTATACACCACTCGATTTCCACTAATTTCGACTTTCCTCTTAAAAGCTTTGCCACATTAGAATAATTTAGATAATTAAAAAAAAAATTCAATACTATCTATTCATTCAAAATAACCAATTACTCTAGCTGTATATTGCTACTATTATTATTTAATTATGTGCTATATAATGTATATAACTAATATATACATATATACAAGTCACCTTACTCCTAGTTGATTTATAACCTCAAGTTCCGGTCGACCTAACCAACTCTCCATTTACCTAATAACCTTTGTTGACCCTTTAGTTCAATTATTTACGAATATCTGTAAAATATACGAGACTTGTAGGCGTTACGTTACGCCTTTAAATTAATGGAATAGAACATGGGAATTAAAAGAATTGGAAAGCAAGGGTGGGCGGTTTGGAAAGAAATTTAGGCCTATTTTCAAATGTGGGTAATAAAAATAAAGAAGATAAAGAAAAACATATAAAACAGAAGTGGCATGAAGAAATAAATAAACAAAATTGTTCTATAAAAGCTCTTTATTGGCATTCATTTCTAAAGAGTGGTTGCCCAATGAAAATTATACAGAAAGGGCTGTTGTATTCTCTCCGGTACGTAAGAAAGGTAGAATGACAGAAGAATTCATCCGAAAGATGGAGCCAAAGCGCGTAACTTTTTAAAACGAATTTGAAATCTAAGACAAAAGATTAAAAATTTAGAAGAAATGAATTAGAAAATATATCTAAAAATAGTATGAAAAAATAACGTTGTAATTATAATTTGAATAGCGAAAAAAGAGAGATATTTCGTCATTTGTAGCTAAATTAATGAAAAAAAATCTATACTACAAGTATGTAATTAACAGGTAAAGATGATACAGTTACAGAAATTAATCATACCTAGAGGTTAACTTTGATTTTTTTTTGGTTATAAATCTATTATTACGTTCATTTAATATTGCTATTGATTGAAATTCGCCTCTATTTTTTGTGTATATACCATATTAGGTTCCATTAGAAATGACTATTTTGATGATTATTAAGTAAATAGAGAAAGAAAACAACAAAAACAACAACTCTGATTGGAAGGAAAACTTTTTCTTCAAAAGTTTTATCTTCTTCTTCTTTTCTCCTTTTCTTTTTACTTATCTTTCAGTTCAACTATCTTCTTCATCAGCATCCTATCTGTTATTAGTCTCTCGAGGAAGAAACAAAAAAAAGAGAGATATAGAACAAAGATATTTAATGTCTTAGAAAGCCACTTTACAAAAGATATTCCGATGAGTGATTTTCTGTTTATGAAATAATCTTGCCGCTACTAGGGTGTTTTGAATCTGTTGATCGCAAAGAGTCATTCTCATTCAATCGTTTGCAGACAGTTCAGGCATGTTTATGTTATCTGTTCTTATAACGTTTATCGGCTCGACATGTGTTTACTGTATAAGCGAAAGTGAGTATCAACTATTAAATTAAATATCATAATTACGTAATCAAAATATTATTTGGCAAGATAATTTGCTTATAGATTCATTTATCTTTTTCATTTCTTTTCAATTTGCAGTAAATTGTCCTAATTAGGTGAAGAATTGTTTAATTACAATAAACATATAGTTATTCGCTAGATAAAGTTAAGTGAAAGTTGATGTACAGACCGGTACTTGAAAAGTAAGAAACTGCAAAAAGAGATTAGAAAAAACGGTTGATTAAAAAAAGTGGTTTTGAAAAAGATTTTATCCTGTTTTTTTGTTGCTGTCGTGGGCAACAGCTTCGCGACAGTTATGGAATTTCTCCCTTTCATTCTCTTACTAATAATTTTACCTTATTTAAATATAAATATTCCTTTGAATAGGCAAAATACCCTTATTCAATTAGGTTGTAATGAAAAGCTTTTTTATTACGAATATTTTGACTACTAAGTTGTATAGAACTTTGTGATTTCCGGGTTATTTTTTCTTTCTATAACAAAACAAAAAAAAAAACAGATTTTGTGACGCAAACATGCCCCGGAAGTATTGGACCATCGTACGGAGAAGTTTTGCGCTTTGATCCTTTATCTAAACAATCTACCTATGCCGTTCCAACTAAGGATCTTGATTGTTGGGTTACCCTAAGAGGTCGACCAAATATACCTGGAACTCCTCAGAGGAAAGTTACCTTAACCTGGAGGTCAAACCCGTTTTCTTTTCGCGGCGCAGCCTACGGTACGGGTAGCGCTAATTCAGCCAACAACACTGGAACATCTGGCTGTACTACAGCTTATCTTGAAGTATATAATGCAACTAATGATGGACGTCATATCTTACCCCCCGTGATAGGACCTACGTGCGGTGTTGTGTCTCCATCTGAATTTACAACTACAAGTGAGGCTATTGTAGTCCACTTTTACGTTTTGGCACCGCAATCAGCCCAAGACACTGCTGGTGCCGCTCCAAATGCTTCCTCCGTTAACGCAACAGCTGCGCCATTCCAAGGTCCATATATAAATTTTACGGCAGACTTTACCAGTTATTTTGAAGGTTCCTGTAGCGCTGACGGTATTCAAAATGATAGAGAGCAATTACAATGCTATAATCAGCGTTGCATTCATCGTTCTTTAAGATGTGATATTTATTTCTCGAATAATTGCGGGGACAACGGAGATGTAAGAGCATCACCGCCGGGAAACTGTACTTTTACAGCAACTACAACTCCAGAGCCTGATAAACCTATTGAAGAGGAGCTACTACCTCTTTGGATACTTTTAGGATTACTTGCATTCTTATTAATGTTGTTGTGGTGTTGTTGGAGGCCAGGTTATGGTTTATGGCGTCTATGGCGATTGAGGAACTGTTTCTGCGCGCCGTGCCGACATGTTTGCTGCAGCTGCTGCCTTTGCAACAATGGTTGTTGTGGGCCTAGAAGTGGTTGCTATAAAGGTAGATGTTGTACTTCTTGCTGCACCGGAACTGAAAAAGATCCAGCAGTCCTAGCTGCTGGTGGTGGAGGAGCAGTGTCTCAAGGCTGTTTACCTTGTAGACAGCGTCAGAAAGAGCCAAGGCCTAAGCCAGAAGAAGACGCTGGCGGACCAGGAGGAGCTTGGATGAAATTTGCAAATGGGGACGGGGGACACGTTAGAGAATTGAGATAAGAGTAAAAATATTGATTATTCACTAAAGAAGTCATTACATAACCAGCGGATAACTGCATAGATTATTTAAATGAATGTGATGATGATCTAAACACAAATAAGTAAAATTTTTTTTTTATTGGAGTTTTTAATTGGTCATAAGCAGCTTATTTCAAGGCAGCACGAAAGATCAAGGAATTGCAGGGCTAGTTAAAAAACCATCAAAAAACTATTTGACAAAATATAAGCGATTAAAAATATTGAGCTCGCAAGAGCAATCTTTGAAAAATACATTTTGTTTTGCATTTAATTCTTCCATTTGTCTTTTATTTCAAGAGTCCACTCCCACTCAGCATGAACCTTCTTGTCGTCATCGACAAATTTACTCTTTACTGAGTATTTGCCACGGTGTAAGAATCCGCTAGGTACATCTCGAATTTGGCTTCGAATTGTACGCAATTCTTTACTGGGTGCAAAAGAGCCAAACATTTCGCTATCATTGTCGACAGTAACAACAGCTTTCGTAACTTTATGCGTATATTTTAGACCCGAGACCATTTCGCGCTGTACCATAAAATCAACAGCAATTCTATATCTAGTACCCTCTTTTAAGTTAAACGGTTGTTTCTTTAGACCGGATAGGTCTTTACCAGAAATATCCATATCTTGATTATGACAAGCATCGTCACCTTCGCATTCCAATCGGAGAGTTTTAATGATTACCGTATTCGGATTACTTGGTTCCAAGATAATTTTTTCAGAGGTAAGACCCAAACTTTCTTTATATTTTCTCAATGACTCATCATCTGCAATAAGAATGAAATGGAAATAAAAAACAACATTAGATTAATAAAACGGAAATATTCGCTTTCATTTTATTATCACGACCATAATAAAACTGAATTTAATATTAGCTAGTAATTTTATCTAGCCGATAATAGCAACAGATTCAACTATCTACATTTTCTCATTTTTCTCTTTAGTTATTACAAAAGAAACATAAAATATTAAGCAGTTCGTCATTTTCAATGAAAATCAAACGTTTAGATTGTCTAGACAGATTTGAGAACTAATTGTTAACAAAAAAAAGTTAAAAAATTAGCTAATTATTTTTTGTATCTATACATAAGAACTATCTATTTATTACTTGTTTTATGAATTTTATGCTAAAGTTGCATGCAATAAATAATAATAAGTTTGGGGTTTTTATTATTACTTTTTAGTTTAGTAATAATAAACCTGTATTTAAGGTCTATATCTAAAAAAAAAAACAAACCTTGGTCTTTTTTTAGCATTTCTTCAACAGTAGCAGCGGCTGGTACTTTATATTTATGTCCAGCACTATCACATTCATTATCACTATCGTTTGATGCCATTTTTAAAGCTTGTTAACGGGTTAACTGTAGTAAAAGAAATGAACAACTCAAGAATGCCTGATATTCTTCCGGGTGGTGCCGTATACAACCGGCACACTCCATAAAAGTCTCTTTTTAACACAGAGTACATCAGTAAATTTTAATTGAACTAAATTCTAAATATCTGAAATTCTTAAAAATCATTTTTACGTCTTTAAATTACCTTATTAATTCAAAAGTTGAACAAATTTAACGAATTTTATATCTAACATAAATTGCGAGTGTTTACGGCAGTTGAACTACAAGTGCATATGGAGGGAAAAGATAATAACTTTATGCTCTTTTTAAAATGGCCGAATATATACTTTTCAAATAATATCCATATCTTTTCCGCTGTGTAATAGTATCGTTTTAGTCACTGTTGCGCATGCGTTCCCCGCCCATCCCGCCACCATTTTAAGTAAAAAATAACTGCCAGAATTTTTATGACAGCCCTATCTCAAAAACATAGGCCTATTTGAAATAATTAACGGTTGAGGTACTTCCATCTACTCTTAGGCCTCTTTGAGTGATATAAATAGAACTTTAGCTATATTTTAAATGAGTAGAAAAGTCCATAAATCTCAGAATATAAACGAATGGGATTAATGAAAAAGTATTTTAAGAATGTTGTAATTGTTTTGTTATAGGATGAATAAGGATAAATAAACCATTAGCATTCTCTAGGTTGAAGTGGATGCTAACGATGTTGGGCCTTGGAAGGATTATTGACTTATAGAATGCTAGTTTCAAGTGCATAGTTATTGAATACTTGCCACTTAAATAGCCCCAACAAGCACAAACTAATAATCTTACGAATATAAAGTATATTTGTAATATTATTGTAAATATTTGTATAATACAGGAAAGTTTGATTATGTACAAAAGTACGAATTATTTTGCTTCGCCAACAACATGTTTCTGCCTTTCTGAGACATATGGAACAGCTCCAGGTTTACTATGAGCTCTTCTATTGGATTCTTTCCTCTTTTGACTCTCTCTAATTGTTGCAATTTCACTAGCAGCATTATAAATAGCTTTTGGAATATGCCGTTTCTTAGAAATTCCTTTAATTTTCGGAAAATGTTTATATTTTTGCTTTAATTTTTGACTATAATTCATTGATTCCTTTTCTCTAGTTTTCAACTGTGAAAGTAATAATTTTTAATTAAATTTTCTATAAAATATCGTATAATAATAAAGAAATTCTTAATAATTTCTTAGGACGAAATGTATACTAACCACGCCCAATTTTTCTGAGGCATTTGCCTTCCATACACGAACATTCATTTCATCGCTGGCTGATAGTAAATATCGATTGTCCAAAGACCATAGAACACAATTAACACGTTGCATTCTCTTGGTATGATAAACTTCAATTGATCTTCCTTTATTAACTTCAAACACTCTTATTGTCTTGTCATAACTTCCAGACACAAAAGATTTTCCAGTCGGAGAATAGTCAACATCAAGTACTGCTGAAATATGATTCATGTGGACATTTACTGGGGTCGATAATTTTCTCATATCAAATGTATATAAGCTGCGAAATGATAAAAAAAAGCTATTTTAGTTATTCTATTAACAAAAGCATTTATGATAAATGATATTTAACAGGAATTGAAAAAAATTTCAACTATAGGGAAATAATAATATGCTATTAATTTAAAAATAACATAATTACTTGTAATCTTCATTTGCTACGGTGAATGTAAATGCTTCCAATGGATTCCATGCCAGTTTATTTGATCGTAATTTCAAGATTACCTAAATATAAGCAATTTATAATATAGCATAGAACATATATTACAATTAAACAGACAAAGATGAAAATATATATTATATAGATTTTATTTACTTTGCGTAATGGGTTTCTTTCTCGACAATCATATAAGACAATGCTTCTGTCAGATGCACAAGAAGCAAGTATTTCCGTCTGTAAAATTAATTTGAAAACTTAATGGAGGAAAATCGTTTAATTAATGCAGTAAAGTAAATAACCTCTATTGGGTTAAATGCTACATGATGAATGGAATCAATTCCCCAAGTAAGAGATCTACTTGGTGTTGTTCTGCCTATATTATATATATTGACGGACTGTCCACAAGTTGCTATTACTTCTTTTGACTTATGCCGAGATAAACCTTGAGGTACGTCCTGAAAAATTTAAATAGTAAAAGATAGAGAATCTTATAATAAAAAAGAGTATTCAAGTCAAGGGCACGAACCGATGTTAAAATAGTTTGTAAGGGCTCCTCTGGTGTTATAGTATTATCCCACAACTTTATAGTTTTATCATCTCCACACTTGAAGTGCACATATAAATTTAATTATTTAATGATTGCTTTTTAAACATATATGTAAACTAACCGTCCAAAACTTTTGAGCATCACTTTCGAAATCCATACCTCTAACAAAACCGCTGTGAGTAGCGATTATTTTCGTGCATTGTAGTTTAGGTAAGTCCCATTCTCTAACTTCTCCATCGCAAGCGCCAGTGAAAACTTTTGATAGGCTTATTGGGTGTTTGCACATTACATTTACTCCATCCCTATGTCCATTTAAATCTCCTAAAAATGGCTTGGCAAATAATCTTTCTAATTTAGTAGCATTTAAAGCTCTTGTGTATTCTCTTGCCTCTTCGAAAGGATGTAGAGTTGGATTATAATTTCTTGGAACTGAATAAGTTTAAAGTAAGCTTTTTTATTGGTTGAAAAAAATTTAATTCTTATTTATATTTTTATTAAGTATATTTATTATATGCAAATATTAAGGATTAGATTAAGATAACCGCTTTAGATCTGAATATATCATCAGAAATTGTGACATGTTGGGCGAAAATAAGAGTAAAATACCTTTAAAGATATCTTTCTTTGTCTCCCTTACATAATCATCAGGGTTTCGACTAAGGACCTTAACCTTAGGCATTTTTAAATGGCTTTTAGCTTTTAATTTTTATTTTTAATAAACTAGCAATGATATATCAATAATTTTGCTAGAAACGAGCTAAAGACTTCACACTACTTCCGTTAGAGAACCACATGGTTCCGTTGCTGCGGTTCTTCTCTTAAAAAACAATTACAAAAGCGTGAGTTAAACTAGCAATTTTGGAGCTCTAATGTTGCTACACATTTAAGTATGCGAATAGTGGATAAATTTTGCCTGCCAACATTGGAATTTTGACAGATTTCGGGTTTTAAACTTCCCCGCTTTTTATGGACACTGTAAATCAAAAGAATCACATGTAGTCAGCGACATTTTGTTCCTCTCAGAGACTTCCTCGTCAAAGACAGCCGAGTGAACCCTTTATATAAACCTTTTCATTTAAAAATATACATGAAAATATGGCATCTATCGAAGTTCAGATGCAACCGAACTCAACAGATGATCATGGGGAGTTAGATTTCGAAGAGGAGGTAGAAGAAAGGGACGATGTCAAAATGGAAGCAAAGGTATAAACAAGTCTAAATTCATTATTTTATAATAGCTTCATGGCGGCTTTTTGTAAAAGAATGAAGAGGATAATATCGATTTGAGCGAGGAGGAAAAAGCAAAAGAAGATGGAGAGGCTAGTGAACTTAGTGACGAAGGAGAACTACCAGATTCGAATTCAGACGGAGAGCTCAACTCAGATAATGACCATGAGACAGGAGCTATTGATATAATGAATAATAGACAGATGCCAAATAGTTCTAGACCAATTTGTAGATTTTTTCTTCGTGGAGCATGTACTTGGGGTAATACTTGCCGATATTTACACTCAGATAGATTCGGAGGAAATGATGCTTGGTCTGATTGGCGATTCTCTGGCCAGAATGTGCCACCAGTAGTAGAGGCTCCAAAGACAGAGTCTGCTTGGGAAAGAGGAATGAAACAGGCGAAAGAAATGGTTAAGAATGCTTCAGCAAGAAAAAAGCAGGAACCTGATTTTAATGAGAAGAAACTCACAATGAAAGTTGAAGAGGCTCTCCCAGTGTATGATGATCATTACTATGATCAATCTTCAGAATTCAATAGAATTCGTTATCGTAGTCCTCCTACACCTGAACCATATGCTGCTGCGACTGGTCAATTCGAGCCCGCTCCACCTTCTGCTAAAACTAGTAGAAGAGGAGATGAATGGCACGATCCCTGGGCACGAGGTAGATCCCCCAAGCGACGGAATAGACATGCCTCCTATTCCTCATTTTCGTCATCATCCTCATCATCAGCATCTTCATCTCGGTCAACTTCATCTTCATCTGATAGTAGTTCATCAACGGGCAAGCAACATGGAAAAAAACCTAACTCCTCGAAACCAAAACGTCAAAGGGAAGCACCTCGTGCTAATCGCGTGTCTCAAACCAACCCTCGGTCTCGGCAAGAGAATAAATCAGGTCGTCCGAAAGAATCAGAAGAAAAGAGGACAGTATCAATAGCGAAAGCACCATCAAATTATCAAAAGGAAACAGTAAAACGATCTCCTCCTGTTCAAAAAGTACGCCGGAAAAAATCTACATCATCAAGTAGTTCTTCGGCCAGCGAATCAACAGGTGAATCGTCTCCTGATAGGCGAAATAAAATGGGAAAACAAAATAAGTCTAAACCTCCGGTTAATGACCCAAAAATGCAAATGAAGGGACCTCCTCCCAAAGCTAATGTACCAAAGCCTAGTATTAAGATGACTCTTACATCTACAAAGGTTTGATTGAAATTATTTTGCTTTTAACCTTAATAGAAATAAGACAACATTAATTTATTTTCAGAATGTAGATAGAATGAATGCAGTCAAACGTCGATCGGCAATTGCTGCACGTCTCAATGATGATTCAGATTCTGAAGTTGAGCCACCTGCAAAGAAATCAGCAGTTTCAACTACAAATAAGCCAAGAGAGGAAAATATGGAAATAGTTGAAAAACCCCTATCAGTTTCTGTGCCTAGACAAAGAAGAGATTCTTCCCCAACAAAGCAGAGAATAAAAGTTGAAAAATCTCCCCCTCCACAAAAGCAATTGATTAATAAATTACCACCAGGTAATGATAAAAAGGGTTCATCAAGGAGAGAAGAGCTCTTAAAACAATTAAAGAAAGTTGAAGACGCTATAAAGAGAAAAAAGTCGAAAATGCATTAATAAAATACTGAATACGCAGTTTCGGAGTGTTATTATTTCTTATTCTGATATGGTAGGAGTTAGGTTATAGTAGAACAAACTAAAGTTTGAGCGAAATTACACCATCATCCAATCGTTGTTTGTTCTCGGATGTTGTACAAATTTCGATCATGGCAACAAATTTCATCTTGTTTTTTTGTTTTTCAACTAACTGAAAAGAATTATTGTAATAATTTTGTAAATTTTGATGTACTTTTTAGTTAAAAGATTGGTCATAATGTATTTATTATGATAAGTAATATGTTACAGAATCTTTAAAAAAATATACATTATATACATATTTTTTACACCTTGAGTACGTTCCGGCCTTCGCCAGGTAAAAAGTAGGACCTTCCTGTATATATATGTTTGTAATTTTGCCCCAAAAAACTACTTATAGCCTATTTATTTAATAATAATGAATTTTTAAAAATTCTTAACGGCACTTTTTTATTTTTGTATAATGATTTATTACTTAAACGAAGTCCAGATATGCAAAGTCATGGTGGGAAAAAAGTCAATTGAACTGGTATCTAATTATATTTCACATGCTTTGTCTTTTCCAAATGGGTACGGAACACAATCCGATCTAAAGTTATTTTCACACTCCAACTTTTCGAAAGTACTCAACATTTTACTTCCGCTCTCTTTACCTTTACCACGATTTTTTGGTGTTGTAAAATATTTTCAAGAAAAAATGGCTCAATCAGCTCAAGAATTTAGTATTGTTAATAATGAAACCCTTATCACTTGCCCTTATGATCCTGTTCACAAAATTCGAGCTAAGAAAATTATGTACCATTTAAGCAAGTGTTCAAAAGTAGGTTAAAACATATGACGGGTAATCTTTTAATAATTTTTCTTCAACTATTGCAGAGCCATAGGTACTACTCTGGGAAAGTTCTTACTTGCTTATATGACAGTACCCATGTCATAAGAGAGGACGAATATTATGACCACATGAAAGTTTGTAGTCAAAGGCATACTATCTGCCAAGAAATGACTCCTCAATATGGTAAATGTGTCTTGAACAAATTTTACTTTTAAACATTTCATAATATTATCTTTCTTTCAGAGGAAAAGTTGGGTAATAACCCGTTTACAAGGGAGACTTTTTCGGATGACCGCTATCAAGCGGAAGAAGACTGGGGAGCTGAAATAGGTGATTATGATGGCTCGAACAATCAATCAATGAATGCAAAGCTACTGAATCAAAAAGCAAGCGTGATTCCTGTAGAAAAGATACAAGGGTAATTTTATAGCTACATTTTAATATTAGCAACTGAGTGTAAAACTGAAATATTTTTCGTCATAGTTTATCAAGATATCATAAGAGATTGTATCTACATTACTTTGGAGCTAAACTCAAGGCTGAAGACGATAATTCCAGTCTGCCGGAACTACCGTTTGAATGTAAACTTAAAGCCTACTAATTCAATTTTTTTAAAACTTTTTTTATTCTCCCAGTAAAGCATTTGCCGAATTTTCAAGAAGATCTAGGTTTAGGCTCTACTAGACCAATAGTTGCCGGCAGAGGTAGAGGACATTCTAGCATTACTTACAACAATTGTTTTTGATTTTTAACGAATAATAATTCTGTAGACAAGTTGAAAATTGATGAAATATATTAAAATGCTTTACGTTATATTATGACTTAATGGTTATATAAAATATAATTTGTTTGTTCAAACTTTCGTAATGAGATTGAACAGCTATAAACAATACTTAAGTGTTTTTTCTATACTCATTTGGTCTGAATAATAAACAGTTGAACTAATAAGATACTTTTATCTCTTATCAATATTCAAAAAAAAGAATAATAGTTGAGATGAACGTCTAATCTATATTTTAACGAATTGAAAAGTATGTTTATTGAAAATTTTATGGCAAGAAACAAATAATATAGAAATATTTTGAACGTTTCCTCTTTACAGAATATGTTTAAATTACTCTGTGTTTTTTTTTATCTTTCTTTTTGTTATGTTTCTATCTATTTCTTCTCTTCGTTTCAAGAAGATAAAGAATAAAAGATAAGGATAAAAACAAAATTTAAAGCTAAACTTTTAAAAAATATTATTTATGGAAAATATCATTATAAAATTGAAATTTTGAACTTTTTTATATATTGACCACACCCACCAGCTAATGCTTGTACGTTTTTAATAACGATTCAACATTTCGTATTTAACCGAACCTCTTTTCTTTTTGAAATGCTTCTGCTTTGAAAAGATATTTAGACAACACCAATTTGTTGAGTTCTTTACCGGTTTACCATCGTCAATTTTCTTGTAAATATCAAGTTTATTCTCGTGAAAATCAAATTTTTCTTCTTTCCGATGATTATCTAACACTACTCGATTAACAGTATCAAAATCTTTTCTATCTCGATTCTTGAATGGTAATTTTGGTAATTTTATGCAACTTGTACTCTCCATATTATTTGAAGGGTTAACATTAAAACTCTCCTCCTTCTCACTTTTTGATGTTATAGCATAAACTTGTTCACTTTTATCGTTGTTAGAATATATAGTTGTTGTTGGAGAATTTATTCCAAATAAGCCTAGATCTATGAATTTGTTATTTGACAATCGGCGAGCGTATATTTCAGATATTGGTGTATAAGATTGACTACTGTCTATACCAATGTCGTTGATATCCATATTTTTTTGTATACAGCTGATTTTCCTTTATATTTCGACTGTCGACTTTCCAAACGCAAACAACGTTATATGACACACTGAGTAGTGCTCTAATTTCTTTTTTGGACGCTTTTCATAAGTAGGCACGTACCCTTGCTAAAAAAAAAAAACAAACATTATAGTAGGTCTATATCATCTAGATTAGAGACCAAATCTTAAATATCACCATATCATATTATTTCCATGTAAATAAGGTATTTTCCTTTTTCTTTTTATTATTATTATTACATTAAAGGACGCCATCTTTTATTAATAATACTACTATTTATATATATATATATACATGTAATAAAATTATAAATTATACAATCTAATATTAAATATAAATATACATATATTAATAGGCCTAGCCAAAGTAAAATATAGTCGAACGCGTCAAAACGAATAGAATTCTCGTCTACAATTCATATCTTTTGTTTTTATTTTTTATTTTCCAAATGGAATCTAGACAGAGAAGACAATTCTACAAACCTGAAATAGTTGATATTGTAGATTCTATAAGGCAGAGGAAGAAAATATCATCGGTAGGCGATTTTTCAATAAGAGCATGGATATTGGTAGCGTTAACTTTACCAGTTGGACTCTTTACACTCTATTGCTTCTTTCTATTTTCAACTGTTGGACTTCCCTCGCCATCTGACGTAGCCGAGAATGTTTATCATTTTACAAATGGTAAATAACATTTTCTACGTTATAAACAATGATTAACTATCGTAAATATCTACTCCTTAAATAGATGTTCATAGGAGTCTTTCGAGCAATTGCCCGCTGTGGCTCTCCTCAAAAGATTTACAAGAAATTCGAAATTCAAAAGAACTATTAACAGTATTAAGCGAAAAAAGTACCTTTGAAGCCGATGATTTAATAAGAAAGGCTCATCCGTTCGTATGGAAGAAATTAGGTAAGAAAATGATAATAATTTATTCCCGTAGTTAATTATATAACTTTATTTAGCTACAGCTAATTTAAATATTCCAAATGATATTAAAAGTTGTGAAAGTGTACAAACTATTCATTCTCCTCTCATATTACATTGGCAAAGAAAATTAAAGGTTAAGCTAAGTGAGATTAGCTTAAAAGATGATCCTTGTTTTAGTGGTGTTATCAACTTGCGAATTATGGATAATAGTGAACTTGAGGAAGTTGTATACAATACTCTATCCCCAAGACGTCTATCCTACTTTAGAAATAAATTGGATATTATAGAATTATTATACTTATATATGGCAAAGAATAACTTAGGTATTCCACCAAAATTCCCAAATGAATGTGGAATATTTACCCTACATCAAATTTCTGGAATAGCTAATTATACACTATCATGGCCAGTCGGTAACCACGGTTTAATTGAAATGAATAAACCAAAACATTTCCAATTAGAAGTTGGTTAGTTATTGATAATACTTAATAATTGTTTAAATACCAATAATCTAATTCTCTTTTCAGGTGATATGGTCATTTTCTATTCGGGAATGAGATTACATATGGAATCTGTATCTGATTGTTCAATGAGTGTTTTAGAAAGGATGAAAGATAAGAACTATTGTCCATACGGCAGCAGTTAAAATTGCTTTAAAAATATATCGCGAAAATGATTAGTTTTATTAAAACAAAACAAAATATTTTACTTAATTAATCGTTTATTAATTAGGCAATTAAGTAGCTGTGATTGTTTGAAAAAATATTGCATTATATATCCCGTTTTCTTTAATGGCACAGCTTGTTCCTGCTTTTCTTCAAATTGTTTTTAAGATCTTTAGAGATATTCTAAAAAAAAATAGACCATTAAAATTCAAGAAAGCTGACTGTCGAGGCTTAGACGCTTAATACAACTTCTTCTTTTTCATACCATCCTTTTTTCCCTTTTAGTAAATAGCCTTTGCTGTGAATTATTCCACGAGATTTGATCAAGACTGAGTATCTTGTGGTATAAGTAGCTTGCCAACCTGCTCCATCTCTCTCAGTAGACTCTGAACGGATAATTTGCTGCAGTGCAGAGTTCGTTATGATATCTACAAACGTATAAAAGGCAAAATATATATATATATATATACTGTATATACATAAACTTTTAATTCAAAGATATTTATATAAAAGATAAAGACAAAAGTTTATTAAAAATAATTGTAGGCCTACTAGAACAAATAATAAGCATAAAATACTCTTTTTTCTTCTTCACGTACAATAAACATTATCACAGTTTAAAGTTCTATTTTTTTCAAAATTTTCAACATTTCATTAACAAGTAGTGGTGTGAAATAATCATGAAAACATTGTTAAAATATAAACACGGAATTATATTCGTTATTTGTTGTTCGATAATTTTTCTATTTCTATTTAATAACTTTAAAGTAAGTATTCTTTTCTATTTCTCTTTCTCTCTCTGTCTCTCTCTCTTTTTTTTTTAAAAAACAAACAAAATACTCTTACAGAATTCTACAATTAAGAAAAATCCAAGTGTTCAATGTAAGATTTATAGGAATAATTCAGAAATTAATGAAATTACTATTGTAACTGCATATATTCGTTTAAAACCTTTTCCAAAGACATTTTTTAATAATACAAGAGGAGCGCCGGATTATTTAGTTTGGATGAAAACTTTCTCAAATATTTTAAATCCAGTAGTAGCCTTTTTTACTACTGAAGAAGATGCCGATAAATTCTTAGCTATTCGTAATTCTAAGCGTAAATTACCTACAATTATTAAAATAACTGATATTAATAGATTAAGATCATTTGAAACTGTTGAAGATGTTGAAAGTCTCTTTAATAAACCATATTATCCAAAGTATTTACCAAATACTTGGGACGCTTCTTACTCTTGTGCCATGAACGCGAAATACGAATTTGTAAATTGGGCAAGCGAAATTAATCCATACAAAACAAGATATATCGCTTGGCTGGATATTGGTTTATTTCGCGAATTGGTCAAGATCAATAAGTCGTTATGTTTAGGTTTGCCAGACGATTTCGACGAGTGTAAAGTATCTTATGGAGTAGTTCATCAAGCTCAAATGTTTGATAATAAGAAAATATTTTATCATAATTTAGTTTGGGTTGCCGGAGGTTATTTTATAGCCAATAGAGAAATTATGAAAAATTGGAGTCAATTTTATATGGAGGCTACTGGTCATCTCCTAGCTCAAGGACTAAGTAATACGGATCAACAAGTTGTATACGCAATAAGGAATACTTTATATAAATACAACAAAACGATTCCTATAAAAGAGCATTTTTGGGATGGATATCGTTATAATCCGTGGTTTTTTTTGGCGTTTAAAAGTAGAAAAGACCCAGGAAAGTGTACTATTAAAAACATTTTAAACAAAGCTATAGTAAATTGATAAAAACCTGTCGGATCATTGTGGGTAAGTAGAGTAATGTCGTGCTCTTTCGCGAAATTTACCATTTCTGTTGGCATTTCACAGCAAGAATCCAAATTGACTTGATTAACTGTGGGTTTAATCTTGTGGAAAAATAATATAAAAACTATATTAAAAGGTATTTATATATTCTTTGATAAGTTAATTGATAAATAATTTGCTTAACAGTTATTCTTATAATCAACTATTTAAAAGTAGTAATACAATTGTATTTACTTTAGCTGTATTATATAGACGCTCTAACTCATCAGTATCCAAATCGGAGAAACCTATACTGAAGATTTTATTTTCGTCAACATATTCCTCTAGTTTTGTCCACATGTTCTAGATTTATAGATAGAAATTTTAATGAATTAATAATAATTATATAAGGAATATTAATTTAACTATTACTTCAATATTCTCGAAAGTGAATAACTTTTCAGGTAAGGCTACCAAAACAGTTTCGATAGTTTTTATTCCCAATTCCGTCATCACTTAAAAAAGGAAGAAAAATCCAATTTATTATTTAAGTAAACCTTTTTTCAATAGTTTATACCATCTTGAATAGCTTCGTCAAGAGAATTCGGATTAGCTTGATTCATAAATAACTTTACTGTAAAATAATTCAATTAATTAAGAATAACAATATTAATATAATTATTATAAATATTACTATACCAGTTATCTTAAAATTACTTCGATCTTCTAAACTCAACTTTTCCGTACTTGTATTTATCGATAGCTTTTCAATATACTGTTTTTTTTTTAAAAAAAAAAAATTTGTTCTAATTTATATCGAAATTCTGTTGAAATAAAATTGAACACAGTAAAAAAGAGGTTTGAGTATTAAACATAAACCTGTTTTTTTTATCTCTAGCTGTCCTTCTTAATGGTATTGGTTGCTAAGCTTGAACAATAGAAAAGTACTTACTTGTAAATCATCCTTATCCGAAGTCTTGAGCCATTCGTGTAATGAATGCTTAATACAATCCGCTAACTAAATCATTTAAGAAAGTTGCTTATAGGACTTAGATTTAGCAAAGTCATAATTATACGGAACCTCCTCTTTTGGGGTCTGTTGTATACGCTTCGATAAGCGGTTCCAATTTACAATGTTACCAGTATGAATAAAGATCTCAGAAGCTTTTGGAAATGTGGACGAACTTTCTTCCATAATTCAAAACGTTTTGTTTATACTAAACATACACGCTACACCAAGCTTTTTTATCACCAGACAAAAGTGATCTATATATACGTTTAGAGAAGTTCAACATTTAGGCCTCTGGAATATTCTACAATCTCTTTGAAATACTTACTTCCTATTGGCGCCTAAAATATGAAATTATTTCCAACAATAAACTAAAAATAGGACAGTTGAAAAAAATTTATTCCATTGTATTATTTTTTGTATTTATATAATATTTAAAAATTAAAGAAAACATAACAAAGAATTTGAGATATAGAAAAATAACATAGTTAGATATAGCAATACATATACAGTATACAGTATACAGTATATAAGCTATTGATTAATAAATAATTACGTTGTTTAATTAGTCGAAATATTCCATTTGAGAATGTTGATAAATAGTTTCATCTTATTTATTTTAGTATCAATTTGTACCTTTCTGGCTATTTGTTTCCTTTATTTACATTAGTTTGTATGGCTTGTCTAGAAATTGTAATATCTGAAAGACGCATTAAAAATTTCACAAACGAATATATGCATACCAACATATATTAACAAATATTCATAAGTATACTGTATATACATATATATAAATTATATATATATATACATATATATCAATGTATTACTATTCACAATTACGTAGAATGACAAAAACAATTGATTGATAGGTGGTTAATTTAGATAATGTTAATTACCTTTATTTTTATATGAAAACCTACATTCAGTATATGTACAGCGAATTTAGATTCTGTACATAATATAACATATTAAATTCCTGACCTTATATGACCCCTTATATATATATAATTTTTGTTTTGCGCAATTGAGCCCCTTTATAATCACTACAGTCTTAAGACCAAGGATTAATATATAGAATAAGCAAATACAGCCATTAATTGGATCACTAAACAGAGAGCAAAAATACTCTAAATTTCCACTATAGTTTAGCTGGAAAGGACAAAACGATGAATTTATAGATTGTAGGACGTTTTATCTCTTCACTTTCTTTTTAGCATTTTTTTTATCAGGTCTATCGTTTTCGGCGACAAACTCTACGATGTAACGGCCAATGGGAGCTCTGACATCCATCTGAACAATATGATGTGTTCCAACAACAATGATAAATTGCCTCTTTTTCGCAATTAAAACACCATTGTTTCTTTTTTGTTCTAGATAACTCGTCTTTATGTTTGTCAGAGGTTATTTTTCTCTCTTTTGCAAATCTAAGAAAAGAATAAAACAAGTGAAAATAAATAAAGTGAACATTTGTATTGCATTTATTCAATTATTAATATATTTATATATACTATATATTAAAAACTTACTGCTCCTCGCATGCTCTTTTTGTCTCCTCAACGATTGCATTTTTCTCTTCGATTAGCCTCAATCTCTCTTCGTCAAATGAATTTTTTAATTGTATAATACTTTCTCTATGCTGTTTTAGAAGCTCAGCCTTAGTTATGTTGCATTGGCAAACTTCTTTCTCTGATCTTGCTGATACGGTATCATTAGAACATGATGGACTGACTTTTGCGCTTTGTTCCATTTTGATTACAGATGAACCAGCTAAAGAGGTTCTCCTCTTTTTTTTCATACCCTCCTCTGCTTCATTAGAATTTCGCTGCCGTTTTCGAAGAAACGGTAAAACAGTCCCCTGAGGCTTTTTCGGTTTTTCCACTTCTTCACATTTTCCCTCTTCCTCCTCATTTTCTTCTCTGTCATTTTTTCTTTCACCTTCGCCTTCTTCTTCATCTTCCTCGTCTCCCTCCTCTTCTTCCTCCTCAATTTCTTCTTCGCTATCGGTAAAATTTGAGGTGAAGCCTTTCTTACATAAATCTCGACATTTTTCTAATTGCGCAAGAGCCTTATCCATGTCTATAAAAAAAGATTATGATGACGAATGTAGATAAGATTGGAAGTTACGTCAAACTTACGTAACGTCTTTTTTAAATTTAACGATCGTTTATCAACATCAACATTTTTAATGTTGCTATGTGGAACGAATGCTCGTTCATGGGGCTCCCCAAAAAATTTCACTTCAACGGACACATCGGTCTCTTTCATCACTTTTCCAGGCCAGTATGGATGACCACGAACTTTAGCAAAGACTAGCTTATGCTCCTTTCTGCAGGGTAGACAAAACCAATCCTTTGTATTTGATTTGGAGTTAAGGAAACAATCAAAACATGCGTCCAATAAAGCTATCTATAAATAAATTTTATATTAAAATGATTATTTTAATTCTCAAATATACTTACTTCTTCCTGCAGTTTGTCTAACATTTTAATAACTTGTTTAGAAACAGTTGATTGGTTACCCCAAATAAGCATAACATTATGCGCTACAAGGTAAACATCTTTAACGAAACATTCAAAGGTTTTATATTCTTTCTTCTCTAACTGTAAAATTTAGTAAATCAAAAATATAATGAAAATTAAGTTAATAAGAGTAATAAGACAGAATGAATTAAATTTTACTTTAGCTTGCATTCCTTCCAAGTCCAGATATTTGTATGTAATGAATTTTATTCTTTCGTCAACTTCACTATCACACTGCAACCTGTTTAGTTCTTCTCCAAATCTCATCAAAGGTTTAATTAGACACTTCAGTATTTTCAACAGTAGCTTTCTCTCGAAACATTTCTGAAATTTCTTGTCTTTCTGTATGTGAATTTTATTTGCACTTAATTAAATTAAGAAATTGCAAATGAAATTTGATTAACCAACAAGGCACATATCGCATATAAATGTTTCTGAACGGAAGTTCTTAGCTAAGTTTACTGGCAAGCAACTCTTGTGATAAACTAACCAGCAGGTAGTACATAAGCAGACATCTCCTCCCGTATGACATTCAAAGCAGTACCTAAACAAGATTAGAAACATATATGTATTTACGTTACTATGCATAATGTAAAATCTAAGGTACAACCAATCATGGGTTTGTCGGTCATCAACATCCTCGTTGACGGAAAGATTTGAGTAGTATATAGAATTATCTGAATTGTCGCAGTTTAAACGCAGTAAACCTTCAGCATCTGCTTGTCGTAGCTCATCCTCGCATTCTGCTAAAGTTATACCCTTGATGTTTTTAGCAACAGCTTTAAATATTTTTTCCAAAGTTGGTTTCTGCAATACATGCAATAATCTTATTAATTTGGCATTAAATTTTATTGTAGTTTATTGTACCTTTAATGAATTTATTGCTGACCAAAAGAATTGAACATATACTGTATTCGCGGATCTTCTTTCGGGCATAGTATCTGGAAAACTATAGAATGTCGAACTAAAATTTAATTCGAGGACTTAAATAAGTCCGCAATGTGATAATTTCTTAAAACATACTGTTTATCTTAATAATGTTCTGCAGATGAAATTTATTTTGTATTCCTTGTGCAAATTTTCGAAGAATAATCCAAACTTAACGATCGCAAGCTCGCAAGATGCATCTACGCCATCTTGTATAATGTTGACAAAAGGTATCCTCGCTACGTCATTATTTTAGGATACCCCAATAACCCATAATGCATCGGAATAGTTGCTTAGCAACGGACGCGATAGTTTTTTTTCAATATCGTATGACTGCTTTTTAAAAGCGATCTGATAAGAGTTCATTCATGTGGTTCGACATGTCGCGTATAGTAGAGTGCGTGCCAAATTTCTCAGAAGGGAGAAATAAGGAAGTAATTGATGCTATTGCTGCTGCAATTGGTTCAACAGAAGGCTGCTCATTGTTGGACGTCGATCCAGGACCTTCTACGAACAGGACAGTTTATACTTTCGTCGGACCACCTGAGGCTGTTGTCGAGGGAGCCCTGAATGGAGCAAGAGCTGCCTCACAGCTCATTGATATGAGCAGACACACCGGCGAACATCCAAGATTAGGAGCCCTTGACGTCTGCCCTTTTGTACCCGTTAAAAATGTTACAATGGATGATTGTGTCGACTGTGCCAAAGAGTTTGGAAAAAGACTAGCAGAAGAATTGGAAGTACCCGGTGAGTGAATCGATTAAAATAATAAAAAAACTAGACCTTGGCCTAGTTTGTCATTGAACATTGTAATATCATGTTACTTCATTGTATTCAGTGTATTTATATGGCGAAGCGTCTGAAGTAGATTATAGAAAGGCTGTACCACAAATTCGCCAAGGAGAGTACGAAAGTCTACCACAACGCTTAGAAAAGAATGAATGGAAACCAGACTTTGGACCTGCCGAATTTCGTCCAACATGGGGTGCGACGATGGCTGGAGCTAGAAAGTTTCTCATAGCTTATAACGTAAACATACTATCAACAAAGGAGCAAGCTCATCGTATAGCTTTAAATGTCAGAGAACAAGGAAGAGGAGAAGACAAACCGGGAAAATTGAAAGGGGTTCAAGCTATTGGATGGTATTTGGGAGAAGCAAATATGGCCCAAGTTTCGGTTAATATCTCAGATTTTGAGGTTACTCCTATTCATACCGTTTTTGAAGAAGTGAAAAAAGACGCCGAAGATTTAAATTTAGCTATATGTGGATCTCAAATCGTTGGTCTAGTCCCACTTTCTGCTCTTCTAATCTCGGCTGAGTACTACATTGAAAAGGAGGAACTCTTCCTATTGGATAATGATCAGAAAATACGCTTAATTATCGATAGGTTAGGTCTGCAGTCTTTTGACGCATTCAAACCAAAAGAACGAGTTATAGAATATATGATTGATGATGATGAAATGAAAGGTCCTTTCTTGGGAATGCCTTTAGAAAGTTTTTTCCATGCAATTGGTGGAAGAACCGCGACACCTGGAGGTGGTTCAGCATCAGCTGTCTGCGCCACTCTGGGATCAGCTTTAGCAACTATGGTGGGTTTTCTTTCCTACGGCAACAGGAAATTCGAGCATCTCGATAAGGAAATGAGAAAGCTCCTACCTGACCTATACGAATGCACTAAGAAATTAATGCCTATTGTCGATCATGATGCAGTTGCCTACGAGGATTTTATGGTATTTATCAATATTTTTTTTTATTAAAATCAATATTGTATAGTTTTTTTAATCTAGGGTAATATTATTTTTCTCACAATTCTTTGCCATCTGTAGGTCTTTAGCCATAAAAATTTGACACACAATAAATCTTTTTAATAGTTTTAAGGATGTCATTTGTAATTAAACTAACTAATATAAACATTTAAACAGTTAGCCTGTAAACTACCAAAAGACACGCCAGAAGAAGAGGAAAGGTAATAAAACTACTTTCCAGTAATATAAAAAAAAATTAGAGAAGGACAGGTACTATAAATAAAAGAGAAAAGAGGGAGAGATAGACGGGGACGATATACGTAAGGAAAGAGGGTTTAAAGGATAGAGAAAAGGGAGTAGTGTAAATAGGGTAAAGGATAAAGAGATTAACTAAGCTAAATTTTAAATAAAACATAAATCATTCGGTGTAGGAGAGAAACGGCTATGCAAACTACATTGAAAAATTCAGCTCTTGTACCGCTAAATCTGGCTGTTACTGCAAACAAAGCGTGGCCGGCCTTTAAACGAGTCGCAGAAATCGGAAACGAAAATTGCATATCGGATTTGCAAGTTGGCGCCAGGGCATTAGAAACTGGAGTTTGGGGAGCTTATTACAATGTAATGACCAATTTAAAAGACGTTAAGGATGCAGAGTTCAAAGAAAAGGTATTTCTATATAATATTTGATTAGGTTTTCTTTCATCTATTAAATATTTGCTTTTTTTTAAATATCAAATAAAACAAAAAACAGGTCAAGACGGAAATTGAAAATGAATTAAAGGAGGCCCAAAAATCTAAGGAAGAAATTCTTAAGCTAGCCGAAACTAGATTGGGATAAGGAAAGAGAAGAGAACATAGTATTAACACCTTTATCTATCATACACGCCATGCTATACAACCCCTTGATATTAATGCTCATACTTACTAGTCTGCCCCGTTTGTCGAACCCCTAGTTAATATAGGCCTAAACACGTAATAAACAGCCTCAGTTCAATGTTGTTTTACGTGCACAAAAAAAATTCAAACAGATTTATATATTAATGTTTATAGACTTGTATATAGAAGGTTTATACAGTGAATATAAAAGAGGGAGGGAGAGTAGAAAAGACAGACAGACAGACAGATAGATAGATAAATAGATAGATTGACCGACAGTCTAAGTGAGAGAAAGGAGAAACCCCGCAAAAAAAAAGAGAGGAAGGGTATAAGAAGATATTCTTTATTTACCCGTAAAATCAATTCAGTGAAAAAGTATATTTTTAAAAAAAGAGACTAGATCATTAAAATCCCAAGTATAAAAGTGATAAATTAAAAAAAAAACTAGCCGGTTTAGATACTAAAAAAAAGTAAAAACAAAAACAAAACAAGATTAAACGGCTGTTTCTATTGCCTTAGTTTTGTTTGGACTGCCATCTTCTTCCACGATTGAGCTATCGCCATGATCAACCACCAAGTGTTCCCTTAATTCATACGCTAGAATGAACGATTTTTCGCAGACGGTGCAACGTATTTGATTCTCAACCGGATCGTGTTGCCTCATTTTATGCATTTTTAAGGCGCCTTTTGAGTAGAAATCTCTGTCACACATATCGCACGAATGCATTTTAATTTGCATATGTACTTTGATCACGTGCTCTTTCAAGCAAGACGTCGAAGGAAAATGACGATTACAAAGTGTGCAACCAATTTCAGTTGTAGATTTAGATAGATCCTTTACTTCCAGCGGTTCATCGTCTTCTCCATCAGTTAGCGAAAGTAGCGTATCGTCGTATTTTTGACGCTTAGAGCGTTTTGATTCGGTAAATGAAAAAGATCTTTGACGATTACTTTTTGTTGATTTCTTACTAACATTTAAAATATCTGACGGTAGTTCAACTGGTGGGGAAGCGATCGTACTCGACTTATCGAAGAGCCTTTCGACAACTGTCTGCGTCTTTCGGGACGGTGTTTGAGTAAAAGCGTCCACATTCGGAGTATCGATTTTCTGTTCCTTACTAACCTTATTTTTCTTCGGATATAAAGCTTTCAGTTTAGATTGGATTGAAGAGCCGCTCGTAGACTGTTTCATGCCTTTCTCTTCTTTCTCGTCCGCAGGCGGTTGAAGGCATTTTTCAACCAATGAAGTAGCAGAGGACGTAAAACTCTTCCTCCTTAATCTTTTAGGCTTAATAGGCGCTTTGGGATTGATATTCTCTTGCAATAGACAATTCAACATTGCGTGTCCGTCGCATGAAAGGTGAATACTGCCAGTTATTGATAGATTATCCGTAAAACTACAATTCGTCCTACACCAATCCCTTAGAGCAGCTTTAAGAGACTCACAAAGAGGATCGGAAGTTTGAGAAACCATTATTAACAAATCTGTATACCCCCTTTATCGTTACTTCCTGTCTAACTCTACTAGTTGAATACAACTCAATTCGAATCGCCCGCCAAACCTACTCGCGGCCATAATAGAATTATTCAAATGAGCCGAGAAACGCTGGCGTTGATTGGTTCAGTAAACGAGGCCGGCTGGCGGCGCTGTCTTTGTTTCCAGAGCACGTTCCGTCCGATGACCGTTCAAAACGTACGGCATCCGGAAAAGATGTCTGGATTTAAAGTAGGGATTGTTCGTTTGGGAAGAGCAGCTGGAAAGGTAAGATTTTATAATTTACTCGGCTAATGGGGTCCGATCGTTCAAATTTTCGTATTCAATATGAAAATTTACCAGCTTTCGATGTAGGCCTTGTTCACTCGCGTGCCGTTACGTTAAAACGGCGCTTGAACAGCTGCACAAAGACCTCGTTGGCCGAACAAAGGAAACCAAACAAAGAGTACACGCGATCCATCACTATAACAGATGAAATACGCTCTGCTCGACGCCGAGGATATAGCCCTTGTAGATCAGTATACTTTTGATGCCCGAATCGAAGTAGATGCAGATGGTGATGGTGTTCGAATAGTTGGTTGGGCTTACAAGCTTAATGAGTCATTAGAGAAGGGAAAGTATCTACACGATCTAATTTGGGAGCTGCGAAGAGGAGTGCCACCGGGTTACTTTTACGTGACGCACAAAAACAAAATTACTCTAGATAATAGGATGGAGAACTTGACGCTGGAGCGACGTCAAGACCGCACGAGACGCCATACAGCTTTGACTACGAAACGCCCTCGTTATCTTCCCCCAGCAGCCGAAAGCTCGCCGCATAAAACGTTCGATCAAACAGATTCGGACAGTTCAATTTATACGCTTGCTATGCAACGGTTACCCGTCGATAATGGACATGAAATTGGCGCTAAACTTTTTTCAACCAATGGCCTTTATATTGATGAATCCGGTAAGTACTAAAATTTCAAGAATAAGCGCTAAGGCAAAGAAAAACAATATTTTTCTTTCTTCTTTCTTTGTCATTTTTATCGCCATCTGACGGATATTTCCATAAAGAAAATTCTTAACTTTACCCGTCTTTTTCAGAGGACAATGTCTACTTCGAATGTCGATACCCCCCTTGCACAAATCTTGAACAAAAAGTTCGTCAGTTCTCAATATGCGGTCGCTGCCAAATCGCCCGCTATTGCGGGACGGATTGCCAACAGAAAGATTGGCCCATGCATAAAAAGTTTTGTAGAGAAAATAAGCGGCCAGCCATGCTAGAATGTTCGCCATGCAGATAAAATTTTGGCCATGTACTCGTCAACATTCTTTATTTCTTCTTTTTAAATCTCATTAAATTCCTTCTGTTTTTTTCTACGCGAAAGAAAATTTAACTGATCTATAAGAGAGTGATGTGCATCTACATTTTAAAAAAAAGAATGAAAAAAAATGCACTTTTATCGGATAATTTATAATGTTTTTCTTCCGCTCATTTTTGTGTGCTTGTACTAAAAAATCTAGTCCTAACAAATTTTTTTTCCTTTATAGTTTCTTATTATACAAACTAACGCTTACCACATTCTATTCAGTCAAAAAAACTGCTTTTTAAATGAGTCTAAGCGTTCATTATATTTATACGTGTTGTATCTAGTCGACTTCTGTTTTTATTGTGAAAACTGCTATGTAATAAAAACTATTTACATTCCTTTATTTCATGATGAATGGCTTGAAGCCTTTGAGTCTGATTCCGGATGTTTTCGCTTCGATTTAATTCTGAACCTGTTAGGGTGAATAAAATAGATTTGTTTATGGGTTTATTTTAAATAATGAGGAAGAATTTTCCTACTTTTCCCATCTATTGTGATTGAGGATGGTAAAATCGTCCAATGTGCTGATATCAGTCAAATATTTAGATAGCCTCAATAATTCCTTATCCGTATCTCTGTTTTGGTGAGCGTTCTTGAATGGTCTTATCTAAAAAAATAAAATAAAAGAATAAAACGAAATGAGAACATATGTGAAAAGTAAAACTTTTGTGTTAGTTTAGTTTTTATTACAGTTTTCTACCCTAATAAAGAACAATTCAATTTCTATTTACCTTTAGACCAGATTGAGGATTCATAATAAAATTCCTTCTGATATCGTCCATCATTATAGTGTTTTTATCACTCCACTGATCAAACTTTTTCCAAATAACTCCTAACGGTTTTACCTGTATTCCATTAAGCTGATTTTTATTAAACTATATAGTAAGCAACAATACTAATACTTACGTTAACTAGTCCATATTTTTGGCAATTTACTGAGATCATTGCCAAACTGTCTAGCATAAAAGTAATTCTGTAAGATGGATGATTTAAAACTCCCAATTCGGACATTTTTGCTTTAATCCATTTCATATCAGTAGCAGCTTTAGTATTTAATATAAGGAAAAAGTCATTTGAATGGTTTATAAAACATTACTCATAGATTATAAAAATATTGTATATACTTACACCATATAACAATATCGTAAAATGTATAGGCAGTTGTAAGAAATTCATGTAAATAAGGTCGCATTAAATCTCGCCCAGTTTCCCCCACAGACTTATGATCTAAATATAGAATTTGTAAAAATTACACAACTATCGAATCTCTATTTATCTATATCTCTTATAGATCGATATACATAGTATACTACTTCAGAGAAGACCCTATCTTATCTAAGAAGGAGAAAGTTCATATAAAATGAATGTTAATGCTACTTACAATGCAAAAATATATTTCCTATCAAAGTATAGACATACATATCCATAGAAAACATTTGTAAAGCGATTTAATCTATTTTTACTAGCTTTTAAAAGATAAAAATGTGGAAATCAAAAGTAGACAGGAAAGCTTTATGAGTGGTTTCGTAATCTTTGAACGGTCAATTACAGTTTTACGCTCTTCTAAACAACATGGAAAGTCAAACTTCCTTTAGAAATTTAGATATTGAAAATTTAGAGTTAGAAGAAGGTTTCTTTGATGGAATTGTATTTAATAATACATTAGATGAAGCTCTCTTAGATTCTCCAAGTTTAAAAGATGTTAAGGGATCAGTTATGAAGATAAATTGGTTCGAAAAACTTCTAGACAAGTTTAAGAAGGATCAGGTTTCAACTATTAATGTATTAAAATTACCTTCTTACGATGTTCGTCATAAAATGATTACTATGCAATCATCGATAAGAATTGATGAAAAACCTTTTAGAAATTTTGTAAAGGGAATCCTGAAGCAAAAGATCATTATAGAAAAGCTCTATTATCCTAGTATTTCCAAGATTGCTCAATTAGAACGTTTCTTATCTGAAGTTGGTCCGGATTTTACAAAAAGGGTTGACATTTTTGTTGAAAATTTACAAGAGAATATAAAAGACAAACTGAATTGTTACGGCAAAATAAACCTACATGTTCCACCCGCCATAACGATAACGCCAAAGCAAGAATATATTAAGAATATTCCTGAGAACAAGTTCAAAACAGATAAACCTAAAACATATGTTGCTAATGAAATGTTTAAGGGAAATTTTATCGAAAAAAAAGGGGCAGGGGAAACTTTTTGTGACTCCGAGTCATTGTTTTCTGGAAAACCTAAATGGAGAGAAAGTGAAGAATATTATGCAAAATTAAATGATACAAGACGTATTATAGATACGTGGTGTAAAGGAGAAAAACATAAAGGAGGACTTTCTAAAGGATATATTTGTGAAGGTGAAAATAATATTAGAATACTATTTCTCGATAGTGGAGTATGCCTTAATCATAGAGCTTTCAATCATGAAAAGTCACAAAATGTGCAATGGAATTATCCTATCACCAGAAATAAATTTATGTCAGCTTGGAATAAATGCAAAATAATTGCATTCAAATCATTCGATGATGTTGGAAAAGACGAACTTTGCGCTAGAGATAAGCATGGTCATGGAACTCATTGTGCATCAATTGCTGCTGGTCTACCATTTGAAATGTATGTACCGAAAGAAACTGAATTTTACGATAGAGAAAAAAATAATCCAGGTATATTGGTATATTTGTTTTCAGAAAGTTTTTCCTTTCTTTAGTTTACTACAATTTGAAAAATATAAACACTCCAATTATTTTCAGTTAACTGGAGAGGTGGTGTTGCACCATTTGCGCAGATTTTAAGTGGTAAAATTGTAAATGATAAGGGGATTTCTAAACCAGTCTGGATGGCAGATGCTCTTAAACACTTCTTAGACGAAGACGAACTTAAGTTTAATAACGAATATTTTCATATTATCTGCACTTCGGTTGGGTATAATTTTTTTTCTGAAGAGTTACGTCAACAAATAAGTAGAGCTACCATGCAAGGGAAAATCTTTATCTGTGCAGCTAGTAACGAAGGAAAATTAAACACAACTAATATAGCTTATCCAGGAAGGTTTGGTGACGTTATTTGTGTTGGAGCTTCATGTCGTAAAGGACAGGCAACAAATTTCTCTCCAATTGGGAGAGAAATAGATTGCCTTGCTTTAGGGGAAAATGTGTGGGGTGCTTCTGCTAACGATTCGAAAAGTGGTATAGCTATGGATGGTACATCCCAAGCAGCTCCATATATTGCTGGAATATGTGCACTTGTACTCTTGGCTGCTCAAAGACTTGGTAAATGTACCTTTAAAAAATTCTTTATATCCTAATACATATTGTGTATATTAACAACTTTAGGAGGAGTTTACCTAAGACGTAAGATTCAACATACTGCGGTAATGAAAGAGATCCTAAAGAAAATGTCTAGCCATGATGGGACTCACAAGGAAGGAGAAGGCTATGGGAACGTGAATCCTTTAAACATATTAAAATCCGAAAAGTCTCACTTCCTTAGAATTATTGCTGAAGTAATTACCTTTTTAACTATAAAGCTTATTACAACATTTAACAAATATTACTAATTTTTTCTTTTTTAAACAGATATATAACAAATCAATTGATGAGTTGGAGTGCGAAATCACAGACAGTACTGATTAATGAAAAGCTGCTTAATAAATGATTATAAAGAAATATTTACTAACCAAATAGTGTATAATCTATATCCAATACTAAAAGTTTCTTTCCCTTCCTGGGTTCATTGATTATGTCAATTTTATAGCTGTTAACTCTCTTTTGAACTTTTTCCAAATAAATTTCTCTGTAAGGTTAATTAGTAAAAAATTACTTAAAAAATGTATTTATATATTGGAAGATCTTACTGAGCTTCAACAGGTATTTCGTCCTCTTCTATATCAAATTCATCAACAACTTCGGGTTGATTTTCAGGTTTTTTCGATGCTTCTTCCTATTTTTTTTTACGATTCAAAGAATGTTCTGAATAGTCGTTGATTACTTTGAATCACTTATATAAATACTTACTAAAACCTCTTCTTTCGATCCCATCATCATAAATTTTTGGCCTGGCTTTATATTCAAGTCAGATAACATGCTATTATCCAAGGCTGGCTTACCAACTGTATTGATACAAAACAATAACATTGAACAATCATAAAGAACCGCGCGATTTTAGGTTAAACCTTTTGTTTTTAGTCCGAATAATTTTTGTCTGCAGACAAGAACTTTGGTTTCCGTCTCTACACATTCTTTTAAGTTTAAAACTGTCTTCTCAGCAGGTAATTTAAAAGGGTATTCTTTGCCACTCCATTTTATTGTTATATCGACTTCGTTTTCTGCCATTTTCGGGGTTACATTAATTTTCGTACCAAATTTCAGCTTATCAGCCCTAATTCATAAAATGACAAATTACATTGCTAGCAGATAAATTAAAATAATTATCAGTCATATACGAAAAGCAGACCACTGATCGATAATTAGTGGATCCGCCTGATTAGTGTAAAGAAACCAAATATTCTTTCTTGTTCAAGTTGAAAAGTAGACACCAGCCATTGAACCACAAGGCTTGTTTAATTTAAATGCCTTTATATATTATAAAACAGCAATTGTAATAATTGCATTATTGGATTATCTGGATAACTAAGGCATATGTGATAATGGCTAGCCTGGAAAAATTAGTTAAAAGTTTAGATGCTCTAAAGGCTTACCATCCAGATACACTTTCTGAAGAAGTCAAGTAATACATTTTCAATATATTATATTACTAAATTAAAAAAACAAATATTTTATCATTTTATAAAATAGGAAAAAAGATAATGTTGCAATCAGGAAAGAGAAAAAGACAAATTGCAATATTGCAGCTGATTGTATTTCTGCAAATGCTTTAAGAAATGTATCAGATTTCAATAATTTCCTGGGTTTAACGATAGAAGTGTTGCTATTTTTGTGTGATGATCCGGACCCAGATGTCAGAACAGTAGCTGACGAATGTTTGAATAGAACAATCAAGGTAACCAATGTTTTTCATGTCTATTGTTCTGTGCTAACTTATTTTAATTAATTCGATTGTTGTTAAAACAGGCGCTGCTGGAAAGCTCTGTTAATCGTATTCATCTGGAACTTTTCAAAGAGATTAAAAAGAATGGGCCCTCTAGAACCCTACGAGCAGCGCTATGTCGTTTTACAGAGATGGTACATCTCATTAGAATACAAAAACGACGGTAGTAAAAAATATACTCAATACCTCGTTGTTTAAACGTTTACAACTATTTATATTTTTCATATAGGGCCTACGTTATGAATCTTGTTCAAACTATTGTCAAATTGTGTACTCGGGCTGAAGAGGCTGTTCAAGAATGCCTTGGGCAGTGCATGCAAAAGCTGTGTCCGGTTTTGCTATCCTATGCTAACGATGCAGAAATTAAGGTTTCGGCTTTCAGATATTTGTAGCCTTATAATTTCATAGAGTTTTATTTTACATTCTTCCAGGCACTTTTAAAGAGTTTTATGAGTAATTTAAATAGTAAATCAGCCACCAGTAGGAGAACGGCTGCGTCTTCTCTTGCTCTCATTTGTCAGTATGCTCGAAGACCTTTACTATTTACCGCTTGGCTTCTTGACTCTCTTTTAGGTATTGATACTTAATTCACTTGAAAATACTTTCCTTTCTGATAGTGAACTGTTATCAATTTCTTTATTACTAATAGATCTGGTGTTACCTATTTCACCTATATTGAGTAATGAACCATCTGATTCCCCAATTCTACTGGGCGTTCTATTATCTCTTAAGAATCTACTACCACAGATAAGTGAACAGGAAAGTAGTTACGAGAGCGTAAAGGGAAGTTTCGGTGTTTTGAAAAAAGAAGAAGTTATATCGATAAAAGTGGAAAAGCTTTTGCAAGTTAGTTTCCTTTTTTGTATTTTTCTTCTTATCTATTGCGCAGTTTACGATCTTACATTTTTTATCAATTTTTGTAGGTTTTTGAATTTGGAGTGCATTTATTATCACATTTCGACCATAATGTAATAAATGCATCATTGGATGCACTTCAAACGCTTTTAAGAAATTGTCCTAAAAAGTTGGCAGACCTTCTACTAACATCCGGAGCAGCTTCTGAAACGCATATATTTTCTGGTGATAAAATTTTTGAGCAAGCTACTAAAGGAGATACAATTCAAGGTTTGCTATAAACATTACTCTAATGTGCAAAACTGAGACAAATCTATCTACAATTTCCTCGTAGAAACAAATTTTAGGTTGTCATCCTTGGCTGATGTCTCAAGCTTAACCGATGAGCCAATTGAAACGCATACTCGACTTGCGGAGACGGGAGATAATTCGACAAGTGAAGAAAGCGAGCCAGAAGTCTTTCCATCAGATGGACAAGACGAAGCTGGTAATTCAGAGGTTGCGGACCGGAGTATATCGAATTCGAGCTCAGAAGAAAAGTTATCAGAAAGTCTTCCCAATTTGAGTATCAAAACTCCTGATAATGGTGATATTAACAATTCAACTGAGAAGGAAGATGCATCCTTAATGGATACGAGTAAAGATTATTCTTCTAAAAATGGAGATATAGGAAATTTATCAGATAAATCGAGTATAGCCCTACTATACTTTGTTAGGTTGTTGTCTTCCAAATTTCTTTTAACTGGCTATAAGAATGGTTTGATTCCTGACAATGCAGTCAGAGTCAGCGTTAAAGCTCTAGCGTTGTCTTGCTTGTCAGCTGCCTCGTCAATCAGTCCTAAAATTCTCTTTGATACATTATTTATTGAGAAACTTGAAGATGATCCTCAGATGATTTTGGAGGTTATTTTCTATTCTAGTCACTCAGACCCTCAATTAAAGGGTAATGTATCGTTGTTGATTGGAAGTCTATTGGAGAATGTTCTCTTTCTGTGCGACGATAACGTAATAGAAGACTATATAGAAAAAACATACGGTCTCGGACGTCCAACGATAAGAGAACTTTGTAATCATCTGATAAAGATAGTTAAAGATGATTCAGCCGTTGCAGCGAAATTGGCTATAAGCAGTATTCGGAAATTTTTGCCAACAATGCTTAATATGCCGTTAATGTGGGAGTCTGTCCAAATTCTTATGTCATTACTACAAGTTGCGGATAATCCATACTGGCTTGTTAAAGTTGAACTCTTAGAACTAATAGGAGAGTTAAATTTTCGTATCGTTAGCTATATGGAAAAGCGTTTCTCAGATACAGAAGAAAGTAAAAAATTAACTAATAAGGTATTTCTTGATTCATCGAAAAGGAATAATAAAATGAAAATTGTACACAAATTATTACTTATATTAAATATTTCTTTTTTAGCCATTAAACATTCAAGAAGTAATTTTGAACAAAATCCTATTGAAACTACTCAATGATTCAGATAATCGAATTCGCACTGCAGCTGCTTCTTCTCTTATGAAGTAATTTTATACTTTACTATAGACTTTTTAGATTAATCTGAAAATATCTACATTCTTTAGGTGTTTACCAACTCTTTATTATTCTAATAACCTACTGCAAATGGATGAAGTTGTCACGGAAACTAGATATAAAGTAACTAGATATCTGGATCCAATATTTCACGAATGGTCACAGCCCCCAACACCTATTGTTTATGGTTTGGCTTCCCCTTTCTATAATCTTAAAGGATATTTCTCAGGAGATGAAGCAATCGAAGAAAATCTGTCACGTATTATTTCCACTTTATTATATAAACTATCTAGTACTAATTCAAAACATTCTAAGGTTTGTAACTAATTATTATTTAATTTACACAAATATAGAGCCAAACATAATAATTCAATTTACAGGCTGGTTGTATATCGGCACTCGTACAAATTATTCAAGTATATCCCGCTACTGCTTATCCAACCCCATGGGGTTGTGGTGTAAGCAATTCTAGTTTCAAGTAAGTCTTTTCTCTTTATGAAATAAACGAATCCTTTTCATCCTCTTATGTTTTGTCTTGTGTCTTTCTAGATCTCAGAATAACTCTGAAGTTGAAAATGATAATACAAGTGGTGGTGGCACTCTTCAAACTCTTCTTTCTTTTATAACAGCTACATCAATTACATTCGATTTATCGGTTCATCAGGAAATTCTTACTCTAATTGGTGAATTATACTGCGGTAAGTAACAATTAAGCTAAACATATCAGTTAATGGATAGAAATATAACGTAATTTCCCATTAGGTGAAACGTATAAATGTTTAAGAAGTGTACCGGAAAACGATAAAGATAAACAGCAATGGAGCATGTTAAATGATAGACGGCTTTCAACCTTCTCAGAGCAGCTTCTACTGCATATACTCAGGTTTATAGAGGAATTTATAAACAACATAAAACAATCTTTAACGCCTTGTTACTTTTTTCAGACTGTTAAACATATTTTATCACGTGATTGAAGAATGTCCGCCGATAGCTCCAAAGACAACCCTAAGCGCTCCATCTTTATCACCTATCAAGAAAAAAGCAAAAGGGCTTAAAGACGAAGCTTTAGCTGGCGTTATTAAAGACGGAGAGAAGGAAAAAGCGAAAGGTTTATATGATATATTCTTGCATTCGCTATCTAACTTTACGTTTTTTGCATAATTAAAGAAAAAGAGCTAGAGAAAAGTCCACCAAGTAAAACTGAAAAGATTGGTTCTTTTCATAATATAATACATTACATGAAACTTTATGATGTTTTAAATGCAACATACAATAGCTATAAGGTAGGCCTTTTAAAAGATAAAAAAGTTTATTCGGTTTGTTTTTTCTGCTAAGACTTGTTATTGTATTTTTAATTTTATATATAACAGTTGTCAGCTAGTCTCACATCGGAAGATCGATTTATTACTTTTATGACATCAACTTTAACCGTTTTAAGTCAATTATTAGAAATTGCATCTCTGAAGGAAGTTGGAAAGTTAACTGAGGAAATTTTGAATTATTTAAGAGTTGTCAGTAACTTTGATGCGTGCAATAGCATTTACTGCGTTCAACAGGTGAGTTGAATAACATTAAAATAAGTATAGAATTGAGTTCCGTCCATCATCTCTGTCCTTTGTGATTTATACTCAGTTTAAGTATGTTTTTGACCTTAATTAGACTGTTTTGAAGTCGTTTGCGTCTTGTAAAGCTAAGATTCAGTGTTCGTTCACGTCCAGTCATAAAATAATTGAAGAGTTAAAATCTTTTAAGAGAAAGTTTTTGAATTAATCTGTAATCTGGTATGGAACCTAATGTGGTAAGTTTTGTTGAAAAGTTCTAAATTGGTGAAAAATATTGGTTGAATTGAGCTGTTGAAATTCGACTAGGTTATAAAAGAAGAAAAGGATTTGACGGAAGAACTTTCATTAGAAGTAAATAGTTCAACGAACTGCCCAATTATTAGCGTTATTGACAGTCCCTGTTCTGATGTTTTGAACGAATTAACAACTGTATATCGTAGGGAGGACGAAATCCCATCCAATATGAATGAAATATGTGATGAAGTATTTAAATTTATTGAATCTGATTTAAATAATATAGAAGAAAGCTCAGCAAGAGATAGCGAATCATCAACCGTAGATGTCGAAACAGTAGATAGCGGGAAAAGTGGACTTGAAGATAATCTTGGATGTGAATTAAGCGGTAGTATAAATAAGCAAATTAATAATTGCGAAGCAAAAGTAAAAAGGAGAAGAAAAAAGAAAAAAGCCGTTATCGAAATTACACAAGATCAAATGTGCTTTAACAACGCTAAAGTACCAGACGCTGCGTACTCACTACCATTTGACGACATACAATATATTGATTCCTCAGGATTTTCAACATCTATTCTAGCCCAAATGCTGCGAGACGATTCTTTGTCGTCAACAGCTTGTGACGCAGCTGAATCGTTGATGAACGCTAGCTCGGCACTTTTTGATGGCACAGATAATTTAAATGAAACGACATCTCCACCTATAACTCCTAAAAAATGTTTGGATGAAAATTCACCAAAAATACAAAGCGTTTCGGAAGGATGGAAGTGGCACGATAGAATGAAAGAGGCTAGAACAAAAAGAGATAGAATTCGTAGGTCGAACGTTCTAGATCCGAAAGCTGTAAAGATGATGTCCGATTGGTATAATAAAAATGCGGCTCATCCATATCCATCTAATGAACAAAAGCTTAAATTTGCGAGTGAAGGGGGAGTTACTTTAAACCAAGTAAAGTCTTGGTTTAATAACAAGAGATGTCGTTGTTCACATACAAGACCAAGGAGAGAAAGAAAGATAACAAATTAAAACAGAGATTTATTAATTTTTCATACTTTGTCGTGTTCTTTATGTGTATATATTCAGAAAAAAAATTAACTATATTCATTTTGAATTTATGAAATAATTGATAGTATTCATTCCATTTTGTGTTCAATAAATTGTAATTTTTTTGTATTTATCAAAAAAGCAAGCATACTTTAATATTTTATATCTTTGTTTAGTTATTGAAAGCATTGTTTGGTACAAACTTATCGTCTCAATGGGATTCATCGAATTTCAATTCGGACGTTGCAAACAAAGGAGGCCCTGGAAAGGCAACTCGCCTTATTGCTCCATCCGGCTTTTACATGGGACTATATCATTCCTGCTTCACCGCCCCTTATACTCAATTTACTCAATCGCTTGCATCCGTTACTCTAAGAACAGGGATGCCAAGTGAACATTCGGATTCTTCTAGGTATGTTAATTAGTAACTAATGAATTAATTTCCTTATTTTATGAAATAATTAATTATTTAATTTATTCTGATAAACAGTCTTTTATCCTGGTTAAAGAAAAAGTCAGAAAAGAGATTACCATCGACATTGAAATCTGATAGCAAAACATCCGACAGAGCATTTGTATCTTCTTACATCAGACTATTTGAAACGTCCGTTATAAAAGCGCTGAAGCTCTATACAACGACATCTTCCTTGCCTTTACAAAAACAGGTACGTTAATTAATTGAATAAAAGAGTACTTAATATGTAATAATCATTTCACCTTCTGCATTTATGTGATTTTTTGCATTTATATGATAGGTTCTAAATCTACTCTCTCAATTAGTTCAATTAAGAGTAAATTATTGCTTGCTTGACTCTGATCAAGTTTTTGTTGGTTTTGTTGTGAAGCAAGTTGAAAATTTTGAAGAGCAACAGTGCGATGGGATTGAAAATTTCCTTCCACATCTTTTATATTTTCTAGTGCTACTTTCCTACGAAAAATATCATTCAAAGCCTATTATAGCCGTTCCTAAAATTATTCAATTATGCGATGGAATCATGGCTAGTGCCGATCATAGACATTGTATGATGCTTCAATATCTTATACAATTGTCATTTATTAATCAATTACATTCTTTTTAGTGCCACCAGCCCTGCAGCCCGTAGTTAATGATCTGTTTATCTCAAGGTCCTTGAATAAAGCGGACAGTGGAAAAGACTTAGATACTCAGAGAGAAGTTGTTGTATCAATGCTACTTCGTTTATTGAACAATTACGAAGCTCTCGAATTACTTGGTATAGTATTGCAAGCTAGTCGTAGGGAAACAGAAGAAAAATGGAAACGATTATCAAGACAAGTTGTCGATGCTATTTTACCTTTACTACAAAATCACCAAGTGCCTATCCGCAATCAAATGCAATTAGACGTTCTTCACCGTCTATTCGAAGCTGTTGCTCCAGCCGTCCTGAGGCCCACAGATATATTATTAAGATATCTCTTCGCTAAACCAAGTTCATTGGTGCGTTAAGTTTTATTAGCTTTTTTTATTATAAGCAGGCATTGAAATTGCCACTTGGCAAAAGAGAAAGAAAAATTGAGTTATTTATAAGATAGAATATTTAATTTATATTAATTCTTTAAAATTAGAAATCAACGGAATCTTTAGAGTCATGGATGAGTTTGGTATTAATAATACTAAGAGTATTTCTATCGCAAAGCAAGGAAGATATGATACTATCACGAATACACGAAATGCAATTAACTATTCCAATATTAAAAACAAATTCGGAAAATCAACAAATTTTTCCAGCAGCAATAACATTTACAAGGTTAATAATTGTATATAAATCCTATATACATGTAAATAAAAGCTTATTATGAAAATTAATAATCTAATTTCTTAGGAAATATGAATATTAATTGAATAAATAATTTTGTTTCTTTTTTTTTTACTATAGATTTATTCTACAAACTTTTGGTATTGTTGTAGAATATTTGAATAAATCTAATAAAGATTTATTAACAAAGGTTAAACGAACTTTTCTGGAACAACAACTATCCCACCTTTTATTATACACAAGTCATATAATACAATGTGGGCAGTATAAGAGTTTTAGTAAAACTCTTAAGGAATTAGGAGAAGATAATACCAATAACTTCTATTCAATCAAAGATTTAAATAAGCTATTTTTACAATTGGCAAAAGAGAAACCGATATTATCATTACAATGGTTTAATATATTAAATTTAATAGAATGGATGGATTTAACATATTGGAAGAAGTTATTACTAAGCGACGAAATATTGAATAAACGTGTTAATTGCAATTTAGAAATAATTAGAAGATGTTGTATAGTATTATTTAGCGATAATACTGTAAGTTGTTTTTAAATCATTTACATTTAATATAATCTGTTTACTTAGTATATTAAATATTAAACTATTAATCTATTCATCCTTTTTTAATATGGCAGAAATTGGACGTAACTAAGAAGAGTGAGCAAGTAAATTTTATTCTGGACAATAATATTACAGATTTAATTGATATGTCTCAAGAACCACCAATACAAGATTTAATAAGGTAATACTCATATCTAATGATACAGCATATACTGTATTTTATTGGTTTGCCTTTTATGTACAGTTTATATAAAACTTTTACAATACTTTTGTTTTTATTTGTTTCTAATTCTAATTTAATTAAATAGCAAAATACAAGAGAAATCAGATCAATCGTTAGTTTTTATACAAACTATAAATGATAAGTGCGAAAGTCTGTGTGAGGTTAGTTTTTCTTGCTTTTAATTTTGTTTTTTTTTTAAATACCGTCTTTTCTTCTTTTCTCTTTTCATCTATAGGAAGCTGAAAGAGTTTACGATTGTTTGAAGTGCTTAAGGTGTGCTCATCAAGAACAAACCGCTCCTCTTTTACGACTTATCATTACGCGTATTCTTCCGCAACGTCATTTAATGGCTGTTGGTCGATTCGCCGATAACGTCGCCTGTCAAAGAACCGAAGTTCTTTTAGCAGCTATAGCTCAGGGGAAAATTGATCAACCACCCTTAGAAGACATTGAAAAATTGTTAAGTTTTATGGAAGAGCGTGGTCTATTGAAACGATACGCTCGGCTAGCTACTCTCTTATCAAAGTTAATAATAGGGAATTCAAACAAAGCTAAGCAATATTTAACTGAATCGAAATCGCAGCATCCTTTAAATACTGTGGGAAAATTAACTCAAAATTCCATTGTCGATAAAAACTTGGTTATATCAATTGTTCAATACGAGTGTTCGAAAAGAATGCCTAACTTCAGAGATTGCGCCCAAATGTTATCTTGTTTGGAATACGCCGACATTGTAAACATCCTCATGTCCTCATCCACTCATCAGTCCATAATAGGGGAATGTTTAAAAACGGGGGCGGAACTATCATTAGCCTCCTATGACGAAAATTGTTTGCTTGGTGGGAAAAAAAATTATTCAGGCGATGAAAGTCTCGTTCCTTTGTTCAGGGCTGCCGAACTCTGTTTAATACGTAAGATTAGTGAGGTGGTCAGCGACCTTCCGGCCCCCCACGAAGTAAGTGATAAAAGTCTTCCGACGACTTTATTATATAAATATTCTCTTTTTATTTTATCTTTTACAACATATTTAATTCCTTTGACAAAGAATGTAATTCTTTCCCTTCCCTTTAAATGTAGGTTCTTATGTGGGATGAGGATGAGAAAATATCTCCTCTATCACCAAGGGGTAAACAATACCGTGATAAACTTTTGGAAAAGTTTAGTGATAGTCATTGGTTACAAGGGTGCAGGAGGCTAGCCGGAGCTCTATTGGAATACTTAAGCGTTATTCCGTCGCTTCCATGGCAAGCTTCCGACGACAATCTACGCGACGCGACAAGATTCTGCGTGCTCGGATTTGAGGTATGTGTTTAGATTAGTCAATCCCTAATCCTTGAGTAGGCTTACGCTAAAAACCTATTTCCAAAACGTTAGGCCGATTTGTAGGGATGGGCGTTTGTGGATAAGATTAAGTCGTTATATGCGCGTTCCGGACTATCGATCGCTATCGATCACAGCTTTAGTTTTCTATTCAATTTATGAAATTATTATAAATTATTTTATCAGATAAAAACTTTGAAATCGTTCCTATCGAACTTTGACTGTTTAGTCATCATGACAACAAGTTCGCTTATTTCATCCTTAAACCATAAGCCTACTTCAATACGAATTGCGCAGAAATATTTTCCATATAGGCGTATGTTTATAAATTTGTTTATTAACAACGAGTATTTCCCGAAATAAGGAATAATTGCAAATACTTTTACAGACGGCTTTTTTTTTATCGTTGCAAAAAAAAAGGAAAAATTTGGTTTTTTTATGTTCATAAAGATGGAATATGTGAAGTGTTATATATATTTGTTTTGTTTCATCTTTAACACGTAAACTCCTTCAAATAATAGTTATTTAAATTACGTAAATAGTCCTCTCTTTCCTTTTACTCTTCCTCTATCCTGGATTTCTTGAATGGAAGGAGGAGGGTAGCGAGAGGTGGGACAGGAGAAGGAAAAGGAAGAATAGGAAAATTTTTCCTCGTTTCTTCCAAATGATAGTTTCACAATTTTACTACATTAATGTCTTCTTTTTTTTGGTGTTTTTACCGATTTTTCTTCTTTTTTTGTTTCTTTTTTTCTAGTACTTTTTGGTCATCTTTTTTTTTTACGAACTTTGCGGTGATTCGCACTTGACGTAGGTCTGATTATGTTGAACACTGCAATGGTGTTTGAGATCGTCTTTACGAGTGAAAGCTTGTGGGCATTCTGTACATCTGCAAGAAACAGTATTTTTTTATTTTTTAGTCTATTATCCTTTTTTTTCTCTCTTTTAGGGCGTGGTCTCCACGCATGTACGAATTACTCCTTTTTTATATTTTATGTACTAGTATATAATATATCTGTTAATGTTGTTATATACTTATATAAAAAGATAGGTAAATAATTTTGTTTACCTGTACGGTCTTTCACCCGTATGTAATCGAACATGCCGATCTCTATTACCCTTTTGTGTAAGGGATTTTCCACAATAAGAGCAAGGATATCGTTGGTGTAATCTTCTACAATGATCGTCAAACGCCGCGAATCCACGTATTGGTGTTGAGCAAAATTCGCAGTCATAGAGTCTTTCCTCCTGTTCTGATGAACCATTTAGCACCACTGTATCGTTTTTAGTGCTTAAATTAATTGGCTCGTCTGAGGATGAGGTACTGTTTGGCGAGTTTGGCGAATAATCCCTTGGTCGTTTTTGTGGGATTTGAAATGTCTTAGTTGTATCCGTATGATCCGCTTCGTGTTCTTCTAGCTCGCCAATTGTACGAAATGGAGGTATTTGAGGACAGAGGACACATTGAAAAATAGGTGCTTGTATACTGGAATGCATTGTAGTAACGTGTTCACCGTAAAATACGGGATCGGCAAATCCGATCTGGCACAGTGTACAAGTCCAAGTTGCTCCAACATTTTTGTGCATAACTAAGTGTTTGTGTAGTTTAAGAATGTCTCTTGATTGAAATCCGCAGTAGGAACATGACTGTTGACATAATGACCTTTTTCTAGACCTATGAGATGCCATTAGCGAATGTATGGGTGATGGTTGTACGGTTAGTTCTTGTTGCCTAAATATCTCGTGGAATTTTATGACAACATCTTTGCCATCAACATTGACAACAATCACTCCATCAAGTTGTCTAGGTGTTCCGAGATGTGATAAAGTAGTACGACATAACTCGATTATTGTCGGCTTTAGCCTGTTTTCCACAGTATACGACGTTTGCATGATTTCGCCTGTTAGAGAAAAAAAAAGAATAAAGAGAAATGATGAGTCAATTATTTTGGGTGGGGCGGTGGAAAAAGAGTACAAAACACCTATTGTTCAAACGATTACTATCTTATCGGAGAGCTACGCCGTTCGATTTTGTTTGTCTAACGATATAGGAATCATCCCACAACAAGAAATTAGTAATTGAATAATTTCTTTGATAAAATGAAAGAGTTTTGTTTAAAAAATGAAATCAGAAAAAAAAAATTTACCTTGAAGAAGTAAATTCTTTAATAGAAAGAAAAATGGTGTTTTTTTCTTTTTCTATCTATTTATCTATCTATCTATCTTATTCTTTTCTCTTTACTAGTATCTATTTTGTTAAAACTCTCCTTACTAACTTTACACAATTTAAAGATAGGAAGGAACATAGGTTTATGTTTTTTTTTAATATATATAAAAAGAGAAAAGAAAGAATTATATATCGATTTGGCCAACGAATTAAACCAGTTTGATTCATTATACCCATACTCTGACATCAGATGGAAAAGATAGCTTATCTATTTTCTTCATTTTATAATTTGAGATAATAAAATTTCTAAATTTTTTTTATACCGCCTCCGAATATGCCAAAAAAAGCTTATAGGTACTTTTATCTATAAATTTTATCTATCGGAATGCTCGGAACGATTTCGTCAATGACTTTTTGGCGCCATCAGCGACTATCTCTTAATTCGTTAACCTATTAAATATATATTTTATTGTGATTTTTGAAGGGTGATAAATAGGATAATTGGGGGTTACGTAATTTGAGTAGAGGGGAAAAAATTTTTTATAACGTTTCACGATCCGATAATAATAAGTACAAATGAAAAGGAATGATTGAATAGGAATTACGAAAGACGAGTTCGTAGTTGAATGACAGTTCACAATTCGTATGAACGCGTATATACCGCGTATTGTACTTGAGATATATAGGTTTTCCATTATAAATACTTTTTTTCTATATTTTCAAGTGAAAAAGGCTCCTTTCTAAAGACTAATATTATAAAGGATACCTTAGAATTGCAACGTAATACACGTTTTGTTTTTAGGCGCCAAGGAGTGCTTTTTTCATAAGGCTATTATCTAATTGTCAAATTACATAGACACTTGTTCCTAATTGAATGATACGTAATTACTAAACAAAAATATAAAATATAACTTACTTTCTTGCACCATATAAGAATACATATAAAATATATATATATATATATAAAGTTGTAACAAAATTTAGGTAAATTACATATACATAGATGTAAATTTGAATATTGTATATACATGTATATATATATATATAAACTGTCTACTTATATATACTAATATATGTATATATATATATATATATGTGTAATTAAAGTATTTAAGCGCGCATAAAAAAGAGTGATATCCGTCTTTTAAGTTGAAAAGAAAATCTTACACGTAGGAGAAAAGGGGAAGGAATAAAATGAAAAAGAAAAAGGAGAAATATATTTTATACCTAATGAATACAAAGATATATTCATATATATATATATATAAATAGATATATATTTTCTCCTTTTCTGTCAATAAAATACACGATTTGGCACGTTGTCTCCGTGGAAGTGTACTTTATTCAAATCTCGAACGCCTACAGATTTCCATGAGTCAGTTGTTTAGCGATTGAACGCACGCGGCGGCTCTTGAACTGGAAATAACTTACCTAAACCGATCAGGTCATCCGGTCCGCGCAATTGAAATTCTCCAAATTGTAGCGGTAAAAGTTGACAGAATGGTTACCTGAATCAGCGTTTCTCCTGGAATGGGCGTGGACGCCGTTAGCGAGATGTACTGCTGCCTGCGGCGTCACGCCCTTTCTCTTTAGCACGTTTCCATGCTTGTTTTTTGACATATGTTTGTCAACATCGGTTCTTGTTTATTGATAAGTTTTGAACACGAAGGAGCGTCTATTTCAATACGTAACCGCACACAGATAAGACAGTATAAACTGTTCATAAACTTATGACAATTATATACTTGTGTTTCTTATTTCGCTTTTTAATCTAAATGTACACACGGTGAAAAGCGTATAATCTATGCTTTTATAAGGTAACAATTTAAATACGTACAGTTACAGCTATTCTTAAAATACCCCTAGATTTTTGTGTCTATATTTTAACGGTTTTTTTTAGCCTTTTCTTTTCTCTTTTACTTATATAAACGGGTTTAAAAATAATATTATTTTCTACATAAATTTTATTCCTCTTTCGTCTTTTTTTCTCTAAAGTATTCCTTTTTAAACTTATTAATTTAACGGTTTGATGATCGTACCTGTGTTTGAAATTTCCGTTTGACTAACATCTTTCGGTAAGGTTTCCGCAGACCTATCCATAACGCTCGAAATTTAATAATGAACTGTAATCCGGCTCTGTTTATTATTCATCGAACTTAAAGGCCTAGAAAAATTCTGCCTATCCTTATCTTTTCTGTTTCATATTTTTCTCCAACCTACCAAGGCTGAATCATACTTCCAAATGTCTTTTCCATAACTGACGCAATTTATGCTTAGCAATATGTATGAATATTCAAAAATGACCTATTACTAAATTCCACAAAGGAGTATACACAATCATCTTTTTATTGAATAACAACTAAACAAGAAAACATTTAAAAGTTATTGTATAGCGATCTATTTACATATATACAATGACTAAAATATAAATAGCCCAAAATGTATCACGTAATGACGATATACACCCATTCTTGGTATTAATATTCATATTTTTTATGGCCTAAACATAAGAAGTAGGAAGGTCTATTGAATATATTTTGTCTTATTTTTCCTTTGCTTTTTTTTTTAAGTAGTATTGCTATTTTCTTATGAATTCAACTGTGACTTAACGATTGCTTAAAGATATGTAAATACGAAAAGAGACATTCTTCTGCGAATATTCTCAATTAATATCTAAAAATATATAATATTTCTTATGTCCTTTTTTCCCCCCTTGAATAGATAATTCACGTTAAGTTGAACGAAGGCGGTTCTTTATTACATTCCACCCACATACAAACGTGGCTAAAATTGGGAGCTGTTTCTCTGCAATTCCCTCAAATTTCACAGGTAATAGGAAGTAAGGAAAGAAAATCATGGGTTTGCACGGCTGTTGCAGCTCTCTACCAATTAGTTTGCACGGGTAAATTATTTTATTATATGCTTATAATATGAATATCTAAACACACATACATATGCTTATACTATACATATATAATATATATATATTTGCCCACATACCTGTACATTCATTCATACGTGCATCATACACAGTACAAATATACAAATTTGACACTTTTCTTACTGTGTATTTATATACTAATATTGTAGTTATCTTTAATTTTTATATAGTTGTCCTACTGCCCGGACAAAAACTTACAAAATTAAAAGTTACAAGCGAAGAAGAGTATATTCCGAAAACGGCTGATGAACTACACCACACAACCGAAGCATGCGATAGAATATCTGAACTAATGTATGCCTTGAGCTCGCAACTGTCGTTTCTAGTAAAGAACAGGGCGTTACCGGATTATATATTATATCCTTTACGCAATGTTATCATAGGTATAGCTCGATTGCCTTTAGTAAATAGCTATGCTAGGACACCAATGTTAGCATGGCGTCTTGGTTGGATTCCATCAGTTTCTGGAGAGAATAGAACAAGTTTACCTCCTCTCCCTCAAGAACTACTTATGGAGAGAGAAGTTTTAATAGAATTTATAAGACGTATTAATTGCTTGGGGTGGATATCGAGAACACAATTTGAAGAGACTTGGATGAGTTTATTAGGTGTTTTGAGTCCCGCAGCTGAAGAGGGCGGAGGGAGCGTTCAGGTATTGAATTATCTTTTCCATTTTAAAAGCCTTTTAGAAAGTAATTAATAGGAAATTAAAGAATATCTTAATCAAGACTACATATATATGCATTTCCTATTATGCTATATATTACTATGTATCAACTTTACATAGATATATTTATATAGCTTTTTAAATAACTATATACGTATGAATATACAACATGTCTCTTTTATCAATTATTTTAGGATATAATGGAAAGAAATCATTGTTCATCTTTGGCGTTGAGAGCAATGACAGCACTTTTGCAGTATACAACACTAGCGCCTCATAGCGGCAATCCGGCAAGTAGTTCCACTTCACCTGGACCCAGATCGGCTAATCTTTACAGTTTAAGAACAAGGTGAGTATTTAGATTATAGTAGAAAAAATTTTTATTTTATTCAAATTAGGCATATAATAGATAACTATCTACACTTAGTACAAAACTGTTGGAAAATTCTATGAGGTCACAAATTTTCCCTAAACTAGTATTTTATTACATACTTTATTTGTTAGTATAGGATAATTTACAGTTAAAAAAAACACGACAGACAAGGAATCTCTAATTGTACAGGCACTATAAACTCTTCTTCCATACTATACTTTTGTCTTGTTTCATTCATTCATTTATCAAAATACTTTTTCTCTATTATTATCAATATTCCATTATCTATTTTTACTCTACATAATATAATATTTTAGGTTGGTTGTACAATATAATAACTGGAAAGAGAAAGTAAATTGAAATGATGTAAAGCAATTTTAGTAGCGTGTGAACAGTACAAAAATAGATAAGTCAATCAAGAGAAAGTTTTCCATAGTTATTTTTTTATCCTATATATAACAATTAGAAAAAATCTAACGATGACATCTGGATATTCATATCGGAAAAGTAATTCGATGATTCAACACCAATTTTTAGATTATTTTTGCGTAGATTCCTGATTTTTTCGATTTCCATTCTTAATTTTTCATTTGTCACAATTAGTTCCTTTTCTCTTCTTTCCAAATTTAGTATTTTTGATTTGTGCCTCTCTCTGCTTCGTTTACATTTTTCCGCGTGTTCCGGATCCCGAGGAGGTTTTCTAGTCCTACTTGTCTGTATTTAAAAATAAGGATATTACGTATTATTTAAATATAAATATATATATATAGTAGATAACTATATATAATCATTTATAATGTCATAAAACTTGTTCCGCTTATTAAAACTGACCTTTCTAATCTCTTTGTTGTAACCTTCTTCTACACGTTGATCAGGAGATATCGTAGATGGTACTCCAATTTGTTCGAAATCTAAAAAAAAAATCATTACAAGCGTAAATCAATGATAATACTTTTAAGATTATTAAATATAGTAATTATAAACATGTACTAAAATGCGCACCAGGAGTTACCATTAGGCCGCTTTTTTCATTAGCAGCGAGTTTTTCCATTGGTGAATTACATTGACTTGAGTAGTCGGGTGTTGGATATAGAGAATTTCCATAGCCTTCATCATGAACATTACATGAAGACTCTTCCTCGTTTTCCGCTGGATATTCACTCCCAGAATTCAATTCTTGTTCTATAAAAGCTATTAATGTTGGCTTTAAACACTCAAAAGCTGGAGATTTTATTATCTCTTCCAGATTACGATTATCAATATCACTGGTATCCATAAGAGACTCCATCATTTCTTAGGTAACTATGGAAAAATGAGTGATATAAAAAGTATTTATTGTTAAAAATGGCTGATTTTTTGTCTTCCTGGCAAATATAGGATAGGCTCTATTATAAATAGTGATAATATAAATTAGACAGCGCCACCTAACAGACTATATTGTTGGCCAACCACTTTGTTATGCCTATATTATATATTGTACATATCTTATTTATATGAATACTATATTGTCGAAATTTATAAATAGTACCATACCCTTCTGAATTGGTTTAGGAAAACTTTTAAATCTAGGAAGGCAAATCGACGAATGACGTCAATAGATACTAAAATTACTCGATCTTTTGTCAGAGCTACCTTGAAAAAACTAATACTCTAACTTCAGAAAGCCTATGATACCTTTTATTTCCTTTACAATATCTTTACTGAAAGGAAAAAGAGGAAAGAAAAATTCAACTTTATTACTTTATTAGCATTCTATTAAAATTTACGCCGTTACGTAGGTGCTTTTTCATATTGACTTAACTTCTATGTCAATAATCACTTGTTCTTTAGTTTTCTCTCTCTCTCTCTCTCTCTCACTCCCTTCCTATCTCTCTTTCCAATACCAATGCTTCTTTTCCTTTTTTTCCTCTTTTTGAAAAATCTTGCAATTTTACAGATAATACCCAATATTCTGTATAATAAATAATCCACTCTATTGATACTATAAATAGACTATAGATAAATCGTTAAATATCTAGAATTATTCAATATTCAATCAAGTGTTCAATATAAGTCCTACCTTTTGTTATAGTAAAACTTGCTAAATAATATATACTTAGATGTTATAATAAAAAAGTGAGGGAGAGTAGAAAACGAATAAAAGGAAGAAGTGAAAGAGAAGAGGGGTGGGGGAGAGAAAGAGAATAAAGGATAGAAATATTACTATATTATTATAAACATATTATTATGCAATACGGCATCCTAAACAAATATAGCTGTAGATTAAAAAAAAACAATCATTATGCAGTATAATTAGAAATATGTAAAATATTTTTCTATAATATTTTAACATAATGTCTTATATTAGAATAATTTATATATATTATATATTTTATAATTAGATGGGGAAGGTATTATAGTCTTATAAGAATACTTCTCCAAAAAGAATTGGAGATAATTCATCAACTTCACAGGTAGCTTTAATGTTGTAAAGCAAAAAAAAAAATTGTTATTGATTGATTGTTGTATAATTTATTATACCATTCAATATATATATATATATATATATATATATATATATATATGAATACTCTTTTCTATACTTATTAATAATTTTAATTTATTTAATGATCTATTATTATTGATTTAGCTAGTTAATTTTATTATAATTTGGTTTTTAGTTGACTTTCCTTTCTCTTATTTTTTGTTTAAAAGCATAAAATTTTATGATTTTGTTTTATTTTATGATAAGAATAGTAGAGATATTTTTTCCACTGTTTTCTTTTTTATTTTCATATTTTCTCTTTCGGTTTATTGCTTCCTTAAACACAAATATCACGTGACTAATTTAAAAATATATATATAATACATCATATATGAAAAATTAGTGTTTATATAATTAACTTTAATAACCATATATAGCTCGAATACCAAACCGTTTGCGGAGAAACGAATAAACGTCGATAGATTAAATAGTTTATTTGATGAAAATTTGGAATGTCAGCTCGGTCATATCGGATTCTCATTTAGCCAGGTACGTCATTCCGTTTATTAGATATATCTACATGTATATATATATATTTTTGTCAGCGGATGTATAAAAAAGAATACGAATATACTGTATATACAGTATATATAAATGTATATATTGTATTTTGAGATATTCAATTCTTCTTCTTGTTTCCTTTCAATTTTCTATTTTGCTTAAACGTCTATACTGTATATCAACTTAAAATAAAAAAATAGAGAAATATAGTTTTCCATATAGAAAACTTTAAAAGAAACATCACAAACACTAAGCAAGTATATGTACTATTATTCTAAATAAGGTTATAAGAAACAAACAAAGAAAAGGGAAGAAGGTAAAGTTAAGCATGCGTTAATAGTTTCTTTTTATATTCTATTTTTATATTCATATTTGTATTGAAAATACTTCTCTGTTTTTCTCTTTATCTATTTATCTGTTTTTTATTATCATTCTACTTATTTCCTTTATAATAGGGAAAATTCAGATTTTTTATTAATTTAACTAACTTCTACTTATATAGACAGCTTACTGCATACAATATGCATCTAAGCTATATACTTATATATTTTTTTATCTTGAAACTTTCCTTTTGTCAATGTCTTGTTTAATTCAAATCAAGATGAAACATTAAAGAAATCGACTCATTTTATTAATATACAATCAAATTGGTATCCCTTATCATAGTAATTTGTTTTCTATTTTAAATTATTAGAAAAGTGGTCGATCTATGAGTCATTCGGCATCAACTGGAGATGATTCAACAGCCTCTGATAGTCCCGATTTGGAGATGGTGGAAGCTCCGAAGACTGTCTCTATGGTTACGGGTAAAATTCTTGTTTAATTATTTTCATTTAAAGTTAAAACAAAAGTTTTATTTTATTGCTTTTTCTTTATTGTTCGTCTTCATCTAACGTCTTTAGGAGATGAACTAGATATTCGTTCCTGTGTCCAATTACTTTTGGATTTATTTACTCAGTTTGTTTCTCCATCACCGGAGATAGCCACACCTCCAGCTCTTCTATGTCAAGTTATGCGATCGGTTAGTAGCATCGACTAAATAGGATAAAACTATATCCTTTAAGCCATAAAATACATATGTTTGTTTTCTTATCCCTTTTTTAGATGGTTGCTGTTACGGACGTTTTAGATCAAGCACCCCATTATGAATGGTTATTGCATAATTTATTACAAGTTGATAAATTAAGACCAGTTGATGATGAGCTTGTTAGGCAATATTTAGCAATTGGAGCTTGTAAAGCTGCCTGTTTTTCGGGACAGGTGACTAGATAACATTTATATAAAATACTGTTTATTTATTTATCTATAAAATTATAATCTTTAATTAACAGTTTGAAATGAGACAAGAAAAACTGATATCTCTTATTGATAATGGTCTACAATCGAGTCATGTTCCAAGTAGAGCTGCAGCTCTTCACGCCTCTGTTTTTCTATTACAATCTGCCCCCAACAACAGCGTAAATTCAATAGTACTAAATTACCTAAAATCTTTACTTCAACGCCATTTATTACCTTTAACTTCTTGTCAATTTTGGTATATAATATTATTATTACATAACTATTATTTAAAAAATTATTAATGATTTATTGTTTTCAATTCAAGTACGTCTAACGAACAATACTGGTTAACCGTTTGGTCGGTTGCATTCTATTTATTAGAGAATCACGCAGAAGAACTAGCTGATAATGAATTCTGTTCAAAGATATTGCAGGTATAATATGTCTAATACGTATTTACATAATAAAATATATATACAGTATATATATATAAACTGAATAGATTGTTTATAATAATAATGGAGAGATTCTTGACCATCCTTTTAATTCGTTTTTCTTTATAGGCTGCTATCGATAAGACGTACGAAGATAAAACGGCCTTGGGTCTATACTTATGTCTTATAAATGGCTTTGAACGTCTTATTTTATCCGGTTGCTTATCAACTAGTCAGATTACTGCTGTTGTCAAGTTATCCATAAACAAGTAGATACAATCGTCTTATATTTTTACCTTAACTGATACCTTTTAAGATAAATTCTATAACCATAATATTTAGTCATTTATAATTTTCTATACAATTTATATATTTAAAAAATAATTACAGACTTCTAATGCAAAATGTTCAAAGAAGTTTGCACGCGGTAAGACTATTATTAGCATGTATGCATTTCGGTACGAGAGGAGCGGAATCATCAATTACGGAAATAGATGTAGAAATGTCTATTGTAACTATGGAACGTATTACAGTAATATTTGACAGGTGTGTATTATATTAAAATTCATATATTAATCTATATAATATTAAAAGATTAAATAAATAAATATTCTTGTATTTTTTATCTTTTAGAATCCGTAAAAGCGCTTTTGCAGAGGCTAAAGTTCTTTGCAGAATTCTACCAAGATTATTAATCGAATTCTGTTCGCCAGATGACGTTATGAATAAGGTCTATATTAATAATTCTCATTTTTTTGTTTTTGCTTGTATATAATAACACATAGTGTGTGTATATACACCATTTATATCTCTATATAATATAATGAATTTGCAAAATTTAACATTTTTCAAATAGGTAATCGGTGAATTTATATCCAATCAACAACCACATCCACAATTATTGGCAAAAGTTCTATCGGAAGTATTTAGTAAATTGATAAATGATGAAAAGGCTGACGTTGTTGTTAATTGGTTAATGTTATCGTTGAGTAATTTGGCGCAAAGAACCCCATTATCAATGGCAATTTGGAGTTTAACTGTATGCTTCGTTAGTGCCAGCCAGAGTAATCAATTAAGAGCTCTGTAAGTAACTCTATGTATATGAATATCGTAGTAAATTTTTAAAGATAGTACTTTTTAACGTCTTTAAAATCATTTTTCGCTATTTTATAAAGGAAAGGGAGGAAATTTTATTTTATTGTCTATTCATTCTTTTTCTATTCCTTTATTCTTTTTAGTCGTTTTATTTAGTCGTAATAAGAATTTTATTAGTGTCTTAACACAATATTTCAAATGTTTGAAAGCCTTCACATTTGTTGTTGCTACTATTCAACATAAAAAAAAATAAGAGGTATCTTTTAAAAAGGAGAAGGTGACAAGGATAAAAAAAGAAAGAAAAAAAAAGCCTATTAAGCAGAGGCTTTTTATAAAAATGATTACGTACGTTCAAGCATTCAAAAGGAGTTTTTTTTTTCTATTCAATTTTTACTTTCTCCTTATTTTCCAAAATAGATTGAATTTATTATTGTTTAAGAATGGAAATGGAAAACCAGTTTAAATAATCTTTGATCAAATAATTGAAGATCTAATTTAAATACCGATTCAGACAAGGAATACCTTAAGTAAATTGTTATTAAGTATAAAATAACAACGCCCTAACAACTACTCCATTATGCTATCATACCTTTCCGTAAAAAATTAGGCCTAAGAGCAAAGGAATAATATATATTTATATATATTCATTTCATTTCTATATACGCCATCTACTGGTATACTCTTACATTGTTTTATTGTTACAGACTACCTCATATGATATCCAGAATGAATCAATCAAACGATGTCACAGAAAAGTTCTTCCTGTTATCGGCAATCGATTTTTATAAACAGTTGGACAATGAGACAAAGATAAGCTTTAAGAAGACATTCGAAATAGCAATGCAGGGTGAAATTATAGATTTATATGACAGATTATTGACCATTATTAACTGTGATGAATGTTGATAACTGTTTCTTCTTTATATCCAAAAAAAACATAGTCATTCCAATAATATTAATATTTCCTGCAAAAGAGAAAATACAATACGAATATTTTCTTTTTTTATGATTTATGTTCACTATATTTAATTGTTAATCTATTGTCTTTTTTTTCACTTTATTTATCTTCATAAAGTAATCAATGTCAACTTTAATTCCTTTTCTTTTTCTGCCATTTAAAGCTGTTTGATTAATAAAGAATTTATTTTGAGTTGCGTCATCAATGCTGCACTAATTAAAAATATATGAAGTTTATTATAAAAAAAAAACAGACAAACACAATTTCTACGAATCAATTGTTTCTTTTCCATATTTCAGTAAAAATGTTATTAAGGCCAATTACAGGTTACTGCACCGGCATCCCACACTAGACCAGGTGGACAAGACTTCTCAAAACATTGTCCCCACTGGCTGCATTGAACGAATTTCTCCCTTTGAACATGAGGGAAATAGAATCTGCCTTGTTCTATATTTTCTGGGGTACAAGGGTTATTTGATCCACAGCTATAACCACCGCCTGACGGAGGAGTTGGTGTTGTTGTTCGGAAAGGTGGGATTTCAGTCTCTCCTGGTCCATCAGTTTTAGGTGGTCTTTCAGTTTTTCCTGGTCCGTCAGTTTTAGGTGGTCTCTCAGTTTTTCCTGGTCCATCAGTCTTAGGTGGTCTTTCAGTCTTTCCTGGTCCATCAGTCTTAGGTGGTCTCTCAGTTTTTCCTGGTCCATCAGTCTTAGGTGGTCTCTCAGTTTTTCCTGGTCCATCAGTCTTAGGTGGTCTTTCAGTCTTTCCTGGTCCATCAGTCTTAGGTGGTCTCTCAGTTTTTCCTGGTCCGTCAGTCTTAGGTGGTCTTTCAGTTTTTCCCGGACCATCTGTCTTAGGTGGTCTTTCTGTCTTTCCCGGTCCATCAGTTTTCGGCGGTCTTTCAGTCTTTTCTGGTCCTTCAATTTTTCCAGGTTTTTCTATTTTTCCCGGCTTTTCAATTTTTCCTGGTCTCTCAATTTTTCCTGGCTTTTCAATCTTTCCAGGTCTTTCAATTTTTCCTGGCTTTTCTATTTTTCCCGGCTTTTCAATTTTTCCTGGTCTCTCAATCTTTCCTGGCTTTTCAATCTTTCCAGGTCTTTCAATTTTTCCTGGCTTTTCAATCTTTCCTGGCTTTTCAATTTTTCCAGGTCTTTCAATTTTGCCGGGTTTCTCAATCTTTCCCGGCTTTTCAATCTTTCCAGGTCTTTCAATCTTTCCTGGTCTTTCAATTTTTCCTGGTCTCTCAACTTTTCCTGGCTTTTCAATCTTTCCAGGTCTTTCAATTTTTCCTGGTCTTTCAATCTTTCCTGGTCTCTCAACTTTTCCTGGTCTCTCAATTTTTCCTGGTCTCTCAATCTTTCCAGGTCTTTCAATTTTTCCTGGTCTCTCAACTTTTCCTGGCTTTTCAATCTTTCCTGGTCTTTCAATTTTTCCTGGTCTTTCAATTTTTCCAGGTCTTTCAATCTTTCCTGGTCTTTCAATTTTTCCTGGTCTTTCAATTTTTCCAGGTCTTTCAATCTTTCCTGGTCTTTCAATTTTTCCTGGTCTTTCAATTTTTCCAGGTCTTTCAATCTTTCCTGGTCTTTCAATTTTTCCAGGTCTTTCAATTTTTCCTGGCTTTTCAATCTTACCAGATTCTAAAATATGGCTTTTTATTAGAAGAACAGTGCATTAATAAAATAGAAAAAACAAAATCTTACTATGTTGGCAGTTGTGACCCCAATATCCTGTTCTACATTGACACTTATATCTTCCAATGGAGTTAATACATGTTCCAGCATTTTGACAGGGGTTACTTCTACAATTATCCTTTACTAAAGATAAAGCCTAAGATAGTTATGTATGTAAATAAAAAAGATGCAAGAAACTCATACTAATTTCGCAGTGTTGTCCAACAAATTCCTCAGGACATTCACAAAAGTATCTAGAAGGTCTGCTATTGCATGTTCCTCCATTCAAACACGGCTGCGATAAGCAGTTGTCGATTGCTGCAGAAAATAATTACATAAAAATTCATCAGAATAGACTAATATATTATTAATTATAACTTAATTAACTAACAATTTTCGCATCGTTTTCCAGTATAGCCTCTATTACAAATGCATCCGTATTGGCCCGGTCCTTTACTTACGCACCAACCGTTTAAGCATGGGAAAGAAGCACATACATCTACCACTGTCAATGATAATAAAATATATTTAGCACTAATGCTAATTCTTTAGAGACAAAAACTAACAGCAATCGCAGTTTGTTCCAGTAAAACCTTCATTACAGATACATTTATAACCGTTAATTAGATCTTCGCATACACCGTGCTGACAAGGATTTGATTCGCATTCGTTTATATCTTAAATATCAGAAAATAGAATGATTATTGAAAAGTACAATTACAAAAAAATGATAACAAGCTTACTATGTTGACACCTTTCACCAGTCCAACCATCGGCGCAGACGCATCGATATCCGTTTACCTTATCAACACAAGTAGCACCATGAAGGCAAGGATTAGAAGCACATTCGTCAATGTCTAGAATTTTAATTTCCCAATTACTAATCACCTTTAAAAGTAGAGTAAAGTTTTCCTCAACTTACCAATTGCGCAATTGACACCAGTCCATCCTGGTTTACAGATACAGACATAACCATTTATTTTATCTCTACATTCGCCATTTACGCAAGGATTTGATTCACATTCATCAATGTTAATTTCACAATTGACGCCAGTCCAACCTTTGGAAGTGAAGAGATGATAATAATAAAAGTTATTAGAATTTTTCCAATTTAACTTACCAGGTTCACAAATGCACTCGTATTTGTTAATCAGATTCAAACATTCACCATTATGACATGGGGAACTTGCACATTCATCAATGTCTATTTATTGAACAAATTTTTGTTAGACTATTACTTTCAGTTGTATACATTTAATAAAATATCTACCTAATTCACATAATTTTCCAGTATAACCCGGATTACAGAGACACCTATATCCATTTATTAAATCTTCACAACTTCCGTGAAGGCAAGGTGAAGATGCGCATTCGTCCATATCTTTTTTTAATATTGGAAAAAGTTAAGTTAATATTTCACTTATCATTTTATCTTTTTTTTTACCAATTTCACAATTTGGTCCAGTCCAACCAGGTTTACAGTGACATTTGTAACCGTTTACAAGATCTTCGCAAGCACCATTCTTACAAGGATTAGATGCGCATTCGTCAATATCTTTTTCAAGAAAGATAAAATGAAAAATAATGATTATATGATAAATATTTTCATAGATAAATTGAATATACCTATTTCGCAATGTATGCCTGTAAAACCTGCATTACATTCGCAAGTATAGTGGTTTACACCATCAACACAACCGCCGTGAACACAAGGTGTTGAAGCGCATTCATCAATATTAACATCACACGTTTTTCCAGTCCAGCCTATGATGAATTTATGATGTTTATTGTTTAATAAGCAATTACGTTAAACTTGAATTAGGATTCTCTCATTCTCTCTCTTACCTGGATCGCAACAGCAATCGAATTTATCTACACCTACCGCAGTGCAGGTTCCGTGTTCGCAAGGTTTCTTTGAACATTGGTTTAATGCTATGAGAAATATAATCTATTTAGAATTAGCGTAAGAGTATGCTAATTAAACGTTTTCTTACGTTCAGTGCATTGTTCGCCACCCCAACCTAAAAATAGAGACAAAAATGTGATAATTAATACAAAATAGTTTTTCATTTGTCTTATATTAAGAGAGAAATAATGATTGTTTACCTGCATCACAGACGCAAACAAAACTTCGTCCCTTCCTTTCACAAGTTCCAAATAAACATGGATTAGAATCGCACGGATTTACTTCAACTTCGCAATTTTTTCCAGTAAAGCCGTTATTGCATATACATTTATAGCCATTTTGGAGATTTTCACATTTTCCATGTATACAAGGTTTAGACGCGCATTCGTCGATATCTATCGTTTTTGTTATGAATTTTAATTAATTAACTAATTCTATATAGTAATTATTAATAGCAGGTTGTCTTTAAACATACCAATATCACAGTGTTGACCGGTAAAACCGGGATCACAGATACATTGGTAAGATCCAGAAGGTAATGGTTCGCATAACCCACTCTCACAAGGTTGTGTTGAACAAGGATTAACAGCTATTTCGATTAAAAAGAACAAATTTTATGAATATTCATTCAGTAGCTAAAAAATAAACAATAATTAAAGATATTAACGTTTATCGCAGAATTCTCCTAGCCATCCCTGATCACATATACATTGATAACCTTTTGGTGTACTAACGCATTTACCATGCTGACATCTGTTAATCTTGCAATTATCTATTCTATTTTCACAAGTAGGTCCATTGTAATTAATTGGACAGGAACAAACGAAAGATCCTGGCAATGCTGAGCAAGTACCATTATTTAAACAAGGCCTTGATTTGCAATAATCAATTACTATTGTAAAAAGAATTCAATTAGAAATGACATTCAAAAACGAATAAATTAAATTTAAACAAAAAGAACTAACCTAATTCGCAATGTTTACCATTAAATCCTTCAGGACATTGACATGTATAATCTTGACCTTGATCAACACATAGTCCGCCATTCTTACATGGATTATTCGAGCAAAAATCTTGTTTTCCAGGGAGAAAATCAACTATTATATTTGTGTTATTTCCCTTAATATTACAAAAGATATTCTTGTGATTGCCGGGTATATACAATGACGCTATTTTTCCAGGTTCAGCTATTATTAGAGCATCGTTAAAATCTTCATTAGGATAGACTGATCGAGAGAAAGAGTAGGAAGTTGTACTCTTATCCGCCTGGAGTTTAACCGTAACTCCTGATGATGGCATTCTTATCAAGCAATTTTGATCGGTATTAGGAGGTAACAATCCGGGAAGAGTAACTCCGTTGTTACCAGGATTAATTATTATAGGAGCATCGCAAGTTCTCTTTTCAATAGCGTACTTAAGACTTTCAACTTCGTCGAAACCTTTTAACAAAGTAGCATGATAGCAGTAAGGATCACTAGCTATGACTCTTAGTTCTTCCAAATCAATCTTTGATCCAATACCAACGGCAAAAATAGTTATATCTTTTTTATGTAATCTGGCAGCGGAAATTGCAGTTAACGCTGGATGATTACTTCTACCATCCGTTAAGATAACTACTATTCTGGCTCTTCCTTCTCGTGCTCCTTTCTCCGGTTGGAATTCATCACCAACCTTGTTGAGAGCGGCGTGAGTGTTAGTACCACCACCTTGATAGGTGATTTTTTCAATTGCATTTAATACTTGTCTTTTATTCGAATAACTGTTCAAAGAAAATTCTGTTTTTACACTTGTGCTGTACTTAATCAGACTGATCTGAGTTCTCTTGCTCGAAATATCAAAACCTTTTACAACGTTTTTAACGAAGTTCTTCATTTGTCTGAAATTTCTTAGACTTACACTTCCCGAACCATCGATAACAAATACCATGTCGGGTCCTAATGTGGTTGTGCAACCTCTTTCTAAAGTTAAGGCATCTTTAACAAAACGATTTTCAGCTCCATCCTTTCTATAGTTTTTAACCCAAAATTTAGCCTGCTCTTCAATGGATCTAGGTACTCGACCACCCCTAGTTTTATAGACAACGTACATTCTGGATACAAGGGCGGAATATAATGGTTTAGTAAGATCTTCCCATTGAACTTTATGCCAAGATATTCCAAATTTTGCTTTTACTCTGTCAATATAACGGCCGAGGATGAACGAAGATAGAAATGATTGAGTCTTCTCTAACATTTCTTTATCAACCTTTTGCAAAAGAATTCGATAAGAAACATTTTTAAATACAACTAACATTCGATTAGATAATGGTTGAAAAAAAACTTGTCATTGCTTAGCAACAAACAACTTAATTGGTCGCAAAAAATCTTTTTTAGACCCAAGAAGTAAATTTCTTACCTGCCAAATACCGCCGTAATATCCCTTCCTGAAAGTTCTTGGATGAAGTCCGTCATTGGTTTCAACATAGGCGACTCTCCTAGCAAAAAGTTTGTCATCGGGAAAGATACATGCATAATTAATTAAACCAAGAGTAGCTTCAACAACTCCATTTCCAGAAGCTTCTTCAGCTATTGTATTGTCAGTGGAAGCGTCACCAACGCTGAAAAAAGCCAATACAGTAAAGAGGAGCAAGAACGAAACTCTAATTCGTCGCCTCATCTTCAGACGAATTTTTGTTTAGAATACGAATCGGACCTTATATGAATAAGTTGAAAGCGGATCCACTACGGGGGGACTGTCTATCTGATATAACATACTGATGTACTAGATTTAACGTAAACTAAATAAATTTTAAAGTGTTGCATATTAATTATTAATAATAAATTATTTACCTAACTTAATTAAGAGTTTGCATACTAATTAAATAAATTGATAGATTTAACGAATAACAATCAAAATTTTAAGAAACCGTAATAATTAAGCCTATTAAAATTTTTGTCTACCATGCGGAGGCGTAGTATCACTAACAATAGTATAATCAATAACCAATAAGTATTTTTCAAGCGTCGCCGGCTAGAAATGATTAGATAACAGAGATTGTTAACTTTTATTCGTTTTCGTCCTAATGATTTTTTTCAGCTGATAAAAACAAATATTAACCATAAATATCAAAGTGACTTTGATTTATATTTTTTAATTAAAGAGAATATAAAAAATAAAGAAAAAAATTGGAAAAACATTCGCCTACGCATTTCAATTATCTTTTAAATAGAAAACTTCTTTTAATTTATTTGTTACCAGTTTATTAATTTAATTTTTTTTTTGTATTATCATTACAGCGATAGGTATTAAGTATTATAATAATTTATTATATAATATACTGTATATAGAGGGAGACTAGGCTTATATACTATTAAGATAAATAATATATATATCGTATGTAAAATCTGCTTTAGTAAGCAAAAATAAAATATTTTGAATATTTCGATTAATTATTTATGTTTATAAGTAATATTATTGAAATAGATAATATAAACATATATATTTCTTTTAATAAACTTAATTATCACCTAGAATTCATTTCGTAATAGAATATTTTATATTCTGTTCCTTTTTTAAAAATGTTCTATATTCTATATTCTTTCGTTCCATTTTCTAAACTGTACTTTTCTTTCTCTTTTTATATCCTTGTTATAAATTATACTATTATTTGCTCTAAATCTAAAATAAAAAAGACAAGTCTAATTAGTTTAACTATCTTATCTTATAGATGAAATATTTAGAATTATTTTGCTTGTGTCGTAATAATCCTATAATCTCTTCTTTCTGTTGATTATAAATTAAAAAGATCTTTGATTGATAACGAACAATTTGTTAGAAAAATTGTGATTTCTTTCATATACTTCTTATCTATATTGATGTGTACATATATATCCATTTATTTAATTTGATAGTCTATTTACCTTTATATTTATTCTGTATGTATATATCTAATAATCATAGATTACATCGATTTACTATTAATTAATTATCATATGTATTTATATATGTTTGAATACTTTTAATTTAATAAATAAATACTTTAAGCGTTAATTAAATAGAGAAAAAATATACACGTTACTCTACTTAGAAATATATAGATATTTTGTTTTAGAATATGATTTAAAACATTATTAAATATCATTTGTTGAATAAAATAACAGCTTGTGCTTCTTCTTTAATAACTTTATTCAAAATTGTTCTTTATTCGTCTCTGAAACATTTGCGTGATTTAGAACTACCACAGCGGAAGTTGTTGTCTGCTAAAGTCCAAATTTTTACAGTTTTCTCACCAGTATTAAGTGTGTATTTATGTGTATTCTTTGCACATAATAGAAAGAAATCATCACTTTTTTCTTCATGAACTTCATCCTGAGGAAATGTAAAATATTCAAAGGTAGTATTTAGCAGATTTCTGGACAAAAACACACTAGAAACTTATACTGACACGTGCAAAAACCTGGCAATGCAAGTAGTGCAAATCAACTAATATGTTTTTGAATATTGAAAAATGGAGTAAACTTACCAAACTAGTCGGATTATTAATAATACTATTCGTCTTTAATGAATTCATTATCTACTATATTTTCTTGTTGCAATGTCAATGGCCTCTTTTACAACAGTCAAAGTCAGCCGAAGACGTGAAAGTGATGTTTCTAGCTGATACCCATATTTTAGGTAATAGAGAAGGACATTGGTTTGATAAACTTCGAAGAGAATGGCAGATGGAAAGATCATTTCAAACAGCAATGGCTATACATAGTCCAGAAGTTGTTTTCATACTAGGAGATTTATTCGACGAAGGAAAATGGAGCAATGACGTGGAGTTCAAAACCTACGTTAATCGCTTTAATAAAATGTTTCGTCATTCATCTAGTACAAAATTATATACTACAGTTGGAAATCATGATATAGGCTTTCATTACATGGTCAATCCGCACAATAGAAAGAGATTTGAGAGTGCATTCGATGCTCCATCAATGCGAATGATTCGATTGAAAAAGACTATTTTTGTCTTAGCAAATAGTATGGCTTTCGAGGGAGATGGCTGTGATATGTGTGCTGAATCGGAAAAACTCTTGAATGAAATAGGAAGAAAGCTTGATTGTGCTCAAGTTAGTAGTCAGATAATATCTTCCCTTAAAATAAACGACAATATTTAATTATTCTTCTTATTATTTGCAAATACAGAACGGAAACAAATATTTAGATTGCCATGACATAACAGAATCCTTTCAGTATTCAAGACCTATCTTATTGCAGGTACAGAAGAATATTTTATATATATTTACATTATTCCATCTAATCTTTCTCTTCTTTGTACAGCACTTTCCCATGTTTAGAAAATCAGATTGGAATTGTAGTGGAGTAGACGCCGCCCCTGTAGAAGAGAGGCATAAATCATTTAGGCCGAAGTATGACTGTTTGTCAAAAGAGGCTTCTAACCAACTATTTAATATTTTAAAACCTCGTCTTGTTGTAAGTGGTCATACACATCATGGCTGCTTAACTTATCATTTAGATGGAACACCTGAATATACAGTAGCTTCATTTAATTGGAGAAATAAAGCAAACAGTCCTTCGTTTCTATTGGTAAGTTAAAGAATCAATACGTTTTACACAGTTTTATATTTAATTTATCTGCTGTCATTATTATTATTTTCTTATATACTTTAGGCAAGAATTAATCAAAAGGACTTTGCTATTTCAAAATGTCAAATACCTTCTGAAATTCTAGTTATATGGATTTATTCAGTCTCAGCAGTTATATTAAGTTGTTGGATACTTTGGCCATTAATTTATTATATAATCTATAGAAGAAGACGAAAATTCTTGTAAGAACGGAGAATAAAGAAACATAATTAATAGTAATCAAAAAAGAAAGAGGTTGAGAAATAGTTATGGATAATTTTTTTGCGCTGTTTGTATCTTCTAGAAATAATTTTCTTAATCTTTTATACATTCCTTTGCTGTTTCTTTTTTGTTTATTCTACACATAAGACAATTTTTTACTGCGAACTATGACTTTTAATGTCGTTTTGCAGAAATTGAGAAACTATTATCTAGAGAGTAACAAAACATCTGTAATATTTCTTACAATGTTTATATATTGGAAAAAAAATAAATAACGTGGCTATATACATAGATATAGTATATAATTTATATATATAAAGTATATATATATACGTATATATATATTAAGTTTTTATAATATACAACATGTTGTTCAAATTATTTGTTTAATCATACTATTTAAGATATAGAATTTCTCTTATCGTTGATAATAAAAGAATCTTTATCTTCAGGAGTTAGGATTCCACCAAAGTATTGTTGATTAGTTTCTAAATACAGTGAGCTAACGCATACTCTAGCAACATTTTGAATTTTAAATACATCCGCTTTCCATCTCCTTACTATTATTATTGGAATGATAAGTAGACTTAATAATATAGTATTTACTATCCCGGCTATTGTATATACATAGGATATATTGGACAGACTACCGAGTAGGCTGTATTTTTCGGCAGCCGCGTAATGATATTGAGTATCTTCACCTAGACAGCGAAAGCTCTTTCTTTGAAGATGAAATTCTTTTATATTTCTCTTTAAGGGTAGTTTCTCAATCTATTAAAGATTTTATAGAAACAGACGAATATATCAATAGTTTTATAATTAAATTTTAAATGTTAATAATACTATTAGAAAAGTACCGATTTTGGTCTTGGTTCGTTACATCGTCTCGTCCTTATCATAGTCTTTTCAAGTTTTCTACTACAAACGTTCGTTGGGCATTTATCAGTTAAAGTCCATCTATTCCAAGGAGACCAATCTCCCCTCAAAGGTCTATAGCAGATAGAATTAAATGTCTTTTTTTGACAATTCTCAACTAATATCCATAGAGGTTTTCTTCTTTTAACAGATAGTTTAGCGTAAAGACAAATATCATTTGAATTATTTGTCTAAAGATAAATAAACTTTAATTATCAATCAACCACAAAATTGTTCCACTTAACTAACCGTATTGTTATTAGTCTCTAGATATCTGTTAATTGCCACTTCTTGTGTATCTGTCCAAGATTTATTATCGTATACAAATTTACCAAATTCGTTTGTTACGATTGGTAATAATATCTTAAAATCTTGTAATTTTCCCATCATTTCCGGTAATCGCTTAGAAAATAGTATACTCTCTTGATGTCTATCCATTTTTAATAACTTACAAAGTAAATTAATTAATTAATGATATTAAAATATTATAATTAAATTTTTAAATTAGATCTTTTACTTTAAATTTCCTTTTCCAGCATTCTTTATTAGCATTTTCTCTTGATTTTTCACCAATCATTAATAAACAATAACCAGTAGGTTCATCATAAAAATAACGTAGAGAATCATTGAATTTACTACGATTATGTTTGTTATTATTATTGTTATTAATATTACAAAATGTAGCGGTTTTCAAATAGACTACATAATTGTTTTTTACTTTATTCCTGTCTATATCGATAGAGTGAAAAACATTCATATTCATATTTATATATATATTCAATATTAATTTTTCTTTCCTCTTGTATAAGATGTGTTTTTAAGTTTTTCCCTCATTCTTACCTTTATCTTTAATACAGTATTTACTTGATAATACGCATTCGTCTCCCTTTATCGCTATTGCAACGCATAAAGGCCAATTAATGCAATATTCTCCGCATCTCTTCTTACTGGAAAGTTTTATTCTCAAATCCTCGTAATTATCCGGTTTCCATACTATTGAATTTTGTTGACATGGTACATAATTATCTTCTGATCGATATTCAATAAATTCGAATTGCGGTCGACTTTCAAATAGTTCAGTTACAATACTGTCAATTCGAAATGTATCCTGACTAGCCACGCAATAAAATAAACTCGTATGGATAATAATTAGAACTTTATTCATTGTCAAGTCTTATTTCAAACTATGGTGACGTCATAGAAAAGTATTTATTAAAACTTTCGATTACGGATAATTAGAGTATGTAATCAATATAAAAGTAGTTTAATGAATAATTCATAAGCATTAATTTCTTATTAAATAAGGGCGTTAATATGAAAAAATATTCAATATGTTGAAATATATTGCATAATAGTCGACAATTTATTATGTGGCTTTCTATTTTGTTTGTAATGTCCTTTTTTTTATTCACTTAAAAAAAAAGGCGTCGAATTTTTAAATAAAGGTTTGTGCAAGAGAAATTGAATTATAATAATAGAATTTATATAAAATATCTTTGGTTTCTCAAGATAGATAGATAGTTAAACAAGTGTTTTCCACCACAAGTATAGAAATTAGTTACAACATCTATTACATAAACATATATTATGTATATTATATAATCATATTTAATTATTTTTATGAATATTTTATCTTCATCTCGTTCAAGCGGTATTTAATTTAATATTACAGATATTTAACGATGTTAATTCCATATCAGTACTTTCAATAGTTAAATAACGACCAGTTCGTGTTGTTCCACAATTTACTGTTATTTCGTTAGTATATGGCGGTAATCTTGGTGAGGCGCAAATAGGATTATATTTAAAACCTTTACGATATTCTAGATTTTCGAGTTCGTCACCAATTCTTACTCTCAAGTGAGGAATATTTCTGCCTACATTCAGTGAAAAAAGGAAAACTATCAGGTCGTTTCAATAATTATTAATGTTAAATAATTACTCACCTAAAATGGTCAAACTGGAAATTGTAACATTTGTATTGTAATCGACGGTCAACCATGGATAAGCTTCAAAACCAGTTTCAGCGCACGTATCACCTGAACCATCTATAGCTAAATTAGCTGTAAAGGTATTTTTCGTACTGCTCTGAAAAGTATCTATCGCTAATGAAGCTGTTCAAATAAATTGTTGAATTAATATTTCTAAACAAACACTTTCTAAGAGTTTTAATATTAAAATATATTAGATTATTAATGAAACAAACCTGCGATTAGAACAGTCAAAATCAGGCAAAATAATCCACCGTTATACATATTTAATGAAACGTCTGTTCAAGACTAGGAAAATGTCTTTCGATTTATATGATAAAATCAATTTTTCGCCATGACAATGAGTTTGACGTCAAAAGCGTCAATAACACCATCTACTTTCATTCTTTTCAAACTTTTGTTTTTTTTATATAAAAGATAGACTTTAAAGAAAAAGTTTAAGTTAATCGACTAATATATTTACTTCTTCATCAACATAAAAAACACCTTCACCGTTACTCTATTCTTCATTTCATTTAAAGTGGAATTTTTGATTGAAACTAAATTCATTTAACAATTCAAATGCATATATTGATTAAAGATTAAGATTGTTAATCGCCTTTTTTTAATGCATAATTGATAAGACTATTTTCTAAAAGCTTCTGTAAATCTTCTGGTATTCGATCCCCTTGGAAAAGGCTCTAAGGAAGATACGGCGTCTATCCAATTTTCAAAATTTTTCCCATCTTTATACCAGTTAACTAATTAAAATTCAAAATGAATAGATTAATAATATGTACAGTAATTATAATTGTTATTACTTGTTTCTTCTATACCATCTTCCCATTGAACTTCTTCCTTCCATCCTAATTCTTTAAGTTTACTCGAATCCATTGGATATCTTGGATCGTCGTAAGGCCTGTCTTCTGTATAGTTAATAAACTTATTCGCTTCCTCTCCCTCAAGTCCTTTAAGCTGTTATACACGAATAAAAAAACGTTTTCTATTATGTTTACACTGAATATAAAGAAATTTCATAACGAACTTTTTTGATGAGTAATCTTGCTAATTCGATTATAGATATGCTAAAGTCGCTGCCAATGTTATACACTTCTCCAGGTTCGCCAGAATGAAGTATAAGATCAAAAGCATTGCATAGATCTTGAGCATGAATAAAGTTCCTAATTGCTTCTCCCTTACCATATATACAACACTGTCTATCTCTTTCTAAGAGGGATATAAACTTAGGGATGACTTTTTCTGGATATTGTCTTGGACCGTAGACGTTGTGGGATCTAGTTATTATTACAGGAAATCTAAATGATTCCCAGTATGAGTAGACCATAAATTCAGCAGCAGCTTTACTAGCAGCGTATGGATTTGTTGGCTGCAATCTTGATTTCTCGTGCAAAGCAGTTTTAGAAGATCCACCGTAAACTTCATCGGTACTCACGTGGATGAAAAGTTTCACATTAGCCTCAAATGCAGCATTGACAAGCACGTGACTGCCGTACACATTTGTCATTGTAAAATCAATAGAAGACCAAAAAGAATAATCTATAAAATAGTTTACATTTCAGAATCTTCGGTAAAATAGAATGGAATCGATCTTTTCGGTCAATGAACTAAAATTAACTTACCAACATGAGATTGTGCTGCAAAATGTATTATGGTATCAATCTTTTCTTCTTTAAGAATATATCTAGTGAAGCTTTCTTCACAAATGTCCCCGTGAATGAATTTATAATTTTCTTCATCTTCTATATCTTTAAGATTCTTTAGACTAGCACAATAATCTAACTAGATTAATAAAGACGTATATTATAAATAATATTCTAATTATTTATTTTATAATCGTATACTTTATCCAAGTTAATTATCCGATAATTCTTGTATTTATTAACTAATTGAAGAACAACATGAGAGCCACTAAATAAAATATATTTAGTTCATTTAAAATGTATCATATTTAATTTAAATATGTATTAACTAACATGAAGCCGGCTCCGCCCGTTATCAAGATGTTTTTATCAAATTTAGGCATGAAATTACAAAAAAAAGAAACACCCAGCAAAATATCGTCTGCTAATCGAAAACGGAAGTTAGGCTTACGTCAATAAGTTCAACAAGAAATTGTCTATTTAAACAATGATAATTCTAAATAAAATTAAACTTTTCTTAGGAAAATAGAACGAGAATTAAATACATAAAAAATATTTTAAATTAAATCATCTAGCTAAATATTGATTTAACCTTCTTTTTTTTTTAAATTAAATGCTGTATTACTCTCTCTTTTCTCTTAAAACATTCACGTATAATTAGTATTATTTATAGAATATAATAAAATGTTCACAAACAAAGAGATAGAACTTGAAAAAAGAGAAATAGGGGAAATATACTCTTCTATGGATTTATCACGTTAAGAATACGTAATCCAAAAAATAAAGATATTATGAGCAAAGTTAGATTTGGGAATGAATTTGAAGCATTTCCAAGAAAATTAAAAGGCATCGCGGTTGGTCCTACTTGAACTGGTCCATTAGACATATTTCTAACTCTTAAGTAGGCTGATGTAACATCTTCGCAATTACGTAAAGTTGTTAGAGCTGGAGGAGTAACAACTTCCGTAAATTGTGCTGCAGCCCTCGACACAAGAATTTTAGAAGTCGTATAGCTATCCTCGAACTGTTTGATAATAGCAGTATTGTTCGCTCTTGGAACGCAAGGAATACCAGGACCCATCCAATAATAAAAATAATTTGGGGGATCAGTAACAGGCCACAAGTACATTCCATTGTAATAAGTTCCACCTGAATAGGAATTGCCAATTCTCTCTTCAGTTTTCTTTTTATTTAGAGCGGGCAATAATCCTAAAAGTAATCCCAAAAGGAGTCCAAGTAAAGCCAAACCTAACAAAATTCCTGTAATAGCAGCACACATTCTTTTGCATCCACTTCCAGCAACACCGTATTTTCCATGGCTTGCTGCATTCTGTATTAAAGTATAAAGTAAACATAAGTTTATTCATTTCATATGTATTACACAATCATTCAAAATTTAATTAACCTTTCCAGCATATCTTGAACCTGCATTGCAACAGGTTGGTCCAGAATCGTAATTAGTTCCATTTCTGTAGTAATTTCCATCTTTAGGTGCGTTTCCTCCGAAGCAACCCGATCCTCTATTCTGAGGAGCCTCTCTAGCATAAGTATACTTATCATTTGGACCATTACTGTAGTGACGAGGAGTGTAGTTATCGTGTGGGGGTCTATTTCCGCCATGTTCGTAGACATGCTTTTCAATTGGTCTAGGACTTCTTCCATTAGGATTTCCATTATCGTAGACATGTCTCTCTACAGGTCTAGAACTTCTCCCGTTAGGACTTCCATTTTCGTAAATGTGTTTTTCAACTGGTCTTGGATTCCTGCCATTAGGACTTCCATTTTCATAAATATGTCTCTCTACAGGTCTGTTCGGTGGATCATCTACTACGTAGCGCTTTTCTGGTGTAGATGGCCTGCTTCTTCTCTGTGGACTATAACTTCTAGACCTTGGTCGGCCATCTTTGTAGATGTGCTCTTCAATAACCTGTGGTCTCTGAGGAGATTCATCCCTATGAACAATAGTCTTTGTAGGTGGTCGCGACTCAAGAACAACAACTTTAGGTTTTTGCTCTGGTTGAACAACCGGCCATCTTCTGTATTGATTTGGCCAGCCGTTAGCTCCTGATGAGATCGGCATGATAGAATGAAATTCAAGGTTCAATTGTGGCCTGTTGGGAAATTGAACCTCAACAAAATATTTTCTCTAACCTCATAAATATTTGCCTAAAACCGTGTCGTTGTTTGGACAAATATAGATTTCAGAATGACGTCGGACTCATTTCTTAATCTCAATATTTTCAAACAACGTCAGGTTCGTTTATGTACCCATAAATCGTTTTTGAGTACATAATTTTAGAAAGTGGTTGTTGATTGAGAAAAAATTGGTCAGTCCGCAGTTCGACACAAGACCAGCGATGCGACATATCAAAGATCCTTTAACAGGTAGATGTGTAATCTGCGATAAAGGAGGAGTTCATCAGACTTCATCACCAGATGCAAAATGGAATCAGGTTTATAGAAAGATAATGTTTTATTATATAACTATTCTGTGAATTTCATTCTTTTTCAGGCAAGAAAAGTAATCTATGTAAATGGAATGAGACCGAACACAGGTCAATCAAGGGCTGCATCTCCAACTGTTCGCCACATTCATGAAGCTGCTCCTCAGCCTCGTGATGTGACAATAGTTCACCATGATTCTCCAAGAAGACCCGAGGTCACTCACATTCATAGAAGTCCCTCGCCGAGGTCCAGAACAATCATTCATCGAGCTCCGGACGAAATGAGCGATGTAAGTGCTAGGCAAGTGAAACCGAGGATAATAAAGGAAACTCACATTCACGAGAAATCGAGAGCTGCCTCTCCTCCTCCGAGGTAAATCTAAATTCATTTAATTTATTGATATACATTTTCGGGAGTATGTATTATATAGATACACTCGCACCATACGGCATAGAGACGTCTCTCCAGAACCAGGATGCTGTGGTAAATCAAAACCAAAGAACAGAACTATTTATCATAAGAATGGACAGAATGTTGAGCACATTCATAGGAATGGATCGTATGATTCCAAAACAACCCACATCCATGAAGTGATTATCAACAAATGCACACATTTCACTTAAATAATTTTTTCAATAACTTAAAGGGAGAAAGAGGCACATCAAAATCCTATTACAATAGGGGAGGATCACCCGATAGTAAATGCGGTAAAAGACAGTGCTGTGCCGTCTTATTGACACTGCTATTCCTCCTTCTTCTGGCTGGTTTGATACTCGGCCTCTATTTCGGTATTAAAGGTAAGAGATATGTATATGTTTCTTTTTATCAAGTCCAATGAACAGAGGGCTCTGACGGTTGTCGCTTTTTTTTTTCCAAAATTTCTCCTTTATTTGTCTGGGATTAATTCATAAAACAAACTTTAAAAGAATTATAATAATCATAAACCAAGCATTTATCCCTGATAACTTTTATGAATTAATTCGGATGAGTGGGATTATTGACTTTTATAAAATTATCTAGAAAAGGCGCATCTCACAGCCATCTGTTTTATATGGAGTACGAGGTAAAATATTAATGTAGAGTTATATCAAATATTTTACTTCATTTATTAAGAATATGAAAGTAAAATTCATTCAAGTTTGCGCTTTCGAGACTCTCTCGTCTAGATAATTTTTATAGAAATCAATTCCCAACAGCCGCAAAAGACAAAGAAGAACGTAATGATCCTGCCAACCGTTATCCAGGAGGGTATTACGTTGACGGTGTCTACGTGTACCCAGTTACCCGGAGACCCAGCCGTCCATACTTTGTTCTTGGTAAAGACCAGCCTTGCAACCCTTTTAACAATGGAACGGATGCGACAACAGCTGTTCCTAATTGCGCTGAAACAACAACAAGGGTTGTCCTGGCCAATTTTACTTTAGAACCTTTACCGAGCTTTCGCCCGGTATATCTGAATTCTGGCCATAACATCTCTCCTTTATCAGCCATGTTATATCTCAGTGTTGTATTATTTGTTCAATTTACAAAAATGACTTCCTTCTTTAGCTGCTTTGGACAAAAAGGAGAGGGACAATACCGTAAGTAATCTACTGGAGAACAACAATCAGAATATGGTAATTTATGGGGCAGACCAACCATGCAATAGAGTTCCACAAAATAACGGGCTACCTCTTTGCTCCGAAATTACTACAAGAATTGGACCTCCCCCAGGAGGATTCATCCCACCTACTAATCAATCAATACCTTTCAGTCGATCTTCTTCTCTATCTCCTTTCAGACTTCTAGTATGTCTCTTAATAACAAGTCTTGTACTACTTATGCAATAAAAATATTCAAAAAAATTGAGTTAAGAAAATCCTTAACCAACTTAAAATATGCAAAATTATTAATATACAAGTATCATTTAATCTATAAATGAAATCCTAACTGACTGTTGTTTATTTATTTTATGATAATTAAATGTAGACATTTCTGTTTGGTTGTGTATTTGCACAAAATCAGAAACTACTTTCAATTCGCATTTGATACAACACGTTAAGTTCTAACAGTTCAAGCCTTAACAGCCAGACCTTTAAGCGTACCAATGCACTGTTTGATGCTATCTTTCTCCTGTGTTTTTATAAATATTATTAAAAAATGATTTATACAGCAAATTAAATAAAAAATATACCTGTTGGGGGGTGATGCTTTTAACTACATTATTAACGATCCAAGAAACCATGTGGTCTTGTTCAAAGCGCCTTTGAGCGTTTTGCTTCTCTATTTGGTAGTCCAATCGCTTCTTAACTTTTTGTTGAACTTCGTGTAATCGTTGCCTATAAATTGCTTCTAATTGCAGTTGGACATTTTCCTTCTTGGCTTCGAATAACATTTTCTGTGCATCTTGCTGCCAAATTGCCTTCTCGGCTTCAGCAATAACTTCTTTTGCTTCTGTTTTTGCTTGTGCAATTGGATCAGTCCTAAACAATTAAAAATCAAAAATAAGAATTTTACAATTAATTAACTTTATAAGGTATACCAATTTGCTTTTTCGTAATCAGTCATATATTTCTCAGCTGCTGGTTTGTACAAAGGTCCAACTTTCTTGATTAAATATGCCATAGCAAGCCAGAAAGAAAGAAATTCAACGTATCCGTGATCCATAACCCAGTACTCTTTAGAAAGGAGGAAGGTTAAGGCTCCAACACCGAAAACATAGGGTCCGGTTACACCAGTTTTCTCATAAAAGGCTTGAAACCAGCTATCGGGGATGAATCCAAGTCGGACGGGGGGGTGACGTTCAGGTTGAACTGGGTCGGGAAAATTAACACGATCTCTTTCTGGGCTGTTGTAAAGAGCATTAGCTTTTTCCCAGTTTTCAAAATGTTTCTTCCATGGCACAGCCTTAAAAGAAACTGGTCGAACTGATTGCAAACTCCATTCGGAATTGCTAAGTAACAAACGAGTCGATCGTGCTGAAATGAATAATATTATTATTTCAAATTATAACTGAGAATAATGTTTCACCTGCTGAAGAGCTTAAACGGGAAAACATAATTTCTTCGGTCTCCTATCGACGACCTTTCCGAACGGAAATGTTTAAACCGGAAATACAAAACAGTATCGACTTAGCAAAATTGTACTCAGTATTTAATACTCTCTTATAGTTTGAAGTTGTACTACATATATTTTAAAATAAGCAAAATGGCGGATAAAAATGAAAAATGGAAACCATTTTAATAATCTGTAAACCTCTTCAAGTATACTACTTCTTTATTCTAAGAGAAAGAAAACTGGTAAATATTACAGCGCAAAAAGAACATACGTTTGACGTCCAGAATTCATTCGAACGTCGAATAAGTAATTCTACTTAAGGAAAATTTTTTAAAAAAGAATAGTTATAATAAAGTTAACTTTCTCTGAAAAGTCAACCACTGTCATAAATGAATAGCAGTCAGGAAGTTAACATAGCCGGTGGCACAAAAACTTTTTCAGAACTGCTGAAAGATTTGTATAAAGTTTACAAGAGTGATAAAGAAGGTAATAATTTAACTAAGAAACCTGATTTATTCTATTTAACAATATGAATTGTTTAAAAGAAATATCAGGAATTATCAAGAATCTTCGAAAAACTTTAGAGGATTACAAAGTAAAATTACGGACGGTTCAAAAAGATAGAGATGTATTTCGTTCGCGTTCGAAAAAAGAATCTGACAAAAATAAAATATCATCAATGGATATCAAGTCTTTGAAAAATAAAATTGAAATCTTAATGAATCAGTTATTTCATCTCTTTTATTCTAAAACATTGATTTAAACAAATTTTTTTAACAGAGTTAATCATTGCCCGAATTGCATTATTCTAAAGGATCAAATTGAAGATATGAAAAAAACTAATGATGTATATAAGCAACTTCTGATTAGAGATAAAAGTTGTCTTTTACTCTTATTTATTTACAACTAATTTTTATTTTGTATTTTGAAGTTGATATTCCAGATGTGTTCGAAACTATTCCCGATACATGTGATATTAATAGTAACTATGAACATATAAAGAAAAATTCAAATACCAACCAAGCACTCCGTGAAGTTAATTTTCTTGATGACGAAAATGGGTATAATTATTATTGTTGTGTAATTGTAATTTGACTCTCAATTCCATAAATGTGTAGAGATGAAAATGAAAATCAAATTCAAAGAGCCGATACATCGACTCCCTATGAAGAATTGAACAGTGATTGTCACTCTGTAGAAGAATTTCAAATAGTTTCGTCGTCAGATTCAAATAATGCAAGAAGTAAGAAAAGAAAAAGTGAATCGGAAGTTGAGCTTAAAGTTGTCCATAAAGACAAATCACCTCCAAAGCGGAAGAAGGTTATTTTAAAGGGATTAATTGATTTCTCACAGGAGTTGTTGGACGACAATTTGCCAACTAAGGGTAATAGTAAGAATTCTTCAAACTTCAGTACATCTACAAAAGTTAATAAAGCTGGAAATTTGTCGAGGAGCTCAAGCAAAAATTTAAAACTTAATCAGAAACTAGAATGCCAAAGAATACTTTTCAAAGTGGAGAAAAATGAGGCAAAATCATATACTATTGATGAAAAATCTGATGATGTTATAAAAAGTTCACACAGTTCTGTTGATCAAGTGGTACCAACTTCTGGGACAAATGAATGGGATCTGATGAGCTCTAGCAGCTCTATTATTCCCTCTTGGACTCATCCTCACAAAAGAAAGAAAAAAATATCGGAAAAGAGAAAAATTTTTCACAAGAAATATAAAAGAAGACAAATATAAGAATTTCAAATATAAGACTTCTATGATTATGAATCACTACCCAACTATCAATAAAAATAAATTTATTATCTATAATTTTAATTACTGTTATATTAATATGTTACACAAAATATAATATATTATAATCGATTAATACACTTAATAAAGCATATGTTATATTCTATAATGGTTGTTTAATAAAATAAAACATTTGAGGTGTAAGCTTTTAATAGAATTTGTCATTTCAAAAATCTGATAATTTGAAAGGGCACTGTTGAATAAAATTCTAGGAAACATTTTTTTCACAAAGGAATGGTGTAATAGGCGAACGCTAGGTGTTTTTAAGTGTTTAAACGTTCTCGAATTTTCGAAAGATTCCATGAGGACCGCATTTATTTTATCGAACAATATTGTCGCGAGTTTTTTATTGTGTTAATCAATAAACGACAAAAATTTTCTAATTATTTTCTAGCAAAATAAAATAAATTTTACTATTTCTTTAAAATAATTTTCGGCCATTTTGAAATACTTTACCGGTATCATATACTCCATAAGACTCCTGTCGACTATGAAAATGGCGTCTACAACCGGCAAGTATGGAGAATAATACAATTTTCTACTTGACTAATTAAGTTTTTGCTAGCATATTTAAACTGTAGCTATATATTGTATAGTAGTCTTGCAAATGCACGTTATTTTTTTTTCGAAACTTGTACAAATTAGCGTACTATTACTGTAAAGAGATACCACGCCACCTGACAATTTCAATACAAATTTTCTCTTTCAGACTTATACCCCCTATGATGTGGGCTCAAAGAAAAGATAAACTGTTCTTAACTATCAATCTCGAAGATGTTAAAAGTCCAGAAATAAAACTGGACGAAAAAAAACTATACTTCAGGTAGGCCATAATGACTTGCGAAATTGACCAATAACCATGCATTTTTCTCACAGTGGCACCAAAGGAGCAAATTCAGCTGATCAAGTAAACTACGAATATACTGTCGAATTTTTCGAAGATATAGATCCAGCTGAGTCAAAATATGGTGTACTACCACGCCACATTCCCATGGTTCTGATGAAGAAATCTAGTGACGGACCTTTCTGGCCTCGTCTAACCAAGGAAAAAACGCGCATGCCACAACTGAAAACTGATTTTGATAAATGGAAAGAAGAGGATGACTCTGATGTTGACGATAACAATGATATGAAGATAGAAGATATGATGAGCCAAATGGGTAATTTCGGTGGAGCAGCAGATATGGGTGCGGATATAGAAGGAGTTGAAGTAAGATAAATATAAATTGAATTTATGAATTAAAATTATTTGAAATTTCTCAATTCTTTACAGGCTGATGATGAGGATAGTGACGACGAGAAGTTGCCTGATTTGGAGTCATAAGAAAACCTTTATTTGTTAGCAAGTTTGATACGTTGTAACGAAAGTCCGTGTATTAATAAATACTTCAGTTAAATTTAAGAGATGAAAACAAAATGATAAAAGAAAAAAAATACTATAAATGTGTGAACACAGCATTTTGCTAAGATTTACTCTTTCGAATTGTCCTATCAGTTTTCGTTCGGTCGGTAACAACGCTCGTGTACTGTACAACTCCAACAGGGTTGAATAAATTATTAAGCCCTAAAGGATACCCAGGTATATTATACAAACGATTTACCCCGGAACCATTTACGGATTCATTGCTCCTCTCTGCCATTCTCTTATCTAGGTGTTTAGGTAACTTCCACTGGGGAAGTGACAAAATTGATCGCCATTTTGGATCGACATCAAAGGCTGGATTTTGCTCCAACCACGATGTCAGCTGTCTAAGAATGGGTGCTTTTGAGCCCGTAATTCTGCGTCCAGTTTCTCTATTAATGACTGCCACATTTTCTTGACCTGTTAAAGATTCAGCGTTTGCCTTCACTGGATCAAATCTAGGCTTTCGACTTTTCTTTGAAGCTGGCTCATTAACTTGTGCAACAGAGTAGTTGGGATGTTCAATCAACCAATCCTCCAGCTCAAATTGTCTGGGAGCGTCTTCCCCTTCTAACCTTGTACCATCCTCATCATTCACGACCGAAACATGGGTGTCGGGATCAACGAACAAGCGTTGATAATCATTTGTTTCGGCGAATGTTCGCTTTCTTGCTCTTAAACTTGGACTTGAACCGTTTACTTCTGGCACATCACTGTCGCTGAGGGCTACTTCTTCAATCCTCACTGATTTATTCGCGGGTCGTTTAATTGTTAGCTTCAATGAGTCATCCTGCATGGATAAGAGTATATTATTTGAAGCGAAAAGTATAAATGCAGGCTTGGTTCTATATTAGTTCTTATTTTGATATTCTTTTCATTAATCTAAAACATTATCTGTAAACTACAACAGTTTGCAACCTACATAGATTAAGCCAGTCTAATTTACACATATGTTAGATAAAGCTTCTGATTTAAGAAAGCGACGACAAACCTCGGCCATCTGTACACATAAATCACTACTGTTCACCTTGCTATAGAAAGCTAGCTCATCAGCATTTGATGAGGAAGGTGAGCTGCATCTTGAATCGGAGGGATTGTATTGCATGTAAGGCCCAACTTTTCTAGTTGTGGGCCATTCTCCTGTTGTTACGCATTCACACACATCAAGTAACCGATTAAGAATGGTTCTATCTTTCGGCCACAATTCGTTATTATTTTGCATTGGATCGAGTGCAACAGAGTCATCTTCGGAATTTTTGTTATCCTCTTTGTCATTTTCAGCTTTCATCATTCTAGCTATAGTCTCTTGTCGTTCGTTAAGTATATTCTTAATAAGTTTAAAAAATCCTAATTCTTCGTCATACACTATATTATTTTCAGTTCGTGCTAGTCCATGTTTAGCTGCACCTCTTAATAGATCCTTATCATGGGTGCCTGGTTCATACCAAGAGGGGAGTTCATTGCTACCCATGCATAATTGTAATCGTTCGTCAAGATTTGGATTCATTAAGACTTCCTCTCTAATCTTGTGTAATAATTCTACTCTCATTAGAGTGCGTGAAGCTCTTTCTTCAGATATCGGTTCAACTGAGCACTGGTTAAATATTTCAGTATCTTGTGGTTGAACTGAACGACCACATATGCATCGGCACATGGCTAAAAATGCCGTTGCGTATTCAGACATAGTGTCGTCGTATTTCTTTTCAAGCCTAGCGAGAGCTTTAAATGAATCCCATCTATAAGATCCATCTGCATTATATTCTAGACCAAATGAAGATATTACGCGGTAAAAATCAGCTTCTTCCCTTCGTGACCATTTTTGTTTTGCGTCTAATTTCTGTTTTTCTCGCTCTTTTATTACAGCTTCTAGCCTCTCTCTCTTTTCCATCTTCTTAGCAGATTTTTGTAATTTCTCTTGCACTCTTTTATAATCTCTTTGGTAACTTGTTATTAATCGCCGTAATCTAGTGTTGAGTTCTGAAGCTGAAGGAAAAGGTAAAAATCCATTTTCATCGGCTTCCCCGGAATTTGCTTGTTCATTTATAGCCTCCGTATCTTCTCCATCGTCACCTTCCCCCTCGTCATCGTCGTCATCCTTCAATTCAGCCGCCAATGCCTTACTGTCAGGTGGCCCACATCTTTGTAAAAAGCAGAGACAAGAGTCTTGACGGATTTGATTAAACCTCTCGTAACCTATTTTTGAAAATATTTTGTTAGCAATAATATTTTTAATAATCTCTTTTAAATCCTTCCTAATTACCATGTTTAAAAACTCCTATAATTAAGGAACGATCGGCATCTTCATCCCACCAAAACGCTGGCTTATCTCCATCAGTGCAGGGCTGGGGAATGTTGATATCATTGGAATGGAAACTTTGGAATACTTTGCTAAACTCTTCTCCAATTACTTCTTGCTTTATGTAGAATAGGAGACGAACTCGGAGGAGAACCCTAAAGAGAATATTATCATCATTACGAAAAAATCTATAAGCAACAATTAAACGGTTAAAAACGATTTGAAAAAACTAGATATTTTCAGTTAGTTAATTTAGATCAAAACTCTCTCAACCCGTTAAAGGGAAAAAGCTCTCATGAGTAAGGAAGATCATCATATATATACAATAAAAAACTTAAGTGTAACGTTATTACTTACTTATTGGCATGTCGGTGTAAATGTTTTCTGTAACCCTCGTCGACTAGAACTTTTACAGGATCTTCCAACGACGAAACGTCTATCTCTTCAGCCTCTATTCTTTTCTTTCCTTTTCTTCCCCTAGGCACTGGTGCTGATAAACCAGAGTGACCCTTCTGATCAGCTCTTCCTTGTATAAGATCGGCTATAAATACTTTAATTTTATCATCCCCATGATAATGATTTAAACTATAATTCAAAATAGCAGCTGAAACTCTCTCACAATCCTTCGAGTTCAAAGATCTTTTGAATCTGCAATGTTCCAAAACTTCTTTCCATCTTCCCCAACCGTAGATCAAAAGATATTTTTCTATCTTAAAACATTCATTTCTATAATACCCTCTCGTACTATCGTCACCACTATAAGCCCTATCATCTTCCGCAGCCCTTCTTCGTGCTCTTCTAGTTGCCGCAGCCCTAGCAGCCTTTCTTCCCCTCTTACCCCTGAAGCTTATCTCGATAGCTCCATCATCCAATTCAGATTCATCACTGGTTTCTAGTTCGCTAACATCTTCAGCTCCTTCGTCGTTACCATACCTAGTCGTTTGCTTCCTACTCCGAGGTTGCTCAATAATCAATTCATTCTGTTAAAAAAAATTAAAAATAACAATTGACATGAATTTTCGTAAGAAGATTTGTCTTTTCTAAAGGTATAGATATACTCAGATCTCCAAGGTGTTAAATTGCGTCGATAAATCATACTCGACGCTTTATCATATGGAAAAATATTCTCATCATTCTTTTAGAATTTACATGGAAGATATATTTTCTTAACAAAGAAACCAACCTTATTATTTAATCCGTCAACGTCCAAATCAGCTTTCTTTGCCCATTTCTGCCAAAAGTTCGGATCATCGATTGCAATGTCACTTCTATTTCCAGATGCACTAAAAGAAGCTTTCGCAAACGTTGAATTCTTTTCACCGCCGTCAAATTGAATAACCTGAGTTCTTCTTTGTAAAATTTGATCGATATCCTCTTCACAAAACTGATCTGCTGCTGAATCGTCATCCATAATAGCTCCGTAGGCTCCTCTTTTGAGCAGATCTTCTATTTCCTTTTTTGACAAAGTGTTAGAGTCCTTGACATTTTCCTTCATAGATTGAAGTACAGCCTTATCCAATCCTAATTTAATTGATGCTCTATCAAACATTTCCCTTTCGTAAGAGTTTCTGGTAACAAGACGATAGACTTTCACCATTTTATTTTGACCAATTCGATGACATCTTGCCTGAGCTTGTAAATCGTTTTGAGGATTCCAATCAGAGTCAAAAATGATAACAGTATCGGCAGCAGTCAAGTTAATACCTAAACCTCCAGCCCTTGTACAGAGAAGAAAGACAAACCTATCCGATTCAGGTTTGCTAAATCTATCGATAGCCTCTTGCCGTAAATTCCCCCTGATTCTACCGTCTAATCTCTCATACAAATATTTCTCATGAATTAAATAATCTTCTAAAATGTCTAAAACTCGAATCATTTGTGAGAAAATTAACACTTTGTGATTTCCTGCTTTCAATTTTGGTAGTAACTTGTCAATAAGAACAAGTTTACCGGAAGCATGCACAAGAGCTTGAAAAGCTTCGCTTGTACAATGTAAGTGCTTCCAATCCATAACTATTTGCTCTTCGGCTCCGTTGATTAAAAAAGGGTGATTACAACATTTGCGCAATTCCATCATAGTATTCATTAAATTAGGGACATTAGACGATGAAGTGCTTCCTTTGGAAAGAAATGAAAAGTTCCTCTCTAATATGGCTCGGTAGTATTTCTTTTGTATATTTGTTAATTCAACTTCTATGACAGTTTCCTCCTTAGCAGCTAAGGTCTTCTCGACATCCTCTTTAAGACGACGTAACATCATTGGTTTCAGAAGGGCTTTAAGTTTAGATACTTGACTTTCAGTCTTTAAATCACCGAAATCATTAAGGAATGTTCCAACGTGAAAGAATCGCTGAGGTTCCAAAAAATTTAATAAGGCAAACAATTCTTCAACATTATTCTGAAGTGGAGTTCCCGTAAGTAAAACTTTATGCTCCAAACCAAAATGCTTTAAACCCTCTGACAATTTACAATTTTTGTTCTTTAATCTATGAGCTTCGTCAATCACACAAACTCTCCAATCAAATTGTGCTAATAATTCAACATCTTGTAAAATGACTTCGTAGGTCGTTATCATCACATTAAATTTATATGCATCTGGTATTCTTTTTCCAGTAGCTGGATCTTTATAAAACAATTCATGCTCTTGTATAATATTACGACTAACTTGTGTGCCGTGATAGACGACTGCATTTAAATCTGTCCAAGATTCAAATTCCCTTGACCAATTTCCTATTGTTGAGAGTGGGACGATAATGAGAAACGGACCTCTTATACCGTAATTAACAACTTCCTGCACGAAAGCAATACTTTGGACTGTTTTTCCCAAACCCATTTCATCGGCTAGAATGCAATTTTGGCGATTGTAATAGCAATATAGTAACCAATTAACTCCCTCAACTTGATATTCTCTTAATTCATTTCCATCCTTATATTTTGGTGAGTCTGCAATTTCAGCCCACTCATCGGAAGATGGTCTTTCTAAAGTCATTAAATCATTGGCCGGAGGTAATTCTGATAGACGTTTATAGTCTTCAATTTTTGCAGGATCAACATCTTCGATTAATTCCCAAGTTGACTCTTCGTAAGGTAGACCACGCCATTTGACCAGATAATGTAGAATGTCTTCACCATCGTCGCCCTTTGTTAAAGATTCATCGAGAACACGATCGACCTCAACATAATCAGGATTAAATAGTTCATCTTCATCAAGTTGCAAAAGAGCTTGGTAGTTCTGCTTCATTTTAAAACGACGGATTTTTTGACCAATGCGTTTATCAGTTATCTCTAATTCTTCCATACTTTTCCACTGGCAATGTAGGTAGGATAAATTTTTGTATTTAGCAAAATATTCCTCAACTTCAACCTCGACTGTTTCACACTCAGTTTGTTGATCACAATTGTCCCCATCAACATCAACTTCATCATCTTTCCTATCATTGTCTTCATAGGATGAGAATTTCTTTTTCAGTATTTTTCGTTTCTTTTTACGATAGCCTAAAATCTTATCAACAATAGGCGTGTCATTATCGGCTGGATTTTCGACCACCGACGTAGGATTCACATCATCTTCTTCTTCTTCCTCATCATTTTCTTCAGATAGATCAAGCTCTAATTCATCAGTATATTTTTGACGGCGCTTGTTTCGGCCCGATCTACGTTTCTACGATATAAAAATGACATTTTACTGAGTTATTTAGTCTATTTAATTGGTGTACATACCTCTACATGTTCGTCGTCGTACTTTATATCTGGTTGTCCAATTACGGCAGCTACTTCTGTCTCTGAGTCAGAGTCCTGTTTCTTTCTTCTTTTCTTCGTTTTGAATACGGGGGCTATGACTTTTCTGTTTCGAAATAACAGGGAGGATACTAAACACGTTAGATGTCGCTTACTAAAACCTATCAAAGGGAGTGTAAAAACCGCATAAATTCTCTTCTTTATAATTTTCTGAACACTTTAGTGAATATATTTATCTTCTAAGTACGCTAGTTTTTGTTAAATTAAAGAAACAATTAGGAACTATTTGTTAACAACCCAAAATGGCGGGCAATGACCTTCACCTTTCCGTAGATGAATGCGTTGTTCTTTAGCCTACGTAGGCCAGTAGGATGGTAATGGATTTAAAACAACCCGAAATTAGCGGAGGAAGCTCTAAACGAGCAAAAAGTGTAACAGAAATACGTGCAACAGGCAATATGAGCGCGAAACGCAAACGACGCCATTGTAACAAGATGGCTGAAGAGAAATTAGCAACGGAAAATTGTAGAGCGCAGACGATAATTGGACTTACGAGCGTCTTTGATATTTCTTGGATTTATGATGAGTCGAGGACATAATTTTAAGAGTCTTATCCTGATCCGTAACATCCTCTTCTTCTTCTTTGTTCGAGCAATAATTATGTTCTAGTTTGATGATTTTAGCGAGCAATATTTCTTTGCCTTTTCCACGAGTTGCCATAATGCTGAGGGTCTTCTTCATACCCTTCCAAAATCCAATGAAAGATAATCGTTAATATACGACCCTATCTTGATAGATCGAATAGTCTTAAAATGTACTATATGGCCGTATTTTGCGATTTAGTACGTAGTGCCACGACGTATTAATACGTTTCGATAGTCGCCGGTTTTCGCGCGCTGGATTGTACTCATAAATATTCATCACTGTCGTTAGAAAGATTGCTGATTGGCTAAGACTAAAGTTGGAAATTCTATTTTCAAACACTTATCCCTAGCGTTTTCTTTGTTGAAGTTTTACCTTAATTCACCTTTATAATAAATATTGTAGGATAATCATATGAATTAACTTATTATTGGAGCAATTTATGATAAAAATTTATAAATATGTCTATAAGATTTATTCACAAAGTTCAACAAAAAAATATCATATAGAGTTCTTCTACTTATCATCGATTCAAAATAAGTACAGAAAATAATCACATTTATATATATGCCACACGTCATATCATTTAATCACAGTATCCTCAATATGTTAATGAAATAATTTTCAATTGATATAGCTTTGAGTTAGTGTTCAATAGTTTATTAGATATCTCCCTTTGGCAGTCGACAAGAGAAATAGAAGAACAATAAGAAAATAAAAAATTCATATTGTCTAGTACATATATAAAAAAGAACGAAAAAATTGTATACAGAAACAATGCTTATTAATAATTAATATATAAGTTTTTAGAACGAATTCATAAAGACAAAAGTAAAAAGAAAGTAGGAGAAGTAGTAAAAGAAAAAAAAGAGAAACAAATTAATTAACTAATTAGAGCTTTCTAATATTAAAAATTCATTTCTGTTAAACTAATTAAATGCCTGTATAAAATAACTTATTATAATACGTTTCCACATCTAATTTTCTCTTGAGAAAGGAATAGTTTTTCCTTTATTATTCAGTAGAATATGTATAATAAGTGTTGGATTATTTAAATTATCTTAAGTATTCTTTCCAATTGATATAAACATAAAACCATGTATCATTAGTTAAAGTTAACTATTGAGTTTTTCTAAAAGTTCATGGTCATTTGTGCAAATCTAGGGTTTGTTTATTTATTTACTGGGTGTATTTTTTCTGTATCAGTTTATGATAAAATATGTAGCAAACAATAACTAGGTGGGATACGGGGGAAAGTAGCTCGTTTCCTTATGCTTTGTCACCATTCATTTACATGTTATTCACCCATCTCTCGAATGTCTTGATAACAACAGAATAATAACAATAAAAAGTCATTATATAAAAGGCGGATTGTAAGAAAACTACTCCTCTTTCTTTTCCCCAAACCTATCTATATTAGTATAAGCCCATCATCTTTCATTTTGTTTAGAGTATATAGTTATGTACTACTTTTAAGTTTTATCTTTAAAATATTGATAACAGCCTTTTATATTTGTTTTTTTTTTTACATCTAGAACAATTTTAGCAATACTTAAATACTATTTTAGCGGATTATTTTCTCCCATTTACTCCTTTGATGCATGTAACAACTGCAGAAGTGTCTGCAATTAGTTTATATTCGGAAACAACTAACTAATGTCTAAATCTAATGACAAAACTATTATCTCTACTTACGCAATAGGCTTAATATTATAACCATAAGCATGTGATATTTTTATCTAATGCTGTTTTTCACACATATACTAATATATTTATATATATATACAGTATATAGGCCATTTAATTATTATAACGTAGTTTAAAGATACAATTTAACATTTAAATTTCTTAGACTTATCATTTACGAAACTTGAAATTTGCAATTGTTATATTCGTATTCACCTATTATAATATGTTAATGTTGGCAAAATTGTTCGCCATTTTGAAACTAATTTGCTCTTCGAACGGTCGAAAGGTTTTATGTCATAATAATGTGGCAAAGAAATCTGTCTCATATTTTAGGTATAATATAAAATCTATTATTCTTTAAATAAATTTGCAACATCCAATAGATTCTTTCTTTTCGGGAGTCAGTGTAAACACTGGGATTTCCAAGGAGCAGAACAATTTAAATTTAAACTCCTTCGCAACGGCAAACTTTTCAAAAAATGTAAGTCTCTTTAATAAAGTTTTTTATGGGAATATATTTTAGAATTTTTTTCCTAGAATTTCGATACCCATTCTTGTAGAATAAGTAGTTCGTCTGAAAACGAGACTGATGATTCAGACTGTTGCCCGAGCGAATGTGAAAGTACAGTGGAATCAATTGGATTCGAGGTCGAAAACACAGATGACCGCTATGTTACCATTGCTGAAAAGATATTTCACAAAATCCTAACTGAGCATAAAGGAAAATGTTCAATTACAGAGATGTATCAGTTATTTGATGGTGTATCGCAAACTGAAGTTTATTCTACACTAAAAAAATTACCTTATATACGATTGGTACATCAAGGTGAAAAAATCTGGGTTGTTACATTTAGACGATCTATGGTAATATGCTCTAATTATGTTGGTACATCACCATGTAATCTTCAGAATTGTCAATATCTTCATATATGCAAAAATATTATTATGGACTTTTGTCCGTTTGGTCAAAAATGCAAACTAAATCATAACATTTTCTCTGTACATAATAAAAGAATATTTGACCGAGAAAGTCTGGGATCTTTCAATGCAGCTAATATAAAGCTTCTGATTAGAAATTCCATGCCGAAAGTCTGTGAAAACTACGTGCAGAAATCGTGTGACCATATTGAATGTATGGATATTCACATATGCCCTGACCTTATAGCGCGAGGTAACAATCACAAAACTGATGGTTGTAAATTCGATCACAATCTATATAGTTCTAACATTGGAAATATCTTTGAATCCTATAAATTAAGAATTCCGCCAAAATATAGGAGAAGGTATATTCTAGCTAAAGCAACTGCAAGAAGAGAAAAGGGAACAAAAAAAGTCACGAAACGAACACGTTCTGCATCTAAAGGCTGTAAATCCGCAATGGAGTTAAGTAGTGGGAAATTTTTAGAATGGCTGATAGTAGAAAAGAAAGGGATATGCTCTTTAGAAGCAGTTAAAACCTGTCCCTACGTTAATATACAGAAGATAGAAGAGCTCTTCAGACAGTGCCATACTCGTTTATTGCTACTACCTTTGGAGTTTAAAGATAATTGCAAAGATGTCATCGTTAAAATATATTATCCAGAATTAAAGTTATGCGCAGACTATTGCAAATCAGAGTGTTCTAGTTCAAATTGTCTAAAGATTCATGTTTGTCAAGCGTGGCTAAATGGGGCCTGTGATGTGCAAAACTGCCCTAAAAGTCACAACTTTGAAGAGCCGAGCACTTTAAAGTTAACAAGCAGGCTTGGTTTGGACAAAAATTACAAAATATCTCATATGATTTGCATTATTCAAAATACTTTTCCTGCTGTTTGTGTATCATATAATTCTGGTGCCTGTATCGCGGGTGAAAATTGTCCTTATCTTCATATTTGTGCAGATTACATGTTGAGGAGAAGACATTCTAGCTGTCAAAAGGATCACACAAACTCGTCTACTTCAACAAAGAGAATACTTGATTATTATCGTTTATCAACATCTATTCCTCTGAATGATTCTGGATCTGTTATGATTCCCAAGTCTCTTTGGAAACAGAATGGTACAACAGAAAACGCTGTGCTAACTAAATCACAAGAAAATATGGATAAAAACTTCTCTCATATGCTTAAACTTATAGCTACTGAAAGTGGTTTTGCTCAAGGGGTTTCCAATACGAAAAAGAAAAAGGCTACATTTATACCAAACATTTCTAAGGAACATGTGTCATTACCGAAGACTGGTAGTTTAGAAGAGTTAGCCCGAGCTCAAGAGGGCCACGCTTCCAAATATGGATCTACAGATAAAAATATTGAAGATGCTATTATTGATTGGCTTATAAATGACTGCGATGGTAAAGCCAAAGTTTATGAAGTTCTGCGGCAGTCATTTTGTTCCAACCTGAAGGAACCCATGGAATGGCTAAGAACAAGAAAAAGTCTGTTACTAATTGATGGTCGTGACCATATGGATAATACACTACAAGTTATGATGATAGGATGTCGCTTATGTATTAACCATCTAAATCCAAAAAAAGTATGCAGACATAAAGAATGTGTGTTTTTGCATCTCTGCCGGGATTTTGTTATGGATAACTGCAAGCGAAGAGTTTGTAAGATGTCTCACAATTTGTCAGATTCGCACAACAGCAATGTACTAAACAGTTTAAACTTGTCGAAGTATGGCGATAGCAAAATTAAAATGATTATTCGAAATTCGATGCCTCAATTGTGTGTCCGATATTGTATAGACAAATGTGACAGGGGCAGTTTATGTCCCTTTATTCATTATTGCCCTGAAGCCTTTAACAGTCAGCAAAATGATTGCAAGTGTAAACGCAATCATTGCTTAGAAAACAAACACAACTCTAAATTATTTGAATTTTATAGAATTAATGAATCCTACAATGAATCAATGAAAAGAAGAATGATATTGTATGCCAGTGTCCTTACAAAAACATCTTAAGACTGCTAATAAAGTCGTTTGGAATATACTTTTGTAGAATTCTTTTCGTGTGTTAATTATACTTGATATGAATTAAAGATACACATTTTGTATTTCAATCTTTGACTTTATCAGAAAACTATACGCCATGCATCCAATGTAGTTTGTTTAACGTAACAAAACTAAATTAACTAATATACGCCATTACGGTCAAATAAAACCTTATTCAAATCGTCCCAAAATATCTCCATCTCGGAACAGAAAGTAATCCTACAGGGAAAGAGATATTAATGGCAATCTGTTTGGATGATTTAACTTTATCTTACCTTATCATCCATAACAACCTTAGTCCCACCGTACTCTGGTAGCAAGACTTTGTCACCAATTTTTACTGTAGTAGGGATAATTTCTCCAGACTGTCAAAACAACTTGGTTTTGGACAAAATATTTAAAAACTCGAATGACTTACATCAGTTCTGAGGCCATTACCAACAGCAACAACAGTTGCTTCATTGACTTTTGCTACAGCGTTTTCTGGCAACATGATACCGCCTTTCGTTGTTGTCTCTTGCGCAAATCTTTGGACAAGGACTCTGTCGAAGAGGGGAATGAAACGCTTCAAAGCAGACTGAAAATAATAGAAAAATATATAAAGATTTACATAGCTGATTTACCACTTTAATAGAAAAAGTACTTACCATGTTTGTAGTGATTTTTACTTTGACCTCAGATGCACGTGTTTCTCCTATAGAATGCTCGAGAAGTGACGCATGCGCATTAGCTAAGTTTGGGAGTGATCGCAATTTTTTTTCTGAAAATTCCCTTCCCCAAGCACTTATATCAACTTTTTCAACTTTTAACATAAATGTATCAATTCTTTAAAAAAGTAAATATTTTTAGTATTTGTGAAAAGTTAAAAATTCGCTATGATAATTGTAATGTTGAAACCAACCACAGCTTCTAGAAATAATATTCTTCAGATGGATTGTACATGAAACTTATTTTGTAAAGTTAATAAACATCAGTAATCTTGCTTTATTTTACTTCAATGCAATCTTTCATTGAATAAAAAGTCATGTTTCATAACTTTTAAATGTTACATTCAAACAATATCTTTATAAAGTAGCTATCAATTGGTATATACTGATTCGGGGCCGTATTTCTCTAATTTGCATCATGTTTCGACCTTGAACTAGAGTTTATTTCCGTTCGCGAACATTCGTCCGCCGGCTCTACAACTGAGAATTAATTGCTTCTTTCAGCAAGTTAAAACAGCTCTTCTCCTTACAATAGTAATCAACTAAGGTAAAAATCGAATCATAACGTTATTTTGGAATAACTTATTTAATTTGAATAAAATATCTCAGTTTTTAAATTAACCACGTGCTTTTAAGGCGAACACACTAGTTCGACATCCGCGACCTTGTTCTTGCAAAGAGAAAATTAAGTTATTTAAGCTTATAAATTTTTTTTTTACAGCCATATAAGATGTTAAGAGTATACAGTGCCCTTAGAGCGACTCGCAAATTCAGTCCAGCTGTTTCAGCAACATTTAACAGAACTTATGCCAAAGATATCAAATTCGGTTCTGATGCAAGATTGAGAATGTTGGAAGGCGTAGATACCCTTGCCGACGCAGTTTCTGTAACCATGGGTCCAAAGGTAATCTAGAGGCATCCCATCTTGCAATCAGCAAATAATATAACATTTATTTAGGGTCGTAACGTCATTTTGGAGCAAAGTTGGGGAAGTCCTAAAATCACTAAGGATGGAGTCACCGTCGCAAAAGGCATCGATTTAAAAGATAAATTCCAAAATATTGGAGCTAAATTGGTTCAAGATGTTGCCAACAACACAAATGAGGAAGCCGGTGATGGTACCACAACTGCCACTGTCTTAGCTAGAGCTTTTGCTCGTGAAGGATTTGACAAGATAAGCAAGGGAGCTAACCCAATAGAAATCAGAAAAGGTGTTATGTTGGCTGTACAAAACGTTGTTGAAGAACTGAAAAGTATGTCAAGACAAGTAACCACTCCAGAAGAAATTGCACAAGTAGCAACCATCTCTGCTAATGGAGATGTCGCCATTGGAACCAGTATTTCCGACGCCATGAAGAAAGTAGGACGTGATGGAACCATAACTGTTAAGGATGGCAAAACACTTCATGATGAATTGGAAGTTATTGAAGGCATGAGATTCGATCGTGGCTACATCTCTCCTTATTTCATAAACACAACAAAGGGTGCCAAGGTTGAATATCAAGATGCCTTAGTACTATTTAGCGAAAAAAAGATTTCATCTGTGCAAAGTATTATCCCAGCATTGGAACTGGCTAACACTCAAAGAAAACCACTAATCATCATTGCAGAAGATATCGATGGTGAAGCTTTGGGAACTTTGGTCTTGAACAGACTAAAGGCTGGCCTACAAATTGCAGCTGTCAAAGCCCCAGGATTTGGTGACAATCGCAAAAACACAATGAAAGATATGGCCATCGCATGCGGTGGTAGTGTGTTTGGTGATGAAGCCAACCTATTTAATCTAGAAGATATTCAATTACATGACTTTGGTCGCATTGGTGAAGTTGTTATCACAAAGGATGACACTTTAATGATGAAAGGTCAAGGTGAAAAGGGCAATATCGAAAAACGTGTTCAACAAATCAGAGATGAAATTGAAGTAACTTCTTCAGAATACGAAAAAGAAAAGTTATCTGAAAGATTAGCCAAATTATCAAACGGTGTTGCTGTTATCAAGGTTGGAGGATCAAGCGAAGTTGAAGTAAATGAAAAGAAAGATAGATATACCGATGCATTGAATGCCACTAGGGCTGCCATCGAACAAGGTATCGTCCCCGGCGGTGGTGTTGCCCTCATCAGATGCATTCCATGCCTCGAGAAAGTAAAAGCTCCCAATCAGGATCAACAAATTGGTATTGAAATCGTAAAGAAAGCTTTAAGAATCCCAGCTTTGACAATTGCTAGCAACGCCGGTGTAGATGCTCAAGAAATTGTTAACCGATTGATGTCTGGACAAGAAGATGGCTACGATGCAAGAACCGGAGAATTCTGTAATTTGATCGAAAGAGGAATCATCGATCCTACAAAGGTCGTTAAAACTGCCCTTACTGATGCTTCTGGAGTTGCATCTCTTCTTACAACTGCTGAAGCTGTTGTCGTCGAATTACCCAAGGAGGAGAAAGAAATGCCCATGGGAGGTATGGGAGGTATGGGTGGAATGGGAGGTATGGGAGGTATGGGAGGTATGGGAGGCATGATGTAGATAACGAATTTTGTTAGAAAAGATTTTTGTATGTTGTAGGGCTTTTTTATAATAGGTCGAATAAAAATTTTGTTACCTAGTAAGAACATCTAATTAGAAATCTACGCCTAAACTATCTAAAAGTTCTGACGGAGGAAAATATTGTTGATGTTATATTAATAAACTTATGAAATATATTTGGATTAGTTTTTCCATTCATTCAAATAAATTTAATCGTTAAAAGGTCGTTCCCTCATCAGTATTTATTTATCTTTACTCTTAAAGACATTATCAATTCTGCAAGGTTAATAGTGCATTTGTTATCTTCTAAAATCTACGCTTTTTTTTAGATAATAATAGTCATTACTATTTACTGTACTTTATAATGCGGTGACGAACAGGGTTTTTTACTTTCTTCAATTTGCTTCTGAACTAGAAAATATAATAAAAATTATTTACTTAGATAAAAAAAACAACAAATAAACAAACATTGACGTCTAACAGAACAGCGTTCCCTCGTCTTCTTATTAAGAAACTTTTCAAATTTATCATCGTAATATCCGCAGTTTCTATTATACAAAGTAAATAGTATAATTGATGGTTTTTATTGAAAATGTTAAATGTTTACTGCGGTCCTCCCATCTGTTCTCTTACTTCTCTAACACAGTCAAAATGTTTTTTAAATTTTTTCTTATAATTCCTGAAAACAGTGAACAAATGATTACGTATAGTATGTAGGTCATTTTTTATATTTCATAATAACCGTTTATCGCAAACATCAGATTCGTAAACAAAAGGATAGGAGCATCTATATTGTTGGAAATTATAGTTGATTAAACAACCGCCTAAAAAGGCTTTCCAAGATGCTTTATTAGTATTCCAGACATTAGGTTTAAATATATATCTATCGTAGACGCAACCTTCTAGTAGTTTATTATTCATTTTTGAATTGTACTTCTCCATACAACGAATTGTTTTTTTCATTTCTTGCCTATGTGAAAAACATAGGATGTTATTATTATTTAACTATTGTAAGAGAAAAGAATAATACTCTAATTCTACGAGTCCATCATCAGTAAAATTGTTTGGATGTAGTTTAAGGTAGCTTCTTATTCTCTTGTATCTAGCCACGCATATAGCCAGATCCTCATTTTTACATTGGGATTCGTGTTCAGTCAATTCGTTTAAAGCTAACTCTTTCTTATATTTTCGACTTCTCTTTCTATCCCAATTCAAACCTTACATATTAATTAATACATTATTGGCCTTAAGTTCAGTAAATAATCAAATATTCAACTAACAATGGTCAAGTCTCACTGGTAGCATGTTTTCTTTATATCTTTTTATTTCGATCAATTCGCTTAGTTGACTAGAGCAGAATGGAAATTGAAAGGTAGCGTTCAAGCTATATCTTATTTGACCAAGATTTTGTATTAAACTGTAATAAAAAATGTCGGAAGTTTGACTTAGAAAGTTAGATTTATAGAAATAATAAAATGTTATTGTTAATGTCAAAAGAAGCCGACGAAGAGTTAAAAGAAATCGTTCTTATTCACACAAATAAAAGTATTATATGTGAATGTATAATAACTCTAATTATCATAATTTTTCTTATACTCATAACTTACAATATTCGTTACCTTTCACATTGCCTCTTAGTTAAATCTTTTAAGGGTAATGGTTCTCTGTAATTACCTACTTCCGTTCCCCTTATGAAAAAAGGTTCCAAGAGTAGTTTTGCCATTCCAGCTGGTGAAAAGGGTGGAGCAGGAGGGAACGGAGAAGCAGGAAAGGGACGCTCACCTCTGCTGTTCAGTTGATCGTCATCAACCGTTGCAACGAGCATTTCTTGAGTTTTTCCATAGCAAACGTCCATATAGAATACGAGTAAAAGGAAAAAAGGAAGAGCATGTTTAAAACAAAGCATTTTCCCAAAGAATGACAAACATTTTTCTACTTTTAGAAAAATATAAAAAGTTTAATCTGCTTCTCATTAAAATTAGCATAAAAGCCTTAGAGTTTGTTTTTGAAAACCCAGATAAAAACTATTAACACGTGCAAGCATTCCTTAACAGCCAATACCTATCACCTAGATATTTAATGAATGCAATTTTCAGCTAGTTCGTAGCTATGTCAATATTTTCTGGTATCAAACATAATCTTTTATTTCTAATTCGAATAATATCCGGCAATAGAGCAGATCACCAGTCCAGTCTGATTGTCCTCTCAAGAAGGATCTCTACCAAATATGGTTAGATTAATTAGCTAATTGATTAATTTATTTTGAAAATATATATCTATTTGAATAAATATATAATTTAATTCCCACAGTATGGACATTTAAACGTCATAATTAAGAAATTCGTCACAGAAAGGTTCAGCAAACAGCAATGGGAAACTATTTTGTATGATTTTATTATTTGTATTATCTAAAACAATCATTAATTACAAACTATCTTATATTATTTAGTAAGAAATGCTCATTTTCTACTGATTTCAATGACAAAGAAATCTATTCTGATGAAGATACGACAAAACTGCTTGAGGAAACCACAAATGTATTGGGTAAATTAAAAATTCAATCATTTCTCTTACTTTTTACTTTGAAGCTTTAATTCATAAGTCTAACTGTATTTCAAACCATATTAACAGGTTTCAAGAGAGAAGCTTTGATGGTCTTGTTGGGTGAATTTTATTTCGACTATATAAGAAAATTAGGCCACGATGAATTATTAAGAAACCTTGGAGCGACTTTTAAAGATTTTCTTGAAAATCTTGACTATGTTCACACTTATATGATGTCGGAATATCCTGAAATGAATAGTCCTTCTTTCAGATTGGAAGAGGATGAAAAAAATGAAAAACTTTATCTTCATTATTATTCATTTCGAAAAGGCTTTCACCCTTTAGTCATTGGTTTGTGTATGCTTATTCATGTTTATATAGCAACATAATCAATCCATTATTTTCTATTCAGGTATTCTAAAGTCTGTCTCAAGAGTTTATTACAAACAAGATTTACTTTTTGAATTGATTTCTATTGAGAATGAGACAGTTTGTAAAAAAGCTGGCTCTACTCAGAGGGAACACGTTGTTCTTTGTATTACAACTGTTAAAGTTGAGCAAAAACCCTCAGAACCTCCACCTACCTTTGTAGCTCAAACGAGAAAACATGGAGAAAAACAAATTTTGAAACAACATGTTGATGAAGTTGCTATTAAAATTGACAAGATTAGAAGAGAGCAGGGAGAACACGCTCTTCCTGTTAACAAAGCCAGAGCGGCTAAGGCGAAATGGAAAAGTCTTGCTCGAATGACTATGCTTTCTGGAGATTTTACTCCAGCTTTTCCCACCAACCTTGCACTAGATCCAAGTTCATTTTGCTCTACTTTCCCATACCATATGGTATTTAATAAAGATATGCATGTTGTTCACAGTGGAATAAAGATTCAAGAATGTATGCCGGGAATAAGAAGTTTGTTGGCTCGTGGTGACTTTTATTTCGATCTTCTGCACCCGCCCCAAGTTGATTTCACTTTTGTAAATATAAAAAAGTTCATTAATACTCCATTCGTTGTACGATGCAAGAAGGCTAAGATGAAGAAAGATTGGGGATTCAGACCTCTCCTTATTCTGCGAGGTCAGATGGTACCTTTAAAGGATGAAAATTTTGTAATCTATTTGTGTTCGCCTTTTGTAAGGAGTCTAAGAGATCTTGAGTGTAGAAGAATGCACCTTGCCGATATTCCAATTCACGATGTGACAAGAGATATGTTATGGATGGAGCTAATAGCTCGCTATAAATTTGGTAATTTGCAAGATACTCCTCCACCGCCCGTAGAATATCCTGAAGGGGATCAACAACCTCCTATAAAGGAACAAGACGATAAAATGATTATGCGAGAGGTTCTTGTAGCTCCTGCAATTGTCGGATCAACTGGAATAAACGAAAACCATTTAGCAGCTGAAATGGCTAGATTACGTAACGGTTGGGACACGGAAAAGAAAAGAAATGCCGATTTGTACAGAACGTTTCTGCCTCCAAAATGTCTTGCTCAATGGGAATCTGGACAAAATCTTGAAGCAGGCTATTACGATTCAACTACTGTACTCTTCTCAGATGTTGTTTGTTTTTCAGATATAATGGCACGGTAAGTGCAGAGGAATGATATAAATTATATCTTTTCATTAAAAGTAACTTGTACAGGTGTAAAGCAAACGATATTGTAAATCTGTTGACGAAATTACACTGCAAATTTCGAGAAGCCTGTGAAGTGCATGAAACATTCCGAGTTGAAACTATTGGAGATGCTTATATGGTAGTTTGCGGTGTTCCAGAGCCTTTACAGTCACACGCCGAAAGAATTTGTAATACTTCTTTAGCTATGATGCATATCGCTAAAGAATTATCTTCTCCTTACGACTACGGTGACAAATCAAAAAGTGTCAAAATAAGAATTGGCATAAATAGTGGACCAGTTACTTCCGGTGTTATTGGCGACAGAGTTCCGAGGTGAACTTTTTTTATTTAGATCTCCTTTCACTCTTCCTTTCATATTTTTTTATATAACACCTATATTTGTATTTAATCTTCTTCCTTTAATAGATTTACTGTTATGGGGGATACGGTAAACCTAGCCTCTAGAATGGAAAGCCATGGATTACCAAACAAAATACAATTATCTCCAAGCACATATAATCTAATTAAAGAGAAAGGATTCCGAATAGAAAAGAGGGGAGATATTGCTGTTCGAGGAGTAAAGAAGAGAATAACAACTCATTGGTTAATGGCTAACGATAATGTTGGTCTAGCAGATGTTTTAGGAAGAAGGGTAAAGCCAAGATTAACTGGCGGGGTGGAAGTTACCTTTATAAATGAAGGAAAACACGAACATCCACCTAATACTGCTAATTCAATAACAACTCCAGGATCAGCAGATAGTTATGACCTGATTCCTATGAGGTAATACGCCCTTGTTAATAAACATGACGTTTTTATATACAAGAAACAATTTAACAGATATAGCGACAACCCGAGATATCCTTTAAAGCCTGGAGCAAATGTTCGTCCTACTGATCTACCTAGAGCGAGATCAATGTCCACTCCTAGACCGAGAAGTGGTTCCGGTTCAAGCACCCCTAGAATCGGGACACCTAAAACCAATAGAGTCACCCCGCATAAATAAATGAACAAAATTGATGAGATTTCCATCTTTCTGCCTTCAATTATATATTTGAAGATGTCAAATGATATTCAATTAATTAAAATACCAAGACTATTTATCTATTTGCGACAGAAAACTTTGTATATTTATTCAGTATTACGATTATAATATATTTAAATTAACTGCAAATAAACTATGAATTATTCAACTCTTTAGTAATAGGCAATGTTTATTGAGTAAGTTAACTTAGTCATGATAAAGAGAATTTTTCTAAAAGAGACTAGATGGCGCAACTTGTGTATTAGAGAAGTAAAATTTCTACAAAATATTACATAATACCAGTTTATTCTTGCGATATCTCTTAAATTCTTTAAGAAATTTCGATTTTCTAAAACAATTTAGTAGATATTTTGATTCTAGAAAATGTAAGTTAGATAGTTTTATTAAAGAAATATCATTTTCTGTTAAATCACTAAAAAACAGACATAAAAAAGTAACATCTAAATGATGAATACTATAATTTCGCTCTTTGTTGCAGATTACCGATATTCACTGAGAAATTAATACAAAATGTCTGATAACTCTGAAGATAAGAAATTGACAATTGCCATAAAAATCCAAAAACGAGACGAGGAAAGAAAAGCCGAAGTCACTCGTCGAAAGGATGAGATTTTGTCTAAAAAGCCGGAAAATGAAAAGATTGACGTATTCGATTCTAATTTCCAGCTTTTAAAGGTAGAGATTGAAGAAAAATTGGCATTGACAGTTGAACCAAGTGATGCTAAAGAACATATTGATGATATCCTTCAGAGTATTCGAAAAGCGCAGAAACTCTTAACAGATTCAATAAAATTTGTTCCTCCTGTTAGAATTGCTTTCATACAGAATTTAATCAATAAATTTGAAAGAAACTTGTTAGTTAAGGAGGAGACTTTAAAGCCAAAGAAGAAGTTTGCGTTTAAAAAAGCTAAAAAAGTCCAAGGGCCTATTCAATCCACAATGAAAATAGCCAAGAGCGAAGAAACAAGGGACGAAACGAAAAATTTCGGTTTTTCTATAGAAGGGAAAATGGACGAAAACATTACTATTGAAGAGAATCAAACTAACCAAAAAGATATCCTTATATCAAATATGAACAATTGTACTATAAGAATTATTGGTAGTCCTGGCACATTACATATGGTCAATATCGATAATTGCACTATTCTTTCTGGCCCTTCTTCAACGTCTGTCTTTATTGAATTATCGAAAAATAGTCGATTCGTAATGGCAGGACAACAATTTCGTATTCACAAAACCGAGTCGTCAGATTTCTACATTCACGTTACAAGTCGAGCCATAATAGAAGATTGTAATAGTGTTAGATTTGCTCCATATGTCTTTAATTACGAAAAACTAGATGAACATTACAAATTATCTGGCTTAGATAAAAGTGTTAATAATTGGGAACTTGTAAACGATTTTAATTGGTTAACTACAACGAAGAAATCACCAAATTGGGATATAATACCTGAAGCGGATAGGCAAACCTTTATATAGCATGAAAGATTTTATTTTTATTTTGAAATGAATAGATTTCTAACATTGAAACTTGTCTCTATTCCATAAATAACTAAATAAGAAATACTAGAAAAAGGAGAGCATTCTTGTAGAAAGAGATAGAATACTTTAAATAGTATTGTACTATGTTAAACTAGGATTCTAAGAATACTAATAAAAAGGAAAGAAAAATATCTTACTTCTTTCAATTAGCAACGCAAATATTACAATTCTATTTCTCAAAATATTTAGATAGTAGAGAATGAAGTGTTAAGGGAAACTTTTGCATTTCTTCTTAGCGCTATAGAATGAAAGCTAATCTAACGTTAATAAACTTTACAGGTACACGTAGTTAATTACTAAATAAGTGAATAGTAAAAATAATAAGACATTTTTGTGATGTTCTAAAGCCTTATTTACAATTGGAAGCTGTTTGGTATGTTATCAATGCGATAAACGATGGCATTATGACTGCGTTACTTCAGACTATTTGGTTACTTGTCCGTCTTTTGAGGGAAAGGCGGCATGTATGTCGAGAGCACAAATTTATGTTAAAAATAGGCGTCTCTACTGGAAAGAGTGTTCCTCTATGGATGCTTGTCTTTCGATAGAAAAGGATTATAATAAATCTAAATCATGTTCTAAAGATGACGGATCTATGTGCATTCATTGTTGTAATACAAACGCTTGTAATAAAGTTGATCCGATTGAAGTATATGAAAAAAACAATGGCGATTATTCTCATCTAAATGTTTTAGTGTCAACTTGGCCTGTTTTTTTGACAGGTTTAATAAAATGAAATTGAGTCTTGTTTTTTGTTGGTAATACGTTAAATTTGTTTATTTCAAAGGACTGTCGGGATTGAATTGATCATATATATATTAATATTTGATGTATATAAAAAATGTATGAATCTTTATATAAATGAATTAATACATCAAAGCTTGTTGTTTAAATTTTTAGTTAACATTCCTTTTCATATACTTCATCAAATATCAAATACAACTTAATACTACCTAATGGACATTACTCTTGCGATTGAAGGCTCTTAAACAATATTAGGGAAATTTATACAGGTCTATAAATAGATAGAGTAGACGTATAACAGTTATTAGGTACTACGTAGTATGAATGAAACACTGAAGCGACACCTGTCGTCCACACAAATAATCAAGCGCGGATCGTGGACTTTGTAAACTATCGAAACATATTCGAACAAAACCGGAAAACGATCTGCACGCTAGCTGCGCATGCTCGCCAATGTTCTGCCGCAATTAGGAAAAAAAACTGTTTTCAACACTTATTATTGAATTCTCGAGAACTAAATCGATTTCGGCGGATTTTTAACAATTATAATTACAAGCGATCTTATTTAAGAAATAACCTGTACCTTGGGCATGTTTTGATTTAATCATTGAATTGGGTACAATACGCTGAAGAAGTTGTTATCACAGGTTGGTTACATTGTTTATTACTAGAACATATCTCATGGGTAATCAGTCCCTTGCAGAAATGATTGATTTTGCATTAAAGTAAAAATCTGTATATACGCGTTCCTGAGATTAAACGATAACTGACAAAAGGATTGACCTAAATATTTCTTGTCAAGCCCATGACACAAGCATCAGACCTTTAACGTTTACCTATTTCTTATTAACATTTTCAAAAATTATAACACGATCTTCTATAAATGATATATTTCGAGTACGAGAGTCACGAGTTACCGTGACCTGATTTCATTGAACTGGGGAATAAAGCGTTAAGCCAGATGATAAATATAGCGTAATTAATAAACGATATACCTATGGAATAATAAATATGGAAACAATACTTGACTGTGGTTTTTAAAGAATTAAACATATTAAATAGTAGAAATTAGGCTCATTCACCTGTTGTCTTAAATTCTATACTTTTTAAATATTAAAGGTGATATTTATTTATAGTATTGTAAACCCTAAATGAACAAAAATAAAAGTCCACATATTTGTAGCTGGATAATATGTTTCCTCTTGCTAGGTTATTGTTGCTATCGTTCTACTTAGAAGTGGTTGGTAAAGGGTTAATAAAAGTAATTGCCTTTCGTATGGTTACTTGATACGTTCTTTACGTAATAATGCATTAAAAAATGACAAGTCTTTAAATGTGCATCTAAAACAGGATCTCCAAAATACTAAAAACGAGAAATTTAGAATATGAGATAGTCAAATAACCACTACGCTGTCTATTCATAAGGTGAGTCATCGTATTTCGACAATCTTAGAATAACTAAAAAACGTATGGTAAACTCATAACCGACTTCAGTATAATGTATTGAGATAGTTTTAATCTATTTTACTCGTGTGCTTTACGATAACTTGTTTAAAGTAGGTCAATATAGTTTCAGATAAGCGACTTGAAGTAAAAAGGATAATAAAGCGGAAATATAATAAAAAAGAAGGGAAATAATGAGTTTTACTAGCGACGAGGTAAACTTTCTTGTATATCGGTATTTACTTGAATCGGGATTCAAGCACTCGGCTTATACATTTGGGATCGAATCGCATATATCGCACAACAACGTTTTAAATGGCGCCCAAGTTCCACCAGCAGCCCTACTTGCCGTCATACAAAAGGGAATACAATACACAGAGGCAGAAATATCAATTGGGGAAGACGGCTCAGAAAGAGTGATCGAATCATTGACACTTATTGATGCTGTCATGCCCGATCAGATAGAACAGAGAAAACAGCAAGCTGCCGCTCGATCAAAACCAACTGAAAATTTAGAAATGTCCAATAATGCGTCAACGTCTACTGTTTTTGGCGATCATGCAGTAAAGAATGAAGAACCTCCTAGTAATAACGGCCCTTCAACCGTAAACGATACTATGGAAGTTGACTCTTCTTATGAAATTCCCCAATCTAAGGCAACAACATTGAGAGGTCATGACAGTGAGGTGTTTATATGCGCTTGGAACCCAACAAGCGATCTCTTAGCTTCAGGATCTGGAGATTCAACTGCTCGTATATGGAATATGAATGAGGGAGGCGGTAACGTCCATCTCACATTGCAACACTGCATTCAGAAAGGCGGTACAGAAGTACCAAGCAACAAAGACGTTACTTCTTTGGATTGGAATTGTGATGGGTCTCTCTTAGCAACTGGCTCATATGATGGTTTTGCCCGAATATGGAATACCGAGGGTCATTTAGTTAGTACACTGGGTCAACACAAAGGACCTATCTTCGCTCTCAAATGGAACAAGAAGGGTAATTATATATTAAGCGCTGGTGTGGACAAGACAACTATCATATGGGATGCCCAAACCGGACAATGTAACCAACAATTCTCTTTTCATTCCGCTCCGGCGTTGGACGTCGATTGGCAGGGTAATCAGAGTTTCGCCTCCTGCTCCACCGATCAATGCATACATGTCTGTAAATTAGGGACTGATAGACCTATAAAGACATTCCAAGGTCATACTGTAAGTAATTCTGCTAATATTTATTGCCATGACTGTAAAAATCATCAGTGCATCTTTATATTTGTATATTCTTACAATGTTTTCATAATTTCTAGAATGAAGTCAATGCTATTAAGTGGGATCCTCAAGGTTCTTTGTTAGCTTCTTGTTCGGACGATATGTCTTTGAAGGTAAGTGAGGGCTTCTATAGCGATTATAGAATTATACCTCCTGAAAGGCTGTCAATACTAAATTATAATTATTTTTATTAGATATGGAGCATGAATAGAGATAAATGGGTTCATGATTTACAAGCACATAATAAAGAAATATATACAATCAAATGGAGCCCTACAGGACCCGGTACAAATAATCCTAACGCTCAATTAATTCTAGCCAGGTTTGTTTTTCGGCTTGGTTTTGTCAGTTGTGGAACATTGATAATATATTCATAACTATCCTTTATAGTGCCTCATTCGATTCTACTGTAAGATTATGGGATGTCGACCGAGGAACTTGTATACATACATTAACCAAACATCAAGAACCTGTTTATTCTGTAGCCTTTAGTCCGGATGGCAAATACTTGGCCTCTGGTTCATTTGATAAATGCGTGCATATATGGAATGTACAAAGTGGAAATTTAGTTCATTCCTATCGGGGAACTGGAGGTATTTTTGAAGTTTGTTGGAACCATAGAGGAGATAAAGTTGGGGCTAGTGCATCGGACGGATCGGTAGTGACATCTGTTATATTAATAAAAATTTTTTAATTTATAAATGATTTTCTTTTTCCAGGTGTTTGTTCTTGATTTACGAAAGTGAGACTGGTTTCTGACTCATCTGGTCTCTAACCCCCAACCATAAAGCCGCGAATAGGATCTCAAGCGAAAAAAAACGACTGTGCATAATGAGAAACTGTAGGTTTATTGACGAGCTTAATTGATTACAGAACCAAACGTTTGTGATTCATACGTGTGCGAAAAACGAAAAAAATTATTAAAATCGTCTTGTCTATTCTGTATATGTGTTTAATAAAAAAAAACAGTAACAAAAACTTTGGCAAAGTTGTAACGGCTTTGCAAAAGTCAAGCAATAAAATGAAACGTGACTAGCAAACGGAGGCTTTTCTTAGCCGTCATTTCCGTGAAGTCTATTAAGAACATCAATGTCTAAATTGTCATCGAATTCATCGTCGCCAAAATCGCTTTTGTTGATAGACCGCAGCATCTGACGTTTTTCTTCTGGATCTTTGCATGCTCTAACGATTTTCGCCAATTCCTGCTGATTATATTCTACTAAAAATTTCTGACAAGATCTCATGGAACCGGCACAATGTAAAGTTCGAAATATTGCTGGAACGTTTTCAACTTTTTTAATAAAAAACATTGCCGCTTGCACCATATCCTTCATATCTCTCTTACATCTAATCTTAGCTATTCGTGTGTAAGGATTGACATACTTTACTCTTAAATTCGTTTTTATCGATCCATACCCGTAGTCACCGAAATTCTCTTTTAAGGCTTCTAATAGGCATTTATATATCATTTTACCATTTAAATTTTGGTCATATAATCTGCCATCGGCAAAATTAACTTCAGCCACAAGATATCTGTGCTTGAAGCGAACCATGTTTATAAAAAAAATAGGAAACAGATGTCGCTAGGTGTTTCCGTCGTCGACAAATTTTACGGCTGTTCTTTTTATTTTTCACAATCCCTTAGTTAATTTAATAAGATAACCCTCAAAATATTTGGCGTAAAAATCAGTAAGAATTATTTGTAAATAAATAGTATGCTTCTTGTAATATTAATGGTTAAAATATTAAAATTACTAATTACTTAAAAATATACAAGGGGAGTAATAGCGCCATTCATAACGGCAGAAATTGGCCGACCAGCGGAGGTCGGTGCTGTGCGCTATCGGATAAACTTCGATTTTTAATGGATTACGTACTCTATTTTAGCGGTTTATGGTCGGCAAAGTTTTTTTTACTCGTGTAAGTATACTATCGAGATACAAAAATAAAATAATATGCATTGGTCATTTTGGTATAAGAGCGATTTACTTGAGTGTATGGTGCAGTATTCATTTGAAAGGTTTCGGCAACTTGCAGATAAGACAAAAAGAAAAACAAACCTCAAAAAGAGCATTCGCGTACTGTTTTTATCGTTAGAAAAATGCTATGACAGAACTTAATAGCGCTCAGAGTACAAGTTTTTTTGTATTTACGTAAGGAAACCCAAAAATCTTATCCCAGTTAAATGAAAAACGTTCGATTTTGGTAGCGACATCTGCTTTGAACGTGATGAAAATTGAGAGGAGAAGGGAATTCAATAAAAACATCTGCTTGAGACTGCATAGACACAGGAAACTAGCTATTTCACCTTTACTTAATGAAAAAAACTTGGAAGTTTAATGAGAGTCTTGTAAGAAAATTTACTCGTTTTAAGTGTATCTGTATCCGTAAAAAACTATCAATTTATAGTTGAAATGTGATTTATTGTTTACACAAGACCTTGCACAGAGCGAAAAAACTGCAATGAATACTGCAGTAAGAGTGTTTATCCAGTCAATAATACTCGAAGGTATATATACTCGCTCACTTCAGTTCTTTCGTTTACATTACTGATGAATATACATATTCAATTTACCCTTCGGAAGCTAGTGGAAAAAACAAACAAATTTCTCCGTTTGTACCTTAAGGCCTACATTTTATTTTGCCTTTTTTTTAAACGATTTGTGTGTTTGTGTTCCCCTGCAGATAATCGACAAGGCCGGTCAGGAATAAAGAGGACTCACTGTCATGCCGCTCTAAACTATTGAGGTAATGTTAGCCCATTGCTGAAAATGTCTGGAAGAAAGGGCAAAACGTCTTTGGTGAAAGTTATCTTTCTGGACGATACCGTTCAAGTTTTTCAAGTTCCGGTAAGCTTACATTTTCTTATTTATTTCCTCGCTTTCCTACAATAATCCGTAAAACCTAAATGGTGCAGTTCTGTTTATTATCGGTAATCGGTTGCCAATTGTTAAGACTACTGAGGTTTTGTTTGTCAATTATTCAATAAGACGGTCGGAAGAGGGGTGTATCACGCAGCGTAACGTTTTGTTGCGAAATAATTGAAAAAGATGAAGCGTGATTTACGAGCGACTTTTGTGACGGGAGAATATTTGGACAATTGATTTTCCGTTAGTTGAAGGCCAGTCGATAAGGCATATAGGGAACATTCCTCTTTTCGATGGTATAGTGCATTAAGCGTTGTTTCTCCTGCTTAAAAATGATGATTAGAGAGGAAAATTATGCGAACGATCAATCGAAAGGATTTCTCTCTTTCTTTCCTTTCTACTCCTATATTTTTTTTTACAATCGTTCTTTAGTATTATTTTTCTATCGGCCTCTTCTCGCAAACGGGCAATTTTTTTTTCTTTTTATGCTCAACAGTCTTTATTATCGGCTACCGTTGGTTTTTATAACAGGGAATTAGCCGCCTATTGAAGGATTTTTTATTAGACAAACACCCTCCAACGAGTCTAGCTAATGTTAACTATTCGTAGTTGTTTTGCGTACGTTTGTAATTGAAAAGAGAATTCTACACACGTGCGGGTTACTGACATTTGAAGGTGTTAAATAGGAAAAACACGAATGTCCAAGGTCCGATTTGCCTTTATCGATTGCTTTTTTGTATAGCTACATTTATACACACGTAGAATATCTATGCAAATATATATATTATGTACAAATGTTAACATAGATAACATTAAATGCTATAATCAATGTCAATTTTTCGATTAAATCAATGCGTGTTAAATCATTTTTACAACTCTGTTTTTTTGCTTTAAGGTCGAAGTTACAGATGTTTGTTTGTGTTTTAGACGTGTTGTCAGCAGTTGTTTTCCAATGAAGAAGTTCTCTTTGAAATTTGTTTATAGTCTTCATCTATTCTCACTATCAAAATGTAAATAGAGAAACGCGGCAGCAGCGGCAACACGAATAATTAATGCTACCCGACTAGCACTACTATTTCTCTCTATCTTTTCTCACTTTCCTCTTTCTGTATGTGTCCCTGTCTCTCTTTACCACTTATTCAGTCTATTATTTTGTATTTTTCTCTCCTTCGTTTTATCTCTCTCTCTCTCTCTCTCGAGCACTTAAGCTTTATACAGTATATCAAGATAGATACTGTATAATGAGGGGAGACAGAGAGGTTTCTATCTCCATTGTATTTTTTGTGAGAACGGTGATGAGCTAGTCACTCATTAATTCCCTTCCGGTAGCGTGATGACTTACGAGTCGTTTTTTTTTCTGTTATTGATCGACTAATGTAATATCCGACCTTTTGACTTTATATCTCACTTGTAAAGAGAAATATGAGCAGACGAGCCTACTAGGCGTTACTTTTTTTTATCTTGTTGAGTTGGTGAAGAATCTCTGGAGAGTGGTGACGCCCAATAAAAAATCGACCTTAATTAAACTAATCGACGAAGCAGTCTGCTGCTGGATTGACTTGTCACATCCAGTCGAGTCTGACGACGTACAATTGCCTATTGGATTACGTCGTTAGTGTACGTCGCAAAGAGAGGTGGGTGGGAGTGAGGGCGGCAATACTAGGTGTAAAATTTTAGGCTGTTTTTGGTGATTGACGAGGATCTGTAATTTCATTAACGAAATAAGGCGTGAGTTTAGATTATTGACAAGGGACAGGGAAAGATTTAATTTAGTTTCTGGATAATACTATAGTAGCAGGAGGCTATTTATTGGGTTATTAATTTATTAAAGCGGGAGGAAGGGATGAAAGAAATGCGAATCTCTCCTCGCTCTGTATGCATGGTACAATCGATAGGATAAGTTTGTAAGAAAGCGAGTAACACATTTCGGTGAGGAGGGAATTCTATTGATGGGAGGGCGTCATTGCGAGTTGTGCGTTATCGATCTGGGAATGGCGTAATTTTTTCTTTCTTCCAAATACATTTTCGTTTACTACAATTACAAATTTTTTTGACTGAGGGATTTAGTTTGCATGCAAACTTGAGAATCTATCTGCTTTCGTCAGATAAAACCTATATAATGGGAAATATTCTACTGTACCACGGCAACGAATAGCTATATTTCAAATTATCTAGGCATTTTTTACTTTTTATTAACGACGGCATAAAAAAAAAGAATGTTTATGTTATTTTTATTTTTCCTTCAGGCCAAGGCTTATGGTGCAACATTGTACACCGAAGTCGTAAAAAAATTAAAGCTAATTGAGGCGGACTATTTCGATTTGGAATTTACGGAAACCAGCGGTTGCAACGTTTGTAAATCCTTTTACATTTTAATCCATAACCAATGATGGGATTATACCTTATACAGTGTTGGCTCGATAGAGAAAAACCAGTATTGAAACAGTTGAACCCAGCCGATTATACTTTGAGATTTGTTGTTAAGTTTTACACGCCTGATCCTGGTTTGTTAGAAGACGAATATACTAGGTAAGTTAGCTTTTTTTCTTGTAAATAACCGTAATAGAATATGCGGAAGATCACTTTTTTTTTGTACTAGAATTCGTTCAGACCGTTTTTATATAGATTGTCAATGCTCTGAAGTAGTTTTACAAGTGTTATTATCGGATTCTCTATTCGTCTCTTGTTCTCGTAATATTTTGTTTAAGGAAAGAAAAAGTTTGAGTGAAAATAATTTAAACTAGAGAACACATTTCTGGGGTAATAGATATTTCTTTGGCGCCAAATCTTATTTATTATGGTATATGATAATAAATATAGCGTATCTAGGGGTTGGAGTATTCTCCAATTTTTTTGCCCTATACGAATTCGGAAGATTACTGACCATGTCTTAAGAAAGAGCACAGAATGCAAATATTAACTGGGATCTGCTAACCGGAAACTTGCTTCTTGCTTTATCTCTTTAAAATATCTCATCTATCCTGCGCAAAATGTCTGACCTCTTCTGTTAAGATTTTAACATTTTACGATTGAAAGGAAGTCAAGATACATTTAATCGTAATGAATTTATATTGATACCATAAATGTTCGCAAGTATCTACGAAATGAAAATACTCTCACCTAGGGAATCAATAATATAATCTACACTGTATTTAGTAGACGAATTATTTCAGTCTAATTCAAGGAAATCGAATAATTTGGAGCTCATTAAATATGAATAAGTTTAAGAGTACAAAAGAGCGGAATAAAATCCTAATAAAAGAATTAGCATTTCGGGAAAAATTAATTTTTTCTAAACAGGAATTTATTGTAATAGATTTTTTACTATTAAGATTAGATATATGAATTATTATAGAATGGCCTGATTTCGGGACCGTAGGAAATGGTTTGACCGAATTCCAAAAGTCTTATTTTGATAGATTCGTAAAGATTAATAATCGCTTCTTTACATTTTTCTATTGAATAAATGCTGCAATAATTAATTTCGAAGATAAATACTATATAATAAAGGAATAGCTTGGTGGAAAATAACCTCTCTTGTCAAAACGCTTCGGTTATTTTTTTTAATCCTCATAATCACTAGAGAATCTAGTACAATTGAGTTTTTTCGAGCGTTACACTTCCTGGCCGACTTCCTTCCAGCTTGATTGGCTAGACTGAGTTATATCTGTACCACCATCTAGGATAAGAGGAGATTTTTAGTGTAACAGTCAGTCACGATTGCTTAATATTATTCCAAAACATTTGAAGTCAAGTCGAATCGGTCGAGTGGAAAAATCAGTCACCGCTTTATCTCAATTTCCTATCCCTCTTGACACAAGTCAAAGACAAATTTAGATTCTCAGGACGTGAAGAAAAAGTATGGTATTAAAAAAAAAAAAGAATAAGTGCCGAGAAATTTAAGCCGAGTCAGACGGATAATATATGTGTGCTTCGTTGATTACTAGTGAAGAAAGTTAGATAGTGCGCACCGATAAAAGCTGGTAGAAGAACGAATATCGTCAATGAGATGGAAAAGACATTCATGAACTCGGAAAGCAACATTTTATAGGCAACGTTCCTTCTTTTACGAGAACGTGTCTTCAGCAGCACAAGTAAATTGGATAGTGGCGGTCTTTTTAATGGCACCTCCTATACGGATATAAAAGGAGATTTTGTTCCAATTTAGAAAATCTGAGAATGTTGCCATTTTTTTCGATGATACCTGTGTCTACTGTAGAATGAAACCAGGAATAACTTTAATAAAAATTCGCCAATTTATCTATAAAACCCTTTAGGGCAAATAACCCATGATTATCACTTTTCCTTGCCAGTCTCGTCTTCTGTCCTATTATTTCTCCATGTCTTGGGCAAATCTTGCGGTTTGTTAGTCGTCTCAAATTCCTACAGATCTCATTTATGTTGAAATAAGGACTGATCGATAGATTGCAGTAGCATTAGATTGGAGATAGATAATAGATATAGAAAAGAGTTGTGTATTTCCTGCCTACAATTTACATAGTTTAAATATTTTAATATTGAAAAAATATTTTCATATGCACTCCTTATCGGGAACTACTATTAGCACAAGTTAAACAAACCTAGTTTTTTAGAGGAAATTTAGAAATTAAAACTCCTTGAGATCAAGTCACAATAGAAGATAAAATAGATATAGGTATCTACTTTATAAAGCACTTTGTACTAAGATTTAGTCAATAAAAATTACTTTACCTTGATAAATTTTTTGAACATTTGATTCTTACTCAATAATTATAAATCGAAAATTACTTTTTATTACTACTTCCTGATGATTTCTCAAGTTCTGCATAAATATTAAAAATTGATTTTTATATGAATCATTTAAGACTTGAATAAGCTTTAACTAAAAATCGATCAACCATTCAGACACTTTTTTATGTTGACTTGCACTTCAAGTACAATTTCTGCGACTAACTGATTAATAATATTTATTATTCAAGGACATTTTAAAAAAAAACTAGCCAATCGTAGGGACTATTTTGGCTCGGTTGCGTGCAGGCTGAATTTACTCATATTAAACGATTATTATAGTTTTATTGCTGACGACATTTCATGGTGAACGGTATAAGACTTATTATATGAGCAGTTAAGAAAGATAACAGCCATTCAGCTGGGGAGAAAGAATATATTCAATTTTTTCAAAAGAAAATATTATATTGAGAGAGATTCTATTTTATATTCGGTGAAAAGGATTCTCAGATGGCGTGCATTTCGAGTATTAGAGAGCAGAAATCAACAAAAATCAATAACAATTTGCCGCCTGAATCAACTAATCGATCACAAAATAAATTATCAGTTACTGAAAGGTTAAAGAAACTCGTAATATTTAAATCGAGAAAACGTGGTCAGGAGAAAGGACGTCGTTTAGCCTCAATTCAGGAATTGGGTGAAAAAGTAGATATTAATATCTTTTTTGGGAGATTAGAAGAAAAGGGAGTGTTGGCAAAGTAGGTGGCAATATGTAATATTTTCTTGTCACACATTTTATGTGTGCACAACGAAATATTTTTCTCTTTTATATACAAGTGTATAAACCATATATATATATATTATATACGTATTCACGTATGTATTATAGATTGAGGCATGAGGGAACAATAATTATGTATGGAGTAAGGAGCAATCAATTGCAAATAATTTTAACCAGAAGTGTCGAGTCCTCTGTGCGCAATACACTTTTGGAGTCTAGCGGGTATTCTCAGGCGTGTTTGGATTACTTTATACGCTATGACTTTGTAAAATCTTTTAAATTCGAACAAGACTCTGGTTTCCTTTGTTCCAATGGTCATGGACTTGCGACAATTGGTTTTGTAATATATGATGGGAAACGCCACTACGGAGTCACAGTTAATCATGGTGCTCATATAAATCCGTCCCAAGCATTTTACGATCAAACTAGCAAATTTTGCAATAAACAGATTGGAGGTCACTTTTTCTCAGCTTTTAGGGTTTCACCTTTAGCTAATAATAATAATAATTATAATAATAATATATCGCTGCTCAATGATATTGAATCAGATCACCGTTCTAGAAATATATCTTCCGCATCAATCAGGACAAAGTCTTTACCATTAGTTAGTTTTACAACAGCTCCCGGTTACGTGCCTGTTCCAATGATTGAACAAGAAGTTTTCAGATCAATTAGTCAAGAGCATAGCATGGATTTTACAGTAATAGAACTAACAGAGTCATTAGTCGATTATAAGGAATCAACAATTCACTTTGAACCTATATCAGAAGGAACAAGTCTTTGGATTGATACATGGAACGGTCCTCACGAGTGTGTTGTTCATAGTGTGTCAGTGGCTGTTCAAATTGATAATAATAGTTGCTTTACTGACATGGTATTACTAAGGAATAATAATTCAGTGCAAAGAGGGGATTCGGGTTGTGTTTATATTCGCCAGAATCGTTTGTATTTAATACACCTGGGCAGAATAACCTACGAATTGGAAGAGAGATCGAAAAAATTTAGCTTTAATGTAGCTGTTCCTTTGAAGAACGAATGGGACTTGATGAAAAAAGCAATTATTTGTAGGAAAATTAAACTGGGGTTAGACTAAACAAAAAAAAAAACGAATTCATTCACTATAGAAAATGAAGACTCTCTAAGTACATTATAGGTCCTGCTGCTGCGTTTAGTTATTTTTTTATTTTTTATCAAAACACAACCAACTTTTTTTAATTTCTTACAAGTTTACATTTGTTTTTTTATTTTATTTTATATCCGTATATCTTACGTCATTCTAGTGCTTACCTCTCGTTACTAGTCGAATGACTGATAGTATTACACCGATAGCAGACTTACTTAGAAGAAGTTATCTGATCTTTCAATGGGCTTTATAATTTTTTTCTGGCTGCTTTATAGTATTTAATCTTTTCTTTGTATTTAGTAAATAAAATTTGTGATAAGATATTATTTTGTATTGATAAATGTACGTTGTAAAGGGGAGGAAATAAGAAAAAATTGTATGACTAAGAGAAATGTTGGCTATATAGAAGAGTTATCCATGAGGCAATATTTCACACTCTTTAGGTTCGTTTTGAGGCTTGGCTAAGTGGGGTTAAAAGTTCTCTTGTAAGTCGGCACGTAAAAGGTGGTGGGGTACGAATTGATTTCAGAGCTAACGAATATTTCATTTATAGACCTTAATAAGACGTATAGTGTAAACAAGTAAGAATATTGGAATTTATTCTTACTGAACTTGGAACTTTGTTCGAATTCTAATTAGTATCATTTGTTTGTTGAAGTGGAAATAAAATTCGAATCTTAATGAGTAAACAACTGCAAATGATTTTTCTTAATTTACAAGGTATCTATTCGCGCTGCAAATACGAAGAGATCTACTTACTGGCGTCATACCGTGCCAAGACCATACTGCCGTTCTCCTTGCTTCCTACATTGCACAAGGTTAGTGAAATTTAAAAACTTTAAATGCGTGCGGATGATCAAAAGAAGGAAAATGTTATTGACTAATGATAATATCATTCCAGCTGAATTGGGAGATTTCATTGAGGATGAATATGTCGATCATACGTACTTGAAAACGTTAAGGCTCCTTCCAAATCAAACGGATGATTTAGAAATTAAAATAATGGAACATCATAGAGAACATATGTTAGTAGTGTTTTTTATTTAAAAGCTTCTTGTTTAGTTAAGTGATTTCTATAAAAACTGATTGTTTACTTAAATAGAGGACAAACCCCACCTGATGCAGAATTCAATCTACTCGATACCGCCCGGAAAGTAGAGCTGTACGGAATTAAAATGCACCCCGCAAAGGTACTGGTAAGGCACACTTTATCGTGCATGCTGCAATTAATTTATCTATTGTTATTTTTCTTTCAATTGTCATACTTCTGTTGGCTTCTTTATTTTTCTCATAAAAACGAAATTTCCTTCAGAACATTTAGTACTACATTATCTCTATTTTCAGGACCACGAAGGAGTGTCACTTAACTTAGCCGTCGCTCATATGGGCGTTTTAGTCTTTCAAGGATATACGAAAATCAATACATTTTCATGGGCTAAAATCAGGAAATTGTCGTTCAAGCGCAAGAAGTTCTTAACTAAACTTCATCCCGAAGGCTACGTAAGTTCCTATTAGTGTCAAATTCTATTGTGGTTACTCTTTCTTCAATTTAACAAGGTTTTTCTCTCTCTTACACATGCGTACACTCTCTTTCTCTCACATCCCTATCTCTATCTGTCTATCTCATTTATGCGTTTATCTGTCAATCTATCTATCTATCTATCTTTTTCCTATTCTTAAAGCATGCATTACTTATTATTATTTGGTAAAGAAGAGAGTTTTTTATTTTAGAGTTTTTATCATTGAATATTTATCTAAAAAAAAATTGTCAATTTCCTGTTTATTATTCATATTCTCTATTTAAATATGACTTTCTTTACGTGACGATAGGCCGAGGTAACAAGGATGAGCATAAATGTTCTTATTATTTTATTCTTATTGGTGTTATATTTTTACCCATTAGAAAGAGCTTATTAAGCATGAAAATAAATTTGCTTATTATCTTATACCCCGAAGACACCTACAAATAATAATAGTTGCTATTATTAAGTTATACAGTATAGTCTTTTTTAGTAAGATTTAGCGTACACTCTTATTTAATTTGTCGTAGTTGTGTCAGTATTTCCCTACGAATTCATTATGGAAAAGATTGAAAAGAGAAATGCTTTTTTTGTTCGTTAAATAGGGTTATTATAAGGATACAGTCGAATTTTACTTTGACACAAGAAACGAATGTAAAAACTTCTGGAAGAAATGTATTGAACATCACGCCTTTTTCCGTTGTCATTCTGTAAAAAGATTAGCTAGAAATAAGACAAGAGTCGTCAGCAAAGGATCATCATTCAGGTAATGTTAACAGCAAAAATAATATATTAAGAATTATAAATAATAATAAAATATATTTTTAATAGATACTGCGGAAGGACTCAAAAACAATTGACAGAATTTGTCAGGGATCATTTTGTTAAGAGGTCAACATTTGAAAGGTGAATAAAATTTTTTTTCCATATAGATGTTAAGTAACTTAAATAGCGTTCTAGTTAAATATTATAAAAAGAAATAAATCGAAAAGCAACTGTATTTTGGTCGTTTATTGTAATTTAGTAAAAAAAAACAGAGTAAAAGCATCTAAATTTACGATATCAATATTTTTTGCATGCTATCTTTTGTCGAATGCACAGAAAGTAAGCATTATGTTGTAGTTGACTGAGTAATTGTTCACTTAAATGCTTTTATATGTACAGTATAGACATACAACTAATAGTATATATCTGATTATCTGATTCTCTTTTTCGTGCACTCTTGGTTTTCTGATTCGATACTATTTAATTTGCTAGTAGATGAGATGGCTTCCTAATCTTAGCTTAGTAGTTGTAAATTGTATCGGATTGTAGCTTTCAGAAAACAGTATTCATTCTTAGTTGATCAATTAATTATGAAGATTACAGGGCTGTTTGTTTGTTAAAACTGTTTTATTCATCGAGTGTTTTTACTTATTTAGATCAGCATCGCAGAGAACTATGGCTTCCGTTGGCAAAACGCCAACACCAAATACGGGAACATTGAACTCGAAGCATGAATTCCTTATGCATAATACGTCAAGTGGTTCACATACTCTTGAACGGGCACACACGATCGAAGATGACGGTTCTCCCAAACGATCTGACCGAGCTAGAAGCACGGAAAGACCGAATGAAAAAAAGAAGTCAGCTTTGGAGCAGCTAGAGAGGACAACAAAAGGTGCTTCGGACGATTTCAATTATGAGTATTATCGGTTAAGTTATGACGATAAAATAGCTAATAGTAATCGCGTTAACGGTGTGCGTAAAATTTGTGCCGGTACAAATGACAATGATGACGGCGTTTCGCGTGGTTCGTATCATTTGAGTGTTGAGTGTTCGTTGGATAAGAGGGACTCTTCCTTAGACGCACTTGACGATCATGCGCGATCCGAAAGTGACGTTGAGGAGTTGACTGTCGAAAAATCCGATTCCAATGAAAACGTAAAAAAGGTACAAGTTGTCTTAGAAGCTGATAGCTTCGATAGGGGTGGTGAAGATGAAGAAGAGCTAGGGAAAAATAAGGAAGCCGAAAACAATGATGAAAAAGAACTACCAGAGGAATCGAAGGAGGGAGCTGAAATGAAGGAAAATATCACAGAAGAAAGTGTTTCACAAGAAGAACAAGCAGAAAACATTGATGCTACTCAGGAAGGGGCAGATGATGAAGAAGAAGCCCTCAACGAGATTAATGCGAATAAGATTAAAGATCTGCTTAGCGAAACTCTCATAGACAGTGAGCACGAGGAAGATGAGATTAAAAATGAGACTGATGTTCTTAACGGAAACACCAATCTTGATAAGAACATTGCTGAAGAGCATTTAAATGAAGATATTCCATACTTTTTGTATAAGCGTAGCGCAGATAGATCTAGATCAGTCTCTCGTGAAGCCTCTACAGAACGACCTCGAATGTCACGGGAAGACAAGCGGTTGGAAATGGAGCAGATAAAAACATCTCTTAAGTCGAACAGAACCCGCAGGGATCAATCGCCCAGTTTAGTGATAGATTATAAGTCTTTACCCTCGAAGGACTCTTTTTCGTTTGTTGACGATACCGTCAGTCCTACAGAAGAAAAAAATCTAATCGATTTGATGAGAATTAGAGATAGCGGAAGACATGTAACTCTACCACTTGCTCCTGTAGTCGTCGCAACTCAGACCCTTCCGGTGGCCGAAAGCCTAGATATGGCTAATTATGATCCGCCAGCTCCTTTATTACCCTCTGTTCCTATTGTTGAAGAGAGTTCGGAGGAGCAGTCTTTAAGTGATACGCATTCGTCAGCTCCAACTGTTCGCGAGATAGAAGAAGATGAGAAGTCAGATAAAAGCGAGTTTATGCGATGCGATACGGTTGCAGAGACTGTTGCAAAATTTTTAGCTGATGAGCGAAATTTAGCTCCACCGTATCCGCCTCCACCAATTCCGTGTTTAGAAGAAAAGGAGAAAGAGGAATCGGAACCGGAAGAGATTGCAACAGCTGCTGATTTGCTCAGTCCCTCTTCTTCCAAATTAAATACTATACCTGCTATTGATGACGATGAAGAAGAACAAAGGTTTTCCGATTGTGATGTTATGACTGAAACAGTTTCATCATTTTTGGCTAAGCCATTAGATTTAGAGCTTCCACCTCCTCCACCTCCTCCACTCCTTTGTGACATAGATCTAGATGATGATTCTTTTAATTCATCGCCTAAACGAAAGAAATTAGTAAAATTTGCCGGTTCTAGCACAGATTCAAGTAGAACGGACCTGAGCGAGAGGCAGAGGAAAGGAATGAGTTCTGCTTCATCTGATACTTCAGAAAAAGAAGCAGAATCAAGCACAAGCGTATCATCCCCTTCTGATGCTTACGAAAAGGGTATACTTTTATCATCTGGAGCACCTAAAGCGTCGATGGAAGACTTGTCAGGCACAACAGATTCCGAAGACGGAATAGCAGCAAAGAATGATTTAGAAGATAATAATAGACAAGTGACTGATGTAAAATTGTCTTTGGGATTTTCAGAGTCAGAATTAGAGACGCTTGTAGAGGATTCATCGTATAGAGAACATCAATCAAATGCTGGGCATCCATACATGGAGAGATCTTCTTCAGATGAAGAGGAAGATACGTTGGGACCTTTACAAAGTGATGGTATAGAGAAAAAATTCGAGGACCTACTTGAGGCTCAACTAGCTGAGGATAGTTCAGAGAGTGATGAAAACCCAATAGCTGATATAGAGGAAGCGGCGGATATTTTAGATGCTGACGTCTTCAGAAATCCTTACAATGTTAAAGGAGATCAATACGATTTTGAAATGTCCCCAATTAAGACACAGGGTTCGATAAAATCTGATGCAGAATTATTTGACAGTAGTTCTAGCGATGGGGAGGAGGTAGGTAGAATGGAAAATGAGGAGAATAGAGATTTACTGGAAGCTCTTGAAAAGCTTGATCTACCTGAAACTGTGCATGAAGATGATGATAGGGGCATGGGAGAGGAATTTAAGGCGGAAGTAGTCGACTCTTCGTCAGCGGAGAGCGACTTTGTGGACGTAGCACAGATATTAAGAGAAAAGAATAAGTCTAGATCGTCCGCTGAAAGCGATCAACATGCAGAATCTAATACAGAAAATTAGTGAGGCTTTTTCCCTCTCATACTTCAGACTAAAAAAAAGGCTTATTGTTTTTTATGATCGTCTGTAAATAGGTATTTTTTTTTTGCCTTGGGTAAGGTGCACTGCCAAAACAAAAAAAAAGACGGGAGGATCAAGGGGATTTACACTAGAGTTAATTTTCTCAATTTTTATCTGCTCATTGTTTCCTGAAGAATTTATTTCGCTGTAATAGTATTTTATTTTGTTAAAAAGTATTAAAACTATAAAATCCTTTTCATATTTAGGTAAAAAAAATTGCACGCCTTGTTCTTGCTTTTGTTGCTTTTTGTTGCTTCACATAGTCGCTTCAAATTAGATAGATATACTTAATGATATTACTTCTCAAACAAAGGCTGATAATATTAGTTGAAATATTATTCTATTGCTAATTAGAAAAGCAAGAATAACAGAAAATAAGCCGCTAGTCATTGTCATTTGACGGATATTCATTTTCTGTTTCTGTTTGTCAACAGATGAATATTCTTAGTTTTAACAAAAACAAAAACATAAAAAGAAAAATGTCTCTTCTTTGATGTCACAAATTCTGCTTGCTCTTTATTTTGGTCTTGTGAACAGCCTTTGTTTTTTTTTTCTCTCTCTCTCTCTCTTATTTATATATAAGGCGGATGAAGATTGATTTTTTCTCTCTCTCCTTTTGTTAAGGGAAAAAACAAACAAAAATTTATAAAAGAGTATTGCTCTGAGCCCTTTTGGCTATAATTTTCATCCGCTTTGTTTGTTCAGATTGTAGTTGTTTTTTACTTAGAATAGTGGCTCTCACTAACAAGAATCTCTGACGCATATGCTCATAATCTGCTGCAGTATAATATTATAAATCGATCGTCTTTTTCGTGCAGAGACTTCTCATTCCAGCTATTTTTTTTAAAATATCGTCAAATTAATTATTAAGCAACTGTCTCATGTACATTATGTCTTTTTTGTTTATTATTTGGAATAAAGCTTATATCTCTCCATCTTTATGATATATGTAATATGTATATATATCTATACGAAATATATATGCATATGTATGCCCTATGTGTATTTATATACACTAAAAATCTATCCTGTAAATATAAGAAGTTTTGTGTATATATATAAAAGAATATATGTATGCATATATATTTTTATATTGAATGTATGTATGTATTTTATCAACGAATTGCGCGAAGAGGTCATCATTGTCATTTTTATCATCTCTGTCCATTCATCCTATATATATATATATATATATATGTAAATAATAGGAGGTTATATTAGGTTACAGTTAGATTAGAAAGCTTGTTGAATAATTTACACTTTAGTCAATTTATAATCTAAATAGCTGTTAGGTTTATTAAAATCTTTATAGGTAATTATTTATATAAAGCGAAAACGATATGAAAAAAAAAAGAAACTTTTTTTTCGTCTTGTGAATAGAGAATGATGAGAAATTTATCGAATTTGTAGTCTATTCATCTATCAAAAGGTGATTAGATTTGTTTCACAGATATTTATCGCTTTTCCTATTTAAGTAACTGTTATAAAACTAGAGTCAAATTCTCTCGAAGCCTTATAAAGGATCTGTAATTAGAGCTGTATATTAGCCGTTTTATGTAGGATACGAATATATTATAGGCTTCTAATTAAGCGACAAGTTTTAAGGGTCTCTCTTTCCTTCCAAAAAAATAAAAATATAGTTTAATTTACCTTTAAATGAAAATTTTCCAGCAAGTCTGTCGAATAATAATCACGCCCTTGCACAAGATGGCGTTCCACCTCAGCACCACCTACTCAATCCTCAGCAGTTTATGCTAGGAGACCGAAAATTTTCCGAGCCGGTAATGTTGGGAAGTGAGGAGGATGAGAGGAGAGAGTTAGCCCGGAGTCCTGAGATTGAAGATATTCCCGAAAAGATTGAACATATTAACTCTTTACCATCGAAAAACTTTTATATACAGTAAGTTCTTTTTATACTATATTTACTTTTTCTGGACAGAAAAGTTTTGTCAGAGCCGTCCCACTTCTCTGACTTCTAATCGACCGCATTATTTACCATACTGTCAGTTATAGCTGGGCCGTCTCGTAAATAAATAAACGATTAAACGAAAAACTTTTACCGCTTTCAGAATGCTCGAATTTTCTTTTCCATCTTTTATATAGTTTTTGAACGCCTTAAGGCATCATTTTTTGTTCGTCAACATGGATTAGACGGTCAGTGATTGGACGAGCATAATCTCTTTTCCTATCTTTTTTTGCATAGTATTTTTTTTTATTGGGCGACGGGATGAGCATTAATCTCCTTTAGGGCAACCCTCTGGAGAGTTTTTCTGCCATATTTTCTGCGCATCCCTTCTAGCTAACACATTTCCAAAAAACCAATCCCATTTGCTTTTCCTTCACAGATCGAGCCCCAGTTTGAAGAGAGTACAGAGTGACGTAGGACGTCCATTATTCACGAGTACACCTTATTCTGGAAACGCATCTGCTACCCATTCGGTAACGAGCGATTCTAAGCCACCGCCACCTCCCCCACCGTACGAAGAAGTTGAAAAAGATCCGTACTTGAAACGATTAGCTCGAGAAGAAACAATAACAACCAGATCAACAACGTCAGCCGCTTCAATAACTATTACAAGCGACGCTAGTGTTACCTCATCAAGGGGAATGACGGACGAGTCAGAGGAAGAGAGTCGGCGTAGACGCCTTCCCATCGATCGTTCCTACTTTATAGCAAAAGAATTACTTATGACAGAGCGTACTTATAAAAAAGATTTAGAAGTATTGACTGTGGTTTGTATATCTTGGAATAATTCTCCGTAAAGTGCGTACTTTATCTTCTAATCATTTTACATAGTTCCTACGAAACTCACTTAGTCGAGACGATGAAGACTTATTACCCCCATCTTTAGCCGATACACTGTTTTGCCGTATAGACCAGATATATGAATTTCATTGCGCTCTCCTTATTGAAATAGAACAAAGGGTAGCCCAATGGGAAGGAAAAAATGGACAACCTTCAGATCCGATTTTTCATAGGATTGGTGACATAATATTAAAAAATTGTACCTTCCTGCAATACTATACAGACTACTTGGAGCATCATGATGATATTTTAACTGAATTGGAATTAGCTTGCCGTAGGAATAAGAAATTCGAAGTCGCTATTCGCGAATTTGAAATGGAAAAAGTTTGCTATTTACCTTTGCATGCATTTTTGCTCAAACCGGTTCAAAGACTGCAACATTATTTAATTGTATTTAAAGGTAGATTTTATTGTTTTTTCTAATTACTTCAAAGGCGATTGAGATACATTAACAGATTCGTTTTTATTAATTTAAACAGAACTTGTTGATCATTACGACGACGAGCATATAGATAAAAAGGACTGCCAGATGTGTTTGTCAAAGATATCAAGTATTTTCCAACCGTATCAGGATCAGTTACGACATTTGGAGAATGTACAGAAATTAATTGAACTACAAAGAGAGATGACTGGCATTGATGGATTGGCTACGGCCAGCAGGGTAAGTATCTTTGATTAAGACGGTTTTAATAAACTCTTTCTTATTTAAAATTGCTCTTCTGTCTCGTCTTCTTTTGATATTCTATTTGGTTCTTCTCTCTTTTAGTTGATATTCTTGGTTTTCTCTGCACTTATCTTTTTTTGCTTTTTTTAAAATATCTTATTGGTTTGTTAACGAGACACTCTTTTCAGCAATTTGTCAGAGAAGGTTGTCTGCAAAAATTATCTAGAAAAGGCTATCAACAACGAATGTTCTTCTTGGTGAGTCTACTTATTGCCGATCTTAATTAACTAGGAGAATTTCTTTTAATGTATTCGTTCTAAATTTGTTGACAGTTTTCCGATATGCTAGTCTACGCTAGTAGAACGTCTACTCCCGTTCTACAATTTAAAGTTCACGGCCAATTACCCTTAAAAGGAATGAAAATAGAGGAAGCAGAAGAGCGAATGGGTATATCTAACAGTTTTACTATATACGGTGGAAGCAGAAGTTTATTAGTTGCGGCGGGGTGAGTGCTGCTTAATTATTTATTAGTTTTATTTTATTTGCTCATTACTCCTTTTTCTTTAACACATCATAGGTCGAAAGAAGAAAAGGACAAATGGTCCGAAGATCTGAAAAAATCGATAAACCAATCACAGCAACGCGAAGATGATAATTCAATAAGATATCCTAGTTTAAAAAGTAATAGTTCTTCGGATAACTTAGAGGAGAACCAAGATCACTTACCATTTCCCCTTCAAGATAAACAAGGTCAACACAGAGCTAATACTACGGTAAGTTTTCCATTAATTTTAGCTCTTATTCATTTCTTTATTTCTCTCTTCTATGTATTCCATGACAGATGCACGTTTGCTGGCACAGAAACTCTTCAGTTAGCATGACTGATTTACATATTGCTTATGCGGTAAGTTTACATACTTGGATAACATCACAAGCACTAAATATCCGGTCTTTTCATATAATTTCCAGAATCAATTAAGTGGCTACCTGCTGAGAAAATTTAAAAATTCCAACGGCTGGCAAAAACTTTGGGTTGTTTTCACTAATTTTTGCCTATTTTTCTATAAAAGCTTTCAGGTAAGGAGAGAAAAAAAAGTCAATTTATTTATCCATTGTAAAACAATATTAATCAACTTTACTACTTAATTATACGGTTGTTTTTTTTTCTCTTTCCCCTTTTCTATTAGGACGACTACCCTTTGGCAAGTTTACCTCTTATTGGGTATACGATTTGTGAACCGTCCGAGACAGATAATATTCAAAAAGATTATGTGTTTAAGCTGCAATTTAAAAATCACGTATATTTCTTCAGAGCTGAATCTCAATATACGTTTCATAGGTATGATATACAAAAGAAAAAATTTGTTTATTTTCTCTTCATTACCCCAACTAATTGCTTTTTTTTTTCCTTCTTCTTCTTCTTTTTCTACTTCTTTATTCTTCATTTTCTCACCTGAATCGTTGCTTTTCTTCAGATGGATGCAAGTAATTTTCAATTCAACTAGAAATACAAGTAGAAAGCGAATAGATGATGGTCACTAAACTGTTTGGATTACGAAACGAAGGATTTCAGTATACGAAATAATTTACGAAAAGAAATATGAAAAGATAAAAAGCTACTTTTTTTTTGGGTGCTCATGCCTTGGCATACTTTTATTTTCTCTTTATTTTTGCACTTTCGTACTTCCATACCAGAATATTAATGCTTATATATATATATATATATATATATATATATATATATATATATATATATAAAACTTATGCATATTCATTATCCACACCTTTACAAATATATATCACATATAATATATATATATATATATGTATTTGTATATTTTTTAATGCAAGGAGCTATACTAATGGTTCAAAACAATTGTATTTTACATATTTGTATGACCTCATTGATTTTTAGAAGTTTGGTTGTGAAACTTTCCGACAGGTGTGAAAATAGTAGTATTTTTTCTATATGCGCTGTATATTTTGTAGTCAAAGGAAAAGAACAGAAAAAAAAACCGTTTAAGAGAATCTGTGTAATTGTTTTCTTCGTCTCTTTTTCGGTTTTGTTGTTAAAAAGAAAGTAAAACTAAAGATATTTTAAATATACCAATACTATCGTAAAAACTGATCTGTTACTTTCTATTTCTTTTTCTCTCTCTCTTTCTCTCTCTCTCTCTATCTATCTCTCTCTCTCCTTCTTCCTCACTTTCTTCTTATATATCTCTGCAATTTGTTATACAAAATACACACCCGCACATTATACGTTTTACCTATATTGTGGTCACTTTTGCAGAAACCTTAAGGTATGAGAACAATGGATATTTGATCCACGGCTTTTTTTATGATAGACTCCTCATGTCTATTTTTAACGTAAAAGTTTTTAAAGTCTTTTCTTGAACGTATACCAAGAAGGTTTTTATTTAATATTATAACATTCAATGGAGAATACTTAATACTTCTAAACTGTTAGGTGAGGAGTGTTTTTTCTTGCCTAGTCTGGCGTTATATTGACAGAAAGATAAGTAACTTATAGATGAATTTAAAATAAAGTTGTTTTAATATAAAACATTCTTTGCAAAGGGCTGCAATTAGAAGGATTTTCCTTAATGAGAAGGAATACATCATTCACTTTTTAAAACAAAGTGTTGTACCATCTCCAATGTTCAAGAGAGAAATGTTTATACGGTTATCAGATTTTAGAAATTTGTTAAAATTATTCATAAAATAGCATAATCTTTCTGTCTCCGTTTGACTATCTTCGTTTATTTCTCCATTTTCGGCTTTTATGACCATTCCGTTCCAAAGTGTATTGTCAATTGCAATAACGCCATTCTGTCTGACCAGTTGCAAACATAAGTTGTAGTAGTTTAGATAATTGAGCTTATCAGCATCGATAAAAGCAAAGTCAAATGTTTCACGTCCTCCATTTTCTATCAATTTCTCTATTTCAAGGATAAAAGGGATTAATAATGATATATAGCGTATTACTTCAATAAAAATTAGAGATTATGATACCTAAAGTCTCTAACGCTGGCGCTAGACGTAAATCTATCTTGTGGTCAACGCCTGCAGCTTTCCAAAAGCGTCGACCTATTTTAGTATATTCCTCTGAAACATCTAAGGCAATTACTTTTCCATCTTCCGGAAGTGCCTATTGAGAGTAAATCTTCTTTATAATATACATTACATTTATACGAGCATGTTTTGTAAAAATCAATTACCGAGGCAATAGTTAGAGCAGAATAACCAGTAAAAACACCAATATCCAGAGTCTTCTTAGCTTGTATAGCTGTACACAAATTGGCAAGGAGCTGTAGCTCTTCGGGACATCCGAGCATATTTTTGGACGGTTGTTTCAAGGTTTCCTGGTAGAAGATTAGTTATATTTAGTTAAAGTTGTATAGTTAGTTTCTCTCTTAAATGTCTGTTTTACCAAAATTAATTCTTCCTGAACCCTTGTTAAACGAACCGAGTTGTTAACAGTGTATTTTTTCAGCGGATCAGAAGTCACAAAAGCTTTAAATTCAACTTCCTATAAATAGAATATAACGAAAGATGAATAGTCATAATTTCTTCTTTCCTAGAATATTGAAAATCGAAAAGAATAACTTGAATTACTTTAAGCGAATCATCTATCTCGACGCCGTCAAACATTGTAGTCTATCTTTGAAGTTTTTAAAGACACTATCTGCATTCGAACCACTTGTACGACTGAGCTGTACTCGTTGTCATTCGTGTCGTTTAAAGAAGTTTTCATGCAGATTTTATGATATATATTGAAAAAATATTTTCCATAAAAGGGAATTTTATTCTTATAATTTGTATTGTTAAGATGAATGGCTTTAAAGATAAGAGGTTGAATAAACTGAGTAAGGGGTGGCAGAGGGAGGCGGAAGGGGGAGGGAGTAAACTAATTTGGTTTCTGTTTCTTTAGACTCTGCAAGATAAATGTTATTCGTTCCAGTTTTAGTTTAAAATGGCTCTACTAAGCTTTGAGCTGGAAGAAAAAAGAATAAATCGATAGGATTATCCTTCTTAAGTTTATTATTTAAATCGCCAACGTGAAAAGCCAGATATAATATTTTACAGTTGGATTTAATTAAAACTTAGCCGAGTGATAATAAGGTATTCTTTCTTTATAGCCAATCGCTTTGACATATAATATTTATAGTCTAACAAAGACTTATGTAGAGAGAAATATTTCTTTGTTATATGATTTTTATACGTTTATAACATTATAGTAAATAGTATAGTTTTGTTTGGGTGTATTATCTGAAAAGTGGGTCAACTGAAACTTCTTCCATGTCTTCTTCTCTCGTCCCACTCTTCGATTATTTTAAGATAACTACCTCTCTGCTGAATTCTCAAATCTCTGCTGACAACGAAAAAGTTTATCTTCTTTAAAATGCTTTTATTCATATTTAGATAATCTTAATTTCGTCTTTTTAATTTTCTTATTATTTATTTCCTTTATTAGTTTCATTATAATAAAAATACAATCGACCTGTTCGAATAGGAAAATTTTCTTCTTATCTAGAAGAGAGAAACTTGTTAAACCCGTGGGAGAATCTTTGATGTCAGTCTCTTCTTATTGATATTCTTATCTTCTAAGAGTTTAGAGTGGATAGCTTATGATACTCTATTAGATATAATTAAATTTTTCAATAAAAACTGACTGTAGACAAAATTAACCGCCGTTGAAATTGAGGTTTGTTGTATAAAATGTATTGCATATGCACTAAAAATGAAATATATACAGTATACATATGTACATATATAGAAACAGAAATAATTAAGCAGTCTCAAAATAGAAAATAACTTAAAAAACAAAAGGAGAAACACGTCAAAGTCTTAAAAGGAGAACAGGCCTTTGGCAATCACCTGCTATTTCTTTGTATAGTTTTTCTAAACGCTAAAGAGTATCAATAATTCTCTTATTTGAATAGGAATGGGTGGAGAGAAAAGGTGGAGAAAGTTAGAGAGAGAGAGAGAGAGAGAAGCAGACAGAGAGGAATCGAAAAATCAGGATATAGAGACAGAGTACTCTGCACTTGGGGAAAAAACTTGTAAAATGATATTGTAAAAATGTTGGATAAAGATGTTTAGCGTAAATAGCGGAGGACCTACTTTACCGATAAAAGATTAGCGATAACACAACCAAGATAATAAAAGTAGCGAAGTAAAAGAGATAACATTATTTCATCAAAGAAAAGGGTTAAGCTGCTATTCCGCTTATCTATCCCTCTATCTATCAATTTATCTTTTGCGGTATGACCCTTCCCTCTATCCTTCTGGCTCTTACGCATATTATATATACAAAGTATATATAACTATATGGAACAAGTACATGCATTTTCCGAAATAATGACAAGTAATTATGCTTTGTTGATACTAGTGTAAAAAAATTAAAGGAAAAGCTAAGGTTTTATTATTCAATTAAGTACTCTATTTTTGGTATGAAGAAATATGTACTCTATCATTTTCCCCTCTGGAAAAAAAGACGAAAATAGGGCGATTCTTTCAATAAGATTCTTTGGAACCGTATATACAATTTCCTTACATCCACTAAATATTTCAATACAACAAACCTATTATGTTGTCTTCCTTAAATATCATCTACTCTTTCATTTATAAAGTATTTATATTCTTCTCATTAATAAATCACAATTATTAACGTTGTAATTACGGCTCAATAGAAAGTATAGTAGAGCCATCTAGTATATAAATAGTTCTGTAATATGTCTAATTTATGTTAAAAGAGCGAGAGAGAGAGAGAGAGGGACAAATATATCTTTATATATACTATGAATTTTATCAATACTAAAGGTTTTAGCCTTCATTCTCCCACCTCCCACCCATTCTCCCATCCCTTTAGAAAAAAGCAACCGGTTTAGAAAGTTATCCCCAACTATTGTCAGTCATAGATTCCAAAAGAAAAAACACTCTTCCGTCCAATAAAATATACACTATGTAATTGAATTTTTGATGAAAGAAGAGATAGCTTCCCTATCAAATTTTCTACTTTGCTGTATGACTGAGACGTAATACAGAACATCATTATAAATAAAAGAATTGTGGAAGATGGATAAGAAAGGGGAAAAGAGTATAAAATACAATTAAAAAACTTGACTAACCTTATCTATTTATCAATACATTTGTGTGAGTTTATATGTTATCTTATCAGAAGGTTTTATATACAAATGTAAAAATAAAACACGAATCGTTAATTGGAAATTTTTATCATTGATAGCAATAAATTTTGTAAAATTTCGACGATTATTCATTTATTAAGCAATCATTTTTTAAAACAGAGTGTTGTTCCATCTCCAATATTTAGGAAAGATATTTCAATACGATCATCCTTTGATAGAAATTCATTCAAGTCATGAATTATTATTGCCGATATTTCTTCAGGATCTTTTGTTTCCCTACTAATTTTACCTTCTAAAACATCTACAACTGTTCCACTCCAGAGGGTCTGTTGTTTAATAATTTCTTTGCATATAGTTATTATTATTATATTAATATGCAAATACAAACGTTATCAACGGCAATAAATCCACCTGGCCTTATTAATTTTAAACATAATTCGTAATAAGTCTGATAATTGAGTTTATCAGCATCAATGAAAGCAAAGTCGAATGTACCAGTTTGCCCATCTTCAATTAATTTTTCTATGAATAATTAGAGGATTACATATAATGTTATTAATATATGTATATTATATAAAAGTAAAGTTATCATATAAACCTAAGGTCTCAGTGGCAGGAGCCAAACGTAAATCGATTTTTTTATCTACGCCAGCTGCCTTCCAGAATGGCTTTCCAACATTTGTAAACTCTTCGGAAACATCGCAAGCTATCACTTTACCATCTTCTGGTAGAGCCTGAAATAAGAGATTTAAATGCTAGACAATCTGAAAAAAGAATACGAATTTAAACCATAGCAATTGTTAATGCCGAGTATCCTGTAAATACACCAAGATCCAAAGTCTTCTTTGCTCCAATTACCCTGCACAAATTGGCCAATAGCTGAAGTTCATCTGGACTACTCAACATAACAGCTCGGGTTTGTTTCATAGTTTCCTAATAGAACACAAAAAATCGATAATTATTAATAATTCATCACTTTCTATTCAAAAAATTGACTATTCAATCATTGTTATACCTTGATTAAACTTTCTTGAACGTCGGTTATACGTAGCGAATGCTTAACAATATACTGTTTACAAGGATCTCTTGTTGAATACGCCTTCGAACTAGTCTTTCAAACGAATATAATATGGAATGGAGATTCAATTAATTCATGTTTTTTGAATTCTATACATTTTTAAATGAGCTAATTAATCGAATATTAATTTACCGTTGACTTCTTGTTTAGGTTTATAATAGCGTCCGCCGACATTTTGATCAGTTCAATTGAATATCTTTTCACTACCAAGCAAAGAGAGAAAAAATGGCTTGCTCAAGGCACTTATATGTCCTCATGGTGCGCCATCTACAATCTATTTTAAATATATAAATATATATATATATATATATACGTGTGTATAAAATGCTTATCCGCTAGATGGACTATACGGATTGACTACTGTCATCCTTTGATACGGGTGACGATCTAGAACGGGTGAACTTTGGCGATGGATCAATACTATTGTCGTAAGAGGGCGGTTCGTCGGCTCTAGACAACGGTCTACTGATAGCCATAGGTACACGTATAACAGGAATAGGTAGGGATTGGTCATTTGATCGATCAACTTCTACGTTTCTCTCTCTTTCATTCGCGTCTAGACGCCTTTGCCGCCGTCTCCTTGCAGACAAACAACTTACAATGAACAGCGGATATTTTTCAACGAATAGCATAGATAATAGAGCGACGACAACGAGGCTCAAACAACCAGATAAAATATATACACCCCAATAGAGATATTGTTTAAAATTATTGTTTATATCTTCCAATTCTTCACAACATCCAGCATCGTTTTTACGGAAGTTTGCAATTGGATTAGGATTAACACAACACATTGTTCTACTAGCTTTAGAATCTTTAGACTCAGGGCATCTTTTTACTAAGAATTGTCTTTTATCCTTTTTATAGGGGTTAAGCTTTTCACTTAGCTCTTCCGTTATTCTATCATAAGTGGTCACCGAACTATATAAACGATTAATACAAATATCTCTTAGATATTTCTCGGAATGTTCGTAGCAGCCTTGAATGATCTTCTTTGATTTAAAATGTTTACGAAATATACAGAAATAATTCTTCTTTATCTTAAAATTATGTTCATTCATCCCACTTGAATAAATATATTGAAATAGTAAGAAAGTTAATTTAATCCCTAGCATATTTTTAACGTTTTCAATGTTTTTGAATAATATACATAAAGATATTTTTCATATTTATATTATTACGTAATTTTTGTCTTTATTCAATTCATAATAAAAACTATATATATATATATATATATAAATAAACATAGAATGTTTTCTTAGAATTCTTCCTTTTCTTCTTAAAATAAGGTAAAAAAACGTCTCTTTCTTTTCCTTTTATTGTTTTTTTTCTCTTTTTTTTACCAGTTTTCCCTTTAAAAATTATTTTTCTCTTTTTCTATTTAAACAAATGATTAAGTTGTTCTTGTCCTCTTCCTGTTTCTCTTCTTTTCCCTCATCCTCCTCCTCTTCTTCTTCTTTAGATCATAGTTATATTTTATATTTATTTTTCACTTAACTAACTAAAAATAGATTATCACTGTTTCGCTTGGTTAACTTTTTTTCTTTGTCTTTCCAATATTGCGTGCAACTTCCGGTAAATATTTTTCATGTTCAAGTGCTGTTCAAAAACATACGTGTTTTAACAATGCCAAAAATTGCTCTTAACGACACTATTAACACGATTTAAATGTATAATAAAGAAAAAGTAATGCTTTTTTATAGAAAGAGAAAGAAATGAAGGAATTATTTAAATCAGTATAATTGGTTTCCATAGTAACAAAAACTAAAAGGTGTTGAATATTTAAATTAATAGATTAGATAGAGAAAGATAAGAATGTAAAAAGTGTGAAATCTAGCAGATGTAATTATCTATTTATATACAGTGCATATATATATATATAACTATATAGAGATACAGAGAAAGAAAGAAAGAAGGGCGGAAGAGAAAGAGAGTATAGATAAGATTAGCAGAACAGTAATTAGACACGAATATAAAGACTATTTATATATAAATATATATTTATATGAATATGCAGTTGTATTATTAACTTACCTTTGAAAGTTATATTCATCATAATTCAATATATAAATTGCTATTTACAAATATTGATGGACGGGAATGATAAGAGAGTAGTCGACTGATTGTTGACTAATACTAATATTTAACTAGATTATATAGAATATATACATTACTAACGCATAATTAAAGAGATTATATACAAATTATACAGTAAATCATTGTCATCTAATAAAAATGATTTGCTTCGAAAGTTAATTTCCCGCTGCTTTTTATATGACTGGGTAGAATTTTGCATATAGCGCATGCGCATTTCTCTCTAATGATTTTCAACTGGAGATTTAAATAGATTTAGAGAAATGATTAATTTAGAAACAATGTCCGAAAGTCGACTAAATCTAACAAAGATGTAATCCTATTACATAATTATATTACGTGACTGCCAATCTACGCTTTTACGGATGAAATATTCCATACAGACAACATTTCTTACGCTCTATAGGATTTGTTTTCGTTAAAAGAGTTAATGTTTATTTGCCCTTTTAATATACTGAATATGACTGTATTACATATATAAATAAAAGTTTATGTTGCATTGTTTATCTTTTAAATATTTACACTGTGTGGATAGTTTGTCATCTAATAAATTACTCATTAAAAACTGGAGATGATTTTTGCAACTTACAAGTAAAAAAGTTAAAACTAATAAACGAGAGGAACAATGAGAGCTGGTTTGGTAATCAAAAGGACTAGTTGTAGGTAGCTTCGTGTGATCATTTTCCAGACGCGTGCGGTCGTTCTCTTTACCGCTCTGGCCACATCAAACGTTCGTATCATTATAATAATTACAAGGATAGACGTTGATTAGCCCTGGTATATAAATTTTCCATTGAAAACTATTTTCAAACCTTTATATTAACTAATGAATTTCGGTCATCATTAAAAACAATGACGTAATTTTCAGTTAATAATAATGAATGCTTAGTGCAGTTTGCATATATAATGTATATACATATATATATATATATATATGCTGTATTTGTATGTTATTCACTGTACAATACTATTTACAGAATATAATGTTGTTAGGAAAAGAAAATAAGTCAAGTCTTAATACAATTAGGATATAAATTGATTATCAAATTCTTCCAAAGTTATTTTTCTCTTTTTGAGTTTTTTTAACTGTTTAAAATCATCATTTAATTCATCAACTTCCGTTTCATCTAATTTTCTTTTCCTTTTCTTCTCCTTTTCCTCTTTTCTTTTTAATTTTTTTATCTTTTTCTCCTTTTTCTTTGACCAAGCTTCAGTCTTTTCATTTTTTATCTTCTTCTTAGTTTTTTGAGTTCCATTTAGCAATCTAGTTTGTCTTGCTTTTTCCCTGAGTTTATCTTTAAATTTAATAGATTGATAATCCATTTCGACAGGTTCAAAGTTTACGACAGTTGTCTTCCTTAGCTCAGGCATTGATGGTAGATGTAAAAGGCCAAAACTATAAGCCAATCCGCCAAAATCTAATTCGTTTACATTAAAGATAACGTTACATTCGTGTTTACTATAAGCCCTAACAAAGGATACGTAAGCCCTTATCGCTCTTTCGTAAATGGCTCTATCAGCTTTTGAGAATTTTCTAACTTTATTTAATAAGTTTACAGCTTCTATGCAATCTTGTCTCTCTAATTCAACTTTTTGGTTAATCTTTAGGAATTTAATATAGCTCTCTTCCGAAGGAAGTAATAGAATTAGAGACGAACCGTAATTCCCTATTCTGGCAGTTCTTCCCGCTCTGTGAATAAAATTTGAAGCACTTGTAGGAGGATCGTATTGAATGACCCAATCAATTTTCGGTATGTCGACTCCTCTGGCCATAACATCGGTACATAAGAGAACAGCGCTAACCTCTTTTCCAAATTGTTCAAAAGAGTTAAATCTATTACCTTTTTTACTATGAATAGATAAAATTTTTTGCTTCGGTAATAGATGTTGTATAAGTGGATAAAAGTAATCAACTGCAGCACAAGTACTAAAAAAGACTAGTATTTTACTCTTGGCGTGCATCTTTAATAAAGCTATAAGTTGATTGAATTTCTTACTAGCATCAACTAGACAATAATAGTTCGATAGAGTATCTGGAACGTTCTCTTTTGAGTGTTTTTCAGTTACTTTAATTTGTACGGGATTCCTTAAACCAGCCCTAATTAAATCTTCTACTTGTTTAGTCTGAGTTGCGGAGAATAAGCCAGTTCTTCTTTGTTTCGGTAAATATTCTAAAATAGTATTTATGGAGACCTCGAAGCCCATTTCCAATAATCTATCAGCCTCGTCTAAAATTAATATTTCAGCAGCTTTAACGCTTGATCTTAATCCTTCGATTTGTTTAAACAGTTCAATAAAGCGTCCCGGAGTAACAATTAGTATATTTCCGCCGTTTTCGCTAAAATCCTTTATATTCTTCTCGGTTGAGGTGCCACCAACAAAGAGTAGTTTTGAAAATGGTGCATATTTCAGGAATATCTCTAGAACATTTGATATTTGAATAGCTAATTCACGCGTAGGAGTTATTATAATTGCTGGTACATCTTTCTTTCGAATTTCATTCTTAATTCGTAATAATTTCTCTATAATGGGAATAACAAATGCTAAAGTTTTCCCGCTACCAGTAACTGCTTCTACTGCAACATCTTTATTTTGTAAAAATAAGGGTATACAAGAAGCCTGAACGGGTGTCATCTGTTTAAACTTTAATTCTTTCAGAGCTGATCTCGTCTCCGGAGATAAATTCAAGTTTTTCCACTGCAAATTCATGTTTGGAACACGTGCTTTCGCAAATGAAAAATATTAAGTGTCAAGGTTAAATATATTTTAGTGTGGTATAGTGGTCCAAGCGGTCTTTTTAGGGGGATATAAAATTTCGATAACGGAACCCGTGCGGCGGACGCCCTATGTAAAATTAAGCAGTCAGAACGATTTTTCTTTAGAGGAAGACTAAATTGTCGTTCCTTTTGTTGTTTACATTGTTAATTTTTTTTTCTAGAAGTTGATACTGATTTTAAACATCAAGTGAGAGATGATTATTAATGATAAACAATCGAGATAAGTGAGATTTACTGAAATCACTGGAAGATATTATTTTAATTAAGTGAACGGTAATAAGGAAGAAGACTGGTTTTTTTTTACTTTACAACAAATAAACCGCAAATCTATTAGTCATTTTTGAAAAACGAGTATGCAACCGGCAACACCCTCTGCACCAGTTCCTTATGATCAGATTGATTTATTCGCTGAACCTCCGGCCTATTCGACTTTACCACAAACACCCCGTAAGTATCAGTGTTGATTAATACATCATTATTTGAAATACGATTAGTTTATTGTTCTTTTGCAATATAGCACCATATACACCAAGTGTTGGTCTAGAAAGTAGAGGATCGAAACTATATTTTGCGGACTTTTGTCCTAATGTTGTCTCCAAAACGATTTTTCAACCAAGAAGATATGAAGATTTAGAGTTAGTATACTTTAAAAAGAAAAAGGAGACTTTTCTTACTCTCTTTCCATATATATATAGAAATAATTACAATTTTGTTACTTATATTTATATAGGATGATATTGAAAAGAGTAAATAACTGGCTAAAGATGCACGAAGGTAAATAGTATGCAAATATACAAACATACGTTGTATACTGTGTATAAATATATAAATAACTTTTTTATTATTAAAGATGTGAGAATTGTTTCATGCGAAAGTATTACATGGACTGGCTTAAAGTTTAATAAGATAGTTTCTGATAATTCGTCGTTTCTAACGAATATGTCAGCTGGTAAGAGAACAAAATGTTTAAGAGGCTTAAGGCTTTGGTACTTAAGAAGCATTTTTCCAAATCGACAAATGACGCCAGAGTGAGTAACAATTCTATATTCAATAATTTGTAATATATACTACTTGTTTCTATCAAGTTTAGCTTATTAAACATTTCTACTTTGCTTAAATATCAAAAATCTACAGCGTTATAAACGAATAATTAGACGTTTTGTAATTGACTTTTAATCTATATGGTCTAGAGGGTGGAATGTGAAAAACCGTTAAAAATCAAAAATGAAAGAGATGAAACGAAATAGTAGAAAGCCTATAAATCAATATCATTAAAAATCATATACACGGAGGCATGTAAAAGAAAAAACATAAGCGCCTAGGCAGAATCACATTACTGAAGTATAGAAATATCTATTATCTATTATTATAAAGATCTTTAATACGTTCTATATGATGTATTGTTGTCTATATGTACATATACAACAGGCATATACTTATATCCTTGTATACGTATTAGTATTAAGTACACTGATCGAAATCAATAGGCTTAATATTATAATTTATCTTAATGTATCTTAATGATTTGAAAACTTATAAAATCATAGTTTAACTGCCATTTTCATCAATTTATTAATATTTTTAGTTTATATGCTATCGCTCTTTCAAATATAATAAGACCATTTAAAAACAACAACAACAAGCAACAACAATATTGTATAACGGAAATTGCATACTTTTCATAATTAAAAGGCAAAAATTTATATTAGAATTTATTGTTCGGTAAATTATATCAAATATGGATTGTAGATAAATTTAAAAATATAATGATTGATTACTATCTAATTGATCAATTGATTAATCAGTTCCTTTACTATTTTCAGATCCTGTCAATTGGAAATTAAGACATTTCTTCCCTTAAAACGTGAAACGTTAAACAAGCTTTTTCATCGTGTCAATGATATTATCTCTTCGGAAGGCCTACCTGGAAGAATTCTAAATATAGAAACAATTTGGGGTAAATTTCTTAATATATCTAAGAACAATGAAAGTAATAAAAGATTAGGAAGAAATATAAGCACAAAGATGTTTAACATTTAATTAATCGACTAATTTGTTTAATTTGCACTAACGCCTTTGTAAATATCAGTTAGCATATACAGTGTATAATTGCAGAAATATATTAAATAATAGGTTTATATATAATCTTTAGAACATTCGCCATTTTAAGTTTTTCTATTGTTAGAATGAATATAGTTTGTACTTTTCTTTTTCTTTTTGAAATCAAAAGGAAGAACTTAAGACAATGAACTATATAGCATTTAAATTACTTTTCCCTAATGGGCATATTGTTTCTTTCTAGTATAGATAATATAAAAATCTTATTGCAATTATACGATAGTAATCTTAGTTATTCATTTTATTTTGAGACGGGTAAATACAAACCATGTTTGCATAAAAATATAATGAATAACTGTTTACTTAATCTATTTACAAATATCTGGCATATTCAGTTTATTGTAATGTATTAAATGATAATCAATAGCTACATATATGTATATATATATATATATATTCGTCAATACCAAAATAGAACAAACATTTCTATGTACAGTTACATAAACATTATGTTTAACAACTAAACTCTTATAAAGATTTTCTTTCTTTCTTTCTCTTCTCCTTATGCCTCCTCATCCATCGTTCTCTTCACCTATCTAACTACTTTACTATTCGTTAGCTAAACAAAGCGAAAGTGGAAAATACAAGCCAAATTTGGTTGAACCAAATCTCAGTTATTGGAAAGTTGCTCCGGATGAAACTAAAACAATTATTATTTGCCTTCGTCTACATATATTGAAAAATGAAAATTTTGAATATCCAGAATCAATTGGTTATCAAGACTTTTTACCAAAATTTGGCTTTCAGCCACAAACAGAAATCGATAGCTACGATACTTTCCGGGAAACTTTTGAGGAGGCTGCGAAATGGATGGCTCAACAGCAAGGTGTCAAATTTGTCAATGTTCAAAGCATGCCAGTTAAGATGAAAAAGAGAGGAGCTTTTGAAGAAAGGTGTAAATTTACAGAACATTTGTGCGCAACGGACAGAATGAATGTCTTAAAGGGTTTTAATAGAACAACTCATTATCTGAGAATAGTTAGATTATTCTATACAGTTCCAAGAACTAGTGATATAAGTTATTCGCCCCCAATGGCTAGTATTACTTTTCGGACTTTTACTCCACTTCAAGTGGTTGCAGCCAGCTCAAGGCAACCACCTCAATTTGAGAATACGAGACAAGTTGTTGAAAGAATTAATAACTGGTTAGGTATGACAGGTAAAAGATTTTATTATTGTTTAATTGTAGAAGAAAGAGTTAATTTTAATCTCGTATATTATCGTTATTAATACTAAAGGTGCCAGAATATTCCATGTTGAAACTGTTGCTGTTAAAAGTCAAGGTATTGGCAGCGATGAAACATATTTTCAAAGAAATTCCAATAACCCAGGTCGAGAAAGATGGCTTTATCATATACGGTAAGTAAACCAACTCTTCGTTGTAAGGGAACTTTTATTTATATCCGATAGAGGTCTCCGCTGTATATAAATATATATTTGAAGTATATATAGGTTGTATCTAATGGTATGTAGATATATATATATACCAATCAACTAAACATTCACGCAACCTTTTTATATTAATACTATAAAATGTCATTAAAATGCCAACAAAAGTGATTTTATTATTATGTAATTATATTTGTTTTATTTTTGAAATAGTTTGAATATTACACTTAACGAATTACTTTTTATTATCTATATTTATATATTAAGTTATTTACAAAGTATACGTTTTATATAGATTAATACATTGTACAGTATATATATATATACATTTATACGATTGTCTATTTTTGATGATGGAATATTCAATTCAATTAGTTCACTTTAAAGAGTATTAATTGTGAAATATTTATATGAAAACGGATTAATAATCACTTTTTTTCCCCATTTTTTAGGCTCTATTTAGATGGTGAATATACAGAGCATCATGGAGCTATAGCTGTAATAAATCCAACTGGAAATATCGTTCCATCTATATAAAAATGCATAATATATATGTACTGTGTATATATATTTTACACAAAATTTATTGTACTATTTCTAGTCAAAGGAATGCTAATCCATTTAGTTATTCGATATGTTATACTTATGAATATTTCCTGCACTTATCATTTTCTGTAGAAGTGCTTTTATAATAACTATTACTTTTCTCTCATTTCTCTTTTTTGATCTGTTCAAGTATTAGTTTCATTGTATTATTATGTATTTTTTACTTTTCTCTGGTTTATGAGTTTTGTTTTTTTCATTTTGTTATTTTTTTACCGCTAATCCTTTTTCTTTAGGATTAATATTTATCTTTTATTATCCAAAGCATTTTCCCAAATTCTAGATTCTACTTACCTTTTCCCAATGATAGAGACGGCAAGAAAATTTAGATTTTACAATTAAAAAACTATGTTTACATATTTTGTTTTATTATCACAATTTTATTCCTGCATTTATTTAGTTTCATTCTTGATGTCGATTTTTATGAATACTCATTAGCATGTTTTATATTGCTTTTATTATTATAATTTCTTGCCTCATCTAACCCTTTTAAATGACTATCAACCTCATCTGCTTTATTTTTTAAACCTATTACTCTGAAAAGACTTAATCTTTCATCCCATTTAGCTTCTTCTACTTACCCCTCCTCTTTTTTTTTTCTATAGTACTGTTCTCCTCCCTCTCTCTCTCCTCCTCCTCCCCCCCACAATGCTTTTAACAATGATAATAATAGAATGTGCATTATTGTTCTTTACTGAGAGAAAACTTTACCTAAAATTTTTTATATTTTATTATTCTATTGGTGTTTTTTATCAATTTGCTTTTTTTACACATTGGTTTAGACAACTATGAACTTGCACCTTCATGCAAGATATTTCTATTGACTTGTTTACGTAGGTTGCTTTTTCTAGTATTAGTTTTATTTTCTGTGTAATAAAAATACAAATAAAGAACCTTTGATATACAGTATAAACTAATATGTTTTGATGTTTGTCCTTAGCTCTTTATATATAATTGCAAAAATTGTAACAATTGAATAAAATAATAAATTGAATGATTGAAAGAAAGGAAGATAGACTAGGAAATGAGAGCTATTAAAGAATCTAAAAGATTGAGAGACTTCAATACATTTAGTGACGTGTAGCGACGCGTAAATATTGTTCATGCTTGCCTGAAAGAGTATAAACTGATCGAGACTTTAGAAATGATTGGATTTTGTTGAATAATAATGCAGTTTGATTGTTGAAAGTAATTATTTTACTATAAATCGTACGCATGGTTTCCCTGCAATTTTGATGCTTAGAACGGACGACATATGTTGAACAGAGAAAAAGATGTTCATTACTTAAAAATTTCACACATTCTTAGAGGGTCAAGCGTGAAAAATTTTACTAATTTAAAGCGGAAGTTAACCTATTAGTCGAATTAGATGGGATAACAATTCGGATTCCAATCGTATCCTAGAAAGCTCCAATAGCGTGTAGCTTCGCTCCCGCAAAGCCCAACAGGTGCGAATTAGGAATGCGTAGTCAAGGAGATCAAATGTTGTCGATTGCAGAATGTGGCCCCTGTATGTTGCAGTCTGTTCATATCCATTGTTGAACACTTCATTGAAAGTGGAGCGACAACCAACTCTTGAGTATGTTCCACTTCTTACAAGAGAAGTTCGTGTCGGCGATATTAAAGGAACAGATATAGTTATTGCGAACAAATAATAATAATAACGATAATAAGATCATCTATACATAGAGTAAAGGCTAAACTAAATATGCCATTTCCTATTTTTTTTGAATAAGCCTATAAATAAATAAAACACCTGCGTGTCCAATTCTTCATCTTTTTACAATCCTATCGCCTCTTTTCATGGCTAGAAAGAAAAAAAGTAAATTTTTCGGGTGTATCCGCATCTGCTCGCAGGTGCGCGATTATATATCAATTGGTGGTGGAGACCTTGGCTGCTTTATTACGCGTCTCTTTTCAATAGGCCATTTCCTTGCACCTTTAATAGTCTTATTTATATTTTCTTTAAAAATACATTTAACTCTTTATATGGATTTATTATATTATAAAATAAGGAATATATTGTATGTTTATATAAATATATTTCTTTCTCGACTGACGAATCTTCCTTCCGCCTTTTCTTCCTATTCTCTCTTTTCTTCCTTCGCTTCTTCAACTTCTTTTTCTTCTTCTGTAATAGTCTTTTTTTTCGGTACTCTCGTCGTTACTTTACAATAATATAAAAAACATATTTATCTAAATTTTTAACAGTTACGGAGGACAGATGGTCAGCGGAGACTCGAATGCGGGAATAATAGAAGTTATGATGGAGAGTTAGCGCTCATAACAGATGCGTCACTGACCCTTTTTTATTCTTTAACCGACTTAATCTCGTATTTTTCTTATAATTTTTAATGATAAAAAAGAATTTATTTTGGCAAAGTGAAAAGGAAAAGAAAGAGAATGCAATTGTATTGTTTGTATTGTTTGAATGAAATAATCATTCAGATCTATAGATGTACAGAAATATAGATAGCTAAATAGATAGATAGGGATAGAGAGACAGAGAGATAGCTAGACAGACAGAGAAAGAAAGAGAGAGAGAAAGAGAGAGAGAGATAGAAAGAAAGAGAGAAAGAATGGAATTTTTAAATCCTCCTTAAAGAAAGAATTTTATATCTATTCAAAAGGTAAAAAAGTTTTGCAAGGAATTTACTAAATGTCTATGTAATTTATTATTATAAAAACATACAAAGAAAGAAGGAAAATGATGGAGAAATTGAGGCCAAGGAAGGACAGGAATAAGAGAAATTAATGGAAATAGAAAAACTATTTAACGAGAGAGTTTCAAGGGGAAATAGAAAGGTTATAGAGGAAGAGTTAAATGAAAGAAAAAGACAAATATAAAAAGCAATGTCCGGAAGAGACTATTAGGCTCAATTATGCAAATGAGCAAGACATTTGTGCATATAATTGGACAGCTATCTAACGCTTACTTCCCTTCTAGCACAATAGGTGCAAATGACACGGAAATTATCATAACAAAACGGCGACCGCGGCGCTAGCGGCGAGTAGAGTAGCACTTTTCTCAGCGGGACAGCGCACGCGACTCGTATAGAATCGTTTACATTTAAAGTCGAAGAAGAAACGATTCCCTTGTCGCCTCTTTCCTTCATCCTTCAACAATCCAATTCTCTTTAGTCAAAGAGTTTACGGATAGTTTGTCTAGTAATTCCTTTAATATCTTTTTGATTTTTCATCCTCTGTTTTCGAACGTTTGTTAACGATGGCTGAAACGGATGCTGCTCAACTATTGAGTTTCGTAGACAATCTTAAGATAACGCTTGACAAGCGACAGACAAGGTCGAAGAGGAGAGTCAATCATAGGAAATATATTGAAAAACAACTAAGGAAAAAAGGAACAGCAGGGATAGATGGTAAAGGTGAGCAAAATGACACTTCCTCATCAGTCGCCGCCGTCAGGCAGCCCAAATCTGTTAAACGGAAGCAGGATGAAAGAAAAGGTGTTAGTAAGCAAGTCAAATCATTGGACGCTCTTTTCGACCCTCGAACTCTGCACGAAAAATGCTGCGCTGACCAAAGTAAAAGAGTACCGTTACGGAAGAGAAAACTCCCCGCTTCCTTCTTTACCGAACCCACATCTTCTCCCGAACAAAATTGCTACTATAACCTACCACCTTCTCACCATTATCAATCTCTTTCTTCAGGTCCAAATGTCCATTCGCAATCTCAGCCTGTTTCCCAACAAGTGACAAGTATGGCAACAACAGCTCCGTTAACTCCATGCGCCTATCAAAATTGGACTACTCCAATACAACAGCAGCAACAACAGCAACAACAGTATATTCCCTTACAAGAAGAAAATTACCAAGTTCCCCTCCAAGAAGAGTATTCTCCCTATTGCAATTACCCCCAACCTGACTGCAATCAACTACCAACTTTTCCTCAAGCCTTTTCACCACCAACCCTCGATTGGTCGGCTCCTTCTTCGTGTTTGACAGCATACATGTTCTGATAGAGTAATATAGTAATGTTATATAAAAAAATAAAATAACTGTACATTGTACCACTGCTTATACAGTATAAAAATAGAATTCGTATGTATATTATACATATATTCTTTGTGATATAAATGAAATACAGACTAAAAAGTAAACAAAGAGAACTCAAGAGAGACAGAGAAGAAGAAGAAGAAGAAGAAGAAGAAAAAATAAGAATTTTAACGAATGGAAAGTTAATGTTCTTTCCCTTTTAACGGTTTCAAAGTGAAAAGTAGGGCGACGAAAAAATACTCCTGCGATAAATAGGGGAGGTACTCGAGAAAAATCACCGTTTTTTTGTCCTGCCAAACAATAAGTAGATAGAACGCGTTCAAACACGTAGAAGAAAAGAAAAAAAGGCGCGTAATTAAAATTAGATTGGTGAGCAAATAAACAATTTTCGAGTATTTTTGCCCATTTCTCTTTCTCTCTTAAGGATTTTGTCTTTCGATTTTTCGTTCTATTCATTGAACACAATAAAAAATGATCTTTCCTTGATTTATTCTTTAACACTAATCTTTCAGCTTTTTAGTCTTTTATACCAAAGTAAACACAATAAGTAAAAGTGGTGTGAATAATTGCGTTATTAATGTTTATTTCTTTATCGGCGCACCTATCGTTTGAACAATAGAGGGCGCTGGCTGCGATTACAGACGGAAGCATGTTTTAGTTTTTATTAGGGATATATAGATATGTATATATACAGATGTAAAACAAAAAAAAACAATGCATTTGACGTGCTTCATATTCTATTCCTTCCTTTTTATGTTGTTTTTTAATGGGGAGAATGTGGAGGGCGCTTGGAAGGTGGGCAGTCCGAGTGGGAAGGGATTATCTTTATTATTATTCTTCTTCTCTTCTCTTTGACTAGATTATTCAAATGAGAACGAAAGGATAAATGTAAAAGAGATTAAACAGTTGTTAAATGGTTATTGTTCAAACGTCCCAGTTAGTTTGAACGTTCAAAATATACAGGCGAGATCCAATTGAGAAGGCCAATCTCTAAATTGAAAAGAAGGGGAATAGATTAGACATAAATAAATAAATTCGAATTATAAAACGTTTTAGTGCCGTACGTTATCGAGACCTTTGCATAAATAACGAACAATCTTATTCCGCTTATGCCGTAAAACGGCTTGTAAATGACCAGTCACGTGACAACGCATTTCTATTCTCTCCTCGTTCCGAGCTTCGTAAGACGGAAGTGCAAGCCGTTCGCTTTCTATATGCATGAATGAATATAGGGATTTTTAGTAACTTAACCCAATAAACTTTAGCTTGAAAAAAATAGGAGAAATTCTTTTTTATATATGCCTATGATAAAACTAACCATTTGGAAAGTTATCATTAAGATCAGGGCCATTACTCTGCAAAAGTTGTATTAAATAAATTAGAATAGAGGAAAGTCAAATTCCTTAAATAGGGTTTAATAATAATAAAAAAAAACCACATGTATAATTATAAGTGTTTAGTGTTTAAGGAAGCTTCAACGATTGACACGTACCTTGTATTCAATGATCCGAGTCCGCGAAGCGTCGACAATGATGTAAGAGTTCAATGAGCCATCAACTTTCCCCTCTAATAAAGGCGTCTGATCAAAGCTCGTCTTTAACTCGTGAATTGGAGTCAACTGATTACGTAATAAAACGCTAATTTCTTATGCGCATAATTTTGTAAAAGATATGACGTAATCTTATTCTTTACCTTTAACGTTTTATCATTACTTTCGTAAATTTTGTAATACTTTACAGTATTTCCCTTGCCGCAAATTGTTGTTAGAACGTTATTTTCATAATCAATTTCCATTCTATTAATATCTCTACTTTTCAATAATTTCTTCTTTTCTAATAAAAATAAATAGAAACACATTAAAAAAGTAATAGAATTACCATTTTATTTCTTTTAACTTTTACCATAATCTCTTTTATTAGATATATAAAATAAACATAAATTTGCTATTTTGAAACTGGTTGATGCGCCATCTAGCGGTTTACTATTTAATTATAGAATAAGATATGTCATGTTTTATGTAGAGAAAGCTTGTTTGTTTTGTTTGTTTGTTTGTTTATTTATTGTTTAAAAGCTTACTTGTATTGTTTATTGAATATAGTCCATTACTGGTTGAGTAGAGTAGATGACAATCTATAAATAAAAATTACAAGATATAAGATATACTAGAATATATAAACTTGCATAAGGAAGAGAAGGAGGAAAGGGGAAGAGAAAAAGGAAAAAGTTAAGAAAGACTAAAGAATAATAGTGAATTATTCTATCTTTCCCAACTATAAACTAGTATTTATCTTTAATTCTATTTTAGATTAAATCTTACCATAGAAAAGACCGCAATTTACACTAGCGTTTATTGGCTTCTTAAACGTTTTCACGCAAATAGAACGTTTAGCAAATGGCTGAAGATATGTCGAAAAATATTATTATAACTATGAAAAAGTGTTGATTCTATTGGCTATCGCAAATATACTTTACCAGATTACGATTAGACACATTTTCGGTTGTTGCAACCAAGTCCGGTAGTAATAATTCTGTATTTATAGGTTTTTATTACAGCTGTTGTTATATTTAAATTCGTGCATTCGGCTTTTATTTAATTCAACTCTTTGTATTAATTCTTTCTAATTAGTTTACTAATTTTCTCTTTCTATTTTACACTTATTTACCTGTATTTTCCAATAGATGGCAGCAACGTTTTCTTGTATTCTGTTTGTATGTGGAGGGACAAAAAGGAAAGATAAACAATTAGTTGTTAGAATTGTCTTATTTTAATAGAATTCTTATGATTTCTGCTGATTAAAGTGAAATATGGGAAATGATAAATAATTGGTAACGATAGCATAAAAATGTACATTTAGGAGGCAAAGTTATTTGAATTTGTTCTAACGCGTAAACGGATGTAGTATATCCGTTCTAATTGGTACATCAAAGTCAAAAAAGTAACGCTCTCCTCCAAATCTCACTTCATACACGCTTAAGAAGAAGAAAGAAAATTGCTATTTCGAATAAGTGAAAGACTCTATTAGACGCTCTTGTCAAGGAACGCCCTTTTGTTGGGCCTACGGGGCTAGGGGTTAGTTGTTGTAGAAAGATGTAGCCCTAAAAGTTATAAGAAAAAAAGGGAGAAAAATGTAATTACCGAGTCCGTATAGCGTGACAAACAATACCCTAGTCCGATTTTGGCAACTCGTTCGATTAGTTAGAGAGAAAAGCGGGCTTTAAAGTGGGTGGAGGGGCGGTAGGAGAAGGAGGCAAGACGAGTGGACAACTGTAATGATTGATTATAAATATGATGGGAATATCGATTCCGGTTGTTACCGTTTTACGCCAAGCTATAATGGGTATAAATTGGCTAATTGGACGAAACGACTCCGTCATTATGTTGGGCCGGGGGGAGGGTAGCATTAGTATCAGTAGAGGTCTAAGGGGTGTTGTTTGTAAAAACAAAATGCTTGCCTTCTTAAAAGGGCAGTTTTTTCCAATACCTTTTCTTTTTAGTTGTAGAAGCTGGACTGCCTCTGGGACACCCTATGACAAACATTTTCAATTCCTTTGTATCACGTGATATTATTTTTTTTTAACTAAAGAGCTGCAAGGAAGAAAGATCTAAAGGGAAAAATTCTTACAGTTCGAATAAACAAGAGACCATAGTGTACTTTTAAATAATAATAATATATTGTATTCTACGTATACTTTGTACCTTGTGAACGTATACAACATACAAGAAAAGCCTATTCTATCTGTGATACAAACTGTTAAAAAAGGACGATGGTTAAATCATTTGAAAGCTATCGAACTGGACGAAAACAATAACTGAAGAATGAGCAAGGAAGGAGATGTAAGAAGTCGCTAGAATATAATAAAATACTTGACAAGGACGACGCGTTTTTCGTTCATTTGTCAGCGGGCTTGACATTGATAAGAGTAAATTCGGCCTCGAGGCGGATTACAATGATTTATAGTGTTAAAAAATATATATACTGTATATATATATATATATATATATATATATATATAGATAGATTTACATAGAACAAATTATAGATCTATATTTCTATACATTCCGTTAAAAATAAAATAAACTTCTTTACTTGAAAAACTAGAGGCGAAAGAAAAGGGAAGTAGGAGAAAATATTCCGGAAGTAGTACATAAAAGCGTCGCATAAGACAATGAATACATAATGAAGGGAGAAAACGTGCCGAGCATGCGTTCTTAATGCTTCGTTACTCTTTTTTCCCTCCCTTCCACCGTCCCTTTTACTCTTTAACGTCGATATCGCTTGTTAAGGGCGTAATATTTTTACCTTATTAAATACTATGAGAAAAAAAGTTACAGACAAAGAGAAGGAGCGAGAGAGTAATTGTAAAGAGAGAGAGAGAGAGAGACAGAGAGAAAGGAAACAAGTTTAGCAACAAATAGAACTAACCTTTAAAAATGAGAAGAAATTTCTCAACTTATTAGATAGTAAATTTATTCTTTTATCCGAATTTAGAGGAACCTTTTTCCAATAGTAATTATCCTCAATTTCGTAGTAATCGAACACATCATCGCCGCAATTGATCCAAGAAGCAGAAACTGGTTGCTTACCGGAGATTATATCTGGACGCATTCCCCTTTCCAATATCCGTTCGACCATGTGAGAAATTTTGTTTCTTTGGTTGCTCCAGTCGTCTCCTCTTCTCTGCCTTAACGGAAAAGTATTGAAAACGAGGTCAGTTTAACATGGTACAATGGGAACTGAGTAGTACTTTTGCTGAGATTTCTCAACTCTCTAATTTATGACGTTACTTATCTAGAGTATATTATAGATAGTTCAGTAAGAAAGAATCCTTACACATGAATAAATTACGGCAGCTTCAAAGAGATACTTGTAAATGATTAGGTTTCTACGCTCAGCTTGTAATTTACCTTGTATTCTATTACAGATGCATTCGTCAGTTGCTCGTCTAAGCAGTTATTAACAATACAAATGGAATTGGATATACACAATATTAAAGCTTGACAGTTTTCACCTTATTATCGGCCAGCTTTCATTATTTATAATGAAATAATGTAAAAAGAGAATGAATAGGGAGCCTTTATTACTTGGACAAGTTTAAAAGCTGGTACATCATTGAGAGCCTAGTCTGCATACACAGCTATAAATAATTAAACAACTCTCCTAATTACGTTAATATAGCGAAAAGGTAGAACGTTTTAAATAATCGAAATCCGTGCTTTTCTATTCCTTTTAAATTAACTACTATTGAATAATAAGTACAGATGAAAAAGAAAATAAAAGAAACGGAAAAGAAAGCGTCTCTTTGGCAGGTGCTTTTGAAAGCGAGCAGGTGTTTATCCCTATCTAGCAATCTAATCAACGAACCTGTTTTATTCCAATGCGTCTTCTTTGCTGACCGTCCTCGGGGGATACGCCTTAACTGTTAATTAAATTACGTCAAGCGATCAGTTTATTGTAGAAAACTATAATTTAATCCACAGAGAGATAGAAATAATCCTGCTTAATTCCAAGTTTTAATATTGATTCGTTAGAAAAATGTCCACAATAAAAGACGCTTAAAATAGACGATTCGACTCTTTCCAGTCGCCGCTAACGGCAAACAATGAGAGAGAATATCCTACCTAAATTGAGACTAGATGGCGCGCCGGTAAATCTCCGTTAATTCTCGTTTCATGTATAAAATATGTTATATACGTGTAATAAACCATACACAGTAGTGGTATACAGTATGTATTTATACGTTGCATAGATTTTTCTATCATTTGCACAACATGATATGTTTGTTTGAACGAAAATAAATGAGAAAGAATTGATTTATTAACTAAAATATTTCTAATTAAAACACGACTAAGCTTTACTTTCGATCCGCTTTATTAATCAGACATTTCTATTAAATCTAGTATTATAAGGGCTAGGGAGAATTTTCTCTGTTTTCTATTATATTTTGCCTCTTTTTTATTATTGACAAACTAGTGAAAACTGATGGTTTACATATATTTCCTCTTTTTATTTTATCCCTCCCTCCCTCTCTCCATTTCTCTCTCTGTCTCTCTTCACTCTATATTCTTTCTTTATACTGCAAAAAAATACGATAAATATCGAAATAATCCTCAAAAGCTTTGCAGTAAATTTTTCGCGCCAAAAAAAATGAGTTAGGCCTAGGTCAATTTCTCCTATTCCTTTATAAACGATGCAATTACTTTTTTTTAGTTGATACTTCAAAAGGAAAAGCTTTTGTTTTTTGTTTTGGTCTTAAAAGGGATGGGAATATGCCTTAACACTAGACTGCAAAGTAAAAAAAAAATACTGGAATAGAACGTATTGTATATACAGTACATTTGCTATATATAATGTTGATAACGTTTTTGATTTTATTACCTTAACAAATATATCAGACGCTTGTGAAGCTTTCGAATTAGGGAAAGAACGACATGCGAAAAGGTCAAGGACGATTGAGCAGCATTCGCATATAATGATCCGATAATTACAGCGTAAACACTTAACGTTCTAAGATATATACATAAATCAATGTAAGTAAAGTAGGAAACCAAATCACCTCTTTTTTCTTTTCTCCTTTTACATACTCCACTTAATCCTTACGGTTTCCCTCTTCCAGTTTTACTAAACAACTAATTCTCTTGGTAGGCCCATATTTAATGCTACTGACGTATTTTTGTCATATATTTATGCATGATTTTAAGTGTATTCCTTCAAACTAGTACTTAAATATAGACGCAACAAGTAAATAGGTTGGCCTAGAAAGGAGAGTGCTTCTTTCCTTAATTAAATCTCTGCAAATGCGCACCTCGGGCTGCAATTAACGCCTATGTTCGTTCTTTTTTTTGGTAAGTCTAATTAAATCGTAAGAGGTAATCGCCGGTGCATTTACAATATACCTAAGTGGGTAATACATCAAGAGTAAATACAAAAAAGATGGCGTCTCTTTCTTTCTCCGTCCCTATTTCAATATGTATTCAGATAAAGCAACAGACGCCGATTTCTATGTAAAGAGTGGGAATAGAAATGATTGAATGGAAGGGAAGAAATTGTTTTCGTTCGGTTTTTTTTGCGTCGGGAGATTAATTCTGGTATAATCGACCGTTTCCGTGTCGAAAGGCGTATGAATAAAAAAAATAGCAAGAGAGGGAGATAGGCAGAGCGAGAGAAGAGAGACAGTGAGCTAGCGAGTTGGTGAGCCAGCGACAGAGTGACAGATAGATATACGGACATAGAGAGATAGAAATAAGGGATGGGGGTAGAGGTTAAGGGACAAGTGGGAAACGGATGGACGAATAACAAAGAGAAAAAAACAGGAAAAGAAGGAGAGAGGGGGCGGAGTGGGGGTAAGTTAGTGTTAAGAGAGGGGGGGGAGGAGGAGTTGGCAGGAGGGAAATCGCCCGACAGGATTAAGGGTGCGAAATCAATCGGTATATATATCGTTTCCACTGAATTAAGTCTGATTCACTTTAGCGCATTACGTCATTTGCGTGCAGGGGTTTATAGCCTCTTTTGTACTGCAATTTCTTCCCTTAAGTCCTTCGTTCTTTCTATCCTTCATTTACGTTTATCCCTAACATTCTTCTTCTTCTCCTTACGCTTCATCTTTCTCATTGAAAATGAAAGAAAGAATGATGTTGGTATGGAAATTGGGGTAGTATCCACAGGGACTATCTGTAGCGTTTAGCTTCTATATTTTTATTCCCTGATAGTCGTTGATCATAGGATAGGCAATTATTGGCTAACGAAAGAAAATTTGCATATTACGTCAATAAAAGATACAAGTAGAAACTTTATAGACAAAATACATAAAGTCTATCTCGTTAATATGTTTACATATATAGTAGAAATATAAATATACAGTATGCATAATGGGAATATACTCGTATGATAATTAAATTTTTCTTGGTGACAGGATGTAACCAGCTCTTCATGTTTGTGTAGTGGTGTGGGGGCAGGTGGTCTTGCCTGAGAACAAACAAAAGCCATAACGAATGAGTAAACGGATGCGTCGCCATCTGACTCGAATTCCCTAAGGGCTTTTCCGTCAAAGCCTGTCCTCAAAAAGTAGATAATTTTCGCTTTATACACAAAAATATCGGGTTTCGAAACAACTGATTTAATCCCTACCCTAATCCGACAGAAGGCGTCTTGTATTTTTCTACAGACTCAACGGCGCCATCTATCAATTGAACAATATTTATTAGACGCCTAATTTTTTTTATTGCGCAAAGATGGATGTAAAAAAAGGATTAGTATTAGCACGTTGTTTCCTTTGCTTCCAATAATTCAGGCTTGTCAAATACTGGATTTTCCTTGTCTAAATCTTCTTCATCCTCTTCCTCTATTATCTGGTGACCGAACTTCCTCCCCCTATTGTTTATTTCGCTTTGACCTTCTTTGACTTCCTCAAAAGTATCGAGAATTCCTTTTCGCTTCTTATAGGTTCTTAATGCTAAACAACCAATTAGGCAAGGTAATAAGGAAACAGTTGTACACACTGTCAATGAACAATTAGCTATATCGCCTTCCGGCTTTTGTACGGAATCTTCAATCACTTTGGCAGCAATTTCACCACCCCTTACGCCAATTTCCATAGAAATAACTAATAGTTTGGCAACCGTTAACCTAGCAGCATAAGGAATAAGAGCACCGATTAGAAAGGAGATGGCCGATAAGAGTGTAGCTAATGAGACCATTTTAAAGTTGATAACGTAAAAGATATATGAATTAGTTGAAAGTCTAACAATAATTCTAAAAAGCAGAACTAAGGCTATGTAATGCGGAAACGCTTTAACGAGTTTATGATAAAATTTAGCTAGCTTCTGATATGCAAAATAGCCAATGAGGATGACAGCAATCAGGAGGACGAAGCAGATGAATAAATTCTGAAAGATAAATGAAAAATTTTTCTGAGAATAAATACAATTCAATAGGCCAGAGGGATTTTATGCGAATATACCATAAAAGGCAAATGCAACTTGCCCGCGGCTCGTTTGTAGATTTTCGTTTCGAAGGCGACGCTCCATAGAGGCAACATTCCTGTGGGAAAAATTGAAAAAAAAGGGTAAAGAGCAACCCTTCATCATGAGTCTGTAATCTGTAAATGTGATTTGTAATATTTACCAATGGCCGCAAAGTTTACGATGACGGCTAAAGTGACGCTGAACGTCACGTCAACCGATGCCAGAAACGCTAATAGAATGACTACGCCATCTGATGGGGAACAAGTTAGGCAGAGGAGGGCGAAAGATGAGTCTGCAGTGGGTTGGAAGATGAGCACAATTCCCAGCCAAATCTGCGATGAAACAAACCTAAAAATTTTATTGACAGACAAGGTCAAACGTCATTCAAAGCTATAAAAGTGATATTCGGTATATAAATAAATTTTATCTGTATATATAAATAGATTATAGGCAGACATCCAGCATTTTGATCCCTTATAAAGTGTTTATAATTTTATATGTCTATATGAAGTCATATAATTATGGCGTATGCATTTGACAGCTTTTGCCGTCGATAGCTTTTAGGCAACCTATTGTCCCTTTTCTTTCTGTACTCTTTCTCAACGACCTCGATTAATGGAAAATCGATGCTTGACCGGTAAAAAGTTAATCCGCGTCGAAACGACGCCTTTCAACGTCTCTGCCTTCCCTCTGGTTTTTCAACTGTGTCCTTTTAATATTGAATAGACGATAGATAAAACAAAAGAGGAGAGGAAGAAGAGCGGACTTAAAGAGAGAGATTAGAGACTAACACCGATGATGATGAAAAATAACAAATCGTCCTCCATTAGAGTTTCTCTTTTTAGATGACAATGAATTCTCATGAGATAATGAATCGAATTCTAAGAAAAGCCCCCCTAATTAGACATTAAAGCAAAAAGTGTGACAATTAGTGAAGCATTCAATGTTCTCTCTCCCTCCCTCTCTAACTTTCATTCTCTTTTCTCTTTATCATATCTCACCTAAACACAAAAAATACTAAAGGATATCAAGCAATCCAAACGAATGGTTTAGAGAGGACTCTTTCGCACGCACCCGCATACTTACGGCTGGCAGGAAGGCGAAACGGCATAGTAAAGCCACACCAAGACAAGTTGGCCTTCGGATTAAACGTAAAACAATATCCCCATTGACAACAGCACCGCAACCTCCAACTGCAATAAGAATGAGGGATGTTGAAATTATTTCCAAAAATTTACCGGCGTCTCCGTTCTCATCACCCCTTACGACGGTTATATTGAACGCCTCATTTATTCGGAAAGTGCTATTAGAAGAGTTATGACCGTAGAAAACTAAAGAAGTTCTCCCAAGCGTCTTAGGCTGAATTTTTAGCGGAAAGAAGACGGTACTGTTGATAATTGTTGATTTCTCACCGGAAGACAGATCAAGTACATCGGAATCTGCACGAAACACCTGAAACTCAAAGTTATCCAATTGTTTCGTAGTGAATAATATTGTTAAGTTTAAATATCCAATATCCCTTAGGGTTACGTTGGCGTTTTCTGGTTGAAATTTTAAGCCTAGACAGGTAAATTTAAAGAGTACAGCAACTAAGAAGAACAAACGCATTTTTCGGTATTTTTGCAGTTTGCCAAAGTCTAATACAATCAGAGAGGATGTCAAAAATGAGTAAACTCGTAGAGAATTGATCGAATCACGTGATATATAGGAACCAATAGGAAAGTAGAATGTAAACAACTAACCAATAACTGGCGAACGATTTACTCATTCCTAGCACGTTTTAGAATAGTAGAAGATGAAGCTACTTAGAATTAGAGCCTGTCGTATAAATAAGCTTTGTTAAGCTTCTAATTATCGAAGTTCTTCGCCCTCCTCCATACCAATGGCCAAACCTCGGGCGCCTGGCTAATAATAAACATCTTATCGTTAAATACATATAAACGTTGCAGTATTTTTTTTCTTGCAGTCGGCGCCAAAAAGAAATTTCTTCCATTCGCCGAATATGCTGAGGTGATGAGTTGCTAAAAGATCAAAACCGTATAGCGCAATCCCTGATAAAATTTTTGTGCATTATACACAAGAGTAGAGATATATAATGTCTTATTTTTAGCTTTCAAAGCCGGGGTACCCTTTTCAGTTAGAGAATTCTTTAGTAAGATGAAGTTTACCCCCTGAGAGAGACGCTTAAGAGTGTATTTTACCTGATTAAAATCGAATTAAGCATTGAAAAAAGGAGAATAAAGATACAATCAACCAATTACTTTTTTAATCTTTTCCCATTCGCTTTAACATTTGCGATAATTTTTTTTCTCTCTTTCTTATTCTTTATTTAACTTTTTATTTATTCTTTTTCTATTAAAAGTGATTTCTTTATTTAAAAAGAAAAGCCAGAAAAAAGAAGCTATTATCCATACACGAAAAATAATGCTGACTCTCACAATAGATTACCAACTTAAGCATAAGAGAGAAACGTTTCCCCCGAAATGCGGAGGTGGTGGGGGAGTGGGAAAATAGTAAATATAGAAAACAAAAGGACAATCAATGAGAAAAGTGAGAGATAGAAGATAGATAGATAGATGAATAGACACAGATATATACACATACGCACACACACACACACACACACACACACACACAGAGAGGAGTTTGAGAGAGGAGAAGGACTAGAAAGAAAAAAAAAGGAAAAAACAGAGTGTATTTGAGCGAGTTAGTGAGTTAGAGGGAACTAAGTGGGGAAAAGTGTAAAAGACCAAAGAAATAAATAGTTCGTTTTTCTCTTTCCTCTTTACATATTTTTTTATTCCTTTTCACTTTCTTTTTGTTTTACTGTATCCTGATTTGTTCTTTTTTTTACGTTTTATTAATTTGATTAAATACGCCTCTCTTTCTCTCTTTCTTTCTTGTTTTTTTTTCTCTCTATCTCTCTATCTATCTATCTCTCTAACTTTTACTCTCTCATTTCTCTTAAACATTACATTAGATATTCACTATTTCCTTTGTCTTTTTGTTTAAAATTGGCACGAAAAGTCTATGCTGTCACCGTAATCTTGTAGAAATTCACCAAGACTGTTCATTAAAGTTCTACACGTTAACTTTCTACCAGAGTCCAACAGTTCTACCCTTCCAATGAGGGTCACAGGGTAGCAATTGTCATCTTTTTCTATTATTTCATCCGGTATAAAGCGCATCGATCTTTCTATAAGCGTCTCTTTCAACTGTTTGATATATTTTTATATTTTTATTATATATATTTAATACATATTTATGAAAAATATGTGCATTCATATACTAATATATATATAAAGCTACTATGGCTTACAGCTATTCAATATTCAGTTTGTATGTGTAATAATACCGCAAGCTGCATATCAAATACATTTACATTGTTAATCTTTCTTGTCCAGATAAAACCCTAGCTACTCTCCTGTCCTAGCTTCTTAACTAGTTTTACTTACAGATTATTGTAGAAAGGGTAGATTGGTTGGAAGGTTGATAGGTCAGGAATTGTTTAAATTAGACAATCTAAAGATAGAAAGAAGGAAAGAAAAAGAAATAAATACGAAACCTTTTCATAGACGCCTGTATTTTCGCATTCTTTATATTGAAATGATGCTACCAGTTTCGACGATTTATTTTCTCTTGCTAAATACAAATAAATAACTATTGCAATAATCATTAAAAAGAAAATTGTAACGCCCAATAAAATCGTTCCAAAGCGTTTCGTCTTCTTTCCAGTTTTTTTTCCTTCTAATTCTAACATTGATCTATCTCTTGGAAGAGTATCAAAGCCTTTTGCGTAATCTAAATATTCATAGTATTAGTACAAATTTAATAATATCCTTTTTTCTTAATTTAATGAATATTCATAACTTCTACTCAACTGTTATATTTATCATTATATGCACTTAAACAATATTCTTTTTTAATAGAATTCTTTACTGCATTTTTGATATAATTCTGCATTTCTGTCGGTGATATGTTTAATTTAATAAGCAAAAAGGCAAAGACGCCGAAATATCAGTTTTTTGTAGTCATATTTTTAATGTTTAACCTGCAACTGAGGCTTCTATTCTCTCAGGCGTTCCATCTTTAGGTTTTTTATAAGAAACCAAGAAGTCTTCATCTTTAAATTCAAGATAAGGTAAATCGGTTAGGGTGAAGGCTTCTTCGTCTTCTAATCGGGGATCCATAACTCGACTGCCAAGACTTAAACTAAAGTAATCATAAAAACTCTAACGAGTACTTGTATACTACTAATATATTTCAATAGAGTTTGTTCTCAGATTTTATAGGCCCACGGACAAAATCTAGGTTCCCAATTTATCAAAAAAAGAAAAAAAAAGATAGAGAGATTGAAAAAATTTAAAGAAAACGAAAACAAAAAAAAAAGGAAAAGAAAGAAAAAAATAGATATTATATTGGAGAGAGAGAGAGAGAGAGAGAGATAGATAAAAAGAGAGAGAAAGAAGGTAAAACGAAAAATATCACTATTATTAAAGTTCTTGTTAATAATTTATAGAAACAAAAAAAGAAACGAAACATTCTTTTCGATTGTTCTAATCAGTTTTTACTCTAAACTTTATCTTCGGCTTGGGAGGTGAGAGAATATTCTCGAAAAGTTGGACGAAAACGTTTATAACCATACCATAAACGGCTAAGCCGAAGAATAGGTAGAGCGATGATAGTAGGAAGAATTTGGAATTCTTTGGTAAAAGATCACCAAAGCCAATTGTTGATAAGGATACAAATATAAAATAGATGCTTTCGGATATTGTCCATTCTTCTGTTAAACTGTATAATAACACTCCTGCTCCGGTGTAGATTATTAGAACAAAGGTGGCCGTAAAAATGTTGACATTGAAGTTGTCATCAACTTTACTCTTATAAATAATTGATCTAAACAATTTGAAGGATCGGACGAACAATTTAGCGAATTGATTTAAAGCCGCCAAACATAAAGGAATTCCAAAGAAACCGTAGATGATTGTTGCTAGTCGACCATTCATAGAATTAGGAGCAATGTGACCATAACCTATAAATAAAGTAATAGTTTTATTTGAGGTTTTATTATATAAATATATTGTTCTATAAATAACTCTTCTCTTTCTGATGCATTTTAAACATAGTGATATATTTATCTATTAGCATATACTGCATTTTAACTTTATATTCTTACTACTAATTTAATATTTATCATGTGCTGCCATCTCTTATTTATAGTTAATTTGTTTTCTTTTATTGCAGGGGGTTTGCAAGATGAGATTAACGGTCACTTATAATTATTTGAACCTGACTGCCGAAGAAAATTTTATCAGCTTATAAAAGTAAATGAAATGAATAATTCTCTGTTTTATTTATGAATGAAATAGGAAAAGGAATCAGGTCAATTAAATCAACCAATAAAATCCTAGACACAAAAATATTTGTAAATGTATAAATAAAGAAGTAGTTATTATTATATTAAATGCATTTTTTAAGATATATTTTGCGTGGTAGACTATTTGCCATTTACTTTTTGTTTAGTAATTTAATCCCCTCTAATATTTAAGAAAGAGAGGTAATGTTTTCTTTAATTTCAATAACGAATGCCATCTATTGGTTTAAATGATACATCTTTAGAATTATGATTTATTTACCTAGATGGCGTTAAAAATGATTTGTTTTATGTACGAAAAAAAAGTGTGAATGAAAGGAAGAATAATGAACTATCTAGCATATTAGGAGAATATTAATGGCGATTTCTTAAATGTATAAACACTCACCTATAGTTGTAAATAATGTAAGAACATAATAAGCACTTTCTTCCAAGTTCCAATCTGCATCTGGTGTAATTGTATCATCCTCCTCTGAAATTGCCCTATGCTTCTCTAAAGCTTGATCATATTGGTTAATGATGGCTTCCATCGTTCTAGTCCATTTGTCTTTATTCGATTTGGGCAGACTCCAAGAGGCCGATAACAGTGAATGCTTGGCTGCATTTAACTGCATCTTTGCCGTTCGAACAGTTGATAAGCTGTTATCCTGTTTCTCCAGATATGCAAACAACATAGCGCCCATGTACCAGTAGCTAAGAATAAGAGCCAAAGGTTTATACAAACCAAAAGTTTGCTTAATTAATATCCAAAATTCACTGCCAAATTTTCCAATCATTATTACAGTTTCGCTTAATTCCGATAAATAATCTTGAAGAAAAACGAATCAAAACGATGAAAGTTGAGAGTTTATATTGGGAAAAATGTAGAGAGATGGTTCTCTAATAAAAGCGGCCGAAAATGTAGGGCGTAGACTGCAAACTTTACAGATGTTCTGCACCAGATCTGTCGGCGTATATATACTGCTGTATATAAACTGACATATACGCTGTCTTACAATATATTTTATAAGTAGAATAATTTAAGAATCTCACCTATTTTTAGATTAATTATTAATAGTTACGAATAATAATTTGGCAAAATATTTCGCTCTGTAGATTTTTTATAAACTTATTGGAAAGGCTGAACGAAGAATAAAACGACTGGTAAATCAACAGGAATACAACTAAAACGTACACCTGTTACAAAACAGCTTTTGGTTATGAATCCTCTCCTATTATAATCCGATTACGTTATGATTTAGGTCTATACACAAATGATATTGATATTACTTTCTAAATATTTTACAATTAAAAATTTATAGATAGAAATTTTGCATAAAAGCATAAATAGGAAACTTTTGTTTTTTTCTATATTTTTCACTCTCTTCTCTATCTCTCTCCATCTAACTACATCTTTTTCCTCTTCTCTCTCTCTCTCTCTCTGTCTCCCTCTATCTCTCTTTTCTCCTCTACGCCATAACGCCATCTGCAATGTTTGTTACAAAAAATATGATATAATTATTTTTATTTATTATAAACTATAATATTCAAATAGTATATTTATAAATTAAAATTGGGCAAAGCACCTTTGTTAACTGTATTACTAATAAAGTAGTGCTACATAAATGTATAAATATAATAATATTTACATGATTATATCTCTCAGTGTAGAAAAAAAAAGTTTGCTATTGAAATTGTTTCTTTCTTCTATTCTCTTTCCTTTTCTCTCTCTCTCTCTCTCTCTCTCTATCTCTAAAATTATTATAGCAAAGTGTTGACGATGATTAATTTAAATATCATTAAACTTTAGAATTCGTTGCAGTTCTTTGAGTAAAAAACAACAAAGGGAAAACAAACAGGCTAGGATAAAAGAATATTTTGTTTAATAATTATTATAATACAAAAAATATGAGCACATAACGCAAAAGAGTGTGAAAGAAATATAATTATAAAGATTTCTTATTATGTTCAAAACATTAACAAATCATTTGGATTATCGATTTCGTCGAGTACTTGTTGGAATTTCTCTGCTAGTCTCATCTTCTTAGCTGTTGAATCGTGATGTAAACTTTCCAATAATTCCACACGGTAAGTTGAAGCATATTTGTATAGAGAATACAACGCTTGCGATATATTCAGTTCTGCAAAGTTCGCCATGGAAAAGTCAAGCATTGTTAGAGCCATCTGATTCTCGTCGATGCTAGCCATCTCCGAGACGGAATAATAAAATTTTTCAACCATTTTCTTATAATCTGCCATGTCTCTCGCAAACAACAACTTATTTGTTGGACTGTCCTTACCCAATTTGATTTCTGACGTACTGCAAGCGTCCATTAATGTCTGAGCGATTACAGACAGACAAGAATCGACCGTTATCGATTTGTTGATATCAAACACAAAGTCTGGATTCTTGACAACATTTACCCAAAAACGCAAAAGGTACGCGTTACTCTTCCAAGTGTGAATTGTATCAGTGTCATTGATATTGTGACGCCGAGCGGCAGCGTCCAACATATCAAAAAGGTATTTTAAGCATGGTGGAAAGCCTTGATCGACAGATAGAATAGTCCGAAAGAGGTCGTGAATAAACTTGTGCAAAGTACCCTTCGTTGTTAGTAGTCTTGTTAAAAATAATTCTGATATGACCCTTGGCCCTCTAGTTGGTAAAGTATCGTCATTCGGAGCTGACAGATGAAAGACTTTATAATTTTCTTCATCTAAAGCCAACATATGTGACGAAAGCCCAGGTGACGCGCCGGAAAATAATTGCAATCTACCATGAATTCTTCTGATTGTTCCCTCGTCTGCATTGTCGGGAACCCTGACTACAACTAGTTCGAAACTACAGTTGTTAGAGATACCGTAATGCGCCATTGTATTCAAACGTTTTAGTCCATCTTCAATTTTACTCGTTTTATCCTCATCATAGAGACGTTTCCTTGTCAATGTGTTCCTTCCGTTATCATCTGCTATAATCACTTCAAGTTCGCAATCGTGAACGTTAGGTCTGGCCGAGTAGCACTGCCCTTTATAAATCATGTCCAGCATCTTCATTTTTGCTTGCGTGACAGAGTCGCACTGGAGAACCCTGACTGGGAGAAAATCCTTCGAAACCACTTTACGATTGCTGTTGGCTATTTGATTCGTTTCTATAACCAATACATGCTATAGAAGAGAAGAGAATATATTATTAAATTTATCTTTCCTATTCTTAATAATATATAAGCAAAAAGAAACGGTTTTATAGAAAGAGAAGAAGAGGGAGCTTACAAGAGTCTCTGGCATATTATCTTCCAGTTCTCTAACCCTTAATAGTTTATCCTCGGATAAAGAGTAAAGGGCTTCTCCAGTAATCGCGTCCACTGGTCCTTTTTCCGTTTGATGTTTAATAGCCTAACAAAATGTATTTCTATAGTATTAACATAGAAAATATATAAATTATGTAAATCTTGTACCATGAATAATGTGTATAAAGCTTTTCCCGATTTTTCTTTCAAATAGGAATAAAAGCAGAGAGACAACCAGTTTGTGATTAGTTTTTCAACGACTCCTTCAGTGCTAAAATTAGTTAAATGATTTTTATGGCGTGTAAGAAAGTTATTTAATTAAGACAAACCGTCTAAATAGAAGTTTAACAGATTTCTTTTCAACGTATTTATCAATTAAATCATTTATTAAAGTCTTCATAATTCTGAAGAAAAGTTATATTTAGCATACAATTCCAATAATAAAGTTTATAATTCTTTTCTTTTTAATATCAATATACAAATAGAATAAGGCAAGGAAAATCAATTGAATTAAAATCATGAATTATAATCTTACTCTGTAGCGTATTCCATTTTATCCTGTAAGACAACCATTAAAAGAGACGCTAGCTGTGCTCTATAAAAGAAGGAAGAGAAGTACATAAATGTAAAGGAAAGAATTGGTTCATTAATTTGTTAATTATATACTATATACGATATATAATTCACTCACTTTTCAGTTACTGTGAAATTCTTATGAGCTTCTAACGTCTTTATAAGTATTAATAAAAATTGTTTGCAGCTCAATAACTGGTTAAATTTATCCAGAGCTGGCTTTTTGGCGTGATGGATTTTTTCCTTCTGCAATAGAGTTGAAAAAAAAAAGAAGAGTATATGAAGATTGGAGTGTTAATTAAAGAGAAGGATAAAGATGTATCTTCTTTCTATCCCTTTGAAAACTAACCTTTAATACAGCGTTTTCACCGTCATAGATAATACTCGGGAAAAGGACGTTTATTGTATATTGTTTGTAATCGACGAAGGGAAGTGAAATGGCTGGATGGACGTCAGATGTCAAATCGGTCATGTCAGTTTGTAATTCTGTGAAGGCTGATAGAATAAAAAAATAGGTTATTTAAAATTTATTAGGTTTACAGTTAATAAATAGATGAATAAATGAATAATAACTATTATTATTTATATCAAATATAAGTATACACTCTATATTACCACAGTATATAATCAAAGATGCTTTATAATAAATACAAACCTCTTCTACAGGTGTTTCTTACGCTACTCTCCAACGTTTCCAACTGGATATTCATATTCTTGCATTCTTGTTTAGCTTTCCAAGCTTTTCTTCTATAGATTATACCGACGATTAGAGCGACTACAACGATGAATCCGACAACTGCTGATATACTCAATAAAGCTTCTAGTGGCAGTGGCATGTTTGTACCAGAGCTTTCTTCGATATCAACTCTCCCCAATGTATAATTTAGATAACCAATGCTCACCTGAAATTAATACAAATAATTCATATAAAACAGCAAAACCAGATAGCAATATATTACGAGGGTGAGAGAAAGAAAGAACGAAGGAAGGAAAAAAAAACAGCTAGGCCTATAATTATTCTATGTTTCTCTTTTTTATCATTTTAACGAGAGGCGGCTGGAAAGGCACATTTTACCCCCATTAGACGAGTTTATTATTTATTTCCTCCCTGTTCGACAGTTAAAATAACCTATGAAAGAAAGTAAATGATAGGACGGAAAAAGTTATCTTATTTGTCAAAGCTTGTTTTTACTATTTATAATATAATATAAATCTCAAAATAGAAGATTTTTAAAACTATATTATCGCTCGAAGCTGACATGGTATGATTTCTCTCCTCCGTTACACATTCAGATGTATTTGTTAATCGATGTTTGAGAAGTCCATAAGCACTTTATATATATATGTATAAAGCGAGAAACGTTAATTTTCTCCTTATCTTAGACTAGTTCATTTTTGTTCTATATATAGAATATTCAAATCGGAATGAACGATTATTTTGCTATTAAGAGTATGAAATGACGTTAAAACCTTTATTACAAAAGAAAAAAATTCGGCTGTCTGCTAAAGATATAAATAAATAGATGTTCTCAGAAAATAAAGGCTTCAAGGCTTAATTCACTGGACAATTCGCTCCTTGAGAAAATAGGCAAATGAAGGAAAGAGTTGTGTTCTTTTTTTAGTTTCGTTAAATGTTAAATAAAGTAGATTTTGGTTTTAATGATTAACTAAAATATTAATAATAATAAAAATACCGTGACGTAAGCTTCCCTTTCTAATAATTTCTCCAAATTGTCAGGTAATTTGCATACAATGTTCTCTTTACCAACTGTGGTTACTTTACACTGAGTATTACGTATTTTAACCAAAATTTCCTCGGCTTTAGACGCGCATTGTAAATTCTCCCCTTTAAGAACTAAATCTCCATCTAAATTGTTTCTGGATATTGAAACTTTCTCGTCTTCAAACGCTCTAAATACAGGATCAGGGCATATTGTAAACGATTGAGCATCCATATTTTGAAAGAAATTTTCATAAGTTGTTATACTATCCAAAGTAACACTTGGATATAATTTCGAACTTGAACGTCTCTTTCTATTTGATTGGGTGAAATATTCCGGTATTAAAGGCGATTTGAATAATAATCTCGAGTCTGTTTTATTCGTTAAAATCTGTTGGGAAATGCATAAGAAAAAGAGGCATAAAGTAATAATGATGCACGTAAAATTCTTTGAAGCGTATTCGAACGTGACTGGTAGATAGTTTTAGGATTTTTTTTTGTTCTACTTTAAAGACGTATAAAGGGCTTACCGCCTCCTCCGATGTATAATTATTAGGCCCAACGATCTTCAAAATCGGCTTTACAATGGACAGGAAGTTGGTACCGTGAACAGCTATTAGTCTACCGCCAGATGGAAATATTTCTAACGGACCGATACCAGTAACATTAGGATTTCCGGTTACAGTAAAGTTAACGATGAGAAATGTTACTGCTTGATGAACCTTAACGAAGACCTTTGGAAGTGTCGTCGGTACACTTTTAAACGGCAAAGTACGACATGTCAATAAATCAGCTTGGAAATGTTGACTTGTCAAGCTACAGTCGAGTTCTCTGCCGTCTGTACCAAAATAGACGCTTGTGGCGTTAGGAGAAAAAATGTTGCGGCCCTGTAGTGTAATTAACGTTCCTCCGGCAAGTGGCATTAATAAAGGATCGACTTTCGTAATAATTGTCCTCTGCAAAATGAAAATTACAAATTAGCGTCTCCAAACAATTTCTTCCATAAAAAAATATTATAAAATATTAAAGACTCAAGTAAACTTACTACAAAATTAAATAATTTCCATACAGCAAATTTGCTATCCTTAAACTGAATTGTAACATTTCCTGATTTCGGTCCTGGAATATTCGGCTGCAGTTCGCAGATAATCCTAAACAATCCCTCAATCAGCTATTAGGCCTATTAAATTGAGTAACATACTTCTCTGCCACGTCGTAATCGACTACGACACAGATTGTACCCGCAACGTTAATAGATTTTATGTCCGACTTTTCTATTCCCATATTCGACCCTTTTATGGTTATACTGGCGACTGAGTTGTAAGGTACCCATGGAGGTTGGACCGATCCTATTACTGGATTTGGACAGTCTTTCACACTCGGATTGTTTTCAGACCAAGGTCTACAAGAATGAGAATCAGCGTGCCAGCTACAGTTGTAAGGACCCTCGCCACGTTTGAAGCATTGGCTACAATCTTTGGCCAATGCGGAACAATCGTAAAATTGGACTGTTGTGTCAATAAGCAATGTTGTAGACATATCGTCGGTAAATATTGACAAACAAACCTATTTGCGAATCGATAAAATATTGCCTTCCGTCCCAAACGATCTCCAGTTTGACATTCATACTGGGAATTGACTTCGGTAGACGATACTAAAAAAATTTATAATGCACTTTCCCATTTTGCTTAGGGTGTCATTATCGTTGTTTATTACACTTATCTATTATTGGTTTTTCTTTACGCGTGAGCCTACTTGATAAATATATTTTATATCTAAATGGGATCGGGAGAGCTTCCTCGGGGCCGTGTCAGGCTATTCGCCTCCTTTCTTTTTATTACCGATCAATCAATGAAACGGGGACGTGGGTAAACAATAAATAGTTTATTAAAAGGCCCCACGTTTTTTTCAAGTGCTCAATATTGCTAACTGTTTAACTTGCTATATCTATCTTTAGACTCTTTACAAAAGAAAAACCGTGTAAGTGTTCTTGTTTTTTCCCCCTCTCTTTTCCTTTCTTGGTACAATAAGCGACGATAAAAACGTTAAGTTTATAGAATAGTTAATTACCATCAAATCTTTGCAAACAATACCGTCATCTTCTTTTGTGGCTGACAATCTCATCACTTCATCTCCTTCTCGGAAAATACATTCGTATTTTACGTTGTTTCTCTGTTTGAAAGGAAAATAATTATTGGCTTGATCGTTTTCTCTCACAAAAATACTAAGAAACAATAATATAAGAACAAGAGTAAACATAAAAGAAAAAAAACCCAGGGCGAACAACAAATTACTGAGTTTATTTAGCCGGCTTCTCTTTCGCGTCATTACCTTTGGTGCGAATTGATACGGCACTTTGACGTCCGACGCAACATTTTCGATTCTGTAGACAACACGTTCTGACGTTGTTATCCTTGGACAGCGCCACTGATTTTTTAAATATTCAGTGGGTTCTTCACAAGAGCTTATAGTTGATTGAGAAACACATGATGGTGTATCCAGACAAAATCTACAATTCCATCCGTATTCCATAGAAGAATTTGAACATGCTGAGCATCTTTTTTTAACGAAAAAGGCAACAATAAGATAAATTTGATTCTTATATTTTATAAGAATTAATTAAGGCCAATACACTTACGATTCCAAAGTACTGCAATTATAAATCTGTATAAAATTAGACACTATTATCTTGTTAAAATTCTTATGGCGAATGTCCAAACGCCTTGTAAAATCTGTAAATTAAAAGAAATAAACATTACATAAGCTATTATATAATGTTGATAAATTTGCAACAGATTTACTTACTAGTTGAAGGGAATTCTTTAACTTCGGGAAAATCTTTACAGACGATTGTTTTCGAATCGGATCGAAGAATGGCTTCAACTGACTGAAAGTTGTCATACAAACATTCATAAACATCACTGGGTTTGTTTGGCAGTGGTAAATTCAACTCCAATTCTACATCCTTTAAATCATTCCAACTCACTTTTGCCGGACGGATAACAGTTTCTGGACAAATGTTTTGTTTATAAGGCGTCCACGAAGACACAGGACACGAAGACTGTGTTGTGCATGCTGTTGAGGGTAAGCACCACCCACAATGTGGATCTTTTGCCAGGTGGCATTCTTCACAGGTTTTGTAGTTTTCACAATTACTCAATTTAGCTTTATAAATGCCTTTTTCGGAAGGAATGATGAGATAATTCTCATTCAAATACATTCTTCTAAGAACTTTTCCCGATTCTGGCAGTTGCCTTATAGAATACGGTGTAGACATTGCTGAGTTAAGAATCTCTACTTTTGCTACAGCACCATCTTCTAAGCCCACAAAGGCTGCGGTAAACGACGGTTTCTTCTCAAGTACGAAACTAACTGCAATTTTTCCATCAAGAAACGCCCGCTGTCCGAAATATGAAAATTTCTCCGTCAAATAAACACCATTGTCAAGACTAAAATCTGTAGCACTAGGACAATATTTAGTCCAATCTTTCTTTTTACAAATACTGTCAGTTAATCCGACACACTTTTGATCATTTTCCTTAAAAATCAAGTTGGAGATGTCTGTAGAACAAATAACACTGTCTCTTCGATCAGTAAAGATACCGTAGACGATATTCCCTTCAAGGTGGATAGCATTTAATTTTCGATATTCAACGCCATTTGTTCCGTTGCAGGCTACTCTCCAAAGCTTTAAACTATTAAAAACTTTATCCTGACCGCAAAAGCTTGCAGCGAATCCATCTTCATTTGAATTATTCAAACCGAAAAAAAAGATGAAGTTTGAATAGGCAAAACCGTCGAAAAATGTCATGTTGTGGAAACGTTTTTCGAGTGAGTATAAAGAAGCTGTCTTTAGTATCTTTTCATATATGACTGAGCCTCCACTCAAATCGTATGGTATTAATTTTTCAGGTTCTCTTCCGGCAATAAAAACACTTGCTAGGTTTGAAATGTCTTTTTCATTCATTCCTTCTACTGTTGAAGATGTCAATACTCCAGTTTTTGTGAAATTATCAACTCCAATAACAAGGCCGAATGGCTTGCCATAGCCAACCTTTGTGTTGAATATTGAAGTTGATCTAAAGCTGTTGAATGGCTTTAGATCATTTATGGAAAAATGTTGGCAAAGACCAGCAAGAGTTGTATTGGATATACATGATATTAAGAAGTCCTCTTTAGATTGATACTTATCATGAACGTAGACTAGTAGAGTATTATAAGTATCAACTAAATCATCTATGGATATTGAATAGGAAAATAAAGAGATATTCGTATCAAATATAAATAAAGTAAATACTATAATACGCAAAGAGATAACTTACTAGATATATTTCGTCTGATGTATTTAAACGTAGAAGTATCTAATCTGACCAGAGAATTCCTACTTCCAAGGAATGCTATTCCATTGGAAAAATCAACCGTCTGAAAATCGCTATCGTAACGATCGATGATGAAACAAGACACAGGATAATATAGTAACAGTATAAGTAGTAGTCTTATATGGAAGGTCATCCTCTAATACCTCCCAACAGCCGAATTTTCTGTCAAAAAGAGAAAATATGATATATACTATACAACATCTTTGTATTTGTACTCTGTACAATTTATATAATATATTATATTATACACTTTCATTTGGAGACAAAAAGAGAAATAATAATAAATGAGAGGTTGTTAGAACTAGGAAATACGATAAGGGGTTAGAGGGCACTGTCACGTGACCCGTAAAACGATCCAATCAACAATCAACGCCCCGTCCTCATCAGGACCGACCACCAGACTGCATACGATATTACTCTAAAGGCGTAAAAAGGATATAGGAAACTCATATAATTTTATACAGCTCTTATCGGCACCTTCTCGAGTTATAGCAAGTGCAAAAAAGACTGCTTCTAATTATGATTTCGCCGCCGTTCTATAAGTTAACCGTTGCAGATGTTTCATTAAACCAATATAGACTCAGTAACGAAAGAACAATTACTCGAATGAAGTAGAGGATAGGTTTCAGGTTTAGCTGCGTTAATTAAAAAGCTTTGATATATTATACCTATTACCTAGAACCAGTCTATCCCTTTTTCGGGTCAATCTTCTAAGCTAACCTTACACCTCTTTCAGGCCTCTTTTCTACAAGTCCGGCGACATTTTTTGTATGGGCAAATATTCCTTAATAGGCCTATAATGTGAACTATATAGGTGTAAATATGCATCTTGAAGAAACTTTTTCTTTTCTAAGGCGCTTCACCTGAAAAACACCTGCGTTGTTGGAAAAACAATAGCCACTTGTTAAATGGGCTTGAAATCAAACAAATGCGCGCGCTCGTAACAAGAAACATCTGCACCGAGCGAACATTCTCTTTGTTCTACCACAAAATTGGAAGAAATGTAAAAATATATACTTTGAAGAAATATAGAGAAAATAAACGACTAAGAGAAAGAGAGAAAGAGAGAAAGAAAGAAAGAGAGAGAGAGAAAGAGCGGGGGCGTGTATATATACCTTAGAAAAGTATATATTCTTTAGAAAAGTAAAGAGAAAAAAAATCCAGAATTTTGATCTCATTCCTTTTCTTCATTTTCGTCCTTTTTATTGCAGTCTTGCAAATTAACGGACCAGTAAAAGAAGCCTCCTTTACAATTTGACTTAACGTATAATCGAATAAAGTTGCATTAAGTGACTACAGCTACTTAGATTGTCATTGTTTATATAAATTTGGTTTCCTGTTGCGGATGATCTTTCACTTTTGTTGTTATCAATGAACTTATAAGCTGAAGAGGAAAGGGGAGAACACTTTTCACCGACAAGCAATTTGCGTAAAAATTTACAGACCGATCCGGATGAGGGTTTTTTTACAGTCGGCGGTCAGAGTCGATAAGGTCGGCTAATGTATAATAGTAAACTGACGTAGAGGGAATCGTATAAAAAACACGTGTAAGCAGATTTTAGCAGGGAGGGGAGGCTTTTTTCTCCCCCGCTAGTTTCTGTCCAAACATTTCTTCTGACTTTTATCGGCTTGTTTACATTAGATAGAATAGTTTTATACAGTTGCTAGTAGTCGTTTTGTTTACGCGCCTTTCGCCAAATTGCCTTGATTAGTTGGTGGAATAAAAATGTTCTTCTTGTTATAGAGTGAATGAAAGATGTATTGATCATGCAATCTGTTACCGTAAAGCTGGGCCCATCCACTCATCGTCTCCCACTCTGCTGGCACGCGTCGTACCGAATTAGCTTCAGTATTTTATTATAAATTAGACGTTCCCTCTCATCAACCATTTACTTTCTTTCTGTTCACCCGCTTTCACTCCACAGTTATCACCTACTTTCATGGATCACTGACAAGAGGAACTATAACAAGAAGGACGGTCGTTGTAAAATCATTTATCCTTGTTAAAGCCTAAATCGGTTACGGGACACGAATAACTCTTCCTATTTATCCTAGTGCTTTTCCGCCTATTAATACGATTTGCGAGGGTTCGCCGAACATAAAAACACGCGATTTTATCTAGTGTCCGCGAATGATCATCTTCCGTAGCTCTAAGAGATATTCCAGTCATGAAAATTCTGTCAAGAACAATAAGTAAGACGGACGGGCTAATAAATTTAAAGTACGACTAGCGAGACGAATTGAATGGACGCTGCGATCATATTACTTGCTAATTTTTCAGATGGGCAGCAGGGCGATCGCAATGGCGGGGGATGGAAGAGTGAGTAGCTACTGTCCGACTGCAAATCGGGCTTGTAAATATAATATATTTTGGTTATAACCGCCGGTGAGAAATTGTATCCAAATAGGGAACGACGTTAGTTTTTTAGGTTGATATATATCTTCATCCACCACGTTTCTCCGACACATTATATCAAGCCGGTGAAAAGGTCCTACTTGGATTTCCTCGAGTGAAAAATGGCAAAATCCTAGAACGATATCCCCTTGTAAATCCCTTCCCGTTAATCAACGCTGCCAAAAGAGACGCCGAAAGAAGGATATATAAGAGATTTTAGAAGTTATCACGTGACTGACGTAATCTTGTTCAACTTACAAACCAGATATTCCCGCAGCTAATTCCTAACTTCGTGTCGATTAATTGACTTAGGAGGCAAAGCACGCTATGGCAGCGGTATTCAATGGTAAAAGTCTGTTAATGGCTAATTATTGCTTAAGGGGAAAGGAAGAGAGGGGAGACAGATCGGATAGGGTGAACCAACCGAAAAGAGTCACCTGCCTTAATTACCGGTCCGGTAATGGGCTAGTTGGAACAAAAAAGCACGGTACCAGCTGCGGTACTCAAATTTAATAATTCAGTTAAGTAGAGAATTATTCCTGCAATGTTATATAAAAATACGAGACGGGAAGGAACCTTTAGCAGTTGATAAGAAGAAATGAGAGGAAGCATTCTGAATATAGGCTTATGGCCCAACTGACTAAAAGTTGAATGGATCGTTTAGGAGAAGGAACGGGCTGATTATATTTTCCCGTTGATTGGGGGAGTTTGTTGAAAATAAAAAGCAGCTTTTCTCTCCTTAACTAATTTATAATTGTTTTTTTTTCTTCAATGTAAAAAGGGAAATATGAGAATTGATAGTAAATATGTTATCATCGAGTAGCACTGAAAATATTGCTCGTTAATCAAAGAAACGCATTAAACTAGATAAAAGACGATCCGTTATCTACACAGATGGGCCCCATTGCAGACAAAAAAAGAGAGAAAAGATTCCTTTCTTGAAGGCAAACTATGAAAATGCCTTTCTAAGCGTCTACAAGTCATCTTTATCGTTCCGTTTTGATCGTCTCTGAGGCGATCAAAAAGCTCGGCGCGCAATCTTCAAAACGTTTCGTCTATAATAAATATTCTAAGAGACGTCAAATGTCTAAATAGACGCCACCCGAACAAAGAGACGCTCGCTCTTTTACTTATATCCTAACGACACATCGCCATCGTATAACACCCCAACGCCCTCCCTCCTTACATTCTTCCCCCCCGCTAAGACGGGTGTCGAATTATTTAATTCGTTAGTCGATATGAGAATTCCTTTTTTTTATAGTCCAGTCTAAATCATTCTTTTCTTTCTCTCCAGCATTTTCACACCTTTCAATCGGCGACCGCTGATTATTTCCTTTTCTCTTCTAATTAATTCTTAATTAAATCTAACAACAGGAAAGAATAATATTGCCTACATTTACTTAAAATGTAATTTTAGCAATGTTTACAGGAGGAGCGACAACTGTGATATCCGATATACCAGTCGGTGATAGTTTTATTCCCATATACAATCAATTTTTTTTCGATTAACGGATACGCATGTTGTCTTAATCGTATACTAATGACTAAGTCGTGGTATTAATCCACAAGAAAGGAGAATATTTATATACATATACACGTGCTCTAGTACGGTAAAGGTCGACCACACCTCCCTATAAAACTGATTGCAAAATGAGAGGAATAAAGTTGTAAGAAATGTTACTTGTAAGCCTACATTGTAGAAGAACTCTTGTACAAGTGTAATGTAAATCTTAAGTATCAAAAAGCTAAAAGTTGAAAGAAATTGAAGGAGAGGTAATGGGATGAATGAAGCAAGAGAAGGGAGACAGAAAGAGAGAGAAAGAGAGAGAGAGAGAGAGAAAAGACAAACGAATGAACGAAGACGAGTAAGAATGAGGCTTATGATTGAAGGCGTAAAATTAATATAATCTAAATACTACATGTATCAACACGGCGAAAATCCTCAATTCATCGGTTCCAAACTTAATTAACTCGGTCGACCGACTCCGAATGACGTAGATTACAGAAACCAACTTACCTTAAAAATTCCTCGATTAATCATCCGGTTATACCAGCATATATTAATAATAAGTTATAATAAGGAAGTAGTAGTACGTTCCGATTTCTGCTGTTTTTTAAA